ATTATTATAATATTATTGCCTATAGGTTTCTTAACCTATCTGCTAATATAAACCTAAAGAACTTATTCTAGGTTTATCCCTTGGGAATCTACCCTATACTAACTATCTAGTGTACGGTTCGTTACAGTTATAGCTGCTATTTTAAATATGGAATCCGCCTGCTTGAATGCTAGATAGGCCCTACCTATATATAATATTGGTTATACTTAAATTATACATAAAAATCTATTTTATATTATGTTAAACTCTAAGGCAACTTATATATAACTTTATGCTGCTCTCTTTTTGGTGTATCTTTCCTAGTGTAACCACGGGATTTGAGATGGATTTTCCGCCTTAAACGGGGCATTTTCGAGCTTATATGCCTTCGAAATAATACCAGGTGCACGAATTATTCCCATTTGCCTCATAGCATCAATTTGAGGCCCACCCCTACGCGTGGCAGAGTCAAGATTAGACTTCGAAATTCGTTCCCAGACTCCGGCTTTGCCCTCAATCTCTCCTTGATATGACCCAAACAATTGAGAAAGATCTTGCGTAGAAGGTTTTGAGTTATTTTTCAGAAGGGCTGCAAGCTTGTTCGTGAGGCAGGCAGCAGCTTCCATTCCAATATTAGCACCAACGCCCCACTTAGGATTCATCTGCATATTGTTAGTGTTTTTTTTTTTTCATTAAAACAAAAATAGATAATAAAGGAATAAATGATAAACAAAAAGGCGTTAGAGGAGAATTTGTTGACATACCTTATGCGCTGCATCCCCCACAAGAGCAACTCTATCCCAGTGCCATAGCTCCACAACACCCTCCTCGAAATTTGCGGCACCTCCAGCGAACCGCTTATCCCACAAGTCTTTAAATGCAACCTTGCTTGTCAATTTAACATTAGCAAATTCTGCGATTATATCTTCCGGCACATTCGTTGTAAAGGGAACTCTATCATAGCATGTCTCAATGCGCTTATAGATAAATAAGTGCGTCTCTTTCTGGGAAGGAAATGCCTGAATTACCCAGTCGTCTCCATGTATCTCAGCTCCCTGTCCTGAAGGAATATCATCAAACAGTGGTCCTCTGCCAAAGACACCAGTGAATGACGCTGTGAAAGGATTTTCAAGGAATAGACCATCAGGCGTAATTTTGCGCAACTGGTCACGAACTGAGCTCCAAATGCCATCAGCACCAATAATGACAGATCCTTCATGGCTTGTGCCATCAGCGAATTCCGCAGTCACGCCATCTGTGCCGATCACAATGTTGGTGAGGTCTTTCCTGGTAAATATATGCTCTTCTGGCTTATTAAGGCCGCTGAGGAAAACCTGGGAAAGGCTGGCACGGTCTGTAACAACTACAGGATAGCCATGGCTGAACAGAAAGAACGTTAGCTGGGGAAACAGATATCTACAGAAAGGCATGGATAGATTGAAGGTAATATCTTATTGTTCCTCACTTACATCTGGCAAAATGCAGCATAATCCTGATCTTGGCTTAGTTGCTCTGCGTTGGCATTGCGGTGCACCATGCCCGTCATTTGATGAGACACTTTCTTCAAGCTCTCCAAGAGACCTAGCTGTTCGAACATCCTCGTGACTTGAGGCATAAGGAAAATGCCAAATGCAGTAGTTGGAGCCACAGCACTTCGCTTTTCGAATAGCGCATAATCTATTCCGGCGGCTTGCAGACTGTTTGCAAGGAAAAGCCCAACGGGGCCGCCCCCAATAATGATAACTTTAAAAGCCATTTTGGATTGAGTGTTGAATGGAAACTGAATGTATAATTTGTGTGAGATACTTATGGCACCGGGGACTTTATAGTTGTTTCAAGCCCAGGTTGGCACTCCCTGCAGTATGAACGAAATTTAAAGCTTGGGCTTCAGATACGAATTCCACATTTCATGAGTAGTCTGTTTACGGGTATATATGCTACTTTGAATAGCAATACTAGAGACTCAACAGTATAAATAGAGAGCCAGGGGCATTTACTGTAATTTTGCTAAGATCTCTTACATTTGGCAATAAAGTTAAAATGTAATGGAGAGGTATACTTACATAGTTTTAAAAAAAGAATAGTGGATATAGCTGGAATATAAACCTTTCCCCACTAATTCTTAATAACAATCTGAACATTTATATACCAGAGCAACTCACACACTCGAGTAAGTACATTAACATTAGTAGCAATATTTTTTTAATTTAAAAAAAATATAGTTTAAAATGTAATTTAATATAAATACACACACACACACACACACACACACACACACACACACACACACACATATATATATATATATATTATTATTATTATTATTATTATTCTAAAATATATTTCAAAGGGTGAAGTTAATAAAAAAACCATAAATTTTATCATTTAATTACTAAATCAGTTTTTAAAAAATTATACTATTTTTTCAAGAATATTAAAAAACTATATTTCTATTTATTTATTTATTATAAATTTTCCTATAATATTATTATAATCTTTCTCTTTCTTTGTATTTACCTTTGATTGTTTAAAGAAGATGTTTTTTTTTGTTGTTTACCATTTGCCTCGTACGGCTTTTTGCTGATGCATTGTAGTGATCTGCCCATGGGAATCCTAGGAAAAATTCAGATACTCCGCAATTACTTTACTAGCACCTAGATTCAGGTGGTGGATCTAGGGGCTCTTACTTTGCTATGCAGGGGTAGAGTGCACCTTGCTTTGCCGGCAAAAGTCACTCGCGTCAATGTCAATGCTGCCGGTACTAATATTTACTGCTTATTGCGGGTTCCTGCTCTGCTTATTCCTTGTCGCTAACCCCTGCCGCTTATTCGCTGTCGCTTATTCCCTGCCCTGCGTCGTTTTTTTTTTTTTTTTTTTTCTTTTAAACTGTTGCTTAATTCTTACCGCTTCCTCCCGGTTCCGTATTTTTGCTTGATCACTGCGGCTTGGCCCCTGCCAATCGCCTTGATTTATAGGCCATGGTGATGAATTGTGATGAATTGTGATTAATGGGCTTACTACCTATAATAAGTTCAACTGACGGCTACAGGTAAGGTTTTCGGTAAGCATTAATAAACGTTAGTCTGGCAGATCCGAGCGCTCCGTTCCGTGTCGGGCCGCACTCGATAGTACATACTATGTGCGTGCCTACGTGGAGGAGGCTGATGCGGATAAGCGGCTTTCCTCCAATTAGCTTTTCATTATCCACAAACTGAGGCGCCTGGGTTCGTGTGTCCCGTATTACCAGTGACATTCCTTTTGTCAGAACTAATCAACAACCCTTCATTTTCACCAATCATGACGAATATTAAACCTAGCTGCCTGGAATGAGTCGATACCAATGGCGCAGACAGAGAATCAGCAGTTGAGCAAAGCGGGGCGAAGCCTGCAGAGATTGTGCCATTTACTGACACTCCAGAGAAAAATGGCGCCACAGCGCAATTGGAAAGGACAGCTTAGCTAGATCAAGCTATTGTGATGGCCACGCGTCCAAATGGGCGGTGGAAAGCTTGGCTCCAAGTTGCTTGTGGTTTTTCACGGATGCTTAGCACATACAGTGCGACGGCCGCGATATCCAAAGTTAATACTCTTTGGGATTAACCACGAATCGATAGCTCTCATCAAGACATTCGAATCTACCAGAATTATTACACAGAACATTTTCAATTTGACCCTTCCCGCACAGCTATTCTCGGTGGAATCCAGACATTTCTTCTCCTCTTTTCCGGTGACGCTGCGGGACCTCTGTATGATGCCGGCTATACGCGCCTCCTGGCTGGGACTATAATGCAGCGCCTTTGCATAGAATACTGGCAATTTGTCTTGGCCAAATCATTTTGTATTGGATTCGGCGGTGGTTTAATATCATTCTTAACCCTAAATGTATGTGGAAGTATTTGCAGTTTAAGAAAAAAGATTGCGAATGCAGATTTTGGCTTTTGTATTATTGTAATAATAAATATAGCCTCAGCCCTAGGGTGTATATTACTTAGTTCTATCAGTTTATGTATAAGTTTTTTAATATATGCATACCCATTATCAAGCACCTTAACACTCATCTTTGCACTTGACTTTGATGGCGCACGCAATGTCGCCTCATTTATTGTTAGTGGAATTTATAGAGGCAATACTAGTCTGTTCTTTGTGCCACAACCAATTGTTTTGATTGAACTGTGTCCCATCTTAAGCTTATCGGGACGCGTGTTGTAATTGCACTAGGTCTCTTATTCTTCGCGGTTTCTCAACTAACCCTATAGGTGATGTTACTCAATCCAGCGGAGGATTTTCAGGGGTGTCGCTTTGAGCTGGCCTCACCACTGCGGGCTGGTACTGGCAGTATGCTCGTATCGCGTCCGATGGAGACCAAAAGTAATTTCTTCATAAGAGTATAGAACCGCGTTCAGTGAAATAGCTTATACTCTAAACGGCACTAAAAATTGAATAAAGAATGATGCTCATCGGTGAATGTAATTAGTCTATTACCACCACCAAATTTATTAGAGAAAGTAGATGGAAGCATAGAATTAGGTGTTTGTAAGTGTACTGTTAAGTCTATCAGTAAACTAACAAGAGTTAGGATAAGAACTTCAATGAAATATAGGTATCTTTTTCGTAGTATGCTAATTGCTTTGTAAAATGCATTGAGATAGTACCTAGTAGATTCGTTATTGTGTAAGAAAGTTGATATAAAATAAGTACACATTATTACGCACTCATTTGGATGTGCTACTTAACGAAAGTATCTAAGGACGTTGTACGCCAAATGCTAAGCAATTCTAGGCTATATTTCATATTTCGAAGATAATAAGGATGAAAGTTTTGAACGTCCATACTGCATTGAGCTGAAACTAGGATCTTGGCCAATACCGGCACTGTATTCGTTACACTCCTAATACTATGACGTTTCATTTGTAAACAACACCGGACAAATTCTAGAAGATAGATGACAAAAGAGAAAGGCGGGGGACAAAATACTCAAGTCAGTTTCCGATGAGTTATTATCTTATTATTGAAGAGTCAATATCCTCGTTATGGTTACAATTGGTGGATCAATATTCCCATGGTTGCAAGTTCTTAGCTAGGGGGAATCCTGCTAGAAGTTTACCTATAGTAATCGGAAAGCTAGCGCAAAAAACTCTCCGAAGCACATCATATCTCTGTGGATTCTTCGGCAACGGCAACGGCAAAGGTCAGGCCAGGCTGGCCCTGCCTAGTCCGCCCTGTTCTGGTCTTTACCGTTACCGATTGGTGAATATTCGCTTCTAGCTTGATGTACTGCTGAGAATAAATATTGAATGGCACTTGAAACCTGGATTTGAACGCTGTTCGCACAAGACTCTCTTTATCGTCCCTAGTGCTAAACCGTAAACTCAGCGACGATACTCATCCACCACAGTATCTCATCAAACAGCGCACAAAATAAATATTTACTTCTATTACCCCTTACCAATGACCAACAAGTATCATTAGGCCTCCCAACCACTTGATTAAGTAATAATTGCGCGAGTAATTATTAGTCAGTTATCAACCTATTCGGCCTAGAAGTACTCATATATGATTTGATATGACTGTCCATATTTCCTTTTCAAGTCTGCTAAATAACAATAACTAACTATCCCACAGTCACTGCATTCATCCATATATACAATACCTATGTTTTATTACAGTTTTTACTGGGAAATCTTCTTCCTTCAAGAAAAGAAAAGAAAATGCCATGTTGCTATATACTCACAATGTTTTCGCAACTGTATTAATAATTAATTCCACATAAGAAGCGTTAGCGGTACAACAATTAGTATTTATTTTAGAGACTACATCTTCAACTCCAGATCATTTAACATTTGTTTTCATCTAACTACTCTATATAACGCAACTCAGTACGTCGAAGGTACAATTGATAATCGTCCACCATCGCATACCAGCACATTTCCATTGAGATACGAGCCAGCTTTACTAGCCAAAAATAAGGCCACGCCAGCAATGTCAGTTTCTTCGCCAGCTCTCTTTTCTGGAATCAATTTTGCAGGGTCATAACCACTAGTAGTCATAGCTGAAGTCATATCAGTCGGAAACACTATCTTCATGTTAATATATCCATTCGTTAGCATTGCTATCTGGGACTGAGCACTCACGTCCTGGAGCAATGGAGTTCACTCGAATCCCGTATGGAACCATGTGTGTGGAAAGCTGTTTCATCATGTGCTGCTGCGACGCCTTGCTTTGACCATACGCGAAGCGTCCAGTTGGAGCAAATCTTCCAAAGCCAAGCGTACTGCAGGTGCCGACGATTTGACTGCTGAAGTTTACATTCTTCTGGCGATTACCAGCATCAAGAAGCTTGAGGAAAGCAAGAGAAGTGTACCAAAATCCGGCGGTGTTGATTTTGAACGTGTCTGCGTACTCATCCACGGAGTGTTTCCAATTCTCTTCAATAAACTCGTCTAGCGAAGAATTGTTGTTTAGGGTCTTAGATTCTGGCCCAGAAGTTCCTGAGTTACACCACAGAAGGTTGACATATCCAACCTCACTACGGATACGGTCGGCAGCGGCCTGGAGCGATTCTTTCGAGGTTACATCGCACTCCAAAGTCTTGACAACATCGGGGAAAGGTGCGGCCGTCTCTTCCAGAACGCTTACGCGACGACCAATAATATAAACTCTATGTGCCCCATTTGCGGCAAGAGCACGAGTGATCATACGACCAATTCCTGCATGGTAGTCGTAAATATGATCATCAATTGCTAACTCTATATCCAGACAAGGTTATGCCAAAGGAGATGTTGAGGTGGGTGAATTCCAAAGGATGAGCATTGTGTGCAGGGAAAAGTTTACTACTCACCAGAACCTCCACCAGTAATCACAGCGACGAGTCCAGAAACATCGAAGAGATTTTTGGTTTCAATGGACGCCGTGCCAGTGGAACCCATTGTGTCTTGGAATATCGAGATAAATTTCCAACGGTGTCGTATTTGAAGAGACTCAACGGTGTTTAAGTAGTGATAATTCACTCGCTTCAACTTCTATTAACAGTGAAGGGAATCTTGAGAAGTATATTGGACTGTAGTAAGATATAAATTTATATATATATTACGCGAAACGAGCGCATTAGTTTGCAGTAGCGAACAATTGCTCCAAGTACTTCACCGCCCCATCTACTGTACCCGAATATCCGATGTACATATCGGGGCGAACCACCGCGGCATTGAAGGAATCGTCATCGGACACAAAGTCAGTGGCGTAGACCAGGGCCTTGCCTCCACTAGCATTACTTTCGATGGCGTGCTTGGGAACCAGCTTGATATCGGTAACAAGCTTACCAAATTTACCAACATGATCAGTAATGTCACCCTTCACAAGGAATAAAAAGTTCCCATATGTTACCCGACTGTAAAGGCGCTTAGGAGCAGAGTCTCCCGCAACAATTACGTCGAAGTCAGGGCAGGGGTTACCTGCCTTCCAGGCACCAGTGCCCGATTCCTGAACAATTTCTGACTCAAGGCCGCTGTAGGTAATACCCATACCTGTGATGTATGCCGCATGCTTCTCCACATTGCCAACATATTGCTCACCCTCGTGTTGAGTATCTCGCACAAGACGTGCAGCAACTGAAATAACGTTCCCTGCAACTTTTCGGCGCTCTGTGTCGAAACTAGCAATGATATTGTGTGCCGCCCCTGGTTGCAGCTCGTTGGCATGGGCCAAAACATAACCTAAGCGCCATCCAAGACCGAAGGAATCTGAAAGGCCAGTGTTAAGACCCTGTCCGCCGTTGACGGAGTGCGCATGTGCAGCATCACCGGCAAGGATTATTCGGCCGTTACGACTCTGTGACACGAATGTATCGGCAAGTCTCTCCTTAACTAACGTGGGTTGTCAGCTTAGCCTGTCTGACTTGCATATTTATCGCTTCCGCTGCGCTTCTAGCTAGGGCAGCCTAAGGAGTGGGTGTAGAAGGGGTGGAGAGGCAGGGATCTGGGGGGTGAGGGGGGATAGCATGAAGCGATATCGTAAAAATTTCTCACCTTCAAAAGTGCTGAACCATTCGGTCTTAGTAAATTCAACTCTGTAAGGCGCCAAGTGCTTCTTGATCGACGCTTTAGATTTTTCCTCCGTAATCTCTCCATCAAGTAAGATGTAGAATCGGCACAAGCCCCGCTCTCTAGGAATCCATGCCACACGGGATTGCCCGTCTAGCTCAAAAGTAATAATTTCCGGTACGCGTGGGAAGTCGCTGTCGATAAAACAATCGAGGACAGCCCATGTCATCTCTGGCTTAGTACCTGTGAAAGGAATGCCAAGAGACTGCCGGACCATAGAGCGGGCTCCGTCTGAGGCAACACAGTAAGTGCTGTGAACGATGCGACCAGACACAGCCGTGACATCAACACCTGTCGATGTCTCACGCACTGACTCTACTGGCTCAGAAAAGATAATTGAGTCGCCAAGTGCGGCAGCCAGTAGCTGCTCGACTATAGGCTGCCCAATCATCAAAAAGTTCTTGTGGTGGACATTCTGCAAGTTCTCCCACCAATGGCTACGACGAGCAGTGAATTCTCCATTTGCAAAAATAGAACTCGCTATGAAATGTTAGCTAGTTATCCTACGGTTGCATCATATAGCGTACTGTTGCATTTGAGTCCTTTGGCCAAGAGTTCATCAAGGATGCCAACGACTTCCAGAACTTGCTGACTTCTAGCATTCAAGGCATCTGCACGGCCTAGCTGCAGGGGTTGAGGTTTGGTTTCTGTCGCAGGAGAGCTGTCAGCGATCATTGCATAAGATGAGCAACATCTCCGCCTCGCACAAGGATTCAAACAGGCGAGACTATTGTAGCTTGGATTATAGCGGCTTGACGTACCTAGAACAAGGACTGAAGCTCCAAGTCGTTTCGCCAGCAGAGCCGTCAAGAGGCCCGTGGGTCCACCTAAAAGTGGCACATCAAATTAGCCTGGATAAAGAAATAGAGGCTAGAATAGATAACACTATTCTAGCCATTCTAACTAGAGTGTAAAAAGATACTCCATGTGGAGATCACGTACCACCAACAACGGCCAAGTCAACAGTTTGTTCCAGCATTTTGTAATTCGTAGCCCAGTCACTTGGATCTTTTTTTTTTTTTTCAGTTTAGCGTAAAGAGAAGTTTGCTATTATGGCTTCAATAATCGTGTGATTGCGAAAATGAAACTGGGCCAAATCAGGAGGGCGATTGACTGTAAACCGAAGATGAATGTTGAGTCCGTTTGTAGAGGCAACCCGAAGGTCAATTTTATACTTCACTATCTGCCTGATTATCAGATTAGAATACTCAGTAACACCAGTTCTCAGTGAAGCTGAATCTATTGTCTGCAGCGTCAAAAGAAAAGTATTCGACCCCTACAGTAGCAAAATACAAGTATTTGGCCCTTACGTGAAGAAATAAAAATATTTAACCCCTGTCAAAAATCAATAACTAGGCTAGAAATGTTAAGAGATTGTACTAGGTATTACTACAAAGCAGAATAATTTTGTGAAACAGTAAAGAAGTAGGTATATGAGAATATAGCCGAGTAGTGTAACTAGTTCTATTATAACGTACATGTTTTGTTCATTCTTTTTATTCCGAACCAGGGCAAAGTTTGTTGCCGAAAGAATGCGATACATATATACGAATAAAAACAATGTATTGCCAATTTGCAATATAAAACTATTTCTGTTGAATATGTAAATTCTCATTATATCAACTACTAGTAAATACTATTTGCTAATGTGATTTTAAATTATCTTGAATATTTTCAGTGTATGCAATAATTTTGTAGTTATTCTTGATGTTTGCTTTACAATAATACTTTAAGTATACAACCTTGAATATTAATTTTTCGTTTTTACTAACAATAGGAATATACCCAACCCAAATTTCTTGAATATATGTATAATAAAATGCGATGACTCAACGTTTAAAATTAAGTTCATAACAAATGACAATATCCTATTTAAGTTTATTCCAACTACTACCCAAGTAACGCAGATAACTGATATGCTAATCCGTATAAAGGCCATAATACCTTGATATATTTCTATATTGCCTATTGTCTAAACTTTTCGCAATTTCCACCAGTTATACAATCACCTGCGTTTTTAAATCTGCTGGCCACTGTGCCTTATCCACTGCATTTCCTCTAGTTCCAATTGTAAAACCAGGTTTCACCACTCCATCTACAAATTGCAAAACAGGCTTTACCGTCCTTAACGAGACACCGAGATTGGGACAGGGACGTGTCTCGAAATAGGATGGGTCGAATAAGTAAGCAGATCGCTCTTTCAGCAACGGCATGATCCTGAACAGAAGTTGGAGCATATGGTCGTGGTGTCGATAGACTGGTGATCCATATCTCCCCCAAAGCTGCTTCCAAACGTCTTCAGGGTATGTTCCGACATTATTTATTAGCCAGTTGGTATAATAATCAAGAGCAAGCTAAAATTTGGTCGTTCATTAGATAACCGCAACATATAAGACGCTATAGATTCAGTTGGATAAAATGTGACTCACATTTACTTTGTAGGAGCCACCGGCCTCTCCCCGTCGCACTACTGCATCCATGACGGCGCAAATGCCACTAATACCAGCACTATAAATATGCGTGAGAAGTTTTCCTTCATAAATTCAGCCAACCTTTATGAGACGACGTACCAAAAGTCAGTATTGGGAAATATAGGAGTCACTGGCTCGTCATTGCCCATGGCGCGACCAAATTCATAAGAAACGCCACAAAACTATACGCAATTAGAAACGTGGATTTTGATAAAAGGTTTGTTGTGACTTACAGCATCGGAGATCTGCTGCCATCCACTCCGTTCCTGAAATGGTCCGTTCCAACCGTATGAATTCATTCTGACGACAATGATGCCCTTCTCTCGATCCTTACACATTTCCAACACATCATCAGCATCAAACCCAAACTTTGCCAATGCTCCAGGGCGGTAACTCGAAATGAAAACATCGCATTCGAGGATCAATTCCTTCATTTTCTGGCGATCCTCTGCTTTCGTAAAGTCAAGCGATGCATTCCACTTGCCCCAATTAAGCTCTGGATGATATAATGTCGCATCCGGGATAGATGGCGAGGTAATGCGGAGTACACTTGCTCCAAGTTCGGCTAGGCCACGAGAGACAATGGGAGCAGCAATAATTCTAGTGGCGTCTAGAACTTTTAACCCTGACAAGGGGCGAGACGGATCGCTAGGTTTCTTCCCATTGTCACTCCACCAACACGGAGGCTGGTTTTCATTTGACTTCCAGGTTTCCCAGAGACCGACATGGGCATTAGCTTTGCCATGCTCCGTGGCTCTATATTCCTCAATGGGATGGCAAATGGATCCAGCTTGCTTCCACACGTCGTTTGATAGCTTGTCTAGCTCGTGGCTGTCCATTTTGCCAATTATTTCAGAAAATATTGGCACAAGCTTTTCGAAAGTATCTTCTGTCGGCGGCTCTCGAGGAAGATTTAACATATCAAGAATCCTATCCGGGTTCATAGATCCGTGGATATGATAGAACTTGCCGTCTTTGGTCTTGTACATATTTGACGTGCAGCACCGATAAGGGCCGTCCAAAGATCTATGCACATCATAGTCTTTAAAAAGGCTATGATACAATGCCTTGGCAGAGGGATCGGTGCGAGTATCCGCAAAGGTCACATTACGCCCTTCGGGATCAATAGACCAAAGCATAAGAGACATGATAAAAAGTAATGCATGATCGCTATATTATTATTAGTATTATAAATTACCCCCAAAAAGAATAAGCAATAGGTAACCAACGTATTAATTAACACTTTTTGAGGTGCTATACCATAGACTTTGTCCAAGATAGCATTAACGTATATCGACTCCAGTCCTTTCAGAGCGGCTATGCTTTCTGCGAATCGCCAGTTAACCGGCAAGGAAGGGTTGTCGGAGCCTTCAAATGACACTGAGTCCGCATATTTATCCAAGCCACTAATGAGGTGTGGTACAGTAATTGGATGGTTCAAGATTCCATGTTTCAACACATCGGCAGACTCACGGACAACTGAGTATGGCTTGTCTGATATGTCGCCGAGGTGGTTAGGCGAGTTCGAGCTTGCCATTATGATCTGTGTACACTTGAATCAATAACAAATCTGGTCTAAGCTTAGAGACAGCTACTGAAGAAATTTATAACTCAGTTGAACAACTTGAAAGCCAGGCTGAAAAGTGGGGAACAGCATAATATGGTAACAGATACGTACAATAACAAGTAATACATTTCCATTATTATAGATTTGGATATATTTCTAGAAATTGCATTATTTTAATTATAAAAACTATTACTTAAAAGTATTTTAATTTATACTATTTGAAATATTTTTATTAAAATAAATATAGTATTAAATGTAAATTTTTATATAATATATTATATATAAAATAAATATATTATTATAGCTTTTTTAGTCCCTCGACCCTTTTGAAATTATTCTTTTTATTATTATTGTTATTATCTTTTTTTGCTAATTAAATTTATTTACCATTATAAGGTCTATTAATATGATTCCAATATATTACTTTTTGCTTAGGCTTACACCGCTTGCGGACCAGTCGGATAGTTGGCCTGCATCCTTCCAAATTGGTTCTGCGTAAGCGCTTGTCAGTTATCTTACCAAAGGATCAACGGCAAATCCACACTAGCCTTCTTGCAATACATCTCCATAATGTTGGTTAATAGTGCACCTGGTAGCAAATTCCGTTATGTACACATAGTGTCTATAATGCGGAGTGGATAATGGCTAGTTCCTAGAGATCTGTATAAAAAGTTTTTTGTTGGGGAGATCAACGAGATAAACACGTACAGCTAGGTATATAGACGTTCCGGAAAAGTCTTGTCATTACTTTGTAGGCGTACGGAGTAGTGTCTCTGCATTTTTATTATTGTGGGGCTGCCTTGTTTTCCATCCTGGCTTCCTATGTACAGCCCGTTTGCTAAGCAGTAAGAGTAGCTTCTGTTACATGCCAAAAATCCACATATCCGTGCAGTGAGAGCATGGAACCATGTATTTAATTTTTCCCGAAGGCTCATTATGACTTATTAAGTTTATTAATATATTCGCATAGCAATTCATAAATGCTGATGACAATTGCTACAGTCGGAATACTTCCTATAATAGTTTAGACTATCTATACTCGCCATAAGGCTTGCTGTCTCTGCAAGTAAGAGTAATATTTCCCGCAGTTCCCTTAAAATTTGGAATCCACGACGTGCTTTTACTAGGTGCTATGGGTATGCTTACGGAATAGATATTGCAATGGCAAGACCAGGTACGCATTGCTATCTTCCAGTTACCTCGGCTTACCTGAAACGCAACCAGGGTTCCATCGTTTGTTGCACTCTATAATTCGTGAAACCACTGCTTGGTAATTGTGTTCTCAAGAAAAAGCAATTAGCCAACTTCACATCTTTGGAACAATCTTAAATCCGCAATACACAACATACACGAGCAGAGGCACATATATAATTATACTTGCTACAACTACAAATCCAGCCTATCTCTATCTGGTGGCATTAACAGTTGATAAAATGCCAGAAGTTCATTTACTCGTTTTCGGAGACCAGACTGAGACAGCGATTCCTATGGATGAGCTTTATCAGTACGCGCATGAATCCAAATATATAAGCCAGTATCTTCAAAATTCATTCGACGCAGTACAAAATGTCTTGGATAGCTTAAGTGATACTGAAAAAGAACGATTCAAGTTTGATTCGTTTCAGAGCGTCGCAGAAAGAGTGAGACTGGATAAAACGCCAGATATAGTATTACGCACCCTCGTTCTATGCGTTGCACAGCTTGGATCCCTTATATTGTTAGATCTCTAAATTAATATCCTTTCGTGTAGCAAAATTACTAACTAGATACCTTTAGTACTCTGGAAAACGATTCTGATTTACGAAACTCATGGGCGTCGCAAAACATAATGATTGTCGCGTCTTGTGCGGGCCAGGTTCCAGCTGCTGCTGCGGCCACTACTCATTCGATTGATGATTTAGTCGCAGTGGCGCCCGAAATTGTTGCTATCTCGCTGCGGGTTGGCCTTGATGTAGATCGTCGAACTGCTGCACTTAGTAATGACCGCACTGGAAGCTGGGCGCGGGCGGTTATTGGTATTTCTGGAGCCGACGCTCAGGCATCTATTGATGAATTTCACAAAATCCAGGTAGTGTTTTACCATTACCCAATAAACTGCCCATAACTGACTTTCCAAGGGCACGCCTCAAAGTAAGGTACCTTATGTTGGCGCAACGTCTGCTTGGGCAACTACCATATTCGGTCCCCCTTCAACGCTACAGTCATTCTTTTCTTCAAACCCGTTTGGGACATCAAGAGTTATAGAGCTCCCCGTGGCTGCTGTTTTTCATGCCGCAAGCTTAGACAGGCCTGACACCGCAAAAATAACCGGACCAGCCAGCATACTTCAAAAGTTTTGGTTGAAAGACGTTTGTTTTCTCTCCAGCGAAGATGGAGTAGCTTTTAAACCTCAACGCCTTGATAGTCTTGTATCCGAGGCTGAGTTAAATATGCTGAACAGGATGACTGACAATGAAAAGGTGTTCAATGCGGTAAAACTAAAGATTAAAGATAAGCAGGTGGCCATCACGCCTATCGTTGCAACTAAAGTTTCTGAACGCCTGAAAAAGGCGTTAGGAGAGGCTAGCGCAACTGTCCGAACAGAGCTTTTGGTAGGCGGATTGTAATGTAGTTTCAAAATGCACACAGGAATGGCTATTTCAATAATCTCCTTGTATAGGAGATGTCATGTTTCAAGCGATACAGGGAGTTAGCAAATGATAGTCAGATGTAGCAAACACAACTTAGTATATGGCTTTCAATCAACTAACAAGTATGGTCAAGGCCAACTAATACTTGCTCTGACTCTGCAAAGTAAGAGTTTAAGCTAGGCACCATGTTCTGATTTAGAAGACATACGGCTACAGCTGTTAGCCCATTTATCATGATATCATATTCCCTTCGGGTATGATTTCTACGTAGTTTATTGCGTCAATCTTTGAGTGAGTTGCAGGATATGTACATATTTCACCTTGACAGATTTTAAAGGGTGGAAATGCTAATGGCAAGCACTGCAACAGCTTTGAGTTATTATTTCCTTTCTCTGCCTCTTTCCCCAATATCATTAGTTTATTACTGAATGCCAGATTTACCTTCTATCTCTCTCTAGGGTAGTTGCTTTAAATTGTTCGCGAGGTCGCTATTGAAACGGCTGGTATTCGGGCCGAACCTTGTTCAGGGAGGTAGAACAATACCTGCGTAGGTTACTCCGCATAGTGCTTTGTCAAGGTTTCCGCTACTGCTTATCACAAGTATACCCTGGCTGCACTAGTGCTCTTTCAGTTAATGACAGTGTCTCCAACTAACCGTCTGCTGCAAGGGTTAAATCCGCCATTGTTGTCCGATCCTGCTCTATCCTTGTACTTGCAGAAGCGCCTTGGACGAATTATGCAGCTTATTCTGTAAGTGCTAGTTTCGATACTATACTAATACAAGCAGTATAAAATACAAATTATTAACCGAAGCTTAGATGAATATTTGTTACAATATACATTGCATAACAATTGATTGACAGTATAAAGATATTAATTGTTGAACATCAGACACATTATAGAATTATTATACTATATACAATATATATAGTAATACATAATGTAACATAGTAATGTAGTAAATATAACTCTACTATAGTAACTTTATTTATTAAAGCCTACCTGTTTCTTTACAATTTCCTTTTCAACAAATAATATTATGAAGCATCCTAGTCTTATTTTTATCCATGCATAACTGCTCAGTTAACCCTTTGCTAGCTGTAACATGTATTCTTTTCGACTCATAATTGCAAAAGTCCATACAATAATGAATACCTCTCTATACCCGATAGAGAAAGAGGGGTCAGCAAGTTCAGCTTTAGGTGCCGAATATTAGAGTAGTAAGCCAAGTTTTGTTCAAAACAGGAATAATGCCTGTATATACCGCAATTTATGTACTCAATGTAGTACCCCGTATTGGCCTTACAATTAGTAATAATTGATAATTTTTGTAGTGCATTGATTAATACTACTCTATATACAAAAATAAATATTAGTAATGTTACTGCTTCTAATGATAAGTTGATTATTACTGCTCCCATAACTTTATGAAAACACTCTAAACTAAATATAGTTTCAATATAAACTGTATATAATATTATAATACATAGTGCAACATTATATACTATTTTAGAAAGTTATTCTTATATCTAGTATATTTATAAATTAAATTATATTTGAAAAATAAATACATTATTATATTATTTTACATGAAATTTACTTTGTTTGAATAGTTACATAATAAGTAGTACGTAATGTTTGGTCTATGAACTGCAATAGTGTTTTGTATAACCTCTTAAGTGAAACAATATAACTAATGTTCTTTTGCTCTCTGAAACCTTACATGCTTTATTACACGTAAGTAGTATTGTATTATACATATTAAAGCTGCATCCAAGAAGTATTCTATCTGTTACTACTATTACAATTAACTTAGCATGAATCAAGATTGGCATTGTAGACAGGTATATTTTTTTCTCCGAATTTGTGATTTCCATACTAGGTTTCCAAATTGAGGCAGCTGATAGCAGTATATTAAATGCATAATCCATATTATCTTGGGAATTATTCCCGCTATATAGTGCAATGCCCAGGGAATGACACACCATAACCCTCTTGCCGTTGAACGCAATGCTGTCAGAGCCTACACATTCCTCTCTGACACCGTTGTAATATCCATCCCAGTCTCTATCGTATATTTGCAGATAAACTTGCCGGTCTTACAGTCAGAGATGGATGGTTGAACTGTCATGTAAGCTTACTGTTGCACTTGCAGCCCCGGGAAATAAGACCCTCGAGGATACCCACAATCCTAAGATAGTACTAGGGTCTCGCATCCAAAGGATCAGCTCTGCCTAGTAGCGTAGAGGTGCGGGCTTCACACCTGTAAGCCATGCTACGATAATGCCACAGCTATTGAAGACCAGCAAGCGGACGTGAAGGATCTAAATCATCTACAGTCAGTGCTGAAACGCCTAACCTCCTCGGGAAAAAAAGCGGTCAACATGCCGGTTGGTCCGCCTAGGTTACTCATTATGTGAGAATCTGATTCCGTACAAAATAGCGTTGGCGGAATAAAGAATACAGCAACACAAAAAAAAAAAACAACTCACCGCCAAGGAAAGCTGAATCTTATATAGACTCAGGCGTGGACAAACGTTCTTCTTTTTACCCTTCTTACTAAAGGCTACTCATCTACAACACTAGTGCTTCGCTTGGAGATAGATCATCTTCAAGTACTATCACTCGCTGCACATTATACGTCTTTAACAGCGGCCATTAGTCTCTTCCACACTTCAAGATGATGGACCCGGTACCAATGGAGTCTGCCCTCCGAGGCACTCCAGACCACGTCGTCCTGCCTTTATCAGGCCGTATCCTCGACCATTCTCACATCGATATGGCTGCAAAGATTATTGAGGTTATCTACAGATATCAGAATAAGCGTGCGGGTAGCGAAGGCATCGAATCGGATATTGGTCTGCTGGCTGGTTTGGCACAGGCATACAGCCATGTGAAGGCTAACCAGCCTATCAAAATGTGTCTTCCTGCGTTTCCCTTCAAGTCTCCTAACACGAAAGTTAAGGTACTCGGACGCGTCCCAGACAAGGCAGAGGAGTATGCGCTGGCCCATCTTAACGGCCTCTGTGCTGCCATCAAGGATGTATACAGTCCGGGAGCAGAACTTACCATCATTTCTGATGGTATTGTATACAATGGTTAGTACTTTCGTTCAAACTTTTAGCAGCTTTGGCTTATGTTATGTGGCATTTAGACCTCTTGAGCGTCTCAGACTTGGACGTTTGGAGATATGGAGAAACTCTTCGAAACTTGGCGAAGACCAAGGGCTTCAGCTATATTCGCTTTTCACGACTTTCAGACCTTGTGCCGATGGAGGTACCTGCAGTGTTGGACGAAGTTTCATATGTCGCCAATGCCACCAACTTCCGCATTGCTCTCATCAACAACTTTAGAAGTAAAGATTGGGATGTCAATGAGAAGATCACATCCGACGAGGATATTTGCTTGACATATCGCGGTTACCTCAAGTTCCTCCAGACAGATCTTGCTGACACATACCCTATTTCGGAAACTTTCACCAAGTCAAAGTATAAGAAGGGTATTGAGAGCATTGCTAAGCAAATGCTCATCCGCGGTCAAGCATTTGCCCGTGCAGTTCGCGATAAATTTTCCAACCACGTTCGCTTGTCTATTCACCCTTCCACTGGACACAACAAAGTCTCTGTCAGCACTCTCCCCACCGACTCCAGCTACACAACCCCTTGGCACTGCGCTGTGGCTGTCAGACAAGATGGAACTATTACCTCAGGTCTTGCTCAGACGTTTTGGGACGATCCTACCTGGGAGCTTGTCTATGAAGATGGCAGACCATCATATTTCCGAGAGAAGAGCGATCTATATACCTGGAGCTCCGGCGCTATCACCGTTAATCCTTTATATCCTTGCGGTGTTATCATCTCCCCTGCTGAGGGAGCCAATAAGCTGTCAATGCAAGACATCGATGCTCAGAAGGTTCGCGCACTCTCTGAAATCAACTCACCAGTCATTCTGCGTGGCTTCTCTGGAACCAAGAACCGTGAGAAGTACATTGAGAAGGCTTCTGAGTTTGGAACCCCTCTTCCTTGGAAGTTCGGCATTCTGCTCGAAGTGAAGGACCGTGGAGCAGATACTCGAGGTCTCAACAATGTTCTATCGTCTGAATGGATGCCTTTCCACTTCGATGGCCTGTTTAAGACTTTGGACCACACCAGAGAGGATGGAACCGTGTATAAGCTTCCGAACCCACCACGGTAAGTGATCATGCTAAAAGTTATTGCCTATACGTATATCTAACTAAGTTTTAGATTCCAATTGTTTACTGCTGTCACACCTTCTCCTTCTGACACTGGTTTCACACTCTTCTCTACATCTACGTTTGTTCTGAAGCATCTACCAGCTTCCCTTCCTCTAGAGACCTTGAAGAATCTTACGTGGTCTGTTAGAACTACTTCATTTGAGGCGACAAAATTGGACGGCCTGCCTCTAATAGTTGACCATCCTATTACCGGAAAGCCCTGCTTGCGGTATCATGAGCCCTGGCCTGAAAACAAGACAAGCTTCGAGGCTACCAACATTACAATTGATGGTCAGACACCCGAGGTCTCTGATGCTATCTGCCGCGAGCTAGACGGTCTTTTGCATGACCGACGTGTGGCATATTACCACGCGTGGGAAAAGGGTGACATGTTGGTCAGTGACAACATTCTGGCTATGCATACCCGCAGCGACTTCCAGGGAGGCGCTGAGAGGGAGTTGTGGAGAATTCACTTTGATTGAGTGACTTGCGTATTACAGAAAAAGTTTGTTTGCAGCTTGATTTCTCATAGACATTAGATCCGTTACGGTCATTTTCATTGGCATGCTGTACTTATTCATTTATACTGAACGGAATAAAATTTCAATTTATTCGCTCGTCATTTTCTTCAATAGTTCCAGGTCTATTTACTAAGTTATTTGAGAAGAAATATACTGAGATGGTGCTCAGTACCAGGAAATGCAAATATTCTAACTGCATGCCGGATTCATATATATTGAGTAGTCTTGGAGCATTCAGCTCATGGGGTATACGACGCCCTCTATGAATGGAGTCGAGATTCGACTCTAATTCGTTGGTGGTCTCGTCTGGTTCCCCCGGAAGGACAAGACTTTTATTATGATACTAATACTACTGATCTCCTTCCAATTCTTGTATATTTCGTTAAGTGGCATGTGTACTATTAATTCTACAAACTCAAGCTCATTGAGCATACCAGTCTATGGCTTGTGAGGTGAGGACTCGCCACATTATTCGAAAGTGGAATTTAGTATTGGCGAATCCGTTGGTGACATGAGGAATACAATAGCTGAATATTAGAGTGAGTAGGTTTCTCTTGTGGTAATTTTAAATAAAGCGATACTGGCAGAATTTTATTCTGACACGAAATCTGAAAACCGTGTGGCCAGAAAGATTCTGGCCTGTTAGGTACGGATCCCGCCCACCACTGCCTTCATATTTAAGCTGACTTGTTACCAGGTTTAATAGTCTTATATACTTCTTTACTTTAAGTGCATCTTCTATATCTATCTCAGAAACTACATCTCATCACAATTAACTTTTTTTCGAAGGCCTAGTTACTCTTCAAACCGCTAATTTCCAAGATCATATCCTTTGAGCTCAGTTTCTCTCAAGAGTATTGAAATTAACAAGACTAGTTCAGCGATCTAAGTGTTTTAATGAAACTCACCTCATTCGAGGCGTCTTTCAGGGGCGCCAAAGCTCCCGTTAGCTGGACCGCAGTATTAGAGATAGATTCTGAAAATATATTGTTGAAAATTGCTGAAGATGTGGTGAGGCCAATGAGACCTCCAAACATGCGAATAGTATGAAGCTGTCCAATAGCTAGACCTGTGTCGTCAACATTCTTGACGCTAGCTTGAACAGGGAGTGAGACGTAATAATGAAACACCTGTCTCCCACAGAATCGGCAGCCCGTAGCGAATTGATGGTGAGGATCCCACCTTAAAGAGGGCCAACAACCCGGTTCCCAGAGTAAGTATGACCCATGAAAGCCGTAAAAGCCATACATATCCACCAAAGAAAGGGACCATCATCATTGAGACGGCTGCAATGAAAACGCTAATGATGACAGTGGGAAGCAGAGAGACGGCTTAGGAAATTGCGGTCTCAAGTTCAACGGCTTGTAAAAGTAAAGGCAGTATTGCAACAGAGATACATACTAGAATCATGCCATGAATGAAGCCTCCTATTAGCGCTGCATTTCCAGTCCTTGTGTGGAATAGTCGATGGGACACAATAGGTGCCACAGGCTTGGTCTCATAAAAGACAAACACTACAAGCAGAGTAGCTCCCAAGAGCAAGGGAAAGAGCGTCTGCCAGGAGGCCCATGGAAAGAGTGAACCTGCCCAGCTAAGCGGCACAACAAACAGCGTGACACCGACAATGATAAGGGCCATACGGACCCAATCAAGTCGATTCAAGTTCTGGGCGAGCGTGGCTTCTAGAGAGATAGGTCTAAGTTTGAGGAAGAAGAACACAAGTGATGTCCCCAACCCTATAATCGGCAAGTTGATCCATGCAATCCATCTCCAGAATACAAACGTTGGGAAAAGAGCACCCACTATAGGTCCCATAATGTTACCAATAGCCGTAGGGATAGCCATTAGACCGATATATTTTGAGCGTTCCTCTAATGTCGTCATATCAGCAAGTATTACCTGAGCCAGAACATCAATTCCACCGCCCCCGAGCCCTTGGAGGACGAGTCCAGCGATAAGGGTGTTAATATTTCTTGCTACCCCAAATATGACTGATCCAATGAAGAACAGTCTCAAGGATACGTAGAGAGGGGGCTTCCGACCGAATGCGTCGGAGATGCTGACCCAAATCAACTGCATGGTCAACCCACATAGAGTATGGGTCAGACTCGCCCAAAATGACTCCAAGCTCGTACCGTTTAAATCACCAAGCTATGGTCTAAGTAGAGTCATTAGGGACTGACATAATCACCATATTAGAGAAGGAGAGTATCTTATGGCTCACCGGAAGAGAAATTCCCAAACAAGTTGCATCTAGCTGGAAAACAAAAAGACTCGCCGCAATTCCAATGAAGGCGAGCTTAAAAGACAAGGATTGTTTTAACTTTGGTGCAGTGCCTCCTGCTGCATTCTGATCTGAAGAAAGCAGTTCTTGCTCAATTTCTGTTACTACTTCTGTATTTGCTTTCTATACGCTTTGTTCTAACTTTGCTTCTACTGGACTAGTAGTTGCAGAGATATCGGCGCTTGGGTCGGTACTAGTCGTCATTACGGCCATCTTAATGTAGGAGCACAAATCTGCAATACCAATTAGCTGGCAGCCCCTTCTTCTTATCCTTCAGAATTAGACTTGAGCAGGAGTGGGAGCTGATTCTGTGACTTGCGAAGATTGTAGCAGCTGTAGAGATGTGGAAGCTGGCCAACCGATCGATCGACAAAAAGGGGTGAGTTAAACCTGATGGATTTTCGATGCCAACTCGGATTCGGTCATTATCCGCCGCCAGCGCACCGCCATTCTTAGCACGCATTCTATGCCTGCGACAGGCCAGTTGCCAAGCTGCCAAACTAAAAAATGTTGGAATGACGAATTATAACGATTTACAATAGGTCAGTTAGCAACGAAGGAAGCGTTCTATATGGGTCTCATCAACTGGATTTATAGAGGAACTAAAAAGCTTTGTTGTTGCATAGAAGATTCGTAGAGTGGCATCTTTGAGTGTAAACTCTCATACGTCCGAGCAATCAGCCTATCAATCTACTGAGGAAATGCTCGAGGCCTGGCAAGAACGCTGTTAGAAGATAATATAAATAGTCTTGATCCTAGGTTTGCCAAGCCGCCACCTTTTCACCCCGGCGCTATTTTTTCAGATGTTTTTCAGTTTCTGACCAGCTTTCCACTGCCACGTTCCAAAGCTTGAGACCTATAAAAATCTGGGTTGCCATTGTTGCGCCGACTTAGACATCCATGCCTAGCTATATCATATAGCATGTAAGTGCTGTATTATACCTAGCACCTTAAGTCGCAGTATTTTTATCTACAAGTCTCTGTTAATTTTCTTTGATGCTTTTTGCGCCAGAAAGATTTATCGCATCAACATTCAGTGGGCTGCTATGGCATAATAGCAGCTGGAGTCTTCGGTAGTCCACTAAGATGGAAGCTACCTAGGCAGGCAAGTTGTTGACAGAAAACGCCGCCGGTCTGTTACTACACATTGTATGTATCTGGCGCCGACGTAATTTGTCACCCGCATCCTACCCAAGGTCCCAGGCTACCTACTACCTGTAGTACCTTAGATACCTAAGTACCTATTTTAGGCCGATGAGGTGGCTGTATTTCTCCGCACCTGCGCTGCAGCTGTATTCAAAAAGCGGGGCTATCTTGTGAGCGCGCATGACAGTCACGTGCACTTCGGTCAAATCTCCCAGCCTCCTTGTTTTCCTCTGCACGCGCATTCACTTTCAACGCTGTTGCTCTCCATATTCACCGTCGTCGAGGTCGCTAGCAATGCGTTCTTGGTCAACTGTCCGGCTTTCTACCCACTGAACGAGGCTATCTCCTTCTTTGGAAGACCCGGGACCAAGAGAAGGGGCCTGTTCAGACTCGCAGGTTTTCTGGAGCTCTGGACAGATTGCCTGTCCGCGAAGCTCGCTCCTCTGGGCCATCTTCTTTGTTCGCATTTAGTTGCTGCTTCAGACGAACAAATTTCACGCTCTTGGTCAACTGTCCGGCTTTCTACCCACTGAATGAGGTCATCTCCTTCTTTGGAAGACCCGGGATCTAGAGAAAGCGCCTGATTGGACTCGCAGGTTTTCTGGAGCTCTAAAAAGGCTGCTTGTCTGTGAAATTTCCCACTCTGTTGTATGTGGCTTTTCAATTCCGGTAAGTTGACTCATCCTGTCGTTCTGTTTACATAGGATATTTCGATCTTGGGAGAACGAACAATGTCAGAGACTCCATCTTTCGACTTTGGCTTCAAGGCTCCTGCCTGTATAGAATGGACCCTAAACAATGCGACGCAATATTTGATCGACCCGGATCCGCAAAGAGATAGCGTGAAACTCGATGCTTGTTTTTCCGGCCAATCCTCGGCGGCGTCTTTTCAGCTGCATTGTCCCATCAGAGTGAAAGGCATCGAATCCCACTCGTATATTACAGGCCTAATTCATATCCGTTCCATTACCTCTCTCAATTTTGATGAGAATCCAGAAATCCCGGATATTGTGCGGAGGAAACTCAACTGCAAAGCAGTTTGTTTGCATTTCGATCTTTGTCAGCCTCTTGATCTCATCGCCTCAACTGCAGCGACAGAACCGATACAGCCCAGAAAGCGACTGTCTGGCCAAGTAATCGATGCGTTACGATCGCTCGCTGAAGCTACGGCCTTTAACATCTATATATCGGCAAGAGAAATTTCATTGCCTAGATTAAATGCCATTTGTGAAGCTGTTTCTCAAAATCTGTTACAACCAATTATTACCGACACTTCGACTATCCTGGCTTCATTGTACGGTAGAAGAGGTGGGAAGATTATCACCCTTTCCTCTCAAGCTTATACGTCAACATCTCGGAACGAAAACCCGCCATCATACGATCAGCTAGAAACTCTACCTCTCAAGGCCGAAATCTCGCCACTCAGTACAAATGAATCTCTATCATCTGTAGCTGCGAGTAATAAGTGTAATGAGAAGAAGAGGCGCCGGTTAGATGATTCAAGTACCTCTTCTGAAGCTGATGACCACCATAGCATATGGATCACATTGACCAATATGCGCAAAGAAATGCATAAATTGACGAAGCGAGTTGAGCGGCTCGAGAGAGAGAACAAAGATCTGAATAAAGAACTAGATGAGTTACGCGCCAGCTGTGAGAAGGTTACAGATGCAGCAGACGCTGATGGAGCCGCTTTGCTTGAAGTGCACGAGGATCTCAACGAGCTGAGAGTACAGGTCGATTTTCTTGCTCAAGGCAGATTGGATAGTGATGCTGAAGAGCATATCATTGAAACAGTCAAAGAATCCGTACTCACACATATTTTAGAGAGGGGATATAATACTAAGATCATTATTGAAAAAGCCTAGTTCAAGTATTAGATGCGCTGCCAACAAGCAACCTTTACTTATTTAATAGAGTATAAATATTGCGACGTTTTGCTCACTGAAGCTGACAGAGTCCATAAATACTACATCGCATCCTACTATATTTACGCTCAAAATCGAACGAAAAATAAGAGGGTGGATACGATGGTCGAAGATACCGCTTTTCCATTTTTGTTTTCACGTTTCACCCGATGACAAGCTGCTCTTTGGGCTTCACACTCCCTACTTTGGCGACCGTCGGTTATAGCTCTCAATACCGTGGCAACGCCACCGTTTTTACTACTTCGAGAGTGAAAACATCTTCAAAATGACAGAGATATAGTAACAGACTCAATACTTATTTATCAACGAATTAATTTGGCAATACTTCTTGAGGACTAGAAACTACCAACAACAAGCCGCAGCTTACAGAGATCGCTAGAGACAAATTCCATTTATTTTTATCGATGGTATTTACCCCCATTTGTTGTCCGGAAAACCAGTGCAGTATTCACATAAGATTACTAAGTGAGCTTTACAGTGACGACTCCTCTGCTAGGCACAGAAACAGTGATGGCTCCTCCAGATAATGCTGAGGAAGTAGAGGCAAAGGTATGAGTATTGTCCGTGACGTATGCAGCGGCAGAGCTTGGAGAAAATCCAGCAAAAGTCACTTTGGCTGACTGTGCTGAAGTTCCACTATTTGTGAATACAAGGACTATAGAACTATCAGTATTCTGAAAGGCGCCAATTATGACGTTAGAGATGGATCCGGAAGTTGCGACACGATAAGCTCCAGGGCGAATATATCGGGACCACATGGCGAACGCCCAGAATATACCCGATGGTGTTGCTGTCTTCCCATCCAGGGCATCGATCAAGTGACTGCCTGACTGTGATTGTTGTATCTCAAACCCTTCCCAGAAAAGATAAGCTGAGAGCTGCGCATTTACCATCGCAACAGCCAACTTGTTGGCCCAGGTGAAGCCTTCGTTGGTGCCGCCGCTGCCATACCATGTCGTAACAAATGCTGTGCTAGGCCCGCCTTCAGTGTTCCATTTTGGTAGCGTAGTTTGGCTAAGTGGAGAAGTGGCATCTGCGCTGTACGAATGAGAAGTAATTACTCCAAGATATTGAGTTGAGCCAGCATTGACTAGGTTTGTCGTGTAAGTGCTCTGGTCAGTCCAACCTACTGCGTCACAGCAAGTGATCTTAGTACTAAGACCAGCAGCCTTCACTGTGTTGTAAAGGATCGGTATGAACGATATAGCCTCTTGGGCATTCGAACTGATCTGCATCTGAGAGTATGAGGGCTGGAAATCCGGCTCATTCAAAAACCCTAGATGTGTGATCGTGTAGCCCGCTGATGAGTAGTATTTGACGTATTGCACAAGGAAGTTCGCATACGCTTGTCTCCAGTCACCAGATGAGCATGAGTGGCCTGTGGTACCGCAAAGATACCTATCTCGCAGTCAGTTATTGTCGACTCTAACTCTAACTGCATCATGAAAAGGTTGGCAGTAAGATTTACTCACCCGGGAGATGAGTCTGAGCCGCTCGTTTTCATGAACCCCGGAGCACCCCATGCATCAGCATATATGGTTTTGACACCATACGAAACAGCTTGTTTGGTAAACCATACTTGGCCGCTGTCGTTGCCATCCCATACGTAGCTCGGTGATGCAGATGGAGAGCCTGGATTATTTGGCTCGATACTGTCGCCCGAGCCACCCGATCCGATACGGTTGCGAATGATGCTAAAACCAGCGCCAGTAGTAGTACTGAATAAATAGTCTAGAGCTTGTTTTTGAGTGCTAGCATTGGCACTCTGGAATTGGCTCGCGCGGCCAAACGCTTGAGAGAAGCCGAAGCCGTCAATCTGCTGATACTTCGTATTGACATTAACAGTTATCGTAGATTGTGCTACGCATAAGGCAGCAACATTTGCCAAGATTGCCAAGTGATTGAAAGCAAACATATTCAATATCATTATCCAAAAAGCATTATGCCCTTAGGAACCGAGAGAGATATGAGTACCAGAAGATGGTTATAAAGCATATTTAGTATAATTATTGCTTCTTCTTATTTTACCCGCCGGATACTACTCAATGTCACGAGTAACGATTTCGGTAAATCGGCACCGAAACTAAGTCCAAAAAAAACGTCTATAATGGGTTCTTAGTGGCCAAGTGGAGGAATGACATATTTTGAGAAGGCAGCATTTACCCAGTCTTGCACACATTTGCCGCATTTGCGGTTAAAAGTTCTAGTTCTGTGGTAATTAGAGCTTTTATTGTCCGTAAACACAGATAAATCAATATTTATATATAAACAAAAGTTCCTCAATATAGATGAAACGAGTACCACGCGTATCCTGAAAGTGACAAGATTTTGGCAGCCGCAATGAATTATGCCCTATTCATATATTTTCGGTCACTGTAAACTGGCACGAATCGTACATGTGCTCACGGACGCATCTATAAGTCCCTGAACCTCATTGATCGTGGTTTAAGGACCCTTATTTTGATGACTCATAAGAAAGTGGTATAGTATCATTCTTTATGTCTTGCCTTTTGTTCTAATGAGCTGAATAAGTCAAATTTAGCTACGTCTTTGAGCGGGTAGATTCTGAAAGTCATAGTTTTCTTCTGAAAGAAAAAGAAGAGAAGAGAGGGCGAGGGCGAGGGAGGGAGGAGAGGAAGCAGAGCAGAACAAAAAGAGGAAAAAGAATGGCAATTCGATCACCAAAGGCTTACATTGTTATAATTTGATATTAATGTGTAACAGGTCTCTTTACATTTTGTACATTGTGTGACAGCTTTCTTGTAAGATGCTTAATAACACGGCTAAATCCGCGGCGCGTAGTAACACAATGCCAACGCTTCTACCGCGACCGGAGGCTTACATCGATGAACTATATGTTCCGGTATCTTGTACAATTCGAAAATGATCTACACATGTTCTCTAAACTATATCCGGTATTATAATCATCATATTCGCAGAGGAGCTTCAATAAGTCTTTATGCCAAGTTTCACTTGCTGACTGGCAACACCAGCAATATATCGATAGCTCCCTGGAAGATATTTATGTAACGCCAGCTGTTAACGGTTAAGAGCAATTGTAAGACTCAATATGATTTTAGGGCGGTTTTTAGTTCTATCTATGGCTAATAAGAATTTAAAGAAATTTGTAATGGCTTAGTTTTTAAAGTAGGTAAATGCCACCCCAAGTTTATTCTGCATCAAATAGCTGAGCAGATTTCTTAGCCTGGGTATAGACGAAAAGAATTCTGTAACAAATATTTCCAAATTCAATAAGTGACATCAGAAGCTGTTTTCCCCACTACACTAATACCATCGGACAGGCTAGTAGTTAACCTTTACTCCTCAATCAACATGTGACAAACTGGGAAGCGCACCAATCCTATAGAGATGCAAAGCTTGATTTAGCCGGCAACTTGATTCTAGATCCTAGCCTCCATTTCAGGCTTTATGTCTAATAAGTGGGCTTAAGTAGCTAAATCTGGAAGCGTCAAAGCACATGGCCCTCGACTCTCCTCGTATTCAATGGTATTAGTGATACATGCGCTTAAAATAGCCAGTTCTGTTACACCGTCTCTGTATGGGGAAAAACGCTCTTTGTTCAAATATGGACGAATCACATATTCGGATATACGGAACATCGCTCGTTTAGCACTACGCCGAGAGTTGGTGCTCCTTAAGTATGCCATGAAAGAGAAAGTAACGCATAGACTTTTCAAAAGTGCTGCAGAGATAATGCCATCGAATACTAATGAAATATGTGTATTAAGCCGACTTCAGCTCTTTGGCGATATCAGCAGTGACCTTTCAAGCAATTCTTCCAAATATCGCACACATATCAATTTTCTGGAGGTTGCGATTTCATGTTGACAAACTAAACCATGGCCGTTAAAATTTGAAGTTTCTTTTCTTCGCGGTCCCAGTAGCAGCATAAATTCAAGTTTGGGAGCAATGCATGTAGTTTCCATCATAAATACTTGCGACGAATTGTACTCATACATTGCACAGGTGGTGGAATTGGCTGGGCTGGCCCAACTACATGCGTTGCTGGCGCGACCTGTGTGGCCTATAGTTCGTATTGCTCTCAATGTGTTCTTAGTGGACAAGCATCATTAACTATCAGAGCAGTGACAACAGCAACCATCAGTTTTGTTACCTCTGCCGCCCAATCGTCCACATCGATTCCTGGAACTCAAGCAACGACTGCCGCGGTATGCTCTGCATTACCACTTCCATATCCCTTAAGGCCAATTCTAAGCTAAACGACCTGTTCAAAATGTATAATGGAGATAGGATAACTACAAAAGATCAATTCCAGTACTGGCAAACCGAAATTTCTCAGCTACTCCAACGATATGAGCTTGGAACACTGCCAGGATGCCCTGCCAGCCTTTTGCCATTTGTTTCGGGAAATACATTGACAATCAACTGTGGAAACTCTGGAAAGTCAATGTCATTGTCCGTAACAATTACTTATCCTTCCTCAGGAACGGCTCCCTATCCTACAATCCTTGTTTATGGTGGCGGTAGTCTGCCAGCACCTTCTAGAGTTACCATGATTGACTTCAACAATGATGATCTGGCAGCCCAAGTCGGTACTAGCAGTAGAGGTCAAGGAAAGTTCTATACTCTCTATCGAAGTGGGCATTCTGTAGGTGCAACGACAGCATGGGCTTGGGGCGTCAGCCGAGTAATTGACGCCCTCGAACAAGTGACAACGGCAAGGATTGATACCACAAAAATTGGGGTGACAAGATGTTCGCTCAACGGGAAGGGTGACTTATTAGCAGGAGCATTCAATAACTGCATCGCATCAACACATCCCAAGAATCGGGTGCTGGTGAATCAATATGTTGGAGGGTTTTAGATCCCTTAAAATATCAAGGTGCAAATATCCAGATCGAATCTGAAATTATAGGAGAAGATCCTTGGTTTTCAGCTTCTTTCAACAGTTATGTTAACCAGGTACCAGTTTTACCATTTGACCACCATTCCCTGGTTATTTGATTGGCCCAATGGGGTTATTCGTAATTGGTAATACTATTGATAGGCTGAGCCCATAGAGTTGTTTCAGATGTATGTCAACGGCACATATAGCATGGCAAGCTCTTGGAGCCTCAGACCACATGGGCTATTCTCAGATTAGAGCTCACGCACACTATGCCTTCCCATGGAATCAATAATCTCAGCTGACGGCTTTTGCGCAAAATTCTTTGCTCGGCCAATCGACAAACATTACAATCTTTTAAAGCGATATTATATTTTTCACAGAGCCAATGGATTGGTTGAACCGTTTTATGTGGGGAATGGAATATTAGGTACTATTGTGTAAATTGCACTTATCTATACATATACGCACTTGTATTGCACTGCACTTATGAAGTCCGCACGCACCACATCATTAGGTTTGGTAACTATCGCGTCTTTGCTTAAGGTATGATCCAATATGCAGTTGAAAAGATATGAGTCGTGATACCACAGAGGCGGCGCACGGGTTACCAATTGTATATATATATATATACATATTGAACATTGTGACTAAGACATCATAGATGTATTTGGTTGAAAACGAGCACATTGTATACAATCTCAGAAATAAATGAGGTTTTCCATGGCACATTCAACACCTCAAGGCATCACCAAGTCTTTCACTAATTTCCAGAAGTGCGCTAAAATTTGCGGTTAGTGAATAAGCTGGTTAGTGAATAAGCTGGTTAGTGAATAAGCTGGTTAGTGAATAAGCTGGTTAGTGAATAAGCTGGTTAGTGAATAAGCTTGAAAAACTAAACTCTACTTCATAAGTGTTGCCAAGCAAATCGGGCAATCGGCATCAACCAACCTGCCATTTTTAGAAGTTGCCAAATAAAACATTAAGAATAATATTTTTTCGCGCCAACCTTTTCCACCAATGCAATCGTTGAGAAATATCATGATATACGATAAGAAAAAAAGATCTTGCCAGTGGCCAGTTATTTACAGAAGATACCATTAAGCCTACCTATGCTTAAGGGTGCAATGTTAGCGTATTAATAGCATGATGAGAGTAGCATTTATTCCGTCTATTGGTAATGTATAATTATTAATAATGTGTCTTCTATATACAATATATCAACCCATATAATATAGATTTAGCTAATAACCTTATATATGTCAATGTGATAACTAGACCTATTGGTGGTAAAATAAAAGGCAATATTTTCCAATATTCTTGGAAACTATTGATTGTGACTAGCACAAAATAAGAAGCTAACTTAGAATTAATTCTACCGATATCCAAATAAAGCTATGAGCTATTACTGTATTCGAATTGTATCACTTTGATATACCAAACCAGCCAATGTCGTTGAAAAATTGTCCCATGGGTAGATAAGTATAAGTACATGACGAATTTCTAAGTCTCAAAATACCATATTCTATCTTTTATCTTACATGGTTTAGAGTATATATGTCCGCATTTCTACCCTCAATTACCATGGGCATTATTAAAATCTGTACCGCCGCCTTCGCGATTTTGCCTTTCGCAATCGCCACACAGACTTTTCAAAATGGGGGTACTACAGCTGGGTTCGACTACGTTCGACATGAGAATAAAGGACAAGTTCTACAAGTAGCGGATATTACATACAAAGGCAACTCGGCGCTCCTAATGCAGCAAACATACACACCTGGCTACACTGGTCGATATCACTCCGAGGTGGATCACAACCAAGGCTATCAACGTGGAGACGAACTGTTTTACGGTTTCATGTTCCGCTTGTCATTCACATGGGAATTCGATCAGCAGTCCTACAATATCGCTCAGTTTATCGCTGACCGACCTGGGGCTGGTTGTGACGACGACGACTGGATGCCTTCCTCGCTTATCTGGCTAGAAGGTAATCAGCTCAATTCCCGAATTGTTAGCGGCAATTACCGCCAGCCGGACTGCAGCCGTACATTCACGGGAACTGGAAACATTGCTACTGTTTCTGCCGGAGTTTGGCACAAAGTTATCATCCAAGCCAAGTGGGCAAGCGACAGTTCAGGTTACTACAAAATGTGGTTCGATGGAAACAAAGTTTATGAGCATTATAACATTGCTACGACAACCAATGATGATGCCATATTTGCATTTCGGGTGGGTTTGTATGCTAACGGCTGGCATGACGATAAAAAGATGGTTGGTAATCAGGGATTCCGTCAAGTTTGGTATGATGAGGTTGCTGTCGGTACTACTTTCGCGGATGTAGACCCTGATCAGTACGAGTAACGATTCTATAAGTCAGCTCAGCGCTCCGGTAAATAGCATAGTTTGGCGCCGCTGAGCACGACAAATAATTTTACCACATCAAATATAATTGCGTTTTCTAAGATAAAACACAATCACATTGTATGGTGAAAATTGAAGAAGAGATAGAAGATCAGGGATAGTACTTTAGTGGGTATTGAGTAATCAGCTAATCAGCATATCCATCATGTAGCGTTTTATGTATTATATGATATACAAACCAAGCAATACTATCATACCAAATGCCGAAATACATTATACGTATTTGGTATTGATGACCAACTTATGCTACTCACTAAATTCATGGCTTTATGAAGATATATATATATATACTATACAAAGTTGTTAGAAAAAGAGAAATTATACGAGGGCGCTAGATTGTAATCTCGTTCATTTCGACAATAAACATAGTGGCCAATCCCCTTGCGAGGTTTCAGTCATCAATTGTACTCAACCTTTGCCGCCTCCAGATGATATGCAATCGTTATGGAGGCAGCTACCCAGCAGCGTTGTCCCTGGGACCGGTTGGGCTGTGGCATAGAATATCGTCATTTGTGATATGTCATCGACAATAGATACATCATGGTAGCCCTAAAAGTAGAAAGATTAAGGATCAAAGTAAAGAGCAAATGCAAAAGTAAACAGGACAGAGATTCATGTTTCGATAACATTGAAAATTGAATTATCTTAAAAAGTGAGCTATATACAAATCCCAAGTATGTACAAATATACCTAGAATAAATAAGATACTACGAATGAAAAGTTTTATATACATCAAAAGGAAGCATACATCGACCCATAATCTCGAGATGCTTAGTAGTTGACGGAGCCGCAGCTGCTGGGGTTGCTGTCGCAAGTGCAAGTGCTGGGGGCGTTTCTCCAACCGGTCAAACGGTTAGCAATATCGCTAGCATAGCAGTGAGTAGCAACATTGCTCTGGAGGTTGCCAGTGCTGGAGATAGAGCCAGAGTTGTAGATACGGGCGGCACGGTAAAAGGCCGAGACGTCGCTGCGGCCAGACTCGTTGATGCAGTTGGCAAGACCGTCACCATCGTTGGTGCCAGCAGTGCCCTCGCTAATCATCTGGTAGATGGTGGCCGAGGGGCAAGGGTTTTGAACATTTCCGTTCTCGTTGCAGGTAGCAGCACCATTGTGATCCTGCATCAGACCAGGGTTGCGAACGCCGTAGTTGGTGGTCCAAACGCGAACACAACCACCAGACTCTTGCATAATAACAGCAAGAATGAAACGGTGGTCGACACCAGTAGCAGCAGCAGCCGCCTGGATACCATCCCAAATGGCACCGACCTCTGGGCCGCTATCGTCAGGAACACCCATCCAGTCGCAAGATGAGAACATCTGGTTCTTGTAGTTGTTGAACATGTTCTCAAAAGAAACCCATTGGCTCTGGTCAGGCCAGCCAGCACCGGTGCTGCCGTCACCGAGGTACAGGGTGTAGGAGTCAACACCGTCGCCGACACCATCGGTGATGTTGGAGTTGTCGTATCGGGCCACAGCGTTGTTGACAGTCTCTCCGGTGGCTCGCTTATCCTTCTGATCCTTGGCAGTAGCAGGAGCAGCAGACGTCTTAGAGGCAGTGGTCTTGCCGGTACGCGAAGGCATGTAGTTACCGCCATTGACCTTCTTGTGGGGGTAGGCATGAGCGGGCACAGGCTCTCTAACGCCGTCGGTGGCAGAAGGCGGGTAAGGCACAGCCATGGCAGCGCCAAAGAGCAGAGAAGCAATGATAGCCTTGTTAACCATTTTGATTGATTGATTCGTTCAAGTAGTATTGCAAGAATGAGTTGTTGAAGAAGGTCAGTCTGTTGATTGCTGTCGGAGCTGGGCTTGAGAGTGGTGGTATCTTGCCTGATGAGCAGGATTGTTGTCTGATATATATACGCATCACGGCCACTGCAAAAGTCTGAGGAGAATTATACGGTCAATATCAGCTTCCTATTGAAGCAAGTATGTAATCTCAACAAGTGCGATTGCCGGAATCCAAGATTAGCCTACTAATCATCAGCTTACGCCTCTGTTGACAGACAACTAGAATAGAGCGATTCGGGCATCTCCATTGCGTTCTTAGCGGCCCCGTTGAACCCCTGTATTTCACACTTGTTTCGCCTTGGAGTTATATATATAAGGCTACTTAGTAAGACATGTTCATTTATAGACTATTCAAATCAGTAAACATTGGTCGCATTTTACCCATGGCCGCCACCATGGTCTAAGGCAAACGCTTCAATTACTTGATCTATGCAGTAACCTGCCCCTAAATAATATCATTTGGGCATAAAAATATGTGTCTTCTTGTAAAGACTAGACACAATAGCGTTCTCTACTGCTACATCTATTCTAGGCCATCTGCATTGATGATACGCTCCGGAAAGGGACCTACTCTGTTAGTTCGCGCCGTTAAATTAACCGTACATCGGTTGAGAGTTGCGGCCACACACCACTTGGGAATGCAGAAGGAGCTTATAATTTAACAAGTCACAAGCTTAATGTTGAGAGCCCGTCTATTCTCGGGTTTGCTGCCAAACCTTTGCCAAATTCGGGAAAGAAGCCCGCACAGCTGCCAGGTGGTACCTTACATCTCGCATATCCCTGTCCCCTGTGGCGTTCTTCAGATCGCAGTAGGCCAGGCACTGCAATCTGCCCTGAACGCCTAGTCGACGGATCCCCTGTCGAGCCGTGAGCCGCAACAATAGGCACCTGGGCTGCGCCAAAGGCAGGTACAAATCTATGGGGCCAGCCTTAGCGTGGATCTCGGTAAATTCTGCGGCGAAACCACCTTGCGTGGTGAGAATGTTATGCCGAATCGAGCAGGTGGATGCATTGGACTGTAGCGTTTACAGAAGGTAAGCGACTTCATTTTGCAGCTTGCAATTCCAATTGTAACGGAAACAGAATGCCTTACCAGTTAAGGGAGGTGCGCGCAGCACTGGAAGATACTGCAACCACTGCAGGACCATGCTGAAGAGCAATTCCTGGCGGAAGCAGAGATGCATTGTACAGCAGCCATCGTATGTTGTTAGTCGTTCTTCGTACGGCGTTATGGATGGAGCACTCTGACTGCGGTCACTTCCCTGCCGCCAGGCGATATCGTCCAACAGCTTTGCCCTGTAAGCTCTCTCCTTCCCAAATCACTGCACTATATTAAGCAGCTGACGACTATTAAAGAAAAGAGGCTGTACGGAGATATACGGGTAGTTTATAATAAGCCAAGTTACAAGCTTGCTCAATGTGGAAGGCACTGGCAAGTGATAGCCGGTACCCATGGTTTGCTTCACAGATAGACTACATGTAACTCATTTGCCTGTGTCGGCGTGCGATTAGGCACCCTTCAACTGCACGCCGGCAAATAACAGTGTCCCATAGGCTGATAAATTACATTCATATTACGATATTTAGAGTTAGATGCCAAAAATGCTATCAACATCCTAAGCTAATGGCTCTCGCGGTCTCCTGCTCTGGATAAGCTCTCATTTCTAACGTACCAGTACCTACTTAGTGGTCACCACGACAGAGTAACATTCCGTATAGTGCATTAAGAGGCTCTCGGAGAAATCTCCGTAGCTTCGGCATCTCCACTCCGTCGTATGCAGGCTGGGTACATATAAACGAAGAGCGAGAAAAGCCCCTGCACTGTTCATTTAGGTTTACGATCGGTACTTCGCAGCGGCCGCCTATGTAAGTAAGAGCATCGTGATTAGGTATGTTGGATTCGTCGTTATACACATGAGCTGTTCCGCAGTACACTGGAATAGGTATTCCAAAGGTTGGTTCGCGGATTGCATAGATAACATTCTGAGAACGAGAGAGTTCAATAATCAGCTGAAAGAGTTCTATATCTTGAAGACTTTCCAATCTTTCAAGCTTGTTTGGAAATGAATAAGTACAATCTAAGGTTCCATTCGCATTCCTAACCTGTCACTGTATCGAGTCAAAATCCCTACTGGTGCAGGTATTTTAGCACGGAACTCGGGCAGGAATGGTCGGTAGTAGCCTATTCTGTATCGACAGCTGCAAGAATGAATCCGGACAATCCGTAAAGTAAGATTTAATTCTCGTTAACCTTCGTACTATGGGTACACTGATCCTATTTTACCATTTCAACGTTACATTGTTTTTGTATACCCCTAAAGTGACATGTTTCATTACCATCAATCTGTTGAAAGGGAAGCTGCGACTAAAGTCACCTCTCCTTTCCTATCACAACGTATGGTGTGGTGCGAATAGATAAATCCTATGGCATGATGCCAACCTCATCCTAAGAGAAGGTAAATGGCTCAGTCAAGTGGTAAGAGGAGCACAAGTATAACCTCTTTCGGAAGCTCTGTAATCCCTGGCTTACCATCCACATCTTTGGCGTATAGACTTACTTAGACTATCGGCTAAAATTGAAATCTGGCACGGGGGGGCATTTAGATTGGTTTTTCTTGCCCCATACAGTTCTTGGCAAACCACATCTGATGGTTAAGCACTCGCCTCAAAATTTGTCAGACAGGCATAATCACCTCGCTCTTTCGAGGCAGTTATCATCCTAATATCAAGCTTGCATGTTACTAGAATTCATTCCATTGCCTGTGTTGCAATAATTAAGAAATGGCATATATCAAAAACAGTACCACAAACAAAACCGATTCCAGCATAGCAACTATGGCATAAATCCGGCATTGACAGGAGGAATAATTGATTCATATATAAAGTCGTTGATTTCAGTTTCGAGAAATTCAAGTCAAGTATTACTCATTCCAACGCGGCGCTCAAGAGTACCTCATTATTGGAAAAAGAGTTAATCGCTCTATATAAGCTAATGTGGCTCCAAATAAACTGACCGTCTCGCATTGGCGCATTATCCCAGATAAATACAGCCCAAAAATTTGGAAAAACTCAGCATTGAGTATAGAATTTTGGCTCAGTATAACATTAATTTAATTTTTTAGGATAGAATATACAGTAGTGTGAAACGTTTTTTTAAGCTCAAGGAGCACGTATCTGAAGATCTGCGCTACCCTGGCGGATCTGCGCCTGCAAGGCAATTCCCAAGATTCACAACGATCGTGATCGACAGTCGATCATACAACGCTCAGGTCACTAATAACCTGCAAATGGAAACAGATAAGATAAATATAGAATATTAGCAAGATCTTCAAAGATCCAGTATGCTGTACTAAAAGTGTGGCTGTCAAAAGTTCAACCCTGTCTGTGTCCCTTTTTTTTCTCCCTCATTTCAGGAGTATCGCAAATGGTGGATTCTCAGAAGATAGTGCCATATCGTGCGCATTAGTGCCCAGCTTACCTCATATTTGCTTGTAACGCAAGTCGAGCAACAAGGAACTACCCAGGACCTAACCTTTTGTTAACAACTATGATGCGCAGCAGCTTTCGTTATATAAATTATTACGGTCGTGAGAGTACCTTCACATTCTACTTTAAGACGTACCGATTTGCTTTGTAAGTGAAGCCTTTGCTATATAGCCAAAAGAGTAACTGGTTAATTCCGAACTGATCTCTTATCTACTCCATCACATTCTGTTTACAATGCCAGTTTTCCCATATACACACCCCGCAAACCGTTTTCTAATTGTGATCATTGTCTTATTGTTAAGAAAACTATTTAATACGACTACTTATTTCAACTCGTGCCTGGTTTATTTTATCGTTATGAGACCGAGACAACGATAGGTATTATAGGGTACCACAGCTCTCGGAAAAAAGGGGGTCATTCTCTGCTTTGCTACCATCTACACCATATGCATCCTCTATCCACCCAGGCCTCCCTTCAGGTAGTCTTGTTACTAATTCAGGAAACTCTTCGCGCGCAATATCTACTACGGTTTGCCATCGAAGAGATTGCCCAACCCAAAAACGTTGTCCACCTGCAGAAGGCACTTCGAGAGCAAGGAGATGAGCCGCACTGACCTCACGCACATCGGCATATCCACCAAAGTCAAATTCGGGTATCTCCTTGGCGCCTAACAGATTATAAATCAGCCGAACGCTCTCGATCAGATGCGCTGCGGACGTCAGCTTGGTAGCGTAAGGACCAAATATCCACGGCGGAGTAATTGTAACAGCATCGAAGTGTGCGCCTTTGTGCTTATCAGCCCACTCCCACACTGCTCGTTCGGCTAAAGCCTTTGAAGCACAGTAGACCGTAATGCCATCGGTAGCAGGGTCGGCCGCTTGCTCATACGTAATAGGGTTCCAATCCTTCTCATTATATACGTAGCCTGCTCTCTTTCCTTTGGCGACATCTGCGACAGAAGCGTGGGATGATGTCACTACCACTCTTTTAACGTCTTTCCCATGACGCTGGGCAGCATCCAGTATAGCTATGGAGCCTCTAATCGCAGGTTTAAGGAGGTCTTCTTCATTGTCTTTTGGCTGAAGGTTGAAGGGAGACGCGGCATGAATTACACCGACCACACCCTCAAATGCCTCTTTGTATGATTCAGGCTTCGTAATATCGGCGGCAATTACATAAGAAAGTTTCGGCGCGAATTCGAGATATTCTTCGGCGAGCTTCTTGAAAGATGCCTCTGATCGCACGATAGCGCGGACATTATGACCAGTTGACCACCAAGATAGCCGGTGCTGCCAGTAATGAGGATAACCATTTTGAAGAAGAAATGTCAAGCGTAAGAACCACAGATAAATCTTGAAGCTGGTTGTCAGATATTCCTAATGCTGCTGGACTTGTACGCTGCTAATGTTAGGCGAGCAAAAAGGATCATCTTTTTGGGTCCAGAAAGGTGTTTATATACTCCAAGTGGTATTATTAAGGAGTCTTATCTAGAGCTAAATGAACTGGCATCTTAGAGGCACTTCTGAATTGCATCATTCTACTGTGATATCTGAAATGCTCTTCGCTTTCACTAAACTTGCATATGGTGTCATCACGCAGAGTGCCTAGACGCACCAGGACAAATGAAAGCTGTGATAGCTTTGCATATTATAGTAACTCTTTATAGCTAGCATTCTCAATAGCCCCCTGAGCATACTATGCAAGCGATCACAAAGATGTTAAGTAGTCATTGTAAAAGTTTAATGTTTATTGATATAGCGTCTATACTTCTTCTAAGCCTCTATATATATGCCCGAAACAGCAGGGAGTGACTTTCACAATTTCTAGTTACTTTTTCCTACTTTTTGCTATATTGGCGCTAAGGTGAGCTCTGCTGCTGACAATCTTAAATGAAGCAAAACCAACGACCTCAGAAAAGACTGCGTTGCCGCTGCTGCCGACAATTCTTTCAAATTTCGGTTGCGGCCTCTAGAAGCAATACAAAATAACGCAGGTCATTCGGGCGAATTATCCTTCTATCGGCATAGTGCCAAGGTTCGTATCATTTAGAGGCTTAATGATTACATACATTTACAAGTATATATTACAACTGTCCTATGAGTACACCTGACAAGATGCTCCATATCAGATGTAGCTAACCTTGATGCTAAAAGCCAGCTGTTACCAGCAAACTTATTCACCGATTTCTTAGCTTTACATTAGACTGCCCCGCGCTTAATTCCGAAGAGTTGCGAGCTGATTGTCGCTCAATTCAGTAAGTCTTTAACTCTTGCCTGTTTTATAGCCCAAACAAGGATAAAAAATGATGAGAAATGAACTGAATATGAAAATTTTGATGTAGCTGCAGGATTAGTGAATGAATTTAGTCAATAATAAATACCCAATCATGATTTTTGTATTGAACACCAAGAACGTAGTATTTTGAAAGCGTTCCTTCTCTTCAGCTCATGGTCAACTATGTGTAGCATGTTTTGCGACGAGGCTTATTTTGGGAGCCAACACGACTTTCTAAGCTCTTAATTGAGCTATTAAGTATTCTATATCTAGCCTTTCAAAAAGACTGGAACGTAACTAAATTTGTGCTGATGTAGCACATTTTTTGCTTTTATTGGTAGCCTATAAACAACAGCATAAACTCTCAAATCTTTTCAACCTTTTCAGAGAATTGACGGCCGCTTTAGCGCAGGCCGTTGACATTGAAAGCTCCTGCACTAACGGTGCAAGCAACGTTGTAGACAGCAAAGGGAAACATTGTCTCGCCGTAGCAAATTGAATTGTAGCAGCAACCCAAAACAATAGTCCTCTGAAGTTCCCCCAGAGCCCTGACAGGTCGGTCATACGAAGAAGTTTCGTAATTTTAGGCCTATTCTCTACATGCTTCGCTGCAGCATGAATTGGAATGTTTCTTTTTGCGACAGCCAGTAATATTAAGCTCACTCGTCGACAGCATTCATATATAACCTCTGATTGGATGCTGCCATTTTCTGTCGCTGGTTCAAAGCTTTCTATCCTTTGACAAAGTGCAGTCCGCTCATGGAGTACCTCATCTGTGAGGGCCAATACAGCGTTGTCTTTATCAAGAAATGTTGAAAGCCATTGGTATGTAAGGCTTGTAAGCAGTAGCAACTGGGCCTCGATATGTGTCGCAGGAGTCTTCTTGACCTGCTGAGAAGTAATAGGCGACATCCACTCTTCTGGAATGGCATTTTGCTGGCAAGAGCCTATTGCTGGGAATAGCTTCTCAACATCTTCTAGAGGGGTATATAAATGATCTATTGCTTCCAGAGCTATTGATCTCGAAACTCTGTTAGAAGGCATCTAAAAGGAAATAGGATTTTTACATACATGTTTATATAATTGGATATATACTGCAATAATGCTAAACTGTCTGCGTCTTGAAAATTAGCGCTCGTTTTTAGGAACAGTTTACTCAATGCTTGTCGGTGGACAATCTGCTCGTCAAGAGAGCGCTGTGCAATAGCAGCGGATTGTTGATTGCACAGGTAATCTTCTTCTAAAGTTGCATTAATGTATTCTCGGATGCTTAGGCCTTGTGGCATATCCCTGGATACTAAACAAACAATCGGGGCTCCCAGAGCAACAATCGCGGTTAAGCATCGGGGACTGAGTAATCCATGCGACAAACTCATATTTGCACTTAGACGGTGCATAACTTGGCTTTTAAGTTCCAGTAATACCGTAGTCGTTCCATGCCCTGTCAATGCCATGTAATGAGCGTAGCTAAGTAAAAGACAGCTACTCAGTATTATGGGGCAGTCCTTATGGTCAACCATGACAAATCGTCTTATGAAGTCTTCGCTATAAAATTTGGACGCTGTTAGACTGACTGAGGAAGCGCCTGACCCTCTCATTTCAGCCATGACAGACGGAAGATACCTCAAATAGTTGGGCTTAATGTAGCGCGACATATCATATTCTGACTTTGAAGACATGGCTTTCGTATTGTTTAACTTGGTAGCCCCACGTCGCTGGATAGTCTGGACGGCGAAGCAGTAAAACTGGAGATTTTCGTTACGCCGACGAGGAACCTTATCCGTGACAGTGTCATGAACAGGAGTGTTGTCTTCTTTCTCTGCTTCGTTCTCTTTGTTGGCCTGCCATTGGCGCTTAGCAGGGCCACCCCAATAGGCAGCGTGACTTCTCGCAGCATCTGAATGAGTCTTCAGCCATCTTATCTCATTTCCTTCAAACTCTGGGGTAACGAAAGTGAATCTTGGCGGAGGTTTGGTATGTTTGCGTAATGGCATTTCTGAGGACTGCTGTGTTGAACTTGAATTGCGTTGTTATTATAGGTGAGTGGTCGAATTTGCTCAATGTCGCTCAATGCCGATTCAAGGTTGCTGTAGCTTCTCACTCGCTTGGCTCTAGATGGATGGGAAGCACGCCTTGTTTAATATTCCAAGTTAGGCTTCGGAAATTCGCAAGTAATCCATGGGCTAGAACATCTTTTACTAAAGAGAGTCTAGCATGTGTTTCTCACAACCCTATGGAAAGATTCCTGTAAATGTATAAGGCAATTAACAATGCCGTGGCAAATAAATTGTGAAGTTGGTAAACCCACCAACACGCTTGTGACCTTTGCATTGGTTCATATACGAAGCTGAGCCGCATATGATAGTAGTGCTCTTCAAAGCGCTTATAAATCCCTGTAACTGAGAATTCTCCGTATGCTATACCGTAGGGCTTAAGAGCGCTAAATCTCTTTAAAAGCCTAGTGCGTCGGGTAAGGCTCACTGACCCCTTAACCCAGGAGTGTCTGTGATCCTACAGCTACCTTAAAGTGCGAAATTTGCTAACTAAGCATGTCTAAGACACAGCTTAAATAAGGTGCCTCCACAGATAACTCCGTTTCATGCGCGAAGTACGAGGAAATGTCACTTAAATTCCATTTTTCGTTTGATCGTCTGAGATATGTAGCATCATACTTATAGCGTTTCCCAGAGCTGTGCGGCCACTGCGCAAAAATTACGGGACAAAAATCAAGAGGATGCGCATCACCCATAACAATAGTCGTAGGATACAGGTATTCCTAAGCGCATCTGCGTTAAATAATGACAATCTAAGTAACGAAGTCGCTAGCATAGCTAGAAATTTCAGCTATTTCATACAGTAGGCAATTTGTTATGATCAAAATTGGACCTATTGAGTCGGTTCCTTTTAGTGTCTCGTTACTATTCAGCAGTAAACTGCTGCTGCTTTGCAAACCCGCCCTGATTCCATTTAGGGTATAACTCTGCTCGTCAACATAAACTCAGGTTTAGCAATCAAGATTTTGCATTCTAAACTTTAAAGAGATGATATTGCTTTAAGAGCTTTTCGGATTTTTTTTTCCCTTCCTTATCCCTTTCTAGATCTGTATACCTATTATAGACGTGAGAGCACAAATCAATTTATGACTTGTCATGATGAATCTAAGGCTTTCGGTCCGATAAAGTATAAACCAAGTTAACTGGTGGAAAGACAGAGCTAATACGGAGTAGATTTCCCGCAAATAGTCCCAGTTGTACCAGAAAGGGAAGCAGTTCTGGAACAATGGAACTATAACTCCTCCTAGCGGGCCAATTGGAACGCAAGAATCGCTCTGGCTCTTATACATGGACGAAATATGGCGATATCCAGTGGTTGTTAGCCCTCTTTTGCCTCATCCTTGCAGATATTTGAGGCTCTTCATCTATAATCTTGTATAAAATATTAGACCGCTTGTTAGTTGTCTAGAGAACACTCCTGGCATTGAATGAGGTGTGGCGCTACTTCTGACCTGTAAGCTGACAGGGGGCAATAAACGATAGAACTTTTGTCAGCTTCCTATTACTATTATCAGGTGAATAGATGCTTAACAAAATGTCCTTAACGTATAAACACGCGAGCTAATGAAAGCCCACATTGCCACAACTCAAGAACGCCTATTGAGATATCAAGGCAGCTAAAGTTCATAGTACATTTATATTTAGTGACATGCAGCAGATCGGTGAGCTTCATTCTGGATCGTGGCGGTCAAGTGCAACTGGCAGGAAACGCCATCACCGCTCTGAGTTTGAATAGTTTCTATACATTCGATTCATCACCCTTGAAACTTTTTATATTCATATCCTGTAGAAAGATTGGGATCCGAATTTTAAAGAAGGTTCGTAACCATTATGTACTGTGATGCATTGAGAACTTGCTCCATGGGAATTTGGTCTATGTCATAGCCTTTAGAAAAGCATTAACAACGCTGAGCCAATGCCGTTAGGGTTATGGGTTTAAATGTTAACTGCTCGGTATCTAAACCTTTTAGGTTTTAGAGTCATGGTGATGTTGAACACCATCCATCTCCGACAAACGGACCAGAGACTACATTCAAGCATTTTCGTAGTGAGCTGACTATAAGTCAGATTCACTGTGGTGTGGTATTGGGAAATAGAGTTTGGCCACATTTTGTCTTGTTACAGCTGATTCAACTACCGCGTTGCTCTCAAGTCACCTTCAAGCCTCTCGTTGAAGAGGGCTGCGGGCAGTTGGGAGGACAGAGGCCGAGTAGTGCTTTACATGAACAGGTTCAGAAGAATGGGTAGTAGATGCTTCTGATCAATAACCCATTGCTCGCAACTCCGGTTAATAATAAGTTCCAAGTTCCAACAAGAGATTTTCCGGTTCTTGTATTGAAGAGGAATACCTTTGAAATGCGATGGGCAATGCAAACCACTAAGCCTGGTGAGCCGTTAAACTTAGAACACATTGCGCCCGGGAGTATTGCTGCAGGCATCCCTGTTCGATGCGTCATTCAGCCCTTTGAACAGAAGACAATATTGCCAGGCGGGGAACCTTTTGGAGAGTCTCTGCCCCGCATATTCAATACGACATTGCACTTAGATGGAAACTTGAAGCAAACACTGAGTAGTTAGCCGAATTTGAACTTTTGCGTTGCTACTGGCGCCGAGAAATCATGTTTAAACAGCACTTTTTCCAGAGCCAATAGACCTCATCATCGACCGATCTTGGCTTGAATACTATCCACGAGCTCGTACCTGCTGATGGTAGATCCAACGCTAGCGTCACATACCGAGAGGGGTTGCATGCCTCTGTGGTAGTATTCATCTAGTCACGTTACGGTGGCATTACAGCCTATACATATATACCGTCATGCGCATTGGTGTAGAATAGATATACCCGATTCTGCGATGTAATGTATCGAAATTGTTATTCACAAATATATTTCTCAGACTATGCGGGGTTGAACAGGTCATGGTCATTTGACGAGCAGGAGAATATCTTCTTAGTATCCAATACAGCAAGAAGTAAATGCCATATTATTCTTAATTTCATGTTAAAGACCAATGCTGTGTTCGAAGTCAAAAGACCAAACGCGGAAAGGGAAAAAGCAAGAAAACAGGATTCATGCGGAGGGGTTGCTCCATGTTTACAAATTACATAAATATATTGTAAGTGTGCCCTCATTAGATCTCTAGGAAAGGTAGCTCTGCAGCTTCCTAATTTTCTTTTTTCTTTTTTTCCACATTTATCGAGTACAACTCTAGCCAATATCTTAATATGGCACAAAAGCGACTGTATGAAATGCTACCATGCTTCTTTTATTTAAATTTTAGCACTTTCTGTATGTTAATTCTTGCATCGATGTGTCATATCGGCGCTTCTGCCCCTCTAAACAACCGAAACGGAGAAGAAAGAGGCTGCTCCCGGTCTGTATCAGCGACATACGATGTTATAATATACGGGTCAACCCCAGCTGCGCTTGTAGCCGCCATCCAGACAACGCGTATGAATAAGACCGTTGCAATTGTATCTCCGACTAACCATATTGGCGGCATGCTGGTGTCTGGCCTTGGTTGGACGGATTCCAAAAATGGCAATGCTATCGGTGGTATCGCAAGAGAGTTTTTTAATCGGGTATACAACTACTATCAATCCAGTTCTGCATGGACTCATGGGACAAGAGCACAATATATCAGTCAGAATATAGCTGCTCAGCCAGGGCCAGCAATAGACCAAAGCAACCAAGTACAGTGGACTTTCGAGGCCCATATCGCTGAGCAGATATTGGAAGACTGGGTTGAAGAGTTGAACATAACAATTTTTCGGAATGAGACACTTGTGGCGTCGACTGATAGTGTGATACTAAAAAATAACCGGATTGAGTCTATCAAAACCTTGTCAGGTCAAGTTTATGATGCATTAATGTTTATAGACGCCAGTTATGAAGGTGATTTTATGGCTGCGGCCGGCATTCCATACATACTAGGCCGTGAAAGCCGGGCAGACTTTGGGGAATCTTTGGCCGGAGTGCAAATCGCAGCAGACAACAACTATCAGGGAATGTCTCCGTACGTTACTGAGGGAGACTCCACTAGCGGCCTTATTCATGGAATCGACCGTGTTCTTACAGCCACAGAGGCTCAGCAGTTGAATGGTACTGCCGATAATCTTCGACTTCAAGCATTCAATTATCGGATTAGCTTAACGCAGCAATCTGACAACTTAGTGCCCTTTTCTCAACCAGATGATTACGACGAAGGTTCCTATGAGATTTTATTCCGCTATATCGAAGCAGGCGACGCTACGCTTCCATTTTTCACATCGCAGTTTATGCCGAATGAAAAAACAGACAGTAACTCAAATGGACAAGTTAGCACCGATTTCTTGGGCGGAAATTATGACACAGTCAAGCAAACAAATTACATTGAACAGAGTTTGGAACAACGGCAAATAATCGCCAACAATTATAAAACGTACACTCAAGGCTTTTTTTGGACGCTGGCAAACCACCCCAGAGTACCTGCAACAATTAGGAATGCAACAAGTGCATGGGGCTATGCTAAAGACGAGTGGACAAGTAATGGAAATTGGCCATATGACATTTACATACGAGAAGCAAGACGCATGCAGGGAAACTATACTATGACGCAAAACGATGTACAGAGCCCCAAGGGATTCGGTACAGATAGTATTATTGGTCTTGGATCCTACACTATGGACGTTCACGAGGCAGAAAGAATAGTCATCGGGTCTGCAGTTCAGAATGAGGGACTGGTTCATGTCCCAGTGGCGAATCCTTTCCCCATTCCATTCGGCAGCATTATTCCTTCCTCGGACTCTATTACTAACTTTCTGAATCCTGTTACAATGAGCGGTACTCACGTGGCGTTTGCGGCCATCCGACTGGAGCCAACATATATGATAATGGGACAGAGTGCAGCGACGGCTGCTGTGTTGGCGATTGAACAGTGTGTAAACATACAAAATGTTGACAGGCAAGCGCTGAGCGACCGATTGGAGGCAGATAAGCAAATACTGTCTCTGTGAATATTGAAAATTCGCTAGATCTTTTGAGTTAGCTTGAGAGTCTTATATTACCGTCCTAATTAAATACATTCACCAACCACTTCTTCTCAGTCATCAATAACCCATAGAGAATGGGATTGAACAAGATATTAAGACAATCAGTTGTGTTACTAAGGCACTAGCAAGTAATTAAATGGTTGATTGTCGAAACTATGTAGAGGAAAACAATGAAAAGCTATAGCTCTGAACAAGATAATATCGCCAGGAAGTTAATACGCATATCTCTATGCTTTCATACTTTTTTTATCAAATCTCTGATTTTCCTCCCATTCCTGTTCAAGAATGGAATATAGCAGAGTATCAAACCATCTACGCTGAAACCACACGTTTTCTCGTTTTCTGCCTTCCAATTTGAATCCAACTTTTCCCCATAGCCGTATTGCTGTCTCGTTGAAGCTGTAGGACCAGAGTTCAATACGGTGCACACCAGCATAATTAAATGCCCAGTCCACAGCCCATTTAGTAGCTTCTTCACCATAGCCTTTACCACGGTATTCCTCTGGAAAGCCAGATAGCAAAGTTGGTAGAACGGTGATCTTCTTTAACTTGGAGCGATGGCGGGGCCATATTGAGAGACCCAATTGGTTGCCCGCCGTGACATTCCCATTCTCTAACTTTTCCTGCAAACAGATGAAAACAAAGATCAAAGCTTTCTTTTGGTACGACTCGACAAAGTCATCCATTGACTTTTGGATTGGTGGACGGGGAATAAACGGGTGACCCATTTCCATACACCCAGGTTCGCTGATGATTTGATAGAAGGTATCCAAGTCAGACATCTGCACGCTGCGATAGACCAGCCTTTCAGATATGAAAAGGGTGGTAATAGGCCGCGGCAAAGAAGTCATAATGACTTGAGTCATGATTGGGCATGTGGTGTTGAAAAGGTATATGAAATTTGATGCGTTGGTTGTTTTTTCCCCCTCCAAAACTCGAACCTGTAGCTGGGCTTTGGATTCTACTACTTTCAAGTGCGCGCGATATCGAGGGACGGCTTATCAAGGATCTCAACAAACCGGTCCCCATAGCCTATGACCACAAAAAAACTAATATCGCGTAGAATATTATATAACAGCGGCAATCAGCATTCTAGTACACTAATCTGCAGAGCACAATTTATTCAGATGCTGTGAGTATCATAAGCCGTTGGACTTCTGTTGTCAGTTGGTACACTAGTTAAGAAATTAAACATGGCATCTTTTAGCTGCTTTCGAGACATGTTCAATGCTAATAATGCAACTACTCCGCAGCTGGCGGGCGTAAAGGAGCCCATCAGCCCACTAGCAATAGTAATACGCAGCCAGATTAGAGCTTGGTCGAACGCTGTCAGTAGAGACACTATAGCAGTAACTCTTGATTTTCGACTTGATGATACCGATATAACAGAATGGGCCTTTTAAGGACATGATACGACATGAACGCTACAACTGCGAATATAGTTGAAGGTACGCCTAGTGCATGTGTTCGCAGTTGGCATAAGCCTGCGTGGCGCCAGATATAGACCACACCCGTCAGGTGGTTATGGAATTATGTATTAAGTATTAAATAAACTGTAAATATATATGGGTGTCTATACATGTCATATACTCATTGTGCGGCTGCAGTCTCATACTTCTGCAACCGTTGGGGTCTCTTCCTTTTTGTATTCCCAGCCCGCTTTAACCAGCCAAAACATTGCCATTAGCGGCGTTGTCAGCAAGCCCAAAACTCCGCCCAATATTAATTTAAAAACTTGGGGCAGCCATTTGTCGTGATACACATAATCGGCGCCCTCTTTTGTCCCGAATCCAGTCAATGCGCCCATGAAAATGGGCCATAAAACAAGGAAGCCCACGACGCCGAAACTGAGGCCCCTCAAGGCCTGCTGGATAACTTCAAGAAGAGTCCATGGGCGATGCGGGTTCCCAACTCCGGCGGATGGATCGCGAGGAAGGAAGAAGAACATTCGTACCCATGGGTGAGACGGCTGTGAGATAAAGCCGATGGGCTGTACTGAGTGATGGCGAAGATCATAGCGAAGGAGAAACAACTCGACGAACCAGGTGATGAGGCACTGCACAAATATCGTGACAGCAGCGTCACCGGCCAGCGTGTTGGGGAGCTGCCACAGGCGAACAGGCCGCTTGACTGTGTTTTGTGTGGTATACATGGCTGTGAGGTTTGTCATTAGCGATGTGCGTGATAGAAAAGCAAGCATTTCGTGGGCGAGAGAGAACACAAAAAGCTTACCGTACGCGATGGCGAAATTGACACCCCCTGACAGAATCATTGCGCCCACACCATCCAAACCAAAGATGTAGAAAATCTGCCGGCCTGAAAACCGCGTGGTGGGCTCGAGAGTTTTGCTGGGCTCTTGTCTGGCTTCCCCTTCGACACATTGATTCTGCCCGTTCCCGTCTGAAGCGGTGGTGGTGGTGGTTGCCGTTTCCAGACTCGGCTCTTGTGCTGCCGCTGAAGGCGCCGCAGCCCCTGTTTCTAGATCTTCAGGGATCGCCATTGTGGTTGTCCCGCCTGTAAGCTGCTTAAAAAGGGCGGCGTGTTGTTATACGGGGTGGCAGGTTTCTTGTTGGACTCAACCAAGAGCGTTAAAGAAGCATCATCGTGTTTTTGTAAGATTGGCGAATTGAATAAGCATATAGATATGTTAAAAGACACATTTAACGAGCTCAATTTTATTTTGGAATCATCGCCGCCTTTATTAAGCTGGAGAATCCACAGTTGTGTCTTGGCCTGGGCAAAGGGGGGCGTTCAAAATATGAGCTGCTGCTAACCGAGCCAGGGAAGCGGAATAGCCCGGCGCGATAGGTGCTAGCTCATTTACCGAGCACGAATACGGTGAAGAGCACACAGAGAGAGAGCTTTGACTCGAGATCAGAGCAGCTGATGAGGTCGTTGGTGACCGTTGATAAATGCTAGGTATTTAGCTTATCCAGTACATTGCCGGGCTTTTATCTCTTGACAGGACACGCTCCGCATGTGTTAGTCAATGGCTGAATGCTTCCACTTGCATCATAGCCGGATGACTCGGTCAGGCGTAGAGAAAGACCAAGAGAGCCTCGATGCCGAAAGTGGACCGAGCTGAGTTGCGTTAAAGATTTAAACCAACCGCTTCGATTGGGCACAAGGAGGTTAATAGCGCGCGGCTGGCAAGCGGCTCTGGTAGCCGTGGAGATACTCTGGCAATTGTTGCTAACACTGCTTCACCGTCAGAGAAGAGCCCTCACACTAGTGGCGGCCAAGCCGTTTAGCAATAGGGCCGGCCAACGTATTTGCGGTGAAGAGAGAAAAAAATAATGGAAAAGAAAGGAAAAAAAGACAGCTAGCTGAGCTGCTCAGCTACCTCCAACGCCATCCACCATATTACCTCCTGCTAGGTGTGTGATCTACCACCGTCCCGGCTCTGCTACGGAGTACGCCGCATTGGATCTCCGAACTGCCGGCCGTGTCAACGGAGCTGCATTGCTCGGACAGCGCGATTGGTTCCTGTAGCCTGCTTATATTATGCCTCATACCATATTCCGCATCTTTGAATCTTCGACTACCGCTGCAATGGAGCATCTGCCGCGATCCACATTCACAGAAACAGGCTAGTGTCATCAGTGGGGAAAAAAAAAAAAAAAGGGAAGATTATGATGTAATTTGATCTTTTGGATTTTCCCGCAGGGTCCTCCTGTCGCTACTTCTCACACCATGGTGTTGTGGCGAAATCATGAATAACCGTGATAAGCGAAGAAGACGAGCGCAGATAAAAGCGGTAGGAGCCCGTCAACGGCGAAGAGACACGCCTGTTGAACCGACTCCCGAAACCTGCTAGAAAGAAAGAAAGAAAGAAAGAAAGAAAAAATTCTGATGTGCGTGTTTATCGTTGTGATGTTGTTCTCATACTACATTTAGCCATGTGATGAGTTTTGGAATCATCGCTAGACTCAGATGGTCATCCTCGTCTTTACTCATCTGCCCTTTCTTTTGGAATACGCCCTTCTTCGCTTTCGGCCTCTCTTTCAAGAGCGCAAAGATGATTTCCGCTCCAACAAGCGACACAAGCTCAAGGCTCGGGCGGCACAGCGGTTACCGGAGATCTATCATAACGTGTTGCTTTCGATAACTTTTCGCTAGCCCCATTGGATTTGCCGCAATGTAGTAGTTGAGAAGTCGGCTAAATCAGCAAGCGCAAATACCTTGAGCCTGCTTCTATGGGCTTATTGAATAGTCTCAATCATGGTTGCGTCGTATCTTGTTCTGCCTAAGAAGACCGCGATGATAACCAGTGTCAGTTGAATCAGTTGTCACATGTTCTCTACGAGCGATTTTCTGTTGTTTCGGGATACTGCGGACATATGCGTATCTCCCGAAACTGATGCTCAGAGTTTATGCGAAAAGACCCATTTTAGCAATTAGACAGCAGTCGTTCATTGCGCTAGAATACAAAGTCAGTCGGTTAGCATTCCTTGGCGATGTTTCATATTGCCAGTCAACAGCTTTTTTTTTTTTTACAAATATCGCTGAAGCTTGCGCCACTTGTGCTAGAGCACAGCCAAGTAGTCAGAGCCAATGGCACACTGCAGTCAAACTTCTTGGCCCCTTGACTGTTTATGATCAAAGATCCTATATTTCTCTCAATCACCGTGATCACGGGTATAGTACAATGTTAAACTCTGATCTCTAACACGGGATTTCTATATATCTCCTATAATTTACTTTGACCATATGAAGCCCCCTTCACACAACTCTGTATCCATAACTTTTTTCTTTATCTTGAAAAAGACATCTATGGCAACAATCTCTTGGGTGTTCGTGGGTAATATGCGGCCAAATGCACGCTGGGTAAGGCAAGATACCATGCAACCACACGGTCGAGACCAATACCACCTCCACCGTGAGGAGGTACACCGGCCTCGCGGAAGACATTGATGTACTCCTTAATACCAGAGCTGGTAGGGTCGACACCCTTGGAGCGGATGCGGGCCTCAAGCTCATCTGGGTTGGCAATACGTTCACCACCGGACAAGATCTCTTGTCCACGCAAGAACATGTCGAACGCGTTTGTCACTGGCTCGTCGGGCTTGCTGGCCGGGTCGACCTTGGCATAAAAGGGTCTCGCGGCTTCGGGGAACTTGTCGACTGCGAAGAAGTCGGTCTTGTACTTTTCACGAACCAGCGCGCCCAATGCCTTCTCTTGAGGTGTTGACATATCTTCGTCGTCGCGAACGTTGCGGAATTCTTCGGGGCCTTCCTCTCGGAGCAGCTTCTGGGCCTCTGCGAATGTCAAGCGCACTTCCTTTCCAGGTTCGGGGAGGAGAAGCTCCGGGGAAGGATAAACGGAACGGATGAGTTCGACCTCGGCAGCGCAATGTTCTGTGTGTTTTTCATTAGCGGGGAACTCAATGAAGCAAGCAGGGCCTTTAGAGAAGGGGAAGCATTAGAAAGAAGCTTACCCTTGATGCCGCGGAAGATGTGCAAAAGAACGCCTTCCAGCATGTGAAGGACCTCCTTGTAGTCTTTTCGGATTTCCATCTCCATATCGAGACCAGTGAACTAAAGGGGAGGGAAAAAAAGCACATTAGCTTCCGTGGAAAACAGCTGTACAGCAAAGTAGAGAAGCGGGCTTACCTCAGTCATGTGTCTCGGAGTGTTGGAGTTCTCAGCTCTGAACACTGGTCCAATGCTAAAGACGCGCTTTCGACCACCAGCAATCTCGAATTGCTTATAAAACTGCGGTGACTGGGCCAGGTAGGCCTTTTGGTTGAAGTATGGCATGGCGAAAACGTTGGCACCACCTTCTGAAGCGGCTCCGATGAGACACGGGGGCTCAAACTCTTTGAATCCATGGTCACGCAGATATGAGCGGAACAGGTGCTTGGCCTCGACTCGGATATCCTGCGTTCTCATTGTAAGCAAAGTAACTACTTGGAATTGAAAATATCGACGTGGTCATGACATACAGCAATGGCCTGCTGGACGGGAGAGCGCTTGTGCATGACAATGTTGTCCAAGTGAGTCAGCATAGACGCTGCCGGAGGACCGCCTTCAGCCTCCTTCTCTTGAGCAGCCTCCTCCGGCTTGACCTCCTCATCGCTAAAGTTGGTAACGGCACGGTTCGCTGCCGCCAAAGTCATGCCCAGGGTCGCGGGAGCAGCAGAAACGATAAACAGCTTAGAGATGTGCAGCTCGAAATCGGTCACGCGGCAGCTCTTGACGGGCGCAAAGGGCTTCTCCACGGTCGCCTCGACGGTGACGAAACTCTCGGGGTTGACAGCGCCCACCCACTTGACCATGCGCTTGCTGATGACGGGCGTTGAGTCGCCCTCGGCCTTGGCATCGCCGGTGGCAGACACAATGCCCTGGATGGCCCAATTGCCCTCCTCACGCAGCTCGACAAAGGCCATCTTGGCGCCCTGCATGCGCGTGTTCTGGAGCCATGCCCGGATGACGACCTTCTTGCCAACGTGCGATTCGTTGATGGACTTCAGGCTGACGTCCTCGGCATCGGGCGAAAAGCTGGTGAGCAGAGCCGGCGTGGCAGCACCGTAGTAGTCTTTGGAGGGGTCTTCTTCGGGCTCGTTGCTGGCTGAAGCGACGGCAACTCGCTCAGCAGCGCGCTGGGCCTTGAGAGCCTCCTTCTTCGCCTTGGCCTCGGCCTTCTTGGCAGCCTTCTTCGAAGGGCCGGCGTCGGCGGCCGGTTCGACGGGCTTGTCGGCCGTAGGAGCTGGGGGGTTCGTTTCTTCGGCCATTGTGCACAGCGGATTACACACAAGAAAGTGGTTGATAAGGTCTGGCTGGTATCTCGAACGTGGGGTAATGGGTGTTTCTTGAATGATTTTTTGGAGGGGCAATTTGGATGACTCATCCGGCTGCAATCACGTGAAATCTCGACGACAGGAGACTTCAAGGTGGTGAGTCAGGCCATTGCCGATCATGATGTAGATTGTAAATGCCGATACCGTGATTTCGATTGTCCAATGCCGTGATAAAACGCAAAATTTCTATAAAGAATTTGGTGTAAGTGGCGTTGGGAATATGCAAGACTCATACGGTGTAGCGGCGGGAGCACGGCCGGCGTCGGCGCTAGAAAGAGAGAGCGAAGAGCAGGAAAAGAATAAAGAATGGAGAGGATCATGTCTCTATGTGTCATTACTATGTATGTAGGTAGGTAGGTAGCTATCTCTGTCGCTTGACCAAAAATTTCAAATCGCATTCATGCAATTCGTTTCATCTGTACATGGCTCAACGTTTCGTAAATGCACTGGGGCTCTCCATCATCATAGCTTCTCCTTTTCTGATCCACCAATCTCGCAGAAGGCCTTGAACGTCGTGAATTCCTCTTCCTGGCCAACTGCAGACTCAAGAATCAGCTCTGCAGCAGATCCGACAAAATATATGTGTCCTTCCTCGATGTCGTGCTTTGCCTCACCGACGGCAATCGTGCCTTTGCCATTGGTGCAAATAACGATGCTGGGGCCTTCGAGAGGATCAAAGGTAGCCTTTGCTCCCTCTCCGCGGAGCAGGGAGCGCACGACGCTAAACTCTTCAATCGGGGGATCATACAGCATGACGGCTGATCCAGAGCTGTAGGCAGTCCGGTTAAGCGTTGCGTATGGGTATTCGGTAGGGTTCATCTTCTGCTCATCAATGGGCGCATAGTTGTACGTGAGCATGTCGACCAGAGTGGACACATCCTTGAACTTTGGTGTCAGGCCAGCGCGGACAACGTTATCAGAGGCTGCCATGCATTCAATGATGTCGCCGGAAACGTAGGCATGGATGTCGTCGGCGACGAGGAACAGGGCCTCGCCGGGCTGCAGAGTGACAAAGTTGAGGAAGAAGAGCACGAAAATGCCAATATCGGAGCCGTATTGGCCATGAAGTCGGGTGACAAGCTCAACAAGGACGTCGCCCTTGGTGGACGGCACGCCACCAGCAGCGAAATCGGCGCCCTCAGACTTGGCGAGCGCCACAAGGCTGGCAATTTCCCTGTCAATGTCGTCGGACGAAGAGGACATCAGGCCGCCGAATGCTTTCTGCAGAGCCTTCTTCTTGGATGCCTCATCGCCACCCTGCTCTTTGGCGGCCTGGATAAACTGTGACGCCTCGTGCTCTCCCACCAAAGTTCTTAGGGGCTTCACCGTCTCCAAAAAGTGTGCGACTTCGCCCAGCGGCCTGAATCCACACAGGCCCTCGAAGGGGGTAATGGCAATGGCCATCTCGGGCTTGTGGTTGTCATCGGGGTAGTTTTTCGGGTCTCGGGCGTGCAGCTGCTCGGCGAGCTTCTTGTTGGGATGGGCCTGGATGGAAAGGGCCTTGTTGACGGACAAGACCTTGAAGAGAAACGGCAGTTTGGCGCCGTATCTGGCAGAGACCGGTTCGGAGAGGAGACTCTGGTTTTCGGCGCAGAGGTCGAGGAGCGTGCGGCCGGTGTTGAGGTCCTTGGAGGGGTTGGAGGGGTGGGTGCCCATCCATAGCTGCAGCAAGGCGGCGGAGAAGGAGTAAGTTACTGCAGAAAAATCAAAGGGAGAAAAGCAATCAAGGATATGCAGGTCGCACCTCGGCGTAGGGCTTGTCAGCCTGGATCGTCAGGTCGGCTGAAGGCGTGGCGGCGGCGTATCGAGCAGCGGCCGATTCGCTGCCCTTTTTGCCCCATTCGTAGGAATTGACGCCGCACTGCAGACGGAACAGAGGAGCCTGTGCCATGGTGGATGTGAATGGAATCGGGGGTTTGTTTCGGGGGTATCTAAATTGCAAGTAAAAGAAGGGAGAAGAAGAAAACGAGATGGGGTCAGAAATGTGATCCTGCCTGGTACCTGAGGAAGCGGTCGACGGCCAGTGCTTGGGCAGGAAAACGAGGTGCTCGTGTTCGTCGTGATGGTGGCCGGAGCGCTGATTGGCCCAGAGCTTGGATCAGAGGCTCGCCGGGCCTTTGGCGCAGAATTACCCCGCCGCCCCGCCACCAACTGCCTGTAGCCCCCCCGCTGTGGAGCTCGCTGCCGTATCACTGCATGCGGAAGATGTTGAGCTTTAAATGTCAGAACGTCGTGTATTTTGTGTACAAGGAAAATAAGCTGCCCAGTTCCCGCGATCTGAAGACGAAATTTCAAATGACAAGCCATGATGCGTAAATGCCAATACTCTGGTATAAAATCCCCCAACGCCAAGCTCAAACAAGTGTAAATCAGCCATCCCGCTGTGAGACCACGTCCAGCCCTGAAAGCTCGAAAATCAAGGAACCAAAAATTCCAAAGCAGCCCCCTGGACCCTCCCGGATTGAAGAGACAACGAGTCACTCAGCCAGCGAGAGCTGTAGAATCATAACATGGGAAATGGAAACAATGCAGCTCCCCCTTGATGTGCTTCCCTCTCTCGGTACCCAGTACCTAGCAGAGCAGACCATGGAGCAGACCATGGAGCAGACCATCTGTGCCGTGACAGTATCGCCACCGTCACAGTCTCGCTCAGTCTTGCTTCGTCGCTTCGCCTAAACCAGTCCCCAGGCAAGAATCCCGGCCAGGCAGCTCACTACGGCCAGCACGACGCGCATGTCCGTCGCCCGCATCGGCGCATCGGCCTTGAGCACGGGCACGTGCACTCTGCAGAAGGTCTCGCCGCCGATGGTGGTGCAGGTGTATTCGCTGGTCATGCGGTAGGCTAGGTCGGACATGCTGGCGTCTTGGCCCGGCGGCAGTGCGGCGGCGAGGGGAGGAGTCGGCGAGGAAGAAGAAGTTGATGATGATGATGATGATGATGATGATGATGCAGCAGAAAGAAGAGCAGCAGCAGCAGCAGAAGAAGCAGAAGAAGAAGCTGCTGCTGAATCGTCAAGCTTGGCCTGCAGCGGGATCGTCACAAGCGTCGATAATGCGGCGTCTGCGGCAGACGGTGGGGTCGCGTGCCCGAGCTGATCCGATGGAGCTGCTGCAATCGAGGGTCGGTTCCGTGCGGGCGCGGGCAGTTTCTGGGCAGAGGCAGCAGCAGCAGAAGACGCTGAAGCTGCGGTGGACGGAGGCAGAGCAGACGCTGCAGGTGTGTTGGGATATGCAGAAGCTGTCGTGAAGCAGAAGAAGAAGAAGAAGAAGAAAAACAAGAAGAGGAGCAGCTCGACCAAGAAACGCTGCAGCACGGCGGCAAAGCACGGCCAGGGCTGGCGTTCCGGCTGCCGGTGGCGCATGACGGCCTGTTTCTGCTGGTGCCGGGTAGAGCACCGCTATTGAATGGGCGGCCCCACCGCTGGCAAACTCTGTGGCAGTTCGTCGACGTCAGAGGCGAGCGACTCTGAGACGCTTGTCTTGGACGGGGAGACCAGGCAAGGATAGCAAGGGGGCGAGTGACGCAGAGGAAAAAGAAAGGAGAGCAGCGAGAGGAAGAAGCAGATCCAGCATCTCCGGTCGCTGAAGCAGCATCTGATGCAATTGAGCGGCGAGCAATACGTGAAACAATACATGCAGGTGAAAGCAGGACAAGGGGGAAAACCGGGGAATCTTGAAAATCGCAATGTCGCATGGAAGGTGAAGCAACAAGTGCATGTATGTATGTACCATTTGATTGACGAATAGTATGTATATATAATTATTTGTAGACAAACAATGAATCAGCTGCCTTGCTGTAGTCAGACAGCTGCTTGCGCACAAACGCTGCTCAACACCAAAAGAGCCCTAGAATGTCCACGTCTCACGGCGTCCCCCCTACCCGTTACCCATCGTCATGCAGCAGCCAGAACCCAAGCCAATCTCTTCTCTCCCGTCACATCCTCAACATTTTATGATTCTGTGCTCAAAGAGGCTACTATTAACATACTGAGCCCATCTCCACCAACCAACCAATCGATCCGGCTTCCTCAGCTGCCCCCAAAATTGCCACGCTGCCCGCCTGAAATGGTTGGCTGACGATGCTCCAATGTCAATGCAATGCTGCCTGCTGTACGGAGCAGCCGCTGCACATCACCCCTTGTTGTTGTTTCCTCCCATTTCCTGGCCTCAAGCGTCTTAGGATTGCCCAAACTCAATTCTGTATTTGATTCCCACTTGGTCCCCATCACTAGCTTTTTAACTTTCGACGTTTGCTGTATGTTTGAATCCCACCCATCTCAACCAATTTTGGCGCCAGCGATAATGTGACACATGACACACAGCATTGTGAAACGCGCCCTACTGTATTGCGTTGTGTTTAAAAAGAAGGGGAAAAATAAACATGAAGCACGACTAACCACAGGGTAGCAGATTTGGCAACACCGTCAAGCAGTAGGTAGCAGTATCTGCAACAGAATGATACCCTACGGCTACGGCCAATTGAAACAGTTAAAGAATATTAAAGGCATATCTAAACTCGGCAAAAAAAAAAAAAAAAAAGTATTCACTTTATACTCGTAGATTATCACACCTTTAGTTCAGGCAGTGAAGAAGAAATAACATGTCTAAGTATGCTCGCTCATCCAAATGCCGCTCGCGCAAACTCAATGCAAACAAGCCATGTTGCTGACTCTTGTCATCGGCTGCTAGTCTTATGCACACACTCTCTCTCCATTTATACATGATTTACAAGCCAAGAAAATATCTTTACTTCTCTCTCACGCATCCTCATTCACCATAGCTGGAATCACCAGTCCTGCTCTACCGCCCCTTTCGCCCTCTGTATTTGCTCACAGCGCTGACAAGCGGCGTATGCGATAGCGGCTCTCCTTTAGCTTCTGATCGTCCTCGCCGACTGGCTCTCGATGAAGGTGTCGCCCTCTCTTTTCTCTTGCCGTTCGACCCATCTCTCTCATCCGGGGTGCCTTTCCAAACCCACCCAGGACCAGTAGGTAGCTTTCTCTTTCCCTTCGCAGGACTGGGTCTCCCATCTTCCGGTTCATTAGTCTCATCTGGCACGCCATTACTGGAGCCTGGGCTAGAGCTCAGAACAATGACTTGACTTCCAGTCGGTATGGCAAACGGTGATTTGTCATTCGTCTTCTTCTCCGGTTGAGAAAGAGAAGTTGACAACGCTGGCAGCTTCTCATCTGCAAGTCTCGTGCGAAGCGATGGCTGCGTTGCGTTGGGAAACACCTTGCTGTCTACTTCCTCTTGTTCTTCTTGCTTCTCCTCGGGAGAGGCATCTGACTCGTGCCCCTCATCAAGCTTGCGCATAGCTTCTTCGTATTCCATATCCCGTGCAGGCACGACCTGGCTCGTTGACAAAGAAGGGGTATCCATCTTCCTGCCGGAATTTTGAGTGGGTTGAGCAGACAGGAATATCTCCTCCAGCGACGGAAACGGGCTGCTTCTGCTGGAACTTGACGCCTGCGATTTCGAGTTGTTTGGCTGTGGTGTGCTCTCGCGTAGATGTAGCAATGTTTCGGGGATCAATGTGTCGTGATGTGCACCGTTCTCCATGGAAAATGCCGTCCGCGGTTGCCGCCCACTCGGGATACTAAACTGCGATACGGCAATGACTGCGTCGGAGTGGATCGCGCTGCCACTATGCGCTGATGTCTGCTCTTCTCCCTGCCCTTCTTCTCGTCGCGTCTGCTGTCCTTCATCCTCTCCTCCTTGGTCTTCAGACGGCTCCGCCATCTTCGGCATAGGCGTGTGAGAACTCGAGACTCCTTCTGCCACGGCATTCGCTAGGCTATATGCTAGTTCTGCCTCATGGTCAGCAGCTGCTTCGTCTTCTCGCTCTACCAAAAAATTTGACTTTGCAGAGTGTGCATTTGGGGGATTGGCTGCAGCTGTCAATGCGTGATCCAGTTGAGCGTCTCCTATTTTTGCCAGATTGTTGCTGTTCAACTGTCCCATAAACTCGAAGCTATTGCTGGCAGTGCTAATTTGCACTTCAGACATGGATAGATCCAGTCTTGGCAATCGCTGACCGGACTGTATTGTGCCAAAAGAGTCGTGCATCAAATCATTTTCAACAGCTGCCCGCACTTGACCCGTACTGGGTTGGCTCTCTAAAGCATCCGCCTCTGGTTGGAGTTCGCTTACCTGGTCATGCCCTGATGGCATCTCGCCCTCTGTAGCCGCCGCCGCCGCTTCCGTGTTGTTGTTGGTCACAGGAGCTTGCTGCAGAATGCGAGGCTCAAGCATCTCCGTCCACTGCAATGATCTGAAGCCGTTGTCCTCTTCTTCCTCGTCCTCTTCTCCGCTCACTTCATCTAGGTCTGGAGCCTCAAATTTGTCGTAGATTCGCTTTCCGGTAATTTCGTCATATACCTTCTCGTTATTCTCGCGGTCTCGTCTGGCCAACGTGACGTGGACGCTACCGTTTCCGCCTCCAGGAATAATTAGGCCCGTAATCGGTAACAATTCTGGCTGCCATTTCGTAGCTTTTGACATGAGGAGCTGATTCCAAGTAATGACCATCCCAGGCTGGGCTGATTCAGGCGTTACCAACGGCAGCGCTTTGATATCTTTGGGCAAGGATGGCAGATCATCCATGTCCGTAAACTGGCTGCTCTTTATGGGCGCTTCATCGTAATTGAGAATTACATCTTGCTCATCTTGTTCCACATTGCCACTCTGCAGGTTCGCAGACTTTCTCTGTTTCTTCTTTTTGCTTTTTTCTCCGGCATCTCTAGCGTAATAGTCTTCCTCGGGCTCATCAGCATAATAGTACGCAGAGTCGTCATACGAGGTATCGGCTTGGTAGTTCTCCGACGCGCGCTTTCGCTTTCGCATAGTGTGATACTTTTGCTGGGGATCCCAGCGTTGGACAAAAGGGAATGGGGGCTCGCTAAGTACCATGTCCTCATGGCAGCATTCCACAGCCTTGTAGACAATTTTCTCTCTCCAAGCATCAGGATCTTCTTCATCCATTAATGGGGCCTCGCTGGCGTTATTACCATCGCCATCTCGCAGAGTGCGTGGATTGACTAGCGGTCGCACGTCTTTCATGAGGTTGTCACGAATTTTTTGCTCATCAGCTTTGGTTGACGGGGCTTTCAAGCCCAGAGCGCCAAATACAAGCCGGCGACCTGCGCCCAGGTCAACACGGGTTGAGCGTTTTCCCGGCGTATCTTTCGGTTCAGATGTTTCGGCTTCGGCTACCTTATTGATATCTGTCTCCATTTCCTGCGGCTGGTCTTCAAGCATCTGATCTAGCAGAGGAGCAGCTTCCATTTCTGCCTCACCGTTTGTTCCGCCACCTTCGTGAGATTCATTAAGGATGGCAGCTAGGAGTGCCTCTTTTCGTGCCAGAAAGTCGTCTTTCGTGGCACCATCCTCGTCGCTGTTTGCTGACTGAGACTGCTCAAGGCCTAGTTCTTTGAAGGCCTTATTACGTTTCCTCCTCGCATTGCGCTTTTGTGTTCGCGTCAAACCAACTGGCCGTGGTTGATTAGTTGCTTGAGCTTGAGTGGCAAGTGCAACTGTGATGTTCTGTTTTTTGTTCGTTGAATGTGCAGGATGTGTTAGCTTTACTGGCTTTTTCGATGATACTTCTTCTACTTCAGACTCAGATTCAGATTCGGATTCAGACTCGGATTCAGAGTCTGAATCCGAGTCCGACTCTTCTGCTGAATCCGAATCGCTTGACTCGTCGCTGCCCTCGCTAGAAGAGCTTTCCCCTGACGAGGCATCTTTGAATTTCTTAGGAGCCGTGGTTGCTGTAGGTAAATTGCTAACACGGCCTCTGTCTCCTTCCTCGCCGGAGGAGCTGTTATTCCCAGAGGCATCGCTAGAGTCGCTCTCAGAGTCCGATCCGCTCTCTTCTTCTGAAGATGTATCCTCTTCTGAATCTGATTCCGACTCTTCAAAGTCAGACTCAGAAGTTTCGTCGCTGCTCAAATCTTGGATTTGATTTGATCTCGCGAGAGAGATTGAAACACCACCATTCAACTGAGATACTTTAGGATTCTCGGAAACTTCGGTTTCTTCAGAGTCTTCGACTTCTTGAATGAGCGGCTTCGGTCGTCCCTTTACTTTCTCCTGACTTTCAATGAGTAATCCATTGGTGGCTTCAATTCCATTGAGGACGTTGGTGTTCTCCTTGGCGCGTAGAAAAGATTCCTGAACAAGAAGGAAAGGAACGTCATCCATCATTTGATGAAAAGTTTGACAAGGTTCTTGAAGCATTGATAGTGATAAATAGGCTTTTCTCATATTCTTGTTCGTCTGGGCAAGAGCCGATTTAATATCTTCATCCGATAATTTTGGAAATGCCGATCGAAACACCACGACAAGGCTGTCCATGTGTAGGTGACTATAGCTCTGAGAAGCTATTGAATCCTTGCCAGAAGAGTTGGAGCTAGGAAGCTCGTCTGCCGTACTATCTTCTTCTTCTTCATTTCCTATCTCAATACCTTCTTCTTCATTAGAATGCGGTATGTAGGTATCAGTAGCCCTAGCGGTGGCATCTTGTCTTAGAAGGCGCAGTTCCGCTTCAAGATCTTCGTCGTCATCATCCTCTTCATCAGCATCATCGTCCATGTCACTATCGTCCTTGTGCTCGCCCACATGTATCCTTCTATTCGGAGAGGTATCAGATGTTGAAGTAGAGCCACCAGGGTATTCTTGATACTCTTGGAAATCGTAGTCGTCGTCGTCTTCGTCGTCGTCTTCGTAATGGTCTACAATTCGCACGTTCTTGACATTTCCGTTCTGAGAAAAAGGCAATGCTTCGAGCAGAAGTTGCTCCTGCTCTTCATCATCATCTTCAACCTCGTTGCTGAAACGAACACGTTTTCGTGGCGGCAGGTCGATGTGAGGGCGGTCGCGAGGAGTTCTTATCCAAGATCTGCCAAAGGCGAGGCCATCTATTAAGTGCCTCCCATCGTCGGAGATCTGGTGTCGTCCGCTGAGTCGCCGTCGCTTCAAATCGCCGGTGAGGAGAGATCGAATACTAGGTGGGAGAGTTAGAATCAATACCGAGCAGCCAAGCACAACGCGGGCGACACTCACATGACCTGGTCTTCGTCTTTCAGAATCCGGCCAACCTGCTGGAAGTGCAGACACTCGAAGCTGCCGCCTTTCCCATCCTCAAGCTCCACGGCGTAGTCTTCAAGGCCCCATTCGCCGCTCTCGAGGGGAATGACCTCGTTAACCTGCTCCAAAACCTTTGCGATGGTGACGTCCTCGGCGCAGGAACAGGGCCAGACAAGCTTGATCTCGGGCAGCCCGTGACGGCGGATCACCAGCCGAAGGCGGATGTCCTGGGGTTGCATTTTTCAGGGACTCGACAGGCGCAGCTGCATGGCCGGTTGGTTGTCGAAGCAGCCAGAGGGGATCGAGGATCGAGGATCGAGCAGCGTATTTGTAGCGCAGGCAGAAGCACGGGACGCGAGATGTTGGGAGGAAATGCCAGCCAGATCTGATAGAAAAATGAGCCTGCGCAGCGCTGCCTTGCCTTGGCGCGTGCTGTCAGAAGCGCTTTCAGCGCCTTGGCTGCCTTGATCTGCTGAAATTTTAGTGGACCCGCGGCTGTGGAGTCGCGGCCGTGCAGCGACTCGAATGGTCAGTTCCGCGCTACCTGAGATGCAACAGCCAGCAATGTAGAAGAGATGAGTTTTGGCACATGACGATTAGATTATATTAATTTGATTAGGTTGTTAATTATTAATATTTTTTTCTTCTTTTATTCCAGCTACTGGTTCTGATGAACCAACTTTTTTTTTTTGTGTCGCTCAATATTGCTAACCAGCAGTTATATATGCGAACTGGCTCCCTTCAGCTCAGTCGATGTGGATATATGGTATATGTATGTGCTAAATAGCGTCGGTTGACAGATAACAATCACGATTTCCATCCTGCAGCCAGAAAAGAAAAGAAAAGAAAAGAAAGGAAAAACTCCAAGTATGCCCATTACCCAATATTCAAACAAATATTCGTCGTCGTCATCGTCGTTCTCGTCTTCTTCTTCTCCTTCTCCTTCTCCTCTTCTTCTCTTTCTTCGTTCTAAATCTTGGTTATTGAGGAAATGATCCCATGTCCAGCATATGGCCCATCTTTTCGATCTGCACAGCTTGTTAGCACATAGTTCTCATCTATTTTCAACCACGAGAGGGGGGCAAAGATTCTTACCTTTGTCTTCAAGTAGCCCTCTACTTCTTGGCTTCTGAAGCCACCCTTGCCTTTCCATGACAAGGGCACCATGGCAACTCGCTCCTTGACGACAATCTCTCGATTCGGGCCCTCAATGGCACGGACCTTGTCGGGGTTATTGGTCAGCAGGCGCACATCTGTCTGTCCCAGGTCCATGAGCATGGCAGTAGCCAGCCCGTAGCTTCGAGCATCGGCCGGGTGTCGCAGCAGCAGATTCGCTTCCACTGTATCGGATCCAAGGTCTTGCAAGTTATAAGCCTTCAGTTTCTCGCCAAGCCCAATACCGCGGCCCTCTTGCCGCAGATAAATGATGATACCGCCAGCCTTGTTGCCCGGTAGAGCCATTAGCCGAGCAGCCTCGTCAAGCTGTTCGCCGCAGTCGCATCGCGCCGACCACGCAGTCTCTCCAGTGTAGCATTCTGAGTGTATCCGCACCAATGGCGGGTCCTGGCGATGGCTTTGCTCCTGCTGAGACTCGGACGAAGGACCGCCCATGCCACTCGTTGTCCGGCCTGGGAACAGCCGACCTGTGTAGGCACCTCGAATCATGCGGTCCATTTCGGTCTCTCCCTCGCGGGGTTCATCCAGCGACTTGCTCCGGATGTCATTGCCAAAAACAATGGCCAGATGCTCCTTGTTGTCGACATTGTTGGTATACAGGTGGAGGAACATCTCGGTGCCGCTGACGGTGGGGATGCGGGCCCGAACAACGCAATTGACCTCGGGCAGCGTTTCTAGTAATCTGGGCTTCTTGCTGCCGCATCCACCGGACGGAATAGAGCTGTCGACCGGTATTCCTCGCAGTCCAGCAGTTGTTGGCGTCTGGTTTCCCGGGGTGGCCGGAGGGGTGAAGGCGGGCGACAGCAGCGATGGCGGGGGCGGCTGCGTCGCCGGCGAGGGGCTGGCATGACTGGGCGGCAGCGACAGCTCGTCGATGGGCTGGCCATCACGGCTCTGGGGAGTGTCGGCGGCAGCGGTTCGGGGGGAGTAGAAGGAGGGCAGTTGGGCGCTGTCGCCAGCGGCTGGTCTCGCATTCGACGGCATTTTGGGATGGGTTGGTTGCGTGGGTCGCACGAGCTGTGTCGGGAGAGCTGAGGGCATGATTAGTGGACAAGACCGAATGCGCTGCGCAACAGGAGAAGAGGATGGCAACGGAGGAGGATGGCGAGGAGAGGCAGAGGAGAGGCAGAGGATGGATTGCTGGGAGCAGCCACGTACCGTCTTATCTGGGCCTGCAGCGGCGATGCCTCGCTTTGCAGAAACAAGCGCGCGCGAAGGTTTGATGGTGATTATCAATTTGCGCTGCGATGCTCCCGCAAAATTACTAACGGCTGGCTAGCAGCGCTGCACAGTGGGGTCGGCGGCCCGGAGAGCGCAGCTTCGGTGCTTCGCTGACTGCTACTGTACGATGGATGCACTGGCACGAGCCCTGAGGATTTCGTGCTGATGCGATTACGTCGTCGTCTATGGCTGAATTGGATCTGAATTGAATCCTTCCGTACAGCGCGCGCAGAGATGCAGAGTTGAGATCATGCCATACTGCAGACTACAATGTTTGCTGTCGCGCTGGTAATCTTTATGCGCTGGGCGTGTCGGCCGACCGCTGCAACCTCGGAGAGACAGGGCCAGGTCAATAGAACCCGCGTAGAAGCCGACCGAAGGACTGGCCCGAGGCGTCGCCTGGGGATGGAATCCCGAGCCAGCGGTGGGCCCTGGCGGCGTCTCGCATAGCCAAACCAATAATGCGCGTGGGCAGCTGTGAGGAGCAGCAATGGCTGCGGAGTCTGGTTCTAGCGAGTTCTTGGTGCCGCAGCAGAGAGCATGTTGATTCGCTTCATCGGCGGGAGCAATAGCACGCACGTTCGAGTCAATGCATCGACACAAGTATTTGCTGGGAGTCAACTGTCAACTGCTAAATGCCTGCGAGATACAGCACATGTGTGCACACAATGGCCCAGCAAAATGTCTGAGGCTAGCAGCGGCAGGGCCGGTTGGACCCTTTTTCTACATGCACCTGCACCTATGCCGTCATCAAGGCTTCTTGATGCATGTGCTCTCAGATGCAAATACTTGTAAGCATCAAGCATCAACAGCGTGACCGATTTAATCCGACCAAGCCGAGCCTCCGATTTCGTCTTGCGAGCTGGGACGACACTCACGTCATTTTCCGGAGCCCGGGCTTACTATTCACCAGATATCGGAAGGGTTTTTTTTTTTTTTTTTTTTTTTTACATAAGCAGCATTCGACTCAAAAGAGCTAAACTGCTTTCAGTCACATCAAACGTTGGTGTAAGAGCAACTAAATATCGCCAGATTCATAATGGACTTGTATTGCACTCTATATCATTCTAACCGGGACTTTTATAATCTAATGGTCATATCTAGATCTATACCCCAAAACTAAATCCTCCACCGCTCAATTTAAGCAGACTGAGCCTTGCCGGTGCCGTAAACAATGTTGGTAACAGACTCGCCGGTGGGAGTGTGCTGAGCTCCAAGAGTGTGAGGGCAGGTAGGCTGGTTGCTCTTCTGAAGATCAAGGGAGCAGACCTCGTTGTATCCGTACTTGCAGAGGGGATCGGCCATGTTGATCAGCTGGTAGTTCTTGGCAACCCAGCTGTTGGGCTCGCTGATGCAGCTAGCAACGTAGTCCATGCTGTTGGAGGCAGACAGAGGAAGCTTTCCGTCGTGCAGAAGGCTGCTGCACTCGCTGGCATCAACAAACTCGTAGTTCATGTTGATACCGCCACCGGTGTGGGGGCTGGAGCTGGCGCTCTCGCCGAAGCCAAGGTAGTTCCAGGCATCGTATGAGATGTCGTGGGCGCCGCCGGACTGGTCGATCTTGAGGAGGTGGAGGCTGCGGTCGCCGTTGGTGACCTTGACGCAGATGTTGTTGCAGTCGACGCCCATGGGCCAGTAAGCAATGCGGTTGGTGTTGACCTTGCAGCCCAAAACACCAATGGAGGACGAGTACTGCTCGTGAGGAGTGATACTGGCGCTTCCGCTGTTACCACGGATGGCAACGGCCGAGACGGAGGCGGCGGAGGCAGCAAGGAGGGCAGTGAAGGTAGCAAACATTTTGAATGTAGTTTGACGACAAGTTAAATGTCTTGTAAAAAGGGAGTGTGTATGATGAAGTGGTTGTCTAACCAGGAATGTTGTTGTCTAAGTGGATATGTGTGCAAAAGAATGAACACACAGGCTTCAATATGAAGGAATGAATCGAAGCGAAAGAGTCTGTAGAAGTGACTGTTTGTCTTGTAGAATGGAGTGATGATTTTCTCTTTTCGAGGGAGGGATCAACGCCCTTATTTATACACATCTGGGATGTATGGAATCGGGGGATGCCGACCCATCTTCCCCCGCAAGTCGAAGAGATTTCAAACCCATCGCCTTCGATTCCCTTACGGTCCGACGGTACGCTGGGACCGCCGCACGGGTTGCGGGTCGACGTTGTTTGTCCATCTTCATCACAGTGTCCAAGAGTTGCTGTTTCCATTCTCTCGGGACATTCACGGTGACTCGGTGTGGCAACCTCGAGCTAGCGTTTCTTTGGCGAGTTTCCATTGTGGGAAAAGCCGGTCCATATTTTAAATGGCTCACCTAAACTAAACGTAGCTTGGCTCCAGGAACCGAACCGGCCGGCACACCACGATTGTTCTATTGTGACAGCGGCATGGCCAGGGGGAAAAGCAGGTACGCGGCGCCTCAGGACCTAAGGCTTCCACGTGGTTCCACCTCAGTTTCATCCGGTCAGTCGGTATCCAGCTTCCTATGAATGGTTGGATGAGTGGGAATAGTGGTTTTTGATGGATCTTTTTCAAACTCAAACGCCTGCTGATGATGGGTTCCGAAGTCGGTAACTGATTCCATTCGGGGATATGACCCTCAATAGGAAATGGCTTTTTCTCTTCTGTCCGAATAACAACCGAAACAACGGTCGACGCCAAACGCAATTCACATGCAAGTAAACTCTTTCCAAACCATCAAATATTGAAATAAGTAATATTTCAAACATAGTTGTTTTTCTAAGTAATTCAAATCACAAAATATAAGGGTGGGGGGGAAACGCTCAATCTACATCATAAACGCTCACTGAGAAATTGTTACGCAGGCCATCTGAATCGCCTTGTTCCACCATCATGACTAGGACAGAAAACTCCGCATCAGAATCAGAATCTTTATTCGGAGGACTACACCAAAAAGGAAATATTCAGATTTTTCCAGAGTTGTTGGCTGGCGAAAATTCTGAACTGCGAGGGGTCGCTCGCCGTTTGATCGGGAAAAGTGGGCGAGTTAAACGCCACCAACTCCGAGTCAGCACCACTATTCTTCAGCCAACGCTCAGGAACAAAGGACTCTAAAGGGGTAACGTCTAACTGTCAGGGAATACGTATAACGCCGCGTCACGTTCTTTAGGGGATTCGAGAAAAGGTGGGTAATCCAGTTTGGGGCTTCGGAGAACCAAACTCAGTGTTCAACAAAGCCTCTTCTTGCCTCCCAGGGGGCAAAGATCTTTTCGAAGCCTAGAAAAATTCTACCGCCTTTTCTTGCCTTCAGACTATGTTTGAAACAATGGATACTACGAATCTTAGTAATAACATTAAATTATATGCAAAATTGCCCCTGGTTCCAAAGAATTCTTCTCGAACAATTCTTTTACAAGCCCGTTATCCATTAAGAGATAAGTGGGCCTAGTCGGTTAAGCGGGCGCGTACCCATCAGCTTTGTCATAACTCTGGTGCCTTTTTTTTGAAGGACTTTTCAAAAGATTTTTCACTTGAGACATTTTATTCAGCCGGGAGAGTGGCTAATCACAGCTGGACTGAATGATTTCGTAGTTTCTCAAGTGGACTGCACTGTGCTGTGGAGTGTCTAGAGCAATACCGTATCAATACCCGATGCGATGTAAAACTGGGGTAGTTGGCTCTTTGATCACGATCGTGGAGCCCGGGTATGGGGACAATGGTTCGAAATGAGCGATAAAACCAACACCTACTAAGGGAAGGGGCAAGTTAATGGTCGGGCCATTATGGAGTTGCTCTCTTAGTCATCAGCAGATGAAATTTCTTCCAGTGTTGTGAAATTTTGACGATCCATCCTCCCGCTCCTTAGCATATGGACATAGGTGGGTTTTTACCGTAGTTCTTCAAGGTAGCAGCGTGATAATTGTCTAGAATCAGAGCCTAGTTAAACTAGCATATAAATAAGTTAATAAAATTCTGAAAATGAAATTATTATTGAGTCAATTCGCTGAAAGCTGGACAAGTCTTTGACCCCGGCCTGTCCGAGAGATTGATCTCCATCCCTGCTTTGGTCTAAAATGGTGCCAGATCTAGCATCTGATCTTAGATCTCGTGGCCGACTCAACGAAAAGACAGGGAGGTCCATGCTTTCTACAACGGGACTCATCTACCCCGGAAAACACCATATGGATCTCATTGCCTAGTGCTCTTCAAAGGATGCTACAAAGTCGCGCGGTATCTTAATTGCATAGGCACCAGGCGGAACGAGAGCTGACAAGTACTTTCAACTGCGTGAAAAGTGTACTCGGAACTTGTTACGTGTTTACACATACTTTTCTATATCTTAACATAAAACAAGCACAAAATTTTATGCATCAAGCGTAAGGAGAATCAAGCACCAAAGTCATCAAGAGAGCGAGTTGCTAACGGGTCCAGCCATAACTAGCGGTCCATCGTTTGATCTAGAAACATTAGTTATCGTGATCTATGAGCATTAGTTGCACTAATACCTTATCCACAATGCACTCGATTTTTCGGCAACGATCGTACCTTGTTTCAGAATCCATCGCAACAAGGGTAGAGGCGTACAGCTATCAAAAGCCCAGACCGGACTGGGCACACTGCGTGCCTAGCACTACCCCAGATCTTCGATAGACACCATACCGTTGCTCATGAGTAAAGCACCTTCAAGTCTTTGCTCTCTCCAGAAGTTCGTCATGTTGATCAACTGTTCATTCATAAGGCATCCCCACTTTCTCGCGAATGCCTCAGATACTTCCCATCCTAAACCACCTCATGGCCCTAACCTTAGAAAATACTTCTAATCAAACCCTTATAATATTTTTTTCCAAATTAATCACATTGACGAAGTGAATAAGTCGATTGCAAATCACCGAAAGTGGTTCAATGTCCACTAAGAGGACATAGAGAATGTCTTCTGCAGCAGCGTAGGCTCTAGTGATGTGGGCGTAGTGGAGTCATTATGTTAAACGTGTAATAGTGCTAGGTTGTGCAAGAATTTTGAGACAAAGCCACAGGTTGGCCAGTGGAGTTTTAGGATGAAGCGCCGGATAGTGCGAAACTGTGATCAAGACTTCTAATGAACATCCAGCAGAAATACTTTCGTTGGTACCAATCCTTGCTATTACTGGTAGATGCTACCCCGTATCATCTACATCCCTTGACGCATAAGGTGGTCCGGCAGCAATATACAGAATAATGATGGTTCATTTCAAAACGATCATTTATCAGTTGGGTGAATCGTAGCACTAGAAAGAGATTTGATTCAAGTCGCAACATCTGCAGATAATTTAGATTTAGTTTTGTATGTTGATCGCTTGACCTCCCAACAGGCGCCTTGAAAAGATGGGCGTAGCTAATTCCTCGGTCCATGAAGACACAATCTTTTCCCCTGTCTGGTGGCTTTTCAAGCATTTTGTATTACTCCTGGCCCTCTGTGAGAACCAACCTTAGATAGATATTGATCCTCTCCATTGGCCACTTTGGACCTGTCGTCCTCTGTCCTCATCAGAAAAGGTGTCTATGATTCTCGTATTTTAGGGTAAGCGTCTAGACTCTTTTCTCTCCACCATTACTTTAATTTGGCAGTCTGAGTTGAAAACAGGATACGATCGATACATGAGTTATCAGATTCTGGAGTCGTAACAACCTGTTGCCAATAACTAGCTCCTTTTTACTACGTCCCTCTCTGAAGACTTTCTGAGACACACCAAGATTCTGCCCGGGTAGTAAAAAAATTATGGAAACTCCCACAGAGACAATTCGGTTACTAATCAACATACACGAATCAAAAATGCCGGTCGAAAGAATGGGATGCGGAGAGCAAGTCCGCTGTCGGTGAAATGTTCCTTTTCCGTAACCGCAGCAAAGCTGAGACAACCGCGGCGCCAGCCTCAAAGTTACAACAACCACCAATTTTGAAACCATGTCTTCAGTTACAATGGTGCTTACGTACAGAGTTTCGAGCCCTTCCGTTGATTGCAATTCGTCATAGCAGGCTGATTAATATGCAGTAGTAAACTTTAGGAATAGTATGCTAATGAGATGGCAGAATCCATTTTTAAGCAATCTCAGCCAATTATGGAAAATAAGTAAATGTGGTAGGCGCGCATCGCATGGCTTTAATTAATTGGCTCTAATGTTATATAAGCAAAAGAAAATTCTAGCTCACTGAGACAAGTCAGTTCGAATAAGTATCGGTAGAATTATAACATGTATTTGCCGTCCTTCACGACAACCAGTTCATCGCCATATACCGCGGAGAACTAGAGTTTGCCTGAGCCTAGCTTATCTCCAGTTGTTAGCGTGATGGAATGGACTTCACTCTACGGGAACCGTCGTTGACAAATTCCAATTCCCATGTCCGACATACCGTACTTTAGCCTTCTTGCCCATACGAGCCGAGTTATGCTTAGGTATTTAATCGTGCCCAAGCCACTACGGTCTGAAATACTATCAATGAGGCGTAAAGGTAAACTACAAACTGAAACTGAATGCCGCATTCGCGAAGTTGCCAATTATTATTCCCTACATATTATAAACAGTAGCCGCGCTTTGTAACCTATCCTAGAAGCAATTTATGGAAGAAAACGTTATATGAAAATATTATATGTATGAAGCTCATGAAAATCCTTCAATAACTCATCAGGCTTTTTCACCATGATGAAAAGCTCCAGCGCAGCAAATCTGGTTGCTTTAACCAATGAAAACGCCTAGATGTATTACCCAGTTTTAACAAGGGGTTCGACAAGTTCCTCCGCATTGTTTCGTAGCAAAAAGCATATTACCTCATCATAGCAGAACATAAAACTCATTAAGCCATAGCCCTCGCCTCAGCCTCCAGAGTCTTCTGTATTTCCGCCCACTTGCCTTTGACACGGTATCCACACATCCAGTAGTTGCCCTTCGAGTCTTTGCCCATGAATAGGAATCCCTCTCCGAACTGGAAAGGCATCTGGCTGTGGTTGATGTACGACGGCAGACACGGTTCGCTGCGTGGATTGATGGCAGCGGCAGAAAAGTCCATGTTGAAGAGGTCGGATTGGGTCCAGTTAGAGTAGCTGAGCTGGTGAGTCCGGCTTGAGCCAAAGAATATTGGCAACGCGACAGCCTGCTCTCGGTACATGGACCAGTAGGCCTCAAGCTGTCCGCGTGATCGCTGGGCATTAACGGCCTCTCGAATTTTCGCCGCAGTGTAGCTGAGCGGCTTGCTGAGGATATCACTGGCCTGTAGCAGCACGTTCATGAAACCGAAACAGTTTGCTACGTACGGCTGATCGGTGGGCAGTAGATCTACCTTGAGTGACTTTCTCATAGACCCTGCCAGCTGAATCGTGACGGGCGTATCTGAGTTTGGTGGGAGGTGGCTCAAGGCCATTCGGGTGCACCAGGCAGTGAGGATGTCGTTTTCGGTCAGGAAGGGCTTCTTTCCCACCTCGGCTTGGCTCATGAGCTCGTCCATGGCGGTGTCGAACATCTTGTCTACATACGCACCGGGCAGACAAACCATGCGGTTTTCTTTGGCGCGGAATGCCAAATCGCCCAAGTTGTTGAACAGCCAGCCTGCCATTGCGCCACTCGACATACGCTCTTTCTCGAGTACATGTGTCTCAATCGGATATTTGCCGAGGTCAGCGCAGGGGTCGCTCTCGAATCCAGCCTGCGGAAGGACCTCGTCATCTCGTCCCTCAAGCATCAAGATCCAGTTCTGCATTACGGCCTTGTTGCCCAGCGTGTCACAAGAGATGTGTAGCCAGTGTAGCGTCACGAGCGTCGAGTCTGTGAAAGAGACGATGTGGAGGCCGAACATGGGCCGGTCTGAGTATAGGTAGTCATCGACAACACCTGGACAGTCCGGCCCTTTAGCCAAGGGCAAGAACTCGTCAGGGTCTGCCACGATTGTTGCGCCAGCATTGGTTGTTGGCTTGGGGAGCTTGCTTGCTAACGGGTGGTCTTCCCTCTTCATGTCATGTACAATGTGGGTGTAGCCAATGGCTGGGCGATCGTTGGAGAAGACGGCTGGGACGTGATAGTCGAGTCCTCCTTTGGCCTGGTCATGGTCAGATGCTGTCTCCTATTGTTGCACACAGCTTGATGCGACCTGCACGGCAAGATGAAGAGAAACCCACGTTGCTTCGGAGTCGAGCTCCCATTTTCCCCCAGCCCGGTCTTTGTACCAGCCGGTCAAGGGCATCACGAAGCTTCTCGGGATCAAGGACGTCATCGTAAGCCATCAAGTTATACAGGACAATTCTCGTCATCACCGGGCTGTTGTCCAAGAAGCCCAAAGGGATAACCTTATCGGTCTCCACGCGAGCGGGTGCGGCACGTCCAAAGATACCCATAATGACTTGCCGTAGTGTATAGTAGAGGTTGACGTGAGAGACTTCCCGATCGTGAATCAAGCAATGTGACGTCGCGTCTCAATACTGCAGAAGCGAAGTATCATCGAACCCGTCTGATGAATTGGCGTGTGGTCTGAACCGCGCCAACTTACCGGCCGATATTTATGTCGGCGATACCGGTTGGAAACGCCGCTGCCGGCTCTTACATGCCCTAGCAACTTGATACTGAAACCTAGTCCTAACTTTCTAACAGTGGCTAGGCATGTGGGCTAGTATTATGTATTTATTGGCAGCAGCTGCAGAAGCTGGAATGGCTGTTTGATTACCTACCACATGTATAGCTCATCAGCTGCACCTTACGTACATCTCTCAAGACAAAAGGTCCGATCAAGCGATGGTTAGTAGGCAGTGGCTTTCAGATACTTCCAGATTCCTGGCCACAAGTCCCATTGGCACAGATATTGAGGGCAATATGCATTATTGTTGGTTGGTGGCATTTGGTAGGCAGCGCCGCTGCTGGCCTTCGTAAACCTGATACTCAACTAAGGATTAGTCTGTACCTTTCCCCTAGACATGAGGCTAATACGCGTGGGCGTAATTCTGTAGAAACAAGGTTGTGACTTGTACACACAGGGTATCAATAGGGAATACTTCCTCCGGAGAGTATGGCAATGGTCAAGCAGACGGCGAGGTGAGAGTGCATGACAATCCATTCATCCGGGCTCTGTATTTGGAACACACCTATGTACAAACATGCAACTGATGTATGCTACATTACCCCATTCAGGATCCCTGTACGGCATCTTATCCGGGACGGGGGCCAGTCGAGCCTGATTGGCGGGGCTTTTGCTGTTTTGAACGTGGTGTGTGTGGAACCAACAGCTGATACTACTAGCTGCGGGTTAGACCGTCCCTCCAATTGACGACCGTTATATGACAGATTTCTTCAGCGCCCTCGCTTGCGGAATTAGTCAATCTTCTAGCTCGATCCTACGCGTGGTGCTCGCTAACCTTGTTTTCTTGAATCTATGCACCTCGGATCTTAGTGGGAGGAGAGAGAGCTCTCATTAGAGCTACTTCAGGGGCAGAACAAGAACCGGATGCCGATCTACCCAACTAGACAAAAAATATGTAAAGATGTGGACCAACGCCAAAACTTGGCGTGGTAGAAAAGGGGGTCTAGGTGCTTGCAGGCCTGCTTCTCCACGGCTACTCCTTTACTGACACTCAGTCTTCTTCGTCTAATCCTGGAGGAAGCGGAAATCCACAACGCCCCGTTAGATGCGACGTGCTGTTGGACGCAACGCGAGGAGTCCATAGTAAATTTGCGAAAAACTTTTCTCCTGAATACGAGTAGAGCAGGCTGGCAGGGTATCTCGCGGAACTCGGCGAGTTCTGTGGGAATTGTGAGTTGTGTGGGCACATGGTGCTCGTGGCAAGAGGGGGTGGAGCTTTCAAGTAGTGCACAGATGGGGAGAATTGCGTGACATTTTATATTAGGTAGTAGTACTAGTAAACCTGTGAAATTACCGGCAGATGTTTGCTGTGTATTCTAAATACATGTGAAAATCCAGAGATGCCTCCTTTTCTAATATCATATGCCGGTTTCTATATAGCACCGGGCAGTAAATCTAGCAACTTTTAGAATAAGTAATTAAAAGCAGTAAGCATATAACAAGTCATGAATGCTAATCAGACTATGGCTTTCACGTCTGTCTCCCAGTGGTCATGCCGATCTTCTCTGGGGTCGAAACTACTGGTCTCGACCCTAACTTCGGTTTCTCGAATGATATGGTGCTTGCTGGAGGTATCATCGTCCTCGGAGATTCTGTTCCACGTATTTCGAGATCCGGCCTTCATGTGCGACTTTCCTTGAGAGTTAAGGTCGCCGAGTTGCGTCCCGCGCCCTCCAGTAGACAGGGGTGCAGACTGATTGCCTGATCTTCCTGACGAACCTCGGTAATAAGCCTTGAAGAGCTGTTTCAGAGGCGGAAGGTTGCAGGCAATAATCCCAAAGCTGCCCTCGAGATGCGACCAGATGACGAGCTGGGCTTCCTTGACTGCAGATATCGTTTAGCAGCTGGGTAGTAGCAAGGTGGAGGGGAAAAAAAGATGGTGTACTCACCCAGATTGTCCTTTGGATGGAATCTCTCGTCTGTCTGGGGATACATGGCAATACGCATGATAGCTGCAAAGCTGGCGAGTACACCGAGGCCGAGAATGGCACAGACTGAGATCTTCTTTCTCCGGTTCATTTGCAATTTACGCACGATAAAAAAAGGTGTGATGGCGACAACCCAGTCTGTGGCGACCTGGATAGATGTTCCGATGTAGCTCATGATGAACCAGCCGTCCGGCGCCGGAGCCCAGCATTGTCCCCTGAGTATTCGAGTTAGGCATGTTTGAAGTCTTTCGAGGCATTGAATGCGCAGGCTGTACGAACAATTTCGGATTCCATCTTGTTGCAAATGGCTTGCAGTCAGAGAAGAGAAAGATGAGAGCACCAAATGCTGTGAGGGCCATGGTTCCCACTGTCGACACTGTCAGCACGATTGACTTGGATAGGCAGACCTAATCTGTCACATCGCTAAGAGATGATACTTACTAGCACCATAAAGAGCAAATCTATAGCGCTTCAGTGTGCATATCCTTAAGATGGTAAAGGCAATAGAAAACTTGGTGAGTGTTGAAGACCCAAAGTAAATCAGCTCATACAGCAACTGAAGTTCCTTGGCTCTGATCTTCATAAACGGATTGACGGCACTATCTGGAGCGCCAACTCCATAGTATGTGCCTGCGATGGCGAGAGCACAGGCAGGGAGATACGGGCCCTACAATGGAAGAATATCCGGTCAGTCACAACATGCCGTATATGGGATCATTGGATAGCCATACAAAACCTCCCACGGCCAGATAGTCATCGATGCCTATCGGCCTTCCTTGCTCCCGTCGAATAAATCGTACCCATACGCGAAGACTGAAGACTGCAGTGCACAAGATTGCCGTCGTGTAGACGATTCCTTGGATGGCGATACCGGCGCCTGCAGGTTTTATTGGCGGCTGGGATTCGGCAATCTTTTGAATCTGCTCTCCGGTGAGTCCATTGAATTCCGGGGTATACGGAAAGTACGCCGACATGATGGCTTGCAGCTCGAAACGGCGACTTCCTCTTGGATAGGTGGGGAAGCAACAAAAAACCACAGCCGACTGTTCACAATAAGAGGTCCCTCAGTATTACTTATAACAGACCCCCGAAATTCTTGAATACCAGCAGCCCGGCCGATGCTACTGTTGCCCACTACGGCACCATGAAATAGGAATATTACCCGCCACGGTACCGCGAAACAGGAAGCTTCCTATCTGGAAATGATCCACGTTCGCTCATCAAATGTTCCGGTCCTGGTCCGAACACGCGTAGGGGCGAACACATGCAATGGCTGGCTTATGGTGCCACCTCTGACTCTATACAGTTGTTCCTGCATTGTCGGTGCTGGTAAATGACCGGGTGTATTAGAAGGTGGAGTTGGAGGTGGCCCGTTACAGTGTTCTACAAAGTCGGGCGGATTCAGGCAAAAACTTGGGCTGATTACTGTCATTGCACATAAGGGATCAACCTGTTACAAGAGACCAGGTTATACCTATACCTTGACAACAAGTAATTCTTTCTCCCTCCAGGGCCCTGCCCCCGAAACCCTAGCTCTCTTGGATGCGTATCGAATGTAGTGAAATCAATTACATAAAGCTAGTGCTCCTTTTTAGCGTCAACGCATTGGCCTTGAGAGCGGCGGAGACCATCCTAGCTTTAAATCGGTCTTAACCCAACCGGATGTGAGCCCCCGAGCCACTAGCTTCTCGTGATTATGGTATTGTTGCTACGGTCACTTGTGGTAAAAACCGGCCAATACCCGGTTACGAGCAGGATGCTGGAGTCCCTGCCAGCAAAGTGCCAAAACGAAGCACGGTGGCAAACGCTTCGCACATCTGGACACTTCCAACCGGAAATCTCGGTTGCATAACGGGATTTTTGCTATACTTTATATATCTTTATATGTATTTCTGACAAAGAATGCTATTTTGTGGCGTAGAAAATTTATAGTTACAGGGCCTGAGAAGGCAAATGTTCAAGTGCATTGTCCATCTTTCTATCTTTCTATCCAGACTGCGATGGCATCTGTGCGATATTTGACATCTATAGAATTTGATAGTTACAGTTGCATTCCCACTCAACTAGGTGCGGCTTCGCTTAACATCAGGGCACTTCGTTGGCTCCTGGCTGTCATTTTTCCGGCACTCTGGAACCTGGGAACCCTGTTAGCACTTGTAACACCATGCCGGGAGGGCAACTATATTTCGCTATTTTGAACTACTCTATACATTGAAAGAAGGAAAAGATTGAGTAATTTTTTTTTTTTTAATTGCTAGCTGATCTAACGGCCGAACATGATTTGCTAATATCAGTGCCTTATAACAGCACTCCTTTTAATAACCACTTACAAAGGAACTTACAATCAGTGTCTTCTCTCTATACTGAGTAACATTATCCTAATCAACTGTTGCTGGCAGCTGGGAATGAACAGCCTATCTGCTTTTCTTTCTCGCCCAATCTCTTAGAGAACGTCCTATATATAGTTCGTGGTGTTTAATACCATTAACCAGGGTACGAAAAGCATGGGTAATAGGCAATCTTGGATAGGATAAAGCTATTCCGTGGGTTAGAATGGGAAATAAGCAAAGAGGAATGCCAGGGCCAAAGGCAAGCAGCGTAGTTATCTGCGCCTTGTACGCCGTGATGCCTTCGTTGCGGTAATGCTATAGTTGTAAGATGGATGAGCTTACAAGGGCTTGAGTCGAGTTACATTTCAGTCAGCGCCGTTTGGATGGCGAGGTAAAGACTTAGCAGTAATTGGAAACGGGAAACGAGATGTTAGAGCTATGTAGTCAACTCGCCAGATATGACCTATTATTATCGTTGCCATTGTAACAGATCCAGAGATGATAATAGGAGGCAAAAAAGAGCAAGACAGCTTCTCAATTTCTTATTTATTGTCAGGCCAGAGATCAGGAACTCCAGGAAGATTGATGTTGAAACGTAAGAAGTTTAATAACTAGACACTGCTCGGAGCCACGTAAGAATATACATTCTAGGAGCTCTGCTCACCTACATGTCTAAGAGAAACTATACCCTAAAGTACTAGTAGCTCCGATATTCCTTTTACTTCACATTAAAGTCACAACTATCTTCCTTATTAAATCATGGCGGAATCTATGAACATGAACTCTCCGACCTTTCTCAATGACTATTATACGAAGTCTCCGGTACAATTGCTAAATGTCATGAAGTATAGAAACGCAAATCACTCTCATAACGAGCGTGCAGATCGCTTCTAATACGTCTATAGGCAGACGGTAGGCCACTTTACTCAACCGCGTGTACATACAGAACCGAAGTTCAACCTGAGGAGGCTTAGAGTCGGCATATGAACGATATCCTTGCTGGTAGTAGATTACTGGATTGCTCTTGACAAGCAAGAGATGGCTAATCTTGCCATTTATTTCGCTTACACGCTGATCCATGATGATGCTACATAAGATTGGTGAATGAGAATCTGCCGAAGCTGACAAGCTACCATGATCCCTACCTATTGCTCGCTAGGCATCTACCGAAATACAACAAACTGCAGACCAAATGCCACCTTTGCTCTCTGGAGCCAGTAAGCTGATAAAAAATGTACTGGATTTTGCAGCTATTTTTCCAGCAGATGAGTTTGACGAATCCGAATAATTTCGCGAGATTACGTCATCAATATGCCAGCTGGAGTTCTATAACGCGTGGGTGAACGATATGCTGCCCTTCTATAAGCAATTCGACGACCTCCGTGACGAGTCGAGCCCGGTGAATTACCGCATGGTGAGCGACTTGACGCTATAGGAAGGGCTCGGCAAATTTATAGAGAACGCACTCCGAAATTCCTAAGAAGATCAAGAGCGTGTTTGCTGTTAGGGATAGCTGTGTGAAATATGTTAAATACGATAACCAAGTTCATACATGGCTACATAACACGGCATCTTTGCGATAGGCGTTACCGTATGGCCAGAGTCTATGGAGTTTCACGGGCCGACAATGCTGTCAGTGTCACATTCAGCCAATATTTTGAAGGGGGCTATAAGATTGGCTCGATCGATCCAGCAGAGTGGACAGAACCCACGTTCCTAGAGCTAGTCAGGAAGCAGAATCAGCGTCAGAGTCTATTGATGGTGAAGAGTCTTCAGCTGCCGAGCATGGATGTCACCAAAAGCCTCCCGGTAGTCCAGGTAGTCTTTGTAGTGTTTTTGCTGGAAAATATTCTGTTAATTGTAAAAGCACGACTTCCTCTATCTCAGTTGGGTACATGTTTTGAACGTATGAAGTGAGACACATTGAAAGTGTAATTTACAATAGCGCTGTTGCGTGAGAACAAACAGAAGAGAGATCTATCGCTGATCAAAGGAGGCAAAATTATTAAAGGAGCCTAATGTACGTCACCTTTCCATGGGGTTAGGAATATGAAAGAATTTCCTGACTGGAAAGGTTTGTTCAAAAGATTAAGATTACGATAACGAAATGAACGCTGCAGGCGAGTCCAAATCCATTATCACATATAGCATGTAGAACAGCAGCCCACTACCTGGATCTGGAAAATAGCAGACTACAATGGATGAAGCCGAAATTTATTGAGGGGCAGTGTATGAAGAGCCAGGTAGGAAATATTGGCAGCTTTCCGACGGGCGCTGTCCACCGGGATACATTTCGGCTTCTTCCCCGTCGACTTACTGGGTGAGTTCTTGAAGCACTGTGAAGAAGAAAAAAATGCAAGGCCAAGCATGACAATCGTTAAGCGGCAATACGAGCTATACAAGTACCCCTGGCATACAAGATGTAATTGCCGCGGGTTTACCATTGAGAGAGGAGCCTATTGACTTCTATCAATGTCTACTCTGACAAAGAGAATGCAGTTTTCCTTGTGTGCTTATACGTGTTCCATTGATCTACTAATTCGTGTTTGTTTAGCCTCCGCTCAAATGACAGCTCACAAACAACAGATTCCGACCACTTCTGCAGAATACACGCGTGTCCTTGTTCTCTCCCTCGTACGGCTCCACTGTCCCTAGTCCACTCTCTCACTCGAGCTTCATTCCGGAGAGCTATATCCGGAAGAATTCTGGCACGTCACAATGATGATGAACTCAATGTTTTAACCCCTTTGTTCAGGTCCACGTCGATCTGAATACTCCTAACCTTGAGAATAGTATGTCTGCTCAGTTTCAGATACAGCGTCATCCTCGGCCGCAGATGATTACGGTAAATGTATACGGTAGTGAGACGAAAATTATCAATGATTCGTATAGATCATTAGACTCTCATAATATTACCCTCTATAATGAATGGCCGTGCGATGGGGGCAGGATCTTCAAAAAGAATATGAAGCTGACCTGCCTATCACCACTACTCGTCCTATATCGCCATCGATGGCTAAAAAATAAAAAATACGATGTGATGCCTGTTTCTCCGGATAATACCCTTTAAACAACGACATCGAATCTACCACGGGGATGGAAAGACTGATCTAAGTTGGAGAAGCGTTGTCAATACGCTAAAGCCTCATGGCCGTCCGAATGGGCGTGCTCATATCTCCGAGCGCGGCAATCTCGACTCTTCGGAGCCACTAGATCGGCCATTTAATACAATGGAGCTGGTCGCCAGCCAAGCCGCCAGTCAAGCTATTGAAGTTGGCAATCGTTGAGATCATGCAGTTCTCACGAGAGCCGCCAAATGCCAACAATACGAAGCCTGTCAATGATATGAGAATTTTTAAAATGAGCAAGGTACGTTGGGAGTGTCAATGCATGCATGGTAAGCGGCATATCCCATATCTTCGCTATCGATATTACTTCCAAGAATCGCCTCATATAGTTGAGTCGCAAACATCTAGAGAATATTAGTAGTAGCATCGACTTGAGAAGCAGCTTGTGGAAACTAGCAAAAAGCCCGCGTCGGTGAAATAATAGTAATCAGACTAGCATGGTTGATGATCCAGCTCTAGTTTGGTTCTTTTGGCGTTCAAGGTCGCATGTGATGCTAGTCAATTGGTTAAATATACTAGTAGTAGTAGTAGGAGTAGTAATACAATGTAGGCCTGGGATATTCTGAAATAGCATGTGCACGTAAGCACACCGATCTTTGGATATTACTGTGTATTAGGCGTCCTGACGTGCACATTTGCTCTCATAGGCCTTCTTAGGTGATTCGTGTTTGATGCCATCTGACGGCGGCTTAGTCGACTTAGCCACCTCTGCCCAAAAAGGCTGCTACTAATATGGTAGCTACGCAACTATGTATTAATGAGGACAAGTAGAAATAAATAACGGTGCTATAATAGTGATGCTACGCTGCGAGTTAGTAAGCTCTCTTTGTAAAAGACGCGAGTGAAGCGTATTACACACAGCAGTGAACTTATCCCCTTCGCGGAAGAAACGGATGGGGCCAAACTCAGCCCCGCGGCTTCGCAACAAGCCCAATGCCTCCAAAAAGGATAAATCTGAGAAAAAAAAGGGCAGCCTCTGTGGCGCTAGCTGCTCAGCAACAGCATTAAAAGCATGGAGCGGGCACCAATGACTTTCAGCTCCAGAGTCTGCCGGACCAACCAAGTGATGATTTGCTGACGTACCCCGTAGATGGCACTGAATAGCCCAGTCACCTGAGGAAATGTAAGGGCCGCCAAACGCCCAAGAAGCGTAGCATCTCGCAGCCTGCCAGCGTGTTGCCTGCACGGCAATGACCGAATGGCCTGCCATAGAGAGCACTACGACAGCCTGGTGAGACAAGATCGGCCGAATCTATGCGTATCCGATTAGCATTCCGGTGTATTTGGCGCCATGCTAAATGGCCGGATGAGAAGCATCACCATTACCCGCATGCAGGATCACAACCACGTGAAGACTCTCGAGGCCCGTAGAGGTTAGTATGAAGTACTACTGCTGCTTCGTATACCTGTATGCGCCAGGATAATGCTTGAGCCGGCAGTTAACCTTTGTATGCTGTACTTGCATACTTTCAAGAGAAGCAAGATGCCTGTCTCACCCAAAATGAGTTTGGCGAGATCGCTGAAGACCGCCATGCCAGCCACCCCCAACAAGACAACGATGCACACAGAAGCCAATGATTGGTGGGTGGCTCGGCAGCAGCCAATGGAGGCTTTCATCGACGGCCAGATCTTCGGCAATTTTCTCCAAAGGGCTGAAGTTCCTCCGTCAGTATGGTTGAGTTGCTTGTTTTCACCGCTTCACTACCGAATAGCTGCCGAATAGCTTGTCGGAGTTTGGAACTCCCGGCAGTGCTTCTCCATACAGCGTAGTCGAAGGATCAGGTCCCCCAGAGCTGCAGGGCAGAGCAAATGATAGTTTGGCGCCACACCTCGTCGGTGAATTGAGATTGAAGAAGCTTAGGCAAGATTTGCGGGAGCAGTAATAAGGCGAGCTGGCCTCAGATCAGAGGTTGCGCGTCGCTTGAATTTCCCCGACACATCAAACCCATTTCGAAACCGACAGCCATCGGCGCAATGATTCCCTTTGGCCTGTGTGATGCTCTGGAATCGCAACTTCTGCTACCCTCAGCCTAATCCAACGCCATAATGACCGAGCATGGATGCTGAAAACTCTCCTCCAAGGCCGCGCGACACCGCTTCGCTGAACTCGTCTTTGGCTCGATTGGGGAAGTTGGCAATAGGAGGGAATTAGTTCACAACCCACAGCAACAGCACCTGCGATCATCCACTGAGACATTTCGCAGTCTTGGCGATATCATCATTACTCCTCGCTGTCGTAATTACCGTTACGTCCGCAAACCTACCCTCTCTCTGTGTCTCTAAAAGCTGCGTGGCGATAAACAACATCAACTTCGCGACAGCGAGCGTCTCGGCCACCGTTCACCTACAGATGTATCCAGTAATCGACCTGAACACGCCATGGCCGGACTTACAGAGGGGCAGTATCGTGCGCTCACCATTATTGAGCGTACATGTTCATCACTATCGATGCTAGGATGCCTGTTTACCATGTCCACGTTTTGTTTCTCCAAATATTTCAGCAAATCTATCAACCGGCTAGTTTTTTATGCCTCCTTTGGTAACCTAATAACGAATATTGGAACCATGATGTCTCGCGCTTATATCGACTCGCCCAATTCAGCTGGTTGCCAAGCGCAGGCATTCATAATCCAGACGTATGTCCTCCAAAGACCTTCCAACCCATGTCGCGGGACGCAAGTTCAGTCAAGGCTAACATCAGAGCGACCATGCACAGCTTCATGCCGGCCGATGTACTTTGGACGTTGACCATGGCCATCAATGTCTATCTTACCTTTTACCACAAATATGACGCCAGAGCTTTGCGCAAGATAGAGCCCATCTATTTGCTATGCTGTTACGGCCTTCCATTCGTGCCTGGATTCACCTTCTTTTTCATAAAAGATCAGGGGGGAACTCGAGTTTATGGACCTGCAGTTTCGTGGTGCTGGATATCTAGCGAATGGGATGTTCTTCGTGTCGCAGCCTTTTATGCTCCTTTGTGGTAAGTGGCTCGTGAATTAGTTTACGGCAAGTGAAAACGGAAATTATAGTTACTGATTACGCCAAAGGGTTTGTATCACAATCACATTTATGATCTACATCGGAGCTGGTCGTACCATATACAAAGTACGAAAGCAGGTATACCTCTTTCAGTCGTCCGACCTCGACCCTCTTTCAGTCGACGAGGTTATGACATCTAACCCCTCAACTGATGCAACAATGACAATGGAGTCCATGTCGGGGATTGAGCCGGCAAAACTTGGCCAGAACAGTAGCCAACCTAGTTATGGAGGTGGCTCAAGCTCAGAAACAGCAACGAGGCCTCAATCGGTCCACGTTGCCAGCAACCTATCCAATCTGTCGAACCAATCTGATGGGTCGCAATCAACATACTTCTATTCTTCGCCTCCTCATCGAGGGTCAAATCCACCGCGACCTAGTGTCACCCATGGTGTGGCATCACGAGCCTTCCGCTCTATTCGCCGGCGAAATCACGAGCGAGACAATGCCGCTTGGTCGTATACCAAATGTGCCCTCCTGTTCTTCACGGCCATGCTTGTCACATGGATACCGTCCAGCGCCAACCGCCTATACTCTCTCACACACGACAGAGCCACCTCCACACCGCTAGAATTTATGAGCGTCTTAGTGCTTCCTCTGCAGGGATTTTGGAATTGTCTCGTTTATATCACGATATCGTGGACGGCCTGCAAGAATTTATTCAACGATATGTGGCTGGCAGTGCGATCGGCCACTCTTAGCCGCATGGAACGCATCCGCGGAAAGGCCAATCACGAAGGTCAAGAACAAAGTCCAGAACAGTCAGTCTAAAACGGCGATGTTTATTTAATTTTTGTCGAGGTATATATACGAATGCGATAAGCGTGGGGAGGGTTTGCGGTAATGAGTTATGCACGGGATGGAGTACACGGCGTACAGGTCACAATAGAGCAAAGGCGAAGAGCAAAGGCGAAGATATACCCATGAAGCACAGAGTATTAAACATTGCAACACATGTACATTGATGGATGCACCATATGGAGCAGTTCATACTTTCTTCCAATAGCTCTATGATATTTGGCGAAATGAAAGATCTCAATCATGGCGTAAATGCATGCCGTTTAGAGGGAGCCGAGGCTGAACCAGCGCAACTACTAGGCAACCCGCCGTTATGCTTCTGCAAAGTGTTTGCCATTTGTAAATCACGAGCGCGCTACGGAGTTCGGAGCACCAGCATGTCTCCAAGCAGACGAATTATCTTGGCCGTATATGAAGTAGTTTGAACACTAGACAACATTAGCGCAAAGGACTATTGGACTATGGGCGTTGTGGAGGTCTGGATCTAGCACTTACATGGTAGTAGTAGTATTCCAACAATCCGTACAGAACGGCCAGTGCCAGCCCAAAACCGCCGCCGTTGGATGGGCAGGGTGCGATGGGCCCTTCTTACAGAATCTCGCGAATATAGCAATCAGTGTGTTATTGCCAAATGGTCCATGTATCCCGACTACGTAGAAACACAGCCCGCATAGCTTCATGCAGTCGCCGCCTAGTAGAGCTCAATGCTGACGAGCTGCAACCCATTCTGGGCATTTCATTACGCCATTTCTATTGTTCATTCTGTAATCCAGCGTGTCCTGCCCATCTCCACTTCTCCGCTACCCCAGATCTCCATTTATTTTGCTCTCAAACCCCTAACTCACCCACCTTCATATGCACAGTTGCTCACTGTGGGAAAATACATACAATGTCAACCGGGTGTGTTGTCTGCCGCTCGCGAAAGGGAAGCTGACCAACCCAATTACCCTTCTTATGCCCTATCGGGCCAACTCCCGTCCAGAAAACATGACTGCTTACATTCCAACAGGTTCGGTGCGACCGCAAATCGCCCACATGTCGCAATTGCGATCGCCTGGGGGTGAATTGTCCAGGTTATAGTGACACCACGGCAATTCTATCACAGAAAGATGGGTCGCGACAGCGACTTCAAGATTCAGTGGATTTCATCTATCGGGCATCAGGGGTTGAGAAGCGCAGAGTTGGGTCTTGTGATGAATGTCGTCGAACAAAGAGTCGTTGCTCTCGCACACGACCTGTTTGTAAACGCTGCACGAGGAAAGGGTTTACGTGTAAATACAACGCCAAGTACGACGCGTCTGTTGCCGGCACCTCTGCCACTGTTACTAGTCAGTCGCCGCAGTCACCGTCGGCGGCAGAAACCAGCATATTAGCAGCCACTTCAAATGGCCGCGGCATCGCATCTACACCTGGTAGCCAAGCTGGCACGATCTCTATGCCTCTATCATCATCAATACCGCAACATTTACAATGGTATGTACCTATAGTAGGAGAACAAACGGACAGTAATATGCTCGAATATGATTGACATGTGACAAATATTAACACCCTTCCTCTCACAGGCTCTATTCAGATACCCTGCCACAAGACAAGTTCCATTTACAGTCTCTAACTGACATGTTCTTTGACCGGATATCCACTCTTCGGTGTTTAGGGTTTATCCATAAACCAACCTTTTTTCAGGCACTGGACAGAGGCACGCTGAGTGAAGATTTTGGAGAGGCAGTCATCTATATAGTTGCTGCGCTTGGAGCTAGGTAGAAGCCATTACCGTTATGTTCAAGGTCAGCTTCTTTTTGCTAACATTGATGATAGAATGTATCTGCTAGATGATCCAGATCAATTCAATAATCCATTTTATGGTATTCCTGGGGTTGCGTGGGCTGAACGAGCCCGAGATCTTGCTATGCGAGAGATAGCAAATCCCTCTCTTTCAACCATGATGGTTTGTGACCTACATTGCCTACCGGATTTATAATGTCGGTATCTAATTCTGAATGGTAGGCAATGGTCCTCCTCTGCGAGCATTCAGTTTTCATGGATCAACATGCCTTGGCATTTGTCATCTTTGGATGCTGTGTCCGCATTATGAGATTACTCGGCTTAGACTCTCTGAAAAAGGCAGCCGCTCCATCAGGCCTTGCTCATATGACGCAGCTGGAAACAGAAAGACGACTTCTGTGGTCTTGCTACCTCATGGATAGCTTTCTTGGTGGCGGAGTAGACGGGAACCTGTACTGGAAAGACGATTTTCCATGCGTACCGCTACCTTGCTCTGATGCGAGCTTCATCGCCCAGGAGCAATATGCCGACTTTGAACCTCCAAAGCTGAGTACATTCGAGCTCTACCCAGATCGTAGCTACCTTACTCTTCGCTGCCATACGATATATCTTGTACAGCTGAGAACGCGGGTACTCAGGTCTGTCGCTGTCCAAGCATAAGAATCATTGGCCGTGCCACTAACCGAATATTCTAGACTCATCAGAAATAACAACCAGGAAGTCAACATTTGGGATTCCGGATCTCCGTTTCTCGATATCATTCAACGATTAGAACTTTGGTATGCCGGTTTACCTGAGCAATTGGTGATATCCGATTTCAATGTATACATCCACAAAGAACTCAACATCATTAGTGCTGTTTTCATGCTGCATTTTCTTTACCACTCCATTGTTTGCGATCTAACGCGAGTTTCGCTCCCGGGATATGTCTTTCCGCTATCAGCCGCGTTCCATTCTTCTCCCCTGGAATTTCGCAGACAATGCCAAGAGCGATGTCGATTTCATGCGGATGAGATATCACGACTTGTTCACGCGGGGTTCGGCTACGGCATCCGGGCTTTCGATGATTTGCACAGCTTAATGGCCACATTCGAGTCAACCAAGATCCAAATCATTCACACTGCGACAGCTACATCCAATTCCATCGACATAAGAGAGCGAACGAGCAAGAATATTCGTTTAAATATGCGAGCGCTGGATATTCTTTATCTGCAGAAGGATAAATCGAATCCTTATGTTAGTCTGCTCTTAACAGTCGATGAGACGATGCTGACCATAGTTACAGCACAAAGCCTTGATACCATTATTGGAGAAATTCGACTTCAACAACGTTGTGGCCGAATGGCAAGCCTATCCAAGCCCAATGTTCGTTCCTCGACGCGACTCCCTCACCATGCCTAAACAGCTACTGACATTTACGGTTTTTAGATCAATGAATTCGGAGCAAGCTGAAGTTACAGGACCAGAAGACGCCGCTTATTTGAGCAGTTTGGCCCCATTCCGCCTCGCAAAAGAAGAGATTCGCGCCCAGGTACGACAACGAAGAGGATCTTCTCCAGCAGGAAACGAGTTGCCAGAGTCTCCAGCAACGGTCCGCCCACCGCCCATCATCTCCTTGCCTCAAAAAGACGCCCTTGGCGGTATTAACTGCGCCAGCGGAAACGCCGGCCTGCTGGGAAGCGCAGATTTTTCTCTAGACCATATGCAGCTAGCATCTACAACACATCCTACACCTCCTAGCGCTACTGGCCAGGACGTAACGGCAGAAATTCAGGGGGGAGTAGCGAAGGACATGGTTGGCTTGTCAGACTTGGCAGAAGACTACATCCGCATGGCAGGCGAGATGGCCAACTACATTTCTTGGGACATATCGGAGCCACATTCATGGTTAGATTTCGACATTAGCTCGAACAATATATGACAGCCACGTCCACTTCATGTTGAGGACGAGCGAGAACTGAAGATTCAGGCCTCTAATAAGCATATTTATAATAAGCTTGAAGAGCGGAAACAGCCTACTTAGATACGGCTGACCTCTCTATGACTGTTTTCTTTTTCTCTGAAAGAGAGAGTTGACTTTTCCCTTTTTTTTATATATATTAAAGCAAACTGCTTGGAGGTCTTTTTCTCATTATACTTTCTAATTATACAGCGGGAACAATTTCTGCCAACTCTTGTGGCGTTATTTCTGGTCTTCCAATATACTTGATCCATGCATACGGATCTTCCATCTCATCCTGCAGAGTTGTTTGCTGAGCGCCCTGGATAGCCTTTGGGTACTCACCAGCAAGGCCAACAACGCCAACGTCTTTTCTATATTCTTCCCACAATGCGAGCATCTCCTTGAGTCTTTCTGGCTCCTTTTCGCTTAAATCGTTTGTCTCGCCAGGGTCCGACACGAGGTTGAATAGTTCCCACCTCTGGGGACCCTTGGGCGCTGGTACATATGTTATCTTCCAGTCACCGCGACGCAGAGCTCCAGATCCAGCAATCTCAAAGCCTGCTACATAGTCGGTTTCGTGAATCGGCGACTTGCGGCTCCAGCGACTGACAGACTCTAAATAAGTTCTCCAGCTCTGGCCACGCAGCGATGCAATCTTGCGACCGTTGTACTCTGTGCCTGGGTGTTTCAGCCCAGCAAAGTCCAACACAGTTGGCACAATATCCATGACCGTGCAGAACGCATCAGTGATGACACCCCCATCATCGCTGCCGCGGTGGTTGTTGATCCCCGCATGAGGCTTCACTACCAGGGGCACCCTGCAGCCTCCTTCGGTAGAAAACATCTTGTACAATCTCGATGGCGCGGTTGCGGCCTGCGCCCACAGAGGGCCATACCAGACAAACGAATTGCCCCGGCCAATATTGTCCAGACTGTTATCATAATATTTATTTACATGGGCCATGACGCTATTGCCAACTAAGGGGGTAGCTTCGTAGCTAGCCCCTTCAGCACCATTGTCGCTCATGAACAAGATGAAAGTGTTGTCATACTCGCCCGTCTTGCGCAAATGATCAAGGACGCGGCCAATGTTCCAATCCATCCGATCCACCATTCCCGCGTACACCTCCATAGCCCTGGCAGAGGCGGCGCGTGTTTCTTCGTCCAAAGACTCCCAGTTCTTCACCTCGGCCCCAGTCGTGACAACAGGATGGGCCACTGCATCTTGACCAACAAGACCGAGAGACTTGAGCCGCTCAAGGCGTTTCTGACGTAGTACTTCCGGCCCGTCTGCGTATTGGCCCTTGTACTTGTCACACGTCTCTTTGGGCGCTTGTAGAGGCCAGTGAGGTGCGCTGAAGGGAAGATAGGCAAAGAAAGGTTGTTGGCGCTCCTCCTCGGTGCGGTTTTTCAAGTACGAAATCATCCGACCTGCATAACCGTCTGATGAATACCAATCTTCACCAAGCTCTTTCTCGCTCATGTAACGATCATCTTCTGCATGTAAAGCTCGTGTTGCCGTCTCGAAAAATCGCCCCGGCTCTGTGGTGGGATCCTGGTATTCTGGCTCATAGGCTATTATCACGCTGGTTAGAAAATGTTCGTCTTATCCAAAACGGAAAAGGGAATGGGAAACTAGTAAGCTCATACCGTAATGATTTGCACATCCTGGTAGCAGCGCCAAGCTCTTCTTGAAGCCGCGCTTAATGGGTAGATGCTGCTTTTGCAAGCCCAGATGCCATTTGCCACTCATAACAGTGAAGTAGCCTCCATCAGATAACAGCTCTGGAAGCGCAACTACCCTTTCGTTCAGGTAGCCCTCGTGGCCTGGTTGTCCCTTGTGAGCAGGTGAGCTGCGAACAAGTTCGTATAATTGTCCAAGCCCAGCAATGTGATGGTCTGTTCCTGTCATGAGCATCGAACGAGTTGGACTGCAAGCTGCAGCAACGTGATACTGTGTGAAGCGCAGAGACCCTTGCTGGGAGGCCAGCGAATCGATGTGAGGGGTAGCTATCTCAGAGCCATAGCAGCCAAGGTCACTGAAGCCAAGGTCGTCGGCGACTATGACAAGGAAGTTTGGTCGAGTATCCTTCTGGCTGCCCATTGTCGATGTGTTGACACCGCACGATACAAGGCTGTATGTTGGAAGGTTTGAAGAGTAGCGGAGTGTAAGAGACGCGCAACACGCCGACCACAAGTCCAAGTTCAATGTATGGAGCAAGAACTTTCTTTTTAATCATTAATACATATGGATCCATATGGAGTGTGCAACTACTGCTCCATAGTCAAATAGCTTTCCCCAGCCGTTCTTGTCAAAGCTGAGCGTGTCCACATGGAAGTCGGGGATTTGGCGGAACCGATGTTCCCCGGCTTTCTGGCTTTCGCAAAGTTTAGCAAGTTTAGCATACAGAAGCCATTCATACGGGGAGGCTACACACAATAGCATCTAGCCATGAGATCGTAACCGTCCTAGTTTGGCCACTTGCTCCGCCTAAATTCTGGGGCCGACCCGCGGCCCTCGCCTGCTGCCGGCTTTCGCATCGGATTTCGGTGCCCTAGTTTGCGGTTTTCGGTGGCTCCAAGCATTTTGGCAGCGGACAACGTCCATGGCGAGTTGATCCATTTGGATGGTGCAATGCTCTACGGTCCAGGCGTTCAAGGATTGACGAGTCGACAAGCCAACACAGTTGTGGCTGTAGAACGTTGATGTTGAAACATTCTATATATGTTGTGAATAATCCTGTCTTCTTTTCGTCCGGAGATGGTGGCAACATCTGGAGCATCGGGAACGCGACCAAACGCGGTCATCCTTTCCCTGTCAGTATATAGAAGGTTGTCTTGAACTTGTCTTCGTCTCTATTCATTACAACGCATCACCGTTTTGATATCCTCTATATTCCAAAAGAATTGCTGTCGAGTTAAAGAGGTTTATATCAAAGATGACGATCGACTCATCTTCGTCGGTAAACCTGTCTGCAGGTTACCGACTGAGACAATTCAATGGCACGATTGTGTTCATCATGCTGTAAGTGCTATATAAATTCCATCATTCTCATAATTGATTCTTTTCCTAACTGTTGTATGAACTTGTAGATATATGTGCTCCTGTGCCTTCAACTTTGGCTATGATGTTGGCAACTTTGGCGGAGTCCAGGGCATGCAGAGCTTTGGCAAGCGATTCGGCGAATGTAATGCAACAACAGGCGTCTGCAAGCTGCCTCCATGGTTGTCCTCCCTTATGACGTCCCTTCCCTTTCTCGGGAAGGCTCTAGGTGCCATTGCTTGTGGACCGATTGCCGAGCGATTTGGACGCAAGAAGTGCGTCTTGGTCTTGGCTTGTTTATCATTCATGTGAGTCAACCTTATATTCAATCTTGGGAGAAATACGGTTTCTTGTTGTAGATAGATTACTAATGTCGAGTTCTGCAGTGGCGTTCTATTACAGACGACAGCGAGGACAAGCGCACAATTCACTGTTGGCAGATTCGTAAGCTTCGGCATGACGGGTATGACTATTGTGGTTGTCCCGATTTACCTGGCCGAGACATCACCCAAAGTTTTACGTGGCATGATGACGTCTACATTGCAGCTCATGATTGTATTCGGCCAGCTGGTAGCCTCATTGGTTACATACGGAACGCAGCATATCTCAGGTGATAAAGGCTGGCAGATTCCCGTCGGCCTGCAATTCATTGCCCCAGCAGTCATCGTAGCGTTGCTACCGCTGGTCCCTGAATCACCTCGATGGTACGTACTATCAAAAAGTATCTCGAAAGCGTTTGTGTTATCTAACGCTTCATAAACTCCAGGCTTTTGACTCGAAATCGAATCGAGGAAGCAAAGGCTTCTCTTCGAAGAATATACAAAAATCATAGCGAGACCGAACTTGACCAGGAGATTGACATTTTACGCCATGCTCATTCTACAGAAGAAAAGGGCTCATGGGCGGAGGTTTTCAACAAAGACAACAGAAAGCGTACCATGGTTGCTGTGATTGCCATGTTTGGCCAACAGATTACCGGCCAGGCATTTTCCAGCCAGTACTCTGTTGTATTCTACCAGTCAGAAGGATATAAGAGCCAGGCTTTCCTGTTCAATATTTTAAGCAATGTCTCGGGTCTTGTCTGCCTAATAGCTACCTGGTTTATCATCGACCAAGTCGGAAGACGACCGATGCTGATGACTGGTGGATCAGGAATGGCTATCTTCCTCTTTGTTGTTGGCGGTGTTGGAGTCGTTAAAAACCCCAGCAATTCTGAGAGAGGAGGATTGGTAAGTTTTTTCTTAAGCTTTTTTCTCTCGTAAAATTGCATACTTACGACTACTAGGTGGCATCTTTCATTTTATTCACTTGCTCTTACAACCTTTCTTGGGCACCTGTTTCATACGTGGTGGTATCTGAAGCAGCTTCTACCCGTGTGAAGGAAAAGACAAACCTCCTGGCCTCTGTTATTTCTATCATTACCACATTTGTGACCTCGTTCACTATTCCGTATTTGCTTAATGCGCCGTATGCAGCACTGGGGGCCAAGGTTGGCTTTATCTACGGTGCTATCAATGTGTTGATGGTTATCGTGGCCTACTTCTTTATTCCAGAGATGAAAGGGCGAAGCCTGGAAGAAGTTGATGAACTGTTCGCGTCAGGCGTACCGTTTCGAAGCTTTAGCAAAGCCACAACAACCCCCACAGCCACATATATTGAAGACATTGCTAGGAAAGAGCCGGCTTCTGGGGAGGCTTAGAATGCGCTGCATTCGATAATAGTGGATAATTAGTGAGAAGGAGGCAATCCTAAAGTTAAATCAAGTTAATATAGTCAGCGTAATGAATGCTAGTCTTTTAATCTAGTTGGCTGCCATTCAATTCTCTTCTCAAATCGGTTTCTTTTAGGTCTACATCGTCTAAATTTCCGGTCTTGGTTGTAGCCCAGCAATGAGGAGTGGCCGCAGTTCGTCTTAAGGAACAGTGGAGTATTCCGGTTGCCATGTTAACGATCGTTTTTCATGCTATTAGAGCTGATACAGCTTTAAAAATAGTTTCCTACCGTGATGAAACACCACAAAGGAGGGCAAGTCAGTACTCAATCGATTTTAATTGACTCCAAAGTATTATGAAATTTTACGATTCTTAGACAACATCGAACCGTAGATGGAAACATGCTATTCGAGGCTATATTACTTCAGAGGTACTCCCGAACACAATATTTCATCACAGAAATACGCATAATTGTGCGCATGTAGGAGCGTCCGAGCTAGAATTATTCGCAATTTATCATCCAGACATGATCAAATACTATATTCTACCATTCTCCATTATGTTTTGTGTAAAAAAGATCAATATATTTTGGTCGTAGTGAGCATACTCCTAAGCTATAGACGCAATCTTAAGAGTAAAAGCTGTTGCTTACTTAGACCTTGATATATTAGATTTGTAAATAATGCATAGGATAAAGACTAATGCAGCTTGAGAAGTGAATATTTTGGGTTATGCGAATATCCTAGTCAAGCAAGAAACGTATCAAGTAGTTTTGACTCCAGCTTATAGAGGCAAAGACGCAAGGCTTGACTTATCTTTGAGGCTACTTGAACGTTCGTTCGGTGACTCAAATAGCGGATACGACTAATTAAAAGTCGTACCTATGTAGATCAACTTCAGATATCCCGCAGTTTGATACGTCAACTTGAGTTGCCTTTGCGTCAATTCGGACAAGCTCCCTAGCCTGGCCTCCTGTAAGAGACTGCATGGCGTTCAGGGAGAGGACAAAACCCGAGTCGGTGCTGTCAATTGCAAAGAAGAATTTATGCTTTTCACCATACTCGAGTTTCCAGCAGGAAAAGCATCGGGCAAGACCGAAGCTATGAATCGCGTCGATTCCAATAAATTCCACTGCATCTTTTTGAAGTTTCCAATCCAAATTAGGCTCGAATCCGACACCCTTTCTCCAACAAGCGACTTCACTCAATGAACGAGAAGGATTGTCGTAAAGCGTATTAAATGTTACTATTATGCATGAGTGTGGGATAGACCACATATTGGGGGAGTGTTTGTACAGTACTCACCAGAAACAATTTCAGCAGACGCTATGCTAATAATAGCAGCAGCCTGGCAAACGCTCAACGATAGCATCGTTCAAAGCTTACCACGGAGTTATAAAAAGAAATCTGATAATTTTGTCACTCTAAATATCAATGACTATTTAGAAATCTGCGAGTTTCGAACCGTTAAGCAGAATGGCTGACGGCTCGGGATTTATCTAGTACAATATTGGCCTCGTCGACAGCAAATAGACAGTGCTGCGGCATCTCACACACGTAAGAGGTAATTTCTTGTCATCATTCAATGCACCGCCTTCATATCCTTCCTAAACGTCCTACTTTCTGTCCAAGGTCTCCCTCTTTCCTCGGATGTTTCTCTTTTCCCTCGGACGTTTCCCTCTTTCCTCGGAAGTTACCCTCTTACGGTAGCAGTTGTTGTGGTAATTCTGCATAACGTGCTGGGGAAGCCTTTAGGCAACCATTTACAAAATAATAACATATCATGATCGCGTAGATAATGGAATGGTTGCATTGGAAGTAAAAAAGAGGTGTGACGTAACACTCCGAAAATACACATTGCTATTATCAGCTTCCTTTCTCATTTTTCGATTCATGGAATGTAAATGCTCACTACGCATCTAATCCATAGAGATTTGATAGCCATAAATATTGATAATAATGTAACTCCCGGGACGTTTTCAAGACATATCCACATGTGCGAGGCGCGTCCACTTCATCTGAATAACGTCTTTGGTAAGTAAAGCAATAAAACACTTGCTCCAAATAGCTCCAATTAACCTATCAACTAATAAATGGCGCTTTCTATTTATATCCTTCAAACAAGCTTCTTGTCCTAAAGTCATGGGCTTATCAGATCAGCCATGGGGCTGCGCCCAAAAGGCTGATGTGGCCGGCATGTCACCCTTCATGCGAAGACATGTCATATTTCTTTCTTGTTTAATTTCTCGATAAGGAGCTTTTATAGTCCATTATTAACCCATATTAGTTATGAGACTTCCTTTATAGTGCTATTCCATTCTCAAACTCTGCGAGCACCTCGGAAATCGTAGATAATACAGCGGAATCACACGCTTCAAGATGTCTATAAAATAATGGCATTACCTTTAAGAAAAAAGATGTTACTTTTGTGTCATCACGCCGTATCTGGCGGGTAAAGGTTGTCGTCATGCCATACGTATGACCCTGATTCCGCCGAGCAAGGGTTCTCCCTACATATAGACTATTTTCCCCACAGCTGCTAAAAACATTTGGCTTATAGATAAGTACTTTAAAAAAAAAACTCAAAAGAATCCCCGAGAGTATCCTCCTACAAAAGGCAGTTTGTGTCAGCCCCTCTTTTAGAGCCGACTTCAGTAGCATTTCGTGTTGTAATTCTTTTAATGGAAAAGTAACCTTGAAGTTCTGAATGTCCATTTGGGAACATCGCACGCATGACTCACTATCCCCCGTTTTTAGACGATGAAGTAATAAACAGCTTGATAAATCCCATGAAGTGTATGACAGGGCACAAGTAGGGGTTGTAAGGATTCAAGCAGGGAAAAGACCGGGGAGGCGGCGGGACACCATATTGGGCTAATTTAATTGATGATAAAATTATGCCACATTCTGATATATGTAGTATATTTACTTATTTATTTTCATGGTCTGACTAAGGATACACCCAGCCACTTCTTTAAGAGAGCCTGCACTGGCACGATGTCACTTTATGCCAAATTATGAGAGTGCACAGGCCACGATCCAAAGGCCACATGTACATCAATTTATACGAGCACTTGTGCCTATGTAACATACAAGATATTGGATTAAATACTTTCTTTCTCCGAATAAAAGTGGCCCAATTGGTCAATTAGTCAACATGCTGTCTATTGGCCCAGTTTCCGTATCTTCCTGCATCTGGAATCAGCTATCTTATTTTATAGCCATCTTTAGCCTGTAGCAAAACTCTCGTCTGACACGACTCTCTTCACAGCCTTGTATAGCATCACGGAAGATGGTCTGAGAGATCGATAAGAGTTTATTGTACCGCCACTATAGCAGCAATATGTAATCTCCATAAAAAGGCTATAGGCTTTGCTATTCGTCGCAATAGCACTTGTGATACCGACGAGCAAACGTGCCTTCACAACTTACTGTGCAGGGATAAGGAATAATTCAACAATATCTACTATCCCGATAGCTCAGATTGCACTGCACTCATCACCAATCCTGCCATATGCGCAGATAGCAACTAGAATCTATGCATGGAATGGTAAAGATGAGGCGTGGGGAGGATGGTTCTGCTCCGCGTCGAATCAATAACGGCTTCAATAATTCAGCTAGGCATATGTTGGCTGCGCATGGCCGGGAGTCGAGCGCAGGCGAGGGGCCCATTACTCAGTTATTATAACTACTGTGATACTTGGTATTTGCTTCGCTTTATTCGACACATCATGAATGTAGCAATTGTCAATCACTACCTTACATATTCATAACTCGGATCTTTATATCTAAGACTTCCAGTTTCTATTTTGACAAATAGACCTATTGACACAAATCAGTCAATTCATCTGTCTGATATTAAGTTTTATTGAAAAATGTTGACGTTTCTTATACCTTCATTTTACACTCCCATTTTCGGTCTTATATCTGTATAGATATAGGTGTCGACCCTAATAGACCTCCCCATATCACTCTCTCCCTACATTTCTTTCTTAACCTACTTTCAGTTAATATGTATATATGCACGCAGTCAAATTTCTCCCTCAAGCCAATAGCTGGGTTCTCCAACAAGGGGTTCCAAATTGGGACACTCATCTGTTACCCAAGAAGCGGTCACGGGTTCCTCTTCTATTTCCCAGCTCAATTTGCCAGAGACGTCGTGAACTTTGTAGAGTTGTAAAGCCTTAACGCTAATACTTCCTTATCTGTCAATAATTTTGTTTATTTCGACTTGAAATAGTAAATAGAGAAAATATCCCTCCATTAAATCCCATTTTGAACATGGAAAAGCTTTTCATCCTTGGGTAACTATACATTCAAAAATATATCATGATTCGTCAGAACCCGTTTCATAAGCAATTTGGGGTTCCAATTTCTGCATTTTCCGTGTTACCGTACGCAGTTTACAGCACAAATTTAATCTTCTGGCATAATAAAGGCTCGCTCCGCCTCAGATATGGTCCCACTCCACAAGATAAACGCGGAATATCTTGGTTTTTTTGTCAATAGCAATATCCCCAAGAACCGATAATACGGTGGACAAAATTCATCATGATCTTTATTTTTATTATCTGGACTTAAAACTCCACATACATTTTCCAAACACCTATGGCACCATCGAGCCCCGCAATGGGGTAGAGAGTAAAATTCAGTATTGCTTTGATATTCTGACTGCGGAGTATTTTTGCGAGATCACAGTACATCTACATTCTAAGACATTAGGTTGCATATGCCAGAAGGTAACAGCTGCTTATCCCGCGAGACGTTATATCAAGCGGAGTAGATCTTCCGGCGATTTCCTCTAGTTTACGTTAAATATTAAGTTAAACAGCCCCTGCAATATTTTTTTTCGCCACCTGAATACGGCTTATTGTGTATTATATGAAGTACTGTAGCCCCATTTGACGCTATAGTACCGAATTATGCTCCTTAAAGTAAATACTCCGGCGAATTTAGCTACTTCATCTAATCATCTTTCGCGGAGAAATTATTTCAGCGAGTCATCACATATAGGAATCGAGCCACTGCAAATTTCCTTGAAAACTACCCTAGCAATCGTAGCAACCCTGTCACTGCACACCTGTGGCTCAAAAGAGGCAAATAGAGCTACCCTTGGCATGTCGATCTGCTGTGCAAACTAATAGTGGTATCGTGTTAGTAATACTATTCGCGAAAACGCACGAATAGCAACCCTGCTCATAGACCCATGCTAAGGATATACGAGTTGCCTTGCCTATAATCAGTAGTTATAGGCCCATGTTAAAGTGCCCTTTTTCGATATAATCCACCTTTTAATACGAGATTTTGATGCACAGCAACAACTTTCGGCCATGTTGCGGTGTGTAGTAACGATGGCGACAATATAAATAAGTGCTGTCCCGTCGTATTACAATGTCTACTCTAAAGCAGTCCCATCGTCCTCGAAAAAATGAAGCTGCTTACACTTTCAACCGCAGCGGCCGTTGGTCTGTCCTCAATCGTCCAGGGAGGCTCGGTGGTGCACGAAAGGAGAGACCAAGTCCCTGCCGAATGGACAAAAATCAGTCGTGCAGTTCCTGATGCAGCGATTGAGCTCCGTATCGGCCTTAAGCAGAGCAATCTTGAGCACGCCGAAGATCTCGCTAATCAGATTTCTCATCCCATGTCTGAGAAATATGGCAAATTCCTTACTGCACAACAGGTCATAGACCTATTCGCCGCGCCACAAGAGGTCATATCTGAGACTGTACAATGGCTACGTCAAGGTGGCATCAATAGCAAGCACATTAAGCCAACTGCAGGTCGAAACTGGCTCAAATTTAACACGACAGTAGCCGTTGCCGAGAAGCTATTAGACACAACTTACTACACTTACAGGAATGAGGAACAAGGGGTCGAAGTGGTTGCCTGCGAATCATATAGCGTTCCGGAGGATATCCAGCCCAATATTGACTTGATTATGCCGACGATTCAATTTGAGACTAGAGGCCGCCCAGCAAGCAGCCGTGGAATTAACCGTCGAGATACCTTTAAACCCAAGTTTCGAAAGCTTGAGTCTATCCCGCATCCCAGCTCTCTCGCCAACTGTAGCCAAATAACTACTCCTGCTTGTTTACGAGCGCTGTAAGATCTATCTATTTTGCTCACGCTAAGGTTTTTTTTTTTTTTTTTCTAACAAATTATAGATATGGCTTACCAGACGCCGGCGAGGCTGTTGAAGGCAATAGCTATGGGATTGTGGAATTTGCTCCCCAGAGCTTTAATCAAGATGACTTAAATGCCTTCTACGCCAAATATGCCTCCAATGTTCCCAATAATACCGGCCCCATCATTGATGGCATCGATGGTGGCTACTTTTCAAATGATTCTTCAGCAGATACTCGTGGAGAGTCAAACCTCGACCTTTGCTACGCAATTGGCCTTGTTCACCCCCAGCCAGTTACGCTCTACCAAGTTGGTGATAATGATCCTGCCAACCCAGCGACCAACAACAACTTCCTCGACGCTATCGATGGCTCCTATTGCACATATCAAGGTGGTGACGATCCTGACTGGGATGGAATTTACCCTCATGACGGCGAGGTATCTGGTGAATACCTCGGCCAGCCTGATTGCGGAACCTATAATGCCACCAAAGTCTTTTCCGTCTCTTATGGAAGCAATGAGGGCGACCGTCCAATCTCCTACAGAACTCGCGAATGCAATGAGTATATGAAGCTTGCGCTGATGGGAGTGACTGTCTTATTTTCGTCTGGAGATGACGGCGTGGCAGGCATCCGCAGCACATGTCTTCTGCCAAACGGCGCATTGACACCTCCAGCTGCTGATTATGGCCGTTTCAACCCTAGTATGTATACATAGGCTGCCTTGGTGTTTCTAAATCGCTAACCATACTGCAGTGTGGCCCGGAACTTGTCCTTGGATTACCTCAGTTGGCGGCAGTGCATTACCCGAGAATGGCACCGTCAACGACAAGCAGGTCGCGGCGACTGACTTTGGATCTGGCGGTGGTTTCAGCAACATATTCGCGCTACCCTCCTACCAAACAAAGGCTGTCGCGGAATACTATGCCAACCACGACCCCGGATACAACTCTTCCGTTTACAACAACACGCAACAAGTGCGAGGATTTCCTGACCTTGCCGTCACATCTCATAGCTTCATCACCGGACTCGCAGGCGACTTGGTGGCCTTTAGTGGTACTTCAGCTGCAAGCCCATCATTCGGTGCCATGATCACGTTCATTAACGGCGAGCGAATTAAGAATGGCAAGGGATCAGTTGGCTTCCTTAATCCTGTGCTGTACAGCCATCCAGAAGTCTTCGACGATATCACGGAGGGAGTAAATCCTGGATGTGGTACCGATGGATTTCCTGCCGTCGAAGGTTGGGATCCGATTACAGGCCTCGGCACTCCAAATTTTGCAAAGCTGAGGGACCTTTTGCTCAGCTTACCATAGATTTAATTCTGACTATTACCATTGAAAAGAATATACGGTTACTTAGAAGGGAGGGATAACGGGGTGATAAATGAGTCATAAGCGCAAATCTATTAGATAGAGATACTAAATATGCCAAGCGTATTCGCAAGAATAGTCACCATCTTCTATAAAAGCTTTTCAGTTGGGTAGATGGGATATCTATAGCGCTATTCTTCCACATGTGAGAGATTTGGCCAAGCGCTCGCTCTTGAGAACTGGAATCTTACAAGGCATTTTCTAAGGTTTCACAGCATCTCGTATCCAAATTGTTAAACCCCCAGCTACCCGGCAATTTCCCAAATCAAGACGAGTGGATATCAGTTATTTTAGGATTGGAAAGTTCATAGATTTTAATATTAAAGTTTCTGGGACCCGTCCTCTGAACTGAATGGCGGTGAGATCTCGAGGAATAGTCCCGGTGAAGAAAAGACCAACCTCTTGAAGGACCAAATATGCATAATTTGTTCGTATTCTAGCTCGTAAACCCCACTATAACCACCATTAAGCAGTTCAACAAATACAATATGGGCAAAGGTCCCTAACATCCCAGAGCCTTTTTAGTTTTCCTTATTTACATGCAGATCACTGTACCCACCGTGTAGATTGGGGCCGTATTGCAATCTAGATCTTCGTAGGGTTACCCTGACGTGCTGTTAAGCTCCAGTTGCCTAAACATAATAAGTACTAGATCGAAGCTCGATACATTTACAGCATTCCTATAACTCCTCATGCAGACATGCATTCCCTGCGAGGCATAGTCAGTTATAGCGTTATTGAGTGCCTGAGCAGAGGTAGAAGCCAATGTCCTTCTAGGAATTGCGAAATAATAATACTACTCTATATATGTGGACTGAGATTAAGTAGTTTATTTGGGATATATCTAAGTATAAAACCTCTAATTTCAACCTATACTCGGCGCCTGAGTATTGGATAGAGCGGGGCACCACGAGTAAACCTTGTCGCCGGGGATGGCCCTAACCGGAATGAAATCCAGATAAATGACAACTCCATTCTAAAACAAAAAGATATATTGTATATATACATCGTGTGACTTCTACAACACGCAATGGGTACATTAGCCATATTTATTGATGGCGATAGGGTTCGTACGCCGTATTAGTATTCGCAAAAGTAGGTGCTGGTGCGGTAGTATGGCCGTGATGAGAGGCTGCGCCGCCATTTGCAAAGTCGACTTTTTCGTAGCTGCCCTGGGCAGGAGGACTTCGAGCTGCACTACGGCCCGAGCAACAACATGAGCTGAAAAGCCAAAAGAATGTGCTGACCATAGACAGTCCGAGAGCAAGCCATGATGCGGCAAAGGCGTTAGCGCCTATGTCGGACTTTACGCCATATTCTTTCAGCGATGAGTTGAAGACGCCAACGAGTGTGACAAAGAGAGCTGTTGACGTGATATTTGCAGCGATGAGGAAGCCGGTTGCGACCTGTGAAGTATAGTTGTTAGTGATGAGATGGCTGTTTGAGTAAGATGGATTCAGACTTACCGCAGACACGATAGTTGTAAAGATGCTTCCAATACGACTGAAAATAGCCGAAATGCCAACCAGCAGTTGAATAACAGTGGTAGCAAATGCAAGCACGTACGCAACAAACATCCAGTGAGAAACCTTCTGGTATGTCTGCAGATTGGACTGCAGGTGAGAGGGGAATATATCGTGAACGCCACTAACATTCAGGTGCCAGACAACAAGCGGGTTGAACCAGAAGCTTCCCGCAGGCTTGCTGCAGAAGTCCACATTGAAGTTGCTTCCATGCTTTTCTCCCTCGCAGTAGCCGAACAGACCAATGTCGTAAAAATCGCGTAATTCAGACTGCTTCTCTGCCTCTTCTAAAGCTGCGGCAAGCTCTTGCGTGGCATTGTTCATAGCATTCGAGGTAAGGTTCAGTAGCTGGTCGCCAAAATTGGTTGCTTCGGCCGCAGTGACATTCGAAAGATCAGCCTGTGATATTGGGTTAGGAAAGTTGTTCCATGTGGCATCTCTATAAGCCACCAAAACTCACTCTCATAAAATAGATCTTGTTTAGTGTAGAAGAGTCGGCATCAGTAGAACCAATGCCCGCAAATATGAGGGCAACTAATGAGCCTATTGTCAATAGGTATGGCAGCCCAATACACGCGACGCGGCCCGCTTTGCCCATTTTTTTAGAGAGATAACGAACAAGACAAAGCAACTGTTTACTTTGAGAGCGAACGCTTCTTCTCAGTTAGTATGCTATGCCACTCTCACGAAAACAACTCAAACGACGGTATGCGAGCAGAGTAAGTACATGATATGAATATTTGTTCAGCGGAAAGGCGCCATACTGGAATAAATGAGCCGCGCCGCCAGCTCTTTGACGCCAATGCAGAGCAGAATCCTATTTGGCAATCTAGGTATAAAATTAGAATCAGCCTAGAAAGCGGGCCGGTCATCATGAGCTAAGCCACGCCTACATCAAGCCATCTGACAAGTGGAGCTTGAAAAGTCCCAAAGGGCGAAGTATGACACGACGAGAGAAAATTAGGATAAGCATAGTCACTAGCAGACCGCCCAAGCATGAAGTAACGCGTACAGCGTCTCCCATTGGAGGACTAACTGACAGGAGCTGGTGCGCTGGCTTTGAAGACATCTATCCGGCGTGCAAAGTTGATTAAATCGGCAAAGATAGGCCGGAGTTACCTAACAATGCCGACCAGGGTTATTACAATATGGGCAAATATTATATATCATTATAAGGTATCAACAGCAGAAGCACAAGCAATCAAAGCAACTGTGCGCCGTAGAGAGAGACTGTTTAGGTTATAACTATCGATATAATGTCCAATCGTGTTACATTATAGTACCTATTTCCTTCCAAGAATGTATCTTGAATGGATTGTTAGAGGTGGCTTGGCATCTTCCAGAGCCCCCTGCTTTTTGCCTTCGCTTCCCTCGGCTGCAAGTGAGCCGCATTCTATCCCCAAAATAGGTGCAGGTTCGTGGGATGGGATCCATTGTTGTGAGGAAGCTAGCAGACGCACTACTACATACTAGCCTCTTGTTTTTTTGTTTTTTTTTTCTTCCCAGCCTTTTCTGGCTCCATATTGCGACGTAATTGTGCAGTACGCCTAGCAGGCTCTTATCATTCCAAAGAAAGAACTCAACCCAGCCTTCCTGATGTGAAGCGAGACTCTAATGCCGCACAAACCTAAATGTTTACTTCGTAGCTGCTACTATTGCTAGGTAATATGTATCGTTTCCTCGCAGATAGCTGCTCTTATACGGAGCTTGCCGAAAAGAAACCATGCAGCCCTTTCTACCAAGTGAGAAACGCAGAATATAACCCCCACAAGAGTAATCACTAGCTGAAATTACAGTCGATCCCAGATTTAAAAACAGATTTAAGCGTGTTTTGAATACAATTGCCCAATTCACCACACCCTGTGAGGTTGGGCTGCGTTGGCGGGTCGTTGTAAGCTCAGGGGTGGACTGTGATCCTCACAACACAACAGTATCTCGACTTTTATACCTCTTTACGGGAAGTTTATGGCGTTTCGAAAATAGAAGCGTACCTAGCGTTAATACAGTCGAGTGCCACCGGCTATACTCGGTAGTGGAGGTCCTTATGCCTGGAATGATTACTTATCAACTTACTAGAATACATCTCTCAGATCCAATAGCAGCTTTAATTTATAGCATTGAAGAGCATAAAGGTCATGGTATCTGAATGTTAGTGCTGTGCCAATTTAGTATCTTCTATTTATTACTAGTACCCCGTGCCATCGTTATTAGGTATTAGTGTAACTATTCCTAACGGCAACCCTACGTAGCGCTTCGGTCTTGTGCTCTGTCCCCAGTTTGTGAAGTTAGGCTGAGCTGGTGGGCCACCGTCAGCTCAGGGGTGTGTATTAGTGGGCTGTGACGATCGTAGTCCCTCAACTCGCTCTGTACAGCCCCGGCAGGCCCCTTAGAGCCGACTTATATCAGCTTGTATTGAAGCCAATATTGAGATAAATATCTAAGAGTCAACAGCAGTCAAGACTAGTGAAAATCTATCGCTGTGCTCCTTTGCTACTCTGTCTTTCTCAATATTATATCCCTTTGTTGATTCTGCACAGCGTTTGATCTTATTACATTCTGTGTATATCTTTCGAGTTTACTTTCTGGACGTGATGTCTCCTAGGATATCACGTCTTTCCGCTGTCGCGGCCCTTGCGGCTGTGGCAAGCGCCGCCACCGTCTCAGTCAATGCTACCAAACCTGCTGAGCCCTGTGCCCAGATTGCAAAATTAACTGCGGCAGGCAGTGAGTTCCTGTGTTCTTTAGCAGAATGATACACCCGCTCTAACACAGCCTAGCATCGGAATTCTCTAGTCAGCTTGGACTTGCTTGCTTGGAATCGACGCCATTCAAATCCGACCTCGCAGTAAGCTTTATTGATGAGTATAGCAAATACTTGCAATGGCAGTCTACTATCGAGATTCTCAGAAGTACGTCTTATATCGTCTATTACCTTGTTACATCTCCCTAACCGAGCCCAGATCCACCTGTCGGCTCTCTGTCTTCAACAGTTGATCTCGTTGGTGGCATATCGACAATTCGCAGTCGAGCAGTCGCGAATCAATACAAGTCTCAGTATGACTTTGATCGAGACCTATTTAATCTTATCAGTTCTGCAAACGATGGCCATCTTGCCATTGTCCCTTGCTCATTTGCCATTACTTTCAAGGCTTCCAATTCATTGGTGTCGCTTTCCACTGATGGAGTAGCTATTCCTAGGCTTTACACATTCAGTAGGTATATTTTTGCTGTACTAGAGATTTCTATTTGACTAATTTCGGAAACTAGGTGATGGTGAACTGCTAGCAAGGGGCAACAAGGACGTATCCCCTGTGACGTTGGTCAATGGAGTTGGTGCAGAATCTTTTGTCGAAGCACTCTCCAACATCGAGGGTCTGCAAGACCCCGATGCCCGATACAACGTCATGTTAGCCAACGTGCCTATTACCACCGCAGGCTCCGAAAGCCTCGGTTCTTTTTCAAGGTACAGATCATTTCCGGGCATACACGAATTCAACCTCACATACGCCAACGGGACCCAAGAAACAATCCCGCTCTTCGCAGAAGTTAGTCCTTCAGCTGGAAATTTCACTGCCACCACTGGCGACGAGCTATGGGATGCAGTTTGCGCTCCCGTGCCTGCTACGACTGGTCCATCGAGCAAGAAGCTCAAGAGAGACGTAGATGTGACGAAGGTCTCCAAGAGACAAGCAGATTCAACAGGGCTTCCGGAACCTAGCGGTTATCCTAAGCCTGTTATCAGAGACCCCTTCAACGTGATGGTAGGGTATTTCCCAGAAGATACAAGCCTCAAGGATGTTGCCGTCATGACTGTGTCAAGTTTTGAAACATCAGGCGACGGCATTCCAGATGATGAGACGCGAACCTTTGCCATAAAGGCACAGGAGTTTGTTAATAAGGCTGTCGCTTCTGGCAAGTCTAAGATTATCATCGACGTCACTGGAAATCCTGGCGGTACTGTCGACTCAGGCTTCGCGCTTATTAGCATCTTCTTTCCCAACATGACCATCTTTTCGGCAACTAGAATTCGTTCTGTTCCCGAAACTCAATACCTTTTCGAGACTGCCAGCCGCGCAACGAGCCCAGATGACAGGCAAGGCTTTCAGCAAGTGGGCTTCCTTATCTCAGAATTGGTTCAACCAGACCAGAAGACAGGTTTTGCTAGTGACGCCGCTTTCTTGGGTCCATTTGATACCCTTGGCGTCCCCTCAACAGCAATCTCAGCCGAGAACAACTTCATACTCGGCAACTCGACCAGCGCCCCTATCAACATTTTTGGCAAAGGAGGACCGCTCAATGGTACAGAGCCGCCGTACAAGCCTGAAGATATTATCATTGTAAGTAGTCACTGTTTTTTTTTTCTCTCCCCTTAATTTCTTTCTTCTCTGCTAACAACTGCCGCTAGCTTACCGACGGCTCATGCTCTTCGACTTGTACCATCTTTATCAATCACATGATCCCATATGGTGTGCGAGTTGTTGCAAACGGTGGCCGCCCACAGATGGGCCCAATGCAAGGAATTGGAGGCGTTAAGGGCAGCCAGGTTCAAGAATTGTCCACTATCTCCCTGTTCTACGGAGCGGCGAACCAGGTGGTCCAGAATGCCTCGACTGCCGGGAAGCCACTCTTTACGGAAAAGGAGTTAGACGCCTTCAAGGACCATATCCCCGTGACCCTGGAGGAATTCCCAATCAGACTCAGCACCGGAAGTGTCAACTACAGAAACGCCTTTTCTCCATTCAACGATCAAGTGCCCACGCATTTCATCTACCAACCCGCAGACTGCCGACTATTCTACACTCCTGCGACGCTTATCAACCCAGTAGCCAAGTGGGCAAACGTCGCCGACGCTATATGGGGCAAGGGAGAGTGTGCCTACTCAGTTGTGCCTCCGCCACCAATCCTTTCCATCCATGATAAGCCCTCTTCTAAGCCAAGTTCTACCACAGCTACTGGTAAGAAGAAGACACAGTCATCAGCCCACAAGGCACTTGGCCTATTACTGGCCATGGCAGACGGCTTGAAGCCACAGTAAAGCGCTTGATTTTATTGTTTTTATATATATAATGTAAGCTTTTGGCGGATATGTCCCCGTATAGATGGGGCTTATGTATTAGATTTATTTCATCGGATAGCATTCCAGAGTTATTTTTTCATTCTAATTTCAATTTTTGGCATAGCCCAAATCTGCTCAGAACGAGTTGTAGCTTGATATACTAGTACTACTTCTCGCTACGTATTAAAGAATATATCGAGGGCAGCTAATCTTCATCAAGACTAATCAGCCGGCCCCCCTGGTTGTTTCTCGGTCACAGTAGCTAACCTCTACGTGTGGTGCTGGTGCATTATATAGTACTTATAGTCTTCCTTGGTAGCTAATTCCTCATTTATTAAACTCACATATCTATTAGAAGTGAGACGAACAGCAGTATTTTAGCAAAGGATAGTAACATCTCTTGTCTTCAAAGTTTTCGATGGTGTATCACTAATATCTTTATCCACGAGACTTGAGCTCGAAAAAAATCAATGTACACAGTGGCTAAGAAAAGCAATGTCCGTATTACGCCGCAATTTGTTGCATTAGCATATATGAACGAGCTCATGCACCAAGCTGCATTTAGTCATGATGGCTACTAGGGTTCATTTTCAGGTTTATAAAATTCATTAACCTCTCGTCTCGTAATTTTGATGTATATTAACCAAACAGTTCACAGGTAATCAAAAGCAGGCGCAGAGCAATTACAGAGCAACACATGGTCAGGCAGCCATTGCTCAACCAAAACAACGTTGCACATAGCCAGAACATACAGTTTCTCAGCAGCATACCATTGTGTGAGGTAAGCAAATGCAGTACATGCTATAGGCAAACAAAATAGTTGTAAACAAACCTATTAGGTAGTAGATGTAGGTTACTTAAGCGGACATAAAAAGATCCCTCAGACATACTATCTTCTATCTTTGTGATACAACACCAAGTTCGAGTTTCTCTTGCTTCGGCAGCAGTATCTAAACACAAACGACACACATACTGAGTTATTCAGCCCTCTATACTTCCATTCTGAAGGAAAGACAAAGCAGGTTCACGATTACAATTCTAATCTAAAGATCAGGCTGCTCTTGTCATACCAATAGCCAACATCTCAGGAGTAAAACTTCTATCTCCGAAGATATTGCTCGGACATTCTCCGTTAGGAGAGGTATGTATCCCAGCTGACCTTGCCGCGGATGGTGCTTCGGCAAAGGGCATTCAGTTAATAACCCCACAGCGGTTCAACGCACGCGGAAGCCTATCCTCCCAGAGGGAAACAAATAGTACACAAATAGTATCAAGAGGGTGTGGGGGGCCAAGAGACGATTTATGTCATCGTTCACAGCACCAGTGGCGCCTAACAGAGATGAAGTTCCAAAGGCATGTTAGGGAAGGAATGTAGGGGTGAAATATACTTTTCTATGGAGAGACCTCCAATAGCTTCTACGCGAGAAACCCCCAGCTCAGCTAGAACTGCGGGGCCAAATTTTCCATGAATCCGCATCGACGACTCCGTAGTTTGACCGAATTGCCAGCTTCTACAGCATCTTTTGGAAGTTGAAAAGAGTTTGCGGCTGACAGAAAGTACGTGTAACTCGGGGCAATATCCCCGAGGTGCATCATTGACACGGGCAATATCGAAGGGCTATCCCAACGATGCTCATAAAGCCATCCACAGCCAGCCTATGGGAAAGCTGCCCTTGTGCAAGTAGATTGCTCATGCGGCAGTTTGACATGTGCTCGCGTAGCGTTGGATGTCACCCCGGCTATGGATTGGAAGATGACTGGACACAGGGCCTGCTCCAAGCTTTCGGAGATGGCACCCCTTGTGACCCGAGATGCTCCCCAACAGCGTGTTTGCCTCGCGCGTTGAACCACCAACCAGTCCTCTCTACCCCTACAAGAAGTCTCTGAAGGCTCTCACCCAAGAGTCGGTAAAACGATGAGGCAGAAACAAAAATATTGGTAACACAAAAAGTACATACTTTGCCTTGCTCTTATTGGCGGGTAAATCCATTTCAACGCCACCGGCAACTCGGCAAGCTGCCCACGAAATCAATGGCTCGGGGTGGTTCTGAGCGAGGCCCTTGGTCGTTCTCGAGCCTTGGCCGAAAACGTCTCTCTGGGCCGTGGCGTGCGGGGACTTTGCTCCTCATGCGGGGGAGTTTGCTTGGGGATTGGGTCGCTTAATTAGTTATCCTGAATTGTTGGTTCGGAACGTGGGCGCCGCGCCAAATGCATCCCGCACAAAGCCTTCCCCCAGAACCCCATATTGCTTCTGTCCGAGTGCCAGTATGGGGTATGGGGTTTGGAGAAGGCCAGCGACTACCAGGCCAAGAAGAAGAGCGTGAAGAGTACTTCGTAGCGGATGGACAAGGGAAAAAAAGGGCCTGCTTGTGGTATATCCACACTTATCCCGCCAACGGATGTGCAGCACGGCAAGTTAGTGTGTGCCTCTCCAAGATATTGCATGACCAGCCTGTTTAAGGTGGTACTCAGTTCCCGAAAAGGGTGAGGAATGCAAAAAAAATAAAGTTGAGAATCCAATCATGTGCTCGGCCGTATTTGTGTATATATGAAGGGGACCAGACCCTCTCCAGCTTCGTGTAGAGACTCGTTTGTTGTTGCTGGGAAGCTGCATCAGAACAGTCGTCACAATGCGGTTCTTCAAGAATTACCGAGTGTATGTGCTCACATCGGTGGCCTACCTGGGCTCACTGCTCTTTGGTACGTTTTTCCTCGTCTCTTCTCATCTCGCAATGTTCAAGTGCTTGATTTTGTGTCTCAACCAGCCTCGAGGTTTCACAGAAAGTGCTGACTTATAAACTGCTCCTAGGCTATGATACGGGCGTGATGGGAAGCGTGCTCGCCCTCAAGAGCTTCAAAGAAGACTTTGGTCTGCCAACCGACTCCAGTGGCTTCTCTTCGGCTGAGAACGCCCACATCTCATCCAACGTAGTGTCTCTACTCACGGCTGGTTGCTTCTTCGGCGCCATCACTGCCGCATTCATCAACGAACGCTTCGGTCGACGCTATGCTCTCATGCTCTTCACAACCATCTTCCTCGTCGGCGCAGCCGTCCAGACAAGCGCATCACACTCGATTGGCCAGATCTACGGCGGACGTGTCATTGCCGGTTTCGGTGTTGGTGGCATGAGCTCCATCACTCCTGTGTTTGTCAGTGAGAACTGCCCACCAGCCACTCGAGGCCGTGTTGCTGGTCTGTTCCAGGAGTTTCTCGTTATTGGAAGCACATTCGCCTACTGGCTCGACTACGGCGTAGCCCTGCACATCAAGCAGAGCACCAAGCAGTGGCGTATCCCCGTCGGTCTCCAGCTTGTGCCCGGTGGTCTCATGCTCTGCGGCCTCTTCTTCCTCAAGGAGTCACCGCGTTGGCTCATGAAGAAGTCTCGCCACGAAGAGGCTTTGCGATCTCTATCCTACATTCGCAATGAGGCTCCAGACAGCCCCGAAGTGCTCAAAGAACTTGCAGAGATTCGAGCCTCGATCGAAGAAGAGATGGCCCTTACGGAGGGTGTTACCTGGAAGGAGTGTTTGAAGAAGGGCAACTGGAACCGCTTCGCACTGGCTTTTGGAATCATGTTCTGGCAGCAGTTTTCTGGAACCAACAGCATCGGATACTACGCCCCTGAGATCTTCGAGACAGTCGGTGTCAGCAGCACAAACGCCTCGCTGTTCGCAACTGGGGTGTACGGCACCGTCAAGGTGGTTGCCACTGCCCTCTTCCTGGTCCTCGGCATTGATCGATTCGGCCGCAAGAAGAGTCTCATCGCCGGCGCAATCTGGATGGCCAGCATGATGTTCATTATTGGCGCCGTCCTCGCAACCCACCCGCCGAACCCGAAGAGCACCACTGTGTCCTCGGCGTCCATCGCCATGGTTGTCATGATCTATCTCTACGTTATTGGATATTCTGCGTCCTGGGGACCCACGCCCTGGGTCTACGTGTCCGAGGTAAGAAGAGGCTCCTGTAAAGCATCACGACATGCCCCCTGCTGACCGTTTGCTCTTCCGATACGCAGATCTTCCCCACCCGTCTACGTGAATACGGCGTGGGTCTCGCCGCCGCAACCCAGTGGCTGTTCAACTTTGTCATTACCGAAGTCACGCCTGCGGCCGTCAACCACATTGGCTGGCGTACTTTTGTCATGTTTGGATGCTTCTGCTGCGGAATGTGCGCATTTGTCGTCCTCTTCATCAAGGAGACCAAGGGCCGCACGCTGGAGGACATGGACGTCTTGTTCGGCCTCGTCAGCGAAGACCAGCGCCAGGCAGACGTGGAGCATGTGCTCAACAAGGGCATCGAGCTGGAGCACGTTGAGCAAGAAGTCCATGTTCCCGCCGACAAGGCCGTGTAGCCGCGGAGCGAGTGCGCTTGATGTGGCTGACGATGAAGTTGACGATGATTGTTTTGGCTGTGCCTGTCATTGATACCAGTTATACCAGTTTGTTTACATGCATTCAAAGCTCTTGCTGCCCCATAGTGGACAGCGCAATAGTACATGTACAGTATTTATTACTCGTAGCGTCTGCATTGTGAAGTCCTTGGCCGTTTCGAAGCGTGACGGGGTGAGCGTGTGAGGATGAAACAAGCTGCCTTGTCCTTGAATCCGGAATAATGCTTTTCCCTTGCCTGGGCGCATGGACGCTTCGTCCGTCACGTCACAGCCTAGGAGATTAGTAGGTACCTACGGAGTACATGTAGGCAATATTGCATCAAGAGAAAACCACGACTCTGGCACCAAAGCTGGCAAAGTCGAAAACGGCTCACAGCCAACGTCTCCGCTACCACCAATTGCTGTTTGTCTTGTTGGAGATCGACATGATCGTCAGTGCCATGAACTGACGCAGGACACACGAAGAGAAAAGAGCAAGAGAAAGAAGAGATCACATAACACGGCGGCAAAAGGGGGCCCTGTCCGGTGAGTAAGCGCCCTTTGGGCTGAGCTTGATTGCACTGCATTAGCAGCCAACCGGGCAGCGGCCAGCAACGCCACCGGCATGATGTTCGCTAACACGAAAAGAGAAGCACAAATTAGGCGCCGCTTATCGCCCTGATCTGATCCCAAGGATTGTCTGTCTGGAGCTGCTAGCGGCAGTGCCAGCCGTTAAAAAGCAGCATGGCGCCGACAAACGCCGCCGCCGCGGGCGCGCTCTTCAGTCCAGCATCCCTCAACCTGCCCACCCGGCCACCCACCCGCGATCGCGAACGAGGGCGAGATCGCGACCGCCCCGACCTGCAGCAGACGCCCACGTCGCTGTCCGTGGTCCGCACCAGCAGCAAGGAGCGCAAGGCGTCCTTTTCGTCGCTCAAGGCCTCGCTGCCCGGCTCGCGACGCCGCGCCAACGCCAGCGGAACTGCGACTCCCTCGACCAACACCGTCACCGACGCCTCTGCGCCGCCTGCGCTGCCCGACTACGCACTCGCCGCTGCGGCTAAGATTGTGGCCAAGGACAAGGACAAGGAAAAAGACAAGAGGGACGCCGCCGAAGGGCCCTCGGCGGCAGAGCTGGCGAACATGATCCCCAGAGGCTCGGCCATGACGGCCATGACTCCCGCAACACCCATTGAGGGCCGGCCAGGCATGACCAGCACCATGTGGGCGCTGGCGCAGGGTGAGACGCAGATGCTGCATCACCAGATTGCAGAGACAGCCCAGAAACGGATGTCAACGCTGGACTACCTACGGAAAGCGTGAGCCCCCCCCCCCTTTTTCCCTTGCACTTTTGGTACGAATGAATGACAGACTAATATCATAAAAGTCACGAGGGCCGCGTCTACTGGTTCAACACATATCTCTTCGACAAGCCAGATCTCTCCCGAATGCCCAGCTTCGACCCGCGCAAGCTCTCTCGCAAAGCCACAAACTACCTTCTCCTCGGCCTCTCCATCCCCACAATCCACGACCTCTACTCGTCCACGCCGCTGGAGTTCCTTCGCTGCCTCAACGCCCTGCTGGCCGAGTTCGACTCCTTCCAGCAGCTCCACGGTGACTCTTCCAACGCAGCTCTCAGCCGTGCCCGTATCCCCAACATGTTTCGCCGCCCCGGCATGAAAACCCGGCGCTCGACATCTGCCGACGTCGGCCTCGACGACTCATCTCCCTTTGGCCACCAATCGCCCGGCGCGGGCTCGACAAACGGCGGACCGGCCCCCGCGGTTATGAACTTTGCGGCCTCAGAGTCCGACCTGCTTCCCGGCGAGGAATACACATACTTGCTCACCCCGTCATTGCCCTTTGACCCGGACTTCTTCGAGACATTTGCGACGCTGTGCGATGTGCTTATCGACTGCTACACAAAGTTCCTGGCACTGGTGCCTTCGCCGAGAGAGTGCACGGCTCCAGTTGCCGAGCTGTTCACAAAGGCGGACTCGAAAATTCGCAAAATCATCGTGCAGGGCGTGGTGAAGGACTTTGAAGACCACAGCAGGATGCACGTCAAGTCTGAAGTGGCGGGGATAGGCAAAGTGGTCTTGGGAGGATTAATGTGAAAGTGGTCTTGAATTGCAAGCGATGGCGTGTCCTTTTTTATGATGGCGGGCGATTTTCTTTATCTTTTTTTTTTTACTCCCCTTTCGTTTTCCTTTCTGCTGTACAATATTGGAATCACGACGACTATATCGGACCTGAGAAGCGGGCTATTTTTATCTGGGGCTATTTGGGAAGCGGCTCAATTATCTGGAGTTACGGCGGAGAGAAAGAATCATGGAATAATGGGTGGAGACGTGTGCGTATATCTGCCTGGCATAATACAAGGACAAGCGTAGATATTTATACACACATATAGCTGGTAGATAGCCAAAGATAAAAGCTATCACTCGCCACCGTCAATTGGTGTTTATATGTACAGAGTGTATGAGAGTATATATAGGTATGCCGTTATCCTTTCTCATCTTTTAAGAGCGGGTCCATCCATATGTATATACCATATCATATCATATCATACAAAATCTATCTATATAGGACAAAGATGTATATCTAATAGCCCAAGTTGCATAATCGTACACTCCCCTCCAGGCCATACAAAGTCCTCTATAATCGCCTCATCATTTCTTCGCCTTGGCCTCTTCCTCCATGACCAACAACTCAACCTCCTTTCCCACCAGCCACTCTCTCGCAGCCTCCATCACTCTGTCCAATGTCTCTCCGCCCTCCAACACGTTTGGCAAGTTGTGCACATCCAGCCCAGCCCTGTGATCCGTACATCTGTCTTGGTTGTAATTGTACGTGCGTATCTTGTCGCCTCGCGTAATTTGCGCCTGCGACAGCACGCTGCTTCGAAGCTTGGCAGCCTCTTCTTCGCGCTGTTCGGCGCGCTGAGTGGCAATGCGAGAACGAAGCACCTTCCATGCATCTTCGCGATTGCGCTGCTGCGAACGGTGATCTTGCATGGAGACGACGGTGCCGGTAGGAATGTGCGTCATGCGAATGGCCGACTCGGTCTTGTTGACATGCTGTCCGCCAGCACCCCTTGCCCGCATCGTCTCAATCTTCACCTCCTGAGGGTTGACATAAAAGTCGCTCTCCGGGTCATCGATATCGACGTTGTCACCGCCGCTACCACCTTCAGGAAATGAAGGCAGCACCCACACGGCCACAGCACTCGTGTGCACCCGGCCTTTGCTTTCTGTGCTCGGGATACGCTGCACACGGTGCATGCCAGCCTCTCCGCGGAAGATGTCGTATGCGCCCGGATCCTGGATTTCGAGGATGGCTTCCTGGACTGGCTGCTCGCCAGACGAGGAAGACTGGTCGCCCGCAGCCTCGGCCATTTCATATTTGAGCACGTTGGCCCTGTAGCCTCGTCGCGCGCACATGGCCTTGTACATCTTGAACAGCGTGTCGGTGAAATATCTGCCCTCGAGACCTCCCGGCCCAGGTCGAAACTCAACCATGCACGGCAGATCGGCAAAGGCATGTCTGGGAGTCAGACTCTCTTTGAGCTTCCTCTCCAGGAGGTCCAACTTTGCTCGTTCCCCCTCTAGTTCGTCTCGCGCAATCGATGCAAGGTCCGGGTCTTGGTCTGGGTCCTCCGCCATGGAAGCAAGCTCTGTGATTGACGACTGGGCCTTTTCCCAGGCTCGCAGCGCAGAGGCTACGCGGCCAAGTTCGCCAGCGCGCTTGGCCTTGCCGGCATCGAATGAGCTGTTGAGGCTCTTTTGAAGGTCATCGTGTTCCGCAGACAGCGACTGCGCGCGGCGGAGGAGGCTCGGTGCCAGAGATGTGGAGGCGTCTTTGGGCGTTCACCCGGTCAGCTAAAGAGGGAACAAGAGAGGTTTGCGATTTGCGATTGTGGCACACCGTTGGAGGAGAATCGGACAATCTGCAGCTGGTGCGACCGTCGCAGAGCCCGGAAGCAGCTGCGGCAGATCCATGGCGCTGCTGACATTGTCCACAGGGGCAAGACAGCCTTGACGCTGCAGCTGTAGGCGGGTTTTGATATGGGAAAGGTGACGCTCGACACAGGCTTGGAGATTTTTCAGTTTGGTGGCGGGGCAGCTCTCCAAGTACCTCCATGTAGATACATGGCCAAACCACATACCACTCTATACAAGTAGGAAATAAGCCGGTAACGTCGACATTTAATTCCTCAATTGTCTCATTCACAAGTAATGTTTTGTGCAGTATCACATCACATGTCAAAAGAAGACATCATAATACGTGAGTCACTGTCTCTATATATTACTGATTAAACTGTTCTCGCCCCAGTATCGTTAGTGGGGTCTTTTAAGCTACATGAAGCGCTCTATGCACTTTAAACAAACAGAATGCTATGCTTTTCCTTCTCTGACCTCTTTTGACGGATTTTCTTCATCTTTTATCCGCCAGCTGACTTTTATGCAGAAGCGATGGCTTCCTCTTTGCTCCTAAGTTCTCGCTCTTTTGCCCACCTCGCAGCTGTTAGAAACGCGGCTCCAATGAGCAAGCAGACGCCTCCCCAGATCTGCGAGCCGATATAGCGTCCATTCGCTACGACAATCAGCTTTCCTGCTAATGGCGGGCCGGTAAGAGCCGCAACGCTAATTATCGTGAATATCATGCCGATTCGGATGCCGGCCTTGCTCAGGTCCTTGGACAGGCTCGCAGTTGTTGCAGGGAACAGTGCCTGAACACCAGCGCCAAAATAACCAAAGAAAGCGACCCAGGCATAGTCTCCAGTGATAGAATCGACGCCTGCCCAAGCAAAGATGCAGATGGCCGTACCAATAATCGTAGGGATAAAGACGTTGACGGCTCCAAAGTATCGATCGGCTAGGTATGCAGGTATAAGTCGTCCCGGAACGCCAACCACGTTGATTATCATGAGCATATTGAAAGATTCTGGCTGAGAGCCATGAAGTCGGTCTATAGAATACGAGCGGGCCTATTAGAAGCAACGTCGGTTAGAACATGTCAAGGAAATCATCCATTGGGTGAATAGAAAACAGGGAAACTCACATAGTCGTACGCAAAATAGGTTGCCCAAAGCGTGAAGAACATGCTGATTGCAAACAGGATATATGTCGCTTCTCTGAAAGCTGACCAGTCAACCAAGGCGCCCGTCTTGCGGGGAGGCAGCCTCGGCCTCATCAGCAACAGGATGATGACGCTGGTCACCAGGACCACAAGGCCCATTGCTCGTACCGTCCACCCAAATCCAACCTTGGAGATCAGCTGCTGCGCAATCAACGGAAATATGACGCCTCCAGTTCCGCCGCCGCAAGCTGCGCTCGCCAGAGCCAGAGTCTTCTTCTTGGAAAAATATGTCGACACATGGGCAATCGTTGGTGCAAACGTGAGTCCGCAGCCGATGCCCTGGCACAGTCCCTGTGCAAGAAAGAGCTGCCAATACGTCGTCGACACGCTTGTTGTGAAAATACCAACCAGTTGCATGAGCAGTCCCACTGCCAAGACATGGCGGAGATATCCAGCGTCAAACGCACGGCCGGAGAATGTACCGACGAGAAAGATGAGACAGGTCTGGGTGCTTCCGATCCAAGACACGGCTGAGGGTCCTAGGTTGAGGGTTTCCACGTAGTAAGGCTGGAAGATGCCGAAGCTGATGGTATAGCCCCAGACGTTGAAGACAATCAGATGTCCGGCCACAACTTGAAGCCATGCCCAGAGGCCACCGTCAGGAGGAGGTCCTACTACGGGTCCAGTAGCTGCGGCTGGCTCTTCGAGAGGCAATTCCTGAGCTTTTTCGTCGGCCATGTTTATCTTTTGCTCCGAGGTGACATCATCATCGGTTGAAGATGCCTCAACAAACCCTACGTCCGGCGGTGTTGGCGGTGTAAGTGCCATGATGCCTATCACCGATTGATCTGGCAGGGCAGAGTTCTAAGGAACAAGAGTTTTCCTCGTGATTTGATAATGGGAGCTTAATAATGGGAATATGGTCGTCGGTGAAGTTTTTTCGATAATAATGCCGATGTCGCTAATACAACCCCGGAGAAGGACAATGAATCAGGAGGAATGCGACGCTTACATATAAGCCGAGATAGGTGAAGCGCTCATGACACCTTGAATGGAACAGAGTCACTACATGTGCAGGTCGAAAAGCAGCAATCATACATAGGCATTCGAAAAGGTGTAGGAAACTGGAAAAGCTTCTGGGGTCGAGCTATTCATACTGGAAATCCAGATGCGGGCACAGCCGTCCGATCCCCGAGCAGCGAATGCATCAACGCTCAATGTCTGTGGAGACTCTATTGCTTGCTGGACGATCCACGGGTCCAATCTCCAATCGGAAAAGGTGAAAATTAGAATAAACCGACAGAAATGCCAATTAGTCAACATCAAAAGCACGCAAAAGAGAGCCTGGCGTTCCAACAGCGGAAGACAAACTCCATTCATTGGCCAGCTCCATTACCAAGACTTCCCCCAAAAGGCAATTTGATTTCCACGCACAGGTGGTCTACGGTAAGGCGTCTCCCTACACCCAAGCCAGCCTAGCATCGCACGTAATTGCCGCTTAATTGCCGCTTGGGAGCCACGGAAAGCGAGAGTAGCGAGCAATCTTGAGGATTGGCGGAGGGCCAAGTCCGTCTACTACCTATTACCGTACTAGAGAGAACGAGCTGCTACAAGCAACCGCTTTGTACGGGTAAGGCGCGCATCTCGTTATGTAAAGCCAGTCCACGGAGCGGCATAAGCGGGCAAAGCGGGCAAAACGGGCAAAGCGGGTTCGTATCCAGTTGCAGAAATAACATTGAGGCGTGCTCTCTGTCCGAATCGCGGAGATGGAGAAGACAGGACGCTGTCAGCTGGCATGTCGGTTGAACAATCAAGCGGCTGCAACCACAACTTTAAAAAGAACATTAAAAAGAGATCGAACCTGCGTATCAGATCTGTGTACGGAGTACCACTGGCTTCATGCGACTACATATCATGCCGAGAGAAACATTCAGCCCTCCGCAGACACTAATTCAAAATTGCTCCATAACTGTGAAGACTTGAAAGAACGAGCTCACCTCGGCTACAGGCTGCTTACTAATGCATATTCATCTCGCACTCTATTTGCCAAGTCTCAATATGTAAAGTCCAGCCATCACGATGAGAGGAGAATTTAGAAAAAGAAAAGGATATGAATCAGAGTCGCTTGCTATCGGATGCGGATCGGTCCGTTGGCTAGACAAAAAAAGATTAATGTGGTTGAGGGGCGAGAAACCATATGAGTCGTTTCGGTTTTTGCTGCCAGGAAAGGAAGTGGCTTGGAAAATTGTGCTAGTTTCGTCAATTTAAGGACTTTTTCTTTTTTGTGATACATTCTCAATCGGAGCTTGAGTCAAGAGTTGCCAGTGATTCAACGGAGCTATCTCATCCATCATTTCTTCTACATAAATAACTGCTACTTCACGATTGGACTGAATATCGTTCTCCCCAACTTCATAAAGAGAAGTGAAGATATACAAACACCAACTACGAACCGCTCATTGATCGAAAATGACTTACACGCTCTACATCGGCAACAAGCGATACTCATCATGGTCCATGAGGCCATGGGTCCTCCTCAAGGCGCTCAACATCCCCTTTGACGAGAAGCTGGTATACTTCGGATCCGACCTCGCCAGCCAGCGCAACGAGTTCCTCAAATTCTCGCCCTCCGCCAAGGTGCCCTGCCTGATCGACGGCGAGTCCTCAGCCGCCATCTTCGACTCGCTCGCCATCGTCGAGTACGTGGCCGAGGCTTATCCTGCCGTGTGGCCCAGCGACAAACTTGCCCGTGCCTTTGCCCGGTGCGCCGCCGCCGAGATGCACTCTGGCTTCGGCGGGATCCGAACCGACTGCTCCATGAACGTGGCGCTGCGCATCGAGCTCGGGCCCCGGAGCGAGGCTCTGCAGCGAGACATTGACCGCCTCACCGAGCTCTTCAAGGAGGGCATCAGCAAGTTTGGCGGTCCGTGGCTCGCGGGCAAGGAGTTCACCGCAGTGGATGCCTTTTACGCACCCATTGCATCTCGGTGCAAGACGTTTGGCATCGAGCTGGACGGTGCTGCGGGGGAGTATCTCGACCGGCTGTTTGACCATCCGGCCGTGACGCAATGGGTCGATGAGGGCATCACAGAGCCTGGCATCGTGGCGCGGATTGAGGCGGACAGCATTCGGGGACGCAAGGTGCTGAAGAATTTGGGTGAGCAGATGATTCTTGACTTTTTGGGATTGTGATGACGATTATAATAACTGGTGTTTTCTTCTTCTTTTTGCTTTGCGTGTAGGTGCTTGAATGGGTACAAGCTGAGGATATATCATGAGGTGATTTTGGTGGTTTACGTAAAAAATTGGTCACATATTTACTGAGATGGATGATTACGAGCTATTTACTAGATATATAGACTCAATTGAACAAATTGGCGTTTTGTGAAGAGAATCTGCATCTGGTTGTCTCTCATGCGCATATAACCCAGATATGGCATGTGATTCTGCCCAGAATAATTGCTAGAATAGGCGCAAGTTGTAAAAGCGATCGTTCCAGCCAATTGCCATTATTATCAATTACCAATGATACATCACTGATTATACTCCATCTCTACCTGCTGAACATAAAGGTACTGTCTGGTTATGCCCATATTTATAATCACATGCCTGAAATTATTCGGCTCATTCTAGGGTAGTGCATACAAGGTCACGATGCTCGCCCATATTGAAGTTTACGTTGCACAAAAGTTAATCACAATACCGCCATGACAGAAGAGGGGAAAAAAAAAAAAGAAAACAAAATATCCAGACACTGATATGAAGCCAGCCAATAAAGACCTATCCTGGTAAAATGTCAATACTCAATATCCTTTAATAGACACATGGAAAGCCCCATTAATGCACTGAAAGCCACCAGCGCTCAAGAGGCTGGGGAAATTGTGGCTCAAGGCCCTGGAATTGCCAAAGCGGCAACCCTCCCGCCCTCCCCACCACTACGGCACAGCACAGCGCCTGATAGGGCCTAAGCTGACCGCAGAGCAGCTGGTCATTACCCGTAGCGTGGCCCAGTTGCTGCTTCAACCTCCATCATCGCTTCATCTCAGCCGCAGCTCGAGCTGTCAGTAGCCATCAAAGCGCTACTGCTGTCCAGCTCAACCCGTAACGATGGCCGGCCAGGGAGTCACCGCGTATCTCATCATCCTCATCGCCATTTCGACTCTTGGGTCACTCCAGTTTGGCTTCCACTTGGTTCGTTGCTCCATCTCATCACGCTGCATTCACCGCTTGCTTCTCCATGTTTCAAAGAACATGTAGCTTCAAGCGAACTTGCTGAGCATCCAGTTGTCTGCCACCAAGCGAGATAGATGCTAATAGAAAAATCCAATCTTCTACAACACAGGCCGAACTCAACGCTCCCCAAGATGTCATCACCTGCCACCGAAAGTCCATCTCGGCCGTAGCTCGAGCTCTCGCGAGGAGCTTCGTCACGTCCGTCCATGAAGATGCCATCGACGACTGCATCCCCATGGACGAGGCCGCCTTCGCCACCGTCTCCTCCGTCTTCACTGTTGGAGGGCTCATTGGTGCTCTGGCTGCCGGTCCATTCTCCTCTCGCCGCGGACGCCTCCTCGCGATGCGCATGACGGCGCTTCTCTTCATCGTCGGATCGGTCATCGAGACCATCGCCAGCAGCGTCTTTGTCATGGCATCGGGTCGGTTCTTGTCTGGTATTGGAGCTGGCGCATCGACAGTCATCGTGCCTCTGTACATTAGCGAAGTATGCCCGCCCGACCGGAGAGGCTTCTTTGGCTTCATGACGCAGATCTCCATCAACATTGGCATTCTCATTACACAAACGCTGGGCTTCTTCCTGAGCTACGGGAGCGCCTGGAGATGGAACCTGGGTATTGGAGCTTTCATCGCAGCTGCGCAGGGTGTTGGATTGTTAATCGTCCCCGAGAGTCCGGCATGGCTCGCTGCGCACGATGACGTCGCCGGCGCAAAGAAGACTCTCCAGCGGATCCGCGGTGTGGCCGTCGACATCAGAGAAGAGAGCGAAGTCTGGGGCCGTGACGGATCCGCCTCCGGAGAAGAAGAAGGTCTCCTTGCTCAGAATGCAGACGAGGTCCCCCCTCCCAATGCCACCTCGGCCAAGAACGAGCCCGTTCACCTCGGGTTCCTGCAGGTTGCCAAGGATCCCAGCACTCGGCCTGTCATCATTGCTCTAGTTGGCATCATGTTCGTGCAGCAGTTCTGCGGCATCAACTCCGTCATCATGTACTCCGTCTCCCTCCTTGCTGATCTTCTCCCCATTTCATCCGCTCTCCTGAGCATCTTGGTCTCGCTGGTCAACTTGGTGACAACCATTGCATGTTCCCCCCTGCCAGATCGACTGGGACGAAAGACATGCCTCATAACGTCCATCGTTGGCCAAGGCAGCAGTGCCCTTGTTCTAGCGCTCTCCATTGTGTTTGGCTTCAAGATTCTGTCAGCTCTTGCCGTCATCGTTTTCGTTGGTTTTTTCGCCGTGGGCCTGGGACCTGTGCCCTTCATTCTGGCATCAGAGCTCGTTGGCCAGGAGGCTGTAGGTGCAACTCAGAGCTGGTGCCTCGGAGCCAACTACGTTGCGACCTTCTTGGTGGCCCAATTCTTCCCCATCGTTAACAAGGCTCTCAATACGTGGCTGGGTGGGCATGGTTGGGTGTACTTCATCTTTGCTGGCCTGGCTGCTGTTTCCTTTGTGTTTGTGACTTGGTCCTTTAGATCCCTACGCTTCCATGGGGCTACCGGTAACTAACTGACAGATATATGTGCGTATGTGACATTGGATGATCCTCTAGCGTTTTGAGTAGTTTTGGGTGAAGATTGAATTTATAGTTAGCATGCATTGATTGTTATTGGCCTGTTTTCGTATTGCAATAGTTTTCTAGGCAGCGGGAATATCAAATCATTTTAGGACCATAATGAGAAAAAACAGCCACATGCTACGAGGGTAGTCCGGAGCGTCATTCATAACAGGATATTTTTTTTTTTGGTTTCATTTGAATTGCCCACTGATCATCACCGAATTTTGAGGGATTCCGGTCATCATAACAAAATCATCTCATCCAGCACATGGGCGCGTGCAACATTGTGTCTGGAGAGCCCACAAAATAAGAGGACACAGATTTAGACCGTAAACCCGAAAACACCGTTGATTTCATGCTAGTGTATCGAAGGCACACACCATGGGAAAGGGGCCGAGCCAACCACTCCCTCCCAACATAAGCCGTTTCTAGAGGTTCATCGACAAAAACATAATTTTTTTTAATGCCGAGAAAAAAGTCTGCAGCACTCGCAGGTGCGCAATCATGCCCAGTACCACAGCGCCACGCCCGCACCTCCCCTCCAGCACCAGCAAGCAACCATTTGAAGGTTGTGCGTTTATTTCTCCTTCTTCGCCTTGGCACCCTTGACCTTTGCGGTTCCGCGCAGGGTCTTCTGTCGGTTCTTGCGCTGCTTGCCTGTATTTCAAAATGTCAAGTTAGCCAACCACACGCTAAGAGAGGACAAAAAAAAAAGAAAAGCCAGATATTGAACGTACGCTGTTGTCTGCTGGCACGCTCGGGCTTGGTGGCGAGTCCGACACGGATCAGGCGGTACTTGGGCTCGAACTTCTTCAGAGCCTCGGGGGAGTCGTAGATGAGGGCGAAGCCGGTGGTCTTGCCGCCACCGAAGTGGGTGCGCAGGCCGAAGACCTGGACCTGCTCCTTCTGGGCCTTGTACAGGCTGCCGAGCTTCTCGCTGAGCTCAGCCTTGGAGATGTTGGCACGGCCGGGGTGGAGGATGTCACTATTCATGGATAAAAGATCATAGGTCAGTCAAATTTTCTTGGTTGGAGTTGTGGTTGAATTCGTTGGCCGCCATTCATGATTCTCTTCGCTCTCTTCATCCCAAAATCGTCCACTATCCAATCCAATCCAATCGAAGCTCGCTGCTCAATTCTGCAACAGAAATTGTGCCCAAGTGCGAGGCAGCAAATCAAATATCCGTAGACAAGAAATGGCAGCCGCCTTGGTTTTCCGCACCAAATGAATAGGCTCGAAGATCGATGGATGTCTCATGGATAGGGATTCAATGGCGGGCGATTCGAATCTGGCGGCGGCACGACGAGAGGAGGGCTTTCACTCACACCACCATCTGCTTGCGGCCAAGCAGGGGGTTGCGGATGAACTTGCGAGTTCGCAGGGTAACGGGAGCGTCGTTATCCGCCATGGTTGCGGTCTTGTGTGCTTGTCTCGTTGAGAAAAGTGACGAAGGAGAGACTCAGCGGTTTGGCGTCGTGGTTCGGTCGTGGGAGAAAGGGCTCGCCGCAAAACTAAAACCGGGGCAGGGAAAATTCCGAGCACCAACTCGTGTCGCTTAGTCTGGGTCCCAACCCTAAGATGCGATGCGGGCGCGCAATGTTGTGCGTTATGTAAGCAACACCGCCCACAGGCATCTGGAAAAAAATAGTTTCTCATCACGTGCAGGGTAAAACTCGGCAGATAGACTAGCTGCTATTTTTGTAGCTTGCCGGGCCTCCGCTCTTTTGGCCAATCAATCCCTTGCAGCAGGTTATGGATACTCAACTGTATGCTCCACCCTTTTGATGCATCGCCATTGACTGAGTATTTGCTACAGAGCAAGTCTTTAGCAGAAATGTGATGGAGAAGTCAAAAGCATTGGGGGCCTGTTTCTCAAATTATCAGATGTTTTCATAAGGCGTATACCGTTTTTATTCATGTACATACTTGGCCATGGAGGCTTCATCGCAAAGTCAAGTCGATCGCTTCTGCTATCAATATCTCCAGCTTGAGCAGACCTTGACGTATCCCGAACCTCAGCACCTCAGACGCTCCGACGTTCAAAATGCCATCTATGACAGACTCTTTGCTGATGACGCTCTTGCTGCTGGTCCTCCGCCACTCAGATACCAGGTGAAAGTGCTCAAAGAGCTTGTCTCTCGCATCGAGGCAAGCATAGAAGACTGGGATGAGCATGTAAGTTGCCCGACCCCCGGCCGTGATATGTCGGTCAGACACTCCACGAGCATGTCTCTGACGCGAAGAGCAGGGAGTCTCCGATGGTCTCATGTCATCCCTCTCTGTGTTACTATCCACACCATCCCCGGATGAGGCCGATGCCGTGCAGCAAAAGTGTCATGTCGTCTACCATCTCGCATCCTTGCCGGATCACGAGGCTCACATCACCTTATTTGAGAATCGTTCTCTCATCTCCGCTGCCGGGACTACTGGACTAAGAACTTGGGAAGCGGCGCTTCATCTGGGACAGCTCCTTTGTCAGGACCCCAGCATTGTTTCCGGGAAACGAATCTTAGAACTTGGGACGGGTACTGGATATCTTTCCATCCTATGCGCAAAGTACTTGAAGTCCACACATATCATAGCATCAGATGGGTCTGACGATGTCATCAACAACCTCCCCGAAAACTTCTTTCTGAATCAACTTGAAGGCTCAAGTGCCATAACGCCAATGGATCTCAAGTGGGGGTATGCACTCGTGGGAACCGAAGAAGAGCGGTGGAACGGCGGCCGTCCCTTGGATGTTGTCCTCGGAGCTGACATTACGTACGACTCGAGCATCATCCCCGACCTTGTCCAGACGCTGTTGGAGCTATTTGAACTGTATCCTCATGTTGAGGTCATTATTGCAGCGACTCAGCGAAACCTGCAGACGTTCCACGTCTTTTTAGAAAAGTGTGAGGAAGAGAAGCTAAAGGTGGAAGATGTCTCATTCGAGATACCGTCGCGTGACCAACAGGAAGGCCCATTCTATAATGACCAGGTTGCTATTAGAATTTGCAAAGTGTTTAAGCTCTGACCCAATTAGATCAAATCACATTTTGTCATTAAGCTGGTTCATCTCGCCAACATGAATTACACGCAAAAGAAGTCTCATTCGCAAGTCACTACAAGGGTGATGTAAGTTAACCGCGCCGCAGAGAAAGATTAATCTGCAATTTACATCATCAAAGAGGCTTGCAGATGCGAACTTCCGCGGCAAACCTTTTGACTCCTTCGGCGAACCGCTGATGAAAAGATGAAACGATAGAACGTCAATGGGTTTAACCTTCAGGGTAGCTCCAACAGATTGCTTCGCCTAGGACACACCGGTGATGGCGCCAGGCAACACGCGTGGCAACAGGGACCAGAATATTTTGGTGGCGTCTTGGGGGTCAAGCCACACAACAATTGGCTTTCTTGATCGCTTGGCACCGATGCATCTCATCAGGCTATCATCGGAAGATACAGCTGGACGCTTTCGAAACCATCTCCAAACTTATAAGTAAAGACAGCTGATTGCTCAATATCAGAGGCAATCCTCACCGATTGTTGACGTCATGTAAACCACAAGACGGTTTTACCCATGTACATGCGTGTGAAGCGCAGGGGATGGAACAGCAGTTGGGCCTTTGGCATCCATGACACCCTGTTGGCCGGAGGTATTTCGTCGACCAACCGCTCTAACCAAGACAAGATGAAGTCATGGGCAGGACCCAAAAAGTCTGGGGAAGTAAGACAAAACGCAATTGGCATGAAGTGACAGGGCTTTCGATTTCATTCTGGCTCACAGTGCTTGTACGGTACAAGTCATAGGTCAGCAACTACGCCATCTTACGGTTTCAGAGGCTGAAGACAGGCAGTGGGCCGACAGTGGTGTGTTCTCATCGGAACCATTGGATCTTCTTGCTTGTACGAGAGTATGCACTCCGTACAGTGCTCTGCACATATACGGACATCGAAGCGGCGGGAGTCGCACCTGCGGGGAAAAAAGAGACTAACGATGGCCGGCAAATGGGAATAAACGCGGCCTACACCGGTTGCTCGAGATCGTGGTCTAGGTAGGCGATGGAAGCTGTGCGCACTGCGCCGCCATTTCATTAGGTCTCCCTGCAGCAGTGCATTTCCAGTGGAGAGAGCGCAGTTTTAAGCGGGGAGGCATCGGTTGGAGTCGTCAATGGGCAGAGTTTCCAGCCTCCAGACTCATACCCTGGTTCGGAAGTCGACGATAGTTCAGTAGAGTTACAGAAAGCTCCGTGTAGGTGCAGCATCCTGCAGCATCCTGCAGAGCTCTAAAAGCTCCACCACATGAGCAATTTGACCTGTCTTGCTTTCTTTCCTGCCTGTTCACAGCGATGAATGTGACAAAGTCTCCGCAGCGGCAGGGATGAAGGAAAAGATAACCGATCAACGTTGGCGTTTTCTTTGAGAGTGAAAATTTTTCTGAAGCTTTTAGCGAGCCCACGCTGGTGGGTGAGAGATCATCGCTGATCGGCAGAGTGTCACAGAGTCTCAGATAAACGTGACTGCTAAGATTTATCCTAGCAAACAGCTTCTGAGTAAGAGCTTGTTGGGGGTGGCTACCGCCGTTGCTCCGTGTCGAGAAGCTAAAGTCGGATGTGATAAGCTTTTTGGTGGCCGTAACATGAGAGATTTCCTCTTGGTGCCTTTGGAGCTTTTGTGCCGCCTGGCTTGACGGGTAGAGCTGACGAGTAAAGAGGGGAGTTTATTGGGGTCAATGCAACGCTGCTGAGTCGTGAGAATGAAAAAGGATGTCGCCGGAGCCTATCGTCACATATGCGCAGCACCATCCGGTGGCCCCGTGAGGTGTGCGATGCATAGCATACGCGTAACACATACTGTACCGCACGTACGGACGCACAAGATGGCATAGGCATATTTAGCCTTGGGCATATTTTGAAGCTCTCTCCAGGTGGGTTGAGGTAGGATTTCTCGCTAGACCTACACATGCTGCATGCGACATTGCAAAGCTAGAAAGCATCTCCGGCGTCGATATTTCTCCAAGTAGACGCGCGAGTCTAAAACTGACATATAGTAAGGCCTACGCTGTGCTTGGCGCTCGATGCCCAATGTTCTAGACAGCTCGAAGTAAACTGACACGGCTCCGGCTGCAACCCGCGTGCCATGGACTTGTGGTGCCAATCTTGCTACTATGTATTTGGAGTGATCGGCTCTGTCTTGTGGAAATGATACTCAGGGGGTCTATGGATACAGCCGAATTTGCCTCCTCTTGCGAATGCTGCATTCTGGAACTGCTGCCGATCACTCAGTCGGGGGGCGGATCACGAGGCAAAAATAGAAGGTGTCTCAGGCCCGGTTGTACATGCTGATTGCTGATTGCTGATCGATCTCCAGGCTCGAGATGAGTACTGCGGTATGACTGCCTACAATAAGCAGTACGTACTATGAAGCGGGAGCAAAGGGGACGGGCTTCAATCTCAGCCACCAAGCAGTAGTGCTCATCTGCCTAGCTAGGTACTAATGTTACAGTATGTATAGACACAGATATCCTCACACTCTTGGGAGATACGTCAAATATCATGGAGCACTAGCGGCCAGTCAATTTTTGCTGTCTATGGCTTGTCGTTATCTCTTCGCCTCAGCCTCATTGGCTGTGTTATCTCCAAATCTCGAGGGGAGGGGGGCCAGGAAGCTGGACAGGGCGCTTCGTTATCTCTGGCGCAAATTGCAGAATTGGCCTGAGCCCAAGTGCTGATACTGAACTCTGTTTGCTCTGCCTGCTTTGGACGCCCTGTCTTTGTCCCACGCAGGCAAAAGTCAATTAGCTCGCTCCATGCACTCCATGCCGCACACCGCGACTCCGGCTGGGCACTGTTTGTTTGATTGCCACACCAACGCCATCTTCAGCGACTGCAGTTGCATGGCATATGCATTCCCATGCTATACTAGCAATTGGGATTCAAAGGTGAGGCCTCATGACCTACCGGTGTCGACATTGATTCGGCCGGGCTTCCGCCTCTTGTGCCCAGCTTCTCCCATTCCCGCCTCTGGATGCGTGACAATTGAGCACTTTTGAGATTGTATTGACCTACTAATAAACGCCTTCCCTTGAAGCGAAAAACCAAGTCAGTTCATCCACTGTGCGCAGAAAAACCAGCGCAACGAAAAGCACGCAAAGTGCAAGAACGCTTATAAGATTAATAAAAAAACGGAGACCCTGGCTCCCCCTCCTTGTCTTCGAAACGGGCTCTCCTCGAATAAGGCCCACTGGCCGGCTAGCCCTGAACAAAGCAGCCAAGCACCATCGCAACGTGCAGCAGCGCCATCGTCCAACTCGCCCGCCGCAAATGCGGCAAGGCAGGGCCCAAAAGAGCTTGTGCTGGCTAAGAACCACCCGAGTGGGCTCGTATCCAGAAAGCCAAGTTTTGCCAACAAAGGACCCATCTGCTGCAGCGTGTCTGGTGCTGAGCCCGCCATCCTCGCCACCCGCATCCGCGCCATTGGACATGCTGGACCTTGTTTGGGCTTGTTTGCCTCCCCGACATCCAGAACCTTAATGTTTGGCTTATAGACTACGCACTGCTAACACACACACAGACAGAAAGAGATTCTCCGGCAAGACACAAGAGGCAACAAGACGCTCCGTCTTGCATCCCCCTCCCCTTGGCGCCCAAATGTTACAGTAGTAGATTGTTCAGGCCGCGGCGAATCAAACTAGAGGCCAGCCCAGCCCAAGAAGGATCTAGACCAGAAATCAAAAAAAGCAACCCCCTTCTTTCAGCTTCGCCTTCACGAAGCTCTGGCAGTGGCTCTCATTGGCTGTCCGGGGCCCCATGTTCATGTTACCAGGCGATTGCGAGCTCCTCCCGCCTGCGTCTTCCAAGCTTTGCTGCCAGCTGTACCGCTACCGCTCTATTTATTGCTATCCTGCAGTTTGCAGTAGCTTGGCGTCAAGATAGGAACAGAAAGTTACTTTTGTCTGCGATTACTGACACCGTGGGAAGACAAAAGGCCCTGATTGACGTGTTACTGAGGCTGCAGCCGGGCAGTATATTACGGGCACGTCAACCCTCTCCCTCCATCCCATGTTACTACTACTCCCGCTTCATTTTATCGATACTCCGTGCCTTATTTCTTTCTCCACACCCTCATTAACCAAGTCTTGCGCACATCACTTCTGCTAGTGTTGCGACAGGGAAAAAAAGGCTGTACCCACTATTCTAATACTACACTACCACCGGCCGATCCACCTTCTCCTGGAAGCAGCTCCAAACCCGCCTCTGCATCGGATGCTGCTGCAATCGCCCACTTATACACTCCTCATCACGCCAACCATCCGCAGCTTGACCTGACCTTGTTATCTCGACGTCAGTCTTCCATCACCCTCGTGTTATCGTTATAAACCAGCACCACCCTTGCCCGGCTCCTGCGATCCTGGCTCAATAGCATCTATCAACACACACACACAATCGCATACTTTGCAAGAGGATTGCAATTACAAGGAAGCAGTACTACCGACTACCATTGCTACTAGCATACCCACGGCGGAACGTTACGCTTGGGCGAGAAGAGCAATCTCCTTGTTGCCCTAGAATAAAAAGAAGCTGCTTCGTGCACCTTTAATATCCGTCCTCAACCCTTGCCAGCCCCATACGACAGGGTACTTACACACATAACACACAACTACCGCTGCCACCGCCGAGCCCTTGAACCTCGATTCAACAGGCACACAAAACCATCTATCACCTGGTCATTGCCACGGTGGTGCTGCTATTTCTATCATAGTCGGCGTCGAACCCTTGTGATCTCGATCATATCATCATCGAAGCAGCGCTGGTTAATTCTACCGATTCTATTTTCGACTCGCTCTCCTCCAGCAATCTTACCTTCTTGATCACCTGCTGCTGCGTGGAGTTGAACCTTTTATGTGTCCGATGGTTTCGTCATTGCTAGGAACAAGAGCAATACCTCGATCATATCGCTGCAGCCGCTGAAAGAAATACAAGAGTAACGACGACGACAGCAACTACAAGAAGACAATACCTACAACTCAACAACTTGACACAACAAATCATAGTCACGATGGACTCCGAAAACTGCTATCACAACTACGCTTACACTCTGCAGAAGTATATGCTTTTGCAAGAGCAACACGAGCAACTCTGCAGCAGCCTCGATCAGATCCGCCCGCGCACTGCATCGACCGGCACACTTTCTACCATCTCTTCTCCCAGCACATCACCCGTCCGCTCTTCCATCTATGCACCTGCCTCCGGACGACGACACTCCCGCTCTGGCCAACGCCGCTCTTCAAGGGCGCACGGACGATTCAATGGCTGGGAAGATCAGCTTGACACCATCGTCGACGAAGACACCATCTTCCAGATCTCTGCCGAGGAACAGCGTCTTTTTGACGTCAACGAGAGCATCAAGCGGGCCTTGACTGAGCTGCTCAACTGCGACGCTGTCCGAAGTGACGTGACGACACGCATGTGGGCTCAAGCCAGACTGATGGAGACCGAGAAGGAACTCCGATCAGGGCGACGGAGGCGAAGCTCCCCTATCCGTGACTGAGCGAGCAATGAGCAAACAATTGATCAAACAAAAGGCGAATTACGCAGCCATTTGTGGGGAATTGAACAAAAAGCCATTGGACCCGCCGACGACGATCAGCTATTTTGAGCACCAAGCCAAGCTTTTGGGTCTGCGATTCAGTCACTCTTTTTCTTGATTGCAACATTCTTAATTCTAATCCTATCAAGGCTAGCCAACTAGCCTCTATACCACTGGGACCATCTTTTTATACGGGACACACCACTTTTTTTTCTTTTTTGTATGGAGGGGAGCAACAAAAGATACCAACGGCTCAGAGTGGAGAGCTGACCACTATTCGATGACACGGAGTTTTTTTTTCTTTTACTCTTTTTCATTACTGATGGGGGGGGATACAAAAAAGAACGCAAAATTGGAGCCGTTCCTTTTTTCCCTTGCTATTTCATCATCAATTTTTTTTTTATTTCTCACCCACCTACCTAGATTGGTTATGCTGTGGTCCCAATGGTCTCCGTTGCCTGACGCAATAGGCTATTCTTTTCATTGAAGGCATCGCATTGCGTGCGGCGTGCGTTAAAATTATCTTATATGTACATAAAGCATGTTTATGTACATACCACATCCTGCGGATATTTTTTAGTGTTCATTTTTTCCATATTCTCTTTTTTTCTCTCTTTGCATTTGTTTGTGCGTCGGTGGGCTTTACAGGACGTGTTTTAGGAAAGGGGGGTTCATCGATAAAAGGGACTTTGGGAGCGAGCCTGCTATTGCATATATATTCCTTGTGGCAACTGATGTTTTCTTTTTTACCATTTATTGTTTACTTTATTGGTTGCGATATCATATAGGTAGCTTTGGGAGCGAACAAGCGAGCAGGCGGGTAAAACCAAGCAGTCTGCCAAAGGCTGCAGAGAGACAGTCACAATTGACAATATTGAGTTAAAACAAGGCTTTTCAGTTTCGAAGAGGAAAGAAAGTGATGAATCAAATTTGTATGCATAAATCCTGAGCGAAACCTGATTAAGTGATTGCCACTTGAGACGAAGATGGCTGCATGGATATCTCAACGGCTACTGGCTGGCTGAAACAGCAGGCCTGCTCTTTTGGGAATAAGCGAGCGGCATAATGGTATCAAGTTTATGATGCGTTTGGCCGCGCGCTAGGCTAGATGCTTGAGGGAGACTAGGGATTGGATGCCTGAATGGAAGGTTCTGAGCTGTCCAAAGAGTGTTCTGGGGAGAAAGAAGCATCAATTAATGCATCTGTTGCTCATCGTAATCGAAGCCTCTTTTGCGTGGTGCTGCTAGTAGGTACTAATAGGTCTCACGCACGACATGGCCATGGCCGGCATCGCCGAATAATTGTGCGTCAACTGGGATGTACGGCACTGTAGTTTGCTCTGTAGTTGTCTGGAATTTCGAATACTAATTTATTTAATTTCTCCCACTTTCAAACCCCGTCTTCTGCTGTCTGCAATAAACTGCTTTTGCTTCTCTTCTCTATGGCGTAGACATTACATAATCACATCACAGGCCAATGCTAGCGCTTCCCCACAAAATTGTCATTCATCTGATTGAATCGCAGCCTCGCGTCCGAGATACGCGGCTACAGCCAAAGCAGTGTTTTTCTTTGAGATACCCCGAGACTCGCCGCCATGTCGGTTTTGCTGGAGACCACCGTTGGGGACATTGTCATTGATCTGCTGGTCGACCATTCGCCAAAGCTGTGCGAAAAGTAAGTGCTGAGAGGGAACCTGTTCTATTCTCAATGGCTGCTAACTGGGCTGAATAGCTTCCTCAAGCTCTGCAAGGTCAAATACTACAACTTCTCTCCCATCCACTCCGTCCAAAAGAACTTCTCCTTCCAGACCGGCGATCCTCTCGGCCCTCTCGCCAAGCAATCAGATGGCGGCTGCTCAATATGGGGCCGCTTGTCGGGCGATCCGTCAAAGCGCACCTTCACAGCTCCGTTTCACCCCAAGCTGAAGCATCTCGAGCGAGGCACCGTCAGCATGGCAACAGTGCCGTTGGCTTCAGACCCGGACACGCGAGTGGCGGCGTCGCAGTTTATCATCACCCTGGGCGAAGAGACAGATTTCCTCGATAGCAAGGCTGCTATTTTTGGCAAGGTTGTAGAGGGGTTTGATGCACTGGAAAAGATCAACGAGGCCATGGTGGACGATAAGGGATACCCATTTGTCGATATTCGGATTAAACACACCGTCATCTTGGATGACCCCTATCCCGACCCGCCAGGCCTTCGAGAGCCCAGCTCGAGCCCTCCACCGTCCGATGAGCAGCTGAGGACGGTCCGAATCGCCGATGAACAAGAACTACACGAGAACGACGACGTAGATGAGGAAGAGCTGGAGAAAAGAAGGCGAGAAAGAGAGGCTAGAGCACAGGCCTTGACACTTGAGCTTATGGGCGATCTTCCCTTTGCCGAGGTCAAGCCGCCGGAAAATGTCTTATTCGTCTGCAAATTGAATCCCGTCACACAGGATGAAGATCTGGAACTCATTTTTGGTCGATTCGGAAAGATTCTGAGCTGCGAGGTAATTCGGGATCAAAAGACGGGCGACAGCTTACAGTACGCGTTCATCGAATACGAAGACAAGGCGTCATGCGAAGCGGCATATTCAAAGATGCAAGACGTCCTCATTGATGACCGACGAATCCATGTCGACTTTTCACAGAGTGTTAGCAAGCTTAGCGATGTATGGAGACAAGACACCAACAGTAAACGCAGAGCAAGGGCTCGAGGCGGCTGGGGTGGAGTGCAAGAGCTCGAAAAGCGGCGGCAATATCGTGAAGAGGATGAAAGGAGCTCTGGGAAGGACTATAACATGGTGTATAGTAAGGAGGAGATGAAAGGACGGCATGATCAGAGGCCTAAGCCTCGAAGAGACGATGACAAGCAGGACAGGCAGGACAGGCAGGACAGGCAGGACAGGCAGGACAGAGGAGGCCATGACAGGTATGATCGAAGAAATGACGACAGGCCCCGGCAACGAGACAATGGATATCAATCTCGGAATAGGAGCAGGAGCCCTCGTCGAGGAAACAGAGACGGTGATCGTGATAGACAGTTTAAGCCAAGGGACGGGTATCGACACGACAGGCGAGACAGAGACAGAGGGGACAGAGGGGACAGGGACAGAGACAGAGACTACAGGCGCAGAGACAGGTAATGATGGTTTCTTGGGAGCATTAACGACACAACTGAATAATATAAAAATTAGGCAACTAGGTATATGGGATTTTTGGAAGAGCTCCTTGTCATCACATATGAATAAATATCGCTAATATTGAGAAGTCATCCTTGCTTTATGCCTTGTCTTCGCTGCACATCTACCCTCGCCAATCGCTGGCTAGCTTGAACCAGCTGAATAACATTAATCACCTGCTTAAGCGCCATGAAGGGGAAGCATCCAATCACTATGATATTTGGCCAGTATTTGTCAATTTTGTTGGCGCGTGCCAGCTCAAGTGCCGCAGAGCTGAACGGGTCAGGAAACATCTTTGCTAAGAGCGAAGTGTCGACCTCAACTTCTGGGTGCAAGGGGCCGTGTCCATCGATATCTGCGTTTAGATATAGAGGAATGACGGGAGACGAGAAAGATAGGAGGTAGCAAGCGATGAAGAAGAGTTCATTCAGCGCACAAAGGGAAAACAGCACAATCTAAAAGCAAACGTTAGATACACAGAGCTGAGAACCGCCATGGCACGTACATTGTGCATTTACATACCTTGTTAGAGTAATACACTTTCATCAGCCAGCCCTGGCTCTCATCAATGTTCTTGTGGCTTGAGCCAGCACCGCCAATAACCAAAGATGCGTACATGTGCACATAATGGCTTGCAAAGTCCAATGCAATCAGGCCCTGGAACACAATAGCCCAGCGAGGGATAGCCGTCGCCAAGAAGACCAGCAGACACGAGGTGGTGCAGCGGTCGGTGACCATGTCCAAGACTGCGCCGAATTGTGTCCCCTGATTAAAGACACGAGCAGCATATCCGTCGAGGGCATCGAGAAGGCATGATATGGCGTAGAGAAGAGAGCAGGTGCGTGGATGGAGAGGCATGTAGTATAGAGAGGAAATGGCCAAGATTACTCGGATGTATCCTATGCAATGAATCGAATCGACTTATTAGCAGCAGCAGGTGGCATGAGGGGCTTGTTCTTTTTACCGATAATGTTGGGCCAGAACAAGAAGACATTCTCTGGTTGTCTTTCGGCATCTTGACGGGAGTTGTCGTCTGAGCCGCGATCCTGGTCTCGCTGCGCCAGCGCTCTCCCCGGAGGCATTCTTGGCGATTGAATCAGAGAATCGTATACGATACTATCACATTAAGCAAATTGAAGACGCGGGAGAAAGGAAGCAATTGGTATTTGGCTGCTGACTAAGTGGAGATCCTCCAGATGCACTGATTCAACCGGAGGCTCTCAACCAACACGTTTTGATCTTTGGGCGCATTAGCTTAGCCGTTTCGACATGCATACAAAGCCAAGGCGGGTAGGCAGCAGCAGTAATGTTTATTACCTTGTTAATAAAATAAATAACGATGTTGTTGTATTCGTGTAGATCCACATTGCAATTTCTATCTCTGTTATACCTCCTGGCTAACATTGGTCTTTGCTAGATGACCGCTTCGTGCCTGCTTGGTGCCTGCATCAACAGTGATCATCTACCCTATATAGGGCATCGTAAGACCATATTGAAAAGAAGATTCTGTATAGTCTTCTATTTATCCATACATCTGGCTGTGCCGGTGCTTCAACCGTCGCTGATTACTGTTTGTCTCTAATATGGAAACATTATCTAGGGCAGATTAAGACTTTAGCCTCAGGAGGGATGCGTATGAATCACATAGAATTGTTGTAGACTAAGAGATAGAGAGAAATACAACACAATATTATTAATGATTTAAAGTGTTAGAAATTGAACGGCAATTCTACAATCCTTGCCCATAGATTCTATCCATCTCATCGCATACAGCTCCTCTGCAATCAATTCTCTCTGACTGTGCTGCTTTATGCTGCCAACTATCAATTTCTCAGCTTATAGATCACGAAGGTGACTTAAAAGTCTACAGACACGCAAAGTCGACTTTTCGAAAGCCCACTTGTTGAAAATCTACGAGTCGTATTCCATGAGGGAGACCAGCCACCATCATTTGGTTGTTAAGCGACTGTCCATGACTCAAGAATACTAATTCTTCCTTGGCCAAAGCGCTTTTCGAAACTCTTCTCGGCGTCAATGCAGCATTCACCGCATTTGCTCGGGAAACTGACAATCGGGGTCGTAACGTCAAAGCGTTCTTCTGCGTGACTCGGTAGCCCCATGAACAGAAAGCCAGGGCCGAGCAGCAGCAACGCCCACAGGCCTGCAGGCTAAGTGTAATGAAAGTGCAACGCTTTACAGGGAAACGAAATGAATGCGGTGAAGATGCATAACTCGCGATTCAGTTGACGAGGAAAGCTGCAGCACGTCATGGTCCTCCACGCTTCCGAAGCCCCTGCTCCTGGCCGCCTCAGCTTCAGCACAGCAGCTAATAGGAACTGCCCCCGTGGTGGACAACTCCATAAGTTGTAATATGACGTTGGAGCTGTTGGTTTAATCCCGATGGCTGCCGGCATCACACACTTGCGCTGCTTCCTCAGTCGCCAAATGCTGTCGAACCTGACAGGTTCCCCGCAGAAAACGGGGGCTAAAGAGCTGATATCTCAGATTCCCGTTGGCCCCATGAGTTAATCTGCAATCGCTCCTCCCGTATATGCTTCTAGAGGCTCTCTTAATTTCTGTTACCGCCATTTGCCGAGCCGCTGTTACGCGGAGGGAGGGAGGATTTGTTTATACGAGTTGCTTCCAAAACTCAGCGCTGATTTACGCCTGTGAATCGGCACTTGCAAAGCCTGGCCCATGTTTGTAATATGTAATATGCCATGTAGTAATATACACATTACTTCTCATACCCCGTACTAGTTGGTAATAGTAGCACTTTGCTCTACATGTTATTCATGTCACATGTTGGCTCCCCCATCATTTTACGGGCTGCAAGGGACCCGCATGGTGCTACCGCATCCCATCTCTCCGATGCAGTCGTTTCGGTGAGTGTTACGGCGAATAGCTGCTCTCTGACTCTGTCCATTATGTGCAAGTCTATGCCACTAAGCAAAACCAAGCTAAAAAAGAAGAATTGAAGCATTCAGTTGTTGCCCATTAACCTCTTATATAGATAAACTTGAACCCCGAATCACAGGCAAATCATATAATATAAACCGACTTCTCCATGTAAATGGTGGTGATGGTGGCAGTGATGGCACTCAATTCCACAATCAACCTGCATGTAGATACATATAAGGAATGACTCCTCTCTCTCCCCAAGGCACATATGCGGCAGGTCTTGGAGTATACCGCTCGATATGCATGCAGACTCAGTCACCGCCTCGTTTGCTTCTCGTTTGATTGGCTCTGCTTCATCCCGACGTCCAATTTACAAGAAAGGCAGCGCCCAAGATCTATTGGCCTAGGAGCAGCAGACATGCATAACGGGCATGCAGCCATTTGCTCCTCCCACGGTGCCACGACCGCCCTCCATCACCCACCGACACATATGTGTATACTCTGTCAAATCACAAGATGGTGTGCCGTTGCACTGGCACTTGTTTTTATCTTTTTGTTTTTGTTTTGTTTTATTCAATTTTCTCAAGTTAACTGTAGAGGGAAAGAAAATAGAATAAGCCTGCCAGTGGATGAAACCGATTCGTGCGTGTGTGAGGTGTCACGTAAAGAGTGAAGCCTGTCAGCGAGGCTGTTCAGCGCCTGCAACACTTGTATCTAGCTGGCTCAAGCACCAAATACTGATACATGCACTTCATACACACCATTGATTACTTTACTACTACTACTACTGGGAGCTTCTATAATACCTCTGCTTGAAACAATCCTTTCAAATCGTAAGCTATGAAAGTGATATACAGGCAACAGCTTCAGATCCTTGTCGTAGAACACCGTAGACGTTCGAGAACCCTTCTCCGTTTAAACACCGTCGTCTCACCGGCTGGAATTTGGAAGAGACCCAGCTTCGTCCACCGCTCTTCCTGCAATTTGTAGCCTTGCGAGTACAAACTTTTGTTTGCCAACTACCATGTATCTATTCCTTACATACACGCCTTGCACACTTTACACACCTTGCTCGTATCGACCAATCGCTAACCGTTGTGGTGTTCTACATCGGTTAAATGCAGGAACATTGACGGGATTCCTGTTGTACTGTAAAGGACCGCTGCCCGCCTTCGACAAGTCAGCGGGGTTGGTGGCTAAGAGATTAAAAATAATGGGAAAATTCCCGTGCTTTACTTTTCTTCTTCTACGGCAGGAGTAGCTAGAGTGTGACAGCAAGTATCAAGAGACGCTGCGGGTGTTTGGCAAAGTGGCGAGACTCCTGGGGCTGATGAGGTCAAAGCGCAATTGTTTTCCATGAGGCTTTGACCAGGTTGAAGAATTTCGGGACTCGTTAAAGCAGCAGATTATTCTCGGGCATTCCGAAATAACATGATTCAGCAGCCCACTTAATTTAACCCGGGCGAGGATGAGAGAGTGACGAGCTCCGGCAATGTACGATGGCCATGCAACCCGTGCTCTGCCTGGATCGGACACACAAGCTGAGAGTGTGATATCGGCAATAGATTCCCTCGGCCGTTTTCGACCAGGACAATTTTATGCATAGTCTTGGATGAAACATCGGTAACGGTGGAGCGAGGACGAGAGATGTCTCTCACCGCCGTCCAAGTGCGTCTGCCTTGTCCAATCCCCTGATGCACTTGTGTATGCGAGAAGGTGCAGTATCCAAGACTCAGCCGACTTACATGACTTACATGCATGTATAAACCTGGGCGTCATCGCTTTGCTTGCGTGGAGCCGAGACATGCACATATACAAGATCTCTCCACTGGGAGTCCAGGATGGTGAGCTCTGTACTACAACTGAGACGCTCTCTTCTGCGCGCCAGGCACACGTAGTTCCCCCCAGTCTTGCATGATTGGCACGCCACTACGCTATACTGCTTTCTGGAAAGCCTCTATTCATACAGCTTCGTTTCAGCCCAGATGGCGTTTCTTCTGGCAACTCGCCTGCAGGGATCACGATCTAACCTCTCCTCCTCCGCCATCAACGCTGTGCTTTGGCGTGCCTTGCTTTCAAAGCCGTGGCTGGCTGGTGTAGCTCCAAACAGCCCGGCAGCATGCGCGCTTTTTTCGAGACAGGCGTTGGGCCCTGCTGCTGCGGTGTGCCCGGACAGATGTGCCTACGTACGTGTAGAGTGTAGAGGGGGGTGGCCAGCTCATACGGCCACCGCATAGCATCATCGGCCAAACGACAGGCTTGGAGGACCAGGACGTAGCCCCTGCCATACTTGAGACGTGCTTCTCAACAGCCTCTGGCCTATGCCATCAGTGCTTAGCGGCACTGACGTCGATGGAGCATGAAAAATGACCTGTCTCTAAACTGTATCTTGTAAATCGTGGGCATTGGGGAGTACATACAGGCTGCTTGTACTTGGTATATCTGTGTAATTACTACACTCCACATATGCGTGTTGAATACTACTCAAGCAGTCCACAAGGCTCCCGAAAAGCCGGAGACGTTGCTCTCTCCCCTCCCTCTAACCGTATACTTCTTACGACCTTCTGGAAGCTACTAGCTTCTTGTCATGTTATAACAAACTGCAATATTCCATTGCTCACCGGGCAACATGCTTGTACCCTGTATGATTCGCAGGGGACCTGGAGTAGCAAAGTAGATGGAACATTCTCCCGTATGGCTGGTGCAAGGGCCTCTCCGCTCAAGCCCCCTCCCCCCTGTTCTTGTGGTGCTGTTCATGTATCTGCTTCTACTTTGAATCTCTCTCCCCCCCACTATTAAGGCTACACAACGGGGGCCAACGACGGAACTAGAAGTCTCCAGTGCAATAAAATACTTGTATTTTGGGGCGGGAGCCGGTGGAGGCTCTCGTACGACTCCGAGATGGAGACTTCTGCTTGGGGCCCTCGTTGTGGGTTGGCTATGCGATGTACCACAGAGGGCACAATTTGGTGAGTTCGATCCTGATTTACTTGACCGCCCATGCCGTGGTAACAGAGACCTTGATGGTCCAAAGTTTGCGTTCCGCCGGCGGGTGTATCTGGGCTGGCCTCGACACATGGTCTGGCTGGTCTATTTGCGCATCTGTTCGGGAATACCGAGCAACTCTATTGATTGTCACAGCCATATGGACGAATAAAGTACCAGCCACATAAGATGGCACTTACAATCTGCCGAAGCAAAATAAACTACTCCTTGAGAACACTCGTATACCGGCAAGTTAGTTAGCTGAACACATTGGCTGAACACATGGGTTCTCCGCATCTATGAAGGGTTTTAGTACACACCGTTTATTGAATTGGTATTGCTAGGGTTTAAACGACGTTTCCAAGGAATAGATTTTCTATTTTGTATACCACGTTGCTGATCTGAACCAGCTCTTACACGCCTCTCTGGAGAGACATGGGTGTAAGGCTCAAAATAGAACCGAAGAAGATCCTTCACCGCACGCCCTCTGTATACAGGAAGCAGTTTGGGCTGTTTCGTTTTGCCAGGGAGTCTGATCTCAGACCTTCTGAGACTTGCCCAAGGCCGAAAAGGCTGGCAAAGTACCGGCCCGGCCGTCCGGTGAGATCGATTTTGAGGGGGACCCCCGTCCAGCCCAGTCCACGTGTGGTCTTTCGTTCAGCAGTCAAACAGAACAAGTATGTACATGAGCAGGGATCGAGGTATCCACCCACAAGCACTTGATTCGATATGCATCGAGCCTCCCCCTTCCGCTGTCCTCTGCCATGATGGACTGCGCCAGAGGAAGCACAGCAGCTCCACTTTGTTTTGCGTGTAGCCTTCAGAAAAGGAAGAGACTGGCCGTCTCTGGGGGGGATGACAAGACCTAGGAGTTTGCCAACTAAGCGTGCTGCTGTGTACCGAGGCCAGTCTCTGCGCAGAGAGAAGGCCCAAGTCACTCGTGGCAGGCTTTGTTGAGCAGCAAAAGGGCGAATACAGGAAAAAAGACCACTGGATGTAAATAATTGGACGAATAGACCGACAGATGGATCCAGGCAAACAAAAGATGAGAATCACGGGGAATCAACCAGAGGGGATCGGCGTGTACCGTTTATGTATAACTATCTTAGGAGCTACTGCTCTCTCCCAAACCTTTAACTTTTCATCTCTCTTTTTATTTTATTTTTTTCCAGTTTAGGACTCCCTATTTTCTTCGCCTTACTGCTAAACTCCGTTTACGTTTGGGTGCTTCTCCCCAATCAAACCCTTCTTTTGGTTTTGCCTCAAGATACTTGTTGCCTTTTGTCTTAGTGTCCAGCGCCTTCGAGTCATAACCTTCAACATCAAGGCAACACAAGACGTCAGCCTCATCGTTTCCCATCTCTCTTTTCAACCCAACCACAGTCGAAGCACGAGCCTAACCCAGTAGCCATCTATCAGCGAAGATTATAATCAAGAACAGTTGCTCAAGATTGCTCACTGGAAGCGGCTCTTGCAAGTCTGGATCTCGAAATAGTTGCAGATAACTCGGTATTCCAAGATCTGACACTAAAGAAGACTAATTGGCAGAGAGTGGTACACACATCTATACAGACAAAAATAGATAGATATCCTCATCTTCTTTTCTCTGGGTTCTAAACATGGGTTCATCAAGTGGCTCCCAATCCACCAACCATCACAAACGGTACTCTTCCCCTCGGGACGGCATCTCGCCCTACGCCTCGTCGTATGCGGAACGCAGATCCAACCAGTACGCCCAGAGCGACTCCCACTCCCGAAGCAGCGTAATGAGCGACCAGGAGGGCGAAGAGCCAACTCCACGGAAGAGAATCGCCGTTGCAGTAAGTTATTTTTCCCTCCCTCCCCTTTCCTTTCCATTTCCATTCTACTGGCTTGACTATGGTCAAACTTGTTTTGCCCCATCTCCTTGGCATCAAATTGCAAGTACAAGGTGCTAACAGCCGATGGAACATAGTGCCTACGATGCCGTAAGAGGAAGATCAGATGCACAGGCGACAGCGGAAATGGCCAGCCGTGCTTGAACTGCAAGAATGCTGGACACGAGCCATGCCAGTTCCTTCGGGTAAGACGATCGATACATGCCCTCTCTCCTGTCCCCCATACACAGTCAACACAATAACCATGACTAACCATTGCTATCTCTCCAAAACAGGTGGCTTCTCACGAGACGCCTATAATAAAGAGCGATCCGTTCACCTACAGCATCGACCTTGCCCGCACCTTTCAGGCCCGCGGAGCGTCCCTAGTGCCCCCTATGCCAACTCCTCCGTTGCCGTCTTCCTACCCGGATACCATGCATGTGCCCAGTGGTGAGGCTTTGTCGTATAAGAACAGCTCTGCCTATGCCTACGGGAACAAGTATTATCCCGTGTCGACGTGGACGAACGGATATGTTGAGGATAGCAACGTCGACTACGCCGTGTATCCGCAGTCTTACCAGCCAGCAGCAGTTCAGCCTCCTGTCCAGCAGCAAGCAGTGCAGCAACAAGATGCCTCTTACATGATGGGCTATCGAATGAGCACAAGCTCCCCCGCTCCCATGAAGCATGAGAGCGGCAATGCTCCGCCGTTGTATGTCGAGCCAAACACTGCTGCATACGGCTATCCTACCGGACATGCTTCTGCAACCTCTACAGTAGCGTCTATGATTCATCGTTCTGCTGCCAGCACCGATACAAGCCCCAGCTATGCTTATCAAAGCGTCGCTTCTGGAATACCCAGCCATATGAATACCAATGAAAGACTACTCCCAGCACCTTCCACACGCTCTTTAACAAGCGCTCCTCAACAGCAACATCCCTACCGCGCAGAGTCCATCTCCTCAGCCTACAGCAAGACCTCCCAGTCTTCTACCGGCAGCTCTTCTCCAGCAGCCCTATCCGAAGCAGCAGCAACTACTTACAACAGCTTTGAGAGCTCTCCCTTGACTTCCTATCCCACGTCCGCCTCAACAAGCTCTCATCATGGACGCAGCGGCGAAGGATATACCACTGGCGCAGCTTCATCTCTAGAGGCAATCATCGAGCCAGTTATTGAGCCGCTGAGAATGACTGCCCCCGAGTTCACGTACAAGTATACTGACACTACGAGGAGATACAACAGCCAGTATAATGCAGCTATCGGGAGCTATCTTTCGAGCAGCCAAGGCCTTTCGAATTACACGCTCAGCAGCGATGAGCATGAGCGCAAGCCTAGTATGCGAACTTGAACAACGGGCATAGGTTGCATGTATTGGTGGTGCTTTTTTAGATGGTGTATTGTTTTTTGAGCCTTTCTTAATCTTGTCTGCTATTTTATTTTGCCTTTCTTTGTTCTCTTTTGGATCGTTCTCGCAATTGGTTTTCCTCGCCTTAATCAGATTGGATCACTCACAGGTGCCGCCTCCTAATATCAATCTCTCTCCTGCGTTTGAGATTTTCATTTATTTGTCTTTTTGGTTTGACCTGCCTTTGTCATGTTTTTTTGCTGCTTACTTCGGCGTTTGCTTTCTTCTTTGACGCTTTCTCTCCTTTCAAATTTACACCAGCGTCTGTTAATTTCATCCTTTTGACAGCATTTCGTATCCTGGAGACTGGAGAATAATTCGACTACTAAAAAAAAGTTCTGAAATTCAGTCCTAAAGGAAAGGAAAAAAAAAATTCGGAAAGAAAAAGCCAAAGGCTGGTTTAGAAGAAAAAGAGAGCGGCATGGGAAAAAAAGGGTACTGCGGAGAGTGACGGTCATCGGTCGTATTGCTTTTTTTCTTTATTTCTTTATTTCTTTATTCTAATGGGTTTGTCTGTAATGTTGATTCTTCTTTTCTTCAAGGGGTGTAATGTAAGGCTACGGCGATAGATAAATAGAGCTATTTCAATATTTCATCAACCTATTCTTCAACCTCAAAGGCTATAAGCCGCATTACAATGGCTTCGAGAAGCAACAAGTGAAAGTTACATGTACATAAGAGATGATGGAGAAAACTACAATCAACCCGGATTTACCCGCTTCTCAATTGCGCTTCACAAAGAGTCATAAAGATGGCCAATGAGAATAAGCCTAGACAGTTTGGAATGACAGAGAGTACTGAGAAAAGTCTACGTAGAAGTGAAGTGTGGTTACGTCAAATCGGCGCCCCTGTCGCACGACATGCGTCGTCAAGGACACCATCTGTTTCACATCTTGGGGTTGCTGCGTTTTCTTTGGAAGATCAAGTCGCTTGCCGTGAGTCTATGTTCCTACTGTCTTAAACCAAAAGGAGAAGAGGGGAGGAGGCGTGTATATAGTCGAAGATGCGCAACGTGAAATCGAATACACGGCGTAAAGTGTCAAAAAGAAAAGTCGTGCTTTACGAGGTTGTGCAATCACATGGCGACAGGTGATAGCAACAAGGAAACATCGTTTTTATCTTCCTCTTTTCATTTTCAGAGGGGATTCTCTTTAATGCTTTTTTGGTTATTCAAGCTAAATGAAAGGGATAACTGTAATTTATATCGCTGAAAATATATTGGGCCAGCTGGATGCCGTATGAGGGCGTGGAAATAGGAGAAGGGGGGAGAGGTAGACGATGAAGGCCCGGTAATACGGCGTGTGACAAGCCAAAATCGATGTGATGGCAGCACTCACTTTGGTAAGGATGAGACTAAAGACAACATGAAAGACAAGCAGAGCACCGTGTAAGTCGACCGTAAAAATAGAGTTGCGGTGTTGTAAATGACGCTGTGTTTAAGAAGCACATGTTAATCTGCAGGTATGATTGGAGCGTCTGACACAGCATGCTTAAGATTCAGTAGCGTTTTTTTTTTTTTTTTACCGAAGACAGCCACTAGAATGACGAAAAGATGGGCGGTAAACGATGTAGATGCATATCAGGTATGCTTGCATGAGAGGTTGTACACGCAAACCGCCGGCTAGCCAAGCATCGTCATGTACGTTGATATTTCAAGAGACCCTTCCACACCGCAACATTGATATAGAGACATTAGAGAGCACACGGTTATATGAAGAGCGAGGGGTATAACCGCGAGAATAACATTTGATACCAGGGGCCATCCGTTCTATTCGACGACGCCAAAGACTCGCCGGCTCAGCACCGTTTGTTGCAGCTGTAGCACAGCAGCTTGCACTCCATCCACTATGCATACGTCTTTGGCCCTCTCCTGGCCGTATTCCTCGATGATGATGGCACGAATCATGTCTTGCAGGCCCCCCATGCCACCACAGCCCATGACGACACAGGTGATGTTTCCAGACGAGAGCAGCCGCTTGGTTGCCTCTCTGAGACGCACGTTGATTTGATCTTGCGAGATGGTGTGGAAGTCCCCTGCATTAAGGCCTGTGGAAAACACGCCGGCGAATCTGGGGTCACTGAAGCTTGAAGGCGATGAGGAAGAGCCTAGAAAGGCGGCCACGCCACTGGCAAGATGTGTCTCCCAGAATGCCCCAGTGGTTACAATGCCCCATTTCAGCTGTTCGTGCACGCCGTCAGCTTCAGCCGTAGGTACGAGAGACAATCCAGTCAGGATACTGGCTTCGAAAATGCCAGTTACGGGAACAGGCTTCAAGGAATATGCCAATTGCTTGACCAGGGGATGAACACTGAAGCACGCAACGAGCACAGCATCGAATGGCGTGGAGCGAAGACAAGACATGAGCCCCGAGTCGTTGGTGACGGCTTCAACACTGGCTTTTATGCCCTCATCGTTGTCGATGCTCGCTGGAGCTTGCTCGGGGGCTGTGTATGTGCGGATGGATATAGACTCGGAGGAGTCAGCTAAGCACTTCACTTGGTGATGGGCTACGGGTCGGATGGGTTTGCGGTATTACTGGGTTGAGAGCTGCTATTGTGTTGGCGGCTGATTCCATGGTCTTGGTCATGGCGAGAGAGGAGTTGGGGTTGAGGAGCAGGATGTTGATGCTGGAAGAGCTGGAGAGAGACATGGTGGGTGGGCGAAGGATTAGACGAAGAATAAGAGAAGGACCAGCTGGTTAGAAAAACAGAACGAGGCAAAAAAACAAAGAAAGAAGAATGGATTAATAAGAAATAGTCTTGCTATAGTATCTAGCGATATGAGGTGATATGATATTGCAGCAGCCATGAGCTTCATACAACATTGAAGCTTCATACAGCTTGATTGAGATGACAGGCGCTGCGGGGTATCACGTGACGTCCCCCAAAGCCCGCCTCTGACGACAACTCAATGCTTCGACCGCTGAATGGGCTATCGCGGGTCCTCCCCCACCATGGCCGTCAGCTAGCACCGCTACCAGACACGACTGACGACGCCTCCACACTCGCTGCCAGCTCCTCACCAGCAACCGCTTGCAACGCATCTCGCTCGCCTCTCCTGCCCGCTCATTGAACCATCGCCAACATGGTCCCTCCCATCGGTACGTGGCCTCAGAAGCCGCCTCCTCCCCGTGGCGCCCTTCCCCTGAAGCTGTGCAGCTGGCGGTAGCTGCTGCCGAGCTGCTCCTGGCAGCATCGCAATCAAGGGGTGCCGTTCACTGCTGACACAAGGAGCGTCTCTCCAGTTCTCGACGGCGGTACCGGATTCCTCAAGGTCGGATATGCCGCCCAAAACTTCCCCGAGCACCAGTATCCGTCGATTGTCGGTCGGCCGATCCTCCGATCCGAAGAGCGGACAGACAACGATGTGGTCATCAAGGACATCATGTGCGGTGACGACGCGGCGGCGGCTCGGACGATGCTGCAGATCAGCTATCCCATGGAGAACGGAATTGTCAAGAATTGGGAGGACATGCAGCATCTCTGGGACTACACCTTTTCCGAGAAGCTCCAGATCAACCCGCAGGGCGAGAAGATCCTGCTTACCGAGCCGCCGATGAATCCCCTAAAGAACAGAGAGAAGATGTGCGAGGTCATGTTTGAAAGATACGGGTTTGGCGGAGTCTACGTTGCCATCCAGGCCGTGCTGGCACTATATGCACAAGGTAACAAATGCCCTCCTTGTTTCTTATCCGTCTGGTCCTTTCCATCCAAGCTTGCGGCATGTGCATGTCACCACTGTCCAGACCTGCGGCTAATATCCATGGAAATTACATAGGTCTGAGCTCTGGTGTTGTTGTCGATTCTGGTGACGGTGTCACGCACATTGTTCCCGTCTACGAATCCGTCGTGCTAAACCACCTTACCAAGCGGTTGGATGTCGCTGGTCGAGATGTCACCCGCAACCTAATCAAGCTGCTCCTGCGCCGAGGATACGCCCTCAACAGAACCGCCGACTTCGAGACAGTCCGCCAAATCAAGGAGAAGCTATGCTACGTCTCGTACGACCTCGAGCTTGACAAGCGCCTGAGCGAAGACACAACAGTGCTGGTGGAGGACTACACCCTCCCCGACGGCCGAGTCATCCGCGTGGGAAGTGAGCGGTTCGAGGCACCCGAGTGTCTGTTCCAGCCTCACCTTGTGGACAATGAGTCTCCGGGTCTGGGCGAGTTCCTGTTCAACACCATCCAGTCGGCTGATGTGGACATCCGAGCATCGCTCTTCAAGGCAATTGTGCTGTCTGGAGGCAGCAGCATGTACCCTGGTCTCCCGTCACGACTGGAGAAGGAGCTGAAGCAGCTGTGGCTGACGCGAGCGCTCCAGGGCAACCCTGAGCGTCTGAGCAAGTTCAAGGTGCGCATTGAGGATCCTCCCCGGAGAAGACACATGGTGTTCCTGGGAGGCGCTGTTCTGGCCAACATCATGGCTGAGAACGAGAGCATGTGGGTGACCAAGGCGGAGTGGGAGGAGCAAGGCGTGCGAGCCCTGGAGAAGCTTGGGCCACGATGAGGAGTGAAGTAGTACCTAGTCTACCGCGTATATATACGGAGTATGAATGGGAGGGAGTAGAATCTAAACGGGAGCAGCAGAGTCGATGACATTTATTTGTATGGCTAGATGAAGCATTAAAAGACGTTATTTTATTTACACAATCATTTTGTTGATTTGGCTGCAGGTTTATGCGTGGTTGGTATAGTAGTGCGTACCTATCAAGGTAGTCGACACGATACTAAGGTACAGAATACCCGAGGTGCATCTTGGTGGCGGATTTGGCTCAAGCCAAGGAACCCAAACAAGATTGCCCCGTTGATTTAGAAAGTCTCAAGCCATGCGAATAAGGTACATAGTTGGTACCTGCTGCCCGTGGTGGTGAAGATTTGGCGACATACATGCAGCTTAGTCATCGACGTATGTAGAGTCAATGTACGATGAGCAGCAGCATTTCAGACAACAACAACATTTACCACGCGGCTGCAAAACATAATTCCCTTGTCTTCGTCATCCAGGGTTCAATGCTCGCCCTGCATTGATCATTCACTCTCTGCTCTTCCTTTTTTATATATTATTTCTTCTTTTCCCGCATTGCCTTACACTACTCTGATTGCTTTACACGAACGCCACATTTAATTTCTCCGCACCGGTCTAATAGAAAAGAGAAACATCCAGCAGGAATCAATCAATCCCACATACTGCATATAGCATATATCTGTCCGTCTGTCCGTCTCTCCCTCTCCATCGTGCTCGCTCGCTAATTCATTCCCAACGTAGCATCGTCTCTCTGCTCTGGCCACGTGCAAATACGGCCCAAGTGGCTCAGCTCCCTGCATCGCATCTGAGATCCGCAGCAGTCCCACCGCCACAGAGGAACCTCGACGGCGAAAAGGACCTGCTTCCGTAACTAACGGAACTGAGCTGCGACCACAGCCACGCACATTCGTGTAGCCGTTGTCTGAACTCAGCTTCACTCGGCCTTCGGCCTGAGTCGGTCACTCCCCCCACTGTCGGGCGAGCTCTGACTCTGGAGAGACTGTCTGTCTCGAGGCGCTCGAGTTTCGCGTCTGGATCGACGGGCGGCATTTGAGCGACAACTGCGTGCGGCATCATCCAGGCCTATGTCGACAGACACCGCGGCATCCCGCTCGTCAGCAAGGCCAGGATACCCAATAACCAACCCTCCAACGTAACAATCTCAAAGCTCTCCAACAGCATCGACGGCCCGTCCTATCTCTCCAGCGCGTCGACGACCTATCAGTCCGTGCCCGAGAGCGGCTGCCGACTAGTGATCGCCCTGTCTATACCACAAGGAGTAAAAGAACCACCACATATCAATACGACAACACAGCGTATTACTGTGTTAGGTAGCCGCAATGAATCCGACAAATCCGTCCACGGCGGCATCCGGGCCTGGATCCGGCAAAACTGCTAGCTTTATGAATGCAAGGGCCTACCAGACGGTAAAACGCAGCGTCATGGCGACTTTTGAAGGTGCGTGGGTGCTGACTCGGTTGTTGTCTTTGCTTATTCCTTCTTCTCGTTCCACCCAACAACACAATCACCGACGACCAAGAGTAATCCATAATACTGCTAGTTTCAACGTTATTCCCCATCTGCATTCCCAGAGCACTGACGCTTTTTCCCTATCTCTTCTCTTCTCTTCTCTTCTCCCCCTCCCTCTCGTCTAAATCGACGACTTTAACCAATACCTTCATCCTTACCCACTCAAGGTCCACCCTTGTCATAGCCCACCCTTGTGTCCTTTTTCTGTGCAATCACACCTGGCTCTTGATTTGTCCCTGCCCACCGTCTTGAGCGGGTATTTTTGCTGCTCTGGATAGTGTCTCTGCTCTCATTATCACCATCACTGGCCAAAAGAGAAGGCAGACAGCAAGGAGCAAGGGAAGAGGAGGGGAATTTTCTCCTGCATCTACCAACGGGAATACCATCGGCGTCTGACAAGCGGCAGAAAATTCGCCACGCTCAGCCTCCCCTTTTCTTTTCGTGTCGCTAAAGCCACGCATCATTATCATTGCCATCTCGAGATCTCTTCTTACTCTCTTGTTTCCTCTTATCGGGAACTATTCAAAACCGCCCCTCTTCTCCTCAATCTTGTCTGCTAGTCAGATTTCCATACCCGTGCTAAGGGTCCCGCGCTGGTTATATTAGAACGATACCCGATCTGGGTCATCTTAGCAAGGCTACTCTTTCTAACCAGCCGTCTAACCTCGCATTAAACTCATCTCACCTCCGCCTTACCCACACACACACACACACACACACACACACACACACACACACAGTTGTGTACATATCCAACGCATACCTCGGGCGATTCGTCGCATCCTCGCTTTCATTACTGTTTCCTTTATATATATATATATATATATATATATATATATAAATCTTTACTGCCCTCACCTTGCACTCATTTCGTACGCATTCAATAAGCACATCGTGATCTTGTTTCAAAGACCGCGCGCCTGTTTCCGTCTACTCCCCAGCCATGCCTCTGAAGCTGAGGCACGCTTATCCTCACCAGCCGCATCATCACTATTATTCATCCTCTTCTTCATCAGCTCACCGCCTATATGCAGATGGTCGCGATCAGTCGGCTGGCTACCAGCCCAAGGCGCGTGTGACGGAACGATACCGTATTATTGGCTTCATCAGCAGTGGCACGTACGGACGTGTTTATAAAGCCGTGAGCAGGACCAGCAACCCGGAGGGCATCGCCGTTGTCCGGACATCCAGCGGCCTCACGCCAACCTCCAGCTCAGGGCCGGCCCCTATCGAGGTAGCCATCAAGAAGTTCAAGCCAGACAAGGAAGGCGAGCAGGTCAGTTATACGGGTATTTCACAGAGTGCTATCCGTGAGATGAGCCTCTGTAGCGAACTACGACACGCAAATGTCATCCGTCTGGTGGAGATCATTCTCGAAGACAAGTGTATCTTCATGGTCTTCGAGTATGCCGAGCACGACCTTTTGCAGATCATCCACCATCACACGCAACAGCCACGCCACCCCATACCGCCAGCCACGGTCAAGAGCATCATGTTCCAGCTCCTCAACGGCTGCCAGTATCTGCACACCAACTGGGTTTTGCATCGTGATCTCAAGCCTGCCAACATCATGGTCACGTCCGGTGGAGAGGTAAAGATCGGTGATTTGGGCCTGGCCCGTCGCTTCGACAAACCATTGCACTCTCTTTTCAGCGGCGATAAGGTCGTTGTGACCATATGGTACCGTGCACCCGAGCTGATACTTGGGTCGTACCATTACACTCCAGCCATCGATATGTGGGCTGTGGGATGCATCTTCGCGGAGCTTTTGTCCCTGCGCCCGATCTTCAAGGGAGAGGAGGCCAAAATGGATAGTAAAAAGACGGTCCCCTTTCAGAGAAATCAGATGCACAAAATTGCCGAGATCGTAGGCCTACCGACAAAAGAACGGTGGCCCCTGCTTCCAGCGATGCCTGAGTATAGCCAGCTTAGCACGCTCTCGACGATGCAGCACAGCACCCACAGCCATCACCACCACCACCAAAACGCCCCTAACCGCGGCTATCCACTCAGCTCCAACCTCGAGAAGTGGTACTACAACACCATCAACAACAACTCCGGTGCTGGTTCTGCCGCATCAGGTCCCAACGGCCAGCCCGCACTCCAGTCTCTCGGCGCAGAAGGATACAAGCTCCTCGCAGGTCTCCTCGAATACGATCCGGAAAAGCGCCTCACCGCCGCACAGGCTTTACAGTACGAGTTCTTCAGCTCGGGAGACCGCGTCAGCTCAAACTGCTTCGAGGGCATCAAGGTCGAGTACCCTCACCGCCGTGTCAGCCAGGACGACAACGACATCCGAACCAGCAGTCTCCCGGGGACGAAACGCAGCGGCCTTCCAGACGATACGCTCCTCAGGCCAGCTAAGCGTATGAAAGAATGACAATTCTAGATTTTTACGTGCAGAGAGAGGGAGTGGGGGGCTTTTTGAACAGGAGCCAGGTATGACGATATTGGAATAAGGATGATAATTCTAGAGCATTTATAAGCGTTAGAGCTGTATCTTGTTGATGTTTTTAAGGCGTTGGCATTGGGAGGCTTCATGGTTATACGAATACACGGGTGGGTAATTATTAGGCGTTGGTAGAGAAGGTATTGTTCTATTAAAGAATAGAATTCAATGATGGATTATTCAGTGAGAATATATAAATTTGTAGAATCAAGGAAATTAATATTAACGAGAGGATCAGTGGCATGTCAGGCAATAATATCTTGCACTAACAATGAAAGCCACGGGATAACAGGTATATGGAATAAATTCCCTTCTTCCTCTTCCTCTTCCTCTTCCTCTTCCTCTTCCTCTTCCTCTTCCTCTTCCTCTTCCTCTTCCTCTTCCTCTTCCTCTTCCTCTTCCTCTTCCTCTTCTTCTTCTTCTTCCTCCTCCTTCTTCTCTTCCGCTTCTTTTCTCGCCACCTTTCCCACAATCTTCCTGCCTCAACACCACACTCCCTTTCACTCCCATCTTGTGCTGCTCTTCTCCTCTCACGCACTCTTTCTTTCACAAGAAAAAAAAATTGGCATGGTACAAAAAAGATATAAGCACGGGGTATTTGAGCATTAACTGAAAAAAAAAAGGGGGGGGCGTATTGCGTTATAAAGAGGAACAACAAAAGAGATGCTGATACGCGCTTCAAGTAAAAAGAAGAAGCTGGCGAGACAACAAGAACAAAAAAAAAAAAGTCACAAAAAGAAAAAAGAACCACGTTAGAAAAAAGCACAGACGACAATTTTGTCCCTCCCACAACACAGACATGGTATACAGCAGTTCCATCACCTCTCCTCTCCTTTCCTAAGTCGATTCCTTCTCCCCTCCTATATTTTTTCCATCTCTCCATCTCCGTTCTTCTCCTTTGGCGAATTGTATATGTGGCGGTGCGCGCGTCTAGTCGGAAGCAGCCGTCTAGTGTATAGACGGCGGCCACCCGAGCTGAGACTGAGCCGTTCGAACTGAATAAGCAGTCCCAACGCAATATTAATGAAGGGGGGGGCGATCCGTAGGCGGGTACCAGGGGTTGTATGCATCATTGAAAGATTTCCATTAAACGTCGTAGTTTTGCGAAACGAAACCAAAGCGCGCAGGGTATGTATCGTTCTGTTTTTGTTCTTTATTTCTTGACGGGAGCGGCAGGGGCCTTGACGTTGTTGGAGAGCCAGGCCAGACCTTCCAGCAGACCTTCACCACTGGTGGCACAGCTGGGCACGACATACCAGACCTTGTCCTTGAGCTTGGAGAGCTGGAGAGCGTCGGTGACTTCTTGGGGTGACATTGCTGTAGAAGGAAAAAAAAAAAATGTTAGCCGTAACCTTTCTTGCTGGATAGTCCAAGAGGTGACGTACCCTCTTTGAGATCCTGCTTGTTGGCAAATACCAGAAGCAGGCTGTCCTTCATCTCTCGGTCGTTGATGATGCGATGCAGCTCCTGTCGGGCCTCGTCCATGCGGGTGCGGTCAGAAGAGTCGATGACGAAGATGAGACCCTGGGTGCCTAAAGAAACGAAAAGGGCATGGTTAGTGTTTTGCTCTCTCGACTGGCTGGAAAGAAGGCGGTATCAGATAAAAAAAAAAAAAGAAAGAAAGAAAACATACCGCTGAAGTAATGTCTCCACAGAGGACGAATCTTGTCCTGGCCACCAACATCCCAAACGTTGAACTTGACGTTCTTGTAGGTGACCGTCTCGACGTTGAAGCCGACGGTGGGAATGGTGGTGACGTCCTGGCCGAGCTTGAGCTTGTACAGGATTGTTGTTTTACCGGCAGCGTCGAGACCCAGCATCAGCAGCCGCATCTCCTTTGATCCGAAGATCTTGCTCATAACCTTGGAAAGCTGGCCACCCATGATTGCGATATCGAGTTACTGGAGCTTCGTTATAGTTGGGGTTCGTCGCGACGAGAGAGAAAGGCGAGAATGCGCAGATGGCGGATGATGGGGATTGAAAAGGAGGGAGGGCTTGCGGCGTTGCAGAAGCGAGTCGCCAAGAAAGAAAAAAAAAAAAAAGGTGTACGAGTCGAATGAAACGGAATTTGTATGCAGGGAGCGCAGCAAGTCTATAGCAAGGCGTTTTTAGTTAGCAGCAGGTCAGAAACAAGTCCATCGCAAGCGCGTTTGCACTGCCAGCGAATCTTGATTTGCCTTTTTTTTTCTCTTTTTCCCTCCTTTCTCCTACTGGCATTTATGTCCAAATACCCGACGAAGCGACCAAGAGAAAGACTGCGCGGAAGCTTGAGAGGGAGGAAAGGGCAGAGAAAAAGGAGATGAGCAAATAGATGCTGTGATCTCTGCAACTTACATGGTAAACGTGGTGCTTGGGGGCTCTTGGAGTCTTGAGAGAAGAAAAAAACCCCAGCGATTCTCGACTACCAGCTGCTGCAAGAGAGGAGATTGTAGTCAAACGTATATGAGGGCGAGGCAACACGCGCGCGAACCACCAAAGGAACGTGAATATTCGAAGAACACGGGGAGGGGGTTTGAGTATGACGGCGTTGACGAGGATCCCGAGGGCGCAAAGCTCGACAGGAGGAGAAGAAGGAGAAGAAGAATGAAGAATGGAAAACAAACAATCGAATTAGAGAGAGCGAGGGAGAAGTAGAGAGAGCGTGGGGGGGGTTGCGATGCCTCGAGGAGCTCGAACCGGATTCTGGCGATGGTTGTGGTTTCTGGCAAAGGAGGGACGAAAGATGCGATGCCAATGCGACGCGGCACGTGTGGTGGATGGGCAGACGCTGCTAGAACTACTACTACTGGGTAGCACCTAAAAACGAGTGTGGAGGTACTGTCAGGTACGGGTACAAGCCTAGTCCAGGCACGAGAGGCACAAGCTGCAAGTACCTACTACAGCGCAGCAGCCAGGGCGGGGAATGAGGTGTCCTCTTTTCTGTCGCTAATTTGCGATTGATTAATTGAATCGCATCGCATCGGGGACGCAGCGCAGCGCAGCGTCCAGGCAGCTTAGTACATAAGTAGTAGTGGCAGCAGGGCAGCAGTAATTTGGGAGGGCCCTGGCCTGGCCTGGCCTGGCCCCGGCGATGGGGCCACGGGCATGGAATCAGCTGTGCAAATGTAAGTGCTTCATGCAGCGCAGCAGCGCAATTCAATTGGGCCTCCACTCTCGAGCCGGGCTGCTGCGTCTAGCGGCGGTACCGATACATTGACGGCCTAGCAGCAACCTGCTAGTGCTTGTATAAGGAGCACCTATAAAGGAGCACCACCTCTAAAAGGAGCACCAAAATAGTAGCTTGAGCCCCTACAGAGACAGACACCACACCTTGCAGAGCGCCTCTCTCCTCTCCTCCCCTAAACCTTGTATCGCCCATCCCCCGCCGCCAAGGAGCGTGGCCAATGGCAGCTGTGGAGCGGATGCAGTCATTTTCAGGGGTTGCCGCCTGATAATCTCCGCACCTTCGCTGTTTAAGCCACCAAAGTATCTGTACCTCTCTCCATGCCTTTTCTCTTTGTGTGGTTTTCTCGCAACTCATGGCATCGCAAGTCTGCACGGCCTGTGCGCTGCTGCTATCGCAGGTAGCTGGCAAACGCTCAATCTTCGGTGGGCTCCACCGCTGCCAAAAACAGGAGGGCCGTCCATTATTAGCATCAATTAGATCTGTGGGATGGTCTGTGAGTATTTTAGTAGAATTGCTATTTGCAGTACATAGTTAGTAAATAGCAGCTCCGTATTGGTAGCTTCAGCTCTCAAATTCACAACTAGCATAGACTGAGAAAACAGTGAAATCGTCCATCCACAACACAATTTTTTCAATTGACAAGCACCACCAAGAATAAGATAAATTGTGGATTAATCGTTCAAGATTAACAAACGGCAAACTCTAATAAACTCTTAGGCACCCCTTTTTCACTCTCACAACTATAATTCTTCATATGTCTTTCACACGTCGCATAGCCGACTCCCCTTAACTACTTACCTACCCTAAATACCTTGCAGTTTACAACTAACTCTATCTAACAACAATACTAATCAAATCAAAAACCTCTCTCTCTCCTACACACACACATATCGTATATCCCACTCAAGCTTATTTTTTAAACTCGGCTCTACTCCATACCCCAACCTGCATCACCTGCCCCATCCGGCAAACCTGCCTCACGGCCCACATCGTAAAAGTCCTGCTCACGATCTCAGGTTAGGAGTAGTGCCGAGCAACCACAGGTCGATGACAGCCCTTTTCGACGGCTGAGGCGCGCCTCTTTATGCAGATCGATGCTGTCAGCCTTCGTAAGTCTCGTACCGAAAGCCGCAAGATGGCTCTCTTTGAAACACCTTGGCACCAATGAGCGGTAAAAGAAGACGAGGCTCCCAGGCCAGAGATGGCAGGTTCCAACTTCTTACATTGACACGAGATTTCCAGCTCGAAGGACCCAGTTCACCTATAAATTCTCTGATTCCCACTGTTGATCCAAATACAAACCCTCGATCCATTCAGTGATTCAGATACTCTCACTCAACCGTAATTGTGTTGCTCAAACAAACAAACAAACCTCAAAATGAGAATTTCATCCACCCTCTCCGCGGCTCTCGTCGCCTCTCCAGCCCTTGCGGCTCCCACCGCCGAGGCAGCCTCATCCACCGCCAAAGTCGTCTACGCCAACTCTGGCCACATCTACCTCGCCTCCTACGACGGCTTCAAGTTCACAACAACTGTCAACTCCTCCTTCAAGAATACCGACCCCTCCTGGCTGGCCTTTGTCCAGCCCAACAGCCTCTATGCCGTCAACGACATCGCCTCAAACACCTACCTCTATAACATCGATGTCAACGGAAATACCATCAAGCAGGTAACCAACAAGCAAGGCTCCGGCGGCGTCGTCCACCTCGAGACTAATAAGGCTGGGACTCGTATGCTTGGTGCCGGCTACGGCTCTGGTAAGATTGACGTCTGGAACATTGAAAACGGCGGGTTATCCCTCATCAAGAGCATCTCGTCCCCTGGGCCCCTCGGCCCTGATCCCGATCGCCAGGATGCGCCTCACCCGCATCAGACCGTCAACGATCCCACCGGCCGCTACTTCTTCGCCAACGACCTCGGCACCGACTCTATCCTCGTCATAGACTCCCAGGACGACGCCTTCAACATTGCCAACCGCATGTCTGTCGTGCCCGCTGGCTCTGGTCCTCGTCACGGCGTCTTTTACCCTTTCGGTGCTGCCAAGGCAACTCACTACTTCCTGCTCTGCGAGATGGGCAACGTCGTCATCTCGTACAAGCTCAACTACACCGACAACGGCAAGGGTATTGAATTCACTACCACGCAGGTGCTTAACACTTTTGGCCCCAATAGCCAGAAGCCAGCGGGCGCGGGCGCCGGCGAGCTTGTCCTATCTCCTGACAACAAGGACCTGTACCTCTCCAATCGCTTGACCGGCCAGGCTACCGACAACATTGCCCATATCAAGCTCATTGACAACGGTGCCAACAATGTGCAGCTCCTTTGGATCAACTCGGTGTCCTCGGGTGGCACTGGACCTAGAATGTTCAGCATTAGCAACGACGGCAACTCCCTGTTTGTAACCAACCAAGATGGTGCTCTCGGTGTGGCAGCCATTTCTCGCAACGCCGCGGATGGTTCGCTCGACACTAATTTCCATGGCACCATCAGCAACAGTGCGTTTGGTGGCCAGGGTCCCCAGTATATCAAACAGATTCAGTAAAGATGACAAAGTTTTGAAAGGTCGCTTGGCCACATACACGGGACGGTGGCCGCGTGGATTTTGAGAAGAGGAGGAATTATGTAAATCAGCAAGTTAGTGTTATTGATAGCCGTAAGCTAGAAAAAAAAAAAGATGAAAATATAATCAACCACTGGGTGCTCCAAAACTCCGCATTTTACCAGCTCGAGTTCATTCCAAAGAACTCGGCTTTTCATTTGAAAACCCCCGTAACACCGTAAAAAGCGTTGCCGCTCTACTGTCTGGTAAAAGCAAGAAAATAACCTCGCACCCTGTCCCAAAAAACTCCTGATCCACGTATTCGACATGATAAGAAACTAGATGGCATGGAGGGGCATCATCATAAGAATGTATATAGAGGCCTAAGGTCGATATTCGATAACATATCGTCGCTCTACCTGCTGCAGGGTGGTTGAATCGTTTTCCCCTTCGAATTTGAGGTCAACCTTGCCGTTAGACGCCATGCTGTGAACCTCGGCTTTGTAGAACGTCGTCGTCTGGGGATAAAGGGCAAGTACTATATGGCCGGCTTCGTAGTCCTTGAGGGTGCTGGACTGGCTTTCTGCTGTAATAGGAATCATGCTGCTGGCGCTGGATCGGTATTCTTTTTGTTTGCTTTGGTCGTCCGGCTCAATGTCGATGACCTTGTACCGCCGACTCTTTCCTTCGCCGAGCACCTGCGCCACTTCGCCTAGTATCCAGTCGGACGTCTGATCACCGTTGACGGCCTTGGGTTTGAACGCTACCTCGTCTCCCTTTGAGAAGAGAATCTTGGACTTGTTTAGAGAGCCAGGAGCTCCGCCGGCACCGCTTATGGACCCGGGAGGCTCGACGCTATCTGCCTTGGGCGGGATGCTGTCCCTATCACGATTGCTGCTCCGATCACCATGCTTTCGGGAAGCACTCGCCATGGGGCTGGGCACGGGGGAGTCGCCAGCACCGTCGAAATCGTAGAGAGAGGCAGCTGCAGCGCTGTCTCTTGTAGTGGATCTCTTGGACGGACCGGTTGTTGCGGCCTCGGCCTGCTCCTTTGCAACCACCACGGCACGCACCAGCTTCAGCTGCTCCATGAGATTCTTGGCGGCGGCGATGTTGTTCTCGGAGAACTTGACGCCGGAGCGGCAGAGATGTTCCATCTGCTTCATCATGTCGGTGGGCACGCTGTCGGAATCCATTGTGCCGGCCTGCTTGTCCAGGCCGACCAGCTGGTCCAGGTTGTCGTTGTCGGCGTTGATGCCGTTTATGAGATCCTGGAAAGAGTTTTTAGCCGACTCCCATATGGTGGCTTCCTCGCCATGTGCTCCGCCGTTGTTGCGGTTCGAGCCGCGGCCGCTGCGGTTTCGTTGCGACATGTCACGTCGGCCGGGCTGGCTGTAGTAGGGGCCGAGGTCTTCGTGAAGGTTACTGACTTCGCGCTGCGCTTTACGATTAGCCATCGTGGTCCCCTCTCTCTCGGTGGGTGCCGCGCGGTTTTCGCCGACCGGCCCCAGCCGTGCGAGCCAAAGACCCAAGAATTGGAAGAGAAAAGCACGCCAGAGCAAAGACAATGGAAGAGACAAGAAGCGACAGAAACGATGCTATGCCGGGCTAAAAGACAGGGACAAGACAGGACAAGACAAAACAAGACGCATCAACTGGATTGGACGGTTTGGGGGAGGAACAGCACAGATGCAGGAGAACGAGCCAACTTGATATTAACGACACTACTGCAGGACGGGGGGGTCGCTGGAGCGCTGTGGACTTACTGGCCGTCTGCTCTGTCGGCAACCCTGCCAGGTCGCCCGAGTGGGTGCTGCTGGCTGACTCGCTTGTGCTCGCTAAGACGTGCGTTTCCGAGCCCGTCTGGCAGCTGTGCGCTGCGATGGCGACGCGATTTTCAAGTGCGGATGGAGGAGGAGAGGAGGAGAGAGCGAAGAGCGCAAAGAAGGCGAGCCTCGATCAGATATGCGAGAGAGAAAAAGGCTGGGAGAAACAACGAGTGGCCGGGCCGGGGGATAAGTTTCAACCCATTTTATGCGCTAGGGAGGGCTCAAGCGACAGGCACGGCGGGCGAATCAGCAGGTACGAGACACGGTCGCGGCCAGAGGCAGAGAGAGGCAGATGGTTACTGAGTCCTGTTCCGCCCAGCGCGCTGTCGCAGCCTCTTTTGCGCCTGGAGGATGTTGTTGGGACGTTCGGTTCTGCGACAGAGTTTGGCGCGAGGCGTGGTCTGGTGACGGATGCCTGGACCTGATCGCGACGCTGGGCCGGGCCATCTATGTCCCGCAGCCTAAGCTGGAGGCACGCCGGGGATACCTGCGCGACTACAGCGGGCGTGGCGGAGGCGGCAGCGCGTTGGCGGGTAGCGCTGCAGGTACCCAGCAGGTCAAGCTTGCTAGAGAGCACCGCAAACGCGCCAGCACTACTCATGTACATTGAAGTAGGGGCTGTAACAGCAGTACATGAACATGCTGTAAGGTACTTACATGTACACATGCATGTTTCAACTGAGTCGGTAACTGCTGAGCGCCTCCAGAGGCTAATCTGAACTCTGTAGATGCCAACGGGTGCTCTCTTCCCGCTTCAACAGCTCCCCAACGCCTGTTGATTGACTGGGCTCCGCTGCATGCCGGCTTAGTGCTACATGTAGGTATTAGTGGGCGAACCAGTGTTAGAGTTGACGGCTCGGATCGACGGATCAGCAATGCATCGGCTTCTACAAAGTATGTTTTCTAGCCACAGAGAGCCTCGAAATACGAGAGTCATACAAAGTGTCGTTGCATAGTAGGTAAGTACTAGGTAGGGTTGATCAATGTACAAAGTAACGATTCATCCAAGCAGCTTTGATTTCCTGTGTACAATGTTGACTACCTACGTTTGCTAGGTACATGTAGGTAGGTAGGCTATCTGTGCGTCTTGTATACATGCGTACGGCATATCATCATATATAGTAGTTGCCTCAACAATGATGACTCCTTCTCATGCGCCACCAGCCCTTTAGCTAACGTTAATGTTGGCGTTACCAGAGCTAAAGTAGCCCTCCACGGCAATGATCTGGTAGTCCAAGGTTCCCAGGGTCAAGCCCAGGTTGCGCCACGCGTTGAAGTGGTTCGCAACCGTGACCGAGCCGCTGGAGCGGTGGTTGCGGCGGACAGACCAGTACTGGTAAAAGGTGGCGGTTCCGATGATGGAAGGCTGGTTGACTCGCTGCGTGCGGTAGATGTCGTAGACGCTGCCGTCAGAGGTCACCTCGCCCAGCTTGGTGGTGCCGGTCGATGGGTTGTAGGTTCCAAAGTTCTCAACGATGTAGTACTCGATGAGAGGGTTCTTTGACCAGCCATAGACTGAGAGGTAGCTATTGCCGTTGGGGTTGTAGCTGCCAGAGAAGTTGATGACCCTTGATTAACAGAGCGAGTGGTATTAGCTCTCTGCACGTGAATATGGCACAGGGGAGTACTGGTGGCCAGTGTCTTGGAGTATCTGAGTTGTGTTCCTCACTTGAGTCACTTACCTGGAGCTGCTGCCGGGGTTCCATCCCTTGCCTCCGACAAAGTTGCCCGAGTTTGCCCAGTTGACGCTGAATGAGCCGCCAGCACCGTTGGTGTATGTCACGCCGGAATGGCCATCGTTCCAGTACGAGTAGTAGTAGCCGTTGTTGAAGCCAGTGCCGGGGCCAATCGTCTGGCGCTTCTCCACGTCCACGACCTCCACGTTCTCAGTGGGAGCGGACAGAACTCCGGTAACAGCGACGAAGCCGGCGAGGAGAGATGTGAAGGAGACCATGATGTCGATGAGCTTCTTTGTCTTACTGTGGCAGACTATGTGAATATGAGCTGAACTCTCTGATCGTTACTTCACCTGAATACTCCTGATCTGGAGCGGGCTGGCATCGTCGTTATAAGTTGGTTTGCGGATAATTGCAGGAACAGCTGTCCCGTTTCGCACGGCTCCAGGGCAGACTCCTGGTTCATTTTACCCCGCCAACAGGCAGCTTGCTCCTCATGGAAATATATTACGCCTTGATTTCGTATTCTGACGTGGTGATGCCTGATGGTTGACAATTGGTAAATTACAGCTCGCCACGACGTCTGGACCGAGGAATCCCTTAGCCCCGGCACATGCAAGAACGGAACATTTCATTTACTGGCTGACGGCTAATTTGGTCTTGGCGGTTGGGGTATCGAAGTTGAAGAAAAGAAGAAAAAGAAGAAGAAAAAAGGATAAAAACATATCCATGTAGTGTGCGAGAGATTGATTAATGTTTTCAGGCAGTGTCCACTGCCCCTAATTCTCATATGATCGTGGCGCAGTAAACCACAATAGGAAACTATATAAAGCATTCGGAATAGCCACTTGACAATTGCAATATTCTGGTCTTAAATGGCGAATAATCCCATCTTTTTGCCGCCAGGTAGAGACACTGCGTCAAGGTAGCACCCATGGGGCAGCCATGCAGCATTTACTTTATTAAGCTGAATGTATTACCTATACTTAATCCATATGCTTCCAATTAACCATAAACTTCTCCAACACCCCTGCCCACAGTTGCAGACAAGAAGAATTCCTCTCTATTAGCCTAGTGCCGATGAAGGATTCCGGGAATTAAAAAATCGGGACACAAAGACACTGATTTGCGGGGTGAATAGCGGCTTGGCCTGCAGCTTGTATAACGGCTAAATTGGATATATATAGTCGGGCTCGGGGGAGAAGGCATAGTCTGCGTGTTGCTGACACGATGTTTCGGTGGGTACGTTTTCTGTAGTAATGGTTCCAGAGAGTTTATGCGAGCGTCGAGTTCTGGTTGAATAACGATTGATTGTTCTGCCTAAAATCAGCTGGAAGGGGACAACGCATTGGGAATAGCTAGCTTTGCCGCTTTTGCAGAGAAAATAACCAGCATGATCAAAGAGGAAGTCACTATTGCGAATTCAAACTCCATTAGGAGGCTATGATGGACAGGTGACATGGAGTTGCTGAATTCTAAGAAATGCCTCTCCCGAGCGATGTAATGGTTATTTGGTCAATGTAGGTTACCTTGGGATAAAGCTATGAAACACAGCTCATATAAAAAGCTCGTGTGGGAAAGGTTGAGTTAATCTAGAGAGTAGAGAATAGAGCCAAAACATATGATAACACTCACCCTACAATACATGCTGCAGAGTGAAAGAGTAAAGGGAATTCCATCAATGAATAATCGATGGAATATATGGCTAGCTGCATTGTGAACATTATACTACTGGTAAATATTGAAATGAAAGGGAGTGTTATTCAATGCCCCGGTTTCGTTATCAGCAGCCCAGCAAAATTTTCATATATTCCTTAGCATTAAACCTGCAAACTGTGAAAATGAGAAGAAATGAGAAAAATATCGTGGATCAAATCAAGATTGTTCTAATTCACTGGTTGTGGAAAAAGTCTAAGAGACCAACGATACTGAAAGTCAGGCAGAAGACCCTAAAGATTGCAGAACTCGAAATAGCCAAAGAAGACATTCAAGCCGCCTGCAAGGTTTTATTAAACGTTTAGTACGATTGGAATAGACGTTAATTCCTACCCCACCTGTTTTAATACATGCTTTAAAAAGTAGTTAATATTGGAATCATTTAAGATACCGTCTGGTCCAACTGGGGAGGCCATGAAAACAGGGAGGGGGGTGTTTTTTTTTTAAAGAGTTTTCTTGAAACTTTTCAGGTTACGATTTGCCCTTGAAAAGATTTGGAACAATCTTGATTGTCTCACGATAGCGGCCCTGCTGCTGTCCATCTCCATAATGAGTACGATTGGTCTGGTCGCCCAGCTCCCCTTAAAATGTAAGAGCTCGCTTGGATAGGATTAATAGTCGGCAACGGCAAGATATGCATGCATGTAATATATTATAGAGCTATTTCAAGCAAAGGGAATTCAACATACGCTGATTTCTTTTTTTCCATGTTTTAGTGGGGCAGTAGGGCAGAAGATGGAATGGAGTAGCTCAGCCAGACTGAGTCTCTTTTGTAAATCTTGCTACGATCCTTCGCTGAATAGCTGCCACCGTTTGGATGAACGGACCGCATTAACAATAGTTCATATTATGAAATTTCATCGGCTGTCACCATCACAACTCACAACCGCGTAATTGGTTTAGTGGTAAAATTCTCCGTTGCCATCCGCAACGTCGGGGAGCCCTGGGTTCGATTCCCAGATTACGCAGCAAACATTTCTTTTTGGAGTTATCCTCATAATCTTCGTTATTTTTTGAGGCTCTTTTTCTTTTTTACTGTTCTTCGATTTCCTTGGCGTATCGATCGCATCGACCCGAGTATGCATGCCGTTCTTTTTCCTTCGCGGCATTCCATCCTCATGATTTGTGATGAACGTTCGCCTGTTGGTAGGTTCAGGCTAATGAAACCAAGAAGTTAAAAAAAAAAAAAAAAAGAACTTTCATTAAAGATTACGGTTGTCATCGCTACCCTTTCTAGCTACTCATATTTAGGTCCAATATTCTACAGCCGACGGTCTCTCCTATTCTAGAACAAGCCAGGCACGCTATAGATTGTCTTGTTCTCTCTATTCCAACTACCCCCGGCTTAAATGCGCTTCACAATCTCCTTCTTGAATTACGATAGGGGTTCAAAAACATGTGTCAGTGGATGGCTCAGTGAAGGCTTCGGTGGCAATCAGCAATTTATAAGTCTTTTTCTCTTCATCAGCCTTTATTATGTTACGGACCTACAGGTGATGTGCTGTCGACATTGTTTGTCCGCGCTGGAACTTCATATAAACGATTGGAAGAGAATTTCCGACAATATCGCTACTCTTGCCATCACTTGCAGTAACAATATCGCTGATATTACTTCTACTGACAATTAAAGGCCAAATAACCGTGTCTGTATACGATTCAAATGAATCATGTCTCTCGGCACGCCAAAATTTATGAAGCGTTTACATCATTATCATTTATATGTACTATATACGGCGTAAAGCATTTTTATAATTAAACAACATTACTAATATCCTCTCTCTTGCATGGCTGGGACCGCCCCTGTAGCCCCCGTCTCTGACAGAGTCAATCCTTATTCAAATAAAATGAGAATCCTCAAAGTTCGCCCTTCAACGTAGCCTTTGCCGTGGTAAAGGTAGTGGTAGCGGTGGCACAAACACAGCCCTGGCCGGAGATACTAGTCAAAGGAGGGGACTTGCAAGTCGGTTCGGTGGTGAAACCAGCGTAGGTGGTGGTGGGTTCTACAGTGTGCTGAACTAACTCGGCCTTGACAAGGACAGGAATGATCTGGCCGGTGTTGAGGCTGAAAGCTTGGTGGTTTAGCGCAGTCAGAATGCTGCCAATCTCACCAGAGTGGCTGGTGATGCTGATCCAGGTGTTGTCATCGTGAGAAAAGACATCGTCCATTACGGTCTTGCTACGTGCGACCTGATGGGCAGAGGTCTCGCCCTCGTCCTCGTTACCTCGCCACAGCAGGTCGTCCTCCGAAAAGCCCTCCTCAAACAGGAAATGAGGCGCGAATGCGTGGATCTGAGTCTTGGTAGAGCGGCGGTCGCAGGTGTGGATGCTGATGCTCTCACGGAAGAGCTCCTTGATAGTGGGCTTGAAGGGGTGCGAGTGAGGCAGGTTGAGGGTGGCAAAGGTAACATTGGCCGTCTGAATGCATCGCTTGAGAGGCGAGCTGTAGTAGGACTGAAAGTAAGGCAGCTTCTCTTGTTCGAAGCGTGACTTGTAGTAGGCATTGGCCTTGCTGGCTTGCGCAATACCGTTGGCGGTCAACTGAGCATCAGCCCAGGTGGCAGTGCCGTTGCCATCCAATTCAGCCCAATAGCACTACCGGAAAAAAAGGTTAGCAGCCGATTGAGAACTGATATAGAAAATGATGAAAGGGGCCATCTCTAAGACTCACGTTCCAAGCAGGAGTGCCGTAGAAGGTCTCGGCGGCGTTGTGCCATCCCTCACCGTGGCGACCCATGAAGAGCACCTTGTAAGTGGTCTTCCTGTCCTTCTTGCACTCGTCATTCAACGAGTCGACATAATTGGCAAAGCGCTGCCATTGAGTCTTCTTGTGATGAGGGTCGAACTTGGCATCAGTAGGATACGTCCTGTTGATGAGGCCAAAGTTCTGGTTGGCCTATGGTATATGTGAGCTCAGCCTTACTCTAATATCTTGCGGGTGATGATGGGGAATTTTTTGCGTACATAGTCAAAGGTGCTGGGATTGGTATTGGGGTCGTCCTGTAGGAAGAAGCCCGTAACTGAAGTGTACTTGATGTCGTCGCAGCTGGAGACTTCTTTCCAGGCAATGGCGGTGGGGACAAGCGCCAGGACAGCCGACAGCAGAGAGGACTTCATCTTGGAGGAGGATGCTTGGGCGTTTTTGGTAGCGACGGCAAGCTGGCGACCTGACAAGCAGCAATTCGGCTCGAACTCCAAACAGGCGATGCGCTGCGTGGCCTTATATAGTAGCGTAGATCTCTGTGTTAATGCCTGCCGCAGCTGTGAAATGTAACGACGACAGGGCCAGATGGGGCACCCATGAAGTCATATGGAGTGCCAATGCTACTCTGGGGCTCGCCAGCAATTGCGCCGAGCAGCGGTGCTTAGCGCGCCGTCGTCGGTGTCGAGAGCAGAACGGCCGTGGATGTCACTGCAGGCGAGGCGCCCATGTACGCTCCAATCGATGGGGAACGTGGCGGGCCAGGCCGGGGGCTGGAGGCTCTAATTCATGTGCGATGCTTCTGGATGTCCACGTGGAGGAGCAGGTTGGCGGCGTTTTCTGGCGATTTGGCGGTTCCTGGATCGGACAAGGCGGAAGATTGGCCTATCGCTGAAGATTAGACTTGTATCCATCCTGCTGCCAGAGGTGGACGAGAGGACTTTTGAAGCAAGACAAGACCCATGGCGGGATGGTGGAAATGGTGAAGCACATATTGGACTGACTAACTGAAAACTGAAAACCAAAGAGAGAGCAGTGCAGACAGGCCAATTGGACCTATGATCGATATCTCAACTCAATTTCCATTGGAAACATGGCTTCCGTGCTCTGAAAGAGAAAATAGAAGCAAGATGTTTAATGAGAAACGAGGTCTGAATGCCTTGACGTTAAAGCTTGCTGGCAACGCTGGCGTAAACCTGCTGTCACTTCACGTGTCAGCGTCTTTCGCCTGGGGGCCGTTTAGTGGGAGCCACAGGGCTTCCAAGCTGCCAACGCCCGCTAACCGCTGCGATAAGATAGCAACTGGAATGTCACTTCATTTCCCCGCAGTCGAGAATAGTTGAACCCCTGAACAGGCACTACTAAGGCAGCTTTCTTGAAATTCCAGCAACTCGGGAGCTTCGCCAACGCCGCCTTTGCAGCTTCACAACGACCCCAACGAGCTTTGAGTTGGCATTCCGCGGCTGGCGCGACTAACTGTGCACCTTTGTTCCACCCCTGCACCCGCAACCTGGCCGAATCGCTCCATTCCCTCTGCAACATGAGCGCACCGAGCTTCGAAGATCTCGAACAGCCTCGAGGAGAGCCCGCGCCGGAGCTTCTCGACGGTCGCATCTGGGTGGATGGCTGCTGGGATTTTTTCCATCATGGTTAAACCCCTACCTAGTACCCGCCTCTTTGCCATTGGCCTTTTGTGATGTCTTTGCTAACGTATCTTGGGCGTGATTTTAGGCCATGCCGGAGCAATGGTTCAAGCTAGACAGCTCGGCGATGAGCTATACGTCGGTGTCCACTCGGACGAATCGATCCTCGCTAACAAGGGCCCTACCGTCATGAATCTCGACGAGCGGTACGTTGCACCCTATTCGCGGCCATTGAAATATTACACAAGGTACTGACTAGTAGATGGGCAATGCAGGCTCGCAGCTACAGATGCTTGTCGTTGGGTTACCAAATCGGTTGGCCATGCGCCCTACGTGACGCAGCTGCCCTACATCTCGCACTATGGCTGCAGATACGTTGTTCACGGCGACGACATTACTTCTGACAGCGATGGAAATGACTGTTACCGCTTCGTCAAGGAGGCTGGGCGGTTCAAAGTAGTCAAGCGATCTCCCGGAATCTCTACCACAGACCTCGTCGGACGCATGTTGCTATGCACTAGGACGCATTTCATCAAATCGCTAAAGAAGGTGCTGGCTGGAGAAGAGGGTGTAGGCACGGCGGAGGAGCGCAAGATCCAGTCCGAGGCCATGTTGGACAGAATTAAGCTATACGCGACGGATGAGACTGCCAAGAACCCCGGTGTCGATGTCTGGTTCTGGCATTCCGCAACGCCCGAGAAATCGGGTTCCAGCGAGGGGGTACGCGGATCCTATGAGAGCTTCCTTGAGGGAGCGGGTAAGAAGCCTGGCCAGCGCGTGGTATATGTTGATGGCGGTTTCGATCTCTTTTCCAGCGGCCATATTGCGTTTCTGTGTAAGGTACTAGAAGAGGAAGACAAGCTTGCGCGCGAGGCCGGCTGGTTTTCTGCAGAGGCCACGGAGAAGAGAAAGCAGGCAAACGGTGGAAAAGACTACGGCCCAGCATATGTCGTGGCGGGCGTCCACGAAGACAGGGTGATTAATGAGTGGAAGGGGGTCAACTACCCGATTATGAATATCTACGAGCGAGGACTCTGCGTTCTCCAATGCAAGGTAAGACGCGAACACTCCCATTTCTGGCTATGTGCCCCCTTCCCTTTGCATCTGATGCTAATCACTTATTTGTTGCTCTAGTATATCAATGCGACCGTTTTCGGGGCTCCCTTTACACCAACCGAGAGCTACCTCACGGATTTGCCGTGGGGTGTTCCCGACGCAGTCTATCATGGACCAACAGCATTCATGCCCTTGACATATGATCCGTACACGGCGCCGAAAGCGATGGGAATATACCGCCAGATTGGCGAGCACACGTTCTCTCACGTCAATGCGGGTGAAATCGTACAGCGAATCATGAAGAGCCGTGACATGTACGAGGCGCGACAACGGGCCAAGGGCGTCAAGGCTGAAGTGGAAGCGGCAGCGAGGGCCCGAGAGCTGTTGGAGGAGGAGCAGCGCAAGAAGGAGGCAGAGCGAGGAGTCATGTCCAACTGAAGGAATGAGTAGCAGCCATGTTTGCATGCATTGGGTGGATGGCCACAGCAGGCGATGCGATGATTTTCAACTTTTTTGTTTCTGGAGTTTTGGGCAATACCCACAGAGAGTCTTCAACAGGCCAGAGGAGAAAAAAAATAAAGCTTGAAGAGGGCATTAGAATACAAAGTACATAATAGAAGCAGGTTGGCTTGGCGACGAGGTGTCCATGGGCCAAATTGAATAAGACAGGCGGTGATGGCTTTTGCACGCTGAGCTGTGGATTGGGGGGAATGTCACCGCCACGGCTTCTGACCACATGAGGACAGGCTTATGCGCCGCGACCATCTATGATCTCATCATTGTCATACCAACCAAACAGAGTTGCGCAACATGCGTTGAAACAAGGGAGGGGCTTTGTGCTTTGTTGGTGTTCCAAGCCAAAATTTACATGGAGGCACGGCTATTGACGGCGCAACTGCGAGGCCCGACTATTCCGCCCTCTTTTATTTTCTGAGGATTTTTTTTTTGGGTGGGGATAAATGATAGGACGCAGCTTATGTATGTGCTAGTGACGGGGGAGAGCTGATAAGAGAAAAAGAGGCGTTTCGAGAAATTGCCGAGAAGAGAGGAATTGCCATGGAGTTAAAAAAAATAATTAAGCGAGAAAGGCAAAAAGAAGAGAAAAGATAAAAAGAAGAAGAAGAAGAAGAAGAAGGACATGAGGATGTGATGTGATCCCCCTTGATTCGACTCTCCCGGATCGGAGAGAGCGCCATTTGGGGACTCAGAATGTCACTCCGGGGTTTCATCGCGCAATCTGCGAATCTGCAATCTGCTCTCAAACGTCCCGAAGACGGAGCTTCAGCGCAATGCAATTGATTGACTGGCATTTGATTTGACCAACTTGGCGCGCCCTTCACCCCGCATTCTGCTGTCGAACGAGCTGCAAATCTGCATTCGGCGAAGGGTGCATGTTCGTATCAGCCCAGGCAAGGAGGGAGGGATGGCAGATTCTCACTCCTTGTTGACTAATTGGCTTACACGCACGGAGCACGATTGCTTCATTCGTACATTGTCGTCGTCATGATTGTACAAGCATGTAATCCATTGCTACATATCAGTGTACATACGCAGATACAGTAGTATCTGACTACTATTATCCACCACCCAAGAACAGAATGTGAAGCTTACTGCACGCCTGATTTGGCACGGGGGGCCGCGGCCTAAGCGAAAACAAGCGGGTCGGAGCATTTCCGCACGCCGGAAAGTTGGGCCGGGCTGTTCGGCATCGGCTGTTGGGGATCCGCTTTGGCGGGGGAGGGAAGGCAGAGACGAAGCGATAGAAAACGGCGGAATTGCGCAGTACAGTGTATTACTGCAGTACCGCTTGAGGATTGACCGTGTACATAGGTACAACTGCCGGGAGCAGCATCCATCCATCCCTTCAGTCACTGCTGCATCAAACCAAACATCTTGGCCAGAATAAAAGAAATAAAAGAATCCCATGACACAATCATCCATCAGCCATGAGCAGCATCCAAAGCAAGATTACGTACAAAAACTATCCCAAAACAAAAATCCCACACTATTTATAACAGAAAAAAAAAAAAAACGGTCGAGTCGAGGCAAGGAGAGAGAACCTCTCAGCCGGGCTCGGCACATGCGGTGGCGCGGGCAGACACGGGATAGTACAAAAAACATCAAGGTTGCGGGTTTGATAAACTTCGGCCGCGTCGCCTGGTCACCTGCCACTTGTTTTCCAGAGAGAGAAAAAAAAAACTAGCCCAGTCAAGGGCCCCCCCATGGCTTTTGTTGGTTGCTTCTTGTTGTCTTTTTCAGGCAAAAGATAATCTTTCAGTTCTCGTATACTGTACAGTACTGTATCCAACGGATCTCGTTATTTTATTTAATTTTAATTAATCTTTGGACATTTATATCCTGCTTACATCTTTGCAGACGGGGGTGTCTTCTTGTCTCTTTCCCCTCCGGGCCATTGCTGCTTCAACCAACACCAACAACCCCCACAGCCGCATCCGGTGTGTTACCGTACTGGGCAAGAGAGCAGCTGGAAACAATAGCTCCGTTTTAGGGAGCCTCCTCTTTGTTCATCTCTTTGTAGTGCTACCGTCCACGAAATTAACAGCACTTGGCACTATCTCACTAGTACTATCGCTTTGTCCTTTTGCGCCCTATGTCAAGTGTCTCTGCTGTGCTCCAATTGACTAGTTGCAGCCCTTGGCCAGACGGACGACCTTCTAGCGTCGCACATAGAAGCCCGCCTTTTTTTTTCTTCTCTCTTGGGGAGAACCCACATTACGCCGCCGTACCGATTTCTTCTCCTTGAGTAGCCGCTGTCTACTACATGCTTGTACTACTAACTGGAGCCCGGTTGGCACTAACTCACACATACTGTACCACTTGTTGGCTGGCAGCACGCCGGAGTTTCAAGTGGACCCCCAAAGGACGGGATAAGCACCTTTTTTCTTGCCAAAGGCGGAGCCGATTTTGCCTCCTTGGGGCAGTTTCTGTCACTCCCTCTGGGCAAGTGACAAACATTTTTTTTTCTTTATTTTTTCCCCTGCTTAAAAATATCTATTACAAGTACCTCTATTCCGAGATAATCTATTCCGAGACGCTCACCTGCCACCCCCAGAAAGAGAAAAGGACTTCCTCTTTTATCCTTGTACTGGCAACTTACCGAACTAGCTCCCCTGCACCGCTTAGATCAAGCCCAGCCCTCCGATACGGAGTTTCCGTCTCTGAGTCTCCTCCTACCTCATCTTCGCCTTCCCAGGTACAACAAGCCACCAGATTTTTTTTTTCTTCCTCTGCTCCATTTGAGTCATTCTCCATTGCCTTGACCCACCATCCCGCCGGGTACTCCTCTAAATTCCGGGCCTCCCCAATTCCACAGATAAAGACTTCTTCCCTCCTCTTTGCTGAACCAAGGAAACTTTGCTCCCAAAACATCACATTCACTTTGCTCCAGTTTGCCTCTCTACCGCAGCAATGGCTCCCTCCGCTATCCCAACTCAAGATGTCGACCTGACGGCCGCCAACATCCAGGTCAAGGAGGCCACTCAGCCCACCAAGCCTACCACCGATGACGTTGTCCCGGCTCCCCTTGATGCCTCCAAGCTCACCTACAACCTCACAAAGAACCCCCGTGAAGTCCCCGATGAGGCCGTCGCCAATGCCGCCGAGCATACCATCTGCACTGACCACATGCTCACTGCTACCTGGACTGCCGCTGGAGGCTGGGGTGCCCCCGAGATCAAGCCCTACGGTCCCTTGAGCCTCATGCCCACTGCGTCTGTCCTGCACTACGCCACCGAGTGTTTCGAGGGCCTCAAGGTCTACCGCGGCTATGATGGCAAGCTGCGCACCTTCCGCCCTGACCGTAACTGTGCTCGTATGCTGCTCTCTGCTAGCCGCATCTCTCTCCCCATCTTTGACCCGGCTGAGCTCGAGAAGCTCATCCTTTCTCTCCTCTCTGTCGATGGTCCCCGGTGGCTGCCTCGCGACAAGCCCGGCAACTATCTCTATATCCGCCCCACCCTGATTGGTACTCAGTCCCAGCTCGGTGTCCAGGCTCCTCGCGAGGCCATGCTGTACATCATCATCACCTACATGCCCAGACTGGACAGCCCCGTTGGCGGCATGCGCCTGCACACTTCTCCCGAGGACATGGTCCGCGCCTGGGTTGGCGGCTTTGGCTATGCCAAGGTTGGTGCCAACTATGGTCCTTCGCTGGCTGCCACCTCAGATGCCCGCCGCCGTGGCTACCACCAGATTCTGTGGCTGTATGGCAAGGATGGCGAGTGCACTGAGGCTGGTGCTAGCAACTTCTTCATTGTCTGGACGCGCAAGGATGGCAAGAAGGAGCTTATCACCGCTCCCCTGGACGACAAGCTGATCCTGGACGGAGTTACTCGCCGAAGCATCCTGGAGATGGCTCGCGAGCGTCTGGGCGATGAGCTGGAGATCACCGAGCGCAAGTACACCATTGACGAGGTTATTGAGGCCGATGCCGAGGGAAGACTGATTGAGTCTTTCGCTGCTGGTACTGCTGTAAGTCCACTCTTAGTTTGCTGATGCTGATTCAAAGGTTGTAAACTAACGCATTGCCGCCTAGTACTTCGTCTGCCCCGTCTCTGCTATCCACCACCGCGGCAAGGATATCAACATTCCCATGGGCCCCGAAAACACCCCCAACGTCATCACCTCCAAGATCAAGAACTGGATTGGCGATATCATGTACGGCAATGTTAGCCACGAGTGGGGCGTTGTCATCCCTGAGAAGGAGTAAAAGTCTTTTCTTTTTCGCCTAAAAAAAGAAGCAAAAACAGAAAAAGACGAAACTTGTGACGACTGGCAAAAAGAAGCAATGATTTGGACGCGAATGATTCCTTTTGTTATTTTCTTGCATGGCCAAGTGCACAGCCTTGGTTCATTTCACGATTTCGAAATCATCATATAGGGACGGAGTTTAATGGCGAATGGGAATACGCACACAGCGGCGGCGTGATTTAAAGTGTTGGCTGAGGAAAATAGATACATACGTAGCGGTAGAAGAAAAAAAAATTAGACAAGATTTCTTCACCTTCTTCTTAGTCCACCAACATGGCCTGCATCATCTTCATCGTCTCTGCTTGAATATCTTCTTTATATGTCTGCAGGCTGGGTTAGCGGCAAGCATGTTCTTCCACCGAGCCTTGGAATCAACTCACTTCTTCTATTTCGTTAAGAGCCTGTGTATTATCTAACACAAGCTGCTCTACTTCTTCCTTCAAGCTGGCCATCCTGGAATGATCCGCATCGCTCTGCCTAGGCGTCTTTTCTATGCTTGCAAGCTCTCGGCGAAAATTCTCTTCCAAGCGGACGTTCTCTTCCCATTCGTCTTGTAGATTGCGTATCATCTTCTCGGCCTCTTTCAATTGATCCTTGGCGTTGGCAAGATGGATCTCAATGGTGGCTGAGGGGAAGTTTGGAGCGCTGCACAAAGTTGCAGAGAGTGGGTACGACAAATTGGCGTATATGTCGTCTACATCAGACGCGATACAGGATGAGAATGCCTCAAAGTCGGAAATTTGGGAGCTCATATCCTGCTGAGCTTTGAGCAGTTTGCTCCTAACAGAGTTGTGGAGTTCCATGCCCTCTTCGACAAAGGCTCCTGCAAAATGAAAAACATTAGCAGCGGAGACAGAGACAATACCACTCGATAAACTTGTTGCGACTTGATAGCTGACATACTTCTTAGAGGTGCTAGAATGTCTCCCTCGACGGTCTTGTCTTGCTGTACTCTATCTCCCGCTGCAGCGTTATTGAAGGAAGCAGAACATGCTTGAAATAATTCATTACGGCGACGGGCTTCATCCTGAAATGATGAGGATGACGATGACCCGAATGGAATCTTTTCCGCCGAAAACAGCGTTGAGGAAGATAAGTCTTCGGTAGGGGAAAGCTGGCCGGTTAGACGGCCTTCTTGAGGGAAAAGTCGGCTCATCAGAGATGGTTTGCTGTGATGCGCCATGGTTGGATACTGGGATGGACGGGGTATTTGACAAGACAAGGCTGTGTAATAAGCGATGGTATAATAAATAAAATAAATGAATGAGGTGCGAGAAGGTAAGAGAGAACGAGGAAATGCGATGGGTCTGAAAATCAATAACGAAGAAAAAGAAAAGAAAAGAAAAAGAAAAAGAAGAGAAATGAAGAAACTGGCTGAGGAGATAAAGATGGAAGGCACGCGTGCTCCTTCCGTAGCAGCTGCGTGACTTGACCTCTGATTTCCCAGGGGTACGTACCAGGTACCAGGTACTGATACAGATGGAATATTTTCATTTTGCTTCAACCTCACAGATGCTTCAGTAACGCCTCTCATTCTCCTTTATCTTTCTCATCGCCATCTCCGCTCGCGTTGGCCGTCAATCCAAGCTTGTCCTGGATCGCCGCCACGATAGTCTCCCACGTTGCCATTGCGCCCTGGCCGACGTCACCGCAGGCAAGCCCCTTTGAGATGGTCTGGAGCTCTTCAACCCATCCATCTGGACCGCCCATGACATCGTTGAGAGTCTTCAAGTTGCGCTGCGTGACGGGGTTCCGGTACATGGCGGTGTTCATGGCTGTGGCCACGAGAATCTTCTTCTTCTTGCCGTCTACAGAGCCGTCGGTGTCCCATGCCAGGATGGTTGATGAGAGCAGAGAATCGGTGATGCCGTGCACCATCTTGGCAAGAGTGTTTGCACTGAGCGGTGCGATAACTGCGGTGGCCAGGTTAACCAAGTGTTTCTGGTATGCAGCAACTGAAGAACAACATACCTAATAGATCGGCCCCTAATGTGAACAAAGCATTGATCAGTACCAAATGAACGAGCAGCATGCTGGTTCAGGCCACTCACATCTCCTGAGCTCGATGTGCAGGATTGGGGCTCCGCGAGTCCACGGCTGCACCCACTCGGACTCGTCCGTGTAGATGGCGTCGACATTTGGATACTTGCGAATCTCCGCCAGGCTGGGCTGCTCGTCTGCCTGGCCCTGCAGAAAGTGGGCGGCTGAGCTGGTGAGCACGAGGCGGATCGACAGGTTGGGATGCTGCGACAGGCCCCTGATGATGTTGGGAATCTTTATGGTTGCTACGGATCCCGATGCGGCCAGCAGAAGATGCATCTTGCCGTCGCTGCGGGCGGCTGAGACATCCTGCGCCGGAGTGCTCGAGGAGAGCTCGTTGAGATGTGGCATGGCGACGGCTATAATACAGTGGACTACTGCGGCTGCGACTACAGAGCTGCGCAGTATTGTTGCGATGCTTTGGCTTTGGATATTGGACAGGATATCCTCCATTCTCATACGATAACAGCCGGTTTACAGGGGTCTTATGGACTCGGAGCTTCAGTGTCCGCTGCCCTGTGGCGAAGAGGCGGCTGCTGTAATTAAGCCCGATTTGTCACGCCTTCTGCGTCCCTTGGCGGCGAACCGATTTCCGGCTTACCGATCTGGCTGGTGATTGGCCAGCGCCCGCGATTGCATCACGCCTCCGCCAAATTTAGCTGTTAAGTCATCAACGCCGGCTCAACTTTTTTCTGCTCGGCCTAGGCATTGCTCGGCTGTTCTTTTCTGCATCATCTGGCCCCTCGCACGCATCCAGCCATGTTTTCACGATCAGTCGCCTCTGTAGGTCTACATGCGCCCGCTCGCCCGCTGGGGAGAAAAGAACGCAAATGATGGCAATTTGCTGACCATGATACTCTGCATCAGAGCCTCCTGCGGCAAGCTGCCCGGCCAGCAGCCCGGCCCGCAGTTCGAGCTCCTCTGGCGGCTTTCCGCATGCCCGTCGCCCCTCTCACGCCCTTCCAGATGCGACTGCTGTCCGATGCCACCCGCGGCGCCATCGACAAGGCCGTTGCGTCTGCGCCCGTCGTTCTCTTCATGAAGGGAACGCCCGAGACGCCCCAGTGCGGCTTCTCCCGCGCCGTCATCCAGATCCTCGGCATCCAGGGCGTCAGCCCCGACAAGTTTGCGGCCTTCAACGTTCTGGAGGACCCGGAGCTCCGAGAGGGAATCAAGGAGTACTCAGACTGGCCCACCATCCCGCAACTCTACCTGAACAAGGAGTTTGTTGGCGGATGCGACATCCTGGTCTCCATGCACCAAAATGGAGACCTGGCGAAGCTGTTTGAGGAGAACAAGGTCTTGGTCGAGGCGGAAGAGGGTGAGAAGAAGGAGCAACAGTAAGAGACGAAGATAGAAGAAAAGACAAGGTCGATAATTGGAATCAAGTGTACGATATGCGATGGCGTTATACGAAGAGGGCTTAAGCTAAATACACATTATGATATAAATGGCAGCCTTTGCATGCTTCAGGTTGGGCTCCAGGAATTATATATAAATCAAAAGAACCAAAGGAAGAAATCTCTTATTACTATCCAGATCTTCTTTGCTTATGCTCTATGGTGTCTACATCTACAATGGGTATGCTGCTCCGTCTGCTCTCATGTCACTGCCCGCCGACCAAATCGGCGTCTTCTCGACCGGATCAAGCGTGTACCTGATGATCTGCCCTCGTCCAAACAGGCCTCTCTTTGGCCCTCCGCCGATGACAACTACCTTGTGGCCCAACTGTCTCAGCCCCTCGATAACCTCCGGCGCCATCGTCTCCTCTACACTCACCGTCCAGTCCAACGGCTTGCCTGGCTCGGGGAAGCCCGCGCCAACGCATATCCGAGGCGCATCTAACGCTTGCTGGGGGTTCAGCTTGCCAACAATCTGGCCCAGCAGGACCTGCACGTGTCCCTGAGGCTGCATGAAGCCGCCCATGACGCCAAAGGAGGAGTGCAGAGAGCCATCCTTCAGGTTGGTCGCCATGGCCGGGATGATGGTGTGGTAGGGCCGCTTTCGGGGCTCCAGCCTGTTGGGATGGCTGGCGTCGAGAGAGAAGTTGGCGCCGCGGTTCTGGAGGGTGAAGCCGCATCCTTTGGGGATGATGCACGTGCCGAAGCCGCCGTAGTTGGAGTTGATGAAGGAGGCGGCATTGCCCTGGGAGTCGGACACGGTGAAGTAGACGGTGTCGCTGCTCTGGAGCGCCGGTGAAGGGAAGCTGGGCTCTCCGTGCTCAACGAGATCCAGCGCGCGCTTGGGGTTGAAGAGCGAGGCTCGCTGGAAGAGATACTTCTCGGAGAGGAGGCCTTCGATTGGGACGGGGGTGACGTTGGGGTCGGCGATGTACCAGCTGCCGTCGGCAAAGGACAGACGGAGCGCCTCGATGATGGCGTGGAGATAGGGCGTCGTGTTGAAGTCCTCGGGCTTGAACGTGGGGATTTCGCCCTGCTTCTCGAGCTCTTGGATGATGCCGAGGGCCATCAGGGCGATGATTCCCTGGCCGTTGGGGGGATGCTCCCAGAGCTCGATGCCCTCGTCGGGAGCCTCCTTGGCGAGGCCCTGGCCGCGGAACTTGAGAGAAATGGGCTCGACGGGCTCGCTGCCCAGCTTGAGGTGATGCTCCAAGTCTTGTAGCGTGAGATGGCCGCCGAGATCCTGCACGACCTTGACGAGTTCGTGGGCTATTCTTCCTGTGTAGAAGCCCCTTTTGCCTTCCTCGGCCAGCGTGCGGAATGTCCTGGCCAGCGTGGGATTCTTCATGATTTCTCCTGGACGGGGGGCTCTGACGCCGTCTGCTTGGCTGGGGTCGACTTTGAGCATCTCTGCGTAGTTGGGGGAGGCATCTCGGATTAGAGGCTCTGCACTTGACCACTTTTTTTTTTGTTTCTGGGGTTAGAACGTGAAGAAGATAAGAAACGAAAAGAATAAGATAACGTACGTAGTAACCGGTAACTTCTGATACGGGGAATCCCTTCTCACCCAGCTGGATCGCCGGGCTCAAGATCTGCTTCATATCGAGCTTCCCGCTGCCAAACCGCTCAACCGTGTCCACCCATCCGGCTGCAGCACCGGGAACAGTCACGGCGTGGACGCTCGTCATGGGGATCTTGCCCACGTCGCCGTCTTCGACATTGAGGTCGTTTCGGATCTTCTCGAGCGTGCAGTTGGCGCCTGAGCGGCCGGAGCCATTCATGGAAAAGACCTGCTTCTTGGCGGCGTCCCAGTAGAGAATGAACATGTCGCCTCCGATGCCTGTTGAGCAGGGCTCGGTCATGTTGAGGCCGGCGGCTACATGTTACACGAACGGCGTCTTGGGTTAGCAGAATGTACATGTAGTGGTATAATCTCACTTATTAAATGAGTTTTGGAGATTCAACTCACCAACTGCTACGGCAGCATCCTATCGTTGCCATTCTGTCAGTAAATTCGCCATCTAATTGATTTTACGCCTCCTTTTATTGTTGCTTACCGCGGCATTGCCTCCCGCACGCAGCACTTCAAGACCGCATTTTGCGGCCAGAGGCTGTGAACAGGCGACAATTCCCTCAGTGCTGTGGACGACGCTTCGCCGCGAAGGGAATTTGAACATGTCATAGGTTGGGTCCTCAAAGAGAGAGGAGCTGCTGAGAGGCATTGTGGCGATAGTTATTCCAAAATTTCCTTGTATAACGCTCTAAATTTGCTCCCTCTCTTTGTCTTTCTCCGCTGTCGACTATCCTCTAGATGAGGGGAAAGGAACGAAGATAAGATGCGTATCCAAGACAGCTCTGCGAATAGGGCAACGCGCACGAGTTAGAGTCAAATCGCCTGCAAGACAGACATCCATGCATCCATGATTCGTCCCGGAGTAATTTGCCGTGCTGCGTGCATCGTCCTATCAATCAAATGACTAACACGCGCACCCAGCAGCACCAAACTATCCGAATTCCGTAATACACAGCATCACATCATAAACAGCGCGGGGAAGATAAAACGGCTCCCCGCTATATTTCGCTCCGGTGGCCGGACGCTGCTCCTCAAACGGGCAAAACATGTTATTTCCGACGGGGACGATTGCAAGAGTTTGCGGGCTAATACTGGCAGTAATGAGAATTTGGCAGTTCCCATATAACTAGCACAATTGCCAAGAGCCATTTCGGCTGAAAGTTTGAGCGTTGTGAATGCCTCTTCATATGGATGCGGATTATTGATGAAAACTATTGCCATGCTGTTTTATACGCGTATGTAAGCATAGAGACAGCTTGAGAGTTTATACTTCAAGTCTAGAAGCTGACAAAAATGCGTGTGTATGGCTGGTGGATGCTTAGCCTTGCGCCGTGTAATAACTATATTCAGAGGCATATATGTTCCGGCTTATCTGATAAAGAGACAAAGAGGCAAATATGAAAGCGAATGAAACCTTATGCAGTTCTTTCTACAGTACAATGCAATAACAATAAGTGACCAATCTCCCAACTGCTCACAGTCGCGCTCGTCGACTAGCCCGCTCTAAATCTCTCAAAACATCGTCTACATGGCCAACCGCCTCCAAAGCCATGCCATATCCTGCCTGATATCCAGTGCCACCAGCGCCATAGTTGTGTACAAGGACCTTTTTCTTGCCGTCAATGACAATCTCTTCTCGCTCAATGCGTGCACCGCCTTCGCGGGATGGTCGCAGGCCCGCGAACGAGGCGATGATATCAAACTGCTGCAGCTCAGGACACAGTTTCAGGCAGCGGTTGACGATTGATTCCGTCTCATACGAATATGTCGATCCATCGCTACAACTACGCGTTAGCCGGCAAATTTTTGACCATAATGATACGTATATATATATATAGAACAGCACTTACCTCGAGCCCTTTTGCATGTATCCTCCCAGGATAACATGGCCATCCGTACCAGGTCGCGGAATCACATACGTCTCATAGTCCTTGCCATGGCGCATAATGTTTCGTTTGACACGCGGTGCCTTTACAAGGACAACCTGGCCACGAGTCGGGTAGCATTTCTCATCCTCGACGCCGGGCAGTGTCTTTGCCGCAATGCCAGTGCAGTTGACGACGACCTTGGTGGTGGGACTGGCATACGCAGCCTGGATGCTGGGGAACCTCTGTCTCACAAAGTGCACGCCGTACTGCTCTTTGAGTCGGCGGAAGAGATACTCAATGTGCTTGGGAGCATTGAGTGTCAGGGTGGTGAAGGATATGCCAAACTTGACGCCAGGCGGAAGTTCCTGGGAAGGCAGCTCTCGGAACTGCGACAATGTGAGTGATTCGACAATGTGAGTGATGCTGGGAAAAAGTAAGGGATGGAACTAGGATAGAATAACAAGAAGGGCTTACATCCTCCAGATACTCGGCTATGGCCTTGATCTTGTCGTGGGGCACGTGCTCATCCCAATACTCTATTGAGTGAGTCCGGCGGATATAGGCTTCATCGCCCTGCTCAGAAGCCAGCTTTGTGAGATGAGTGTAGCCGAGTCGATCCCACTTCAGTGCATTCTTATCGGTGCCTGAGATTCCAGAAAAGTTGCATCCAGCCCTGCCATCGCCATTGTCAGCCTCGGCCCCAGTATCCCTGGTCTGGAAAGGAGATAATGAGAGGCGAGAAAGCAAGAAGGCAAGAAAACTCATACAAAAGAATAGAAACTCACCAAGGCGACGTATAGGTAGCAGCTGTGTCTCCCGGCAGATGCTCTGCAATGACGGTGATGTAGGGGCCTAGTCCCCGCTCAGCCAACACGAGAGCAACGTCCAGGCCGATGATGCCCGCGCTAGAACGATTGAAAGAAGCACAGTGAGCAAGCAGGCAACATGGACTGTCTGCAGAGTTGATGGACTTACCCGACGATGACAATTGCGTCGCCCGCTGCTGCTGCTGACGTGCCGACGCGCTGGCTGTTGCTGCTGTTGTTGTGCATGCCGATGATTTACCCTGCCGATGCGATGCTCCCCAGAGAATGGAAACTGGAGACGAGCTTCAGTGGTTGCTGGCTGAGGCGGCTCACTCCGCCCAGTATCGAATCGACAGACGGGCACGTTGAGCGATTGCGGATAAGGAGCCTCGGCTCAAGTGGTGAAGCTGCGGGTTGGTGCACGATATTGGATGAAATGGCAGGGTTCTCCCTTGATGTGGCGTAAGTTATGTATGCATTAATTCTTGCTGGATATGCTGTCAGGGTTCGCGCTCTGCCCATGTACTCATAATTGTCGATGGCTGGGAAGATGGGGCCTGTTGATTGCTGCGTGTTAGTGCGAGCATTACATTGGGGCCGCGGCTAATGACATGTCAGCCAGCAAAGACACCCCCAGATCGATCTGGACACCCGCTGCCTACATACAGTGGCGGCTGAAGAGTTTCCGTGACCTTGTAGAAATCCTATTCGGAATTAGACGATGCTAGCGAGCGGATGGTGCCGCAGTTGCAGGACTCAGATCTTGATATTGCTCCGTGTTTATTTGGCACACCCCATGTCATGCGTGCCGTATCGTGTATGAATCATTGGCCTACAGCCTGACCTTATTTTCATCTACGCACGATGTGACGCCAAGGTAGTGGAGATACGCAAAGCCATGAGATGCACTCTACATCAAGTTGATGCCTAGACCTAGTCTCATCGCCCAGGTCGGAGGACTAGTACGCAGCTGAACTGGTAGCTATTGATTTACAACCCTGCTTATCGGCTTCTGTGCCTAGGTCGCAGTCCTAGTGCTGCTACCTAAATTACACACATGGGATGCCCGTCTATACAGCAGCTGAGTATTGCAACTGCGGCGTATCTTTCCACTCGTGCTTCGTATATGCACCCATTTCCAGATATAGACAGTTAATCCGCACTCGCTACATACCTACGAGGCTCTGCTAATGATGACGAATCTTGGAGGCAAATCTCGAGCGCGATGGTGGTAATGGCGGATTTATCAGAAATGGAACTCACCGAAAACGTGTAACCAAGATAAATCTACATCCAGAAGCCTTGTTTTGCGCTATATTGTTTGTACACATGACCTTGAAGCTGTGGAGGCTACAGATTCTCCTTCCGGGAACCCTGGCTCTCATAGTGTATGCATCTGTATTTAAAGGCTCTATATCAGAACCAAACTCTTTCACAAAAAAAAAAAGTAGAAACCAAAAGCTGTAACAATTTTAAAATATTTTCGAACTTGAGTCTCAAAATGGCAGAAACTTGGCTTCAATCAGCTGCTCGCAATTCAGTCTTTCAGGTTTTAAAACGCCTTCAACATGGCTGCTTAACTGTCGCAACTAAATACGCTAGTGGAAAGAACCAGAGCGTTACCTTTGGCAATGACAGCTCCGAATCAGATCTTGGGATTGTAATAATTGTCAAAAATCCTCAAGTCTTTGTTCGACTCTGTCAAGGATTTGACCTGGTAAGAATACAAAGCCCGTATCGATAGAAGTAGAGACTTATATCCTTTAATAGGGAGTCGCAGAGTCATACATGGCCCAAGACTTGGAATGTGACAATCTTGTTGGACTATTCTCTGTATGTTTGTCTGTGTTTTCTGCTCTGTTAATTACAACAATTGAATACACAAACTCATCAATATTTTCTAAAGCTTTACATAAGAAACAAAGACTCTTTAAGCGCCTCCGCTGGTAGCCTTCTATACACATTCCTACCTCGCGCAGCTCAATACTTCTTACCAGCCAATGACACCATCAATGCACTTAAGAATGCATCGTTCCATTACGATACCTCTAACAAACACTTTGCTGGCTTCTTGTCCCCTGACATGAACTACAGTTCTGCTATTTGGTCAGGCGAACCTGGAGAATCACTTCAGTCTGCTCAGCGCCGCAAAATCCAGAATATTCTCGACAAAGCCGACATATCGTCCACTGATCATGTCTTGGACATAGGATGCGGCTGGGGGAATTTGGCCATTACCGCTGTTCATCAGACTGGATGCCAAGTAACTGGCCTCACTCTGTCGGCAGAGCAAAAAACCCTGGCTGAAGAACGAATCAAGGCTGCAGGTCTGCAAGACAAGATTACGATCTTGCTTTGTGATTATCGCAAAGCTCCAGTCCCAGAGGGAGGATATGATCGAATTATTTCCATCGAGATGTTGGAGCATGTTGGCGAAAAGTTTTTGAATACGTACTTTGAAAAGATATCAACGTATTTGAAAACACATGGAGGCCGGGTGGTTGTTCAGGGCATCACAAAAATTAATTCTGTTAGTTTTATCTGTTTATTGACTTTTTTTCTTGAAAAAAAAAAATAAAAAAAAAATAAAAAAAAAAAAAAAAAAAAAAAAAAAAAAAAAAAATCCGCATTAGAGAACCACTACTGACTCTTTNGTCCCAGAGGGAGGATATGATCGAATTATTTCCATCGAGATGTTGGAGCATGTTGGCGAAAAGTTTTTGAATACGTACTTTGAAAAGATATCAACAGCATATAAAACACATGGAGGCCGGGTGGTTGTTCAGGGCATCACAAAACCAGATTCCCTAGGATCCCTATGTTTATTGACTTTTTTTCTTGAAAAAAAAAAAAAAAAAAAAAATAAAAAAAAAAAAAAAAATAAAAAATAAAGAAAAAAATCCGCATTAGAGAACCACTACTGACTCTTTATAGCTGAACGCCAGCGGCCAAGCTCTCGGCGATTTTCTTTACCACTACATCTTTCCGGGAGGATATCTGCCAACCATAAACCAGCTCTTGACATCAATTCATAGCGGCTCTAACGGCACATTGGAAGTAGAAACGGTTCAAAACATTGGGCCCCACTACGCCCATACTCTGCAAAGCTGGAAAGACAATTTCGACGCAAACTGGGACAGCATTCGAGAGGACTTTGTCAGCAAGAATCCCGAAGCTACAGATTTGGCAATTGAAGCGCATCGGCGACGGTGGATAGTGAGCATACTCCTTTAAGGCTGTTTATGGCCTCATTTGTGTTCAAGCGTCTGTTACTGATTTTGATCATCACAGTACTATTTCCAATATTGTCTGGCTATATTCAAGATGCGCATTCTTGGGGACTATATCATTTCTGCTACTCGGACTCCCTTGCCCGAAATGCCATAGATATTTCGCACTAAGTTGAGGTTGTGTTCTATTCACATGGAATGTATGAGACGACACTTGCAAATGGTAGAAGAGTGGTAGAATGTTAGGCTGGTGGAGGCACTAGAGCTAGCAGAGGACAATTGAAGTAGGTAAAATAACTGTGTGCGTTATGACTGTGATGGATTATATGCACCCCTAAACAAACTACTGCTTTATTCACAGCTATACTCATTGTATTGCTTCTTATGCTACTGGCTAAGACGCCGTCTAAAAGATTGGCTCGCCTATTTTTATACGCAAATATATTTAAAATCTACGAGCATGGTGTATTAATTCAGCTTCTAGAAAAAGTTCTAATAGCTAATAGTGAAGGACTGAAACGGACGAGAGTACTAACAACGAAATTAATTTTTAGAAAAGAATTAAAGAAAAGAACTAAAGCTAACGCAACCAGACCCCCTTTACGTCGACATTCCTTTCGTATTATGTACACGCCGAAGAACGTTCTCCTGCTCGCTCTTGCCAAATCCATCTTCTGAAGAAGGAATGAATCCAAGCTTCTTGAGATACCGTACATTACTCTTGATTGCCGCCTGTGCATCTTTATACTCGGTATATTCTACGCCTTTGTACGGCAGAACGTTTCGCGGTATGCCGAGTTGACAAAGGAATTGCCGAACCGTCCACAACGGATGCGTAGCACCGACCCTTTCCACCGATGCTGTTGCAAGCTCTATCCATTCTGACCAGGGTATAGGCTTGCATGGGGTTTCTAGCTCAGAATTGACAAGATCCCAGAAAACAGGTACCGGCATGCCGCTTCCAGACATAGAGAACGGCGCGATTTCACTGTCGAAGACCTGATTTAGAATTCCCGAAGCGACAGAGCTTACGTCTTGGATATAATTCCAGTGCGCTTCTGGTTCTTCCGGGAAGGCTTTGATAGAGGCTGCGGTAGAAACGACTCTCCATATGAAATCATCCACATTAGCAACACCGTGCTCCACCGTACCGATTATTCGCCCAGGTTTGACAATCGACACCCGGTTCTGGTTGTTCGGAAGGCTCTTGGTGATGTTCTTGATGACTCCTTCGCAGACGAATTTTGTTTGAATATAGGCGGTGGTACCCTTGAGTAATGCCGCAGATATAGCCGGGTGATCTTCAGGGTTTGTGAAGGCTCCGCCCGAGACAAACACGAATTTTGGTTGGATAGGTGATGTTGCGGTCGCCATCAGCAGGTCGACCGTCGAGTTGACATTAGGGTGACATAGTGTATCATAGGTGGCATGCCAATTGACAGAAGCCCCGTTGTGGATAATGGCATCGATACCGGTCTCTGACTTGGATAGCCCTGAGAGTCGGTTCCACTGGGCTTCCGTGAGACCTAGGTGAGCTTTAGAAAGATCACCTGGCCAAATTTCCAACTTATCAGCGTCTTCATCAAGCCACCAACCTGCGATTCTGGCTGTCTCTCGGATTCGCCCCATTCCATCGGGTACCGACTTTGAACGAACATGGACAATAACAGACCGCACAGCCGGATTTCTCACTAATTGATTTAAAATCTCAGTACCAAGGAAGCCGGTGGCACCAGTGAGGAAAATTGTTGACTGGTTACGGATTGTAGTAATGGGGTTTGCCTGTAAAGCGTGTGGGTGCGATATCCAAGATTCCTTAGAAATCGCATTGATCTTGGCTACCAAATCGATACCTGAACCTGGATGGCACGGTACTGTAGCTCCATCCTCCACAGCTGATGCGATTAATTTCGCCATATGGCTGACCGTTGTGTGATTGCCGCTAAAAGATTTCTCAATAGGGACACCAAAGTTGTCTAGTGTAAGTTTTAACATGGTAATGACTCGGATCGAGTCGCCACCAAGCTGATAGAAGTTGTCATCTATGCCTATCGTGTCTGCAGGTATCTCAAGAATCACTGCCCAGTGCGCCCGGATCCAGTGCTCCAGAGCAGATGAGCAGTCGCGGAAAGGTGGGTGCTGGCTGGCTAGATACCTTCCGAGAGTTTCAGTAGAAAGCTTCATAACCTTTCGCATGAGGGCCGCCTTGTCAATTTTTCCGTAGTTATTAAATGGCATATACTCAATGGGAATGAGATATTTGGGAACCATATGATTCGGCAAGGCAGTAGCTAAATTTCTACCGAGGTGAGACAGATGCTCTTGCATTCTGTTACTAGATGCTACCAGTTGAACATCTGTAGCTTCGCCAGTGATTTTACCATCACGAAAGCTTATAAACGCCAGCAGAGACTTTTCAATGTCGTCAATCATCACATCAACTGCTACTTCTTTCATTGGAAGAGAGAGGAGCTTGATATGAGCTTCGATTTCACAAGGTTCCACATGTTGACCGCGGATCTCGACTTGTGCGTCTTTCCTACCAATGTAATCGACAGATCCGTCAGCATTATATCGAACTAGATCACCTGTCTTGTAGAAACGCTTTGTTTCAGTGGTTTGAGTGTCCGAAAGCCACTCAAAGTGATTAATGAATGACTCCGTGGTCTTTCTAGAGTCATCGATGTGGTCTCGGGCCAGTGCGGGGCCTTGTAATATGAGTTCACCCACGCACCCGATGGGAGCAAGTTTGTGATGGTTATCGGGATCAACAATCCAAAACCGATCAACATCCTGCATTGAGAAAATGTCTTGAATACACGATTCAATCGGTTTAAGAATGGCCTTATTTTGTTGAATTGCCTGCTTTACATCCCACTGACTTGCCACTGATACAGTCGACAGCGTTTTTTCTCCAGCATTTAGGAGCTGTTCAATAACACACTCAAATTGCTCAAGGAGAGCAATAGCTTGAGAGCCGTGAAGGAAGTCTGAATTATGAATTAACGCCAGCTGCATGTTGTCCGTGAAAAACTGGCACCGCACGACAAGAGGATAATTGAACACGTCACCAAGCAATTCGCCATCTGCAAGGCTCTCAATAGTGGCCGGATATAGAATGGGTAGTGATGCTACGTCTTGAGATGAAAGAAGTTGTTCTTCAGCAGGTTGAACAATAAGAAAGTTTGTAAAATTGCATGCATCCTTGGCAGAGGAGCTGATTCGTGAGATATTTGCTAGCCCGTACTGCTCATGAGCTACCATTTCAGAAGCTTGAATTTGTAAATCTTGAAGGAAGCTTGAAATAGTTTGCCGCTTGTCCAGGCATACTCTTATTGGAACTGTGGCTGTAACAGGACCGGGCATATCGTTGATACCCTCCACCGGAGCTTGTCTGCTGGAGACGGCTGTACCAAAACATACATCATCGGTTTGCGCATATCGTGCCAATATAATTGACCACGCAGCTCGGACAAGCGTTGTAAAGCAGCTTGGCGACTGTGACAAGTGGATCAGTTTACTCGTCACACTGGCGGCTTTCTTTAATGCTTGTGGTTTGTGCGATGCCACGCGCATGGGAAATGCGGTGCGTGTGGCGCCAGAAAGCTGCGTGGACCAATATTTGCGGGCTGCATCTCGGTCAAGATCCATAACGTACCGGATGAAATTGGTGTACGGAGTTAGAGTTAGTGGTTCGTTCTGGGTATATATGGACTGTAGAATTTTGATGATCATGGAGAAGGTCTGGCAATCAATGATGGCGTGATGGATCTTCAAGGCAAAGTAAGTATCGCAATCTTGAGAAATTATTGCATACCGACAGAGAGGCGAGCCATATGTCATATCAGTATTCTCATGTGACACAATGAATGAGCGAAGGTCAGTGTAAGTGCGAGGCCAAGCAATGGGGTCTTTGATAACAGCCTGAATTGTAGTGCTTCCGGAGAGCACAAATCGTGTGCGAAGGTTGGGAAAGAGAACCATAGTTTGCTCCCAGGCTAGTTTGAAGCGGTCCATGTTAAAGTCACGGCCAAGGCGATATATGTGTTTTGAAATGTAAGATCCAGGCTGCGCGATAGTCAACGCCATCAAGTTTTGCTGTAGGTCGGTGCAAGTGTACATATCTTCAACTTCCGCTGCGTCTGAGAGGTTACATTGAGCCATGACTGCCTGCTGAGCGTTGGATCTATCATCGACGGGAATGAGCCTGAACCGCGCAACCGAATTGTCTTCTTGCACTGAGGAGCTAAGCTGGATGGACTCTGCCATGGAAGAAAGATGAGGATCACTGAAGATTAACGCCACCGTAAGATCAATATTGTGCTGCCGAGCCAAGGAGACCAGGTGAATTGCACTAATGGAATCACCACCAAGCTGTAAAAAGCTGTCGTGTTTTCCAATGGCTGTTGGATCGTCCATATTAAGCACCTGTGCCCAAAGATCTCGCAGCTGGAACTCTGTCGGAGTTGTCGGCGTTTCATTGTCGTAGACATTAGGTGTAAAGCGCAGGCGATCTTTGACGGAGATACCGCGGCCATACTCGACGAAAGAACGACGGTTTACCTTGCCAGATGTCGTCTGTTCTGGTTTACCCTCAAAAATGAGATAAGACGAAGGAATCATGTATGTGGGCAGAGATGCGGCTAATGACGAATTCAGATGTGAAATGAAGCTTTGGACCTGTTCGGATACGGTTTGCAAAAGACGGAGAGTTTGTGGCAGCGTAGCCTCGCCTTCGGTGTACCAAAGGAAGGCAACAAGGATGTCATTGGAATTGCCATAGTCTGCTTTGGTAACGTCGACAATTGCAGCCATGTCATGAGGAAGGAATTCCTGGATTTGAGACTCAATCTCGCCAAGCTCGAGGCGCTGACCATGTCTCTTGATTTGTGTATCCATTCGGCCCATGTACTCAAATGTACCGTCAGCGTTGCGCCGAACCAAGTCTCCTGTGCGGTACACTCGTTTCTTGCCTCCAGGAAGCCAGTCGACATCTTCCATCCAGTTGGCGGCAACCTCGTCGCTGACGTTGAGATATCCTCGAGCAAGCATAGGGCCCTCAATCAGTAGCTCTCCAACACATTCCACAGGTACAAGTTGCCTATAGTCGCTTGGTTCAACGACCCAGAAGGCGCTGGATGTCGGTCTACCTAGATTTGTTGATCGACCTGATCGACCGACAGTAGGATTCCATGCGCAGATGGACGCTTCAGCCGGTCCGTAAAGGCCATGCAATTCGACATGATTTACCCAACGGTCTGCGCACTTCTTGCTGATAGCTTCACCGCCAAGGCAAAGGACCTTTAAGCTAGGGACTTCAGCAGGTGAGAGCAGTTCTGCAACTGTGGGTGTCAAGAACACCCAGTTAGCCTTTGAGGACTCTATAGCATCAGATAAATTGTTCATTCGGGCATCATCAGAAGGTATACAGAGGCAGGCGCCACGCATAAGGGAGACAAGGCAGTCTAGGATGCCAACATCGAAAGTGTAGGCCGAGAATTGGAATACCCGTGTGCCAGGTCCAATACCAAGGTCAGCGCCGTATGCGTTGCTAGACGAGCAAATATTGTTGTGTTGAATAACCATGCCCTTTGGTTTACCTGTAGAACCAGAGGTGAAGAGAACTACGCTCGCATTTTCGGGCTTGGCCGTTGATGCTACCGCATGGGTTGGATCAGGCAATTTGGAAAGTTCAGTTTCATCGATGGACAAGATATCAACTCCGAGCCCACCAAGTGCGTTGCCGCACGTTGAACCAACTAGGGCGATGCGTGCATGAGTGTCATTGATAATGCCTTGTAAGCGAGAGGATGGAGAGGCTGGATCAAGAGGAACAAAGGCTCCGCCGGCCATTTGACAAGCCACCATAGAGACGATAGCGAAAACTGATTTCGGAAAACATAAAAGGACGAAAACCTCGGGCCCAACGCCAAGTTCTTGAAGTTTCATCGCCAGGCGCGCTGCAAAAACACCCAATTGAGAGTAAGTAAGCTCTCCGTCCCAGGAGGTGATAGCTATATCGTTTGGTCTTGAGCGGATTTGGTCTTGAATGAGCCAGTGTACACACGTCTCACTAGAGGGACTCAAACGACTTGATTCAACTGCGTGTTGAAGGTCCCAGGGGCTAAGAAGGGAGACTGAGCTTAGGGGATCGTTAGTCGACTCTATGCTGAGAAGCTTTTGGGTGACGTGATCTAAATGAGAAACCAAGGCCTGGACCTGGCATTCCACTAGTATTTCAGAGTCATAAAATATATTCAAAAGAAATTTGTCAGGGAACAGGCTAATAATCATCACAAGTGGATAATTAAAGTAGCTATTCATGGAGTCCATTGTGAAGTCATTTGTAGATTCATCGATAGTAAAAATTGTATCATCCGAATCATCCGTAGCGAAGACTGCCGGCGGCTGAATAACAAGAAGACTCGAAAAGTCACAAATCTCTTTGGCGCATGCACTGACTTTAGAGATTCTTTGTAACCCATATTGTTCATAAGGGATCATGGTCGAACCCAGTTTTTGGATATAATGAAGAAACTTTGATATCGATACCTGGTTATCCAAGCGCGCCCTGAGAGGGACAGTGGCAATCATAGGTCCAGAAATCATGTCTGCTCCAGATATTGGCGCCTGGCGACCTGATATAGTTACGCCATAAACGGCTTCGTTGCTATCACAATATCTAGCGAGGACAATAGCCCATGCCGCTCGAAGGATTGTTGCTTGAGTGATTGAGGTCTTGACGGAATTTGTGAAGGAAATTGTTGAGCGATAACGCCGACTTTCAACATTACCTGGCATGATGCGACGAGGTGGGAACGAAGCTCGCGTTGCTCCCGAAAGCTCTGTTTTCCAGTATGATGCGGCGGCGTCACCGTCAATCTCATGGGTGTATTTGATGAACGATGAGAAAGGAGATATTTCTGGAATATATGTGTCTGAATATGCCCGAAACAGGACTGAAAACATTATTTTCATTGTCCATCCATCGTATATTGAGTGATGAGCAGACCAAACAAAGTAGTTTTTGCCTTTCTCAGACACAATAGCGTACCAGCATAGAGGTGTCCCATATCCCATTTGCATGTTTCGTGGCGATCTAGTGATTGACTCGAGATTATCGTTCTCGGCGGATAGCCAATGACTATCATTATCTAGGACAATCTGAGTCGTAACACCATCCAATAACACGATGCGTGTTCTAAGGTTGCTGCAAACCTCCACAACCATATCCCAAGCATCTTTAAATCTAGCAATATCTGCTGATTCCGATAAATGATGGACATATGTGGCAACGTAAGAGCCAGGCTGCTTGACAGTGAGAGCTATGAGACCTTCTTGGAGGGCGGAACAGGGATATGCGTCCGTTATCGTTTGGCCATCACGAAGGCCACATTCTTCTCGGATCTTGTCTCCCAGAGCCAAGCTTAAGCGTGATTCGGATAATAAACTGAAAGGATTCGGAGTAGATTCTGCAACATCCGCGTTATCTTCTTGGATTAAAGTAGCTCTTGAAGCCACTGCTAATAACCTAGGATCATCAAAGATATCCTTAACAGTAAATGCAATTCCATCTTCCTTGGCTGTTGAAACCAGGTATATAGCCATAATTGAATCACCTCCAAGCTGGAAAAAGGTATCATCCTTGCTAATAGAATCCATCGGCACATTCAATATTTCCGCCCAGATTGTCTGCAGTCGCTGTTCCATTTGAGTCTCTGGTTGGCGTTTTGTTCTGTTTGATAACGAGTAGATAGCTAGCTGATCCCGAGTGAGAGAAGATAAGTGTTTATGCAGCAGCCTTCTATCTAGTTTAGTTGAAGTACTAAAAGGCATATATTTGCAGGGGATAAACAATGCAGGAATCATATATCGGGGCAACACAACACCGAGCTCTCCGACTAAAGCCTTCAATCGATCTTGCAAGACGTCATCAGGTGATAAAAAGGGTGTCTCTGAAATGTTTGACTGGGTGCTTGTTGTCTCTGTTCCGTCACTGAAACAGAAGTAGGCCACAAGTGTAGAGCTATTGTTATTCTTGAACACGTCGACAGCCACCTGGCGAGCACCAGCCAAGAGCTGCTGAATGTGAAATTCAACTTCGCTGGCTTCGATACGAAGGCCATGAATCTTGATCTGCGTATCTTTACGTGCTGAAAATTCTATGGCTCCATCCAGATTGAAGTATCCGAGATCGCCCGATCTATAACACTTATTCCAGTGCGCTTCATCTAGAAGAGGCGCCCATCCAGGGGCTTGTACAATGGAAGCATTCGTACGATCTGTATCAGCCAAGTACTCTTGCAGTAGAGTAGGCCCTTGAATAATAATCTCGCCAACTGTGCCAATTGGTGCAAGGCAGCTATGATCTTCAGGATCCACAATCCAACAGAACCCACCAACAGGGCGTCCGACTGTAAGAGCCGACTCGTCAATAGACCTCCACTCATGCAATGAACTGAACACACAGGTCTCTGCGGGGCCCCAGCCGTTAATTAAACGAACTTTCCCAAACCAGGCCGTGAGCACATCGCGAGGAACTGCCTCTCCTGCCAGCAGTAAAAGCTCTAGCCCAGGGATATTATCTGGGCTTAAAGTACGGACGAAAGATGGCGTCAAGAAGGCCCATGTAACACGGGTATCTTGAATGAACTTTTCGACTTCATTGATCCTGCTATACTCTGATGGAACACATATACATGCGCCTGTAATAAGAGGAGCGATGATTTCGCCGATGGAGAGATCAAAGACGAATGCCGCGAACTGAAGAATTCGGACCTCTGTTGTCAGGCCCAGCCTCCTAGCGATTGCCTTTTGGCTTGTGCAAACAGATCTGTGTCGCATAACTAGACCTTTTGGAGTGCCTGTGCTACCAGAGGTGAACAGGACATAAACAGCGTTATCTGGAGAGACGCTGGTTATTGGTCCTCGCCGACTATCTACAATCCGTAGTAGCTCTTTATCAAACTCAGGAGTAACTTGAATCACTGAGTTGACGAGACCCGAGCAAATTTCGCTGTTTGCTGGCGAGCAAAGTGCAACCCTTGCTCCTGTTTGACTGACAATCTGTTGAAGGCGTTTTCGTGGATGTGACGGATCAAGAGGCACCCACGCGGCGCCAGCCTTGTTGATGGCCAAGATAGATATAAAATACCACATAGATTTCTCAAAGCACACATGTACCAGCTCATTTACTTGGATATCGTATTTACAAATGAGATGATTCGCAAGACGATTGGCCGCCTGATCAAGCTGCATATAGGTGAGGTCGCCATCCCAAGCTCGGATAGCTATAGCCTCAGGATGGTTATCAGCTTGATCCCGAACAAGATCGTGGAAACAAGAATCAACAATCTGCGGGATTTCAGAGTTGAATTTTTGCGATTGTTCAATATCCCACTGTGATGCAATAGAAATAGTTCCCAAGACTTGCTCGGACTTTGGTTCAGCTAATTGGCCAACAACATGCTTAAGTTGTTCACATAGGGCGACGAGTTGTTGCTCGGGGATGCAAAGCGAGTTATAAGTCAGTGTAAGTTCGATGGATTCATTGCTCACATAGGCCTGTAGGACGAGAGGGTATGAGAAGTAATTTTGCATACTATCCATATCATCTCTTCCCGTTTCAACCGGAACCAAAAGAGTATCTTCGTTATTGCCGCTGTTTGAGAAAAGCTGAGCAGGCTGGATAACAAGCAAGCTAGTGAAGTCGCATGCATCTTCGGCATATTCACTAAGCTTACGAATATTTTGCAGACCAAACTGCTCGAAGGGAACCATATCAGCCGCCTGAGATTGGATATGTTTCAGAAACTCAGCTACTGGTTTCTGATTATCAATATGAACCCTCACAGGCACAGTAGCGATAACTGGCCCAGGTATCTTTGTCAATCCACCAAGCGGTGCCTGTCGCCCCGAAACGGTTGTGCCGAAACAAACGTCAGTCGTGCCACAGTAGCGCGCCAAGACCATTGCCCAGGCAGCACGTATAAATGTTGCCGTTGTAATTCCTGTAGTGCTACGTACAAGCTCAATTTGTACCCCCATTGACTGCGTGGCACAGGACTTGTCGGAACTGTCAATAGCTGAAGATGGGAAGATTGCTTTCCTAGCGCCATGGAGCTGCTCGGTCCAGTAATCGCTAGCAACTTGATAATCAAGTTCCAAGGTATACTTGATGAACTGAGAATACGGAATTAGATCGGCGAGCTCAAGGCCTCTATAAGCACAATAGAGCGTCTGCAGGGTTAATGACAGAGTCCAGCCATCAAATATCGCATGATGCATAACCCAAGAAAAGTAAATACTTTGTTCATCTTCAATAATGGCGTAGTGACACAAGCGAGAGCCATAGCTCATATCCATATCACGTAATGAGAGCAAGTATTCTGAAATAGTCATCTGATGAGTAGGATCCCACATAAAGTCTCCTTTCACGACGACCTGTAAAGAGGTGGCGCCTAGTCTATGAATTCTTGTTCGCATGTTAGCACAGTGGTAGATGGTTTGTTGCCACGCCGCCTTGAATCTTGTTATGTCAACATGTGATGGAATACGGTACAAATGTTTGGCGATGTACGACCCAGGCTGTTTCACACTCAAAGACATAAGGCCTTCTTGCATCTTGGAGCAAGGATACGCGTCTTCAATATCCATATCATCAGAAAGCCCAAGAAATGACCTGATAGAGTTATCGCAGACTGCGTCCTGAGAAGTCAGGTCAAGTAAAGTAAAAGGTGCAACGGGAGTGACCTTTTCGGTCTCCTTAACCTCGATAAGAGAAGCCTTGGAAGCGACAGACTTTAGCCGAGGGTCATGGAAGACGTGGTTTACGGTCAAGGCAATGCCGTTATCACGAGCAGTAGCCACCAATTTGATAACAGCAAGAGAATCTCCACCAATGCTGAGGAAATTATCATCTCGACCAATCGAAGGGCATGATATATGCAAGATTTGAGACCAGATTTGCTGTAGACGGCACTCCATGTCTGTTTCTGGCGGAGATTTTTGACTGCTATTAGCTAGAGAATAGTTTTCAAGGTCTTCCTGGGTAAGTGAGGCGGCAGCTTGTAGTAGCAGCTTAACATTCATTTTGGAAGAAGTCAAGAGTGGCATTGCTTTACAAGGGATAAATAATTCCGGAATCATATAAGCTGGAAGGCAGAACTTCAAAGATGCAAGAAGATTGTTAAACTTTTCAGTTAACTCTTGAGTGAGTGGAAGTATCATGTCCGCTTGGCATTCTTGGTTAGCAGCTATTGTATTGCCGGTAAAACAAGCAAAAACCACCAATTTGGTGCTCGCGGCGGTGGTAAACACGCTGACAGAAATTTGCCGTGCACATTCCAAGTGCTTAGTGATGTGGTGCTCAATTTCCGCAAGATCAATACGAAGGCCGCGAATTTTCGCTTGAGAGTCCTTTCGGCTGATGAATTGCATAGTTCCATCCGCGTTGTAAGCTGCCAGATCTCCAGTCTTGTAATACCGATTCCAGTTGTGATGTGGCATCCAATCAGGAAGCTCAGAAACTAGAGATGATGATGTTTTGGTAGGATCATCTAAATATTCGCGCAGTAAGTTTGGACCTTGGATAATGATCTCTCCTACGCTACCTATAGGTGCTAGTTTTGAAGAGTCGTTTGGATCAACGATCCAGCAGAGGCCTCCCACCGGAAATCCAATTGTGGTAGGTGATTCATGGGTTGACTTCCATTCATGCATCGAGCCGTAAACACAAGCTTCAGTAGGGCCCCAACCATTTATAATTCTCAGTTTCCCAAACCACGTTTCAAAAACATCGTGGGCTACCGGCTCGCCAGCAAGGACTAGAGTCTGCAAGCTAGGAACTTCCGCGGGGTTTATCGTACGAGCAAATGAAGGAGTGAGCATTGCCCAGCTGACATTGGCGTGTTCAATGTATTGTGCAAGGGAGTTCATTTGCACTTCCCATGAAGGAATGCAAATACAAGCGCCTGATATGATCGAAGCAAAGATCTCTCCGACAGCTACGTCAAACGTAAAAGAGGCAAACTGAAGCATTCGAACATTTGAATCAAGTCCAAGGCGGTTCGTGATCGAAGATTGGCTACTGCAGAGAGCATGATGCTCGATCACTATACCTTTAGGGACACCTGTGCTGCCCGATGTAAATAAAATGTAGGCAGAGTGGCGAGGAGTAACGTCGACGAGGGTTTTACAGTCAGGTTTGCTGTGACCACTATTTTCAGCCGCTAATGCAGCGTCAAGAATTGGGGAAATGACGACAACCGTGGGAACCAAGTCCATACATTTGGACTTATTCTCCGACGATGAAAGCATCAATTCTGCCCGAGTTTGACGAACTATTTGTCTGAGGCGCTCTGAAGGATGTGCAGGGTCTAAAGGACACCAGCAGGCACCAGCTTTGGAGACAGCGAAGATGGCAACGAGATACCATGCGGATTTCTCAAAACAAACATGGACCACATCACCGAGTTTGACACCAATCTCATTAACAAGATAGCTTGCAAGCCTATCTGTAGCAGCATCTAGCTCTTTATATGTAAAGATAGCATCCCAGGCATCGACGGCGGTGCGGTCAGGATTATTAAGGGCTTGATGCTCAAGGAAGCTGTGGCAGCACTTCTCAACAACTTCTGGTAGTCGACGATTGGTCTCGAGAGCAAATTCAAGATCCCAAGCCGTGTTGCTGGGTATATCGCTGAGTGGCCTATCGCCTAAATTGATAAGCTGCTGAACAATAAGTTCAATCTGGTTTGATAATCCCTTCAGCAAATGCTCGCTAAGAATTTCACTATCATATATGAGACTCAGCTTGACATGACTATCATCCAGTTCACACTGGGCTACCAGAGGGTAAGTGTAGTAATTGTCCAGGGACTCTAATATCCTAGCCTGAGCTGCTTCATCGTTTATGAAGATGCCGTTACCAACGTCTTCACCGAAAGTGACTTTCACAGGCGGTTGGATAACCAATAGGCTAGAAAAGTTGCACGCCTCTTTTGCATAATGACTGACTTTAGAAATCCGTTGGAGGCCATACTGCTCGTACGGAACCAAAGCAGAGGCTTTTGTTTGGATGTCCAAAAGATATTGAGAAGCAGGAGTATCCATATTGAGACGGACTCTAACTGGAATAGTTGCCACTGTAGGCCCTGGCATCGCCTCGAGCCCGGCAACAGGCGCGTGACGGCCAAAAATAGTCGTGCCAAATATCACATCATCGGTATTGCCGCTGTATCGAGAAATGGCAAGAGCCCATGCAGCACGTAATATAGATGCAATAGTAACTGATTTTTCATCTGGCCTCGTGAAAGTAATTGTTGAGGTATAGACTTTGGTTATCGCGACATTCGTCTCCAAGGAGCGGCTCCGTGGAAACGAGGCACGCTTGGAGCCAGACAACTCTCTTTCCCAGAACGAAAAAACATCTTTGTCGTCAAGGTCTCCAATGTACTTGATGAAAGTGGAAAATGGACCTAGTACTGGTATGCTGCCGCCTCGGTAGAAGGCATCCAGTGTCCGAAATAGAATGCCGAGTGTCCATCCGTCGTATATTGAATGATGCGCTAACAGGGCAAAATATTTCTTATTGTTTTCGTGTATAATAGCATAACGACAAAGTGGATTGCCATAGGCAATTCTTAAATCTTTTGAGCTGCTCATAAATGTGGCAAGAGTATGTTTATCCGCAGATATCCAATTCTCATCATTTTTAAGCACTACTTGAATTGAAGTACCGTCTATGAGCAAAATTCTAGTTCGAATATTTGCGCAGGCTTCGACAGTGCGATTCCAAGCAGCCACAAATCGTTCGATATTGATGTGCCCAGAGATTTCGAAAACAAATTTGCCAACATAAGACCTTGGTTGTCTTAGTGTTAAAGCTATTAGGCCTTCCTGAAGGGCGGTGCAAGGATAGGCATCTTCTATAACATCTCCGCTAGAGATTCCACATTGCTGAAATATTTCTGGTGCAAAAATCTTGCGATGTAGGGAGCTCTCAAGTTGGCTAAATGGCTTTGGAGCAACCACTTCTAGTTGCTTATCCAACTGAATGGCCTTGGACGCTACTGCAAGTAATCTTGGGTCATCAAAAATATCTCTTACGTTGACTGAAATACCCCGTTCTTTTGCTTTGGAAACCATGAACATGGCTGTAATTGAGTCACCCCCAATATGAAGAAAACTGTCATCACGACCAATGTTTTTCGATGAAATGGCTAAAACATCTGCCCAGATGGCTTGTAGCTCGTATTCAGTTTGAGTTTTTGGCATAGACTTCTTACAGCTTACTAACGAATAGGAAGCAAGTTGGTCTTGAGTGAGGGCAGACGTTTGTGCTTGCAAAGTCTTTCTATCCAATTTCTTCGACGTGGTGGTCGGCATGCACCGACATGGGATAAAGAGAGTTGGAATCATATATTGAGGCAGTGTGAGCTTCAACTGGCTGACAAGGCCGTGGAATTTCTCTTGCGAACAAGAATCAGGACGGAGAAATATATCAGAGCCGCAATCAGTGTGGTTTTGACCTGATTGTCCGTATTTATCGAAACTGACGAAAGCTACCAAGCTCTTTCCAGTCGTAGTAGTTATAACATCAACGGCAACATCGCAAACAGCACCTAGTTTGTCGCGCATGTGATGTTCAATCTCACTAAGCTCTACGCGAAAGCCCCGTATCTTAATTTGTGTATCTCGGCGGCAGCTAAACACAAGATTTCCATCATCATTATAGAAACAGAAATCGCCAGATAGATAGAATCGGTCCCAATGGTCAGGATCGGGCAAAGGAGCCCAGCTAGGGCGTGAAATCAACGAATTTTTCGTCCGGTGAGGGTCATTGAGATATTCACGTAGGAGTGTTGGGCCCTGAACAACAACTTCACCAGTTGTGCCGATTGGTGCAAGGTTTTGCGGCATTTCTGGGTCGACTACCCAACAAAATCCACCTACTGGTCGGCCAATGACAAGAGGAGATTCTTCTGCAGATGTCCATTCATGTAGAGTGCTAAACACGCAGGTTTCTGCTGGACCCCAAGCATTTATAAGTCGTAGGGTCCCAAACCAAGAGTCAAATACATCCTGACTGACGGGTTCACCGGCAAGCAAGAGAAGCTCAAGATTTGGAACTTCATTGGGTTGAATTGTTCGAGCGAAGGATGGCGTTAAGAAAGCCCAGTTAACTCTTTGCTCTCGAATAAATTCTGCAATTCCGGCTATTCTCTGGTTCTCAGATGGTATGCAAACGCACGCACCAGAGATTAGGGGGGCAATTATTTCTCCAATCGACAAGTCGAAAACGAAGGCAGCAAATTGCAATATCCGCACGCTTGGAGTCATGTTAAGTCTCCTAGCAATTGCGGTTTGGCTTGTGCATACTGACCAATGTTCCATAATGAAACCTTTGGGCGTTCCAGTGCTGCCGGAAGTAAAAAGGACATAAGCGGCACTTTTGGATGATATTGACACGCAGGGTGTATATGACTCGGGTACGGAGTGAGTCAATAGACTATCGAGCTCGGCTGAGACCTCGATTACACCTTGAACCAATCTGGTGCAGAGAACGGCATTATTTGGCGAGGTTAATACTAGTCGAGCTTTAGTTTGGTCAGAGATCTGCAGCAAACGCTCTTCAGGCTGTGATGGCTCTAAAGGGACCCAAGCGGCGCCAGCTTTGTTGATGGCAATAAGGGAAACAAGATGCCATGCCGACTTGTTAAAGCAGACAAGTATAAGTTCACCAGGCTTAACTTTATGAATATGAATCAGATGATATGCAAGTCTATTTGCAGCAACCATTACCTGATGGTATGTAAATCTTGCGTCCCAGGCTGAGATTGCTTGTGCGTTTGGGGAAGTCTGAGCTTGCTTGTCAATAAGTTCATGGACACAAGAGTTGATAATATCGGGCAAGTCACTGTTAGATGCAACGGCAAGCTCGAGGTCAAATGACGACGAGATCGAAACAGACTGAACAGTCAAAATATCATCAGATGTGAGCTGGTGGATAACGTGACCGAGGTGGTTGGATAGTGCTTGTACTTGTCGCTCGGTCAAGACATCAGAATCATAAAATATTGCTACTTTCAATTCGTCGTCATAGATATGTGCTTGAACCACAAGAGGGTAACTAAAGTAGTTTGCTAAAGAGTCAGACAGACCCTCTGTCCCATTAGTAGTGATGAGCGAAGATTCTGTATCTTCAGTCAAAGAAATATGGCGCATTGGCTGAATTACTAGTAAGCTGGAAAATTGACATGCGTTATAGGGGTCCTCCCCCAATTTCATTATCCGTTGCAGACCGAACTGTTCATATGGTATCATTTCTGCTGCGGCCTTTTGGACAGTTTGTAAAAAGTCTGGTACAGGCTGTTTGTTGTCTATTTTGAGACGAACTGGAACAGTAGCAATTATTGGTCCCACAATCTCGAATATGTCAGGAACAGGAGCTTGGCGCCCTGAGATAGTTGTACCGAAGCAGACATCGTCAGTATCACAATACCGAGCAAGGACGATCGCCCAGGCAGACCGAACAATAGTGGCTACAGTAACACCGAGCTTGTCAGGGTTAATGAAGCCTATAGACCTTTCCAACGCGCATGTGACACCAGGCTTTCTAGACGCATTGTGCAGAGGTGGAAACGTTGACGGTTTAGCATTTTGCAGCTGAGACCTCCAATATGAAGAAGCTTCCTGAATATTCATTTGAAGAATGTAGCGGACAAAATGCGAATATGGAGCTATTTCAGGAATGTCATCCGACAAATATGCCTTATGCAAGATGCTAAGGATAATTTGCATGGATATACCATCAAAGACTGCGTGATGCATTGCCCAAAAGAAGTAAACATTTCGCTGTTCGTCTTCCGCAAAGGCAATCTCACATAGTGATGAACCGTATGTCATACGAATTCCACGAGCGTGGTCCAGAGCAGACTGGAGATCACGGTAGTCCCGTGGGTCCCAGTTTGAACTCGGTTTACATATAACTTGGATGCTTGACCCATCTGATGTTTGGATGATGCGAGTGCGTAGATTAGCACAGAGTTCCACAGTTTTCTTCCATGCTGATCTAAACCGAGATACTTCCACGTGAGCAGGAAGTCGATAAAGATACTTGGCAATATACGATCCCGGCTGCTTCATCGATAAAGACATTAGGCCCTCTTGAATCGATGTGCAGGGATAGGCGTCTTCGATAACCTGATCATCAGAAAGACAACACTGTTCACGGATAGTGGTACCAAGAACAGCCCCTCTAAGGTTGTTAGAGAGCAAACTAAATGGCACTATTTGTGTCTCGGCTTGATATGCAGTCATAGTAGCCTTTGAGGAAATTGCCAGCAGCCTTGGGTCGCCAAACAAATCCTTGACTTGGAAACAAATACCAATTTTGCGGGCGCGAGATGCAAGCTGAATCGCTAAAATTGAATCTCCACCGATTTGCAGAAAATTATCGTCCCGTCCGATAGACTCGACGGGGATGTTTAAAAGATCCGCCCAGAGTCCCCGAAGCTTGAATTCTATCTCAGTTTCAGGCATACGCTTCAGGCCGTTCTGGAGGGCGTATGTGGCCAACTGTTGGTTGTTAAGAGAAGCCATCAAGTGACGCAATATCTTCCTGTCCAACTTCGTGGATGTGATTGAGGGCATAAAATTGCAAGGAATGAATAAAGTAGGAATCATATAGCGTGGCAATGATACCTGAAGTTCGCCCAACATAATGGTAATTGACATGCGCAATTCATCCGTCATACTCATAAATAATTCACAGGAGCTGAGCTCGCTGTACCTCGATGAGCTTCTCATATCTGTATTAAAGCAGACATACGCAACAAGATTACGCGCGCCATCCTTCTCGTATATATCCACAACTACTTGGCGTGCCCCTCTTAAAGTCGTGCGTATATAATATTCAATCTCCTCAAGCTCAACTCTAAGTCCCCGGATCTTAATTTGATTGTCTTTTCGACTATTGAAAATGATTGTGCCGTCGGAATTATAACATCCAAGATCGCCAGATTTATAGAATCTGTTCCAATGCTTTGAATCTGGGAGAGGCGCCCATGCAGGAACCGAAGTTGTGGTCGAGATATCTGTACGGCCGATGTCTGCTAAGTATTCGCGAAGGATTGTAGGACCCTGGATAACAATTTCACCCAAAGTGCCAATAGGAGCGAGACGTTGATGGTTATCAGGGCTAACAATCCAACAGAAACCCCCAACAGGCCGACCAATAACGAGGGGAGATTCATTCATAGAAGACCATTCATGAAGAGTGCTAAAACAACAGGTTTCAGCGGGGCCCCAGCCATTAATCAGGCGAACTTTCCCAAACCAGGTGTTAAGCACATCTCTAGAAACTGCTTCACCAGCTAATAATAATAGTTCAAGCTGAGGTATGCCATTAGGATCAATTGATCGTACAAACGACGGTGTCAGATATGCCCAGCTGATATCCATTTTATTTATGAAGTCTTCAAGACCATTTAATCTTGTGTGCTCTGATGGAACGCAAACGCATGCGCCGGAAATCAGTGGCCCAATGATTTCGCCTATAGAGAGGTCAAACACAAAGGCTGCAAATTGTAAAATCCTGACCTTAGGAGTTAGGTTGAGCCTCTTGGCAATATCAATCTGGCTTGTGCAAACGGCGCGGTGTTCCATGACCAGGCCCTTGGGCTGACCAGTACTGCCGGACGTGAAAAGCACATAAGCCGCATGATCCGAGGTAACGGCTACTATTGGGCCACTGTCACTGTTTTCTTCCACAGCTAACGACTCATCCAGTACGGCATCAATTTGGAGAACGGTTTCAACAAGCTTCGAGCATAGATCGATGTTATGCGCCGATGTTAAAGCTAGCGTAGAACCTGTCTGGCCTACTACCTGTCGCAGTCTTTGTTCTGGGTGCGAAGGATCTAAAGGAACCCAAGCAGCGCCGGCTTTATTAATTGCAAGAATAGCAACAAAGTGCCATGCTGACTTTTCAAAACACACGTGGACAAAATCGCTTGGTTTAATGCTATGGGCTTTGACAAGATGATGGGCGAGGCGATTTGCTGACTCATTGAGTTGACTGTATGTGAAGCTGTGATCCCACGCGCAAATGGCCGGAGCTGATGGTTTGAGACGGGCTTGAGCTTCGATGAGTTCATGTACGCAAGCATCTATAATCGTTGGCACCTCGGCGTTGAATTTAAGAGATTGTTCGATATCCCAATCGGACGTAATCGACACATCTTCAAGCAAAATGCTAGGATTCAAGGCAAGCTGAGTGACAATGTGCTTGAACTGATTCGAAAGCGCAACAAGCTCCTGCTCCGCAACAGCAAGTTTATTATAGATAAAAACGAGCTTATCTCCATTTTCATGCAAATGAGCCTGAATAACAAGGGGATAAGTAAAATAGCTCCCTAGTACTTCATCTGCGGCGTCGTCGGATTGTGGGATAAGAAGAGCTTGATTGGCCGCATTGCCATATGATAAAACCTGTTTTGGTTGAATAACAAGAAGGCTGGAGAAATCACAAGCGTCTTTCGCCTCATCGCTCAGTTTAATAATATTTTGCAGGCCGAATTGTTCATACGCAACCATTTCAGACGCCTGGGATTGAATATTCTCGAGAAAAGAAAGCACATTTTGTCTGTCATTAAGCCGAATGCGAATTGGAACAGTAGCAATAACCGGGCCAGGCATCTCTGTTATTCCAACCAGAGGGGCCTGGCGACCTGAAACTGTTGTGCCAAAACAAACATCAGAGGAATCGGAGTGGTGAGAAAGTACAACTGCCCAAGCAGCTCGTAACATCGTAGCTTTCGTAATGTTGGTAGTAGGCTTAGGAATACTCATGTCCAACTCGATATACCCTGTGTTATTCATGCCACTGTTTTGATCAGTGTATGTTAGTCGGCTGGGATAATCAATTCTTTTTGCGTTTTGAAGTTGCCTAGACCAGTATTCACTTGCTGATTGAGAATCAGTGTCTAGAGCATATTGAATAAACCGCGAAAATGGCTCTAGCTGAGCCGCTTGTACGCCTTCGTAGACGGTATGTAAAGCTTTGAATATCAACCGTATAGTCCATCCATCAAAAACGGCATGATGCATAGTCCAGATGAAATGGAATCCATCTTCATGCTCAACCAGCCCATAGTGGCATAGTCGAGAATCATACCCCATCTTTATATGTCGTAAGCTCTTAAGATAATCATTTAGGGGTAAATCGTTCGTTGAATCCCAATGAATATCATCCTTGACAATGATTTGAATAGAAGAACCATCTACATGGATAATTCGACTTCTCAAATTAGGAAACATTTCAACAATCCTTTCCCACGCAGTCTTAAATTCGTTCAACCCTGTTTTGTCAGAAATGCGATAATGAAATCTAGCAATGTAAGAGGATGGACTTTTGGCGGCTAGGGCCATAAGACCTTCTTGAAATTTTGAGCAAGGATATGCGTCTTCAACTACTGTAGTATTGTCAAATAATGTAGTCGCGGAAGTCGAAGACGACTGTGTGAAGAGCGCTTCCATATGACCCTGGGTCAACAGGCTAAACGGTTCAATGGGTTTGATATCATAATCTTTATTGGTCAAACTTTGAGCTTTGGCAGCCACATTGAAAAGTCGAGCGTCATCAAATATTTCCCTTGCATTTAGGCCCAGACCACTCTCGCGAGCAATAGAGACGAGTCGTATGACGGCCATTGAGTCACCTCCGATTTGAAGAAAGTTGTCGTCTCTTCCAATTGATTCAACAGGTATCCTTAAAACATCGGCCCAGAGCCGTTGCAGTGTCTTTTCAACATTCGTCTCTGGAGCACGCTTGTTGCTATCAACAAGCGAGTATTTATTGAGTTGCTCATTGGAAAGCAAAGTGGTGGTGGATATGAGCAACTTCCGATCTAATTTAGTCGATGTTCCTAGCGGCATATAATTGCATGGAATGAAGATTTTAGGGACCATATAAGGGGGAAGAATATCGGCGAGTGTCATAATAAGCTCATGAAACTCAACTATTAGCCGATCTGGTAGAGTAGTGAACAAATCTGCGCTTGCATTATCAGCGGCCATATGCGATGGCAGAGTATCATTGTTGAAACAACAGTAAGCCACTAGATGCGATGTTTCCTCCCTTTTGATAACGTCAACCGCAATTTGACGAACGCCAGGGAGATGAATAGATATCTGGTATTCAATCTCATGGAGCTCTATCCGAAGGCCACGAAGCTTGACTTGGCAATCCTTTCGACCACATATTTCCATCGTGCCATTTGGATTGTAAAAGCCTAAGTCACCGGTTCTGTAGAATCGGTTCCAACATTCTAGCTCGCGATGAGGTGCCCAGCTGGGAAGCGAAGTTAATAGAGCCTCTTCAGTCTTAGATGGATTATCGAAATATTCCCTCATTAATGTTGGTCCTTGGAAGACAATCTCGCCAACACATCCTATGGGGGCGAGCTGTCTGGGGTCATTTGGATCTACAATCCACCAGTGGCCCGTAATAGGTTGTCCAATGGTCATTGGTGAGTCAGCTAGGCTTTCCCACTCGTGAACTGATGCGATAACACAAGTTTCGGTTGGACCCCAGGCATTGAAGAGTCGAAGCCTTCCAAACCACGTCTGAATGATGTCCGACGCTGCAGCTTCACCACCCACAACAAGTATCTCAAGCTGGGGTAATTCTTCTGGTCTTAGGCTGCGCACAACAGTTGGGGTGGCAAATGCAGCCGTTATAGAAGATTTAGACATGTAGCCAACTATATCGTTCATTTGTTCATCCCAAGATGGCATGCACACACAGCCACCAACGAAAAGAGGTGCGAAAATCTCAAACATTGACGCATCAAAGACAAAAGAGGCAAATTGAAGCATTTTTACACTATCCGTAAAGCCAAGGCGGCGGGCAAGAGCCGTCTGTGATGTACATAGTGACCTGTGTTCAATTACAACGCCCTTAGGAATGCCCGTGGTTCCCGACGTAAAAATGATATAAGCAATATCCGTCGTTGATACGCGAACTGCTAGCCGTTGGTCATTTGTCTCTTCTGCAATGAGTTTCTTGTCTAATTCTGAGGAAACCTCAAGTACATTCTGTACTAGGGATATGCATTTTGACGTGGTAGTCTGGGAGGTTAAGATCAACGACGCAGCAGTTTGTGAGATAACTTGCGAATACCTCTGAGTTGGATGAGACGGATCCAGAGGTGACCACGCTGCCCCAGTCTTGTTTATAGCTAGTATAGCCACAATAAACCAAACGGTTTTTTCAAAACAAATATGAATAATTTGACCAACTTTCACATCAAATTTATCCACAAGATGATGGGCTAAGCGATTTGCAGTGCTTTCAAGCTGGCTGTATGTGAGATCCCCATCCCAAGCTAATATAGCAGGAGCATCTGGGCGCATCATTACCTGAGCTTCGATGAGCTCATGAATGCAGGAATCAATGATTTCAGTTTCACATTGGTTAAACTTAATTGCCTTTTTGAGGTCCCATTCCGATGATAGTGCTAGCTCCCGTAAAGGAGTATCACTTAGCGAAGCAAGCTGGCAGAGAGTGTGGCCCAGTTGTTGAACCAGCGCCTCCGCCTGAGAGTCAATCATTGCACTTGCCTTATATGTGATGGTTAATTTGACACTATTATCATATATATTTCCTTGAATGATAAGTGGATAGGTGAAATCTTGAGCAGAATCAACTGATAGATCGGCTTCGATATCTGCGGAGGCCATCGTATCATTATTCGCTTCTTTTGTAGTATACTTTTGTTGAACTGTGAGAAGGCTGGAAAATTGACAAGCTACTCTTGAATCTTCATTCAAATTGGCAATATTTGATAGGCAATACTGTTCATAAGGAATCATCTCCAATGCCTGATCTTGAATTGCACAGAGGAAAGAAGACACAGGTTGATCTCGGTTGAATTGAATCCGAATTGGAACTATGGCAATGAGTGGCTCTGCTATATCCGTTGCACCAGTCATCGTTACCTGGCTTCCAGAAATTGTTGCACCGAAACAGATATCGTCTGTATCACAGTAGCGAGCTAAGATGAGAGCCCATGCAGCTCGGATTAGCATTGTGGTTGTAATACTCGAGGCGAGCATATTGGGTAACTCAACAACTGTATCAACAGTCTTGCTTATCTCTGTTGATATTCCAATGCTGTGATCCATAGAGGGGAATGTTGCCCGCTGGCAGTTTTCTAACTGCATTCTCCAATACCGTTCAGCGTCACAGGATGGAGTAGATCCCGCAAGATGCTGAGAGTTTGCGGCGTGTTCGATGTCCCAGTCTCCAGTGAGAGAGATTGATTCTAAACAAACATCATTATTGAGTTGCTGAATAACATGTTCGATTTGATATGATAGGGTTATAATTTGTTGCTTCTGAAGTATGTTTTGGTTGAACCAAACGCATAGTTCAACACTATCGCCAGCTACCATATAAACAAGAACAAGAGGATAATTAAAGTAAGTCTGCATCGAATCCTCAGTCATTGATCTTTCCGCCTCTCCAGAAAGGAGTATTGTATCATTAGACTCTTCGCTGGAAAACTGCGGAGGTTGGATCACGAGTAAACTTGAAAATTTACAAGCTTCTTTTGCGTCAAGGCTGACATTTGCAATATTGTGTAACCCGAACTGCTCAAAGGGGACCATCGCTGTAGCCTGGTTTTGAACATCTTCAAGAAATTTGGAGACCTTAATTTGACTATCAAGGCGAATACGAACGGGGACAGTAGCAATTGCTAGTCCTGGCATTGCCTCCAGACCGGGCACGGGTGCTTGGCGACCAGATACAGTTGTACCGAAAGTGAAATCGTTACTACCACTGCATCTAGCCAAGACTATTGCCCAAGCAGCACGTAAAATAGATGCCTTAGTGATCGAGGACTTGGGTTTACCAGACAACGGGATTGCTCTTCGGTATACTTGGGTTGAAATGCCATCATTTCCGCCAGAAGAGCAGTTTAGAGGCGGAAATGCGGCTCGTTTGGAACCACGCAGCTCAGTGCTCCAAAACCTAGCCGCAGCGCTATGGTCAAGTGCCAAGTTATATCGAATGAATGCATTATATGGCTGTAAACGAGGCACCTCAACGTTTCGGTATACGGCCTCGAGAGTCTTCAAGATGATCTGTATCGTCCATCCGTCGTATATAGCGTGATGAGCGGACCATATAAAATAATTGGTTTCCGCTTCACAAAGCAACGCGTACCAGCAGAGAGGGGTGCCGTAGGTCATCTCAAGGCCTCTAACTGAATGTATAAGAGAGGAGAGATTTTCTTCTGTTGTTTCTTCCCACTTAGCCGAGTGTTTGACAAGCACCTGAATGGAAGAATCCTTCATAGGTATAATCCTGGTTCGAAGCACCCCGCATAACTCAACTGTCTTAACCCAGGCTTCTCTGAAGCGCGGAATGTCAACGTGGTTGGCTAGTCTATACACGTACTTGGCCACATAAGAACCGGGCTGCTTGGCAGACAGGGCCATTAAGCCTTCTTGCAAAGATGTGCAGGGGAACGCGTCTTCAACAGCGCTTGCGGGGACTTGACATAGCTCTGCTGCGGTTTTTATGGCCATGTCTCGGAAAGCCTTGGGCAGAAGTGAAAACGGCAGTATGGGGTCTTCTATCTCTCGACCACCGTCGATGAGAGTGGCCTTTGAGGCAACTGCAAGCAGTCTGGAATCATCAAAAATATCTTTTACACATATCTCAATACCCTCAGTTCGCGCTTTAGATACTAAATGTATAGCTGAGATGGAATCACCGCCAATCTGTAAGAAATGATCATCTCTTCCTATTGAATCAGCGGAAATGTTTAGAATTGATGCCCAAATGCGTTGGAATTGGCGTTCCATATCTGTTTCCGGAACTCTCTTTTCATTATCAGTCGCAGCAAAAGCTGATAATTGATCATGGCTAAGAAGAGATGTCATCTTGATGAGAGCTTTTCTGTCAAGCTTTGTAGAAGTAATAGAGGGCATGTATCTGCAAATGAGAAATACGGTGGGTATCATATAGCTCGGCAATAGTGTCTTTAGTTGTCCTGCCATGGCAATGAGCAGGAGCTGGATTTCAGCTGTTAGGTGTATAAACAGCTCATCTATACTGCTTTCTGATGTCTTTGGTAAACTTCTGGTTTCATCACTGAAGCAAAGATAAGACACCAAGGTAGAGCCGCCATCAGTGGCTAGAACATCTACGGCGACTTGACGGACGCCTTCCAAGTTCTCACGGATGCGATATTCGACCTCACTAAGCTCCACTCGTAAACCACGGATTTTAACTTGAGTATCTCTTCGACTGCAGAATTCGATTGTGCCATCATGGTTATACATAGCCAAATCGCCTGATTTATAAAATCGCGTCCACTGTGGTGCCTTTTGAATTGCCCACTGAGGGAGTGAGATCTCCATGGCTGAGCTTGTTCGTTCAGGATCGTCAAGGTATTCGCGAAGTAGTGTCGGGCCTTGCAACATAACTTCGCCTACAGTCCCAATAGGAGCTATCTGGTCCTGACAGTCGGGTTCAACAATCCAGCAAAGTGCCCCGACTGGCTTGCCAACATTTAGCGAGGATTCAGTAGCGGACTTCCATTCATGTAATGAACTAAAGACGCATGTTTCAGCCGGACCCCAACCACTGATAAATCTCAGTTTGCCAACCCAAGTATTGAAAATGTCGCGGGGAGTTATCTCGCCGCAAAGAAGAAGTAGCTCGAGACTCGGGACTTCTTCTGGCGTTAATACTCTTACAAATGAGGGAGTAAGATAAGCCCAGTTGACATCCATCTCACGAATAAATCCGGCAATGTCATTCAAGCGAGCTTTCTCTGACGGCACACAGACACAGGCACCTGATATAAGCGGTGCTACTATTTCTCCAATCGAAAGATCGAATACAAATGCAGCAAATTGCAGCATTCGAACATTAGAATGAAGCTTGAGCCTTTTAATAATAGCAGTTTGACTGCTACAAAGGGCCCGGTGCTCCATAACAAGACCCTTTGGTACGCCAGTACTACCAGAAGTAAAGAGCACATATGCTACATTGGCTGGTAACACAGCAGAAACAGGAGAACCTTGCCTGCATGCGCTATCCCGAGATAATTCTTGATCCAGGGATGCCGTTACTTGGATTATTAGCGGCGTAAAGCTGCTGAATAACGCGGCATGGGCTTCCGACGTTAACGCAGCCACGGCATTCGTCTGCTTGATAATCTGACGAAGTCGCTCTGGGGGATGAGAAGGATCAAGAGGGGCCCACGCAGCCCCAGCTTTGTTAATGGCCAGAATAGAAACAAAGAACCAAATTGATTTGTCGAAGCATACATGGATAATTTCGTCAAGCTTGACGGAATGCTCAGCCATCAAGTGGTGCGCCAGCCGATTAGCCGCACGATCCAACTCAGCGTAGGTAAAGCTGCCATCCCAGGCGCAGATGGCCGTAGCATCAGGAGTCCGGGCAGCTTGCATCTCCACTAAAGTGTGGAAGCAGCTCTCAATAGCTTCTGGCATCTCTGAATTGAATATTTCCGACTGCTGAAGATCCCATGACGACGCAACTGTGATGGCGCCAAGATTTAACTCCATGCCCAAGGCCAGCTCTTTGGCAACGTGCTGGAACTGGTGGGATATTGCAACGATTTGTTTTTCGTGGAGAATTTCAGAGTCGTAAATAAGAACCAGCTGTTCAGATTCATTGTTTAAATGTCCTTGAATGACGAGCGGGTAATTGAAATAATTTTGAAGCGCGTATTCGCCCGTTTCTAGAGCTTGATCGGTGGAGATTAGGATTGGATCCTCTCGGCCACCACCTGCGTACTCCAAAGCTTCTTTAGGCTGAATAACGAGCAAACTGGAGAAATCGCAGGCATCGAGCGCATCGGAGCTCAATTTACGAATATTTTGTAAACCATATTGTTCAAATTCCACCATGGTCAGAGCTTTCTCTTGAACACTTTGGAGGAACGAGTGAACTGGCTCTTGGCGATCCAGACGAATTCGAAGAGGAACAGTTGCTATAGTTGGCCCAGGCATATCCGTTATCCCGGGCACTGGGGCTTGTCTTCCGGATATAGTCGTGCCAAAACATATATCGTCGGTATCGCAATATCGCGCAAGAAGAATAGCCCAAGCAGCACGAAGAATACTGGCCTTTGTGATACCTGTTGCGCTGATATCGGGAAGGTCAAGATTTGCTACCAAAGAACGGACGCTCTTGGAGCTTTGCGACCGATTCGTAAGACTTGCATTAGTAGGTGGGAACGAAGCTTTCTCAGCCTTGTAAAGCTGCTCAGTCCAGTACTTGGAAGCAGATTCAGGGTCAATATTCATGGTGTATTGAATGAAGCGAGAATAAGGTGCGAGAGATTTAGCCTCTAGTCCATGGAACACTTTATGCAAGGTATCGAAAAATACTCGCATCGACCAGCCATCAAAAATTGCGTGATGCATTGTCAAAATAAAGTACGTTTCCTCTTTATTCTCTTGTATCAACGCATACCGACAAAGCTGAGATCCGTAAGCGGCCTGGACCGCTCGGGTAGATTGCAAATAAGACGCCAGAGTCATATCTTTTGTATCATCCCATTCATCGCCAGTAAGAAGCACTTGAATGGAAGAGCCAGCCAGATGGATGATTCTAGTTCTAAGAATGCCACATAATTGAACAGTTTTCTCCCATGCATTTCGGAACTTGTGAATATTAACTTGCTCTGATAGACGATACTGAAAGCTTGTGATGTAGCTACCCGGCTGCTTTACAGCTAAAGCTAAAAGGCCTTCCTGCAAGCTGCTACACGGATAAGCATCTTCAATTTCCATCTTGTCGGATAAATCTAGCTTCAATTTCATCTCAGGAGCCAAGATGTACGTTCTTTCATGTTCTTCTAGCAGCTCAAATGGTTTAATTGAGCTTGTCTTTTCCGAGAATACTTCAATACATCGGGCCTTGCTGGCTATGGCGAGTAACCGAGGGTCATTAAAGATATCACCGATGAGAAGCTCAATTCCACGACCTCGAGCTACAGCAATTAGGCGTATAGCTGCAATAGAGTCGCCGCCAATCTTTAAAAAGCTATCATCGCGACCGATAGATTGAGGGGGCATATTTAGAATTTCTGCCCAAATGTGCTGTAAACGCAGCTCCATATCAGTCTCCGGTTGAACCTTAATTCCATGAGCTAGCGAATATAATTCGAATTGCGCTTGATCGAGAGAGGCAACAAGTTGGATCAACATCTTCCTATCCATTTTGGAAGATGTCGCCAGCGGCATGGCTTTGCAAGGAATGAAAAGCGTCGGCACCATGTAGGTCGGCAAAACAACATTCAACCGTCCGATTAAGGTGTTGATACTGTCCTTTAGTTGTGGCGTTAACTCCAAAACAATATCTTGTATGGTCCTATCCTTTATGCCGACTGGAAGAGTATCATCGCTGAAGCAAATGAAGGCTGCTAAGACTGTCCTGGCGTCACGCTTCAATACATCAACAGCAACTTGGGAGACATTGTCCATGGCATTGCTGATGTGGTATTCAATATCACCTAATTCCATGCGTAGGCCTCTGACTTTTACCTGATTATCTTTTCGAGAGGAATACCTAATGGTGCCATCCGCATTATACACTGCCAAATCGCCAGTTTTATAGAACCGACCCCATCGATCGCGGTCAGGTACCCATTCTGGAAGCGAAGTAACTACAGCAGAAGCTGTTTTGTCCTGATCCGAGAGGTATTCCCGTAATAACGCTGGTCCCTGGATTACGATTTCGCCAAGGGTACCTATTGGCGCCAGCTTCTGGGGGTCCTTGGGGTCTACAATCCAGCAGCAGTAGGCAGCTAGAGGCCGGCCGATCGTAAGATGGGACTCGTTTATAGATTCCCATTCATGAATTGCAGCAATGACAGTGGATTCAGTAGGACCCCAGCCATTGAAGAGTCGCAATTTTCCGAACCATTTCTCGAATACGTCTCTGCCAACTGCCTCTCCAATAAGAATAAGAGTTTCAAGGCAAGGAACATCTTCAGGGGCAACAGTTCTAGCAAGCGATGGGGTTAAGAGAGAGCATGTAACTTTAGCATGTCGTATATAGGCTGCAAGTGAGTTCATTTGCGAATCCCATGAGGGAACACAAACACAGCCACCGGCCAAGAGAGTCGCCACGATTTCACCAACTGAGGCATCAAACACATAGGAAGTAAACTGAAGCATTCGCGTGTTGGCATTAAGGTCAAGCCTATTGCGAAGCGCAATTTGACTGCTGCTTAGAGAATCATGCTGAATAACCACGCCCTTCGGTAGGCCAGTAGATCCAGAAGTAAATATAATGTAAGCAACATCTTGAGGGCTAACAGCCACAGCCAATTGGGTCTCGTTGGATTGATTTGAGGCAAGCTCTCTGTTTAGATCTGGTGTTATTTCAAGGATATTCGACACTAGATCAATGCATTTTGAACTATTAGTAGGTGAACAAAGTGCCAGACGTGCTCCTGCCTGACGGGCAATCTGTCGATGGCGTTCTGTTGGATGAGATGGATCGATCGGCACCCAAGCGGCGCCGCTCTTGTTAATGGCTAGAGTTGTAATAATAAACCAGGAAGATTTGTCAAAGCATACAATGATAAGATCGCCCACTTGTACGCCATTATTCCTAACGAGATGATTGGCCAATCTATCGGCAGCGTCATTCATTTCAGAATAAGTAAATTCTCCATCCCAGCCACAAATAGCAATCGACTCGGGATGCATTTGTGCACGCTGTTCAATGAGGTGGTGGATGCATTGATTAACTGCAAAAGGCTCATCACATTTAGCGGAACGGGCAAAATTTATATCCCAGTCGCCTGTCAAAGATACATGACCCAGGCCATTCCAATCCATGGCCTGCTGCAAATCCCAAGGCCCCGCTATAGACACGTTGCGAAGCAGCTTCTCTTCATTATAAGATATAAGTTGCTGGATCAAGTGGTCAAATTGATTACACAGTGCCTGCACTTGGAGTTCTGATATAACACCCTTATCGTATACGAATTCCAAGTCAACGGTATCATCATCCAAATGGCATTGAACAACAAGCGGGTAGCTGAAATAGTCTGTCATTGATTGCCATGCCAAACGTTGTTCTGCTCTGGTAGAGACAAGGATAGTCCCTTCTTGATCGGCCTGACTTATTAGTTCTTTTGGCTGAATGACTAACAGGCTGGAAAAGTTACAGGCGTCTTTAGCATCCGGGCTAATCTTGGCTATGTTCTGTAAGCCGAACTGCTCATGTGCTGCCATATCGGTGGACTGCTTTTGAATATCGCGAAGGAACTCTGACAAAACTTGGTCTGGATCCAGACGAACTCGAATAGGAAGCGTTGAAATAACCAACCCAACGACGTTTTCCATACCAAGCGTATTGCGGCCAGAAACAGAGGCACCAAAACAAATATCATCTGTGTCGCAGTATCGTGCAAGAAGCATGGCCCAGGTAGCTCGAAGGTATGTTGCTTTGGTGATAGAACTGCCTGCCATTGGTGAAAGATTGATTTCTCTGGATGAAACACCCATATTCATCTCAGATGTAGTAATAGTAATGCCATCCATTTGTAGAGGAAATAAAGCTCGTCTGGCACCTGCTAATTGCGTTTTCCAATAGGTTTCCGAGGTCTTCGAGTCGAGCTGAAGTGCATACTTCACAAATCTAGAGTATGAGTCTAATTTTGGCGCGTTATTGCCGTGATAAATTGCGCTAAATGTACGAATCATAAGAGCCAATGACCAGCCATCAAATATAGAATGATGCATAATGGATACAAAATATTGGTCGCCGTTGGTATCCTGAACAAGTGCAAAACGTGAGAGCCGTGTTCCATAGGTCATATGGATATCATTTGCACGCTTTAAGAAGGCACCCATGTTCAAGCCATCTGTATCTTCCCATTGCGCAACCTCTTTAATAATTATTTGAATTGATGATGTATCACCCAAAGATATAATTCTTGTGCGTAAGTTGCTGGAAAGAGCAACAGTACGCTCCCAAGAAATCTTCAATCGATCAATATCAACATTTTCAGAGATTTTAAACACCATTTTGGCAATATAAGCACCTCTTTGCTTGGCGGTAATGGCCATGAGCCCTTCTTGTAATGCTGTACAGGGGAGCGCATCTTCTATCATATCCCAACTTGCTAGATCGCACTGACTGAGGAGTTCCTCTTTAATATCGGCATCCATCTGGCCAAGCTCGAGTAAGCTGAAAGGTGGAATTCCGGAAACTGAATCTGACTCTGCGTTTGCTTTATCTGCCACAGCAGCCACTTTCCAGAGTCGTGGGTCATTGAAGACATCTTCGGCGGTAAGCGACATTCCTGCTTGGCGGGCTTCAGCAACGAAATGGATCACGGCAATAGAATCGCCTCCTAGTTCTAAGAAACCATCGTCTCTTCCAATAGATTCAATCGGTATATTGAGTCTTTTAGCCCAAATCGCTTGCAATCTACTCTCCATTGCGGTTTCTGGCGCGTTCTTGATGGATTCGACCAATGAATAAGTGCGAAGGCTTTCGGGATCTAGAAGTTCAACTAGGCGCTTCAACATTCGCCTATTTAGTTTTGTAGAAGATACTGATGGCATATATCGGCAATGGATGAAGAATAACGGTATCATATACCGCGGAAGCCTCACAGACAGCCGTCCAATAGTAGAAGCAATTTGACTTTTCAACTCATTCGTAAGGGGAAGAAAAATTTCATTGACTGCCTCTTCAATAATACTACTTGGTGCCATTATTTTTGTTTCGTTACTAAAACAAAAGAAGGCAATCAAGCTGGAACCGGCCTCTGTAGTGATCTTGTCCACCATAATTTGATTGACTCCTTCAAAATTAGTTTTAAGCTGGTACTCTGTTTCGCCTAACTCAACACGAAGGCCTCGAATTTTTATTTGTGTATCTTTTCGCGAGACGAATTCAATGGTTCCGTCTGGATTGTATTTGCCCAAATCGCCAGTTTTATAAAACCGACTCCAACAGTCGAAATTGCGCTTCGGGACCCAATCAGGCAGTGACCTCATTATAGCTGCTTCGGTCTTTGCAGAATCCGATAAATATTCCTTTAAAATTGTCGGACCTTGGATGATAATTTCACCTACGGCCCCAATAGGTGCTAGGCGATTTGAATCATCAACGATCCAGCAAAAGCCACCAACAGACTTTCCAATTGTTGATGGCGATTCTCCAAGAGATGCCCACTCATGCAATGTGCTAAATACACAAGTTTCGGCAGGGCCCCACCCGTTAATAAGGCGAACTTTTCCAAACCATGTCTCTAATATATCCCGGCCAACCACCTCACCGGCAAGAAGCAATACTTCAAGGCCCGGGATCGTATCTGGATTTAATGTGCGCGAGAAGGAAGGGGTTGAATATATCCAATTAATATTCATAGTGCGAATATAATCAGCCAATCCGTTTATTCTAGTCTCTTCAGACGGCACATAAATGCAGGCCCGAGCAATCCAGGGGCCCAATATTTCCCCAATTGACAAATCGAAAACAAACGATGCAAACTGGAGCATTCTAGCATCACGTGTCATGCCAAGTCTCTTAACAATGGCAGTCTGACTCGTGCAAGCAGCCCTGTGCTGCATGACCAAGCTCTTCGGTGTTCCAGTGCTTCCAGAAGTGAAGAGAACATAAGCTACAGCATCCGGGGAAACCAAGTTTAGATTTTGGCTATCTTGCTTTCTCGATTTCAGCATCTCGTCAAGGGCGGAAGAAACTTCAAGAACATGTTCGACCAAGCCATAACATACTCTAATATTGTTAGGGGAAGTTAATAACAGCTTTGCCTTTGTCTGTGATACAATCTGCTGCTGGCGCTTTATCGGGTGTGAAGGGTCTAAGGGAGCCCATGCAGCTCCGGTTTTGTTGATTGCCAATACGGAGACAAAAAACCAGACAGTCTTTTCGAAGCAAACGTGAATCAAATCATTCGGTTTAACTGCGAAATCATGGAAAAGATAGCTTGCTAACCTATTAGCAGCAATATTAAGCTGACCGTAAGTGAGCTTCATGTCCCACGCACAGATAGCCATTGCGTCCGGATGTTCTCGAGCATGTTCTTCAATAATCTGGTGAATGCAAGAATTGATGATGTCTGGCTCTTCACTGTTATACTCTATGGCGCGCTGAATGTCCCACATGCCGGAGGCTGTTATAGTTTTCAATGAAATATCTTCCAGGCTGAGAAGTTGTTGGGTAACATGTTCGAAGTGATATCCTAATGCTTCTATTTGACCATGAGTCATAATGTTATCATAGTATGTAAATTGCAGATCGATGAAACCATCTCCTATCCAAGCCTGCAGAACTAATGGATAGTTAAAGTAGTTTTTCATAGCTTCTTCAGATATTGCCTTTTCTTTCGGGCCTTGTTGAAGAATTGCATCGAATGCAGAGTAGGCAGTTGAAGAGAGGTGCTGAATGGGCTGAATGACTAGCAAATTAGCAAAATCGCAAGCCTCTTTCGCATTTTGGCCAAGTTTAGCGATATTTTGAAGCCCAAATTGCTCGTGTGCGACCATTTCTGCGGCATGAGATTGTACCTGCTGAAGGAACTCTGACACAAGCATTTCTCGGTCAATTTTAACGCGCACGGGAACTGATGCTATCATTGGCCCAGGAATATTATCCAATTCTGGAACCGGGGCCTGTCTACCAGATAAAGTCATGCCGAAGCATACATCATCAGAAATACAGTACTGGGAGAGAACCAGAGCCCAAGCAGCGCGAATTATAGTTGCTGCTGTGATTGATGCCTTAGTGTTTTGGAATGGCATAGATCGCCGGAAAACACGATCCTGAGATTTCACAGATAGAGAAGCATCGGGAAAGTGAGATCGTTGTGCTCCATCCATTTCCTTCTTCCAGTACTGATTTGAAGCCTTGGAGTCGAGCGACTTGATGTACCGAATAAAATTTGAGTAAGGTGATAGGGCAAGCTCAGCGCTGTTATAAAATTTGTGGAGAGAATCAAGAACAATTTTCATGCTAAGGCCGTCGAACACTGCGTGGTGAACAATCCAGATGAAATAAATTTCACCGTCATCCTGGTACAGCAATGTATATCGACTAAGGCGGTCTCCATAACTCATGGAAATATTTCGTGTGGTACTCAAATACGTATCGACATCAAAACTAGACACAGGGTGCTCCCATGAGTCATCAGTCGCGATTACAGCTTGTAAAGCTTGCGAATTGAGCAGAACTATTCTCGACCGTAGACTGTCGCATTGTTTTACGGCTTTGTTCCAAGAAGCCACAAAACGCTCAATATCGACATGCGGCTCTAGCCTGTAAACCTGACGATGTATATAACTTCCAGGCTGTTTAAGACCCAAGGCTAAGAACCCTTCTTGAAGTGGTGTACATGGGTAAATATCCTCGATACTGTCAGCCTGCAGTCCGCACTGCTTTTGAACATCGTTCTTGAAGCCCTCCATGCTATCCTCTGGGATCAAACTAAACGGTACAACGTTTCCTATCGTTTCAGTCTCAACAATGCTGGCAATCGCGGCCATCTGCCCAAGCTCAGGGTTTTGGATGACATCTACTGGTGACAAGCGTATTCCATGTCTATAGGCAGCTGTGACAAGTTCAATTGTTGTCAAGGAGTCGCCACCAAGGAAGAAGAAGTTATGTTGCCTTCCAATATCTGCCATGGGAATTTGAAGCACGTTGCGAAGGATGTCGGCCCAAAGAGCACGTAAGACTAGCTCTAATTCGGTCTTTAGTAATTCGCCAGCCGAGTTATCTGAAGGTACCATAGATGCTGCTTCCGAAATTATTCGACTGCGTTTATCCCTTGGCGAAAGCACCACGCTGCTGGCAACTGATATACCTCCCTTGTTATAGTCAATGTAATTCCACGGATACTGGGGTAACCCTGAAATTGCCTTTCCAGTGAATAATCGATCAAGCTTCAAGTCCACAGACGTCTGCCACAGTCGCCCAATTGCAGATAGGAAGCTGGCCTGACAATTATTTCTTCTGGATTGGGAGCAAACATAGTTGCAAGGTACACTAAGAGTGGTACAAATTTGGGAGAGGGCGCTAGAGAGGGTAGAATGAGGTCCAATTTCGAGGAAAAGGCTATTCTTAGGAACAATATCGAGAAGAGATTCGACAGCAGAGGAGAAACGAACAGGTGAAGTTATGTTAGTCACCCAGTACTTAGGGGCAATTGCAGCGTCAACAATTCCGTTAGTGACGCTCGACATAAGAACAGCCTGTCGCTTTGTCTGCTCTGTAAAGGTAATTTGTTCAGCCTCCAGCAATGCCAGAAATTTGCCGGAGATCAATTCCATATGCTGTGAGTGGAATGCCGTATTAACCTGCAGCTTCCGCGTAGTAACTTGCGGTTTAGACTTCTGGATTGAAGCAATAACTTCTTCCAGAACGCCGCGGTCTCCAGAAATCGTCGTGCTGGCGGGGCTATTTTCGCAGGCCACGACAACGCCGGGGAGCAAGAACTGGGCCGTCTCTTCTGCACCAAGGCCAGTGACTGCCATAGCCCCGTCACATGTACTCATTGCAGCAACATAGCCATAATAATAGGAAATAATAACTGCCTCTTCGAAAGTCAGAAAGCCAGCAGCGTATGCGGAGGCAATTTCGCCGCTAGAGTGTCCAACAACGGCATCTGGCTTCACCCCCACTCGTTCAAATTGACGAAGAAGCCCAATTTGCAGAGCGGTAGACAACATGCAAGCAATTTCCACGGAATTGATCTGACAAAGAGGATCGTCATCTGTTCTCTGCATCTCCTCTTCAATAGTCCAAGAAGGCGGGTGTTTCAATTCTCGCAATACCATATCCATACGTTGTATGTCGTTTCTAAATTCACCAAGCTGGAGAAGTTCCTTTCCCATACCTGCCCACTGGGCTCCTTGGCCACTGAACACCATCAGAATGGATGGGGACATTACAGGGCTATCTATATGATTCATAGCACTTATAATCTTGCCGTCGGTCCCAAGGATTGAGAACGCACGATACTTCGAAGCTTCTCGGCGAATAGCTCGAGTGTAGGCGATATCAGAAATGAGGTTTTGGTGAGCCTTCGCGTAATCATGATAGAGTTTTATTTGCTCATTCAAAGAAATGATGTTGTTTGCAGAAAACAACATCAGCTCTAGTGCCTTATCACCATCTCTCGACTGAGCAGCTTCTTCAGGCGCTTTGTCTTGGCAGTGTGAATCAATAATGACATGAGCACCGAGGCCAGAAGCCCCGAGATGGTTGACACTTGCTCGTTTATCTCGACCAGATGGAAACGCAATTGACTTTGTCAACGCCGTAAGCTTAGGTAGATAACCTGCCCGCTCACTTGGGCAGCTATCCTCAGGGACAGGCATCAAATGCCGTCTTTCTTTCATATCACCCATATCACCAATGACAGAATGCAAGATCGTTTGATGCTCCAGAGAAGCCATCGCTTTCATTAAGCTTATAAGGCCCGAGGCGCTTCTGAAATCTCCCATTGCGCCTTGAGAGGAGCAGATGTAACTGCCGCTGTGACCAAAGACGTTTTGAAGGGCTAAATATTCGATCTCATTGCTAACGAAATTAGAATCCAAAAGAGACTGCGCCTGTTAGCTTTCTGAATTTTTTTTTCTTTGTACCGAGTAAATTGTGATTAATGCGTATTAGCAGCTTACCTCAATATATACGGTGTCTCGGGGATTCAACTGAGCAATGTCGTATGCCTCATGGACCATTGTCTCATGAGCACGTATCCGAGAGCTCGCAGCTTTTTTATAGCCCTTGTCATCGCATACACTTGTACCACGGATAATAGCTTGAACCGGATTCCCATCGCGAAGCGCGTAACGCAATGGCTTGATGAATACTGCAGCAATAGCTTCTCTTTCAAGTGTATTCGCGGGATTGGTCGAAGCTGCGGCTAGGTTAATGCCCGCCACAAGAGCAGCTTTGGCATTTCCATTCTTGATATCATTGCACGCTTTGTGAAGCGCTAGTAGCGAAGCGGAATGTTCTATGCTCTCTATCGTCTCACTGGCAAACAACTGTAGTTAGCGTCCAATGTTCATAGCAGCAAAATTAAATAGTTTCATCAAAAACATTCATGAAGATTATTACCTTGGTCCTTGAAAATCGTATTGCTGAGATATACGCTTTGATGTGGAAAGATTATTGGCGCCGTTCGTGGCGTCGTTATGGGGAGGCATAGCCACATAGCAAGCTACAGCAGCAATGCTGCCACGGTAGTTGGTCTCACATGCGTCTTCCAGACATTCGTGCGTAATTTCAAGTAGTTTATGATGATATGGATCGCACTCAATCGATGTATCCTTTGCCGTAGAGAAGAAAGCTGCATCGGACGACCTGAGGTCTTCACTTAAGAATCGCTCGCGCGTGACGTGACCAGCTGTAGGTTGGCCTTTTTGCTGGGATTCTTGATCAAAAGTTCGGCTACCTAGATCAATGATCATTGAGTTCCAAAATGCTTCGGTATTTCGTATGCCCTCAGGAAGGCGAATACCAACACCGCAAATGGCAATATGGGACCGATTTCCAGCGTCATCATTTTGGCCCTTGGATCCGTCAACAGAGCCGGTGAGGCCCTTTGTAGCCTCTCCGTCCGCAACTAGGGCAGGCATGGCAAATTCTATAATTACGTTTGATAAATCAGTAATAAAGAATGTCTAGAAATGGCATAGATATTAATCTACGCAGTCAAGATGAGTTGAGCTGTAAAATGAAAGAAGACAAAAAAAAGTCGAAGATCGAATGGCTGCTAATATGAATATGACCAGTACCCGGTTTACAGCTACGACTAATACAGGATACCAGTATTATTGTTCAGAATGAGACACAGTCATAGCCAACGGTAACATCAGCTTTAATGGCAATTACGTTTATGTCTCACTAGGCTGGCTCCCTACCGCCAGCGCGTATGCAGGCGCACAGCCGCGGGTTAGTCCGTAGCCTCTAATCTCCTGAGAGTAGTTATTTTCTCATGGTGGATAATAGCAGCTAGATTTTTGAGATTTATGCTGCATTATTAGTTAGCAGCTAATAATTTAGGGGTAGCTAAGATGCGGTCAGATAAAATGCCCACTTTGCAGCTCCCGTACTTGATATATATGTTTGCTCTATGCACAAAAGTGCTGTATATACGAGATTATTTTATATACGATATTAGCGTGTGAGCACGTAAGCAGGTGTGAAAAATATTATAAGATGTAAAATATTTCATGAGAATACCTATGTTGCGAATATTAACTTTTTAATAAATACTATCAATGTCTTTACATTGTCGCCATTATCGAGATGCACCAACAAAAAGCGCAGCGAGCATCGCTGGAGAAAAAGTAGTAAAAAGGCAATCCAATATACAAGAGGTAGAGTATGAAGAGTACTCAAGACGCCATAAACCGAGAAAAAAAAAAAAAAAAAAAGGGGGAAGTGGATGCCATCTCCTCGTCATTTGTCTCTTGATTCCCTCCCTTGCTTTGCGGTATGATGTCAGTTATCAGGGGAGAGTAGAGAGTAGAACCCGCGAAATGAAAATACACACATTAGGAGAAATAGGAACACTCGAGTAAATAGAGTTATCTGATGGGTTAAATAAAGATAATAGTGGCGGTAAAAAGTATTATTACAACAGCGTGAGCAATTATAGAGCTATGTGCTTATAGCTATATGCTTCCCCATCTTTTTGCTCTCCGCTTGGCTAGCAGGTAGGCATATAGAGTGGATCAAAAGGCCAAGCGTAATTGAAGCCAACAGTAAAACGAGGCTGAGATGAGTGTCAAGTAGATATCCTTGCATACGTGACATCTAGGATGTCAATTACAGCCTCTGCAATCGTCAAGGGGCAGCAATATAACACGAATACGGCTGTCCCGTGAAGCCAGCCTAATTTTTAAGCTCGGTCTACGATTGCTCACTCAGGACAGCAAAAAGGGCATGTGTGAGGAATACTACTGTTTTCAGGGGAAATCAAAGCTCTTATAGGTAAGTAAATAATATAAATTCACACCGCACATGCGTATCATCCATGTAGCATCTCATGCGACGTACTTTGATGTTTACCACATATAGTTTTAGAAGTAGAAACTGTAGACATGTATCTGTAGTACACAAATACGGCCGATAAGTATCCAGGTAGCAAATCTATTATGTGATTTGGTTAGGTACTTATCTAGTAAACGTGTTTCGAACAGAGGTAGGTTCTGATGCAGAACCAAGAAAAGATATTCACGTTACCTAACGACGACTGCTTCTTCTGCCCAGACAGTCAGATACCATGATAGGCTGTCGATCGGTCCGTTCCATGGCCATTTAATCAGAAATTAATTACTCATATCGTGTCTCTAAGTCGCCGCAAGTCTCATCGTTTCCGGCCAATAGCATCAAGTGGTTATCGCGCCTTCTTGGCAAGCTACGCCTTTATCCACATATTCGCCAAGGCTTACGTGATTCATTTCCGCGCAAAACCGACGCGGTTGTTACCCTGCATAAGCTACTACGCACTTCGTGTCAGAGGTAGGCTTCAAGCCAGCCACATTCGTCTTGTACTTTTGATTTGTCTTCCTCCTTGCGATTCAACTCTCAGCTTGCCTAACTTTGCTAACCAGTCCCTTGTTTCTTGAACTACCCATTACCCTTGATTTTCCATCAGTGCGATCTTCCCTATACAGCGAATTCAACGAGCTGAAACATAACCCTTGCTTGCATTTCAGCAGATACATCACCAGTGCACACCATTAAGATAATAATCTCGGCTTATCATACTCTAACCGAGCTCTTCATTAATATTAGTAGTATTTTATGAGGTAGTGCAATGATTTACATTCGTTGCACCTCAACGGGGATGATTGTGTATAAGAGGGTGGAAGAGCTGGCGTCTCATCTAAAAGCAGACTTAGATATCTGTTGGCAAGGTTGTGACATTCGTCTTTTATCTCTCATATTAGTAATGAAAATTTCGTATTTTTGGAAGTGAGCTCAAACCGTCTTGACGTGAATGCCACAGCCTACGACCAACAATGCTGTATTCTTTCTTATTGCATGTATATTGTCCACTGAGTATAGCCAGGAACGAATATCCGTTGTGTTCAAGTTATCTTGTAATATTAACTAGACCAGAAGGCGTCGGGTAAGAGAATTGGGCCTACACAAGGTGACACAGGCTCCATCCGCAGCGCTTCCTCTGCTTGTTATAGTATGTGGCGTCGGGAAGTTTCACGGAATAAGAGAGATGAAGGATTATTCACACCATATCCTGAGCGATCCATCTCATGAATTTACTAGTTTTGCGATACTTGTTGTAAGCTAGGCCATCTGACAGAAGAGTATCTGAGACGAGGGCCTCTCTTGCTCCAGATCTGCGCGTCGTGATCAGAATTTGAGACCTGCAGTAGCGCAATCGAAGGGCCAACTAGACGATTTTATGCAGTGATGTAGTAGAAAAGCGCGGGCACGTGATAGCGCGATTACACTCGCAGATGAATTATGTTCCATGTTGAGATTACCATCATCATGCAGTATGTCTTAGAGAGAAGGATTGAGGCCCATAGTTTATCACAAGGCCACACGGTGCTACCCTACAATTTATGGGAATTCAAAAAATATGCAAACGAATATACGTTCGCTAACTACCTACGAAAGACCTGATGTGAGAGCTCTATAAACTGGTCATATCTCGTCAAAAACTGAAAGAGTCATTCTTATACATATTTAAAAGGCTAGAAATACGATGATACCCACATATATTTGAGAAGTTCAATGGACCCAATTACTGTCTTTCTCAATTCAACTATTCTATTCTTAACTTCTGGGTAGTATATCGTGAGTATTGCTAGTCGAAGAGTTGCTTTTCTCGCAACAGAATGCCTGTTTGGAAAGATGTCAGGCACATTTGCTCTGCTACGAATGATTTTTTGCACCTGCTCCCTGGCATGTACGTACGAACTGGATGCGGATAATGCCTTGCAGACTTCCATGTAGCTTCTGTGTATTGTGTAAAAAAATTTTGAGCGCCAGCGTAATATGCGCTTAATTATTGGTATGCTAGTAGTTTATGGTTTAGAGTATTAGAGCTGATAAATAAGTCCTTCATGGAAAGTCCTGTCTGTGCTTGTATAGCTGGTCTATCCGTATAGTTTTAGCAGCGAAAAGGTATGCGAAAAGGTATGGTTTCCATCAATAGCAAGCTTCTTGGAAAGCAGACCCGCTTGTTTTCGCAAAGCCGTCCACACACACATCAAGAATGTGGATGTTTCCTAATTAGTCGAATTCCGCTCCGCCAACTATGGAGAACAAAACTCCGCGGTGAAAAATGCCATTAGTGGCAAGTGCCGAGGCTCGGTCTATCTTCAAAGGTATTTGATATAAATTGTATGGTGGCCAAAGAAAAAAAAACAAGCAAACAGAAAACATTTATTCTACTCATTCACATGGGAGTCTGTGAGCAAAGCAACTACAACATGTCTACAACCATGCGAGCTTGGCAAATTGCCACCCCAGGGCCTCTAGAAGATGTGTTAAAACTTGTCGATCACGCAGAGCAGCCTTCTGTACCCCTTCAACGAGGACAGATTCTTGTTCAAGTCCTCAGTGCTGGCCTCAATCCTGCGGACTATAAAATGGTGGAGATGGGATTCGCATCCAAGGCGATTACATCATTTCCTAAAACTTCAGGAATGGACCTCAGTGGCCGAGTTGTCGCTGTAGCAGATGATGTAGCAGATGTCAAAGTCAAAGACGCTGTGATGGTGCGCCTGGACCCTAGAAAAGCACAAGGCTCGCTGTCTCAATACGTTATCGCCGAATACAATGGTTACGCTGTCTTGCCAGCTGATTTCGATCTGGATCTCGCCGCAGGCGCACCGACAACCGCTTTGACAGCATACCAGACTATAAAGCCTTATGTCCAAGCCGGCGCCAAAGTCTTTATTAACGGTGGATCGGGAGGTGCGGGTACCTGTGGCATTCAAATCGCAAAAGCCCTTGGTTGCCATGTGACTACTTCTTGTTCTACTGCGAAACGAGAGCTCTGTGAGCGGCTAGGAGCAGATGAGATCATCGATTACAAGGCTGGCGACATTGTTACACAGTTAAAGCAGAAGGAGATCACCTTTGATCTGATCGTCGATAACGTCGGCTCATCCCTTCCAGACCTCTACCAAGAGTCTCGTCACTACCTTAAACCGGAGGGGGCCTTTGTTCTCGTCGGAGGATCTGCATCTCTGAGCAGTATTAAGAACGTCATGAAGGCCAAATTTACGCCTTCATTTTTGGGTGGAGGTAAAGGCAAATTCATAACTTACATAACGGAAAATAACCACGACGACTTAGCTCAAATAACAAAGTGGTTAGGCGAGGGAGTGATCAAGACTATCATTGACTCAACGTTTGAGTTTGAAGAGGCCCTGGAGGCCTACAAACACCTTAAAAAGGGCTCAGCCGGTGGAAAAATCATTGTTCATGTCGCCAGCAAGGCATAGATTATTGCTTGCCACAGCACTATAGTTGTCCGGCGCGATTGAACTTTTCCGACATTGGAGCAGACACCGATGTCTACAAGCTACACCATGAAACGATTAGCTACCATTTGAAGCACAACTTCTATGAATAAAAAGTCCAATGGAATTGGCATGATACCCTTCAACATCAAAATTGCAAAAGGTATTTCACAGCTTTTGGAAAAAGCCTGGAATGGGCTACAGAATTGGTTTATTTCATTTTACACAAACAAAAAAAAAAGGGTTTCGGGGTGAGTGTGTAACGTAAAAAGCTTTTAGACTATAATCACCGTTCTAATTGTTTCACAAACGTTTCTCCTCTACCATAATACAAGTTATATGTGAAAAGTTGAGCTTTTGATCTCAGCGTCAATCGACTCCCCAAAAGTACCTTCGTAGCCGTTTTCCTCGAGATAGGCACGGAATCGCGCGTCTTCGCTCTCAAGGTCCTTCTCCTTATCAGGAACCAGGAACCATGTAAGAAGACAGCCAACCATGGCAAAGGCAGCTCCGATAAGAAAGACCCCCTGAACGCCCTTTTGGGGATCGGAGAAAGAGTTTTGGATGGGGGTGAAAACTTGTGTGCCTATGGCAGCTCCAGCTTTACCAACGGCAGCGGCAAAGCCTAAGAAATGGCCTCGCACCGGAGTAGGAAACGATTCAGCACCACAAAGAAAGGTACCAACCTAGGCATAGTTAGATTTATGGCTGCTCTTAATAAGAATTCAGGAGAAGAAAAGCTTATACGTACGCCAGGACCCATTTCTCCCAAAGTGTTGAAAATGCCATACAGGACAACAAAGAGCGGGAAAACGCTGGTGATGGGATTGAGAGCGCCTCCAATGATGAATGCCAGGATAGACCACAAGAAGAATCCCAGTGCCATGGTCTGCTTGCGGCCAATCTTATCCATGAGAAGACCACCGATGAGGGTTCCGGGAAGGTAAAAGCAGTTGAGAACAGTGCCGAAGCCAATGTTTTGGACAAGAGTGTTGTTGGGGTTCAACGTCCCAATGATGGTTGAACCAAAGATACCAAAAGGATAAGTCTGTCCAACAGAGACATTTAGTTACTGAGATCTATCTCTTTTAGAGAAGTAAAGCAACACTTACAACAAAGTCATACATGAACCACGCCAGCGAAGTTCCAAGCATGGGTTTCCAATAGCGCTTGATCACCAACCAGTACGGAATGTCCGACTTTATAGCGTGTTTTCGGTACTGAGTTGAATTGATCAAGCGAAGACGGAAGAACAAAAGTCCCACTGGGAGGACGAAGCCAAGGCCGAATGAGACGCGCCATACGCCATCGTTAATATGTTGATGATATGCAGCTAGAACAATGAGTACAATGACGCCGGCCATAACGAAGCCGAGATCGATAGCGAAATCTGTAGCTACAGCAACAAGCATGCCGCGACGGCGTCTTACAAAGGCAGTTTCATCTGAGGCTTCAGCACTGCCAGTACCACAAGTTGGATATTCTCCTACCAGTTCCCCAACTCTCATTAGTGGCCGCTCAACATTTGTATATACGCGTGCGCAGCGTGACACTCACCTCCAGCACCAAAACCCGCAACTCCACGGCCTATGATCATCATCCAGAACATGCTGGTGGGAGAGTTTCCGTGGGCCGCAGTAGCCAGCACAATTCCTATGATGAGGAACAAGGTCGCAAAAACGATGCCCGTCCGACGACCCAGCCTGTCGATTCCCCATCCGAAAAACAGCATTCCAAACACTTCGCCGATGAGAAAAGCATTGGAAAGTCTGGTCTTGATAGTGGGAGTGAATGCATCGGGATATAGCTCTGCGAAAAGAGGGTTCATGTATCCAATGACCTGCGCATTGTAGCCGTCTGAAAATAGAGCTAAGCCACCGACGAGAACCATGAAGATTGACGAGATGCGACTGATACGTGAAAGAGTGCTTGGCTGAGCGATGGCATCTTTGCTAGTGTCATTGCTTGGGTGAAGAATTGGCGAAACGGTCACTTCGTCGACCTCTGACTTCTTGGAGTCCATCTTGGCGAAGTTCTTGCCAGCAGCTTGGCTATGACCTTTGGATTGAGAGAGTAAACCGATGCCAGCGCTGTTGTTCTCTCTGGTTCTGTCTCAGCTCCAGCCCGGCTGCATATAAGCGACTCCCACTTCCATGCAATGTCACTTAATATATAGTGAAGTATGGGAGACAGAGAAATTATTAACTCGGCAAATCCTGCACAATACACGTGAGTGCATGCAGCGACAGATAACTGGTGAAGCCTCAAAAGTGCCTATTTAATGTTGTATAAGCGCTATCTTTCCGTGGCCGTGTATGAGCCGGGTTATGATATTCTTCTGAACCAACATAATTACGAGATAAAAGGTCTAGATCTTGAGGGGATAATTGTGTATTGGAGCAGTCGCATTTTCACGATTCCCACGTGCGCATGAACCTGAGGGGTAGTCCCAGCTGCACCTTTGGCAATCTAGCCATTTCCCTTGGCCATGATGCCAACCACATGCTTCTTGTTGGTGTTGTATCAGCCCGAGGAGGCGCATCTTGTGCCGATCGACCGGCAACGACGGCCACGTGCGCCGAGAGCATCTCTTGATTCATTGGGGACGTTCCGGTGGTGGTCCACTTCGGTACTGGTCATTTTGGTGGGGCAGCCCGTGAAGCCATAAGTTCCTCATTGCAGGCGATAATGGACGAAAGATTTCCGGTAGAAGAGGATTCGTTCCCGTAAGCGAAATGCTAGCTTGACGGGTAACTTCCGGGCGCATAGTGGCGGTTTTGGGTGTAAGAAGAAAAGAAGAAAAAAAAGGCAAGAAGAGCTGAGCATTGAAAAAGAACCAGCTAGCTCTGCATAGATTCTACCCACCCATGTCACATATCGCTGATTGAAGTTGCATCGCGTCACCATGTTGTCTTCAGAACAAGTTGCTTTTTTCAAGGCGAATGGATATCTCGTCGTTCGAGATATCCTGAGCGATGCCGAGACTGAAGATTTACAAAGATGGGCTCAAGAGGTTCATGACTGGACTCCAACTGCCGAGTCTCAGTTTATGCCATACGAGGTAAGATCTTTTTCATTCTACATTACGTAGAAGGGGCATGTATACCTTAAAAAATCCCACCCTTACAATTGATAGGAAATAAATTCTCGCGGTGAGACAGTTCTTTGCCGAACAGAAAATTATGCCGATTACCATGGAGGCTTCAACGGGCTCCTGCGAGGCAAAAAGCTCTTGGGATTATTGGAAGAACTTTCAGGGGAGCCGATGAATCTTTTCAAAGAGAAGATTAATTATAAACTCGCCGGAAGCGGTACGTTGTTCGTTCGCTGGGTAGACTGAGCACATTTGCTGACACGAATAGGTGGATTTGCGCCTCATATCGATGCTGTGGCCTATAATCACATTAAAGATGTTAAGCATTTAACCATCTTACTTGCCGTGGATAAATCTAATTTCAACAATGGGGGGCTGGAAGTTGTTGATGCTAGCCATAATATGGATATTCCTCTAAATGTTGACGATCACTGCATCGCCGCCGAGTGGGTGAACGCTCATGAATGGAAGCCTGTTGAGCTGGAGCCTGGTAACGACATTGCCCTGTTCTTTCAACTTTAAACAAACGTTATTAGCATTTCCTAACTGTTATATCAATAGGCCAGCTGCTCATCTTCACCTCATACTTGGCGCATCGTAGTGGGCCGAATCACAGCGACGAGAATCGCAAAGCACTCTATGCTACTTACAATCTCGCTAGTGAGGGCGACTTACACCAGGAATACTACGAGCGCCGAATGAAAGAGTGGCCTGCGACTCACATGCGTAAAATGGGAGAGCTGTATGAAGATGGAGCTTTGAGATATGCCTTTGGTTCGCCCATGCTGAGCGTTGATGCTGGCCGCCAATTGGCCTTTTAGATATGAAGATCAGTATAAAGTAGAAGCTATTAGTATACAAGCAATAAATGTGCAACACTCGCCAAAGATGAGCCCTTGATCAATATTTGTTCCCTTAATAGTGCAGTAAATTTAGACTTGCGTATGCATCACCTTGGAGGCCGATTTTTGATTCAAAATCGTATTCAGTGGCTCCATAGAGATGTAGCATCTCAAGTGGATAAAATCTACACATTAGATCTCATGGAGACTCGTGAATTAGATTTGACCCATCAACGTGCCTACTGCATAATCCCGAGTGGACGATCTATCCACGTGTTCATGCATGGATTGTGTAGAGTGGAGCGTTTGAGCAATATTCTAGCATCTCGTATTAGCCAAAATAAGTGCTTATCTAGAGATTTTCCCATATGTCCATGATGGGAGTATATCTAATATGTTCCAATATTTTGCATTACGGCGACCCAATCTAAACCTTGCATCACGGCTGCTGACAGTTTTATTTTCCCAAAATGACTCTCCCTACATTCCTCGAGCCAGCGACAGTAACTTCCTACATAATATCCATTCTCGAGGCCTCGGATCATACTCCTTATATCGGCGAGCCTATCTCTCAGCTTCAACATTCCTTGCAATGCGCCTCTCTGGCTACCGAAGCATCGCCGCCTGTAGATGAGGCTACGCAAGTGGCAGCACTGCTTCACGATATTGGTCAATTTGCTCCAGCAGAAGATCTTTTAGCTTTAGCAAGGCTCCCTATCCAGAATCTAGGAGATGCCCCAACCACACAAAGTGTTGGCCGTGTCGGCCATGAAACTCTAGGAGCTCGCCTCCTTCTCTCGTTGGGCTTCTCCGACAAAGTCTCCCGTCTGGTGGAATCCCACGTGGCAGCTAAACGGTACCTGTGCGCTGTAGACGAATCTTACAACGATGTCCTCTCAGAAGCCAGCAAAAGAAGCCTATTCTACCAAGGAGGTCCTATGTCTGCCGAGGAGGTGAAGGAATTTAGCTCTGGGCCCTGGTGCCAGGAGATGTGCCAGCTGAGGAGATGGGATGATGAAGCAAAGGTTGAAGGTCTCACTGTGAGGAGCCTAGAGAGCTGGAGAGAAGTCATTCAGAGGCAGATAGAGCGAAAATGATGGCCAAAGAAGTATTCTTAAAAGTACACAGTATGGTATGAGGACTTGCATAAACACCAGTTTGAGTAGGTCTAGTCAGAATGGAGACTTTATGACCATAGTTTCTCATTATGAGTTGTGAATGAACTTCGACGTGGTAAGAGCCGTGGTTCAATATCCTGTATATTTGAGTTTCATCAATGGGACATTCAATTGTTGTATCAGCGGACAGGGCTACCGTATGAGGGAGATGTGTAGACTACAGCAATGAATATTGGCTGTTGCGACTCCTCTCCTCTTCATGTCGGCCCGTTTTTCGCGACAGTGGGGATGAGTTCTGTAGTGACTCAGGCGGCTATACTGACCCTATTTCTAAAAAAATCAGCCAAGAAAAATACTCATAGCTAATAGAGAGTATCCTCGGTGAATATTGAAATAGAGCTTAAAAAGGCCAAAGGTGTCATATAAGCGCCAAAGTACATACGGATGTATCCCGAAAAAGTTTAATTGTATGGCACGTTGTGGGAAAAAATGATTAATGTATTTTGGAACCTCGATTCAGTGCTTTTACTTCATAATACATTCTGGTCATATAGATATTCAAACTATGTCATCAAATATGAGCAGCACAGAGACTCACCCGCCGACAATCATATTTACAAGCGGCTAGTTGGCCTTAAGGGAGACTCCCGTGGGAGATCAAAGCGATCTAGATTCACAACCTTTGTCCAAGCAGCCACGAAGTCTTTCACAAACTTCTGCTTAGAATCGGAGCTGCCGTACACTTCCGCAACAGCCCGCAGCTCAGGGTGAGAACCGAGAACCAAGTCAACACGAGTTGCAGTCCACTTCTTGGCACCACTCTTGCGGTCACTGCCCTCAAAGAGATCACTATCAGAGGGGTTGGGCTTCCAGACAGTTCCCATATCCAGGAGGTTAATAAAAAAGTCGTTGGTGAGAACACCAGGCTGGCTGGTGAAAACGCCGTGAGTTGACCCGTCGTAGTTTGTGTTCAGCACACGGAGACCACCGATGAGAACAGTCAGCTCGGGCACTGAGAGAGTGAGAAGGTGGGCCTTGTCGACCAAGAAGTGCTCCAGCTTGACTCTTGGTGTTGACTTGCCGTAGTTACGGAAACCATCTGCGACAGGCTGGAGATAGCCAACCGAATCAACATCAGTCTGCTCTTGAGTGGCATCATTGCGGCCAGGAACGAATGGAACAGTGATATCGTGTCCAGCATCCTTGGCAGCCTTCTCAATAGCCGCAGATCCCGCGAGGACGATCAGGTCAGCGAGAGACACCTTCTTGCCACCACTCGAGCTGTTGAACTTCTGCTGAATCTTCTCTAGTGCCTGCAGAACCTCAGCCAACTGAGCAGGGTTGTTGGCCTCCCAGTCCTTCTGTGGTGCCAAGCGAATACGAGCACCGTTGGCGCCACCTCGCTTATCGCTACCGCGGAAGGTTGAAGCAGATGCCCAGGCAGTGGAGATTAGCTTGGATGGGGTAACTCCAGATGCCAAGATTTCCTTCTTAAGAGCAGCGACATCACTGTCGTTGACCAGAGTGTAGTTGACAGCGGGGATGGGGTCCTGCCAGGGGAACTGTTCCTTGGGGATTTCGGGGCCCACGTATCGGCTGATTGGTCCCATGTCACGGTGTGTGAGCTTGAACCAAGCCTTGGCAAACGCATCAGCGAACTGATCGGGATGTTCCAAGAAACGACGAGAGATCTTCTCGTAAGCAGGGTCAAAACGCAGCGACAAGTCCGTGGTCAGCATAGTAGGCAGCTGCTTCTTGTTAGGATCGAAAGCGTGGGGAATAAACGGCTCAGCATTCTTCGCCACCCATTGCTTCGCACCGGCAGGGCTCTTGGTGAGTTCCCACTCGTACTTGAAGAGATATTCGAAGAACTGGTTGCTCCATCTGGTCGGTGTCTTGGTCCAAGTCACCTCAAGGCCACTGGTGATGGTATCCCCGCCCTTTCCAGAACCAAAAGTGCTGGCCCAGCCAAGGCCTTGGTTCTCAAGAGGTGCGGCCGCAGGTTCAGGGCCTACATTGCTTGAAGGACCTGCGCCATGGGTTTTACCGAAAGTGTGACCACCAGCAATCAAAGCTACTGTCTCTTCATCGTTCATCGCCATACGAGCAAAAGTGGTGCGGATGTCCCGAGCCGCCGCAATAATATCAGCACTGGCATCGGGACCCTCTGGGTTCACATAAATAAGACCCATGTGTACCTACTATGTATCAGCATAATCTCTTCTAACATCGAGTATACGAAGCAAAAGGTACATACCGCTGCTAGGGGAGACTCAAGATCGCGAGAGTGGATATCTTTGCTGTCGTGCCTCTTCTCGTCGGAGTCGACGACACCGTGCTCTTTGGTAGTACCTGCAAAACCGTGGGCATATCGCACGTCGTTGCCCAGCCACGTAGTTTCGCCACCCCAGTAGGCAGCCTCGTCAGCTTCCCAAGTGTCGGAACGGCCACCTGCGAAACCTATGGTCTTGAACCCCATAGATTCGAGGGCCACATTGCCGGACAGGATGATGAGATCAGCCCATGAAAGCCTGTTGCCATACTTTGCCTTGATAGGCCAAAGAAGACGTCGAGCCTTGTCCAAGCTCACGTTGTCGGGCCAGCTGTTGAGAGGTGCGAATCGTTGTTGGCCCTATCAATCCAATACGTTAGCAAGAGCCAATGCAATAATGATGTATATAATGCCGAAATTCAATTAGTCGGCATCAGTAATCGCTTACCTGTCCACCTCCGCCACGTCCGTCAAAGACACGATATGTGCCGGCACTATGCCAAGCCAGACGAATAAACAGACCTCCATAGTGACCAAAGTCAGCAGGCCACCAGTCCTGAGAGTCGGTCATGAGGGCCGTCAGGTCCTTCTTAACGGCTTCATAATCAAGGGTCTTGAAAGCGGCCGCATAGTCGAAATCATCTCCCAGAGGGTTGGTTACATTTGTGTGCTGACGAAGAATGTTAAGCTTGAGTGATTCAGGCCACCAGTCACGGTTCTTAGTTCCACCACCAGCGACGTTGATGTGGTTTACGGGGCACTTTGCGGCGTCGCCCATTTTTATGATTTGTATGTCCGATATAAGGCAAACGGTATATGAGAGGGGAAAAGGTACAGTTCAAACTTTGCTGCTTCAGGAGCAGAAACAGAAATTGGTAAAAACGAGCAAAGAAGAAACGGAGGCAGCGGGAGGATTATAAAAAGCAGCAGAAGAAACCGAAAAGAGAAAGAGATGGACAAGTGCTCGCCACCAATGAAGAGGAGGGCATTAGAGAGGGGTTAGGGACGACCCCGCGTTTGATCAGACAATTAGCACGTTCTCGGGCCTCCGAGATGTCGCGATTGCGCTGCTCATGGCCCTCATCTGGATCTGCAGTGAAACACTATTTGCGGCTGTTGTGTCATCGTTCTCGCTGCTGACGAACCGAAGACTCGCAATTTCAAAGGCCCACGGCTTCTAGCTTTAAGCCGGCAGCCAAGTGGACAAGCGGGGTCTTGGTGGAGGGGAAGCTCTGGTGGAGGGGAACTTTGATCACGGATTGGTTCGTGAGAGGCAATGCAGCCACGCTTATTCGTTTCGGATTGCATGGGCCGAGTGTGCGCACGGTATGCGGTGGCTTGTCTGTGGTGAGCTCTCGGTACAGCCTGTTCGAGTTGCAAGTCTGTCTCGGAGGCTATGAACTATATCCCAGCTAGGTTGCTAGATGACGCACTTTGCTTGTCTCTACTCCGCATTGCTGACTAGCAGGATAGACTAGATGCCTCTAGTGCCAGGCTACAATCGGCTACCGTAGTAACAAATATTTGAGAACCCTTCTGTCCTTTGTTTGGAAAAGGGAATTAACTGAGAGAATATCAAAGCAGAGGCTGCTATCGGAGTTCTTGATCTTCCCTCTGTTGGACAAACTTGCAGCGTATGGAATCAAAAGTTGGAGCTTGCTTATATATACGAGACGACATTGCACTTATACATATGCGACATAGGATCTTTATTTTTGCTTCTAGAAACCTACTCTACTCTGCAGCTAAGTGCAATTCACAGGTCTCGTTGACCAATCGTATCGGTGACCGCCCTTGCCGCTGAAACTATAGACACAACGTCCAGATGAATTGAGCTTATTAGGGGCTTTTAAGTCTACCTATAACTTTAGTACCAACCAACGTTCGATCATTGCTAGGTCGTCTGTCTACCGTAGGGCTAAGGAGATGCATGCAAGGCATTACGCAAGTTGGCACATGGCGGGGCGATTATACAGCAAACCCCTTTTTCCCTCGATCAAACGCCCAATTCCGGCTAGATTTTGTATTTTACAAATAATTGAGTAAGCAATCCAATTACAGGAGGATTGGTGTCGTCTTGTATTTCAGCAACTATTGCCATCATAAACCCTCTAATTCCTTCCAATTCATTCAGTTACATCACTACCTCGCGAGATACGGCACCTTGTATTACAATTACACTTACACCAGAGACCTGGCCCACAACAACCCCACATGTGCGCTATTGTCCTCATTGAGTAAAGGTCAAGGTATGTAGCAAAATACCGACAAGATCAATCCCCGACTATTACACAGGGAGAGGTATTATTAGAATTTCTTAATCAGTTAGCATCTGTGGCTCTAATGCAAATGGAGATCTTCGCAACTCAGGAACGCACTGCCAAAGAAAGTTCTAGGTTGCCCAGTCTCGAGCTTATGTAAGTTGATAGTAGTAGGCAACTGGAACTCTTTGCTACAATCCACTCGAGCGGCGCCTCAACTTTTGCCTCTTAGCTGTGCTTCTCATCTACTTCAATGCCAACTTCCCCACCTAGCAATAAAAAATATCAAGCTAATCAAGCTACTAAATCACCCTCGCAGAAATATACTGTCCGAATGATAAAAATATACCCTCCGAATGACAAAATATACCCTCCGAATAGCAAAAATGAACCGCCTAAATAACAATCCTCTTATTCACTGCTGTCCAGACTAATAACGCCTGGTGAATTTCACTTTTGGTTTCATTGTTCCTATTTTAAACAGCAACTTGACAGCGGTGCTTATGCCTATTGTTGGCAACACCTAAAAGTGATACCTGAGCGCAGAGAGTAAAACTTTGCCAGGTAAAACTTGCCTAGTAAAGCAACATATTAATCTTGTATATTTTCTTCACTGGTCATGACAAATATACTTGGCCTCTTGTGGTATCTTTTGCCTTGCTTTCACAATGACAACATCATCATTCGAATATACAAGCTTCAGGAAAGTGAGTATCTTCAGTTGTAACTAAATAGTCCCAGAAGGTATATCTGCTGATCTGATGACTTATCATCTCCACTAATATCAGCCGACAAGCTAGTGCGCTAGAATAGAATAAGCTTAAATAGAACAGACCGCCGCAAGAACAGAATGTGCTTTGCGAGTTGACTGGTCAATAGTAGGATCTTAACTTCGATGGCATGCCTATGAACACCTTTGCGAGAAGAGTTTCATCGACACTTGGCGGATTTAATCTATTCTATAGAATGAATTGAGACAAATAATCCACGCCCAGGTCTAAGACTCGGTTCAAAATCGTTTTCTTGTAGTCTAAATCGTAAATTCCCCGTAGGGCGTTATCTATATGTTTGTCACAATGCTCATTTCGGATAGGTTCAGAGGTGGACCGGCAGCCAAAATAATACTCAAAGTCTAAATAAATCACCAGATTATTCTGGCCGTGGATTTTAATAGTATCATCATGGCTGAGGCAGAATTCAATCGGCAAATTGCTAATGGCTTCTCATTGGATTGGCTGCTCCGGTTCTTCCCTGAATCTACGATGGACTTACAAGCACCAATCATGATCTTGGCGCAATTGTATGATGATACTGTAGCAATTCGTAATTTTTTAGCATCAGCGGAGTTACGGCGCCGAATTCACGGTAGCACCTTGTATCGGAATCAGTCGGCCCTTTTCCCCTGCAGCCATCTTATCACTCACTTAGAAGAAAAGCCATCCAGACTTACAGATCTCTGAATTGCTCAATTTAGCCGCTTTCAGCCGAAATTTTAAATATACATGTGCCTTTATCTACTGTATACGTCTAGAAGACTTTGAAATGTGTATGGAGGGAGAGCAAAGCAATTAGCTCACTGTTGCGAGTGTATCTATTCTTAGCATAAGCGAATTCTGGGCATACAGAGTGTAGATACCTTGAAACAAAATTTCAATCGATAAAGTGCTTGTTAGCCACGCAGACTTTTCAATTGCGACGCGTCGTAATGTGCCGTACGGAAACGTTCTAGGCATTCTAAAAGCTTTCCCCGTTATATTGTATTCTCAACAGTCAGCTAACCGTGCATAACTTACATCGTGACTGATGCTTTGGCGCGGACTTTTTATTCGCCAACGCTACTTTGCGTATCCATTTTGATCACAAATTCACTTTCATCACCATCCTTTTACAGTTAAGTAAGCTGCATTCTTACAGTTGAACAACCTTGACTTGGCCCCATAAAACTTGACTGGATGAATCAATTGCCGGTTCTAAGAACATATATAAACACACCATCTGGTCACTTCACTCTGCAGTCAGACTACTTCAAAATTTTCAGCAGATTCTCTATATATCGCTTTAAACATGAAGGTATTGTCTTCAGAACTTATATATATATATATATATATATATATATATATTATCTTCTGATTTCTTTCATTCTAATTGATTCTTACAATAGATCTTTTATATTTCCTCATTTCTTGCCGGGCTCACTTCCGCGGCCACCACGACATTAGGCAGTATCTACTACGAACAGTGGTTTAACTCTGACTGCAGCGGCCAAGCATTTCTTACAGGTTCTCTGACCGATGGATTCTGTACCGTCTTTGAGAATTTCCCCGGCGAAAGCATTTTGTTAACTCAGACAACCCCTTGTCCTGCCGGCACGTCGCCACAGATTACAGTTTCCACGACCAATGACTGCGATAGTCAGCCTGACTGGACGTTTGACACCATAGGACACTGTATTGAAGTCTCTATCCAGCCACAGGCAATCCATCTGAATTGCGTCTGATTGGGAATGAGCATACACCTGCTGATGCGGAAATTGTGAGGCATGAGGAAATGCTGCGAATTTTATCCATAGCGAGCGTATATAAAATATGTAAAGCGAGATTGGTTTCGTATTGGTATAAGCCTCACGAGAAATTAAGATAGAGAATTTGAAAATGGTATATGGCCGCTACTGTTCTTACTGAATATGTTTAAAGCCCAATTTCGCCAAGTCAAGAAATCGTAACCCTCACATGAGAGACATCAATACAATCGTAATCTGGGATATGTATCATTTTCAAGAATACAAGAAAGTGCAGCATTTCTCAATTAGATATATTGGTGTAAATCTAAGCCTTTGACGTTTATATAAATGTGTGTTTCTAGATTAGTATTAACGACGTCTTCTTTCTAAACCAGCCTATGATAACGCTTATCAATATGCTCCTGCGGTGCAGTCTTTCAGTTTATATGTTCACCATCGCAATTTAATTTCCTCTCGCATATTGTGCAAAGATTTTTCTTACTCAGTGCAATACAACTTACTCCATTGTTCTTCATAAAATTTCTTAACATATCATGATATTATATCTTGACCTAGGTCCAAAGAGGATCACCATTAGGTTGAGCACATGTATTCATTTCGAGTTGTCATTCGCAAAGGTAAAACTTGGAACGTATGATTCCAACGTATTTGGTTAATACAAATAGAATTTATTCACACTATGTTAACGCACCATACTCTCCATTGCACGGTGAAAGAGACTAATGGAACTTGTTCAAGAAATATGGGTATTGTGTGACAACCAATGGATATACTCTCCCACTGACTCGTTATCAAGGCATGAAAATATCTCCCTTTCCGAAAATGCGAAAGAAAAACAGGTCAAGGTACACAATTAAACCAAAAAGCCGAAAGACAATAAGTCGTGGACACCGATTTTCCTGATTCCATGTATTATGAAGCGGTGTAACCTCCCCAAAAAAGTCAAAACTTAGGTGAACCAAACCCAACACGTTATACTCATGCAAACCCGTGTCTTGAATCCATGACAAATCTATTGTCAGATATTTGTATTATTAAAGCTTCCATTTTGATCCAATTTCTATGTTTCATATGAGGGCCATGAGCATCTCTCAATACGAGAACAAATGAACTTTTCTTTTTTCTTTTTTTTTTTCCCCTTGGAATAATTCGAATGTTTTTGCGTAAATCAAGTTCACCTAGGCGAAGTCGATTGCTTAAACTCTGTCTGTACCCGGATTCCGTTTAACGGTATATCGTCCCTTGTTAGGTCAGCCGGCAGCTCATCGATCCGAAGACTTTTGGTAGTATGTCTATACCCTTTTGTGTCTGGCCGGAATTGGGAATTCATTACGACCGGTTGTGTGTCAATCGTGAAGCTACCATCGGACTCTGTCTCATCGTTTAGGCGATAGAAGTTGTTGCCGTTCGTTCTATGCGTCGAATCTGCATTCGTGCTCTTGTTCGGATTAAGGGTGCTCAAGTTTGATTTGTTCACGTTGGAAGCGCCATTAGTTCCTCGTTGAGAAGAGAAGAGGTTTCGCTCGATACCGATGGCTTTGAAAAGGAGTCGTATAACCGGTAACAATGTAGGAAGACAAGCGGATATGATACCAGCAGATATTTCGATAACGGTCCAGCCGACTGTTGGCGCAAGAGTGTAAGTAGGATCATTATTCGTGTAGGTGAAAAGCACTGAGGTGCGGTATGCAGAGGCAAAGACAACGCTGTTGAGTAATTGTTAGCGCATGTAATGAGTACAAGGACAAGGTTACCAATAAGAGGGATGCGAGATTTGAAAAGCACAGCTCGACATACAAAAAGCCCAATCCAAAGGCAAAGGTCAAGCCCATCTTTTCTGCTGTTCTGAGTTGAAGGTTCCAGATTTGTGGAATTGGTAAAATTAGAATGGCGAGATCGGTAAAGATAGTCGAAGACGCATTTGCGATCCAAGTGCCAACTTGATTGATGCAGTGACCAGGAAGTTGAGGGTACCACAGTTTCTGGACTGGCACGCAGATGAAGATGAAGAGGAAAGTGATGCAAATAACCCACGCCATGACAAAGCCGCCAACTGCCCATGCCATCTTCTTGAAGTATGGCACGTGGAAGATGCGATAGTACATGAGTAAAAGGCTTATCTTGGTCCAGCCGAGATTCCAAGCATAGAGAATTTCCGCTACCAACAACCACTTCGCCATCATCACAATCTTCGCAGGCTTAACTTTATCCGCATGGAGACCCATGCCGTTGTCATACATGGCGAAGATAAACCCCATAACAACTAGATACCAGCTCTAGTGCATTGTATATCGTTAGCCATGGGCTCCCAACATGAAGTCAAAAGATAGGCATGCCCGTTTGGCGTTGCCTGAAGGAAATAGTTCGATATCAACAAGTCTCATCTCTCCGAGGACCTACCATTGAAAAGATAATCATGTAATCATCCCACCCCAATGGCTGTTTCCTGATACGTCGACTGACTATGCGCAGCACGACGCAAAGGAGAGCCAAGACAGTCATGGATACTGTTACCTGCACTGTCCATGGTTGAAGGTTGTCTGGATTGAAGCCTGGAAGACCTGGGAGCACCGATGGCGTCTCCGCCGCCGCCGCTCTTACTTTTCCTTCAAACAGAGACATGATGCATTTCGACGCTGAAAAGTGGACGGATATGCTCGTTCGAGGAGCTCAGCAAAGTGAGGAGACTGAGCTCTTTCATATTATTCCTTGTTTCTTTTCTTCCCCTGCTCTTTGCCTTTACTTCTTCGCTTATACCCTCCATGATTAGGGTCTGTCAATCAGCTGCTCATGGCAATGAGCTCCACGCCACCATGCCTTGTCAGGGGTGGGATGTACCTACATCGAACTGTGGACACTCAACAGTGGGTTCTGAACTAGCAATTGTGGAAGCTGAGCAAGGTACTATTCAGGCAGTCAGGGTATAATCCTCGTCAACTCAGGTACGGGCATCCGGTGTGAGTGCTTTTTTTTACACGTCGCACGACTAATGCGTAATTCAGTCATGGCAACGATCAGCTCTTCTGCAGGGACCGACCGACTTGGTGCCTCATGCACGCCACAGGTGCCCCGTAAGAACTACACGGCGGCGCCGTTTAAAGCTCAAAGTTCTTCTTTTGTACTGCAGCTCTATCACTGGTGAGATTAGTATGAACTACTCGGACCGGTCTCCTACCTCAAGGTAACGCCAGGTGCGGACGGGAAGCATCTCTTCACTTATGAGGGGATAGATTGATAGCTAGTAGTATGATATGAATATGTTTCTCTACCAATGCTGAATCAGATATTAGAACCAATGATACTAATCTAATCCGTCAGATCAGCGGTCAGCAAACCACACATGGGTTAGCGAGTTGCTGAACAACTGCGAGCAAGGATGTTTTCGTATGCCGTATAACTGTAGCATTCTTCTCTACCAGTGTTCGGACTTTGTTCTGCTTGCCAAGAACTGGCGAGTCGCACGAGTTGCCACTTAAAAGAGGAAGGGGAAATGGGGAAGCCAAGAAAAGGCCCAAAACGGCCTGGTAATCAATCACCTTTTTCTTCAGTAGCCTTGAACAGAGAATAATGGATCCCACGGACTCGGCGCGCACCGTACCCTTGTCTCAGCTGGTGAGCTGGCGTGGCATTGATCGTTTATCATTGGTTATACATCGAGACTGAACACCGCTTGGCGTGCACCATTCAGACGAGGGGGGCGAGTCATTACTATCAACGTCTTAGCATATGCAACATGGTCTCCTACTCGACTCCGAATTCCCTAATAACTCCATTGCGCGGTAGACCTCAGCTCCGCCAATGGGAAATCTCCTGCGTTGTTCCATTAAGCCCAACGGCATTTGGTGCTACTGTATTTAGTGCATTCGACCAAGTGGATAACAGGAGCGGACCGTTTCTATTACCGTAGAATAGCCTCAAATGTGTCTCGGCAGCAGAGATTTGCGTTATAAGTAAACTAAGGTGGCGAAGCTAGAATCACTGCAGAAACCTATCTCCCAAAGTTGCTCCGTCCGCCCCGCACGTCGTTGCAAGGAATAGTAATAGCACTTAGTAACGACCTTCTCTATTCCGCACATTGGCGTTTGCCTACTATGTACATTATGCGCACAGACGGCTTCTTCGCATGCCGGGAATACTCCGTACATGGGCAATGATTAGTTGTGGAACGAAAGAACCCACGAGGAGAAATAAGGAGCACCGTTCTTTTCCTCCTGATAGTCAGGGCGAGACATGAAGTATCATGCAGCCATCACGATAGTCATGGCAGAACCTAGTCATAGGAGATTTCTCACCGCCTATCTATGCCAAAGGAAGTCTTGAAACATTTGTTTTAAGGGCTCTAATGCGGAATTACCCAGAAATAGCCCTTGTCTTTGTATGTAAGGTACATGTGTCATGTTGTTTGACCCATGAAAGGGTTAGCCTCATATGCAGACATACCACGGCTATCATGACTACTAAATGCATACGAGATACAGTACAATACAGTATGCAGTAGTAGCTACTTCTATTAGTGCACACACTCCGTGCCCTGAACCCATGATAGACAACCTTCCCCCTCATTCGGATATTCTCGCCACCGAGGCAAATGCGGGTCATCCAATTGGAGGTTGCTCAATGCAGCTTCAAACCCCGCCGAGCTGGTTCCAAAGTTTGGGGTTCTCCCGAGGCTCAGCTCAAAGGAGCGCTTGAAAGTTTTGAGGGTTATTGTTGTGGCTCCCTTTCTGGTTGGGAGGTTAGTCAGGCGGTCTCTATACAAAGTAAATAATTAGTCCACCATGCCTCGCTGAATAGTTTCTGTTTTAACTACTTTTGACTATTCCAATAAAGAGACAAGCGAAACAAAAAGGAAGCTGGCTTCTTGTTTGTCGTAATTTTATATCTGCTACGGAGAAAACCACATACACAAATCTGTCTCTCTATCACCATCATGACTGCCGGAACCACCATCAGAGTGCCGCATCTGGGCGGAATTGATGCCGGTTACCGTTTGTCTAACGGCGCCGTCGACCCCGCCAAGCCTACAGTTGTGCTCATCAACTCTATGTGCATGACCTCTTCTCTATATGACCACCAGTTCGACAACAAGGCTCTTACCGATGCTGCCAACCTACTGGCCATTGAGCCTCTTGGCCACGGATCCACCGAGTGCTCTGCAGAGAATTACACCTACTGGGACACGGCCATCATGGCCATTCAAGTGCTGGATGCCCTCGGCATTAAGAAGGCTTTTGCTCTTGGTACCAGCCAGGGAGGTTGGATTGTTACAAGAATGGCTCTTGTTGCCCCAGAGAAGGTATGTACAAGTAACTTCTGAATCCGAGGGTAACGAGCACACATGTACATTTGTACGAAATGCATATAGTTCATACTTACTTGATCTATCCCTGCTAAACCCCCATATTTTCTCCACGTATACTATCCGGCTTCAATTCCGCGAAGTGTCTCACTTTACTTTCGCCTAAATGAAGTACTAACAGAGATGAACTCAACTACAGATTCAAGGTCTGTTGATTCTTGGCACTTCGCTCGACTATGAGTCTGCCGCCTCCCGAGAAAAGGGATGCTGGGATCCCGCAACAATGCTTGGCCCAGTAGTTGACACCCTTCACAGCAATGTGCCGACTCCAGATTTCCTCATTGACGAGGGTCTGCGCGAAAGCGTAGTGAACATCGGTTTCTCGGGTGCAATTTCACCAGAGGCTGTTGAGTTCTGGAAGACTACACTCAACAAGATTTACTCTGGAGACGGAGGACGCAAGAAGCTGCGTGGAGCTTTTGTCAACCTCTTGGAGCGAGATGGCTTGTTAAGAAGGGCGCAGGATGTCAAGTGCCCTGTCTACTGGCTTCAGGTGGGTCGTCAGATTAACTATCTTTGTCTCAGTTCATAATATTAACGAAAATACAGGGCAACCAAGATCCGGTGTTCGGTGTTGAAGTACCAAAGGAGCACATCAAGGCCTTCTCAAGCTCTGTAGAGACCGAGCTGTCTTTTACTGACGGCGGCCACTACCTCAACGCCACCACTCCTAAGGAGGTAGATGCAAAATTACTTCAGCTCATCAACAAGTACTCTGCATTGTAGAGTTTAATAAAGTTGAATAGTCTTTTGAGTTCAAAATCATGATAGCCAAGCATAGCAATATCCAGAGTCTTTATTGAATACCTATAGCGTAAAGACAATACGATTATCTTTCTATTAGCACTATGTAACGAACCCGCTCTTCTTTACCTGTCTGCGCTGAATAGGAGTGCAAATCCCAAGACTATATAGCGTTAGTGGCTCCAACCTGCCGCCCCTTCTACATACTGTACATATGCACATACAAGATAGAAATCGATGATCTTCAACAAAGAAAGCATTGGTGACTTTAAGTGCTTACTCTCACAGGATCTAGGTACTAAAACAGAGGGATAAGGGGCAATCTAAAGAACTTAGCAAACGTGAGTACCGGCGCTTATTGAAGTAGCCTGACCTTGCTATGGATACAAATGACTTACTGACGCAAGAGCGGAATCCACAGGGCGGGGATTGAGCGGACTATCGGATAGAGTTGACGAAAGCGGTCCGCACTCGAAAACGAAATTAGAAGATCTGTGGCTTTCGCAAGACGCCAAAGGGGTTTGTGTGACGCCGTCCAAAACCATTACCGAGGTGTTGATCCCTGTCAGCCACTCGACCGGCGCAGGTACTAGCTGGAAGCCATCAATCTGTTAAGCTGCAAGAGGCCTAACTGGCGATCAATCGCGCCCTCCTAGGGCTCTAACGGCGTTGAACGTTTAGCCGGCCGTCCAAACGTGGAATTCCCAACAGTGAACTCAGCGTGTTGTTGGTTTCACCGAACCACTGGTAAAAACAACCCGGGGTAGGCTTATTGAACCTTCGGGTATGACCAATAGGAAATGCTCCGCTGAAGTGACGGCAACATGACCTGTAACATTCATGCGCACGATCCTACTGTACTTTAGAATACGGGAATCGGTCATACTACAGAATACCGACGGCGAATACCTCTTTTGACGTTGAAAACGGTCTGTGAAATCTTCTCTGCTTCTCCATTTTCTAAAGTTAATCCAAGAGGCTACGCCTCCATTACGCGAAATTATGGGGATTGTGCCAATTTTTCACCATTGTGCCCTATCCACTCGCTCTGCCGTGTCCAATTCACGAATGAGTTCGGCTGTTCGGGTAATTTTCAACTGCGATGATGCCCCGACTCCGCGATCGATAGATATGGAATAGGCACACGTTCTAGACTAGGGCTCATAGCAGTATGTAGGCCTTCGTATGAGCATGGGTGAGTAATTTAATGCCTCCCCTGCTGCTGGCGGTGGGGGCAGAGAGGCGCGGAATCTTCCGCGTTACTTAGAGCTGGGATAATGCCTTCTGAGCGTCGCGGAACATACACTCCGTTCTGTATGTCCCTTGATCAATTCTCATGCCTTGGCAAGCTTTGAGACAAGCTAGGTTGCAGGCTTCAAGGCTTTGCATCGGATTTAATTTGTGTTCTACGGCCGACGAATCCAGAACAATTTACCCAGGCTCATGGTTCTTGAAGCAAACTGACGCGGTATATGGAAGCCAGCGCTCTTGTTACACTCGAGGAGATGATTTGGTGTCACGGACTTAACACCGATATGGGGAAAACCGCACGTTAGTAATATTTTAGAACTTGGAGGAGACCTATCCAGTAATTTAAGAGCCATCTGTCTTCGAAAGAGGAGGCTTCTATTATATGGTTTGGTGGGATGACACGGCAGGCAGAGTGACATCTTACAGATTTACCGATGACAATCCGTGAAACCGAAGGAGAATTATTACAACTTATTCGCCCAAATTCTTCAGGAAACAGTAGCTTGCCTAAAACTAACCACCAATCTTGGCGTCCCTTCCGCACTATCTCCGCACGCAAGTCTTCATACGTAGTTGCTGTCAGTGAATTAAGGATGTAATTAACGATAACAAAATCATATAATACCCTTTTGATCAACCATCAAGCTCCCGGAGGGTAATTCCCTGCCGCTTCTTGTACAGTATTAATCGCAATAAAGATCTGAAGACTACCACTAGTCCCTGGTACAAGCACCTCCAAAGCGAGTATCCGCCATTTACCAGAAGTGAGCTTATAAAATTTAATAATTATTCCAATGGAAGATTAAGAAAGCATCTTAAAAAGTGTATTACTGATATTTGGCTCAGACAAAGGATTGCCTTGACCCAACTTGATCAAGGGGAAATCTATTCCAGCGCCTTATACACTTGCGTTCCCTCAAACCATGTTTCTTTAACCACGCCTTTTATCAAGTTCTCTGGAGTCAGCTCTACATTGCAAACCACAAAATCAGCTTTGAGGCCTTTCTTCAAACTTCCAGTCCACTCGTCAGCGAATGTGGAATATGCCGACCCATGTGTCGCCGCCGAGACAGCCTGGCATACTGTAAGGGCGAACTCGGGATTGATCACAGTCTCCAACTCAGGCTCGCGATAGGACCTTCTCGTTGTCGCAACGTACATGTTGGGGATGGGAAGATGCGGAGCTGTAGGCGCGTCAGAGCCGAGAGCCAAAGGGGCACCTCCATCAGCAAACTCGCGATAGGCGAATGCTCGCTTGCAGCGGTGCTCGCCTATCAGTCTCGGCCAGGCTCGCAAGATGGCAGGGTCAGAGTGCACGGGCTGGATAGATGCCGTGATGCCCAACTTGCCGAGACGCACGGCATCTTCAGCGCTGGACAACTCGATGTGTTCTATTCGTGGGCGCCGCGAGCAATCTGTGTTCTTCTCCAGAACGTCGATTGCCATGCGAATTGTCCGGTCACCAATTGCATGCAGAGCAACTTGAAGCCCTGCTCCATGAGCCTTGGAGACCATGGGATTCAGAAACTCTTCCGACCATATGGGATCGGGAGTCTTTCCCGTTGAGTAGGGCTCAGTTAAGGAAGCGGTACAAGCATCGATAATTCCATCGCAAATGACTTTGATGCCGACAATGCGGCAGTCTGGAGTGCTGTGAGAATTGTATTGTGCAGCCAACTCGATTGCACGATCAATCTGCAACATCACATCCTCCAAAGAATCACTCGGTTTCATAAGCCAGTACGCAGCAATGCGCATACCGCCGAGGCCTTCTTCATTTCGCAGCGCAACCAGGGGCTCCCAGATGAGCTCATCCATGGCCATGTCGACCATGCCAGTATAGCCAGCTGAGTTGAAAGCCTTGATCGCTGCCTTGATGGCCTCTTTTCTGGCTTTCACCGAAGCGACTCTGGCGGTGAACGGCCAAATGTACTCGAACACGGCGCTCTCGTTAAAGACTCCATTAAGTTTGCCGTTTTTATCGCGCTGAAAAGTGCCACCCACCGGATCTGGGGCGTCATCCGCAATATTCATAACACGACAAACCTCCTTCAACCCAGCCGTGTTGCACCATGTGGAATGCAGGTCCTTCGTATCAACAAAGATAGGCCGAGGATCTAGACCGTCCAACAAAGTGGAATCAACGCCTTCGGGAGTCATCGAATGCATCCAGCCGCGGCAAAAGATGCGCGGTACATCCGGATGGGCCTTGGCATATTGCTTGATCTCGGTTTGGATATCCTCTAGGCTCGTGCACGCTTCCAAGCCAACCTTGGTGAGAGCCTGTCCGACGAGAAGAAGGTGTAAGTGGCCGTCGATAAATCCGGGGAGCACAGTCTGATGGCCCAGATCCTTGATCGTTGCGCCCGCAGCTTTAGCCGCATCTACCGCGGCATCTGCTTCAGGACCAACATACTGGATGATGCCATCCCTGATGATCATGCACTCTGTAAAGGTAGGGCCGACGGCCGCCGCGTCCGCGTTGGGCAGCGGCGCTTGGAAGAATTTTCCGTTAACCAATATGGTAAAGCCACGAGACGATGGTAGTTCGCCCATTTGTACGACTGTTTCTCTACTCAAAGAAATGGAAGATGCGCTGCAGTGAGTATCTTGTGTTTACCCCAGCTAAACATTAGAAATCCCCCCAGAGCTTAGTGAACCCCAGATGGAGAACATGGTGGAGCTGTTAGAGCCGAAGCCGGATCTCATGGTGCGATTGCCGCCCAGGCCGTCAACAACCGACTCTTTAACACATGCTTGGCGATGGGCAGTGGCAAGTGGGAAAAAAAGGTGACTTCAATTGGTAACAGCTGACGAGCGTTTACTGCCAAGGTAGAATACGTAATGGCGGCGGACATACTCCTACATGAAGCCGCGTGCGGCACGCCAACTCAAGATCTGATCTGATTAGTGGAAGATACAGCGGGCGCCGAACCGATTAAAGTGTTATGAAAAGAGGCTGGCAACTCTGAAAACGATTTAGTCTCATGCACAAACTCCGCGTATCTTTCGCTGTATAATGCGTCGAATGAGATGCACTAAATGTTGAACAAGGAAGCACTAGTCCGATCTGGCTACGTGGATCACATAGATTTTACATGTATAAGAGGTCCTACCTCCCGACTTCTCATCTAGAAAATGAGACCTTTCAATACCATTAATTCAACTCTATTGTTCATCTTTCCTGTTGACACTAAATTCCAACTTCCAGACAAACGGCGGCAGCGGGTAAATTAAACATTTAGGCATAAGCTAGCCTCTTATTTTTATATACTTTACAGATCTATCAATTGTGATATCGGTTTTGGAGATGTAACTCAAAGTAACCGGCCAAATTTACCAGAACCCACATATAAAGCAATATGCATTTACTATGGAAATAGACTATGGGGAATGGTAGATGATAGCAAACATGGATAGACAATTTACTAACCTACATTTCTTCTTAGATATGAGCTTGGTCTTGCGTGAGTGAAGGATGTAGTTACTCTATTGGCAACCCATATTGTTAAGTCCTTCTACCATTGGCAAACCTAGTTCAGAATATTCCATATTATCATCATACTTTATGAGTGAATAATAAGTAGCCTCCTTCTCAACTAATTCCATTTGCGCTATTCCTTGAAAAAGGTCGGTGCATGGGGCAGATTATCTCTACGAGCAAGAAGTGTTTTGGAAATGTCAGCAATATCGGCTCTAACCCCTATTGATGTACTATACCAACACAATATATCCAATGAAAATAGTACGCTATGAATCATGAAGAATTGTGTCACATTATCAGAATAAGAATTACTTTACCATCTATCTTCAAGGATGTTTATATCACTGATACCAATAGACTCTATACTTATCAGATATAAGTAGGATAAGACTTTATTATTACTACGAACGTTAACCACTTATTGATCTCTATCACTTCACCACCACTATCACTACTCAGATCTCAAATTCTTCATAGCATTTGTGACTGTTTGAACTATGAAAAGGAGAGGGGGCTATCTTATTCACATGAACCCAAGCATAATTCAATGACTAGAAAATACAATATCGACTAGTCCATTACTAGATCCAGTTTCTTATACAAACGCTCTCAAACAGTCCTAAGTCATCAGAGTCGAAATTGTCTTTATGGGAAAAGGACTCTGAGTGCCCAATCCTCCATTAATTGCAAATGTACGAGTAGCAATCCAAAATATTGCCAAAACTGCAGGCAGCGCTAAAGCTGTTGCAGTTTTTAGTGCTGTTATCTCCAGGATAGCATGTGCCCTGTTCAGAGCCGTCTCCGCCAGCAATATAGAACTTCCAAGAGCCGTCGCCCTGGAGATAAAAGTTCATGTTGCCCACACCGCACATGCCATCAAGCTCAAAGTAGTTGGATCCCGTGGTGTGAATACCAACTGTTGGCGTCTGCCCACTAATGACATGGCCGGCGCGGTCACCGTTCATCAAGCAGTCGCAGTTGTAGTAGTTGGATGGACATGCCATCGTGGTGTCTGAGAGGGAGCCGCCCCATCCAGGAGCAATAGAGCATGGGCCTGTCAGGATATGAAAGTCGGCTGCGACAGAGCTGGCAAAGCCTAGAATGGCGAGGAAGTGATTGGCTGAGCACTTCATTTTGAATTAAAGTATATCGGATATCAGAAGAAGGGCAATGGACCCTGGGTAATGTGAATAAATGAGGAGTTGGCGATGTCGGCTGTTCTTCTCTTCGTTGTCTACAAAGAGGGAAGAGACCTCCTTTTATATTTCTTTTTATCATAGCCGAGACTGTAATGCGCTTGTGAAATGGCCCCGCGCGCCTTCCAAGCTTCTAGAAGCCATCTCTCCAACACAGCGTCTCCGCCTCAGATCGAAAAAGCATATTCGTAACTAGAATTTACAATGCATAAGTGATTCGCTTAGGTCAAGCCATCTTACCTTCTCAATATGGAAGGCAGGATGGTCAGACGGTTCGTCGGCTCAGCCAAGAACTTTGATGTATCATGGCGGACACTCGGGTTCCGCTAGATTAGCTGGAATAGAAAAGGACCAAAGCTCAATTGCGGCAGTTAGGCCAGCATATGGAGACATTGGGCTCCCAGGGCCTTCATCTATATGTACGCTCATCCATGATTTGGATACCTTGTACCCCGATAATTGGTGGAGAGAAAACATTGCCACCAAATTTGTATATGATAGGCGGCGCTTTTCTTTCCACCCTTGTCCTAGTAGTATTACTACCTATTTTGTGCTATGTCTCACCACAGTTACCACAGCGCCCAATGCCAAGCCTGTAGATCTTGCCAAAGTCGTAAAAGCGTAGATATGCTAATGCGATACGGGTACGCGTAGCTAGGTTGTGGTAAGTAATCAGCCGGGTAGACGTGGGGATATAGTGACAACACCCAATTTGGGCCCTAGACTTACCAAAGTCAACAAGATATGCTTCATGTAGAATAATGGATCAATCTTGGCCAAGTAGGTTTATTGAGACACATCAAAGGTATACAGAGATAGAGCAACACTGGCCTATTTCCCACCAGTGAATATACATAAATACAAAACAATACTTCAGGCGGAAAACTCAAGACTCATAGAGTAAAATTAAATTAAATTAACTTGGAATTTAAAATTAGCTTAAATAGAAAATGACTGGCGATAAATATAGTGGTGGTTGTTGTGATATTCAAGCGAACTAATTAGCCCATTTGAGCCTTACTATTTCTTGTTCGTCAGCCGTTATTATATATTCGGCGTATTTGGGGCATATGGAAGGATTCTGATTAATGGATACAACCCCTCATATGTACTCCGTACAATTCGAGCGAATTATGCTTTCGGGGTATCCTCCGAACGAACGTAGTCCGAATAAGCACATGCCTAATGAGTGCTCCGCATACACCTATGGGTTACACAAAAACATAAGCCTACAGTTGACTTGAGAGTCTGCTCCTGGCTTAGCGTTATGCACTGGTTTCTAGAACCAGAAGCGAAGAAAGAAATGACATGGGTCATTTCAATGACTGATACAGTGATGTCCGATGTCCCGTCCATTCATTGTGTCGTCATTCGACAAACTTCTACATCCATAAGCCTGAAAATAAGACCCAAATAACTCAGCATCAGGAAGTATGCATCCTTGCTCCTAGGAGCGTTACAAGTAAAAGTCTGATGCTACCTATATATCGCCAAAGGGAATTTGCAGAATTAGCTGACATCCAAAACGGAAGGTCGCTCTTTGAACCTTCGCATCAATGATCACGCAAAGGAAATGTACGATATACCGTCTCATCTATCATTAAGAGTCGCGTGATATTTTTCTTCGTACGGGCTGTAAAGTCTAACCTACAGCGCATTTGGGAAAGATCTACTGCACAATTAACCTATACTATTTGCGATTTGTATTATTGGAACGCTTAGAAGTTGCTACTATCTGCCGCAAATGTATATTGAAGCGGTGGCAGTGCAGTGTACAGTTTTCCATAGAAACTATTTTCGAAATACTCCGTTGATGCTGAACCTTGACAAATTTAGCAAGGACATATTCTGTATAAATTTATATACCCAATTTCCTTCATATGCTTACGCCTCCACTTATAGAATCAAATCATTTGCCTAGTGTATTAGCCAAGACTATTGCCAAGCACCCGTTCTGTATATAGCTTGTTGGGGAGTCGAAACCTGCGCTCATTTTGAACATCTTATTCATGCAACACCGTACTATTGGCCATTCCGAATATTAATCATTCGTTAGAAATCCTAGCGGTTAGATATCCTTACGTAACTGTGCATGCCTATGGCTATTGTTTGCCGATAATACCTCCGTAACTCCCCGGGTGATTATTATTGGCATGTCGCTCACCAACATAAATCAGTTAATCGACATACATAGACAGGCATAATAGTACAACTATCTTTTCAAAGGCCCAAGGGCACCTTTGAGGTAGACACGGCAACTTGGGCCCAATCATACAGCAGCAAAGTCGGATATATGATAAAACAGAGAGGGACATACATGCTATTAGCTGTTCTGTATGCGTGCAGCTAACTGTAAAACAAAGGTGATGCAAAAAAAGATAGATATAAGTATATAATTTCTAAACGTTTTAATTTATATTAATATTAAATATTGTATTAAGTATAGGCTCGTGTATACGTGTATATTTGGCCTTTCCCCTTTCAGGCGTTATGCATCGAATTAGTAAACTTTCAGAAGATATACTGAAGATCGATGCGGATGCAGTTTATGCGTATTGGTAGGCTTAAATAGAGAAATACTACTCGTGGAGTAACATTTATTGATATCCTAGCGGAGTATCAATAATAATGTGGATCCGAAGAGAACAGGAAAGATCGCCCGGCTTCACAGAAATTGAAGAAATAGGCTTTGCAGGTTGATACCTTTCACCTACTGACCCAATTGGGTTCTTTGCCATCTCCCGTTCCCAAAATGCTGTGTTGCTCACTATGGACTCTACATTAATTCATGCTTCACACACTACCGGATCAAAGCACATGTAAGGTGTTCATGTCAATATACAAGATGTCTTTGGGTATAAGTTGAATTGGCAATCATGCAAACGGACTTGTAGCGCGCAAATAGCAAATGTATACTTTGGTATAATGACATAGTACGGCTACATATGTAGCTACTGCATATTACTCAGAGAAATCAGTTAGGGTTAGAGTCCACGTCTGCCGTTATAAGGCCGCACGTCTCGTTAACTTTTCCTACATCAAGTTCAGATCTTGTTGTATCTTGATATTCGTTGCCGTCTGGCCATCCGCTGCCCTGGTTCTTTCGCGCTCAAGTGGATACATCTGCGAAGCCATGTTGTATAAATGAACTGACTCAACCAACCACAAAGCCATTCGCTCATGAATTGTAATAATAGTGTGGAACATCTTTAACTAGATTTGCCAATGGTATAGGGACCCAATAACATGGTGTGCTAATACTAACAAATTCACTACATCCTTTACACCCCCAAGACTAATTCTTACTTCCAACACCACTAGATCAAAGCATATGCAAGATGCACAAATCAACATTCAATACAGCGTTGGGTATAAGTCTCTTCTTCATCGTGATTCTTGCTCCAAAACGTTACATTCCCAAGACTAATCCGTCCACTTAAAGGTGCTTGGCAAAGAAATCAGCGGCCTGCTTGTAGCCGCGCTCAAACTCCTTGACGTTCTCCTCGTTCTTCAGGTCAGATCTGGCGCCCATCCAGCCGTGGTGCATAGTCTCATAAGTGGTGGCCTCGACCTTGTCGCCCATAATTTCCTTGTACAAGGCAACCTTATCTGCGGGCTCGTCCTTGGAGGCAAGCAGGATGTGAGGAGCCGTCTGGGCCTTGGCATCAGCCTCATCAAGCAAACTATTCGAATCGACCTTGGTTAGCAGAGACGGGGGAGGCAGAAAAGTTGCGTTATTGCAGGAGACCATAAACACTCACCCAGGATGAGCGGTTCCACTGGCTACGAATCGTCGGCCAACGCCCTCGTTGCCCGCTCCGCAAGCCAGAACAGCCAGCTTGCCACCCCAGCAGAGGCCAAAAAGTCCCCAGTGGCCCTCGATGGCAGGGTACTTCTCGGTCAGCTCCTTGCGGAGAGCCAGAATCTTGGCTACGTTTGCCTCTGGGTTTGCCTTGGTGGCGAGGAATTCGTACAGCTTCTTGGTCTTCTCCTCTGTGTCATTAGGGATGACATTTATGTCTAGACCGGTGCCATCAAACAGGTCAGGAACCAGAACCAGAGCACCACTCTGAGCGGACAGACGGTCAGCGCCCTGGATGGTCTGAGGCCAAATGCCAAAGATGTCATAGATATCGACAATTCCCTTGGTAGCATCCTCAGATCCTACAATGTCTATGGTGTGATGTATCAGGAAGGCTGTTGATATGTCTCAGGAGGCTCATTGAAGGAAGCTCGTCTTACAGGTGTTGATGCCGGCAATCTTTTCGTATTTGCCCTTGGGGGTGTAGTCGGCAACGACCGGAGCCAACTTGCAGCATGCCTCACTAGCCATGGTGTTTAATGCGAGTTAAAGACTGAAGAAGAAGATATTATGGTATAGCTGTATAAAAAGGCTCTGGGGCTTGATGAGTTGATAGCCATGGTGGACTTCATCTTGGTCGCCTATATATATGTATCTGGACCTCTTTTTTCCTCAGGTGGGGCCTATGCGGACAAATTTCACACTTGGAATCGAGTAGCGCTGCTTCATGGTCGCAAAATAGGATCTTCAAGCACAATCGAGAGCTCGGATTGGCGGTTCAAGGGCTCCATTCTGGAGGCATTGGATCTTGCCGATGATTTGGGCGGCTTCGGTGCCGATCCGGCAAAATGGAGGTGAGTGGCATAGACTGTTAGCGGAGCTGGGATTAATATCCGGGAGGGGCCCGACGATAGCGAGTCGTGTAACTCGTGGTGTCAATCTGCGGGTTCACGGCGGGATTTATAGAGGATTTTTGATAGTGTTTATAGTGTTTCTCAACGTCTTGATCTAGTGGCTTTGGCTCTCAACTGCAGCGAGTCTTGTCGTTGACGCACAGCAAACCTAACGTTCAGGCACCGACCCGAAAAGCACTAGCCGATCACCGTAAAGGAATATTTTCTTACAAGGGCGGGGTCGCTGTTTGATCCTTTTTGGTGCCCCTCTTTTAGCGTGGAACAGCCAGCGAAGTGGAAGCTGAAGCCTCGATAAAATCGGTTGATTCCCATACAAGCGGCAGTGCTGTCGGTACATAGTCTACGGATTGTTATGTTACCGTAGTCCGTGGAAAAGGAAGAGAAATCTTGGGATTTTCCTTAATTCCGTGTTATCTCCGTGCAATCAGCCTCGTCGGCAGTTGCCAGATACCACCAATGTATAAAAGCCTGGTTTGTATCGGGTTTAAATGGTTTTAAGGGAAGCGAGTATCTTTGTGAATTTCATGCTTATATGTCTATTGCTTAAAGATCATGATGCCCGTTCTCGCATGATACCTCTATAGGGTACATTATAGTTGCAAAGTTTTAGACATTCTCATCGCTCATTTACTTCCCTATTGCAGTCTTCTATCGCTCACAGTTACATCACCGCACTGTCACCTCACTTACGTCATTCACTGTTACCACTGTTACCATTGATAGGCTCATAAGTCGCCTCGCGTCAATATTCACATCTAGAAGTCATGATAATGTAATTCCACATCTTGGCCCATGTTATCTGAAATGCCATACCTGGTTCAATTTGTTATATTCCAAAAACATGTCAGATCAAGCCTGGAAAACCAAACCCCCGTATCAAAAGCCCGACCAGTCCTTCAACAAGGTGTTGCAAGGCGCTTGTCATTGCGGCCAAGTAAAATATTGGCTGAGTAAAGATAGTCCACTTGCCTCCAAGTACTGTCATTGCAATGACTGTAAAGTTATCCACGGTATATTACTGCTCCTCACACATTTTTCCTCCTAGCTTTTGCTGCCTTGCTTGTGACTCAAGATGCTCATACGAAGCCAAGGCGCCCCTTTTCAATGGGCAGCTATATTCCACAAATCAAACATGGCATTTGAAAACGGTATCGAAAACTTGCGCTTTTACAACTCCGGTTCCAAGTCGTTGGAACACGAGTTACCCTGCAAAGTGAGCTGCTCCCAATGCGGGACACTTATCATGGATGAAGGGCGGAACATGGCATTGCTCTTTCCAACGCTCTTGCTGTTCCAGAATGAAACACAAAAGAAGAAATTTGAGGTTCAGTATGTAGCTCTGCACGTTTGCTTTGAGGAACATATATCTGACACTCCACATGCAGATGCCATATCTTCTACCCTCAGAGGGTCGTAGACTTACCGGACGGTAAGCCAAAATGGACAGGGTTAGATGGCAAAAGCGAGCTAGTGGACGAAATCTAACTCGCCCTAGTCGACAAATGCAATGCTTTCTTCATCGTTGGCGCCAAGATAGTTTGCTTCATGTTTTCCCATAGCATCAATGGTTCAAATAAAATCACCCATATCCAATCCCGTAGAGGCAAAGGGCCTGTAATCCGGCTCTCTTGTCAATCATAAAATAAAAAAAACATCCTTTGCGCGCCATTCGAGAGCGTGTTTCTTGAAAATTCTTCTATTCCCATTTCTCATGCATGGATAATATGTACACTTCGTTTCCTCGTCCTCCCAGCAGCGTCTTAGTTGCTTCGCGCGCCCTCTTTTGACTCCCGCAGCTCGTTCATCTTCGCAACTCGCTTCTTGAACTCGACGTACTGGCACTTCTCGTAGCTGTGTCGCTCGTCCTGATGTCCCCGGCAGGGATGAATTAGCGATTTTGCTCGTTTGCTCCTGGAGCTTCCTGCTCCCTCGCCGCTCATCTGCTGCAGCTTCCGGCTGGGTAAACGTACCGTGCACTTCCACGGAGCATACCAGGTCTCTCTTCGGCACTTGTTGAGGGGGATCAGAAGGTGGGCGCAGCTATCTCTGTAGGCGAGTGGGAGACGAGCATCGCGCATCTCCTCGCGGGTCGCCTCTGCGGTAAAAGTCAGCCGTTACAGATCGCCTTGGGAGGGCCTCTAGAAGGACACGAGAGCGCTTGCACTTACGCCGCACATCTGTAGCCGCGTCGGAAGCCATTCTTGCGGTTCAATTGGCCTTCGATGATATCGTGGGATGAGGTTATACAGATGCCGCAAGGTCCTGTTCGGGTGAAGGCCGGCCGCTAGCCGTGGCTTGTTTCGGCCTTGGAATTTAGGCGCCAACTTTGGTCTTGTGAGGATGTACCATGTACCGTCTACAAGAAGGCACTAAATGATCACAAAGCTCACAACCTCCATCAGGCAGTGAGTAGAACTTTTGCTTGTGTCTATGTTTTATTTGCATAGAAAATATCGCGATGAAACAATTTCATTATTGTTATTATTTTGTACACTAATTGTCTGAGTTGTCTTTTAACCATCAAATTGTTATGGAACTCTCTCTTATATGGGCGTCCGATCCACCAGCCCAACACAGATAAGCAGCACTTCAAACATCACATCGTGAATCAAGCCATGCCAACACGACAAAATCGATCCTGAAACATGACGTTGCCCAGCTATGAGTAACATCTCTAGCCTCACCACAGCTCTCCTCTCTCGGTTCCCAATCGCGCGCCGCGACAAAAACTCCCAAACGCGCATCCCGCGTCCACCGCGCACCAAATTAGGCTGGTGTACAGCACATGATTGGCTCACAGCTGCCCGCTACTGCACCGTGAATCTCGTCGCTGCCCAAGGCCTCGCTTGATTCACGGCACAGCAAATGGCCACCACTCAGCTTGGATCAGAAACATTCAAGTATGTGTCATCTGCTTGTAGTTCATGCATGTTGGGTGCTTTCGCGACGCGGCCACGCCTGGTGCGGGCCAGTAGATGGCTTCGTCGTCTCTGCAGCGAGCGCGTTTGCCGTGAACAATGGGTGGGAGGTTGGGCCGAGATGCATCGCAGGTTCAAGTATATAATTAGAGAGAATACAATCTTTAAACGTGCTTCTTTCTTCCCTCGGCTATACAATATCATTTCTGTACAACTCTCTCTTTTTGGCTATTTTCGATCTTGCTCGCAGCTTTCTATTCACTTGCTTCTCTCATTTTAATCTGCACCTGTCCGTAACCGATTCGCTCTTTCATCCAGTCAATCATTCGCTTCATCATATTGTATTATCACTGCGCCATTCGTTCATTTCAGCGACATCTTGTTTTCGACATCAGTATACACACTTAATAATACCTTTACTCAACAACTCTCAATCATGACATCTCAACCTGACGACATCATCGCTTGGCTCGTCCCAACAACCCATTACTCCTGGGCCGACAAATCTACTCACATGCCCGAAAACGCCTCTCGCATCACCTCCACAACTTCAAACTCATATCTCTCATCTCGCCTCTCCGGCCTCACAAGCCACAGCTCTGGGAGAGCCATCCAACTTACCTTCTCACAACCGCCTAAGCGACCAGGCAGTTTTATCCTCGGCACAGACTCGAGAACCTGCGACATAATCTTACCAAGCATGGAGGGTATATCGAAACATCACTGCGCAATAAGCTTTGATGCGCAATCAAGACTCGTACTCAGCGACTTCTCAGAAAAAGGAACACAAGTATGGTACGACTGGGAAAGCAATGGCGACAGAACGGACTACTCGTGGATCCTGAGCAGTGGGTGCTCTGGAGAGTTCCCCAGCATGGTGCAGCGCACTATTGTTGACATCCAAGGAGTCCGATTCCAAGTCGTCGTAAATGATCGTTCAGAGGACTGGAATACTTTCAGAGAACAAGTCGACCAGTTTTGTGAGCAGCCTAGCTGGGAAGATGCCACTTATTGGGCTGATTTCTCATCGTTATTGCCATCAGAAATGTCTCCATTCCAGCACATTTTTGTGAAAAACACAACAAGTGAATCTGCGGAAGAGCTCTATCTTTGGAACCTGGAACGACCGTGGGAACCTATGGTAAAGGCATCGGCATAAAACAGAACTTTAGAAATGGGTATGGATTGCTCATTCCTCGGCATACATAGCGTAAACATCTGATGCTTAGCAATGGAATACTTTTTTGCTTCCTATTAATTCTCAAATCATGATCGCTCAATAATATTGTGACAAGCCCCCGTCTAAGGAGGGTATCATAACAAACTCCAAAAGCATGCCCCCCCGTTACCAAGGTAGTTCACCTCCTCTACAGCCACTCGACGTTCCAGCCCATAATTTTCACAAGTTGCCCCTTACTCCGCGGCCGCCACTGCTTCCTCAGCCGGCCTCTCTGTCTCGTCCATAAACCGTGTCATGGCAAACTCTGGCGCTCTTCTTCGGTGGGCGTTGCGGCCCTTATTTCCCCTCCTCAACGCAGCTGTTGCGGCTTCCTCTCTTACAAGAGCTTTCTCAGCCTCCTTATCAAGCATGGTGCCCTCCAGACTGAGGTAACTCGTCTCGCCGCTAACACCGACATCGAAATTGCGAATGCGGAAGCGAATCTTGCCCTTAACTTTCTTTCCGCTTCCATCAACCCAGAAACCGGTGCTGTGAATCTGGCGCACTACTCCATGGTCGTCGGCGGTAATCACTGATGCAGTCTCTTCCATGCCATGGGCCTCCGGATCCTCGTTGGAGACCCATTTCCAGGCAGATGGCAGACGTCTAGCTTCAATCGATGCGTTGAATTGGCCAAAGCAAACGACACCAATGTGGCCTTCTGTCTGGAGATTGATGCTGCCTTCCATCCAGGCACCGCGGCTAGGAACGAACAGCTCGACTTCGGCGGTGATCCAGCCAAAACCGACGGCGTACTCGTTGACGGATTTCAGGATGCTTGGGTCGTCGTCTGATGTTGCAGCACCTGTGCGCCCCGGGTTCTCGCCCAGCGCCACATTCTTGTAGCTAATGAGGACGCCACGCAGAGAGGGAACGTATTTGTTCTTGAGATGCTGTAGGTGCTGGTACTCGCTGCTCGTTACTGGCTGTGACCAGCCGGTGGGGTATATGGGTTCGTAGAGAGAAACTGTCTGGCTATAGAATGGGAACTGAGGTTTGGCGGGCATGTCGGGGGGCTGGTATATTCCAGAAGATGTTTGTTGCTCAGAGGCCTGGTCGACATCCATTGCGCTTGCATCGGCATCGGCATCGGCATTGGCATCGGCAGCTGAAGGCTTCTCGGCTTCCTCCTCGTCTTCGTCCGCATGCTTCTTTGACTTCTTCTTCTTCTTCTTCTCTCCACTAGCATCCTCCGCATCATTCTCCTCTTCTTTCTGCTTTTTCTTATGCTCCTTTTTCTTCTTCTTGTGCGCTAACTCATCATCGCCAGCTGCTAATTGAGAGGCCTCGGGTTCGTCATCTCTGTTTTCCTCGACAGATGCGCTCTTCGATTTCTTGTGCTTGCGGGTGCCGTCGGCAATTGCTTCTTCGTCTCTGTCGCGCTTCTTTTCTGATTTGGATGCTTTATCTTTCTTATGCTTCTTTTCTGGCTTTGAAATCGCCGGCTCGGGCGACGCAATTGAGGCGGACATTTTGTCGCAAACCAGGCCGTCGAACCAGGACTCGCTGTGGATTGAATAAAGCTTTGCTCTGCTAGGGAAATTTTTTTTTTCTTGGGCGAACTGCAGCGGCTTATCTTATCGATTATCGCGCTGAATGGCGGGGCGATTGATAGCTATGGCGTGCATTAGCACCTGGGAATCTTGGAACAATCTCGTAGATCTCGTCTTCTGCAGCTGTTCAAAATACTTTGATAGCTAGCAGTGATTCTAAATTTTAAATTCTAATGGAGTCTTTCCCTTATAGAATTTGTAGTAGCACAATAGCTCGGGGTGATGTACAGACACCTCTTTTGCAAACCTGCACCCTATCTTGCACTAGTACCAGCAGAACTTGGCAATGCTTAATTTAGGCTCTGCAGCTACAGCTCATTTTCCGAGACTTCAGAACAGGTTCAAACTTGTGGACATTCGGCTCGCATCCGAGATGGTTCTCGGCTGACACTTGTTTCCACGAATTGTTGCATATTGGGGCTGTTTCGGCTGCCTCGAGACCCCGCAAGACGTTCATACCAGACTACGTCTTCCATTTTTGCAGCCGAAAACTGGCGTCGTTTACATGCATAATAAAATACACACTTGGTCAACTATTACTAGCCTTGACATGTCGATGTTTAGCTTCATGTGGGAATGTACATAATATAGCAGCCCAAATTCCAGTTCACTAATAGGCGGGGTCTATCGTTGCTCGGATCACTGTCTATCCGACGGATAACGAAGTAGAATCCACTTGAAAGTTTCAATAAAGGGGCCGTTTGACCACTAAAGAACAAATTAAGCCACCATCGAATGTCACTTGATGGACTGATGTCGTTTGCTCACGGGGACCCTCAGAGTTCTATTTCTCGAGTCCGCCGTTCGTTGGAGACAACCCCGATGCCAGTTCCACCAGCGTCGTGTTCGTACAAGCGCGATTGAAGAGCTATCATGTTGACTAATTGCCCGGGCAACTTCCGGAAGAGACCCTCTACGAAAGCAACGAATTCTAGGAAGCATGTTCTTATTTCTTGTTCCAAACATGTAGATGGTTGCCAACTTGCACTGCTAAGAATCATTTTTCTGCTGAGACTGTGTGATCTCAGAGGTTGCCTAACAAGTCAATAGTGTCAAAAGCACTGTTCCATGCCTACTCAAAATTTTCTGTTGGCTCATCAGCGCTTGTCATGCATATTCCTTGTTCACCGATCTTGGCATTGCCGGTTTAGAACCACCTCTCGGGTTTCTTCCAGGCTTGGCCCCATTATGCTTGGGAACTAAGGCCATGGCTATACCAACACGACCGGCGAAGAGTCCGAATGCGCTCTAACGGACGGAGCAGGTGCGTAAAAATTGGTGGCCATGTGGCACCCGATCCACCATCGTCGTCAGTGGTGTTTTAATCATTTATCAATCAGCGCCAAGAGTTATCAATCAGATAAGATCCCCGCTCGCATGCATTTCTTTAAAGGCGCCGATCATCACTCGCGATCCTGCTGAAGCGTCTGGTTGCTTTACTCCTTCCAGTCAACTGCCGCTGGTCAATCTCGCCAGTTTCTTCCATTCTTTGTGGGTGAAATAATATTGCACATCATGGGCGATGAAGAAAAGAATCCCACCGTCGCCGATGTGTCGGTTGGTGACGAGTCGGACACCATATCAGAGCGGCAGCGAAGTAGCAACATCCCATGGAGTATGAAGATTCTCTCCGTCGTACTCGTAAGCTTGGTTGGCTTTGGCTCTCACTGGAGCAGCGGAGTGACAGGAGCCATGAAAAGTACCTTGAAGAAGGTTGGTTCTGATCAAAATTTTTCCTCTTGTTAACATATTCTGACCAGATCTGTAGGAGCTACACATCAATAATGCTCAATATGCAACACTGGATGCAAGCGAAAACTTTATCAAAACAGCTCTGATTCTCGTCAGTGGCGTCGTTACAGATCGAATTGGTGGTGCGAGTAAGTAGCATCATTTTCTCTGCTTCCATCACTGAGGTTCATTTTCTGACTCTCCAATCTTCAGGGGCAATGCTTTGGGGCAATGCTATATATAGCATTGGGGCAATTCTCATTGCGGCAGCCACCCAAGTCCGCAGCTTCAAGTTCATGATAGTTGGCAGCGTTGTTCAAGCCCTTGGAGATGTTGCCACGCAGTGCGCCCAGTACAAAGTTTTCTCGTCTTGGTTCGCTCCCTCGAATGGATTCGCTTCCACACTTGGGTTTGAGCTGGGTCTTGGCAAGATCGGAAGCTTTGTTGGCAAGGCATCCGCCAATGTTATTGCAAAGAGAACAGGAAACTTCAGCTGGGTGTATTGGTGTGCAGTGTTCATCAACCTCTTCACCAATGCGGTAACTGCTGTTTTCTACATTTTCACAAATTACTGTGAACGGCGCTATGCTGGCACCAATGATCCGGCAACCGGTGAAAGATTGACTGAGAAGAACAAAAAGTTCGAATTCACCAAAATGCTGAGGCTGCCTTGGCCATTTTGGCTTGTAGCACTATTTTCGCTCTTTCAAACTTCTGTTGCCAGTGTTTTCTCCTCCAATGCCACAGAATTCGCCCAGAAACGGTTCAATATTTCAGCAGTCACTGCAGGCTGGTATTCAGCCATGTCACAGTATCTCGGCTTTTTCTTGGTACCAATCTTGGGTGTCTTCATTGATATACTTGGTCAGCGGAACACCATTATGTTGGTTTGCGGTTCCGGTATGCTCCTCTCGATGTGTCTTGCCGCTTTTGGTCCTACAGTGGGAGGAACCGCAGCCAGCTTCGGCATTTACGCGTTTGCAGCGTCTCTTGGGCCAACAGTCATAATCGACAGCATCCGAACAAGCATGTGGTACCAGGAAGTATTTGGATCTGGCTATGCCATCAAGATTGCCATCAACAACAGCATGACCATTATTATCGGTATCGTCGCAGGTGTTATCCAGGATCATGATAATGACAGCTACAACAGGGTCATTATTCTCTATGTCGCGCTTGCGGCAGGCTCTGTTGTAGTGGGTATGATAATGGTCGGAATGAGCTTTGTTAGTCCCACCATGGACAGATTACAATGGACGCGCAAGCAAAGAATTATCAGAGGCGAAAAGATTAACGCTCTCAAAGAAGAGTTTGAGGAAGGCAAAAATCGAAAACGACACAACAATTTTAGCTTGTCTTGCTTCGTCGCTATGATAGTTCTACTATTGGGAGCCTGGGCAACTTACTTCTGGGGAGTAGCTACAGGGAACAATAACTAACTCACGAATAATGAAATTTTATGAATAAAGAGAGCAAGAATATTAGACAGCACTTTTAATAGTACTTATTTTACTAAATAATAAGTAGATCCTAAGTTTTAAGAGTATTACTATGCTTCATATCGCTTCATGAATTTATGATTCCCATCTCTATTATTATTATACTATTTAGCTTCAATCTAGTATGCTTCCACATATATTCAACTATCCCGTCCGAACCGTAGCAAGAAGTTATTTTGTCTATTTATGCTATCAAAATAAAGCGTCTCTCCGCAGTGGCCTTCAATGGCGATACAAATCTAAACCCAAGAAGGGCAAATGTCCCTTATCTCAAGGAGGCGTTTAACATTGATCATGACTTACTGCTTTTGCGCTCTGGACTGCTTTCTCCAACCAGCGGCAAATTTCCACTGGATGACTGGGCCTAGGAGAGCGACAAACTGAACAATTACGGCGATTGTAAATGCCAGTCCGACACCAATACCATTTACCATTGGCATTACTATACTCGTACCGCCAGCAGCAAAGAGACATCTAGCAAGATTCAAACTGGCACTTGCAGCGGCGCTCCGGTCCGAAAAGATATCAACAAGATATGTCATGATAATAGATTGAGTAGAGACGGCGGTCCAACCTGTGATGAAAGTAGAGATGATTGGGACAGCAATGTGCACACGATGAGGGTATTGAATCGTCCAGCCGAATAGGAGGATAGACAAACACTGGATGATAGAGAAGACAGGAACTAGGCGAAGTCGGGCTTTCTCAATGGGAAAATCGTCTTCGGTTTTGGAGATGGAATGTGTAGTATCACTGCCATTTTCAGCATCTCCTTGGACCATTTGTGCATCATAGGCGGCTTTAACTCTTTTATAGTCCTTGTCGAGGATTTTGCCAGTGATGAGCGTCCCAATCATAGAGCCCACGCCGTTTGCAATAAATGTCAATCCAATTTGCGTCTCCTTCAATCCATAATGTTCTTTGAAGAGGGTAGACATAGCAGTGATGCTCATTTGCCAGACAGCGTAGTAGATTGAGAGGAAAACGATGATAGGAGTCGCATGTTTGCTGATGAGGATGTGAAACGGTCCCAAAATATCAATGCGCTTTTTTGCGTCGGGTGCTGCCGCTGATGTTTCGCGGTTCCATTCAATCTTTGACAATTTCTGATACATGTTAAGGGGGTATCTCCCTATTAGAGACGAGGGAGTCCGACTACCATTGGCGACAATGGAGCGTAGTGTTTCCGGGAGAAGCAGTACGAGAACAAGTAGAAAGCCACCGCCATAGGCAGTAAGGAACCAGAATATGGCCCTCCATCCTAAGGATCCAGCAATAGCACCTCCAATCACAGGGCCGACGGCAACAGGAACGAGTAGGCCGGCCTGAAATATACCCATGAGGCTTCCGCGATTCGCGCGAGTAGTGACATCTCCAATTACACCCGATCCAATGGCAATCGTACTAGCGCTACCAGTGCTCTGAAGGCATCTGAGGACGATCAATGTGGCGTAGTTTCTTGTATTCGCAAGGCCAATGCATGCCCCTATAAAGACGAGAAATGTGCAACAGTATGCCACACGACGGCCTTTCACATCGGATACAGGACCCCACAGACTTGGAGCGATTCCTTGGAATATCAGATAGGAAGTGACAGTAAGATTGACGAGTTCGACGGAAACATTGAGGTCGTGAGCAATGGTTGGTAGTGCTGGAAAGTAAATGTTGGATGCGAATCCGGAGACTGCAGCATAGAAGCTATTATTAGTAAGACGAAGTTGATGGTTGCAATCTCTAGTAGGATCTGGAATTACTTACAAGTTGCAGCTGTGGAGACAATTACTACGATTAATGCCCTTTGCCGACCATCGAAAATACTATAAGGCTCGGTTGCGTCTGTACCTGATGGTGGTGTTTCTGGCGTGGGTGGTGTTGTTTCAGGATCTTGGTTATCTTTCAATGTAGATGACATTTTTGTTTTTGATTTGTATTTTCTGACTTTGGAAGCTTACAATTTATGATTTCTCCAAGATGCTAAAGGATTCGGCGATTCTATATATCTTTTCCAAGGGGCGAATCTCAAGACAGATCTCGGAACTGAGGACCGTATATCGGAGTTGATCACGGAGTTGATCACGGGGTTCACGGGGTTTACGGAGTTGAAGAAAGTTCTAGTATATGGGTATCTAGCCATGATCCACTATTGAAACGAGAGTTTAGTTATGCCTCAAGCCTTGAGTTCCGGGTTCGTCCGGAGTTCACATCATTTACCCTAGATGCATTCTAGAGCTCTACTGCAGTGAGAGCATAAAGATGGGTCAAGATAGAAAGTTGTATGCTCGTTTCAACGAACATACCATATTCAAACCGTTAATATCATCCCGTCCATCAAAATGGCCCCTATACAGTCCAACGGCACCTGCAGCCCCTTAACGTTTGGCAAAAGATATGCCATCCTGAATCTCGATTTTATGACTATTCTATTCGATATTGCCAAAACTACGCCGGAAGGACAACAATTCGTGTCAAACTGCACTCGTTGGGTCGACGCCTTGCATAAGCGAGATTCTCGACCTTTGAACATCTTCACAACTCTGTACTTCACTAGCCCTTCTCAGGCCGAGCTTCCCAATGAAGCACCGTTTACTAAATTGGTGAATGGTTTTGCCACATTCAACGAGCACAGTCCCATCGTAAAGGTACCTTCGTACCTCAATATTGACGATAAGGACATTGTGCTCCAAAAGATACGATGGTATGGAGGTGCGGGAAATGCCTTGGAAGAGATTCTCCAGAAAAACAACATCGACACCGTTGTCATCGTGAGTTAAATGTACCAAGTCCTGATGATAAGCATTGATGAACTGACGAATATTCGTCAACATAGTCTGGACTTAGTCTCTCCGGTGTCGTCATGAGTACAATCTATCGGCTATTTGATCTGGATTACAACATCTATGTGATTTCGGACAACGTGCTGGAGCTTCCGGTTCAGCATCATGAACAGTTTTCTGCCGTGTTACTAGAATCTTTGATGCCAAAAATGAATCTCCGGGTCATTACGCTTGAAGAAGCCCTGCAAGCCTTAGAACACTCCTAAAACAGGCCGTAAACCGACATGTATGTAGCAAAGGGTTATTATCTTAATGAAATTAATTCTCCTCCATTCACCACTTCTATATTTCTATCCATGTCCTATAGTTTTATCAAAGTGATCAAGTTGGATTTAGCTGACCACAATTTGTACACAAGTTTCTACTCTTCCAAAGTCAAAACAGAGATTTTCTAGGCCTACATTATCATGCCATAAGTCTTCTACAAGCCACCCATATTTAACATACAGTCTCAACACTGTATAAATACTGTACGCTCTCAACTCTTCTGCTGCAAAAACGGCAAAGGTCCCTCAGGTACCACTATAAACTTCCAGCAATGAAATCGACGAGATACGCAACTTCTCGGCAAAAGGCTTGCCAGCAGTGTTCAGTTGCCAAAGCACGATGCGACCGCAAAGAGAGATGCTGCTCACGATGTGCTCAGCGAGGCCTGTCTTGTGTCTATGTGAACAATACAGGCGGCCCAGTTCCTTTCTCCAGCAGCTTTGCGCGCAGTTCTGGCGGTCCTCTGCTTAGTCCTGAGCGCGACGATGTGTCAACGCAAGGGACTCCTCAAGATCCACCGACGCCTTCAATTCATCCGGCCTTGGCTGACAGTAGGTCCATCGTTGAGTTTTCGCCAAGCATTCCTGCTGCTGCCGCTATAAGACCTCAGTTGCCGGTTACGCAGCCTTCAGGTCCTGTATTCACGGCTCCAGCGCTGCCGCCAGACATTCTCGAGTTTTCTAATCTCGATCTTGTTTGTCCAATTAATGCCGAGGAAATCAGCAACCGCTGGCTCAATGCGTACATTCCCATTCCCGGTCAAAGTGTCAAAAACTACCCGCCTACGGTATCGGCCTTCATCTATCGCATCTTAAAGTCGTACACTGGGATGGCCATACATGGCCGTGGATTCCCGCCATTTGTACATGTCTCTCAGCTGACTGGACTGAGTCAACCGCTCGCTACTTGTCTGAGCATCATACGCATATGCGATCGGCCTTTACTGGGCAGTGAAAACGTGACGGCAGAGATACTGCAGAGGGAGATGAATAATCTCTATGACCGGCGTGAAACTTACGACGACTTTTCTCTTCTCAGCGCATTTCAAGCATTTCTCATGTACACAATGGTCTTGTTCTTCAGGCTCAGCCAAGGCACCAATCCGTTTCTTCGCCAGGCTATGATGAATCTACAAGAGTTGGCATGCGTGACATCTCGCCGAGGGCTAATGTGTGTATCTGAGCAGCAACGCACGCGCCCCAAATGGGAAAGCTGGATCATAGCCGAGGCTAAACGACGAACGCTCTACACCATGTATCTCTTTGATAGCGTTATTTCTTCTGAAGATGGCTTGCCGACGTTCCTCGGCACCGAATTGGAGGGATTACCAGCCGCAGCTAGTAGAGCCCTATGGTTTGCTCAGACACGACGGGACTGGGAGGCGGCTTATAATATGCATCTTGCGGAGTGGGTTGAGGGAAGCCTCTGCATTGATGAATTATGGCCCATACCCGAAACATTGAGTGAAGCTCTCGTAGCGAAAAGGCGATACAGGGTGGATAATTGGTTGGAGAATCTGGATGAATTTGGGATTATGCTTTATACAGTAACTAGCTGTACACATGGAGGGTAGTATAGAATTATGTTAAAAATTAATAATAGCCAACGTATTAATGATATCACAGCTGTTGAAGGCGATGGTAGTAATAGAACTAATAGAATTAATATCAGGGATAGAACTAAATATATAATCTAGTTATTGTATTTCCTTTTCTAATACACTATCCCCTTTTCCTTGAATAATTCTTCTACCTTCCCCAATTTTGCAGCGACGGTCCCAGCTGAATAACATCTCCATCCTCATATGTCGTTTCGAATTTGTGCTCGCCATAAAACACAACCAGAGACGAAGCCCTGGACGCCTTAAACGTCACGCCTTCCAACTTTCCTTTATTCCATGCAAAACTAGCCTCTAATCCTCCTCGAATACGCATCCCGCTCACCGATCCTTCTGACCAAGCCGCAGGCAGGGCCGGGAGCAAGTCTATCTCAACCGGTCCTCCTAAGCGAGGCATAATTGACCGTATCAACATCTCAGCAATGGCTGCGGCACCGCCGAAATTTCCATCAATGACGAATATATTCTTCTCGGCACCAGCAACGCCCGGCTTACTGTAACTCAGCAGGTTGTCAAAGCTCAGTTCCCCTACAAGGTGGCCAATTTGAGTGACAGCCTTCTCAGCATCTCCCAATCGAGCATAATTGAGGGCGAAGAGCGCGGCGGTGAACTCAATGTCCTCAAGATCGTCGCGGCCTTGCCTTCGCTCAAGGGACACACGAACTGCCTCTGCCAAATCTGGCTGATGCCTAGCTGAGATCAACGCTGACCGACATAAAGCCATGGTGTGAGACAGATGCCGGTGGTAGGGCTGGGCTTCTTCGTAATCATGCAGCCATTCTTGAAGTTGGCCATTTTTGCCAATTTGGAACGGGGGCAGCTTTGCCTGTACCCTTTGATATTCCTTGACGTCTTCATCCCAAGGGTAGCCTGTAATAGTTTTCAACCGGCCAGCAAAGTACTCGCAGAATGCAAAGAGATCGCGAATTAAGACAACATCAAGAGTCGGTGCCAAGTCGGCAGAGTGCTCTTCCTTTGTGCCATCTGCATTGACAACAAAGAAGCTGTTTTCTGGGCTTACAGATGGACCCGTGAGCAGCCAACCTGTCTTGGGATCCTCAATCATATAGTCAAGCCAGAATTTGGTCGCGCCGAGCAGAAGTGGCCACAAGTCGTTCATCATAAGACCATCATCTAGAGTGTACTCGTACATCTCAATCAGAGGTGCTGCCATCCATAGACCGCCAGTCACATTTAGTCCGTACGATATCTCCCAGCCAGGATCTGTAAAACCCCACGCGTTGCTGAAGACATGAGCTACCCAGCCTTCAGGGGAGCCATAGCAGGTACGTGCAGTCTGTTGGCCTTTTACAGCAATTTTGAGGATGTATTTGTAGAGAGGTTTCAGGAGATCCGCTAGGCCGCTGTTCAGGATGGCAAAGTAGTTCATCTGCGTGTTGATATCGAGATGGTAATCGCAGCTCCAGCCCATCTTGCATGCTTCGCCATCATTCCATAGACCCTGTAGATGTAGCGGCAAAGGCGAATCTTCGCGCGTACCAGCGATTGTAAGGTACCGTGAATAGTGGAAGTAAAGCGCAAACATTCCTGAATCAGTATACCCTGATGATTCAAAGTTGCCTCGACGTTGGTCTGTGGGAATGTTGGAAGTAGCGCTGGATATAGGTCCCAGGGTAATGCTCATCCGACGGTAGAGAGGCTGGTAGTCTTCCAGATGTTCTTTCAGAAGATGGTCAATAGGAAGCTGAAGAGCCTCTTCTATTTGTGCAAGAGTTCTCTCTCTCCACTCGTTGCGTAATTCGTTATAATCAGTATTGAGAGCTGCTAGTATCGTTATGCTCTTATGTGCTGAAATTACGAGCTTGCCACCCCTCTGCTCAACCTTTCCCTCGTCAACCGTTGCTGCGACCATACCGAAGCCTTTGACGCCACAGGTTCCATCACTATGCACAGTCTCGAGAGCTTGCGCATCAAACTCTAGCCTTGTATCTCCGTTTATCTTGGAAGTAAAAGCTTCATTTTCGCCTTGCACGCCGACGGCGATTTCGAGTCCACCTAGGTCATCGCCATCAAATTGTATCACAAGGACTTGATGCGGATGGCTTAGAAAGGATCTTCGCTTATACTGGCGACCGTTGAATTTATATCTTGTTTCAGTTACAGCCTCGTCAAAACGTAATTCTCTCTCGAAATCTTGGATATCGCCGGGATTTCCATGGCCGTTGATACAGATGTCAAGCTTCCCAACTCCAAGGTTGGTTCCAAAATTAATCTTCTTGCTCTCAAGGTACTTCTCTGCTCTTTTCTTGCCTTGAGCATAGTCTCCACTGAGATAACAGTTTTGCGTTTTTCTAACTTCAGCTTTGGGATCTTCAGGACGTTCCGTCAATCCCTCGCCGGCATTCCGAGCTTCTCCAGACCAGAAGGTAACTTCATTCAAGATAAACGTCTCAAGGTCTGGAGAGGAAAGAACTGAAGCAGCAAACCGGCCATTACCAAGAGGCAAAGACGTGGGGAAGCTTGTTGATGGCGTAGTATAGTAGAGTCTATGTTCTGAAGGCATTTCGAAGATTTGGTGTCAATTCTTCAAGGTTTGGATTGCAACATTCGATGTCTGGTTATCTGTGACATATGCAGCTTCCAAATTCGTAAAGATACTTAACCAACAGAGCTCTACTATGCTTGTGAACCCCACGAGCATAAACAGGCCTTGTTAGTTGCAAAATAAGCCTTGAATTAATCACCAAACAGGTAGCTGAGAAAGTCTAAGCTCGCAATACCCTTCCCTTGGTAGCCCGTTAGCCGGAGCAAAAGTAGTCAGCTGCCCGCGTGGGGTTTTACGGCGCGGGAGCATTGTCCGGCCAGATTCTGTGTCTCACATGGCTAGCATGGCTAGAGCACCTAATTGATTGGCTGGCCTGGCCTTAGTTGCCCCCGGATATTGAGCCGGATATTGGCCCGAGAGTTGTGCGGCCTAGTTCCAACGCCACCAGGTGCTGCATGCCGGGTTATCGTCCGAATATCAAAGACAGCTTTCGATAACTCAACGATTGTCGCCAGACTTTTTAAGAGAATCGCTCTATAGCTTAGCTGAAGAGTTCAAACCGGCCGGTATACTAGAGATGAAAATACCCGTAGGCTGTTTTTACCCAACAAAGCCCAGCCGAAAGGCTTAATACTTGTACCCATGAACGTAACGCTATAGCATAAGCAGCATAAGTCATCACGACAGGGCTTTCTTAGCCCTACCAGAATTGGCCGACGGATCTGGTCACCTCATGCCATGACCATCTATGCTCCTGCCAATAGCAAGGCTGTCCTCGGTAACAATTCTGTCCATCCCCCCCATGCGGCTCGTTTCGCTTCCCCGGAGCCAAGACTCAACACTAAGTTGATCTTTGCGGAGCCCCGCAACTTGGCCCTATTAGTCCGGGGAATTGTGAGCCACAACCTGGAATATACATACATATAAATACGATGCATGCAACTCCTGTATGGTTACAGCGGACAGGGTCTTCTTGATTGTCCTTCAAGGTGCCTTGCTTGCGAGGACTTTTCATCAACTGTTTCTTCTTTCATCTCTTATAACTGTGAAAAGGAAATCTGCATCCGGAAGACCATCATGGAGAAGGAAACGGAAGTCAAAACCGCACTCGAAAACGTGGTCAGCAACATCGACAATGAGCTGACCAACGCCGAGGCCACTGGCAAGCTGGCCAGCATCAGCGAGGCCATGGCCAACAGCGGTACAGCCACAGAGCATCGACTTGGCGCGTGGGAGGCTTTCAAGCTGTACCGCAAGGGAGCGTTTTGGTCCATGTTCATCTCGCTCAGTATCATCATGCGCGCATACGACATCGAGATTAGCGGCAACTTTTTTGCACTGCCAGCTTTTCAGAAGCATTTCGGCATTGACTACGGCCCAGACCATGGAGGATTTCAGATTCCGGCACGATGGCAAGTTGCCATGAGCATGGGCAGCTTGGTCGGCCAAATCATCGGAGCGTACCTCGTCTCGTTCCCCATGGAAATGTTTGGCCGCAAGAAGACATTTGCTGTTTGCCTTGTGCTGACTGCCATCTTGACTTTTATGCAATTCTTTGCTAACACCATTGGCGTCTTGACGGCCAGCCAGTACCTCAGCGGTATTGTGTGGGGAGGGTACTGCGTTATTGCAACAACATATGCATCTGAAGTCCTGCCACTCAGCCTTCGTGGTTTCCTCACTGGTTATATCAACCTGTGCTATGTTATGGGTCAATTCATCCAAACAGGCATCACTCGTGGCTTCATCAACCGGCCCGACCAGTGGGCATACCGAATCCCCTTTGCTATCCAATGGGCATGGCCTGTTATCCTGCTTGCCGGCCTCCCATTTGCCCCTGAGTCACCATGGTGGCTGGTCCGACAGAACAATATGGAAAAGGCTGAACAATCTCTCAAGAAGCTTGTTCAGCAAGACTCCGGCATCAACACGAAAGATACACTTGCTATGATGGTCAAGACAGATCTTCTAGAGCGAGAACTGGAAGTTGGTACCACTTATGCCGACTGCTGGAAGGGACCCAACCGTCGACGTATGGAAATTTGCATCTTGCTGTTCGTCATTCAGAACTTTAGCGGTAATCCAGTCGGCTTTGCAACCTATTTCTTCGAGCAGATCGGTCTCAACAACGTACAGGCATTCGACATGGGAGTTGGCCTCAACGGAGTTGGCTTTGTTGGCACCCTCCTTTCGGCAATCCCCCTCATTTATCTCGGTCGCCGTCCTGCATATATCTTTGGTCTTAGCTTCATGGTTGCCACGCTCTTCGTCGTCGCGCTTTTGAGTTTCGCTCACGATTATACTACCAAAACTTCTTACCGTTGGGCTCAAGCTACTTTGCTTATTATCCTTCAGTTTGTCTGGCAGGCAACCCTCGGCCCGCTGACATACGTCGTCGTCTGCGAGACCCCATCCACAAAGCTTCGATCCAAGACAATTGCTATCGCCACGATGATTGATGCTGTTACAGGACTGGTAACATCTGTTATTGGACCGTATTTGCTCAACCCCGGTGCTGCAGGTGCCGGAGCCAAGATTGAATTCTTGTATGGCGGCATCTCGGTCTTTTCTCTCATTTGGACCATCTTTAGGATGGTGAGTACATCCATGATCTGACTTATCCGCTTAGAAATAATTCACTAACAAAATGTTCCATCATAGCCCGAGACCAAAGGCAGAACCTACGAAGAGTTGGACATCATGTTCGAGAGAAACGTGCCTGCGAGGAAGTTTGCCACATACAAGTTTGATGAGGAGGATCTGCACGTATAATATAACGTTAGTTTAGGCTTAACCTAGTAACACGATTAATATTTAACGACTTATGCTATGGACTTATGCTATGGCCTTATGCTATGGACCTGGATACCGATACCCTTCCAGTAGGCTGATTAATACATACTTGGAAATGCGAGTCTGTTGCTTGCAAGCAAAACCCTCATTTTCTTATCAATACTCGGTGCTATACAACTAGGTCTTATTCGATTTTTCAAGACACAGGAACCAAGAAGAGGTAAAAGCGCTCGGTTCACGGAGCATACGTGCATATTATGTGTCGATTTATCAATGATCTAGCCGCTCTACGATTTCGGTAGAGTACATTTAGGTCCATACGGACGAACAGTCATCACATGAATTTGATTAATTGGACTCTATAAAATGGAATTATATGAGGCACCTTCATATTAATCGTCTATACACCATTATTCACGGCACTGTGTTTGACTGTTGCTGGTTTGTCCGACTTGTATTGAACTTTATCGACCAGCCAGTAGCGCACCAATTTTGATGCATGCCAATCTCGCCCGTTGCATCAGCATCATGTTCCATCATCTCTCAATTCTTTAATGGCTTTTAAAATGGACATGTCTTATGGTTCAAGCGTCCATGTGCAGCTTCAATGCTCTAATTCAAGAGTTCCGTCATATGACCATCGAATCGCACATGACTAATCCACGGCGCCTCTCGGCCGACGAGCCGGCGACATCGCCGCTGGCCAGCATTTTCAGCTGGTCGTCTCATCTCCAGCCATCATGAATACCCACTGAAATGGACAACGAAGCGCCTCTACGCCGTCTCAACGGCCGTCTCCAGGCGTGCGACCAGTGCAGGGCGCGGAAAGTCGCCTGCGATCACGCGCGCCCGGTGTGCAGCAGATGCATCAAGCGAAACCAGGCCAGCGGATGCACCTACACGATTGGGTCGGTGCTTCAGCCACGAAGGCGCGTGCGGCAGCAAAAGACCAGGCCGACTAATCATTCCCTGGGCCAGGGCCAGGGCCAGGAGATGTCGCCAACACTGAGCCTCCGAAGCGGCAGAAGTGGAAGTGGAAGCGAAAGCGCAAATCTGAGCGCAGCCAGAAGCGCGACTGTGGATGTGAATGCGACTGCCAAGCCGAATGCATCGCCCAGCGCTGGCTTCTTTGGCTTCACCAGCCATACGGTTGTTTTTGAGGAGACAAAACGAAGCTTGAGTCGGCTCCAAGGCCAAGGGCCGGAGACACGCCTGCCACGGCCTGGTGTTGGTGGCCGGATGACTCCAAGACTCTCCTTTAACGAGCTGCCCCCCATAGTGCGCCATATGAGCATCTATGCTCTCGAGGCTCTACCAGGTCAGCCCAATGAGCAGATTGTATTTCACGAAAAGGATCCCGATGAAAAGCGTTGGTCACAAATTGTACTAGCTCGTATCACAAAGTCGGTTCAAGATTTGCTCAGAAAGAACCCAGATGGGTCTGGCCCTGACTTGGAGAGAGTCGCCGAAATACTGTGCAATAACTCTGCCCAACCCTTGAGAGATATAAATGACCCCAAGGAGTGGATGGATCAGTACTGTGGTGATAATCTTAGATGGGAGTCAATCGGCCTGATATGGGGAAACTTGGAGCGCCTTTCAGATACTATCAATTCTTTGCGGCCCAGCCACGTTGCCTGGATTTCTGGCAAGAGCGATAGGGAGCTGTCCAGAACACATCTCAGTTATTGCATTGATTTGGCACGGAATTTCACCGAGGGCAATGCTGTGCTTTTAGACCTTATGCGACGACGAACCACCCTTGTGTCTGTCTTGGATGGCGACGCTGGTAAGGCTTTCCTTTCCGATAATTGCTGAACTTTCATATTAATGCTGGCTTGATAGCTGCATCTTGTTGGTACTCTCATGGCGCGGCCGTATCTATGCTTACGTTCATGGGCTTGCATGCCCAAGTGGGAGAGATACCACACACGCCTACTCTGTGCTCTGAGCATAACCGGCGAATTGTTGCCCAAATCTTCAACCACGATAAGTTTAGTGTCGCATTCTCGGGGAGACCCCCGCTGCTTAATCGCCGGTACTGTATGACGCCTCTGCCGCTGGATCTTAGAGATGAGGATCTTGCAGATGAGGCAACCTTGCAGAAGGCGGTTCAAGAGCTAGATGAGCGTGGTTGGAATAAGAGTGGTGAAATGTATCCATTTACGCTTATTCGAGCTCGTCGCATAATGGCATCCATTTTGGAAGAAGTAATGGAGCTTGCCTTGGGCTGTACCGTCTGCACTACACTTGATGAACTGCGGTGTGTAACGGACATTTACTATCCTAGTCCACTCAGGTGAGTAGAATGGCTGACAGCATTGCGTAGAAACATACAGGTCAGACAGCTGGAAACACTTGCTGGGTTTCCAGCGTGTCTCAAATACGACCCGCAAGATTTATCAGATCCAAACCGAGACATCGAATGCGTTTACGCCAAGATATTAATTCGTCTAGGCCATCTACAGACCATGTTCTTCTTGGAGCGGCTTTTATGCATTAATGGCAGCTTGGATGAAGGCAACTTGCTCGTCTTGAGCTTCGAAATGCTCACATTGACGCTCACTCTGTGGACAAATAAAGATCAATTCGCAGCAATGCGTCGTAACTTTGAATGGCTTGTTAGTAACGTAATTTGTTTCATTTTATCTCTTGTATAGTCATTCCAAGCTTTATAGCCATTCACTAACCTTTTAACAAGCTCATGGCCCATGCTGCACCAGCGGGTGGCATCCTCTGCCTGGAACTACTCAATCCAAGCTTTAGTGGGAAACATCCCAGGGAAGAACGAATCACTCGCTCGAGCATCATACAAAATCTCAGTCTCTTAGTAGGTTTCCTCGATTGGGTGCGTCCGTCAGCACCGAATGGCGATTTGTGCATGGACTGCAAAGTCATTATACAGCGAGTGTTGGATCATACTTTGAATGGTAGCGTAAACGGCGACAGCCCTTGGGCAGCTCTGGCCTACGACTTCCCAGAGCCTTTAGATTTCAACTTTGAATTACTGGATACCTTTGACTGGCTGCACGCGGATTTTCAATAAGGGGCGACGGATACCGAAAATACGGTCGAAACACCTTTTCAGTTTTATCAACACATACACGGGCATGATGCAAGCGACACATTTTGAATATATTTAATCATATTAATAAATACACGCATAGCCAGAAACTCAAGTATTCGATTAAATTTCTACTAACGTGTACGGAGTAAATGAAATGAGGCATTAAATTTGCCTGCAGAAAGCTACTTCATCTTTTCGCGCTTACACAAAGACTCCGCCGTGTGAACAATGGAAAAGCGCAGCCAGAATAAATTCTATAAGAGCGAAAATCTATTGGTATACACATTAAGTGTACATCTCACGCAGGCTAGCGTTTACATGGAAGCCAAGTCTAAGACGGACCACGCTTCGGTCAATACATGTAATTGAAACCATTCAGCTCTTGGCGCATATTTTGCCGGTTGCCGAAAACACACGTTGCAGTTCTATTCATGACACATACAAAAATTCCTGAACCTATACATTTTCACCGAGGCGGTAGCTAAAATTTGACTGTTCGGTTCCTGAATCGGTCGCAGATCGACCGCCATGGCCAATCTGAAGCCTTGATGTGAACACATGTAACATCACATCCCTGTCTTCGGTGCCGAAAGAATGCTAGAGGCATCCATTGTATCTTCCCCGCGTTTACGCTACATCAGTCGACCAATGCAGGCGAAGGGATTGTTAATAAGATGAAATTTTCTTGTATATCTACTGTTTACATGTTTTTAGGGGCTTCTGCAACGTGGAAGGGATTGGTTGAGGATTCACATCCTAGTCGGCTGGAAATATCCATATATATACCGACTTGGGAGCCTTTAGCAGCATGGTAGCTTGCCCAGCAGGTTCCTGATCCCGCGCTGTTGACAAGATGAAGAAAAGCGGTGTCCTGGCAACTTTGCTTCCTCTGGTGGCTGCAGATAGCGATGCTGCCAACCCCCAGCTTCGGGTGGCTTTCCACGGGGACGATGGAATGATGGTCAGCTGGAATACGTTTAACCACGTTCCTCGTCCGAGTGTATTTTGGGGCAAATCGAAGGATCACCTCACTAACATTGCATCATCGGCGGTGTCTGTCACATATCCCACTTCTACGACGTACAACAACCACGTGTTGATTCAGGGACTGAAGCCAGATACCACATACTATTACCTACCAGCACAATTGAACGAAGATACGTGCTATGAGCCATTCAACTTCACCACCAGCCGAAGAGTCGGTGATAAGACGCCGTTTTCGGTCGCAGTTGTCGCGGACTTGGGAACTATGGGTTCTGAAGGACTATCTACGTCCGCCGGCAAGGGTGTTTCCAGTAACAATATTCTCAGGCCGGGTGAGAAGAACACCATTGATTCGCTCATCAGCAGCATGCCGGAATACGAGTTCTTGTGGCACGTTGGAGACTTTGCCTACGCCGACTACTGGTTGAAGGAGGAGATCCAGGGATATCTGCCCAATACCACCGTCGAGGAGGGATACAAGGTGTATGAATCCATCCTGAACGAATTTTATAACGAAATGATGCCGGTTACTGCTTCTCGTGCCTACATGGTTGGGCCCGGAAACCACGAAGCAAACTGTGACAATGGCGGCACCACTGACAAGGCTCACAACATTACATACGGCCTCAGCATCTGCATGCCGGGACAAACCAACTTTACTGGCTTCAAGAATCACTTCCGCATGCCCAGCGATGTTTCTCGAGGCACCGGTAACTTTTGGTATAGCTGGAACAGCGGCATGGCTCATTTCATCCAGCTTGATACCGAAACTGACCTTGGCCACGGCTTTATCGGCCCGGATGAGATTGGAGGCACAGAAGGCGAAGGTGCTAGCCCTGTTAACAGCAAGATGAATGCTCAGGTCAACTGGCTGGAAGCTGACTTGAAGGCCGTCGACCGCAGAAAAACTCCCTGGGTCATTGTTGGAGGCCATCGCCCTTGGTATCTCAGCTACAAGAATGTCACCAGCACCATTTGCTGGAGCTGCAAGGACGTTTTCGAGCCACTATTCATCAAGTATGACGTGGATCTCGTCTTAACTGGCCACGCTCACATTTATGAGCGTCAGGCTCCCATTGCAGAGGGTAAGATTGATCCCAGGGAATTGAACAACCCAACCTCACCTTGGTACATCACCAACGGCGCCGCTGGTCACTACGATGGATTGGACACATTGCAGAGCCCTAGACAGCAGTTTAGCCGATTTTCGCTCGATACGAACAATGCGACTTATGGATGGAGCAAGCTAACGTTCCACAATTCCACGCATTTGACGCACGAGTTTGTTGCCAGTAATAACAATACTGTGCTCGACTCAGCGACTCTGTACAAGAGCCACAAGTGTGAGTGGCTGGAGAGATAGGCACATGTATATCGGCACCGCAAATGATGATCTGAGCAGGGATATTGAGAGCTACAGAAGACATTTATAGGAGACTGAGAAGTATATGCATAGGACACCTATAAAAGGAGACGTTAATGAGATAAAATAGTAATATAATATATGCATTCAATTCGTAGGGCCGCATCAATATAACTAAAGCAACAAAGATGATACATGGATAAGAAGCAATTCCTCATTCTATAAAATGCCCTGCACAATTAGCCATTCTAATTTGATAGGTTTGTTCTAACAGCGTAATCATCAATATGTTATCCACACTTACCCAACTAAATTATACTAAACTAACTGTTGACTCACAAGTGTTGTTGTCTTGATGGCAATGTTTCATCACATCTTGACATCAGCACACTCTTGCGTCGAACTTTGTTGCATCCTGCAACCTCATGTTAGTTGCGGGTTAAAGTGCGGAAACCGCTCCATATCAGAAGCTCCCCTCAGTTCTCCACATGCTGCCAATCTTTCATTAAGATGAATTTGAATGAGTGGTCAATGCTAATGTCCTAAAGCCGCGGTGATAAGTTCCCCTCCTTGCCCAAGGGAGGACAAAAACAAAGGAACCGCAAGATAAATATGTACGTACAACGCTATAGCATGAACGCATATAGCATTGATTAAACCCTGGTATTGTATGTGTATAATCTTAGCCTATGTGCTCATAACCTCGCATTCCCCGTTTTTCTGTCACCTGCTCCTTGCGTTGGTTTCGTCATCTGAGACAAAAGTCCAAATACTCGTATACGCTAGTGATATAAATTTAGAATTTATACGTGCCTAGTTTGGAAGCTAAGCTTGGGTAGATACGACTCTTTGCAAGACGTTTTGCCACAAAGATGTAAGACTACCTATATCTCACGCTTCGTCATATCACAGCCGTGCAGCGGCTTATCGGCGGTTGTCAATAGGCGTTACTTGGAGAAGTCACTCCCGGAGTATTCTGCATATAGGCTTTGAATAACTTGCGTTCCTGATTTTCTGTGTACACACATCTTTGTGCCCCCCTTTTTTCCGCTCTCTCTTCTTGGTCTGTCCCACGTGAAGCTCGCACTCGCGTGTTGATCTCCAATACTTGTCATATTTTTTCGGATCCCCGCACTAGCTACTTGGCATTAGCTTGAGGAAAAAATGGGCCTGGTTTTTGTGTTACTATTCCTGTTTATCAATTATACTAATGTCCTTAATATCCCTTTGTAGCAATACCTCAAAAGGGAACTTATGTTCTGACGCTGCTGCCTCGTTATATCATTGGGTTAAATTGAGTAGCTACTTATTATTTGGACCAATGCCAGTAGCACTAATCTTCTTTAGAGCCCTTTTCAACTATATCTCTAGCTACATGTAAGCTTAAGATTATCATGACTCAAGATCTCTTCTACCCAGGCGCCTCGGATTCGGAAATGTCTTTGACAACCTTGAAATGGCGAGCGGGAACAATGTCTCTTGCTTCACCAATAACAAGTCACCCCATTGTGAATACAACCCACTGTTTGGCGACCAAGTCATGAAGTTGCAATTTGCAAGCCCCGCTGTTTGGCTACAAAGTCACGAAGCACGAGATGCAACGCACTTGTTATGCGAATGACGTTACCGAGATGATGGTGGGATGGCGCAGCCCAACGCCCGCCCTACACAACCTTAAGCTTTGATGGATAACTCGGCGTTACAGTGATTTACTGTATAACAGTATTTAAATGAAAGCAATCTCCCGCTATTCAACTTTTTTTTTCCCCAATGTCCCCTAACTCTCCTCTAGAATCCTCTCAACCAACAGCATCTAGAGATACTCAGCAAGATGGATTTTCAACACTTCGCACCGCAAATCGATAAGCTTCCTCAACGCTCACGGAAGGATGTCGTCAATGTAATGTTTTGGAATGTCAGTTGCCTCCACCTTTTATCATCCAAGCATCAACGGTACTGGCGTCAGTGATGAGCAAAGATCAAATGTCAGACGCTAACAACAGATTCCTCACAGGCTATCCGCGACAGCTTCACCCTTTCAACATGGCTCGCAATCGGAGCCGTTGTCCAGGGACTCTTGGTTGTTTTTGTCCGGCCAACGTTTGCGGTTGCACCGGCAGCACTCGTTTTACTGTATAGGCTATCGCGCACGATGCTTCAAAGTTTCGGCGTTCTCCGCAACCCTCTAATGGATGAGATTCTCATGGGCAAGTTCTCTGTGCAGATTGGAGATGAGCATGGTAACGCGCCTACCGACTCAGCACAACAGCAAGTGGCGGTCATTATGCTAGGCGCAAGGTCAAATCAGTATGTTATCCCGTCTGAGCTCTTTATACATGTCCATTCTTTTCCATTTTGGATATTTTATCGCAATCTTCGCTGACATGGCATCACTACAGCCCCTTGGGCATATTTGGGCCTGGGTTTAAACAGATTGGAGACTATTTTGGAGCAATGATTGATAGGCTTAACGCGGATGAGGATAGCGGGTGTGAGTTTCCAACTTACAATAGCAGTATAAGCGTGTCTAGATGCTAAAGTGATACCTAGTTCTTGGATCGTCAACTTACATATGCAATGGCGAGCGACTCACGGTAAGCAGTTCAGGCCAACTCGTGAGAGAATTTTTGACCGATACATAGTTCTCAAGGCCAACGGCGTTATGACATGCTGCTACTTCCGAACCGTAGAGGATATCCATCGGTTTGCTCATGAGCCGCTCCACCGCGAAGCCTGGGATTGGTGGAATAACATCACTGCCACTCACCCACATTTATGTATCATGCACGAACTGTACGATGCGCCAAAGAAGGGTTGGGAGAACATTTTCGTCAACTACCATCGCACTGGCATTGGTATGTACAAAAGTCCACAAATGACGATGGCGCTGAACTAACCATTATGGCAGCAAATATAAAAGAGCCTGTGATCATCAATGGAAGAGAATATCAGCCCATCGCTAACGCATCTCGAGGGCCTTTGGCTACACAAAAGGGACGATTGGCACAGCCTAAACTAGGAGCCTATACTGGAAAGCAAGACCTCGAAAAGCAAGACTTCGTCAATGCTAAATACTAAGTATTCCGTCATCATTCTACACTATAATTGGAACTTGGTACGCTTCTACACTTAGGTTTTCAGTATGAGCAATATCAAAAAGCCGCTTTTGCAGCTTTTCATCATCTTATTCATAAGAAGAGTCGTTATATAGCTATTTACATGCCCATTAAGTACATGAACAATGAAAATTTATTTACATTGACATAAATGTTTATGTCATGTCAAGGCATTAAATAAATAACCCCGGCCAAATCTTTCATTAATCTAGCAAGAAGCCTGGTTGCCTTCGTAGATGTTACCGGTGTTGCAAGTGCTGGGTGGGACGAACAAAGGAGTGGCTATTCCACGTTAGCTTAAAGAGTCGCGTAAAATCTTGCAAGTATGAATACGTACTGTCGACCTCGAGATCACTCGCCGGTTGTCTAACAATAGAGTACTGGCCTCCAGATGTGAGATTATCCTCGCAATCAACCTGAGCATCACCGCCACCCTGAGAGTTGGAGCCGGTCCAGATATCAATGTGAGCCTGGCCGTTGTTCCAGTCCGACTCTGTCATCCACTAATCAGCAAGAATCCTTAAGCGAAAATTCCTCATGTCTTACCGCATTGAGTGCAGTCATCCTCGTGACGACCGTACTTCTTCAAGAGAGGAATGTACACAGTCTCACAAATGTCGAGCTCACTTTCGGCAGTAGCGATAGTGATGGGATCGTCAAAGCTTCCGCTACCTATTATATAGGTTCATTATTAGACAATTTTATAAGTTAAACCAGGATGGAGTTGTTACTGACCTCCAGCGACGAAGTTACGGCCGCCACAGTCGTAAGCAGTGCCAGCTCCAGGAGGAGAGTTGTCGGGCCAGCCATAGAATGTTACCTCGACGTTGCTGAAAATGCTGCATGAAGCAGCGACACCGACGAGGGCAGCGCCCGCAGTAGCAAGAGTTGCGACAGACTTCATGATGTCGAGTTTAATTGTACGTATTGTACATATATCAAGTATGAAAGCAGATGTAGGTCGTTGATGGACCAAGCAAAGAAACAAGCTCGGCTCTTGAAGATCTCTTTATATTCTCAACAGCGTATACTCTTTACATTTTTACCCCTGGTTATTTGGGGATTCTCCATAACAGGCCTGTTGTAGGTGTAAACAACTAATCCAAACAAAGTAAGTCGTTTCTCGATCTCCCCAGAATCGTGAAGATCATTCCCACGACAAGGAGGTCAATAGCCTTGCTCAAGTCTAACTATGTAACTGTGGATCAACGAAGCTGCCAACACGGCTACTACGTAGCATGCTGTAGTACCTCTCGGATTTGCAGCCGAAAACACAGCTCCTGAAATTTCGTTTCTCACCTACTAGACTATGCATGCAGTAAGAAAAATACGAAGCCGGACCGAGAAGGGAAAGGTCGTTTCCAGAAATACTTTGAAGAGCAAGTCCTTTCCAATCGCATTTAGAAAGATAATGCCCTATGCCCAACCTGTGCCTGGCGTCCCCAGAATGCTGCCATTTACAGAGTGCCGATATTGCCGTGCTTCCACGCTCACCGACGTAACATCGGGCTCTCGCGCTGGACCTTGTTGGCGCTGATCGAAATATCGCATGGGCCGAGTGAGATACAGCTTACGGGTAGCCTATTCAGCTTCTCTCAGTATACTAGTCGGGTTTGAATTCGTAAATTCTCTTCACATTATTTTTACTCAAAATAGACTTCGCATTCTTACCCAAAATAGTCTTCGCAATATTCTTATTCAAAACAAGCTTCGCATGATTCTTACCCAAAATAGACCATTAGATGCATCAAAAAGCCCAAACAAACACACGCTAAGGATGTAAGCTGAGGCCAAGGCCGAATGGCACATATATAAGCGTGCGTATACCTGCCAGGATGTGAAGAGCTATATTAAAGATGATGAAGGAGAAAACAAAAATACGAAAGTAAATAATGCCACATTTAAAAGTCTCTCTACGCTAATTCATATTAATATATTGTATATTACTCCGATTATTTTTGTTCAAGCAGCAGTCCCTCGTAATTGAAGATAAATGCAAGTCCCGCCCTTGGTCTTCGTAAGAGTCTACGTGACTCTGGTACGAAGTATTGAAGAAATATTCTATTTTTGATTGGTTCTTCTCTAATGTATAATTTGAGTGCTGAAAATGCTACTCTTCAAGTATAGTATACAGACTGATAAAAATGGAATTGAAGCCATGAGGTGTATTCTGCATCACTGGTCTAAGGATAGAAGAATATAGATCACAGAGCCCGCTCGCCAGCCATTACGCTATCGCATGATGTAGCCTTTTCATCTCCCTTCTGGATGAAAAGGCTTCTTGTTTTCCTCTTTTGAACACTCAGTACGACTCACATTTATAAATCACATTTGCCCCCAGCCGTTCTACCAACGGATAGTGAAAGAGAGAAGCCTACCAACAGACGAAGCTTTGCTTACTTATAATGTTACCATAATTCATGACGATGATGTTCATGGCCAGTTTCTTGATTATAATATGATTGCACCGTAAGTGATCTGCAGCCGCCGTTCCCATTTCTTTTCTTTTCTTTCCTTTTCTTTCTTTCTTTCTCGCCCATGTTTCTAATATTTGCGATGCAGCCGCCATCCCTATGCTTTGAGCCCCGAAGGCCAGCCTTTGCAAAAAGAGCCGCGGAAGGAAATTGTGGGGGGAATTTCAAGAGATCGATCCTCAGATTCTAGTCTCTGTACGGAGTACATGATCGAGTGAATAGAGCCACTTTGTAGACGCGTGCTCGGACCGATGAAAATGATGCTTCCAGTCTAGTCAGTACCGCTATAGTCAATGTGGTATCGACCGAATAAACAGCAGACTTACTATACAGTGTAGTCATAATACGTCATGGGTGAAGTTTATTCCTATATTGAGATCGAGACTATGGACTGTCCGGGCAAGTTAAAGTGGATACAGCCTCAGGTCAGATGAGCTTTCGCCAGACTTGGTAATATGAGATTTGGCCCAGATTCAAGCTAAAAAGTCAAGTCAATGACGCTGTCCCTGTATAATCTCTACGAGTAATTAAAATCATTCTTCATTTTAACATTACTTGTATGTGGCAGATATTTGTATCAAGCAATACGAAATTCCTCCATGAATAACTTGTACATGTACTCTGGCCATGCTGCAACTGCGCTTAACAAACGAATCATGCGGTGCTTACGTGATTCTAATTCCGAGAATAGTCTTGAGCCTTTCCACCTCACAATTCTCGCCGTTGTTAAGTATGGAGTGTGGATCTTGACGTTGGTTTTCATCTCACTACGTTTTTGGTTTCGAAAGTATACGAGGCTGCTAGGGGCTGGGATTCTTACGCGAACAATGTCTGCCCAGAGAGAAATGCCTGGCCTCGCGCCAAATGCATGCGCCTCTTGCAAGATGAGAAAGCGACGATGCGACAAGAAACTTCCAAGTTGTCTAGAGTGTGCAAAGTAAGCAAAGTTGAAAATCCAAAGGATCAATCAACAAACAGTGAAAATAACGTCATTCTCCAGAAGGTTGACGCTAATGCAAGGCACAGGAAAAGAAGGCGCTGCGATTACGATTATGGCAAAAGGGGTTCACTGTTGGCCTCTGAACAGTCAGATTCGTTTCATGAAGACGACATCTCACCTCGGGCTATAGCCTCTGCATCTTACAAATATGCACTTCCTTCTTCCAACTTATCAGCTTTGTTTTTTCTTGATCCATCCGTCTTTCACAACCATAATATCGATGTTCCCAAGCCGTTAGCCAGGCTGCCTAGCTATATTACGGGACAGCTCGGCCGCAGTCAGCAACATGAAGAAATCGGCAGTCGCTTCTTTAATACAATTCATGCCTGGCTGCCCATGGTATCTCGAAAACGATTTTATGAGGATTTATACATACATTCTGAAAACCTCGGCGCCTCTGTCGACTTGGCGTTTTTACTCATGGGCATGAAGCTGGTGACATGGCAGCCAGCTTCAGAAGACGACGTCTTTCCAGAGAAGCAGACAGCTCGAACCACAACATACCTTGAGACGAAGAGGTTTGGCTTCGAGCTCGAGGCGTCCGGGATTTTCTCTCTTCGAGTCCTCCAAGGGCTGCTTCTTGTGGCGTTATATGAAGTTGGACATGCAATTTATCCCGCCGCGTTCATGTCTATAGCAGCGTGTGTTCGATATGCACAAGCACTGGGGATACAGCCAGGAGGGCTGCAGAGACTAAAACTACCGTTAACGTGGGTAGAAGAGGAAGAACGGAAGAGGGTATGGTGGGCAGCGTTTCTACTTGATCGGTAAGTACAGTCATTCAATGTAGTCCCTTATGGTTATCTAATTCAGACTAGATTTGTTAGCTTGAGCTGTCCCGGGTGTCCATCTACAATTGATGAGCCAGAGCCGGAAGATCCCCTACCGACGGATGATGCGCTTTGGGACGAGGGCGTATGTACATGTATTTTCGGTGCGAGCAGTACCTGATGAGATCTCTAACGTATATTTCTTAGGTCAAGAAAGTGCCCTATTCGCCGCTATTGAAAAATCCAGTCAACATCGATTTCGGAAGATTTGCAGTATTAATACAGGCCTTTGTCCTCATGTCAAAAGTGCAACGACTCACGTCCTCTTCACGAGACATCCCGCCAAATCTACTAAAAGAAGAGGCGCAACGGCTAGAACGAGCGATTAAAGCGCTGTATTATTTCGGAAGAATAGAACGCAAGCCGGAAACCGGGGTGCCGAGTTCTGAACTTCATTCTGTGACTCAGATGTGAGTAGCCATATCCTCGGGCGATTTCTCATATATCAGCCATCGTGACAACTAATCACGTCAATAAAAGTTCCTTAATAGCAATATATACCCGCTCAGCTATTCCGATTGAGATGCCAGACAAGTTCATAGAATCGCTTGCCGATACTCTGGACGCCCCCGACTATGAGGACCTTGCCACGGCTGCTCAGCGCGGACAAGATGAGACTTCTCTTTTTTTAATCCAGCTGATATACCAGACTTCCGTTATACTTCTGAAAGTCGAAAACCACCAAGATGGAGATGGGAGCGTTACAAGAGTAGAGAAGCTCAAGAGCGCCTTATTATGGCTAGACAAGAGGTGGAAGCTAGCTGGTAAGCTGCTGAACCGAGGCAATTTGTAACAAGAAGAAAACTAAAAATCGAATAGGTGTTTTTTATCAAGCGTTAGAAGCTCAGCAAATTGCGTTGTCGAGAGGACTTCAGCGGGCTTAATTAACTAATAATAGTACGATCGCTGCATTATACCGACGGACTTTGTTGTCCACTCGCCTCATGCTTCGTAAACTGAGTTCTATCGTATGAGCAGTGTTTTTCTGACGTCACGTATCGAGTAGTAGCGTCTTCAACTTGCCAGAGATAGCCGGACATACGAACATGTTACACGCAATGGCAGCTGGACGAATGAAAAGGGCTCTTCATAGGAAGATCTAGCTGATTAGTGCGTTTAGCACCAACTGTGGCGCTGCGTCTTTTGAAGATTCAGCACTGAAGCCAGTAACTGTAGCTTACCGCTGTCAGAAAAGTGCCTGTTTGTCAGCTTGTCTTCTAACCTCGCTTATTACTTCTCACTCTCAGTAATCTTCAATTATCGCCACAACTTCAAACCTCATATTCCGTATATAAACTTGCTTTTGACGCCCAAACACAATAACCTCTCACACCTCTTTATGCGTCAGCCGTAACCTCATCGGTCGCCATGTCGAATCGAGGCGAGAGCGTCATCCTACCCAGCAACGCCGTCTTCCTAGTTCACAAGGTTGGCGGCACTAAAGCCGGCCGAGGTTCTCAATGGGAAACTCGCACAAAATCTATGCGCGTCGCCCCAAATCTGGCGCCTCGTATATCTGTGGCAGTCGATGGAAATAACGACTCGAAATCAAATCCCAATAACACCGAGGGGGGTTCCCGGGAGTTTGTCGCCTACACACCTGGAAAACGACAACAGTTAACAAAGCGACCAAAAGAAGTCAAACGCGGCCGGCGTGCCAAACGCTCTGCGACACCGCCAAAAGATCGCTCTTTAGTATCTGTTAAAAAGGAACCGAAGTTGTCTCGCAACCCAAGTCCTATGCCACCGGAGCTCCCCGTTGGCCTGGTAGGACATGCTCTTCTTTACATCAATTTCTGTATGCTGCTACCTCTGCTCTTGTTACATCACGCTTGGTTCTTTACATTCAGCATAACTAACTGTTATCCAAGACTTCCATTCAATAGCCGCTGGCACATATACCCTACCATGTCTCCTTTTCAACCCCGCCAAAAGAGACTGGTTTCCCAAAATGATGGAAGATGAAGCTTGGCGGTGTATCATTCTGTCTCTCTCGGCCAACAGCCTGGCCTCGTTGACAGGTTCTTCCTCCAATTACGTTGATTCCCACTCTCTTCTTGATGAGGCGCTACGGCAGCTCAAGAACCGGGTTGCGAGTGGCTCTCTACCCACTGATCAGACGCTGGGGGCAATATCCTGCTTGGCCATGTGGAGTGTAAGTTATTGGGCTATATTCGTCTCCCTTTCTTTTATTTCTTTAAATAACTACTATACTGCACCGGCTGTTGATATAGACTGACTTGATGAAGAATGACCAAGGCAACCATGATAAAGCTTGGATTCACGCCCAAGGACTTGCAGAACTCGTCAAATTACGAGGCGGCTTTTCCAAAATTGATAATAGAATGAGATCTAAAGTGTATCGGTAAGAAATCTGTATTTCCATTGACTCTGTGTAGCTGTGACTCATGAGACTTTTTAGAGGTGTTTTTGATATTGCAGTGGACGTTGATAAGCCCCCACTACTAGACGAAGGCCTTCGGGACTCTCCAAGCAGAGAGATCATTTCAGAAGACAGCTTAGACTCGGAATCTGAGCTACCTTTATCCGAGTGCCGAATCCCACCCCGACTGTCTAGCATCTTTCATGATATCACACAGCTTAACGCCGTTGTTGACGATGCTATGGCTCGTAACATCAAGTTGGACACGGATCATCTCTACGAGTCTGTCTTTGGGCTTTACAATCGCCTTCTCAGTTGCCAATCAGACAAGATGGGCGACTGCGAAAACAGCTTGCGCATCTCTCTCATCTTGTACATCAAGTCTCTCACATCAAATGGGCGTTTTAACGCAACATCTATGAACTTGGTTCGCAAACTTCAGGCTTCTATCCAAGGCTGCTTACACTCTCCATCGCCCCTAGGGAGGTGGGAGCTATTTATGGGTAGTATGGCTTCTTCAGAAGGAACTGTTGAACAGCGATGGTTCTTTCAACATTCGGCTGCAGCCATGGCTGAAAGCCACATGGCCAGCGAAGATGGTTGGACGGCATTCCAAGCAGAGCTGAACAGCATTTTGTGGGTTAAGCCAGTCCACGAAGCTGCTGGATATTGTCTGTGGTTGCAGATTACGGGAGCTCAGCCTACGTGATCATAAGTCGCATCTTGCAACACAAACTTACGTCCGTGTGGAGAAAAACACCCACGATACACAAATACAACGACATTGATTCATCATCTAGGGTTTGAGGAAACAGAATCATACTCCTCTCAAACACCACTTCCACCGATGATTGGCAACATCACTCTAACGCCAAACATCCTACACATGCACAGCCAAAAAGAGTTCTACAGGAAAGGACAACATGGCAAATAAATGCGCTTAGTGATCGCTCAAGATTAATATCTCTCTGCAAGAATATGAATGCGATAAAACATCAGCACCGTTTATAAGCCATTGATAATGTATGAGAGCTCCGTAAACATAAGCACAGAAAACCTATCCACAGACCTCACGCCTTTCGAATCCATAAAACAATAAATATACCATGCGGCAATTACGATACAAGACGCTCTTTGGATTGGCAGTATTGATGGTGAGCGAGTACACATCTCAGAATCAAGAAGAAAGAACAATATCACAGCCGCTTTATACATCGATAGTCCGGAGGGGAAAAGTTGGCAGACTACAACTTGGATGCGCAATCCAGGCTTACGTGCGGCCTATCATGTTGCAAATTAAATACACAGGCAGATGCTAATACGAATGAAGGCGGAATTAGTTCGATTACAGCACTAGAGGCTTGATAGCAGAATCGCAAACTATCACACACATTAATGTAGATTTGCTGCCATTCACGGCAGCGCTGGGAGAAGGTTCATGGATATTATGCGGCTCATTGAGAGAGCTGATAGTAATAGACATGTCAAGTATGGCTCAATTGCCAGTGCCAGACGAATAAAATCATGCCCGTGCTTTACAAGTGCCATGTATATATACAATCCACAAGTCTATGATAGAAGAACAAATTACGCGACATAGTACCCTACATAACTCCTCTTGCTTCCCTTTTGCTATATCCTTCTTTTACCGGATCATAACTCGTCACGTTCATGCTGAATATCGGGTCGCCCGCTATCTTTGTGTAGGTCTACTCCCTTTTTCAACCGCCACTTCTCCCATAGGTCCCAGAACTCATTCTCCATCTTCTTGTCCATCTGATCTGGCAAAATAACCTCGTACGTGACGTACAAGTTGCCGAATTCATGTTTGTGGTAGACACTTTCGCCCTCTTCGTGCCATACCGGCATACCCTCGCCAGAAATAGTCTCTACCAGTCCGCTTTGGACGACTTGGCCACGTTCGCGGCCGAGACGCACAACGTGCTTATCGAGGTGAGTGAGATTGCGAGTCCAGCCACCCATCCAAGCCTCACGCAGGGAGAGAACCTCTGTCCAGTACAAATCGTGGCCTTTCCGTCGGAAGAAAGTGCCGTCGACTTTGTCGGGGTTATCGTCATAAGAAGGAGCTGCCTCGGCAAGATTGACAATGAGATCGCCGGGAACCCAGTCTGGGCTTTGGTCGGCTTCGTTCTCAAACACCACTTTCGCGTCTCGGCCGATACCGCGCTCGACAGTCAGGCTAACCGTTGACAGTTTACGCTCAACCCGATTGCCATGGCAGATAGGACACTTGTTCTTGATACTCTTGCCCGTACCGCCACAATGATCGCATCGGACCTGCATCTGCTGGAACATGCCAGGGGCAAGCTGTTGCTTAACAATTCGGATACCATGTCCACCGCAAACGTTGCAGGACTCGACCTTTCCGTCTGCGCTGCCTGAACCCTCGCATCTTTCACAAATGTGCTGCTTCTCCCACTGGAACTCGGTAGTAGCGCCGTTGTAAAAGTCACGGAGAGAAATTTCTACTTTGACTTCGACGTTGCTGCCTCGGGGCTCGCGACTTGATCTTCCGAAATGACCATGGCCACCAAAGAATCTGCTGAAGAGGTCGAAGGGGTCGCCGCCGCCGCCACCTCCACCACGTTGACGATGGGACTGGACGCCGTCGTGGCCATAGCGGTCGTAGACTTTTCGAAGCTCGGAATCGCTTAGTACTTCGTAGGCTTCGGAGACTTGAACGAATTTTTCGTGTGCTGTTTCATCGCCTCTAAAAGAAAGTAGCATTGCAATTAGTAAACATTGTAAAAGTCATGGCGCAGATGCGGTGGAAGGACATACGGATTCTTATCAGGGTGGAACTTCTTCGAAAGCTGGCGGTAGGCAGACTTCAGCTGCTTATCTGTCGCAGATTTATCGACTCCCAAGATCTATTCCATGACTGTCAGCATCATTGTGTTCGAAGAAGAGAAAAAGTGTTGGCGCACTTTGTAGAAGTCCTCGGCGCAGAATGCAAGTGATACTAGGGCCAACAAGACGAAGATCGCCCCGCGGAGTATCATGGTGCTGCCTCGTAGTAATTGACCTTTCCAGTAGAGAAAATAATTAATGAATAAAAAATTTCTCAGAAAATTTTGTCGTAATATTCTCTTTCCGAGCTGCTTCTGTAGTAGCAGGGCTCGCGTGATGTGCAGAAAAAGAGAGAAAGGCGGACACGCAGCTTTGTAAGTTACAGCGTGTTAACATTTCCAGTTGCGTCGACGTGTAAATTAGTGGCTTTTTGGGTCTCTAGCAGCACCTGCATCATAGGTGATAAGCAGCCGGTAGGGCTATCGCAGAGCCCCGATTGGCTGGCGGATGAACTGCGGGCAATTACTGAGGACCCCAGAATTTAGCATCTCCACTAAAAGTTAGCAGGTGCTGCTACTTCTTCACTCTATTTTAGGTAGCATCGCGTCTCATCTTCAGCAGGCCCGCTGTGGTGAAGGCAAATTTCGGGAAGATTCCAGGAGGCAAAATAGAAGACAGGACACTTAGTTTTTGCATTCTGTGAGGGCTGTTCGGTTTTCAACACTTCCGAAGATGAGTTCCAAGAAATATGCCTTCGTTCCGATGGACGATGGCGACTCCTCGGATCGCCACAAGGAGAGTCGCATGAGATCGCGACAGGAGTATCTCAAGAAAAGAGAGGCAGAGCGCTTGGCCCTGCTGAGGAGGCAAGTCGCCGAGGAGACAGCCGAACTGAGGAGCGGAGTGCGCTTGTCAGAGAGGGAAAAGGCAGAGTTTACCAAGAACCGAGAGCTTCTGCGGCTGGCTGAAGAGCGGCTGAGAATCGATGACCATCAAGATGGATACGTGATGCCAGAAGACTACATCACCGAAAAGGGCAAACTGGATCGTAAGAAGAAGGAAGAAGCCTTATATAAACGCCATGTCGAGCGGGACGAGTACGGCCAGGAGAAATTTGTCACAGAGCACGATGAGTGGGAGAGAGAGCAGACTACCAAAGCCAAAGCGCAGATTCAGGGCCGAGAGCGGGAAAACGAGGACTACGACTATGTATTGGATGACGCGCAGTATATCCAGTGGAGCCTGGACTCACGGATGCCAGGCGAGCGCAAGAATTTGACAAAGGAGCAGCAGTTTCTGGAGGCACAGATTGAGGCGGCAGAGAAGAAGGCATTGTCGATCCAGGAGACGAGAAAGAGTCTACCCATCTACCAATACCGAGAGCAGTTCCTGGAAGCACTAGAACAGTATCAGATCCTCGTCATTGTAGGAGAAACTGGCAGTGGCAAGACGACTCAGCTACCTCAGTATCTCCATGAGGCTGGGTATACAAAGAACGGTATGAAGGTGGGATGCACACAACCACGACGAGTGGCGGCTATGAGTGTGGCTGCGCGTGTTGCGGAAGAAGTTGGCGTCAAGATTGGCCATGAAGTCGGCTACTCTATCCGATTTGAAGACTGCTCAAGTGAAAAGACGATACTCAAGTATATGACTGATGGTATGCTGTTACGAGAGTTCATGACAGAGCCAGACTTGGCAGGATATTCAGCTATCATGATTGACGAGGCCCACGAGCGGACGGTCCACACGGATATTTTGCTAGCTTTGGTTAAAGATCTGGCAAGAGAGAGAAAAGACTTGAAGCTCCTAATTTCTTCCGCTACCATGAACGCCGAGAAATTTGCGCAGTATTTCGATGACGCCCCCATTTTCAACATCCCTGGACGGCGTTATCCTGTCGACATTTACTATACCCCAGCGCCTGAAGCCAACTACCTCGCTGCGGCCATCACAACTGTGTTCCAGATCCACACAACCCAGGGCAAGGGAGACATTCTCATATTTCTGACTGGACAAGACGAAATCGAAGCGGCTGAGATGGAGATTGCTGAGACGGCAAAGAAGCTGGGGAATCGAATCAAGGAGCTTGTTATCTGCCCAATCTACGCAAACTTACCATCGGAACTCCAAGCAAAGATTTTTGAACCAACGCCAGAGGGTGCACGCAAAGTTGTGCTGGCGACAAATATTGCGGAAACTAGTTTGACCATTGACGGCATCGTATATGTCATTGACCCAGGATACGTCAAAGAAAACGTCTATAACCCGGCTACAGGCATGTCAAACTTGGTCGTTGTTCCATGCTCTCGCGCATCTGCCAACCAGCGAAGTGGTCGTGCCGGACGTGTAGGGCCTGGCAAGTGTTTCCGACTATATACCAAGTTTGCTTATATGAACGAGATGGACGAATCACCGCTGCCTGAAATCCAGAGGACAAATCTCAACGGAGTTGTGCTGCAGCTCAAATCACTGGGTATCAACGAGCTGCTCGATTTCGAGTTCATGGATCCACCTCCAACAGAAGCTCTCATCGGCGCCTTGAATCAACTCTTTGCCCTCCAGGCTCTCAACCACAAGGGCGAGCTGACCAAGATTGGCCGTCAAATGGCCGAATTCCCAACTGATCCTATGCTGGCAAAAGCAGTCCTGGCGGCTGACAAGGAAGGATGTGTGGAGGAAGTACTCTCCATCGTCTCCATGCTGGGTGAAGCTTCTGCCCTCTTCTTCAGGCCAAAGGACAAGAAGCTGCATGCTGATAGCGCTCGAAATCGATTCACCATCAAGGATGGAGGCGACCACATTTCATTACTAAATGTCTGGAACCAATGGGTCGACAGTGGCTTTTCGCCAATCTGGGCCAAGGAGAACTTTTTGCAGCAACGCTCACTAACACGCGCCCGAGACGTGCGAGATCAGCTTGCCAAGCTCTGTGAACGTGTCGAGGTCGCCCCCTCAACATGCGGCGCCAACAACCTACGGCCCATCAAGCGTGCCATCACGGCTGGATTTTTCCCCAATGCTGCACGGCTGCAGAAGAGCGGCGATAGCTATCGAACGGTCAAGAACAGCACAACAGTATGGATTCACCCAAGTAGCGTGCTGATGTCGATAGACCCACCAGAGAAGATGGTGATTTATTTTGAATTGGTGCAGACGACCAAGGAGTATATGCGCAGCGTAATGCCGATTGAGGCTGCATGGCTGGCAGAGCTAGCGCCTCATTTTCACAAGAAAAAAGATATTGAAGCTTTGGAGGAAAAGAAGATGCCAAAACAAAACCGACGAGACTGATGTTTCAGTCATTGTAATTTTTTTTTTTTTTTGGCTTGATTTATTGCGACATACATAATCATAATCTCTAGCCCAGAATGAAGGAAGTTCTAGTTTTCCCCTTCAGCCTTTGGCTCATCTTCCCACCGATACATGATTTCCGTCCTCATAGTATACTTGAGGCCTTCTATGACCTCCGCTCCTTCATGGTACAACAGCTGATGCTGGAAGATGAGGACACTGCCTGCCTTGGGATCAACATCCATTCGCCTCTTCTTATCGAGCGATGAAAAAGCGGTTGCACCTCCGACAAGGCCTTCGTCACTGAGGTAGAGATGCAATGTATAGTACGTCTCTTGAATGGAACCATCAGGTTTTTCAGATGAGTACGCGCCATCACAGTGCCCTGGGATGGCTCGTTAGCTCTCGGAGAATGATAAAGTCAGAAACCCAAAGGGGGAAAAAAAAAAGAAAAAAATTCTTGTGCTACACGCGTTGCTTTACTTACTCCTGAAGAACATGCCCGGTCCATACTTGAGGAACCTCATCCGCTCGTTTAAACCGGCAAATTTCCATGTCCCTTTCTTACTGCGGTCACGGTATGGCCTTGGGCATGGAGCTGTGGCAACGAGCTCCTGCAGTCCTTCAGCTTGGGCACAGCGATCCCATAGACGGTCGACAAGAAGTTGCGTGTCCCAGATGATTCGATCGCTGTGGCGATAGTTTGGTGCCGAAGCTTCTACTCCTGGGGCTACGCTAACAAGAGCGGGCTTCCAGGGAGAATCACCCGGCTTCTCAAGGGGAGCAGAAGCCTCGGCGTAGGCAATTAGCTCGCTGCACTCTTCTCGGGATAGGACGTCGTCGAGGATCCACGCCTTGCATTTGGCGTACTCGGGCAGCCCAGATTCTTTGAAAGGAACGGGTCTTATTGTGACAGGCTCAGACGCTGGGCCGGTAAGAAATGTGTCTGGGATGTCTACTGGATTAGACTTGTAGTCTACGCTGATGAAGCCGTTGAATGACATGCTGGCAGACGTATTGGTTGGTGCTGTTGAAGAAGAAGAAGAAGCTGCAGATGAAGAGGTGGATTTGAATAGCCGGGAGAGCATGATCAATCGGATCCAATCAAGGCAAAATATATAAGACTTGAGGCTGAAAATTAGATGGGGCTTCACCGTAACTTTTTCCCGTTTATAGGTTTGCCTAAATATGCAGCTTACACGCAGGCAGCTAACTATAATTTGTATGCAAAAATGACATGACATGACGCAGCGAGAGCACAGCCAGCTATTTAAACACGAACTATTCTATCTGCTTTTTCAAAACAAGTGGCACAATTCAATTACAAAAAGCAAAATAACATCAAAAAGGCCAAATCATCAGTGAAACTCTAGCCTCATAACTTTTACTCCCAGCCCAACAAGGCAGCGCAAATGCGGCTGCCTTGAGCCCCTTCGCCGTGAAACCGAAATCCGCTGCCGAGACCGGTATTACTGTAGTGCGCATGCACGCTATAACGCCGCCTAATTGAATCCTAATCCACCTGAGACTAGCTTTCCTGGTGCCTGGAGCTGGCTATGCGGAGCAGCTGGAATGTCGACTCTGCCGCGGATGTACCAGCGTGATTTGAAGAGAAGAAGGACTTCGGGGCATGTATCGTGGGATACTTGCCCACCTGGGCAGTTTGGTTTACAGTCTATAACAAGCGCAAGGTCTGGATGGCCCAATATTACGGCACGTTCTCGTCCACAGTTGAATAGCCGGATTCTATAGCTATTCGTATGTGGCGTTAATACTGACATTATCGCAGATAACACGCATCAATCTCATCAATTTTTGGTCTTCCATCATTGCTGGCGCCAGTCTGGGTTATCAAGACCCGGCTCATGTCACAGAGATGATGCACATTATATGTATCCGAAGCCTAGAAACACTTTGACTGCCAGACCGATACTGAACCATCCCTCGCACTGCCGATCTACTCTTGATGCTGCCAAAAAGATGTACACGTCTGAAGGAGTAGCATCGTTCTACTCTGGTTCACGGAATGGAACTTATCTTTTGTCAGAATACGCATTCCGCCCGGCCCGTTTTTTCTTGTTCCAGACATTGCACCAGGATAGCAATGAAGAGTATCGAAATACATAGGAACATGCAGATGTAGGAAACTCGGAAAGGAGGAAGGCGGTGTAGCATTACCTGTACGTACATAGCATGGGAGTTTTGTTTTAAAATAAAGCCATTACTTGGATTATGTGTGCATGTAAAGTCTACATGCTGTTGGATATTGAGTGTGCCATCTCATCCCCGACCTGATTCTCTTCTGGCTGCCCTTATGGATGATCTCGTATATCTATGGCGGTTAGTCGAATTCAAGGTTTTTCGAACTGGCTCAAGGCTGGTTGGACGTACACAAATAATATGCTTGCCATGGTGAATGCTGCGACTGGCGCCATGAATTTCTGTAGACTGTAAGAACATGCGCATGTTTGTTTTTTGGAGTTTTAGATTGCAACTCTTTTGACTTACTCGAGGGCCCATACCTCGGACTTGGGTATATGAGCTGTTTTGGGTGACGATGGAAAATGATGCCGGGGCCGTTTTCGCTTGTTTAAACTGATTAAGTGAGTGTACGTATGTCTGCGCCTATGGGCACTTTAACAAGGCCCGTGCACCGGGAGTTTATTATAGTTGTATTTGTGAATGAGGAAGCCGAACTCGCATTTAGTTGCAAGATTGGTTTGTGCATGTGTTTTATTCAAGTCGAGGAACTATAACTTCAAAGGATTGGTGGGTGGAAAAGCTAGTAGGCTCTCAAGTAGTCTACAAACTCACTGGATGTCACGCCACAATCCAACTAAAAGTGGATTAGTCCTTGTTAGTATAATCATTATCTGTGAACAACTTTTTACGTGTACTACGTAATAAACCTATGCGAGTTTCACGGGTCTCTTTAAAGGGAGTGCTCGAGGGGAAATACTGGATCTTAAACTAAACGTGACATTGGAGAAGGTTTTATATTTCGGTGTACTATGAAGCAAACGGTGACAATACCTCGGGCAGCAGTTTTCGTCAAATGCCTCGTCATCATTTTACACAGCCGGGTTTCACAGCAATTTTAATCATCCTCCAGACCCAGATAGCAACCCCGTTGCTGACGCTTTCTCGTGCCAAAATGAGCAATTGCCTCTGCTCTACCTTCATCATCCTCGCGTGAAAAAGATTTATTTCCAGGCTATACATTTGATGCCCGGTTGTTTTCGTTGACGTTCCCCAACTCAGAGAATAGACTACCCTACTGTCATTTCCATGTCATCGTAAACTTCAATTCGGTATTTTGGCCTTTGTTTTCTCCCCCTTACATGGGATTCTCAGCTGGTGAGTTCAGCAATCATTATTTGAGGCTTGTTTTTTTGTGCCTTTTTTCACAGCATTTTTAACCCTCCCTCAGGCTTCATCTCAGGCAATATGTATTGCATCGAATGACACCGAGGCGCACTCCTATTTATTTCACAGCAATTTTAATCCTCCCCGAGGCTTTAACTCACCGCTATAAAAGTACATGCCTACAAATATAATCCAAAAGACCACTACATTTACTTATGAATTGTTGGAATAGTACCTTGAGTATCTAATATATAATATTGAATATGAAGGGAAACATTCATTACCTTGATTAAAAATGTTCTAGCAACTGTCCCGCTTAAGAGTCCAAGCTACCCTAGTTACATGTATTACACGCCCCACGAACCTCAAGCACCTGAATAGCTTGACTTTGCCACGTTAAACGAAGAAGACAAGGACAGTGCAGCTTTCAAGTTGGCTGCCTTTAGGTTCTAGACGCCCTAGAGCGTCTTTTTTTTTTTTTTATCAACTGAACAAAGTACGCTATTAAAATATTTAAGATATTGAATGTCTTCAAAACCAACTCAAACCTAGTCCTTCTATTCAGTAACATCTTTTAAATTTTATTTACAATATCCCGGATGTTCTCTACAAAGGTCTCACTGACATCTTCTTGATCAAGCGAGAACTGAATGTATGCACCTGTTTGATTTGCATAACAGCTATCAGAAAGAATCTCATGCAGAGTATGATTCCAAAGGAACGAGCCTGCTAGTGTCTCTTCTGCGTTGATGAGAAAGCCATTCATGAGGAGAAGCGCGAACACGCAAGTACTATAACTATAACGGCAATGGTTGAACAAATTCGTCTCTAATCGTCTAGAAAACCCGCACAGGTATCCTAAGACAAGTAGGCGATCTGAGAGAACGGTGTTATTGTGTCGCTCTATAAGGTGGAAGACGTCTGTGACTTTGCGAAAAGTAACCTGTTGGCTCCAAGGTGGTGTGCTAAACTCGGTCAAATATTGTGACGAAAGAAGGTTCTTGAATCGGTAAAAGATGTCACAAGGCGTTTCTATATAAGCCGGATCTTTCTGGAGCGCGTAACCCTCAACCATCTTGTCGAGCTTGGCCCAAAGACACCGAAGACTGTTTAGGCTGAGCTCCAGCTCGGGCATCAGTCCTGGCGCATTCGTATCGGCAAAGAAACTGGCGTCACAAGGTAGCAACAGACGCATATGTGGCGCTGAGAGTCGTTCCATGAAGGTCCAGGTGCGGGAGAACCATGCATCTGTTGATATAGCGGCAAGGAGTCGGTAAACCTTGGCCATTTTGCAAGCGAATTCTACCTGGTCAAGGGTTGGATTCTGAAGTAGCCGATCTAGCTCCCTGAGATAAGTTCTGTCGTGGACGTGTCGAATAAAATCTGCCTGCGTCTGATGGAATATGTGAAAAGAGAGTAGGCCGATGGCGTAGCGACTCTGGTTGAAGATCTTGTGTACTACGTGTAGGTGCCTTTCGATATCACTGGGGTCATCCTGGTCGATGCAGTCCTTATCGACCCAAAGCAAGCGAGTGCCGATACCTTTGGCAAACTGGATAGCTCTACGCAAGAGCGCCCCTTGCGACCGAGCATTTCGTATAGAGCCTCCGGCCAATATTCTGTACCGAGAGTTGTCTTTGACGAGTGTGATGGCGTCAAACTTTTGCCAGGTATACGACACTGCCACATAGTTCGTCTCTCCAACGTGCTGTCCTCTCTCTGTCAAATACAATAGCGGGCTGTCATCCAGACTGGTGTTGTCAAATGCTAGAAACCGGAGGTCGAGCGTCTCTAAGCCACCAGGGTTGATGGACGTAACGGTGGCTGGGTCGCATATCAGGCCGAGGTCCGCGAGCAGGGCATCCGGAGTTTTATGAATGTCCTTAAACGCGAGGTTTGTGTCACGCTGCATCAGTGGAGGCCAAATGAGACCAGGCTGGAGATTGAGAAACCGTGAGCGATACGCAAGAGGTAAATACGACGGCATATGTGGCTCGTTGCCAATGGATGACTGCGAGACAAGAGGCCAGTGCCAAGCTGCGCAGCCTGATTTTCAGCCGCCAGGCTAAGCGATCCTCTTAAACAAATCAAACGCTGCCATCACCCTCTATCAACCACGGCAGAACTGCAGGAGATGCTATCACAAAAGCAGCCACCGTACGAGCAGCCCAATCACAGCGCAGCCCCCAAATGCATTGCTACCTGACACATGGGCCCCTGGAGCTTTAAGCTGAACCATGCAATGCAGCGGCTCGGGACGCCCTGAAGGTCTAACCAGCTATGACCCAGCCTCCCGATACTGAAGGCCAATACCCAGTATCTGGAGTGTAAATCTCTTAAGACCACCAAGTTGTCTCGAGCTTTCTTGAGAGATGGCCCTACAATCACCGTCACCACATAAAACATAGTCATATCGATACCTCTCTCTACGTTGATCATGGCTCAGATCAACTTTCCCGATCTACCTATGTGGGCGCAAACGCTCGCCAGTATTCTTCCCCTCTCTGCTCTTATCGAATTCGTCGACGTCGAGACAAGCATTCACGTCTACGAACTCAGGGGCGGATCAGTACCCTTCTGGAACTGGCCCATATCACCAGCAGGTGCGCGAATCCTCCTATCGAAAGACACAGCGGCCGGCGACTGTTTCCTAGACCAGCCACAGCGCAGCCAGGGGTTGACATGCATTGATGGCCGGTATGGAAACCAATACCCGTGCAGCGCGCCGGCCACCACACGACTCTGGGCTGGCAAGGAAGAGGAAGCCGGGACAGAAATCGAGAACACAAGCAGCAATATGGAGGACCGTAACAGGCGGGAGCAAGTTCTATACGTTGTCCAGCTGCGCGACGAGACGACTCCTGGTACGACCTCCGGCCGCAAGCATGAGGAAGGCAAAAAGAACTTCTGGCAGAAGTTTACTAGCTCAGTCCGGAGGCGTGGCCCACGATATCTGGCTGTCTCGTGTACCGGGTGGATTTGTTGGATAGGGCTGGTCGTGGTCAGCCTAATGGGTCGACTATATATCGCCGTAACGTACCTGGTCCTGATGCCATTAACTTGCTTTGTTGTTGGCCTCACGCACGGCACCAAACCTCGCAAGGCACTCGTACGCGACTCGAAGTCTTTCCCGCGCCTCGTCATCGCAGCAGGGAGCGAAAACCCACACTACTGGTATGCGTTTGAAGGGCACCAAACTCTGCTCAATGGGCTGCTCAACATTTCTCTCGCACCTTCTCAAACGCTCCCGTATCGGCCCTTTGGTCTCTATCTCTTGCGGCTTCTCATCCTTGGTCAGTGGGCGATGGCTCTGGGTTCTTCTGCTACCATGGGATGGGACGCCTTCGTTATTTCTATATGGACAGCATTCTGTATTGTTGCGAGCGCCTACCTCTACCCCGTCGATGTAGCAACCAAGGACTGGCTCAGCAGGGACTGCAGGGTCCAGGCATCGACAGTTAAAGCCGTGCTATCTTCTCGATACGCCTTGCTATTTGCGCTGGCCATGATCAATCCAGACACTGACAGGGACAAGACCAAGTGGATGGACCCTATTATCGCAAAATCTCCGGAGAGGGAGGAGATGTGGAACAATATGCTCAATTGGTCAAGGGGAGATGATTTACAAGATGAAGCCACCCTGAAGATAAAGTGGTGGTGGAGACTAATGAACGAAGGCGTTCATGTTGGGAAAGAAATCCGGAAGAAGCTTAAAGGTTACCCAGAAGGGGCTTAAAGGTAACCCTCCTCCCAATATTGACTCTCTTGAATAAAAATACATGTACGCAATTAATCCGCGAGCAAATTTATGTATACAGGCTCCCCGGGTAAGACTCTGTTAGTTTGATGGGTTGATTGTACGGTCGTCTTCATAGATCGGCAGTTTCTTTTTGGCTTAGACAGGGTTTAGATGCGTTGGCCTATGGCATAAGCGCTCATGAAGTTTATGTGACAGTGTAAAAATTGAACTTTTACTTAATAGATAGAGCCTGCAGTATCGCATGGATTCAACGCATCTCCTGACCACTTCTTCACAGCAATTCTTAGCTCTCCAAGGGTTAATTCACCACCTTAAAAGAACAATTGAGCAGCGCATGACAGCACCTGGAAAGGCCACCATCTTCTCACAGCAATTTTAACTCTCTCCAACGGTTTAATTCATTGCTTTAAAATTACATCCATAAACTATAACGCATCAGGCGATTCTGGCCAAAGGATTGTTGCCATGCCCCTTTTTAATATCTTGTACTATATCGAAGATAGGTACTACAACATTTCGATTCCCCCATCAAACGCATGTGCCTTAGCATCCGTCCCGCTTAAACATCCAGGCTGTCTTAGTTACACGTATTACACGCTCTACAAGCCTCAGCTCCCACTTCAACGCTCCGATTCTGTTCCTGCGTCGACACAGCAACATCCAGCCCTGGATTCCCCCTGAAGAAATTAAACGGCTTCAGCCCAACAACCATCTTCTCCGACGGCATAACCGGCCAATCTTCAATACGCGGGTTATGCGTTGACCCAAACGTATGCCAAACAACAATATCCTCATTCCGCACAGACGTCTTAGCCAAAGCGTCCATCCGCCTCCTCTCAATAGCCGAGGCAATGCCATCTCCTCCTCGAGACTGCATCGTATGCCGCCCAGCCGGGAAAAACTCCTCGTCATCATAGCGAGTAACCCAAATCGCATGCTTCCCATACTCCGAACGCCGCGCATGGTGAGACGTCGGATGAGAAAGCAGCATCTGGCTGTAAAACGGCACAATCTTAAACCCCACAGGCGTCCCGGTTACGGGATTGACAACTTGCTCATTCACAATCTTAAAGGTCCTATTCGTGGCAAAATCCAGATCCAGCCCCTGCTCATTATCAATCATCTGCTTGCTCGTCACATACCCTACTCCCAGCGGGTTATGAACCTCGGGATCCTCAATCGGCAGGGCATGGCTCTCCTCAACCTGCAACGAGTTTGCATGCCCATCAATCGCCGGGTCGATGCGAAGACAGAAAAGATGCTGGTGATACGGCGCAAGCACACCCGGCGCCACAACAGTTCCATACGGCACTGTTTCTCCCACGGCAATTGGCGCAGTCGACAAAATGCCCGTTGCTCGCACCTCGTAATGGATCGAGGCATCTTGTCCAAAGTGGAACGCAAAGATGTACTCGTAGTTGCTGACAGTGATGATGGTCTGCAGCACCAGAATGCGAGACCGCGTCACAACGGCATTCTTTGTGCGGAAATTGGTATGCTTCCATAAAATGCCGTCGTCCTGCTCATGGCAGCAAATCACGTTGGGCATCTTCAGCGGTTCACCAGACCGCGTGTTATGCCACCCGTCAAAGTACTTGATCGTCCCCAAACAATCGCACCCAAGCTGAAGATTGTTGGCATTGATGCCAGCCCCGTCGTTGCCCAGGTCAAAGGCTGCCTTTCGCTGGTACGGCGATCGGGGATCTCCATAAGGCACAAACATCTCCGCCAGCGACAGGCGATAGAAGAGGCTGCGCCCATCATAGCGAACATCATGAAGCGTGAGACCCTCTCGATAGTTGAAGCCGACGTGCAGATTCCACTTCTCCCAGGTTATCGAATTTCCATCGACATGGAATGAAGGACCCTCTGGCTGTACGACCTGGTATGGTTTTGTGGTCTGTCGGTATTCTGATCGTAGACTTGGGTGATATTCACTGTCTGTGGCTGGGTGGATCTTGCTGCGGTCATATGGCCGAGACTCGTTGTGAATTCTTTCGGCGTGGCTTGACGGCAGCCGATAGACTTTGATAACATGTAGTTTCTCATCTACTTCAGCGCAGATATCCAGCGGATATGCGTAGTAATTGGCATCTGCATTGCTCGTAAGGCGCATATAGAACCAGCACTGGGATGAATGGTCAGAATAAGTATATACGCGCACACACATATATACGTATTAACAAGCAGTGCACGCACCATGGTTATTCTCTCAGTCATGTCATTCATGCCATCCGTTGCATAAGCCCACGCTTCGACACAGACCACCGCCTCAGGAGGAAGCTGCAGAGTCTGTATCTCGGCTTGCACTCGCTCATCCGCTAGGCAGGCCCTCTCGACCTCGCCCATGTAGCTCGAATCAATATACGAGTGTTTTCCCTTGAGATTCTCAAGCTTCACTACAGATTGTTCGTCCAAGTCGACGATCAGTTCAAATAGTTGACTTGCTTCCTTTGGCGTTGGCGAAGCAATCACCTGAACGCGAGCTTGACGTGCTGGGCGAGCGGTTTGTGAAGCAGTTCCATTCTGTTGGCTATCGAGAAACGCAATCATGTCCCTCTTGAGAGGCTCCTTTAGAGTGATGAAGCGAAAATTCGGGTCTTGGCCTGCGAAGCATGGCCGTACAATGGATGCGGCCTGGAGGTGCAGGTTAGGCGCGAGCCGTCATGGAAGGACAGTTGAGAGACGAGGCATGGGCCCAAGTATGTACCTTTTGTATTTCCTCAGGCGAAAGGGGATCAAACGGATGCGAGCGGTAGGATGCCATAGTCGGCATTGTCCAGGTTGTTTCGTGCTTCAATGTTCTTTTTCGGTTTGTTGCTTTAGTTAAAGACCAAGAGTTTCCGTGATAAATATGCATGTAATAGTGCTTTGGCTCAGTTCAAGTTCAATCGTTGCACCCTGAACCAGCAAACCCCTCTACCCTTTTATAGTTTATACAACACCCAAGGCACCTATTGATATTTTGGCTCAGCAGTGATCCCTCCACTCCATCGCGTTACGTACAATCCATCTCCCAGATTTTCTCGCAGCGATGCCGTCTAAGGGAAAGGCTAGTGTGCGGCTGTTGGGGGTAGCGGCCGATAAAGGCGCGGGCCTGCAGCCTCCAAAGGAATTGTTTCCCACCGCGCTCTGCCTCCAAAGGCAATCATCTCCACGCAGCGTGGGAGGCGTCGCTGCGCCCTCTCGGTGGTACAGCCCTTAGAGGAACAACGGCTGCATGTGATGTTTTACAAGGCGCTGTGCCGTGAGTCAGCGTTGTTCCAAGTTGTCATAGTTATTTCAAATCGAGGGAGTAGATGAGAAGGGATTGAGCATGGTTTCGACATCAGCATTGCATCAGAGCAGCTCATAGTGCTGGTGTAAGCTGTATATACTGTGGTGTAGTGCGAACAGGTCAGTCGTTGGTGGCTTGTGGCTCGTTATAGCGCATTAGAACCATTGTTGCCCGCTATAAATGGGGCTCCATGTAATCTGCTCTCGGATTCAAGCATCCAACTTTACATCGTCTTCAAAATATCCACGTTTCATTCCATCGTCTCTCCTCCATCACATCACACAAACAAGACAGTGGAAATCTATAAAACCAGTCACACACTATTAATAAATTATTGTAAAAGAAAAAAGCTGCAGAGCACTCGCTTCTTTTCTATATCTCATTAAACAAACAGCATACAAAAACAGCTTTAGCCATACATTTCTTATAACCCAAACATCATCATTAAAGCAAGCATAAAAATTCATCAATCGTGAAACAAACGGAAAACATAAATCATAGCATTAACGTCAAAAGGAGAAAAAGAGAAAAGAGAGGCAAGAGAGAAATATATCGTCGTCAAAAAGTCGTCATCGTCAAATCGTCATCGAATCGTTCCAAGTCCCATCATCTCCTCCTCTTATGTCTCCTATCTCCATCCTCATCGTCGTCGTCTCCTCCTCCTCCTCCTCTTCGTCCTCCTTCTCCATCGCCACCTCCTCCACTGCCACCAGCAGCTTGAAGAGCTCCCGCCAACGGTCCCAGTTGCCCCAATAAATCGCCGCCAAGCACATCGCCAACCACGCTCACCCAACTGCGCCGCCCCTGTAAAGCTCCCGTCACGCCGCTCACTATTTTCTGGATTTGCTCAGGGTCGGTACCAGCAAGCTGCCACCCACCGTGGATGCTCAGACCACCAGGCCGGTCCGCCAAACGATGAAATTCGCCGCTTCTAGTAGTCAGCCGGCTCCTGCCATGGCGCCCACCGTCCAATGGTCTCCCATGTGAGTCGAAACGGTCAGGCAAATTTTCGACTTCATCGTCAGAATCCGAGTAATGATGTCTCCGATGCCTACCCTCATGACCACGGTTAGGGGAACGATCGTGAGTGGTATCGGATGATTGTCGACGGTGGCGATTTGATCGGTTGAATTGGTTTTCACGGCGTGTATCACTAGATCTGCCTTCAGACTCCGAACTGTCTGATTCGGATCTGAGTTCGTGCTCCTTTTTATGCCTCTTCATCGTTATAGTGCTCGTCGGAGAAAGCGGCCCAAACGACACAGACTTTCTTCTACCAAGGGGAAACCCAGGTGGGGGAATCTCGATGCGAGGCGGCGGCAGCTGCTTGAGCGGTTTTATGGCCTCTGAAAAAGACGAACAGGTTAGCCTCAACAGATATCCTGTATTATCCACAAGACTTTGTCTAATTTGAAGAATCCAAAAAAATTGTTCTTGCAAAAAAAGTACGACTCAACGCACCCTCAGATGGTCCGCCCTTCTGTTCAGGTGGATTCTTGTTTCTGGAGAGGTCACTCACATAATCTTGCGGGAAGCTACCGCCCGCCGGTGGCCCTGGAGGGGGAGGTCCAGGGGGAGGAGCCGGGCCCGAAGGCGGGGGTCCAGCTGGCGGGCGGGCGTATCCTGGCACTCCTGAAGAGTTACCAGGAGGCGGCGGTCCCGAAGGTGGCGGGGGACCAGCCGGTGGAGGTGGAGGCGCGTACCCGTGGTAATCTTGAGGCACATAGGGGTGGTACTCACGAGGTTCCGGCACAGTGGGGTCAGTATACGGCGTGTAGGAGTGCTCGCGCGGCGGAACATTAGCCGGAGGCGGCGGCGGCCCGGCAGCTGGGGGAGGTGCTGGGGGAGGGGGGACATTTCCAGGGATGCTGGATCCCGGAGTTGTGGGATAAGGGGGAGCCCCGTAGTAGGCGCCGCCGGAGGCATTTGGGGGTGAATGCGGCCTGTTTTGGTCTTCAAAGTAGGCTCCGTTTGAAGGGACCTTGGGGTAGCCTACAAGAGCTCAAAAGTAAGTTATCGTTTGAAAGAAGACGCACCGAATAGAAGAAAAAAAAAAGAAACCAAGAGAAAGAGAAACAGCCAGAATGGCTTGGGGCTATGAGGGGGGGATCTTACGTTGTCCTTGCTCCTCGCGCTCCCTCGAGCGCCTCTCCTTCGACCGTCTCTCCTTTCTATCCTCTTTCCTCTCCTCTCGCTTCTCTTCCCGTCTCTCTTCTTCCCTACGCTCTCTTTCCTTTCTGTCCTTGTATTCTTTGATTCCCGCCGCCGCAGCGCCTGCGGCAGCCATGTCTCGCAGCTGACTTCTGCTTCGTTTCCTCTCCTCGTCGGACTCAGAAGAAGAAGATGGGTCTCTTTCACGTCTTCTCCGTCGGTTTCGCCGCCTTTCCTCGGCCTCGGATTCATATCCTTGGCCAGTTGGAGAGCGCGGATCGGGTGGTAGGGGATCGTGCCCGTACTCAATCAAGCCTAGCCCAGGATCAGCCACGGCTTCGGAATAAAGGGATCTGGCTCTCGACCTGCTCCTGCTCCTGCTCCTGCTCCTACTGTGTGAGTTGTGTCCATCGTACTCGCGATCTTCATCGCTGTATCCACGAGAGGCCGATTCCCCTCTCTCCCTCTCCTTCTTCTTATCATGGTGATCTTTCCACATCTTGCCAGCCACGCCTACTGCTGCAGCGCCGGCAGCAAGCTCGGCGCCACGGCGAAGCGCGGACTTGCTGCGGGATCTGCTGCCATGTCGAGAGTGTCGTGACTTGGATCGCGACTTTGACTTGTCACGAAAATGCTTCACGATACCAGCAGTCGCCGCGGTTCCGATGGCCGCCTTGGCCAGGGTGGAGAGACTGCGCTTGCGGCTGGGCTTGCGCGAGTGAGAGCGATCAGAGTAGTAGTCTTCATCAGATGAATAGTATCCTCGATTTCGGCTTCGTCCTCGGCGCCTCTCCTCCTTTTCAGCCTTGCTGGCTTGGTGATACTTGACGGCACCAGCTGCGGCGAGGGCAACGGCGGCGATTCCCAGACCTTTCTTGAGCGTCGAATGGCGATCGGGGGATTCATTGCCGTCACCCCAGTGCTCTTCATAGGCGCTGTGGGCTCGTCTGATGGCCTCGGTTCCGATGGCTCCCAGAGCAGCACCGGCAAGAACCTTCTTACCACGGTGCTCCGAAATCTCTCCGTACTCGTTGGGGCGACTGGAGAGCAGAGCAGTGATGCCAGCGCCGGCAAGGGCACCCTCAGCTAGATGGCGCTTGTGGTGATCTGAGCTCTGGCTTCGCTCGCGACGAGTGGTGCGACGAGAGTAGTAATAGTCATCCTCGTCGCTGTGGTAGTCGTCCCGTCGCGGGCGGCGATCGCCTTTGTAGGGGCCAATCTCTCGTCTTTCGCGGCGGTAATAATACTCTTCATCGTAAGGAGCGGGGCGAGCGACTTCTCGGTCGCCCTCTCTCTCTCTGAGCACAATGATGCTGGGATCCTGCCGGGGAATGACTATCTGCTGCGGGGGGGCTTCCTGGACAATAATCTTCTGGTCCGGAGCCCGTTGGCGGACCACGACGGGAGAAGACGTATGATCTGGCTCGCGGTAATACTCAGTCTCTTTGCGATAGCGATCGACCTCATGGCCATGGCCGTCGTCAAAGCGCTCCTCGACTCTCTTTTCCACTCGCACATCTTCCTCATGGTGGCGAGGGCGTCTTTCCCTCTCCCAGTCGCGATCCGTCTCCCGGCGCTCGACATCACGCTCATAGAAGACGGTGCGGGAGCGATCAGCCTCGACGTCTACGGCCGAGCGTGGCCTGTCCGGGACATATGCTCGCTCTCTTCGCTCATACTCGACAAAATCCCGCTCGCCAGGCCCAGAGTAGCGTGAGCGGCGTTCGTCGTCCATCTCAACAAACTTCTCAACACGGTCGTATCGCTCTACTCGGGGTTGGTTGACTTTGTATCGGGTCACAGTGGTGCTCTTGAAGCGCTCGTCGTCAGAATCGTTTTCGCGGCGTTCTCGATAGACCTTTGTAGTTCTATAGTCGGCCATCTCTCCAACCTAGCGCTGTCTGCTAGGTATATATCTCTCTCTCGCTCGCTATCTCTCACACTGTTTTGTCCACTCTTTCTTTCTCCGCTCTTTTAAATCGTCACTTAGATGAGGTACCAGGCAATTATGACGCGGGAGAGAAGGAAGAGCCAGGGCGCAAAGGCAGACACAGTAAGTACAGTATAAAGGATTCTGAGAGGCTGAAAAAAAAAAAGCACAAGGAGGGGTAACGAAGAAGGGAAAGGGAAAGGATATGACGCAGAAGAGTCGCCAAGTTATCCCACCCCTTGCTGTAACCGTACTAATACTTGCACAGCAGAGGGTCCTATGCCGGTGCTTGGAGCGGCTGCAACGGAGGAGGCAGCGTCTGCTGCAGGATAACGTCAGGACAGTACAAATAGCGTCGAGAGCGGGCCTCGCTGGGTGTGGACAGCTGATGACAATGTCTCATTGGGAGGAGGGGCCGAGCAGCAGTTGGAAGCTGGTCGAAGGTGGGCTGCTGACTCTGAGCTGCGTGAGAGAGAGGCCAGCTAACGGAGGGCTAGACAAGGGCAGGGGGTTCTTGGACTGGACGAGGCTAAGAATGCTGTGCGTTGATCTCGCTGGATCTTTTTGGGCTGCTTCTTTTGTTTTCTCTTTGCCCGGTGATATCGGGTTCCGCGTAAATTAGCGGCAGGGCGGTGGCAGTTCGTCTGTTGCTGTTGCTTGGATGAGCTGCCGCGTGTGTCGTGTCTTTGCCGCCGCATCGCCCCTCGTCTCGCTCTGCCTCGCAGCGTCACCCGCATCGCCAGCATCGCCAGCACCATCGTCAAATCACAGTCTCAACCATCCCTTGGTCCCAATCGTCTTCGACATTCGTCGCCTACAGTGCCACTCGGCACCGTCCACCTGTTCGACCTCGACCTGTGCCAACCCGGAAATCCTGCCACCCCCTCCCAACAAAACAGGCGAACCGCCGTGGTTGGTCACCTGCATGAATCTGGAAGAAAGCGGCCGGCGCCTTGTGACCAGGCAGAAGCGTGGCGCGGGGCCCAGTGGCTGCTCTTCACAGGAACCACGAGGGGCGCGAGTTTTTTCCGTCGCAGCGCCGAGCGCTCTGCACCACCCGATTCTTCTTTCTCGTTCTTTCTGCTCACGCAGCCAAGCCATGCGGTGACACAGTCTCAGCCTCACTCTCTGCTAATTTCTTAGCCCTCTGGTCTGTCGCCGTGACCCCGCCGCGCGCTCTGCCTCTTGCGCTCTCGCATGTTGCCCGCGTCAGGGAACGGTCAGTCCAGCGACAGCAGAATCACGCGTTTGGCGAGATGCGGTGATGCCTGCTCTGAGACCAAGATGTCTCCTGCTACATCTGCTGTCTCTTACAGTTTGAGCCTGTGGCTTTCGACTTTGCTCGCCTCGCGCCGTGCCGCGCTAAAAAGCCCCTCCAGGTACCTGGAGATGCCGTGCCTCAGTGGGAATTGCAGCGAAGAGGGGAGAAGCCTGGCCGGGCGGGAATGTCGTCATAGCGCCATGGCTGTGCGCTTGTCGCTGCTAAACAGCCCACTATTCGGGGCTCCACTGTAGACTCTGTTCTGGCAGCTTCAATGCTGTCTTGCTATCATTCTGCCGTTATGCATCAGACTTAACTTGCATGTATCATCATCTTTCTTGATCGCTGTTAGAGCCTCCCCCCCACGCCAACCATGCACAGCCTAGCTACTAGGTATGTACCGCAAAAAAACTCCGTAATGGGCTCGTCCTCTCGGCCACGGCAAGCCCCCAATCAGCCCACAGCCAGAGCGGCCCTTGCGTTCTGTTAGTACCAGCATCATAGTGCTGCTGCTGGTAGGTAACTGCCGAACATGCCCGTGTGATTGGATTACCTGGACTCGAGACGGGGCGTCATTCAGCCTACCGGAGAGCCGACAGATGAGCCCAACGGGGACGTGTGCCAGAACCCGCTGCCCCTTACAGGTGGGAGTCGATAGAGTCACGTCGACGCAAGGGTCGATTTCGGTGAGACATGCCGAGAATGGCTGTTCGATAGTGTTCCTGCAGAGACTCAAAGGTACAATTTCTACAGGTGGAGATACCTGTACTATGATATATCATTGCCCAAAATTCCACAGAAACAGAGATGCCAAGAACAAAAACAAAAAGAGAAAAAAAAAAAAAAAAAAAAAAAAAAAAAATACACCGGCTACGCCCATTTGACCCAATCTGAAGCTTTTTGACTCCATCTAGTATGTACACTGCGTCTAACCCAACCAATGCTTCAAGACAGGCTACAACTACTCGTCGAAGCCATGCTTGTTGCCCAAAACACCAACACCGCCGTTGCTTCGGCGCCTCTTGCCGATGACCTCGCGGACCCAGTCGCTCAGCGTGAAGCCCCAGTGGCCGGCTACCATGACTCCACTAAAGACATTGACAATTTTGATCAAGAAGGTGAGGAATCCGTCACGGCTTTCCTCCACACTCAGCAGGATAGGCTCAATGTCGTACTTGAAAAAGATGCCCGGGATCTGATGGTCCGAGATTGTCTTGCTATGCTCGGTGACGGCATACTGGTTGGTATTGACGATCCTGCGGTTGGCAAGGTAAACGGTAGGGACCACGGAGAGATAGTACTGGAATTTATGAAAGTGGACAATGGCGGAGTTGACGGTACGATCGAGAGGGTTGACTAGCGATGGGTAGTACGGTCCATACGACATTTCCGAGATGATGTGGGAAAAGTTGAATTCTGCATTGAGCCGTTAGAGGACATAAAGGAAGTGAGAGGAAAGGAGAAGCACATACTGTCATGGTCCAAGTGTTGGCCCATTCCCATGTAGCCGTGGCCTCTCGCCGTGATGTGGAAGTCTCCTTGCACCTTGTTCAGATCCAGGCTTCCAAACATGCGGCAGCTGTCAGGCCTTCCCTTGGGCCTAGGAGTCTTTGCCCACTTGGCTCTCCTTTGAGTGAGAGCAATAATGTCATGGACATGCTCTTCGCCAAAGCCTTCGTCGTGTTTCGAGTGCCAGCCAAGGCCCGTGTCGAGCTGGCCATTTTCGTTCTTGCCGAGCTTGTGCATGCCCTTCTCATCAACCCACTGGCTCCAGGTGGTGGCCTCGCGGGCCAGCTTGTCCGCGGCGAGAATGCGATCTCCCGACGCATCCTGGACGTTGACGTGCAGATCGTCGCAGTTCATCTTGACAACTATATCCAGATTAATCTGCATGTCGTGCCCGACACCCCTCTCGACAGCGAACGTATGCGCCTCGGTGCCGCGCCACCAGCGACCAAGCTCAGTCCACATGAAGATGCTGGATATGAGGAGCATGGCAACAGTCCATTTCCCGCCACCAGCTGTCTGTGTCACATATTGCGGCTTGGATTTAGCTATACAGAAAGTGTTAGATTAGCAAGCAACATATGGAGCTAGATGCGGGAGTGTGTAGCCGTACGGAATGCATCAAAGGCGCTGACGATGCCGCCCTTTGCGCCAAAGTCGTCGTCGTTCAAGCCATGCTTCTCGAACCCGTCCATTGTGTATAATATGCTGGGCTCTTCTCTGCAGAGGAATTACCAATGACTAGAATTGTTTCTTTCTTTCTTTCTTTCTTTCCTTCAATATCACTTAAAGAAATGAAACCGTCATTGAGGACCAAGGCGAAAAGAGGGAGAGGAGCAGAGTGACACTACAAGCCCACCGTCGAATTGCGAGCTACAGCTTCGTTTCTTGGTCGCTACCTCATTCCACGGAATATTGTGCCGACCACTTCGCTCCAGGCACTCAATTCGGTCCAGCGAAGTCGTGCGCAGCGTGAAATTCTCGATTCAGCCTCAACCAAGTCTTTTCCAAGGCGTGGCGAGCTGCGGCGCATGTGAAGCATCAATCGCATTCAGCTCGTGGACACGTCTCCGGTTCAGTTCCCTGCTCGGAAGCTTGACGGTGATTGGGTAGGAGGCTGCGACCGGACTATCCGCGGCCCGGGGAAGTTCTGGAACGGCCACCGGCATGCTAGGCTGCCCTGGATTTTTGGGTCGGCAATGGACTATTATTGAGCGCGCTGAAATGCAGACAGGCAAGACATTGGATATGGCGTGCATATTAGCGACAGAAATGGCAGCGCTAGACTGCTGCTACTCATGATGCTGCTCGAAGAAGCTCTGTTGAGATAGGGCCAAGGTATTTCTCCCGTCAGCAGCCCTGGGAAACTGTAATTTAACGAATCGCAGAACAGAGCACAAAGCACCAGCACCAGGGCAAAGGACCGCAAAGGACCGCGAGGTGACATCTCAAAGCATGAGTATGGAATCCGTCCTCCAAGAAACGACCGCCATTGTTCCAATCGGCAGGGCTGGCTTGTCAAATGCGAGCATGGGCTGGCTGGGGCCCGCAAAAATCGCCAGCCAAGGTTCGCGACTAGGTTCAGCCGGGCAACGAAGTCCCCCATAAAAAAAGGTCAAAAGCATGAAAGAGGCTCAGGAACCCTGGCGCTGGGAAAGCGACCGGCCGAGGGACCCAGCCAAGCCAAGCTGAGTGGAATCAGGGCAGCAAATCAGGTGGCACGGCTTCTGCCCACTAGGCACGATCTCTTGGCCGTGGGCTTGGGCGTTCTGATCCGATCATGGGGCCGAGATGGCCAGACGACAGATGCAGCTGTCAGGCAAAGGCGAAGCGTGGCTTGCGCATGCCGTGACGGTGAAAAGCTTTATTTTGTGACCGTGTTTTTGGCTTTCCTTTCGCTGCTGACGAGGGTGAGAAATGCGGCCTTTCACGGCAATAGCCTGCTTATACGGGCCGTATCCAAAAATAGGCGAGCCAATGACTAGAAGAGCGCCACCAAAGGGAACCACGCGCGGCAAAAGGCTAATAAAAGCCCAACAATAGCCCGCCGTTGCACAAGCTCTTCTCGCTCTTGTAACCGGCAACGAGCGTGGTATAAGGAACGCTGCTGTTGTTCCGTATCCGACGGAAACACCATGTCCGTCGTCATTGCTACGTGGGATGCTGCTCGTAACAGAGGCATATGAATGCTCCATTATATCTCAACTCAGCCACCAAGCTCGTCGCGGCATAATACGATACGCACATGCACCACTTCGTATTCCTCTGCAAAGAAAGCGTTAGCAGCTGCCAGAACGGGCAGCATCAGAAAACGTCAAGCTGCTCCCCGCCTGCGGTCCCCCCATGTCCAATCCCATTCATCTCCGCACCGAACCCGGGGAAGACATTTGTGTGATGCTTGCTTTAGAGATATTTTTTAAGCTAGGCTGGGCAGCAAAATCAATGGAAGGGAGAGTAGCTACTTGTAGAAAAGAGCTCGGAAAAATACTCGCGCAGCTCACGGCCCGCCATTAGAAATCAGCAAAAGGCCGGGTACTTGTGCGCGTAAATAAAAGCTGGCATGCAACCTGTTGCTGCTACCTGCCTCTGCTTGTATCCACGGGCGCGCACAGAGGGCCGCGGTACATACGCGCGAGGTACATGCCAGTCGGTGCAGCTGCCACTCTGCCCTTCCAACGCCCGTAGCGCCAGCCCATCGCCGGTTTTTGCGCCACCGCTCCAGTTAATCCCCAGTCGCAAGACTCTCACTTCTTCATACAGTAGGAATCGCCAAACCGCTGACTCTTTGCGGCCCCCCTTCACAGCGTGCGTGTCCAGTCGCTGCGGTTTTTTCTTCATCTCGTTTCCTGCTTTTCCTTCGTTTTCGATCCTCGTCATCCATTCGTTCACCGTCCACCAGCCCTCGTCTCTGTTCCCGTCATCGCCAGGTGTCGCGGATCGCAGCTGAGCATCTCGCCATCCATCGACTCTCGCTTCTCTTCCTCGCTCGCTCGCTCGCTCGCTTTTTTGCACTCCCCTCGCTATCCGTCTGGATCGTCAAGCCGGCGCCCGTATTCTCGCATCTCTCACATATCACGGAAGCGCATCATCCCGAATTTATCGCATTTTGTCTGCCCGCTCGATTCGCCTTTTCTGCCGACTTCGCGCTCGCTATCTGGCCTTCTCTCGCGCATTCGCATGCTTCGATTGACGCCTTAAAAGCCGGCTTTTACCGCGGGTCTTCATAACATGAAGTCATTCTTTGGGCCGGGCGCCATCGCCGCCCTTCTAGCTGCAGCAGACATTGCTGCCGCGCAACAGACTCCGTTCTCGATTTCCTCAACGGGTGAGCTTGTCCTCCATCTCCATCTGTCTCGATTTCATTTTCTTGGTGGAGCTCGCGACTGACATTGACGCCTCTTTTCTTTCTTCCCTTGATGTAGATGACATCAAGAAAACATCAGCCACCTTGGCCTGGGACCTGCTCCAATACTACAAAGGAAATGAGTCGGGCCAAACCCCCGGCCTTCTTCCCGGACCACCTCCTGCTGGACCTTACTACTGGTGGGAAGCCGGTGCCATGTTTGGCACGCTGATCGATTACTGGTTCTTGACCGGCGACACCACCTACAACGACCTCACTATTCAAGGCATCCAGTTCCAGACGGGAACTGACAATGACTTCCAGCCCCGCAACGAAACGCTCTCGCTGGGAAACGATGACCAAGGCTTCTGGGGCATGACGGCCATGACGGCTGCCGAGGAGAACTTCCCCAATCCTCCTGCTGATAAACCGGGGTGGCTAGCTCTGGCCCAGGCGGTCTTCAACACCCAGGCCAGTCCCGAGCGTCACGATGACACTTGCGGCGGCGGCTTACGATGGCAGATCCCCCCGACTAACAAAGGATACTCGTACAAGAACAGTAAGAGACATGTTTGAGCCTGATGAGAGATGGGGCGTAAATCATGACGATGGCTGACTGATGCATCTGCAGGTATTGCTAATGGTTGTTTCTTCAATCTGGGGGCCCGTCTGGCCCGTTACACCGGCAATACGACTTATGCTGACTGGGCTGAAAAGACGTGGAATTGGTGGGCAGACGTAGGATTCTTGGACAGCGAAACATATGCCATCTACGACGGAGCTGACGTTTCCAACAACTGCACCAAAATCAACAAGGCCGAGTTTTCGTACAACAGCGCGGTCTGGGTTCTCGGAGCCGCATACATGTACAACTATGTGCGTTTCCCCCTTTCTTAATCCCATCATGGCATTTCTATTTGCCCCCTCTCATTCCCCAAGCTAATTGTTGGACAGACCAAGAGCGACACATGGAAAACGAGAGTCGAGAAGCTTGTCGATCACGGCCTCGAGACCTTCTTTCCCAAGGGCATTGCGTACGAGCCCACGTGCGAAGATTGGGGCACTTGCTCCACCGACATGTTGTCCTTCAAAGGCTATCTCCATCGGTGGTATTCTACCACGACGCAGATTGCTCCCTTTACGGCTGAAAAGATTCTGCCCGTGCTCAAGACATCGGCGGCGGCAGCTGTCAAGCAATGCACGGGCGGTGACCTTGGTCGCCAATGCGGTTTTAAGTGGGATACGTTCAAGTACGATGGCGCCACTGGAGTGGGCCAGGAAATGGACGTCTTGGGGGCTGTTTCGTCTCTTCTCATCGGCAGCTCCAAGGGCCCAGTAACCAACAGCACCGGTGGCACGTCCGTCGGCAATCCCAACGCTGGTGGTAACCCGAACAGTTTCGAAGTGCCCGTGACCCCTATCACGGCTGGAGACAAGGTTGGCGCTTCAATCGTCACCATCATCCTCGTCTGCTCCACCGTCTCTATACTCGGCTGGATGAGCATTGGTGCTTAAAGTTGGCTTTGCATCTCAGAGCGCAGACTTTTCTTCTCCATCTTATTTCCAAACAAGAAGAAAAAACAAAATACAATACAAAATGTCTTGAAGTTTATGGCGAAGTTTCGTTGTAGCCAAGCTTTGTAAGACCATACATGGTGTTCCGGTTGGCTATTTAGGGGACGGACTGGAAGCACTTTTACGATTTCTTTATTACCACTCGGCGTTGGAATGCACGTTTACCAGGAGTCTCTTAGCATTATGTCGTTTATTCTCTATTTTTTTTTTACTTTTTTTTTTTCACTTCCCATTTGACATTGGTCCTCGAGGAGGGCCTCTTTCGCCTCCGACGTATCGAGCGTATAACGACAGTCGACACGAGGCTCGCTATCAAAGGGGTTGACCTCGTTTTTATGTTATACGATTGCCAGATGATGGGATAAATACCAGGTGGTGGCTGTCTTGTGAAGGGGATGATGAATTTGCTGATGCTGGATGAGTCATTCGTTCGATGACGGACGATGATGATTGATGGATAGTGCCGACGGAATATGTCGTCTAGGATAATGCGAATATAGTAACTACATGCTAAGACAGTGACTGTTGCTTCTAGTTTTTTAAAAGAAATAACTTTCTGGTGAATACTTTGACTTTGACTTGCGAGCGTATGACGATCCTCGGGTTTGACAGGATCGATTTGACTTGAAGTAGATCGAACTGGTTTCTTGGAGGTATGCAAGCCTGAATTTATCAAGCAACGATCCATGCGTGCTGTTGCCGACAACCCGCCGGCAATGTGCGGACAGCGGCAAGATCCGAGTCACAAAAAGAAATCCGGCATCCGGGAGAAAAAAAAATATGACCAAAATAGCAAAAGCTGCTGCGCGGCTTTTCCAATTGGGATGCGAGGCATGTTGATCGTCGGGATCTCCATTGGGAAAGTTGCATATGCGTCATAGTACATGACGGGAGCTTGGGAATTGGAGCTCGGAAGACATGGCATTGGCAATATGCGCGGATTAGTCACTACCAGGATTTTTAAAATAGATTAAGACTAGAAAAGAAGGAATAAGAAGGAGAAAAAAAAATCTGCCATTGGAAAATGAATGAACTGGTGGTGCAACTGGATGTTAGTCACTGGTACTTGATGCATGATGGTCCGATCGGATCAGATCAGGTTGAGGCCACGCCCGGTCGACGTCTCATGTCAAGTAAGAAGAGGTCGAGTCACGTATGGAGTGCTGCAACGTTGACTGCAGCTGCGGAAACTGCAAAAGTAGCTCCTATGTATGTAGGTACAGTGCTACTTAGTACTAATAAGAATATAAAATTAAAAAAAAAAAAGCGCAGACAGGTACGGAGTAGAGCATGAAATGCTGTACAGCAGCAGCACAGCTCCGGCGCCGAGAGCAACGCCCCTGAATTGGAGCTCTGCTGTGTGGTTGCTCACAGCGCAGCGGCGCGTGGCAATGACGCAAGGGGCAGCTGAGGTGAGGGAAGGAAAAAAAAAAACTCAATTGCACCGCGTGATGGACGGGCTAATTTGCTCCTCGGCTTACATAAGTGCGTGCGCCCCGTCCGGACTGCGAAATACGTGCTCAATGCTCGGATGATGACTTGCGGATGCTGTGCGTGTGCGTGTACATGCCTGTAGCATCATTTGCTGGCCAGATGATCCCATGTCGGCTCCAGACACAGGCGTCGACCCCTCGTGGCCGCTGTGTCAAGTCTGTTTGGATGCCCCCTTAATTGGTAGTACTACATACATGGCTTCACGGCGTTGCACAGACTGCAGCATCAGCATCTCGCTACTCCGTGCTGTGCTCCAGGCAGCACAATTGGACAATAGCAGAAAAAAAAAATGCCACAACACGTGGAATTTTGCAATTAGCTTAGTCGCCACTCCTCAATGCTTCACTGCAGCAGAAGACAAAACCAGAGAGAGAGAAAAAACAGGTCCAACCGCAGCGTTACCCCTTCCGGCATTCTCATTACCTACAATAAACTCGCCTAGGGCAACGCTCCGAGGCCCGCGTGACGCACGCCATCGGTCACCAGAGGATTCTCCCCCCCAAGCAGCCCCCCCTTTGCCCTGCTGCAAAAGCCGCTATAAGGCGCTGGAAGCAGAAGTCGCTGAGCTCCGCCGTTACAGCGTCGGGTCTGGCCACTGGCTCCACGCCACGCAAGCGCAAGCTACGGCAGCGATACTTTTGCGCCGACACAATTGCACTGCGGGATTAAAGTAGATGCCATGTACTACCTAAACTTTCGACTCGCTGGCGGGATGGGGCGCCCCTCCCCTCTCTGGCGTTTGCTTTATTAAAAAAAACTGCCCACCTGAGGAGCTGAAAATCATTTCACTGGCTGCTAATTTCGTAAGCCTGATGGACCGCCGGTAGCCATTTCGCCATGGCTTGTGCGCCAGGCCAGGTCCGGCCTTAGCGTTTTGCGGGGGAAAAATTGAAAGTGGGAAGAAAAGAGAAAATATTACGGCATCGGTGGTGTTCTATTGGGTGGAAGGCAGTGGATGCCGATGGATCAGATGGATCAGATGGATCAGCAGGGAAAGAGAAAAAAAAAAAAGGCGAGAGAGAAAATCCCAGCGGAGCCAGGGGCAACCAAGGGCTAGAGCTATGGAGAAAAAAAAATTAATTTTTTTTTTCTCTATTTTCTTGGCCCTGGTTAGTCCGAAATTGGAACGTTTTGGCTGGATCTTGGGTCTGGTGACCCCAATTTTTGGTTGCAGCTGCTGTGTGTGACTGCGGTGGCCACGGTTTGTCAGGAGCTTCGTTTCGTATAAGACGGTTCGTGAGCCGAGCTCTTTTTTTCGTTTGGTGTTCTCTGCTATTACAGCACTCACATACCTGCCTCCTATAATACTACTGCTATTCATTGCTCCTAAACTGCGCAGACTTGATTCATCGATCCTACAAGACGCATTGAAGCTCAATTCAAACACCTGCACATACCTACCCACCTATACAAACCATCCACGCCACAGACTGAATCCAACATCCTACGAGATTCACCACCTGCAAACCACCTACCACAAATCACCTATAATCAACACCAAAACCCCGCCATCATGCCCTCCAGCTACATCTTCACCGAGTCCGCCCCCTCACAGGCCACCTTCTACCGCTCAGGCCGTGGCGGCGCCGGCAACACATTCCGCACCTCAGCCGCCGCATCCTCGCCCTCGCCCGCCTCAACCACCTTCACCCCCCGCCAGCTGCCCAACCAGCGCTTCTTCTCGGGCATCGGCGGCGCCGGCAACGTCCACCAGGCCGACGAGCTGCAGCCCGCCATCCTGCGCTCGCTCGAGACGCCCGCCGACCACAACCCGTCCGTGGGCTACGTCGGTCGTGGTGGCGCGGGCAACGTCTACCGCCGCAAGACGAGCGATGCGGCCAGCACGTCGAGCGCCGACAGCAGCTCCAGCTCGATGAGCGACAAGGCCAAGCTGTGGGCGACGAGAGTGGCCAGCTCGCTTGGACGAAAGTAGAAAAAAAAAAGAGACAGGATTTCTTTTTTTTTTTTTTTTTTGTTGTGATTTACTGCTACTTCTACTGCATTTTTACTTGCTTTCGTCTACACTGGCTACTGCTGCTGGACCAGCGAGGCAAAGAGACTCGGCGTTGGATTTTGGAACTTGGCACATGGGGAGAGCGATACAGCAACAATAATCTTTTCTTGAAAAAAAAAAAGCAACAGAAACAATAGACACCAATTTGGTGTCATGGGACTACGATTACGAACAGCGCACTACAATACGGAGTAGTACTACTACTGCCGTGTTTTATTATTATTATTATTTATACCCGCCTGAATTTGATTTAGGCTAAGCAAAGGGGGAAACTTGCGAATAGGAGTTGGACACGGATCGGCAGACGATTCCAGAAGAACGGAGGAAAAGTTACTTGAACATACATGGTTCATTTACATACTTATATTACATATACATATATATATATAGTTGATGATGATCAATAAAGATTCTCCTTTCTGATTCACACAAGCTGCCAATTTATCTGCTCCTCCTATTCATTGCTTTGTACGAGTATGTGCCTTTGCTTTCTATGCAATCCTCCTCATTAATATGCCCTGCTGTACAACAAACACACTGCCTAGATACGTGTCACTGAAAGGTATGTTGTCGCCTTTGCTCCGCCTTCCAGGTGCTACACAACGTGCGTCCCAATCCAACATCTCCGCGGCGCTCTTGGATGGATGGATGGATGCTTAAAGTAGCACAGCATTGAAGCCAATCACAAAAAAAGGTATTACATGCACGCAATTGTGATTAAAAAGATACAACTTCATAAATTCAACAAGTATAGCTAGCTGGTAGTACATTTCATCACTTCTACTCTTATTACCTAGCAGCCAAGCGAAATTCCAACCTCCTCCACAGTACACCACACCATAACCCCGCTTGTAGAACCGAGCCTCCAAAAACAAACGGAACCCCTCCCTAATTTCCAATGCCACACAAGACGTCTCAACGACAACAGCAAAATCTTCTTTTTCTCCTTTTCAGCCAAGCAATTAATCTAAGACCTTGACACAAGAAAAATAAGCAAAAAAGGACAAATTGACAACAAAAAAAGAATGTGATCTCGCCCGGGCTCGAACCGGGGACCTTTTCGGTGGTGTCAACAGATGTTGTTAACGAAATGTCATGACCAACTAGACCACGAAACCAGCTACTTGTTCAAGCTTCAGGATTGGAGCTTGCGTTGCGGATCAGCCAGCCACAAGTCCCTTAGAAAGCTTTGCCATCTACCAATCAACCAAACACATCAAGTCTCAATCTAATTCATTCCCAGCATTTATTCATCGTCAACGCATATACACGGCAGTCAGTCAACATAACATTCGACATACATTAACATAACAGAGCTTCAACCCAATCCATCACTTCAACCGCAAAATCGGGGTATCATTAGGCTCTCTTTATCTATCAGACAGACAAAAGTCCTACACAACTCCCTCATCTATTGCCCGCTTGCTCCATGTATAAATAAAAAAAACGGAAAAAATTCCACCTTCCATCTCTGTATCATATAAACCAAGTCCTTATGTCTTTTTCGTGAGAAAGAAAAGAAAAAGAAAAAGAAGATTAGTCGTACACCATCAGACTTCTAAACCCACTTTGGAAAATTTGTCAATTTTTTTTTTCTCTTGTTTCTCCTCTCTCCGTTGCTGAGTATCAAAGCAGTTTGTCGTCTTTGGAGAGGAATTTCATCAACTACGCGCGCTTCGTTTCAGGAGTGAAGCAACTAGACATGCAAGGGCAACTTTCGCTCTCCTCTATGCCAATACGCCAGTGTCCATTATCGTCATCAATCATGTGAATTTCGTGTGGATAATATCGGGATTCTCGTGCCAGTCATCAATGCTCACAAGCATCTATCCTCCTTGTTAGCAAATGCAATCCAACTTCACCCATCAAATCATATAAAAGTCCACTTACTTTGCGGAATGTACTCAAGCCAGCGAGAATACTTCCTCCGATCCATGTAGAGTATTTTCTTTCCGGAGGCGCAAAGATCTTTATTCTCATGTCCTTGACTGCCAGCTTCTGCAGTTCCGTCAGGAGTCGGTCACCAAAGCCCTTTGTCAGCGTGCTGCCTCCGGACAACACAATGTTGCTGTAAAGCGATTTTCGGAGATCCAAGTCAGTGCGGCTAATAGCATCAACCACGATCTGGTGGACACCAGGATACTCCTGGCCGATAATCTCAGGATCAAATAGAATCTCTGGCGCTCTGAATCGCTCGGCTCCAATCTACTCAAATGTCAGCAAACAAACAAGGTAATAACTCTCCAACTTCAAGCTCGTCGCCATTCTCTCACCTTCAGCTTGTGTCCGTCCGGCAAGACGTATTCGGCGAATTTGCTCTCGTTTGGCTTCACTCCGATCCAGTCCCTCTCCTCCTTCTTCGGGTCATGCGCCACGTACGACACACTCTCCTTGATCAGCCTGACAACCTCCTTTTCCGCGCTCGTATGGAAGATGTAGCCGCTCTTGCGCAGTAGTGTCTGCAGATACTCCGTCACATCTCGGCCCGCAACATCAATGCGCTGTATGCTGCTGGGCATCGCAAAGCCTTCGTATACGGGCACCGCATGCGACACGCCGTCGCCCGAGTCGAGCACAATACCCGTCGTCCGGCCACTGGCATATAAGGATAATACGGCCTGGATAGACGTGTGCAAGGCGGGAACATTGAACGTCTCAAAAAGGATCTGCGCGGCGGTGTCGCGGTTGCTTCGAGGGTTCAGAGGAGGCTCTGTCAGCAGTACAGGGTGCTGTTGTGGTGTCAGCGCGAAACCGCTCCTCTCATGCTATCGTCAACGCTGCAGGTCGTGCACAAACCTCTTCGCTCAGAGTCTTGAGTCCCTCGCCGTACACGTACTCCCAAATCCTCTCCATATCGTCCCAATCGGTAACGACACCATGCTCCAGCGGATAGTGGATCTTGAGCAGGCCCCTCAGTTCGTTGGAGGCCTTGTTTCCGATGAAGAGATCGCCCTCCAGCGCGCCAGCCAAGACTCTCAGGTGCTTCGGCCGGCCAACCCACGACGGGAAGAAGCATTTGGGCAAGTCTTCTCCCGCGAAACCGGCGCGAATCGTCCCCGAGCCATTGTCCAGCACAATCGGGGCATTGTGCAGTATTTCCGTCATTTTCGCGTGCTGAGCCCGAACCTGAACGATCCAGCTACGACGTGGTCGACCCGTCTATCCTCCTCGTTCTCCTTCGTTTGTCTCGCCCGCTGCTTTGCTTCGGCCGGCTGTTTCCCCTTACTCAGGCGTTTTTTGAACGAGTATCTTGTTGTCTTTACCCAGCTCTCGTTCAGGGTCTCCACAGCATTGGATCGGTGAGGGGCAAAGACGTCTCTCTCGTAGTCTGGTCGGAAAAAAAAGAAGAAAAAATCACAAGCGCACGAAGCCGTCGGGTTGCAGGCCTTGCAGGCTCAAAGTGACCATTCAGCGCCTCGTCCTTGCTCCAAAGTTGTGGTCGTGGGTGATTGGCGCTTCCAGCCGTCTAATCATCTCTCGCATGCACTGGGATGGAGCTCCCTCCTCAGCTATTACCCCAGCCACAACGCGCTGGCAGCTTGGCTGGCATCCAATGCGCAAGCCACACCCGCATCACGTGGGGCTGCATCCCGCCCGCTGTGGCGCCTCAGGCAGGAAAACGCAGCAGAGCCGGCTGTTAAAGTGGTTTCGCGTGGCTGCGCGTCTCCTCCACCGCAGACCGCGTCGCCGACGTGACATCGATCCAAGCTTTCTTCAATCTGTCTTATGGCGACGCCCGGAAAAGCTCTGCGTGACCCTGACGACCGACCATTGCGCCCCAGCCCGACCGTCTGAAGAGGCCACGACCGCTGCCGCTCTTTGCTCTGCCACCATTGGCCCTTGCTTGCAACGACTCGCTGCTGTTTTGTTTGATATTGTGCCGCATTTGCCATCGTCGAGATGGTCAAGGCCAATGCGGGCACCGGCATTTTCAGTGCCACGTACAGTGGAGTAAGAGATCCCCATTGATGCGACGATGATTGTGCGGCCGGCTTTGAATTGCGAGATGCTTGCATTGAGGCAATGGATTGAATTGGAGTAAAGAGGAGAGAAGAAGAAAAAAGTTAGGCAGCAGAAAAAAAAAAGGCTCTAGCTTTTTATGAATGCGAGCTCCCATCTATTGATTGCAAAGGGAGAAGCTGGAGAGGAAGACGAGAGGAAGAACATGATGATATAATGGTTTCAATAAAGGAGCTTATTCTCTCTTTGCCATTTCTGCTGCTACCCTTTCTGCATATTCTTATCAGCTTTCTTTTACTTCCATTATCACATGCAAGCGAAGCTTGAAAAGACGATTCAATGCCATCAAATAAACTAACCGCACATCTCTCTCCCTCCAGATTCCCGTTTACGAATTCCAATTCGGCGGCGACCAGAAAGAACATGTCATGCGAAGGAGACACGACGACTGGATCAACGCAACACACATCCTAAAAGCCGCCGGCTTCGATAAGCCAGCCCGAACGAGAATCTTAGAAAGAGATGTGCAGAAGGATGTCCACGAGAAGATCCAGGGAGGCTACGGCAAATACCAGGGCACATGGATCCCCCTCGAGGCCGGCGAGGCCCTCGCCCAACGACACAGCATCTACGACAAGATTCGGCCCATATTCGAGTTCGTCCCCGGAAACGAGAGCCCTCCTCCCGCGCCTAGGCATGCAAGCAAGCCTAAAGCACCAAAGTCCCGTCCTCCACCTCCAAAATGGAATTCGGGTAGGTCAAAGGTCGCTAGCCATGCGCCTCCTAGCGTTACTAACGCAGCTTCAGCTGTCATGCCTGTTGTCGAGGAGTATGAGAACAGTGAGAACGTCATGGCCGGCATCGAGGACGACACGCCAGACAACCTCACTGTAGCATCAGCCTCTTACATGGCCGAAGATGATCGCTACGATATGGGTCACATGCCCACAGCACACAGGAAGAGAAAGAGAGAAGAGCAGTTACAGGACCTCACAGAGCAGCAGCATGCTGTGTACGGAGATGAGCTTCTCGACTATTTCCTCCTTTCCAGAAATGAGCAGCCAGCAGTGAAGCCCGATCCTCCGCCAAACTTTCAGCCAAACTGGCTTATTGATGCTGAGAACCACACAGCCCTGCACTGGGCCTCCGCTATGGGCGACGTGGACGTGATCAAGCAGCTCAAGAGATTCAATGCAGATGTTGCCGTTCGAAATATTCGTGGCGAGACGCCCTTTATGAGATCGGTCAACTTTACAAACTGCTACGACAAACAGACGTTCCCCTCTGTTATAAAGGAGCTCTTTGAGACGGTGGACGTCAGGGATAACCAAGGGTGCACCGTCATCCATCACGCTGCCATCATGAAAAACGGCCGTGTCTACAGCCCATCTTGCTCAAGATACTATCTAGATAACATACTCAACAAGCTGCAGGAGGTGTTCGAACCGAGTGCGTTCCAGCGGCTGATCGACATGCAAGACAGCGCCGGAAACACCGCACTACATCTCGCCGCGCAGCGAAATGCGAGAAAATGCATCCGCGCGCTGCTGGGCCGCAATGCTTCGACAGACATTGCCAACCACGAAGGAGTCCGCGCAGAAGATCTCATCATGGAGCTCAACGCCTCCAAGAAAGACCGTGGGCCACAGCGGTCATCGTCTCCCTTTGCGCCGGACTCGCAGCGGCGCGCCACATTTCGGGACGCCTTCTCAGGTGCGGGTGGTGACAAGGCACGGAAGCTCCCTCTGTCCTTCCAATCAGCGGCGGCCACGACGGTGCAGTCGCGCATTTCCCCGCTCATTATGGAAAAGTTTCAGCTCCTCGCGAAAAGTTATGACGAGGAGTGGCACGAAAAGGACGTTGCCGAGGCAGAGGCCCGGCGCATACTCACAAACACCCAGGCCGAGCTGAATGCGGTGCGGCAGCAAATCACAGAGCTCGAAGCCCAGCTCGAGCCGGACGACGTGGCCACAAAGGTCATGAACGAGGCCAACCTCGTGAGGCACAACGTCCTATCACTAATCACCCACCAGAACCGGCTGCATATCCATCAGGCGGTGGAAAACGAAATGAGTAAGCTAAACGGCGACGGCAGCGGCAGCGGCAGCAACCCCAACGGCAACGGCAGCGGCCTGCAGGACGACTCATATGAGGAAAGGCTTACGCTCGCGCGCCAGCTGAGCCAGATGCTTATGGAGCAGCGGCAAGCGGAGACCGAGTACGTCGACGCCCTGAGCATGGTGGGTGTCGGCGACAAGATCGAAAAGTACCGGCGCCTGCTAAAGCGCTGCCTGGACTCCCAGGACGGGGACGTCCTGGACGCGAACCTCGACAGCCTGATTGATATGATGGAAGAGGAGCGCGAGGTGCACGACTTGGACGGGTCAACGCCAGCGGGGGGTGAGCCGATGGATTTCGCAGTAATGTGATTTTTCCTTCTTTCTTTCTTTGTTGTCGTTGTTTCTCTTTTGCCTTTTTCTCTCTCTTTATTTCTTACAACAGCTTGAAAGAAGAGCGAGCATATCTATGAGTGAGGAGTGAGTGACAAGAAGATGGTTGACAAGTCACATCCCGCTGTCCCTCTAACCCCCCCCCCCCCCAATTCATGAATGGAAGAGCAAAATAAGGAGGAAAAGATAAACACCACATTTCATGCGCAAAATTTTCCTTTTTTATCCCTTCTTACTTCTTTCCTCGGATATATATCCCTGGAAGAGTATTCCCACCCCTTCATTATATAAGATGTCATCAGAGTCCATGAGGCTTACTCTTCTTCCACTTTATCTCTCTCATTCTCTATTTTTATTTTTGGAGGGAATGGATATGCGTGTATGTGTGTGTTTACGTGGCCAGGGAAGGAGAAGAACAAGGGGGGGTGGCGGACGAAACTTACTTGCTGCCTGACTACCCACGTCGATAGCAGTAAGAACATTTGATGAGATACGTTTTTAGCGGGTTGGTGGTTAAATCTTCATGGAAGAGCACTGTATAGCAGTTATTGAGCGGAACGCATATATCAACCCTAGGCATGGCTTTTCGGCGGCGGATCCGGCGCTGGAGGGTTCAGCAATTTTACCACATATTTGTCGACGATTTAATTCCTCCTTTCGTTTTTTTTTTCCCGTCTGTTCCAAACGTCTTGTTGAGACAAAATCTATAAATATGACGATTAATCAGCTTGTTTGTAAAATCGCAGCAGCTTCCATGCCCCATGGCAAGGAGATTCTCTTTTCTTTGCAGCAATTGCCGCAGTGTTGCTAGAGAACCAATTTTCGCAGATCTCGGTCCGGCAGACTCGGCGCTGGGGACAGGTTTGTGGAGCCCGATTGCCCCGGGGTAGCATTACGGCGTGCAATTTATGCGACCATGACGGGCTGCATGGAGATGGGCAGCTATGACGTTTTAGGGTGAATAGCAAAGATGCAGATGCTCTCGGTATTCGTCTTTGTATTTTCCGTGTCCGAAGCGCCAATCCATCAGATTCTGTCCGAGACAAACAGGGTGTGGCACAGGCCCTGGCTTGGAAACCAACGGCGACCTCCGATCCGAATGGACCAACCCCTCCGGAGACGGATGTCCGGGCAGCTCGGTCCACATCCAAATAACCAAATGGGTAGTTGCTTTTTTCTCTGGAGCTCGCGTGAGACAATGACATGCCGCAGCAGGAACGGGATGTGCCCTGCAGCACGAATAATGGAAAAAATTGAGCCCAAGGATTTTCGCCATTGTGAGTCAGTCAAATCAAGATGAAAGATTCCATTATGATTAAAATAGCAAGCTCCGAAAAAAAAAAAATACCCTGCCCGAAGCGACAGGCCCGGCCAGCGGCTGGTTGGATCCTCGGAGTGGTGGGACTGCGAGTGAAGGATTACCGCTTCTGGAGGAGCTAAACCAACGGCGACTGGCTCAGACGGCCTGCATAGTATGGGCGTCAGGTGAGCAGCTGAGTCAGGGCGCGTATGTAAAGACACCGTAAGATGGCGGAGATGACTGGTCGGGCATTAGACGCCGTGCTGCTGCTCTGTATAAGTTCGCTCGAGTGCAGGACCAGCCATTCGCTCCTCGGCGCTGCTTCGACTGAACGGCGTCCATAGGGGGCCACGCCTGGAGACCATCTAGCGAGTCATGCCAGGTTAAGAGTATTCATGTAACCCGGTCGCTACGACACACGTAGCCCAGAACAGATGGCTTACAGGCGCTGCAATTTCCTAAGAAGCTGTTCGGTGCAATTATAAGTGCTAGCTCAAGGTGGCGCTTATTCCTAAGGCCACTCGGAAGGATGATGGCTACTTTCGTACAGCCTACAAGCTCTTCGGAGGGCTATGTACAGAGTACATTAGCTAGGAAAATCCAATGACCACACCGACATGCGGTCTAATGCAGTGAAACACCAGTCACGAGGCCTTGTCTAAGATAAGGAGTTCGGTATCTGCGAGAGAGAAGAAAATGGATGCATGTCTTTGAAACGTAAACGCTGGCTAGACGTCGGTATAAAAGATGAATCTTGACTTTAAAATTGCCATATGGAATGACATCCGCCATTAAGAAAGCCGGGAGCAGGGCTATTGCAGCTGAAACATCGATAGATATCCGATAGCTTGCAGGTGACTCCACCAAAATTTCAGACAGACACATGCAAGCCGGGCCAATACTACGAGTACCGAGCCCGAAACCATCTCCACACGAAGGCGTAACTTCTCATCTGTAGCCGTTTTGATGAGCCTCACCGTCAGAGTGGCAAAGAGTAATGGCACAACTCGTGGATGCTCGAGGTGGCACCATATCATCGCTTAGAGGCGGACGCCTGTCGGCCTGAACATGGCTTCGGAAATGGAGTAATGGCTCTCCCTGCCCCACGTAGACAACGAGGCAAGCCGACGTGGCATCCAGCAATGGAGACTTCATCTTGCTGGCAATTTACCTGTGGTTGCACAGCATGGTGGAGAGCATCATGCGGGAGAGTCTGAAGGGCATGGGGTAGGGTGGGAATCCAGTGCGGTTTACGAAGTACATACGCCGTACTTGGTACGAAGTGCTTTCATACCGCCATGCAATCGACGTGTGCCTGCGGAGCCAGAGAGCAAGCCGTCGTGACGGCTGCGCTGTGGGATCCGCCAACCCGTCTAGGGGCCAAGTTCAGATGTACGTTGTGGCCTGAACGGTGAAGAAGTGCCTTCCTATGCAGGCCGTGATTTGCTGCGTCGCCCATGCTAGCGCAGATATCGAATGTGGCACCGCAGGATAGCGCCAGTAAAGTCAACAAATGCCATCCTAAGGAAGCCCAGATTCAAAGAAATAGGCCATTTTCATCATGGAGATGCAGAGCTTAACGTGCTGACCAACAGCGGGGGAGGGGTGCCCCAAGCGTGTAAGGCTGACGGAAACCCCCCAGATGAAGTAGGCAAGGTAGTAAGTATATGTAACTGGCGGGCGTAACAATGCCATGGCTGCTGGGTACGTCGACGCCGGCTGCCATTAGCACGAAGTACGGCGGCCTAAGCTGACTTGCTGACACAGCATAATGAAGGAAATCATGTACAGTACTGTAGACGACAGAGCAAGGAGGACGGAAACGAGTCGCTCGTCAATGGACCTTTTCGAGACTACGGCCACGGTCAGATTTGGTGGGGGAGGAGCAAAATCAAGGCTAGAGCCAGAGCGTCCAAGTCAGAGTCGGATTGAAGCTGATCCAAGACACGCTGCCCAAATGCAGGCAGTAGCTTGCTGATGCCCGATGCATGGCTAGACTGCTGATAGCAGGACCAAGTACTGGTACTGGCACGAGGTTCCCGGTCTGTTGCTCGTACGTATTGTGCTAGAAACAGTGTATCCAGAGCAACACGGAGTCGCTCTATCAGACCTGCACGAGCAGCACTAGATGCATACGCCGTGGTATGCATATGCATGCTAGCAGTGCTAGTGTGCAATGCGCATTTGAGCCGCAGCGGTCAGGCCTGCCAGGGTTCGTGCCACGACGAGCTGAAAGCGAAAGGTAGATGTCGAAGCGGTGTCTGGTCCATGAGCCGGAGAAATTTGCCGCCCCACGAGCAAGCGATGCTGGACCAACCGCAGCGCTGGATGTGCGGACATTCGGGCGTAGCTCGTGTGCGTTGCGCAGCGTAGCGTCCGATAGTTCAATAGTCGGAGCCTGTATTTTGATTTCTCAGATCGATCGGGAGAGCGGCGATGCGCTTGTGCAGGTTGATTCGCCGACGACGTGAGGCTGAACGGAATTGGCCACTGTGGATGTGCGAAAATGTAGTTTTGATTGAAGAAGTGGAAGAATTAGATGAAGAGGAGGCACGCGGAGGAGGAGGAGGGGCAGCAGGAGGAGCAGGAGGAGCAGGAACAGCAGGAACAGGCATCCGCTCCCTTGGACCTGCCCAGGCAGCAAAGGCCACCAAAGCGGAAGGCGCACTGCAGCAAAGGCCCTGCAACTCCAGTCGCTGCTCTGTTCCGGCAGGCCTGGGGGCAACGTCTTGCACCGCCGGCAGCGCTGAAGACGCCGTGTGCGATGGCTCGTTTTAGGGGACAGCGTGCTGTGGAGATCGGCAGAGGCTGCTTGATGGGGTTCTAGAAGCCCGCCGCTGGCGCCTCTGGTCAGCTGGGCAAGTATGGCTATGACGCGCACGGGTTCCATCCAGCATGATTCGCTACCGACATTCTGGGTTTGGGAGGACGCCTCTTTGAAGACTTAGTACCTGCAAGTACGTGTATTGATGTACTATTGAAGAATCGGTGTTCAGGTTAAACAGCACTATTACCCTTCGTGTTCTGCCACAATAGAATCCATTTCTACATACATCTCGGCACAGCTAGTCTGTCTTACACACGGATGAGAATGCGAGTGCGGCTCGGGTACCTCGTTCAAGCACACGTTGTGGCCATAGCGTCGTTGCCGCACATGCATCCTGAGCGAAAACAGGCCGGCTGAGAGAATTAATCAATCTGACAGACGCGGGAGTGGTCGCATGTGTTGCCAGGTAGGCATTGCCATCCATCACATTGCTCCAACGCCAGCATGTATGGTACGAGTGATATATGCAGAAGCAGGGCCCATGCTCCACGACTACCCAATACGGCCCGGCAGCATACTCGTGTTAGTGTACGGGGATGTTGCTGCTACCTTGTGCACTGCTGATACTTTGTGCTCCAGTGTCAATACCAGGCATGAACGCTTCGGGATGCCATAGATGGAGTACTAGTAGGTATATGAGTATATGGAGCATTCGAGCGCTCACCTATCTAGCATGAACGCTACTGCGCAATGCGTACACACCAGTAATAATAGCCGGTACCGCTATATATCTTTAGCACTATTACTACTACTGTACCTACCTACATACATATAGGTAGTAGTAGTAATATTAGATTAGATGCCTTTCTGCAAGTAGACTGCCGGTGTGATAACGCGGCTTGCCGTATATACCTTACCCGCTAACATGTCCATGTACACATATACCATGCTCCACGTATTGTACGGCATGCAGTATGATGATGATGTCCACCCATTCATCTGCTCGTGGATTAAACTGCTGCACCACCCCTCGGCCCTCTTCCGTGCTCGTCGCATCCCAAGACGGCAATGTCGTGGCTGCTAACATCTTATCCGCCCCGTGACTGCATGCTGGCCGCGTCTCTCTCAGGGCATTGGCCACGCAATTAACCCGCCACACCATCCGCACGATGGCCCGCACGATTTCCCGCAGTAGCCAGGTTTTTTCAGCTGCCTTGGACCACGCAGAGTGACGCACCTTTAACTCTATTTGCTTCCAGAATCAATGCGCGACTGGCACATGCCCCTGCCGCAGATTGACACCCGCCGTTAGGTCCCGGTTTGCTGGACGCAGGATGCAGTGGGCGCTGTCCGAGGCCTAGTTCCGCGGTATGCTGGCGTGTAATTTTTGCAATCTAGCAATTAATGAGAGGAGCCGTCGTGAGTTTCATATCCAGCTGCTCAGGCGTTTGGCTGGCTTTGTGGCGAGTTTTCGTATCTCTGTAGCTCGTATATATTATTCTTTTTTTATTTTTTTTTTCTCCCATCTTAGTCAAGGTACAGTAGCTCCGCCGATCGCCAAATTGGGGCCGCCTTTTCAGCTGAGCAGGTCTCGTGCCTGACGAGTAGCGTCCATGTACATCTCCATAGCCCCCGTCGCAGTGACGGCGATTGGAAGGCGCCGTGGGATACATGCGTTGTACAAACCGCTCCACGAAAGTCGTAGCAAAAGCTCAGGGCCAAAGTCTATCGCCTGCGGTGCCACCCGGTGCAATTTTATTTCTGGTAGCCCCAGGACGGTAGCCCAGGACGCCACCAGATGCGCTGTGGCCAGTGCACATACGCATTTAGCAGCGTCTAGCTTGGGCACGGCCAGCCACGCACACTGCGCTTCGTATGTGCACACAGGTCCCGTAAGCCGACTGCTGGCGGCGTGTTGGAGCAAAGTAATCGGCAACGTACAGTATACGAGCCATGCAGCCGAAATCACCGCTGGCCCGGGTACAGGTACAGCAAGTACAAGCGGCGCAGGGCTGACGGTACCCGGCAGGTACTTGGTCGGGCCAATAAGAGTACCGCTAAGCTTAGAGTTGGCGCGGCGCCGTCTGCCGTATCTCCTGCATAATGTGACTGTACCTGCACCCGTACACGATGGTACACGATGGGCAAACCCAGCAGTACCTCCGTAGGACTCGAGGCAGGTCTGAGTGAGGGGTGGCCCTTCTCGCAGGGACGTGGCCCGCCCCCTCTTTTTGCTCTCTTCTTCTCCTCATCTGTCTGATCTTGTGCCCGGAACTGGCCAGCTTAGCTTTGACGCAAATCCATCGTCGCGTTCTGCGTTGCTGACGGCCTGGAGACAATGTCGCTGCTAGTGCGAGGGCAGCACCAGGCCACAGGACGCGCGCTGTGTGCCGCCGCCTCTTGTTTGGCGCTGCCGTGGCCCTCGTTCGCCCGGCACCACGGCCAGCCAACGCCTGCCAGGACGCCCATTCTTCTACATCGGCCACATGGCCAGCCTCGGGCCAATGGCCGTCGCCGGCAGCGCCTGTGTCGCCAAGCGCAGCGGGCAAAGCCACCGGGCTTGCATCGAGGGCGTCTCGATAGGGCTCACCTCAGCTGAATCCCCCTCCTCCCAGTCGCCGGCTGCCAGCTCCCGCCGGTTGCGGGCACCGCTAACAGCTACCAGCAGCGCAAATCGCCTCTGGCTCCCTGGATCTCGCTACCGAGCGTGCAATGCGCGGGGGCTGTGGCTCGCCAGACGGTCCCGACAGCACTGAAACTGGGCCCCAGCAAGCTCCATGCCAGGTGCTGCTGTACGGGGCGTGCTGCCGGCGCGGACGAGTCAGGAACGCCGTCAGTCCCTCGGGCTGCGTTCATGGCTGCTGAAAACAGGGATCTCTGTCGTGCCGCCAGGGCCTCGAAACACTCCCTTTGCTCGGGCCTTGCTGCTTTTGCGCCTAGCTGCTGGGTAAGCCGGCCAATGGCGGCTAAGCTGCCGGCATCAGACGCCGCAGTCTGCCCGTTGTTTGCTTGCTGGATTTTGCTGTCTTGCTGCTGCAGGACACAGCCCATGGTGCCCCCAACAGGATCAACCGCTTGGCGCGACCCAAATTCCGCATCTTGACGTCGACCCGCCATCTTCTTTGCCGGCGCCGATACCCAGTAGCTGGACGAGGGAGGGGCCAATGTGGAAATGGACATGCTACTTGCTGCTAGCAGCCATGGTAATACATGCTGCTACTGTAATGCCATGCCATGCGAGGCAAATCACAAGCACTGACCCTCGGATGCCACACCCCCAGCTCGACGATGCCAGCTCCCATCAGCATCGTGGACCTTGATCGCGGTGCTACTGTACATGAGTCTCCTGTTTCGTACATGGCGTTCACTGCCCAAGACTGCTCTAGCGGTGCGACTGCCATACTGCCACCCCCCCTCTGGCTCCGATGTTTCTCTAATGCTAGCTTGGATGGCTCGCTGGGCATCTGGTACTGCTCTTCTTCAGACGACCAGTATGCGCTTCCCCGGTGGGATCTAGCGCGGTGGGAAGTATCTCGCTCGCCGCTTTGCCCCTCTGTTTGCAAAAAGAAACAAGAGAAAAAAAGCCACTCGCATATATTAGACACACCGTATCCTGTCCCATCTCATTTTGAATTATATTAAGGTTCATCTCACCCCGACAAACGTCTGTTTTCTTTTCCCTCTTCCCTTATGGTTGTTGTGTCTCACTCTCACACACTCGCCCTCTTCCGGTCAGCCGTTCCTCTTCATCGCCAGCAGCAGAAAGGAGACTTACTTTTCAACTGAGTCGCGCATCCCTTCCCTCGTCATAGGCAGCAGACGGCCCATCGATGTTGTACCTGCTTCTTAGTTGCTATTACGACACGAGACAGCCCAAAAGACTGCGTACTACAACGATAGCAACGCCTGGTTTTAGATAATTCGTCCGCTTATATCGCCACATTCGCGCATAAACCGGTGTCACTTCGGCTCGGCCTGTATTCAACCTCCAGGGCCTCACTTGAAGGAGCGTCGTGACAAGCTCACTATCCGAGGCTGCCGACCTCTGAATACGTCCAGAACGCCGGGCCTGGGAATTACCACTTTGGGACTGTTCTTGTCTGCCAAAGCGCCCCACGGCAGCGCACATCGCCAGTAGCCGCCTCATCGTATCTCGCTCTCCCTGCAAACGCTACCAGACGCCGTAGGGCAGAAGAGTGCCGTCTGACCGCAGGAATAGTGCGACTTGGCAGGGACCCCGGCTGACGGCGCCAGGCCAAAATTTCCATAAGCAGTCACCTCCATTCCACCATGCCCGTAACCACGCGTGGAGGCCTACCCGGCGCCGACTACAATTACTTGAAAGCCCAACCGCCCGCCTGGGATTCGGTTCGAACTGGACTGTCCATTTTTGCTTTGTTTGTCATTGCACGCTACTGTGTGCAGAGGACGTACCGATGGCTTAGACCAGCTGCGAGGCGTAACACCACTGCATCACCCTCCCCCACTTACAACTTACTGCCCCAAAGACAGTACCAGCCACACCTTGGCCCGATGGATGATGAAAAGAGGATTCAAGGGGTCAACGACCAACAGCAAGATGTGAATGCGCCGGCGACAGCAGCGACGACGATGACGACGACAACGACGACGGCTTCTCCCATTGATCGGCGCCCGCATTGGAGAAGCGCTGGCGGCGCCTTGCCTGGACCCTTCATCTCCCGGCTGCCTCCCGCGCCACCTTTGACTCCGCCGGAGCTGAGCACAGCCGTCTTCACCTTGGACGAGCAGTCGCCCAGCAGCCAGAGCTTCATTCACCAGCCCAACCCCGATTACATGTCCTCGACGTCCACTACTGCCATTCAGACAGACGGCCCTGATTCTGCCTCCATCCCCCGGCGGCGATCCTACACTAAGACGTTCCCCATTAGCGTCTCTGTGTCTCACTCTCCTCCCTCGCAGTCGCCCAAGGCTGAATCACCGGATTCAGCCTTTTCGCCCAGCTCCTACCCCCCGTCGACTGGGTTGCTACCGCCTGCGCCTCCCTCTGGTCTGGACCTGGAGGCGGATGATTACAGCCATGGCCATGGCCACCGGAACGTCGATTTGCAAGGCGAGATCATCTCGGTCCTCGATCGCGAAGGAGCTGGCTGGACTCGCCATACACGTGTCTACGGTGGCGGAGCCTGCCTGGCCTGCGCCGCCAGCGGCGGAGGTTTCTACGGAGCCAATGTCACCCCAGAAGAGATGCGATGATGAGGCGAAAAGGTTGCTAGGGGGCCCTGTGGAAGGCGGAAGGAGAAAGCCCAGTCGTCCCAAAAGGGGGGAGGGGGCGTATCCGCGTGCGCGACGTTGTGGCTTCGACCGGACCAAATCGGCATTCGCTAATCACTGTTGTTTCCCTCCTTGCATTCTTTCTTGTTGCTCTCGACCTGCTTCGCTTAGAAGATTCGAAAATAGCGCTGGCAAGGGGGAAAGAGAGCAGATGGCTGCATCATCTTACGCATGAAACCCAGTCAGGAGGCGCAGCATTCTTATTTTTATCTCTATTTCTTTCTGTAGTATGTCTTTTACATGGGTGGGCGCATCGCTGCATCTCTTTGTTTACAGTTTTGTTCCTCCAACATTCCTATTTATTTCTCGATATCTTTTTCTGCTTTCTCTTCTTCGTCGCTTGTTCTCGGTAGATGGCTGGCCATGTCATCTTGATTTGCATGTTTCCCCCTCCTCTGCTGTTATTTATTCCTCACATTCAAAGGCTTTTTCTAAGCTGCACTGTAATATGGAGTCAAGTTCTGTTTTATTGGAATGTTTAAAGAAAAGAAAAAGAGCTATGATTGGGGTCTTTTGACATTTTTTTTATTCCCTTTCCGCCTTTCTCGCCCTCCTCTTGTTCTACAGCTTATTAGGGTTACGAATATTATGACGATATGATGAATGCGTTTCTCTTTCTTTTTTTACACTTTCTATTTATTCATATCAATAAACTCTACGGGAAAATTCCTCTACTTTTTGATCGCAATGTTTTTACTTTGTGACTAATCATTGCCGGGCTACTACCTAGGTTAGTACCTAGTTTCAGGCCAAATGTATACGAAGTTAGTATAGTACCTATTCCCCAGCAATCAATTACCAAATACGCAAGATGAAGCTCATAGTCCCCCTCTCTCTTCCCACCCTCTTACTCGGTTGAACGGTTCAAGGGCAACAAGTAAGTACCTTAGTAAATTTCTCTTCTACTTTATTGTTCCTAGCCCGTAACCTTAATTGATTACCTTTCTTTTCGCCCTCCAAACAAGGGCGGCATCCCGGAAGGACCCGTTTCATATGCCTCGAGCATGCATACAATATGACAAACACCACGTGTGGAACATCAGTCTTTATGACGATAGGTTATTTAATTAACAATGTGAGTAAGCGGGCACCTTCTATCCCTCACATCGCCTGGGCAAAATGGGCGGGGGGGCAAACAGTGCCCGGCTCTCCTATGGCTTTGCTCCCGGTGACTTATTACTTTTGCATCCCCTTTGGGTTTACTGCCTGGTCTTGTGCTTGTGAGCTTCCTTTGCCAAGCTTTCAATAGCGTACTCCCCTTGAAAGAGGAAAAAAAAAAGTTCCAAAAAAGGTAATGAAGAAACGGTCTTTTTGAGGCTCTAAAGGTCTCATGGGGCAGGAGAGTAGCCAAGAAGAAGAAAGAAAAAACAAAGATTTGTCATCTTTTGCTGGAAGACAAGGGCTCCCGAATAGGCTACCCTTGTGTTAGGCTGCTGATAATACCCAGCGACTTTTAGGATGGTTGGTTGTTGACAGCTCTAGTTCCAGGGCTAATTGTTTGCTTACTTTTCTCGCTAATCCGCGAAGGACGTGGCTAATGATTAGTGTATGAATCGGAAAACACCAGGAAGATCCAATTGTACGATGATGACTGGGAGTAAAAGAGGGTGACATGGACAAGGACATGGATATAGACATGTGCTGAGCTGACTCAAGTGGTAAGTAATGGTCCTCGTATATTTTCAATGAGTCAGATCCCGGATGAATGACTTCCGAGCCGATGAGTGAAATGGAAAATGTGAAATATTGTTCTTTTCCATCTTGAGCTATGTTGGTTCCATACGAATTACCAAACACACAAGATGGGGAACAGACAAGGGTGAAGTGGGATATATGATATGTTACCCAAACAGGAGAAAATTCTCACAAATCACATAGCCCGAAGACGCATCAATACCCTTGACCGAACACGCGAAATGGGTAGCAGCACAAGGCTGAAACGGGGCACCACATGCCGGAGGAATGGTCCGGATGACTGGAGAGGTTGCTAGCTCCTTTTTTTCTCTATGTAAAGAGAGTCAGTATGTCTTCCCAATTTTTCAAATCCATAGAGCGGTTAGTGGCGTGAGTTATGACAAGATTTTGACAACACTAATCAAGAAGTAGACGTCAGTCTGCTTCTAGCTCCCGATAAGCATCATATTTTCCAGATAAAAAGGCTTAAGGGACAAACTAGAAGAGATAGAACACACGCTATTTGTCGTGCTGTCGCTGTCGTACTACAGCACGTAGAACCACCTACTAGGATGGGCTTTTTACGGTTCTGACGTGAGCGCGTGTCAAAACCTGGTCAGCACCCCGGTTTTCATTGGAAAAACAAGCCTCAGGGCGGACTTATGAAGACGACTTTAGGGCCAAAATCCCACCAGGTCAATGTTCAAAAGCCATTATGTATCCCTTATGCTTGTCTTTCCAAGAATCTATATATAAAAATTCCCAATAGAAGAAGGAAATCTCAGGTCAAAGCTTGTTGCTGACACGTAGTAAGACAAAAGAAATATATACTCAGAACCCGAAAGAAGAAAGAAAAAGAAAAAGAATCGCCAGCGAGATCCACTCCTTACCAGGGTCGGATTCCAGGAAACTGTTAGCACCTGTAGGACTTGGTAATTTATGCTAGTTGGTGCTTTAGTGTGTCCCTAAGCCAGGCTAGGTATATGTAATCTTCTTTGGTGTTTGTTGGTGACGAACGAATACAGATAGAGCAGTGTGTATGTCACATATGGACCGATTTCAACACTAGAGCGGCCATCAGGATTTCCTTTTGCGTGATTATTAACAGTAGCAGCGAAAGATGAAGATGGGTCGCTCACACGAAGCTGAACGCAGGCATTTCGTAGCATAAAAGGAAAACTACAGATTGAGTAATCTGAAACTGCATGTAGTCTATCCCAAGTCGGCTCTGCTTCTCAAGGTTTGTTTTTCCTTCTGCTCCGTATAGAGGGAGTCATTGATCATCAAAAGTTCGCCACAGCATGAGTCAAAAGAGGCTCTCATAAGCCAGTCATGCACCCCAGCTTCCAAGGCCAAGGGCCAAGTGAGCTACCGAACAACAGGTTTCCTAACCAGGATGATGCGTGTTGGCGGGAGTCAGACGACGCCGTCTTTCTCATCAACGGGAGTGAGCATTGCCGATGGCCGCGCGTAAATGGATGCATACTTGCTAGTGTTTTGCGGTCAGTGATCCATAGTTCTCCGCTACTGCAGGCCTTTGGGACTCCAGAAAGGAGTCCCGCTTAAGGAGCGAAATGACGGAGCATATCTAGTTTATGCGGAGAATCCAAGTTAAAGACTGAGACGCATGAACCATTTCGATGTCTAGTCTCCTATTGACAAAGTCCTTTCCCAATCAAGTCGGTCAAAAACACCCAGCCTCTCATCCAAAGAATACTAATCATCCTCTTCCACAGGAAGCGAGGACCAAGGAGTCAACCAACGACCCCCTAATGCAGTTTGTCCGACTCGTCCGTACTCCGTAAGCACTGCTGCAACAGACCGAATGGGTGACTCGATAATCTATCCACCGACAGGACGTTCGTATCTTTGTAACGCGGGATATAAATACGTCGCTGAGACATGGACGGTCTCTTAAAGGATGTGGCCTAACAGATTTCCGCAAAGAGTTACATGAATGTATATCTTGGAGTCCGGTTTCAAGGTACCTCATAGCACACCCTGGCTGTGAGGCCGAGATGCAGTCAGATATTCGCTTAGAAATGCCCCCCCTCCCCTTGCTATAGCCGCTGTATTGTCGTAGATGGCATTATTCTCGCTTATGCTCGTCATAGAGGGGTGTGTAGGGTCCTAACCTGATTCTTTCCATCTTGTCCTAGAACGATCGTTCTGTTTAACGTTAAACGGACACGCCTTCCCCTCAAATGAGCCTCTCCCGGAGGAACACTTGATAGCAATAACGATACAGCAGCAATAGCACACGTCGGCCGGCGGATAAGCGAGATAACCGCTTTGGTAGTACGCCCCCCTCCTCCATGAGGGTAGATTTTAACTTGTCACATTACTCCAATACCATTCGTTGGCTCTCCAGTGTCAGCTTCTAGGCATCTCATCGTCGAGGGGCGCATGACGGGCAGCCATGTAAGGCGCCGCACTCGGGGACAAGAGATTTCAAGAAGCTCGTCATTGGTTTCGTACTGTCCCTGAAGAGCATATTCTCATCGCCTGTGTCTTGGCGATCATTTGTCCTCCAAGAATAACACTCGTGGGGAAATGCACCAGCGTTTGCGCACTGCTTGCTGCCACTCCGCACCGAGAAATGCCCTTGCATTTAGCTCAACTTGCATTAAGTTGTCGGCATTTTGGGATCACGCCATGTAGAGGCCAGGCGGATATAAAGCCCGCGGCAACGTCTCTAAAAGGCGGAAATCTCTTAGCCGTCAAGCTGCGCGCGCAGAAGCAATTAGCATCTGCAAGATGAGTGGAGCGCATGCCTGGTTGTCGGCCATAGAAGCCCTATGTAGCGTCTCATGCAGAGGCGAAGGAAAATGGCTCACGAAGGAGTAGGACTTTGCAAGGCCCTGATCTGGGCCGTTCGAGAGGCTGTTTCCGACATAGAATGCGTGTGCTGCTTCTTTGCTTCATCATATCACAGCACCGCGGACAGGACCAGCGGCACTGCAACCGACCGTGTGGGGATGCCCAGCTAATGTTACGCACAGCAGCATATCAAAGGGCCGATGGTGATGATTCTATGGCCTCTTGGATGAGATGAGATGCATTTGCTAGACGAGAAATGAATGTCTTTTTTCTTGGCCGCATGGAGAAGATTATACGAGTGCTCTTTCGATGTTGGGAAGGAGCATCTATGCGGGCTGAATTAGCTTTTGGCATGGACTTGGGAAGGCGTCTCGCTTAATTGCATGCATGAACAAAAAAAGGTAGCTCCAGTGTTACCCGGCTCTTCACTTAATTGATTGACTTTACAGCTATCAACGATTTCCCCCTTCTATTAAAATTGCTATATCGTCTACTCTAAATAAGCCATCTGCCAGGGAAGGGATCGCGCGGTTGTCACATTAAAGTATCGCTTATACTCTCCCAGAAGCTCCAAATAATCATCAACAAACTTGGGCCCTCGAAACCCGTCCAAATAGCATTCACCAATGAGCTTAAATCTCCGCTCACGGTCTGGAGCCAGCCTCAACAAGAAAGGGACGCTCGCACCATAAACGGCACATATTTTGTCACCATCTTCAACTTGACCGGTACAAATAACCCACGATCTTTTGGTCTTAACTAGACGCCGCCCTTGACAAAATTGCTGCGTAGAGTGGAAACTGCTCCCGTGGATTCTCATCCGCGGACCGTGGTTAAAGCGAGACATGAAGTCTAACTCTGGTTGCCACACCTGGGATTCAGAAATACCAGATACTGGAATATCAGCCCTTCTGGGCTTGGATGTCGGCCTTTGAGTTGTCTGTGCCACTGTATCGAGCTCAAGGATTTTGATCTCCAAGACCGGAGATGCCTCTGGATGCCCGCTTCTGCAAAGTCGAGCCACTGGTTGTTGGAAGATGGAGGCCTTGGATCCAATTTGGAAGGCAGAAAGCGATGCAAGACACGGGTGCCCGTCAAGATGCAGCACCCAGGACGGCAAAGGCTGTTGGCCTCGCTGAATGAATCGGGTTTGGCTGCGTAATTCGCGACTTATATGCCGATTCAGGTCAAAGAGGGACGAGGATCGACCGTTTTCAAGAGCGCGGTACTCTCGCATTGCCAAATCGGCGGCCTGGATCAAGGGATGCTGTTCAGCTTTTGCAACAGCATCGTGTGCTTCTTCCCAAATATTTCTTGCGGCAGCCACCACGTCTTTTGCAGCCTCGAGGTCGGTTGCTGTAGACGAGATTTCAAGCCAGGCGGTTTTTGCTTCTTTCAGTTCCTTCCATGCTCGCTCTTTGTCCCTTTCTACTCCGATTCTTGCCTGTTCTTGAGCCCATTGCCATCTATGCCACGCATTTTCTTCCTTTGCGCTCAATTTGCGCCATGTATTGGCCTCGCGTCTCCCTCTGCCGCCTGTCTGTTGCTTTGTTTTCAAAGCGTGCCAGGCTTGTTCTTCGTCATCTTTCAGCTTCAGCCCAACCTCTTCGAGACTTTTCAATGCACCCCGAGCTTGTCTGCGCTGCATAATTTGTTTCTCAAGCAATAAAGCTTTTTCTCGATATTCAGCCTCTGCCTTTTCCGTCTTCTTTCTCCATTCTTCCCATTCTTTCCTTACATCTTCCACTTCACGCCAAGCTCTACTAGCCTCTTCTTTTATCTCGGGCCAGATACGCTTCTTTGCTTCGAAATCATAGAAGATTTTATTCTTTAATTCCAGTTCACACCGTAGAATGTCCGCTTTTGCATTCCAACTCCGCTGTTTTGCTCCCAACATACTCCTCAACTCCTTCTGCCTCTTCAGCTCTTTCCTTTCCGAGTAATCCCAGATTCTCTCTTGCTCTTCTCGCAATTTATGCATTGCCACCTCGTTTTCTCTTAATTCATGACACAGTTTTTGGTCTCCCCCTGCTACATTTTGCGGTGATCCTCTCTGCTGGCCCTTTAATTGACGCCATGCTCTTCCCCTTTCTGTTAACTCCCGCCAGATGTCAGCTTGGCATTCTAACCCGCGCCATTCCTGACTCTTCTCTTTCCATCTCTTCCACTGCACTTCCTTCTCTCTTAATTCATTCCACGCTTGGTTTTCTGCGTCTTTTGCTTCAAAGACTCTCGTCCTTATATGCTCAGCCTGTTTCTGTGCCTCTACAGCTGTTTTAGCGGCTGACTCAATGCGATTTTCCCATAGAACGCTCGATCTCGTTTTGAATGCACTTATTGCACTTATTTCCTCTGTGGTATGTCTTCCGATAAAAGAAAGAATATCGAGATGATTGTATAAATTGATGATGTGCATCGTGACCTCGATATACAGATCTTTGACTGGCTTGTTATAGTCTGGGATCATCTTGTGAACAACTTGATCGCTAAGAAGGCCAAGTAATGCGTATATTTTGTCTCTCGGGTCAGTGGATGCACAACTCCGAGCCGTATGGATCAAGGAAGGGAAATCTTTCAACGGCTTTTTAATGCCTTGTGAGAGCTGAAGCACTGGCGGGATCTTGCCTGTTTCGTCTACCGGCATCAAGCCTAGGGTTGACAAGCGCGCAGTTGAGAGGAACTCCCATCGGAGCTCCGTTGATCCCCACATCACCAGGATTTTTCTTGCAACTGCCACTTCCTGAAGGACCCAAACTCTGGAAAACCACGGCCTCGACAAGAACGCCGAAATCCCAACCTGAGTTACTTGTCTTCCGGTGCTTGAGCCATTTTGTTGAAGAAATTCGAAGAACAGATCGACATTGGGACGAGTCTCTGCTCCCAGATGAACTACCACTTGTCTTGCTTCGGAGTATATTTTGCTCATTAGTGGAATTTGTTTGTTCTTCTCCAGTATATTTGACTGATCAATGCAAATAGCATCAATCCAAAGTACTCTGTCGTGAAATTTGTATCTCAAATCTCTCAAAGCTGCTGCGCAATTCGTGGTAACCTCCAACGACCCAACCGTGGAGTAGATCTTTTCTGACAGGGTCGACCCACCCCAGGCATAAGAGAGCCCCTCGAATTCTGGGTGATCGTGGAGGCTGGAATGAAAGATTTCGCATTGAATAGCTTCTTTACGGTCGCCAGCATAAAGTCGAATTAAACGGATGGAGTCATCGAATTGAAGTTGAGTGTACCTGAATCGCACATTCGACTTGGCTAAAACGGAAAGACTCTGCATGTTGTCAAGGCTGTCGGTGCATTTCCTTTCCAAAATAAAGGTTGTATATCCGCAGCTCAGACAAGTAGTAACTCCGTTGATATGCCTGATATCGGGTCTCAAGCAGAGACAGCCATCTTGACCTACCATGGTGATAACGTAAGGTAAATCTGTCTGCTGAGAGTCGGCAAATAGCAGAATAAGCACTGGCGGAGAACTCGCTTGCGTGATATTAGCTTGGTCTTCAGACGTTATCTCTCTAAGACATTCAACACCGAGCTAATATAAGTCAGGTCCTGAATATAATACGAATACCTGCAGTAGATCATCAGCCTTGGCAGATGTCTATTCAAGATTGAAATCTAAGCTTCGGTCTTTAGATGGAGGGAATCCCAGAGCTAGACTTCGTAGGACTGAAGTACTGCTATAAATTGTCTAGCTCTATTGATGCCCGATCCGAGACCGAGACAGCTGGCGGCGGTACGCTGATGTACGAGTGCCCAATTCGACGCAGGCAAGGCATGGATGCCTACGGACAGCGTAATTCAGCCCCTCCACAGCCACGCCGGGCATTCACTTAAGCATTGTATAATCATAGAGTTTTATGCGTAAATTTCTTGAGAGAAGAATATTTTATATTTTATTAGCCCTTTGTATAATTTAGATAGATATAATATCCGTGTTTAGCATCATGCTATGCATTTAGAGAATGTGGCTATTAGCGTCACAGTTCCAGCTACCCTGTTGTCCTGATACGGCTCGACATGTTGAAGAGTGTATCCTGGATATATTAAACAACAGAGCAAGTAACTAAATAAACATGGTAAATATTAGAAATTTCTCTAGTTTTGTTTGTATATGGTCTAAACAATTGATTAACAAGCTTCAGATCAATGCAGCTTCACGAATCAGTATGATTAAGCTTATGGTAAAAGATTCCCGATCAACGTATATGAAGAATGAGAAAGTTTACACAAACTAAACGTAAGATTGAACTCGTGCCATTTCCGTTATACTAATTTTCCAGCCGATGCAAAGAATGACCCGACATTCCGATTAAACAAGTTTTGGCTTTCCATATCTGAGTCTTGGGAGGCAACCTTGACAATTCCTGTTTTACACGTTTTATATCCCACCAGGTAGCATTAGTGCGGGCGAGGACTTATTTCCCCCCGAGTCTATTCGATTACTCTCCAAGATTCTATCCCTGGGCAGCAAAGTCCTGTGGTCATAGCAAGAAAAGGATTGCTAGTTAATAACAAGAAGCGCCTTACTCACGAAGAGTTCAGAATACCTTATTCATACGGTGCACATCATATCTGTGATGGCTGTTTGGATCGTAATACAGCAGCCATGCTTGTTGAAGTAATCGAGGCATTAGCCCAAATTAGGTTTTATAGCTACAAGACTGGATCTATTGCTTTTGTAAAGACAGTAACACCGTGTCGGTATGTCAGGCATCGGCTATTTTACCATGGGAAGAACGGTTAGGATATATATATACCAGGCTGGCTTCTAAAATTGTCCAAAGACAAACATGCCTCATAATACCTTTGTCCCAATCAGAGCATGGTATCACCAACCGCTTGTATAGCAGCTAGAAGCGAAGCTGTACGCAACAAGAGGCAATTCCGCGTCAACGACGTCGATGAGAGAGCCTCAACGCGCAGCTAAATAACATCGGCATATGCGGCCGTATCCGTCGACAAAAGAGGAAAATCGATAAACGCTACTAGAGACATCAAGGAAGGACATCTAGGAGAACTCCAAATTACGCCATTACTTGATGCTTGAACAGACTCACACCTACGAGCAATAGTAGTCACTTTCCCCGCGCCCGAGATACCACTTGCACAATGCCCCGGTCACTATCCAGCGATGCTCTGCTGCCCACCGCAAGCACAGACGGTGATGGTGCTGGATGCCGCGGTCTGATTGGCTGCTGGCCAGGCTGGGCTCTGCCGTTAAGCGCCGGAAGGTCAGCCACGCACTTGCATGCATTGCTGCGCATTGTACCTGTACCCGTGCCTGTACATGATGCATCGCGGCTGTGGTGGCACACGATGGGTGCTTTGGTGCAGATACGGGATATGAGATGCAGCACAGCCCGGGGCATGGACTATGGTCTATGGTCTTCTGGCGATCCAGACCGAGTCGATGTTGACGCAGACATCGGATCAGTGTGCAGTACATTAGCACTCTGAATACGCTTGTCGTATGAATCGATCGCTATCAATGACACGTCGCATGCAGCGGCCGCGGGGGGCTCAATGGGCCATGCCCCATGCTACTTTCGATGAGAGGCCAGACCGTGGAGCTGTAGAGGAGAGGTAGGGATGAAACAGACTCGATCTGCTGCCTGCACGGAGTCATTGCGAAACAAGCAGCCGACCTGCCCAGTCGGAAGACTCCACCGATATTGTTATACTTCCTTGTAGTTCTACTAAGGCATTTAAGCGGATGTGCTTCTCGGTAGTGGCACACATTGAACTCAAATGCATATGCTTGAGAAAAACAAAGGATCGACTAGCCACTAGAACAAAGCGAGACGCGAAATTGCCTATGGGGTGCTTGCGTGCATTCTGCATGCCGGCTAATGCATATCAGCAGCCACTCGCTCTGCGGTTAATTAGCGATGAGCGCCAAAAATGAAAGGCACGCGGCATGCATTCCTGCGAGTACACCGTTCTGCCGAGTACCAGCGCTCAGCTGCAGAAAGAAGGTACTGTCGCGGTCTTGGTATTGGACTGCTCCATGCTGGCGGCGCTCTGTACCACGTACAGGCCTGGATGGGAAACAAACGCTCTGCGGGTTGCAGGTGAAGTAAATGCATTTCTGTTTGAACTTGTCTTGTGTTTGCTGGTAGAGCGCGGCTACGCCTCCACGAAAGGGAGCCCTGCACTGTACTCGCCAGTGGGCCCCCCGTCTCGTCTCGTCTCGTCTCGTCGTTGATGGATGGGGCTGTTTCGTATTGGATGGGTGATCTCGTTTGGGAAGGCCTGTGTCAGCCTTTCGAGAGCTCCGAAATTGATACCTGCTACGCCGGATTGTTCAGTGTGTATGTACTGCTATTCCCACCACCCTTTGCTCCTGTAAAAGGCAATCAGACAGAACAAGGCTGCTGCGAACCTCGAAGAAGCCGCGGCTTGGCGACAGGCATAGCATTGATAAGATTCAATAGTTTCGTCGCAGCCTGCACGAGCCTGGAGCAGAGACATGCGCGACAGGACTCGGGGCATGTTTCAGGACAGGTGCGCATATACGGCCAACAATTGCATGTATAGCTGACTGTGTATCGTGGCCAGAGCAAGGCTGACAAGCCAGCCAGGAAAGCGAAATTTAGACGGACATTCTGGCGGCACCACTGGTGCAGTACGCGTCCATTGCGCTGGTAGCACGTCTGCCGTGTGATGGGCTAGCAGGGCGACATGAAACACGGGAGGCACTGCTGCGTGGAGTCGACGATCTGGATGGGGACTGGCATGGCTTCAGGGGGAGACCCATGTTCTAATTGTAGAAGCATGGGTCGCCAAACGTAGAACGCAGGTGTTATGGTAGCACTCTGGACGGAGTGCCGCCGTTGCTGCAAAGACGATGCGCTGTGTCTGCGCTCGATGCGGAACATGCCGTACCCTGGAGACGATGCCTCTTTGCATCCATTCGGAGCTGAATCCAGAGCATCCCAGAAACAGAGCCTGGCCAAACCCGGATTCCTGGCCTGGACGGGACGGAAAAGCAAAACCAACGCCAGCCGTGGTGGGTTAGGCGCGCTACCGGCAAAAACGAGAAGCGTTCGTGCGAAGGACTCGATGGCGGGAGCCAAAGCGATGGGCCCCGCCAATCCTCGAGGCGTTGGACTGTCGAAATCGTGGCTGTTCCTGATTGACTGGAGGAGACTTTTGGCTTAGTGCTTGTGCAAGCAAAAAGCCCTTTTGTTCCTTTCCTGCGCCTCACGTGCCGGCTTGGTGGACTTTTGATGCTGACGATGACGCTGATGCCGCCGATGATGATGACGACGATGCGTAGAGGGCTTTCTCGTCGCCGCCGCGTTTGCTCTTGTTGCGTCTCTGCCGTGGTCACGCACAGCTACTGACTCTTGCGGCACAAATTTGTAATGCGCTGCTCCCGCATGGGCCGAAGCGGAGCAGCAGAGCGAAGAAGCAGACGAGATTCGGTGCTTGGTGGTGTCGTCATGTATGAGGTACCCAGTGCTGCATGCGTCGTGATTGGCTGAGGCCCGGCGCGAGCGAGCTGTTGGCGGGCTGGTACCGGAACTTTCCCCTGAGCTTTAAGGGAGGAATCCCCGGCGCTGCTGCAAGGAGAGGCTCACCGCGCTGGAGTTATTTTTGCCGCCCAGCGAAAGAGGAGAGTGGGCAGGGGGTTGGGCAGCTGTCGGGCCTCAGTTGGAGAGGAGCAGAGCAAGTACCGGCTACCTGCTTGCTCCTCGAGAATACGGGGCCCCTCCATCCTGGGCGTCTGTCACGCGGCAAGTTGCTACGTGCTAGAGAGAGTCCAGCAAAGCTTGACACATGGCGCATTCGGCGTGGCCCGAGTATATTTTTGGTTTATTTTTTTGGTTTATTTGTTTATTCATTTATTTTAGTTTTCAACGCCTGCTCGGCCCGTGGGCATTTATGTAAGCTACTGATATTAATATACCAGACTCTTTACTACTGTACAGTAGCGCTGGGGTATGCAGATATAGTACCTACCAGGTCGAAGAGCATGGAGCTCCTGATCCCTGGCATTTTCATCGCCCCGCAGAGGTGCAATGTACAGGTACCGGCTGCCCGTATGTGCCTACGGTACACCTGCACCGCCCAACGGCCCTCGTTATAGCATGTACTGCTAGTACCATCTGGGAATCCGCTGAGAATCGAATCCTCGGCCGTCCTCGCAGCCCTGATTGGCCACACGCCAGCGTCTTGCGGCTTCTGACTTGCGCCGCCCAGCAGCCAAACAGCGCCGCCGACAGCGCCTCTAGTTCCTGGCAGACCCTGCCGACGCCTCCCAGCCGCTGCCCATTGGCCGCCATGCCGCAGCCTCGCCCCGCCCGGCCTCTGCGCCGCGGCCTGTGACTGGCGGTGGGAGTCGCGCTGCTGCCACCACCACCAGGCTCTGCCGCTAGCAGCGCCCTCGCCCAGCTGTCAGTGGCCTGTCATGGCGCCCTGCGCGCTGCGATTGTCGCTGCTCAGGGGTCCGGTCCCCTAGGCCCACCTGCGGTTTTAGGGCCCTCAGCGCACCCTCCTCCACCGTCGCCTCCTGTCTAGCGCGTTTCCCTCTGGGCTCCCCATTTTGCCTCTCCCTCCGGCCACCTGCAATTCCCTGAAAAAATCGTCTACGCCACCAGCTCTTTTTTTTTTTTTCTTTTTTCTTTCCAATCTTCTCCTCTCCACCCTTCCTCCACCTCCGTCCATCTTTGTCCCATCACCATTTACACCGCCTCTTATTATTTTCTCCTCTCTCTTCTCCCTTCAGTGGCCCCTTCTTGCCTCGCCTTATTTTCTATCTCTTCGCTTTTCGAGTCTCGTCTTCCTTTTTTCGCCTTCACTCGCCCTCATTCGCCGCTGCGCGTATCGCTTCAATCTCGCACACCGGGACTTTTCGGCTCGTGGAAAAAAAAAAAGAATAAAAAAGACTTCAACCAAAAACGAGAAAAAAAAAAAAAGATTTCGACAACCCCCCAGGGACAAAGGGGACAGATTAAGGAGACCGACAGCAATTTTTTTATGGAAAGCGCATTCACTAGTGACATCGCCGTTAATCGACTGTAATTATTCTTCGACCGCTCCTTGCCTTCGTCAAGACCGCATCGCTCCAGCATTTCTGTTCGGCCGATCGTTGATAACACGCAGCATTTGGGACGCCGCAAAGCTTGTTTCTCGTTTTACCGCGCAAGGAAATACACGGTCCGCCCAACAATTTTGTCGCGAGGACACCGCCTAGCTGGAACCTTCGACACGTTGAACACGAGTTTTACTTTCGTGTGCCTTTCTGCCGCCATCGCGAAAAAAACGCACGCGCCCCCTTTTCCGTTCTAGCCTTTTCAATCTCGAGCGCCATCTGCTTGGGTTTTAACCTTGACGGAAAGCTCAACTTTATCGCAGCCCTTCTTGGCGCGTCGCTTACTCGTTATTTAACTCGTCACTTCCCTTCGCCAACAAATCTGCTTCGCTTTGGAACCATCCTTCATTCTCTTCCAAACCGTGTTTTTTCTCGTTCAATCACTCCGATTTAATTCCCGCCTTCTCCACTGTTTGATGCTCGGAGATTTCTTCTTCTTGTGAACATACTACAATTTCTTGGATTTTTGACCTTTTTCTTCTTCTCTCTCTTCGACTGTTCTCGCGACTCAACATCCTTGACCGACCAAGGCCGTCTTGAACTGTCTTTGCTTGACGATTCATTCTTCGTCAGCTCTCGATCCAAAGCATCGCTTCCGCATTTTATCAAATCTCGATTCTACCACATATTAGACTTCTAATTCTTTCGCACCGCATTAGACATTTGATCCTGTTAATTAGGCTTGTCCGCAACCCCCGATTCTTCGCCACATCACTTCATTTGCAAGCACATTTTTTCTTTCTTTCTCTGAGCTATGGACGCAGGCAGTCTCGCTCAGATGTCTTCCAACTTTGTTTCTCCCGGTGGCCTGGCCTCGCGCCGTGGTAGCCAGAACATCAAACCGCTCTCCTTTGATACCATTAAGCAGGGCAACAAAAACCAGGATGGCGGCATTCCGACTCCCCGTACTAGCCGCTCTCATCTGCTTGCGGGCCTGAGAACGGCCCCCAAGTCTGCTGCCGCGGCTTCCTTTGGTCCCATGTCGCCCACTGGTGCCGATGGTCCTATGCAGCAATTCGCTCGGAACGGCGTGGCTGCCAATGCCTACGGCTATGGCCAAGGCAATGCCTACAACCCTCCTCTGACCGCTTTCCCTCAATACGGTCAGCAGCAGCAGCATCATTATGCCAATGCAATGGGACAGCAGTACACTGTTGACCAGGTGCTCGCTCCCCCCCAGCTGTCCATGGATGAGCAGCTGCAAGAGCAGATGGATCCCAACCTCTATGCTCAGCTTGTCGCGACCAACATGTATCTCGCTCAGCAGCAACAGAGACTTCAGCAGCAGCTTAGGAGCGTCCAGGCTGCAGCCCAGCAATTCCAGCAGCTCAATATCGGCAGCAACCAGCTTGCTCAGCAGCAGGCCGCTGCTTTTTACGAGCAGCAGCAACACCTCGCCGCACAGGCCGCTGCCGCTCAAGGTCAACAAGTCTACTACGATTCCGCTACTGGCCAATACTATGTCGATACCTCGGCTTCCAAAGCTGTTTCTTCCATCAATATTGAGCAGCAGCCCATGACTCCCGGCTTCAACAACTTCCAGCAGCAGATGCAGATGATGCAGCAGCAACAGCAGCAACCTCGCCAGCAACAGCAGGGCGCCCCTCGTGTCCAGGTTTCGCCGCCTCCTGAGGGTCAGCAGGGCTCGTTCCGTGGCTCCTCGCCTCCTCGACGCTACGATTCTCCCACCGAGGTAGCTCCTCTTCCTCCACCATCTGCTAACGCCTTCCGACGTGGACACAAGAAGTCATCTTCCCTGGCCGTTAACAGCGTGCTGGCAGCCGCCGCGGCAGCGGGTGACGCTGGCAAGTCTCCTGCACCCAAGACGGCCACCTTCCCCGCCCCTGCCACTGGTGGATATGGCCCTGGCCAGGCGCGGGCTGGTGAGCATCCGATTCGTCAGCCTCGTGGACCACCTTCCATGGACGAGCTGAAAACGAAGCCCACGGCCAAACATGAGGGCAGCAAGAACTTTGCCACTCGCACCCGACGGTCGGCTGTGCACAACCTTGTCCGCGCTGGTCTGGAACGCCGCAAAGGATCTGGCAGCTCCAGCGGTAGCATGAGCCCCGTCTCTGAGACGGCTGAGGAGTCAGCGACTCCCATTACAGATAACGAGTCTGACTCTGGACGTAGTGGGTCAGGCAGCTTGGCTGGTGAGGTGGAATGCCGTACTTCGCGAGGCTCTGCTGCTGGCGGCTGGGGCGCTATCGGCTCAGACCGACCTAGCTCGCGGCAAAAGGTCCGCGGCAGCGTTGACAGCAACTCTGGCTCCGAGAGCGACAGCAATTCGTTTGCCGATGTTTTCAAGAACGGTGCTCTGCGAGCATCCAGATCACAGGAGGCTGCAGATGGCCAGCGAAAGGCCCCCAGACTGGTTCTGACCAGCGTTGAGAAGCGCAAGATGGCTTCTGTGGCATAAAAAAGCTCAAGTCGTGTGTGTTTTTATACCTTATTATTCTTTGCCTTTCTCATTATTATAATTTCTTATGACTTGACGCTCCCGGACTCTTTATTTTTTTGATATGACCCCTTTGGACCTGCGAATTGCATTTACATCGACAACATCTCGATCTCGACGGCTTTTCGCTTTGCTTTTATTCTTCATTTTCTTTCTACTACAAAGGCAGCCTCGCATGGATGAATGCGTGCTTAGTGTACGTGAGGCGAAGTCATGGTCATACTTTTTATCAATGATTATTTTATAATTCACTTCTCGACTGTCCTTCAAAAACGATTTTTTTTTCTCTGAACCGGATCAAGAGGGCAATTGGCCAGGGAACTGCTTTGTTTTATGGTGGAAGTTGGGAACTTATACGACTAGTGAAAGACGACAATATCAACAAGGGCGGAGGCACAAACAGACTGCTGTCTTCTCGAGGGTAGACCCCAAAGTGTGCGAGCCGAGAGGATGCAAGACTCATCCAGCGGGCCTGGCAAAGCAGAAATGACGAAAACGTGCACCCCCTTGGCATTCTTTTCCTTGGATCTCTGTTGCTCTATTTGCTTCAGCATGTATGGTTTTTGACTCTACAAACGGCTGGATTTGACTAGGATGGAGGGAGCTCTAGGGTTGGGACATAGGTAGTGATAGTTTTTTACAGAATAGTGGCACACAATACAAATTGATGAGCCATTAACAGACTGGTACCTCGATGTGACGGGAGTAGTGAATTGTGTAATATTGTGCATGTCAAGTGTTTCCTGAACCATCTCTATCATATTGAACAATGATTGTCTTCTACTTTAAGATGCTTTAGCTACTGGTAAGATCCAGGAATATGAGTATCCTCTTCAGTTGAGTCATACTAGTCATTGATATAGTATATATATATGCGTGTTTATGTAGATGTGTATGTCTGTATATGTAATTATGTATATTGATCGACAACGCAGAACAGCCATGCAGGTGAAAAGAGATAACAAAGACCAAGCCAATCCTTTTGTGGTCTATAAAAGCTTCAAGCTTGTGTGTTTCGGGTTCGGGTTATTTCCTCCTCTCCCTCCTAGTTTGTGTCTAAACCAAAAAAAAAAAAAAAAAAACTGCCAAAAGCCTCTTGTCTCTCTAGCTAGCACTTGATAATAATTTTAGTGTAATTCATTTTACTTTTTTTAGCCTCCCGCCTTTTCTTCCTGCCTTCCTTCCTTGCCTCGTTATCGTTGCTTTCATTGTATTTAAGAAAAAAAAAAAACAAAAGGTTATATCGTAATAGATGCTAGTCGTTCTTCGTCATGTGTATATATTCTAATGATCAGGGAATCATCCCCTCACCTCCCCCTTTCTTTTTTTCGTTATGTTTGTTTTAATTTTGGTGAGAGAGTAGATAAAGTAAACGTAGGGGGGGAGTCAAAAGACACATTCGTGTTATCGACTTGCTTGCCTCATGACTTCAATCGACGACGAAGACGTTTTATGCCTTGCTTTCGGCGTCGAAATCATCCCCACGCTGTTATTACTGCTATTCGGTCGAGGTCCGTTCTCTCCTCTGCTGCTCAGGTTGCTCTCGCTGCGGACAACCATCGGGGCCATGAACTCTCCCCTGAGCATCCCCGCGCTGCTGCGGCCCTGTATGCTCGCTGCCAACGGCGTTCGCGGAAGTCTGCTCTTCACTGCTGGCACGTAACCACCAGAGCTGCTGCCACCGCTACTGGCCGCTGAACTCGAGTCGTTGCTCACTCGTCGAGGGAAGTTCGCAGGTCCTTCCCGGCTGTGGGGCCGATATACGACGTTGTCTCGGTCAAGTGCTCCTGAGCGCCGAGGGCTGGCAGCGACCTCTATGTATGCATTGCTCGCTATGCTGCCTCTGCTCCTATGCGTTGGTGTCTGAGGGGTCATGGACATCGGGGACTGCATGCCCACCGGTGTGTAGTTTGTGTTGTGCCTTGATCCGCGCCTGGAGGCGGATAAGTTGACCGACGTGGAAGACACCATTCCCTGGTTCATCATCATTACCGGGGGCGGGTAGGAAGAGTGCGATTTAACCAGTTCTGAAGCAAGATTGCGAACCAGCACGGCGGAATCCTTCTCTGCCAAGATCTGAATCGAGTCCATGAGAGACCGCATCTGGGCACTGTTGAGCGTGCGGGCGCCATCTCCGCTGCCGAGAAATCCTGGCTCGCAGACGTCCATGATAGCACGCACAAGACGTAGCAAATTCAGCCGTACTACTGCCTTCTTATGTCCCAGCCGCTGGGTAATACCGGCAAACATTTCGGGCTTTGCTAGTGACACTGTCAATCCCGGACTCAGTCGAAGAAGCTTGAGCAGCGGCTCCAACAGGTTAAAGTCAAACGCGTTGAGCCTATTAGTGCCAAAGCAAGAGACAATGGCTCGCGAGAAATTGTTGTCCATTAAGTGGCTCTCTACATTGGCCGTCTCCTCCTGCAGCCACACCAAGATGGCGTCTAGCGCAGTGACTTGCCAGTATTGGTCAGACAAGAGGGAAACATAGAAATCGAGGCCTTTGTTCTGCCAGAGATATCGTCGCCCCTTTGACCCAGAATGGGCCATGTCGCAAAGAATCGGCAAGGCAAATTCTTTCGGCGGCCGGTCTGTCTTCATGATTCGTAGTAACAGCGGGATGATGCCTCCAACGGCAGCATCTTCCTGCCTTTCCTTGCTTAGCCGGCAGAGGTTGAACATCGTGTTGAGAACCTGATTAGAGATCTCGCGGAGGTGTTTGTGATTCTTCTTCATGCTGTAACTTAACAGGTCGATGAGGAAGTCAATGGCATCGGCGGAGTGTAGTGATTCGATGGTTGTTGAGAGCATAGAAAGATTCTTGATGAACCTGAGCATGGTGATCTGGTGTATGGGCGTCATTCGTCGAAGATCCTTGAGGACGCTCTTCAACACCTGTCGATCTGCTACAACCTCTTTGACATAATTCTCGGCCTGGCTGAAGAGGTAGAATATATTCACAATACGCCCCTCAATCAGCTCACTGTATTCATCCTCCCCCTCTTCGTCGAGAACTCGGTGTAGAACAAGCGCTAGCGGATAAAGAATTTTGCTCCTCGAAAAAATGCGGCAAAAGTCATTCTTGGGAGTTGGGCCCTGTAGTTCAAACACATTCCAAATACCGTTTACGCCGATGAGCACAAGATCTCGAGAGCTATCGTAATCTTCGTCAAGAAATTCGACAAGAACATTCAAACCACCCGCTGAAACAAACATTTGTAGCGTCAAAGTCGAGGTCTGGTACATTTGGCGGACGAATGCAGCTGCTTCGAGGCGAATCTCGTTGGAGTACTGGCGAGCAGCGAATTTCGTGATGATGGGTATACCACCAACGAAACACAGGTTTTCTTGAATTTCAACATCGTCGAGGATAATCTATAGATTTCTAGATTAGAATGGAGAAAGGCTATTTCTTATATATCCAAGAGGGAATCTTTACCGTATTGACAAGTCTAAGCAAATGATAAATCAGGTGGTGTTTACTCTTCACTGTACAAGGCTCTAGAATTTCCAAAAGAGGCAGCAATCCGTGAGCAGTGATGATTAAGTTTTTTGCATCTGGATTTTCCCAGAGCAGATTCAGCTGGGTTCTCTCGGTTAGTTCAGCTTACACTTGAAACGATAAAGCACGTTCGCCATCTGATATTACTCACCAATTCGACAGCAAGATCTGCCAAATTTTCCTCGCCTTCCGTCATCTTCAAAAGGCCAACCATTTCTTCCACTTTTTCTGCGAGGCGCGCATGTCTGTCTCGAGCAATCTTTGCGTCCATATCCATCTCATCCCATCCTGGATCCATGGATGCAAAGGGGTCATCTTCATCGTCTTCATCACCCAGCCAAGAGTTTCCTGAGATCCTTGACATGAGCATAAGGCCGGCTTCCTCGGACCCCCGTTCGCTTTCTTCTCTTTCAGCTATTGATTCTTCAGGCCCGAAAATGTCAGAGAAGTCCTCGTCATCATCTTCGGCGAACTTCTGGATCTCGATAGAGGAGCGAGTGCGTCTCATGGGACGATCAGGGAGAACTGATGGCCTTGAGGGGCCCTTTTTTCTTACGCTCCCGTCTGCTGTCTGCATTGACCGGGGCAAGCTGGTAAGGTCAGATGGATGGAAGAGCTGAGGTGCATCAGGTTGGCGAAAACCCTGAAATGGACACATTGCATTGTTAGCATAGCTGGCATGTCAAGTTTGTGCCAAACCAAAGGGAGAAAGGAGAAAAAACGGTTGCAACAATAGGAAGCTCACCTTCCGGACTGCCTGGTGAATCTTCTGGTCAAACACACTATCGTCATCGGAGAAGAGATCGGAGTAGTCCTCAGAGCTTTGTTCTCGGTAAATAGCGCCAGGACGGGGCGGCAGCTCGAATTTGTTCCCAAAGTGTGATTTCGGAGGAGATTTCGCTTTAGATAGGTTGGGTGAAACCACTGCTGGATCCATACTCGACTTGGATCGCTGATGCAGCATTTTTGGCGGCGATGGAAGCTTCGGTGCTATCGCCTTTCTTGACATTGGCCGAATTGTCTGCTCTTGTGCTTCGATGTAGGCCTGCTGATTTGGTCCCTTTATGGTCATCATGTCGCCTTCAAAGTCTTCGTCGTAGTTATTTACATCACTTCGGAGATCATTGACGGACGCAAAAGCCTTGAGCTTATCAGCAGAAAGAAGGCCCCCAAAATTATCCTGTGGTCTCAGATGTGGTAGCTGCAAAGCACTGGGAGATATTGCCGTCGCAAAGTCGTCGTCCCAGTTGTCATCATCTAAGTTACAATGTCAGCTTTAACCATTATGAGCAAGCATCATTCAATTATTAATGCCAACGCACCTAACTCGGCCAGCTTAAAAGCATTTGCACCCGCACCCGCGCTGAGCCTTGTCTTGGCGAGGCTCAGGCGGCCCTTGGGCGTTCCACCAGAGTATCGAGACAGGCCATCGGAGCCGGTGGATACACGAAGTGAAGTTCCCGAAGAATTGAGCGCCCTGTTCCACTGCTTGACCTCCTCGACGGCCTCATTGAAGTTGGCTGGCGGCTTCGAGACTGGCGCATCAGTGCGGCGGCATCCTACGATCCAGGCGTGCTTGAGTAACTTGCGAGCCGAGACTCTAAGGTTGGGGTCCTTCTGAAAGCATTGCATAAGAAAGTCTCGAGCAGCCTATTTGTGCAGATTAGCATTTATACGATCTTATTCTACCATTCAAGCAGAGTTGGGTTGCTCAAGACGCACAGCTGATATGCCCTCAGGCAGTGGAGGGTGATCGTCATTGACAATGGCAAATAGTGCCGGCATGGCTGCCAAGTTGTGATAAGGCGGCTTGCCCTGAAGAAGCTCGATAACGGTACAGCCGACACTCCAAATATCCGAAGCCGAGCTAGCTCCAGACAGCTGGATAATCTCGGGGGCCATCCAATACGGAGTGCCTACGACTTGCGCCTCCTTATCCTGGCCACCAGCCAGCGTGCTAGTCGAGACCCCGAAGTCGGCAAGCTTCACCGTCCCGTCCTTGGTGGTGAGGATGTTGGCGCCCTTGATGTCACGGTGGATAACACCTTGGTCATGGAGGTAGTGAAGGCCCTGAAGAACTTGGGTCATGTAGACACCGACCAGGTTTTCGGGAAACTTGCCGTACTCTCTGCATATTGAGTGCAAAGAGCCATTCTCGCAGTATCTGAAGAAATCATGACGTCAGTTTGAGTTCATATCTAAGCAGAGCTCGAGTTGCCTTACTCTAGAATGATGTTGAGGCAGTCGGCAGTCTTGGCGAAACCGATGTACTTGACGATGTTGTCATGCTTCTTGTGGTTAGCTTCTCTCGATCTGCTCTGCTTAGAAGGGGCTTGCTCTTACAAAAAGGTTCTTGAGCAGATCGATTTCGCTCTGGCAGTCACATAATTAGCGTGACGCAAGCTTCGGGTTAGATATGTATAATGTAGTTGGTAGACAAGTGTCCTGATCCTGTCGCGCCACCATAGACTCACCTCCATCATCCGAAGCTCGCTCTTTGGTAGATCCGTCAGCTTGATTTGCTTAATAGCGACGGCCTCTCCAGTGCCCCAGTTGAACGCCTTGTACACCGACCCAAAGGCTCCCTTTCCGAGGCATTCGCCCAGGCGCTATCTTTCCAGTCAGCAAACTCTGCAAGTCTCACAAAAGAAAAAGAAAAAAAGAAAAAAAGAAAAAAAGCGCATTCCCATCCCAGCACCATAGTTGATTCGAATTGCAATTGCATGCATCAAGGGTCGGCACATACATAATCTTTCAGCCCTGGGTCCTGCATCGCTGAGCTCTCCCTTGCCCGCTCCTTGCGAGACGGCGTGGACTGAGTAGAGGATCTCTCTCTCGGAGTCCCTCCAGCGAACCGCCCATTGCTAGCGGGATAAATGTTCTCTGCCGGCATCTCGCTCGCTCGCTTTTGTCGTTCTGCCACAGGTGGTGTCTTATCTGCTTGAGCTTGCAAGGGTCACAGGTCGACGTCCGCTGTGTTTTCCCCCTCCTCTGGTTGATCTGCGCGGCCAGCAGACTCTCTACCTCGACGGCAGACAAAATCGTAGCGAATGGCGAGGTGGAAGAGAAATGGTTCGTATAATAATCGATGGCATGCCCGCCGATGGGTCTGTAGCTTCGTGTATCGCTCGCATTCGCCCGAATTTATTTCAGAGGGTGAGCGGCATTCATCGAAAAGGCGGCGGCGGGGGAGAATCGCTGCGACAGGGAAGAGATTCACGCATGGAGGCCGGCGAGGGAGAGAGAAAAGATGAAGTGACAGGAAGAACAAGGAGGAGTAGAGGATGGAGGGGGAGAAAAAAGACGAGAGTGAACGCGGATTGGATCTGCCCAAGAGCGCGTGCCGTCGAGTTGCGGTCCCCAATTCCGGTGCTCTGGACGAGAGCTGTGGAGTTGGTTTTGGGTACCTAGAGGGAGCTTCTGAAGATTAGCAGGTAGCTGCCGCCCAAGGGCATGTGGCGGGTGCTCTGAGCCTTCTTGGTGGCGGGTGCTGCCTCTACCACGGCCAGCACTAGGTATTGCTGATGGATGCAGCGCCCTGAAAAGGGCACAATCTGCACGTCTTAGACGATGAAACCACCTGCAGCAGACATTTGAGAGTGAGCATTGACATGATGGCAGCAGTCACAAACCCCACATGGCCCCAATCAACCCTGGAACAACCGCCGCTAGAACCATCCATCGTCGAGCACAGAGTTTACACTTGAGTTTATACTTATGGATCCCAGTGCCTGCTATCGCCAGGTGGAGCGGCCAAGAATCTGACCTGTTATATAGAATGATACCTCTATACCCTTCTGAGGCCGTCCAATCCCCCTCTAGCCTCGTGCTTGCAAATCATCGCCGCGCAAAAATGGCTAATCGGATCTCTAAGTTTCCGCTTAGGCATATTAAACAAACTTTGGAGCCCAAATAGTACTGCTGCGAGCATCACAAGATTGGTTTACGTAACGGCCTGGTGTTTCAGCTCTCAAAGTGCCATGTACAGTACAGTAGAGCAGATGCATGAAGAGGTGCTCAAAGACAGGAAAAAAAGACACATTTGAAACATGTTGGAGACAATGAGCACAGACAATCATGTGGATTTTTATATATTAATTGTATCCCTTTGGCGAGAGGGGCTTCTTTGAGCCCTCGATGTTTATAATGCCAGTATCATCATACTTTTGAAACGCTATCCTTGCCCGCTACCCCCCAAACCCAGTCCATTACCGTAGTCATATATGTCGTTTTCACTTCGTGAATATCAACATCCAATCTGCTGTTGTCATACTCTCTTTCTTACCAATGTTAAAGAGAGAGAGAGAGAGAGAGAGAGAAAGAAGTGGAAAATAAAAAGAAACATAAAAAGAAATAAAAAGAAAGAAAATGAAAAAAAAAAAAAAAGTAAAGAAAAAGAGCTGATGAATGAATAAACAAACAAACAAATCAGCCATGAGCTAATAAATGAAAATTCAGCAGCGATATGGAAGCATTCACGCTTTCCAATCCACACTGCTTCACTTTACGAATGAATAATGCCTGTCAGATGAGAATCTCTCAGTGTGGCCCCTCCCGAGGTAGTGTTCGATTAAGGCCAGCCCCAGCCCACCATTCGTCTGGGATATCTTCTCTCGCCGCGAGATTTCTCACGATTCGCTGCATACCTAGCCATTCTTCATCTCCTGTATGAGTGGTGGGTCCGCTCCCCGCGGATCCCTCACGGTTTGGCCGGAGCCGATCAGCTCTTCTTTCGTCCTCCGATCCTGCGTGTGAGGTCTGGCCAAATAATAGCTGGGAATAATGATTTGCTAGAACATCACTCGAGCTCTGCCCAGGTCCAGAGGACCTCGAAGACTCGGGTTGCCGAGCACGTGGCCCATCTGATGGCCCATCCAAGTTGTATTCGGGGACTAATTGGCTGATCCGCTGGTGTGCGCGACGAATGCCACGATACCCAGGATACCCAAAATAGGTATCCTCGTCGTCGGAATTTTCGTGGCCGGATTCGCAAGCAGGGTCCATGGTCTCGTCGGGCAATTCTGGAGCGGTTGGAGGAGGGTTGGAGGGGCCTGCGCCTTGAGTGGCCGCTACGGATGCAAAAGAAGAGCCTGCGCTGGGCGGCTGTGGATCAGGAGTCAGCGTTGAGCGCAAGGTATCCCAGCCCTCTGGGCTCAAGCTTCTATCGCGATCTCCCAGGCCATCAACCGGAAGCGGGCGCGAATAACGGTCATTAGGCAAAGTGCGCCCAGAGAGCAAGGCTCGGTACATTCGTGACTGGTTTCTGTGCAGAGATCTGTACCGGTTCGAAGTGGCTACCGGAGGGCCGTCGTCGAGGGACGTTGACGCTTCGAAAGGGATCCTTTCTAGTCCTCCATCGAGAAGACGAGGTGGGGGGAGGCGGCTGCTGGAGATGAGGCTACCGGGGAATACTGAGCCAATCATTGCGGGAAGGGGGCTGCGACTACGCCTGGAGTTGCTTATCACGGCCTGTTCGTGTGATTGTTAGCCACCTATCAGACTCAGGAATGCGACTGGAGAGCAGCTTACGATGCGCGCATGCCTAGCCCGCGGTCGAGGATCAGAGCTCCACCAGCCAAGGTCGCCTTCTTGGCCGCCTTCTTCTGCTCTCCCTGGGGGGTCGACACTCTGCCAAGTGCCGCCAAATAGGGAACTCATCTGTTCCTCTAGCCGGCCCCTCTGCCGCTCACCCCCGGAGGTCACATCTCTCAGCGCCTCACGTCCGAGAGCAGAAGTCGGCTGTTCGGGGGAGCGCCTAAGGGGGTTCCGTCGATTGCGCCTTTCCAGGTAGGTTGCGCGCCGGATGGAGGAGTGAGAAGGAGAGAGAATGCCATGCTTTGGGGCCTGTTTGGCGGGTAGGTCGGTCTCAATAGGCGCAACGAAGAGTCTGTCATGGCGGCGGATGGATTAGTCGAAACAACTGCGACGCGAAGAAGGAAAAAAAGAGAGGCAAAGAATATCAGGCAAGATGACTGCGGTGATTTCACTGCGTGGCCGAAGATCCAGTCGACAAGGCGGCCAGATGCTCGGTACGATGAAGGCGCGCTGCGATGGCGACCGACGATGCGACCGCTGCACAAGATACGCGGTAGGCGCAGGCACAAGAGACAAAAGACGAGGAGCGCACGCATGGGCAGCCATTGGCCCAAGCAGCGGCTTGAAAACGCAAGACTCACGGGAGACCCATGGCGCACACGAATATCTGCAGATGGGATGCAAAGAGGCGATAACCGAGCGGCCAGTATCAGATGCGCAGAGAAGGACAAGATTTTTGCTGGATTGGCGCGGCGCTTTTCCAGCTGGCGCAGCAACCCCAGTAGCGATGACGGCGGCGGTGCAGGGGCAGATGTTGCCGGCAGCGCGTTTTCTGCGGCAGACGAGAGAATCCAATCGACTGCAGGCCGCAGACGAGATGGAAGTAGGAGCAGACGAAGAGCGAGCGGCGGATGGTTTGATGGAACCGAGACTGGTGCAGAAATGAACGGGAGAAGAGGCTGAAGAAACGTGGGAGAGGCTGAAGGAACCACTTCCGGGGGGCCTATTATTAGAGAGACATGCTGCATTGGGACAGTAGATGGGGGGCTTGGCGCTATGGGCGCTGCGGGCTAGGGGACGCCGAGCAGCAAGCTTTTTGGCGCGCAAGCCACACTTCGGTATCGCTGCCGCTATCAGCTGTGGCTGGTGCTTCGCTGCGCCTGTCAAGGTGAATGAGTGGAGATGGTGAGATTTCCAGCCGTGTTAGATTTTGAGATTCGGTTGCTGCGTGCGCCCCAAGACTCAAGACTCACCACCTCGTCTCAAACTCCTTCTCACCCGTCTCCTCGGCGAGGCGCGCAAGCTGCTGCTCTGTATGGCGCTCTCCGCCTAATGACACCGGCTCCCCTCCCGTAAAAGCTGCAGCTGCTGGCCCCGTGGAATGTCTCTCTGATGCCATCCGCCAAAGAGGTTAATCGAGCGCTGGCTCGCATCCGAGCTGTCATGCCGGCCGAGAAAAAGGTAGCATCGGCCAATCGCAACATCCGCCTTGGCCTGGAGCGCATCGGCCATATCGTGCCTAAGGAGCAGGGCTGGCTGGGAGTCCATGTCGGCGGCACCAATGGCAAGGGTTCTGTCTGCAACTTGATCTCGGGACTCTTCAGACTGTCCGGCATCAGCCATGGCATGTACACATCGCCTGCCATGCCCGAGAGGCACAATGGCGTCACCATCAACGGCCTGTACGTCAACCGCCGCATGTATGAGATGGAGGTGAAGCACATCGAGGACAAGTTCAAGAGAATTGCGTCTGGCTGGAGGTTTGCCGCTGGCGAGGACCCCGGCAACCTGACGCCCTTTGAACTTGAAACTGCTGCAGCCTTTCGCGTCTTTGAAAAGATGCATGTCAACTACGGAGTGGTCGAAGTAGGCATGGGCGGCGCCACAGATGCCACCAATATCATGAGACAAAAGTCAGTCACCGTCATCACCAAAATCGATCTGGACCATCAGGAATATCTCGGCAACACCATTGAGGAAATCGCCAAAGTCAAGGCCGGCATCATGCGGCCCGGCGTGCCATGCATTGTTGATCACACCAATCCCAGCTCAGTCATGAAGGTTCTTCGCCAGCACGCAAATAGTATAGGTACTCAGATCAGCCCGTCATGGAAGGGAGAGCCTCTGTTGGCCAATCTTGATACTGAGCGGTTCAAGCTGGAAGACTACGAAAAACAGAATCTTCTCTGCGCTACGCTGGCCTTCCGACACCTGTTCCCAAATTATGAAATCGACGTCAACAAGCTACTGGCAATGGAACCGTTTCCCTCTGGGCGAAAGGAGCAAGTTAGAGTGGCTGGCCTTACCGGTGGAAGTCGCGAAAAGCCTATTATCGTGGATGGCGCTCACAACCTGCTTGGCGCCGAAGCACTGGCCTCCTATGTGCAGCACCAAGTTCGTCAGGGCGATGAGGCAATTTCGTGGGTCATGGGCTTATCAGCTAGCAAATCCAAGCCTTTTGCTCAGGTCATCTCTACCTTGGTACAGCCTCAAGATAACTTTGCGTTTGTTGAATATCTTCCTGGTCCTAATGAGCCGCCCCCTGCTCCCGCTGAGCTTGGTCGCGAGATTGGCAAGTCCATTGTCAACCATGAATCTCAGCTGTACGATGGCGATTCACGGATTGCTTCGGGCGTGCAATGGGCTTGCGAAAAAGCTGGAGAGGGCCCAGTTATAGTTACAGGAAGCTTATACATGATTAGAAATTTTTACAACCTCGATGGCGTTGAGCCAAAGAGAAAGACTAAGACGAGGAGGCCTGGAGCCGCACAGCTTTGGCACTATATCCAGCTATCACAAAAGAGGCCGCTGACCGCTGAGGAGGCTAGAGAGTTTAAACAAGCACGGAGGCACTGGTACCTGTCGCCCACACGAAATACTGCGTTTAGAGCAGTGAGACACGGCGGCCAGCCCAAATCTTCCGCTGTTCCCGAGAGAATACGCGCCCTGCAGCAGCAGGTAGAGTTTCATAGAAAACAAGCTCAAGGCTATCGCAGTGCCATAGAGAGCATGGAGAAGGACTTGGCACAGGAGCCAACCGCCGCGGCTGCGAACGCTGAATCCTCGGATTTACAAGCCAGCCTGGAGACGCTCAAGCGACACCACCAGGAACATCTCGGCGCCTTCAACAGCGCCATGTTTAAACTCCGAGGCCATACTGCTTCACCTGAGAAGAAGTATATGAGCTACGAAGAGGTTTTTGGACGACCTGCGAAGCCCAAGGTTCAAAAGTTCCCCTTTCCCGATGATGAAGAGGCGAGCACGACGGCTAGTAGACAACACGAAGATACCACTGCTTCTTCTGAGAGCAGACTTGAATCCCGATCAGACCAAATAGCAAGCGAAGAGGAGAGCAAATTGGAGGCACGAAGTTCACGATTTGGAAAAAGAAAGAGTCGTCATAACGACAATGAGAAGGAGAAGGCTGCGACTGAGGCGCATGACCTTGTTGACAAGCTGACGAAGGGCCGTGTCGGCTCTGAAGCTGACGAGCCTTGATAGAGAGGTAGTGAACTGGGCAAAATAAAAGGAGGAAAAATTAAAGTAGGAATCTGTATGCGATCCTATATGTATATTATGTGGCTTGTAGCCTCTGTTGTCGTCTGCGTGGCAAGGCGACGTGTAGTAATAACCCCAAAATTCAACATTGAATAAAACTTTTTGGTGCAGGCAGCGCACATTAATGACAACAGAGAAAGCAATTACCTACAGCAAACCATCAGACAGTATTGCGGGAGAAATGTAGGATAAAGTCCCTGATTGTACAAAAACCAGGGGAGCGACCGAGTACATGGAGCCGTTTACTTGACACTTAGCCCCTCCTTTACAATGCCTAGACCGGAGATTTGATCCAGCACCATTTTCTACCACATCAGCTCGCAATGCCATGGCAGTTCCCACCTCTCTCATTGTCGTATGCTGCCACGGCATTTGGAACGGCGGCCCTTCCAAAGGCGCCAATGAAGATGAGTGGCTCATTGCTGACTTTCAGCGCGGCGAGACAAGTACTTTTATCGAGCACATTAAGCTGGGGGTGAAACTTCTCAGCGAGAGCTACGATGACAGTGTGCTTGCTTTTTCAGGGTAAGCGACAAACAAAGAAGAAGAATCAATCCCAAAGAAAAGAAAAGAAAATCTAATCAATTATCAGATCAAGGGTGTTGGTCATTGGTTGTGCATATAGATAGCGATGCTAACACTCATTCTTCTCTCAACTGCAGTGGCCCAACCCGCAAAGAAACGACTCTAAGCGAAGCCCAAAGCTACAGCAACCTCGCCGCAGCGCAAAACTTATTCGGCCACAGCTTCGTCAACAAGCTTGAATCAACACCAGAACTCATTCCCAAAGTCATTTCGTCTAGGATCCTTGTCGAAGACCGCGCATTGGACTCGTACCATAATGTCCTCTTCAGCCTCACTCTCTTCTACTCGCGCTTCCATGCCTGGCCCCTCTCTCTAACCATCGTCTCTCACGATTTCAAGAGGCCTCGTTTCATAGATGGCCACTGCGCTGCCATTGGATTTCCACTTGAACGGACGACGTTTTTGGGCATCGACCCGCCTGGTATGATTAATGGCGAGAACGAAGCGGCGATGAAAGGCGTGGGACAGGCGGTGGATGAATGGACGGCTGATCCTCATGGGCGGGGAGAGAAGTTGGCTGGGAAGAGGGCGAGGAGGAATCCTTGGGGAATGTGGCAAGGGGTTTTTGAAGAGCAGGTAGATGGCCCCAGGAAAGGAGGTCTGGTTACTGAGGGGATAGGCGAGATGGAGACGCTGGTCGACGATGCACCACGGCCATGGTAACGACGTTGGATTTGACGAGCAAGCTGCCATTCTTCATTATACTAGGAATAAGACAGGAATATCTGGAATTATCAGGGCTATATAGACGGAAGCATTGTAGTCACATCGCTTCATATTGACTACATGTATCTGGCCACGCAAAAGCTCAGCAATACCACAGTATCAGCACGCCTCCTGCAGCCCCCTTGGCAGATTCCAAGCGAGCAGATAAACCTCAACATATTCATGAATCCGATTGCCTCACTGGTAGCGTCTTAAAGATAAATTCGATCTTCAACCGTTCAAATATGCGATTCTTCAGGTTTATGCAAGACCGGCATGGGGCATTGCTCACAAAAATTTCAGCACGAAGCTTTTTCTGCTGCTGCTGCAACATGAACAGCTGCAGAAAGTCATCAACCACATTGATTTCCCCCTTGGCATAATCGCGGAAGAGGTAGTTTTTCTTTACAAAAAAACACATTAGCTGAGCCTCCGCATGACACGCATTGTAAATGCCCATTGGGCCATCCTTGCCGTCGTTGGCATGCGGTTCAAAGGGAACATCAATATCCTCGGCAGCCATTCGAAGGCTTTCATATGCCCAATGACCTTGGTTCAACATCTTGAAACCGTCTTCTGGCGAGCTGAACTCTGTGCCTAGGAGGTCTGTGTGGCCGCTTAAAGCGGCTATGGGTGGAAACGCGTCGCCACGGAAGAGAATGGCTGCGGTTTTCCACGGAGCAGATATATGCATACCCCTCAGAGGCGTGACGAGAGATATTGTTCCGGCTTCATAAGATCTATAGAAGTATGCGTGTTGGAGAGTGCAAGGGCGGAGTGGTGCACTGATGCGCCTCGGTGGTTGGGTTTTCAATAATCCTCGAATCAATGTCCTGTCCTTCTTCTTAAGGAAAGGATTTTCCGAGTAGTTTGCACTTCGTTTGTGTCTTTCAAAATCATTTCTCTCAGATTCTTCTGCCAAATTGATCGCCATCATTCCACGCTGGTCCGTCAAACGTTTGTCTGAGCCAGCCTGGAGTAGCATGCCCACAATTCTGGGATATCCCCAAAGAGCAGCTTCCATCAGAGGCGTTCGTCCTTTGTCGTCCATCACGTTGATATCAGATCCAGCTTCTAGAAGGTATTCCGCAACCTCATGGTGTCCATTTGACGCCGCCAGACTTAACAAGGAGCGACCATCCTGGTCCTTGAGCTGGAGGAGCCCATTTCTATCAGGTGAATTGTCTAGGACTCGTTTCAAGCCATCTAAATCTCCAGAACAAGCCGCCGCTGTTACCAATTCTGAAGCACGCTGAGTATCCGCTATATCTTCTCCATTTCTGTTGAGTCTAGTGGTGACCTCATAATCACCAGTGTCTAGAGATAACGACTGCAGATTTATTATTTCGCGCTCTTCAGGAGCCTCGTCTAATGAGCAGCTTTCAAATGCCTCAAGAGCATTTGAAATTGTCCTTCTCATACTAACGGTTCGAAATCGTTCCACTTGCACTCTCCCGTCAGCATCAAGCCTTTGTTCAATTTCATACGATAGCCCCTTGACTCTGTCATACTCGAATGGAAATAATATCACGTATTGTAAATTTAGGCCAGCATGCATTTGGTCGCAAAGTGGACGTCTGTAATCACGCTGGGTGGCAGATGGGCCATCGTAAACATACCGCCCGCAGTCATCCTGAATTATTCTTCCCCTGTTATCCTTCTTGAAGTGAGTAAAGGCATGTTTGTGCGTTTTATCGCAAAATGGGCAAAGAACAGTTGCATCGCGCGCGTCCCAGCACAGCACAATGGCGGCAGGAGGGGGTAGATTTCGTTTTCGCGCAGTTTCCTCTTGGCTATCACTTTTGTTCGTAGAGGCTCGTCTGATACAGAACCTGGAAACAAATCGGAGGGTTGAGAAGTCCCACATTGCATTAATCGCCACAAAACAAGTAATAACACGATGCTGGCTATGTTGTCGTTTATCGCTCGCCTGTAAGTAGCGATTTTGTAGTGGCATCAATGTGATGCAAAATGGTAGACTTTCGCCTAAACCCAAGTCATAATGCATGTGCTGAGATCATGTGCATCGTCCATTTTGATATTCCATACTGTGTAGGACACGACCAACAGCCCACCCTTCAAAAGTGGACGGGCATTTCTCACGAGGCTGTGAATTTCTCTTCGCATCTTCGTGGAGGTTTTTTATTATATTGCCGATATTGATTAATTGCATGTAAAATAGACAATTCTAGCAATTATCAACTTTGAAAGATTGCCATACAAGCTTCTCTCAATCTACATCCGCGCTCTACTCTCAACATCCCTCTTCCTTTGTCTCGGCCCCTCCGCCACCACCCTCATCAAAAACGCAACCGCATCATTCACCATATCCGCCGCAAATCTATGCCCAACCCCCTCATAAACCCTATCATCCACCTCAACATTCCCATCAGCATACCACCCACCCGCCGCGTCCTTTAGCAGCCGAATAAACGGCTCCCCTTTGGAATACGGCACCAGCTCATCAGCGCCTCCCGAGCACAAAAGCAACTTCTTGCCTCGGATACGGCTGTCTAATATGCCGCGAAGACGATCCTGTTCAGCCGACGAGAGCGGCAGAGCAGGAATGGCGTTGGTCCCGAACAGAATACTCTTGGGATCGAACTTGCCCGCCGTGGCGACAGAATCAGCAGGGAAGTATTTGCTCCCCAGGAAGCCGGTCTCGCCACAGTCCAGCTTGGACAGCTTAGCTCGACTCGCCATCATGTCTGTTTTTGACATCAACGTTAGCAACTGTAAGAACACCCCATCTTCCCGATGTAGATAGGAAATGCGCCTCATCTTCCATGGAAAACTCACTTGTAAGATCTGGACATCCTACAATCGCCACGCCAGCATCTATCCTCTCCTCTCCAAACCACGCCTGCCACACCGCATGTCCTCCCAGACTCCATCCCAGACACACATGAGCATCTACTTCTCGCCCGAGATAGCTCCCTACCTGGTCCATCAGTCCGCTCATGGTCCTCATACCGCCCTTCACCAGGCCAAACATGTCGATGCCATGGTTCTCATTGCCCTCGCCCTCATCCCACGCCAAGTTGGCCTTTGCGCTTACCATCCTCGTCCCATGGTTGGGCATGTCAAAGGCCAACGCCACGAGCCCTCTCGCCTGTCCTTTCTGGTTCCAGGAGTGGATTGCCCGCTTGGCTACATCATTCATAGAAGCCCTTGTTCGTGTCCGAGGATGAAGCAACCACAGGCATGTCACCGGCGCTGGTGATGCGGGAAGCTCTTCCAGGCCGTAGACATCAACCAAGAGGCCGGCCATGGGCATCGTCGTCAAGGAGGCATCTGGAGGGGGCGGGAGGCCCTTTGTGGTGTATTTCTTGTCTTTTTCTTCGGTAGTCATTTTACCGTGATGTGTTATAGCGTATCAGGCACTAAGAAAGATATATTTGTACAAAGAGAGAGGGGGGAGCTGGCTGTGTTGCTGGAGCCAGTTGGGTTTAATAGTAAAGTCCCATAATACCATAACGAGCGATCTACAACACAGAGTCGACGCTCTATAAATGGCTAAAAGTGCCGCCCTAGCCTGTTTCAAGTTAGCGGTTTGATTCCCTCCTCACAAAATAATGCCCAACTCGGAAACTAGATCTACATGCCGCTTAGCTCAGATCAATTCATGTCAGTAATTCGGCAATTTTGCCGAGTGCCTCTCTCCTCAGTGCCTCGGCAACGCAGGAATTCTCACATCATGTATAGCATGTATATTATCTATACATGCTCGTCATTTTCATTTTCCTTAGCAACTGTATAAAATTTATTCATATACTGCTGTCTAACAAGAGGCTCATAAAAGGACTTGCTCGCTCTATATGCTACCTCATAGTAATGAGGTAATAGTTAACTGTAGACGACAAGGACAGAAGATTTTCATTTCTCCTTCACCGAGCAGACAACTCAGCATTCATTTTCTTCTCCGTACACGGAACAGGAGTCCGCCTCTCTCTGTAGGTATATCCCCTTCCTTGGCGATTTAGTTGTGAATTCCCCCTCCTTTTTATTTTGTAGAATGGCTGATCGTTGCGAAAGCCACGTATTTTGGTGAGGGCGGTTCCTCCCTTCGCTATTCCTTCTCCTATCTTAATTTCGATTTTTATCTCGTCTTATTCAATCCACCTTCCAATGATCTTGATCATCTGTGCTCAAAGACAGCTCAATTCCGTACAGCACCATGGTCAATCCTACATTGATCCACCGCCAAGAGCTACCGCCCACGTCCCCTCCCCTGAGTGTCCAGCCGTCTGGCCCCTCGCTTGTTGAAAAGTGCTGCAACAACAAGCTGGTGTAGACCGATATCAATATTGTTGGCGAGAAGTAACTAAGGATGCTCAGAAACATTGACGCTGCTTCTGAATCGTCAAAATCAGGCTCATGCATCATGGCTCGGGCGCCTAAATCTCGTACTGATGGGATGATGCGGGTGGCGCAGTAGAAGACAAAGAGACGGTATGCGAGAGAGATGATGACAGACGGCGTGATTGTCTGGAAAGCGGCGTACAACAGGGCAAGCGAAGAATGCAGAGCGCCAGGCAGGGTACTGAGTATATGAAGTAGGGTTGAGTACGAGGCCATGATGATGGGTGGAAGCGGAGGGATTTCTGGCTGTGATGATGCTTGGTCCTCGGTAGAATAGGTGCCATCGGACGGGAGGTAGTCGGTAAAGATCTGATAGACACAGAGCACGACGTAAGCAAAGAGAAGCGACGATTCGACGGGACTGCCGCGGCCACTGCCAATGCCGTATGCGCAGAGGAACACAGCCGTGGTCATGGTGACGCCAATAAGAGTGGCATCAACATTGCTGATCTGAGGGAACTGGGCAACGCGCCACAGGAAATAGACGGCGCTAGCAATGATGGAGCCGGAAAATGCAAGCAAGACAATCTGCGCAAAAAAAAAAAAAGAGGGTAAAGTTAGCTATGACCACCATGATATGATGCTTATTTTCAAATCGTAAATAAAACTCACCACCCAGGTATCACTCCTGCCTCTGTTGACCAGCCATCGAGTAATCTGGCCCGCCGCCTGGATAACAAGGAGTGTGCAGAAGCCCTCGAGCAGCTGGAAGACGGGCCCCGAGTACCGCAGCACATTGTCCCACGAGCCCAGCATGAGAGTCTCCAGCAGGCCCTCCTTGCCAAACATCCACTCGGTCCAGCTGGTGTTCTTGGACTGGAAGACGCCGCCGAGCGTCCTCTCGACCCAGCTGGAGTTGCCCGCATCGGCGTCGACGCCAAACTTGCCCAGCGCCCAAATAAGTAGCGACGGGATGACGAACCATTGCGCCAATCGCAGCAGCGTCACGATGGACCAGCGGATGCGCGACGTCTCGGGCGTGGCCAGCCGGATGGCCGAGTAAAAGATGTAGAAGATGGACAGGCTCAGGCTGTAGGCCAGCCCGCTGTCTCGGCCGCCGACATCGAAGGCGACGGGGATGGACAGGACGATGGCGAAGAGGAAGATGCTGCTGAAGAAGATGCTGAATGGCCACCACATCGGGGCGGTTGTGGGCGGCAGGGGTCGTGCCGTGCCGCGGGTGTTGTTGTCGGTTGAAAATCCAGGTCCAGGTGCAGATCCACGAGCCAGCAGACGGATGTCTTGTTGCGTGTCGTCTCGTCTCGTCTCGGAGTCCCCCGCGACTGGGAAGATGACACTCAATCCCCGAGAGGCAGATGCACAGGTCGCCCGCAATCGCTCCGTCACCAGCGGTTACTCATCTGTGTCGCCGGGTCTGTAGCCTGTAGAGCAGAGCGCAAGGGCCCCCGTTTCGTCTCGTCTGCGCTCGTTGCTTTCGTCTCCCAGATGGCCAGTTGCGTCTCCGTCGTCGTCCCGTGAGTCTTCTGCGTCTTTGGTCGTGCCAGAGACGATCCAGATGCCGCTGCCGCCTGCTACCCCAATAATTTAATTTTTAGCTCGTATGACAAACCAAAGCTTGTGAAGTGTCCAGACCCGGAAGGCCTGTCTTATCGGCGCATAGAGACCTCTTATCTGCACGTGAGGGGTCGCAGCCACATGGAGCAAAGCAAGCAGCTTTAAAGCTACATGTAGGTATGTAAGTGTGGACGATTTGATGAAGGCCAAATAAAGGGCACAGCAGGAGAAGAGCAGAACTGCTTCTAGAAGATGTTTGATGATGAAAAATTGTGTACATAGAATGAATGGAAAAGATGACCAAGGTTGCCATACCCGACATGCTACGGGCGGCTTCACGTCACATGCGGCTGTGCTTGGGATCAGCTCAGCGAATGACGACTGTGGCGCGCTGCAGCTACAGGGCACTAGCCACTTGGCCGACGACATGAAGCAATCAGGAATGTGCATTTGCATGGACGAGATAAGAACATTATACTAGCTGTCAAAGAGCTAACTAAGGAAGGCGATATTTGTTGTTTGGCTTGATTTTTTATTTAATTGCTACACTTGTGTAGCTCATTACGTATGCTCGCCTCCTCATAGCAAACGGGCTACTTACATGTATGCATAGCTTAAAAGTAGTACCTATAAAGCGAATATAAAGTGAGATTAAATACATCATCCATCTCCAGGAGAAAAAAAAATTATAAATTTTAATTACCGCTAAGTAATGCCTAAAAAAATTCTTCTGCTACATGCATATCTATCTGTAGATATTATACATGACAAGAAATGGTATATGAGAGCTCCAGAGTGTTCAAGAAGCAGCGAAATGGATCAAAAGTACGCGAAAATCTCGCTCATGCTGTTAAAAGAAATTAATCATAACCATATAACGTTTGCCTCCCCGGTATAAATGGGCAATGAACCTGCTTCGAAGTAGATTAGGCATGGCCTCCCGCCTCATCTTCGTCCCAGCCCTCGCGCTGGTCCTTGGGAATCCGAATCAAGACACACATCAGCGTCGCTGCGCCGACCAGAGCAACTGAGAACCACAGAGCGTGTCTGATACCGCCGATTGGATCGGCGCCGTGCTTATTGGTATAAATCTCAATAGTGCCAGCAAATCCCAGGCCCGTGCCCAAGCCGTAGAGCTGAATCGTACCAACCAACGATCCAGCCACACCCTGAAGATTCCGTTTGACGCTGTTGCTGGTGATTATCTGTGCGGTCGTAAAGATGAAATCGGGGCTGAACCCCAAGATGAACAGCGCTGGAAATTCCTGTGGCCAGTAATTCTGATGCACGGGCATCGTCGCCAGCAGAATACCCGCAACAAGGGCCGATACCGTCCCTATCGCCATCACAAGCTGCGCAGGCATATATCGCACGCAAAGGGCGCTTACTCCACAGGCGAGCGTTGCCATGACGGTAAAAGTCGCAAATGCTGCAGCGTTGAGAAGATTGGAAAAGTGGCGGATATCAACGTGCCATCGTGTTACGTAGTAGAAGAGGATACCCGTGCTCATAAAGGTGAAGAAGGCGGAGAGCAGCATGGGCTTGAAGGATGGCGCAGACCAAACTGAAAGAGGCAAAATAGGCTCCTTTGCAAACTTTGCTTCCCATAGTAGGAAGAGGCATATGTGAAGCACAGACAGAATGAGGATTATGTATACATAATCGACCTTCCACCCCTTGATGGCGGCCTCTCTATACCAGCGTAAGCAGGTGGTGTTGAAAAAGTTGTAGTTGGGAAAAGGTAGAGACACTCACGTCCAGGCACAGTTGAACAGAATGAGGCCGCCAACGCCAAAATACGACCCAATATAGTCAACCTTTCCATTCGGATCCATTGTAACTTCTTCGGAGGGGACAAGGATCGCAGCAGTCATGAAAACAACCGCTCCAGCAATTGCACTGCATCATCCAAGATTAGCCTAGTCCACCAACGAACGCTCTTAGAAATGTATTGTCTCGCACGTACAAAAAGAAGAATAGCCACCACCAAGGCAGCAGCTGGCCAAAGAAGCCAGGAAATATGGAGCCACCACCAGCACCGACAGGAGCCATGGCTCCAAACAACCCGACCCAAATTAGGCGACCAATGCCCGGTGGGAACGATGTCGTAAGCAGAGCAATAGCATTCGGGACGATGATACCAGCTCCCACGCCACTAAGAGCTCGCATGACGATTATAGTCGGGACGGTTCGCATAAACCCTGAGATGAGGTTGAACAGAACGTATATGGCACCGCCGATGACTAAAACTTTCTTATGGCCGCGGACAGCTCCAATGCGGCCACCCATGAGGACAAAAGTCGCCTCTGTCAGCCTAGTTTGCACCAGCAATCAGATAACCATGTCAGCTTTGGGTAGAGGAGGTGGCTCCTACGGGTATGAAGCAGCAATCCATATGCCCAGACTTGGATCAGATCCTAGCTCTTGGGGAATCGTATATGAGATCAAAAGGCCGGAACCGAAAGGAAGAGCCTATGTAGTTTCAAGAGAGTTAAGACGGGGACTCTCTGTGAATGAAATCCAGAACTGCCACATACCACAACAAGTTGACAAAGCACAATGCTCAGCGCGATCAAGTGCTTGCGTATCCCTTGTTGCTCTTTGGACAAATCCCCTTCCACTTTTGTCGGAATTGCTGGTTCGGCATCGATCGTGGTTGTGCTTTCATCCGAGCTTGGAGCTGACTGCTCGGGTGGTCGAGAAGTATCGACTTTCGACTCTCCGTCAATGGCCATCTTGGAGCAAGATCATTCACATCACTTTCTTGCTTCTTCTTGCTTCGCCTTATTATTTGCTCTGATAATGCTGGCTGGCAGTTGACGAGTCAAAGATCACATAGCTCGATGCATTTATATGGCATACACGCAATGGACGTCTTTAATATGGCCATTTTCGTTATCTGAAAAGAAACGATGTCAAACATCTCCCTATTCTAGAAGATGTATGATTTGAAAGCCAGTAAACTAATCATTTGGAAGATTTGGAAGCTATGAGCCAAGAAGCTGAGAACAACGTCCCAAGCTCAGTTGGTCACCCTTGTGGGGACACAGCCCAGGTATTATGTCGGAGGTGTTTAGCTAAGTGCTCCGACTCCCAAAAATCAACAACCAATCAAACGTTCAAGAAGACGTTATGAACGAGATAGATTGTCGGTAATGCTCTCCGAAGCCAGGAACCGTCCAAGAAACTTCCGGTAGGGCTCAGGTTGTGATGTTAACTAAGCGCCTCCGAATAGTCGTGTAAGGACCGGTCCGCTTCTAGGCTGCTGGCTTCTTAAAAATCAGAGGCATGCGCCACCAAAAGTGTTCTAAGAAATCCGTATTATTTTGATTACTGAACAACATGCTTGCGGTTCTTTTGGGTGCATTTGCCACACAAGACTGAGGCTAGGCAGCCAGGCTTAGCCAAGTCAAACCTATCAAAGGCGACTCCAACAGCTATCTATAAGCTTGGCAAAGGCGACACAGCGGCATGAATCAGGCTTCTAATTAAAACACGCTTATAATTAGTTAACTCCGTAACCACTCGGAGGTTAAGTCTTGGTTTGTTCTATCGTACCTAATTGTCAGCGTTCATTGCTATGACTACCGACTCCAGAACGGCTCTTTCGCAATACGCTGGCCCTTTGTCAATGCAGAAGGAAATGCCTCTCAAAACGTGGATTAATCGTGATCTTGATAGGCGAATCTTCCCGGAACTGTTTCCCGAATTTATATCCGCCGCTGCGTGAACCTCTATCGTGGGAACATTTTGCAGAGGCATATGTTGTTGCTGCTGCTGCTGCTGATGTAATGATGCAAAGGGCTGCAGTAATTCCTCTGGAGTGTTCGGCGGTTGGTTATTTAGCAGTTTACCCACCGGCTTGATTTCTTTTAGCTCAATTGTGTCAAAATCAAGATGTCTCATCCCACAAGCTAATAGCCACTGCTCAATCTGATAGGAGTTTAGAATCCGACTCTGGTTTGACGGAGAAGAAGCTCTCCTATTCGAAGGATCTAGGCCGCCCCCGTTAAAGACCCCATCGATACCCGAATACTGAGAGGTGGCGATCCCGTGATAGTACTGGGCTACCAAGTAATCATCAAACTCGGCCGTGGCCAATCTGAAAATTTCCGACGTCTGCGGTCTCAGATACCAGCGTAGTACCATGAGGATTTCTTCGCGCGATCGAAACTTGAGAGTGAATCCAAATATTCTGTCGACAACTGCGGAAGTCGCATACTCATCGCTCAGGATAGAATCATATGCATGCTGTAATGAGGCTCTGGTAATCATGATGCTGAAGGATTCTTCAGACGGGTATGTATGCAGCATATAACCGGTCCTAGAGCAGTCCGTGAAGTTGATAGGTGGTAGGCTCATAAAGCCATTACCGAATATATTCCTGATCGGTGACGAATGTAGTTTGATAAATGGGTTGAATCGAGCGGCCGATGCATTACTGCCAGGTTGGAGAGCAGGGTGAGTAGGGTGATGCGAAGTAGATTGAAGGGCAGGCGTCGGTTGGTTGAAGGAATGAAAATCAAGAAGCATGTTGTCTAGTGTTTGAGAGGGCTGCTCGTTTCCATGAGGCGTCCCAACATCGTCGCTGGTAGAGCTGCTTAGAGGTCGTCCGTTAGGCGTATTGATGTCGGAATTCTCCTGGCTATCCTCGGGGCTGCCATCCAGGCTACTGCCTCCTTGGCATAGATGTAAGATACTGTTAGTTGCAGACTGAAGCTTGGATACGAGGGCAGGGTCCTGTCTTATCAGCGGCGACTGAAGTATGCCGTTTGTAAAATCAAGAAACGTCCCAGCCATCTGCTCAAGGGCTCCCTCTATATGAACCATGTTCTTCTCATAGTTTGCATGAGCAGCTTGCCGCCGTAGACGAAATAGCCGCTGCGCTTTGCGGTTCCGCTGCCGCCGTTTCTATCCCAGCTGAAGCGTCAGCAGAAGTCTTGCGTAATCGAACTCATCATCAACAGGACAAACCTCCAAGCTCTCATCATTATGCTCTGGCTTTGCTTGTGAGGCCGGACCTGGCCGACGCCCACGACGTCGTGGCTGCTCTTCTGAAGCCTGAGCCGATGCCATATCGCGGCTACAGTGCTACAGAGTGGTTGGAGTCGAAAGCGGCGTTTGTTGCTTGAGCTCGAGGGTCCGGCTGGGTCCACTTTGCTAGTTCTCAGCCGTGACATTAAGGTATTAATAGGCGCGCAACTCCATCCAGCCTTCCGTGGCAGCCAATGAACCTATTCCAAATACATCACCGCATGAGTCGCTATCGAGCCATGAGACGCTTACAGATGGTGTTGGCAGTGGCCAGCGACCCTACGAAGTGCTAGTATCTTACAAATCGTACTATAGACTAGGCGCTAGCCAAACTAGTCCTCGTATAATCCATGAGCCGAGGTCGCCTCTTCCTGCGGCCTCATATTTCGCACCTATCGCTTTTTTTTTAACGGCGAGGGAATAAGTGCAGTTCCTCAGATAGGGAAAGGTTATGCTGATTAGTTAAAGGCAACATATCATCAACCCTGGCTCAACTCGTCAGCTTCAACGCGAAGCTTCCAGAGCGAATTTGCCTCCAAAACTTAGCCGCGGTTCGGACAATGCGAAACTATATATATGTGTGGTCATTACTAATAGCTAAAAGGAGACTGCCGGAAGATGCGACTGGCGGAGACTAAGCCGTCCTGAGCTACAAAACCCAGTAAGCGACGATGAATTAATGCACCTGGACGAAAACAGATTATGCTTTGCATATGGTGCTAAGAGGACCTTCGCCTAGGAGCGAAGTTGAGACTAAGACCGGGCAAAGGCAGGTGAATTTCTGAGTGCTTACTGTTGCAAGCTATCAACTACGCCGATGAAGAGTTTCGTCTTTGTTACAACCTTCAACTCTTTTTTGTCTCTTCTTCATTTCAACAAACAATAGAGTCAAACGTTGTGGTTGGATTAAGGATAAGTATAGATCTTAGATTTAGCGTTAGCTATATGTGCCTCGAGATCCGATAGCCGAGATTCTGGGTTTTCCTCTGACCCAGCAGTGAAGCCGACGCCCTTCAAAGACATTTGTGGATATTAGACCGCATTTGGAAGTGCATTGTATGTATCTACCAATTGGTTCGTATGTTGGTTGGTTGGTTAATTAGTTACTTTATCGACATTCAAATTCTTGTGCTAAGCTTAGTTCTTGATTAAAGATCAACACTCCCTCTCCGTTCTTAAGCAAATGAAATGAACAAGGTAGCTGAGTGACTTTGAAATTACCATTGCACTAATCTCTTCTTGTGCTTAGAGCTCGAGCTCTGCAAAGGAGTCTTTAACACTCTTCAATGTCGTAATATCCAACCCAAGGTCGGCATAAGTCAAGAACCTATCTTCGCCAGTCCACTCTTGGTCCTTGACTAGTTCCCAAAACTCCATGCCGAGCGTAAATTCCTGGGCTTTCGCCGACCATGTAGCGAAAAAGGTATCCCGGGGTATCTGGACGTATGTAGCCTTGACACCATGTACCTCCGTCCAAATCTTTAGCAGCCCCCCTAGAGTTGACCTCTCCACAAAGGCAAATACGGTCTGACCAACACGAGTCGTTTCCGGCTGGGTCAATGCCGCTCCCACAAAGGCGCCGAAATTAGAGCGAGTGTTTCCAATGCATGCAATGGGCTGATCAGATGGGGTGGCTTGCATCTGGACGTACTGGCCAATAGCAGGGAAATAAACGGGCTTGAGGAAATCCCAGGCAAAGTTGCTTGCGTAAAAGGCACACCAAACAAATGTCGTCTTTGCAAGAAGCTCTGGCTTGGATTTGATATAACGAGTAGCCCTGGCTTTGTAATCGTAATGCGGAGGCTGACTCTTGCCACCGCTAAGTGTATAAGCATCCGTAAGGGGTTGACCAGAAGTAGTGGTACAGCGTCTCGGTGGCCAATGCCGTGTTCGCCATGTTAATGCCCATATCAGTTTCGATGGCTGCAGCCTTATCAGCCGCTAGGCTAGCATCCTTCTCCGCGGATAAATCCTTCTGTGCTTCTGAAAATAGACCCCAGAAGTTGGTGACTGCGAAAATGCCGTATGAACCCGCAAATGCCGCTCAAAGGGCTGCGACGTCGGTCAACTCCGCCTGAACGATCTCAATGCCGCGTGCGGCCAGGGCTTTTGCCGCTGCGCTATCGGGAGATCGAGTAACTGCGCGGATATTGTACTCTTGAGACTCGCTTCTAAGTAAGTGGTCAATAACAGAGCCCCCCTGAGCGCCAGTTGCGCCAATAACAGTAATGATTTTCTTCGCTGCCGCCATCCTGATTCAACCTAGGGTGAGTTTGAAGGCTTTCATCTTGAACTGTTATATAATTGGAGGATTAATGAGTGAGTATTTGACAGTTCTGAAATCCTTTAATATCGTTCTTCTTTTGAAGGTTATTGCCCCTTAAAGTCACCCCAGGGCACCCTGCTTTTCATTAGCATCTCTCACTATTATATTCACATTAGTGATCACGATATAGATATGGCGTATTTTTCAAGTGAAATACCTCCATCTCGCGCATCATTATGATCTGGCTTTATAAATATCTCCACCAGTATTTGGAATCGTTAACTGTATGAAGGAAGAACTAACTCCAGTCGGAAATGGATACAAAACAACTCTGCGCCTGAGGATGCTTCAACGACACCAACGACGACTATGATGAAATCATACGGGATCACACGAGTTTATAAGCACCGAATATTTCAATGTAGATGGATATGACTATGCAAACCGGCAGCTTTTACTGGCTCCTCAAGGCGTGGAAGAGCGGGTTCCTGATGACCTACATTATAACACTATAGACAGCCACAGGATAGCAACGCAACGCTGGAATGAATTTGTATCGATTGGTCAAAAAATCGATCATAGCAAAAACAGACTTCTCTACTGCATTGCAGGGCAGTTCTTGTTTGAAATGATCCCCCATCTCTCCTCAGACGTTGAGAGCAGCTTCCCCATTTCTCATCCAGATCTACATGTTGGCAACATCTATGTCGACGATGACCTCAACATCACATGTATTATTGACTGGAGTTCGGCGTCAACAGGTCCCATTGCTGAGCTGCTCGCGACCCCGGGACTAGGGGGCTCAGCCAGACCACCTTCGGATTCCCTCACTGCTGCTTTTCGGTCTGGTTTTGGCCGACGAGCCACGAAACTAAGCCCCGAACTCTGTAACCCAAAGCTTTGGCAGACATCGGATAATATGTGGTACTTTTCTCGATTAGTTCGGTTGCTTTCTAGAAATGACTATGAGCATTTTCGCCGATTGTTCGAGCTAGTTCAAAAACCGAGCGCTGAGAAAACGGGGATTCTCTACTTGTTTCATGAACGAGCCAACAGTGACGAGAATAAGAAGCTGCTTGCCAAGCTACAGGAGGACGACATGACCACAGAAGAAGTGCTGGAACAGGAACGAATGGCGATATCTTCTACTAGACGTGCAAATTCTGACGCCATTGCTATAGCGAGAAAGCTGACGCTGATGTCGGAGATGAATCCAGGTTTCCTTGCTAACCACGTATTATGGCGATGGGTTGAAGAAGCACTCAGGCAGGATGGTCTTCCATAGCTTTTCCAAATATTAGAAGCAGTCGACTTGAAATTAAGCCGCTGATATATTTTGGCCGATTTTGCCGCGTAGTAATGTCTTTTAAGATTTGTGAGATCCCTGACTAAAGTACATGATAGGTGTTATTCTATTCTTCCCAACAAGAAGTTGCTAAAGTGTTCGCCTTAGTATCGGATCTTACAAAGGGTCATAAGTTAGTCAATTCCGCAAAATCCTCGTTTCCCATTGGTCGTAGAGAAAAGCAAACGAAAATACCACCACATGATGCCCACTCAATGCACTGCACATCGAGGCTTACAATTTTCTTGCCATGTGGGGATAACTAGCGCAAGCAATCGATCGTGCATAAACTCCGTGGTGCGCAAGCCACCATTCCGATCTGGCTTTTCCTAAAAAGGTCATGCAAGATTGGCTTTCAGGGCGGAGATAGCAGCAAGTTCCCGGTGATACTGAAGGCCCAAGAGGAATTATGTTGTGTTGAAAGAGATATAAATAGGGCCCATTAGAGCATGTATAGATGTTAAAGACTCGCTGTATAGTTGAATTTGTGCACAGTATAGAGCATCATGACTTTGGCTAGCAATTTTGGGGCAGAGACAACTGCCGAAGAAGTGGCATCTTCTTTTCGCGACCAGATTACTGGAAAGACAGGTTAGACACTTGCTTCTTTTCTATCAAAACACAATCTGGGCTAACATACTCATAAAAGTTCTCATCACTGGTGTAAGCCCGAATGGTCTTGGAGCAACTACTGCTCAGGCTCTCGCCAAGTACAGCCCAGCAAACTTGATATTCACGGCTCGTACAGTCTCAAAAGCCTCTGCCGTCGCCGATACTATCCGTACTCAACACACAGCAATAAAGGCGCAAATTCATGTCGCCCAAGTAAATTTGTCCGACTTGGAAAGCATTCGCGAAGCAGCAGCCAACATCCAAAAACTAACACCTGTTATTGACATCATGATTAATAATGCGGGAGTTATGGCTATCCCAGAGAGGGAGGTCACGAAACAGGGGATCGAAGCTCACTTGGCCACCAACTTCCTTGGTCACTTCCTACTCACAACTCTCCTGTCTCCACAGCTAAAGGCGGCGGGGCCAAGGGCGCGAGTTGTCAACATTGTGAGCGGTGGATTCTACATACAGCCGTTTCGCTTTAGTGACTACAACTTTGAGGGAAACAAGGATCTTCCGCTAGAGGAGCAAGTCGATATTTACAATGCAGAAAAGCTCGGCATGGGCTGGGTAAAAGATGCCGGCACTGGATATATCCCCTTTTTGGCCTATTCTCAAAGCAGCACAGCGCTGATGCTGTTGACTAGAGGTTTGAATGAGGGCTATGCTGGAGAAAGGATTACGGCTGTCAGCGCTGCTCCGGGAGGTGGGTCAACTTTTGCTCTTATTACGGATGATAAGGATGCTGATTTTGGCTGATTAGTTGTCCTGACTGAACTTCAAAGACACCTCCCAAGCGAGTTTAGGAATCCAAACATGACGTATAAGACGGCAAGCCAGGGAGTTGCCAGCTTTCTCGTTGCTGCTTTAGATCCAAGCCTAGAGGGTATGTTGCTTCTTCGTTTTGGCTCTGCAGAGTACGACTAACAGTCTCATAGATCATCCAGGAGCCTATATTGATGACTGCCAGATTAAAGAGGTGCCAAAGTACGCACAAGAAGCAGCCATAGCTCGTAAACTCTGGGCAATGGCTGAATCATGGGTCTAGGATGCATGAAGGGATAATGCTGGTGGAAAGGCAAACTATGAAGCCGCTAATCAACATTGCTCCTGAAATCTCAGCTACCAGAAGCAAAGTATTATTTAAGAAGATGTCAGTTAGATGACTTTGATCAAACTGGACCACTCCATCCAATATGTAGACAATTGTACATAGTACCTCTGATTTCGCGCTCTACCATTCACGGTGTAATCGCCGCATGCATTTATCGGTGCGGCCAGTCCACAAAGGGCAGCCCATTTCCGCTTCGGGAGTAGCTTGCCCTCAAGCGCTATCCATTCCGACACCAGTTTCCAGCACGCCACCTCCATTGTAGACTTTTATTTTTTTTTCCCCGTCTTTTGCCTGAATTTATCATAATTTGTCCATATTCTGGCGAGTGAATTTATAACTTTCATCCAACACCTGTAATCATATTTGCCTCGACTATTCGGCGTATATTTATTCTCCTGGCGCCTTTTTGACCTGGGTTTGCCTGCCTTTATCTTGACACTGGCGAGAGGGACTGCGAGTGCAGTGATAACCCCTGCGCCCTTTTCACGACAGCCAGCTGGGCAGGACGTGGCCACCAAATCGGAACTGCCACTTGGATTGTTTGAGGCTCTTATCCATTTGGTGCCAAATCTAGGAAGCTGTTTGTCATCCAATGAGTGGTTTACATCTGCTTACTCTGCACCTATATTCTTCGAAGCTGGATGACTGAGATGCGGATATGTCACAAGACGGATCTCTCGATTTGTCTAGAGCAGCTACAGACTTACTATGAGCTATTCCAGCGTAACTCATGGCTATATCTTTTCAGCTCTGCGGATCATCAGCGCAGATACAACGGTGCCCTAGACACTTGATACAGCTCCTAGGTGCCTCTTCAGCGTTCCTTTTCCCGCAACTGGAGGACGAGGAACGGACAGCTGGCAACTAGCAGCTAATGACTGACAGCTGACGGCAAAACAGCACACATAGCCTTATAATCAGTGTTTTCACTTCTGGTGGTCGGGGAGGCAGGGGCGCCGTGGTGCAACGGTCAGGTCAAACTGCCTCCTCTGGGGATCGATTGGGATAAACGACACTCTGGTTCGACTCTCAACGACAACAAATTCGGCAGGGACGTAGGTGTTGGAACCTAAGGGGTCCAGCACCGAACCCTTTTGCCGGTTGTGCGTATCTTTTTTTGGGTTTTCCTCCTTTTTCCTCCTCGCGCCATCTCAGTCCAGTTTTTCTTTTTTCGTCTCGAGTTGTGTAGGACGAGAAAAAAGAGAGAGAAAGGAAAAGGCAGCAAGATTCTGTAGTTATTTGAAGTTACGTCTGGTGATATCAAAGGTGAGTGAGTGGCAGCTGGTGTTGAGCGCGTAGAGTGTCAGATAGGCAGTGCCCAGCACTCGCTGACACTGCCGTTATTTCCGCACGCCGCATATCCACTTTGCGCCTCGGCTTGAATTTTCGGATCAGACAATCACTCCCATTCATTCCTCTCGAGAAATATGTACATTGTTCCGAGATCCAAAACAAAAGACAATCCCAAACCCTTGAGCTCACTCAATGTCATCTCTCGATATCTCCCCCGTTGTATGTGCACGCATAGTAGCACGTGAAAACGGTGGTGCCTAGAGGGTACGTACTGAAATAAGCTTAAACCACCACTAGAATTGCCAAATCTGGCCATCTCCAGCCCGCTGAGGCCCCGGCTTCGCGGATTGCGCGATGCGCTTGAGCAATGGCGTGTGCAGCAACTTCTCAGTCTATCTCAGGCTTGGACCTTGCTAAGCTCTTCCTCTAAACCTCCACCGACAAACATCACGCGTCTATTGAGGGCTAGAAGAGCCCAGTTCGCTATCTGCGCGGTGGATTGTCGGTCATAAACTCCAGCCTAGGACATGGTCCTATCAATCAACCTGGTAGCCTTGTTCAAACCATGGAAGGGAAACCATGCGACCAACTCGCCATTTACGACCTTGCTTTTTTTTTTTCGTGTCAGTATCCCTCGGCTGGCCCCAAGTGAACCAATGGTAACAATGATATACCAATCAATATGTACCTACACGCTCTCTTACGACACCGTGGCGACAAACGGGAAAAACCTCCATCTCAGGCACTAGCCACCACTATTTGTCCGTGCGAGCAGCTGAGATCAGATCTGTTGGCCCGCTCCAGCAGACAAAAAGGCACAGGCAATGGAGAGTTTCAGCTAGAACAAGCCACAGAGACGCCAGACCCGCCACCTCGTCCAATCAGGCGCCCCCCGTCTCTCGTCCCCTGCCAAGTGCCTTCTGAGCACGCAACCAGAGCTATCCTCTCACAACTGGCCAACTGGAATGCGACTTGGCCAAGTCCGGCTGCGAAAAATCGTTCTTCTCCCTTGCCTTGCACTTTTCCTGTTTCCAATCCCGCGCAGCACAAAAGCGGATCGGGCGGCAAAATTATGCGACTCGCAGCGGAGCGTTTTCTTTCGGGGGGGTGGTCCAAGCCAAGACCGCAAGACTCAACCGCTCCGCGAGATTCGGGCTAAAAAATGATGCGACTCCACAGGATTCGTCGTGATGCGGGTTGGAGGCTGTCCCAGCCTGGGGCCCGCTAGATCGAAATAACGTCATCGTTCGGTGAGCAGCAGTTCGAGCGCTGCCTGGGCGGGATCAAGGCATGGGGGCCGCGCTCTCTTCGCTTCTGGGGGCTCCAGACATGGCCGCCACGGTTGACGTGCTCGCGAAATCCCTGCTCTGGCCTGCCGCTAAGAGGTGCAAACCTTGCCTACGAGCCCGTCTTATTGGACCAGAAGCGGCAGCAAGAGCGTGCTACTGCGTGCGAGGGATCGCCGTTTTTACATATTGTCGGGCCCTCGCTGCACCGACGCTCCATCTCCCTCTCCTCCTCTCTGTCGTCTTCGTCCTCCTCCTCGCCGCCATCATAGAATCTCCATTCCAGCTTCATATCTTGTCCCGTATACCTGTGGCATAGTAGAGTCTGGCTTGATGTTCCTGTTTCATTCCTTGGATTATCCGTCGAGATTTTAATACAGATTGACCTTGCCAGTATATACATACATAGCACATCTGTTCACTTCCTTCTTTTCTTCTCTTCTCCCCCTTTCCATTGTTCTCGTGTCGCAGTCATGTCTGAAAAGTTCAAGACAGAGTCTGATGACCTCGAGGCCACCGTGTCTCACTCCAGCGGCTTCTCGCGCTTTGCCTCTCTCTTTGGCGGCGCTGGGGTCTGGGTCGGTCCTCGCATAGCGCCGCTGCCGGCATATCTCAAGAACGACGTCTCCGAAGGCGAAGAGTCGAGCGAAGCAATTCTCAACCGACAGCTCGCCTCAGAAGATGGCACCTCGATCCAGTACCGAACCTGCTCGTGGCAAAAGACTGCCGCGCTGCTCTTCAGCGAGTACATCTGTCTGGCCATTATGAGTTTCCCCTGGTCGTACAGCGTCTTGGGCCTTGTCCCCGGTCTGATCTTGACCGTGTTCGTGGCCGCCGTTGTGCTCTATACAAGTCTCATCCTGTGGGAGTTTTGTCTGCGACATCCAGAGGTGCGCGACGTGTGCGACATTGGCCAGATGCTCTTCTGGGGCAAGGAATGGGCATGGTGGGGGACCGCCATCATGTTTGTCTTGAATAATACCTTTATCCAGGGCCTGCACGTTCTGGTCGGCGCAAAGTACCTCAACACCATGACGGAGAGCGACCATGTCGGTGGGTGCCGCACCGTGGTATTCAGCGTCGTCGTCACCGTCATCTGCTTGATCGCTTCGCTGCCTCGTACGTTCAGCATGATGTCCAAACTTGGCACGGCGTCTGCCTTCTTTACCTTCATCTCCGTGCTGCTGGCCACCATCTTTGCGGGCATCCAGAAGGAGCCTGCGGGCTACACTGCGGCCCTGGGATCGCCAATTGTCACGGCCATCCCAGTCAAGGGAACCTCATTCGTCAACGCAATGGGTGCCTTCCTTAACATTAGCTATACGTTTATCGGCCAGATTACGCTCCCGAGCTTCATTGCCGAGATGCGAGATCCCAAGTGAGCAATTCTTTGACCTATTTATATTCTTCTTTTTCACAGATGTATACTAATCAAGTCACTTGCAGGGAATTCCCCAAGTCGCTCTGGGCCTGCACCATTGCCGAAATTATCGTCTTCTCCGTTGTTGGCGCAGTCATCTACGCATATACTGGCAACCAATATGTTACGGCTCCCGCTTTTGGATCCCTGGAGACTGTTTACAAAAAGGCTTCCTTCTCCTTCATGATTCCGACACTGATTTTCCTTGGATGTCTGTATGCTTCGGTCACGGCTCGTTTTGTCTTCTTCCGCATGTTTCGCAACTCGGTGCACATGAATAGCCACACTTTTGTGGGATGGGCCAGCTGGTTCGGCATCCTGCTCGTTACCTGGATCTTTGCCTTCATCATCTCCCAAGTCATTCCCTTTTTTAATTCTCGTGAGTTGTTCATGACTGCTATTCATCAATATCATATACTAACAAAGTGCCCTCATAGTCTTGGCTGTCATGTCATCCCTTTTCGACAGCTGGTTCGGCTTCATCTTCTGGGGCGTTGCCTACCTGCGTATGCGAAGCGTAGACGAAAAGGCCGGTCGAAAACGGAACCCCATCACCGCCGCCTTTTCAACGGCCGTGAACATCTTCATCATCCTCATGGGGCTGTTCTTCCTCTCTGCAGGCACGTACGCCAGCGTTCAGAGCATTATCGATGCGTACGACTCTGGGTCAGTAGGCGGCGTATTTTCTTGCGCGAGCAACGGGCTATGAAGTTATGAAGTATACGAGAGAGAGAAGAAGAAGAAGAAGAAATTGATACCACAACGAGAAGAGAGAGAAAGGGACAAGGTATATAAGCCAAAGTTTGGGCTAACGAGACGGCATTGCGAAGCGTATAAACATAATGTCCTTATACATATTGCATTTTTTCTAGAGGAAGGACGGACAGCGGCCAAAGGGGTGCACCACTATAGATGAGCCGCGTACTGGGGTACAAAGGCCGAAGAGTCGAAATATTCACTACGTCTCTCGCGAAATTGTTTTTCGGAGAGAACGATGCAAAAGCCTGCAGAAATGCATGGCAGTTTTCTTTTTTCTTTTCTCTTTTTTTCTCCCTCATCTCACACGATGTCCTGCATCGTGCGAGAGCTAACGATTTAATTTGTAGATGATGTTGACGCAAGTATTGGTAGGTAAGGTATGTTATTAGCATCGATCGTAGCGTAAGAGTTTGTAGAGGCCACTCAATCGTATTCGTAGCTATAACTGTAAATTTGTGACGAATGTATGATGTTGATGATGCATGACTTTCGGGGTATTAAACTTTGATCAACAGGAACACGAGAAAGTAGATCCATATTTGGCCACAATAAGATCCTCCTATCCTCGTATGGAGATAATATGTAGGGGCTCTGTACTCTATATACCTGTATAACACCTACCTTCCTAAAAATAGAGAAATTCTAAAACAATATACACTCGCTGCATGCAACTTCAGCAGCCGGCCAGCAACATATCCAACTGAAGTCCATCTCTCAATAGTAATAATCGTTCAGCTCCCGGGTAATGGTGTTACATACCCCCGAGATGCTATTTGCAGAGTAGTACTATTAGTCTAGTGCATGCGCCAAAGTGGGCTGAAACTTGGCTCCATGTTTTATACCTAGGTAGGTAGTATCGTGAACTTGACAATTTATACTGCAGCTGCCCAGTCTTGCATAATATCCCATCCACCTTAGTAATCCATCTGCTCTATCACATCATTCCCTTTGTACCGTTTTTATCTCTATTTCTATTTTTATGCTCATTGTGCTGCTTGTCTACCTATCACCCTTTATTACATACTGTCAACTCCTCCAAATCAGACCACCCACCAGCTCTCGGCTCCGAAGCGTGTCCACCGTCGCCACCTGCTCGATCCAGCGCTCTGATTGGCGCCTCAGCCCCCCGGTACTTCCTCTCTCGGCTAGACAAGCTTTTTTTACAGCGCAGCTACGGAGAGCGCCACCCCGCAATTATAGGTGGTTCAGTGCGTGGCTGTACCTGCAAACCGCGCGCTGTACCTGTCCCTCTGGCTTCCATTTTTTTTTTCTTTGGGCCACAAACTACCTAGGTAACTGCCCGCCATAACCAATGCTTGCGTATGTATGTACGGAGTAGCAGACACCGCCTTTGCTTTTAGCATTACGAAACAGCCCACTTGGCAGATCAAACACGCCAGAGCTGCGACCAGCTGTTTCTAACCTCGCACCTCGACTCTCAACTTGCATCTTGGCAGTGGTGACACAGTCGCTGACGTTGGAGTTGCTATTGCTATTGCCATTGTCACTGCCAGCTCTTCTCTGCTCTGCGCTGCTCTGATAGTGGCCATTCATTCTCCCGTTACTCAACACCAAGCTTGCCCCCAATGGCACGGTCTGCGGCCTCGACGGCCACCAAGGAGGCCACTCCTCCGGCCAATGCTTCGTCTGCGCCTCAACAAGAACAAGACAAGCTCGACTTCCTCTGGACCTACACCGAAGAACCGCACCGCACGAGGCGTCTCGCCATCATCAAGGCCCATCCCGAGGTAACCCCGCCACGTCTCCCCCCCGTCTCTCCTATATTCTGTTCAAACATGCTGACATGATTTGGTCCAGGTCCTTAAGCTATGCGGCCCCGAACCCATGACTAAATATGTTGTTGCCGGCGTTGTTGGTCTGCAAGTTGTGCTCGCCTATCTCCTGCAGTCAACGCCCTTCTGGTCCCTGAAATTCTGGGCCATCGCATACATCTTTGGCGCCACTGCGAACCAGAACCTCTTTCTGGCGATCCACGAGATCTCCCACAATCTTGCTTTCAAGAGTCCTCTGGCCAATCGCTTGATCGCCATGTTTGCCAACCTGCCCATTGGCATTCCTTACAGTGCTTCTTTCAGAGTATGTCAAACTTGCCTATCCCCACAAGCGATTGGGAAACTGTATGCTAACTGGTCTGGTCTCCTTTATAGCCATACCATCTCACTCACCACAAGTCCCTCGGTGTGGATGGCCTGGACACTGATCTGCCCACCGCTCTGGAGGCCATTGTGCTCAACTCCATCCTCGGCAAGGCATTCTTTTGCACCTTCCAAATCTTCTTTTATGCCATCCGCCCCATGACGGTGTATCGCGTGGACTTGACCAAGATCCACTTCCTAAACATTCTTGTTCAGCTCTCCTTTGACGTCGTCCTGGTTCGCTTTACTTCTTACAACGCCCTCCTCTACCTGCTGCTCTCCTCCTTCCTGGCTGGCAGCTTGCATCCCTTGGCTGGCCATTTTATCGCTGAGCATTACGTATATGAGACCATTACCCCCACTCAGCGCAATCCTGACAACAAAATCCCTCTTCCGGAGACCTTCTCGTACTATGGTCCTCTCAACTTCCTTGCCTACAATGTTGGATATCACAACGAGCACCACGACTTCCCCGCTATCCCTTGGACACGGCTTCATTCCCTGTATGAAATTGCCAAAGAGTTTTATGAGCCTCTGCCTCACCACCAGAGCTGGACTTATGCCATCTGGCGATTCATCTGGGACGACAACGTTGGTATGAGCTGCCGTGTCAAGCGAAAGGAGGGTGGCCGTTTGGTCGGCGGTGGCACCAAGTGGAAGGAGTCTGAAGTCGAGGCCTAAAGATCTAGTAAAAATGATCAAGGTGTTTCATGTCCCTTTTGTACAGTCGTCTTGGTGAGCTCAGTGCTCGGCTCGGGAAGGCTAGAATCTTGTAATAAGCGTTTTTGGAGATATATAAAAGTGCTCCGTCTCCTTACCCTTTGGCGTTTTAAGGAGCATGGGTAGAATCCAATACGAGGGATCAGCTGAGACGGATTAACACATCTAGATGCATCTAGAAGAGGGCTATAGATTCTAGACTGGCTATGAGAAATGAAGTTTATTGCTATTTGACGAGTTCAAACGTGTAATTCATATGGCGGCTTATTGACTTGCCATAAGCCAGGGATATCGGGCAATGATTTTACAACATACATTAGTTGAGTTATTAATATATTCAACCTAAGAAAATCTATGAAAGGAACACGGTTATACGCAATCTCCCTAGAAATAAGCAATGGGTGAGCATGGTGCGCCTCAGCGGATCTCAGCCACCCGTCTCATCTTCCTCATTTTCCTTGCCTTCTTCTCTCAGTTGATGGTGACCCAAGCACCCGTGGTTCCCTGTTAGATAAAGTGTCCATCATGTAATCTGCAGCTGAAGCCCCCGTATAAAGTCCAGCAACGGCCATCCCGCATACGAGAGGGATTGCGACCAGTGGCGCCAAGGGAGAAGCAAGCATACCCAAACCTACCACGGCAATATCCCCCGTGACGGCCCCAGCAGCGAAACCTCCAAAGGCCGATGAGAATTCTGTCACTCCCCCCACGACTTTTGCCGCACCCCGATTAAGGAGTTTCTCTTGAAAGTTATTCCCTACAGCTTGTAGAGCCAAGGTTCTCTGCTGCCGAGGAAGGACAAGTGACACGAGGGGGTTTGCCTCCATCATGTTTTGGTCCTACCAGTCTCAAAGGAAGAATTTCATCCGGAAAATGAAGAGGATCCGTAATTGCTATATTGTACCAGGACGGAATCAAAAATATGAAAAGTAGGGTTTTTTGCTGGGACCCTTGCCCTGCTCCTTCATGCCCTGCCGAATCGCCTTCATCGCAATACACAAACCGGTCTAGACAATCCGACCCGCCCATAAACGTCGACGGCAGCGGCTTGTCCTTGACTTTTGCGTAAAACGCCGAATGCCACGAAGTGTCGGGATGCCAAACAAAGAAAGCAGTCATTCTCATACTGACATCTCCCGGCCTCCATATCGACAAAGTTATACACCACTTCAGCGAATCCGCCTTTGCCCGCGCCGCCAGACGTGGTGCGCCAGAGCTCCTCGCGAATACTCTCCAGGTTGCGATTCACCTGCTTAATCTCCAAAAAAAAAAAAAAAAAAAAAAANAAAAAAAAAAAAAAAAAAAAAAAAAAGCATCTGCTCCATGAATGGCCGCGATGAAGCCCTACGCTTATGCACAGCGATTTTTTGGCCATGAGGCGCACTCCCGTGCACTTCCGGAACGAGCTCCTTCGCAGCTGTCTTGATGGAGTCGGCGGCTGAGGAGATGGACTTGCCTGAGGAAGACACGGCTGCGTTGATGCTGTTGGCGTTGTGCTGTACGGTGTATCTGCGGCTTTAGAGATGGACTTGCTCGAAGACGAGACTGATGCGTTGATTCCCTTGACATTTTGCTGTATGGGTATCTGCGCAATTGACCTGAGCGTTGGCCATCTTTTTCATAACGATTCAGCCATTTGCCTGACACTACTGGCGATGGCATGATTGCGCTCTTTGCCACTATCGAAAAGTTTGCGAGTGTCGTTGAGTAGGTCTGGGAGCTGCTTGTTGATAGTATTGAGCGTCGCGGCCTGAAATCTCGCCGCCTCGCCCTCTTCGTAGTTCTTGTACACTGCCGTCCCGGTTTCGCCTATCTCAGCTACCTTGTGAACGACGTCTGCAGTAACAGTAGTGAAGGGGGTAGTTCATTATTTTTCTCGGGGAGACTGGAGACAGAGTCCGGGATGACTGTTACAGATGGCATCCACTCTGCTGGAAGGGTCGCCGACGACATTTTTTTTTTTTTCTTTCTTGTTACTGAATGAATGAATATATATGCCTTTAGTCAAGATGAGTGAGAAGAGTACAATAGGAGAATAATAGAGATTAAGATGAACGAAGTGGCAGAGCAAAAAAAAAAGGGGGGGGGGGGGTTCTAACTCGCGGACGCAACAGGAGATACAAAGGGGAGATTATATCTTCAGTATTTGGCACACCTAGCTTGAGGCTGCCAGCTCCAGAGACTGCTATAGGCATACCACAAGGCTCCTCAGCGAAAACTCACTTAATTTTCCCATCTATTTAGGCCCCATTGGATCATCGCGCTGAAATTTTGAAACAAGCGCGCTGCTGTAGACCACTCGCCGCTATTGTGGGCGGCCTGTGTGGGCGGCCTGGTGGCTGCATGGCCGTCGTTTTATGCAGCCATGAAGAAGGAAATGCATAGAGGAGCGTCTAGCCTTTATACTTATTTATATCGGGAAGATGATCCTTCAGAATAGCCCAACAACACTGTTTCTTATAGTTGGTGTGGGCGTATCGGCTCTCCCGCGCCGTGCTGTTCTGCTTGCTTCATCAGTAGTAAGAATGCGACCTGGAGCATTCATAATAACCATTGACAACCTACGCGCCCTGAAAAATGAGCTTGTATGTTCTCCAAAGATCTAGTAGATGTTCTATTCAACACAGCTGATGCCGCGGATATGATGGTTTCTTCCTGGTGGGTGGGTTTGGCAGGACGGCTTGGCCACTGCTGCTGGCGACTCTGGCAATAATTCTCTTTGTTAAAACTGCTTAATCAATAAGACTTTAAAAGAACAAGAAGGGAAGAAGAAGGAGCAAAGGCACGCCTATCGGATACTAGAAACTATTGCCAAAAAAAAACAAAACAAAAAAACACAGACAAAAAAGAGTTAAAGTACAGAGAACTCGCACCACAATGCTCAACTTCACTCAAAACAGCTTCGAGAAGTCAAGCGCGAGTGATGCTAGCCCTGCTTCCATAGCCCCCGTATTCTTCGCCCAAGATATACGGACAATATGCCATGAATTCCAATACTGCGCAATTCCCATCCATAGCTCTCGCACAGCTTTTTCCCTTGTCAACTTTCTTCATACAAGCAAAAAAACAAAAGCCCCCATCCCCTAAGGTGAATGCGCCGCCATCATCCCAAATTCCACTAGGTGGAATGGTGATTCTTATGCGCCCAAAAGAAGCCCTGTCTCTCGTCATTGAGACTGAATATTGCCGCGGAAAATAATTTTCAAAATCAGGCATCCTGTGTTGGGCGACAATGCTTCTCCTAATGCAGCAGGTATAACCCCTATAATTGATTCTCCTCCCATGTCTCTCGCCTATATTAGTTTAGGAAAAAACACAAAGTTGCGTGTTGCTCATCATCAAGAGAGACCTAAATCTAGAAAAATAGGTAGGCAAGAAGGAAGCTGACGAGACACAAGATGGCTGCAATCTGAACGGGTACACCCTCGACGCCTTGCTTGGCTTGTTGAGCAACTGCACCGGCAGCGCCCTTCTCACTGCTTGAGCTGCCCTTGACATTACGCTGTCTCAGGCCGCCATCTTTGTAGTTTGCCAATTCAGCCTCAAGCTTGGCGATCTTGGCCTTGAGTTCGTCGGTGCCTGACTGGACTGTACCAGCAACGGCAGAAGCAGTCTTGGACGCTGCTGACTTTGCGGTTTGCGGCCTAGAATCGTCGTCTTCCTTTTCGTCGACATACGGAGGTGGCGCGGGGGTTGAGGCGTCGCCGCTTGGAGATGAATAAGCTCGAGTTGGTTCGGGAGTATCGTAAGACTGGTGGGCTGCTGTTAGCTGCATCGGAAAAATTTAGCCGGGGTTGACGTCTATACGCACTCCATTCACCGCTGCTTGCTTGATGGGTGTCGCATTGGCGGGGTGAGCTGCACTGGGGCCATTGTCGGGGCTTTCACCAGCAGCAAGCCAGTTGACTCGGATCTTTCGCTCAAATATGCTGGCCTTGTCTGTGGTCTCGAGCTATGGGCGTAATACCGTCAGTTCATGCACCTATATATAGACAATGCCATGCAGATGGTGGCTTACCACTGAAGCAATAGTAGCGAATTCCTTGTCTGCAGTGATGGGAGCGGATTGGACGAGAAACTTGTCTCGGCACTTGGCATCCAGCGGAGGATCAGCCTTCATGGCCTGCAGGAGGACTATGCCATTGTCAGCCACATAATGAAACCTGCTGCTCGCTTGTCGTATTTCAACGTACCAGTGACATCAAAGTCTTGCCCAGGCTCGATACGGCCCGCATTTGGTCGAACACAATATCTGTAATAGGGGGGAAATTGTTAAATCTTGCTTCCAACGGAGCCAATATAGAATCGCAATAGGAGGATCAATCGTACTGCTTAGGAGCCGTAGTTTTGACCTAAAGATATGTTTGTTAACAGGGATTATGATGAAACAGGAGGTATCCACAAGCAGACGCAGGTCCAGGCAGACAGCTGAAGGGAAAAAAAAAAAAAAAAAAGCTAAAGGTGGCATATTTGCGTAGCTGCATACCTTGAAGGCCAAAGGCGATGAACTTGGGTTTCTGATCTTCAGGATCTGCGAGACCTCGACGGTGAAGGGCCCTGTGCATAGCCAATCCGTCAACGATTATTCTGACTCGGAAACATCCTTATGGACACGAGAGAAGGCGCAGACAAACATACGCCTAAATGACAGCTCAAGGGGCTCGATTTCGACAGACATGGCGGATTAGGAGGCGGATAACAAGCTGCTTCTGAGCAGGAGGAGGCTGTAGGGAGTTTCTGAAAAGAAGATCGAAGGCAGACGAGCCACAAGTCGTGAGTGGAAGATGTCGTCGTGTTTGGATCGATGGCGCTGGTGACGGCGGGGAAACGCGGCGGAATTAGAATTTAAGTTGGAACAGAAAAAGGGAGACTCGAAGAAGAAAGAAGAGAAAAAGAGCCTCGTGTGGGAAAAAAAAGGATGATGCGAACAACAGCGGCGGGGAGAAATAAAAGTGTGTGCTTGTTGGGCGACGGGCACGCGGGCAGCTATTGTCTGATTACAAAGAAGAGATCCGGAGACGTTTCTGGCGACGTGATTGATGGCATGTCGCTTTGGCTTCGGGCCCCCTGTATCGAGATTGGCTGGCGAGGCTGAGCTGGCCTGAATGAAGATTGCGGGCATGACTAAGCCGGGTCTCAGGGACCTTTGGCCCGTGCAGGGGGCAGACACGGAGACGGACAATGCTGTGTATGCCTTTTGTATGGTTTTGTATACACTGATCTCTACAATGTCTCTCTAAAGAGTAGAAAAATAGCAAAAGCCATGATGATTTGAACTAGTTGGCATTTTAGTTAGCTTTCCATGTATGCAAGTAGCAGCGTGTGATGCTCTCCACGTGTGGCATTCCGAGAAAAGCTAAGGAGCTCTAGATGTTGACTGCTGCTGGGTGTACCTGTATTGGTTGCTTGATGGCCATCACATGATAAACTGTCAGTCCTCCATGTCAATCAGTCAAGGTGCAATTGCACTTGCTGCATTTTGCCTTGTGACAATCTCTTGTTTATTAACTTTGGCGTAGCATCTAGATAGCTCAATAGCTTGAAACCTGGAGTTTGATGTATGCAACCTGCTCTGTAAGTGGCGTTGACGCCATCTTACGTAGCTGTTGGTACCTAAATGCCTGCAAGTTACACCACATTAGGTACAAAGCGCAGCCAGCTTGGATCCACGGCTTACCAAATTCAATGCTGTTCATAGGCACACCAAGCCTCTATCTTGTCTGTCGTCTTACTCTTCCAATCTTCATTCCTACCTTTTGAAGCCTGCTACAACAGCTGCACTGCACTCTCCCATCCTCAACGCTGCCCCCACTCGACGTCCCAATCTGAGAGCTGCTGCCATTCTCCCTACCCCACACCTGCTCAATCGCCTTCACACCTATTTCATCATCCACGGCCACGCCCCCATCTTCACCATCTCCAATCTCTCCAAATCCGAGAATCGCAAACATGGCTTCCGATCTAGATACCCTGATTGACATGGGCTTTGAGCGAGCTCGGGCTGAGCTCGCCGTCAAAAAGTCTGGAGGATGTGAGTGGCTTCGTGTTTCCAGCATCTCCGGCGACTCATCTCATCTCACACACTTCTTTACTTACAAGTTCATAACAGTGCAGGGTGCCTTGCAGTGGCTAGAGGATAACCAGGATAAATCGCTGGAGGAAATCCAAGCCGCAGCCCCCGATGATGACGAAGAGGAGGATGAGACCAAGGCAAAGATTGCCGAGCTGGAATCTGGCCAGTCTGCTAAATCACTTATCTGTAACGAGTGCGGGAAACGATTCAGGAACCACGATTTGGCCAGCTACCATGCTACGAAGACGTATGAACTCTCATCTCTTGCTTTTCTCAGCTCCAGGTGGTTTGTATTGACATTGAAATAGTGAGCATACAGACTTCTCCGAGTCTACTGAGGAGATTGCACCCCTGACCGAAGACGAGAAGAAGGCAAAACTTGAAGAGCTGAGAGAACGGCTTGTGGCAAAGAAGGCCGCTCAGGCAGAGAAGGATAAAGAAGATGCAAAGCGCAATGAGGTAAACCATCTATTTCCCCATCTTCATCATTGTGTCTCACGCTAACACGTGCGTAGAAAATCCGACAAAAATCTACAAAGGAAACCCAGGAGGCAAAGGAAGAACTTGCACGAAAAGAGCAAATCAAAGAAGCCATGCAGAAACGCAAGGAGAAGATTGAGGAAGCCGAGGCAAAGAAGCGAATCAAGGCCAAGATTGAAGAGGACAAGGCTGAACGTCGCCGCAAAGCTGAAGAGGCTAAAGCTGCTCGTGAGGGCAGAGCTCCCGAGGCGGTATCCTCCTCATCTTCCGCTGCGCCAGCCGCCGCTGCAGCCCCTCGACCAAAGGCAGACCACACAGAGGCGAAGCTGAAGCTGCAGACTGACTCGGGCAACATTATGAAGACGCTACCCGCCGAGACGACGCTGTTTGAGCTTGCGCAGCAGTTACAGAGCGAGACTGGAAAGCCGGTGACGACATTTACGACTACGTTCCCCAGAAAGACATTCCAGGGCGATTTGGACATGTCCAAGACGCTAAAGGAGGCCGGACTTGTCCCTTCATCTGTGCTTATTGTAAAATAGACCGCTTGGTATGCCGTAGAGCATGGAACTGCCGGCATGGAGGGAATACGAGGAGGCAATTAAGCCTAGGTTGGCTGCAAGAACGCCCTAATTGTTTTTCTGGAACAGAGGGTTGCACATTCGAGAGCTTTTACCACTAGATGAACGTAGCGTCCACCATTACGAGTAGTATCAATCTCAATGCTCCTTTCCGCCCCCCATTACTTCACGGTCACCGGGAATAAATTCCAAGAGTTGATCAAAAAAATTTCTTTTATTCTTCCCGAGTCATTTAATTGACCATTTGTCCCTTCCATGCGTGAACTCCGTCGTGTGAGAGCATTAATCATATTATCCTTATGAAAAAAGCTACTCTGCCCAGGACGCGGGATATAGGCGCCCACTCCATCCTGAATGCATCCATCGATGTGTATAAAGACTCCGAAGTGCCCTGCAGTTGAAGTACAAAGAAGCAATAGAGAAAACAGTCGCCGCAACAGATGATGTTGGCTGTTTAGTCGAAGAGACCGAAACCCATGTCCTCGTCGGACTCCTCCTTCTCTGCACAAAAGTATTAGCATATAAATCCCCTGGGTTGCCAGAAACGGGGAGCCGTAGAATGGCCAGTACGCACCCTCAACCTTCTCCTCCTCGGGAGCGGCCTCAGCGGCAGCACCGCCAGCAGCAGCGGCAGCGCCACCAGCAGCGGCAGCAGCACCGCCACCAGAGCCGACGTTGACCAGGAGGTCCTTGATGTCCTTGCCCTCCAGAGCCTGTATAGCGGGGGGAACCATAACTCGTCAGCGTCCATAATTCAATTTCTCATTCGGCGTTTTTTTTTTTCGTCGAGTCTAGGTGTTTTTTTGAAATTCGTACCTTGGCGAAGATTGAGGTCCAGATGGGCTCAACCTCGACCTTAGCGGCGGAGATCAGGGTCTGGAGCTTGTCGGCCTAGAGAGTTGCGAAAGAAGAATCGATTAGCACACAAAAGAGATTTCCCATGGTGTTTCATGTCGCCTCTTTGCTCGCGGGGCACAGAATTTTTCGACATTTCCGCGCCGCAGACGACGGCAAAAAAAGGCGACGGGATATGGAAACACTCACGGTGATCTCAACGCCATCGTCGGCGAGGATCAGGGCCGCGTAGGAAGAAGCGAGCTCGGCGGTAGACATTGTGTGAGATTTGTCTGTGCGGATATGGGAAGATGTCAAGTCTGCACGAGAAGAGAGTAGTGGTTTGGACAAATCAATTATCACCACAAAAGGCTGTAGAGGGACCACAAAAAATTACCCTGGTCGAAATTTCGGCGGATGGAGGGCTTGAAGACCTAAAGCGCTGGGGTCAATGGTTTTTCCGCGTGCCGTCCAGGTGCCGCAAGCGGGGTTCGGCGCTGATTGGCTGGAAGCGGCTGGAGCCGCCGACGGCCAATCAGCATCCGCAGACCCGCTGCAGAGCGAGGCCGCCCAAGCTGCGCGACGTCGTCACCGTCTGAACTCATCCAAACGCATTCCACAGCCACCCCACCTTGAAGCTCAGCTTCCCCACCAGTGCATTGAACCAAGGCAGCGAGTTTGGCAGTATTGCGACTCTCTGCTTGTTTGCGATTCGGAAGACCATTCTTGTTCCCTTGACTTTCATTTACTGGCATCTGTGCGGCAATCCCGTTGCCCCCGAATACGCGCCGTAGCATCTCCACGAGGTTCTCCCAGGCTTATATACTTACGGCAATCAATTGGCCGACGAATCCCGGATCCGGGCATCAGATCTTATACAAGTTTGTCCCCGGAACATCTGGAATCTAGAGTTTCGACGAAATCTATCCGTCGCCATCACATAGTCAGCCTTTTTGCGTGATCGCGCAGCTACTGCTATCTTCTTCCAACCTATAACTACCTATAACACAGCATGGATACCCCCGCCGTACCTCTGCCGCAGGATGCCCGGGAACAGGCTATCCTAGACAGCCTTGTCGTCGTCCGCGACAAGCTCCTACTCTTGAAGCAGGACCGAACCACATATATTCGAAGCCAAGACATCCTCCCTCTCTATGACGAGACGATTGCAAGGGTAAAAGAGCTGAACGAAATACGCACTGAGACGGGGAGCAAGGAAGAGAATCGACGCAAGTCAAGCCAAGCTCAGTACCACGCGAGAGAGAGAGAGAGACGATGACTAACTAATGGCGCAAACAAATAGTTGACAAAGTCTTGGAGAGCTGCTTCCAACTGCTGTCCCTGTTCTACCTCACGATCGGACGCAATAACGAGATCCCCGCAAACTACGCATTAACATCGACTATTAAGAGACTGCTTGACCACTTGACCGAGGCCGATCTCTATTCAGCCAAAGATCTCGGGAGCATCAAGGCGACGCTAGCAAACCTTTCTCTAAGCATAAACCAAGCAAAGACTCGCGATAACAAGACAGAGAACTATCCGTATCTCCTCGAGCTCCTATCAAAGCGAGTGGAGAAGTGCCAGTCCACATTAGAGAACCTCCAAAAGCGATTAGGACGCATCGGAGAGCCTCTTCTTGCAACATATGAGAAGTTGATTTCCATCATACGATCTATTTCGTTTGCGAACACAAAAGCAAGGGTATGTACCGTGGCAAATATTCCTCTATAGAGGTACTAATTCAGATTCTCATCTTGGGCTTGCATAGTTTTCGAGCCACGAAGTACAAAAGCTGCAAAAGCAGCTGCTCGATATTGGAGAGAAGCGCAAAGATGGCCAGTTTATCGCTGAAGATGGATCCGTCCCCAAAGGTTCTGTGGAAATTGGAGAACTCTATCAGCGTTGCCTCAAGTGGTCGGAGATAGTATTGGAGAGGTAAGTAACTGACTGAGAAGCGCCTTTGAGTATCTCTTTGCCAGCGTCTAATTGATCTTCTGCAGACAAGGTGTTATGCCAGAGGCATTCCGCCCAACTTACAATACCCTTGTTGGCATTCGTAACGAGCTAGAGAAGCTATCATTGACACAAGCCTGGGCTCTGCGCGAGACAGATTTATATGACTTCCAACGCCAGCTGGATAAGATTGACGAAAGCCGACAGAATGGAAACTTTTATGATGACAGAGGCAGACCCGCCGACCTATACACGCAGCGAACGATGCTGTATTTGACGAGGCGAAGCTACGCCTACATTTATTCTTTCATATTAGCCTCAGAGCCGGTTTCTGAGGCACTTTTGCCCATCTATAACCAGCTCCAAACTCTCAAGAGATGTCTCCTCGAAGTCAGGGACAGTGGCGGCGTCTCTTCAGTAAGAGAGCTGTATCCTTATAGCATGAAGGTATGAGCCATCAAAAAATTACAGAATTGGAAGCAAAGAATTGTATCATGGACTGACTTTATCTTTCTCTCTATTCTAAATAGCTCAACTCTCTCGATAACCTGAGGGTAGACGGCAAATTTGTTGTTAATGGCGATATTCCCGAAGGACAAGGCAGTGTCAGTGAGCTCCTTGCCGAATGTTTCGACCTCAGTTATGATCTGAGAGTTGCAGCAGAAGAGGCAACAGCGGCTCATGCCGATGACAATTGAATTGTTATTTGCAGCACGATAACTTTCATTTTGCAAGGTGGCTTGGAAAGATGGCCTCTCGTGGCCCTCTTATCTATTAGCCCTCGTTTTTAAAGTCTTACGTATGTGAATCGCTTTTGGGAAGCTTAGTGTAATATTTCCTTTTTAGTTCTATCATTTTGCATTGGGGTTTCTTAAGGGTCTGGAAGTTATAGTGGCCGTCCAGCGATGGTATCTGCTCAGCTATGCTGATGGGATGATGGCTAACGGGGACATCGGATACATCACTTTTTAATTTGCTTTGGTGGCATTTACTCTTTTTTTTTTCTTCATTTGATAAGATGAATCGATCAGGACCGTTGCTATCTATACAATGCTTCTCTTCCCTTGGTTACAAGGGGAATCTGAATCCGCACTTTATGGGATAGACTTGGACCTGGTGGGTTGGCAGTGTCAGTCTCTATAGCCTTAAAATGAAGTCAACTGAAGTCATTCTCACCTTTTCCAAATCCCAGACATCTGCTTTGACGTAAATATCGTCCTTGAGCATGTTTTTGGCTTCCTCCGCAGACTCTGCAACCAAAACCATGAGGCTGCCAGCGAAGTCCAAGTTTTCGGCTTCGTCGTTGACAGGAACGTCATGCAGAATGGCTCCTAGAAATTGCCATTTATTAGTCCATGCAAGTTTGAACAGTTGAGGAAAATAAGGATATAGGTATATGTACCGCCCATTTTCAGCTTGCCAGAGTCCAGGGTAGGTGCCATATCTGAAAAGTGTTGGCTATATATGGTGATATTACACTTAGTTGTCTATCTCGCTTACATACGGTAGCCGAAGGAATAGGTACATACGCTCTAACTTCGAGACGCCTCTTCCGCACCTCGGGGCCAGGCTTGTCCGGGATGATGAGAAGAAACTCATATGGGCGGCGTACTCCTGAAGTGGCCATTGTGCGGATGAAAGACGGTCGTTGGAATTGAGGTTTGGTAAGAGGAGAGAGTAAACGACGGGTGGCGATCCTGGAAGCCATGGCGGGGGGTTGACAGAGGATTTTATAGCACTCTGTATAAGAAATGGCCAAGCCAGAGAGATCTGTAAGCAAGAGAAAGACAAGACTAAGTATTGGTTGTATTATGGGGAGGGGCTGACGTGCAGCAGGTATCAGCCCAAGAGAAGCATAAGCAGTGATAAACAGAGATGCATGTGAGATGGTTGCATTGCGTCGGAGAAGGGACAGATGGTGCGCGCTAATGTGTAGCCGAGGGGTTCGTCTTACCGGCAGGATTTCTGTTTGAAGCTACAAGGAGCAAGCTCTGAATGCTAATTGGGTATGTTTGATAGTATCTGGAAAACTACGCTTAAGGGCCGCTCTGTGGTTTTAATACACGTACGAGGCTGCGGCTTGCTGCGGCTTCCTATTGGCTCGGGAGATGGTAACCCGAAGGGACTAGCCAACCAAGGCGCGCCCTTGATACTACCGTTGACTGGTTTGTAGGGTAGATGCAGGATATTAGTGATTGAATGCTGCTGAGGTGGTGTTTAGAACAGCTTTGTGTCCAAATAGCGGCGCTAGGAATGTCGAATTAACCCCTCCTTTTGTTAGGCCTCTTGCCTCCTTGTTGGGCACCAATCCGCATTTATTTGTGGATAAATGGCCTGGCAGCGGAACAGTACATGACACGCCATATTCTTGGCTCATCTCACCGAGTTGAAAGAGCCTGGAGACAAAGACCCTTGTTTGATTTAGCTTAAAAAGACACAAGGTAGCTTTAGTACCTACTACCTATATAGCCTTGGTAGGTATAGCAGTACGCAGACAGTATTCCGTTCTCAAGGACAAGCTATTATTACCCCACAGTCCCTTTCTAATAACGGTCGTCTACTGATATGCACGAAACCGTCCGAAACGAAACTCAAAATTTAGCTTGGCTGATGTCATCACGGATCAATCTCAATTCTGTGAATAAGTCCGTACCAGCAGATTTGGAAGACGTATGTACGGCAAAAAGGATGACCTCAAAATAACGCCATGTATGATGAGCATATACTGTAGTACATGGTAGGTGTAAGTAAGATTCCTCATAGAGGCTACCGACCTCCCTTAGTCCCTGTATGCAGAGTTACTGCTGGTGTTATTCGGTTATCGATAGGATCAGATCTATCTAGATTTCCATGTCTAGAGCAGCGCCCTACGTCATACAGCATTCGAAGATGATCATTCATTTGCCTCCGGCAATTTGAGCTCGAGACATGGAGAACCGTCAAGCATCATCATCGCAGTCAACATTGACATTAATGTTCACGCAACGCCAACGAAGAAACATCCTGCCTTTATCAACACCCTAAGAGAGCAACGCACTTTCAATGGCATACCGAGCGCCCCACGACAGAGACCGCCGGGTCTACATCATCCTCCACCAAGACAGCGTGTCAGTCACTATCCTGGGCGTCTTTGAAGAGCTGCAAGACGCCAATCGAGACTGCCTGTTCCAAGCAACGCAGGCGGGCATCGACCTGTTCCAAGAATCGCCTACCTATGGCCCCGACAAGTATCACATCGCCCCAATCGAGCCTGCACGGTGGGACACGGCGGACGGTGTGTCGTGCTGGGTTGAGAGCCATACGGTGGAACCGAGTCGGGTTGCGGCATCTAACCTGGCGGGGCGCCGGCACGGCTGATGGCTGGAATTGATGTCACGAAGCGAAATACAAGATTGTTGAGAGCAATAGAAAAGAAGGAAGAAAAATAGAGAACAAGAGAAAGGCCAAAGCTATGCGGAGGAATGAAGGAGGAAGGGCTTGGTTGCATTATGAAGCGATCCCGCAGCTTGCACACTGCACAACCTGAATTATACCTACTCGCGGGGGACATACAGGCGCTACTTGCTGTACGTGGAGGTGGCGAATTGAGGGCGCATCAGCCGGGAATATTCCTGCACAATGTACGATTACTATAGTGGACAGTCATACACACGGTATTATTGCAATCTTGCATCTCTCCCTCTGGCGCTGAGACGCGGTGCCCGGAATATCCCATCCTCAAGCTTCCATACAGCCGTAGATGCCCTACCATACTATGCATATTATGAGGATCGTCTCCTTCAAGACACGCACCTTTGACAGCCCCTCAGCTCCGCCCATTTCCCCGTAACGCCGCCGAGCTTGAGCGGGAAGCGCTGAAGATTTGGCGGGGTCTTCAGCACGTTGCAGGGCCCAACCGCCGAGTGCTAGCGCCGCAGCCCCCTGAAAGCTGCCCGCCCTAGTTGCCTGACCAACTCCAAGCTGCGCCCCAATAAAGTCGCAAAGCCGCGTATGTAGTCTCTTTCCCCCCCATCCTGCCGGATGCCATCTCACATCTGACCTCGTTTCCCCACGTCCGGAACGGCCAGACGCTGCATTTCCACTCGCGAGACGACGTTGCTGGAGCCTGCCAGCATTAGCATCAGCTTTTGTTGCCTTGTCCTTGCATGGACAGACGCCGGCATTGCATGACTTGCGCCCCAATTCGAAACTGCCGCCAGTGTCAGTAAGGCGTCTTTGTCTTCTCCCACCATGGCCGAGGTGGACACTGCGCCTACCTTTGGCGCAGAGCTAAAGGTGCGTTTGCGAGCTTGGCGATGGTAGACTCGTAGTGGCTTTGGAAGAAGGAAGAAGGAAGAAGGAAACAAGAAGGAGCAGTTAGGAGACGGAGGCTGAAGTTGAAGCTGGAGCTGACGTAGAAGCCGAAGCTGCTATGGCCCAACATCACCACCCGTCTTCTGGGCGCAATGCTGACCAAGACTGCTACTCATAGGATGGCTTCAAATCCGCCAATGCCTGGGTCAACAATGGAATCTCTTGGCTCGACGAGATCCAGCAGTTCTACCGCGAACGAGCCGCCATCGAAAAGGAATACAGCGCAAAGCTCGATGCGCTTGCCAAGAAGTACTTTGAGAAGAAGAATAGGAAAATATCCAACCTGAGCGTTGGCGACAACCCGACCTTGACTCCCGGTTCTCTTGAAAGGTAAGCCCAAAAGACCCCCAATAGGAGGAAATGGAGAGTGCGGCATATGTGCGGCGAATGTGCGCTGTGTTTGATTTGATGTGACATGTTATGAATAGGCGCTGATAATGTCGCGCCAATAGTGCTTCCCTAACCACATGGTCTACTCAACTTACCACGCTCGAATCTCGCGCCACCGAGCACGATCGCTATGCGAGCAACCTTATATCCCAGGTTGCTGAACCCCTAAAGTTCTACAATGCCCGATTCGACGAGCTGCGTAAGCGCCATGCCGAATATGCCGATAAGCTCGAAGCTGGCCGCGATGCGTGCTATGCCGATTTGCGCAAAGTAAAAGGCAAATACGATAGCACATGCCAAGACCTCGAGAGCAAGCGCAAGAAGACTGAATCACACGCCGATAAGGCCAAAGCACAGAGCGCCTACCAACAGCAGCTTTTTGACATGAATAACGCCAAAAATACCTATCTCATCGCCATCAACGTTACCAACAAACAGAAGGAAAAATATTACCACGAATACATCCCCGAGGTTATGGACAGCTTGCAAGACTTGAGTGAGTTCAAAACGTTGAAGCTCAACTTTTTGTGGGATGTGGCAACTCGGCTGGAGACTGCCATGCTTCAACAGAGCAACGGACTTATCGAGCACCAAGGCAAGGAAATCCAGAGAAACCTGCCCCATCTGGATTCCATGATGTATATGCGCCACAACATGGGCGCCTTCCACGAGCCACCAGACAAGGTCTTCGAAGCTAGCCCCGTCTGGCATGATGACGACCTCATGATTGTCGATGAGACGGCCAAAATTTACCTGCGCAACGTACTAACCAAATCCAAGTCTCAGCTAGCTGAGCTCCGGAGAGAGGTTGACAAGCAGCGAAGAGAGGTTGACACCGTTAAGCGGCTCAAGCAGCGTGTCCGAGAAGGTAAAGAGAAGAAAGACGAGGTTGAAGTCATCCGCACGCTGTTTGCTATGCAGGAGAATCTTATTGCTGTGGACCAGAAACGGCTTACGGCTGAAGTTGAAACCACCACCATTACGTCTGTAGTTGGCGATGTCACACTGGGGGCTAAAAACCACAACTTTAAGAGCCAAACCTTCAAGATACCAACCAATTGCGACTTGTGTGGAGATCGTATCTGGGGCTTGAGCGCCAAGGGATTTGACTGTCGAGATTGCGGCTATACATGCCATAGCAAGTGCGAGATGAAGGTGCCCGCGGATTGCCCTGGCGAGCTGAATAAGGAAGAGCGAAAGAAGATCAAGGCTGAGCGCCAGGCCGCCACTAATAGGCTTCTCACACCTGACGCAGGATCCCCAGCGCACGTGTCAGAGGACAACCTCACACGATCTAATACCATGAACTCGGCAAGCTCACAGTCACTACGGCAGTCCGTCGTGTCTGCGCCACAGACGCCATCAGAAGATACGCCTTCCGAAACACCACCCAAGGCGACCACACCTGTTGCAGCACCCGCCAAAGTTGCTGCAGTTGCTGCAGTTGGAGCGGCTCCCCCAAAGAGGAATAGGATAGTTGCGCCTCCTCCCACGGCATATATCTCGCAACCACCAGCGGGTAGCACGAATGGCATTGTTGAAAGGGAAGAAAAGAAGGGCAAGATGCTGTACCAGTTTGAAGCTGGTGGAGATGGAGAGCTATCGGTAGCAGAAGGCAAAGAAGTGGTGGTTTTGGAAGTAGATGGTGAGTATCAAAGAATCCCCTTGTCACTGAAAGTCCCTGAAACTTATATGTTATATAGATGGTACTGGCTGGGTCAAGGTTCGTGACGGTTATAAGGAAGGTCTCGTACCGGCCACATATATCGATGTCAACATTGCACCATCAACACCCGCGGCATCTGCTCGCCCATCTTCGACTTACTCCACATCAACCACATCATCAATAGCCGCTGCTTCAAGGAAGAAGGGCCCTGCGGTGGCGCCCAAGCGAGGTGCCAAGAAGCTGCGATATGTAGAAGCTCTGTATGACTACACGGCACAGAGCGAAGCAGAGCATTCCATGACGGAGGGCGAGCGTTTTGTGCTGATCAAGGACGATCCCGGCGATGGCTGGGCAGAAGTCGAAAAGGCTGGCGTGACGGCCAGTGTCCCTGCTAATTATATCCATGCTGTGTAGGTCAGACGGCATGTGGTGAGATGGTAGGAGTTGAAACGCTATGCTGTTTTTCTCTTCGTCCTGTCCTTTTATACCTCTAGCCCGAGAAAGAAAAAGGTAAGAGGAGAAAAGAGAGGAAACAAGCTTGACATGAATGAAGGAAGTGGGATTAGAGAAAGAGAGAAAAAGAGGGGGGACACATGACAAAGTGTGATACAAATCAATAGAGGAAGAGAAAAGAGTCATTTATACGACCACAAAAAAAGTAATAAGGGGAAGAAAACGGTCGAGCCCGCGCTACCAAAATCGTATGCGTGTGTATATAGATGATGACAATGGGAGGACAAACCTTTTTTTTATGGGATTTTTGAAGCGTTATCTGATGATGGGTCGGCCTTCGCTTTGCTACTTTGTGTTTTTGCATTGGGAGGAGTATGGCATGGAGAGGGGGGTAAAAACAGAGATTGGCATATATATATATATATTTATATACATGAGATTATATAAGTTTTGAAGGCCGATAATGCTGTGATAATTCATTTGCTTGTTATCAGCTGCTTATAGTTATATATATCCTTTGGCTCAGGTTTTTACCTGGATTACGAATGGGAGTTTGAGTTACCGACTTCAATGGTTGGTCAGATTGTCAATACTAAATATTGAGCACCAGAGTCACGATTACTTGAAAATGGAAGCGAAGGGAGTATAGAGAAGTGGGTATATATGAATGATTTGAACCGCTGGAAAGAAAAGAGGTTCGTCTTTAGTGCCGAGTCCGGAGCCACGTAGAGGTGAGTGAATCTAAATTACAAAAAAAACCAAAAACCAAAAAAAGAAACCAGCGCTATAAAACACTCATACACAGGATGAACCTCCTGCTTCCATGGTTCATCCTTATACCAAGTCATGTCCATTTGCCTGCCCTTCCGGAGGATCTGTTCCCCCGGCAATTCTCCAATCTTTAGCCAGTCTCTTAAATGCAGGGAAAGCGTTAAAAAACTTAGGATACCGTGGATGCCGTATTCTCCCGTGCCACCTGTCCCTGATACCCTGTGAAACGCCGTTGGGGGAAATATATATAACGATAATAATGTCCCTCTTCTAAATAACAGAGGCAACCTCCTTAGTGTAAAAATGAAAAGCAGTGAAAAGAAAAGAAAAGAAAAGAAAGAAAAAAAGATCCGTTAGCTCCTGATATGCGTCCACCGTACTGGTGATAGTTGATCCCATTGATCGTCCCAAGGCGCAGATTGGGGGAAAGTGGTGAAGGTGTTCATGAAAAGGGGAATAGGCGAGGGACAAGTCTATGCATTATATGATTTTGTCTTCGTGAGAGATGGGTTATGTATGTGTAAAAAGAGAAGAGGGGAGGATTTAAGGTTTAATAAAAAAAAAATATACAGAGCGGGGAGTGTGTGTTTAATAAGTCTCATGGGATATATGTCGGCATATCGCAATCGCAATCTGGTGTCTCGTCTGACACATTTATGCCGGGGAAGCAAAGCGCATCGGGTAGAGGCTCCTAAATCATCTGTGCCGTGGGGGCTCCGAGCCCATGAGGATTAAGGCTATGATTTAGCGCATCTTGCAGCTCTGCAATTTGCGCCATCATAGCCAGAGAGTGCTCCTGTTGCTGGTCCATCTCAGACTTGAGCTTCTCGTTTTCCTCTCGCACCCGCTTGATCTCATCACGAAGATCAGAGAGCTCGTCTCCCCCTTGGCTACTTAGGCGGCGTTTTCGCTTCGTCCCAGATTTCTCGCTTTCATTGTCGTCAGGAGAGGCGGCGGCCTCAACTGGAGATGCCGAAGTATCCATGTTTGTATGTACTCGACGAAGATGCTCGTTAAGGTTCTCCTGTCGAGAGAAGCCCTTGCCAGTATGTCGCTTGCAGTTGGGGTGCGGACAGTTGACGGTGTTCTTAGGGCCCCCGTGCTTGCCATGAACCTCCCGCTCATGTCGGAGGAGGCCACCAGAGTATGTAAAACCAGGAAGATTTTCACATCCTTCCGCCGGGCAGCGATAAGGGCGTTCGTGCTTGTCCATGTGCTTGCTGTAGGTGTATCCGGTTAGCTTTGAGCTTCGCAGATAGTGGGGGAGGAGGGGGATGGGGTTAACTTACTTCCATTCGCATTTGCGGGAGAATGCACGGACATCCTCTTTGCAATCATCTAGAGGACAGTGAAATTTCCCATCCGACTTCTTGTGAACTTCACGCTCTGGTTTGATGATGGGCTTTACTCGCGATGACGGAGAAGATATGTCGGTGCGTGGAAGCTCTTTGCTTTCGTGTATAGGATCTGGTAGCGGCGGCGCATGTAGGGCGACCTGGAGCGGCGATGAGAACTCTGGTGTGTCGAGGTCTAGTTGGGCTGCTTCTTGAACGACAGCATCGTCATCAGCTAGGATGTCTCTTTCATCTCCCATGACGCCTCTGTCATCTGGTAGCATGGAAGCTTCTGCGGTATAATGGCTGAGGTGCTCGGCAACATCGGAGTCTGTGAAGCGTTGCTCGGCGGCATGATCATGCTCGTCGCCTATGGGGGGATAGGCACCCTCATGGATAAAGGATCGGGGCTCGTATGCGACGCTCATGGTGGCGTGTAAGTCGGAAATATACCCTAGCTGGAGTTTTGGGTGACGACACAGTACTTTAAGCTCAACGATGCTCTGGAAACTCGGCGATGGTGGCGCTCCGGGTGACAAGGGCGCAGCGACTGCGCTCGAAGTGCGGCCTCCAGGGCAAAGAGCGGCAGCTGGCCGTTGGCTTGTGATTTCTGCGGCCTGTGAATTGCAGCTCGGCCGGCTGTCGATGCTGGTACTGTTAGTTCGAGGTCGGGATGATGGCCTGAAAATTCTGGTATGAATGTTTTGCGCAAGGCCCTCGTCAGCTCCGCCTCGAAAGCAGGTCATTGGTCATTAGTCAGCCAAGGTCACGTGGTGTGACAGGGCGCTTGTGGCACGCAGCTGCAAAAGCTGTGGCGAGGAGCTGTGGCAAGGAGCTGTGGCAAGGAGCTGTGGCAAGGAGCTGTCGGTGGCTGGCTAGGTGGCTGTGCTTGTTTCGTTGCATAGACTCCACCGTTGACTGCCTGGCTCTCAAGCTCCCTCTTGAAGCTTCAATCTATCAAAGAACCGTGAGACCCAGATGCGCTACCTCGGCCCCTTAATAAGTCCCGAGCTCTTTTAGGCACCGAGGGCTCGTCTCTCCAGGGTGACTGATTTTAGATGAAAGATAATAAGCCCGCGGCCTCCTTGATGCGCTCACCAAGCGAGTGACTCATTGGGCAAGTTCATGACGCACGCGGGGCAAACTATACCGCAACGCGCTGCGCCCGGTTTAAAGAATGGCATAACGGCTTGGGAGCTGTGATGTTCAGTCGACCAGGCGGCAACCGAGGCACTGCCAACTTTGGTATGGCATCCTTGTGAACCGGTAGTTTGACACGGCGCCAGGCATAGCTCGCCCCAGCTTTGGTGGACAGCTGTATGCTTGCTTGCCTAAACATAGAGAAGCCATCCATGTCGGAACGCCCTGCACAAAGCTTCTGGCCTCGTGGGATGAGACCCAGCTGGTCGTATTCCTTGGCCGGCTGGCTGACGCTAGGCTGAGAACAGGATGAAGCTGGCCAACGAATGCTTCAGCTTTTAGGTGGCTGCCGGCCTGATTCATAAACAGGAAGCTGATGGATGGCTGCTAAGGAGTTGCTGGGGCAGAAGATCCTCGGGGCTTATGCAGGACTTCAAGAAAGCCTCTGGCATCTCATGCGCCCCTGACATTCTCTCCACGTATCCACAGCGGAAGGACGAAATTCTGCTGAGCGGCGATGCCTGTTTGGCTAGTTGATGGTGGCCATGATTGGTTTAGCCCTCGCTGTACAGCCTGGAGATGGGAGCGATGAGAAATCCAGCTAACATGATTGAGAGAGTAAAGCCATGACCAACCAAGTCGTTTGATGAGATGCTACCCCCCCTTTTCACCTTTCCCGTGGTCACTTGATATACACGGCACTCCAGGCGGTGGTTACCAACGTTCCGCCAATAACTCTGTGCGTGCATTACTATGACAAATTCCGTTTTAAATGCGGAAAGCTGGATGACTTCCGGCGGAGGGTCATCCTCCACATGACCTGGATAGAGACCTGGCGGTCGGCTTGCACGCAAAAACAGGCATCAGGACCAACTGTGCGAGGCGTAGGCGGCAAAGCCCAGTAAGAGGCTCCAGACGAAGGCAGCTTCATGAGACGCTGAAAACCTGTGGCCTGAGGCGGTCCGGTGAAGCCTTTATGAGGACGATCGAGGTTCTGAAGCAGAGCCGCAAAAAGCGAGTGGATTGAAAACGAGGCTGTTGGGGGCGGTGACTTGAATCTCAGGCATTGACGCATACAGACCAAAAGGTGAGGCTGGCAGGTCAGATCCTCAGGCAGACACCATGCAAGGGCACAGCAGCGGTGGGAGCTGCAGCCCGAATTCACTAGCTGGGACTTGCAGGTGTGCACAGTGTAGAGAGTAGGCAGTAGGTAATATCTAGATTGCAATAGTGATTACCTTACTGCATACCTACTAGTAGTACCTAGCATGGAAGCATCTACTAGTACTACCTGGTATACAAGTAAATCACTGTATGGAGGGATATTAAACAATTTGTAAGTGATGATACTTACGAGACAAGAGAGTGTAAGCGATCGGATTGGCCAATATAATACCTACTACTACTACTACTATTACTATGCAATACACGCTGAATCAGTGCTGCCCACAATTACGGAGTTCTAAGCATTAGAGTGTTATCTGGGCCTGTATCCGCTATTATGGACCTACAAAATGAGCCTTTGAGGTAAGCCCCCATGATACGCAAACGAAATGCGAAATGAGATGAAATATCTAGACTGCATGAGATGTACAAAGGCTAATTGCAATCCTTATTTACAGCTTGGCGTTTATGAGTGCTAGGCACTGTATGCTACTATTCTTATGCGAATATAGCGTTCTTTGGGCTGCACTCCTTTTATACACATGGCTTGGACCCGATGCTGTGGACCCGCACGCCTTATCAAGATCCGATTGCCGAGCCACAGGAAGCTTCACTGAGCTCAGAAACGCGACAGCGCCAATTGCCTATTGCCATCATCTAATACCACAAATACTGTAACTATTCCGTACCTACATATATACGGAGTACTACCTAGTAACTTGTAGACACAGGGCATGTATTTGCCTGACTCTCGCTTGTAATGTCTGATTAAGTTGCCAATACCTAGCTCATAGGCAGGTATCCATAGCCTGTGCTATCCGGTCTCGGCCCTTGCATCCTTGGCCTTGGCGCTGTCCATGTCGCGCAAGAGCCCTCGGCTATCGCTGGAAACGGCGCAAAATTGTTGAGAGAAGGTTAATCGCGGCAAGATCGAGCCACCCACTTTTTTTTTCTAGCTCTTGAGCTTCAACACTTTCTGCATTTGTTTTTTTGTTTATTTTCTTTTCCAAGCTTGAAATCTCAAGTCGCCCATATAATTCAGACGTCTTCTTATTTTACTTGATTATCTTTTGCGGCCTTTTTCGTCCTCCGAGCCCTTATTGTCGTGCCGGTCGGAAATAAGCCCTCGTAGCAGCGTTTGAAGAGCGCCCGTCCAAGGATGGCCTCCCAAGCAGCACCGCCTGATGGCGATTTCAAAAAGCCAAACAACACTGAGAGCGTTGTTTTCTCTCCCTCTGCATCATCTCATGGTGGTCCCGAGAGTCGATATGGGGGCGATGTCCGACCGGCCGACTACGACAACGAAACGGTGGAGAAGGTCTATCGGTACTGGGCTTTGCCTCATCCTCACTCTTATAGGAATAGTTGCCGGCTAACTCTTGCTCTCTGCCAAGGAAAATCGATCTCAGAATTATCCCTCGTCAGTATAAGCTGATTTTCCAGCTCACTCGTTTTGAGATTGAAACTAACCAACCCCTCAGCCTTCTGGATTCTATACTTTCTTTGCTCGGCAATTCGCTCCAACATTGGCATTGCCCAGACAATGAACAGGGACAAAGGCCATGACTTGGAGACCGTCCTCGGGCTCACCCCCAAAGACGTATCAACAGCACTTGCGCTATTCTATGTCTCCTACGTCATCTTTGACTTCCCATCAAATCTCATAATGAGCAAGCTCAGCCCCCGAGTCTGGATGGCTAGAATCGTCTTCGCCACTGGGGTTGTTGGCTCATGCTTCGCGGCTGTGCAGTCACCCTGGAGCCTCAAACTGCTACGTTTCCTTTTGGGCTTGGTTATTGCTGGCATGTGGCCGGGCATGGCGTTTTATCTGACCCTCTTTTACCCTCCATCTCGCACAGCCAAGCGAATTGGCATGTACTTCACTGCCTCTCAGGTGTCCGCGGCTGTGGTCGGCCTCGTCTCGGCGGGATTCCAGCTCATGGACGGCGATGGAGGCCTGGTTGGCTTTAGGTGGATGTTTCTCATCTACGGGCTTGTTGCCGTTGTCTTGAGCTTTACGCTGCTATGGTGGCTCCCTGACAGACCCCTGGCGCCAGGCGAGGAGAGGAAGCGTACTGGTTTGTTCAAGTGGCTTCCGGCTACCCCTGAAGTTCTCAAAGGTGAAGATGCTTTGGTTCATTACTCTGAGCTCAGGCGTGTGTACCATGCTCGCCCATGGGGCGTCAAGGACCTCTGCCTTGTGCTGCTTGACTGGCGACTATGGCCTCTATGCCTGATGTATTTCGGAGTAGTCGGAGTCGGAATCGGCACTCAGCTCTATGGATCGGTCATCATTGCTGCAATCCAGCCACAGGCGAGCGATATTGTCGTTAGCTTACTCTTTGCTCCTATCTGGATTGTGAGTCTCTTGCATCTTGGTCTCCATCCATCTATTGTTCCTAACACTGTATATTATAGATGGACTTGATCGCCATTCTCCTAGTCACGCCTGTTTCCGACCGCTTTCATCACCTGAGGCCATTCTTCTTCTCAGCAGCCGTCTGCATCCAAATCGCAGGCTTACTGACAACCACTTTTGCTGTTCAAAACGGGTGGGCTCGTTATGGAGGTCTTCTGATGGTGGGCTTTGGTCTTGGACCAACCGTCCCAATTTGCATGACGTGGACTTCCGAAATCTTCCAACGCCGACATGGCGAAGTTGGTGTGGCAGCCGCAACAGCTCTTGTATCCGGCCTGGGAAATCTAGGCAGTGTTACTACTACATACGCTCTGTACACAGGGTGGCCTGAGGATGCCAAACCAGGCCCCCATCAATTCCGCAAGAGCAATCTTACAATGATTGGAATCCTGGGCGTTAGCATTCTTAGCTCCTTGGTCATGCTGGCCCTGTTAAAGGTCATAGGAAACCCTCCTAGCTCAAGGCTTGACGACACTGGCTCTCCTAATACGCTTGAGGATGGCGCAGCAAGACGGGAAGCTGCGCACCGCGGCTTCGGGAGGCTTTCCCGGCGAGCCCAAGAGGTTTAGATCGCTGCCTGTGAGGCGCATCACTCAAGGCAGCAACACCAGCCGGGATCTGGCCTTCAACAACAACTTGGCACTGACGACGTTTTCACCTGCCCAAAATTACCATTCATACATGGGTAGTTCAACCTACCATTTTACCTTTCCCTTTATTCAAGGGCCTTCTCCACTTATACCGGCATCCTTGATATACACTCTTTTATTCTTCAGTCGTCTATACGACCCCTCTTTACGGTCACACTCACCTTTTCACTTGAGGCAGCCACCGATGGGTTACAGCCTTTTCTGTCAAGGTGGCAACACCATCACATTACTTTCAGAGGGCAAAGCTGTATGAACTTGGAAAGAATCTGGTTGTGACAATGCTCTCGCGCTATCATACCAGGCTATTTTCAAGGGATCTCACAGCATATACCTCGGCACCCATAGTATTCACAAGTGTCGTCCCCTCTTGCGAAGAGCTGGGGTATGACTCTTGTTTGAAGATGGGCTTGTTCCTTGCATTTTTTTCCTTTGCATTTTTTTTTCTCGCTTTTTTTCAGTTGATATGATACCCCATCAGCGTTTAATACCCGCTGTCTAACGAGTGGAATGTGTACGGAATGAGAAATCTCGACAGCGACAGTGCTTCTACGCCATCGCTGGGACGGCGTGTTTGGACCGAGGCTCAACTACTGACGACAATGCTGGTGCGCTATCGTCGGAGAGCCTCGTGGGCGTTTGCTCTTTTTTTTTCTTATGTCATTAAAAGATATATATATAAACGCCGTTTTATAATACAGGATAGAAATACAATAGACGGCAGTCTGATGAAACAGCTTATAGCTGTTCAAATTCAGTCTGCATTATCCCGGCTATACAACATGTGGCATCTTCAAGTGACAATTGTGTATAGTATGATCTTGGCATGGAATAAGAATGCTCTCGTACAAGTCATTATGGGCTCCGGAGCACGTCTTCCCGTTTCTGCCCACTAAATGATCCCTTCGAAGAGGATTAAAAGAATGCCCGCTGATATTTGTCAATGGTGCAGAAAGAAGGGAAATGGCTTTATCATATCTTCCCTAGGTGAGTGATTTCTGTGACTTCTTTCGTATAGATTATACCCTGGTGTAAATTATAAGCAGTCCCTTACCTGTGAAAACAGATATAGGGAAGCTGACGTTTGAGTATTTTACTACAAAGTAACGGAGACAATGCCCTTTGGTTTCAAACAATTGGTTTGATCGACAGGGGCTTGGGCAAAACGGCATTTTAGACTTTTTTTTTTTTCTCTCCCCTACTAGCCCCTTGCTGTATCCGTTTAAGTTTCGTAGTGACATATTGGGGCGGCAAGACGTTGTATGTCTCATTGGATTAGATAGGAATCATATAATGTCAGTAGAGGGACAAGATAAATAGCATTTATCATCAAGGTCATTACAGATCCCTTTCTCAGTCGTGATATGGCGTGCCCACCCTAAGAGTGATACATTGATGCAACAGGCACCACATGGTATAGAATACATGATGCTATAAAAACTCATACACAAGTGCGAACATGTATTCTAAAGTAGTACTAACTGCGAATTCCCGACCATTTAGAGTCTGGATATGAGGTAGCAAGCATTCGTCTTTGCAGAATGCCAAAACTAGCACTACTTTGTGAGGAGAGCAGTCGAATATCTGTTGTAAAAAATGGCTAGCTAAGCCAATATAGTTTTTTATGAATACTGTTGTACTTCTCATGTGTGCAAAACGATTGGTTCAAATTGGCGAGTACGAGAGGGTCATGAGTAGGGCCAAGCAGGTAGAGCTAATTGAAGTACTGGCTTTTTCTAGAAAGACATTCCGCATATGAAGTTGTAAGACGGCTTTGAGTAAATTGTCTAGCTTCCTCCTAAAAATCCTGCTCATGGAATGTCAGTATTTGTTTTACTTTAAGCCCGGTCAATTACATCTTGTGATGGATTTCGCCAAGCTATAGTCTAAATTGATGTTTAATGATGGCAGGGTTACATCCAGCGGCACGCGACGTCTTTCAGACCATAACTGGCTAGATTTGAGCAAGCCATATCGTGACCTACTTCTCAATGTTTTGCGTTGGGCAAGTCCTCCAAAGAGATCGACAGTGGAGAGTCTAGACGTTGGGACCTGAGATCCCATGATGCGGAGCAGGGGTGGGGAGAGAGCGAAAGGAGATGTTAGAGAGGGGCAGCATTGTCTTAGACATGCAGGAGTCTTACACAGTTTAATGACGGGCAAAGGGATAAGAAAGCAACAATGGGATATTCAAGTCACAACAAAGCATTAGAGCCGAGTGCGGAAGCTGTCTCAAAGCCTGCGGAAGAGAGATTCTTCCGTTGTCCGGACCTGTCTTGACGCGAACTTCATACCAGTGAACACGCATAAAGCTTCACCTCATCACAAAAATTGGTTTCCTCCATGCAACTGCATTCGACTACCAAAGCGTATGCCGTCAAAGAACCGGATCATACCAGGGCCGAAAAGAGGAGGTTTGGACCAGAGCCCAAGCCTGTCACAATATCTCTGTGTCCCTTGACAGAGATTCCCTCCCTGCCTACACCCGCAGTAGCGCTCTTGCTAGGACGTCGATGCAACGCGATACGCCTGCGCGCATTTACTGCTGCTGTGGAGAACGTTGCGGGGGATCGGATCCGCTGGAGGCCCAGGGAGAGCAGATTGCCCACTGAGGGGCAATTCGGTGCTGCTAGCCGATAGCATCTTGAATATTCTAGGTGGGCTGATGGATATATGCCCTGGTCTTGGAGAGGTGCAATGTCTAATTTATTTCAAGGATAGCGGCTGCTGCATACAAAGTGTACGGACTACCAAAGTCTGCCAGAGCTGCATCATTCTGCCGATACGCTACGCTGCCACTACCCACGACTCTGCAGCGCATATTGATGCCATATACTACAAGGTCCTGCTTCTCACAGTCGGCTAAGCTGCGAAGCTCCCTCTCCACAGTCCACAGCACAGCTACTAAGCTAGGGACTAGCCACCAGCTTTATCCACTAGGGAGACGACAGAGCACTAGGAAGCGAGCCTGCCTCTTGGCAATTCCGAGAGATCCTTTGGATGCGGATTAGACCCTTGTCCCATGACCCTAGGTCCTGAACTGAAAACTGCCGTTGAAGCGCTGATGCCGTGTATGACATCAAAATCGATCCCCGCTCTTGCTCACACATACCTGCATGATTCCTCCTTGCTCCCATTCTACCTACTTTGCGAGCTGGAATGAAAGCCTGCAGGCATATGTAGATTGAGCCGAGCGAGAGCATCACGCGCATTGCCATCGTTGGAGGTTGATGCTACATCTCATGTCGCTAAACGAGCCAAGCCCTGGTCTCTCCCTGCCTTGCTCTCACAGCAGGGTGAACTCTGCGGCTCGAGCTAATCACTTGCCCTTCTCGATTGTGATAATTGACTATTTGGCACGCTGAGTCTAGGGATTAGCCTTTGCGCCAAGGCTACACAACACCGCAACGTCTCAAGCCGTCGAGGTTGCAATCGGCCGTGCTTGGCCACTCTCACAAACATACTAGCGATCATTCTATGAGCCAGCGTGGTGGTACTTCACATTTGTGAGCATTTAGCTGCGGTTGTATTATTAGACATATTTTACTAGAATCACTTCCAGGCCTCAGTACAGTGGTCATTCGCATGCAGCTGCGCTTCAGCCAAGCTCTTTCGTCTATACCGTCATACGATCAACAAAGGCCCACTCAAATTGTCTCGCATCCCTCGTTACAGCTTAAGAATACTCCGACTGGGTTATAAAAACACTGATAGAGCTCCGGCCCCAGATTCCGTATATTTATGCTCCCCTCCTTTCTCTCTTAATTCAGATCGAGATTATCAAGCTTCAGGTACCTGCCTGCGGCTTACATTCGACTATGAAGCTCTTGCGAGTCGCTACGGCGGCTGCCCTTGCTCTTGCAGGGCGTGCGGATGCAGTTTCAACTTTTGAACCGGCACGGCCTCCCGCGGCTCCTCTTGCCGTTAGAGCTCCTTATCTCAATGTTTGGCTCAATGGCCCAAATGATGGAAGCCCTAGCGGCTACCTGCCTGGCCAATGGCCTAGGTACTGGACGTAAGCAGCATTATTTATACACTGCTTCATATATAAGATGTTTAACAGATGCTGAATGATTCTTTTAAATTACAGGCAAGGAATTCAAGCATGGCAAGGCTTCATCATGGTCGACGGAAAGGCCTACAACTGGATGGGAGCGGCTCCCGGCGCAGACAATGTTGACCAAGTGTCACTCAAGTATACATCAACTAGAACAACCTTTACCATGAACGTGGGAGGGTCAGTCCAGATGGCTGCGGAGTTCTTCTCCCCAGTCTACCCAGATGACCTCAGAAGACAGTCTATTCCGTTCTCGTACCTCAAAGTTTCGGTTGTCTCCCTTGACGGGCGGCCACACAATATCCAAATCTACTGCGATGTATCAGGAGGTAAGTAGTTACGGTTGCAGATGAGAGGGCGCAATTGACCAGTCTATAGAATGGGCATCTGGCGACAACTCACAGATTATCCGCTGGGAGCACCAAGAGGCAGACGGGGTGCTTTCCCACAAATTTTATCGCCAAAATCAAGACGGCTTTCAAGAGGCTAATGATCAGGCATCATGGGGCAGCTGGTATTGGTCGACCGGCCGTATCGTGAGTATTTTAACTGTCTACCAGATGGAATCTCTTGTGAAATAGCACTGACAATGTACTGCAGAGAGGTGTAACGTATAAAATTGGTGCAGATACAGATGTCCGCGGCCAGTTCCTGTCCACGGGTACGCTTGACAATACCATCGACACCAACTACCGTGCTGTCAATGACCGTTGGTAAGAACCAGTTACTCTCCAAAGAGTCTGTGCAGAAATTTGACGCATAGTAATAGGCCTGTGTTTGCTTTTGCACGCGACCTTGGTACAATCGCGGGAGGGGGCTCCGCATCTACTCTCTTTACAATTGGCATTGCGCAAGAAAATGCCATATTATTTCAAGGTCGGGGTAGCTCCCCTGAGCAGGTGCCGTCACTTTGGACGAGCTACTTTGATGAATCGGACCTCGTTCCATTCTTCTATATGGACTATGGCTACGCCAGCCAATATGCTAACAACCTCGACAACCGTGTTGCAAGAGATTCTATCAAGGCTGGTGGACAGGATTATCTCACTATAACAAGTCTTGCCGTCCGCCAGGCTTTTGCAGCCCTCCAGTACACCGGCACTCCGGATAACGTCAGAGTATTCCTTAAAGAAATCAGCTCCAACAGCGATATCCAAACGGTGGATGTGATTTTCCCTACTTGGCCAATCATGCTGTATTTTGATCCAAACCTCATCAAACATACTCTATCGCCCCTTCTCGAGAATCAAGAAAGCGGCCACTACCCGAACAAATATGCGATTCACGACCTGGGTAGATTCCCTCAGGCTCTTGGCTATCCGCAGGGCAACGATGAGGCCATGCCCCTGGAAGAGTGCGGCAATATGATTATCATGATGCTGTCCTATGCTCAGAAAACAGGAGACGTATACTATCTGAACCAGCATTGGCAGCTCATGGCGCAGTGGGCAGAGTATTTGATTGAAGATGCCAAGATCCCAGCAAACCAATTGTCCACGGATGATTTTGCAGGCCATCTTGCGTAAGTTGACCATTTCATGAGTGTCCAGTCAATCAAGCATATACAAGTATTAACCATGAAATAATAGGAACCAAACCAATCTCGCCATCAAAGGCATAATTGCTTTGCAGGCCATGTCGGAAATAGCCGACCGCACTGGCCATAGTTTCCTATCTGACAAGTACTCGGCCATAGCCAGGGACTATCTCAACTTTTGGTCTCGCCACGGCATTAACCGAGCTGCTGTCCCTAACCACAGCGTGCTTCAATATGATTCTGGAACCACATATGGTGAGTTTTGTAGATGCCCTCTACAGCTTCATCTTTGCTAATGAGTAACCTCTACAAGGATTACTATACAATATTTACCCGGACAAGGCTCTTGGGCTGAACTTCATCCCCCAGTCCGTTTATGATATGCAGAGCGATTTCTACAAGACCAAAGCCAATAAATACGGAGTTGTTCTCGACACGCGCGGTACATTGACCAAGACTGACTGGGAAATGTTTGCTGCTGCAGTAGCTAAGCCTGACACAAAGGCCATGTTCATCTCCTTGATTGCCAAGTGGATCAACGAGACGCCAACGTGGCGAGCATTTACCGACTTGTACGACACGAACACGGGAGAATATCCGGGTAACCAGTTTACCGCTCGGCCGGTTGTGGGCGGTGTGTTTGCATTGTTGGCGCTGTCGTGAACACTTTAGCGAGGGGCGGGTCATGAGCACAGCAGATTTTTCTTCCATTTCTTTTCCTATTTTGGACATGGTTTTTCTCCCTCTCTCCTGCTGCAGGATTTATGGGCACAGTGCTTCTCAGCAGTGACAAGCATGGGGATGAGTAAGAACAGGGGGGAAACGCGGTATTGCGATTAACCAAATTTAGTTGAGGGAGAATATCTATACGAAGTAGAGTAGTATTTTTGTTTTCTTTTTTTTTTTTTTTTTTTTTGCTGATGACACCCAAATGAGAAAGCGTTGAATGAACCGTCTAATCATGCAGTGCTTATGCATTTACAGGTACGTATTTTGAACCACGTATATCAAACCACTGAGCGGCCGGAGACGTGTTTGCTGCCGTCAAATGGCCACGTGAAGGAACCAGACGCTGCCAGGGGGACAAAAAAAAAGCATCGTGTAAATGAAGCACGAAACGAGGGCGAGAAAGCTGCATTTCGCCATATTGTCGGTGAGCCGCCGGCTGGACGCAAGTGGTTCGAGATCTGCGAGTCGTGTGCCTGGTGATCGATCCGCGTCCAATGGGGTTGCGCGGTTGCATCTGCATGCCAGCGAGTCCCAGCGGCAGGGCATGAAGTGGCTTGCTTGGACGATGGTGATGGTGTCTCAGGAGCTGCAGATTGATGGAGCCCGCGGCAGGATTACGATGTTGACTAGTGACGAGGGAAGGATTTGGCTTTCGTTCATCAGGGCTTAGCACCGTTCTAAGGGAAAAGGGGGAAGCTCTGCTGGCTTCGATATACATGTATACGAGCCGGTTATAGCCTCGGCGATTACGAGCAGCATCAGCAGTAGCTGTCTCTGGGACTACTATTGATCACGCTGGGGATGATGCAACGGTGATGATGATTGCAGCAGGGAGAGCGCCGGGCCGGGCTCTAACTGAAGAGGGGGACCGCCTTGGCTTGGGGAATGCGGGGAGTGGGTTCCGCGCTGAGCAGTGCCCCTCTCAGGCGACACTAGGCGGCCCTTAGGGGAGGGCTAACAGGGCCTTTAGCGGTTGACGGGCCCCAGCGCAGCTCCGTGCTCGACCGCCCATTGACGCTTGAGCGTGCTTCGGCACCCGGAAAGCCAGCCAGAGCAGTTGCCGGCGGCGAGCGCCCCCTATGCAATTGATTGCTACAAATACGGCCCGGCGCCTTTTTGGCCGCTGCGTCGTCCAGGAACACATGACTGCCAGGCGGACTCACAATCCCAACAATCGCTTCTGGTGCTTCGATGGGCTCCCTTACGATGGCTTCATCGACAATTGCTGTCGCCTCATGCTAAATCACACCCCGTGCTTGTCGTTTTGCTTGCTCTTGCACGCTTCTGTTCTCGCTGCAGTCCCTGTCTTTGCGTTGCTTTCGCGCCATTGCCTCGTTTAAGTAGTGTTTCTGTTTTTTGAAAGAGGCCGCCAGATCCCACAGCATGGCTCGCTTCGTCGATCTCGATGACGAGGACAGCCAGGCGCAGCCAATGGCCGCTTGGCCGGCGCCGGGCAACCCTCTGGCACTGCCCGAGCACGGATCGGTCGCCAACATGGCGGCTGGAGATCGAGATCGAGGCATCGTCTCTTCTGCGCGCAGGTTTCCCAGCAGGAAGAGCACCATGACCGACAAGTCGCCGCAGCAATACGGGGACGATGCGTCTGAGGCTGAGAATGGAAAGCAGCCGGCGACTCACAGTGCCATGGAGGAGGCATTCCAGTGTTATCCGTATGATGAGCACCTGTCGATCCTTTGCGATTGTCTGCTTGCAGCACAGAGAAGAGAGATCTAACACTGTTGTTTCTAATTTAGTATTGTCGTTGGCATTATTTCCTACATTGACCTCAACACCCTCGATTCATTGGCCCGTGCAAGCCGCTTTATCCACGATGGCTTGATCCAATATCGAGCGAGCCTCATGGGCGCAACACTGCGCTGCTCTAGAGAGGGCGTTGCGATCGATCCAGAGCAGACGCTGCGATACCGCGCCAGGGCGACTGATTGGAATTATATGCAAGATGACAACAATTATAACGGGAAAGCGGGCAGCTGCGCTCGCGACATGGTGGCCGAGTGCAGGAGATGCGCAGACATCATTTGTAGAGTGAGCTTTCCACCTCCATCCCAAGCAATGCCATCCATCCTCTTGGGCCATCTGCTGACGGTTGAACCCTTAGAACTGTGCTATAAAGCCCCCTCTTATTGCTGCTCTGCGCGAGCGACACCGCCGGCTCTGTGTCACTTGCGTCAAAGCTCCCATTGCCGCGCTCGCCGTGCCGGCATTGGATATATCTTTACCTCTGAATTCAGATGCCGTACAGCGAGCAATCTGCCAGTGCGACACAGAGGGCGTCTGGCTATGTCAGCCTTGTGGTCATAGCATTCGCAATGCCGACCACGATTATAAAGCGTATGTCTCGCTTCAAAGTTCCATGCTCATCATGGCGCGTTTTTTTTTTTTTGGCCTCATACAAAAAGTAATAGCTAACATAACGGGGCAATACAGTATCTGGCGTTGGCGCACAAAGTATGGAGGCTTCACAGGCATTGGAGACGGCGACCGTGGCGTAATCTGCGGCCGCGAAGAAGCCTGTCTTGCTGCTCGTGAACGTGAGAACGAAATCGACTGCGATGCCGAAGACGCCCGAGGCAGCACCCTTACTCCGTGGTCAACCGGGTCCTCCTCCTCCGGCACGCCGAGCCCGGGCCCACAACATGCGGGCACCACACCCCCTGGCGCCACCGCCGGGTTTCCCTTCCCTACAAATGGCACCATCGAGTCGATAATCGATGAAATTCGCCATCAGCGGACGCCCTCGCCGCAGCTGGGACCGGGGTACGAGAGACACGAAATCGAGGGGATTGGTGGCATCGTGAAGAAAAAACTGGTCCGCATGGTTCGAGTGGGGGCCTGCGTGCCCGAGTGGGAAGACGAAAAAGGCAGCAACAGCAAGATTTTGGCTCGGGAGGTGAATGGCGCGGCACGCAGCTGGTGCGGCTGGTGCTGGAGAGTCATTCCTGGGGAGAAGGATAAGAGGCAATGTGCGAAATGAACACTCACATATACATACAAAAAAAAAGAGTGGGAGCGGATGAGGGATTGAATGACCTAGACGGCCGAATATGGTTTTGATGACGGCGTTCCTTATTACTTGCTTATTATTTTCCTTATTTCTCTCCTTTCTTTCCAAAACCTTATACAGGCGTCTTTCACTGGAATGATTTCAGAGCAGAGTTTCTGGTCGAGTTAAAAACGAATGCAGAGGATGACGACTTCTACTAATATCCCTCGACGATAATGATAGTGCTACCACAATAGAGAAGAATCTCACTCAGGACTTTTTGAATAATGTATAATGCATGTCTCGTCATGAATTTGTTCTCTGAAGCTTTGTATATCGTACACCACGCTCAGTTACCCTTTTTTTTGCCTTTTCATGCCCACTCTTCTCTATGTATACCAATGTTTCCGTCACTAAGACATCCATCCACATGGCCATTGATCCACGCTTTCCTTTATACACGATAACTTCTCTCTCTTTTATATATATCCCCCTTGACTGCATCTTTCCCTCAACCGTCTCCCCCCATGCAATATTATCCTTATAACTCTCCCCGGTACAGCATCTCCGCCCTCCTCTTCCTATCCTCCCTCGCCTGCGTCCTCTTCGGTCCCCACCTCTCCATCTTCCTGTCCATCTTGGCCTTGAGCCACTGCAAATGCTCAGGCGGAGCCGGCGCAGCCATCTGCACAAAGACAGTCGAGCACTCAAACTTGCGAGCCAGCTTCTGCACGCTCCACGTCAGGGGATCCTCGCTGCGCAGGCGGCGCATCTCCTCAATGTGCTCCTTGGTGAGGTTGTACTTTGGCTGGCGGCGCTTGTAGCGCATCTCCGGGGGCAGGTCGGCCTCTGCCGTTACGCTGCTGTCGTAGGCGGTAGGGTTGCCGCTGCCGCTGCTACGGAGGCGCAGGATGGCCTGGCGGCGGGGGTCGTTGCGCGGGAGGAAGATGAAGGGCGTGTGCTCGGGCGAGGCCTCTGAGGATGGCGGGTTGTAGATGATTGAGTCGGCGGCGGCGGCGGAGGTGCGCGAGGGGAGGAAGGAGTCGTGAGGAGCGATTTTGAGGGCGCGCTTGGTGCGGGTGGTGGTTTTGTGGCCGCGGGAGGGTATCAGAGGGAGAGGAGCGGCGGAGGGCTTTGTGATGGCGAGGAGGCGGAGGGGGCTGAGCAGCTGGGACGCTGGGCGGACGAAGAGAGTGCGCAGATCCATTGTTTTTGTCTTTTCTCTAGTAACTTTTGGTGATGTATGTTCTATATGTTGTGTGGTGTTGAGAAGGTGTGAGGGGTTGCCGGTGGTGGGCGCTTTTTTTCCCCAATTGGCCGATGAAAGATTCGATATTATGATTCTAGAGAAGGGTAGAGTCGAGTCTATCTCTGGCGAGTGTGACTGACTGGCGCCCACGGCTGGAATTGGGAGCTGCGTTGGGGATCCCCTCGTCGTAAATGCTGATAGCTGCTGCTGTGGTTCTAAACTGAAGGTTTTTGCAAAACGAACGATATCAAATTATGTAAGCAATGCTTAGGTAAGGATGTTCGAAGATGTCACGTGCGGATGTTCTTTGACCAGCTTCTTTCTACAGATGCAAGATGATGATTTATTTGTGAAACGTCTATGCTGTCATCAAATTATGTCATGACTATAATATGATGGTCGGAGGTAATGCTCTTCATTTGAAATTGTTTATGAGAAAATTGACATTATTTGTTATTAAAGTCGACCTAAGCAGGTCGAATCTGGTAATTGGCTTACTAAGAGACCTTGTCGACATCGATACGGGCCTAGAGCTGAGCTACAAAATTAGCACATCATCTGAGCAAGCCCCCAGCCAGCGCCATGTGCTACCCTTTGGGAGGTTTTAACTGATTTGGATAGTAGATGATGGTGCTAGGCACATGCGTAGGAACCGTTGAATCCTTCTTCGATAGAGCCCCCAAAAAGGGTCTGAGCCATTTGCTGATCCAGTCAGCGAGCTCCACGATGATGCTCGTCCTCATCACGGACCAGGCAAACTGCTAGTGATCGAGGGACCTTGCATAGTGCCATGTGACATCAACAGCCTCGGCGGATGGCTAATGCAGCGGTTCCGGCGTCATCCCGCAGAGAGATATGTCTGCATTTGTGCCACTTCCAGAGGCTGGTTTGCATCCATCGTAGACAGACGGCAGCCCATGGGATGGAGCCATCAATATGGTGAGGTTGCTTCTCTGTGTGAGGAAAGAGGTAACACTTGGTATGGATCCTCGTCTTGTTTGCCTGCTCTGGCTGCGGGGGAGGCTTTGAAGATCGTCGATGCAAAGTTCCAAGGCTATGGAGTACCCAAAATGAGGAAATTACTCAGAGTCAACCAAGCTGGATACCGGACGAATGATGGCAGAGCAATTGGGTCACGATAGAGGCTAAAATTGTCTCTGATAGCCCGCATTATCGGCGACTTGGGAATAGCTGGTACGACGCATGATGCGCAAGTGCATATCCTGCTGCCAGGGTTTCGCAGCGATGGCCCTTGTCCTTTTTTGCTCACTTATACACCACATTGACCACCGCCCTTCACCCAGCTATCTATGTGATATTACTGTTCTGGCGTATTAGCTGCTTTTCCTTATTAGGGTGCGACCAATTACGCGGGAGAAAAAGACACTGCGATGGTGCGCTTTTGTAGCGGCTTCCGGGATGGTACGTTGGTCCTTGCGGAAAGGAGGAGGGGCGAAACATCACGAGGACCGAAAAAAAATATAGAATAAAAAAAAAGAAGAAAAGAGAAACAAGCTCGGACTGTTGTTGCATTACGGATAATGGAGACGTGATGCAAGTGATGCAGTGATGCGCCGGCTGAAGCAGGTTCGGAAACAGGGTTCTTTTTTTTTTTTTTTTTTTTTTTTTCATGCCTTAATTGATGTCTTGCGATGACATACCTGGTAAACAGCGAGGCCATGTGAGGTCCGCAAGCGTAGGCAGCAGATTTTGAACCAATTTTTATTAGACATTGAGGCCGAATTCGTGGCCTGGACGAGGTGGCACTTATTAAATGCCAGACATGTGCTATTACGTATTGGCAGTGCAGCTCATCCCTCGTTTACACGGGCCGCCAAAAGAGGGGGTTCGATATCAAGCTGGGCAATGTAAGTCATCCAAGCTGATAAAAGGTGTAAGCGAGATTCTCCTCAATACCACCCACTGTGCATTTGACTGGCAGCATCAAAGAACTTTTATGGTTTCAGGGGATATGTGGTGGTCTGGCAATATGGCAATATGGGTCGTCAGTCTAGGATTAGGCAAGCTGGTAGTATTGTGGTAGCGATAGCCGCAGTAGTAGTGCATGCTACTTGAAGAAATATCAACGGCAGGATGTAAAAAAGAAAAAATGAGAAGGAAAAAAAAAAAAAAGAGTGAATCACATGGTATTACTTGTGGCAGCCTAGCGAGTCAAAGTGAAGCCGAAGCCGAATAGGGCACGGATGTGCGAGGTTGGTGGCCGAATTCAGACAGGACGGCCCGGCCAGAGCATCTGTTCATCCAAGTGGACGCATGTAGCTCGTTGAAGTAGACAAGAAGAAGAAAACTTGGATAAAAAGGCCTCAAAAGACCAATCCGGGATACGTGCGTTCCAGCAAATACGTATGTACGTGATGGCCCCCGGCAGAAGTCGGTTTGGTTTGGTTTGGTGTGTGCGGAACCAAGGCGGGAGCCTCGCATCATTGTGCATTACCGCCGCTGGTCTTTCTGTTTCTTGTGGTAGCACTCCGCTGTATTGAAGGGGAGGGGGAGGGGGCTTCAGGAACCGGCCACAGCGGGCAATGCCAGAGCCAAAGCAGCAGCATGTAGTAGCATGATGTACCCGCTGCCGCTGAGAGGTACGCGACGAGGTACATTGCAGCAGCGGGTGCGCCGCGCCTGCGGACGGAGCGGTACAGTGTACTTTGCCTAGCTGCGGCGTGGCTGACGGGCCACGCGGTATTCAGTACCGGCGGCACAAAGGCCAGTACGTCACGGCGGCGACGGCCCCGGCCGACAAGTCTCTGGGAAGTCGCTCCGGCGGTGCCTGGGAACCTGTGGTGACCTTTTGGTGACCTTTGGAGTCCCCTCATCACAAAACTCATCACAATCCTTCCGTCATCTGCGACTGTTCTGGTTTCGCTGCCTCCGTATTTCAATTTATTCATTTTTTTCCATCTCATTTCTGGCCCTTCTTTTTTTTTTAATATCCTTTCAGAGCACTTTCGCGTCCTTTTTCCAACCCCCCTTGGAGTCGGATGAGTGGGATGAATCGTTTCGTTTGCCCTTGATACCTGCTATCACTGCTGTTGTTTCTACTGCTGGAGCTACCAGCATCTACCTGCTAGCAGCAGTAGTATAAACTATAGCAGCTCATCATCAGCTCCTATACCTACTACTGTACCTCGACCTCATCCCCCATCCAGCGCTAGTCCAACATCTGGCGGGATCTGCTCTGCTCTGCTCTGCGGCTTTTCAGAAGCCCAGCCTCCTCGCCCATCTGCGTCACACGCAGCTCTCCGCCCAGCTACTGCTCGCTGCAAAATCTCGTCTTAAAGCCTTAGTGCCCCCCCAAAAAGGCTCCAGAAACCAGCGGTTTGGCGCCTGTCACACCAGAAGCTCCCTCTTCGCGCTCTTCAGCGGGTCCCGCTCGTGTCATCTGGGCAGCCCCCCCAGCAGGTACGACGTGCGACGCAGCATCTGCTTCACCAATATTGGTCGCCACCCCCCGTCGAGCTTCCATACGTTCCCCTTCAGCAGGGCAGCGGCGAATGGGTGGCCCTTGGATCGCTTAGCCGTCGAGTCCTGCGAGTCGATAAAAACTCTCGCTGGTGCTCGTTTCGTCCTTTGCCTCTCTTTATCTGCTCCATCCCTTCTCCATCTCCATCTCCATCTCTCTCTCTCTGTCCTGTCCTGTCCTGTCCTTTCCTTTGTTTGTTCCACCGATCATCGTCGCCCTCCTGTCGATCGCAACACCGACCCTCCTTTTTGTCTGCGCTGCGTCTGCGTCTGTTCTGCCACCCATTGACGGCGGCTGGTAGCCACGACGACATTGAGTCTGTCCTCAGTCCCGTTGTTTATCGCGATCGATCCCGTATCCGTCACACTGGCAGCCCTACCAACGGCGAGCTAATCCAGCTGCGCACTTGCTTCCACAATGAGCCTCGCCTCGCCAGCCCAAATCACTCCCACCGCCATTACCGGCGACCGACGCAGCACCATGGCCGACGAGAGGAGTACTGGCGGCGACTTAACGCCCCGAGCCATCGACGTCGCTTCATCCGACAGGCAGACAGAACAGAGCAAGAAAGAGAGCAAGAGCAAGAAACGAAGTCTGTTTGGCTTTGGCAAGAAGAAGACGGAGGCTCAGTCCAAGGCTGGTCCTGGAGCAGGGAGCCCGTACACTGCCCAAGAGCCGTCAAAACCGTCAACCACGCGCTCTACCACGCGATCAACCACGTCGCCAATTCAGCTTGCCCACGGCGACCACCCATTTGCCCCTTCTTCTCCTACCCGTGCATTCTCCGGCTCCCCGAGAATATCTTCCCCGGCGACGTCCCAGATATTCGAACGTGATGTGCAAGACCACACTCTCCTGAAATCCTCATCCCCAGCCATCCCAAGCCACATCCAGACCGAGAACTACATCCCTCCTGTATTGGATGATGCGTCAGAAGCCATCACCAACAACAAGCTGGATCCCGACAGCGTTGAGATTGTCACTCACGCTTCCCACCAGCCCGCCTCGGTCGCCGTCCCCGGCACAAGTGCCATTCACACGCCATACGACCAGGGCCCGAGTGACTGGGCTTCAGAACTCGCCTCGTTTGCAGACCGCATAGGATTCCCGGCCGATAGCGCTTCCAACTACGGCTCCCTCGATTCTGCCGATGTCAGACGCCTCTCCTTCATCTCGTTTGCAGATGTCGTCCAAGCAGAACATAGTGGCCACCATCTACCTTCCATGTCATCGCGAGACAATATGCACATTGTCGGGCTTACGTCTCTTTCTGCATCAGCCATGAACCGATCGCCATCACCAATTCGATCGCCAGTCTCCAGTCAGGGACCCGGAACCAGCCCACCAACGAGCAACCCCGGCAGTATAAAAGGCCTGGATATGAGCCCGTCGCGAAAACCGATTGGTAGTCCTTCCAGCGGAAACTACACTCTGACAACGCCGGGAGAGCTAAATATCGAGACGATGAGCCAGGCGCTAAAACGGACCGGAAGCAGAGACTTTAACAGCAGCGTTCGCAGCAACCCTCAGAGTCCTGTGTAAAGTCTGGGTTCACGATGCACGAAAACAAAAGCAACCCATACAAAAAGCTTTTGTGATTTTCTAATGATTCCCGAAGTGAGCATCAATGTTCACACTGCGATTTTCCAATTTGCCTCTTTTTGCCAAGTCTATTTCTCTCATGTCTAATTCCCCTTGTCTGTTTATACGAGTGGGCTTCTTTTCGATTTTATTTTATTTGATTCGATATTGCTAGCGACAAGCATGCAATATCAAACTTGGACAATCAAGGGATGCTAGGAGTTGGAAGAGATGTTTAAATTCGGCAGAGACCATAATGCATCTCTGCTTATTTTCGATTTTCGATTTGCGCTTTTCTTTTCTTTTTTTTTTTTTTATCTCGCCTCTTGCCTGAGGAGAGCAGGATGTTGCTCCTTTTTATTTACACAAACGAGAAAAGACGAGATGACTATTGACTGCTATGGAATGAATTTTGATTACCTTTTTTTCTTTCTTCTCTTCTTTTTTTGATGGCCAGCTCGGTGCGGGGGAGTGGGACAACCTGTTTTATATGTCGATTACCTGAATGATTTATACTAAGAATGAGGAGAAGTGAAGCAAGAATATATACCTGAATTGCCTCAAGCTAATGGTCCAACTGTGATCTATTCTATGCTACCCATATAGTACTCATAGGCACTGCCTTATCCATACAAGGTATCCTGACGAAAAGAGCAAGAGATCCGAGTTATTGCGTATGCTACGAGCGGGACCTTGCAGCCGAGCAAGCGGATTGCAGAGACAATGAGCGATGCATGTTCCAGCCATTTTCCCTTCTCCTGCATGCTGCACGTTGGTGTTGCCGACGGCGCTATCCACGCGGCAGGTGACGAAGGCTGCTGCTAAGGCCGTTGTACTGTGCCATCATCCATGCAGTCCGAGTCATTACAACAGGCACACAAGCTTTGCCCCCTCTGCCAAAATCTCACAGGGTTGCCGACCGTTCCACAACGGACTCGAGCTTGTGGCCTTTGGAATTAGAATAGAATGAACAAGGGAAAGATGTTTACTGTAACTCTGTACATATGCCCCTGTTGATTTGAGAGTCAGTTGGGTGCGTCTGGCTGTCTGCAAGTGTCTAGATTGGGCTTTTTGATGTGGAAACACCTACTCATGGGTTTGTATTTACACTTTTTTTTTTCTTTTTTGCTGCTTCCGAGGCGAACCTCTATAGTGGAAAAAGAATAGAGTAAAATACTACCTACTTATTGATTACTTAGATTAGTAGGTATAGTATCTTTCTAGTAGTTGCAGTGCATTTGTGCGCAAAACACATCGCGTATTGGAGCACGCATGTTTCAGATTCATTGAGAAGAACCATCTGTGTCTTTTTTGTGTGTGCACGGTGTTTCTGATTTCCATTTTACCTACCTACTTCATCAAGTATTACTATCCCTTTTTGAAGGCTGGGGGTGCTTTGGGTATTGGGGGGGAGGTTGTTTTCGTGTATCGGAGTGGTTTCAGATTTTAAGAGAATTTTATTTTCCTCTGAGTGCGGGTAATTGTCTATTATCTGTCTACTATTAAGGTGCTGTAAATGAATATGAAAGGCGATATAGAGAATTTTTTTTTTTTCAAGAGTTTCTTTTTATAGAGCTGCAATAAAAAGGCAAATTTTGAAGCATAATGCCCCGTATACATGTGTACGGTATTATATCACATTACAAATACAGTAGGCTCCCTAAATCAAGGTAATTTGGCAGTGTTGCACCAACCGATGCATTCAATTCAATTCAACAGCGGATTGACATATCAGTTTACGACAACAGAAAAGGAAAGAAAGAAAATTGAGCAAATCAAATTTTGATTAATATTCTTCTCCTTTTTTTTTTTCTTTTTCATCACTTTTCACATCTTCTTTGACCATCGGTTCGGAAAGTATATATGTATTGATACGGAGTAGTAGTGAGAACCTAATAAAACGACCCTGCATCTCAATGCTACGCACCTCCTCTCTAGGATCAAGAAACAAAAAAAGAAGGAATAACAATGGGAAAAAAAAAAGTAAAAAATCAGGTACATGTCTTGAGCCCTGGTCACGGACATCCGCGGAATCGAATTGAGTTTGTGGTCCTCCCCCTTAGCTTGTACGACTTCAAGGAGGCGTGAGGTGGTATTGATGTGTGCCAACTTCCAAGATTACAAATGCGCACATGATACCACCCAGCAAGCAACACTCAATTTTCTTTACAAGCCACGCTGCGTCTTAATCTCCATTTCTCGTCGAATTTCTTTTTCAAATTGGTGGCTGGCATATCGTAATTCCACATGCCAGCCACTACAGTAGGTAGATGCTGCCACGGAGTGATTCGTAGTAGCACATCAATTTTTTTTTTGTTTCCCAGTAGGCGAAACGGGTGGCACGATGGCTCGCATGCATGTCTCGCAGGGGGGAAATTACTACTAGCCAAAGTTGCGACTGTCCTTGTGCTACGAATATGAGGACACAGAGACGATGGACCAAAAGCCGCGGTGACTGGTGCTGTGCTGTGCTCTGCTTTGATCATTCCGAATCAATCAATACCTGGGTACTCGCAAGCAAATACTTCAGTACTTAGTTGCTGGTAGTGGAGCTTAAGGAGGCCCCCCCCCCCCCCCCTTTCGCCCTTCTCGTCATAACGCCTTTTTTTTTTTTTTTTTTTTTTTTTTCTTTTTTTTTTTCGTCTTTTACCGCGTCAACGATGGGATAATACCCGTAGATGGCATAATATTAATCGAGAAAAAAATACTCATAATCCATCCATCCATACCGGCCATCTGACTGATCTAAGGGCCGCTACCAGGGACAGGCCTTGTAGCCTCCGGCGCGACCAGGCCGTAAACAGCCTGGGCCACGGAGGAAGCCCTCCCAAGAAAGAAAAAAATCGTCCAACCCCTGCTGGGCTAGCAACTTGTGGGGGTGGCTTTCTGGTATGTAGAGACCTGCGAGTGAGTGCCGGCTCGGCACCCTGTCTTGTCTTGACGTTTTCGTATGTGCGGAGCAAGCAGCAGAGTCGATATTTTTTTTCCCTTTTTTTTTTTTGGGATGCATGCATTATACAAGTATAGCATGCAAGACAGGCAAGACAGGCAAACAAGCACAGAGGAGCCCGTAGCTGACCCCTGGGTTGCTCAGATCCAAGCCGATGGTTCGCTCACGACGGCTCACCGATGAGGGGGCCCAACATATATGGAGTTGCGACTCCAGGTTCGAGAACAATATCTGGCTCACCGCTTTTGGCGGTGCTCATCTTTTTTTTTCCGCTCTGCGTCCCTGATTCATGCTTGCTTGTGTCTCTCTAATGAAGCATCAGCATCAGAGGGCCAGGGAATATTGCGTGATGTATTACTTATTGTCCATGGCCTCTCCCACAAACACGGCAGCCTGCTTAGCCTGGTCTCTCTACCAGCTGGGGTTCGATTTTTTTTTTTTTTTTTTTTTTTTTTTTTTTTGCCGTCTTTTTTTTTTATAACCTCCATAGCTAGCATGACGTTTGCTCACGCGCCACCAAGTGGATATCAGCCGGTCCCTCGCGGTGCTGGAAGCATCTGGAGTCACGTCCAAGCGTTGATCCATGTCTGGCTTGCCGCTCCACCACGACGCCACTAGCCAGCAAACGAGACATGGTGCTGATGGGCTTACTGACACGGCATGCTGGTTTTTCTAGAGCCTGCTGGCATGTCTTCTGTGCATGCTTCTGGCTTCAACCGGTTTCCGGTGCGTCGGTGCAGCGGTTAAACAGGGCGTCGTGTGTAGAACCCAAGACTAGCCGGGCGCATGTAAGACTGTGCTGCCACCACTGGTGTAGCCATGGAGGCAGCACGAAGCTCCGTTGATACTCGTACACGAGTGCTCACTCACAATTGTCAACCATCATCATCATCAGCAGCAGCATCATCATCATCATCATCATCATCAGCCGCTAGGCTCTGGCCCTGGCAGAAAATCTGAGTAGAGCACCCAGGACCCTGGCTAGCCTTGCACGAATTGCCCACTGGGCATTGTCGGGCTGGGGAGCCTCAGTCTAACACTTGTCGCAGCATGTAGATTGTAGTATGCTAGATTCTCATCTTCTTCCTCGAGTCATCAGACAGATGAGATGAGTGCCACAGATCTTTCGGCGCACACACAGTTCGTCGTTGCAGCGGTCTGATATGAGCTGCGATGCGAGTTCCAGCTGCTGGGCACGGCAGGGAGGCTCTGGTGCCGGGTGATACCCTGCCTTGTCCTCTGCAGCCCGCAGCCTAAAAATACTTCGTAGCATCCAATTGTGTCAGTTGAGAGGCTCGGGATGAGCAAGAGGCGTCTGATTGCCTTCATTGCATTTTCATGCTTCGTCCAGGGGGGCCGAGAGACCTTTGCAGGAGCCGTGGTTGAGCAGCGGTCCTTCTGCTTACTCTTTTCTTGCCGTTGCAGCCCCTTCCTTCCTCTGCTCTCCTCCTTCACTCCAGACAAAGTGGCGAAAGCATCGCGCAAGTCTGTTTAAGCTTCATCCAACCACCATCTTTTGCCTGTCAAATCGATCCATCCGCCTGTCTGGGGCGCCTTTGCCTCTCACCTGCTGCTAGTCTCTGACTGCGTCCTTCACCTGCCAGAACGGTGCCAGAAGCCCGACCGGTAGCGGCCATTGGCGGAGAGCCAGAAACCGCAGACAAGGCCATCAAGGCAGCCAGCCCCAGCTCTCGAAAGGAATCAGAATCGCTGGGGGAGAGCACCAGCAAAATCCCCGAAAAGCTGACCGCCCAGCGAGCCAGGCACCCAGGAACACAAGATCAGGCACACACGCACGCACACACATACACGCACGCACACACATACACGCACGCACACACACACTCGGTGTATCTGCCGCGCGAAGGAGGCTTCAAGTCACCATCACCACGGCAAGCGTGCAATCATATCGTCTCGTCAGCTACACGATCCTCTTTCGTGCTCGCCAAGGCACTGGAGAGCGGATACGGCAGCCCAAGACAGGTAATTCGGGCTCAAGGCTGCGGAGCAAATCTCCATCTCGCCAGTCCCATTTGTCCGGCCGAACAGAATCCTCCTCCAGACTTGTCCACCGCCTAAAACCCAGCATTCCCACCGCTCTGGTGCCATATCCGGGCCCTCAATCACGGGCTCAGTCGCTGGCCAGGGCTGCTAGGCTTGAGCTCCGTCCTGATCGACACCGCAGCACATCCTAACGCTTCGTGCTGGGACTAGCACTGCGAATTGCTTGGACAGCCCCAAGGGGTCCCCGCTCGACCTGGACTTTGGCTTGCGCCTGTGTCCGCTGTGGATACTGTATTCGCTGCAGGTATGAGAACAGAGTTGCTGAGGTGGACAAACCGCTAGCAAACACGCACGACGTCAAGACCCTCCGGCGGCCTTTGGCTGGAACTCTATTCCCAGGGTGTGTCCAGCCACACATTCAAGTACTGTACAGTAAGCACAGCACACCACAGCACGCAGGTACTCGGCTGCCAGGGACAGAGGAGCAGCGCGGCGCCTTACCACGCGAGCTCGCAGCGGCATCCGTCTTGGCTTCTTGCCGAGGAGCGAGACACACAGAACTCTACTAGACGAGACACGGGGCAGCTCAGCGGTGCCAACGCAATCCCACACACAAACTCTGCCCTCCATCGTGTCTTTCTTTCGTGGGGGGAAAGGCTCTCTGGGAGCGCAGACATCAGACAAATTCACTCAGCGCTTCGCTCCTCGCACGCCAATCTCCCGTTCCGCCGAACTGGTGCTCCGTTCCAAAGAGCACAATACTTTACTAGCACCTATTGCTACCCTGTCGCATCCCCATTGTGCCTCCACCCATCTACGGAGCACACTCTCTTAGCCCGCAAGGTAGCGCCGCGAACAAGTCGTGAACCCCGCTACGAACACGGCAGCGGCAGCATCGTCGCTACTAGAGCCTTGAACGGCACGATACTGAGGTTACTTGGGGGTGTTTTTTCGACAAATGCCATTGATGCGGACGCAGTGGCCGCTTCAACTCGACCATCTAGCAACCCGCCGCCGCCGCCGCCGCCAGAGGGAGGGCTCCGAAGCTACTCAACTTCACGATAACCACATAGAAGCAACAGATAAGAGAAGAAAGAAGCAGAAGGAGCAGAAGAAGCACATCAGAAGCAGCAGCAGCAGCAGCAGCAACACCAACAATAACACCAGTAATACCTAGTAGTTACACTCCTCGAGTATACAAGCTCGATACAACGAGTAGTCCGAGTCCCAGTAGCGGCTGCAGCAGACGCAGCGCCAGTAGTGCCAGCATCAGCGGCGACGTTCGATGCGGCACTGGAGTCTGCATGGTGTCGAGCAATGGCATGAGCATGTCACCGCCAGTCATGGATGGATATGCAACCCGCCTGCAGGAGAGCGGTAGCGATAGCGAAGACCAACAGGCCCTGCCGCACCAGCAGCACCAGCATCGACAGGCCCAGGATCAGAGCCTAATCCAGAGTCGGCAGCACCAGGGCCAGATGCAGAAACAGCAGCGACAGCAGCCCCAGACCAGCGGCGGCTCGCCCCCTCTCCAAATCCACCGGAATAACTTGGAGCGCCTCAGCGCTTCGAATCTCAGGTCTTCATTTAGGGTCAATGCCAGCCCGAGACCTGGTCGTTCCATCACACCTGACCTACTCCAAGGTCATGGTGGTGCTGTGAGCGCTGCGCTTTCTGATTCAAACATGGCCCACCCATCCCGCAGCGTTGGCTCTCAGCAGGGCTCGCCTAGGTCTGTTCCCGGGAGCCTTGGTCGTCGCCAAGGTGTTGTCTTCAGCGATACTGTTTGCGACTCTTCAGATGGCACAGACTCCAGCCCCGCGACTCTACAGCAGAGAAATGCAAATGCGATACGGCCCAGGACGCGGACAATGGATGCCTCTATGCTAGGGCCCAGAGGCTCTGGCTCCTCCGCTACCGAGTTTCGACACAGAGTTAGCAGCGTCTCGTCTGGGTCGCAGCCCACCGTCGACGATCAGAAAACGTTGACGCCAAGTTCCGACCCTGCCAACTACTCGACGATACCGGCCGTCAGAGTACCTGAAATCACAACGCCAACGTCCAAGGACAAGAGTAGCAAGTCATCTCACCACCACCACAATAGGCGACTTTTAAAACGGCAGCCCTCTCGCCCGACCTCGCCATTGGTCGCTCCTGCGCCTTCTATCGATTCCCTCCCGTACCCTATCCCGACCGACGATGCGAATCGCTTGGTGGTGCTGATGAAGGCTCTGGGTGGGCGGATGCGTGGTGAGCTCGAATACCAGGGCGAGTACCGGGGAACCTGGCACACAGGAATGGCATATATCGACGTAGAGAAAGGCACCCTCATGTTTGGATTAGGTCACACTGGCCAAAATGCGTCGTTCCATATACCTCTTGTCTCGGACTTGCGAGGTTGCAAAGTTCACGTCACTGGCTACCCCGATGCAGAAAGAGAATGCCTGGAGATTGTCCCCAGCGAACCTGGATTGGAACTCTTGATCAGGCCCATCATGTCGGAGGAGCTGGAGCTGTGGCTCGCGGCGCTCTTGTGCTGGCAGCAGCTCACACCTCTCAACCTCAAAGTGCCCAACGGAAAACCAGCCAGCCCCGCCGGGCCTATTCGCCCTGAAATGAGACAGCGTGCCAGGTCAGGCGATACTACAAAGGCCACAAACATCATCAAAGTAGGCAAGTTCATGCTTTGGGACAAGGGTCCAGCAAGGTCAGCCCGTGCGGTCGTCCAACGGTCGTCAACGCGCGATCACATGCATCCATCCATGTTTTGGAGAAGAGTTTCTTGCGTTTTACAAGATAATGGCGAGTTTAGGCTCCTTATGGAGAACGATGTTTCAGTCTTATCCATTATTGAACTATCTCAGCTTTCTCGGTGTGCCATCCAGGGCCTCGACCGTTCCGTTCTAGAAGAAGATTATTGCATTGCCATTTTTCCCATTTACGCCTCTACCGCAACACACATATCCGTCTACCGACCCGTCTATCTAGCTGTGGATAGCCGTATCGACTTTGAGGTTTGGTTTGCGCTGCTTCGAACTTTTGCCGTCCCCGACATCTTCGCCCTAGATGACCCGCAAACAGATGAGATTCAAGATGTGGTTGATATCGAAAAAGATCTTCCGGGGGAAGTTTTCCGTATGGAAAAAATTATTAGGGTCAGAGTTGTAGAGGCCAAGATCAAAGCCAATCCAGTTGGGGTAGAGTGGTTCTCGCCGGAGAAATGTGGCAGAATGGGTCCAGATCCTTTGGTCGGCAGCTACCTTGCGGAAGTGATTTTGGATGGCGAGGTCAGAGCCAGGACGACGACCAAAAAGGATACGAAAAACCCATTCTGGAGAGAGGACTGCGAGTTTAACGATTTACCCGCGGTGGTGCAAGATCTTTCTGTTGTGCTAAAACGAGTTGATTGCGGCTCTGACGGGTACTCAAAATCGATATCCGTCCAGGAGATTATATGCGGCAGTGTAAGAATCGCCCTGGACGACGTAGAGAGAGGCCAGGGGCAGGAAAGCTGGCAGCCGATTCTGGATGATAGGCAGCAGAATATTGGGTCGATGCTAATCAAGGTCTTCCACGAAGAGCATGTCGCCTTGCTGTCGAAAGAATACGAGCCGCTGTCTGAAATTTTGCATCGATTCCCTTCAGGTCTAACTACTCTCATCTCTGCCTCTCTCCCAGGCCAACTGCGCCCACTTTCAGAGCTGTTCCTCAACATCTTCCAAGCCTCCGGCTCCGCAAGCGATTGGTTGATGGCCTTGGTCGAAGACGAAATCGATGGGATAGGAAACCAGACGTCTATCAAGAAATACCGATTTAGTAATAGACTCAAATCTAGCGAATCCATGGAGTCTTCAAACGAGCGAGAGTTGATGGTTCGCGATATCCACAGGACGTTGGCAGGAGAGGCTAACCTTTTGTTCCGAGGTAACTCGCTGCTAACACAATCTCTCGAATTTCATATGCGCCGCTTGGGCAAGGAGTACCTGGAAGAAATTCTGCAGGATAAAATCAATGAGATCAACGAATTGAACCCTGATTGCGAAGTAGATCCAAGCAAGCTGATGCAAACCGGAGGAGACTTGGATCAACACTGGGGCCGTCTTATTCACCTCACAACAGAAATATGGCTGTGCATCGCAGATTCGGCGGAAAGATTACCGGCAGAGCTGAGGCATGTTCTGAAGTACATTCGCGCTGTAGCAGATGACCGCTATGGAGACTTTCTCCGCACCGTCAGCTACACTTCCATATCGGGCTTCCTCTTCTTGCGATTCATATGCCCTGCCATCCTCTCCCCAAAACTATTTGGGCTATTACGGGATCACCCCAGACCGCAAGCACAGCGTACCTTGACACTCATTGCAAAAGCATTACAAAAGTTATCAAACTTGTCGACGTTTGGAAAGCGAGAAGAGTGGATGGAGCCGATGAATCGCTTCTTGACCCAACAGCGGCCAACCTTCCGAGGCTTTATCGACCAGGTCTGTGGTATTCCGGCTGATCGAGGCGGCAGGACCTTACCTCCCAGCTATATCACGCCTGTCACCATACTGAATCGACTAGGGCCTACAGCGAAGGAAGGATTCCCTAGCTTGCCATACTTGATTGACCAAGCTCGAGCCTTTGCGAGTCTCGTCAAACTGTGGGTAGATTCACGGCCTATCGATGTCAAACAGGCGCAAGTCGATGGAGAGCTGTTGATATTCAACGATCTATGCTTTGGGCTGCAAAAACGCGCCGATGCCTGTCTTGCCAAGGTGGTTGATTTCCGAAACAAGGAGATACCGTCGTACATGTCCCCCGAACAGCTGGCCGAGATCCTGGAACAGGTCAACTTTACTGGGCCATACCACCCGTATTATGTGGGAAGCCCAACCTCTAAGCCCAGTAGCTACGAGCAACCTCCTGGAAGCTCCAGCAGCGACGGAGGCGACTCAAGCTCGAAAAGACGCAGCAAGGAAATGAAGCGTGGAAGGGATGACGCAGACACGAAAAAAGGCAACAGTCCCCGAAATTCGAGCGGTTCAGCCAGCGGAAATCCGAAGCAGAAGAATGGAAAAGTCGGCAGGACTCTTTTGAGTGGCCTCATGAAGATTGGCGGTGGAAGATCCGAGAGTCCAGACACAAAAGGGCAACGATAAAATAAAGCCCTTACTTTTCTTTTCTTTTCTATTATATTTTTTTTCTTCTTCGGATGTATACACGTATATACATATACATGACTTGGATGTGGGGATATCAACCAGCTGCCAGTCACATGAAGGAGAGGGAAAGATTCCATCTTTGAAAACATACCTGGAATTTTATTTTTCCCCCTCTCTTCTTTTTGCACTTTTTGTCAGACTATTTACACTTTGGTCTTGTCATTTTTTTAGACGTCTTCCGGTTGGATACACAAAATGGTGTTGGGAATTAAGGGCTCTTTGCATGGAGAAAGCTGGCGAAAGCTTTTACTCCCCCGTCTTTCGTTACGCTCTTTTTTTTTTTTCTCTTATTCATTACATCTTTTTCATTTCCATCTCCCGTCTTCTCCTTTCCAAAACAGATTGCCGTTTGTTTCTTCCTCCCTATAAAGGATTGATATGATGATATGGGGACAAAAAGGATTATGGGAGAAATTTACATCACAGGAGGCTCTCTCTCTCTCTCTCTCTCGTTTTTATATACGTTACACTACAACATGCATGCATACATTCCCCAGGTGAAAACTTTTGTTTTTTTCTTCATGTCCCCTTCTCTCTACTTTTTTTTTTTATTCCCCCTGAGTTAGTTGGGCGGTGGAGGGGAGGGAAGGGAAGTTATTATTCATCACTCTTGCATTGTCATTGATAATAATGTGCGGCATAAGTAGATGCATATAGTATAGGTGGGGAAGGGGAAAAAAAAGGAGGTTCAATAACATTTCAATCTCTGGTTTGACTCTCGCTACTACTGTACTTCTCTCTCGTTCAATCTGTCTCCTCTCTCTCTCTCTCTCTCTCTCTCTCTCTCTCTCTCTCTCTCTCTCTCTCTCTCTCTCTCCTTGTCTGCCTCTCTCTCTGAATGGTCTCCTTTTCCCCCTTTTTCTTTTTTCCTTTTTTCAATTTTTATTTCCTAGCCTCTTTTCTTTCCATTAAGTTCGCGACAAAAGAAGACGAACATTTTTTTCTTTTAGATGAAAGTCTCTACTTTGAAATGGTAGAGAAATGGCATCTTATGAATGCGTGTGCGTGTGCGTGTGCGTGAGTGTGTTTGTGTTTGTGTTCGTGTTTGTGTTTATGTGAAAAGCGGCAGCATTTCGTTAGATGGGCATCATCGCCAATAAGTAGTCAAGTCTTATTAATACGCAGTTTTGTTTGTTCCTTTTGTTCGAATTAGGAGGTAGCGTTATGCTTTTGTAGCTTGGAATAAAAAAGTAAATGAGCTCTTAGACTTCTTCCACTTAATCACATTTTGCTTTTTCTTGTCACCACAAGAAAAAGGGAGGGGGGATTCTTAAGCTGTGTTTAAGCATTTGGTCACATACGCGATGTTACGTCTACAGCAATTTCTTATATCAAAAAAGCCCTTTCCATATAAATAATTGATTGACAAAGTATAGATTTTTTTTCTTATTGAACCGTTTTGTTTTATTCTTTAACTCGAGTGCTGTGGTATCTTCCCCTTCCACTCTCTGTGCCTGATTCTTCTTCTAAACCTTTACGCCTCCCATGCTTTAAAACTTTTGAGACATTTTCCTCTTCATAGCAGCAATCTTGCAAGCTTCCCGTGATTTATTCCTTGAAAAAAAATTTTTATTTTTTTTCTTCCTCTTTTTCTCTTTTCTTTTATTTTTTTTAAATTGTTCACCCTTCAGTTACTGAAAGAACTTCTTGTATGCAGCCTTCTCCTTCGCAGCCCGAGCAGCGGCCTTTGTTCGCACGGCATTCAGCTCGTTGTTGACAGCAGAATCAGTGGGCGCCAGCTTATGCGCCTCTTCAAGATCTTTCAGGGCCCCTTCCTCGTCCTTTTGGCGAACGTTGGCAAAGCCACGTCGGTAGAAAGCCTTTGCGCGGTCTGCGGGGGCGATGCCACCGACGGCGAGAGCGGCGGTGGCGCTGCGGACAGCATCGGCCCAGGCTTCCAGCTTGATGTGCAGAAGGGCAGAGTTATTGTTTAGGGAGAAACGCAGAGCGTCAAGCTGGGCCTTGCCTTCGGGCCAGTCGTCCAGCTCCGGCTCCTCGTTGATGTATCGCAAGCCCTTTTCGTACTTTTCGAGACCAAGAGCGATGTTACCCGCCTTGAAAGCCTTGTTACCGAAATCTTTGCAGTCCGAGGCAATCTTGTAGGTGGTCTTGGCGTCAGGAGGTGTAGAGCAGTCCTCGGGGAAATCTTCGTGGGGGTCTCCGAGGGCATCGGGCTGCTTGACATCAGCGCTGAGGGCTTCGTCTCCGGAGAGCTCGCCACAGTCGGCGATGATGGCGTCTTTCGAGGGTCGGTCGCCGGCCTCGGTGCGGACATTTTCAATCTGGCGGACGACGGATTTGCCGTTGAGGACTTCGCCAAAGACCACGTGCTTACCATCCAGATGCGGCGTAGGGACGGTGGTGATGAAAAACTGAGAGCCGTTGGTGTCTGGAGGAATGCACGAGTTAGCCACAGTTTAGGGGGGAGATTTGGGGAGACTAAGAGGGATAGATCTTGGGATATGACATACTGGGGCCAGCGTTTGCCATGGACAGAAGGAATGGCTTGTCGTGCTTTCTGGGGAAGGCCTCGTCCTCGAACTTGGCTCCGTAGATGGACTCGCCGCCAGTGCCATCTCCAGCTGTGAAATCACCACCCTATATTTAGCAATGTCAGCACTCGTATTCGGCCTAACCAACGCCATTTCTGCGAACCTGGATCATAAACTGCTTGATCACGCGGTGGAAGGAAGAGCCCTTGTAGTGCAGAGGCTTGCCCGACTTGCCCGGTCCCTTCTCGCCAGTGCAGAGAGCACGGAAGTTCTCAACGGTCTTGGGAACGAGATCAGAGTACAGCTCCATGTTGATGCGGCCAAGAGGCTTGCCGCCCAGGGTGATGTCGAAGAAGACACGGGGCCGGGTGGCCTTGGTCTCGGTTTCAGAAGCCATGGTGGTGACGGTCGCGGAGAGAAGAGAAAGAGTTCAAGTCGGCGGGGGGCGGTGGATGGTGGACGGGATCAATTGGATCGCTGGATAGTGGAATGAAGAAGAAGAGATGAGTGGAGGGGAGAGTTTGCGATGCCTAAAAGATGGCGAGTCGTGGCCTGGCCGGAAGAAGGCTGCGAAGATTCCTTCCGCTTCTCTCGATATAGTGATGCGGGGTCAGGCTAGCGATGGAAAGTCAATGCGTTGACGCTCTGTGTCTGAGCTGGAGGAAGGGAGACAAAGAGGTTGGGAAGAAGAGGATAGAGCAGGGAACTTGGAACAAAGGAAGAGAGAAGAGAAGAGAAGAAGAAGAAGAAGAAGAAGAAGAAGAAGAAGAACCAGGTGGGACGAGGGTAATGAAACAAAGGGAGGTCAATTGAGCGCTGTTGATAGCTAAGACCTGATGCTGGAAGCTGCTTAGGTAGGTGCGTACTAAGACTGGTGATATAATGGATGCTACAGCTATTATTACAGGCTACCTATCTTTAGCTACTGATCCATGTCTGGCACGACTGAGATGAGCACAAAGCACAAGCTCAAGCTCAAAGGCATCAGGCGGCTGTGCTTTGGGCTGGTGCTGAGCTTCAGCCCAACTTGATCAATCACAAGATTCGAGCTGACATCAGTCAGTTTCTACACGCTGCCCCTCCATCGGCAATTCTGCCCCTCCAAGCTCTGTTTTTTGAGATTGGAAGCTCTGCAGTGGAGCCCGGTCTAGGTGCTGTTAGTGGCCAGCCCCCCGCTGCTGTAGAAGTTTCTAGCAGGTGGCGCTGGGCCGCAGCGCATGATGAACGCTGTCACGCATTTGCATCGGGGTACATGCAGGCCGTGCATGAGTTGCTATCGACGGGCTACCTAATCTATTCCATCCTGCAACAAACACCCCATTGCATATCTGCGTGCATACCAGGGCCCCTGGGCATTCTTTAGTCGCCTTTCTGAGTGAGCAGACTGGCCACCTGTCGTAATATCTTCTGATATCATATCGGGCTCCCATGCTGCCGTTGCTAATAAAGGGATTGTTGGATCACGCATGCATGCCCTCAAGGCACAATCATGTCTGGATGGCTCCTATACTGCCTTTGAACTATTTTTCTCATTTAATTCCGTTCCAAGATGAATTACAAGTATTGTATCCAGTCGTCTCTTGCCAGCACCTTACTCGGAGTAAAGTGCCGTCAGCAAAATGACTACCCGGGAATGAAGCAAGTTGAAAACCAAGTATCAAAGCGTAAATCTATGGCTCTTTCTATGGACTAATTTCCCTCAATTCTATTCGCTCTATACGTCACATCGTATTCTCATCATCTGTATCACCCTCTACCTTTCAGACACGGGAGCACCGGTCTGGAGCTCCAAAGTAACCTGTATCACACAAATACCGATCGTATCAGCACCATTCTAGCATGATCAGAAAGTCCCGAAACCAAGCAATGACTTACCGGCCCATCGTTGACAAGAGCAACTTCCATCATGGCCTGAAACTTGCCGTCCTTGACTCGATCCGCCAGATAGAGGTCCTTGACCTTTTGTACAAAGTAATGGTATAGCCGGCTCGCTTCTTCGGGGTTTGCTGCGCCATGGAAATCGGGCTTGGTGCCCTTTTTGGTTTTTGCTAGCAGAGTAAATTGTGATACTAGTCGTCTCTCATGAGCATCTTCATCTTTGTAGGGAATATGTGGTGCGTATTATATTACTCACCGCACAGCACCTCGCCCTCAATGTCTGTGACGCTCCTTTTCCACTATCACTCCAATCAAATCATCAACAGTGTCTCACAGCCTGGGCAAAAGGCCTCACATACCCGGCCACCGTCTTCGTCGTCCCAAAGCTTCATCTTGACAACCTTGTTCGCTAATGAATCGGCTTCTTTTTCTGTGTCTCCCGGCGCAACGGCCGCAAATACCAGCACTCCACGGCCAATGGATGACACCAGCTGCTTTTCCACCGTCACGGACGCAGAAAGCACGCGCTGAATGATTGCTTTATGAAGATAACCATATTAGATCTTATTGCCATGCTATAATAATTTATTGTGTACATAAAAGGCCTTCAATAACAGCACAGAGGGGAACGATAGAGAGTAGCAAGTTTGGCCTACCCTTCATTGTGAGGAACGTATAGCCGGCGCCGGCACTTCTTGTTCCACCAAGAATGGATTGATTACAACAGCAGAGGATGATAAGAGAAAGAATGAAACCCCTTGTCCCAGTAGCCCTGCTGCCAACCCACTGAAATCAACCAAAGCCCAGAGAGAAAATGTATCAAATAACAGGAGCAAGGGAATCTTGTACCGAGACCGGCGACATCTAATCGGCTTGGCCAGACAAAGGCAATCCAATCAGTCTAAAGATGCCATGAATCGCGCATGCAAAGTCTGTGTCATGTGAGAGACGGCGTAGCCACTTATCAGACATCCCACCTTGCCAAAGTACTCTTTGATAGCCATAGCCATGTGATAATGACATGCTGATTGATTCAAGTGGGCAAATAGGAATAAAAAAAAGACTCAATTGTAGTTATGCAATATATTTCTCATAATTCATTGTTTTTAAATCAATTAATATCGGGTCATCCATAGTCATATGCCCAGTTTTTGCTTTCTCGGCTAATCATCGCACAGCACAAAGTACCGCCCTGCTGTTAGCTCGGTGCAGCCTCGCGACCTGGCCTCACCAACTTCAATCTCGCACGTCCATCGCCTTAAAGGCTCAATCCAGCTGATTATCGCCACAGACACCCCCGGTCAGCGCTTTGGAGTTGATCCCGACACGACCGCCTCTGCCGCTTCTGTTGCTGTGCACAGCAGCTCTGCGCCCATCACGTGGTCGAAGCCGAGCCTCGCACGCATCTACAGCCTTCCGTCACAAAGGCTGCCCCACGAAAACGGATCAAGCCACCGGCGAAATCTTATTGTACCCTTTTTGCAAAGCACAACGAACTCGGACATCTCTGTTGGCGACCAGATCTCCCAAACACAACCGGAAAGGACGCCGCTCGGGCTTTTCTCCCCTCCTCTACCGACAAAATGGCGGCGAGGAAACTACAACAAGAAGTCGACAAGTGCTTCAAGAAGGTGGCGGAAGGCGTCGCCGAGTTCGAGGCCATCTACGAAAAGATTGAACAGTCAAATAACCCGGCCCAGAAGGAGAAGCAGGAAGACAACCTCAAGCGCGAAATCAAGAAGCTGCAAAGACTGCGCGACCAGATCAAGACATGGGCCGCCAGCAACGACATCAAGGACAAGGCTCCCTTATTGGAGCATCGCAAACTGATTGAGACTGTTGGTGGGCCCCAGTAACGTTGGGTATTGATGCATACCTAGTATAGAGTCGCATACTGACCTACTTCATTTCGCCGACTTCTAGCAAATGGAGAAATTCAAGGCTGTGGAAAAGGCCATGAAGACGAAAGCATACTCCCAAGCGGGCCTCTCAGCCGCTGCGAAACTAGATCCCAAAGAGCAGGCCAAAGTAGAAGCCTGCGACTTCCTGAATAGCATGGTTGATGAGCTGGAGCTGCAGATCGAGACCCTAGAAGCCGAGAACGAGTCCATACAGGCTACGATGAAGAAAGGAAAGAACAAGATCGTTCAGGAGAACCGCATGGCCGAGATCGACCGGATAATCGAGAAGCACAAGTGGCATCAGGGCAAACTGGAGCTGATTCGAAGGACGCTGGAGAATGGAGGCATCGATACCGACGACGTCACCGGCCTAGAGGAGCAAATCCGCTACTATGTGTCTGATGGCATGAACGAGGACTACATGGACGACGATGAAATATACGACGATCTAGACCTTGAGGAGGAGGAAGGTGTCTTCGGCATGAACCAGGATAACGAGAAGAACTCGTCTCAGGATACTCAGTCTATACAAGACGACACCCATGATTTCGAGCTGCCAGCCAAACCGAGGAAACCAGCCAAAGACTCCGACTCCACCACGTCAACGCGAACGAAATCTGTGCAGTCCAAATCACCCTTACCGGCACTGGCAACGCTGCATACTCCGCTATCAGCAATAGGTAGTGGGGGTAGCGGTAGTCCTGCCATGAAGCCTGCTTCTATCCCCTCGAGGCCTGCGGGAGAGGGACTCAAGTATGCGTCTGCCGCAGCCGCAGCCGCAGCCGCAGACAAGAACAACGTCGGCATTGCTCCTCTGCCGCCGCCACCAGGAGTTGCTGCCGGTATCTCGCCTTTACCGCCTGCGCAGTTGAAGACGAGCGCAACGAATTCACCGGCCGTCTCGTTTGTTCAGCCAGCTCAGGCGCCCGAACCCAAGCAAGCTACACCTGTTGTTGCGCCCGCATCTACTTCTACGCCTGCGCCCGCGTCCACACCCGCACCTGTAGAGAACGCCGAGGCACCGTCAAGTACGAAAGCGACAAAGAAATCAAAAGCGTCAGGGAAACAGCCAGCCACATCGGAAGCACCACCCTCCGAGGCATCCTCTGGTAAGTTGCCAATGAGAGCACCTTGTGGATGTTATTATGTGTGTATTCTCCAGCTAACACCGGATCACTTCCAAATAAAGCAACCCAAGCAAACGGTTCCGCCAACGGTGTCAAGTCCACTACGGAGGAGACCGAAGAGGAATCCATCTATCATCTCCCTGCGTCCCTACAAGATCTCGTTGAGTCGTATGAGACATCACGAAAACGACCTTACCAACCATTATCGCCTTCAACCCTGAGCTTGATGAAGGCGAGCCAGCTGAGCTACCCCAGCGCTTTTGAAGCCGATGTCCCGCGAACATATCGTCCCGATATGCCTGTGCCGCAGACTGGTTCTGGATTCCCCACACAACCGCTGCCCATATTTGATGACCCTCGGCTGTACTCGAGGATAGACCCCGACACTCTGTTTTACGTTTTTTACTACAAGCAAGGAACGGCGCAGCAGTATTTGGCCGCCAAGGCGCTGAAAGATCAAAGTTGGCGGTTTCACAAGCAGTACCAAACCTGGTTCCAGCGGCACGAAGAACCCAAGAATATCACAGAGGAATTCGAGCAAGGCACCTATCGCTTCTTTGACTACGAGAGCACATGGTAAGATGCACCTTAACGGTCCTGTTGCATTATATAATCTCAATTATTAACCTCTACTCTACTATAGGATGAACCGAAGAAAGGCTGATTTTAAATTTGCTTACAAATTTCTTGAAGATGACATTTAGTCAACTGTTGGCTTTTGATGATGGGATGCATAGGCTAGGCTGGGACTATTATGTGTTTTTGCTTTTGTCATCCGTGCCCTGTCCATGACGGGGCTGATTTTTTTTTTCTTTCTTGTCTTTATGGGAGTTATAAGAGATCATCATCGTAGCTGCGACTATGCGCTACTAAAGTTGGGTTTCTCAAATGGAGGGAAATGACTAGTGCCAGAATAATCTATATGAGGCGGCGTCCCCCCCCCCTTTTTTTTTTCCTCTCAAGGGAAACAAATTCTGTGCCGAGAGATTGTTTGCAGTTTCCTTGTCTCGCAATGTGGCTCAGTAAGCAAATGGTGTTGTTGAGATGCTAATTGAAGTGACAACAAACAGGCGGACTTGCAAAGCCAAACGGCTTCGCACATATGCATATACCTCTTAAGTGAGTAAACCCGCGTATATCACTAAGAGCTGGGAACTATACTGAACTATTTAGGAAGAAACTTGGACCTCAGTTAGAAACTGGCGCTAAAGGGTTCAGCTAACTTCACACAAACCGCTCAACCAGATGGAACTTGCCGCGGATAAAGTCGCGATAAGCCAGCTCGTATATTAGGAAAGTACTTCCTAGATTGATATCGTTATGTTATCTTAGGGTTGTCGCCTTATCGCATTCGGACCTGTTATGACAGGGTTTGTTTGAAGGAGACGTCATAGAGCCAAGCGTTCATGGTGCTAGAAGAACACCTCGGGAAGATCCGTTGCACATAGAAGAAAGGGTACAGCAAAGGCTTATTCCCCCCCACTGAACGTCTCGGGTCAACGTACTTGCAGTTTATGATCAAGTGTCACAAATGCGCGTGGTTGCATGGAGGACATGGCGGATGCTACATCATGTCAAGCCATGACTCGCGAATTATCCGGGGGGCCACCATCGGCAACTCCCGCTCTCTACAAGGATGTACTATCGTACTAACATTGGCCTTGATGGTACATACTGCTATGTACCACTGCTATCAACTGCAGTGCTTTATGTACGAACACTCCTACATGGTAGGCGTGTAGATCCAGCCCTACGTTTTGAACTACACCCCCACAGGGATCACAACCGTTAGGAACTTTGCAGCTAAAGGATTTAACTGGGGACCAAGGATCGATTAAAGTACTCCAGTCCCTAAACTTGTACTCTATAGTGTTTTGTGATGGAGTCAAGGGCGCATCGGTGTAATATACAGACAGCAACTCGTAACAGTTGCGATCTCTGTAGGGCGTGTCTTATCGAGCTGTCTCGCCTCGCCTTGCCTTAACTCGGACGCACTGCGACTCAGCCTTACCCAACTCAGTGCGTACTATTCTCCCCTGCTTGCCTGTAGCATGCAGGTACTGCGGCCGGGAGAGGAGGGGTAATCTACACGGAGATCTGAATGGTACCACTACTAGTATCATCTCACTGCTTGGTAGTGTTTATTCTATAGGCCGACTATAGAGTTGTGAGATCTGTTTATCTTGCAGGCTTTGGGAAGATCCTTGGCGCAGAGTCTAGAAGAAGTGGGAACTTGCGGGCGCTGAGTAGCACGGTGAGCAGAAATGCGCAGACGCATGGCACGGTACAAACGGATTAGGCATGGAAGTGATTTTTGATTCCAGATCAGCCATTGGTTGTGGAACTGAGGAATTGCAGGATTCCGTTTGTTGAAGTGGACACAGCAGTGATTCAGTGAGAAGACAGAGCTGCCGCTGGCCATGAAAGATCGGATGAAGCAGATGAGTGAATAATGCTGTTTATGCTGCTGCGTTTGCAGAGCGTTTGCAGAGCGTTTGCTTCCTCGCTTGGTTGATATTGTGGTAACTGACACAAACTCTACTCTTCAGTCTCAACAAGACAAATCTGCACACAGAAGATATTCTCAAAGTGCTTTTACGAGCAAGCAAATCTATTTGACAGTAAGTAACCATGAAACTGCCACGAGGGCGCTCCACCGTGGCTTATATTCCAGACTAGGACATTTACGAAAACGAAAGGGTGAAGAAAACAAGGAAAAGATGAGTGCCAATTCGGAGTGGGTGTCTTGGTACGACAAGCCGCACAAGCGACAGTCCGCCGCCGCTCCAGAGAAAACGTCAACTCTCGGCGCAGACGAGAAGGATGCGTCCATCACCGACCCCAGCACCGTCAACCTCCAGTCCGGCGTCTTCAACAAGGTTGCCAGCACCTTTACGCAGCTCTTTAGTCACAAGCGGTCTCATCTAACTCGCAACCAGACCCAGACCCGTCTTGGCTGGACCACCACCGGCGAGCTAGGCGTGCTACGTCAAGAGCAGGACGCGCAGTACGAGTTCATGGAAGAGCTAGAGCAAAAGATTAAGGACCTCAAGAAGGAGGTGGAGCAGCTAAAGGGCCTGGTCAAGGCATACGAGGCCAAGATGGAGCGCAACGACGACCTTTTGCAGCACTGCATGCACTGGATCACGATGGCGCAAGTCTTTGGCGACGTGCCCGTGGCGAAGGACCGGATGGGGTGGAAGCCTGGCCGGGACGCGGCACTAGAGGGCAGCAGTGAGGACGGCAGTGAGGATGGAGATGAGGGAGACAACAATCTAGTTTGGTAAAGAAACAACAACAACAACAACAACAACAACAACAGCCCCCCTTATGATGGAAATGATGGATGCATATGACGATGATGATGATGATGCCTGGAGGATTGGTGGCTTTAATTGGGGGTCATATGCATGGCGAGAGATAGCTAATACGATACGATATTGCTTGGGGAGGTACCTATAATGTTTTCAACCGGAGACGATCAATCTACGGCTTGCATTTAGCCTATCGACAGATAACAGAGCTTAGAGACTTCTAGAAGCCATACTAACCAGCCCAGCCAGGGGGTTAGTTTCACCCATCAAAGGCTTATTTTCCTTTTTATCCAAGACGCCACACGTCATCGTGCCTTCGGCCCTATTAGTAGTAGCAGGCGCAATTATTTTTCTTCTTAATTTTGAATTTATTACTACGAAATTCAGAAGTTAGCGTCATTTTTTTTTATTGAGATATTTATTATTTTTTCGTTTTCCCATCAGGGCCCGCCCCCAAGTGCCCCTTCCCAATAGATCTATTGCATGCAGAATGATATATGGTGAGTTGGCAAGAGCAATTTCCGTCATCAAAACGGTTCTAGCCCTCGGGATTATGGCACAGCCAAGATGCAGAAGCGCGCCATCCCTCGTTTCTCGTTTCTCGTAAAAATCATCAAACGGCCAAGGCAAGACCACAAGGCGCTATTACTACTTACTCCTCCTCCTCCTCCCTTGCCCTGGCTTCTGTTCCACGATGAAAATTTTTCTTCTCTTTTCCCCCTTTACCCTTTTCTGCTCCTAGCTTGCAAACTTCTAGAACAACCGGGGCGTTGTTCTTGATCTTCGCGTTCCTTCGTGCGTGTGTCTATTACAGTTTTGCTGACCGCCTCTTGTCAGATGGCACAAAGATTGTGAAGTTTTTTCCCTGTTTGACATCATCCCGTGCCCATGTCATTGGCATAGAGCCAAAAAAAGGGAAAAAAAAAAAAAAAAAAAAAAAAAGTCAGAGATGATGCCCCATGAGCGGGTGAGATGAGTGGAAAAACACTTCCCGCATCACTCACATCACGCTTGGTTCTTCCGGCGGCGCCTGGCTATCGCTTTCTGCCCAGGGATACCGCTACCAGCATCCCGAAACCGCCCCCGAAGGCCCTGTTATGCTTTCCCAACGCGTACCGGCCAAGGATGGCGCGCCGCCCTAGACTCGCAGCAGTGCCTATTTGGCTGCCATGGACGGGAGGAAAGGCTAAGCGGGCAGATGGGACGTGTTGACTTGTGGTGGAGTTGCAGCCCGTCAGCATGCTCTACTCTCGTCGTAGTACTATTGCTACGAGGAGGGTGCATGATCCCCATCTCTGGCTGCTGATAAGATGCTGAGGAAAAGAGGCTAGGCGCATATGACTGCTCTGCTACATACGATACGTACATACGGTTGTTGCCGCCCCCCATCGTCACCAATCGCGGCTATACTTTCCTCGTGGCTTTCCTAGGGCTATTTCAGACAGAGCTAGGACAGAAGGACGGGGGCCCGCAACGCAGCAGTTCTGCATGACGATCTCCCAAGTCTCAACATATGCGACGGGGGCACAAGATCAGTCCTGGTCGACGATCATCTGAATCAGCCACGTCTGGCCGCTTTATGACGGCCCCGAGGAGCGCAGAGGTTCATCAATGTCCGCACGCTATGTTGCAAAGCCGCGAGTGGAGTGGAGTATAACTTGTTTGTTCCTTCATTCCCTTGCATAACCCAGTCGATCCTTTGGGTAATTACCAGAGATCAAAGTGAGTCCCCAGCATGAGGCGCGGAAAGAGAAAATTTAGCCATACAGAGCACGCGCCAGGCCACTTCACCTCTGAAGACGCCCGACCAATGACGCTTACACGGACACGGACACAGACCTTTCCTTATAATATGGAACACATCTAGAAAGAGGTTGTCATCTCGATCGTGGCTGCAGTCTAGAAGAAAAAGGCAAGGAAATCAGTGCTCAGCGAGATAATATAGAGCGGGTTCACCGATGCTATTCAGTTGAGTGTTGCTCAAGTCCTCAGCGCCGATCGTATCCATATCTGTTGAGTTTCGAACAAACCAGCCACTTGTTGGCGGGACTAGGAATAGCTTGGATGTCCCGACGAAGACTCGGATTGTCTGGGTTCTATCTACCTCCTCCATGTGTGAGGACTACTATTGGTTCGATACACCCTGAACGCCTAACAAGGCAAGTCGTATAGGCTCTTTGGTGCTTTATTCGCAATTGACAACAATGACTTGTCTGTTGCAATTATAGCACCACTGCTGCTAGTAGCATCGAATGGCAGGCAGTACCTGAACTGACATCCTACGCGGTCGTTCCCTCTCCTGGAATAGAGGCGGCATTAGCTCGCCATAGGCCGCGATATCTATTGCCGACGTACATATGGGTGTACACCTTGAGGCTCATAGTCGGGCTTCCGTGCTGGATTTTTGGGATTCGGGATTCGCTGCACTACACCCACGCCTACATGCACGTAAGGTGGGGGAAGGGGCTAAGGTAAGATGGGCTAAGTTGCTGGCAACATGCGAAGGGTTGCTATGGTGCTAATCCCTACTAGGAGATAGCTTCCTGCCCAAAGCGGCTTTCACGACTTCGGGATAGTCAGGCCGACTCGGCAGATCGCAGCGAGTCCTCTAAGACGGGCAACGAATCTTTTGGCAGTGTCTACAGCACCTATACCAGCGCTTCAACAGGTTGTTCGCTGCTGTGGCCATGGACTGTATGGGCTGTAACGTGCAAGTTATAGGGCATGAAAGATACCCCCCTATAGGGCCATCCTTGCCGGTTTTGACGGGATTATCAGCGAGGGATAGACGGTATACGGAAAACATGACACTCGGAGCCCGGGCCTCGGTAGCGGGGCATGCGGTGACAAGACACTATCACCAGTCGGTGATGTTGTCTTCCTACTCCTGGCGGTGATATCTTCAACCAAGCTCTCGGCAGTCGGATTAACCAATGCCTCATTAACGGAATCCTTTCTCAACGGAGAGTCATCTGTGATACTAGCTTGCCTAGCTCAGGCAATCTTTTTGACAGCTCGTGCGGCTGAGCCTGGCAGCCACATGTTTCCATATCATTCACATCTTGCTAGTTAGTGGCTCTTTTACGCGAACCCGGACCCAGAGCTTGTACTTACTACCGCTACTTAGTAGTAGGACTCGTAATTGCCTTTATCAAGTCTTTTAGCAGGGCAATTCTTTGCGTTAGGGGGCCCTGGGCCACCCCCACTCACTTAAATCAACCTCAAAAAAGATGTTCCTCGACGAAATGCCATGGGCGTTGTACAATTCAGCATTGTCGTCAAGTCGGTGGAGCGAGGGTACATGAAGACTCGGGCGCTAAAGTTCACAGCAATCGAGATACTCAGTGGTCATCGCAAAGTCTCGGTTTCGGCTGATTCGGCAACGCTAGGTCTAAGTCGTGTTCGTCAACTTCCATTGGCCAATTCAGTCGACAGGAGCCAAACAGGCATAGCATAGGAGGGGAAAACAAAGACGACGGGAAAATCAAAGAAGAAAAAGCAAGATAGATGGAAGCCCATGCTGATGGGACCCCTCATCTCCACAGAGCTTTGGCCAGCCCGCATGTTGCCCATGCCCCCAGTCCCTTCCCGTCTATGGTTGGCTCTGGGCCACGGGTAGCAGTAGTGCCTCCGAAGCCAGGTATACGATGCCCTCACCAGTGTGAGTGTGACGCCCCTCTGCATAGGGTTTATTGCTGCATAACGATTAGCGTCTAGTTCTACGTCACCCTCATAGCACTTCTGAAGAGTCTCCACCAATGCATTTCCGCCCTGCCGGATCCTATCCGCGCTAAATCTAACAACTCTTCTAGAAGCCTGGGCCATAACGATGGTGTGGTGTACCCTTGAGCAACGCACAAGTAGTGTACGAGAGTACAAGCTCCGGGACGGTTTGTTATCTGTTGCTCTGATACTCGGTCGAAATAAACACAGCCCCCCCCCCCCTGTCACACCTGGGATTGGCAAGCCATGCATATATACTTGGGCATGTATCGTCCCCTCGAGAGCTCTAGACTCATAAGCCTTCGACTGCCCTCGTCTTGACGCTCTGTTGTCTTGAAGTATCTTTCTTATACCACTTTCCATTCACCAGAATCATCTTGTTCCTCTCCATTCTCTTTCTCTTACTGTCATATACCAAACGGTGACACTGAATAACCACCTCTGAGTCAATTGGCAAACTGAGCAAGCCCATACCACTACGCTTATATATAAAGACGGTTTTGCTCGATTTACGCAAGCAATTGCTTATCCCAGAGAGCTTCAGGGATGGCTTCCCCCTACGCGAGCACCATGAACGACGATATGCAATCTAGCTTATACAGCCAGCTCTTCAGCGAGGCTCAGCGGTACGATGAGTGCCAGATCTACGGAGCGGCTCCTCTATGCGAAGAGAACCTGCCATACAACGACTGGTTTTCCTTCGGCATGACCGACTACAGCTCCATGGCAGATGGCTCTGAAATCTGCGATTCACACTCACAGCCGCTGTCTTCGTATGGAGGCTCAGAGGGCTGCTCGGAGGCGAGCTCCCCCGCATCACCAGTCTCTACGGACTCGTTCTTCTCACAGCAGACCTCGCCGGCCCCCAGCTTATCTTGCTTCCCGTCATATGCAAGCATCGGCACGCCTGCGACGTCCACCTATAGCAGCCCAGATGCCACGACTAGTCAAGAAGTGGCTTCGCCAGCAGAGTCACTAACGTAAGTTGCTCCGTGCCGCCCAACAACCACTAATCGCACTTTACGATTAACCACATTGAGCGTAGGTTTGCCTCCAATGGCCGCGACTATCCAGTGTGTTGCTTACATCCCGGCTGCGATGCGAAACCTTTTAAGCGTCGCGCCGATCTCGACCGCCACTACAAGCACAAGCATGCTCCGGCCTCTCAGAAGGAAGCGTATCACTGCGATTACGCCCGCTGCGGCCGTCGGCGCGATCCATTTCATCGCCGCGACCACTTTCGCGACCATCTGAGAGACTTTCACAAAGAGGACATTGAGAAGCGCGGAGTGGCGGCTAAGGAGGACTGGTTCGAAGGCCGCAATGCCTCCATCACATGGTGGCGCTGCACCAAGTGCCTGAAACGAATCTACATCAGCCGCCATGGCTACGAATGCCCTACTTGCAAGACATCCTTGCAAGCGAAGCGAAAGGAGATTCGCCGGCGAGAGTAGCAAAAAAAGGCAACACTAGAGAGGAGCTCGGCGACCAGCCCAAATTCGCACCCGCGGATGAACTTATCACCAACCAATACTTGATACACGCATCCAGTCATATATACGCCCCTCCACCCCCCTTTATGACTAAAGCCGCGCCGGCCGCACCCCTACCTCTCTCTCTCTTACCACTGCTATCCTGCACTGTACCATGGGGTCCCGCGCAAGCCAACCAAACAGCTTCAGGCGCTGGATCCGTCAAAGTTTCGACTTACATCTGCCGACATACCATTAGAGCAGCTATACTTGCTACGAAAAAGGGCTTTTGTTTTTATCCGCGGTTTCATTTTCTGTTTATCTTAGCATAAGCACGGGGAGGGATCTTTGTTTTTTTACATGCAGGCAAACAATCCCATTGATTACATTTTACTACGGAGTATTACCTATACAACAAGATACCATCTAGGCAGTAGTACCTAGCAGCAGAATACATACCTACCTACTACTTACGACCTGTCAGAACCTCTTGATACTACTCCGCATTCTTTTCTTTCTCTCCGTCTCTTGTGCGGAGTACTAGCTGCGTTTTGCTGCAGAGCCTCTGATTCGCCTGCTCGGATATGTGCTCTGCAGTACTAGCACCAGCACCAGCACCAGCACGAGTACATACCTACATAGTACTACTATTGCTACTAGCTACTAGCCACTACTATTGCTACTGGCTACTGGTTACTAGCTACAGCTATAGCTACAGCTACTGCGGGTAGGCAGTCAATCTTTGATCCTTTCTCTTCTCGTTCAGCTGCCTGCCAAACACTTCACTGGTGGCTGGTGGCTGAAGAGGCGCCTGCCTCGATTGGCACCTGATCAATCCCCGCTTGTCAATCTTATTTCAAATTGGTCATTTATTATTTATTCCCAATTTTGGTACCTTTTCTTGCCAAGTACCTACTTATCTACTGAAGAAGATAAAGGACCTTTGTGTTTCTTTCCAGCCTTATTTACAATTATCAAATATATAAAGCGGGGGGGGGGGGGGGGGGGCTTTTACGAACCGCTAAAAATTGACCAGCCATGCAAGAAAGAAAAAAAAAATAAATAAATAAAAGGACCAACAATTTTTTCTTATTTCCGCAAAATAACAGGGATCAAATGGCGATGGGACGGAATATGCTTGAGCTGGCAATCTCGGCACGCATCAACAGAACAGGGAAAAAAAAAAAAAAAGGGCAAATACTTTGCAATAAGAAAAAGCGTTATTTTGTGGCGCAATTTTTATTACCCTCTTAAGCCAATGGGAACGGCTGGCGAGGTGGTGCTTATTCTGCTATAGATGGGGGAGTGGAAAAAAACACATGGCGTTTATGCGTTTTGGGAAAATTGGTTTGGAAAGATAGGACAGGTACTCTCGGCAGTTCTGTCTCGAAGGCCAAAAAAAGGCAAAGCCCTTGATGGGCGTTTGGGATGAGCGGATGCTACATTCCGGCCAGTTTCTGTTTTTTTTTTTTTTTAATCTTCATTTATTTGTTTCACACTTGACAATTTCCTCTTTTTGGTGTTTTGATGATATTTCATTTTGCCTTATTCATCAAAAGTAGACTAGACAGAAAGGTGCCATAGGCATAATATCATATTAGACCAAATAGACACGCGGGTACGATTCATTTTCCTGTGAGACGGGTATCGCTGCGGCTCAGGCGTGGCGGCCGCGGCTCTGTGAGATAGCGTCGGAGTAACATTGCCACGAGAGAAAGGAAAAAACAGGGGCGGAGCGTTGATCAATAGTGTTATGGAAACCCAGTTGTCAGAGTCAGAAACCGAAGCACCGAAGCTCTCGTCTCTTTGTCTCTGTTGCTTGAATTACACCTGGCCCTGACCAGCCCCGCACGCCGTTTCATTGCTGCACAAGTCTTTTGCTCCTCCAATGAGTTTACGTTGGTGGTTAACCTGTCAATTAGCCCACGTTGACCTGCCTCTTCAAACGCCACCATCGAAACTAACTTTGCTCCAGCATACAGCTTGATGGCCCGTGGCTCCGTACGCCATCGCCAAAACACGAGGCCAAAGGGATCCGCTTCATAATGGAGGCTAGGTTAGCTGGCTTGGCCTTGCGAGATTGGCTTGTTTAAACTTTGAATGCTAGTCCCAGTATTTGCTGTTCCATCGCGGCCGGTTGGCCAGCCTGTTAGGTAGGTAGGAGCTTTAGGCTTGCACGCACGCGGCAGGCATCCCTTTGGGGCTGAGCTGAAGCTGGATGGCTTCAAGACGCTGGATAGGTCGGCAAAGTTCCCCTCTCGCTAGGATTCTGGGTGCAGCCAGTAGTGCTCTGTTGTTCTCTTCTTGCGCTGGCGTAAGACAGGTGGCGACTGCTGGGTAGTATCTGTCTTTGGAGATTTTTGGAGAATGGGGATAGCTTTGGGTGCACTAACATGTACTATCCGTATGCAGCTCACGTACGAGCCGTGCATATGTACGGCGGCAGCAGCTTGCCCATGGCAATCAAAGACAGGTTTTTTTTTTTTTTTCCCTTTTTCCGTCGTCTACTCTTCTGCTCTAGTTTGTCATGTCGGATATACTATACGCCTATTATTGCCAGATTGACAAGGGGAGGTGGTTAGCTCAGTTCCCTCCTCAGCTGTTTTTGGTCAGATCATCAGCGACAACTGCGCATAGTCTTGATGCCTAGCGCTGCCGATTGATCTGTACCCCATTCTCTGCCTTGCCTCCAGTCCAAAAATCTGCAGCGGGGAATGTTATACTCCCATTCATGGCGACTTCCAGCATCCAATGGTGGCAGGTAATGGCATCATCAGCGCACGAAAAGACAGCTGGACAGTCCGGCGATTCATATTGGCGGCGGGTATCATTATACGAATACACGGCTGGTTATTCCGACGAATCACACAGCTACATGCTCCGCGAGACAGCTCCTCCTCTCACTTTCCCCGACATGGACAGGACCCTTGGCTGCACTGCTTCAGAGCTTATTGCCATCTTCAGGGCATCCTTAAATTCCGCATGCAGCGCCACGGCGCTTTGTTCGGCCAGACAAGCGCGGAACATCACCGCCGAAAGCTAATGCCGCCGGTCCTTTGGCGGTCGTCGGCACGTGGCCGTGGCTGATATTTCCCACTTCAGCTCCACCGTGCCATTCGGAACCGGCTGGCTGGTGGGGTCGCAAGCTGCCGCTTTGGTCTGAGTCTGTATCCGCCAAGCTACCCACGACCACAGCTCTAGGATCGCTTGGACATATCCCCATCCAAAAGGCAAAATTTTCCCATCAAGAATCCGTTGCCTGAATATTACTATCAATCCTTGTCCCAGCAAGCGGAAATAATGGCTCAATCTCATGACCCCCACTCGTTGGCCATCCGAATGCATCCGTCGTGGTGCTTGTGCAGCTTCTGACCGCACTAAAATGTCGGCAGTTGTGTTTTCTCAACTTCGTGTGGGGCCATGGTTCCTTTCAACAGGTGCTTCGCTCTCGTTACCCCCGGTTCGGCTATATGCTTCGAAAGGGCATGGATACGCAAATTGTTCAGAGTCTTCCGTCAAACCGTCTTTTCAACCTCACACTAGGTTCTTGGAGGGCGCGTTCGCAGTCAGCTTGGATTGGCAATGCAGCAACTGCTAATCCCCAAGGCACGAGTGTTGTACGAGGTCTGACAATATCGGCAGCTATGTCTTGTCGTATTTTGGCACCTGGAACACGGGAATGTCTTTGTTCAGCCACGCCCTCCATATCTCTTCTTCACCTATGCAAATCTTCGGAGAATTTTGTCCACTGCCAACCTCTACGACCATGCTGCTAACGGAGTCACTCGCAGGCGTTGATGCCGGCGGTCTTGGTGATAGCCCATTAGTATAAGCTGTCATCGGGCATTGAGATTTTGCCGATGCTGCTCTGTCAATGCGCTGCGTTGGGTCGGAGAACCTTCGGCAATGTGTAGACCGACTTCCAGGGGATAGCCAAGGTAATGAACTGATAGCTAATGACGAGAGCCTTGCAAGAGACTTGCCAATGACGTATGATGGATTGCCCGTACTGCTGGTCTTGCATCCAGTTTCATCTTCACTTTGACTTGGTGACGAGTAGTCGCTATGATACGCAGGGTCTCTTACAGAATTGCCCGCCTCGCTCCATTGATAGTTTCTACTCCCAACTCGTATCCTGATCGTTGTATCGACGGGCGAAGACGTGATCTGGCTCGATCTCCTCTTTCTGCTACCTCTTTGTCCGCCAACGCTTGGCTGCATCGCGCGACGGCTAGTAGGTTTTTCAAACTGCTGCTGTTGCCCGACAATTTGCCTAGCAGCGGTTGAACAGCCTCTTTTCTGCGTGGGTTTTATTATTGAAAGTTTCGGCAGTTCATCTTTGAGAAGTCTCCGCCGCTCGGCCTCTAGATCAAAGATGCCAGCTAAATGGCCTTCCATCGACTGACCAGTGAACATAGCCGACCCGCTCATCTGGCTTGGTGGCACGACGCATAACAGCTGTTCAGTAACATCGCGTTGCATGATTTGCGACGGGTTAGCCTTGTTAGCCGAGGACTTGTCGGAAGTGTCCAGAGGCGCTGGTAGCGAAGAGGAAGGACTTGATCTGGTCACCCCGGTGGCTGTTTTCGATGAGGCGGAATAGCTGGGGACGAAATTGGCAGTAGATAGAGTCACAGGGCTGGTTTTTGCTTGCGCACGCTGCCGAGAGCGGGCCTTTGCGAAATATTGCTCTTGTTTTACAATGTCCTCTTTCCAGCCCTTTCCTCGACGATGCCGAGAGAGGTTGCCTTCCACCCAGTTCATGACGAAGGTTTTTGCGAGGGAATGGGATGGGGACCTAGGGTCTAGGAGATAGAAAATTCTTAGAGAGCAAAAAGGAAGAAACTACCGTCAAAGTGCAGAAGATGGTGAAGAACGAGAGACGGGGATGGGAGGTGATGAGGCGAGACGAGAAGATGGCGAAGCAGAGAGTTTGCTGTGCAGCCCAGAGAGCAAGAAAAATCAAGCAAGACGATGCTCGCAGCGAACAGGCACAAGGCAGAGGCACCTGCCACACGTACTTCCCTAGATGCAGCGGCAAGGGCAGGCAGATATCAGGTGATTAGGTGGTATCAGCTGCAGCGACAGGGCACCTCAGGCATCTGTTTATATCGGCGGGTGTTGAACTTTGCGTTCCATTCTTGAAGTGCAGGCGTGTGAAGCAGCTCTCCAGGATGAGTTGTGAGCAGCGACATTCGAGTAGATACCAGTTTGATTCTGCCTTAGGTAGGTACCTTGCGCCTATGCTTCTAGGCACAGATGCAAACGAAATCCAAACGGTAAGGACGCACTTATTTCAACCATAATTCCCATCTAGTGGAACATGCAATGCCACGCTCGCTCTGATGCTTAAATTGGCTTGAAGTTTGCAAATATTTTGATTTATTCGCCTGTATTTGATATTCTCTTATGCACCACCATCAGCCTTGATGCAAGTGGGTTACAGTGTGTGATGTCACAGTACGCACAGTTGACACTGTAAGCCCCAATGGCCACCTATGACGAAGGTGCGTCGAGGCCAGGGCAGCACCATAACCAGCCAAGGGAGCATCTACGCGCCGCTTCAGTACAAACTGCATCAGCCGCGCTGTCCATAATTTGTATTCCAACCGGCTGAAAATGGCAGACGCAGACGACAAAGAGAAGAGGGAGAAGATTGCCGCCGCAAAGAAGCGCGTGAGAAGCCCCAGCTGATGCTCAGCCAAGCTGCCCCATCAAGGTGCATGTGCATGTAGCTAACAGGACGCTTCCAGGTCGAGCAATTGAAGAAGAAAAAGAAGAAGGGGGCGTCTTCCAGCTCAAAGGCAGAACCCAAAGAGGAAGTAGAAGCGCCCGCTCCCGAAGCTGTCGAAGACACCACAGAGCAGCCCCAGCCGAGCCAGGATGCAGACGACACTGCTGTCGAAGAAGCCAAGGCTGAGGACAAGGCTGAGGGCGAACCTGAGGACCAGCAAGAGGATAAACAAGACGACAAGCTAGAAGACAAGGCCAGCGAGTCATCACCATCCGAAACACCATCGCTCGCACAACAATCAAAGCTCAGATCGACCTCATTCCGCGCCGGCTCGCTTGCAAGCCCGGGGCCAATGTCGCCTGGACCGTTTAGCCCTGAAGGCGACACGGCACCCGATATCTACAGAAAGCATGTTGCGAGGATAGAAGAGCTAGAGAAGGAGAACAAGCGCATCACCAAGGAGGCTGCTGACTCGGAGAAGAGATGGAAGAAGGCGGAAGAAGAGTTGGCTGACCTACGTGAGTCTGATGGCAAGGACGACAAGGACGGGCAAACAGAGAAATTGGTACGCAAAGTCGAAAGAAACAGAATCCTTTCTTCAGCCTACATGTTGCAAGAGTTGCTTACTAACGGCGCCGCAGAAGGAGGAGATTGCATCTCTACAGCGTCAAAACTCTCAGCTGCAGCAACAAGTATCACGGAATATAGGCCATGGCCATCGCCAATCAGTATCAACAACAGCATCGCCGCCGTCATTACAACTCGAGTTGAATGCTAAATTGGCCACGATTGAGTCTATGGAGATTGAGATTTCAAAGCTGAAAGCTCGCGTTGAACGCCAGGAGAGCGGTGCATCTTCAGAAAAGGAGCAGATTACTGCCCTCGAAGACAAGGTTGCTCGTGCCGAAGCCGCAGCGGGCAAAGCTCAGCGCGAACTGCAAGATTTGAAAAAGAATCTTGAGCGGGCGACAGAAAAGGCCGTTCGCGAAGGCAGCGAACGAACCAGCGCAGAAACCAAGGTAAAGACGCTTGAACACGACTTGGACGAGGTTAAAAAAGCCAAGGAGGAGCTAGAGAAGAAGGCCGAAGCGCTCGAAAAGAAGGTCGCGACATTGACTACGCTGCATAAAGAGCAAGACGCCCGGTCGCAAGCTCTAAGGAAAGACAAGGAAAAGGCAGAGAGCGAGGTGCAGGAGCTGCGATCCAAGGTGGAGAATCTAGAAAGCGAAAACGTCAAGCTTCGAAGCCGCAAGTCTGCGGAAGGGGGAGGCGGCCTTGACGATGAGGGTGTTGATGAGCTCGAAGACGAAGGAAGACTCAAGCTGGAGAAGAAGATTCGCAGTCTCGAGGCAGAGATCCACGAGCTTCGCAGCGGTGCCTGGATCGAGAGACGGCGCGAAATGGAAGCCATTAGTCCCGGGTTCGACGACGTTGATCTCTCGGGTAACAACCACCCTCCGGCGCACAAAAAGGGATCGACCGGCGGTATTGGTGACTTTATTGCGCACGGGCTGAATGCACTGGCAGGAGGCGGAGATGACGAGCTGCTGGCGGATGACGATATGGAATTTGATGAAGAGGCCTTTAGGAAGGCGCACGAGGAGGAGGCGAAGAGGCGGATTGAGAGGATCAAGGAGATTAAGCGGTCCTTGAAGCACTGGGAGGGATGGAGGCTGGATATTGTGGACGTCCGCAGGGGCGGAGGGCAGGGGATTGGAGATATATTTGATATTTGAGCAGGTGATGCTATGAATACGAAATAGATGGAGTAAACAAGCTCATTTCAACGAAGCCACAGATGTATCCGCTGCGGAATTGATTTACACAGAGTATGCGTGCGTTGTTGTTGCATACACGCTGCGAAGTGGATGTGACATCATAAGCCAAATAATGGAGATTCTTCCCATCAGGGCTGTATAAGCGTGGGGTCAGACTAAAAAGAGAGCCTTGAAGCTTCTGTTGCCCTTCAAACTTCACCTTTACTCACCTGCTTACGCTTCTCGCGTCCTCTTTTCATCTCTCATCTCTCTCAACCATGGCGCCGGCTCAAAAGACGTTCCTCATCACCGGAGCCGGGCGGGGCATCGGCCGGGGGCTATCCCGGATTCTTCTCCAAACCGGCCACCGGGTGTTTCTGCTGGACAGCAACAAGACAGAGCTGGACCACACGGCCGGACTGCTGGCGAAGTCGCACCAGCGGGGGAGAGATTTCGACACGGCGCTGTGCGACCTCCGGCAGCCGCGGGAGATGCAGGCGGCGGTCGAGCATGCGGACAGGCTGTTTGCGAGCCGGCTGGACTGCCTGGTCAACAACGCGGCGTACACGGGCGGCGTGGGCGGCACGGCGCTGGCGGACATGACGCTGGACGAGTGGAACAGGAGCATCGAGACGAACCTCACGGCGCCGATGCTCATGACGCAGGCGTGTCTGGGGATGCTGCGCGCGGCCCGGGGCTGCGTGGTGCACGTGTCGTCGACGCGGGCCGTCATGAGCGAGCCGGACAACGAGGCCTACTCGACGACCAAGGCCGGGCTGCTGGGCATGGCGCAGAGCATGGCGGTGTCGCTGGCGAGGGACGGCGTGCGCGTCAGCGCGGTGCTGCCGGGCTGGATCCACGTCGGGGACGAGTGCAAGGAGGCGGACGAGAAGGGCGTGCGGTGGGAGGACGGGCTGGGCGAGGCGGATATGCGGTGGCAGCTTACGGGGAGGGTTGGCAAGGTGGAGGATGTTGCGAAGGCGGTGGTTTACTTGGTGGAAAATGAGGGCGTGACGGGGGTTGAGATGGTGGTGGATGGGGGAGTGACGCGCAAGATGGTGTATCCTGAGTGAAGGGGGGCATATAGGTATGAAGATACAATGATGCTATACGGAGTACACGATTGAAGATGGTATAGTTGTAGACTTGCTGCTAAAAGTGAGGGCACGCATATCAAGGTTGCGTGCAGTCACGCATCATCACGAGGGTGCCACGATGAGCAACACAAGTAGTAGCACATCTTTTCCCCCTTGCATTGAGATTGAAAGGCTGGCATCATCATCGCCTGTTAATGCTTGCAAGGCGTCAAGGTGTGGTTGCACGCTGCACGTCTCCAACACGCTCGTGCCGGCCTTCTCCTCACTTTGGAGCTCGGGCGAAACCAACCCCGCACGGACTTTTGTGTGGTTATAGCAGCTGGTTAAGATTCTCTGGTGTTTCTCTCTCCCTTTCTGGTCGCGCGGCTGAGCCCGGGTAAAGGGATGCGACAGGCAGGTGTGTGTAGTGGTGGTGGTGGCAGCGCATGGGGTTGGGAAACAGTTGGAGATGGATGCGGCGGCGCTGCTGATACTTTTTGAGTTGACAGGTGCTTCTGCAGCGCATAGTTTAGGTAGCGCACACTCAAATTTGACAGCTACGTCAGTGTTCTTTTATCTTATCTTAGTACTACAGCCAAGATCTAATAACAGTGACTGGGCCAGCGCCTCCTACATCGGCCTCGACTTGGACTAAGACCTATGTATAAGAAAAAAAAAAAAAAAAAAAAAAAAAAAGAAGAGCAGCACAGAAATAGAGATTGACTGACTGACTCCTCTCTGGTAATAGAATCCTGTCAAGTCACTAATTCCCGAACCCTGGGCAGTGGAACCCCCCGCCTCGAAGAGAGAGCACGCGCCATTCTGTAGAAAAAAGAGATGCTGCCTTGCACCATTGGCTCGGCTGAGAGTCCAAAACAAGACAGGAAAGACACGAGCAGCAATCAAGCCGCAAAGAACAAAAAACCACTCATTTTGTTTCCCAATTTTGCCGTGTTGGGTGTGACACGAGATATCCGGTAGTCATTAATTACTGCTACATATTACATATTAGTAGTTAGTAGTTATTATCTGGGATTGGCGATGGGTCCAGCTCCGTTTGTCGGCGATCGATAGCGATATCGAGCTACTAATTTATACAGCATCGATTGTCGCTTCTTCTCCTTCTTCTTTCTCTCCCCATCCGTTGTACGTTTCTGCGCTCAAGGTATGTGGAATATATTCCAATTCTTCCCCCCTGGTCTTCGATACTGAAATCCCCCCAATAGTCAATTCCCCTCAGTCGATCTCCGTTCGGCTCCCCGCGCGTTCTCCGATTCATCGCTGCACCCCACCTTTTTTCCTCCCACGGTCGCATCGCATCTCAGCGCATCGCATCGGCTAAATATCGTTGCGCCAGCCAGCGTCGCCACCTGGAGAACCAAGTAAAACGAGAAGAAAGCAGCCTGTGGCGTGGTTTCTTGTTTAGAATTGCATTCTGCTGTATATACGCGCCGTTTGCAAAAAAAAAGAAACGAACGCCTTCAAGACCGAGCGAGAAGAAAGACGCGGCACGCTTGAACCTCCTGCTAGCGGCTTGTCTACAACGGATCGTCCCGCCGATTCGGCTACCTCGCCTGCGATACCTCGGGAAACCCTCCTTGGAACCGCAAACCGGCCTCTCGTCTGCCCTTTCGTTGCCCCCTAAGCAAGCGCGCCTAGCTCTTTGAATAAAGCCCTTCCGCCCATCATGAGTGCCGCTCCTCGTCTCCTCTCCTCTCTAACCCTTCGCCGGGCCGCTACCCTCCGTCCTCTGCAGCCGCTTCGACCAGCCTCCTTCGGCGCAGTCCAGACTCTCTCTATTTCCGCAATCTCAGCCCGCAACATGGCCACCGCCAGGAAGATCAAGGTCCAGAACCCCGTCGTGGAGCTGGACGGTGATGAGATGACCCGCATCATCTGGAAGAGCATCAAGGACCGCTTCATCTTCCCCTACCTCGACATTGACCTCAAGTACTACGATCTGGGGCTGGAGTACCGTGATGAGACCAACGACCAGGTCACTCTGGATGCAGCCGAGGCTATCAAGAAGTACTCGGTTGGAGTCAAGTGCGCCACCATCACCCCTGACGAGGCCCGCGTCAAGGAGTTTAACCTGAAGCAGAGTGAGTATTAACAGACAAGGGAGATTGTATAATACAGTTACTAACTTTTGCTCTTAGTGTGGCTCTCTCCTAACGGCACCATCCGCAATGCCCTCGGCGGCACCGTCTTCCGCGAGCCCATTGTCATCGACCGCATCCCCCGCCTTGTCCCCGGCTGGAAGAAGCCCATCATCATCGGCCGTCACGCCTTTGGCGACCAGTACCGCGCCAAGGACCTCGTTGCGCCTGGCCCCGGCAAGCTGGCCATGGTCTACACCCCCGAGGGCGGCAAGCCCCAGGAGATTGAGGTCTTCCAGTTCAAGAACGGCGGCGGCGTTGCCCAGACCCAGTACAACACCGACGAGTCCATCACGGGCTTTGCGCACGCCTCGTTCAAGCTAGCCCTGGACAAGAAGCTGCCTCTGTACATGAGCACCAAGAACACCATTCTCAAGAAGTACGATGGCCGCTTCAAGGATATCTTCCAGGAGCTGTACGACACCAAGTACAAGACCGAGTTTGAGGCCAAGGGCATCTGGTACGAGCACCGTCTGATTGATGACATGGTTGCTCAGATGATCAAGAGCTCTGGTGGCTACATTATGGCCCTCAAGAGTAAGCCTTTTTTTTTTTCTCCTCCCACTTCTTTTTTTAGCCATCTAGCAAACAAATCACTTACCATCTCTTCGTAGACTACGACGGTGACGTCCAGTCCGACATTGTCGCCCAGGGCTTTGGCTCCCTCGGCCTCATGACCTCGGTCCTCATCACCCCCGACGGCAAGACCTTCGAGTCCGAAGCCGCCCACGGCACCGTCACCCGCCACTACCGCGAGCACCAAAAGGGCCGCGAGACCTCCACCAACCCCATCGCCTCCATCTTCGCCTGGACCCGCGGCCTCATCCAGCGCGGCAAGCTCGACAACACCCCCGAGCTGGTGGCCTTTGCCGAGGGCCTCGAGAAGGCCTGCATTGACACCGTCGACGTGGACGGCATCATGACCAAGGATCTGGCCCTGGCGTGCGGCAAGACTGGCCGGGAGGACTATGTTACTACGAATGAGTATTTGGATGCTGTTGAGAGGAGGCTGAAGGCTTCGCTGAAGGAGAAGTTGTAAGGTCTTTTTTTCTCTCCTGAAGGAAGAGGGGGGAGAGTAAAAGAAAGTAAAAAAGAAACAAGAAAGAAGACGTGAAAAAAAAAAAAAATATGAGGAGATAAGAAGGACATGTATGAATTGATAAAGGGGATGATGCATTGTATACCACATGTACCATTGAAGTTATTCTTTTCTATATAGGTAGAGATGTCATGTACATATATAGAACTTTTAGACTTGAGCCGTCTAGAAATGGAAATAAAGGGTACGAAAACAAGCAGGTTGACACATGAGCAACACTCAGTGACTTATTGAAATAATCATTTTCGCATTGGGGGCATACTCGATATTCATTTTAAACATCAGATTGAATTCATGTTTTGTTCTTCTATCCGCTGTCCTGGTTTGATTTGTTTGTTTGTTTTTTCTCCCATTTTTCCTTTCTGCTAAAATACATCATCCATCTATTATTACCAACACGCGTGAAAATTCTCAAAAAAAGAAGAAAAAAGAGAATGAAAAAAAAAAAAAAAAAAAGTGAGAGATAATGAGACAACACAAAAACATGCAATAACAAAACCCGAGAAAAGAGATTTAGGTATTTCTGATACAAGTCCACCCGTCCCTGGGATTTCCCCCAAAGTATGCCAAGAGCCTTTCCTTTCCTTTCCTTTCCTTTCCATATCCTTCAAAAAGGCCAATTAATGAAAGCTTTTGTCATTGTTGTTGTATCTCTTTTTTTTCCTCTCTCCTTTCAAAAGCGCTGGCTGTCATCAACGCAGAAAGAGAAGGGGTGAGAAACAACAGTCCAGAAGTTGCTTCGAGTAGCTAATCCTCCTTGAACATGCATTCTAGAAACTCGTAACCAGTCAAACAATATTAAAGGGGGCTCCGTCATCTCTCTAATCGTCCTTATTAGCCGCAGCTTCCTTCTTGGACTTGCGCACCGTAGGCGTGGCCTCGACGTCGCTCTTCCGCTTCTTCTTAGTCGGCCGGCTCGAAGACCCCCTAGGCTTGTACCCGGCATCGTCGTCCCTCTTCCGCTTGCTGCGCGCCGTCACGGGCGTCGCCGCGAATTCGCCATCGTCGTCCATGCTGGCATCTGCATCTCCACGCTCTGCCGCGCTGATACGTGATGCCGCGCCCGTCTTCTTGCCCTTGCCGCCGCCAGCTTTGCCGCCGCCACGCTCGCCCTTGGCACTGTTGCGTGGCTTTCGCGCGCTGGAGTGGCCGCTGCCGGGTCCTGCACCTGCGCCCGCTTCGTCGTCGGCGTCGCCATGTGTCTCTCCGTCTTGGAGGAATATCTTCGGGGCGTGCTTCCGTAGCCAGTTCGTGACACTAGTAGGATTCTTGGCTTGGGGATTTGAAGGGGCGTTGGCGGCTGGGTGAGCGAGTGGCGCCATCGTGGGCAAGGCTGAGTCTGGGTCGAGGCCGGTATCGATCAGGTAGATGTAGTCGTCGATGTCGTCGGCGGAGAGGAAGTGTGCGGGATGGGACTCGCCATCGAGGGGGCTCAGGTCGGCAAGGAAGGCCGATTTTGAGTCTTTGGCAGAGCTGTAGGTGGGATGGGGAATGTCGAGCAGCTTGTTGAGCTTCTTCATGGCTTCATCCTTGTGCGTCTTGCGTTCGCGGTCGATCGGCAGGCAAGGAGCGCTCTCGTCCGAGGGCGGCTCGAGAGAGAGGTCTATCCGTCGCTCTGGAGGGATCTGCGGGGAGTTGTTGACCTCTAGGAGGAGATCCAATAGTCGACTGCGGTGAAGAATGGCTGGTTAGCTCATGGTGAATTGAGGTGAAGCGAAGCAGGGTCTGCAAACATACTCGTTCTCTATGGCCAGGCGCTTTACCGTGGACGCGGCCTTGGCCTCCTGTTTGTGTAGCTCCTCGCACTCGTGCATCTTCTGGTCGAAAACGATGCGCATCTTTCGGTACTTCTTCTTCCACGACTTGTAGCCCGCGGGCCTCCGCTCGCTGCCGCCGTCGGCCTTGGCTGGTGAATCAGCCATCGCGGCGGCCGGATGGGGGTGGATTGGCAGAGTTGATGAAGCTATCGTGATTGCGGTGACGGAATGCGCGATTCCGACGTGGGATTGGGGCAGGGGGTCGCGCGATGGTGCGGAATGATGGCGAGGAGGAAGAAAAAAGTTGGCCGGGCTTAATTGCCTAGATCAAGCCACGAAGTCGGCGGGCGTGTTGGCGATGACGGCAATGAAGGATGGAGGGCAGGAATAAGCGGAAGTGGTCGTCAACGCATTAAAGTTTGAAGGAGAGAAAAGAAGAAGAAAAAGGCGGGTGGTAGCGAAAGAAAGAAGGAGAAGACCAGCGTGGCAGGGCGATCAAAGGAGGAGGCTGATGCCAATTAAAACGGCAACGGGGCGATGCGGCGCGATTCCTGTTCACGAGCCGCATTGCTCGAGTTTTTTTCGCGCGCTCAACGTTGGCGCTGCGGGCTGCACCTCCGATGGGCGTCGCAGGGCGGCCAGCGGTTTCCCAGGGGCCGGTGTATGCACTACAAGGTGCGGTCTCGAGGCTATGGCGTCCATGGATACCTGCAAAACACAGTATATCTACTAATGCTCCTGGGGAATGAATGGCCACTAAAAGCTATGATTGCTTTTTACATGTATTGTTTTGTTCATTGAATATTTGTATTTGTATTTGTATTTGTATTTGTATTTTGGTCTCCCTGTTCTAAAATACCCATGTAATACCGTATTACCTTGCTTTTTTCGACGATAAATATAAGTGGGTATTGTAAATATACCTTCCTGGCGAAATACACCTAGGCTATAGGGGGAAAGGTCCATTTAGGTACTGGTACCTTAACTTTATTAAATTCTTTAATTATTAGCTAAATTATAAAAAAGTAATAGAATTATAATATAGTTAATTTAATATTTAAAATTAAGCTATTAAAAATATTTATAAATAAAAAAAAATACTTTTATTTATATAATAATTATAGCAGTAATTATTATATTTTATTTCTTTAGCTAATTAATAAAATCCTGCTTTTTTTTTAAAATTTTTAAATCTTTAATTTTATATAAAGCTTTTAAATCTTTAATTATAGTAAACTTATATAAAAATAATATATTATTTTTAAAGTTTAATATTATTTTTTTATTATTATATAATATATTAATAATATTTTTTAAAATATTTATAATATTATTTTTATTATTTTAATTTTTAATTTTAATTTTTTTTATTAAAATATTTTTTATTTTAATTTTATAATTTTAGCTATTATTAAATTTAATATTAATATTATATTATAAAAAAGCTTTTTTAATAAATATAGTTTTTTTTTTTAAATATTTTATAATTTTTATAATAATAAAAATTATTATAATATATTTATTTTTTATTAATTATTTTATTTTACTTTAAGCTTTATAATTTATTATATAATTTTTTATAATATTATATAATTAAACTTTAAATAGTTTAATAATTACTATATTAAAAGGTTAAAGTTAATTAATTATTTTAAATAAAATAAAAATAAATATAACTTTTTATTAATAAAGTTATAATAAAACTTCTTTAATTTTATAAAAGCTAATAATATTTATTATTAAAAAATACTTTTTTTAAAGATTTTCTTTATTAAATTTATTTATAATTTACTTTAATAAAAGCTTTTTATTATTATAGGCTGTTTTATTAAATTTAATAATAATCTTAAGTAAATAAAGATATTTTTCTTTTTTATAAATCCTGCTTTAAGGTTAATTATAAAAAATTAATAAAAGCTTAAGGCAATAGATTTTATTAATATAAATAAATAATATTAATATTATTTACTGCTTATTTTACTTAAATTAATTACTTTAGCTAGTAATAATATAAGTACTATATATATTATATATATAGTTATTAAGGTATTTAAATAAAATTAAAGTTTTATTAAAGTTAATAATATAAGACTTTTTAAATTAATATAGTAATAATACTTTATTTAAATTAAGTTTTAAAGGCAGGCCTTAATAAAAAATATAGTAAATAAACTTTAAAAAGCTATTTATAATAGCAGCAGCTTTTTTTAGCTGCCTTATTGCCTGCTTTATAATTTTTTAGTATATAATATTATATTTATTATAAAACCTAGCCTATTAGCTTTTAAAAAATATAAAAATATTTTTATATTATAAATATAGTTTAATAAAAATATTATAAGATTTTTTTTTAAACTATAAAATTATTATAATTTAGCTTTTAAATTATAGCTTTAAAAATTCTTTAAAAAGCTTTTTTTTTAGCTAAAGCTATTAAAAGCAGAATTTACTTATTATATTATTTAAAATAGTATTATAAGCTTTTTATTAACCTTTAATAATTAAAACTAATACTTTAAATTAATTTAATGCTTTTTTAAAAGTTAATTATTAAAATAAAGTTATAAAATTATAAAAAATACTTTTTTTATAATTTAAAAATACTTAATTTTTATAAATATAATAATTTTTAAAGAATTTAATTATATTAAGCTTTTTTTAATAAAAAAAAGTTTTATAAATATATTAAATTAGCTTTATAAAAAGAAATTTATTAAATATAGGCTATTATTATTATTATTATAAAGTTATATTATTATTATTTTTTAAAAGTATTTTAATATATTAGTTTTTTTTAATTTAATATAAAAATAAATTATTTTAATTTAATATATATAAAAGTATTTTTATTTTTTTTTATATATAAATCCTTTACTATTTTATAATAAAAATATATTATAAATATACTTTAAAATTTATAGTAAAATTATTAAAGTTATAAAAAAACTATAAAAAATATATTAATAAATTTATTATAAAAAATATATAAAAACTATAAATTTTTATAATTTATAAATACCTTTTTTATATTTTATATAAAAAATTATATATAAAATATAAAAAAAATATATAAAAAGCTACTAAAGTTAATAAAACTATAAAAAATATATTATTAAATTTATTATTAAAAATATAAAGCAGTTTATAATAACCTTGCTTTTTTAATAATAAATTTAATAATATTTAAAGTACTTTTTTTATAATTTATATAAAAAATTATATATAAAATAAAAAAAAAATACTTTATTAACTATTAAATTTATTATTAAAGTTATAAAGTAATTATAAAAAAATATACTATTAAATTTATTATTAAAAAAGTAAAGCAGTTATATTATTTTATATTTTTAATAATAAATTTAATAATATTTAAAATACTTTTTTTATAATTTATATAAAAAATTATATATAAAATAAAAAAGAAATACTTTATTAATTATTAAATTTATTATTAAAAAAGCAAGGTTATTATAAACTGCCTTATATTTTTAATAATAAATTTAATAATATATTTTTTTATAATTATTTTATAACTTTAATAATAAATTTAATAGTTAATAAAGTATTTTTTTTTTATTTTATATATAATTTTTTATATAAATTATAAAAAAGATATTTTAAATATTATTAAATTTATTATTAAAAATATAAAATAATATAATTACTTTACTTTTTTAATAATAAATTTAATAAATATATTTTTTTATAGCCTTTAAAGTATTTTTTTTATATTTTATATATAATTTTCTATATAAAATATAAAAAAAAATATTTTATATACTATTAATTATATAAAAAGCATAAAAAAATATATTATTAAGTTTATTAATAAAATTATAAAAGCACTACTATAAGATTTCTGCTTATACTTTAATAAAGTTAAGGTACCGGTACCTAAATAGACCTTTCCCTCTATAGCCTAGGCGTATTTCGCCAGGAAGGTATATCTACAATACCCACTTATATTTATCGTCGAAAAAAGCAAGGTAATACGGTAGTGGCGTCCTTCACATCCTTCACAAAAGCTACAGGGTAAACAGCACCGGTGGAAAGCAGCTTGACTTTGTAATATAATAGCAGCACTAACATAAATGCCTTGAGCCTCTTTTGTTTTATTTTTGTAGGCTCTTCTATTTTTCACCCAGTATTACGTATGCGCCTGGCCCTTCCATCGCTGCAAACTAAACTACATCCATATTGTTTCTCTCATGTGGTCTCTCCTCGGCACCGAGCTGTCTCGAGCTTAAGCCATCTCTCCACCACGCCACTGCTATGTCGTCAAAACATCGCCCTGTTCTCCCCATTAATACACTTTGGACAATTACGACGAGACCTCTTTGCCAAGTCTTTCCAGCTCCTCCTTGATGAATTGCCCAGCGTTAATCATTTCCGTGCTGCCATACACCACTCGCTTGCGTGCGCGATCTCCGCTTGTTCTGCTAACCCACTCATGCAAGTTTCCATATTCCTCCATGCTGCCGCCGCCAACTGTGAATACAACGGCTTCACTAAAACCCTGCCGTCGCTGCCCGAAGCTGGCTGCCTGGCCGCTCTGGGATCCTGGTAAACCACCCGGCGCGCTGCCTGCGCCTCCTGACCGGATAGCACTGGGCGGTGGCATTGTGCCTCGAGCGTTGGCGGAGCGGGGGTCAAAGTAGAGATAATTCTCTGTCTTGGCAATTGCTGAGGATGAGGCCGTAGAAGGTTCCATGATGGACTCGACAATCTTGGTGATTGTGAGATCGCGGTCGGCGGGCAAAAAGTTCTTGACTCCGCTGATTAGAGAATCAAAGTTCGATGATAAGCCAGACGGGACACCGGTCTCTTTGAGACGGTCTGTCAAACGGGACGAGATGGATGAGAACCGTCCAAATAAGTCAGAAGAGGCTGCTTGCTGGTTCGAGTTGCTGTTGATGGTAGTCAGCTGTGTCATCTTCGTAGTAGCGCGCACCCTGAGACATCGTTAGCAAAAAAAAAACAGTGCATGCAATTATCTGACCCTTGTGAAGCTTACTGGCGAATGTAGGGCAGTGATGAGACATCTGCACCAGCCGCTTCAAGCGCCTTCTCAAATGACTCGAAATCCGCTCGCGCAACCTCTTGCTCCGTGCTTAGGAACCAGATGATAAACAGTCGTAGTTTATCGGTTGGATCGTTACCCTTGTTCTCATCCTTGATGATTTCTAGAACCTGAGCTTTTGTCTGTTTCGTGGCATTTTCCTCCACCTGGAAATAGTTATCCAGCTGCCGATCTTTGATGCCAGATAGCAATGCCGCCAAAATGTTCATGTGCATGTCGAGAATACTCTTGCGTTCCCGCATCTCAGGTAGCAACGTTATCGCGGCCTTGAGGTGCTGCGCACTTGCACTCGTATCATTTTGCAAGTCTTCCAAGCTCGATACTCCTGTCGTCTTTGTTATGGCGGCCGTCTCTTCCTTGTATTTGGTAAGCTCTGCGTCAATATCTTCTGCTACCTGCGGGAAAGGGACTCCGGCATTCTTGATCCAGAAGAAGTCGTTGGCAGTTAGGTCGTAGCCCTTCTTTGATGTGCCCTTGGCGGGGTTGGTCTCGTCAACGGGTGTCTCGATTGTAATACGGTTGAGTTTGATGGACAGGACGTCGTGAACGAGGGACTGATATGTCCAAGAATGAGACAGCATAGGTATCAGGTCAACATTGCGGTCGAGAAGGATAAGCACAGGTCTGGAGCTTGGCGTGCCCGCTGCCGTCGGTCGTGCGTTGGAGAACAGGTTGTCTTTTGAGTTGAGGATGTGATCTCGAAGCTTGCGGTCGAGACGTACAGCAACCATTTCTGCCGCGGCACCCTTTGGACATCGGATAATCGGAATGACGCCTGCGGCAGTAGCAATCAGCACGAGGTCACGCAACATAGTGCGCTCAATTGCGCCCCCAACTTACCCATGGTAACGACGACGCTGAAAAGCCCACTGACTATCCTGTCCACCACTGCATCTAGCTCGGCATCGCTCGTCTTTGCGCTGTTCAGAGCCCAGTAGGTGTGCTCATTTTGCATCCCCAAGCTGAAGAGGTCTGGCTCTGCGACAATGAAGTTGAGGTATTGATCGAAAAGCTGCGCAATCTTGTCTGATGTCCCTGCTTCCGCCGTCTGGGAAGCAAACTCTTCTAATAAGACTCGAGGAAGAGAAGACAGGAAGTTGACGTAAGCCGGTGAGTACAGCCCCTTTTGTAGGTCCTCTGTCATGAGCTGTAGGTTGCGCGCATTCGGTTCGAGCAGATAGATGACTGGCACATCTGGTATAGGGTATCGCGGAGTGCCAATATGCCTGTGAGGCGCATCGTTAGATTTGGTATTCAGTCGCATTGTCATCGGGTAGACCAGGGAACTAACATGTGCATCGTCACTCCCATAGAGCGAAGGTCACTGACCCGCATGACGCTGCTGATAACATCTCTGCCCAGGTCATCAAAGACGAGAACTTTCCAGATAGGGTTTCCCTCGGCATCTAGAATGGGAGCAACAGGAGCCAAAAGTCCGTTGGCATGTGCCTCCTCCGCCTCGCTCGATTCGATGGTCTCGTTGAGATTGAGGATCTTTTTGAGAGATGCTATTGGATGTGGAATTATTAGCGATTGCCATCACCCACATAGAGATAACTATGCATGTTTACCGATCTGGCGATCTCGCAGGGAGACTGCTTTGGACGCCATGACTTGGCTGAAGCTAGAGTTGGCGTATGCGAAGATGTATGTGTCCGGTCAACGATGCAAGGCCGTCAAGGACTCGCTCGCCACTCCACAGTTGTAGCAGAGGATAAATCAATCGTTGCCGCACATGCGCCTGCAATCGCAAAGTACAAGAGAAGATCGATATGCAGCTAAGCAGGAGTTTGCGTCAGTGGTATCACACAGTCCGAGCTTGAGGCCACGATATCGAACTACCCCCCCAACCCAATCGCCGCGAAATTGGAGCTCTCAATCCCACTATAACAGCCCCCCAGCAGGTCACTGCAGCGCGCTAAATCGCCGCGGTGCCAGCGCCGGAGTGCGTGTGTCGCGGGCCGACTGAATGGCCGACGTGCGAATTCCTGCGGTGGAGCTGGGCCGTTATGACATGGGCCTGACAGGTCGCATTGGTGCCTGAGGGCGCAACACACGCCTGTGCCAAACACGTCTGGACTTTTAACAGCATTGACAACGCTCCATCAACATCAACCGCCTAATAGTTTTCCATCCGGTTGCGACAAGCCCAGCATCGGCGCCATCAAAGCACGGCGCCTTTAGGCATCTCTGGCAGCTGAGATTTAGGAATTCGCGCAAATCACTTCTGCGACGCCGACTTTCTTGCTCTCCGCTGTCTTCCCGACTCTCCCTCCTGTCTTTTTGGAGAGGGCGGGCTACGTGTTCGCCTCCGGATAATACTATTGTAAACAACTGGTGGGAAAGGGGCCATGAAGTTTCTGTTTCGACAGAGTACAGAGTAGGCTGTGACTACGGGACTTTAAAGCTGCTGCGACAAGTCGCAGCGAGACGCAGGGTATGCCCACCTCCTAATCCAATCCAATCCCCTCATCTAGCAGCACTCCTATTCCCGATGCTCTGCGCATCTCGCATCTCGCAGCCCACCACATACATCATCATGTTCAAATTTCCTCAGCGCCTGCTTTTTTCTGCCTGTTACTCGCCCAGTTTTCTGGTGTTGGCAAGGCCATGAAAGTTGGAGTGGCTTCTTTGTATCGTGTGACGGCCATGACCAAATCCATGGGCCGCACGCTCTATAATCCCTCTGTTACCTTTATAAATGCAAGGCGTTGAGCAAAACGCGGAAGCGAGCCTTGGATGGTGGACCTGGGCTTCTCTGTAAAATCTCAGGGAGCAGCCGGCCGCGATGGGGGTTGTGTGAGTCGTCACCGAACAGTGCTCAGCCGTGCCTGCATCCGAGCCGCGCCGGGTCTAGATGTGAAGGGCATTGGCATGGCGATTTAAAGTACCACGTTGTTGCGCCTTGTCGCAGCCCATCGGCCTGGTTGCCAATCACGCGACGCCTGACTTGGGCTGTCGTGGCGGCCTTGGAAAAAGGGACCTGGAGACGTCCGTCACAGCCTGGGCTGGGACTTGGCTTGCATAACCCCCGCCGGTACCTGGTCCAGCATTAAAAAAGAAAAAGAAAGAAAAAAGAAGAAGAGGAAGAGGAAGAAGAGCAAGCAGACAAAATGCTGCCTCGAAGGCTATACTTGTGCTATATTTTTCGACATCGACAAGCTTTTTTCTGCTGTCTTTAATGGGGCTGGCTGTCTTTGGCTCCCTTGACAGTTTCTCTCATGTTTGCTGCCGATCCACGGCCTAGCCATGGCGCTCCACCCTCTGTACTGGCAACGCTGCACTTGCGCCTTGGCCCTCATCACATCCTTCAACGTCGTGGTTCCGCACCGCCGTTTTCACGCCTGCAATATTTTTTTTTCCGTCTTCTCCATTGCGAACAAACTGCTGCAATTTCCCTCTTTTCCCTTCTTTTTGCCAATGCTAACCCGACTCTCGTTTTCCTCCAACAGAATTGTCTGCTCCAACCCCTAGCCCATGCAAAGTTGCCCCTATACGTACTAGCGCTCTGCGGTCGCATTCTGCCGACAATCTGCCGCCAATAGACTTCGCGTGGCTTGCTTTAAGTACCGCCACACGCCGGTTGCCCAGGTGAGTGACAAAGCTGCCTCTGCACCGCCCTGCAGCAACTCTGCATGAACGCCACAGCCACACCCACGCGACCTGCGCGTTTCTCGCAGGCGACGTCACTTTGGCAGACCCAGTTTCTGCTTCTCGATCTTGTTATTTCTTATCCCTTCCAAACATGGGAGCAATCTATGATTGCTGATGGAGTCTCAATAGTGCTAGAAAAAGATACCCCCCTTATTCCCCTTTGCGTATGTTGCTGTCTGAATCAGCATTAAGTTTGTCGAAATGCAGTCCTGGCCTGGCGCTGGTCAGAATGGCGCAAATGACGGACATAATTCCTGGCAATCCGGCTTCGCATATGCCGACCAAAACAACCAATTCGACCCTAGCCAGGCATGGCCGCAGCCAGGCGCTGAGCAACCCTTCTCCCACCTAGATCCGCAGGATCCCTCCACGTCCAACTACTTTGAGGCGCCGCACCAGGGAAATGCGAATGCCTACCTTGGCGGCGGCCTTCACGCTGCGGCCTCTAGCCAGGCCCCGTTCCATGCTGGCCATGGCACGCTCGCTTTAAATCAGCAGTTCTCGCAGCCTGGCCAAGATGTGCTAGATCCTGCCTTCAGTAATATCCACCCCGAACTGTATGGACACCAGCCCAAGGTCAGCCTGGCGGGAGATGGAATTGGCCAGATGGGACAGGTTCAGAGCCACCCACATGCCCATCCTCAGGGATTCAACCAGCACGAATTTCCATTTGCCTCGCAGAACGACCAGCTGTACGACGCTCCCGGTCCCTATAGCCAGCCTCAACAGGTCACCCAGCCAGCGCGCCAAGGAAGCAACACTCCAGTCCAGCATTTTGAAAATCTGCATGGAGGCTTCCCCCAGGGCCCTCGCTTCGGGCAGTCGCCCCAGCCGCCGTCAGTACAGCATCAACAGCAACCTCCTTATCGTCAGGGACAGCCCTTTTCCGACCAGTATCAGCTCAATAACGGCCTCAGCTACCAACAGCCAAACTCGTCCCAATATTCTACGCAGCAGGGATATGCACCACAGAAACCGAATACCTTTACTCCGCCTCAGCAGGGCACGCCTGTGCAGCAGCAGCAGCAGCAGCAGCAGCAGCAACTGGCACCACAGCCTCTTCAGCAGCAGCCTGGTGCGCCGTCTTCCGCTCACTCGACAATGGGGGTGAATCCCAATGCTCAGTACGGAGCAGCCCAGCAGCCCGTTAGTACCGGTGCTATTGCTACTTCCACCATTCCACCAGCAATCCCTCCTGTCATCTCTCAGCCGGTAGAAAGTGGCCCCAAGAAAAGGAAGCGTGCCACCAAGAGCACTCCAGAGCCGGCTGTTCCAGAGCAACCGGCATACCCCATAGACTTCCCGGTCGACATCCTCCCAAGAAAGAGCGAAGACCCCGAAATCTTATCTGTTCCCTTACCTTCAGCAGAAGAAGCTCAGCTCATTGCCCAGTTTGCGAAGCGGAATAAGGCTGCCCAGAATAAGTATCCTTCTATCAAGGGCCTTCCATATCTAGTATATGATGGCACGATTAAGCTTCCAGGTAAGTGGCTTCTCCGAGCTACGCTTTCCTTGTTTTCACAATATTGACGAATTTTGTCCTCGCTAGCGCCCAAGAGCTACGACAAGCTGTCTCCTTGTATTGCCTTGCCACCGCACGGCGATCGTTCCTTGGTACCCGAGCTAGGATATCTGCCTTGCGAAATTCAAGGAAAATTCACCACGCAGTATCGGCCGTCTGCAGACAGGAGTGGTTTAGACGAGCGACGAGAAGAGGCGAAACAGCTGTTGGATGAATATGATCGCTCCATGTACAGCCTTGGCAAACGCCGGCCAAAGTACACCGAGTATCCTCGTATGTTCAGAGGTCCCCATTGCAATCCTGATGACGCAGTGTTACTAACTTCTCTCAGATGCATTCAAGGAACAGCTCAAGTCCGACGAAGCTTCAAAGAATAAGGCAGAGAAGCGAGCAAAGAAGGAACAGGAGGATGACCGAGCGAAGCCGGTATGTAGTTATATAGCGTCAAAGCTAAGGTGGCTATTTGTTTGCTTACTCTTCTCTAGATCCGACCTCTGGTTCGACCGACTGATCCGACCGAAGCCGCTGCGTGGGATATTATTGGAATCGTCAACATTGAACCTTCTGTGGCTCGCACATCATCTCTTATTGCCGGAAGGGTTCAACAGGCTGGTGAATTCTTTATCAAGCTTCGTGGTGAGATGAATAAGGCCAAACTGGACGTGGACAATGCGACAAAAAATGAGGTCCCGGAACCTGAGCTAGCGGAGCTCAAGAGGGTAGCTGAACAGAAGAAGGAGGCTTTCTACCGCGCCCTGGATGTCACTATCGAGCACGCCGACGATGGCGTTTTGGATAATCTTGGTGGCCACCAGAAATTGGTCCTCAGCCTTGTGAACGCCATGATATCGTCCATCAAGGCGGGTGATTTTTCGGGGAAGCTACCCAAGGCGCTGTTGGAAATCTTTACCCATTTCCGCATGACTAAGAGGATTGCCGAGACTACAAACTTTGAAACGGTACGAAAAAGGTTTGAAGACAAAGGTGATGATGAAGTCAAGGAGATGGCGCGCGAAATTGCTGCGAACATGAAGAAGGTCACCAAAACGGCCGAGCCAGAAACGGCTACGGGGTATACTGGAACATCTGCAGCCAGTAGGGCCAAAGCAGGTATCAAATCATCTGCAGATGCCTCTTCAGCTAAGAGAGCTAGAGATGATGACTCCGATTCTCGCACGGTGAAGAAGATTGCGGTGGAGCCCGGAAGCAGCTCTCTCAGCAAGAAGCTGGCACAGCCAAAGATCCAACAACCAGCGGTATCCAAGATTATTGCTCCCAAAGGCCTTTCTTCGATCCTCCCGGGCAAGGCACGCCCGGTATCAAAACCCGTGGTCAAATCAGATGCAGATAGCCCTTCGACGTCTAGCGATGATAAAATCAAGGTAGACGCTAAGAAGGTGGTGACAAAGACTGAACCGAGCAAGTCGACGGTTCCTAAAGTGGAAGCAAAACCCCTCACGGCAAAGGTATCTTCCACATCAAGCTCGAGCGCCTTGTCGGGAATCGCTTCTCTGCTTGATTCCATCAATGCACCGAAGCCGGCTGAAGTCCCCGCTCCAGCGACCAAGGAGACAAGAGAGTCCGATACCCCAGAAGCACCGGAAGAAAAAGCGAAGAGACTTCGAAAGGAGGCACGTCGAAAGCTTAGGGTCAGTTGGAAGCCGGAGACGGAGCTTGTGCAAGTCAGAATCTTCCACAAAGACGACGAAGAAGATGAAGGCAGGGGAAGCAACTTGACACGAGATGCAGCTGATGATCGTTCCGAAGGTATGGTCTTGAAGCAGCGTGCTGACGTCGAAGATGATGAGGATGACGACGATATTCCGTATCAACCTTGGCTTGGGCCTATCGGAATCGACTTTTCAGCACTGGCCGACGATGTCCGGGCCAAAAATTACGTTACGCGTGGTGGCACTGTTACTTTCACGACTGACGAGCAGCAACGGATTGCAGAGAGAGAGCAGAGAGAGTTAATGGCCATCTACACCGACGTCGACGATATCCCTGCAACTCCCAAGTCCCCACTTCCAGAGGCGGCGACTACTGCCAGTACCGAAGCTAAGACAGGCTATCTTCCTCGGGAGGATGCCAAGTTTGAAGAAATCCAGCTTAGGTGGCGAGACGAACAACAGTACGGGCTGGACGAGGCATTACGATCTGCCATGAAGCGACTCGATGCCAAGCATAGCCCCTCTAGCAAGCTGGATTCCATCCTTGGCCGGCTTCAGGGAAGTACATCGACATCCGCGTCGTCCTCTCAACCCATGGCCTCTCTGCACAGCCAGTACTCGCTTCCTCTCCTCTTGGGCGCCGCAGCGGAGAAACAGCTACTTGCGGTACTTCAGTCGGACAAGACCAAGGCTTGGCGTGATCCCAACCCCGTCCTTTACGGCGATTCGGTTCGTGTGTATAATTATACCGACCCTACAGTTCGACTCAATGGAAGTGCTGTTGAAGAGGTCGTGAAAAGCTTGATTAGCAAAGCATATCCCCCGACATCTCCTCCCGACTGGCTTTCGTTTGATCAAGAAAGAGTCAGAGAGTGGTGGTTCGGATATAACAAGGAGGTTGCTGCCAGGCAGAAGAAAGAGGACGAGGCAAAGGCAAAGGCTGAAGCTGAGGCAAACGCACTTAAGGTTGCTGCTGCTACGGCTGCTGCCGCCGCCGCCGCCGCCAACCCGGCAAATACCCAATCCCAGGACTGGTCGGCGCAATACGCGCAGCAACAGAATTATGCTCCGTATATGGCACTGCTACAGCAGATGACTGGTGGGCAGCTTCCATCAGCTGCGGCGCCGGCGTCAGCCCAGCATCCTCAAATCCCTGACGGACAATTACAATCGATTCTCGCCGCCATCAACCAACCTCAACAAGCAGCCCCTGCGCAAGCTGCGAATATTGCTAGTTATCTGAATCCGAATGATCCATCGTATCAGCAGCTAATGATGCTCACCCAAATGGCGCAAGGCCAACAACAACCGCCTCCTCCCCCACCGCCTCCGCCATCATCCTTTGATCATAGGCCTGAGCGAGACTGGGATCGGAACGATAACCAGAGGGGAAGTGAGCAGCACGGAAAAGAGGGTAGGAAAAAGAAGGGCACACTACCGCCGCATAAACCTGCAAATAAAGCCCTTATTGGTACTAAGCCATGTACGTTTTGGCAGCAAGGCAAATGTGCTCGAGGTGATAAGTGCACCTTTAGACACGGCTGAAGATGACAACAAATCTCTTTATGTTGTTGCTGTTGTTCTCTTCCCTTGTTGATTTGAGATTTTTTTTTTTTATTTGCATTAATATATATCAAAAGCAAATACGGTTAAAACATGTTTACTAATGGACAAGGGAATACCGGAAACATGGTAGGCGTTGGAAGATTTTAGAACGGCCGAGGGGGAAGTTGGACAAAGGGCTGTCCAGTACACAGTTTATGGGACACTTGGGTGCCTGTATAATAGATATCATCGCTTCAACTCGTCGTGGTGGGCAATTGGTGGCATCAGCTACAATGAAGATGGGATTGATGTGGAAGCACAAGAGAGAGGCGTCAAGGATACAAACAGACAATTTCTGTGCTGTTATATACCACTTGAAATTTGAATGTACGAGCTCATAACCTCGAGCGTCTCTTTTATTAATCATCATTTGCGTACGTATTCGTCAATGTGAATGTGTGAATTACTTGATCTTCACCTAGCCATGTTGTAAATATTAAAAGCGTATGATGTCACCGTTTGTAAATGATATTTTTAAGTTGATGTCCAGTGTTGCATTATCCCTTGCTACTCTAACCCAAGAACTTAAGCAGACTCCATCTCGGTGTCTCCAGCCGAGGGCCGCTGGATCAAGCCCCTGAGGCTCAAATCGTACACGACGTCCTCGACCCTCTTGACCTCGTACTTTACGCTGTCGGCGCGCTTGCGGATGATGTCGTTTTTGAGGTTGAGCAGCTGGAAGCCGGCGAAGAGGTCCTTGACGAAGGCGCTGATGGTCAGGGGAAGCTGGAAGTCGCCGAGAGTGACGGCGTTTGTGGCGAGGCGGGAGAGGTCCTGGGTGAGGTCGACAAGGGAGAGGAGGTATTCTTCAATGGTGAGGTGGAAGGCGTCGCGGTCCTTGAGGTTTGTTGGGACTGTGTGTGTGGTTTGGTTAGTAATTTTTTTTTTTCTTTCCTTCTTCTTCATCCTAAAAACAAGAATGGGTACCTGAGAAGATGGCGCCGACTTCTTCGAGGGTGAGGAGGCGGCCGATTTCGGGTGCCTTGGAGGTTGATTCAGGTGAGGATGAAGAAGATTCGGCGGGAAAGCCGCCCAGCCAGGCGCAGTAGATGGTTGTGCCGATGGCGTTTTGGATGGAGCGCGACCATTTGTGGTTGTATCTTTGATTTTTGATTGGAATGAGTTAGGAGATGGAATAGTGAGTGGTGAGTGGTGAGAGCGAGAGAGAACAAACTTGTAGTAAGGATGCTGAGAGGCGACTTTTTCAAGCTCGCTGATGATGAGGGCTTCTTCCTTGACGGCGGCTTCGACTTGAGCTACGAGGGCGGGGTCTATAATTTGGAGAGAGACAGATTAGATGTTTTGTTTCTTTTGATTTTACAAGATGATTTTTTTTTTTACAATGAATGAGAAGGGAGAGACAGAAGGCATGAAACTACATACAGCGTGAGCGAGGCGTCGAGTGGACTCGTGAGAGAAGGCCCTGGGCTGTGGCGACGGCGCGTTCGAGGCGCTGGACGATCTGGGAGAGGGTATCGCGGACTTGGGTCTCTTCCTCGAGCTTGGACTCGAGGGAGGCGAAGATGGAGGGGTCGAGGAGGGAGTGTGGAGGAGCTGACATGGTGGTGATGGACGATGTTGGTGAGATGTGAAGGAAGGGTGAATATTTTTTTTTAGGTGAGGCTGAGAGATGGAAAGATGGATGTCTGTACTGTTCAGTCAGAATTTTTTTTTACAGGCTAAGTATACTAAGGTAGTGGCTGAAGATGCTACAGATTGCAACTTTTGGAATGTAAAAAGAGAGGCTTGAGGTGAAGTGAAGAGGCAGAGATTTTACAGTTTGGAGACGCGTCGAGGCTGCACCAAAAAAAAAAATCACTACAAAATTTCCAAGATTATGACGCGAAGCTACGACCAAGAATGACAGCGCTCAGTCGGTGGTACGACGCTACGAACAGCACTCTTATTGAACAAGACACACACAAATTCTCGAAATGCTACGGAGTCTCTTCTTCGCTGCCAGGGCAAGCCCCAAGCAAAAGCAATGAAAAGAAAAGAAAGGGATGTTCGCGTCGCCTGGAGGCAGTGTAATACCAGGGACACTGTGGGCAGAATCATGCGCAAGCACAGAGGAAACCGCCCCAAGATCAAAAATAAGAATAATCACGATTGGTCTCCTTAGAGACCTTTCAGAGATTAAACTGAAAAGAACAGATACTACACTTGATCTAAGCCAAAAGGCAAAGAGAGCTAAAGAAGAAAAGAAAAAGAAAAAAGCGAAGCTTTTCGGGGGGTGGGAGAGGAATATATAGGCAGGTGAGGGCGGTGAAAGAGCTGCAGCTGTGGTGGGGCGGCAGAAATTTGGTTGGCGGGGTGGGGCTGGTGACTAGGCAGGTGAGGAAGTGAATCACTGGAAGGCGCTGTTGCTGCTGCTGCCTACCCTGCGGCTGAGGATTTGTTTTTATAGCGAGGCAAGGAGGATTCTGGTCATGGTGAGGATCTGTCTTTGACCATTCATAACGGTGATGGCACAGAAGTGGCATATCTGCCTACAGTAACGCTGCCAAATCTAGTGCGGATATACTATTAATACCAACCCATCAGCGTTGTCTATGCTCAAAATATCGGTATTACTAAATGTAATACAATTGTACTACTGTCATACAAACATAATAGAGGAGAGTCGGAATGTCTTGGCTGTCTGTGCGGTCTTTCAGGTGCCTCGGACACGCCGTGCCTCGTATAACCACCAACCAACAAACAATCGTTGTTCTGTACGAGGATTGAGATACGAGCGGTGTCCGCAGATGGGAGCTGAGTCTGCAGCGGACCGGCCCTAGTATTGGCGTTACGCTGTACTTAGGGCAAAAATTGGGGAGACGTGAAGATGCAGTCTTGGGCTCTCTATCAATCGGCATGGACCCAAGATCCTCCAGAGAGCTAAGCTGATGGACGAAAAGGAGTCTCTGGCTTTCGAGCTTCTTCACAGCTTTGGAGAACGCGACAAGACCTACTGACTAGTTGCAGACACCCGCATGAAATAACAACAGCGAGCCATTACAACTTTTCGCGAAGTGCTTCTGGAGAATGGACCAAAGCCATATTTCCAGCCAGCGCCTCACTTTATTCCCACAGACATCCATATCCCTGAATGGGTGACTGGACTTAATGCTTTCGAGAAGCTGCAAAATCCATGTATTGTTTCCACTGCACACCGCTGACGGGGGGAAACAATATCACGCCTTGGCATTGTTCTTGCTTGGTATGCGGCAGCCCTGCCGTCTGGTGGACCAACATGCGGCGAGGCTGAAAGAATACCAATGAACAAAGCTCTTTGTGTATTCTCGTGAAATTACTCTTGGGGTAGAAAGAAAATATCAAGTTATTGCTTGTGTATAAAGAAATCATTCCAACTTATCAGCACCACGACATCTTTTTTTGTACTATCTCCACCCCAATCTCCAACCTTGAAGATGAAAGCATCGTGTCTGCTTTTTTTCGGCATCACCGCCCAGGTCACTGCAAATCCCGTCAAGCAGCGAGAAGAGACTCGACAGCCAGAACGGATTGTGGAACTCTCTGTCGCCCTGAAACCAGAATCTCGCCAGCTTCTTGAACAAGCCCTTGACAATCTTTCTAGTCCTTCCAGCTCACGATATGGACAGTACCTTGGCCGCGAAGCAGCCAAAGCTTTACTCCGTCCTCGGCAAGCCTCTACTGATGTAGTCCGGGGGTGGTTGTCCCAAGCTGGCATCCCTGCTAACCATATTCTGACTGATGAACAATTTGTTTATGTTCAGACAAACGCTGAGAGAGTGGAGGCGCTCCTGGGAGTACATTATAACGCGACCCGTGGTTCACAGACCTTTGCCGTTTCTTCTTTGCCTCAAAACATCCAAGACCATGTAATGACCATTCAGTACGCTCCAGCACATCGAACAACAGCCTGTCCTCTGCTCAAGGCGAATATATCCTCCCCAGGTGCGAATACAAAATATCATCCTCTTGATCAACACTTGACGAACGCCAGAGTTGAGTGGGAGAGGTGCAAGTCTGAGATCACGCCAGCCTGCTTGAGGAGGCTGTACCACGCCGGCGACTATCAAGCGAGGCACGAAGAGAAGAATCTTGTCGGCGTAGCTGGTTTCGACGGCGTAAGTTCTATATTTACCGAAGCTTTGGCAGTTTCCACCATTTTACTGATATGGCCATGCGGGCAATTTAGCAAGCTGCTCAATACCACGAGTTGGGCGAATTCCTACACAGATTCGCACCCTATTCTGCCAACGCCAATTTCTCCATTGCATCGGTATATGGAGGAACCAGCCCTCAGGGAACCAATTTCCCTTCGAGCGAGGCCAATCAAGATGTCCAGTATGCCATTGCAATGGGGCAAAATGTACCGGTGCGCTTTTATGCAACCGGAGGCCGAAACCACGATATTGTCCCGGACTTGGAGTATGTTTTTTGCCCCCCTCATTTTTGGGGGGCCTCGATGAATATCAAGATATATGATACTGATACAAAGTGCTCCTTTATTAGTCTAGTCGATCCCTTCAACCAATATCTCGAGCCCTATCTCGAATTTGCAAACCACCTCCTCAACCTCCCCGACGACAAACTCCCCAGTGTAGTCTCGATCTCGTACGGCGCCAACGAGCAGCTCTTTCCAAAGCCCTACGCCCAGCAGGTCTGCGACATGTTTGGGCAGCTCGGCACGCGTGGCGTCTCCATCATTGTGTCCTCTGGCGATTTCGGCCCCGGGTTGTCATGCCAGTCAAATGATGGTGCGAAGACGACCAAGTTTATTCCTTCGTTCCCTGCAACGTGTCCGTATGTGACGAGCGTGGGGTCGACGCAGGGCATCAATCCCGAGATTGTGGCCAACTTTTCGGCGGGTGGGTTTTCTGACTACTTTGCACGGCCGAAGTGGCAGGATGAAGCCATTGGGGGGTATCTGCAGCTCTATGGAAACGAGTGGAAGGGATATTATAATCCTCGTGGAAGAGGGTTTCCTGATGTGGCTGCCCAGGGAGTGAATTATCGGTTTTGGAATCATGGCAAAAGCGACTTGACAACGGGAACGAGGTACATGGTACAACCTGCACGATACAGTTTTCTCAGGATTGTTTAGACTGACTAATGATTGGTCTATAGCGTTTCTACGCCGGTATTTGCAGCTCTTATTGCATTGCTCAACGATCATCGATCCAAGAGCGGGCTACCAACGATGGGGTTCTTGAATCCTTGGATCTATGGTATTGGCAACCGTGCATTCACAGAGTAGGTTATGGCCTCTTGTTATAGTCAGGTCAAGAACGCTAATCACAAAATGAGGAGCTATAGTATCACAGAATCCAAGTCCATCGGATGTCAAGGGGAATCTCTTTCCGGCCTCCCATCGTCTGTGATTCCCAACGCCGGCTGGAGCGCTGTGAAGGGATGGGATCCGGTATCGGGATGGGGAACGCCACTGTTTGACAAGATGATGAGCGCATCCTGCGGAGATGTATACGAGGTGGAGAGTTGATTAAGTTGTATGTAACGGGCGAAAGAGGAAAGATGACATAAGAGGGTCAATGCGGATAGAGTTCCAATGGTTTTGGGAATATAGCAGCCTTTATAAAGTTGATACACCATAGCATGATACATACATTTAAACGAACTTGCAACCAGGAGAAGATTACACAAGCTACCCAGGGAGCAATTGGATTAGGTGAATAATACACAAAGGTGTACCTGGCTAAATCAAGGGCAATAACCAAGATTATGTAGATAGATATAGACTGACTATTCAGTGAGGGAAAGATAAGATCAGTGTGGTATGTTATAAACTGCAAGCTTATGTTACTCAAGACCCACTGCCGGCCTCGTTATAAACAGTGATATTACTCTGCTGCCTCCGAGATGTTGGCCGATCAAAAGCCTCGGTGACCACAAGTGATGCCTTCGGCCGTAGTACAAACGCTTGGTTGGAGGAAAGTGTGTGAAACTCCTTCTGCAGTTGCACTGCCTATACGAGAACTGTATGATTGAATGAGAGGTTGTCTTCGAGGAGGACAGTCGTACCAACCATTTTCTGCCCAATGCTGCCTAATCACTTCTATTTAAGCCATGGCTTCAGCATCATGGCCTCTACCATACCTTTGAGCTTATTTCGAACAAGATTTGGCAAATGTGCTGAAACTCCGAGGAAGGCGCCATCAAGTTAGTTGCTACGCATCATGCTCACCATGGTCTATAGGCGAATCTAATTTTCCGAGCACTTATAGTTTATCGTGGAGATCACCCCTTGACTGAACATGTCTCAACTTACATGTAATGATATTCTCAATTGGCTCACGCCAATCAGCTACGGCCCCGTGCAAAGCAACTACATTAGGAAGCGACAAAAAGACACCGGCCAATGGTTGCTAGACTCAACAGTATTCAATGCATGGGTGGCAACTGAGCAGAAAACGTTATTCTGTTCGGGCATCCCCGGGGCTGGGAAGACTATTCTCACGTCCATCGTGGTTGACCGTCTAACGTCTGAATTCGAAGGCGACCCAAGTGTGGGAGTTGGCTATATCTACTGCAATTTCAAGCGGAGTAACGAACAGAGCATCCATGATCTGTTCGCCAACCTATTAAAACAGCTGTTGTTAAAAAAGCTGGTGTTAAACCAGCTGGCTGAGGATTCTGCTCCCTTGCCACAGATTGTGGAAAATCTCTACACCCGCCACCAGGCACATCGGACAAAGCCGTCACGAGAAGAACTTTCGGCTGCTCTCCATTCCGTTGCCGCCAAATATTCGAGAGTATTCATCGTCATCGATGCGCTCGATGAATGTCAGTCGGATGGCTGCTGGGCAGGGCTGCTCGCGGAGCTCTTTAATCTGCAGAATAGTCAGCGAATTAACATTTTCGCAACATCGAGGCACGTTCCAGAGATCATTGATCAATTCAAGGGCAAAAGCGAGTCGTTGGAGATTCGAGCGAGCGATCAAGATGTGGAGAGATTCCTGGACATGGAAATACAAAATTTGGGTCTGTCGCGAGCTTGTGTGCGGGAAAATCATGAACTACAACAAGAAATCAAAACTGGCATCGCGAAATCTGCCGGCGGAATGTATGTCGAACCGAGGTGAAGACTGTAATTGTTACTAATGAAAGAGAAATAGGTTTCTCCTTGCACAGATCTATATCAATACACTTTCTGGTAAAACATCAACAAATGAGATCCGAAGCGCACTGAGAGCCTTTCAAAACCAGAACCCAGAATCAAGCGGAGACAGAGAGGTTATTGCATTGAAAACGGCATATGAGCAAACAATCAAGAGGATTAAGAACCAACAACCCGGCCAAGTGAAGCTCGCGATGAGTATTCTAGCTTGGCTCACCTGCGCAAAGAGACAGCTAACGAAATCGGAACTTCAGCACGCACTTGCAACGAGGCTGGGGGCAGCAGGGTTTGACCCGGATGACGTGCCAGGCACCGATGTCATGGTCTCAGTGTGCGCTGGGTTGGTGACAGTTGACGAAGAAAGCGGCATCATTAGACTGCTTCACTATACAACGCAACAATACCTTCAAACAGACCAACGTTGGGTTTGTAATGCAGAGATTTATATGGCAGAAACCTGCGTAACATATCTCTCCTTTGATATCTTCGAGAGCGGACCGTATGAAAAGATGCATGAGCTTAGGGAGCGGTGTCATGTATATCAACTCTACCATTATGCCGCGTGTAACTGGGGACATCATGCTCGCGCTGCTTTAACGGAACAGTCGATTCCTACTGCCCCAGGGAATCGGCTGTTTCAGCAGATTCTTGCTTTCATACAGAGTGGAGCGAAGATGTTGGCATCATGCCAAGTAATGGATAACCCTGAAGGACATCAGTATTGGCTCTCGGTGTATCAGGGAATGACTTCCATTCACCTTGCTGCGTGTTTCGGTTTGAAGCGCATCATAACTAACCTACTCGCGAATGGCTACGACATAGATGTTAGAGGTCACTGTAATGAGACGCCGCTTCATGCAGCGTCGGATTGTGGCCAAGAAGCTGCTGCTAGACTGCTACTGGAGTTTGGCGCTGACATTGAGGCTAGGAATTGGCCTTACCATCAGACACCGCTTCATCTAGCCGCATCTGATGGGAATGAGCGTGTAGTCAAGTTGCTGCTCGACAAGGGCGCCAACATTGATGCCAAAGATAACGAAGTTCACTCCTTTCCGATGGTAGATGACGAGTATGGTGGAACGCCGCTTTGTCTAGCCGTAGTGATGGAGCATGAAGCTGTTGTTAGGCTGTTACTCGAAAAAGGTGCCGATGTTGAGGCTGAGAATAATGATGGAGTGGTTAAACATACTCCTCTCTTTCTGGCTGCCTGGATAGGGAACGAAGATATCGTCAGGCTGTTAATCGAGAATGGCGCTGATATTGAAGTGAAAGACAAAGATGAGGGTTTTACGGCGCTTCACCAAGCCGCCAAAGAGGGGCATACGGATGTTGTCAGAGTGTTGCTTGAGGCAGGCGCCGATATTGAGGCGAGGTATCGCCCAGATGAGGCAACGCCGCTTGCCACTGCTGCTGGAGCAGGAAGGACTGATGTTGTTGAGCTTCTGCTTGAAAAAGGCGCGGATATTGAGGCTAGGAATGATGGCAGAGAGACTGGACATACTCCTCTCTTTCTAGCTGCCTGGATGGGGCATGAAGATGTCGTCTGTGTGTTAATCCTAAAAGGCGCTGATATTGAAGTGAAAGACGAAGGCTACGCATGTACGGCGCTTCACCAAGCCGCCAAAGAGGGGCATACGGATGTTGTCAGAGTGTTGCTTCACGCAGGTGCTAATATTGAGACGAGGGGCGGCCGGGATAATACAACGCCGCTTTTCACTGCCGTTAAAAATGGAAAAACTAAAATTGTTAAGCTTCTGCTTGAGAAGGGCGCTGATATCGAGGCGAGGAGTTGGGGTGACAAAGAGGCGCTCAACCCGGCCAAAGACAAGACAAATCATGAAGCCCTCGACCTGCTGGCTGGGAAGAAAGCTGAGATTGAAGAGAAAGAAAAAAAGAGATGATTTTTACGGACGCCGCTTCATTTAGCCACAAAGAAGGGATATAAAAGCGCTGTTATATCGCTGCCCGAGAAAGGGCGCGGGTTATCATGTGAAGGATATGTCTGTCTGGTGAGACGCCATTTTGGCTCGCTACTGAAGGCAAGCATGAGACCGTTGCCGGGCTCTTGCCTGAAAAAAAAAAGGACCCCAGTATAAAGGTAAAGGATGAAGGTAATCAGACTCTGCTTGGTCGTCAAGCTATTGATCGCGGAGATGAGTGTGCTGTCAGGCTGCTGCTTGAGGCAAAGGGTCATGATGGTTTAACGCCTCTTTTATCAGTCTTTCGATAAAAGCATAGAGATGTTCTTCAGATGCTGCTTGTAGAAGGCGTGGATATGGAGGCGAAGGATCATGATGGTTTAACGCCGCTGTGGTGGCTTGACCGCTATTGGGTTGCTATTTGAGAAGGGCGCCAGCCTTAAAGTACAGGATAGCTACTAGGTAACTGAAGGAGGAACCACAACTGTTGTTGGGTTGCTTCAGACGATTATTGTTGTCAAATGGAAGGATATGTATTCTGGCTGGCTGCTTGGAGAACTTACGGGCAAGATCTTGACTACTGACGCCGGAACTTACAGGTAACTAGGAAAGATGTTCTTTATTGCCAACATATTAGCGGGAATGTTTAGGATTTTTGTCAAATGTTATCAAATGACTCATTCATGTAGCATCGGTGGCTGAGGTTATTGAAGATGGAAGGAACTTGAGACTAATAAGAAGCTTCACGCATTTTATTATTTACAATTTTGTGTGTACACAGAGTCCAAATATAAGACACTATTCGCAACGGTATAAAGTAGAGGATACGCACTGCCCAGACACAATACCATGGGTGGTAAGAGTACATAAACCGTGGCGGCGGAAATGAAGCAGGGCTTGAGAATGAAATGGTGCGGCTCCTTTCCCCCCCCCAGCTCTCGGCGAGTGATGGAAAATAGAAGGGCGTATATAGCTGGCTGAATGACGGAGCAATGGAAAGCATTTGCTGCTGCTAGGAAAGGCAAGGGAGGTGGGAAAGCAAGGGCGACGTGGTGAAAGTTATCTGCAAACAGATCCAAAAACATAATAACTATTCTTCTTAAGACAACAGAGCGGGCACTGCGCTAGGTGGTAGGAGGGACATTGCAGATGCAGTTAGGGAAGAGGCAAAGAAAAGGCCTTTGTTATAATGTAATAGAAGCTTAAGCATTAGACTAGTCGTGAAGAAACATAAGTGTAGGTAGTCGTAAATGGCTGATGATCATGTTTGTAAAAGCTACAGCCAATGCCATCGTTCGCTTAATATGGAATTCAATGCAATAGCACGCTTCACGTCATTCTTATCTGTATCACTCATTCGTCACAGGAATCATCTCAAGCAAGACCAGTTTGCTGTCATGGCATCTATTTCAACTGCCGTCTAACAAAAAAAGAAAAAAAGAGATTCGCAGCATGTGCAGCTGCATTCTAAAAATACAACAAATGTTCTAAGTCTCTAAAACAAAAAAAGACAAAAAATCGGGAGGAAAAAAAATGCAGAAGTTCTAATCATGGCCCGCACGCTGATCTCGCGAACAGAAAAACAAAAGAATATGCTGTGCGGACTTTGCTCTCTGTCTTTCTTCGTCTTTCTGCTTGATGCTCTCAGAAAAAAAGAAAGAAAAAGAAAAAAAATTAAGAACCTCATGACTTTGAGTCCCCGATTTTTGGTCTAAAGCAGAAATTGGTATCTCCATCTCGAAATGCCCATTAATCCTGGCCACCGTTTTATGTTTGTTTCGCCGTGATGGCCGTCTGGTTTCTTTCAGTCATGTCTTTCCCATTTTTTGTATATCCGTGACGCCGCGCCGTAAAAAAAAGCAGTGAACAAAAAAAAAAGTTTACCCCGCCATAATCTCTTTCCCGAACAAAGGAGAAGATGTAATAAAAGCACATGTCGTTATAGTGGAGAGTGATTTAGTTCATGTCCGGGGTACGATGGACGGTGTTTGTTTAGGTTGTTGCAGAGTTGAGCTGCTTTGAAACAGGGAGAGAAAAAAGGGGGGGGGACAGTAAGCAGCATTGGCGATGACGTTGGACGCATTACATCAGCGCCAGCTTCTGCTGCTGCAGCCTTTCCTTCTCCTCGGCGAAGACGATGCGGCTCATTTCCAGGACGCGCTCGAAGCCCTCGCGGCCCTTGACGGCGTTCTCCTTGAAGCGCGTGCACAGCGAGTCCTCGATGCCGTTCTTGATGCGCTGCCAGCCGCCGCACAGGGCGGTGATGCGGGCGCTCTGCAGGAACTGCGTCTGGTGCTCGCTGAGCGGCTTGTAGACGACCTCCTCCTGCACGCGCACCAGGTTGCTCCACGTCAGGTTCTGGCTGACCATGGTGACGGTCTTGTTCTGCGGGTCGACGTAGCTGGCCTCGTAGACGAAGCTCTCCTCCATGTTGCCGCCCAGCAGCGACTTGATCCAGTCGGGCGCGGCCTGCTTGCATGTGATGAGGCGTTCGGTGCGCAGGATGCCGGTCGCGACGTCGACTCGGCGGGAGAGCGTGTCGACGGCGATGACGTGCTCAGACTTGTTGTTCCACGGGCCGTACTTGCGCCAGTTGGCGGTGGAGACCTCGTCCCACGAGTACTCGTAGGTGACGGTGTTGGAGAAGACTTTCATTGTCGATGATGGTTTCTCTCTGTAGGAAGTAGGGAGCGGGAGAGATGCAGAGAAGAGAGAGGGATGATGAGGTGGTCGGTGGAGGATGGAGAGGTGAAAAGAGAAGGGAGTTGTTGGTTGTTATCGAGAGAAGCTCCGATTCGGGTGGCGGGTCGCAGATGGCAAAAAAACCCAATCAATTTCGTCAATGTTATCTCGGCTAGGGTAGTGATCAACCCAGTCGCGTGCCTCGACGCTGTGACTCTTTTTTTTTTTTTTTTTTTTTTTTTTTTTCCCGGGCGCCGATTCAGGCAATGACGTCCGCACTGCGTTTCAGCAATGTCTTGGAGTGAATTGAAAACAAAAGGAAATTGCCGTCTATGCAAGAACAGATCTTTGGAGAATGAAGATCAAAACAGAGATTGAAACGAGAAAACCCGGGGGTGGGAATTTCTATATAGTGTCTGCGGAGGAGGAAAAAGGTAAAAAATCTTCTAGTAAGCCCGTGAGGGTTTTTCTCGCTGTTAGGAGCTGGATGGATAGCCGCGCATGTGAACGGCGCTGGCAAAGAGGAGCCTATTCGGTATCGGAGCAAGCGACATGCGGAAAAAGTCTTTTTGCCAGGGCCTCCGTTGGCCTTAGTAAGCTCGCTATCGCAGGGCTAAGCCGCAAAGGGCATGACGCAGCCCGCAAACGGCTAGTCCAGCCTCGATAGAGCGAGAAATCTTCGGAGCGGTGGATTCCGGAAGTGGATCTGATTGGACATCGGCGGTGCGGGAATCGGCAAGTACGAGAGGGGGAAGGGGCAGCTGGGAAAAGGGCAGCTGCGGTCCGGCCACACACTCTCGGCTCCAGCGGTCCTAAGCCTTAAATCCCAAGGTCTGCAGGGCAGGCAGGCATCGGCCCCAGACGCTTCTGTGGCGAAGACGGCTGCTCCGTGCAAGGCAGTGGCAAGCCGGGCTGTGGCTGGGCCAGCGATCCTCAGTGTCACCGACGCCGGCTCATTGGAGCTCGGCTGCACAAGCCATGGAAATCCATGGAGATGATGGAACGCTGGATGGCGGTCCTCGATCCGGGGGGAGGGCAGCGGCTGTTTCTAGATCGATCTAATGCCGGGCATTCGGGCGACGGGCTGGAGCACCCCCGCATCAGAGATAAGGCATTGCTGGTATGAGATTCTATTACACCACTAGTACCGTTGTATTGCCGCCGCGTACTCATTCAGTGAATAATTGAAATGCAGTTCGGATTGGCCACTAGAGAGGATCGTACCTAGTCTACGACGTAGTCTCTTTTGATATGTAGCCTATTCTTGTAGTTTATTTGTTTTCTCTCCGCTGCACTGCTGTCGCCTAATGGAACTGATGAAAATCTAGCTATTCACTCTTCAAGAGAAACGCCCAATTCCTTCAAAAGTCGCATCATTGTGCCGTCTCCAGACCTAGCCCTTTCGCGGAATTCCGTTTTGTTCTGCTCAAACCACTCCTTATCTTGGCCGGGCTAGGTCAGTTGAGAGTGTTAGCATCGGTGTTTATACGACATACTTGAGCAGCACCCTCTACTTATATATAGAGCTGTAGGTAGTCCATGGGAAGAAACCTAACCTCGGGCAGAATAAAGCCGTGCTCCCACATCGCGTTGATGCTTCTTAGCACAAATGCACCAGCCAATTTTCGCTCTACGTTGCTAGTCGCAGAATCGTTCCTGGAGATGACCTCACGCCAAGCATTGGAAAGCTTAACACAAAGCTCGTTGAAGTCTTTTGTTGTCCGAGATCCTCCTATTCGCACAATGGCAAATATACGATTGTAGCCTGGTTTCTGTGTTCCCCATTAGCAGGCAGCTACGGCTAAACTGTGTAGCTTGGGATTCATCAAGTTTATCGTACTAGTACTCCTCCTTCGTAGAAATCCGTCTTTGAGATGTCTTCGAAAACCACACTTATAAAAGGCGTAGGAGTACCATATGTAGTCTTGTGAATGTCTGTTATTTCTGCTGCCAGCTCGTCCTTTTCTGCCCTTGTCAAGGGGTCAGAATGTTCTACTTGATACAGCGGCATCTCTAAACTAGACCGTATAGGAGTGGCTAAAGAAGAAAAAAAAAAGCCAATGTGAGTATTGTACGTTAATCGCTGTTCCACCGTCAAGTCTTTGGTATATAAGGATTTGTGCATATGGAGCGAAATGAGCATGATATTGCTACCTCGGTTGCTTATGCGACATTCGTAAGCAACTCCAATGCTCACCACATCCATCTCAGATATCACCTACGTATACGCAAGTAAACGACCTCAAAAGGTATTTGCGCGCCACGCCGCGGAAGCTAGAGACGCCCTGTTCTTGTGCTTGCTCATAAATGCATATGCCGGGTTAACCGGGCCGCTACAAAGGTCAATGTATGAGCATCGAATGGCCAGTATACTACCGAGGACATGCAGAGATACTCCAGGAGGAGATCTTAGACGCCTCGAGTATCTTGGCTTCTGCAGCCTTAGCAAGCTAAGCTATACGAACTATACGATTCTTGCATAGATACTGTGCTTATGCACTGTCTACCAGGTTTCATTAATTTGTCGATTTAGCTTGCTGTAGCTAAGAACATCATGCCTTCTCCTACCTCGTGTACTCTACCAAAGATATTCTTATTTTGTTTTCCTATGCAAGGAACATATTCTCCACAGGTGGCTTGTCACTCAAGGGCTAAGATGATGACTCCATCGTCTTGGTGAATGATGCATAGCCATACTTCCAGGGGTCTTCTTCGGCAGCCCCAGCCCCATCAATCCACTCAAGATAGTTCCCCCCAGGCATCAAAGTAGTTACATTCATTAATGGAACTGAAACCCCTAGCAGATCTGCAGACTCCTCCAAGTCTGGGACATGCGCTGATGCATAGAAGATATTACCGTCTCCATCACGCCAGCCTGCTCTTGAACAGAAGAATTGGTATGCGATTCAAGGGCAAAACTCTCTCTCTTGAAATATATATATATATATATATATATATATATATATAAAGAAATGTCTAGCCCTCAACAGCCTGAATCCCTTCATCGTCAACTCCGAGATTGGCATCCCTGAAATCATCATCCTTTGGCAACTGCAGATCGAGGCGTTGAATAGCCACCGCTCTAAGTGTTACCTGCTCAGTTGCCCGACAAGCCTGCAAATGCCCTCCAAACTTTCTATCCTCGGAAATCAGATGCATATGGTCACCGGCGACGCTGATGCCTTGGAAATATGCCGGCGAGCGGAATCCTATGATTGACCCCCTTATTGATGGAAAAGTGTGCGTTGCTTGACGTTTGCCGACATCAGTGAGGCTTTCGTGCGGTGATAGTTGACCGCCGACTGTTCGGACGCCGACTTGCTCAAACACTCCGTCTATCCTAAACGCGAGAAAGTGGTTCTGCGTTCTGGGAAGTAAAGCTGATATTTTGTCCGCGAGGTCTTGCTTGCTGTCGAAGATGATGGTCTCAGTAACAGAGGGTTGAAAGCAAGTAACCATGGCAAAAGGGATTATCTGATCACCATGGTCTCTTTCAAGGTTGGGTATCACAGATCCATCAGACTTCATCTGGTACGCCGATCCGTCGAGGACAATCATCTCCCCTTCCAGTCTCTGAAATGTACCTAGGCCGTGGTTCCCGTGGCTTAAGATGTGCGACAGGGGCACACCAGATGTTGCGGCGCCACTCATGAGGGCGGAGAGGACAGAGTACTGGTACAGCTCATTTGGCACCATCTTTGACGATTTGGCTTGGGGCTATATAATTAAAGAAACCAAGTAGGCGGGCGAAAGAAACTGCAGCAAGGGCTATGATGCAAGGTTGAACGGGGCTGCAGATGTTGGCGACTATGTGCTCTTATAAACACCGATTGGCGTAGTTGAGTTGGGCGAGTTGTACAATGACATCACACGTTTAGACCAATTCCTGACTCTTAGTTGGTTCCTGAAAGCTAGACCCACGGGAAGGTGCTTAGTGTGGCTACTACACAGCTACTAACCCTGAAGAGCGTATGTCCTCATACAGAGTCTTGCGCGTTATCTCAGGTTTGCGGATCTTGTTTTCTTGTGTAACGGTTGCCAACTAGACTAATGGAGTATCTTTCAATTAAAACAAACCGTAATTACCTCTAGTAGATTCCTTCTGATTATGATACATCAGATGAGACCAAAGTCCTCATCAGGTTGTGGTTCTGACTGTAATCAATCTCCACATCCACAAGACAGACACCATCGTAGGCCAAGGCTTCTTTCATGACAGCCTCCAGGTCTCCCGCACTGGTTACACGCAGCCCCTTGGCGCCCATCGAGTCGGCAAGCTTGACAAAGTCGACTCCTCCAAGATCGACGCCAGAGCTGCGGCCGTACTTGTTTACTTCTTGGAACTCGACCATGTTGTACTTGCCGTCGTTCCAGATGAAGTGCGTGATGTTGCAGCCCTGCTGAACGGCAGTGACCAGCTCCTGGCTGCTGAACATGAAGCCGCCATCGCCGCTGATGCTAACCACCTTTTTGGAGGATGGGGGCGTCTGGCTGAGAGAGACGCCAATGGCCCAAGGCAGCGCTACGCCCAATGTCTGCTGTACGTTTGACATGAGGAAGGTCCTGCGTGCGTAGGAGTAGAAATACCGACACAGCCAGATATAGACGCTTCCCACGTCGGATATAACCGTCGTGGACGGATCAATCATGCTCTGGAAGAGCCGGATGAAGTGCAGTGGATGCACGGGTCCGGTGGATCGTCCTAATGCCTCGGGGCTGTTCACCCATTCCCACATGTTCGTCCGAATGGCCTCCCCTGCCTCGGTGAGCTGGAGACGAGCTACTGTGTCCAGCCTGCCCGTGAGATCTGAGATGTTATCGGCCAGAGACCCGACGAGCTCAATCCTGGGCACGTAATGAGCAACAACGTCAGCTGGTTGGATGTCCACATGCAGGATTGTCGTATTGCGCGCGTTCCACATGTTTGCATCGTATTCTGCTTGATCCAGCCCGACGGCAATGACCAGGTCGGCGTGCTGCAGCAGCTGGTCGCCCGGCTGGTTGCTGAAGAGACCGATTCGACCGTAGAAAAGGTGGACGAGCTCCTTGGAGATGGCCCCGGCAGCTTGAAACGTCTCGACAACCGGCACGGGGTGTTTCCTGAGGAAGCCATGCACAGCATTGATGGTTTCGTCTGATTCAGACACCCGCATGCCGAGAAACACGACGGGGGCTTTGGCTGCGGAGATGAGCTGCGCGGCTGCTTGGAGGGATGCCTCTGGGGATTTGCCGTACTTTGGGGGCGCGAAGCATGCTGCCGGGAATGCCGAGACGGCGGACGTGCTCTTGACGGGCGTCATCAGGTCGATGGGCAGGCTCACGGCCGTGGCGCCGGGAGGAGACGCTGCCGCGACTCGAAAGGCATCCAGCATGATCTCGGCAACCTGGTCCTCGACCACGGCCGATACGACCTTTTTTGTGACGGGGGCGAGCAGGTCGACGCCGCGCAGGCTCTGGTGCGTTCTTTGCAGCGACTGAGACCGCTTGACGCTTCCCACGATGGCCACGACCGGCGCGCCTTCGTCCGTCGCGGTGACCAGGCCGGTGACGAGATTGCTGGTGCCCGGGCCGGACGTGGCGATGCAAACGCCGGGAAGGCCAGTCACTTTGCCCATGGCGGCGGCTATGAAGGCGGCATTCTGCTCGTGCCGGCAGACGACGAGCTTGATGTCTGGATGGTCGATCAGGGCGTTGAAGACGGAGTCGATCTTGGCGCCAGGGACGCCGAAGACGTATTTGACTCCTGCGGCCTTGAGTGAATCGATGAGAATGTCAACTGTGTCTTTGGTCATGGCTGGAAGAAGAAGATGTGAGTTGAGTTCTTTGAAATTTGTCAAATGGGTTTTGTTATTCAGGAAGATGGAGCTACTCTATTTGTATGGGAGGACTAAAGGCTTCACAAGTCTGAGCTACACATGAATGACGACTTTAATATCCATCCTGCGATATAGGAAGCTTCTCCCCTTCGGGCGCTAAGAGTTAGTCCCCGTTGTGTGTTATGTTGTCATAGGAAATACACGGTGACTCGTTCTACTCGGAACTGGCGGAATAGGGCTAGTGCAGGTTCTAGTTGACGGGACTTGACGGGCGCATTTGGAAGGCTGAAGGAATTTTATTATTATTACTTATTACTGAGAATGAAGCTATACAGCGTCATATCCCGCTAATGATCTTGCAGCCCTACGGTGGTTTAGTTGGTGATCCCGCCCTCTGAGCTTGGCCCCGCTATTTCTTGATATTGAAAGTTTTCTGCTAATAAGTAGAATAGCTAGGACGAATTTGTTCGTTTCTGCTTGGGATCTTATTCTCAGCTCATAGTTAACAGAATCATCATCAATATTTCCTTCAAAGAAACTGTAGTCAGCGTCTTAAAGTTGATAACCACCAAGTGAATCAATCAATCACAACAGTAGCAATTCTATGAACCTCTTGTAGCAGAAAGGCCAGCTCAAGAGAGCCCTACAAATGCAAAGCCGCCGTCCGCGCCTTCGAAAATGCTGTTAACAGCGGCCAGATCTCTTTATCGGACCCAATGTGTGTACTTCAAGGCAGCCAGTCTCTTGTCGCCATTTCTCTTGACAATCTACTTGCCTCAGTCGGTCTAAAGTACGCCACCCGCCCGATCGTCCGTATATTCGTGTATGTGCCCGGTGTGCGGCCCCACACGCCCGATGCTTCGTGAACTATTCTCATAAAGATAAAAGTAATCAGAATTGCATGCTACTATTCCTTTTAATAATTCTTGATAATTCTTAATAATTCAATTGCCTCTTTGCAGAGTGTGCCTGACCAAATGTTCGTGTATTCGTGTGGCTATCTCCAGAATGGCCTGTGATTCTTTTTAATTCTACGTTACAATACTTGATTATTCAATAGACTTGCCAGACAATGTAACTCTTCTTTTATAAAAGAGCGGTTGTGCTCACTTCTTGGCTAAGAACAATCTGAACAACACTGCTTGCTTCTAACAGACATATATATACATACACATACACACACATACACATATATATCTAATGCACCGGTCTTTTTGCTCGTTTTGAACCTATATAACTACATTTATATATAATCTCTCTCTCCCTCCCCCCCCCTCTCTCTAAACATATATGTATATATATACATATATACACCATGCTCAACGGATTCTCAGTCCCCCTCTCTCCAGCAGGAAAGTCCTCCCTAGTATCCCCTCCCCCATGGCACTACTCAAGCGACTGCATGGCCATCGAGTACTGGACAGACCCAAAAGCCATCGCCGCTCTCCTCCCACCCGGTCTCACCGTGGACGAGTCTTCAGCCGGCCGTGCCTTCTTGTGGTTTCTCGACTGGCAGTTCACCGGCTCCGACGATGAGCTGACAGACCCTGCGCGCTACCAGTATCGCGAGGCCTTCATCCTAGTCGAAGCCATCTTTGAAGGCAAACCAGTAAACTACTGTCCGTACATCTTTGTCGACAACGATGCTGCCATTGCGCGTGGCTGGGCACAGGGCTTCCCCAAAAAGCACGCCAGCGTCTTTCAAACGCGAACCTTCTCGGCTCCTGGACCGGCTGCCGCGTCTCTTGCGCCGGGAAGTCGCTTCGGCGCCAGCGTGTCAGCGCACGGAGAGCGGATTGCGACGGCCCGCATCCAGCTTGAAGAGAAGATTGTCGATCCGAGGACCGTCTTCAACCGCCCTACTGTGATGCGCCGCTACTTTCCTCAGCTTGTGGCCCGCCGTCAGGACAGACCGGCGGTGGACGAGCTCACAATGTCCCTGACGGATAACCTCAATATCGTGGACGTCTGGGCTGGGTCGGCTGAGGCGAAGATCCCGGAGGTGTTTGGCGAGGAGGTGCATTTGATTGCGCCGCTGCGTGTTGGCCGGGGCTATCGGTTTGGCATGTCATACTCGGTTACGGATTTGAGCATCTTGAAGGACTATACCGCGCAGCCACTTTCAGGAGAGCCGGTCATATCGTCTGCCCTGCTGAAAGAGATGGATAGCTGATTATTACTAGATTAGAAATATATATGTATATTTACTTGTATATGTGAATAAATGATAACTAGAGAGAGATGGAAATTTTACAAGGCCTGGGAGCTATTTTAAGTTATTTTACAAACAACTTCATTTCAAAATGTTGTAAATCTCTTTGTGTAATTTATTCTTATAGTTTATATGTCTCTCTCCCCACTTTTGCTGAAACTATAGCTATTACTATAGCTATAATTGCACTTATTGCCACTATACCAATACAATCCACCTTTTCTTATTTCTTTTACCTTTTTGAGCACTGACTAGCTAGCTATCAAGAACGTCATATTCCAGATTCCATCTTGAACTGCCATCAGTAATCGTCTCCGCGGCTGATGACCTCCTTCACGGTGGGTCGAATAAGGATAGTCTAAAGAGCGCAAAATTAGCCACCATGTCATTTCGGCCATGACGGTAAAAAGAAGAGGTAGTCAACTTACATGCTCATACTGAGCAGTGTACGAGCCCTTCTTATCAACCAAGGGCGGGTACGCCTCGACAATGTCGTTCTGCACCAGGCTGTTGAGCTGTTCCACGAAGAAAGAGAAAATGTCATGTCAGCGCTGCATTTTTCTTTAGCAATAAAGGCGATTAAGATATATAGACTTACACCGAGAAGATACTTCTCCTGGCCAAGGCGGTCGAGGTATCGTCGGCAGAACGGCAGCGTTCCAAAGTTCTTGTTAATCACATTAAGCAGGGACTTGGCCGAGCTCAATCGCAGGTCGACGTGCGACACGTCGCCAACCTTTGCATAATGCGAAACTTCGCCGTCGTCGCGGACATAGCCGTTGCCCGTGCTGCCAAATGTCTCAATGGCAAACACGTCGCCTTCCTCCATCTTGGTCTGGTCGTTGCTCTTGACAATGGGCACGGCCTTGGTACCGTGGATGCTGTACGGCAGAATGGTGTGGCCCGTCAGGTTGCGGATACTCTTGACTGGGTAGGTCGTGCCGTCAATCTCGACCTCGTAGCTCTCCATGACTTCCTGGATGACGCCGCCGATCTCGCCAACGCGGGCGTCGATGCCGGCCTCGCGAATACCAGCGTTGGTGGCCGCTCGCACGGCCGCGAGGAGAGGATCGTACTTGGGCTCAAAGGCCATTGTAAAGGCAGAGTCGACAATCTTTCCGTTGACGTGGACGCCAAAATCCACCTTCATGACGTCGTTCTGCTGGAGCACCATCTTGTTGCCCGCGTTGGGGGTGTAGTGAGCCGCGCAGTGGTTCAAGGACAGACCGCAGGGGAAACCCATGCCGGCCTTCAGGGCATCTCCCTCCTCCAGGCCGGAGTGGCCCGTCAGTGCGCGGACGCTGTCCTCGATGGTCTCGGCAATCTCGGTCAGGCTCTGGCCGGGCTTGATGACCTTTTGCGCATACTGTCGCACCTGTCGGTGGATCTCAGCAGCCTCTCGGTAGTCGGCCAAGAACTCGCTGTTGAGGTTGTCCAGGTGGCGCTTCTCCTCGTTGGTGGTTCGGTAGTTGTTCTCGTCCTTGTACTCGACTTCCTCGCCCTTGGGGAAGTTCTTGTTGGGGAACAGCTGGCTGACCATGACACGAGGGGGCTCGGTCTGGCTGGTGGGGTTCTTCTTCTTCTTCTTGGGCTTTCTCTTCTTCTTCTTCTTGGCCGCGCCGGGCGCAGGAGTGGCGTCCTCAGCGTCGTCCTCGGAATCTTCGCCGTCGTGTGCATCTTCGGCTTGGCCGTTGGCCGCGTTACCAGCCTGGCCAGCCGGCTGGGTACCGTCGGCCACTGAGATTTGCGCACAGAGTCAGCATGTACCGCACGTCTACAAGCCTGCGTTCAACAGCAATGCGCACCTTTCAGCTCCTTGAGAGCTTCAGTGGGAATTTGGGCTGCCATCTTGGCTGATTTGTACGATGTTGAATGTGCAGGTCTAAAATTTTGGCAGATGCGGCTTTGCAGCGGCTAACCCCGCCATGGGTGCTGACAAAATTAGGCATGGCGTCAAAGGTCAAATGCACTGCCTGTAAATATGGAAAAGCAACTAGCTATTTGTGTCGCCATCCCAAAAGGGCGTATGACATCAATGCCGTTTCGAGGTGCCTATCCTCGGCATAACCACCACCTCCCTGGTAGCATTTATCCACCAACAAGCTTGTATTTTAGCCAATTGACCAGATAGCTGTAATTCTATTATGATACAAAATACTACCCGCCCCCATTGGACATCGTCGCAGCAATACTGTTAGCATCCTGCAGCCATGACAGGCCAGAATTTCCCAGTGGAGAGACGTGGGGTTGCCCTGATAAATATGGCGGGGCTTTGGATCGCTCTCGATCTCGTCCCAAGCCAGACTCCCAGGCAGAAGCCTTTCATACAACAATCAACGACTGCAGCTGACAAAGAGGCTTTGCCATACTGTTTGATCGTTTGGAGACAGATGAAGTCGATAAGCTAGCATGGAGCTCCAAGTACAGAGACTGGTAGACAAGGTGTGGAAGAGCTACTTAAATATACCTCGAGACCAGCGCCTGTGTAAGTGAGCCAGATATATATCTTTTACTTTGCACAGCTTCCGTCTAGATAAACTCACAACAGCTCTTTGATGTATATTCTCTGCTAACGTCTCTTGATCCAGTAATCGGAATCGGTGGCATCCCAGGCTCAGGCACGTCCACCCCGAATAAACCCTCACCCATTCGTCTCACCACCACGCATCATGTAGCACTAACAAGCCACCAGGCAAAACAACGCTGGCCCAAACCATCACCTACAAACTCAACGCCCTCGCCAACGCATATGCCCCAAATGCGCCTCCACCAACCATCTTCGTCCCCATGGACGGCTTCCACCTCACCCGTGCCGAGCTCTCCGCCATGCCGGATCCGGTAACTGCTCATGCTCGCCGCGGCGCCCCTTATACCTTTGACGCTCACAAGTTTCATGCCCTGGTGCAGTCGTTAAGAAGGCCCATTTCGCCTTCGGAAACCATCTATGCGCCGTCTTTTGACCATGCCGTTAAAGACCCCAAGGAGAATGACATTGCCGTGCTGCCGACTCATCGGATTGTCGTCATTGAGGGGAACTATGTGGCTCTGAACAAAGAAGTGTGGCGCGATGCCGCCTTGTTGTTCGATGAGCTGTGGTTTGTTGAGGTGGACTTCGAAGTGGCCAGGAAGAGGTTGAGAGAGAGACATGTCCGAGCAGGCATTGTCCAGACCATAGAAGAGGGTGATAAGAGAGCTACGGAGAATGACTTGGTTAATGGAAAAGAGATTGTAGACTACAGCTTACAAGTGCACGAGCTAGTACAGAGCAGAGAAGACGGAAGTTGGGTTCATGAATAAAGGCAATCTTTAAATAGGTATATACATAGACGAAAACAAGGCCATTTCCCCTAGAAAACCCCGTAAACAACCAAACTATACTGTATGTAATCCAAGCAAATGCTGCACCAGCTTCACTCTGAGAGAAACTATCAAATTAGAAAGAAACATGATACATTAGTAAGGTGTAAGAATCCAACGGGGTGCAATCCATAACCCCTAAACACCCACTAGCACAAGCAGACAAAAGCTTTCCAAATCAGCCCAATTTTTGCTTCTTTACTTGTCCTCCAGCACTACCGGCTCATGAGGAGCCTGATCATGAGCCTGGTCAACGCTTGCACGGGCAGCTAGGCTTAGCCTCTTCATCTCGGGGGCCATCGTCACACCCGTGCCCTTTCTACTCCGCGTAGCCTCCTCCCATCTCTTTTCGTCCTTTTCGTCCTTAACCACGGGCTTATGGGTTGCAGTGTCCAGGCCCAGCACCTCCATCAACTCAGGTAACTCTACATGATCCCTAGTGGTCTTCATCCTGTGGCACCAGGTAATCCTCTTGTCTTCAGCCCGCTCGTCTTCGACGTTGTCTTGGCTGGTTTCCGGCTTGGCAAGTGATCCAAACTTGGGCGGCTGCTCCTGTGTCGGCGTTGAGATGGGCGTCGCGACATGGAACGGCTCGTAGAGAAACTCGCCGCCCACCTGTCGGTGATCGCCAGACTTGAGAGCCAGGCCTTTTGGCACGTGCTTTAGGCCCTGGACAATGCTGTCGAAAATTCCCCTTGACGTGCTCTTCTTTGCATATGCGGGCTTGGTGCCCATTTGGAGGGTCTTCACCATGCCCAGTGCGTCGAACAATGACCGGGTCGGGTCTGTATATATGGGGAACTGGCAGCCCGTTTCTTTGGCATACATGTCGATCAGGCCGGGGTCACCGCATCCCACAACGGTGATGAAGGTGCTGATGGGCAGTCGGAGGAGTGAATCGGGGGTGATGGCTTCAGATAGAGTGCGGAGATATTCCTGGCAGTTCTACATGTAAAACAAAGTTAGCTATGAGGTATGCAAGGTTGAATGATATCGCCAGGAGTAAGTAGCGTACACCGCAGAAGAAGTGCCGAATAAAGATGACGAGCACCCGTCTAGCTTTGTTTTCGCCCATGTATAGGCTCTTGAATGTCTTCGACTTGCCATGGCGGTCCAGCACAATGTAATTCTCAATCATCTTCTGGACTTCAGGAGACGGCAGCTCATTGTTCGTCGACAGCTCGCCATCGAAATCTTGTGGCTGCGACTTGTCGATATCGAGCGACGAGGCCTTGGACCATCTGTGCGATGACGCCCTGTCTGAATGCCTGTCATGGCCTTCTGTCTCGTCATGGCTATGGGGAGCACCGTCGTACTTGTGTGGCGTTTGCTGGTCTAGGTCGTTGAGGATGCCCGTAAAGGTGTGCTGCGGGGGGTGGGCCGAGGCCGCATCGTCGATCTGCACCTCTGCCATTTGGAGAAGTGTTTTATGCTGGCAAGAGGTGGTGATGGTAGCAGCAACAGTGCGGTGCAGCAGCGGTGGTGTAGATGAAATCGTAACACGCTGCTTTACAGCATGAAGAGGAAAAGAGAACGACAGAGAGCTTGGCGATGTGTTATATGTATCATGTCATGGCCTGCTGCAACCGGATTTCAAGTTTCCAGGGGCGCTTGGAGCTCCATCTGGCGCTAACTGCAGCTCCATAGTCCGTCCCGGCCAGAGTTACTCCGTCCATGTCCAGCATCGCATCTGCTTCACTGCGCCACGGCTGACCAATGCCACGATATTGCAGGAACCCTCTGGACCGGCGGCAGTGACAGCGGCACTTCGTTTTGCTGGCATATTTTTGGGCGCTGCTGACCTCCAATTTGATTGGGCTGGGCGTGGCGTAGTTGGGTTGGAAGCTCTGCTGGTGTGAATCAAGGCCATGTGAAATAACAGGCGACTGGGCCGGCGGTGGCCAATCATCTTACGCGGCTCGGTGAAAATGCGTCCGGGCGATCCGATGACTAAGCACAGAGAGTACCTTAACCTGCGCCATGAAGTACCTGAGCAGGGCTACCTTGCAATAGTAAATGTATGTTTGGTGCTGCTTGAACAACTTCATCGTCGGCAAAAACACCAAAAAGGCACCACATTGGTCCAGCTGATTCAACTTCTAAGCCACCCGCGTGGCTCAGCGGCTGTGTTTCGTTTCAGCAAAATAAGTGTTTGCTTGGCATGTACTATCAATCTCGATTCTCACAAAAACTAATACCTACAGCCGCTAGCGCACCAGAATCCGCAGGCGATATAGCAGAGCCCCCACTAATCAATAAGCCCGGCTTCAGATTCTGTCACCAAACTCACCTCGCTTAATCCAGCACATTCGCCATCGTCCAATCCAATCTTCCCTTTCCAACCATGTCCGACGCAGATGAAAACGACCTTTTCAACATCCAAGTCTCCGACTCCGAAGACGACAAGGTTGAGAAAAAGTCCAGACGCACCGGCCAAACAGAGGATGAGTTCCAGGCCGTAAAAAACACTTACCGCGCCAAGGTGGAGAATGGCAATGTAAGCCCATCCATTATCTGCGACATTCTCTCTCCCCTTCTCAGGCCTAAGCCTAGATCTCCATCTTGACCAATTGCTTCCTCTCTAGATTCAGCAAACCATCACTCTTCCTTTAGAACCTGGTGCCAACAAACAGCATGTCCAAGAAGTTCTTCATGCAGCGGAGGAGCTCTATTTCTTCCGCCGCTATCAAGACGTCGTTGACCTCGTATCACGAGTCCTGGCCCCGGAAGGCGACAAGGGTGGCTTGGATGAGGAAACAAAACAGATTCTTTCCATGTATCAGTCAAGATGTAGACAAAAATTGAAACAAAATGATTGAAACACCCGCCATCTCAGCATGGCCGCCATACAAGACCGGGATCACTCACACGAATTTGCGCTGCGCCTGCATCAAGCTCACCTCGTTTTACACAGCCCATTTTCTCGAGCTCATACCTAGTAGTTACATTCGTATATAGTTACACACTTAGAACCTTCCTCAATCACACTAGTGAGTTGCCTAAGGCTCATCTCTATTAAGATAGGCCTGTTCCCTTTCATCATTCCAATATTCCATTCAGATATAAAGTCGCGACTATGATCTACCAGTTAGAAATCCCAATTATACCCACCAATATCCCTCTCCACCCATATCACCTTCAGGTATTGCTGCTATCAGAAACCAGCAAACTTGCCCTCATTCTCAACGGGCTTGTCCGCCCACCGAGAGGAGCTTAGGCCTTTGGGGTTCGATTTCAGGCTCATAGGAGCAGCCGCCGCCGTTGCAGCTTTCGGAGGTATGGCAGCCCACTCCTTGACAGCCTCTAGCTTTGCACTTGTGACCGATATTTCTTTAGAAGCAGAGTCAGTGCATGCAATCACCGATACTTGTCTCTGGCATAACGTACCGTTTGTAGAAGCCCATCGAGATGTCGCAAGTCCTCCGGCTGCCCTCGGATGAGAACTAGAGATTACCTGATCTTTTTGTTTGGCTATGCTTTGAACCTTTTTCTTTTTGGGAGGCGAACCTTTTTGGATCTCATATAAGCCCGAAGCCTTGATCTTATCTTGGCGCGACACGGCCTGCGCTTTCAACTCCTTAATATCGGTAGGGGTGTACTTGATCCTCTTGCTCGGCTTTTCGACAATCTCCTGGAGATCTTGAAGCGTTTCACTTGAGATAGCCACGGGATTTACATGGTTGCTCCCGTGCCTGAACTGTACCTTTCTTTTGATACGAACCAACAGTCGGAGAAGTTCAGCAAGTTCTTCCTTTAGCTCATCAGACTGTGTCTCTGTCTTCATGAAGCCTTGATCCATCCAGTTAGAGATTGCCGTTGATTCGATTTCGTCAATACCGTTTTCAGGAACTTTGATACCAGCTGCCGTGATTTCAGACAGTATTTGCTGAACTAAGCCTTGCATGTGATCTGCAGCAGCCTCGATGGTGAGTGCTGGATTGGAACAAAAGCCATCCTCTGTGTCAACTAGGCTCTCTCCGGGTAGGCTTTCTTGAGTGTCTCGCTGCAAGGATGCCTCGATGGAAGTTGGTGTTTGTAAGGGAGTCTTCTCGCTATCATTAGCCCCCATCGGAACTGTTTTAGCTACTTGAGGCTGAGTTTTCGATGGCGTATTTAGATAACTAGCCGCAATCTCTTTGTTAGCAGTAGGCATCTTGTTAGCAGTTGGCGTCTTGTTAGCAGGAGGTGTCTTGTTAGCAGCAGGTGTCTCGTTGACAGTAGGCGTCTTGGTGGTAGTAGGCGTCTTGTTAACGGTGGGTATCTTGTTGGCGGTAGGCGTCTTGCTGGCAGTAGGCGTCTTGCTAGCAGTAGGCCCCTTACTAGCAGTCGGTGTTGGAGTTTGCTTCAGAGAAACAAGACCAGTTTCTCTGAAGAGTAGAGCCGATTGCTGAAGACTTTTTAGTAAGTATTGGAATCCTTCTGCAGCAGCAGAAGTTCGAAATTTCAACTTGTAAAGGCGCTCTCGCTGAGCATTAGAGATTAGGCAGAATGGGCCTTGTATCACCGGGGCGCCAAGAGTCAGGACATCATGAACCGATATACCCTTGTCTGGCAACTGCATCGCCAGCAAACCTTTGTTCTTTTGAAGTTGCACTTTCAACATGAATTTGATCTCAGACGAGGAACTATCCGACTCATTGATAATTTCGCAGTCGCCTAGAGACAATATGTGCTCTTGGACTTGAAGCGGTGTAGAAGGATTTGGCTTGGGCTCTGCTTGGCTGGAGAGCCTATTAGATGGCTTAACTGTTGCGTTTTGGACTTTAGAGCCGGGTGGTGCTGCTGGCATCTTTGAGCTACTTCTCGCCGTCGTTCCTCGGTTGGCTTGCGTGTTCTGATTAGCGGGCACCTTTTTGTTTGAAGCAGAGGGCAAAGTTGGCACAGGAACTTTGCTAATGCTCCCTGAGGACCTGATGGATGAAGGTGGCTTGGGGACGGCAAAAGTCCTGGCAGGCTTTGCCTCCTTTCGGAATCGAGGTGGTGCTCTAGGATTGAGGATGGAAGATGAGTACGATTGGAGCACAATTTTGTCGAATGGGGCATCCTTGACTTACGACTCAGCCGCATGGCTTGCCATATAATGGCTTGTTAATGTAGCCCAAGGACGAGCATTGCCAAGCTCAAGGCCTTCCATTTGCTGACTCTCTTCGTCCACAATTTTGACTTGATGTGATCAGATAAAACAAGGCTTTGGTACCAGCGCTTCATGGACTTACCTCCCCACTTGCTCTCCAGCTTCTCTTTCCGAGCTTGTGGAATATGGCTAGTTCCAGACCTTCCAGGTAGATATGTTGGCCGCTTGGCTTGGTTGCTGAGTGGAAGTTCATCTTGCCTGCTTCTGCCGAGCTCAGCCTGGAATTGAGAAATGTCAGAACAGCTCTTTCGATCTACCTTTCTCATGAGGCCACTGCATCTCTAGATGTAGACAATCGAAGGCAGAGCAAAATTGGATGAAGTTGATCTTACTAGAAGAGCCTCTTTGATGCCCTCAAGATCCTGGGCTGACATTGTGAAAGCTCAAACCAAAAATTTGATGAATGGTGATGGCCTCAAAAGATTTCCCTCAAAATATACTTGTGTTGTTGAGGAAGAATGTCTCTTTGACGTAGCAGTGGCTTAGTGCTAAGACGAGGTCGTATAGAGAAAATGAGAAAGGAAAGAGAAAAATTGGAAAAATGTCAGAAAATAAGAACAAGCGGCGAAATCAAACAAAGGAGTGACTGGACTGCGCGATGATACACCGCGATTACAAGCTGCCAGCTTAATGTGGTGGAGGGACGAGGAGGATTAGAGTGGCGTGCCGAGCAGAAGTTGTCCTAGCATGGGATGGAGAAGATGCACATCGGATGTAGAGGTTTGGAATTCCTATGCATCTGTTGTTGAGGAATTCCAATAACGGCGGGCATACCTCAGGCACCCCGACAGTAAATGAACACTTTATTTCAGGTGCAGGCAGGTGCCGGGCACTCTGGATGTCTGTGCTAAGCATGACAGATGGGCATTGCCATGCCAACGAATGAACTATTTACTTTTTTGGCTACGTAAAAGCATGAAGCGAGCTCTTTTTTCAGCAGTTATTGAAAGTATATTGCTGCAGGGGTGGTGAAGGAGTTGATGGTTTGTGGCTGCTTGTAATACGAACAATTGCAAAGAGCGCAGCTCTATGTTCAAGATGAGATGATTTTTTTGGAACAAAATAAGGCCTCTTCAAGGCGTACTCCTCGTTATTATATGTTATCAACAAGAATGTGTTGTCACGCAATATTATCCGGAGCAAGCACAAAAATATTGTTTTCAACACATCACACAAGTCATTATACAATGCATTTATGCAAGACATCCACGCCTTTGTTTTCTAGTACAGCTACAATAAAGGCGTTGCATTTACCCAAGTGCTATGTTTAGATGCTATGTCCTTGAACTAGGAGATGTACAAACATCAATTAGCTGTAGATTCGGTTCTAAAAAATAATTACATATGGTTGGAGAGAAGCAAAACACAATTTTGGTTCAAGTATCAACATCTTCCTATAGCTCCAGTATAGATTCCGAAGCACTACCCTTTAACTATCCTAAGGTCCCAATATCGAAGAGCATTGAGCTCGATTAAGGCATTGTTAGTATCTGTCAAATATAATATTCAAATATATTATAAAACGGCATATTTTTTTTCTCTACCAACCGTCTCTTATCTTATGTCAACCTCGACCATCAGCTAGGACACTAATAATTTGTCTGTCAAAATAGATAAGTACTTACACATACAATCTGCTCAAGTGTTATTACTCGAGTACGTTTAGAAAGAATTGTCCAAATCCCGAATAGTTTAAACAAGCCTCATATAAGATGACCGCTCGCAATACGGCATGCAGCTGAAAGAAAACACCGGGTTGATGTCCATACAAAAAAACACCAAATTCGGTGTTTATTAGTCCGGTGAATTTCTCCCTCCTTGCATGGGTGTGCATGTAATCAACGTCTGGCCAGATTTGTTTTGTCTTGACGGCTATTCGCTTAAATCAGAATGCAAAACCACCCGCTATCCGCGCTAAATCCGCGGAAAATGGCCATTAATTGGTATCGAGAAGTATCCGCATCTTGATCTCGGTTTAGTGATTAGCGAGATCAATGCTGCTGCGTACCGGCTCGAGACCCCAAGTCTCGCTAATCCCCGTTTGTAACGCTTCCTCGAGATGCGATGTCGGCAGATGGACATATATGCTATACTGCTTGGATACCAATTTTTTCTTTCTTTCTTTTCTTATCCGTGTCCTGAGATGGCAACATTCCACCCCGCGTTTACACTTCGGCTACCAAGATAGGCGTAAATAATGCGGGGGAATAAGACGGCTAAGCTCCAGTCTGCTTTTACATACCGACTTGGCTTCTATAAAACACCGGCCGTAAACCTCTAGACTTTCTATCACACACAAAAAAAAGGAAAAGAAAAAAAAAAAACAGCTACGTTTCCATTGCCAGCCACACAGAATAGAACATCATGGTGAGAAAGGTGACCGCATCGGAGATCCTCCAGCACAACAAGACGGACGACCTATGGATTGTTGTTAATGGAGAGGTATATGATATGACTGAATTCGCACCTGAGCATCCCGGCGGGCAAGAGAGTATGTTTCAACCATAGACAGCACTTCCTCGATTCAGTAATTCAGGTACACGTTGCTCACGCGCCTCTAGTTATACATAAATTTGCTGGAAAGGATGCCACTGAAGATTATGGTCGGGTACACTCGCCTTCATTGATCCGAGAGACTCTGGGAGAGAAAGGCCATATCGGATCCCTAGATGAATCCACTATAACAGAAGACTGGAAAGCCGCCAATCAACCCTCAACCCAAACTGCTTTGGTGAAGTTAGGCGAGAAGCCGGCACTCGGTGACATTTTCAATATGGATGACTTCGAAAAGGCGGCGCATATAGCCTTATCCGAGAAGTCTTGGGGATATATCCGGGGAGGATCGAATGATAACATCACACGAGACGCCAATAGTTCCATGCTTCGCCAGATCTGGTTGCGCCCAAGAGTCTTACGCAACGTCGGTACTGTGACAGCACGCACGAAGCTTTTTGGATGTGACCTTGACATGCCCGTCTTTATCTCACCGACTGGCGCTGCACGAGCTGGAGGTGCCGAGGGTGAACTGACGTTGGCTCGAGGAGCTAATTCGGCGGGAATCGTTCATTGTTTCGCGACCCCCTCGTCATATACGCATACAGAAATCTTAAACGAGACCAAGCGGCAAGCCTTCTTTCAGCTGTACGTGGACAAGAACCGTGATAAATCTGAAGCTGCCATCCGAACGATCGAGGCTAGCGGTAAAGTGAAGGCTATTCTCCTGACTGTTGATGTCCCTGTCATCCCTAAACGGGAAGACGACGAGCGTGTAAAGTCAAAAGAACAGATGGCAGTATCTGGAATTGGATCGAATTTTGAAACCGAGACGAGCGACAAGAAAGGTGCCGGTTTTGCGCGCCAAGCAGCGTCGTTTATCGACCCGACGACGAGCTGGGATGATCTCAAGTGGCTACGGAGCATCACGCAGCTACCAATTGTTATCAAAGGCATTCAGACCGCAGCAGATGCCATTATGGCTGCGAAGATGGGAGTTCAGGGCATTGTCATCAGTAACCACGGCGGTCGCGCAGCGGATACAGCACCGCCTTCTATTCTTGTCCTATTAGAACTTCAGAAGCAGTGTCCTGAGATATTCGCCCAGCTTGAGGTTCTGATCGATGGCGGATTTCGACGAGGGTCGGACATAGTCAAAGCTATTTGCCTGGGCGCATCTGCAGTTGGGCTGGGCAGGCCGTTCCTCTACTCCCTCAGCTACGGCCAAGAGGGTGTAGAGCACGCAGCATGGAGTAAGTTTTGCATTTCTTGCTTCTACCACTCGATTTTACGCGAAAAATAACTGACAATCTTTGCAGTTCTTAAAGAAGAGATCGAGACGGCGATGCGTCTATGTGGCATGACGGATTTGATGAGAGACGCACATCCGGATCTTGTAAACACTAGCAGTCTTGACTTCATGGTTCCTGGACTTAGACATCCATACGCGCGCAAAGTTGATAAATCAGCTGGATGGCTAAGCTCGCTACGATCAAAGTTGTAGGAGACTTTGAAAGAGGTATTTCGATTGGAAGAGTCGGTGGGAATTGAAGGAAACAAGTGGCACCTTACAGGACGTATACTAAGCTCAAGGGACAGCGCGTTCTTATAGACATTATGTACCAAATTTACCAATTGGATAATTTTGTTTATTGGTTCGGATAGCAGTCAGCTCTGGCATTCACGCATGCCGTATCGCTACGAGAATCTCTTGCTAGATATGTAGTAATGGATATTCCTTGAACCATGTACAGTCCTGGTGCTTTCAACTTACATGTAATCTGCAATGTGAGTTCTATAACTCATGACGAACAGCCGCTGCTATTATTACACGCCGTCACGCCATTTTGAGATTCGCTTTGGTTGACTGTCCGGCAGAAACAGGAGGACTGGACAGTGATATCGGCTAAACACGTCGCCAGTTTCAGCGGCAACTCGAGCATCTTCGCCTCAGCTGTTCGTCCCAGCAACGTCAAACACTCATGGTAGCCATGCAACGCCCAGATGTTATTTGGGTGCTGGTGGCCACGCGGCAGAGACTCGTCGAAGCCGAGGTCTTCTGCGTACGCCTTGGCAGCTTCTTCTACGCGGCCTTGCTCCAGCAGTAGAGCCGCGAAGGCGTGTCGGGATGGCTGCATCCAAGCCCATGGCTCGCTATAGTTGAGATGGTCGTCTAAATAGATGGAGCGACGCAAATGCTCAAATGCCAACTCGTAATTGCCGCGGCGGTATTCAATCTCACCGGCCAGCATTGCTTCACCGACGGCGAGGATGTCGATGCATTTGTTTGGGAAATCCATTCGTGAAGGAGGCACGCGGGCTACAGCTTCTTTGAATAGTATTTGCTGCTTCAACGCCTCGTCCACTTTTCCTGTAGCGGCGAAAGCAACACCTTTTGCGTATTGGATTGTAGCAGTTGTGACACAGTAGAGAGACTGATCTGTGGGAAGCTCAAGGTTGATGATGTCGTCCCAACGGCCAAATCTGATCAGGACATGAGGTCGGACAGCGACAAAGGCTTCTAACCAGTCTGCCATGGGCGGAGACTTGATGGAGAGTAGCTCTGCAGGGAGTGCATCTTCCATGTGTTTGCAGTTCTCGATGGCGATTTTCGACTGCCCAGATAACATGGCAGCATATATTAAAGAGTGATAGTTATGACCTCGATAGAGGGCATACATGCTCATGCCACCAGCCCATTCCACATATTTTCGATCATCTTTGACAGCGACTGTGTTAGCGGTAATCGAGGCTTGATAGTCCCCAATAAGAATGTCGAGATGCGACGGCATGTGGTTTAAATGGGCGCAGTCAGGTACGAGGCCACGAAGCCGATTTCCCGAGGGCACGGCAGCTTCGGGGGTGCGTGACATCTCCATGAGGTGAATATGTAAATGAAGCAAGCCTGGATGCTCGTTGGCGCCTGGTTGCTTCAATGCCCGCGTAATGGCTGCTTCAGCCTCGATAGCACGAGAATTGGGGCCTGGCTTGCCGCTGTTCGGATCCCACATGGCCCACGGAGTGAGGTTCATCAGTGCGTCGATGTAGAGGGCGGCGACATCCAAATCATCGCCGAATTGCTTGTATGCAACTCCCATAGCATCAGCATATGCGCGATTCCATACCGAGTAGTCATCTGTCGGAGTACGTTGCGGGAATCGGGCAACGAGCGCATGGATGAGAGCCTGTTCGACTGGACTGGCATTTCCTACGAGTTCCAATGCCTTTCGCGACGCGGTATGAGTGGCGTCCAGGGACGTCTTGAGATCCTCGGGATCAAACAACCGCCACGCTTTGTTGTAGTAGGGGCCGCGGGTATATGCTAGCCCCCAATACCCCATGGCACAGCTGGGATCAGCAATAGTAACTTTCTCGAAACAGCTTGACGCCTCCTGTGTATTGAAGCCATAGGCCCAAATGAGACCTCGGTTAAACCATCGCTGGGCGTCGGGGCTTTCCGTTGTAATGGGGCGATGATAAGTCCCAAGATCGAAGTAACCATCATCCTCTAGAGCAGCTAGTTTGGCTTCCATTGTCGATAATTTGCTTACTCTGCGTCTTTAAAATGAACCTTTAATGTATTGAGATGGATCAAATGACGACATATGCCTTTAATTGTAAGAACGCGGGGTTGAGCGCAGCTATGTTTAGTTCTAAACACGGGTAGTCATTCACTTCCGCACTTACAAATCCCACTTGACGTAAAAGGGTAGTTGTGTGTCACCACTTTAAGTAAATGCTAGCCCATGCAAATGCATATAGAAGGCTGATGATTGTATATACTAGTACTCTTAGTCGAAGCTTCTCCCCGCGTTCTATATACTACATAGAATTCGCTGGCATCGGCCGACCCTTGTTAGAGTAGATCTATATGGGGCAGCGGCAGCTAGTATTAGTAATGTTTGCCCGATCTCAGTTGCTGACACTACGTATGTATGTAGTTGCAAAAGAATCAGACCCATAGCCTGGTTTTAATGTCATTTTATGAATTTGTATCGAATGTACTGAACGAACCTGAGATGTCTATTTTCATATTGGACATCTCCGATCAAAGTAGACTTTTCGAAACAACGAAGAATGAAAATGATAGGTAGTGTATACAGAAAGGTTATCACGAATGCACGAGAGTTATATTGCTTGCCAGCAATCAAGACAAGGGTTCAAATAAAAGGCTTAACTTGCTATATAGAAATAACACTAGTGCTTAAAATTCCAGACTCTATATTTCTTTTTCAGTTTGCGACCTTAATCACAACCTTTCCATAGTGCTTTTGATCCCACTGGTACTGGTACGCCTTCTTGATGTCATCAAATGAGAAGATGTTGGAGTCAACAACAGGGCGAATCTTTGCAGAGTCAATAGCCCGGTTCATTTCCTCAAACTGCTGCCTGGAGCCGACAAAGACGCCGCGGACAACGCAAACGTGGCTGAGAGCGTCCATCAGAGGAGGCTGCTTCTCTGATGGTGCAAGGAATCCGATGATAGTGATGACACCCTCCAGCTTGATGGCTTTGAGAGACTGTTCAAGACTTCCAGGGCCACCGATCTCAAGAATGTGATCAAATCCAACGCCTCCGGGAGTCAGAGCTCGGGCAGCCTCACCCCAGTTGGTGGTCTCTCTGTAGTTGATAACGTGGGTGGCTCCCAGCTTCTTCAACTCCTCGGCCTTTTCCTTTGTAGATGTAGTGGCGACAACGGTTGCGCCAGCAGCAGCGGCGAACTGGATACCTGAAAGGCTGACACCGCCGGTGCCCTGGGTCAAGACCCAGTCGCCTGCCTTGACAGGCTTGAGTCCGTAGAGGGCGTTCCATGCGGTAAGGGGAGCGCAGGTAAGGGTGCTAGCCTCAATCGCGTTTAGAGAAGATGGAGCCTTGACAAGAGCGTGGTCTCCAAAAACGGCATACTCGCGCAGAGTACCATCAACTGCACCGCCAAGACCACTTGCGACGGCCTCGGCGGTAATTGGGTTGGTGTGGTGGAGTTCATTAAACAGCGTGCAAACTCGGTCTCCCTTGGCCACTCTGGTGACCTTGGGGCCAGTTGCAAGGACGATGGCGGAGCTGTCAGATCCAGGAACGACGGGAAGTTTCATGGAGAAAGGGTAAAGTCCCTATCAGCCAGGTTAGATCTCAGAAATTGTGTCAACATCTTTGCCGGCTTTACATACTTTGGGAATGACCAAGTCTCTGTAGTTGAGAGACACGGCTTCTATCTTAACCAAGACATCATGATCGCCAAGGTTGGGAAGAGAAACGTTCTCCTTCAGAACAAGGCTATCGAAGCTGTCTTTGTTGATCGCGTCGATAGACCATGCTCGGGTAGTAGTTGGGAGAGCCATTGTGATAGAGTGTAAGGGTATAAAATCTTTCAGAGTGAAAATATGGTGACGCGGTAACTTGCAGATGCTATGAATGCTTTGACTGATAACTAGAAATCGTTAACTGGCGTCCATTGACAGATATTTATATCAGTATGTGGAAAGCGGATTCATTGTGGGCTCGCCCCAGTTATTGAAAAATAGTACCACGGAACTTGCCACTGCATTTACTGAGGACATTCAAAGTCATGCACCGCTTTGGCACATAGTAACATTCTGCATTATTAATGATACGTCAATGATGTGATTCGGTCTCCATCGTTCTAGAGTGAATCATCTGGCTTTCTAGTGTAACAACCCTACGGCTTACACATCTAGTGCCACATAGCACAACGGCCTGCAGACAAGCGTATCCGCCTGACGAGTAAGATAGAGTTTGTTTCCCCCCTTGCCACATTTGCAAAAACCAACTTTGGACAGACGAGACACGTGAAGAGTTCGACTAATTGCCCGATTCCTAAAACTCGATTTCAAATGAGCATCCTGCAATAAAATCATGCCAAGCAAAGCGCCGCGGCATTTTGAATCAGTCGGGCGCCCACTTTAGGAAGTTTCAAAGACTCAACCTCATTGGCTCAACTTGTGCACAAGCGTCGGCCGACCCCTGTCAATATAACGCAAATGGCTATTCTGGAGCGGAAGCTAGAGAGGGTCGGCCGATCCCTGCTAGGCACCTCGCGTACACCGTTTGCCCTTGAAATTCGCCCACACTGTCTGTCAATGCAGCTTCCATGTCGTTGAGGTAATACACCAATACTGCACACCTCCTGGTGTCATCCACAGCGAGCGAGGACGTTTCAAGACGTTACTGCCGAACAATTCGTCAAGCATAGCAGTCCTCAAATGTCTTTCGACCTCAATTTCTCCCCTCATATGCGTAGACTACTCCACAGGTGACGCAAAATTGGTTCGGTATTGCTAATACCCATCAGACACATGCGATGTTTAGCAGCAACGTTTGGCGGCTTCGTTTAATAGTTTCAACGTAAGTGCTTTTTATAATGAATTAGAATGAACATTGGCGTTGGACTAATAGGTTTTGAATAGCACGAGCTCTTCGCTTCAGTCAAAGTTTCAGAGTCTTTTTATCCTATACCAGCTACGTCTACGTCGTGTCTTCATATGGAATGCCAACGATGGTGTATCTATGCTGAAGTGTTATCACACAGTGACTAGAGGAAACAGCAGGCCGAATATACTCAAAATGGTAAAAATCTACATATTCTACAATCCATTGTCCTTCATAACGTCTAAATAAATCGAGGCAATTGCTTGGCTTCCTCCCGCTGAGCGACAAATCCTACCCTGTCTTTACAGTAGAACTCGACGCCAATGCTGCTGTTCAGGTTTGCGGCTCCGTTATCCAATGAGCCAGCCTTGATAACAATGTCTCCAGGCATGATATCGAGCTTTCCATATAGGCTGGAACCGCAGTTGGAGCAAAAGAAGTGCCTGTTCTTTCCTCCAGACTCCCCGGTAGTATCATACCACTTGGGTTCGCCTAGGTTCAATTGAGTCTCAGAGTAGAACTTCGAGGTTGATAAGGAAAGTGCTTACCCTTCGTGACTTGAAAGCTATCCTCAGTAACCACAGCGTTTGAAGTATATGCCGAGCCGGTCCACTGTGAAGTGTTAGTGGTGCAATTCAATTTGTTCTCTATTGTGGCCCATACCTTTTGACAATCCACGCAGTGGCAGAGAGCCGTCACTTTCGGCTCACCTAGTATAACACTTTGTATTAGTGGACAAATGAGTAGAGTTGGAATCACACCAAACATTTGAACTCACTGCTGCTAGAGTATGCGATCTCTCCACACAGGCAACTTCCTGAAAGAGGCATTTTGGGCAGGATATTTCAGATAAAAAGTTGATAACTCTATGTTCAAAGCAAAGGTTCTTCCGTTTAACCCCTTATTCAAAAATGCGCGGGGTAACTTACCCTCTTAAATAACTACATGTATTCGCGACTTATCCGGTGACACACGAATTATCGTGCAATCGTCCGCGTTAGCCCGCGACAGTCCGATGAAGGGCCCCAGCTATTGCCACAAATACGGTGGATTCAAGATCAACTTCATTTATTTTTGAGGAGTTCTACAGTTCGTTTCCGATCCTAGCCGGATATCTTTGCCGATTCACGTCCCATATTTGGAACAGTGCTTGGCGTCTTGGTTCTCTTCGATTACATAATGCTGGATGGGCACGGCAATAGCACTCGGTTCATGCATTCGCCACTGTGTGGATCGTTGTTCGGAGCATGCAGCCGTTTCTTATATAGAATTCACTAAAGACAGAATTTGTGGTATGCTAATTATATTCTATAAAGTAAGCTAAGTTTCCACGTGGATGATGGCGGATAAGAAGCGCTACACGATACATGTATGCGCCTCGGTAAGCACACATATATGGGCCTGGGCCAAGCTGTCCCATCTAATAGTTAGACACCTCAATCATATATTAGATACGGAAGCTTTGCGCCTTAAACATTAATTAATTCTCTACTCGATCTGTTGGGATAAGCTTCTATTATATGATTGCTTCCTCATCTTACGCCAACGCTTAGAGTCCAACGCCATGTCTTATATCAGCAGAATGAAGCGTGACCTGCCCTGGGTCCAGCTTCCGTTTATTGCAAATGCACCGATGAGTGGCGTTGCTACCAGCAAACTTGCAGTTGCAGTGACCTTGAGCGGAGGCCTAGGACAGATTGGATTTACAGGCAGCCCCCTCGGACTGAGAGCTGAGCTGGAGAGTGCTCAAGCTCAGCTGAAAGATTTCATGGCCACCAATCAGAATTTAGGTGTGCTTCCGGTGGGAGTTGGTATCATCGTCATCGGTAGCACACCGGAACGCTGGCTACCAATCTTTGCAAAGTTTAAGCCTGCAGTGGTTTGGCTGTCATTCGGGAGTGCGCAACAGATGCAAGCCTGGACGGAAGGAATTCGAGAAGTAGCCTCATCTTCCAAGGTGTGGATACAGGTCGGAAGTGTCAATTCTGCTATAAAAGCGGCTCAGATCTGTCAGCCAGATGCATTGGTAATGCAAGGAAGCGATGCGGGCGGTCATGGCCATGCAAAAGGGGCAAGCGTGATGACGCTGGTTCCAGAAGTGGTAGATGCCCTCAAAGACCATGGGCTCTCTCACATCCCGGTCCTTGCAGCTGGCGGCATCATGGACGGAAGAGGAGTAGCGGCAGTTATAGCTCTTGGAGCTGAGGGCGCAGTTCTAGGCACTAGATTCATTGGAGCAGAGGAAGCTGCCATGGATTCGGATGTCCGCGAGGAAATCCTCGCAGCATCCGACGGCGGAGAGTCGACGGTGAGGTCTCGGGTGTTTGATGATATTTGGGGCACAAATCCCTGGCCACAGCTATACGACGGCCGATGCTTGAGAGGCGCGATTTACAATAATCGGGAGAATGGGATGGATATTGAGTCGGTACGGACACAACTCTACCGCGATACTGAGCGATCCCAGGTAGAGGAGGTTAGCATGAGAGACGTCGCTTGTATCTGGACAGGGGCAGGAGTGGGATTGCTCAAAAAATTGGAACCTGCCGCTGACATTGTCAACCAGGTGCAAGAAGAGGCGAGAACGAGATTACACGATACAAGGGCATTAGTCTAGCAATATGTGATAGTTGTGATCCATCGATGCGAAAATAGAGCATTACAAAGCAGCATGGGCGAGTTGCCTGGCCAATTGGTGGCTGATTTGAAATATAGAGTGACTGCATAACCTTTTTTCACAGATATAATCACTAATGACATGATTCATTTCAGATCTAGTGTCCCAGTAAGTGTCTTTGCATCTAGATCCTCCCGACCTGACATAGCATATCATGGCGTAGCCGTCGTTTCGTGGCGCATAACCAGGATTCTTCTTACATATCGCACCAATCGACGCTGGATCCACTGACAGGGATCGTCCGACGCTTGCTCCTGAGTTTTGCCTCGTGGCTTGGTAGCTCGACAGTTTGCATCGCACTGTAGAACTAGACATTCTTTAGGATTTCTCACGCAGCGCCACCATTGGCAGACATTTTACCTCTGTATCGATACTTGAAAGCTAGCTCAGCAATAGAAGCAATAGCACACTTTACTTGTATTTCTGTGCTGGTTCATGTACTAGTACCATGTTTAATTGAGTAGTCTGTGCTAGCGAATGTTTAGCTTCCGGAGGAGGCGGACTAGATTTGACAAGGGTCGGCCGACGGCATATTAATTCACCTTGCTTCTCTTGGGTCTTTTCCAATACGCAACCCTACGAGGTACCGAATTATCCTGCCCAGTATCGTATCCTCGCCCTGTCCTCCAAAATCACGTATCCGTTTGTATCCGACGCCTCTCAGCATGACCGATCTGGCAATCCTGGCGTCAAGCAGCAATGAAGTCAAGGTCACAGCTGCTCGGACCGGCTACATCCCCGGAACGTGCTTAAACTGCCGGCGTCAAAAGCAGCGTTGCGACAGGGTCCTCCCTCAATGCTCACGTTGTACCGCGTAGGCTTCTTGTCATACTGTCGGTTTGTGGCAGTTGATCATGAGCAAACACTAACATTATGGCTGTTAGGAAAGCAGTTCGATGTGTCTACCCAACGAAGACGGATGTACAAGGCCGCGGGCTGGCACCGATATCCAATGGCACGGCTGACATGTTGATGCCGTGTTCCAGTCCTTGTCGGTTCCATCTATCTCCTCTTGGCGAGCGCAACTTGCTCTGGGCAGCTTGCTCAAGCAACGGCTCATATGTCGAAGGAGATTCTCCCCAGCCGTCACTGTCTCGTCTCGTCAGAGATATTTTTGGCCTTGCTTCCATTGATATAATAGATGTTGTAGCCAAATATTTTAGTCTCGCCTATTACTGGTTTCCTTTCTCGGACAAAGATGCCATCTACGGTGAAGTAGCGCAATTTATCTCGGGCGGCGCGGCCAATCACGACGAATTTGCTCTGCTGCTTCTTTCTATGCACGTATTTTCGGAGAGCACTTGCGAGTATTCGCCTCGCCCGGCACAGAGTGCTTTATACCGCACCTCACGGCAGCTTTTTGTCGTTCTGCAGTCATCTCCGGACGTTCAACTCCGTATTTTGCTGCAATGTGGAATCATCCTAACGATGTACGCGTGCGGTCATGGATTGGGCAGAGACGCCTATGAAACCCTAACAATATGCATTGGTCTCATTCGCCGGCTCAGCTTCAACGAATTTGTGGCAGGATCAAAGGAGAGTGCGATTAAAGACTATCACAGCCAACTAGAGCTAGATCTCTACTGGAGCGCAATAATCTTATTGGATCGGTAAGCTACAAGCACGGCAGGCGTTTCATCAACGTCACATTCCGCGGTATTAATCTAATCTTAATACAATAGCACTATCGCTTTGTCCACTATCGATCACTGCCTACCATATCTAGTAGAGGAGGCTCACCTCCCCCCAAACTCTGCCATCTTGAGAGTAACACAAGCCGATCTCTACTCACAAGATTCTATCCGAAACTTCTTGGCTAGAGCAGAACATGCCATCCGTATGGGAGATACGCTGAGGGCTATAAGAAGCTCTGATTTAAGCCAATACGAAGTGGTGGAGAGAGAGATGTGCAGTGAAATTGGTAACTACATCCGCACAACTGAAGGAAGTAATTTTCCTATTTGCGAAACTATTGCTATGACTCTTAGGTGAGCACCGCAAGTCCATTTCTTATTATCGTGGAATATCGGGTTAACTAGGATTGGAAGTGCTTTGATTATGCTATATCGCACGAACGACTACTATAAAGTTTCAAGGAATAACCCGAAATCTATATTGACCTTCAATTGCGCGCGCAACATGATTATAGAGACATGTCGTGCCGAATCTGAATGGCTCAAGAGGCATGGATGGTTCAACAGCACCAGACCATGCTTCATAGGTTTATGTTGCTTATACGGTGCCGCTGCTCACCTAGACGAGCTTTGTGCAGATGGACTATCCGCAGAAGATAAGGGTACTCTCAGAAACGCCGTATCGGGATTCGCAGCACGCTGGAAGATTTCAGGTATGAGAGTTCTTTTTTTTTTTTTTTTTTTTTTTTCTTTCACTTTGGCCACGTTGGCGTTTCAAAAGATAAATTTTCTAATCAAGTGAGCAGACAGCTTTTTGCGTCATCTTGACTCGGCCAAGAGGGTAAGTCAATTAAAGAGAACTGAGCTGAATCATTTATTAGACTACTAATTGTGTATACTCGCAGTTTTAATTCATATGCCTTGTCAAACTTGAGTTTATTCGCTTGGATATTCTCAGCCAACATACTTTCCATACTTTGTCAAAACTTCATCCACCTTCAAGCGATCAATATCCTCCTCCCTCAAGCATACGGCCACATCGATATCTCCAGCATCTGTTCTAGGCATAAAGTATATAAGACCTTCCATGGGCTTGAACTTGTGCCTTTTAGCTATGCTTGGCTTTCCCAGCTTTCCAAAAGATTGCTGATATAACCCCTGTCCAGCCCAACTTGAAAACATGACGTCGTACTTGGAAGGCTCCAGCAAGGCTCCGTACACCAAGGCACCTTTGTCTTCACTCTCTGCTAATGCTGTTGCAAAGCTGTGGATTGCAACGGGCTGCAGATTTTTAATATCGTCACGGAACCTACCAGCGAGAACAGGGAGATCCATGGCACCCGCAGCATCATTCAGCGGTAACGTTCGATCGATGCAGTATACCATATGGCCCATGTATTCCGGAGGGACTGGCGTCTCCAGATAGCGCCGCGAATTAATGGCGCGACAGAAAGTCGCAGTTGCTCCAGGTGGACCAGATCCAAGACGCTGAACACGCACGGCCGTGATCCGTTGACAGACCAGAGCAGACAGAGCATCGTCAGTCGAAACCCAGGAGCCTGGCGTGGAAGCAACACGCTTGAGTTCTGTCAAATTCGAGCCAGGGAAGTGAAAATACACCCATCTATACTCTGGAGGTGGGCTGGAAGCGGAATCTGGATCTGGATCCGAGGTCTTTTTCTGAACGCGAAAGGGGGTAAGGTCCGTCTTGGGCTCATCCGGATTTAACAGTCGAACGACGTTCCTACGATCCCGATTTCCCTGCTCGAGTTCAAGTTGCGTAAGCGGCTCGCCGCCGCTAACTCTTGCGAATAGCCGAATCAACTGGGCCAGGCCGTTCATATCAAGAATATTGTGCTGGCCAGCGAACGTTACCAGCACGCCGCCTTCAATGAAGTTGGCTTGGATGAGGAGTACCGGGGCCGGTTCAATTGATTCGTCATAGCCGTAGGGTATTCCGTCTCGTGACGACAAAATCTCGCCATCAAGCATCGACATTGGCGCACCTGCATCCACGATGGATTGAAACGACGGACAAAGTTTGCGGCAGTCCTTTGCCACCACAGGAGTGAGGCGCGTCCCTGGAGCATATGGGACGATTTTCGCAAGGCCCGTCTTGCCTGGAGCGGCTCCTTCGCGAATAACGTGGCCCGAGAGCCAAGGGAATGCATCTGTGAGCTCCTTTGCCGCTGCCTCAAGGTCTTTTGTAATGACTTCGTCGGATAACGTCTCTGGCGTAGGGAAGCCGAAGACGATTTGGGTGTATGTCTTGAGGAACATGAGCTGCCCCATGACATCCTGGTATTTGGAAAAATCCTCCATAGTGTTGTTTGTGAGGGAGAGAATGGGCTATGGTCTGAGCTTGTCTGCGATCGCGGCAAGTGAAACGGGAGCTGTGCTATACCGATACGGTGAGTTTTATAGGGCTTCGGATGGCGGGCGGAGTAATTCTTCCCCCCTCCTTTGAGCGAGTGATTATTTATGCAATTTGTAAACGATTTTGAAGCTGCGCTATTTAAATATTCGTTGAGGTGTCTCACTTTGAGACTGATTGCCATAAGCGATAGATCCGCGTTAAGGATTAGTGGCCTGCATGCATATGATCCTATGAACCAAAACCATGACGCGATGGATGGTAGGACAAGAGACTGCTAGATGAGAGTTTGAGCGGGTAACGAATAAATTGTAAGTTTTGAAATGCAAGTGCGAATTTAATGAATTATCAGCGTCTATATATGAACCTGCATAAGCTCCAGTCCCGAAAGCTATTGCAGCGAACTACTATCAAGCTTAGTTTCGTGCTCTTTCAAGACTGGAGTTAGTCTCCTCAATGTTCCGCTTTTTTTTTTTTTTTTTTTTTTTTTTGCTATACTGTACCTGTTCTCTTTTCTAGAGGCGAGATCGAGGGACGGCCGCAATATCCGCAGGACCCTGGCCTCACTCTACTGTCTAGCAACAATTGGATAAATCGGCAGTTTGCGCCCGTTGAATTGTCACTTATTAAGGAAAGATTGAAAAAGGACAGATATAATCGAGCTACTGCGGCACTACTAGTTTGTGTCGTGATGTAACATTGTCTAAGATATACCAGCGGCTCCCTACATACAATATCACATGCATGCATTTACAAACCCCGCACCATTTCTAAGCACAGATATAGAAGCGTGGAGACGTATCTGCGCTTTCTATGAAAGAGAAGGCGTGTTGAAATTATGCCTTTCTGATTGAAGAAGGCAGAAGATTTGAGGTCATATTGTTAGGAATCAGAATGAAGTCTACACTTTCTTATATGTCTGTCATATGACTTGTATTTTCTGAGCCTAACGTATAGCCTGTCTACTAGGTATGATCGCGCTTACATCGTTGCGGAGATTTTTCTGTTCGCTTATTTCTTGGTCAATTTTGTTAGACTGCTTGGAGAATTCGTGGGAAACAAAGGTCCAAAAAATATAATAGGGAATTAGTATCTGTAATATTTTAGTATGTTTGTGTGTTTGTTTGAAGATTAACAACTGTGGCAGTGTAGCTCGGCCGAAATCCATTTTACGGGCCTTGCGGTTGGAGCTAACTGGTTCTGTATAAATTACGTATATAAGGTTTTGCCATTCGCGACCCGCGGCTGACATAAGGAATTAGAAGATTTTCGCCGATTTCTTCTGTTTTTTAGTAATTCTTTCCAGTTGCCTCTTTTCCCATTTCCAATGGGGAAAATAGCCTTAGGGTATGCAGTCTTCAGGATAACACTATGAAGAAGGCTGCCGAGTGAGTTCTACCTTCTGTATCATATCTTGTCAGTTGTGGTTATAGCGTTAATCCTTCTGAATATTGAGGTTTGTAGGCTCCGGCCTCGCTAGCGGTCGGTAGGTAAGCCCTGCCAAACCCTTCTGAAAGTTGATTCCCAGGGATCTAACCGTACGGAGGTTGCCTGGAAATTCGTTTCTGGATGGGCCTGGTGCCTCTGGCTCAGTCAGGCGGCGTTGGGTGACAGCACGGGAAACCCGCCTGTAGCTGACACTGTAATGGTTAACTCTCCAGGGCTTGGGGCCCCTACGGTTCGTTGAATGGTTGGCTTGCTGGCCCCTGTGTGCCTCTGCTGCAGCGGTTGGCTCAGGGGATATCAGGCTTCTGCGGTCGGCTGGTTTATACATGTAGGTGGTCTATTACATGCAGTTGGTCTGCTGGAAGCCACACTCCTACCTGGAGAAGCGCTTGTTCGAGTCCTAAGGTCCCTGCAGTTTGAAAGTGTTGCAGGGCCCCTAGTTCCCATAGTGAGAAGGCTTGTTGCGTGTTGGCTGCCGGGCTTCTCCGTGGGCCAGGCGAATCCAGCCCCCGGGGCCCCGGCTTCAGTGGATTCGGGAGAGGTTCCTCGGAGGCTGATTTGGGCCGGGCGTGCTGGGTCCAGTCCGGCGGTCCTGGGGCACTCTTAATTGCTGACTCAGCCAGGCCAGGCAGGGTAAGCCATCACATGGCGGTTGCTGCCTACAATTGGTTGCTCTTCATTTCCCCGCGCGACATTTATATAAGGTATACGGATATTGATAGAAGAGCTCTATTAGTCCGTCTGGCTGTTCGCATTAAACTTTCGGGCTGCCGAAGCCATTAAGTAAGTAGTCGCCCACAAGATTGTCTGGCAAGCCACAGCTACCGGGCAAATGTATTTAACATGAATCTCTCTAATGGCAACGTGAGGTTAGATCGCAACTATGTCGCAGCGACCGTCCAGCCGCGAAGACTTCGAAGTTGCCATCATTTGCGCTTTGCCACTCGAGTATGATGCGGTTGTCCTCCTGTTCGATGAGTTCTGGGATGAAGATGGGGATACGTTTGGAAGAGCAATTGGAGACGTCAACAACTACAGAACAGGTTGCATTGGCAAGCATAATGTTGTGCTAGCTCTCTTATCCCACATGGGCAAGGCTCACGCAGCGGCGGCGGCCGCTAGCATGCGGTCCAGCTACGGAGCTCTCAGACTGGTTATCCTAGCGGGAATCTGTGGCGGCGTGCCATTTAATAGCCAAGGCGAAATATTCCTCGGAGACGTGGTTATTAGCAAGTCTATTATCCAATACGATTTCGGCAGAAAATATCCCAATGGGTTTATGCGCAAGACTACAGATGAAGATAACCTCAGGAAACACGGAAAAAATATTCGCAACTTCTTGACGAAATTTGATACAAGCAGCGATAAGGGTAGGCTTTTCGAAAGAACGGCTTATTTTCTTAAACAGCTCCAACAAAAGGCTTCAAAGGATCAAGACAAATATAAATACCCTGGAATAGCCGAAGATAAGTTATTTGAGTCAAGCTATCGTCATAAGCACCGCAACTCAGTGGCGTGCATCTGCAACAATTGTCATGGAAGAAAGGATCCAGTATGTGATGGAGCCCTTAGCTCGTCGTGCGATAATTTGGGATGCGATGAAGATTATCTGGTGGTGAGAAAACAACTTAAAGAGCAAGACAAGGCGCAGGAGCCGGCTATCTATATTGGCGCAGTTGCATCGGGTGATACTGTAATGAAATCTGGAGAAGACCGGGACAGCATCGCAAGGAGGGAAAGCGTGATTGCGTTTGAGATGGAGGGAGCTGGAGTCTGGGAAGAAATGCCATGCATTGTGGTCAAAGGCGTGTGCGATTATGCCGACTGTCACAAGAACAAGCTATGGCAGCACTTCGCAGCGGCGACGGCAGCATCTGCATCGAAGGCAATTCTTGAACAGTATATTCGAACGGATAGAGGTCGTGGCCAGTTTATTGAAGACTCGCTGAGATCCCTCTTCCTCGTTCCTCTTAGACGAAACCAAGACTTTATTGGGAGAGACACTATTTTATCAGGGCTTCTGGGAAAGATTCAGCCGGACGCAAATAAAGACAACTGCCAGAGAACTATTATAGAAGGTCTCGAGGGTGTCGGTAAGACACAGATTGCATTAGAGGCTGCCTATCTACTCCATAACGAGCAACCTGACTGCTCCATTTTCTGGGTCCCAGCGGCAGACGCATTGACTTTTGAAATCGCTTACCGCAATATCGGCAAACAGTTAAAGATTCCACAAATTAACGAAGATGAAACCGATTTTAAGCAGCGTGTTAAAGTTGCCCTAAGTGCAGAGAGCAGCGGTAGCTGGCTCTTGGTCGTCGATAATGCAGACAATATAAATCTGCTCTTTGGCCCTGCTGGTATTCTACATTATCTCCCGTTCAGTCGAACGGGCTCGATCTTATTTACAACACGGAATCATGAGACAGCAGTCAGGTTGGACATCTTAGCGGAAAGCATTTTTAGTATACCAGAAATGTCTGAGAGTGAGGCCCTCAGCCTACTACAGGAAGGTCTAAAGAGGAGCCAGACAAACAATATAGAGGCCTCGAAGAGGCTGCTTGATATGCTAGCAAACCTACCGCTAGCAATCAGGCAGGCGTCGGCATACATGGCCACAAAACACATATCAACTCTCGACTACCTTGAACTTTGCGAATCAGAACCTAAGGATATGATTGATTTATTAAGCAGAGATTTCGAGGACCGACATCAATTCGCAAAGAACCCAGTGGCTATAACATGGCTTATTTCATTTAGCGATATTATACAGCGTGACCAGCTGGCAGCAGAGTATCTTAAATTTATAAGCATCTTAGCGGAAGAGGATATTCCAAAATCTCTTTTACCTACAGCTACGGAAAGAAAGGCTATACACGCAATTGCAACGCTACGGGCATATGCATTCATCACTGAGCGGGAGGGAGAAGATTCATTTGATACACATCGGCTTGCGCGACTAGCTATGCGAAACTGGCTAAAGAAGGAAGGGGAGCTGAAGCAGTGTGTAACGTCTGCGATACAACGGCTTAATGACGTGGTGCCATATCCAAAGCATACGAACAGCGCTGATTGGATGAAGTACCTACCGCACGCACAGGCTGTCTTAGAGCTTTCAGAATATTCTACTAGCAAGGAGGCTGAGGCGAGTCTATTTACCAAAGTGGCCGAGGGAAATAATCGGCTAGGACAATATCAAATAGGAGAGCAGATACACCGGAAGGCAATTAAGCTAAGGGAGAAGGTGTTCGGCAAATATGACCAAAACACACTTGTCAACATGAGTAAGCTCGCAGATACGCTTTATAATTTAGGCAAATTTCCAGAAGCAGAGGAGGTATATCGGCAGACATTTAATCTAAAGAAAGAGGTGCTTGGGTTAAACCATCCATCAACTCTTCAAACAATGAACTACCTTGCGACTGCGCTCAGAAGATTAAGCAGATATCGAGAGGCAGAGCAGATATACCGGCAGATATTTACGCTAAAGGAGAAAGTGCTTGGTATAGACCATCCGTCAACGCTTGAGAGCATGAATTGCTTTGCAAGTATACTTTCTGATTTAGGTAAATACAAAGAAGCAGAGAAACTACATCAGGGGGCACTTAAGCTAAATGAGGTGGTGTTTGGCAAAAACCATCTTGCAACACTTAATAGTATGAATAACCTTGCGCTTGTGTTTTTTCAATTGGGTAAACTTGAAGACGCAGAGAAACTACAATGGGAGACACTTGAGCGAAAAGAAAGAGTGTTTGGTAAAGAAGATTTATCAACACTTGATAGCATGGGTAACCTTGCAAATACATTTTCCGTTCAAGGTAGATATAAAGAAGCAGAGGAACTACTTCAGCAATCGTTCAAGCTAAAGAAGAAGGTCCTTGGCAAAGACACTCATCCATCAGTACTTAAAGATATGCATGGCCTTGGGATTTTGCTTTATCAGCTCGGCAAGTATATGGAGGCAGCGAAATTGCAAGAGAAGACACTTGAGCTGAAAAAGGAAGTGTTTGGTAGAAGTCATCCAACAACACTTGAGGCCATGAATAATTTTGCATGCGTGCTTAGAAAATTAGGCAGATCTACAGAAGCAGAGAATCTACATCGACAGACACTCGCGTTTAGGGAGGAAGTCTTTGGCAAAAGTCATCCTGCAACAATTGAGAGCATGAATAATCTTGCGAATTTGTTTTCTGATTCAGGCAGGTATATAGAAGCAGAGGAACTGCGGCTGCAAACGTTGAAGCTAAGAAGAGAGTGGTTGGCAAGAGATGTCCTTTGATATGAAAGCTGGAATAATATTGCGAACTACATAAGAGAAAAGAGCAGGCAAGGGGTCAAAGCTAGATATTCTCTACCCCTTTAGTGACCATAAAAACAGGTACTTGCACGTGTGCTAGACTAGTGCATATAGGCTTATGGCTTATACATCCAACTCGCGGTTGCACACAGTCACTATTATATTATCTCATTGACAATTGTCTGAACAGGACGGCTTTCCAGAGAACGGTCCGGCCTAAGAGACACACTTACTGGGAAGAGGCAATCGCCTCGGCCAAACCAGGCAAATCCATCTTCCGCATCATGGAATAATAAAAGAGGAAAGAACCCTTCCAGCTACCGTCTTCGAAAGACAGATGTAACTTATACTCAACCGCTAATAAATTTACCACCAACTTGAGAGGAAAGCTCCTCAATTGACAGTTCGCCGAAGGAGATATTGAAGACCTGTTAGCCCCAACCCCTCCCCCAACCCCCATCCCACTTGCACTTCAAATCACCAAAGATAAGTCATAAGATACGATCCTCAGAACCAAGAACCCTGCTCCAAGATCCAATAGCATCACTGTTTAGCTCCTCAGGGCCGCCTAGCCGCACATGTCCAAAGCCATCCACGCAATATATCTCTCCGCTGTCCGCATTAGTCATCACCCCAATCCTCTCAAGAACGCAAAGGTAGTTATAATCCTTAAACCAGGCAGCGTACTGCACAGTTTAGTAAATAAATAGAGACATATATACTTATTGTTGTGCATGGGCAAAGGAATCGAGCGTCTTATTGCAAGGTGAATCACGGGGCTACAATAGCATATAGCATTATTCCCGCTCAGTACTTCGACGCCCTACCTAAACGCTCCTGTACCGACCTTGCCGCTTGACTGGTTCGTGAGATTGAGAGAGCCGTAGCAAAAGGCAGGCTTGCTGCCCTCCTCACCTTAGATATATCCAGCGCATGTGGCATTGTCTTATGCGACAGACTCATCCTTAGGCTAGGGCAGCAAGGCTTGCTTACTCCCATTATTAAGTGGTCCTTTGCGTTCATTCCCGGAGGGACTGTTGTATCTTCTCTAGATAACGCATATGCTGTATAACTTTGCCGAGTCTATTACCTTCGTTCCATTCTATCTATCTTGACTGCGCTTACATAAATCAATGTAATCTTTCTTCTCTGTCTTCTCTTTCTTCTCTTTCATCTTTTTATTTATGGGAGGTTATAACAAGTTTGTGTCAATCTTATTATATTACAGGGAGGACGCATAACAAACAAGCGGTGTAAATTCATCTACCACATGCTGCTACGCTAATAATTGGTTAGCTAAGAAGTTGTTTAGTGAGTTAGTTTTAATAATAAAAACCTCAAGAGTACCTTGGATTTGGCTTGTCTCTAAATCGGAAATTCAGGTCTGAAGATACATGTATCTTGACCTAAATCTTCGGCAGGCTTTGTCGGGGATATCCGCTTATTTCGGATGGTAGGCAGTATCTTATGTCAGAATAAAAGCAATGCATGTAAAACGCTTTTAGCGCCATAGACTAAGCAATTGCTAATCAAGCGCATGTATCTGTAGTATTGAGATTTTTTTTATATGAAGACAATATGCCTCGTCTTTGATAGCTTTGCTGTATAAGGCAGAGCCATGTTACTGATATGTAAAGAAAGCAGTATGAAGATACCCGACATAGCATCCAATCTCGGCAGAAAGAGAGGTCAAGATCTACTGATAACGCAGAGAATACAATTATTAATCAAGACTATTTACTCCGTATTTAACAAATGTTAGGTAAATATATCTACCTTATACAGTAGGTGGCGCTATTGATGCTACAGACGGGTTCAGTACCCATCTTCAAGTAACAAGTGCCTACGATTCTAGCTCATAGGGTTAAAAATAGTATAATATCGGCACATTTTATAATTTACTTATCAGCATTTGCTTTAAGTGGAACTCGTATTCCGTAGACGACAGGGTGACTTGTTCCTGTAGCTGTATATACCGATGGCATGGCGGTGGGAAGAGCTCTGAAGTAATTCGACACGTCAGCCAAACCCTATTACTACTACGATCAAGATACCCCGCGAGGCAGCTTCAAAGCCCCGCATTTGTTTTCCAGGTTGTGTATAAAAAAACAAGGGCAATAGTCTATGCTGTCTCTGAGGCTGAGAAGAGTTATGCTAGAAATAGAGACTAGGCAGTACTAGTAGTGGCCTGGCTGCTGATATATGGGCTGTGCAATGCTTCCAATCATGCACCATTTTACGCTTAACTTTCCTATTGAGAAACTCGCTGCATGAGGAGATACGGCGTTTGGAGAAAAGAATATTAAATAATACAAGCGACCATCGGACTATTTACAACGTTATGGCCCAGTATAAAATCTGGAGCAACCCGACGCTATGCTGATCGTCATTAAGAGAGAATTTTCATAAAAAAAAAAGAAAAAAAAAAAGGGCGATCCCTAGATCGGCTAGAATCTAGCGATTTTAACTCACTAGACGCATCAGCCGTGACGACAAAGGCTACGCGCGGACAGAGGCTTGGAGACCCTTAACCCGTTGTGTGACGCCACCAGAATTAATGATTGGATGATGCCGGCGAGGCTGAGCTCTGCTGGGGTTATTGTATCCAGGCTGACTGCGGCAGGCTTTCTTTCAGATCCGTGGCGAATGTTTATTTTTAGCTCTTGCTCGTAATGGAGAGATGGAGAGAGAGGCGAGTGTCTGTAAGTGGAAGTCGGAGATGCTCGCCGCATGAATATACACGGAATGGTGACGCTGACGAACACACCAATATGTATGTGCATGTATACTGTATACCGTCATGTGAGAGACATGTGGCAGGCTCGTGCCTTCATCGGTATGAATATGATATCGCGCATGATGATCATTGCAGTACGGAGGAGTCGTGCCGCCATCTAGCCGCCCTTTCTTAATTGCAGTAGCGTCTCTCTAGCCCCCCCTCAGGGTGGCTTGGGTGGGTACATTTGACGGAGCAGGTATTAATAGCGTCGCCTCACACAGAAAAAATACAATGCAAAAGAGCGAAAAGAGCCTCATGGCACGTGTAATAGGACAGCACACAGAGCACTCAGCGCACCCCTGAATCTGTGCTACAAAGCACGCACGGCTGATTCCTCGTCTAATCCCGTTCGATGTGGTATCTTATCGACGTCACTGTTTGCTCCCCCCGTCGCCAAGGCAATTGGTGGAGTGCTGAGCGCTGCGGACCAGTAAAAGCCCGCCAGTCTGCCTTCCCACGGCCACCCCCAAGCCCCTACGAGACGCTACAGGGCACTAGCCCCCCACTAGCACCTCTGAAACCGACAGCTGGACCAAGGGGCCTTCGGCTCCAGCTTCATTGAAACTCATCAGCTTTGAAACCGCCGTTTGATCTCTTCACATCCTCATCATTTTCTTTCTTTTTCATGCGCGTCCCCCCGTTCGATTCGCAACAGGCACACCGAGAGATCGCTCCAATTACGATTACGATTTAGCTCCTCGCGAGAGGATCCACCGCTATTTCAGGGCTGTTTTTCTGCGTGTCTGCTTCGTGCCTCTGCCAACCCTAGCATTTCGCGAGAGAGAGGTGATCTGCGAAAGTCGACAGAAACACGGCCCCGACGTACCTTGCATATTACCCCAAAGCCGCTCATTGGAGCTTCATCGACCAGGCCTCGGACCATCCCAGGGTGCGCGCACAGGCCCTTGCTTCCCTTAAACCATCAGACGACGACGACGACGCAGAGCCGCCGCTGCGCCGCCCTCTTTCTCTGAACTCGGTGTCGTAAACACGAGGCGACTACCGGCTGTCTCCATTCCACGCGCCACCAGAAGCAACGTGGAAGGGAGAGAAGAAAAAGAACTCGCGATTCATCGTCTGCCTCGCTCCCCAGCTCTACCTCGCACCGTCACTAGCACTGGCAATTGATTTGCTCCAACCATGTCGTATAATCGCCTAGGTATGTACGCTTGCAATCGTCCAATTTCCCCTTCTGACGACTCTTGGCACCTCAACCCCCTGCCCGCTTAATCTCGAACACCCACTTTTGCCCACTTCGTCCTTACGAGTCCCTGTTGCGACATCTTCATCTTCTCCCCATTGCGATGCTCGACGCTCTTGGCTAGCTCCTCCCCGCGGTCCCTGGATGTGCGGCGGGCTACATGCTACGTGATATATACTGGCTAGTAGTATACAGCTAGCCCTGGGGCGCATCATTGCGTTGTTTCCACATCTCTCTTCTCTCCTGCCTCTCTCACTTCTTATTCGTTTTTTGGCGTTTTCCTTTAACTCAACGACTGGCTCGTTTCTTTGGATCTTCGCCATATCTAACGAACATTATACCCGCAGATCACAACTACGAGGACGACCAGTATCACCAGATGGATCCTCGGGGTAACCCATATAGGACTCCGTCGCCTGGACACCCGCTTCAGCAGGGATACCAGATGGACGAGAATCCCTATGGCCAATATCATCCTCAGAATGCCCAGATGCCCAATATTGGGCGACTGGCAAGCCCGAGCGACCAGCTACACATTAACCCCGCTGTGAGTGCTTGAGATTATGCTGTTCATAAGCCAATGGGGAGTTGCGGTGACTGACTGAGTTTTTGTTTGTTTCAGGCCTCTGTTGACGGTTTGTCCTACAACCCCGACCAACCTTACAACACCGGCCACCGTCCGTCCGACTACTCAGTAGATCCAGAGGCCCATCACAATGCCTACTACAATGCTCCTTATGAGCCGCATCCACACACCGGCCAAGACTATGATCAACCGTACGAACACCCCGACTATGACGACCGACGACCGATGCTCTCACATCAGAACTCCGAACACCCTCTCACCCAGCAGGAAGAGACTCGGCCTGTCACACCGACGGGTGGCATCAAAAGATGGAAGACAGTGAAGCAGGTGCTTTTATACCGTGGCAATCTGGTGCTTGATTGCCCAGTGCCGCCTGTACTACTGCGCGAAAACCCTCACGGCGAACGTGATGAGTTTACACACATGCGATACTCGGCCGCAACCTGTGATCCTAAAGATTTCTATGATGAGAATTTTACGTTGCGTCAGAGGCTCTTCAGTAAGCCTCGGCACACCGAACTGTTCATCGTAGTTACCATGTACAATGAAGACGACGTTCTCTTTGCACGAACTATGGTTGGTGTTTTCAAGAACATTGAATACATGTGCAACCGCCCAAACAGTAAGACCTGGGGTAAGGACGCCTGGAAGAAGATTGTGGTCTGCATTGTCAGCGATGGTCGTTCCAAGATCAACCCCCGAACAAGGGCAGTGCTAGCTGGTCTCGGAGTCTATCAAGAGGGTATCGCCAAGCAGCAAGTGAACAACAAGGATGTGACGGCGCACATCTATGAATACACCACCCAGACGCACCTGCAGCTGACCAAGGACGTTGTCTCGCTGGTTCATCGCCGAACACCCGTCCAACTGCTCTTCTGTCTCAAAGAGAAGAATGCAAAGAAGATCAACTCCCACAGATGGTTTTTCCAAGCATTTGGCCGTGTTCTGGACCCCAACATTTGCGTCCTCATTGATGCCGGTACAAGACCGGGAGGTAGTTCTATCTACCATCTGTGGAAGGCGTTCGACCTAGAACCCATGTGCGGAGGCGCCTGTGGTGAGATCAAGGCCATGTTGGGTACTGGTGGCAAAAACTTGATCAACCCTCTGGTTGCAACGCAAAACTTTGAGTACAAGATGAGCAACATTCTGGATAAGCCCTTGGAGTCGGCCTTTGGCTTCATCTCCGTCTTGCCTGGTGCCTTCTCAGCTTATCGATATGTTGCCTTGCAGAACGACAAGAACGGCCAAGGCCCTCTCGAAAAGTATTTCTTGGGTGAAACGCTGCATGGTGGTCACAAAGCAGGTCTCTTCGAGTCCAACATGTACCTGGCCGAAGATCGTATTCTCTGCTTCGAGCTGGTCACTAAGCGAAACTGCCACTGGATCCTGCAGTATGTCAAGTCTGCCACCGGCGAGACTGATGTGCCCGATACAGTGACGGAATTGGTCCTCCAGCGACGTCGTTGGCTCAACGGCTCTTTCTTCGCTGCCATCTACGCCATCGCTCATTTCCACGACTTCTTCCGCTCTGACCACTCTTTCTTCCGAAAGATTGCATTCTTTATTGAATTTGTCTTCAACACCATCAACATGATCTTTGCTTGGTTCGCAATTGGTAACTTCTTCTTGGTCTTCAAAATCCTGATTACGAGTCTGGGCTCGGACGATCTCCTCGGCAAAGTTGGTAATATCCTGGGCGTTGTATTTGAGTGGCTGTATGGCGTTTGCCTGATTACTTGTTTCGTCTTGTCTTTGGGTAATCGGCCGGCTGGTTCTGGCAAACTTTACACTGCCATGGTCTGGTTCTGGGCAGGTATCATGATGTACGTTCTGTTCTTCTTTCTCCCCCCTCCCCCTTTAATTAAGTGATTACTAACCCGAATCGGACAGATACTTGATGTTTGCTGCCATTTTCATCGCCGTCAAAGCTATTATTGCAGATATTCACAGCGGAGGCGGGTTTAGCATCAGCGAGATTTTTAAGAACCAGGTCTTCTACACGCTCATCGTTTCCGTCATGTCGACCTACGGTATCTGGCTCATTGCATCTCTTCTCATGTTCGATCCATGGCACATGGTTACCTCGTTTCTCCAGTACATGCTCCTGACTCCAACTTTTACCAACATTCTCAACGTCTACGCTTTCTGCAACACCCATGATGTTTCCTGGGGTACCAAGGGTGACGATAAAGTGGAAAAGCTGCCGTCTGTCAACACCAAAGACGGCCAGGGTAAAACAGATCTCCCTGATGAGGGTGATTTGAATGCGCAGTACCAGCGAGAAGTCTCGGTATTCAGCGTCAAATATAAGGAAGTAAAGTCTGCCCCCACGGAAGCTCAGCTGCAAGAGAAACAGATGGACTACTACAGAGGTGTACGAACTGGTGTCGTGCTGATCTGGATGATTACCAACTTTGCCCTGGCAGCCGTGGTTTTGAGCTCAGCTGGCCTCGAGAGGATCACGCCTGGTAACCAGCAGGATATTGAGAATCAGCAAACAGAGCGATCCAACATCTACATGGCTGTCGTCCTTTGGAGTGTTGCAGCATTGAGCAGCTTCAAATTCTTGGGAGCCATGTGGTTCCTTATCGTCCGTCTGTTCAGAGGTGTCTAAAAGGACACTGTGTAAAACCTATTGAGGGCTGAAAACGAAGATGATAAGTAACAATTGGAAAGAGGAGATAAAAGGAAAGGACGAAGAAAAAAATTATACAAAGCTCTCAGCAGGCTACGATAAAACATTATGCTATTATCATTTCTTTTCGAATTATACCCCTTTTTATATATATTCTACGACAAGAAGGGAAAAACACACATCCCGACGACATGTTGGAATTTTGCGCTTGAAGGAGAGCAGGGGAGAGGAGGCATCATTTGGTGTAACTATCTGTCTTCTTGCATGCATACATTTTACGGCCAGTGTGGTGTTTTATTTCCTCTTCTTTGTATAGCACACGACGGGGCGTTCTTTTGAACGAATGTGTGTGAGTTGGTGGCGTTTTTCTTTTCTTCTCGTTTGTCCTTTTCTTTCTTTCACATGAACGCATTTGCATAGCAGATATTTTATAATGCGCTGAATGATGATGAAATATTTGTGATTTTGAACGTTGATTGAGGATTTGAGTATGCTGCTTTCCACTACTTGGTTGGCATTGAGCAAGCTGTCTTCACTTATTCTAAACCTTGAAGGAATCACCAGACGAGCATTGAACGTGAATTTATAAACATCTAATCATATTATTGACAATACTTCGTAATTTATACCATATACCATGCAATCATAATTCTAAAAAAATGGAGAACCAGCCCAGTCTACTGTAAAGTCCTGAAGCCGCCCATCTTTCAAAGGAACAGGACCATTCACAACTCCTGTAACTTCTAAAATAGCCACGCAATATAACGGTTGTAAAACTTGCGCATGCCCTGGCTGTCTGCGTTTTTGATCTGCTCTTGTTCCAGATAGTCCGCCTCCTGCGAGTCGATGATGTCTTTTCCGGTGTAAAAGTCTGCCTCGTGAGGCTTGACACCTCGGCTGCCAGTGAGGAGCATGTGTCCAAAGAGCATGGAAATATAGAGAGGAATTCCAAGATATCCTGTGATGAAGTTCTTGTAGTCAAAATTCGTCTCCTTAGTGTGGATGAAGACGTTGAAGTTCTTTGTTAGACTGATAAGAATAACAAAGGCCAGGCAGATGACGGTGCCCCAGAATCCCTGAGGGGCGACATAAGGCATGGCACTATCGGGAATGTTTTGGGCTCGGCGCGCGCGGAGGAAGAAGAGGTAGGTGACGAGGATGGAAATCCAGGTCAAGATACCAAAGATAGTGACGAGATTGACGAAGTAGCCAAAGACCTAATCATCGTGTTAAAATAAATCCTTTAGTGTTTCATGAGGGACCATTGAAGAAACGTACCACTGTGCTGCTGGTAGAAGCGTTCATAAACGCAAGGCATGAAATAGCTGCGGAAAGGAAAAGCGCCGGGTAGGGCACGCCGCGCTTATTTGTCTTCTTGAAAATAGCTGGAGCAGCATCATCTGAGGCAAGGCCATAGAGAGTTCGGCTCGCAATGTACAAATCAGAGTTGGAGGCGGAAAAGACAAAGACCAAGATGCAAGCATTGATGATGTGCGGCAGGACCTTGACACCGGCGAGAGTGGCCGCGACAACGAAAGGCGAAGCGTTGGCGCCAGTAGTCTGCTTGTTGGCGAAGGCGAGGTCCTTACTGTTATAGGGGACAATCATGCCGACAAGGAAGATGCTGAGGCAGTAGAAGATGAGGATACGGAAGAAGGTAAGCTTGATGGCTGCGGAAACCCGTTAGTCTTCGTAGTATGGAAGTGTGACTGGTATAAAGGAAAAGAATGAACATACCCTTGGGGATGCTTCGTCGAGGATTCTGGGCTTCACCAGCGGTGACACCAACCAGCTCAGTTCCAAGGTAGGCAAAAGTTGCATTGACCATGACAGACCAGAAGCCGAGGAACTTGCCGAGGGAACCATCGGAATACAATTCAGCAAATGCGCCGGGATTGTGCCAGTATCGGAAGCCAGGAGCATCACCGTTGGGGCCGCCCCCGCAAGCAATGACGAGAGCGAAAATGATGATACCGACGATTATGACGACCTTGAAAGACGACAACCAAAATTCCAGCTCGCCAAAGAGTTCGATTCCTAGGTAATTCTGTGTAGTGGTTAGGACAGAGTAGAAAAACCGAGAAGGAGGAAAAAAATAGATAGACATACGACGACAATGATGGTGACTAAGAAGATGGCAATGAAGACACCCGGATTGACCTTGTCTCGAGGGCACCAGAATTGAATTACCAATGCGGCAGCCGTCAACTGATTCGGAGTGGTGATAATATACTTGAACCAATATCTTGGGTTTCCATTAGCCCTACAAACCAAAAATTGCAGTAGAATTTCAACTCACGTCCAGCCAAGAGCAAATCCCAAAGATGGATGGCAGTATCGCGTCGCATAACCTGTGAACCCAGCACTCATAGGTAGCCAGGCCGCCATTTCTCCCAGAGATGCCATAACGCCGTAGACGAGAAGTCCGACGAAACAGTACGAAATGAGCAATGAACCAGGTCCAGCTTGAGCGAGAGCCTTGCCAGTACCAATGATGAGACCTGTACCGAGAGCGCCACCGATGGCAATCATAGAAATGTGACGGGCTTTGAGACCGCGATGCAGAGACGTCTCGGCCGAAGTCTCCAAGCCACGGATGCGAACATTTTCGAAGTTGCCGGCGCCGGTGCTGAATTTCTCGGCATCGTGGCCGTAGGCAGTGCTGTTGGGGTGATGGGCGTGAAGCCCGTCGTCTTGATAGCTCATGACGGCGAGATTCTAGGAAATTGATTGGGCTTTGGTCGCGAGAGGAGAGAAGGCCAAATGTCAAAAGAGTGATCTATAATCACCTGGCGGCGGTTCCTCGCACGATACAGATACTCTTGGGCACCAGAGTCGTCGACAGGGGACGAGTAACGACAGAGGGCAGAAGAGAAGACCACTATAGATAAAAGGGAAAGCTTTCTCACGGAAGAAGCAGCCCCCGGAAGTTTATAAACGATACGGCTGGGAACTAGGGCCGTCGGCATCCATCATTAGTAGACGTATGGAGACATACGGAGTACGTGTATCTTCGCACCTACCACAACCTACATGTATTAAGCGTTGGGTTTAGGTTTACCCAGCTATCCAGGCTCGTGCCACGTTCTAGCCTCCATGTATGTGTACTTGCAGCCTGTATGTACAAGTACACATGGAAGCCCCGAGGCTACCCCATACCAAGCCATGGGGACGCGGTCTCTCTACGCCCATATCTGGACCTTCCTATCACCAGGCTAGGCCTATCGCTAGACTAGCCGCAATCAGAAACGAGCAAAAAGCCCGAAGTTGGATCGTCGGCGGTGGAGAAAGGAAGCTGAGAGAGGCAAAGAGCACGGCCTCGTGGGCTGCACGGACCGGGGCGAAGTCTTTGAGGCTGGCAGATTGAGGTTGGAAGACCGCTCTTTTCCTCTACTGCTGGCGCGTCCGCCAAGGGAGCTAACTCTTATTTTTTTGTCTTGGTGGAGGCTCATTCAGTACGCATGTACATGCCGTATGTATTGCAGATTATAGCAAGATGATGATAAAGCCCTGGTCAAGGTCCGGCGGCCTTGGCTGGGGAAATTTGGGGATGATGGCGCTTTGGCCGTGTGGGTTGGTGTCTCTGTATTTTCTCCATTCGTATCCATCACAGCTTTTCTTTCGCTGATATTCATGCAGCAGTACTATGATCTCCAGGTCTTGGTTCAGAGCATCCGCTGCAAGTCTTTCTTACTATCGCTTGCATATTTTCTCCAGCCACCTGAGCGGCCGGTGGAGAGTCCGCACGTGTCCTCCGTAGAGGGTAGCAGTGTTGAATGGCAAGCGGTTGGTCTGTCCAGAGTTAGTGTTGACGTCTGGATTGCGTGCAGCAGCGGATCATGTCGCCTGACTCAGGCCCGGTGGCCGTAGCACCAATCTTGTGCCATGCGAGGGGAAGTTGGGGCTGACCTGTACGCGAGAAGTCGCCTAGCAGTGAGCAAACGCAGAGAGACGTGAGCCGATGGTAGCATTCTGGAGAAGCCCTGGCAGTTTGCCACGAGTCGGGTCATTGCGTTCTCACCATCGAGCATCATCCATGTTATCTCGCCCCGCTTACGGTCCAAGAGCCTTATCTGCTCACTTAATGCTGTTAGTAAACCACAAACAGCGATATTTATAGTACAGAGAAGAGCAATAGACTCAAGTCATTGTCTCATCTTGCCGGCATCATTGTTGGACAACCTCGCAGTCTGTCGAGTCCCAGAACGCATCGGCCGAGGCGCCAATTCCGGCTCTGCCTGGGGTAATTTGGAGAATTGGAGAATCCTTGAAGACACAGCGTCGAATCAATACCAGCCTAGCCCATTCATCAGACGTGCCAAGGCCTATGCGAGCAATGCTGGTGCCTGACCAGATGATTGATTCGATTGTGGTTGGTTGGCTGAATAGTGAGAGAAGCGCCGCTAGAAAGCGCCACGCTTTCATTGTGCGGCGGAAGCGTTCTAGAAGTGCGAGCTAGCAGAATAAGCACTTCGCTTAGCGCTGTTGGGGGCTGCTTAGGGGTTGTTGGCTGCCCTTAGCAGCATCCTACAGCGAGCTCCCGGCGCTGCGCAAATTTTCCAGCATTGGGCGCATTGACGATGTTCTTATCATTAGATAGAGCACGTCCTCGTGACTGCATATAGCATTACCTCTCGGGCCTCACTTCATTCACTCGCTTACATGTCGCAGCCAGCAACAGCGAGTCTCACGCTCGTAGCATCTTCTGCCAGCCGCCAGCTTCTCTGTGTGCAAAGCGACAGAGCGACGGATTAATTCTCGCTCTCTCCAATGCCCGCACTAAGCAAGCCTCGTCCGCTATTGTGGATTCCCAGTTCTAGGTTATCTTAAGGTTGTTAGACCCGCCACGCCACTCGCCCTTCGGATTTTTCTATTTGTCGGCACCCAAGGATAAGCATTTCGACCTGCCTAATTGGGCCCTTGACGTGATTTACCCCGGTCCTGAGGTCAAGGACCGCTGGGTGGCACGTCCTCCTCGCCGAATGCCTGCAGGCAAGGAGGGGGCGCAGAGATGGGATTCAGCATGTGCGGCTGAGCAGCACTGAACAGAGTGATGGACTGTGCTGTGTATGTTTTGATTCTGAATTCCGGCGTGTATACAGCGTCAAGATGCTTGCTCTCTGAGCTTCAATAACTCGATCTTAAAACAGTCAGCTGTTTGAACGGCATATTACTCCCGTAACAACTGACGTCTTTTCATCTACAAATCTCGCCATCTGCTAGTCATTGCAGAGTGCCCTTTCTCGTGCCGGTATCCGTGAAAGAACACTCAAATTACCCTCATCGACGGGGAATACAAAAGTCATCATAGAAAGTCATACGGCAATATAGGTACCCAGGAATGTTAAATCCTCCTCATTGTGTATACGTAATACCTACTATACTCCCTGTTCAATACTTCGCCTTATTGGGATGCGAAATAGCTCCGTGTGGTATTCTTCAAAAACTTCTCCAGGCATAGAAAAGTCTTGAGCTGTTTGTTTGCTCATACGAATTCGGAATATTGATTCTCTCCTTGCTTCTCTCCACACCGTTTGTCAAGAGCGTTCACTGTCCTTTAAGTGGAGGTTTCGCCAAGGCTCTTATCAATTCTCCAATACGGAGACCCAGCGCTAGAAGCAAAGATCGACTTGTGCCCTCTTCATCTGGCTCTTGGCATAAGCCACCATGGCTTGGTATGATGTACATGTACTTTTACCCCATACTCATGAACGAAGTACCTGCTACTAGTCATGATACTCAGATTAGGCTTGTTCAGGTGAGGCGTATAATGCTCCTACTACTCCAACGCGCGGAGCAATGCATCTTGGATGCTACACAAAATCGTCAGAAACCGCCTAGCATTGGCAAAATCCCATTCAACGTATTCTGCATTGACAACTAGCCCGTCTCTACGCTGCTCTTGTGCCTGCAGGGAACATGAGAGCTGACTTATTTCCCTCGATCCCTAGCTTCCAGAGACAGATGCTACGCTGCGAGTGCTACTAAACGATGCGAGTATATCGTAGTGTACTTCTATTCACAGGTGAGGGCAAGGGTCTCGGCCAAAGACCGGAACATCGCTCCACAAACAGGAAGCGTCTCACAGCATGTCTTGCCACCTACCGCGGGTTCCATCGGAAGTCGGGCCTGGATTCAAGGCGCAGTTCACGGACCAAGTGAGCACTGCCATTTTATCTCCAGCGATGGATCAGACCGCCTCACCCAACTGTTGTCCAAATGATCACGAGGTATGCCTCAATGTGGAGGTGCCATTTGGTTGTGCAGCTTCTCCAGCGCCTGGGACAGCTATGGCAATTCGATTGTAGCGTTGCAGCGATTCCATTTTATAGGCGCATCCATAAGCTTAAGTAAACTTTATTGCGACTACGTATTGTGGAAGGCAAATGGGTGTCCCCTTTTTGTTAAACAAGTTTAATAGTAGATAGCCAATTTGGGACAGGGACGTGGCTGTGCATGAAGGAGGTCATCTAGATGCTATAGAAGTACCAGTATTTTATACTCTGACAGAATGACTAGAGTCATTTCTAGACGTTATAACATTAAATTGCACATCCCCCTCCAATCAGAGTGAATTGATGCTCAACACACGTGTCATTACAACATATTCTGATAGTAAGATATGCTTCCTATAGCCAGAGGCGGTGGTGTTTCCATGTGTACCGCTGTTTCTAGAGCCTTGAATACTGAGATGTGGCTAGAATAAAACACTCGCTTAGTGACGGTGCTTCGCTGTAAGAAATCACTATTCAGTTCTTGCAGTGTTTCAACTAGTGAAAGTCTGTACTGGATATACTACAGTGAAAACACAAGTCAATGATATAAATGTTATTGACCAAAGAAAGTAAATCGGCAACCCAAATCCAGAATTTCAAAAGCCAATAAGTTGATCCCCAAACAACCAATCCGCAGAGAAAAGACTGAAATCACTGGCCAAATTGAAGTCGGTTTCATCTGGACTCCTAGAAAGTGAATCATTAAGTGAGGATATACTTATTCCACCTTCTTTACAAAGTGCAACATTTTCAGTCTTCTCCGGCGCGCCAGTGGTCTTTGCCTCAAGTTGAGAGCGCAATCTTGTGATAAATTCCGGCTCAGGCGTGGCATCGCTTGGTGGATTGGCTGCCCAGGCTTTGAGTGTTACCTTGCCAACTGCAGCATGTAACGCTGTCTTGGCGTCAAGGATTTCAGGATGGTTCAGGCAGACGTCTGCCATTTTCCTCCAGGTACTATTGATCTCTGTGGGAGAGAAAACCCCGACCTTTGCCAGGCTAGTCAGGATACACATTAGCGCATCCCAAAGGAACAATGCCTTTATTTTCCATCGAAACCTCCTTAGCTGAGAGTTACCATAGAGTGTACAGTCCGTATCGAGGATTTGCTGAGCTAGAATACAAAGCTGTTTCCTTTCGGCATCGCCGATGGTGTGATTCATTAGTGGGGAGATTCGGATGCGTAGCCGTACAGCATTGATGGCTGATCTCACGCTCCCAAGTACCAGGACATGCAGCGGGTTGATGATATCACAGTACCGGAGATACTTGGTCTCAATAGTGCTTTCAACCTCGTCGATGAGCGTTTCAAGTTCCTTATTCGCCTTCAGTTGAATCGTACCGTCAGCACCCTTCATTTCGACCCCAGTTCGCGTGTACAAATTGGACAAGTCTGTCTTCGTGAGACAGTAAATCATCTCAGAAGCACCTTTTTGCTCTTCTGGCTGGTGCGTCATGCCGGGATAGATCTGCGCATCATTGATATTGAGCGGCGGTTTGGTGTCCCAGCTGTTAGGTGAGATGGAAATCCCAGTGCCTGAGACTTGGCCTGCGTATCCGTCGAGAGGGAGGAGCTGCCAGAACAATCGCCGCCGCATTTGCACATCGAACGGGGATAATCTGAGACCTTCTCCATCGCGATGGAGTCCCATGCGCTGGCTAATGCGGACCGCGATACCGGTCAAGATCCAAAATAGGTGAGGATCAATTTGCGTGCGGATCGAGATGAGAAAGAGCACGTACGCCTGGATAATGGGCATTGCAGTTGTCTTAAGCCACGATGCATTGACTAGGGCTTGCCGAAAGGCATGTTGGTACTTGGACATTAATTCGATGCGTGATTGCCTAAATTCAAGCACACAATCCTCATCCGACATGGAGAAGACTGCAAAGTGGTAAATGGCAAATAGCAAGCACTCGTCTGCTTTTGAAGCCAGGGAAGGTTTCTGAGAGACTGTCTCAACCATCTTCGCTGTTGTTGGGATATGCAGGATTTTGCAAAGAGGCTCGACATTTTCAATGTGCGCCACCCAAAGCTTCATTGCGTCTTTGTGGCTAGGATGATGGTGGACGAGAGTCTGTGAACCTCCAAGCAGAGCGCCGGTTATTGGATCGATTGCAAACATGTTAGTACCCACTGGTGGAATGGGCTGGTCTTCATGTTCATCCTCCGATATCTCATGCATGCTGACCGGTCCCGTATTGAGCCAGAGACTGCTGCCGATATACCGGGATTTGCCGTCACCAGAGAGCAGCTCACCGGTCCTCCTCGCGGGGACGATTGGGTCTTGCGTGTTCTGGTGTTGTTTGTCGTCGGCCATAGAGAGAAGGCCATTCTCTTGTAAGATGCGCTCATACCGCACCAACCGCTCGTGCACGTTCTCATTCCGCTTTCGTTTTCGCGGTCGCGGAGGGTTCGGTGCCTGATAGACACACTCAAACTCGCCTTTGCCACAGCTCGAGCATGATGGGAATGTCTTGTCACATTTGACCTTTCTACGCACACACTGTTGACAGGTGTAGGGCATTGTACTGATGAGTTCCAAGCCGCTGTTCCCATTCTCAATCGGGGTCTTGTTCGGCGCGGGAGCAATTGCTATAGGTCGGGTACCCATTGCGACTCTTGACGGCCATCAGATATGCTTCAAGTTCATGGAATATCTTTGCCTCCTCGGTTCAAATGGGAGGATTAACGGAGGCAGTTGAAGTTCAGTTAATATGTTACGGGTGTCCGGGACGGAATGCGACACGGGCCCGATGTAAATCGATGGCTCCGATTGGCTAGTGGTATCCAATTCTACCTATCCAAGTTGTTCTATAAAACATCGTATAAAAAGTACTCGAAATCCCAGCAGATATTGGAGAATGAACTCTTTTATTATAATTCATCTGAAATACACTTTAATTACAATGAGCCAGAAATCATCAGACTTGGAGGCGGCGAAATCATCTGCGGAAAGCATCAATGATCCCAATCTCGTCACCTGGGATGGACCGCAAGACCCAGAAAACCCAAAGAATTGGCCGAGCAAGATCAAATGGCGCTACACAGTAGCCGTGTCTCTCTTTACATTCATTTCCCCAGTTTCATCGGCCATGGTAGCGCCAGCTCTATCCAAACTGGGCGAAGACCTCAACATGAACAACAAACTAGAGATGGAATTGTCACTTTCTATCTTTATCCTCGCCTACGCAGTCGGTCCACTGTTCTTCGGGCCTGCATCTGAGCTTTACGGCCGCGTCCGCCTACTACAGCTTAGCAATATATGGTATCTGGCATGGAATCTAGGTTGTGGATTTGCGCAGAACCCGGCCGAGTTATTTGTCTTTCGCTTCCTAGCTGGGATCGGCGGAAGCGCTCCTCTTGCTCTGGGAGGAGGAGCTATTAGTGACACATGGAGCGCTGACGAACGCGGCAAGGCCATGGGAATCTACACTCTTGCACCGCTCCTGGGTCCGGTTGTTGGACCGATTTCTGGGGGTTTCATCGCCGAGTATAGCACCTGGCGTTGGGTATTCTGGTCATCTAGCATTGCGGCTGTGTTTATCCAGGCTGTAGGCTTAATATGGCTCCGAGAGTCGCATCCAGGTACCCTTTTAAGAAGGAAGCGAGATCGTTTGGTGAATGCTACAGGAAACCACAACCTGTATACTGGAAATATTGAGCAGGAAAGTCTTGTAAGGAAAATTGGCAAGGCCCTGGAACGACCAATTCGTATGTTCATGACCCAGCCGATCATCACGGTCATTGCCATTTACATGGCATACCTCTTCGGGACTCTGTATCTGATGCTCGGCACCTTCCCGAGCATTTGGACGGAATGGTATGGCGAGAGTGTGAGTATTGGTGGGCTAAACTATCTCTCTATCGCTATTGGTTCTTTCGCTGGTCTTATACTCAACTTCTTCTTCATCGACCGAATTTACCGCAGCCTCAAGACGAAAAACAACGGTATTGGTCGGCCAGAGTTCCGAATGCCAACCATGTTCATCGGATCGATTATGGTCTCCATTGGCTTGTTCTGGTATGGTTGGAGCGTACAGGCGCGCCTTCACTGGATCATGCCCAATATTGGTGTCGCCATCTGCTCGGCAGGGACCATGGGATGTTTACAAGGCATGCAGACGTACATCGTGGACAGCTACCCGACCTACTCGGCCAGTGCCATGGCTGCATGTGCGCTTCTCCGCAGCTTGGCTGGTTTTGGATTCCCTCTCTTCGCCCCATATCTGTATAGTGACCTGGGTTATGGATGGGGGACTAGCGTTCTCGCCTTTATCAGCATTGGCGTGGGTATTCCGGCGCCATTTATCTTTTGGTTTTTTGGAGATAAGCTAAGAGCTATGTCGAGATATGCTGCAAACTAAGGGTTGAAAGGGCGACGCTGACTCCAAGTGGTACATGACTCTGCAGGATTAGATGGTGCTGCTGTCGCTGTCGCTGTAATGGGACTCTTGTAATTAGACGACAAAGGTTTTGCAGTGTGCTTTGAGCATGATATTCTAACAAAGGATGAAAATCAGTATATATCTGCCCTCTTGAGATATGACCGCATCAGGGATTGTGTCCGCTCACTCACTCGCTCACTCTCCCATCCATTACTTCATCAAGGAAAGGTAGACTTTTAGATGACTTGATGAAAAAACAGGTGGAAATGGGTTTCAATGGCAACACCAAATAGCTCTCGTTAATAAAGTTCTCTCCGTAAGCGGCAGTAAATGGAATCATATGTTAGTGCACATAGAGGGGATATAAAGCTTATCATGGCGCCTAGTTCTACATGATTCCACACCAGCTATTTCGTTGATCCAAAAGAAGAAATAAAATTTTTATCTGTTGCTATTGATCTCACACTTACAAATTGGTATCCAAGCGCGCCACTTATACTACATAAGAATGCTGCTGCCTCCTTAGCCTGGATGTCATAGGAATGTCGACCTATAGCAAGAGGCATAAACATATTTTTTTAGTGACCATTGGAATACAAGTTTGGTAGTGAAATACTAATCTAATAAATACATACATAATTAAAGTTATAGCAGCGGCAGCGTTGTAAACGAATTTGGCGACAACCAACCTCAATTATGCATTAACTCATGGCTGAGGTGGATCAGTATCAGTAATCATTTTTTGAGTACACTGGGTATGTATAATCCAGAATAGGCAAATGGATCATTCAAATTATTTCTTCGTATCTTATATTTCTTTTCTCCTTCTCAAGCCTCGCACCATATTAGCCTACCATCTAATACTGTATGAAGAGAAACAATTATGGCAAACACAACCTCAGAAAGACACCTGTATGGGTATTAGAAACAAGTCGCGAAGGTATAAGCTCCAATCAGGCGTCAGAAGCCTTTTCTAAGAACTATACTGAAGGAGTGGAACGGAATCCATATATTCCAGCGCATACTATATCAGCTGTCTGCCAGCAATCTCACATATTCCCACACTCCATTTCCAATGAGCATCCCGAAGCTGATATTACGAGGGGAAAAAAAAAAAAGATTCTGAACCTTATCGAATCTCTCATCGGGCTTCACATGGGAGCTAATGCGCAACCACCTTCTACTTTGAAACTGGGATTATGCTGACCGCAGCTGTCTGAGAAGAATATGTTGTTATCTTTCATTCCATCTCGATACAGATACTTTCCTTTTAACTACGCAATAGACTGCCTTGCCGCGTGTTTTCGGCAAAATACGTGAAGTGATGATGAATTTTCCGCAGAAAGACATCTTGAAGCCCTACATCTATATGGTAAGGCACTACGGGCTCTCCAGGAGCTAATTGATGATGAAGAAACACGAATGACGCTAGAAGCACTCTGTGGTGTGGAATTACTAGGACTTTTCGAGATATTGATAATAAAATGCTTTAGTCACACTACAGGCAGTCCGCTAATATATGACCACCAATGTTTTAGCTCATAGACGGTAGCTCACCATCACATTCTTGGACGCGTCATGCTGCGGGCATAGCTAAACTTATTCAATTTCAGGGAGCCGATCGAGATCGAACAGAGTTTGAACTAGCTTTGATCTCTGCCTTCGCTGGTCCACTGGTATGTACTCCTACTTGATGTTGATGATGGTACTCGAAGTTATACTGACAACCTATTCGTCTGTCAAAGGTTTATGAAGCATCTCTTAATCATAAAACATGCTTTTTTAGCAGAAGAAAGATGGAAAATAGTTGATAAAGAGGCATTTTGTGACAAATTGTCAAGTTCAGCAGATGAAAATAATACCGTGCTGTCATTATGGTAACTAATAATTATTAATAGGCCTAGCATATGTAGGGAAGTCGTCAAGATTGTCTTGACTCTTGTGCCGGTTCCAACAAAAACATTTCAAGACGCCATAGATTACCTTACAACTGATTTAAAAAAAAATGGCTGGGTAGGGAGTACAATCCACGCAGTTCCGATTTCTCTTCCCAGAGCATGAGCAACAGTTTTCTTTAGTGGCAGATTAGCTTTAAACAGTTCATACTCCATTTACAGTAGCAGAAATATACTAGCCGGTCAATATTAGAAGGAGTATACATCGTATCTTGGCTAGTCAAAGTCCAGTTTCTCATAAAATTATCACCATCCCAGATTCGCGACTTGGAGACTACGTGCCAACGACTCGCCCGCGAGATTACAATAGCTACCCGAAGCTACTTAAGATTGACCGAATGGCCCATAAAAGCTGAAATTTAAAATTCTCCCCACAGCAGAGAGATTATAATTCCACTCACAACTCGCCACAGGATGACCTCAGAAACTGTATCAACGCTAGGTATGATAGTGTGTACTAGGGATCCCAGTGCCTAAAAGCGGTATAGATAGTAAGATTTTGGATATTGAGTTTCCTTACTCTCTTGGAGTATCCTTATTTGCTTCACCTCAAGTGATACAACAGGCAAGTATTTAAGATGGATGAAGGCAGTTATCGTCTCAAAGTTTCTCTGTTCTTGCCTTATTTGCAACAAGTCATTCAATAAATGACAAAATGCTTGAAAATCTAATTTTATTCGATGTCCCCAGCAAACATGGCAAGGCTTGGTCTGTATTTGGATGGAGAAGTACGTCTCTCCAGCAGCTGAAACTATTATTAACAGCGGTCTTTACCCCAAATTATTTCATTATTTAGAGAACACTATTGCTAAAAGATTATTGTGTAGCACGGATGGTTCTCAATTATAAGGGAATTCCCCATGAAGTGAAATGGTTGGAATACCCGGATATAGCACCAACTCTCGAATCGTTCGGCCTCGCTCCCAACCCGCCGTCTCCATTGTTCAAACCGTACACTGTACCAACTATCAAACATCCATCTGTTGGTTACATCATGGAATCGAATGTTATCGTAAAGGAGCTTGAAAAATTGCACCCCGAACCTTCTCTACATCTCGATAATGGTTACTACGACAAGGCACGTGCTAGTGCAGAAGAAGCAATATATTTTCTCTTGCCAGAGATAGTACCCCGAATATCATTTACCATTCTCAATGAAGGAAGCATTGAATACTTCAACCGCACACGCGGAGAACTGCTTGGTATGCCTGTTTCAGAGATCCACAAATCGGACAAAGCCGGGGAGAACGCTTGGGCCGCTGCGAAGCCCGGTTTGGAAAAGATGAAAGCTCTGTTGATGGAGAATAGCTCTGGGCCATACATAGACGGTGGACAGGTTAGTTATGCAGACTTTATTTTTGCTAGTTTTTATGTGTTCTTTGAAAGAGTACATGGTGAGTCGTTCGAAAGGTTAATATCGTATAATGAGTGTTTCAAGAGACACTATGAGGCTTGTCGAAAATGGATTCCAGAATAGTTCATTGAGATAGCTTGTATTTTATTTCTACTCTATTTTTACATATACAAAATTGACAAGTTAATAAAATTGAAATTTCCAGTCATTATCCAACATATTGCTACACACAGAGACAATTAGATGGCTAAAACCAATCGTTCCCTGCAGTCTTGAAGCCGTCCAAAATGGCTACCTGGGCCAAGCAGCCCCCGCGCAGACAGATAAGTGCCTAAGCTGACAAGGTACATAATAGGTTATAGATATATACATGTACACTCTCTGATATGCTGGATGCCGGTTGGGTGATGTAATCACTCTGGCTCGTCTGGCTACCGGCAGTCACCAATAACAAGAACTCTGGCAGCTTCACGGCCTGTGCTCCTTTGGACACAGCAAAGCTGGGATCATTGGAGAATGTGCATGATTGATATACTTTAAAAAACAAAACACTATGATATTTTAAGACCTCAAAAGTAGCTTAATAATCCACCTTTTAAAATTGCCTTTGAATAAGAGATCAAGTAATGGGCGTATGTTACCTATATGCCGGAATGTAGATATTCTAGATCTTGCATGGATACTTATTATACATAATTACTATTTAGGAACAACCCGGTTAATTTTAATATTGAAGCTTCCTTAATATGTACAAAGCATAGAAACTAATGTACAAGCACTTGAACGTCTGATGAAGTTTGGTTCATATTTTCATGGACATATTGAAGATGTTATAGTGGCCTTATGATAAAACCAAATATATATAATATATATATATATATATATTAATAGAGACCTGCCTACATTTCGTTTGTAGCAATTATCTAAAGGATGTACATTCGTGTATTCTTTTTACTCCTTTGCTGGTGATTCGCCCTCAGCACCAGAGGGCACGTAGAAAAGATTCTGGAGCTGCTCACGCTTGGCTGGAGCTTCACCCTCGGCACCGGATGGCACATAGAAGAGATTCTGCAGCTGCTCACGTTTTTCCGGAGCCTCACCTTCAGCACCAGAGGGTACGTAGAAGAGATTCTGTAACTGCTCGCGCTTTTTGGGAGCTTCACGCTTGGCTGGAGCATCACCCTCGGCACCAGAGGGCACATAAAAGAGGTTTTGAAGCTGCTCACGCTTTGCTGGCGCTTCACCTTCAGCACCAGATGGCACATAGAAGAGGTTCTGCAGTTGTTCACGCTTAGCTATAGCATGGCGTATATTTTAGTACATATCCATAAGGCATATATGAGAGATTTGAACTAGGCGGTGGAGATATTGCTTTCATACCCTCTTGTGCGACTGGTGCAGCAAATGCCACCGATGAAAGTGTAAAGAGGACGACTGCGGCCTTCATCTTGAGGGGATGTATAAAGTAAGATCTTGGAAACGCTGGTTGATAGAGAGTTGTGAAAATGAGCTAAGAATATAATAATATATTCGAGACAGCAGAGGAAACCAAAAGTTATACAATGTGGTTATGAACTATTTAACGGGGGGTAGCTTGTAACATTTACAGATTGTTATCCAACTCCGAGGGCCCCTCTGAGACGCTATGGGAAAACGATAATCACTAGATGCAGTCCCCGCTCCCCTCAGTCATTGAATTTCAACTTAATTAAAAGACGCAATATCCACAGGCTAACACTATGGGAAATACTACGAAACATTAGCCAGTATTAGCAAGAATATGTCATTTACCGGATTGGAGTGCACTCAAGAGCTAGCATATCTCCAAAAACGGCAGGTATAAAGGATGATGGAACTGGGTATGAGGTGTATCACGATACTTTTACATTCATATCATACCTGCTTTTGTTTCTTAACTGCATCTGGACAATTGACCGAGAATTGACACTCGTTGCCATTAGTGGGCAACCAGCGTTCATGTGTATGGTGTCCTACCCCAGCATCGACCCTAACAAGTGTTTGCTTCCACGGTTACATCTTTCTTACCGACTGTCAGGAATTTTCCGACGCATGTTGAATGTAAGTATCATCCCATATTAATTGTACAAATAATAATATACGGGTATTTGTCTACTAGTACGTCAGTTGCAAGCGAACTACGGCAAGGACAAGACAAAGATAATCATCCAGATTACCAACACATCTAGTACGAATGTAGTAAAGCCAAGGTTCATAATACTTTTACAATATAAAGCTAAGAAAGCACGCTAAATAAGTATTATCTCTGTGTGCTTCATTGTTATACTTAAATTAGTATATACGAAGTTTACTCGAGCTGTTAAACTTGGCCTGAAGTTAATGGTGGGGCGTTCTTGACTTAATACAGCAGGTGTATAATGTTTAAGTGACAGCACAGAACTATCTCATGCAGTGATATTTCCAAATCATTATTGATTTCTATTAATCCCTGCTACTGTGATATCACTGGGTGCCTACCCCTCCTTCTATGATTGTACAGTATCCCACATGGCCTGGGATGGGGATGGTGCCCATTGTTTCCGGATCTGTATCGTTGTTACACTACGGACTATCTAACGTAATCTGTCTTTGCATGGCATCTCTACATTTCCTTCGGACTTCGTTTGCATTCCTCCCGCAATTTCGTTATTGTCTTGTTCGACTCGGTACTTAGAAGATTTCTCTTTCCTTGCTCTTTTGATGCTGAATACGTTCATTCATCTCTAAGATGGAAGGAAAAGACGAAGCTCGGGACTACATTGACTATGAAGAAGTAGGCGCTCCGTCGCATGTGCGGCATACAAATCGACCTAGCAAACTCACTGTCTCAGTGGCAATTCTATTTGTGTTCGCTGCTGTTGCCAATTTGAGTGTCTGGATTTGGGTCACTCGCAGTCCTCGAAATGCGCTGGATGAAGAGTGGAATCACTGCGGACGGTCAAGCACAGAAGCTATGAGACGCGGATGTGTCATGGAGCCTTTATTCTATGGCTGGATGCCCAGGCAGTGCGTATATCAGGAGCTCACCGACCGTTATCCCGTGTTTGAGGATAGAAAATGGTATCTTGAACAGGATATGATTGTATGTATATACTTTTATTATTTTTCTCAATATTGAGAATACTCTCGGACTCATTTCTAACCTGTTAACCAGAATGAGGTTGACGCGGCAGCACTCTGGCGCGGTGACAACGTCAAAGTCTACACGCATATTTACCACGGAGAGCATTGTATGTTTCAATGGCGAAAGATTATGTTTGCCATGGAAAACCAGGAGCGGTACATCGACAACAAAACAATCAGTGTTCATCACTCCAAGCACTGCGCAGACCAGATTACGGAGGGGCATATCGAAGGAGATGACGCAGTTAATGAAGTGGAGCTTGGCTTCTATCGATGTAGAAATGCTCTCTGGGCGAGCTAACTGATTGATACTGTAAAATATGATGCAGGTTATCATCTTAATGCCCACCCCTGTTTGTCTGTACGTAAATATTGGAGAGTGGCACCTGCGGGTGAAACAACAACTACCCCGGTAAAAGAGATATGTTTTATCAGAGGGTAAATTTCTGATAGTGTCGAAAGGCTCATTCCAAGCTATTATGCTATATATTACTAATGTACGTTAATGGAGATTTAAGGCAGAGTTGACAAAAGGACTTATCAAGAGGCCTTTGTGCTGGGTAAAAAACCCACCCCGCTCCCACCGAACAAGGTTAATATCCTTATGGGGGTTATCATTTTCAAGCACTTTGTTTGATTCTAGACCTATTCTGTGGATTGAACCGGACGTCATGAGAAATTTGACCCTGAACTAGTTAGCAAGTGAGGAGAAGCTTCAGTTTGTTTCGCAATAGGTGCTGCAGGTCAGAGTAAGCTAGTGCTAGCACTGCGGTAGTGATTATTACTCCCAAAATGGTTGTGAGTAGGCAAGTGCCTATCGTATCCTAATCCATACCGGCAGATCAGTGGTGGCGTTTAACCCCACGGCAATAGGCTATTACCTAGTTAGTTGCCTCAATCTTTACAGGACGCCTCGTATTGAGCACTGCAACGGGCAAGCTATCTATCTTGAACCCTCGTCTAGCGCAGAACTCCCTACTAATTACCTATCGGCAGTATTGAGTGAATTATCAATTGATCTTTGGACTTTTGTCTAGTGCACTGCAGACGCTAGTCTGCAGACCTCTTGATGGGTTGCCTATCGGGAAACTGCATGCACTTATTGATCTTTGAACCGTTGTCTACATGTAGTGTACTGTGGAGGCTAGTCTACAGATTTCAGCATGGGTAAACTAATAGTTTAGTAGCTGCCTAGCTACATGGAACGGCTCGTATCGAATTAGTGCGTGTTAGTCTATAGATCTCCACGGAGTAACCTCCACGGAGTACACAGCGAGCTTTGCTCTTCCTCTATTCCACCCACATATGCTACACATTCCGGCACCAGTCTGGATATCCAGCCAGAGATAGCCGAGGAGTTGAAGAAGAAGAGAGAGAGAGAGAGAAAATGAACAAGTTCAAAAACCAAGAGCTTGACGGCAAGGCATTTGCAGATATTGATGATGCAGAGTTAGGAAAGGGTCTTTTAGAGGGCAGCACAGATGCAGACACAGACACAGACACAGACACAGGCACAGACAGATCTACCACTTCTACGAGCTCACGTAGCTGGTGGTATAGATGGTACAAGGCTATTATCGGATTCTCAGCACTGCTATGCGCGTCCAACCTCCTTACATTCTGGATCACAGCTTCTGCAAGGCCTCAATGCCAGGCTACAGAGTCAGTGGCAGAGCCTCCAAAACTCACGCCAATGCTTCGAGACTTGAATCTCAAGACAATTCATGTCAAGTTTGATTCAACTTTCTTTAGCCAAGGGAGCCGCTATCGTAAGCCCCCATCGCCAGAGACTGATGCTGCTTGGAACTATGCAGGTGCCAATTGTATGTACCATATATGCTCTTCTCTTTCGTAGTTCATTTGTGTTTCTGCCACTCCCTTGTCATATCACTACGAGACTAACTTCCAAGCAGTTGGATACATTCTCATTCCCGAGGAACATGCAAGCGAATCTGATTTAACAACTAATAACATTCATTTCGCTGGCGGTTCTGATCAAGCTTACATGAAAGGCTATGCTGCCAATGTTGAAGTATTTCATCAGATACACTGCTTGGTATGGCCTCATCCCTTTTAAACCCCCGTCAAAAATATTGGCTAATACGGAAATCGCAGAATCTGATCCGAAAGGCGACGTGGTACAATCATGACTACTATCGAAAGCTCGGAGCGGACGAGTTTCGGCATCCTGATAAAACACTGTCTGTCCATGTTGGTATGTAGAGGACTCCGATGAAACATAAATCATCAAACCCTGACCGAGATAAACATGCTAATCACAGGATACTTACTTTTCTAGATCACTGTATAGATAGTTTACGTCAACGGCTCATGTGCACCGCCGACGTTGGGCTGGTTCCCTTCTTCTGGGTTGGCGATGATGGCGGAACAGATCCTGAATTCAGTCGGACGCACACCTGCCGTGATTTTGAGACTCTCCATGATTGGATGATGAAGCACATGGTAACTCCGGACTCTAATCACACTCTGCTTCCTAGGCCAGGAGACTACAGAGTGGATCATTTCCATTGATTGGCTCTTATGCTATGAGACGCAAGCCAAAAGATATGGATGCAATGTAACTATCAGGTAGCTTGGAGAGAGATAAATGTTGGATAGGTTTATGTTGTATAATATTATAAATAATGATGCCTATAGCATACACCCAGTAAAAAGTGTATAGTATAAGTTTCTCAATTGCTAGTATTATTAAGAGTAAAGGCCTTCTCTTTGTTCATTCGGAAACTATCCTCCATCTAAGTTGCCATACGTATGATCATACGCCTATTTCTTCCCAAAAACACTCCGGATTGTGGCTCCCGGAGACCAATCGAAAGATTGGACAGGATTCTCCTCAGACGCAAGCACAGTCTTCCAAGCCAGCGTCGAGTCACGGCAAGAATGCTGATGCCCTTGCCCACTGACAGCACTTAGTACTATATTGCCCTCAGCATCATATTTCGTAAATGGTGGCTCCAGAGTGTCATCGCCATTGCATAACAGTGCCTAGATTGTTAATCTCTTAGCACACTTCCATTACTTGAGAGCTGTAGATTCAGAAGAGGACGAGGGAGGGGCAACAAACTCGACCGATATATCCTAAGCAGTGTTCTACATGGTTTCTCTCGCCTACATGCAAGGTTGCGCCATCGCGCTGGCCATGCGCATGCGCTCCATGGCCACCATTGTCGGAGGCAAGACCGAAGTAATTTTGCATCGTAGAGCGCAGTATCCCCAAGCAATGGATGCTATGGAACATGCTAACGCCCCAACCTTGGCTATACGTCTCGTTATGTCGAACCAAGAGAAAACCGCCAAGAGGAGTGTTCATCGCTTGGTTCCATGCTCCGTCAATGGCGCTGTCAAGCGATTCGATATCAGGGCGCTCAAGAAACTCGAAGAGAAAATTTGAGTTTTCTCTGGAAGCACTAGAACTACGTAAAGCATCATCACTTGGGTTGTAGATGGTGCGTTGTGTGTCTTGGTGCCCGTCCTCATTTAATGGCCTTGATGAGCTGGTAGGCAAGCCCGTCAACAGAGACTGCAGTGAAGGCAATGCTATGATCAGGAGCCCAATAACTGCTGCAGAGGATAGAGTCCATATCCAGAACTGGTTTATCGGTGGCTTCGGCATCTTGTGCTGCGTCGTAGCAATGGCGAAATGAAATTTGGTGGTATTGGACAGTAACCAAGCTGGGAAAGCTTCTTAAACCAAGGCCCATCTATCAAACGAGGAGAGTAAGTGACCTCATGGGCTCTCTGCATATTGGCGCCGGGTTACCAGAATCAGACTAGGAAAGTGCATATGCACGATACGAAAGACAGGGATGCAACTGATACGGAATATTGCACGGATGCCACATTCATTGTCTAGGTGGGCGTAAGGGTGGATCTTTGTTGGGCCCGGTATTGTCCCCATGTCTGCAAGACTTCACACTTATAATTTCCACATGACCATACTAGGAAAAGTTACGCCTGCCACTTGGTGATGAACCAACTACATACTTGTAGCTCAGTAGGTAGACTAATAGGTGTTTAATATGCATCGTCCGCCTACAGTAGGCGATAGCGAAGCCCCACAACTAGCTGCGGGCTTTACCTCAGGCTATGTGCAGTATTGCGACAACATCGAAAATTGTTTGCACATTCTATGTAGACGCAGTAGATAAATTGAATAGAAAGATACTTCATATTTAAAACAAAAATGCAAACAGTTCATGGAAATTTTATAGTAAATAGCCTTGAAATGATGTACGAGGCACTGAAAGCTTACCTATAAGCTTAAGCTATAGATATATACAAGCTTAAATTAGGCGCCCCAAGAACAATTTCTCGATGGCCTCGGAAGAGTGTATGAACCACCTTGAAAATGCTCCGTTTTATCTGTTTCAATAGTGCATGGGTAAAACAGAAGCTATACGTCGGCACTAAGTGCTTTCTACTGTCATACGTCGCTTTGCTGACAGCGGAGATGGAAAGGTCTATAGATACATTTCATCGCCCGCCTTTTTGCACTGCTGATGAGCGGTGGTGTAATGATTCATTAAACTATTATGCCAAAGAAGGTAAAGAATTAGGTAGTAATCGTAATTGTAAGCAATTATTGTAGCAGAACCAGCTGGTTATAAGGTATTTAACTGTAACGAGAGGCCAAGTCGTAACAGGTGGCGGTACGCGGTATTAACCATCTGTGTAGTAGTAGCCACTGTCGTCTCCAAAAGAGTTATTATTTAAAAAGCTTTATCTTGCGTTTCCTGGAGTCGGAATTGTTCGCTGTTTACAACAACCGTAAAGTACAGGCTAGTGGAGGCAAAAAGCTAAGTAAACAGAATTGTGTTATAATCATTATTTTCGATGCGGATAGAGCAAATCTATGAAGTTTTACATATCGACCAACCATCCTTTGTTGAGTTAAGAACTTCTTTAGTTTCTGGTATGTGATAGGCATGGTGATCAGGGTTTATACAATCTGCTATCTCCTACTCATTGGAGAGGAACAAATTCTTTGAATGACAGTGCTTATACAAAGGAACATTGACTCAATGCCTTACTTCCATATTGATATCGTGTGGAATAATTGGGTTACAAAGAGGGGAGAGAGTGATAGAGAGATATTTGCGAAACGATGTAGATGCTTTGATGCCGCAACGGCATAGATCTGTAGGTAGGTGTACATGTTGACCTCAATCTGGATGAAGCCTAGTGAAATTGAAAGTCTTATAGATTAAGTGTCGGTAAGGCAAGTTAATAAAAAGGTTTTAATTTTAGCTCAATGCCAGATTGCGGATTTGATAATACGCAGATTAAGCATTCATTCAAGGTCGATTTCCCAAGCAGGAAATAAGTAGAGAAAACTCATAGATCGTAAATTTGGCAGATACAAGACAACAGCTGAGGAACATGTACGTTTTTGTGTCCAACAGGTTCTAAAACACCTAGCTAGTTGAAATGCCATAATCTATTAACTCAACATTGTAAATCAACGTCATGACAATAGAATAGACAAGTCAGTAGCCCCCATCGGAGACGGATTCAACTCCAGAAGCATTCAAGGTGCGTTTATCAGTGAAAAGATAAGGTGCTAATAAGATTTCAGAATCTATTCAGTCGGCTGACTACAATTGCTCAACTGTAGCTGGATACTCCCTATACAATGGGCCACTGCACAAATATTGAACTTAATAATTCAGAAGACAACTAGTTGTAAAACCGCAATGAATGGCAATACGCTGACCGTCCATTTTGTATTTGATCCTGACAGTAATTCAGTCCAGTTTCATTTGTCAATTATATGACAGGGAACGCATGCTTCAATACAGGTGGCACGCAGCCTGATAATAATATAAGAGCTAATTGCCTTTTAGTTCTTGTATGAGGTTAATTGAGACGCAAATAATTTCTGTAACTATCCCCAAAGTTGTCTAGTGAGAGCCTGTAAAGCAAACAATGTATCTTCAGTGAGTTGTACGGTGGAAGTGCACCATGCTGTATACTCACTTTATAGGTCTCACCTTCGTATATGTTTTATTCGCTTCAATGATAGTTGGTGAGCATCGCTTGTGCTTTCGCATTAAAATGGTATACTATGCAAGAAATTACAATTGAACACCCTTTCTGGATCTTGGAAATAATACACAAGAAAACATATTCCAGTATATGTGGCCTATTAGTATAATAAGAAGATTTAATACAAGTGAATAGTTAATTCATCTCGGAGAATATTGCGAACCAACCAGGTTTCATTAAACCAAGTCGATTCAATAGGTAGAAATAAACAGATTACTTAATCGAATCGTACCTTCGGAAGCTACTATCTAGTGAATGCTTTAGCTGACATAAGTTTAGCCAGGGATGCTATCGGAGAAAAAGAAAATAAGAAGGGTGAAATGTTATATAGATTATGCATAAGGCTCCTATTTAATGTTGTATCGTAATCCTACGCTCCTCTTCACCGCATATACTGCTTGTATTTTAATATCTCAAAGATTAAGACCCCTCACCAAGCCAGCGGCCTGCGCAATTCTACGCACTATTATTAATTCATAAACCCTGCCTTGCTGTTCCACAAAAAATGACGAAAGGGTGTTAATACTCCCGAAGATTGTTAATACTCCCCGCTTTCGTCTACCAATATTTTGCGGCGACATACTAAACATCGTATCTTGCCCGATTTGTTGTATGTAGTCTTATCATTTGATCGTTATCTATCGTAAAATCCAGGATTTATCAGTATCACGCACCCAAATCCTGGGCCTTGGCAAACGCTAAGCTTTCCCAAAGAGACCTTACGTCTAGGTGAGTTGCTACTCTCGGCCAGTCGTGTTGCAAGAACCCATACTAGGATTAAATTTGTTGAGCGTTCTCGAATGGTCTGGGAAACTTAAAGCTTTTGTAGCTTCCGAAATTGTCCATGCATATGCAGGTGTACGCTTAGAACGGCAATGGATGGGTCACGAACTCATCAAAGATACAGACAATGAAAAGTAGACTTATTCAAATTCTGCAGTTGTGACTTGTGTGTGTCACTAAGATGTCTATGTGTATATGAGTGAAAAAAAAAGAGGTGAAGAAGAAGAAGAAGAATGAGAAGATAGAGAGCACGACAAGTACATATAAGAGGGCACCCGAAGCACGTAATTCTAGTCTTTTCTCACCAGCTAGTGTTTCTAAGATAGGCTGCTCCCCTCTTGATGCTTGTCCTTTAATGCGAGTTCAGCTATGGTTCTTTTGCGGTCACTTTTCCTTCCTCTGGCAGCTGCTCTTGTGTCAGGCTCCTCTAAAAAAGCTGGCAGGGCTTTGATCATTGAATTGGATGAGAAATCAACCACTCTAGATGCGTTCACACAGAGTGCCAGCGACATCAATTATACTGTCCGGCGTACTTTTAATGCCTCCGGGATATTCACTGGCATTGCTATCGATATACTCGACGGCAGTGATTTAAATGAAACAAAATCGCGCCTTGATGCTATACCCGGCGTCGTCGGCGTAGCCGATATTGTCCAATATGAGATCCCTCCGATAAAGAGCACATTTATCGCCCCCTTAGGTGATAGCTCGCCACTCACACGCCGCGTTGATGTCTCTGAGGATTTGGGGTTCACTCTACGAATGGGTGGTGTTGACAAAGCCCATGCTATAGGTATAAAGGGGGAGGGAATAAGTATCGGCTTCATTGATACTGGAATTTATTACGATCACCCTGCTCTTGGTGGCGGCTATGGAAGTGGTAAAAAGATTGTTGGAGGATACTCTTTTATTACAGACGAAGGAAAATTAGTCGACAGCGACGATCCATATTCTGATTGTTCCCAGTCAGACCATGCGACACATGTGGCAGGTTAGTAGAGCGGAAACATCCAAAGCTATAATAACTAGGCAGTTGTTAACCAAGAATATTTAGGCATCATTGGGATGGACCCATTACAGGCCCCCGATGGCTTCCCTATATCTGGTGTTGCCCCTGAGGCATCTCTGTATGCTTATCGCATCTTCGGCTGCGGTTTGGGTGGGGTGGCAAGAGAAGGTGGTACTACTGATTTGGTCTTACAAGCAATGCTAAAAGCCTTCGAAGATGGCGTTGACATTATCAGTATGTCATTGTCAATTAACGGAGGAATGACTGGGGAGCTACCATCGTATGACCCTGTGACGGCGACTGCCCAACAAATTAAGAATGCTGGTGTTGCCATTATTGTCGCCATGGGAAATGACGCATCAGGTTCATTATACGCAAATAACCTCTACGTCGAAACGTTCCCTGGCGAACTTTCGAGTGTTGTCGCAGTTGCCTCGATTGCCAACTCAAACTACCCACTGATCTATACAGCAACGGATGAGTACGGCGCGGAACTCCACTATTCAAATGAGCATCCTATTCAAGCAACCGAAGGACTTGATGTCTATTTGATTCCGGGTGATGCGTGTGATACAATCGACTGGAAGGGAGTTGTTGATGACATTCAAACTTCAGGGAATCTAAGCACCACTATCATCGCTCTGAGTGTTAGCGCGTCATGTACGTTGTCAGGCATGGCATGCTGCGGCAACACAGTCCCGCCTTACTTACTTGGCTTTTACGGTAACGATACAAATCCATACGATCTGGATTATGAGAGTATCCTGCCATACCGATTTAATAATGGGTCAACTCAAGCATACACGGTGCTAGAGCCCGATTCAGATACATTCTTCAGCAACTACAATACTTCTGGGGGATATGGGAAATATAAGTTGTTTTTTGGCAACTCTACATATATCAACCCTAAACAGAGTTTAGGCGGAATGGTGGACTCATATAGTGACTGGGGTCCCGTTAGGCTTACATATGAGCTTAAACCGCAGATTGCGGCTCCAGGAGGCCATATTTTGTCCACTTTCCCAGAAAGTATAGGCAGCTATGGTGTTATATCTGGAACATCCATGGCAACACCTTACATTGCTGGCTGCTTCGCGCTCGTCAAGTCCCAGTTCCCTGATTGGTCAGTCGACGATATCTTGATCGCATTGCAAACTACGGCCCAACCAACGGTTTGGGCATGGAACCAGAGCTTGTTGGCGACCACTGCTCAACAGGGAGCTGGCTTAGTCAATGTCTACGATGCCATCACAACATCCACCCGCGTCTCTCCAGGACAGCTAGCTGTCACAGATAATAACAGTACTTCATTCGGCCTAGCCAACATCACCGTCGAAAACAACGGAAACTCTACTCAGACATATACGCTTGGCCATCGCGGAGCAGGCTATACGCATGAAAACGTCGGTTACGGCGAAGTGGCGCAGATTGCCAATTTTGGATCGGCAGAATTTGCAACCCCTACCTTCGAGCTGGAGCCCGGTGAGACAACGGAAATCCCTATACGACTGTCTTACCCGCCTCTTGCAATCGATGTGAGCCGGTTGCCCCTCTTTTCGGGTTATATTGATATAGTTCCCGTGACAGGAGCGAACCTCAGTATCCCGTATATAGGTCCAGGCTTCTCACCCTACAACATGGATTACATAACTTATCTAAATGCCACGCCTACGTATCCAGGCCTTCCATGGCTCTCATTCCCAAACGACAATGGAAGTAACTACAACGATGGATTTTCTGCAGTAGACTCATCTACAGAATATTCATTTAGCCTACATGTCCAGCAGTTCTCGAATCTATCGAGGGTGGATATTGTCCCGGCAAACACAACGTTAAAGGCTCACTTTAACGCTGCAAACTTTACCCTCCCTTCGAACTATACGTATCTCCCTTCTACTAGCCAGCCTACTTCGACTCTGTTTGGCGAACCAAGCTATGGCAACCTTTGGATCGTGGAAGGACTGACGCAGCCCCAGAGCATTTTTCTTGGAGGCACAGGTCTAAACGTCACAGATGACAGCGGTGCAAAACTTTGCTTAGGCTCTGGTGATTATAGATGGTTTTTTAGCATATTGAGATTGGGCGGCGATGCTACACTAATCGAAGACTATGATACTTGGCTAGGTCCAGTTGTTCGGTTGCTAGATGGATAGTCTCTTGCCTTACACTCTCAGGGGATTCTCTCGTTTAGTTAATTAGTGGATAATGTTGCTAAGGCTGGATAGTGTATATATGAGCGCATTAAAATGCATTAACTCGGTATAGAGCCGTCATTTCTCTATCTTCTCATTTATCTCAGGTGACACCATGGGCCTTCTAATTAACATAGTCAAATGGCCATCCCATTAGCCCAATGCTCAGTTTTGTCCCCTCCTCAATTTCCTTGGCTTGGGCCTTTAGTTCCTCTACATCCCAGTTACACCATACGAACTTACCCCTTAAAAACCGGGCTTCGGGACTTGCAAGCCAGAGGTTGAAGCTTGCCGGAAGAGAGACTAAATAATTCTAATTAATTTTCATCTGTATTATCATAAGTGACACTACCTCACTTACCATCGTCAGTCTTGATACCCTCAAAGCTCGCGGCGCCCCCAGCGCGCAGGTTCATCTCAGTAAGGACTACGCCAGGCTGCGTATGAAAGACGCTCAAACTTGGGTTGGAAATGGTGATGGTATCCCAGAGCCGATAGACAGCCAACTTGGCGACGCAATACGAAGAGAATACGTCGTTGAGACTCAGATGCGCGGCCCACGAGTTAATGATGATGGCGACTGCATCCGGCGCGGCGTGACGAAGGAATGCTTGCGCAACCCATAGCGCACCGGCGATATTTTCTTGGATAGCCTCGAGATAGCTATCGCCGTCTGCATCTGCAACACCCTCTTTGGGTCCGATTACAGCTGCGCTGTGGACGAGGACATTAATCTTCCCGTTGCCGGCGAACTGGGAGAATGCCGCATCTACGTCACTTTTCTTGGTGATGTCTGTAGATACAGTTATAACTTCGACCCCGGGGAATTTCTCCTCAATGAAAGCTTTGTTGTCAAGAAGCGGCTGCGTCCGGCGGCCGAGCAGAGCGATTCTCGACGCGCCCGCTTCAGCGAAGTAGCGGGCCGTCTCCCCGCCAATGCCGGTACCTCCTCCTGTGACTATCACGGATTTTCCCTTGGAAGATAACCCATGACGAGTGGGCAGTGTAGATGGCTGTGCTTTGTGATGCCATTTTTTAGTCGGGGACGGAAAAGTGAGAGCTTGGGCCATGATGAGTGTAAGACGTGCAATGTATGATGATGGTAAAAAGGGAGGGTGACTGATGAGAGTATGTGTCTGAGAGCAACACTTGACTTTATATATGATAATTTCATTGTTAAAGAGACTACTACTAGTTGATGACCAAGTATTCAATTTGTCAAAGAAAACGCAGTAAAAGCAAGGTTAGGATAGTTTACAACATTCCCCGTTACAATTTGTTCCGCCCGGCGGCTTGCTCTAAATTAGCATGGAGCAGATTTCGCGATTTATAAGCGCTGCATATTCCCTTTATCTTTGACAAAAATGTTTCATATGCTATGATGATATGTATGTTATCTATTTCGATAATTATGCACCCCGTAGCCATGTGTAGGAGGCATCATGAAATACAAACAGCATCTATCTACAAAATATCACATTGCCTAAATAGGAAACTACCAGATATGGAGGATGAACCTCTCCTCGGGTAAGTATGGAGCACATACGCCAATCTAAGCACCCTAGTGACTTGCGCTAGGTATCAGGGGCATTATTTCCCCCAAAGGCATTACTAATGCTGAACAGCAACAGCGATCATGTTATTATTCAGCACGGACATTTCACAACGACAAAACGACAACATCCCGCTCAACAGGCCCCAAGATTTAACATAGCTCTGTTTTAAAGGTAATTATATGGTATGGAACTCATTCTGCGGTGCGAACAATGCCATAAACCTTTTAACAAAAGTGAGCTGCCATTTGTGCTTGACTTTGTGTCACATACTGACGCTCCAGGGGCATAGAGTCGACATTCAAGCGACATGGATATTACTGCCGGTCTCGAAGAGTCGGCAATACCTATCGGCGTCGATCATGTCTTTCTTGCGCGAAGAGTAAGGCAGGCTGCGACACTAAGCAACCCAAGTGCTCAAGGTGCATAACCAAGGGCATTGAATGCGAATATCCAGCGAAGGCATCCAGAGCTCCAGCGTTGGAGACCCCACATAGTGGTAATGCCTTTACTGAACGAGAAAAGGCGACAAGTTCATTGGTGGTGGATTCCCTCAATCTTAATAGTGGTGAGGCCATTCTTGACGATGCCCTGTTCATTCCGCAGCTGGGCTTCGCAGACCTTGGGGGAGACTATCTCCACTTGGACGACCCCAGCATTGGTCCTAATGATGAAGACCCCTTGAATCCCCAAGCCGGCGCCAACGAGTCACACCTATCAACGGGGCTGCCATCTTTGATTCATCGCTCGCCGCCTTCGATAGATATAAGGGTCCCAGCAGAGCAGGACATGTCATCTCTAAGCGTTTCTATACCAATGACTCCAGGTGCTGTCCGATCAATGATCCGCCGACCAAGAACTCAGACTGCAGCACAAAGGGTTTCCAATCTCATTTCCCACACGCTGAAATCCTATCCCTTGATGCTACTACGCTCCAACACTCTTCCGCCTTTTATCCACCCTAGCATGATAACTTCTGAGAACGAGAATGCCCACATGGAGCCACTTACCAATTGCCTCAGTCTGGTTCACATGATCAGCACTGGGATCCAGACAAGTCGAAAGCTGTTCTGGAAAAACGTACGGATGGAATGTGAACGTCTGTCTGAAGAGGTACATTGGACAGCCTCATTTTTTAATGACCAAGGTTAATAAGAGGTTAACGGGCAAACTCTTTAGTATATAAAATTGAGCAAGTATGAACTTCTCACTGCCATGCAAGCACTCCTCATCTACGTACTCATACGACTGGATGAAGGAGCAACAGATTATAATAGTTTCGACAGTTTATTGCTGAAAGCCGTGACTGTAAGGTGAACCCTCCATTTCTTTTACTAAGTTAACTCTAATAATGGGCCATAGGTGACAGCTCAACGATTCAACGGCTTTGACGATGCAACTTTCCATACAGAATGCGCACATTGCAACAATGGATTGGAAATTAGTTGGAAAGAGTGGGTCTTTAGAGAATCAAGACGAAGGTTGGACATTTCCACTCTCTCTATGATAGCAGACTTTCTATATTGATAAACTAACTATACAAAGACTAGGAATAGTCTACCGGGTTGTGAATATGCTCGTTTATTTTGAGCCAATGGCCATGTGCGATCTGCCTTCTGACCTGATTCTAGCGCCACTGCCGGCGAAGAAACAGTTATGGGAGGCAGGTGATGAGTTTGGGTGGAAGGCCGTGGGGCAGAGAGAGATGGGAGCCAAAGCCGCCTTTGGACTGGCAACGCACGGTGGACTTGTCAGGCTGGACGATCGTGAGTTGTCTTGCAATGATGCTTGGGCACCGTATAAATGCTTGGATACCAGGGGCCAGCCGAGGAGCACGGCGAGCTGGGAGGAGTGGTGCTCGGGAATAGATGGGTTTGGAGGGCTTGTTATGCTTGCTGCGTCCTTAATAGCGTAGTTTATATGTCGGAGAAATCGCAAGGCCCACATGTCTAACTCTCAACCGGCGTTGCCGTAGCACTTGAAGATGATAGTGAGACTAAAAAAAAACATCGTGTTATATATTCATCGCTTGTTGAAGGACAGCTTCAGGAAGTAAATGCATACCCTCCTAATTTAGCATACATAAATCTAAAATCCAGCATCGGATTCTGTTCTAACATCTTTGCCGTGACCGATGCGGCGCGTAAATGACCAGATGCGGCTATATATTTCATTGTGTTAATCACCCAGAGGCGTAAATTAGGGTTCGTCGTTGCACTGCCAGCTATGAACATAGCCGGGAGAAGGGTACCACATTTCAGAGTCTGGACGGCGGTGAAAGGGATGCAGTTGTTCGGATGGACATTTGGGAGAAGGAACTGAGGTGCTGAGGCACAGACTTCCTCCGCAATGCGCTCCGTGAGGGCGCGTGACTCTGAGCGAATACGGATAGCTTCTTCAGACTCGTTGCCTACCAAGGACTTTTGGACGTAAAAGTGAAGCTGGAGGTGCATTATTCGAACCGTGTTGCGTACTTGCGTTGTAAAGTGATCTCTATAAACATCATAGTGATCCCCAAAGACGAAGGGCCGGCTGGGGTCCTCCTCCGACACCATGACATGCCTAGGCTGCCATCTCTGTGATGAAGTCTCCTCAATTTCGCGATAGGCGTCCTTGAGCTGCCAGGCCTGAGCGACAATTTCGCTTTTGGATAACTTTCCCTCGGCAACATCGATTCGGAAATTGATCATCTTACAATTCATGCTTGAAAGCCGCCACTTGGCGTCATCTTTGTCGTGAAACATGTCAAGTCTGCGTCCTAGTTCCACTACGCCTTCCGGAATCCGCTGAGACGCAATGTAGCAACTGATAAGAAGAGTCGTGAAGAGTTTGTTTGCCAACTTTCTACTAACTTCGCTTCTCATCATGTCATTGTAGCCACGAGCCTTGATTAGTGCTAAGGCGCCATTAAGATGGGCTAGCCAGGATTGCTCTGAAATGAGGTCGCGACCCATTATCTTCTCGTAAAGATCAAGAAGTAGCACTGACTGTAGTGTGGAATCAGCACTCGCGAGTTCGCGGCTGGATAGAGCCTTGTTGATTTTCCGCAGAGCGAGCATATAATTTTCAGCAGCCAACCGCAGAAGCTCTGTTGAAGGTGTCGGGTGATTACTCGCAAAGAAAGCGAGGCTGGCCGCATCCACGCTGAGAGACAAGTGGTCCCCTAGCTTTGCTTTCTCGTACAAGGCAGGTAAGATATCATAACTGCTAGATAGGCCGTATACATAGTGAGCAAAGAAGTCATGACGAGCACGAACATTCCATGCCGGCTGGGGCTGCGAGAAAAGACGGTTGGCATTGGGCAATATCACATGATTTAGAGTTCCAAGTTGCAGAGATACTGTCGTGGCTTTGGAAGCCAGCATCTTTCGTTGGACGCTGCGTGTCTGGTCGCGGAAGATGAGATCATTTGTATCCCGGTAGCCAAAACATGAGATATTGGCCCGCAGGCATTGGCCGCATCCATCCTTACGCAGGTCGCACTAACATGTCCGCCGTGCTTATGTTAGTCCGAGGGATCTGGTAAAAAATACTAATATATAACCATATATAGAGAAAAAAAACGGAAAAATGGGGATCGCACCTTGAGCTTGCGTTTCCTGCATGGCAAGCAATCTTTGGAGGGTCCTCGATAAACCATGAGGGGAAAGCGAACTGATAGCCCCTTGGAGCGGGTGACTGGTTGCGTAAGAATCAGAGTATCACGGCGCTAAACGACAATTGCAGACGGTCCATGCAGTCGTCCTTGTTGAGAGAAGATGCTTCATTGTTACGGTTTCCAACTTCCGGGCTGTAGAGTCGTCGCTCTCGGAGCTAAACCTCGCGTCGGAGATGGGCCAGATGTTAACAGCGGGCGCTAGGCTTTCAAGGGCTAGCGTTCCGGAGTGTTAGATCTGCGGGTCTGTCTCCACTACAAATGCAGGTGCAATGAATGATGCTTTGGTGGAGATTCTAGGCAGAGAGAGATTCGACATCGTGAGACCAAGCGGCTCTCTATACTTACGTAGCGTATATGATCCTATCATACCTGCGGATCCAAGTCCGGAGACGGACTACATGGATTTTTATCTCCCCCGATATCTAGGACCCTATAAAGCTAGCGTTCCGGTACACGGGCCATGTGCGCAGCGAAAGAGGAGACTGGAGATGGCTTCACCAAGCGACAGAGCAATAGTGATATACAGAATGGAGATTACAAGTCCGGAATTCACGGACTCTGAACCCAGGCCGAAGATCATGTTGATATATAAAAAGGGCACTCCTTGACGACCTAGAAGATGAACCACAGGTCAAACTCCTCCAAATCACCCTTCATACAGGCTCAATCTTAGATCCCAACTCCTTAGTCAAAATGGTATTCCAGTATAAGCGCGTTCTCCTCGTAGGTGCAACTGCTGGCATTGGCGCAGCCATGGCAGACAAGCTCATTGAGGAAGGCGCCAAAGTCATCGCCGTTGGTCGCCGCCAAGAACGTCTCGACGCTTTCGTTGCCAAGCACGGCCCGGAGCGTGCCAGCGGCATCAGATATGATGTTACTGACCGGACTGGCCTTGATGCTTTCGTGAGCAAGTATGCCAAAGCCTCTTTTGGTCATCTATACATAAGCAGATGCTAAAACAAAAGTGAATTGCCGCAGGGTTGTCGAAACATATCCCGACTTGGACTGCGTCTTCCTCAACTCGGGAACCCAGACCGCAGTCAGGCTTACTCGACCTACTGAAATCGACATTGATGCTTTCCACCGCGAATTTGAAGTCAACTATACTTCCATTGTCAACCTCACTCTCAAGTTTCTGCCGTACCTTGAGAAGAAAGACTCTCCCACCAGCTTAATTGTTACGGGAACATTTTTGTCTCTCGTCCCCGCATTTGTGCTGCCAGCGTACAGCGCATCCAAGGCCGCCCTTCGATCCTTTTTTGAATGTCTTAGGAGACAACATCAAGATTTCTCAAAGATCAAATTTATCGAAATTTTGCCTCCTGTAGTGCAAAGTAAGCCTTCTTTACACTCACCCGTCTCCTTGTTATTATCGCTATGATGCAGCCAAGCTAATAAATGGGCTTTAATTCACTCTAATTAGCTGAACTCCACGATTACATGGGCATTGAGCGCGGCCGTGCTCTGGGCATGCCGCTTGCAGACTTCACCGAGCGAGCATACGCTGCGCTTGCCTCGGGTAAGGAGGAAATCATCATCGGCAATCTTCAGGGCGCTACCCCGGAAGATATCGAGTTGTTCTTGGAAAAGAGGAAATTGCTGTTTGATAGCTTGTCGAATTCATTGGCCCTCCACTTTCAACCATGAGTACAATCGACATTGAGACTGAATCCATAGACATAAAACGGAAGAGTGCTATTTAGATGACCCTCTTTACCTACGTAGCATGTACGCTCAATACGGGTAGACGCATCAAGTGTACCTCTTGGATATGTGTTCTGATTAAGAGAACTATTTGCCTACAATGTCATTATTTTTCTCCTTCACCGTCCAATTCCATGACAAATAAACGCCGTAAGCCTTTTGAGACAAAAGGCACCGTCCGAGAACTGTGGGGCACCGGAGCGAGTGGAGTTTCCGGAGGTCAACATCTCGGTCCCGGAGCTTGTCATCAAGCCTAGTATCTAGCTCGGCCACCGCCGTTATTATGTGCTTTTCTTACTGCATATGTGATAATGATTGAAACGGCAATCGAGTCATACGATTTTATACGCAATGCGCGACTGTAAAATAGCGGGGTGGGGTGATGGTGCAAACCTTAAAATGAGTCTCGTCGAAAGCGGAAATCTTTTGGAATCCGCATTGAAAGTTTGCGCGTCCCGCTCAAACACCGCCGACGTCACGTAAACGTAGCAAGGCTAAGACGGCAGCAGAAGGATCCTGACGGTTTCGGTGCCAAGACAATATCGATATTCTAGAATCTAGACGATTTATCAAACGAATTTCAAAGTGCTTATTTTCATCGACCTTTCTATAAAATCCTCGTTGATAGAGCCGTCAGCAGGATGCTGTCGTTCATAGAGACAGAGACCCCTCCTACGAAAGTCTTCTTTCCCTCATTTCAGCTGCAGATATGTGCCGAGCTCTTTGCACCAGAGCCAGGGTCCCTTAATCGCAAGGGGGCGGCTATCGTAATCAGTCATCCAATGACTGGCATCAAAGAGCAGACATCAACCAAGTATGCCAAACTCCTCTCCACCGCGGGGTTCTATGCCCTCGTCTTCGACGCCGGGTATCAAGGAGAAAGCAGTGGTGAGCCACGGGGCCTGGAAGCCCCCCACCAGCGAGTGGAGGATATCAAATCGGCGGTCAGCTACTTGACAACTCTCAGCGGCCGAGTGGACGCCCAAAGGATCGGCCTCCTGGGCATCTGCGCCTCCGGGGGTTATGCGTCCTATGCTACGCAGTCAGATAGCCGCATCAAATGTCTTGCAACCGTGAGTGCAGCTTGCGTGGGCCGCATGACACGCAACGGCGTCGTTCATCAGTATAGCCGGGAGAATCCTCAGGCTATCGCCGCAGCTCTGGAGGCCGCCGGCCAATGGCGCACCAATGCTGCCAAGAACCCAACATCAAAACCTGATGCTCCTGTAATGTTTGAGACAGATCCATCCAAGATCGACGATGAGGCAGATCCCTTCTTTAGGGATGCAGCAGCCTACTATGGCACCGAACGTGGCAAACACGAACGAAGTAACCAAAAAGTTCCTCCGCAGAGCTACGACCTGATGATTAGTTACGACTCATTCAACTTTCAGCATTTGATAGCGCCGAGGCCTTTATTGATGATCGCAGGATCAGAGGCGCAGACGCTGCACTACAGTAAGACTGCCATCGATGGAGCGAGGCAGCCAAAGGAGCTGTTTGTGATATCAGGGAAGAATCACTTCGATCTATACGACGACTTACGAGAGTCTGGACCGAAAGTGGTGGATTTTTTCATCAGTGGGCTCGACTGAAAAGCGAAAGAGATGGAGAGGGAGATAACAGAGGGGGAATGGCGTTACAAAGCCGTGTTTGTTTGAGATTTGATGTGAATAGTAATCACACTTTTTGCTTTGGGTTGGGCTCGGCGTGTATGCAGTCACGGGCAGTGTTGAGTAATCTGGATGGAGTCGTGTCCATTTAGCATGTTTTCCGCCATACAAACATAATCAATAGCAGCCATCGTGCGGATGTGTCACTGTGTCCGATAATTCATGAGTGTGAGGTTTGGGGAGCTGCGTCCAGGGCGGATGAATTATATTCTCGCACGCTGTCATATTCCCGATGATGACGGCAGTCATCACAACGAAAAGAGGACCTGATTCCACTTCCAGAGCAGATTATCCATTCAATATTTCCACCAAACAAAGGTATGACTCGTCTTTGACAAAAGAAGAAATACGGCAGCATATCGCAACGCAGAGGATGACCGACATCAATTACATGCGACGTAGCTAAGGACGCAGCCTATTAATGCCCGGCGAACGAGCCTTTGGGATCTGCAGCCATCCATAGCCCCAGATAGCTACGCAGAGGGGCCAAATCTGAAATACTAATTTGTTTTGTCACACTCACAGTAACAGCCTTTCTTTTTTCTTTTTTTTTCTTTTTTTTTTCTGATTATCGCTTTCAGCTCGTCCTCTCACGTCCAGAAAGGGGGGAGGTCCACAAGCCCAACTCAGCACGCTGGCCCAATTAAAAAACGGTAGTACATGCAGGTATATGTAGTATTAATGAACAGCTCGTTCTGGGATTAGTTTTTTTGCTTCTTCTCTCTTTCCGCTGCTCTTCTCTCTCAAAAACGTGCTACGATACCGTTTCTTTTCTTCTCCTTCATTTCTCGCGTGTCGCAGGATTCATCGGCCTCAGACAACTCCGGAATACCGTCGCCTTAGTCAGCCCCGCCTGCTGGGTTCCGATTCCGACACCCATCACGATCAAAACTCCAGATATCAATCGCTTCATCCATATCAGAATCGCTGTAGAATCTGGCTCAGCAGATACTCGACGGTCCCTGGTGGTGCACATTCAAATGCCACCTCGTGCCTGAGAGCTTCTTTTCGGTCTGGCGGGCAGAAGCGTCTCTCTCCGCGCGGAGAAACTCAGAGACGCTGGATCGCCTCACTTGGATCGAATCAATCTCGTGCTTTCGCGCCGTTTGTATTGGCGCTTGTTGGGTTTGGGGCTTTACAGGCCTCTATCTGACAGTTTTCTCGCTTCCCTGCCTTCTCTTGCCATCTTGCCGTTGCAGTATCCTCATCTTCAATATCTTATCTCATCTCTCACCACTAGCACCCCTAAAAGGCCGAATAATGGACGTGGACGACTCTTCGTCTGGAGCATCAAGTCCATCCTCGTCGATAGATCAAGGCCATGGATTTGATGCCTTGATGCAGGCTCGTCAGGCCGAAACTATCGCCTATCATGCCTTAGTCAACGAAGGAGGTCGGCCGTCACATCCGCTGAGCCACCTGCGGAGCATTGTCGCTTCACCTGGCCAGTATCGCGACATTTTGGCATTCTGGCAAGACCAGTCAGATGAGTGGCAGGTTTTCAGCAAGCAGTTATCAAGATGGCAGATGTTTCGTGCGCACCAGAGAGCATCTAGAGAGCCGGAACGATTTCCTAGTTACATTGAAGAGCTCAATGAACGACTGGAGCGCCATAACTTTGAGCTTCCTCACTCATTTGCAAAGTCCGCATCTGGATTCAGCAGGCAGTTGGACAGACAGGACAAGTTAGCAACATGGATTGAATACTTAAACTACGAATTTACTAGGCATGACGAGTATGACAAATGGCTTGAGACTTGCCAGCCAGGCTATGATGCAGCACTGGCCCAGCTGCTGGAAGCACAGGTTTTGAGGCCTTTTGAGAAGATAAGGACAGCAACAACCGATATTTGCCGCCCAACTAGCATCGAGATCACCAAGAGAAGAGAAGAGCGCCGCAAAGCAGAAGAGGAATGTGAGAATGCAAAGAAGCAGATACACTGGAGGAATGCTCTTGGCAACCCCCAATCGGAAGAGGAAGATCGCCAGTTGGTGGAGGCTAGGGAACGATTAAGATCTATCCATAAACGGACCTATGTTATTGCTGATTTTGCCCGCAAAACACACGCCTATCGCTTTGCTTTGGATAGATCTGAGCGCCACGAGCTGCTTCTTCGCTGGGCGTTGGACCAAATTCCTATGATTGAGGAAGAAATCAAGCAGTTAAACACACCTAGCAGAATACAAGACGCTTCTCAAGGACATAGTCAGCCGACGAAGCCAGCGTTCCATCGATTTAAGCAACTCCCGCCAGAAATTCGGTACCGAATATGGGCTGAACTGATTCCCAAAAAACCAAGTGTGCACTTTTTCGATGTCTTGAATCACCAGCGCAAGCGCCATCTAGCTACTTCCTGGTCGAGCGAAGAATTCCGCGTGCGTGCCACAACAGCTCGCGACTCCGGCTATCGACCAGTATACACTCTCTTATCGACCTGTCGAGAATCGCGACGCATTGCTCAAATGTACTACACGCGCCAATGGCAAGACTTGACGTGCGCTGTGACAGGCGCAAGGATTAAAAACTGCGCTCACGCACCTGATTTTCGCACGTTTGACTGGATCCCCCCCGAAGATTTGATTGTCTTGTGCTTCCCACCAATTCAAGTAACCAAGCTTCCTCCCGGGAATGCCTTTACCCTTTCACCTGGAATGTCACAGCCGGCAAGACGAATTGGTGTATGCGTACCAACGGAGATTATGAGCATGCACAACCTTCACCCCGATGAGGGCGAAGGCGAAGACGACGCTGCGCAATTGTCCTTGATACCAGAATTCATCGATAAGCTTCACAGGCCCATCCACTCTGACCATAAGTGGGACGCTAAATATCGAGGAATTTGGAAGTTATATCTGATCGTTGAGGGGTGGTCTCCGAACCATCTAAGTATGCAGGTGACGGCGGGCATCGACACCAACAGGGCGGTACACACGTGGTCCAATAGACAGATCAGCTGGCATTCCCAAGCAGCAAAGAAAGACGAGCGGAAAACACAGTGGAAAAATATACTCGGATCCATAGACGACAGGTCGGCTCCGGATGAGAAGAACAACAAGAGCAATAATAATACTAATAATGGCGACGTTAAGCGTCGACTCTGGTGGCTAGGCTCGAACCGCCCAGCCCTGGGATCCCTAAACCCCGAAGATCTGGTTCAAAAATCCCAAGCAAAGAGGCTTTGTGAATTCATGGATACTCTAGCAGCAGAATGCCATTTACAGCCGTGGCACAAGGGCTTTGAAGGCGTCGAGGCCTTGGGCTGGCTCCAGCCGGCGGACATGGATGTCCTTGAATGTCACCCGTGGGATTTAGTAGAGGTCATGAAGAACCAGAACGAACGAGGCCACGTTATCAGGGGCGCCGGGGGCCCGGCTTCAAGCTGATATGGAAGAGCATATCAATCTCTTTCTTTCTTTCTTTCTTTCTTCCTTTCTTTCTTTCTTTCTTTCTTTCTTTCTTTTCTTCTTTTTTTTTTTCTGAAAAGGACGTTTACAGACAGTCGCCCCTGATTCAGGAATTGGAACTAGGTATTGGGATTTGGATAGAACGTTTTCGTGCAAGTTGAAGTAGAGATACCCCCGTTTATTTATTACGCACCGCGTTTGTCATTCTCATACAGCACATCCTAATTCTTTATATTTTCTGCCAGGTAATTTACTAGGGTAGGAAGCTTATACACACACAGGGTAAAGGAATTCGCTTTCATTCTCTACTTTCCTCTACTTGAAGCCAATGTCTACCTATCATATCTTGAAATTATCTCACAACTCTAGCTTATTGTGTTACTGCAGCTACCGAAACGCCACAAAGTTATCGGCCGAGTGAATTTGTGCTATTGCAAATACCATTAGCGATGACTAGGCCAATCTAGGTGCATAATAGCACACGGAAGCCCTGGTTTGTAGGATCGGGGCTCATGAAGTCTGCAGTGGCCATCTTCCGCCGATGAAACTTGGGGGAGATTACCCATGCTTGCACCGTAAGATACCTAATACAGTTTAGGGATCGGGTAACAGATTGCAATTAGGCTGGAATTGCATATTTGTTTCAATATTCAGTAATCTTTTATAATAGCGTCAGTGCCGAGGTTCCGTGACTCGGCACTACATGTACATATAAGCTGTCCCCTAGAGGGGGGCGAAACGCTAGCACAGAAAGTGGCAGCGTATAACTGTGCCGAACCGCAAATATTGAATGACTTGCATCCTGGAAAATAGAAAATGGCGCGAATAGACTTGAGCACTGGGTGCTCAGTAAACACTGGTAGGCCGAAAAGGCCAACGGTGTATTTCTGTTAATACTAGTGGCGTATATAGAGGCGCAAGAGAGAACATATTACCGTTTAGAGATCTAGGCGATCTGGCTTAGTCGACCTTAACCTGACCAGATTAGCTGGACTGTGTTGCTTTGGGACCTCTTTATCTAATTCATATACTGAATTCGGGACTAGGTATGGCCCTTTATTGCACCAGCCTTTGCAGCTTATTTTGGGCCTGTCATTGCATTTATGAACACATCTTTATATCAAATATATACTAATACATTACCAGTAAACAACTCTAAATGAAAGGCTATTTGTAATACATCCTATATCTTGGCTGTACACAAATGCGTGCTATTGATCGTCGATTTTCAAGACTGAAAGTCCTGGCATGTTAAGCATTGAAGCTTCCAAAACCGTCCCGGTAATCTTTGAGAACAGAAGACGGTTTTCCGGTATATCCCGTTTTCTCCATCCATTCCTTCACACTCTTCACTCTATTAGGCAAAATCTCATCCAACAACTTGTAATCCCTTTTTGTTAAATCATCCTTCCACATATTCCAAAAGCCCGAGAAGTTCTCACGGAAAGTGAATAGAGTGGGATTCTCCTTATTAGTGGAATGGCCCAAGACCATGTCCGGGTTCGAAAATACCGGGAGTTTGAAGTATTCGTCTAATGTGAGGTCCTTGTATACAGCTTTTCGGCCAGTGACCTCTGTAAAAGCAGCCGCAAGGTCTTTCCAAGCGATATCTTCCGTAGCAACGTGCAATTGTATACCATTACTCTTGGATGGTGTATCAAGAATCCACCTAGCATATTGGCCATAGTCCTCAAGATAGATGAGGGGCAATTTTCCTTGTCCCAAAGGAGCAGCAAAGACAAGCGTGCTTGGATCTTCGCGATCTGGTAAAGGCTGCAAGAATTCTGAGAGCCCTTCCATATACAAACAAGAGGTCAGGACTGTCCAAGCCATAGGAGTTGTTGGCTGTGCAGAAATATAGTCCGCGACTTTGGCCTTGCCGTCCAAATGGCCACAGCGGTATTTGGCGTCGTAATCTCCGAGTTTCGATGCATACTCGAGAGCAGCATATATAAGATGCTTTACTCCAAATTCCCGAGAAAGTTCATATATCCGAATACCCCAATATATCTCTGCCATTTCTCCAATAGCAAACCCATTGGTATTGGCAAAGACATACTGGACGCCTTTAAACGCCTCGCGGAGTGTCGGTTCATCATAAGCATTTCCTTCAAATAACGTCACTCCGGGAATTGATGCCAGTTCAATGGCATCCTTCGAGGAAGGATTTCTTGTGATGACGCGGACAGCATATTTATGATCCGATGCCAGTGCTATTGGAAACGTTAATGAGAGTAATGTTAATAGTAGGAATAGCTGATTGACCTTTGACGACGGGCACTCCTTGAGCGCCTGTACCGCCGATAACTAATACGGTTTCCTGGGTAGTCGACATGACTTATAGCCTTGGGTTTCCTGACTTCAGAAAGTTGAACGAAGCGAGTCTTGAAGAATAAACTGACACGAATGGTTGATGATGTTGGAGATTTTTGAACAATGACGACTTGATATGAGATATATATATATATTTGTCTTTGCAGGCCATCACCTGGCTCACCATTTTATTGCCACATGCCATCTAGCTGAAGTTTACCAATACTTGTAAACTTCCTTCAATTTGTCACGTTTTCAACATCGAGAACGACAGCATTACGTATATCTCGGGCATTGGAAATCCATAAACCCTGAAGTCTTGAGCCATTTCAAAAATCCAATTAATCAGCTCTTGCAAGAGCCTGTGTGGCTTCGTGAGTTATGCAGACCTTTAAATGTAACCGGAGGCCGCATCGCTACGATCAGTAATCACTAAACCTCGGGCCCTTGAAAGCACCTTAATGAGGCTAGGTTGCAGCATTGATCAGTAACCACGAAATCTTTATTAGCCCTTTACCTCATGAAGGCTTTTAAGGTTGACATAATTAACTTTTATTATTACCTTTAACGCTATGAATGCTAGTGAGAGGGATAGACACGTCTGTGAAATAGACAATGAAAGGCGATTGGAACCGAGGTTTCAACATTGATAAATGATGTCATATTATTGAGGTGACTTGTAGATAAAGCACCCAGCAGCGAGCAAGTGAGCCGCTATGTATATCTAAGCAACTCCTTCAATGCAGTAATATGAATTGTTTATAGTTTTTATTATGTTTAGTTATAGCTGACATATAGGTATTTGATACTGTTGCTCGCAATCTATTCCAACCAATTTATTGAGCCTCGTCGGAGAAGCAACTGCAGAGTGGGACGACAACGAGATGTCAAAGCCAAAATACATTACTCACGGCCAGGTGAAAGACGGTTGAAATATTAAATCCCTATAGCTAAGCCCCTGTAACTGGGTCCTGATGGCTGGGGCAGTTCACTTCACGTTATGAAATGTCGTGAAAAGAAGAGACATCAGTCAAAAGGCGATCGGAGCATGGTATTCCATGTAAAGGATTGTTAGTATTTCCGTGCGGGTGGTGCTATGTTTCGAAGTGCCTCGCTTCTTTTCCGTAAGTTCTACTTTGACTTCGGATATGTGTCGGATCAGTCTCGGGCCACTTATGGCTGTCAAGCCAACATCCGGTTGGTCGAACCGGGGACTATTGTTTATAATAGTAATCCATCCCCTACACAGTAAGGAAGACTTGTTGCTATGAGCTGACGGGCCCGAGTGTCGAATAAGGCGCCAAACAGAGCGCCGTGCTCCACGCTACGTAGCTCGAAAGCCATGCGCATATCCGCTGCCTGTGTAGATTATCCCTGCCATAATCTCCTTCGATGTATACTCTTTGGATATCCAATGAGACGCTCCATGGGTGATCAGTGCTCTATCATTGCTCGATAAAATGTTGTCAATGGCCTTGTAAATCCGTTCAAGCAGCCGCCGGTTGCGGGTTGTTACCGACCGTTTTATACAGGTCTCTCAGCTCGAATTCATCATGCGCTCCATCCGGTAGTTCTCCCACAACTCGTCCTGGCTTGCCAGCAACAATGGAGAAGCTCGGAATGACCATATTCGCCGGAACAATCGTCCCGTCCAAGACCTTGACATAGTCCTTGATTATGGCAAACTCGTTGATTACGCAGCCCTTCCCAATGTACACATGGTTGCCTATGCTCGCAGCTTGCACCACTGTTCCCTGTCCAATAAAGACGTGATCGCCAATCCTCAGCGGCATATACGTAAATACACCCTTGTAGATACGACCAGGCGGCCGAAGCAGCACAGTACGGGCTAGAAAGCAATATCGGCCGATGGCAACGGCGGTAGTATTTGGCGGAGCGGCGCTTCCACCAGATGGCGGCTGCGCTTGTGCTGTACGGACGAGGTCGCCTCGGATCATGACTTCGGGCTGGATGACGGTCTTGCCGCCCAGCATGATGTTCTGCGTACCGACGAGGACGGCCTTGCGAGAGACCTTGTTGCCAGTGTCCTAGTAATCAGAAGGAGTATCAATTAGCAGATGTCGCGTCTAGTATGTGTGAGAATTGTGACCAGAGAAGGTCCATGTGCATTCTTACGGTCTCGATGTAATCTCCTTTTGCTGGACGGCGCGACATTTTTATGGCTGCGAAGCTGGTGTTTGCGGTTGGTGGTGAAGGCTGAAGGGTGATTGAGGCGTGGATCGAGCTCGGCTTTGGAAGATGAAGATCTGGTGGGGGCTGGAGCTTAAGCTATGGCCACCCTGAAACGCCGCTTCACTTACATCAGCAAATCGCAAAGACTCGGCCTCATCACTCAACATGCACAACTCGCAGATAAAAATGGATACACGTTGATTTTCTTTTTTACCATTGAATTTTTAGCTGTTTATGGATCTACTCTTGTTCGGCAATTTCGAGCCGTTAGCTGCATCATTAATTCGGAAAGACCTGATCAGGTGTGGTATTGCATGACGGACTGCGAATCCTTTCGAATTTGGGCGCGCAGACTCCCAGCTAGCAGCCCAACATAGTATGGCCTATTCTACACCAAGCCGGTTTCCTTCCACATTGTGTATGTTCCAACCAGCTGCAATCTATTTAGTTCAATGCTCAAATCCTTTTCTTCCCCTGCCTAGCCCTCTTTGGCTCGAAGCGTGGGGCATCCTACCTCGTTTGCAGGCAGCGGAGAGGCTAACGAGTGCTGTTGGTTGTGTCTCGACTGATGATGGATGAGGGCCAGGCTACCACGGGAAATGCCTCTTATCATTTTAACCGCTATGCTATTTGAAAGTTTTTTTCCCGGGCGTCTGTTCATTTAAACCAAGGATCGCGATACTTGCTGTCTTCATATTATATGTGGTTTCATATCATGAAGGAAATTCCGCCTGAATATAAACCACATGCAATTTACGGCAATACTTGATGAACAGTGCAGCCATGCAACTTCAACCAGCAGTTGGTACTGCCTCGTTAGAACCTCGAGCAACTCAGCTTCCACCGCCAGTAGCTGAGTCCACAACTCAAGCATTAACAGCTCCAGTCTTCACATATGTGACCCCTCCAGTAGCAACAAATGAGTCAACGTTCTCCGTGGGCACAGGCAACTCCAATAAATTCACAGCAGGGGCTGAATCCGGTATAAGTCTTGGAGTATGTGTCGTGCTTTTGGTTGCTGGTCTTCTTATCTATCGCTTCAATAAGTGGAGGTCGAACAAACGCGCCAAAGCCAATCAAGATTCCACGTCGAAACCAAGCGACGCGAATCCTCCAACATCAGAGCCGTCTACTCAGCACATGTCGAGTCGGCAGCGAGAAAAAATGCCAGCGACTAATGATGCAGTTCAGGCGGCTGCGGACGACGAGATACATCCAGTACCTCCTCAGAAGGTGTTTACGGCGTTGGAAAAGGGAAAGAAGGCTGATTATGACTCGTCTTCGTTGGTGATTTCGCCGTGTTAGGATACAGCAATGTTCGGAACAGATACCCTCGGATGTCAGAAATATTTCAACGTTTGGGTTCGACACTCAAGCGTTAACGATGTCAAGAGAACAGAATATCAATATACGCCCGCGAAAAATATGATATCGAATTATCGATATAGCATAACACGCAGCTTTACGAGTAAAGTCAGGGAATTGATGAACTGGAGCGAATTGAGGAAGATCAAGTATTGCCAAACAAGGATCAAAATAATGTATAGTAGTAGTCTACTTTAGACAAGTGTATACTTTTTGAAGCTACAACTAATTTTAGATAATCGTTAGTAACGTCTGCAATGTTGGATTCGCAAAGATGATGAGAGTGTCCAACAGTCCAACCGTCTAGCAATGCCAACTACAGCCAACACATGTTTCTTCGTGGCTGAATATATTCACTAAATAATTATCAGCCCAAAGAGCGGCTAAAAATCGCCTTGCAGAGCCACGGCGGCCATATGGTCGCCAGCGGTTTCACACTCGCGGCGGGCGCTTGTTCAAGGCACACTTGCGGTAGTCAATCTTAACGTGATGGCTATGTGCAACTCGGTTCGAAAGCCAATAGAAAAATCGCTTCCTAATTCCCGACTATAGCCAAAGGATCATTTCAAGCAAGAGGAATGTGCCTCATCATGACCAGATCATGGGCCATTGTCGTTTCGACATCAAAACATTTTTTTTTCCCGGGTGTGTCCTTATAAGTCACAGAAACCACGGCAGGGTAATAAAGGATCAAATTCCTCGATCTAGCCCGTAAGAGGTTAATTATTCTAGAGTCTCAGTTGTCACAGTGAATAAAGGAAATTGCAAAGACTAAATCGTCTAATTGAAGGATGAGGAGGATGACAACCTTGTGCGCTAGGTAACGTTGACACTGGTATTTGTTTACAGAACTGAGGACTATCTTAGCTTAAGAAGTAGCTCGCTCATTGTACACTTCGATTACAAACCGATTTTAGATCTACAGGAAATGCATTCCCAGTAGCAAAAGCGTTTCTGGAATCAATCCAGCGATAAACCCGACATGGAGAAATTGTTGTCATTAGATGATGCACATCTTCACTCTGGGGCCCGATTCTGTTCTTCGTTTCTTTCGCCTATCTCAGCGGCTCAAGACACCGTCCGCTGACAGGTGGAGACTAAAGAACATTGAATTGGGGGGGGTTTATAAGCCGAGGGGGCCCATATTTCGTGGTGCGTCTAAAAATAGCGAGCGTGGTGGGCACCAAGGATCGCCAAGCGGTCTGTTTGGGAGACTTGGCGATCTATTCACATTGACAGAACACTAGGCAATACCTACCACTGCATGCCAATGCTGCAAGCAAAGTAGTGTAGCATCTGATCGGGTAGGATTTGATCTGAATAAGTTTGCAGTAGGTGACAACCACAAGCTACATCTCCTCGAGCAAGCATGAAGCAGACACGGGGGAGATTAAAGAGACCTTAGCACGCAGCCCCCTGCTACGGTGACAAGTAAGCAAAAGATTACACATCTATATGAGTTGAATAATATAAAATACCGAATACAGACTGCGCTCAATCTTGCCCTCGTCATTGTGTCGATCTAATTACGCTGCGTCGCCGTGTAGATTCATCATGTCACAAATGTCAAAACAACAATCCCCCATTAGACTGTCCCAAAGTTCCCAATGCCATGTGGCTGAGCCGCGGGTATCAAACTTTCCGTCCTTGAAATCAAAATCTCACCCAAACGCCAAGACTGTTTTGGAATCAAGCCGGCCTCATGGAATTTTCCAGCCTTGCGCCTTTCTAGCTTAGGCTCCTCCAGCCACCAGTCAAGCAGAAAAATCCCGGCCAGTCGCTAAGCGGCCAATGGCCTTGCTACGCCCTGCACCCCTACCATCCAAGCGCGACCTACAGGGATATTTGGTTTGTTTTGCTGCTGGGTGTTTGTTCTAGCTCTTACTAGCAGCAGCAAAATGCGGAAGCTGGAGTTTGTAGGATTCGACTTGCTTGGATGCATGAACGATAGACGCGGGACAGAGAACGCGGGATTGAGAAGCTGCATCTCAGATCGTCATAAACATTAAGGAGAACCAGGAAGTAAAAAGGAAGGAATTAGAAAACTCAGACCCCCTTTTCTCTGACCACGACAGCCAAACTGGAAGGCTTCTCTCCAGCGCTAAAATTCAGCCATCACCTCGGTCAGCATTCTATTTTCAACGCTCCCAGACATCTCGGGCCCAGCGGCTGCTGCTATGACCTCAATCCCATGACAACAATAGCTATAGCTCCAAGATGCTAAATATACTATAGTGATCGCCGGTGTATAGCGACAAAAGCCGGAGATGTGAGTTGCCGGGTGGCTTATTTCTTACAATGAAGTCATAACCATAGCATCCAAGCAAACAAGAAGAATTCACACCGTAGAGAACGGGCGATGTACATGTATTCCATTTGCCGCCGCCAAGGAATGCGTCTCACTCAAATCGAGTGCTACAGAACACACCAAGCGATCCTCGACTCAATATAGCCACACCGTTTATGCAGCCCCCGACTGAAGAAGGGAGGAGAGAAAAAGGAAACAAACGCGTTTTATTGTTTGGCTGCTGCAGATATCCGCAACCCGGTCTGGCCGCACAGAATCTTCAATGGCTGACGCCTCAGACACAAGCTGAGAAGAAGTGGGATTGGAACTGGGGCCCTCTGTTGATCCGGATGCAGCCAGCCGAGACCGAGAGACACAACAAAAACACCCCACCAGCAAAAAGAAGAAAAAAAAAGGGTGTCTCTGTAATACATTCTCGCCGTGAACTTGTCCAGCCACACACATCTAAATCCAGGCCCTTGCATGCAGCGAAGACGCCTTGCTCCTCCATTGTTTGTTTTGTGATTTAGACACAACCGGCATCTCATCCAGCCACTCCATAGACTCAGCCCTTCAAGGCTACAACTATGACTAGAGCTTCATCGTGAATCAAGCAACCCCAGCATCTGTTAAAATTAATCCCCGATCGACCTCAATACAAGTCCTCATGTTAAAATAAGTAACCGTATCAAAACAAGTCCTCGTACTAATAGTAGTACACAAACCGCACTACTGCAACTCGCCGTTCTAAGCGCCCAAGCGGATACCCTGGCCATTCTACTCGCTGCGCTGGCCATGCTGCTCGACCACACCCTCATGGGGGGCGTGAGAAAGTGGTTCCTCTGCTTAGGCCGATTTTCTATTTCTATTTTCTGCTCTCGTTCGGCCGTGTTTAGCTTATAGTCTGCATGGCATGGCGTGCCAGGGTCCTTTTCTCCCACCTCGCCTGCTTATAACTATCCTGAGCTTCCCCGGCTTCTTGGGTCGACAACACTCTAGTTCAATCCAGCTTCTTCCCAAGGCTTGTATACATACATATAGCTTCCTCCTCCTCTTCCTCTTCCGGTTCTATACTTCGAATTACATCGCCACCACCACTTCTTACCATCAACAAGATGCTCGGCCAATCTCTTCTTGTTCTCGCCTCCGCGGCTCTGGCTCTCTCCTCGCCCGTAGAGCGAGACGTTACCTGCCGTTCTCCCATGGCCGACCCTCCTCTGCCCACCACCGGCGGCGGTAAGTTTTCTCCTACTTCCTTTATACCCTTTTTCACTTATAAGATTTTCTTCTCATATATATATATATATATACACTGTATCACAACATGCTAATTGTCCATTCACAGCCACCGAGCTCCCCCCCGTGCCTGACAACCTCGAGCTCAAGGTCATCGCCCTCGGCCTCGGAATCCAAAACTACACCTGCGCCTCCGTCGGCGCCACCGCCGTCTCTACCGGCGCCCTGGCCATGTTCTACGACATCAGCCTCCTCTACCCCGAGTCCGGCCCCAACTCGCTCACCATCGAAAAGTTCAACCAGCTGCCCGCCTTCGCCCTCAACCACCACGCGATCCCCTTGCACTTCAACGACTCCACCGTCGGCCGAGTCAGCATCGAGGGCCCCGGCGCCTCGCTCAAGCGTCCCTTCACCCGCGCCGCTCCCCTGGACCTGGGCGAGTTCGGCAGCATCCCCTTCCTGGGCCACCACTTCTTCAACTCGGACGGCGCGCCTACTTTCATCCTGCAGCGTGGAAACATCAACGTCGTCGCCTCCAAGAAGGCTTCCGTCCCGGCTCCCGGCAGTGCCGATCCCGGCCCAGCTGGCACCGGCGCCGTTGCCTGGCTGGCTCTCGACGGAAACGCAAACTCTCGCGGCTCTACTCTCGTCTACCGTGTCGAGACTGCTGGCGGAAACTCCCACGGCTGCGCTCAGGCTGCTGGCCAGGACAGCACTAGTTACGCTGCTCAGTACTGGTTCTACGGCCCTAAATAAAGAGGCTCTTGGAAATAGATCTCTTTCTTTTTTTTCAATTTCTCTTAATTTCTCATTCTCATATTTTTATACCTTTCTGATTCAAAAAGGCATTAGACAAGGGGCTTGGAATTGGATAAAGTGGCTTTCTTCTTTTTGGCGATTTATAATTATCTTGGGAGGGAGTTCTTATTGGCAAAACAGGACGACTATTGGGCACCAATAAGAGAGTTTTAGGCAGGCAAATGTATACATGAGTTGTTTCTTGGGAGAGGTTCCTACCTCATTTGCATAGTTTCGGTCGTTTCAGGAGTTATTTTGCGCATAGACTTTCTATTGCGGGAGAATATAGAGAGCTCTTAGCTTGTCCTTACCACCAGTTAGGTATTCTTTGACTGCTTCTATAAAGTCGTTTTGTTAAGTCCAAAAATATGTGCCATTGGTAATTGGTGATTAAGGCTGTCCAAAATCCACCACTCGCTAGCTGATTCGCTAATTCGTAACCAGGCTTAGTTCAGCCCCCCCAGTTGTTCGCTTTAAAATCTCACGAGGACCTGGGTAGCATTGTCAATTTAATAACGTACGCCACAGGACTGAAGGCTAGATTATTAAAATCTCACACATTGTGCTCTATAATGTGTCCAAGCTCCTGTTCCTACACTATTACATACTTTATCGCTGGAGCACGGCATAGAGTTGCCGGCTAGTTGCGACAACTACTGTAGAAGTCAGCCTTGTCTATAATTATCAGCACTAAATAAAAAGAATAGAGAGTTAGTTGTCAACAAAGGGTAGATAGGAGAACAAGCATTAGTATAGGTGTTTAATCATTCAGAAAATTATGCCCAGATGTGCTATGGAGAGTGTACAGTATTTTAAATTGTATAGTAGTATCCATATTCGTCCCAAATTTTGCTCCATTTCGACGTACGCATTTTCGCTGGCCTGATACCGTTCCCAACGTCGGGAAACTGGCTTCCCGGTAAAGTAACTCCTCTTTGTTGTATTTTCGCTTTTCTGTCCCGCTGTAAAGTCATGGGTAATGTATGCAGCCTTTCAACATAGACTTCTTCATAACTCTTGTATCAAACACCAATAGACATGCATGCTAAACTGTTATTTCATTGTTTTCAACGGATTTATCTCCTAACGTCCATGCCAGCTTGAAGATCCTGCTCAAGCCCGTTGGCGTGGCCCATGTATTCCTGTGGCCGCGGGTCTTCTGCCGTCCATTGTCCGCCAGCCTGGGGCATTGGGACTTGTATCTGCTGAGCTGCGGTTTGGCTGCCAGAAGCAGGGGCTGTCCGCACAAGCTGTCGGAAACGCAAAACTTCATCCAAAATCATCTTTCGCATTTCACCAACATCCTCAACCACTTCGAAGTCGAAGTTGAACGTCGTAGGGCAATCCGGCTCATCAGACGCATCATGCCATATGTGAAGGTAGGGGTGCTCGAGCGCCTGTTCGACGCTGATACGCTGCGAAGGGTCAAATGCAAGCATTTTGTCGAGAAGATCGAGGGCGTCGGGGTTAGCGTCAGGGAACAGAGATGGGAAGGGCTTCTTGGGCATGAATGGTAGGTTGCGGACGTATTCCTGGGCACGAGGCGATCCGATGCGGCGGAGGGTTTCTTCGTTTGGCGTTCCGAGAATGTGCAGAATTTGATTAAGTTGGTCGACGTAGTCTCGTCCCTTGAAGAATGGTCGGCCTCCCAGGAGCTCGGCAAGGATGCAGCCCACAGACCATACATCAACTGCAAATTATCATTAGACTTTACACATCACACAGGGCAATCGTTGATATCTGTAGCCGGAATCGACATACTAGCTTTCGTGTAGCTCTGGAAGCTCAACATAATCTCAGGTGCACGGTACCATCTCGTAGCAACGTACTCAGTCATATACCCGGCATTCTCCTCGGGATCGACAGAGAAGCCACGAGCAAGACCGAAGTCACAGATTTTCAGCTCACAGTCGGCATTCACAAGCAGATTTCCCGGCTTCAAATCTCGGTGGAGAACATTGGCGGAGTGGATGTACTTGAGACCGCAGAGAATCTGGTAAATAAAGGACTGGAAGTGAGCATCTGTAAGTGGCTGACCGGAACGAATGATAGCCGCCAAGTCGCACTCCATCAGTTCTATATAGAAGCGTTAGTCATACGACCAATGTATAATCGACATGTGCAGCCTCCATATGAGACTGTCCTGCGCGCTCGCTCCGGTAATACTGACCCTCGTAGAGGTATGTCTCGTTGAAGTTGTCGGGTCGCGGAATGTCCATATCATAGAGACATGTGATCTAATAGGTTCCGTAGGCGTCAGTCTTCATGTAGAATATTCGGTCGCAATCGTCGCAATCGCTGGTCCATGCAAAACATGGCTCGACAGGCCGGGTTGTCACTCACGTTGCGATGGCCGCGGAAGTGCTGCAGCAGCTTGATCTCGCGCAGAGCGCGCTTGGCGAGAATCTTCTTGCTAAAAACATTGGTGACCTTTTTGATAGCGACGCCCTCGTTCGTCTGTCCGTTTACCGCCGCGCTGTCGTCGTGTTGCTCCCAATGGGGAGCTTATCGTTAGCAAAAAATTGAAGCCGATGATGGCGGTGGGGAGGCTCCCAGCCAGCAGGATACATGTATACCATGCGGGGTGCCTAGCACTGGCAACTCACCAGACAATGCCATATGCGCCCTGGCCGAGCTCCTTGGTGACTGTGTAGCGCTCATCGACCACAAAGTCCTGGTTGAAGACCTTGAATACTTTGCGTCCTTGGAGATCCGCCATGGCTGCGCTTTTGGGTGTTGTTGCGAGAGGTGGCCTTGGGACTTCTCGAGGCGGGTGTGGGGGAGAAGAGGGGTTTATGTCTGCGCTGAGCCGCTGTGGGCTGGAGCTTTCAGGGGGGCGGAACAGCGCTGTCGGGAGCTTGTTCTGAGAAGCCGGAGTCTAGATCGACTGAAACGCAGGGGACTGACTATCGCGAAGCCGAAACTATGAAGGACAAGGTGATGCCAGTGCCGCGGCGCAGATGAAGAGAAGAGGGAAAGAAGAGAGGATCAGAGAAAAATTCAATCGGGAGGAAAAGGGACCGTCAAGTATCAGCGTGATCCAGGGAGACGCGGCCAGGCCTCGTCTGAAGAAAATTGAAACTACATACATACATGCACATACATACTCCATTAGGCATACCGGCTGGCAGCGCGAGCCGTGGTTGGCTGCGCCGTAATACGAAGCTCAGCAGAGCCTATGGCAACGTCCAGACAAAGATCAGCTCGCCGGCACTAGCGCTGTGTCCTGGAGGTGGATAATATGGATACGACGGCAAAGAACCAACAATCACGTCGAGTCAAGGCGGCAGCCAATCGCAGCGGGCACTGGAGATGTGATGGCATCACTAGCCGCGCGCAATCGGGTCTGACATATGAAGTACCCTCTTCCTCCTCTTGGCGCGTTTTGCACGGGAAGAGGCTGAAATTGAGGCTTTTGTACACGAGCTGTGAGCTGGGGAGAATCATTACCCGCCGGAGCTCTTGATTCCACGTCAACCAGGCTTCAAGCTTTTCGCTGTCAGCGTTGTGGAGAGTCGTCACATGCTTCACGACATGGCGTAGGTATGTAATCTTGGCTATAGATAGAGCCGTGAAGGTAGCACTGCTACGTTAGTAGACCGTGCCAGCCTTTGCTCTTTTCAGATAAGCCGCATCTAGCCAACCATGCGGCTAGAGTCTGATGTAACACGATATTGGCGGGGCGTTGAAGAAAAAAGTCTGCCAATTCAATCAAAGGGCTCGTCGAGGTATCTAAACAAAGAGGTGCTGAAGGCTCATGTGCCATCCCTCCAGGTCGACGGTGCCAGTCAACAGCCAGCCCGGCGGAGTGGGCCGAAACCAGCGGCAGCGGCGGCCACCGTGAAGAAGAAAAAAACAGGCTACATGTAGGTAGTCTTCGTTAGTTCGTATATACAAAGGTTATACAGCATTAGCGATTTGTGGCACTCGAGATGTTACAGCATATACCTACACCATCACACTTGACTCTGCTGTCTTCGTATGAATCATAGTATAGTATTCAGTCATCTCCAACTACTAATACTAGGTAATACAACTGCATTGGCCTTATGCATCTCCTACATTGCCCTTGCCCTTGTCAGTTTCCAAGCCTGACCTATTCGCTCGACCGCAGCCACTCCCGAGACCCGCATCCCAGACCGGCACATCAACACTATCGCATCGCCCTGTCTTAGAAGACAAGGGCTAGTGGGAGTAGCAGACCAATCGCCGCTATAAATATGTCCTTGTAGCGCTGTGGCGGTTCTCCCATTGTGTATTCCCTGAGTGCCCATGCATGTTCCCATATATCCATATATCAGCCCGCCATCCATCATGCGCTCCTGTATCCAGAATCGAGCCAATGAGATTGCCTGCCTGTGGAAAGGGGAGAATGGCAGCATCTCCAGGCGCAGGGTAATGCTCGGTAATTTAACCCGCCGCTCACCAGCGCCTTTCCACCAGCAGAACTCCGTATGTGGGGTGCAGTATTCCATGTAGGGATAGACGATTTACATGGCTGTATTATGTATGACCAATTGACGTGCCAACCTCGACCTGCTTCTTACATCTACGCCGTCTTTGACGAACCGTTCCCCTTTCTTTCCTTATACCTTTGAATTTTGTTTGTGTGCTATTTCGAGCGTCAACAGCCGGACCGTTCCAATGTTTCCAGTGCGACCAAACCGAACGGCGTCCTTGACCGCGGCGCAACAGGCGGCGGTGGTGCAGAGACAAGTCCACTTGCCCGGCCAACCCGTGTCGGTTCTGTTCGTATGTTTGGGCAACATTTGCCGGTCGACGATGGCAGAGGGAATCTTTAGGCACATGGCGCAGCAGCCGCAGTACAAGGACAAGATTGGGGATATTGATTCCTGCGGAACAGGTTCGTAACGGCCAGCAACAAGCGGTCCGAGATGTTGGACGAGACGCTGACCATGTCACTGCAGCTGCGTATCATGCAGGCGAACCGCCGGACGATCGAACACTGGAAACGCTGGAGAAGCACGACATCTTCGACTACGATCATGACGCGCGCCGCGTAAGTTGGGTTTCTTCCATTATCGGAGATGTGCAACGGAATGAATAGCTGACAGACCACGGTGTATAGATTACGCGAAGCGACTTTGACAGATTCGATTACATCTTCGCCATGGACCTCTCCAACCTCTCAGACCTCGAACGCCTCAAGCGCGAGAATAAAGACTCAAAGGCCAAGGTGATGCTCTATGGCGACTACAGCGGCACCAAGAAGCCAGAAGTAGTTAGCGACCCCTACTACGGCGGCCAGGATGGCTTTGACAAGGCATTTGAGCAGTGCTCTCGTTTTGCCAAGAACTTTTTGCGAGACGTGGTGGGCGAGCAGGGAGAAGAGAAAACAGAGTGACAAGATGAGATAGAGATCTAGAATAAGGGGGTTGAGAGGGTGTATGTGCGCATGCATGGGTAAATTACCCTGTTTTTTTCCTTTGTGAAATGACAATTGGAGTAGATGGGAAACGGCGGGACTTGATACCCAACACTTTGTTACCTGGGATACGCGGATTACACTATACAAGCTACTAATATGCCTAGATATACACAAAGCATTTTGGGGGATACATGGTTTTGTAGATGATACAACAAGACACTGATCTTAATTTTAGAAATTCACATTTAACATAATGAGAAGAGGGGCTATCAATACTAGTGTTGATGAGCCCATGATAATTTGAGACAATGCTCGAAAACGTGGAATGGATCAGATCTGGGGTAATCCCTGAGAATAGCAAGGGAGTCTTTACACAATAGTTGTATTCTCTAGTCCTCAATAATACTATAGATACTGTTTAGAAAAAAACGTCACATTTAACTGATCCGACGTCAGACTCAAAGATTGCTTGAAGTGTTGGCAAAAAGCGCATGACCTGGGCCCCAGTCCAAGTCGAATTGGTACAGTCATCGGAGCTTTAAAAAAAAAACACAATAGTTAGCCAGCCACATCGAATAACGCACTTAAAAGGCCATCTTACCTGTAGAGGCGGCAGTAGAAGCCTGAGGGTGGGTTAGGGTATTCTAAAGATACTGATAACACATGGTGATATCTTCTCAATCCATTAGCTCACTTTTATGCTCTGGGGAAAAAATAGCTGAGGAGGGGAGGCACATACACAGCGTCGCCGACTTTCGTGCAAACATAGGGATCGCCAGTGAAGGCCCAGCTATCCCCATCAAGGCGCGGCCCGGTATGTAACAAGACCTATATCGCTTTGTCAGGAACTAGCTATAACGAGGGAAATGGAAGGCATAAAGTGAGGTTTACATTAGTTATGGCTTGGGCATTGACAGTCGAAAGCATGGCTATAACGCCAGTGATCAGTGTAGGTATGTGCATTGTGGCTGATTTGAGGTATGTTTGACAGGCAGATATATGGTTGTGATAATGTTATCTTTTTTTTTTTTTTGGCAATCCTCTTTCTCCTTCTTTATATCTTTTTAAAGATTGCTCAGATCTCAACTTATGAGTAATGTTACTAGTTTAGTGCTCAACTATTGGCTTCCCTTGCATTACATTATCCTTGTCTTCTACAAGTAAACAACAAGGGGGGATTCAATCAGTCATATAGAATGCGGTCTGACTAAGAGTTATCCCAATACAAACAAGATAGGCACAGGTATTAGTCGGCTCTCATAACACGTGCGAGTAGTAACGTTGAGGATTCAACGGAGATGGTCTCGCCTTTATCTGCATTGAATATAGGTAATTAACCATGAATCGATTAAGGCGTAGTAGAAGCCACTCCACGGCCAAGACTTTTTACTATTTCAGTTTGTCATTGACTGCTATGGTCTTCAATTCTCACATGTTGGTCAACTACCCAAAAACTCGACACTGGATCGATCGGAGATGTGACTGAGCGATCATATCAGTCTTTGAGAAAAAAAGGAGTAAGTGCACCACCTTCCCAAGATGAATTTTTGCAGTCAGTCATCAGTGCTGCATTAGGAAGCAGCAACAATAACCCGGGAAAAAGTGGTTATCACATATAGCATATCAGATGTCAATTTACCTAAATAAACGGCAGTAGAAGCCTATAGGTGGATTAGAGACTACAAGGGATGCTGATTGCGCGTAATCGTATCTTTACAATCCATTCGTTTAACTGTATTGTTAAATACAATAATTGAAAGGGAAGTGGACAGATAGGTCATGATGGTTCTGAGAGTTCCTAGCAAGAGCAAGTGCCGAAGAATATATCATGACCCAAGTGTAAATTATCCAAGATTAGGTCGAGGGGTATATATCAAGAAAGATGCTCATTTTTTCTATTTTTTCATTGTTCAAACACCTACGAATTCATCCATCATCTCATTGATCCGTAGTTGAGTTGAGTGTTACATATGAAACGGATGATATCGGCAGCTTTCCCCACCGATGTCTAAGCTCTACGCAGCTTTAAAGTCATACGAGGAGCAGGAATAAGGTCATACCTTGCTGGTATCAATTCTGGTAGACCAAAAGTATGGTCGTCGTTATATACTTGATTTATCTTAGAAGATATTCATGCATTTTGTGCTCTATGAGTGGTGAGTTGTCCAACTGGAGAGGCTTAGCAAGACACGGACTTGGAGAATGGAGGTTTAAAGTAGCACATGGCTATATATGTTGCTATGTCAACTCTCTTTCGAGCACATTTGTAATCTCGAGTGAAAGCGACTATGAATCTGCTTGTGAGGCGTCAAGCTGGAAGATCGTCCGCTTCGCACCCCTGATCAGCCCGGATCGACAGCTTAGCCCCAGCCGGCCTCGAGTACTTGTCCTAAAATGTTCACTACTAGACTATAAGGTATGTTACGTATTTACGTAGGTAAGAGTTTAAATCAACTCCTTACAGATGCAGCTCTCATCGAGTTCCGAGAGTTCTTCAGACAGGCAACGTCACTTCACTTCACACTATTACGCGTCCGAGGAAATCTTCATCTTGAATAATTTTATTTCTTTTCCATAAGAATATCTTGACTCAATGCAAGAGAGGGGATGTCACACTTTCTTCCGCATGCGTGACTTCGTGACGCAAAGAAATTTCTCTTCTTCCTCGGCAAGCCAGCACTTTGGCTCCACCGCAGCCATTTTTGCGGTCCCAATAACGCCGATAAAAAAATCAAATAAAAACCATATAGCGCCTTGCTAAGGGTAGAAGGAAAAGACGAGTGGTAGTATACAATGTAGGGGTACAGAGAGATCCGTTATCATAAAAGCTTTGCTGTGCGTCGTGGGCGATATCCAGCCCGTTCCGGCGGTTTCATCCAGCCCGGCACACCGCTCCTTTTTGTTTTGCTTCGTTTTTCATTTCTTCTTGTTACAGTTGTGATGTTGTTACATGGTCATGGTTTGTCTCTGGCGCTCTTGGCGGAGCTTCTCCATGACTCCAATGACACCTCCATTGCGGAGGCGCTCGAGGACAAGGCGCATGCCATCGCGGCTCTTGCTGAGCTGGTCGATGGTCTTGGTGGAGGCGAGGCTCTCAATGCTCCGTTGAATGCCCTTTGCACCGAGTCCGCCGAGTAAGCCTGGTAGCCAGCCACTGCCCCCCTCTTGGGCTTGGCCAAGCTTTCCTCTGATTTTCTCTCCGAGTCGTGATTTGAACATGACGCTGGAATTGACATCCGTCTCGTTGCGAGCAATCGCTTCGGGTGTGCTCGGCACTTTGAAGTGTTGCTTCTCGACGACGGATAGCACGCCAGTGAAGTTGAGGTTGCGACTCTCCGTCTTCATCCATCCTTCCTTGATGTCCACAACGCTGGTCTCGAGAATGTACGAGGCCTTTTCACCAGAGCTGCCACCTGAGACGCTAGCAGGAAGCAGCTTATACACTGCGCTAGGCATGCGGCTCTTCTTCAGGTGAATGCGAGTGGTGTATAGGCGCTGGGTTTTCGGGTCGACATGGCTGGAGATTGTGTCGGTGCTCAGGACATGAGCGGCGAAAGGGTTGAGCTGAGGGGAGGAGTATCGCAGGAAGTAGGCGAGGGTGACGGTCGGGAAGGGATGAGAGTAGGTGTGGTTGGTGGAGTGCGTGAGAACCATTGTGAATAGTGTTACAGGCGTAATTGGCAATTGAGTGTGTTGATATGCTGTCCTTGCGGAGAGACCCAGTGGTCGAAGACGTCAAAAGGCTCACAGGCTCGCGCTGTCTGGTCAGAACGCTCGATAACTCGGCTTCAATTCGCTCGGCCGGCATCCGCGCATTCCAAGCAGCTCGTGATTCGGACAGCCGTAATTGCACGGGACAAGAGAGCAACAGCACAGGACGCACGCAGAAAAAAAGGGGAGCAGGCGCTTCCAAAGCCTCTGGTCGAGGAAATGAAATCGACTGACGGCGAAAGTCAGTGGCACGAGCATCAACTTTTTTGCCGGCTATAAGCACGCGGGCGGCGGGGCTGTGATTGGCCACCGGTGAGGGGAAAACTGGCTGCGAGCCCAATCCGGGGTGGCAGCTTCACGTGACCGGCCTTTGGCACATGCAGCGAAGCTGGCTAAGCTCCGGGCACTGGCGACCCCACCATAGCTCTGCTTGATGGCAACGCCATTTGTTCACCAAGCCGTCACATCGTCAGGTCGATGGTCTGCTTTGGGCCGGTGATGTGGCAAAACCCAATGTATTCGAGGTCCAATCGCACCCCCGGCCATGCAGCCGCCGGGTTGCGTTACAACTGCTAAGCACTAATCCATGTTCCATTAACTGGCATCCATGCCATGCCGGCCCTCCGCTGTTACATACAAGCTGCTGCATGTAGTCTATGTGCTACCTCGTACAAGCAAGTACCTATATGTAGTATAATCCCGTATTATATGTATATGTATATGATAAATGACCCAGAGCAAAGAGGGGGAATCCCCCAGAAAATATCGTACAACGTCGGCGAATTATCACCGTTATAGCCGCTGCTCCGCAACCCCGCTCAGCAATGCTACCATCCTTCTCGCAAAAGCAAGGCTATAGCAAGAACTCTTCGCCCGCATAGTGTCGCAAAATCACCCAACCCTCGTTAAACGTCTTCTTCTCAAAGCGTACAATGACGGCCGCATGCGTGTGTCGGTCATTTTGAATCCAGACGGGGTATTTCCTCCATTTGAGTGAGTTTAGGGATCGAATCATCTCGAACTGGCATGGTGCCAAGGCCAGCGTTGGCTGCGTAGGGATGGACATTCTCCTCTCTCGAGCCATTGTGCTTCTATCTTCGGCATTCATGCCCGTCTCTTCGTCTTCGTCTTCGTCCGCCAAGTATTCTTGGTGCTGCGAGTTGTTCAGGGCCTCGTAGACGTGTTCGACCTCTTCACGAAACTCCTTGATCAGGATGGGGACCCGGTACTCCCTGATGTCGATGCCCGCTAGGCCACCTTCATGTAGCTTGATGCGCTTTGTGCTTCGTATGGTTTGAAAAACCGAGTTGATAAGATAGGCCACCACGCCAATAGGCACCAGAACCGATACTGTGACCATGAATGGGATTCCTCTCAGCCATCGCACACCCATTTCGGTCAGCGATGAAATAGTAATTGGTGCGGGGACTTTGGGTCGCGGAGAGAAGGGATGCGCAGCGTCTAATAGTACACCCTCTTGATCTTTAAGAAAGTTGACCTTGATCCGATCTATATCCTTGTATGGATCCGTCTTTTCTATACAGGTCGTATAGTAAACCGCACTTCGGTCATTAACGATATTGCTGTACAACGTATGTCTCCTAAACTTTTGCAGCCCCAGCATGAAAATAGATTGCGGATCGGCCATGACAGATAGTAAGGGGCGGCCGGTGTCTCGAAACTTGTCAATGGTGAATAGTTGGCTCCCGGACATTGACAATGTTCTCGCGCCCAGCACATTCCATATGTGATTATGCCATCCTTTGAGAGGAGTGCGTACTCCCAGATGTGGCGAAGCAAACGTCGTAAAGTTCTGCCCTTGGCCGTCAGTGATCCAGCCTTTCTCTCACGACTTGGGAGGTCGGGTATAGGCCTACCATGCACTCAACCGAGTCCAGAATGCCCTTTGCGTACAGCAGGCCGACTGCATATCGCGATACCAGCCCGCCGAGCGAGTATCCTACGACACTCAGCTTCCTAATCTTGCCGCCATTGTTCTCAATGGTCTTGAGCTCTTCTATAATCTCGGCGCAGACTCGCTCGCCACCAAGCTCGATGCCATCGTAGGTGAAGCTGCCGCTGTTTCGCTTGGCCAGTAAGAGGTAGAGGTCGTCGGGGGAGTGTTGAGCTCGCAGCGTCTTGGCAATGTTGTTCATGTGGTTCGGGTTCCCCCATAGCTTTTCAAAAGCCCATGTTAGCCCAGACAGATGGATTCCAGAGACTGTTCCAAAAACTCACTCCATGAACCAAGACGCAGAGGTGGTCCGCCTTGTTGCTTCCGCCGGCAAAATCCATGGTGAGCGCTGCACCTAGAAGTCTTGAGCCGGCCAGGCGAGCAGTCATTTGCTGCAAGAGAGGCTATAACGGCGAAAGGGGTGGAAATAGGCGTTTACACGCATTACGTAGGTCATGTCCGAGGCACGATGAAAGAGGATGCGTAATCGCTCGCGGGCCGTATTTACCGGGCGCTAGGGGGTGGGCTGATATCCACCCCTGGCCTTGTCGGTGCTATATATAAGCTGTCAAGGGATTATGAAACTTGGCTTCGGAAAGGTTATTGCCGTGATTCAATAAATTGAAAAGGTTTCATAGATTTGAATTTGTAAATAGAATTCTGCCGTCAACATATATATATATTCAGAATTGGGTCAAGTCACCATGTCGGCTTGGTGTTCTTCAGGGTTCTTACCCTGGAAACTGAAGTAAGACTTTTGCCTGGCGAAATTCAAGTGCTCAAATAAAACTACTAGTCCAAAGTGAGGATCTATTCTGGTATACTATCAAGATTAAAGCCTAATCTTCTCTTAATACGTGGATAGTAAGACCGGCTATAGAATGTCGCCGGCTAGTAGCAAAATACGTGTAGTGTTCAAATCTTTGAGAATATTGTCCACATTATCACATGTAATACTCAGTAGCGCTAGACAGTTGGTTTGTCCTAACAGGTAGACTACCAAACAAAGAATCAAGGAACAAAAGAAAACCATAGTTTTCGAAGATTGATTTTCAATATTTACACCCCATTTTACATCTACTGCAACTTCTCCATTAAGAGACATCAATAGCAGCATTCACTAATCGCTGCACAAGCACATCAATTTAAAGGAATCAGCACCCCCGTCATTGTTGCTTAGCGGCCTTTAGTGCTCCCTAGCGACTGTGCTCGGCAGCCTCGCGCCTAAATGTCGGCGCATTCGCCCCTGGCTTGCCCTGCAGTTGATACAGCGTGCCGTCTATCTTTGTTTCCAATCATCAATCCAACATCTTAGGCTTGACAAACATTTGAATCGATTTTTAGTCGTTTGCTTTGCGGGGAGATACACAAGTCTGATCACACACTTATTCCACACATGATGCCGCGCAGATGAACTTTCTGCCTCCCCAAATATAGATCACGCGTCACTTGTTTCTAACGCCCAGTGCTGCCAGGCCATCATGAGCCTCTCACTCAAGCACATTCCCTGCCCAGCAGGCAACAAATGCACGGCATTTCAGTGTATATTCGGGCATGAAAAAGACAACACCAAGATCGATGGAGACAGTGTTAGCGAGCTGGCAAAGAGTGACATATTGTCACCTCCGGACCAAGATCGCCCGAACAAACGCCTAAAGGTCGACGACGCTTCCCTCACATCACAAACTGGTGTAGCCTCCAATGGTCAGACCAAGCAAACGACAGAGGAGCATAAGAAGCCAGGTTTGCCCCAAAGCGCTACGCGTTCAATCTCTCCTCCTCCACTCAAAAGGAAGACAGCCTCCTCAACAACCCAGAGTGTGAAGGATCCTGCGACTTATTCTCCAGCTGCAAAGAATCAAGCAGGTGCTTTATCCAGCTCTAAGACTACGGCGATGCCGAAACAAAAGAAAGCCGAGACTCTCAATCCTCGGCTGCTCAAAAGTTCCCCAGCCAGCCATGAAATTCGGCTCAAGCTGCTCAGACTTGTGCACCAGGAATTCAAACGCCTAAACGAGGAATTGAAGAAAAGTGTAACAGACAAAGAGAAGAATCTGCTTTTATCTGATCAAGACCTCATCATCAGATCTCTTGACGAGGAGCAAGCGTGCGCTATAGAAAAGCCAGCTGTGTACTCAAACGTAATGAAGAACAAGGTCATGCAGTATAAGCGCATGACTGCGGCCCAGTGGAAAGAGACTCGCGCCAAAGAGAAGCAAGATGCCCAAAAGAAGCTTCAAAAGGACGATATGACTGATGGAGAGCCAAAAAAGATTGAGACTGGTCTTACAAATGCACAGGAAGTTCAACTATTGAAACGCATCCTTACGCCACTCGATAACATGGCAAATCATGGTTACGTCCCTACTGTTCCCACAGAAGAGCAAATAAAATCGGCCTTGGATGGTATGGAAGCAGGAAAAGGATGGGAGAAATGTGATCGATGTCAGCAGAGATTCCAGGTCTTCCCTGGACGGAGAGAGGAGGATGGCGCCTTGACGACTGGAGGAGCTTGCAAGTTTCACTGGGGTAAAACCTACGTTCCAGAGAAGCAGCCTGGTGATAAGACAAGAGTGCCTAAACGATACCACTGCTGCGGCGAGGAAGTTGGTGATTCGGCCGGTTGTTTCACCCACGAGCACCACGTTTTCAAAGCAAGCGATCCGAAAAGACTGGCTGCTGTTCTCAATTTTGCAGAGACACCAGAGAACCCTCTCGCGCCGACGGACAGAGCAGTCTGCTTTGACTGCGAAATGTGTTATACGGTTCATGGCCTTGAGTTGGTGCGTCTGACAGCTACTTCATGGCCTACTGGAGAAGACTTGCTTGATGTTCTGGTCCAACCTCTAGGCGAAATCCTGGATCTTAATTCTCGATTTTCAGGCGTCTGGCCCGATGATCTTGCTGGCGCTGAACCATGGTCCGTCCATGACGATCTCAAACCAGCTAAGGGCGGCGAAGAGACGGGAAGTGAAGACGGCGAGGTGAAATCTAAGAAAAGGAAGCTTAAAATCGTATCTTCCCCCGAGGTTGCGCGAGACCTCCTCTTCTCGCTTATATCGCCATCGACACCTCTCATAGGTCACGGTCTGGAAAACGACCTCAACGCCGTCCGCATCGTGCACCCTACCATCATCGATACTGTCCTGCTCTACCCACATAAAATGGGTCTGCCATACCGCTTTGGCCTAAAGACCTTGATGAGCGTTCACTTGAATCGCAAGATTCAACAGGAGACGGGACCGAAGATGCTCGGCCACGATTCTGGAGAGGATGCTAGGGCGGCTGGGGATTTGGTTCGACTACGGGTTATGGATGTGTGGAATGATTTGAAGAGAAAAGGCTGGCGAGTTGTCGATGGTGAGATTACGCCTCCTGAGGGTGGAGGGGTTCTTACAGAAGCTTTTATTGAAAGTCGCTTTCGGCTGGCTTGAAGCTGAGTTATACGATTGCTTGGGGAATTATAACGGAGTGTTTAGGTTGAATACCCATCCAAACGTTCGCATTGATTGCTTTTAATTTAATCATCTAGCTTATATAGTATACGGAAGCTTTACCCTGTATAGCTTAAGCCTGCATTTGCAGTAAGGAAACTTTACAATAATACACGCCAAGAATAGAGCATGGGTTTCTTTTTTTTCTTCTTCTTCAATGAAAGGCTCCTTTGGGCCTGTTATAGCTAAAAGTACAAGATTGTCGTGATTGATCCCACCCCCCTCCCTTGACCCTATCCCAGCATTGAGCGGGGTGCGCTCTCCATCCAAGCATCAGCTTTCATTATTCCTACACTCCTCCTTACGCCCTGCCTACAGACAGCAGATACTGGCTGCCGCTGCCACCCTTTCCTCCTGAAGGCAGATACGCCACGTTGGGATTCGACGACAGCGCCTGCGCAATCTCTCTGCTCGCCTCGATCTTTCGGATCTGCACCAGTCCGTCACCAGCCTTGGCAACAGCCTTGCTGATAGTCTCTGCGCTCTCAGCCTCGCCTTCTGCCCGGATAACGTTGGCCTGGCGCTCTTGCTCGGCCTTCTCGACAATGAAGCGCGCACGTTCGGCATCCTGCTGGGCAATCTGCTTCTGCTCGACAGCCTTTGTGAACTCGCGGCCGAAGGTCATGTGGGTGATGGAGACATCCTCGAGGGCAATGTTGAATTCGGCGGCACGGCGGGTGAGGTCGCTGCGGATGCGCTGTGAGACAGCTTCACGCTGGGTGATGAGCTCGGCAGCGTCGAACTGGGCGACGATGGCCTTGAGGACTTCGTTTCCAATGGAGGGGAGGACTCTCTCATCGTAGTCTGCGCCGAGGTTCTACATTGTTTAATTTTGAATTAGCTAACAGTCCAGAGTGCGGTTAATTGGCATGAGCATATATTTACCTGGTAAATCTTTGGCAGAGCCTTGACCTCTGGTCGGTGCAAAACTCTCAGCGTCAAGCTGACCATCTGGAGATCCTTGCTGCCGGTGGTAGTGGCAATGTTCCTGGGCTTGGTTCGCACGTCAAAGATGACGCTTCGCTGTACCCAAGGAATCAGGAAATGCGTTCCCTCGTTGACGACATCCTCCTTGACACCGCTCAATCTGTCGAAAATAACGGCTCTTGTTCCGCCTCGAACGTCGTAAATGGACTGTGAGATGAGGAATGCGCCGGCAGAGGCCGGGATGGCCATGCGGTACATGAGGTTGAGAGTTCGCGCAAAGGCCGCCATCTTGTATCGCAGTTTTACAAACAAGGACAAGAGCGTCTCGAGGGCCCGATTGGATCCAGATTTCCCAAGAGCTGGCGACTGGCTCTCTGCGGCTTATGAAGCTCTGGCTCTGCCTATGAGGCCGAACTCGATTGTCCCGCAGTTGGTGCCTTTTGCAGGTGGTGCTTGATTTTCCGCCCGAGGAGCGCGCCATGCCTATTCGGGCAAGCTCGGCTGGACCCGCGAAGATGCTCTGCGTTTTCACCAATTCCGAACCCGAACTCATTCCACCTCTGCTTCTGCTATCTCTCCCACTGTCGAAAAGGAAGCGCAACACCGACCTCCTTTGCTTAATCCGAGACGATGAGACCTACTCAGATCCTCCTGGGCGGCGGCGCCCCTGCACCCAAGCAAGGCCAGTATGTGCAGCCTCTCCCCCTCCGGCAGATGCGGCCAATCGTACCACCGACTTGCGGCTTTTCTACGAGATGCGAAAGTCGACGATGCGACGCCTACATAAACACGACTATTTTTGGTCAATTGATGGCGATGCTAACTTTCTTTTACTAGCTGGCTCGGTGACTGGGGTTCCTTCGGTAAGTGAACTTTGCCTGTCGAACCATTACAAGGGACAAACTGCGAAAGAGGATGCAAGGTGCTGGGTGGTGGAGGAGTCGAAGAGCAATGGACATCCATTGGTACAATGAAATACAGTGAAAGAGTTGGAGGAGAAGAAGAAAGCATATTAGACTGGTTGAGGACAAGGATTGCGACCGACACCCAAGCTTGGATCGAACTGCGAATATCGAAAGAGTCACCCGGATGCTAACATGCCATGATAATAGGCGGTGCCAAGCAGAAGGGCATCATCGACTACGGCGTTTCCGCTAACCGTCAAAACCCCTTTGCCGGTGCTGCCCACGATGCCATCTTCAACACCTTCCGCCGCACAAAGTCTCAGATCTTCTACTGGCTCCCTCCCATGCTGGCTGGCTACTACCTGATGAACTGGGCCACCGAGAGGTACGACTGTCGAATTGCAACAGAAAAAATTGAACGTTTGGCGTTGATATAAAATGCTAACTCTTGAATAGGAACCACTACCTCAACTCCAAGGCTGGCCGTGCTGAGTTTGGCGACGAGGAGGAGTAAAATGGTGCATAACTTGTGTTGGAATATGGGCGTCCACCCAGTGTATATCAGCGTCTAGATCAGGTGAAAAAGAATAGAAACGGTTGGCTCTACGAGTGATTTCAATCTATCAACGAATTTATCAACGAGCAGAAAACAAAACGAGTGATGAACTGATGCTCTCTGAAGTTTGACTTAGTGACCTCTGGAAACAGACCACCAAAAGATGTCAAGACTTCTCATATCACTCTTCTCGCAGCACTTTCCATTAGCTCCTAGAGCTTAAGTTACTCATATATCGTAATTGGCAATTGCATCTTCTCATTAAGCATAACTCCTGATGCAATGCAAAAATCCACGGCTCGATTAGGTCATCTGAATCTTGCTCAATGGGATTGGCTCAGAGCTTTATCACGTGATCCAACGCACACCTTGATTCGGCATCGGCTCTACAAAACGCCGAGAAATTTGAGAGGGTCCCCTCACCGAGAAAAAAAGTTTGGCTTGAGTAGGAAATTTTTGAAGAGCGATCGTGTGAGGACGACAAGACATTGACAAAAACGCGACCAAGTTGCGCAAGACTCTCAATTGGTGCAAAAGACGCTAATTGTGTTGAATTTGGTCCATTGAGCCCTTTTATACACTCAATAGGCACTCAATTGTCCTGTCCATCCTTCGTTTTTCCATTTTTTCTTCAGCAGGTTCCCTCGTGCTTTCGCATCACATACCGCAGCCATGGCCTCTGAACGACCCGACAAGAAGGAGAAGAAGGAGAAGAAGGAGAAGCGCAGCGAAGAGTCTGGCGTGAAGAAGGAGAAGAAGGAAAAGAAGGACAAGAAAGACAAGAAGGAGAAGCTCGCCGCTGCTCTGGACGAGAAGCTGCAGCAGGATGTCGCTGGCCAGATCTCTCCTGTCAAGGGCTCTGAGGATTCAGATGTGGAGGAGGACAAGGCCCCTGAGGTTGCTCTTGAGCGAAAGGTTGTGCCGTTCGCCGTCCCTCTGGCCGATGAGAAGGGCCAGAAGAAGATCTGCAAGACTATCCGAAAAGGTAAGAATTGAGCCATACACAGACACAGACACTGCCTCTGGCGTTTCTGTTTCAGACAAATGAGCAGTTGGGATTTGGACTTTTATACTAACTACGAAATCTTGAATAGCCGCCAAGAATGGAACCCTCAAGCGTGGTGTCAAGGAAGTCGTCAAGACGCTGCGAAAGTCTCCCGCCAGTGCTCCCGGCTACACCTCATTCCCCGGCGTCGTCGTCATTGCCGGCGACATCTCCCCCATGGACGTCATCTCACACCTGCCCGTTCTCTGCGAGGACCACAACGTCCCCTTCATCTTCGTCTCATCGCGCGCTGAGCTCGGTGCCGCCGCCAAGACCAAGCGACCTACCAGTGTTGTCATGATCATGGAGAAGGCCGAGGGCAAGAAGAAGGCTTCCAAGGAGGCTGAGAAGGACGACGATGATGACAAGGAGTCTTACAGCGAGACTTATGCTTCCCTGGTTAAGCTCGTGCAGAAGGAGGGCAGCAAGCAGGCGTTCTGGACAAAAGGTGAATCCAAGGCGTAAGAGGATGAGGGGGTGAAAAAGTGTTGGAACGGTGTGTGTCAAAGAGTGGGATCTTGTTGATGCGAAGCGCTTAATCTGGGTGTACATTAACAATACCAGAGGGGATTGTCTTGCAGCAAGAACTTTGTTGGGGCAACGGCGGCGTTCAGGTATATAAAGTACTTTCTTGATCAATGGAAAATCATTTGCGTTTTTACCATGTACAAGCCTAGCCAGGCTCCTCTTCCCCTTTGGCTTGACAGTGACCTTGAGGTGTCCTACTACTAAATCATGAAAGAAGTTTTGAGGTATGTTGTATTAAAAAGAAAGCTCTCAAATTGGACTAATATAGTTGTTGATACAATCATCCATCAAGTATGATGGCTTTTTACTACAAAATAATCGGTAATTCCCAATCCAAACTCCCGAAAATTGCATCAGGGCAAAGACCATGAATAGACGTTGTTGGTTTACTCAAAGGGGTTGGTCCTGGTTCCCCACCAGTTGAGAACCAGAGCCAGGCCGACAGTCTCAAGCAACTTGGCGGCAACATTGACGCCGACGATATCAAGAGATCGCTTTTCACTGAAGACCTGAGTAATGAACTACAGAGGATGAGAAGTTAGCATAAGGGAAAAAAGGACAAATAGCAACCATTGAACAGCAAACTTACGCCAGGAGCCGACGTCGCCGCAAAGATCAGAGCGCCCAGATACGCCGCGCCCTTGTGGCTCAGCGTGCCCGTGGCATTGAGCAGCGCACCCACGCCGTAACTCTGCAGGGCCGAGCCCACAAAGGACGTGCCCCAGGCGAGGGCCGCGCCGCTGGCCTCGCGCGAGCGGATGAACTCCTCTTTGGTGTTGGACGCCTTGGCACGGTGGTAGGTCTGGCCGAAGATGGGCGCGAGGACGACGAGGTCGACGCCGTGGTTGAAGAAGGTGCCGAGGGCGATGGCGGAGGGCTTGACGGGGGGGAAATCTAGAGGGATGTTGATGAGTTTCTGAGGAGTTTTGAATTTGACGATTTAGGAGTAGATGGGAGTGTTTCTGAGAGTGGCGAGAAGCAGCACTGAGGGGGGGGGGGGTTGGGTGGTGAGAGTGAGATTTGGGGAGCTCTGGACTTACATTGGAGAGACATGTTGAGATGGAGAGAATGTTGAGGAGAGGCTTGAAACGATGAGTCGAGTGTGTTTATGAGAGATTATTATTTGAATGCCTTATTCGTTGCTAAGATGCAGTATCTTCAGATCTCAGATCTCAAAAATGGGAGAAGAGGCAGAACTAGCAGCTATTTGTATTCCGCCCAATTCAATCGGCAAAGCAGGAGCTAATTCCACCAGCAAACATCAATTACGTCTTTTATTTCCCCTCTTAGCATCTCGATTCGCCAAAAAGTATATTCCCTTCCCCCATTCATACTAGAATGCCTCCGCATTTGTGTTATTTGTTTGAACTGCTTGCGCGCTTGCAAAACGATTTCGTCACCCGTGACGATGATGTCACGACTACGCCTTTGGACAGCCCTTTCTCGAGAAGGCGTCGGATGGGGGAAATTCCTTTTTTCCATGGCACGGGGGGCTGGGAAAGACACTTCCGCAAATTGACTAAACCAATTGGAAGGTTAAAAGTCATTTTTTCTACGCCTTGGATTGAAAACGCCTCTTTTTACTGGGCAGTTGTGTGTATCCGTACTCGGTGTGATTTATTATACTCGGCAGGTTGTGAGTCTGGATGCCCTCCAGATTGTATTAGGTAATGATGCGACTGGTATTGGATATACGTCTTGCCCCTGTCCTTGATTCTGTATGTATGTATGTGCCTACATAATCTACCTTGCTGTATGTATGTAATGCATGCGTCTACATAAACACCTCTGCAGGGCTGCAAACCATTGGCGACGATCTTGCTTTATTCAGGCCGTGCCTCGGCATTAGTACTAGCAGCAGTATACTGTAAGGCATTGTAACACAACTACTAGGGGGGTCTCAAAAACGACCACTGGTCCCCGACCTAGCTCCACTAGGTCGGGGGGGACGCTGAGTTGCAAAAGGACCGTTGATTTGCAAAAAATAAGATACATCATTTTATATAGGAAACTCCATACAAATTAAAGTATCTCTGTTTAATTGAATAAATTTTTTATTTTTATAACAAGACGCTGTACCGCTAACTATCGCAACAAAAAACACTGTAACACGCGCTTTTGGCCTAGCTGCTGATGCCCTCGCCGTCGCTGATGCCCTCGCTGATGCCCTCGCCGGCGCCTTCGAGTTTGATGCCAAATTCAACCTCAGGGAGGCCATAGTTATATTCCTCTGTGATCTTAACCCCATCAGCTTCGTAGGATAGCTGCTGCCGGCCTGAAGCTCGTCTCACGACTTCGAGGGCTTTTGCTGCAGCCGTGATACTCTTATAGTATCCTTCTTGAAATAACTCAGCCGCTGCGACGGTGCGGCGCTCAAGACTCTTAACATTATGCCGCGGAAAGATAGGCAAATGCGTCTCTGGATCGATCCATCGCGCAACAGCAGATAGAGGAGCTTCTGACGAAGACATTGCTGTAAAAACGATAAAAAAAGACAAAGGTTTGGTGGTGATATAGGAAAATGAAGATTGAGGGTATGTGAAGGCGTTGTCGCGATCGCGAAGTTGAGTGCTACACGGCGCGCGTTATCTCACTTTGTTACAACTTTTGTGGGTTCACTTTTTGAATCATAAGCAATTAAAAAAAATATGAATTAAAACCGGGGTACCTTAATTTGTATGGGGAATCCACTATAATTAATGTATCTAATTTTTTTTGCAAATCAACGGTCCTTTTGCAACTCAGCGTCCCCCCCGACCTAGTGGAGCTAGGTCGGGGACCAGTGGTCGTTTTTGAGACCCCCCTAGTAAGTAGATCCGATGAGACAATCTGACGACTTTACTGCAATGAGACCACCTAAGGCAAGTACATGACTGGGGCAGACCACTCTCCTCTCCACGGCAATGAAGGCGGCAGTAAATATCTGTACAGTATGCAGACACCGAAAAACCGATTACGAGACGCTAGATCTAGCCCATGGCACGACGGCCCATCCGATTCTGCCCCAACGCATTTTCTCAAGCAGGAAGCATTTTTCTTGCCTGGCCTTTTCTTGCTCGAGATCCACTGCGGGGATGTCAACTTCAGCTGGGCGTGGGGCAGTCCTTGACTGTAATCCAAGGTCCATCCATGTTCAAGCACAAACATCATCGTCACTAAGACAGCACCTCAATCTAGCAGGGAAAAGAAAATCTCGCAAAATCCGGACAAGTAATACAGGGTGTTATACATTTAGTCCCAACATCGAAATAGCATCGTACAAAGTACACAAATCACATCTTCAAATCAGACCAAATACACGCAGAAATACACACTCGCAAAAAAACACAGCAGTCCCTGTATTGGCTTTGAAGCAAGCTTCCCATAAATCATGCCTCTTCCCGTCATAATGCCTAACTACCCTCATCGCCTGAACAAAACCAAATGCCATGTTAACTAAAAATAAGGCCCTTTCCCGCTTGGTTGAAAAGAACATGTTACTCATGCCGGCCAGATGAATACCAAATGTGATCTGAAAAACTCCCATGACGTCTTTTCTTCGTATACTATCCGTACAATCAGGTCGCCTTTTTTTTTCCCTCCAGAAAAAGAAGAAGAAAAAAGTGAACAAGAAAAAGAATCTAGGCAGGCATCAGCTACCAGAATTCCCTCTTCATTAGCTCCCCTTTCCACAATTCGTTCATCGCTCGTCTCCTCGCCTCAAAGGACTGCCAGTTTTTGCCAGGTTGCATTATGTATATAAAAACTTGAGAGGAGCAAAATTGAAAACCAGAAAAATAAAAACAAATCTTGCCGTAAACGTTTCCCATAATCCTCTATGCTTGGAGATGACCGTACTCGCCGCTGCGTAGCCCTAGTAAAGCTCTAACGTCATGAACATACTGGAGGCCTTCCAGCAGAGGTACTAAATGCATCAAATCACTATCTGTCGGATCGTTTATCCAGCCTTGGATCGGTATGGCATTGTCTATGGGGAAAAAAAAAGAGTTAGATCGATGTGCGTGACGTATGGCATGATATGATATAGCCTAGTCAGAAATCTCTCACCTTCATGGAACAAATAGCTCAGTGGGCTATTGTCCAGAATCATGACCTTGCTCAGATCCGGCTCAACAGAACTCAAGTCTTTGATATACGCTCCTTGTCGATATGTGCAGTGCTGTCGATAGTATCTTGCAGAGAAAAACTTCCTTTCGGACTCAAGCCAGTCGATTACAGGGTCGGCATACTCCTGAACCGAAGCAGTAAAAACAACCAAGTTGAACCACTTGCATATTCTGCGGAGAAACTCGTCACAATAAGGTCGCTTGTTTACCCAGTACAGGATTGGATGCTGCGCAACGCTGTTCTGCCCACTCATTCCCAGAGTCGCAGTGTTGAGCTGGACTTCAATCATGTGGCCGCTGTTCATTCTTCCCCCCTTGGACATGCTGTGGATGAGCGTCTCGTCAAGATCTAGGATCAGCGTCTTCTGCTGTTTCCTGGAAGGCTCCAAAAGATTCAGATACGATGGCTGTCGTCGGGGGATCAAGGGTCGTGGCGGTGCTGGCGTTTTCGGATACTTGGTTAGGGCGGCGATGGGTGACGTCGGAGACTTGAGCTGTGCGGACAGTTCGCTTCGACCGAGGTCGCCTTTCCCCTGAGAAACGGTAGACTGAGACTTTCTATGTTTCCGCTGCTCTTCGTCATTGAGTTTGATTCGGATGGATCGTCGCGCCGAGCCAGTTTCTTCGGTGGACTGGGCGGACTTGGATCGATTATGCCGGCCCTTGGCGGCACGGGGCTCGTCTTCGGATTCGGATGATAGGCCAGATGAGGATGTATTGGAGGAGCGAGACGGCGTAGACGGGATTTTGAGATGCCGCGAATTGCGGCCAGTCTTTTTCGAATTCGGTGTCGATGGATATAGATCATCCGCGCCGCCATGGAAGCCAAACAGCTTTTTCAGCTGCGTCATGGGCGCAAATTTGCCAAAGTCGTCGTAGAAGCAAGCAAGCAGAAAGTATCCGGGCGCCGTCAGCGTGGCGAACAGCCACCGAATGGTATTGATGATGCTGGACGCGATCCCCCGTGACAGCACATGCCACCACCTCGAGCGCTTCCCGTCCGACTTGGACTCGCAGAACAGCGGTGTCTCTTCGGTAGCAAAGGATGCTTCGTCGTCGTTATCGAATCGCTTCTCGGAAAGGGAGCCCTCGGCAGACAAGGGCTGGGCCTCCTGTCCATCCGCCTTGTCCTCAGACACATCGAGCGCCTTGTCGTCGTCGGATTGCAGGCCCGTGCCGGATGAGATGCTGTTGGATCGGGAGTGGGTAGGACTCGGCGGCGGCGACACGCGCGCGGTGATGATGTTGAGGGAGTTCATGCTGAACAGTGAGACCAATCCATGGGACATCGGAGGCGGCTTCGGGAAGCGGGTCGGGCGCAGCGCTGTTCGGGAAGACGGAGAGATGGAAGATGCGAAGGACGAAGCGAGGCCTGGCGAAGAGAGACAAGAGACGGCCCAGAAAAGGGAGCGTCGCAAGATCCCGGGGAGGCGATCGAGACCGCTTGCGGCGTCAACGCTCGTGGCTTTCCGGGCTCTAGGCCGCTGTCAATGGCCCTGCAGCGCACTCCAGGGGGGTTAAAATGAGCCTCCGCAGGGCGCTCGGCAAACGAATGTCATGAGTGAGTCGCTTCCAAGGGGGCGGAAAGGAGCGAGAGAGGCGGGCGGCGATGGCGATGGAGCCGCAGGCGAGGCTTGTGGGCGAGATGAGACGAGATGGGAATGCGATGGCCACAAGAGGACAGCCGTGGGAAAGAAACGACGCTACGAGCCACCCGAAAAAAAAAAAAAGGTTCTGAGGGGGCCTCTGGTGTAAATGAAACCAAGCAAAGTACAGGTCTGGCACACGTCGCTCTAGCACGTTTTGACAGTTAGCTGGCCCGTCCAGGCGTTGAGGCACCCAGAAAACGTTCCCCAAGCAAATCGGGCCAGGTCGTCATCAACGGCAAGGGTGTAGCGGGCCAAGGCCGCTGGGAGGTCAGATGCCGCCCACGCTAGGGCGGTTTTTGGGGGGTTTGCAGCGGCCATTGCAGGGGCGGTTGGGGAGCCCTACCGTCCAATGCGCTGCTGAGGCTGGAGCCCGTTTGCGGTCAGCAGTGCCGAGGTGTGGCAGCGTATCAAATCTGCGTGTGGTCGAGGTCGAGGCAAGATTATGTATGGCAGACACGGGTACAGATACATGTGCAGATGAGACGGCGTCTTATCGCGAGATACTATCAAAGGCAGCGTCAAAGCAAATAACCAACGACAGTTTCGGCTTCTGTAAACACTACGTTCTATCACTAACAAGCTAAGTAGGCACTTGTTTTTAATACGCTGTCCGTATCTTGATGCCCGTGATGGTACGAGTCTCAGCCATCTCTTGGCCTTGGGTTCGCCCATCTAGTGGTTCCTACGCTAGCATGTGTCAAATCCAGCCCGTTCGTATCCGAGCACGCGGTTGACCTGAGCATTTAATTTATTTTAGCCTCCCAGCCGCCACTACCAACTGGTGCAAGTAAAAGAAGCAAAAATGATGAAACAAGAAGAAATGAAATGAGGTCAAGAGGCTGGCTGTGTTAAGCTTCGCCCTACTGTAATACGAAAGTATCAGCTACCTGCGCACCGCCGTTGTGTCAGGTATGCATTCAGGTATCGGGGCCGCTAAACTCGCAAATCTTACATTAGTGCATACTCAGGTGGTGCGGGCTGCCTTAAGCTGCATGTACGAAATTCTTTTTTGACGCCACTACCACGGGCTTTGCGTGTTGAGTCACGATCGCAAAGGCTCTTCTTGCGCCCACAAACCATTCCAAACCCCGCTCACTTCCACCACACCCATTCCCGGCTTCTGCGATAGAGCGCACCTCTAGCATCACTTGACGTTATCACGTCCCTCGTTTTTTTCTCTCTTGTGCTTCGCCAAAATTCGCAGCCCGCGCAGCGATCAAAACCCGAGTCGGTGTCCGTCGCACAAAATTCGAGTCATAGCGCTGCTAGTCATCCCACCGAGCATCGGCCCTTCGATAACCGCACACGAAGCCAAATAACCATCGCTCATCAGCAACAGAGTCTACGATGCCCTCCGTCTCTGCGGGCCATGCGCTCGACCTCGAAAAATTCCTGAAATCTCTCAAAGGACAAGCATTGGAAGCTTCCATCAACAGCTTGATATCGTATGTGCTGTGATCCATCAGTAGTTCGCAATGCGGGGCACGATAAGATTGTCGCATTGCGGCACGACTTTTTCTTTTCATTGGTCGCGGTGCAGCGAGGGGTGTACTGCTAGACGGCATGATACTGACAATGCACGGCATATAGTCTTCTGAAGCGACGACAGATCAGAGGATCCGAGCCCTGCGCCATCGCTACCGCCCATATCCTGCTCCAAGTTGTTGCCCGCTCAAAATGGCACGATGTCAACAGCCTTTTGCTCAATGTCTCAAGAACCGGCCGTAGATTGGTCGACGCCCAGCCCAACGAGCTTGTCATTGGCAATATTGTGCGCCGTGTTCTTGGCCTGATCCGAGACGAAGCTTCCGAAGATCGAGGCGATGCTGGCGACGAATCGGCCAGCGAAGCGCCCACTCCAACGGACATTGTTCCGCCAGCCTCCATCAGCCAGCAGTGGTCGTCAAAACGGTTCGACTCAGCCAGCAGCGCAACCGTTGCCGCACGGCCTCCGCTCGTCTCCTCCTACAGCTCCATCAACCCGCCCAAATCACTGTTTCATCTGCTATCGACCTCGCCTCCCACTGATGGAGATGTGTCGCCTTTCAAAACTTCGGGCGCTTCGACTCCTACCTGGCGGGGGAACGCGAGCCAGATCCATGCGCTGCGTTCCGAAGTGATTGACGGAATCGAAGAGATCAAAGATGAGATCAGCCAGGTGGATGACCAGATTGCTGCCTCTGCTGAAGTGCAGATCCACCCCGGAGACTTGGTACTGGTTCACCAACCATCCACAACAGTTGAACGATTTATTCTCCGTGCCGCCCAGAAGCGCAAGTTTACCATCCTCATCGCCATGGCGCCGCCGAGAAGACAGCACTCACCTGAGAACCAGCATGCTGCGTTTAGAAAGAAGCTGTCGGCAGCCGGCATCACGGTGGTGAATGTAATGAATGGCGGACTTATGGCTTACATGTCAAGAGTCAACAAGGTCATCATCGGTGCGAGAGCAGTTGTTGCTACGGGAGGCGTTGTGGCCGACGCTGGCTCTGCTGCTATTGCACGAGCTGCCAAGGAGCAGGGCGCTGCCGTTGTCGTGCTCAACGGCATCTACAAGCTGAGCCCGGAGAGCCCCTTTGACGAGAGTTCGCTGATTGAATGGGGCGACTCGTCGACGTTTGTGAGCTTCTCGGACGGTCCTCTGGTGTCTGGTGCGGAGATTCGAACCGCACTCACTGAGCTGATTCCGCCGGAGCTTGTCGATACTTATATCACAAACCTGTAAGTTGGATCCAAGATGTCGTTTTGTTCTTCTACTCGAGCATCTCTTGTTGTGAGTGTAGCATATAGCTAATCGGTTGGGGACTATAGGGGCACACATTCACGCGACCATCTGTCGAGCCTTATCGCAGACCACTACAAGCGAGAAGATGCCGACTTTCACATCTGGGAAGAGGCTCTCCCGTGATGGCAATGACGATTTCACGAGGAATGACTACAAAACAAATAAGTAAAAGAAGCAAAAAAGACAAGGGAGCCTTCATCACATACATAGTGACAAGCCAAAGGATAGTTTAAAAGGATAGTGTAGAATGTTCCTGACACAAAAAAAGAGAGAAATCAAAATTATCGACGGACAGCCCTCAAGCCTCGTCGTTGCCATTGACGTTGATACGTGCTGTATATGTCTTGTCTGCCTTGTGCCTGACTAGCAATAACTTTGTCCGGGGTGCAGCTCCATAACGAGGATAATGGCAATTAAAGCTGGATGCTAATACGCCATCCAGTCAAGGCTGCCAACAGCGTATTAGTAGCATTGCCATTCATTAGCTCACCACCAAAAGCGGCATCAGTCATATTCAATGAACCTCGTCGTCGCCAAAACGTCACCGATGCAGCCGGCCGCGTCAGCAGGCATAGGCGGCCCGGGTACTCTCATTGGCTACCTCTCAACGCCAGCGGCCTATCCGTAGGATTCAATCAGGCGATGCTACGCTCGGCTAACCCCAGCGCCAAGTGACTCTAACAGGCCCAACGTAACGGGGCTGCGTGGCCTGGAGATATGTCCCGAGAGCCACTAGACAGCCTAGACGGCCACCTCATCACGACGCTAAATCCGCCCAGCGTCGACACTAACACGACGACGATTTCGGCTGAAAAAGCGCCCCGCGTCACGCAGCAGGAGATGCGACGAGGCACAGCGCTGGTGCGAGCTGAGACCATAAAGATCTGCTGAGGACGGGACAAACAGGACTCGTGTCTTGTTTACCTTCTTTTGCCACACACAAAGCAGTCTCTGCCGCTTGATTCTCTTCTCAATTCCAGGCGAGCTTAGGGGGTATAGTACCCGGTGTCTGCCTAGAAAGCGTGGCCTGCCTGCTTTAAGCTTCTACAACTGCCATTGTTCAGACTGTCATCATCTCCATCGCTTTACTTGAACAGCAATACACTGCGAGATACTCTCCAAGACGATAAAGATAAAGCACTTTGAATCCCCTGGGGATAGCAGCCAAAAGAAAAAAAAGTATTTCATTGCAGGGTACACGCACCTCGCATTCGGCTCCAGGCCGCCATCGCCAAGATGAATCCCAACACCAGCAACAACAACAGCGACAGCAATAGCCATCTCAACGTCCAGGGAGACGAGGTTCCGCCGCCCCCATATTCCGAAACAGACGTCTACAGCAATTCAAATGGCTCCCGCTCTCCTCGCCCGGCAGTAGCCGCAGCAACTCCGTCTCACAGCTTCGTTGACGATGCTGCTTCGTCGACTGCCGACGATGTCATCTACACGCCACCTCTTAGCCCCCAAAACACCTCAGATGCTGGACAGTCCGCGGCCTCTCTATACTTTGACCGGAGGCCAGTGCCTCAGCAAAACGCAACGCCCCGCGAACCTCTCCTTCATACCATTGAGGTAAATGATGCTTCGCAGCCTGACGATTTCCCCTTCCAGAATGACTGGGCTGCCCGAGATATCTCTGCCCTGGACTGGTCTACTTTTATCAACTTCCTGCTTCCCGATCACAGCACAAGACAGAATGAGGCTATTCTCCATAGAAAGCTGCGGGATGAGATACAGTCAAACTCGGGCAAAACTAACGATACCACATCGCAGGTCGAAGCCCAGCTCGGCCGGAATGCTGATGCAGGAACTACAACTAGTCCTAATTCTATCCAGCGAAGGAGAGATGTCGAAGCCACCGTCCAGCAGTGGAACGATGGCTTCTTCGGCCCCCGTGGCGTCCAAGTCCGCCTTCAACCCCTGAGAACTCCATCCGCGCAGATGCCCGGTGCCTGGGAAACCGGCTTTGACCAGAGACCTGAGGCTGCTCGATCTACCCAGTCTCCGCAGACGGCAGGCCGCTCAGAGCCTGCCAGCTGGAGTCCCTGGTCTGCGTTTCAAGTGGATAACAACGGTATTCGATTTGGCAATACCTTTGTCGCAGACACAAACGGCCTGCGTATTGGAAGTCTAGTCATGGATAACAATGGTATTCGATTCGGAAATGGTGAAGGGCCAAGCCAACAGCAGCGGCAGCAGGGTACACCCACTGCCGATGCTGACCAAGATGTTCGTGGTCGTGCTGCGTATCAAGGAAGCTATCCAGACGAGAAAAAGGATCACAAACGCTCGTCTTCCTGCTCGTCGATCTCATCTTTGTCTTCCATGAGTTCTGTGTCCTCTATTGGTTCTCTCCCAAGCTATGACAGCGTTCCCCAGAGGTCGGTGCAGCTTTACATAGCACGACTCCAGGATTGGACTAATCATCCTGATCAATATCGCACGAAGCAAGACGTCAAGCAGCTGAAAGCTGAACTCAAGAGCGTCCCCAAAATCGATAATCCCGTTTCCGAGGAGGATAAGAAGGCTCTGAAAGCACAAATCAAAGCATTGACGAGTGCGTGGAAACAGATCAAGAGAAACCAAAGAAAGGAACGCAGGGCTCTCAAAAGGGAGCGCCGTGCCCAGAGGAGAGCAGAGTGGAAGGAAAAGAGACAGCATAAAAGGGAGATGAAGAAAGCACAGAGAGAGGCGAAAAGAGAGGCTCGAGAGGCTCGAAGAGAAGCTCCCGCCCCTCCGCCTCCTCCGCCTCCGGCTGTTCCACCAATGCCACCAATGCCACCGCATCCTCCCGCACACGCCGTGCCTCCTGTGCCTCCTGTGCCACCAATGCCTCCAGGAAATCCTCCACCGTTTACCGGTAGCTTTCCCTGGGGCCCTCGCAGCCCGGGGAGGGGGGGAAGAGGGGGAAGGGGCGGTCGAGGCGGCCGAGGTGGCCGAGGTAGTCATGCTGATCCCCAATATAATCATTATGGTCCCTTTGGCCAAGACTGGACTGGCGAGAATGGTATGTTTGGATCACGCGGTCCGTTTGGCTCTGGCGGTCCATTTGGTCCTGGTGGTCCGTTTGGCGCTGGGGGCCCGTTTGGCGAGAAGGGCATCTTTGGAAACGGCGGCAGCGATGGCTGTGGTTCGAACAGTTTCTTTAGAAGTACTGCAGAACAGCGACAACAAGCACAAGATCAGCGTGATCAGCTACAGCAACGGTTACAGCAACAGCGTGAACAGAGACAGCAACAGCTAGAGCAAATGCGTCAGCAGCAGGCGCAAGCACGTCAACAACATGCACAGCAGATGCAGCAGCATGGACAGCAGATGGAACAAATCCGACAGCAAGCTATCAACAGCGGCATGGCATATGCCTCTCGCTCCATGCCGGGCTACTGGCCCGACGAGAAACAAGAACATTCAATTCCCGTATCATCACAAGATGACCAGCAGATCCCTCCCTCTGGCGCCGCGGCAGCAAAGTACCGCTCCATCATGGGCATCGAGACTGCGATTGAGCATCAGCTCGCTGCGGCGGAGAAGGCCGAGCCCGGTCCTCAAAAGGAGGCACTGGAATGGGCCATTGCTGAGATGTTGAACCAGTTGGAAGTTATGAGGATGGAGGCTGATGAGGAGTATGCAAAGGAGCTGAGCGGGCAATGATGAATTGTATGATATTGCAAGTTGATTCTGAGGCTTTGGGCTTATGGGATTTCAAACTTTGAGAGATTGGACCACTCACCTTTTCTCTTTTTCTTTTTCTTTTTCTTCCTTTTTTTTTCTTCTATGGATGTATAAAAAGAGCAAAAACATTTACGATAGCGTTAAAGATACCAAAGGTCATGATATATAAACAAGGCAGTCATTACGAAAAGGGGAAATACAAAAAAAAAATCTTACTGTAAATCAAAACTTTTCCGTCTTCATGGTCTTCATCTCAACTACGTTTCTGATTCATAGGCAATGCTTTTTTATCTATTTCCTCTCCTCCCAATGTTTTCATTCCCGTAGAGTAAAAAATGCCACATGAAAAAAAAAAAAAAAAAAGAGACAATCTCCTCCTTGCCAACAGAAAAAATAGTACAAGAGAGGTATGGAAATAACCACAAGTAAAGTCGAAACATCTAAACATAAATCCCCAACTTTTATACACACAAACAGCCCAACTTGAAAACAGAAGAAGAAAAGAAAAAAAAGGAAGAATGGCCATTTTTAATGCTTGCTCTCATCCTTCTCTACCAAATCCCCAACTCCCAATCCCCTCCCCACCGCAACCTTGACCTTCTTCTCCTTATCATTCGCCTCCGGATCTCTCCCAACCTCGCCCACCGCCTCGCCCTCATCCACGCCCTCGCTCCGTATCGCCAAGTCAGCCGTAGCTCCAGCGGCAGGGGCGCCATTCGTCGTCGTCTTCTTGCTCTTCTTCTCGCCGTCCTTGTCCTCGTCCTTGTCCTCATCTTCGCCGCCGCCGCCAGCATAGCGCTTCGCCAGCTCGGCCACGTCGTCAAGGTCGAGCCGCATGCTGTAGGCGTCCTCGCCGTCGGCGTAGTACTTGCTCTCGGTCTTTTCGTTGCGGAACTTGAGCGTGTCTTCGTAGAGGTGTCTGGCGGCGACGTTGGAGACGCGCACGTGGAGGGAGACGTATTTTGCTTGGAAGGTTTCCACCATGGCGAGCTCTAGATAGCCCCCAAGTAAAGTTAGTCAAACACACGCAAAAAAAATACTTTATAGGAATTGTATGATTGTGTAATATCATTCACATACGGCTTTGTCTCATGAGCTTCTCGGCAATTCCCAGCCGTCGATGCGTCCGCATCACACTCAAGCTCGTAATGTGCCCGTGCTGCACGCCATCCGTCGGCTCCTCCTCCATCTTGGCCAGCACGTAGCCCACAATCTTGGGGTAGTCGTAGGGCCCCTTGCGCGGGCGCGAGACGTCCACCGCCACGAAGCTGAGCTGCGGCCACGACAGCGCGTGGTAGAGGTAGTACTTGAGGAAGTAGTTTTCCGGCAGGTTCTCCAGGTTGGCGTGCTGGATGAGCGGCAGGTCGGCGGTGGTGAGGAGTCGGATGTCCATGATGGGCGGTTTTTGGGCGTGTGTGAGTGTTGTGAGGTTTGAGCAGAAATATGGCTGGTTTCTGGTGGTGAGAGAGAGAGAGAGAGAGAGAGAAGATGGCAAAGAGAGGCAAGGCAGCGGATAAAGGTTGCGAAACTCGGTGCAAGGCCGAAAGAGATTCCCCCACCAAAAGCCTCGTCCACTGCGGGGCCACCCGATTTGGGGGGGCCCAGAAGCTCTAAGAAGGGAGCTGTCGGCGAGATTGCTTATAAACAGCAGAAATACTTGTATTTGAAATAATACTAAATACCAATTGAGTAAACAAAGAAATTTATAGTTAGTTTAACAAAACGTCTTGAGAAAAATAGGAAACGTCATCATAATTTTCATATGCTAAAGGCGCCCTAGTACCACTTAAAACATCAGTTCCCAACACGCATACACCTTGGCTCAATAGACGTCTATAATCTTTTCATTTCTTTTTTTTTTTTTTTTTTTTTTTTTTTTTTTTTTTTTTTTTTTTTCTGTTCTTGTTTCCTTTATCGTCTTTGTCTCTTTCTAATTGTCTACTTTCTTCTCGCGAATCGGCAAGTCTTTCGTTACCTCGGCCGACGTCGCGGTCATGCCCCCAGCAGCAGAGGTCTCATCTTGAGCTTTAGCATCCACGTTGGCGGCGGCAGCGGCCTTAGCAGCTTCAGCCTTGGCCGCCTTGGCTGCCTTCTTCCTCTCCTTGTCCTCCTGCTTCTTCTTCTTAGCGGCAGCTTCGGCAGCACGAGTCTCAGCAGAACCGCCGAATTGTTCCTTCCACTCCGCAATCTTCTTGTCTTCAATTCTGGAGAAGAGATAGGCGGCCTTTCCAATCTTGTGGCCAGCCTTGATGGCAGTGGGTTCCCAGACGTCAGGGATAAAGGCCAGCTTGGTGTTGAGCTGCTGGCAGATAGATTCAGAGGTGGATGGCATATACGGAGAAGCCACCGAGGCGAGCAGGTGGCAAAGGTTCAAGGCAAGACCAATGGTGGTGTGTGTCCGCTCAGGGTTCTCCGCCAGGTTGGCGTTATCGAGTCGGCCCTGGAGAAGGTTGTTGCCCTCTCTGCTAATCTCCAGCAGGGCTTTGCTGCCAGCACGGATGTGAACATGCTCCAAAAGGTCAACGTACTCCTTCAGCAGGCCATTGACTGTCTCAACCCAAGCGCCAAAGTCAAAGGTGTCATCCTTGTAAGAGGGGTTGTACTCGGGAACGACGCCGTCCAGCTTGGCGTTGACAAACTTGACAATACGGTTGACAAAGTTACCAAAGTTGGCGAGGAGCTCGCTGTTGTTGGCCAGCTGGAATGATTGCCACTCGAACTGGGTATCACTGGTTTCTGGTCGGTTTGATAGGAGGTAGTATCTCCAAACAGATGGCGAAATGCCAATTTCCTTGGCCTGGTTGCCAAAAACACCGATTCCTCTTGACTTGGAAAACTTGCCGTTCTCGTAGTTCAAGTACTCGGTAGTGGAGAGGTGGTTAAGTAGGGTCCAGTTGTATCCGGTACCAATCTCAGATCCAGGGAAGATGACTAGCACCATACATGTTAGCTCAATTTTGAAAAAGAAAAGAATTATTCATCCAACCCACGAACCTGTGTGGAAGGGCACGTTATCCTTGCCCATGAACTGGTAGAGGGTGACCTCGTCGGGGTTCTTCCACCATTGCTCCCATTCATCGGTATAGTTGGCCGTGATGGAAGGATAACCGATACAGGCATCGAACCACACGTAGATGACCTTCTTCTCGTATCCAGGCAGGGGAACCGGCACACCCCACTTCAAATCTCTGGTGATACTGCGAGGCTCCAGGCCCTTGGTCAGCCACGACTGGGTGATGGATACACCGTTCTGAGGCCATCCGTATTTCTTGTGCGCATCCTGGAACCACTTGTCAATATCAGGCTGCAGCTTCTCGAGACGGATGAAGACGTGTGTCGTATCGCGGGGCACGGGAGTTGCGCCGTCGATCTTGCATCGCGGGTTGATGAGCTCAAAAGGATCTAGCAGGCTTCCACACTTGTCGCACTGGTCACCGCGGGCATCATCGTAATTGCACTTGGGGCAGGTTCCCTCGACGAATCGATCAGCTAGGAACGAATCGTGCTTCTCGCAGTAGGGCTGTTTTGTCGTCCGCTCCTCGAGGAAGTCGTTCTCGTGCAGCTTGAGGAAGATGTCCTGCACAATCTCCGTCTGCTTCTTGGTTGAGGTTCGGCCAAAGTAGTCGAAGCCAATCTCAAACCACTCGTAAATATCCTTGTGTTTGACGTGGAACTCATCGCAGAGCTCCTGGGGGGTTTGGCCCGTCTCAAGGGCCTTGGTCTCTGTGGCCGTGCCGTACTCGTCTGTGCCGCAGATGTACAGCGTCGGCCGGTCGCGAAGCTTGCTGAAGCGGGAGTAGACATCGGCGCTGAGGACGCTGCCGACGACGTTTCCGAGGTGAGGGACGTTGTTCACGTAGGGAAGAGCGCTGGTGATGAGGACGTTCTTCTTGCCCTTGACGGGCAAGATGGGATTTTCAACCGCCATGGTGATGGTGATGTTCTTGTTTGCAGCCGCCGAAACTCTAAACGCCGCGTCTCTATCGATGCTTTTATGCGTCTCCCGGGCTTCTCGAAACAAGCGTCACGCAGGTGTAAATGACTAACTCGACAAGGGTTCTAACTAACAGACGCGGGTGTCAAATCAACGAAGGGCGCATGTGCAAAACGATGCACACAATTCGAGTCATCGCGCTGCCCCGCTATCGCTGTGCGCCTTAATGGCGGGGTGTGTCGCAAAAATTCTGCCGGCTAGCCTCTACCTAATTCGGAGGGTGGTCAAGACTTTCTTTGGCGCCGGTCTCGACTCACTACGTATTATTAACCAAGAACGAGCCTCATATGTGGTGTATTCAGCTACATAGGTACAGCTTGAATACGATAAAAATTCAGCATAATTATTTAAAATAAATCAATATTTACAAAAATGTCGTCTGATCTCTTCGACGACGTCTTCACTCTTGAAGACCGCTTCTACACAGAAGGCTACAACCAAGGCGTTCAAGACGGAGCCCGCGCGGGAAGAATAGAAGGCCGCTCGTTCGGCATGGAAAAGGGCTTCGAAAAGTTTCTCGAAAGCGGCCGCATCGCCAGTAAATCTCTCGTTTGGGCAAACAGACTCCCCAAAAACCCCCAGCCAGGTGGTGCTTCAGACGAAAAGAGCTCTGAGGCTTGCACACTGCCACCACTGCCGAAGAATCCACGGCTGGAGAAGAACATCAAGCTGGCATATGCTCTGGTCGAGCCCGACACGCTGTCTACGGAAAACTCCGATGAGGCTGTGCAGGATTTTGATGACCGGGTCAAGAGGGCGCAGGGCAAAGTCAAGATTATTGAGAAGATGCTGAGCTAGGTGGACGACTTGGCCGACGACATTGGGATCAAACACATTTTCAATGGTCTGCTGAAGGGAAGGCTTCTTCAATCTCATCATCAGCGATATAGAATTATAGAGGGTATTTAGCATTTTCGGAGTTATGGTATCGGGTTAGAATCATCAAGGGAAAACATTAGGAGTTCGTAGAAGGAAACAGAGGATCAGTGGGAAATTCTATCATCTTTCTTCATCTCATCTATATTTACACAAAGCCACCCTAACCCAGTTCATTTGAATGTTCTGCAAGGATAGCTATTTCATTCAAATCATCAGCAAATCTCATTCCTTAATATCGAGGGAAATAATCACAGTCAGGGCAAAGAACTTACCCAGCACCATATGTCTGCTCCTGCTCCTCGTTGAGTTCGTACTTGTGCACATCCCACGCTCCCGACACCAAGGTCTGTCCGCTCGGCAGGGGAGGCAGGCCATTGACAAACACATCCTTGGCCACATCCTTGGGGGCCTTCTCGAAGAACTTGGCCAGTCCTGTCTCGCCCTCCTTCTGCGCGGCCACGAGGGTCTTCTCTCCGGCCTCTCCAATCAGCTCGACCTTGGGGTTTGCGGCGCTGCCGACCGTCAGCAGGGACACGGCGTGGCCCTGGTTCACGACGCTGAGCTGCGGGTACGAGCGACGGACGTCACGCTTCCAGTAGGCGTTGTCGGCGATGTCGCCGGCGGGAATGGTGACGGGGTCATCGTAAGTCTGGGGGTCCAGGCCGCCGGGAGTCGGGTTTCGGAAGTAAGGATTTAGAGGGACGCCGTTGGAGCGGTTGGGGTCAATGGCAAACGCCTTTCGGACCGTCTCCCAGATGCCGGTGGACTGGAGAGTTTGTTTCTACGGGCTCAGGGTCAGCATAACCTTGCCTCGTCCATCTTGATAGCTAGTCCTGGACGAAGCCGCAGGCCAGAATTGAGCGTAAATTGGCGCCAATTGAGGCTGCAGATGGCCGAGAACGCGCATGGATTTCGAACCTTTGAGATGGAAACAAGGCCACCAGCAGCCTTTGCTGCCGCTTGAGAAGCCATCTTGCGGAAGCGATGGGATAGTAGCAGTGCTGTATGTCGAGCGAATTGGCTCGGAGTTGGTCGATCTCGAGTTCGCAGCTGCAATGCTAGCGATAGGTCTAGCCGAAGCTTTGCCGACGGCGCCAATACCCTACAGAGATGGAGGCATCGCAATTTCTGGCGCAGTATAGTACGACTCACAACGGCAGGGGAAGAAATATAATGTATATTTTATTGTATATGTAGCTTTTTGATTTAATATATCTTCTGATGAAATCATATCAGTTTCCAATTTCATTGGTGGAAGTCTATTGCTGAGGTGGCTCTTTTTGTAGCTGCGACTTTGTACCCTATCTAGAACTCGCAGCACATGGTGATTTTACCAATTGTCAGAGACGAACAGGATAGTCGCTGTGTTGCGCAACTGATAAATAAATTCTATCTAGCTGCGCAACCAATAAACCCCCGAAAATAATTCTGCCAAAGAGAATACTAACCTTGTTCCTCCCATCAATAGCTGCTACAATATTCTTACGCAATTCCTCGCCCTCTACCTGCTCATAGTATTAAGATGAAATAGCAACCTTGAACGTAACATGGTCCTCTTCATTCAAAGTAGGTGTACTACGTGAGTAACTCGCAGTATCTTCAAATATCCTCTCGTATGTCCAGCAAACGAGAAGGACACAATGCTACCACTCCCTCTCTATCAAGTTTACCGTGGCAGAATACCACTATTCCTTGGACATAACGACGGAGTTACACAAACAAATCAAGCATCAAAGACAACGCGAAACCAATGACTAAATCAATTTACACGGTCCTTAGGAGACTAAAGAGCAATTCATACGAGAATAGTGGGCTCTACATAGATTCCCAGTGCCAGTAGACAAATATAAGCACGCTTGCTATCCCTCATACCGATCAACTCCCACGCCAACTTGTAATATGACAAAGCGAACATTTTTTCTTCTTCTTCTTCTTTCAACATGTGCAGCATCAATACGAAGAAACAGGACGAGGCAAAAAGGACGAGAGAAAAGAGAGACAAGAAGCCAATTCCTTAGTTCTTTCCCTTCAACTCCTCGACCAGGGCCTTGACTCTGTCCACAGTAGCAGCAGGACCGCCAGGCTCGGCAACAAGCACCTTGCCCTCCTTGTTGACAACAAAGACGCCGCGCTGAGTTCCCTTGGGCTGCTTCTTCAGGCCAATGGCAGCGATGAGAGTCGCCTGGGTGTCGCACAGGAGGGGGTAGGGCAGCTTCTGCTTCTCCTTGAAGGTGGTGTTGGCCTTGGTTGAGTCGGCGCTCAAGCCGTAGATGGCAAGACCATCGGCAGTCAGAGGTTCATAAGAGTCGCGGAACAGGCACACTTGGTTGGTGCCTGAGAATTGACAAGTTAGCAAGTGTAATCGCGTCAAGAATTGTATAAACTGGTAAAGAACGCGGATAAACGCGCGAAGAGCAGAAGAGGGGAAGCAGTAGACGATACTATATATATACATTGTGGTAGAAGGGAAAAAAGACTTACATCCTGGAGTCGATGCCTTGGGGTAGGTGAAGAGAACAACACCACTCTTGCTATCATCGACAAGCTTCTTCAAGGTAGTCTTCTCGCCATCGTTTGTTTGAATCTCGCCACCGAATCCCTCGAGGTCAATGACATCGCCAACAGCGACCTTGCCCGCAGCAGCCGGCTTCTTCTCCTCATCCTTGGCCTCATCTTTGGCATCCTTCTTGGCGTCCTTCACCGTCTCTTGCTCCTCAGGGGCTTCCGGCGCAGAGTCGGTGGCCTCCTCGTCCTTGGATGGCTTCTCCGCCGCGGCATCTGGCTTCTTGACGTCCTCCTTGGCCTTTGCGGCGGCGGGCTTTCGTCCCTTGGCAGTAGCCGCCTTCTTCTTGGTCGGCGCGGGCGCGGGCGGCGCCACGGGGGCCTTGCGCTTGCGCAGCTCAACAGGCATGATATTGGTCTGATAAGGGCTGCGTATGCGTCTTCCAGCAGCTGCTTTTTTTGTTTTTGGTCTGTGCCGCGACTTTTCCTGCGGGACAACAAAAACTGGGAAGAAAAAATGACACGTATTACAGGCCAATAATGCTGCACAACGCGGTTGAAAGAAGGAGGCGTTGGGAGTAAGCTAAAGGGGAGGAGGAAAAAAAAAACAAAACAGACAGAGGCCTGGCCGTCTTTCGTGACAGGGCAAACCACCAGAAATTCTGCCGTCGTATGCGGTTCCCAAGCAAGGTACATGTAGGTACCCCCATCCCATCCACCATTGGCAGCGCAGCTTGCTTGGGCGGCCCTGTGCCTGGCTGCGGCAGCCAATCACAGGAGCTGGGCTATTCGAGTTGGAGCTCTGTCGAAGCTAGGACCCGTTGGATTAACGCGGAGCTCCAGTTTACGGAATATAGCCGTGGACTGGGGTTTGTTGAGATGGTCGTGTATCTGACGGCAAGTCTCCGTAGCGCTCCGAGCTTGGTTGTGATTCGCTTACTTGTCCATGTCGCGAGCCCAAGTGCGTGTGCAAGTACCCATCCATCCACCCATCCGCCCATCTATTGCGCCATACATATGAGCCTATACAGAGCAGAATACGGCTTATACACTATTTATGGTAGGAGTAATCGACTGGCAATACATACTACGAACACTATTCGAGCTTCTTTTGCTTCTACAAACCGGTTGTTGGCGGTAAAGACAGAGTGCTCTGTTGCCCGAGATACTAAAAAATTGAGTTGGTGTGCGTGCAGTGACTTGCATCTTATCTGCAGCTTCGGGCGCAGGGCCTCTATTTGGCTCCATGCGTCTGCTGTCGAAGCACTGACGGCATGTCTCGGCAGAAACACAGACGGCAGTCAAGTTGGTCTTGAGGAATTGAGTTTCAACGAGCTCTCTCACAAATTTGCAGTATCACGATTGATGAAAAATCGAGATCGAGAGCAGGATTTTATATCGCAAACTTAAAATGCAGCAATTTCAATGCCGGTGTCCCTTAATTGTTTCACTATCAACCTGGTATATCGCATGCTCTTAGGTCTCTCCTTCTCAGCAGTAGCATCTTGACGTAGAGTCATACTAAGACGAAAGAAAAATATTCATCCTTCAAATGTCCCCTGAAAAAAACACAGCGTGTCTTCCTTCCATTGCCAAATCACGAGCCGCATCGAATGCATCAATCCCAAGATGTCCTCAGCATATAGGCTGAAACCTATATAGCCCACAAGCACTTAACAACGTGAGTTGCATGATAAGCCGTTATATGGTCGTATCGATCATACCGAATCAACTTTTTGTCCGCAGCCTGGAAAAATGCTCGGAAAGAAATCCATAACTCAAAGAAAAAAAGACAGTCAAAAGAGACTATCATCGTGGGTATCATAAGCTGCCACGCCAACTCTCTCTCCATCAGATGAACCATGGAGAAAACAGCTTCCGCCATTTAGTTAGGGCACTGAGCCTGAACGTGGCCGCTCTGCTGGCACTTGTAGCAGATCTTCTCGCCACCAGCGGCCTCCTTAGGACAGTCGCGGGAATAGTGGCCGGACTCGCCACAGTTGTAGCACTTCATGCCGTTGACGCACTCGCCTGCGGAGAGGTTAGTATGAAGTTCATGGACAAATCGAGATGACTGATACATACGAGACATGTGGCCGTAGCCGCCGCAGGAGTAGCAGGTCTTGCCGGCACCACCACCGTAGCCGCTGTTGCCGCCATAGGAGTTGCCACCGAATCCGGACTTGGGGCAGCTGCGGGCAATGTGGCCCTTCTCGCCGCACTAGAGAATAAAACCCATTAGTTTCATTTTATGCATTTGTCGAGATGATCAATCACATACCTTGTAGCACTCAGTGCCGGCCTGGCCTCCAGCAGCGCCAGCTTGGGGGCAGTCGCGGGAGATGTGGCCGGGCTGGCCACACTTGTAGCAGGACTTGTTGTCCTTCATGGGCTCAGTGCAGTCACGGCCTGGGAAAAGTCAGCGGGTGAGCAAGAAACAAGAGAAATTGCCCGTCAGGTAATGCTTACTGAGATGGCCCTCGCCTATTGAAAGTAGCTAGCTGTCAGCAACAAATTCATCCCAATATTTGCAAGAGGGAGACGGAGAGCATACCGCCGCAGTTGTAGCTATCGAGAGGTTAGCACTTAAATTTGATTCTCATGGCGACAGCGATGATAATACATACCACTTGGCAGGTCCCTTGGTGGGGCAGTCACGGGCCTAATAGAACCTGTTAAACTGAATGCCTTTTGTGAGGTTGATGGTGAAGAGGATTCTACTGTACCTGGTGGCCAGTGTTGCCGCCTAGATGAACTTGTTAGTGAAGGCTATAATTGATGACGATGAAGATGAGAGCGAAGATGAGATTGAAAACGAGTAAGAAAAAACAATTAAAAATCAGAAAATGAGAAAAGTTGATAGCAGCAGTAGAAGCTCAAGGCTTACGCTCTGCAAGACGACCCAAAGGAATGCTTTGGCCCTAGGATTTGGAGGGGCCGCCAAGCATCTCAGAAAAAATCAAGGTACCAGGCCCAGAGAAGAAAAACGCGGGGGAATTTCAGGTGAGGTAGCACAAGTGGCAACTCATGATGCACAGGAAAAAGGGAAGAGACTCACAAGAGTAACACGCTCCACGGGGTGCGTAATCCATGATTGACTTGGTGTTTTGGGTAGAGAGTAGACTGTGAAGTCGAGGTCATCAGAGTTAGCGACTATTCATGCGAGCTTCGAGAGTCCAAAATGCAAGGCCATCTGCCGGCTTGAGGCTGAGGGGCAACAAACGACCCAATTCGCGGCGACATGTCAGATGCGCCACCGAGGTTTGGGAAATGGGAATGACGAATTGACGATATTCCGTCAATAAGGGGTGGTGGCATGGACGGGGCGTCACTCACTGCGATATCGATCGAGATTGAAGTTGAAGAGTCGAGAAGCTGTGGGACGAAGATGTTGATTCCACAAATTGATATTGGAAAAAAAACGTGTAGACGAAAAAGGGAAAAGTTTTTGACGATAACGGACTATGTGTTGGGGCCCTCAGCCTAGGCCGGTCTAGTGCACAGCTGGCCGTGGCCCACTAAAGCACAGCCGAGCGAGCGTGGGAGGCCCTTGCACTGGGCGGAAAAACCGATGGCCCGCCGTCAGCTCAGGGTTGGGGTTCTGCTGCAGCGCTGTAGGCCGCCTGTAAAGCGCTGCTGCAGAGTGAATCGCAGCCACTTGAAAGTGAGAAGATGGGATGAGAATGTGCTCAAATTTGCTTTTGCTGGCTCCGATTGCGGAATGGCCAGTGTTTATGAAATTTCCTAGGCCTATGTAGCATATGATGTGGTGTTACAATTGCATTCAAGCTGCGAAACCCGTAGTATTTTCCGTGAGCAACGGCTCGGTGCATGCACATGTATCCTAACGAGTTACAAACTCCATGAAGCGTTGCCTGGATGAATGCGGCTGGCTACCTGAGGATTTCTACCCCTACTAAATTCAAACATCCTCCATGCAGCTCCGAGAGAAAATGGAAAGCGAGGCTCTTGTTGTGCGATTTGCATTGATGCTTTGAAAACACAAATATGAGGCACGTGTCTCCATATCAACAAAGTAGCAGTGGTACATGTAGTTTTTAGGCACCACCTCATCCTTATGCTGGCTCTTAATGCGGGTCACGTGGGCTGGCGTTTCCGCCATTGTTGTGGCGCGCGACTCGCTGCGGCAGCATTCACGTATTAGTGTTGTAGCTTTGTCTCCCTGCTTGGCACAGCATAACTTCACTGTAAGAGACTTGAAATGGAAAGCTGGTCTGGAAGAGGGCGGCCAGCTGTGCGCGAAGCTCTGGATCATGTTTGGGAGATCATTGATCGTGAGCTCCAAGATGGTACGTTGGAGCTCTCTCCGTCTCGACGAGGTCGTCGTATTAACATGGGAAAGAACTCGGGCGAAGGGCAGCTTTAGATGCTGCTGCAAGGAATGAGCTGCTAAAGAGCAAGCTCGCCATCATTGAAACTCTGGAAGCTGAAAACAAGAAGTTGCGAGCTCAGCTGGCAGCCATGTCCTCAAACTCAAGTCCTGTTCCAGCCAATCCGAGCAATTCAGCCGAGAGTGATGACACAGCAGCTGGGTCGAAGACTCCAACTGCGAGTATGACCACTACTCTACCAGCTCCCATCTCTTCAGCAGCTATAACGTCTCCCCCAAGCTCCACAGGATCAGAAGGTAACGAGCTCGTAAAGTTCAAAATGAGATTCAATGCCCTTTCAGACAACTTCAAGCAAGCTGTGGAGCTTATTCGGAAGAGAAAAGGCGAGCGCGATGTGTGGATGGAACGAGCAAAGAAGTTGGAAAATCTTGCTCGAGTAGCTGAAGAGAAGCATGGAATACGAATTCTTGAGGAACCAGATGTTAATAACTCTGGTGGATCACGCCACACACATCTCAGTTCAGACAACCAAACTGCTGCTCTTGAAGCCATGCCACCGCCTGCTACTCGGATAATTCCTGATAGTCAGTCAATTACCGATGTGGAAGATGCGCAGCTACAATCTACTCAAGGAGATCCTGATGAAGCAGAGACTGAAGATCTACCGCCTCTACCAGCACCTAGCGACGATCAGGATCCAGTAGATATCAAACAGGAACCATCTTCCGATCTTCCGGTGGTGGTGTCAGAAAGATCGTTGAAGCGGAGAAGAGTTGAAGACGACACATGCACAATTGCCACAGTCCCAAGAATTAAGGCTGAGCCAAATAATTCTAGCCCGATTACTGCATCTGAACACTATCAGTTTAACATCCAGGAGAGCATTGATCTTGACGATATAGCGCAGAGGATAACCACCCCACGAAAACGCAAAGATCTGGACGCTTCGAATGCCGAGCAGGAAAAAGAAGAGCCGAGATTAGCTCCTCACACAACTCCAAAGTCTGGCTACGTATGGGCAGATGGGCTGCGATACTCAGCCAAGAATCCCCACAGGCCGCCTGTGCTTACTCCCATCAGTGGTAATAAGAGAGTGTCGAAAAGCATTGTTGATGATAATACCCCCCTACCTGTGAAAGATGGATTAGCCCACGGCATTGCAGCATTGGCGGAAGATGACACTCCTTATGGAAAGCATAGATTTGAAAAGGGTTCAAAAGCTTTGCCTACGCCCAACACAGCTACTAAGGGTCGGCTGGATTCGCTGTTGAACACCCCAACTTCGGAGAATATATCAGCCATTACTCGAACTCCGCAAAATCGCCAGCCAGGTATTGCTTCAGCTGAAGACACGCCTCTTAGCCTCATGTTCCCCGAGCCTAGAGCCCTGCCCTTTGACAAGACTCTGCGACAGACCAAGAAGCGTGGCAGTTTGAATTCGGAATTCACAACACCTTTGAACAAATTGGATAAGAAAGGTCCTGCTCGAGATAAGTCTCCTAGCAAAAGACCGACATCAGGTCTCCGTCATAAGCCTCTGGCCGATCTTCGACTCGATGACTTCAAGGTCAATCCCTTGTCAAACGATGGCCAAGACTATGCTTATTCGGAAGTCGTCAGAGACAAGGATGAGAGGGCAGGCCTTCGAGGATGTACAGATATGCACTGCTGCGGGAAGCATTTTCGAGAACTGGCTCTATCATATCGGCCAGATCCACCGTTGACAGCAGCACAGCGACAAGAAGAGCAGAAGCTACTAGAGAATTACATGGGCGAACGTTCATACCGACTAGCATCCATGACCAAGGCTGAAAGAGACGAAACGTGGATCGAAGCCAAGACAGAAGAATTGGCCAACAAATACGGCAGACATAGACACCGCTTCGCTCGCATGCAGTCTCCCCCGGGATTTTGGAATGCCGACTTTCCAGATACACAGCAGCTGGCGGCTGACAGGGAAGAGGCGCAAAAGAGAGAGAAGCGCGCAATCGCAGATCGATATAGAGAGGCTATGCGTCCTGGTGGCATGTGGCTATTCAGAGACGAATAGATTACTTTGATTACGAGCAATCAGAGAATATGGCGGCGCATTAGAGAGAGACAGAGAGAGAGTACATGTATGGAGCATAGCGCAAGTATATGGCAAGCATCGGCGTCAGGGTTACATAAGGGTTCGGGGCTGTTGATTGGCTGTTTGATCTGGTTAGAGCATGTAAATAAATGATGGTTGATTCCAATAGATATTACCGATTCACAGAAGCTCCATTTCCTTATTCATTCTTCAGCTTACAAGTCTTGATTCAGTGATGCGGATGCTAGTACGTTCTTGTCAGTACTATCATGCTATAAATAGTACCTGCCTAGATAGATAATCCAAGGACTGGATCTCATGAAACCTTGTACAGTTTAAAAAAATCATAAACTACTCCTAGGAAACAATTATAAAGGGATTCTACACGAAATCATGCATTGGTGATTACACTACCGTTGGCCACCCACTTGCGCCAAACTGAATACAAAACTCTCGCAGCACTCCGTATTTCGCAGCCTCTATCCGGTGTCGGCCAATCCTCGGATCTCTCCAGCAAACGGAGGGCACGGACGCTGGGGCGATCTCTGCACGCTAAACTAAACTCCAGTCACGGCCACACAACCAATTTCTGCCTTCCGCGCTAGAGTGAGGCCTGTGGGAGCCAGCCGCAACTCTAAGCCAGCGAGCGCTTCCAAACATCGCCGTCCGCTTCTACAGCCCATTTTTACTCCTCGCACCCGCCTGGCTGCAGCCTCGACTCCTGCAAGCAAGTGCCGACACGGGCATCTTGGCCTCGAGCCTCTCACGATCATACCGCTTCTCGATTCTTGATCCTCCTGCTTTCGACCCTGGCGGCACAATCGCCACTGTCGCCGGTCACGCCACCCGTTTGCGCATCTCCATCCGCGTCGCGCAGCTCGAACCAGCAATCTCCATCTCCTCCACGCCGGCCCAGGACTGCCAACCTCAGCTGCGACATCTCCCCCTCCCCGCACTCAGCTGGCGGCGCAAGTAGATGCCGGAGCAGCACTGGGCGATATCCGCAACAGTACGATCCCCCAAGCCGGCAGGATGAGTAACCGCCATCTGCCGGCTGGGCAGAACATACAAGCTGCAGCCGGAGGCATCAACGGCGGCATGGATATGAACGGAAACATGGGACACATGGGCAACATGGGCGGTGGCCCTCGGAGGAAGCAGCCGCAGTACAACATGCCCTACCACCAGCACCGAGAGCATCCTCACCATTATCCGCATCAGCAACATCCGCAGCACCCTCAGCACATGATGTACTCCAACTATGCGCCATACGGCCACCAGCAATACTACGCCATGCCGCCGCACCAGTACCAGGCCGGAGGTGTCCCGGCTCCTGGATACATGCCTTACCAGGGCTACACTAGGTCGCCGCCGCCGATGCAGCAGTTTGCCCCGATGGTGGGCGTCAGCATCCCACCGAGCTACCCCCGAGGCGTTCCGCAGTCGCCCAACCCGACCACGCCGTATCAACCTCCGCTTGCTCCCGCCCCCGGCCTGCCTCATACGCCGTCTTCGACACACTCGACGCAATTGCTGCCTCCACATACGCCTACAACTCCCCAGACGCCCCAGAGTGTTCAGCCAGCCCCTGTTGTGCCCACCCCTCCTGCTCAGGAGACAGCTCTAGCTCCATCTCCAGCTCCAGCTCCGACTACAGCCCCTGTTGCTGCTGCCGAGCCACGCGAGCCGTTTCGACCACCGGTAAGTTTATACAAGCAATGCTGGATAGAATGTACATGTTTGGCTAAATTCAGTAAACATAGCTACCCTGGCTGTCACATCCCGATGTTGAATTCCCTGTGAGGACTTCACGAACAAAACGGCAGAGAAAGCCTTTGGTTGCGGGGGACAAGGCGGTATCCCTACCTACGGGGCAGCATGATGTAGCTGGAGAACAAGGCAGCCAGAAGCCTGCTCCCCCTGCCCAAGACGAGCCGAGCACTCAAGCTCCGGCTCCCAAGCAAAAGGGAGATCCTAGTGCAGAAACATCTGGAGTATCAAAATCCAAGGAGACAACCAAGGATTCTACTGCAACCAATGTTTCTACCACGCGCCCAGCTGCGCCCGCCATTCCTGTGGTTCCAGTGCTGCCAAAGCACGGTCCCAAACCTGAGACTGCGAGTCAAGAGAAGGCAAACGAAGATGCTGTCAAGCCTAACGACCAAGACATTGTGGCTGCCAATCCAGATGAGGCCAGCCCTGACGGAACAAACGATGCTCCTGCCCCAGCAGTCAAAGCTCCTCCCACGAGCTGGGCCAATCTATTTGCCAAACCATCAGCACGAGCTCCGGTCGACGGCTCAGGAGTGAATGGTGCCAATGGCGTCAATGGTGATTCGGCAGATGCTAACAATTTCCCCGGCTCTGCCTTTTCCAAGTCAAATGTCAATTCCCTTGCGGAAGCAATCCAGTCATATGCAGTTGAGAACAACGGTAAACTCGACTTCCTTGAGCCACGTGGACTCATCAACACTGGTAATATGTGTTACATGAATTCCGTAAGACTATTCTTTGGAAATAATCAAATTTTGAGGAAATGGTAACTAACTTGTTATTTTAGGTGCTTCAAGTGCTCATGTTCTGTGTACCTTTTTACGACTTGCTTGATCAAGTTGGCAAGAGGGCTGCTCATAGCTTCAAGAGCGAGACTCCTTTGATTGACGCTTTGATTATGTTTATGAGGGAATATAGGGTTCTCAAGTCGTCGTCGTCGGTTGAGCAGCTGAACCGTAACCTGAAGAGCGAGGACCTCGAGCGCTATGGCGAACCATTTACACCCGAGTTTGTTTATGACGCCATCCGACAACTATCTCGATTTGACAGCATGCGAGTGAGTTAATTCCCCTCTATCTACCTCCCTCCTTTAAACCCGAAACTTGTAACTGACTCCCGGTTTTAGCGTGGTCATCAACAAGACGCAGAGGAATTTTTGGGCTTCCTTCTTCAGTCCCTCGATGACGAGTGTACACATGTCATGAAAGATCTGTCAATCGCAGCCGAAGAAGTGCCCTCATCCAACACCTCAACCGGTGGATCTGTTGCAGCTTCCGATGATTGGCTTGAGGTCGGCCGCAAGCAACGGGCTGCAGTATCTCGCCTATCAGGCCACAATACTTCGACTCCTATTACCAAGATTTTTGGCGGCCTTTTGAGATCTGAATTTCGCGTGCCCGGGTTGAAAGATTCCATCACCACAGAACGCTACCAGCCTCTCCAATTGGATATTCAGTCACCAGATGTCAGGAATGTTGTTGATGCCCTACGTGGGCTGACCCGGCCAGAGCGCATTCAGGGCGACTTTAACTCGCCACGCGGAAAAGATGTCGTTGCTACCAAGCAAGTCTTCATCGAATCGCTGCCTCCTGTCTTAATTCTCCACCTGAAACGGTTCCAGTTCGACGCTGAAGGCCATGGAACGGTCAAGATCTGGAAGAAGATTGGATATCCTTTGGAGCTTGAAATTCCTCGCGAGGCTTTGTCACGGCAAAAACGCGATAGCTCGATGCCTAGATACAAGCTTATCAGTGTCGTCTACCACCATGGAAAGAACGCCAGCGGTGGTCACTACACGGTAGATGTGAGACGACAGGACGGTCGCGAGTGGATTCGGTTAGACGATACCGTTATTCGACGCATACGTCCTGAGGATGTTGCTGAAACAGGATCTGAAGAAGATCACAAAGACACACGAAAGGAAGCTACCTCGAGTGTCACCAACAACCGATTTGGAGCGATGAATGATGAAGATACTGGTGATGAAGACGGCTGGAAGCAAGTTACGGCGCCAGCCAACGGCAAGCGATGGAGCAGTGTCGTCAATGGCGGGGCTAACGGGGCTGTCAAAGAGAAATCAGTCAAGGACAGCATCAAGGACAACAAGGTGGCATACCTCTTGTTTTACCAGCGTATATAAGAGAGCCCCTGGCTTGGTACCCTCTGACTCTACCACAACATAATGGATCTACGGGGTCAAAGGGCCGGATAGGAAATGAGAGATTTGCATTGGAGGATTTGTACATGACAACTACAGTATTAAATGATGTTTGATACAAAAGCCATTTACTATTTCATGTCAAGGATGAGCATAGGCGAGAATGGAGGGCACAACAGGAAAGAGGACTCGTAAAACGATAACGGAGGCAGAAAGTTGGCAGATGCCCAGCGGGTCAGATTTGGCGTTCTGGCGTCTCGGCAGGATTCTTAGTTTTTTGTCGAGACGATAAAAAGAGGATGAAAAAAAGGGGGGGGGAACCGGCTCTGGCTACAGGGCAGATATTGATTTTTTTATACGGCGGCACGTCTAGACTAGACTGGGCTTCGAAAGAGGGATGTTTGGGTCAGGGTTAAGAAAAGCATTTTGTTGGCGGGGAGTCTCTTTTCTTTGTTGCTTCCAAAAGTGCATTTTTTTTTACTCCTGTACTATTAATAACATAGCCAGTTTGAGTAAGGGTATTTGAAAAAAGAATAAATCACAAGTAATTACTGCATATAATTAGAGGTTGGTTGGTTGATGGGCGAGGGAGTAAAGAGGCTAGACCATGTCTATAATATTTTGATTTTAATACAAGAGACCTGTGTAGAATCTCTGAATAACCATCACTTCGCCGCCGCTACTTGATCCTGATTCTCAAAACCAATGAGTACATTTATCATTTTCTTTATTCCTTTCTCTCCTTCTCTTTTTAGTGCTTCTTGATGACAGTCATGGAGTCCAGAGCGTCCTTTTCGGCCAGCTCGGCCTCGACTTGAGCCAGGATGGATCGCAGGTAGGGGACATCCTAGTTAAATATTGTTAGTTTGCAGATATTGGAAAAAAAAAGGTTTTATATCGAGGGTTATATAATAATTATACATGGTATAATTATATATGTTTGTATCGCGGCGGGAATATAGTCGTACCTCCTCGGGCTTGGTCCACTGGTCCTTGGGGAGCAGCTTGTGGGTGTAGCTGCACTGGACGGAGCGACGGATGCGGTAGACACGCTCGTAGGACTCCTTGGCAGACAGACGCTTCAGGGCGATCTGGACAGCTTCGTTCTCTTCCTCGAGGAGATCGTCGTATCTGGTATTAGGGAGAGCATAGCGTTAGCATGGCCTGGTCCCATATTGCCCAATTCTATACCAGCAATTCTCTTTTTAAAAAGTTTCCTCCTCTCTCCATGCCATATATCATTCCCTCCTCCATAACCATTGCTGACATCCGCGCAAAAAGCTTTAAAAGATTCGGTTCGTACCTCAGACCGAGCTGGCGGTAGCCGGCAGCGCTAGCATACCAATTGGCAGCGGGCGTCAGCATCTTGGTCAGCCAAGGCCGCTTCAAGACGTAAGGAGCGAGAGAGACCATGTCGGGCGACTGTAAGGGCGGCGATAGGGGGAGATGCTGCGAGAGAGAGAGGCGGCTGCGGTTCTCGGATTGGCCTTTTCGTGAGGATTGCGCGAAATGGGATGATTCGGCGGGCCGCAAAAGTTGGGAGAGCTCGGGATGTCACGTGCAAGGTGCTAAAGTGGCAGCGTTTTTGGTGGGGGGTTAACTATTTCTCTTTTAGGCTTCAGTAAATAACGGTTTGAAAAACGGTACCATGTTTTTTCAAAGCCATTTTAAATGGCTTTGCTACAGCCCACGGAGGGACCCGGAAGCGAACCACGCCCGATGTGGGGAACGAGACCGGCGCTTTGTGTCCCAATCACGAACTTGGCCTTGGCTTGATGCTGCGCGGAAGATGCAGGACAATGGCCCGTTGCATTCGTTTTGGGGGGGCTGCTGGAGGGTTGCCATACGTCAGCATGTGATGACAATGCAGTTGCAGAAGCATGGCTGGCCTGCAATTAGACAGCCGAGCGGCATGTGAGGATGCCGATGGGCGTACTCTGAAGTTGTATATGAAGTGAGATCAGATCTACAAGTGCTCGTCATGCCAATTACCAACAGCGAGGCCTACTAATGCTTGCTTTTGTCGGCGTTTGTTCTAAATGCCTGGGCCCTGGCTAAATTTGCGTCATTTGTCTCTGACGTAGTGACATTTTTTTTCTTTGCCCCCCCCTGCATTTTGCGAGTTGCGAACTTGTGCCCTGAAGGGAAAACATTGTACTCTGGTTTTACGGGTTGAGTCGCTAGCGCTACTTGTTTGCTCGCTGTTCTGATAGCCACTTTAGCGCTGAGAGGGGCTCAAGTCCAGTGGAAATAGAAGGCCGAGCCCCCTCCCGCTAAAGCCCCAAACCAGCGCTTTGCTACAGTTGAAAACGCTGGGGGAGACCCGGAGAAGCGTGGGCCAGCGGAAACCGATTGCCTGTGGCTATCTTCTTCGCACTCTCCACACGCTCTTCCATTCTTTTCCCTCTTTCCACTCCCATCCTCTGCCTTCTCTCCTCCTGCGCAGACGCCTCCTTACACCCCGACCAGCGCGATTCATCCCATAGCCTCAGCCGCTCTGGGCGACTCTCTTTGGCCTTCGCACAAGTCAATGGCCGGCGGCGTTCGCTAGGCAAGGACGGTTACTGCGCGTGGGAGCGTTCCCCGCAGTACCCGGACTTCCTGGACCGGACGGATCCTCGATTTGAAAACACCATACATATCGACAGCAGGGTTGGAAGGAGAATAACCAAATTTTTCTTTTTTTTTCTTCGAATAGTTTACGGGTAGAGCCGCAGAGCGGTGTCTTCCACCCTTATAGGCTACGCTGGGGACTGTCTCTAAGAGACGCTACAGGATCGGATCAAGAAAGCGATCTTGATATCATCGCCAGCAGAATACAACATAACATAACCTTCGCCGCCAGATTCTACACCCCGATACTACCCCCCACAAGCGCCGTTTCGACTGTTGAAATATTAGACTTTTCTCTCTTGTTCTTTTTTCTTTTTCCATCGTTAAAGAGGGTGCTATGTCTCACGACCAGTCCCCCGAACAAACTCAGCCTTCGTCTGCAGATCATGCGTCATCTCCCTATCGACTCGCCTCTGTTGCCGATTCTCCAATGCCCTCAATAGCCGGGGGTTTAACCCCGCTGCACCGATGGACACTCTCCGCCTCCGATTCCCAATTCAATGCCATATCAGGGGCTATTGGTGGCTTCACGTCTGGCGTTGTGACTTGTCCGCTTGATGTTATCAAGACCAAGCTGCAGGCCCAGGGCGGCCTTACCCTAGTAGACAAGGGCCGGCATGTCGGACATCCGAAATTGTATAATGGGCTGATAGGAACAGCCAAGGTCATCCTGCGTGAGGAAGGAATTCGGGGCCTGTACCGGGGCCTGGGGCCCATTGTGCTTGGATATTTGCCGACCTGGGCAGTGTGGTTTACCGTTTACAACAAGAGCAAGACGTTCTTACATCAGTATAACGGTACGTAACTCCGTCGGATTTAATCCATTTTGGACTTTTTTTTTTTTTCCCTTGGCTGACTGACTTTCCCTTCGTGAGCAGACAACCCACACATTGTGAGCTTTTGGTCATCCATCGTCGCTGGTGCGAGCAGCACCGTTGTAACGAACCCAATATGGGTTATCAAGACCCGACTGATGTCGCAGAGCAATCCGAACGTGGCTAGAGGCCACCACGCATTTGCTCGTCCTGGTAATACCCCGACAGCAAGGCCGATTCTCCACGACTGGCATTACCGATCGACGATTGATGCGGCGAGGAAGATGTATTCTTCCGAAGGCCTTTCTTCGTTTTACTCTGGTCTTACCCCTGCTCTTCTCGGCTTGACGCATGTTGCCGTTCAGTTCCCTACGTATGAATTTTTGAAGACAGCATTCACCGGGCAAGGTATGGGTGAAGTACAGGAAGGAGAAAAAGCCCACTGGACGGGCATTCTGTCTGCTTCCATTCTATCGAAAATCTTAGCCAGCAGTGCGACTTACCCGCACGAAGTCATTCGGACTAGGCTGCAAACCCAGAGACGGCCGGTTGCTGGCGAGACCTTCCTGGTAGATATGGCGGCACCAGGAGCGAAGGTAGCATCTGGACCGAAATATAGAGGGGTCGTCATGACATTCCGAACCATCCTCTATGAAGAAGGATGGAGGGCGTTCTACGCTGGAATGGGCACTAACATGATGCGAGCCGTCCCTGCTGCAACGGTGACAATGCTCACATACGAATACGTTATGAGGGAGCTGAACAAGACGAAGATGCAGGCTCAAGAGATAAAGCGGGCGCAGGAGGGAGAGCCTTGAACAATCAAGATCTTCCATCGAACACGGAAGAAATTCGCGGCATCATGGTTCTATCCGTGGATATTTTTCTTTAATTTCTTTTTTCATACGTTCATGGAAATGGGATTCTACGAAACAATAAGCAAAGTATCATGGGGGTTCAGATATACCCTTCTTTCGGACCTCCCCCCCTTTTTTTCAGTTTCTGGGCCAAATTGTAGGTATAGACTCGCTTGAAATTTTGTAGCAGAAGCAGCACAAACATATACGAGATGTTTTGGGCCCAGTAAAATCTTTTCTGATAGCCCTTGTTTCCATTCCTATTTGTTTGCTCTATTCTCCTTTCTATTACTCTTTTTATTCAGTTTTCGATTATTTTCCCTCCTTTTAGTCTAGAGAGATTATTTGCATCGGGAGGGAAATGGTGGAGGAGCGTTTGTATTTTCTGGCGGAAGAATAGGCGGGCGGAATGGGGGGTGTTGGGTTAGGCTTTGATTTGCTAGCAAGCTATCTGTGTATATCTAGTGACATAGGAAGAGCAGAAGAATTACGCTATTAAATGATTAGTTATGTGGTGCCTCGTTTCTGCTTTTTTTTGCTAGTTGAATTTTTTTTTCTCCCTCGAGACAATGGTGGCTGAAAGGATAGGGGTTTTTGTTAAAGCCGCTTATATTCGGGTAAGAGTTTGAATGTGGGTATGGTATGGCGTAGACATTATGTGGATGTAGTTCTATTAGTCTTTGAGTGGCTCCTATGAGTCGCGTGGTACAGGGCTATATTAAACGGTAAAAAGCTTGATATTTTACTTTGCTTTAGGCATATCTACATGTAGTCTTGAATATCTACTATGGCTATAAGTAACCCCAAATTTGAAAAAACAAACGCCGTACACTATGTAGCCCAAATAAACACCCAAGTAACGCAATAGCACAAATAGTTTTCCTTTACACCCAGGTGCTAGGCGCTAGGCGCAATAACAAATAATCCCCATTTACTGTTATCTTTGTCTTACAGCATAGCCTTGGGGAAGTTCCTCATCGCCTGTCTCACGCCCAAATCACCGAGAATCTCCTCGGCGCCACCAAGGATAGCATCGAACTTGTACGTCCGGTTGAAAATCTCGACGTACTTGCCCATGCCGGACTGGGTCAAGCCACGGCCACCCCAGATTTGGACGGCTTCGTCGGCGACTTCGTGGGCCACGCGGGTGATGCTCATCTTGAGCAGGCCGATGGGGCCGGCGAGGTGGATGGCCTGCTGCTTGTAGGGCATGTTGCACATTTGGTATGTAATTGTCTCGAGCCAGGACTGGTTGGCCTCGACGAGGGCAATCATCTTGGCAAGCCTAGAGAGTGAAACTGGTTAGCTACCTGCCTCTTTTTTCTTTTCTTTTTACAGCGGAATTTGATACTCACTTTTGACGAATGACTGGCTGGTCAATGAGACGCTTGCCAAAGACAATGCGCTGGTTTGCCCACTTCAAGCACTCCTCGGTGATGAAGCGCGAGGCGGCAATGGAGCTGCAGGCCATGGCCCAGCGCTCGTGGTTGAAGTTGCTGAGGATGACGTGGATGCCCTTGTTCTCCTCGCCAAGCAGGTTCTCCACGGGGACCTTGACGTTATCAAAGGTGATGTAGGCGGTTCCTGCGGTGGTAGAGTAGGAGGTCTTGATGGACTTGGTCTCGACGCCCTCGCCGCGCTCGATGAGCACCACGCTGAGGGCTTTGCCGGTGCGGACACCGACGACGAAGTAGTCGCAGAAGACACCGTTGGTGATCCACTTCTTGGTTCCATTGACGATCTGCAGAGATATTGATGGTTAGAATGATTTGCTAGCTGGTGAGAGAAGAGCAACGAGAGACAACTTACGTAGTGCTTTCCATCGGGCGTCTTCTCGGCAGTGGTGCGAAGACCGGCGACGTCAGAGCCGGCAAAGGCCTCGGTGATGGCCAGGCAGAGCTTCTTTCTACCGCTGAAGACTTCATCGACAATCTTCTTCTTCCACGGGCCCTCGCGAGCAAAGTTGAGCACGGCTGTGAGGCCAATCGCCATACCAGCCAAGTTGCCGTCTTGGAAGCCTCGCATCATGGGGCGGGTCATCTCCTGACACATGACCATGTCGTGGAAGTAGTCAAATTCCTCGCCCTTGACGGCGCCGTTGAGGAGGTTCACACCGTGGAGATGCTTTCCGGGGCCGAGGCGCATGTGGATAACGCCGGATTTGCTCATCTTGTCAATGACTTCTTGGCTGACATGGCGGCCAGTGGCCTCGCACTCGAGGGCCTCGGGCTTGACGACCTCGTCGGTGAAGATGCGGATGGCCTTGCGGAGCGAGTGGTGAGAGTCCTTGAAGTAAGGGCTCTTGAAGTGAGGGGTCAGCCACAAGGGCTCGGCGTAGGGGACCGGGCTGAGGTCGCCAGGCTGGGGGGTGATGACTTCGGGCTTCTCGCCCTCGATGGTGCCGATGGCGAGGTCTTCATAGCGGGAAAGGACCTCGTGGCGGTGGAGGTTGTAGAAGGCTGAGGTGGCGTCCTGGCCGGCGATTTGCTTGAGCACGCTCTCGCCGCCGGGGTGGGCGTCGACGAAGTCGGTGAGGTCGTAGACAACGTGGTCGATGACGCACCAGAGGGAGTCTTCGGAGGTGTGGTTGCGGACCTCTTCGCGGGTGAAGGTCTTTGCTGGGGGAGCCATTGTGGTTTGGGAATTTGAGCTGAAGGGGGAGGAAACAGAGAAGATGAAGCAAAAGACGATGCAAGACTTGAAAGAAGGGAAAGAAGATGAGAGAAGGAGAAGAGATGAATGACAAGGGATGAAAAGTTTAAAACGAGAGCTAGGTCGATTGCATTTCCTGGAGTCGACGTCGCTTTAAAGCTGACACAGCGGCTCATTCGACTGCTCTGAATCTTTGTGCCCGAGCCTCGGCTTGGAGACGCGGGTACCTGGGGTGAAATAGAAGGGTCGCTATTGGCTGGAAGGCATGGAAACGCAGCTTTCAACGGTTGCTATCCCTGTTTAGCGCTCCGGGGGCAGTTCTGTCTTTGTCTTAGCGCTGTGGAAGTTGGGGATTTTATCGTACTTGGCATTTGGGAAAGCCGGAAGCAGAGAACATATTGCTGTGTTCGGCGGAGGGTCATTGGCGAGAAGTATGGGGTTTAGATTCGATGTAGAATCTGGGGATTTGGTTTGATTTTCTCGTGGTAATAGCCAATGTCATTTTGATGTGACGGCCCTGTTGTGTTCTAATACGAGTATTCGAATCCACGTACGAGCTAAGAGGCACTGTAGGGCTGTTGTTCAAAGGACTGAAGGGATGATTTCATCGTTGGGCGCAAAACTGCATACCAGAGATTATCATTCATCCGTCTCAAAATGGGGAACGCTCTCCGCATACCAACGACTTCCCGGATTAGCATCGCATTGCCGCATTTATTGGTTGAGGGATCTTGAGCCTCGGCAGAGATCGTAGTGGGTACCTTTCTGCATCGCCCTTGGACTGTGGGGGTTCTATTCGGCCAGTCTCAGTGTCTGCTGTGATGCTGGGGCCCCTTCTCTCTCTCTTTCTCTCTCTCTCTCTCTTCCCTGTCTAATTTTTACTGGGTGCATCATGTTCATAATTCGCATGATATACTTTGTAATTGTAAATTAACTGTTTCGCGGACAATATATGGCTTACAGCGAGGCCGCTTATACACAGCACTGAACGAAGAATCAGGCCATTGCACTAAAGCTGGAAATAGGCGCTATTCTAAACAGGGCTGGATGGACCCTGAAAATGAATCCGCCCGGAGCCATGGAAAACCCACTTCTGCCTCAGTGACTGAACGATTTATTCGGAAACTGGCGAGAACTTTTTTTCAGCCTCTTCTTGTCAGTAACGCCAAGCTTTTGAAGCGAGTATAAGTCTACAGCGTTGGTTGGTTACATTACGACTTAACGAAGTTGGATATCCTGGGAGGGCACTCTACAAGTACATGTTCCGTTCCTTATCACGCCTTGGTACGTAAGATCGACCAGCACCTTTTTTTCAGTCCTTTTGTTTTATCTCTTTTATCTCCCAGTGTTGAGCAGCAGCCGCGCCGTCCAGTGATTGTCGGCACTGTCTTGACGTCTTACACGCCTAAGCTCTATTCTATCTTCACTTGCACGCCTCCAGCATCTATATACATATCAACATATGCACTCGTCATGGAATATTTCTTATTTGAAAATGCCCATTTGCGGGCTAGCTCTTGCAAGTACTTGTGTGTGGCAAGCGCCGGCACTTGGCCACCTCCAGTCACCGGACTTCTTGGTCCCTCGTGGCCTGGATGCGACGCTGGCCTCGTGATCGACCAATAGCGCTCTTTTAATCTATCTATCAGAGCCTACCACTCGCTGCTTGGCCTCATTATCTCGCATATCAGATACATGCACATGGATTTGATTTGTGAATCAATCTCGGCTATTCTCTCGTTCTTATTCCTATCCATCTCTTTACTCAGCACCCTGCATCTGTCTGACTTACTGCATTCACGCCGCATATCGTCTCACTCATACTGTCCATCTGCACCCTTACAGCGCATCTGCCCATAGTCTCCAACTGAGTCAAGTGACACAACTCATCATACAGCTGCTGGTCTCTGCATCAGCACCACTTGGCAACATGGACGCTTATGCAATGTATCCAGTTAGTCTCTCGAAACAAAGTTCATCCAGAATATACCAGGATCTCTGGGCAACACGACTCCACAGCCTGGTGCAGCTGGCATCGGATCATTCGCTAGGTAGAGCCGTGACCATGGACAGTTTCAAGCAGGTATAAGCCAACTATCCACCTATGCCCTTTCTTGGTCTTTTAGAATTCTTGGCCCACCCTACCATGTCATATCGTTTTGTACAACCCCTCGTGTTACCCGCACGAACTTGCTAAGAACACCAAAAGAACAGCACCCAGCCCTTTGAATCACAGGAATTTCCCCCAATTGACTTGAACTGGTACTCACACAGCCTCCAATAGCTCAGAAAAATTAGCCCGGGCTCAAAACCGCACGTAGGCATCGTCGGCGCAGGACTGTCTGGCCTCCGGTGCGCAGATATCCTGCTACAACATGGATTCCAAGTAACAATCATCGAGGGCCGTAGTCGAATCGGCGGTAGGCTTTGCCAAGCGAGGCTCGGAAATGGCCATTTGGTTGATATGGGACCCAACTGGATACACGGCACTGATGACAACCCTATGCTGGATCTGGCCAAACAAACGGGGACAGCCGTTGGAACTTGGGATGTAGCGTCTTACGTGTTTAACGAGTCTGGGGATTTGTTACCGGTAACAGAAGGAGAAAAATACTCTTCCCTGGTGTGGGATATCATTCAAGATGCATTCGTGCATTCGAACAAATCCTCTGCAGATATCGACGAGAAACTTAGCTTGTTGGATTTCTTCAAAGAAAAGGTGGTGGAAAAGATACCCGAATCTGAGGACGATTTCCAGAAAAAGAGAGAAATGGTTTTGAAGATGTCTGAGATGTGGGGTACTTTTATCGGCAGCCCCGTTGGCCAACAGAGCTTGAAGTTCTTTTGGCTCGAGGAATGCATCGAAGGGGGTGAGTTGAGACCTATCCGCATAGAAAGCGAGACTTGACCGACTGTTTCGCACGCAGAATAGTGCTAATCATGGCACAGAGAATCTCTTTTGCGCCGGCACATACGAAAAAATCCTCCAAGAGGTTTCAAGACCAGCACTTTCTAGTGCCACCATCAAACTGGACTCCATCGTCGACAAGATATCGTGCCGGACAGATCCAAATGATGAGACTCGAGTGCAGCTGAAGAGCGGACAGACTTTGGCGTTTGACGAACTGGTTATCACATGTCCTCTAGGGTGGCTGAAACAAAATCTCGCCGCATTCGACCCTCCCCTGCCGTCGGTCCTAACAAAGGCGATTGGCTCCATTGGCTATGGGTGTCTTGAAAAGGTCAGCTAGCCACGGCGAGAGAACAACAGCCTGTATTACCATTAGATTGAGATCACTAACAGTGTCCTCTCCACTTCACAGGTCTACATTAGCTTCCCCAAGGCATTCTGGCTCCCAGCCGAAGGCGAGGGCCGCAGAGTACATGGCTTTGCCCAATGGATAGCGCCCGAATATCACGCTGAGAATGCTCGCGGGTGGAATCAGGAATTGGTCGAGCTGGCCAGCATTGCACCTGAGGCAGCTCACCCAACGCTGCTCTTTTACATTTACGGCGAGCAGTCGGAGTACCTGACAGCCAAGGTGGCTGAGATTGACGGACAAGAGAAGAAGGACGCTTTCCTGCTGGAATTCTTCAAACCTTATTACTCCAGGCTGCCGCAGTACTCCGAAGGCTCAGCAGACTGCCAGCCCGTCTGCTGTCTCGCAACCGATTGGGTGCGTGACGAGCTTGCCGGCTACGGTAGCTACAGTAATTTCCAGGTCGGCCTATCCAACGGAGATGAGGACATCAAAACCATGAGGCGCGGTCTGCCGGAACACGGCCTGTGGTTGGCGGGAGAACACACGGCGCCGTTTGTTGCGCTGGGGACGGCAACTGGGGCGTATTGGAGCGGCGAGTCGGTCGGGAAGAGGATCGTGGAGGCCTACGACATGCCGAAGCAGAAAGAGTCATTGGACGCAGCTCCGTAATCTTTGATTTTGATTTTGCTTTTGAGGGACTGCACTCCTGCGGACTCTGCATGTAGACACCGCCATGTACTGATCTATATACATACATACATACATACATACATACATACATACATACATACATACATCTTACTGTAGTAGATAAGTAAGTAGAAGCAGCCTGTAAGACTTTCAACGGGGCAAGATAAACTGACATGATGCTGCTACGGAGTACAGATGAGCCAATTCAATCGCACAATCACGTACCGTGCGGGCCGCAGGCAGAATTTCCAGGCTGTGAGCTTTTCCTCTGCTGCTGCTAAGCCGCCCTACAGTAGCATGCTCGGATGCCTGGCAAAGGCTGCGGCGTCCCTCCGTGCATTGCGTGAATGCAGCCTGTGGTTGGCCTTGGCCCTATCTCTCGAATGCACAAACCATGCCGCGACCCGCCGATCCACCGCCTGGTGCATATGCCAGTAATCCGGACAGTGTCTGGCCAAGCGGTTCCAGGGGCGCAGATGCGTGCGCTGTCCAGGATAGGATGGCCTTGGAGTGCATGATAGGCAAACGGCGTCTGCTGCCATTGGACCTCTGCCGTCGCACGGTCGCTATCAGGAGGGCTGCCTAGCACCAAGACAAGGCAGTAGTAGCACACACCTAATGCTCCAAGCTCGTGCCTGTGCCGTTTACGTAGAGCAGAGTCACAGGCACCAAGGCTAGGCAGTCCGCGGCACTGCGCTGAGACAGGTTTGGATCACAATCAGGGCTGTCGTAGTACGTCCCCGCAGCATAACTGAGTCTCGTCCAAAACGCCAAATACGAAGTAACTCTCAGCCATGGTGGCACAGGTACCGTCGGTGTAGGCAGTGACATCTCGGGTACTCCAGACTGACGTCGCCAGCTGCTATCGATAGCGGCCCACCGCCAGTGGTCAAATGACGCTGAGACGCCCTGGATCAGCCTGCCATGACTCCCGGGAGCGTCACGAGCTAGTGCGTGAATGGGGCCTCCGGGGACCCTTGACCCAGGCATTGGCGCTGCCGCTGGAGGTAGAGCGGCTGTACTGCGTGGTATCGCCTTAACGAGAGTGCCCTCGAGCCCCTCGACCGATTCCGCCAGCCGCTAAGCCCCGAGCAACTCACTCCAAAGTTTCATCCTGGCTGGGGGAGATCCTGGCTTTAGGTTCTGGCACGATCTTCGTCCATCTCGCTTCCCATCCTTCTCTCATCTCTCATCTTTCCATCTCTTGTCGCTCCTCGCAGCAAGCTGGCGGAAGCTGAGCCGAACCTCCCCGCGCCTGCTTCGCTCCCACAGCTGATCTTGCGCCGTTGATGCCTCGTTCTCGATCTGTTCAACCATGAACCTCGTCCCCGCATTTGGCCGGGGGTCTGTTGATATCGCGCCTACCGCAGCCTTTGGCTGGAGCCGGTGACGATCTGATTTCCGTTCAGTTCCGTTTACCTTTCTTATCGTCGCCAGCGCCAGCTGTTCCGATCGCCTCTTTCCTCTCTATAACCATCTCCAAAACCTAAAGCCCCGAAACAACAAACCATCACCATGGCTGGGCTTTTCCAGTCATTTCGGAGCTCCAGCATGCCTAAACGGCTGCTGCGATATGCTTTATCGCGGCTGGAGCTGCTCGATTCCGACGCGTTAGACATGGATAATCTAGATCTGGCTTTGGGTAGAAATACAGTTTTTGAGTTTAGGGATGTTGGAGTTCAGCTAGATGTGAGTGTCGATTCTTACTTGCTATTGGGAAAAGAAGAAAAAGAGAGAGGCTGACATCCATTTTAGAAGCTTGAGAAGCTACTGAAACTGCCTAGGACGTTTGCGCTGCAAAAGGCCAAGGTCCTGCTCCTGCGAGTCACCATACCTATGGATTTCTATACGAGCCCTATATCTATCGAAGTTGATGGCGTGGATGTCAAGTTGAAAGTACTAGTATCTGATGCAAAGTCCAAATCGGACCGGTCAACTAAATCTACCTCCGACGATGCCTCAGCCGCTGTCCCAAACACCGTGGACCTTGCGCAATCATTCCTCGAAACGCAGCCGTCATCGGAGAGAAGGAAACTCGAAGCTGCGCTAGCTGCAGAAGCGCAAGATCTTGGCGCATCTACAGCAATGAGCGACGATAGCAGCGAAGATGAACCCGTCGTGGGTACTGGACAGCCTCTATCATTGCCCGGTTTCCTAGCGGGCTTCCTACAAGGAATTATGGACCGAATGCAGATAAAAATCAAAGGCGTGGGATTCCAGCTAGATATGGATATCCCTGTAGACTTGCATTCGCCAGCCACCGAGCCGGTGTCTTTCCAAATCGCCCTGGAAGGCATCGATATCGAAGGCGTTACTACGAGAAGCGAGAAATCGGAAGGGTCGCCAGTTGCAGCTCCCAAGGAAGGGAAGCGACAGATCTCTCTGGACAATGTCCGTGCCTATCTTGTATCCGAGGCCAACGTCTTTTCTACCCTAACACGATCCTCATCCATGACTTCACCATCCGCTACGTCTTCGCCTCATGCGACAAGGAACCCTCCTTCGAGGGAATCCACATCCTTGTCGTTAGAGAGTCCCCAGGAACCATATTTTGCGCCATCAATAATGTCATCACACCACCATCATCAGGCACAGTCGCCTCGGGAGAGCGTTTATAGCCAGCATATGACTTCATCGCAAGCGAGTTTCAATGATCAATTTTTGCCATCACTTCAAGGGAGCTTCAGGGACCACCTAGCCGACGCAAATGAAGCAGATCAGCCCAATTACCCATTGGGAGATAGTGAGGAAGCTCTTGGAATTCCATACGACTTTGGAGAAAATGAGGATGAAGGCATGCTAGATGACGAAGCCCCTGCGACTCCCCGCGCTTCACTATACCAAGACTTCAACTCCCCCGAAAATGCAAGGTTCCATTCACCTGAAGATCCTGCGCCATATTCCTCACCCCCAAGAAGTATGTTCGATAGCGGGCTATCTAGGTCACAAGATGCCTTAGAGGAGCAGGACTTCCAACCGACCTATGCCGTGTCGCGACAAGAGTCAGATTTAGGGGCGTCTGGTGTTATTCATGCTCAGTCTTTGGCGGAGTTGGGGTACCAAGATCATTATGAACCAGAAAATCTGGCTGAAGATCTCTCACAATCGCATCTCTATACACACGAGGAGGCTGAGAGCATGTATATGAGTGCTTTCTCGAAGGCAGAGAGCGAGGCTGATATATCTGAGCTCAAATCCTCAACACACTCAGATGCGTCAACCATTGAACAAGCAGTTCCGTCGTCAGTGGAAGAGGCAGCTCAAATTCAAATTCCTCCTTCTCCTCTCCCTTCATCTCCTCGAGCTCCTTCATCTCCTCATGTACTTTCATCTCCTCAAGGACCTTTATCTCCTCAAGGACCTTTATCTCCTCAAGGACCTTTATCTCCTCAAGTACCTTTATCTCCTCAAGTACCTTTATCTCCTCAAGTACCTTTATCTCCTCAAGTACCTTCGTCCCCTCGAGTTTCTCAATCTCCTGGAGTTCCCCAGTCTCCTCAAGCTACTTTGTCTCCTCGAGCACCTTCGTCTCCCCGAGTTCCCCAGTCTCCTCAAGCTACTTCTTCTCCTCGAGTTCAATCTCCTGGAGTTCCCCAGTCTCCCCAAGGCACTTTGTCTCCTCGAGTACCTTCCCCTCCGCAAGTCATCCAATCGCCTCGCGCTTCGCCGAAGCCTGCCAAGGAATTTGTCTCAGCCATGCCCGGGGGCTGGGATGATAATGCGTCTGAAGGTTCATCGGCATCCGATCGGACGATGTCTCCCCATGTTGAGACTGAGAAATTGGTTCCCAAGCCGGACGAGAAATCAGAGCCACAACCACAGACTGAAGCCGAGGATGAGCCCAACTTTAGGTCTGAGCAAGATAAACCGAATTCTCATGTTCTCGACCAAACTTCAATAACCGAGGACGCACCGATTGGCATTGAAGAGAAGCCACAGCACGAGGATGTGGCTACTCCAAAGGGGCCGACACGAGTTGTCAAGGAAATTCTACATCTCAATTCTATTTCTATATACGTACCAACCACACATCAGCACATTGAAATAGAAGAAGATACTTCTGAATCAGTGGCCGAGCTTGCTAGGGCGATGAGCAATTCGGTATATCCTCAAGCGCCTGGAGCCTTTTCTGTGCACGCGCCATCTTCCGGCTCTGTGTACGGCCACAGGCCCTCAATACAACGAACTCAGAGTGTTGATAACGTTTTGGAGGTAGATTTGTCTCCAGTATCCATCCGCTTTGATGCTTCACTCGCCTTTGTGCTTGCTATGATTGTTGGGAAACTTCTCGAAGCGGTCAAGCAAGACAACCCAGTAAAGGTCTCAAGCAGTGGGGCTGAAAATGAGCAACACTTGGATAAGACGCCAGAGATTAAGGTGACTGTACAGGAAATCTCATTGGATTTCTTGAGCCGACTTGGTGGAGTGGCAGATACGCCTCAGCGCCATCTGGACTCTTCGGCGTTTATGTTTGCCCACGAAGTTCTTCTTAATGCAACATTGAGCGGCTTGACCATTGGCGTTTCCCCAACCAAAGTACCGGTACGGCTAGCTGGAAGAGGCGGTCCGGATAAGCAAGATGCCATTCAAACAACAATCGACCTGCAAACTTTCCGCTTCGGATATGCCAAAGATGATATCATCTCCTTTGATAAAGCCAAGCCAATGAGTACCTCTGTAAGAGATACTTTTCTTTCAAACGGGCATGATGTTGGCATCAAAATCACACAAACAAAGGAGGGCGTCAAAACCGTGATTGAAACCCTACCACTGGCTGTTCATATTGATCTACAGAAACTAGATGAGACATTTAGCTGGTTCGGAGGTCTCAGTAGCTTTCTTAACATGAGCGCTTCAATGACTTCCAGCCCGTCGCCTACACCTAAGCCACCGCCCAAACCAGCATTCATCCAGAAGCCAAAAGGTGTACGATTTGATACACCTATCAAGCCAGACGATAAATCCGCTGCTTTTGAGAACAAGATCGATATGCGGATAGGTGGCTCTTTTATCGAGCTCCTTGGCAAAGAATGCAGCTTCATTGCCGAGAGTAGAGCCATCACGCTCGTTAGTCGAGACGAAGGCATGGGAATTGGATGGCGCATGATGCGCGTATCTGGGCCATACTTGAAAAATTCCATGGCTGAACCTGCTATCAATACCGAGATCATTGGAGTTAGACTGGAATTCGTAACTATCCCCACCAATTCAGATCTCGAGAAGCTTCTTGAGCTGATTACGCCCTCGAAAGCCAAGTTTGATCATGGAAGCGACGAAATCATGGTTGATACTCTCTTGCGCCAGCGAAGGAAAGGCTCGGTACTCAGAGCTAAAGTAGATACTTTGAATGTGCGAGTGAAGAACCTGGCCCAATTCGAAGTGCTACCAGCCCTAGCTGAAGAAGTGGCCAAGTTGTCTACTGTGGCGAAATATCTCCCAGAAGACGACCGACCTGGACTCATGACGCTAGCAACAATCCATAACCTTGGCACGAGTGTTGATCTTGGAGGGAACTTTGGGCAGCTTAGCTGCGATATCCAGGATCTTGAAGCTGCGCATATTACCGTTCCATCGCTGGTGGCTGTTGCAGTCTCTATGATATCCGTCCGACGCAACGAAACCGAAGAGCTTATCAATTCTTCGATCCTGTATCCTTCTGCAGAGACTGCTGCAAGTCGAGGTCCAGTCGTTATGGCGAGAATGATTGGTGACGACATTGAGCCAGTCATCAAGCTCAACCTACAGGATATCAGCATCGAGTACCGAGTTCCCACTATTATGGATATTCTTGGCCTGGCAAACGATGCTACGCCGCAGGATTTCGAAGAGAGTCTTGCTGCATCAGTGGCCAGTCTTGGTGACCAAGCTCACGCCGCACTGGCGCGACCGCAGCCCCAGTCACCGACTGAGGTCGCCGCTAAACAGAGTAAACCAATGACTTTGGATGTATCATTTCGAGACTGCCTTGTCGGCTTGAATCCTCTCAACCAAAAATCCAAGATGGTCCTTGTATTCACAGATGCTCACCTCGCCGTCACTCTTCCAAAGGATGAGGTGACGAACGTGAATCTGGATATTAATAAGGCCTCGATTTTGCTGACAGATGATGCCTCCCTTAGCGCGCCAGATGACCGTGCTTCCAGAAACCCAAGACGCCGGTCGTCCTCATCAGCAACTCCTCAAGTAATCTCCTTGTGTTCTCAAGGATATGTGGATATTTGCTACATGTCCTCAGCAAAAGTCATTGTCAATGTGGCTCCGGGCATGGATGGTGAGAAGCAGGTAGAAGTTGAAGTTCGAGATGATCTTTTGGTGTTGGAGACTTGTGCAGATTCAACCCAAACCCTGATAAGCTTGACCAATGCTCTTTCGCCACCGACTCCGCCAAGCAAAGAGAATAAATACCGGACCAAGGTAGTGCCTGTCCAAGACTTGCTTGCTTCAATTTCCGCAGAGGCATTTGGCAAGCCTGAAGGGGAATACGACTTTGATCAGGATTTCTCTGCTGCACAAGAAATGGCTAAGAGCCAGTCCGACATCGGTTTTGGAAGTGATGGTTCTCTCCGTATCGAATCTCAATTTTTTGGAGATGAACCTGTGGGAGAAGAACTGTTCGATGCTATGAATCTTTCCATTACATCACAAGATGCGAAGATGCAAGATACTAACGAGGGAGTCTTAATCTCTGGGCTTGAATCTTCCACTAGCCACGTCTCGGAAGACAGCGAAGGTCTAGTTATTCACGACGACTTTTATAGCCGCAATGCCGCTGAAGAGCACTCTGCAAAGATTTGGAACTCGAATAAGAATACTTATGACAGAGCTCCCGCGCACCTGGTAAAGCGCAGCCCCCTCAAAGTATCTGTAAGAGATGTGCATCTCATCTGGAACCTATTTGATGGCTACGACTGGGTCCATACTCGCAATGTTATCAACAAAGCTGTCCACGATGTAGAGGCTAAAGTCTTTGAGCGCCAAGCACGACTTGCCGGTCAGCCGGTTTACGAAGAAGAGCTTGAAGATGAAGAGACAATAGGCGACTTCTTGTTTAACTCCATCTATATCGGAATCCCAGCCAATCGAGACCCGCAAGAATTGGCTCGTGCCATCAACGAAGGCCTTGCCGACAATGCGACGGAGACAGAATCAGTCGCTACTACAGCTGTGACAGCAACATCGAATCGGACTGTACGTAGAGGGTATCCCAAATCTCAGCGCCTGAAGTTGCGACGGAGCAAACGCCATAAAATCACTTTTGAGCTTCGAGGCGTCAACGTTGACATGGTTGCATTTCCCGCCGGAACTGGAGAAACACAGAGCAGCATTGATGTTCGAGTTGAGAATCTTGATATCTTTGATCACGTTCCCACGTCAACATGGAAAAAATTCGTGACTTATGATCAAGATCAAGGGGAGCGCGAGATGGGTACTAGTATGGTACATCTTGAATTACTGACTGTGCAGCCACTGCCAGAGCTCAGGGCTTCTGAGATTGTGCTCCGAGCAACTGTGCTGCCCCTGAGACTACATGTCGACCAAGATGCGCTTGACTTTATTACTCGCTTCTTTGAGTTCAAAGATGACAGCGTGCCAGTTCATTCGTCGCCAAGTGATGTCCCTTTCTTGCAGAGAGCCGAGGTGAACGATATTCCGGTTAAGCTTGACTTTAAGCCGAAGCGAGTCGATTATGCTGGTCTTCGATCGGGCCATACGACTGAATTTATGAATTTTATCACATTGGAAGAGTCTAGAATGGTGCTCCGGCATGTAATCATTTACGGAGTTTCTGGCTTTGACCGCCTAGGCAAAACACTCAATGATATTTGGACGCCTGATGTCAGAAGTAATCAGCTTCCAGGTGTTTTGGGAGGTCTAGCACCGGTGCGATCACTAGTCAATATCGGCAGCGGCTTTAAAGAGTTGGTCGAAATTCCCCTCAAGGAATATCAAAAGGATGGCCGTATTATTCGAAGCATATCCAAAGGAGCTGCTGCGTTTGCTCGCACCACTGGTACCGAGCTGGTTAAGTTTGGAGCAAAGCTTGCAGTTGGTACGCAGTATGCATTGCAAGGTGCAGAAGAGATGCTTGGAACTGGTCGCCGACCTGAAGAGGCTTGGGAAGACGATGATCTCGACGCAGATGATAAGAAGCAAATATCGCTGTACGCAGATCATCCGACAGGCGTGATCCAAGGCATTCGTGGCGGCTACAGGTCGCTTGCTAGAGATGTAAACCTGGCACGAGATGCTATCATTGCGGTACCGGGTGAAGTTATGGAGAGTCAATCAGCTAGTGGTGCTGCCAAGGCAGTGCTGCGACGAGCTCCGACAATCATCTTCAGACCAGCAATGGGCGTCACCAAAGTAATTGGCCAGACATTGATGGGAGCGACGAACTCGATTGATCCACACAACCAACGCAGAATTGACGAGGTAAGTCTCATAAAGTTATTGCATGGCCTATTTGGATACAGAATAGTTTGACTAACAATATCACAGAAATATAAAAAGCATTAATCAAAGGCGGAGAAGCATTATGGCGTTAAGCAAAGAAAAAGAAGAAAAAAAAAAGTTGATATTTGACTATACCCACCGATACATATACGAGAGCAATTAGCTTCGAATTTACTGCGGCTGCCGTTTCATTAGCGATGCAATGTCCTTTCTCTGAGAGGAATATACGCAAGGGTTAGATTTTCATTTCTGTCTCTCCCTTTCCAGAACATTACACATCAGCATGATGGTGTACTGAATATGAAAAGGGAATCCTTTATGGTGATGATTTTTCATTTATCTCATGTTGGCAGGCGTTTGGATTATTTAACTATACCAGAACAGAATGATGCTGAGTTTTTATTTTGTTTCTTTGGGTAATATTGGAAGGGCTTGGAATGGATGGATTCGCGATGTCGAGTGGGTAAATTTACAGAATGGCAGCCCGAGCAAACATTTCGAATTATTAAACGATAGACCGCGCCTGCGCGTTATGGATATATACAGAATACTACAAAGTTGTGAATTAAAACTTGGTGTATGTGCGTGTTTGCATGCGTGTCTGCAAATAAACGAATCTATTCGTGTTGTAGGCAGTTTTGATCCTAGATTTCTAAAGATTTATAAATAGGTTGTCTACCGCGTATATACGTTCATTGTTAGAATACCATAGCCAATTAATATTAGAATATTAGAAAAGCTAGAATCCTCTTTTCAGAATTTCTAGCCGATATCCAAATTGCCCTCATATTTGATTCAAAAATATTTGATTCAAAAATTGTCATTAATACGCTGTTCCCTCTCAGCTGCCTTTCTCTCGCGATTCGCATCAACCCACCACTTGTGCGATTCATCGCTCCCTGTCCACTCTCCATTCTCGTTTGTCTCGTCCCACGGCTTCGGGCTTAATATATAGTGAATGTTCTTTACTTGGTCGTCTCTCCAGATCTGATGGTGTACACCCTCCCAACGCAGCGTCTTAAGCGCATTGTAGGTGTACGGCAGAGGAACCCACCGCCCGCGGTACAGGTCCGACAGGAGAGACTGGTCTGCGAAGTCCATGTTCGCGGCGTCGGCCTCCATGTGCGCGACGATTTGGGAGTATAAGACGGCGGAAGGGTTGACGACCTGGAGGCCGCCGTTCATGAAGCCCAGTGGACCGACGGAAGGGTCTGCGCCGACGGTCTGGGCGGTTTCCGGGTCGTCGTGCTGATGTGTGAAGGCGCAGTTTTCGGGGATCCAGTTCTTGGGGTAGTGGGGCTTTTTGAGGGGGTTGCAGACGCAGGCGTGGCCGGCGGCGAAGACACGCTTGCTTGTGGAGGCATCGCCAGATTCGCTGATTGAGGGCGGATCGAGCTCGAGGGTCATGAGCTCGTCCATGTTGCGGAGGACGAGCATGTCGGAGTCGAGCTGGACGATGCGCGAGTACTCTGTGAGGGAGAAGGGCACGAGCTTGCTCCAGCAGTCGTAGAAGCGCGGGTCGTTGGAGTAGTCTTTGCCGGCGGTTGGGAGGAGGTATTCGATGCGCTGGGAGGGAATCCCGCGGGCTTGGAGGGCGGCGAGGCCAGCTTCGGGGAAGGTGTCTGTGTAGAGGGCGACGAGGGGGTATTTGGAGTTGACGGCGCGGAGGGAGTGGTTGAGGGTGAGGAGGCCGGGGAGGTAGTCGAGGTTGGTGATGAGGGTTGTCCAGACTGAATGGGAGAGAGAGTTAGTTGGTTGGTTACTTCGTTAGTTTTGGAGTTGAGAGAGAGTTGTTAACCTTTGTCTGAGTCAACCGCGCGCTTCTTGTCTGACATTGTGGAGGTTATTGGTTTGAATTAATGAAGAGAGAGAGAGAGTCGGAATTGAGTCATGTGTAGAGAGGGAATTGGCTCGTTTCAGTCAATGGAGAAGGAGTAAATGCCTCTGGCGCAAAGCGAGGATTAGAAATGGTTCATGGTGGGGGAGGGGCTCTAGATTGATGATGCGAACGATAAGGCGTCATTTTTTTTTTCCTACGGCTTGGCTCGGCCTGGCCCGAAACTACTAGTGTATTAAGCCGCTAAAGTTTAAGCCATGGATGCGCTAAAGCTGCTGACGTCAAAAGCTGGCAGATACAGTGGGGATGAAGTTTTTGTATTTGGTACGAATGGTATATTGACTAAGAGACTGCCTACAAGAGTGATGCCTAGAGAGAAAGAAAGGGAAAGACGCAGCAAGTAAATCTCCAATCCATATGAGTGGCAAAGAAGAGAACAAAGCGAAAATATAAGAGTAACAGGTGAAAAAGGAAAACTGAATACTGTAATGCAGTTTTCAACCAGTCTTTGCTGTAATGCCTCAACCACTCAGATACATTTCCGTCTGCAGGACAATACTCAAGAATGATGCTCAAATAGGAAGATAGTCCGATGAATCTTCAACTGGTTGCGATGGATCAGTCTGGCAATCGCACGGCATGGGATACGGCCGCACATATGCCAACCCTTGCGGCTGGACCATGAACCCGATACCATTGAAATGGATGGTGGCATAGCCGTTGTATACAGGTCCATATTCGAAGGTGCTCCAGATGTTCGTTGCCGCTGATGAAGCAGGCCTCTGAATGGCTAACTGTGGAGTTGCGGAATAATGATTACCAGGAGGACAAACGTAGGGAACATTGCTTATGGATCTCGGGATGATGCTTCTCAGCGGTGGAAGAGGACCATTGTTATTAGTAGGGCCATCATGAGGGCGGGGAGCTGCACAACAGCTAGCCATGCGGCGATGGGGGCGTGGGTTCTGTTCCACCTGTCTCCGTTCGCTCTCTAGTCGTTCCACTTGTCTTTCATATTCAAGGCGGTTCATCTGCCCTCCGTATTCGAGCCGTTCAATCTGTCCCTCGTGTTCTATGCGCGGCTCAGGTTGAAGATGCTCTTCCTGTTGTGTCACTTCTGGTGGTGACTGCGGATATTCACTCAGAGGTGAACTACTGGTTTCTCGAAGTTCGGCTGGGACAAACACGGGTTGATTGTGCCCTCCGCGACCCAAGCTATTGGCTGGAAGGGGTTGTGCCAACGGCACAGATACAGATGGCCTTTGGATAACATTTGATGGTGATAGCCCCAAAGGCCCATCCAGTCCGCGAAGATCTGCTCTAGGCCCGACAAGAACCAGCGGCTCTGTCTCCAGCCGGCCGCTTCCATATAAGCCAAAATATTCAGTGCTGACATCAGGATAGTCTACGCCGCCGTAATAGTTTAGCTTCTCTTTCGGCCTCAGCCGGTGGAACATGACAGAGGCGGAGGCTCTCTGGGTGGGATTATACCGCGACATGCCCTCCACCTCAGGCATCATAAAGCCTGTGTCCATGAGGGTTTGGAGCATTTCTAGAGGGCTTTTGCGGCCCATCTCGAGCTCGGAAATTCGTCCGCTGGCAATGGCCAGCGTCACGAAGAGAGACCAGACGTCTTGCTTGCACGTGACGGGATAGATATCTGAGTGCGTCTCAGGGGCACTATAGAGATAATCGACACGGCCGGTCTCGGGATAAGTGAGTGCAAAGTCTGTGAGATAGAAGCCGTAGCCTTGCTGAGTGGTCTGCACAAGGATATTAGTGGGCTTGATGTTTCGGTGGGATATGCCTTCCTCTTGGAGGTACGTGAGTGCAGAGAGCATCTGAATCGTCAGGCTGTAGAAAGTTGAAGTTTTGTCTTTCATCTCGTAGGGCATAGGAATGAGAGCGGAGAGGTTGCATTGTTTGATGGGCATGACGAGCAAAGCCATTCCTGGACGGACGAGTGCGTAGTGGATGGGTATGAGGTTGCGCTGTCTGCATTTAGCAAGACTACTTTGATTATACGCGTGGGAGGAAAATTGATTGGTTCTTTGGTGCTAGACTTACGTGTCTAATCCTCTTGAAATAAATAATTTCTCGTTTGAGCTGGTCTTCTTGGGCAGACGAAGATATGTCTAGCCTCTTGACGGCTACGACCGAATCCATCTTCTCATCGTAAGCCTTATATACTCGCCCGTGAGGGCCACACCCAAGATAGTCAAGGGAGTGGAATCTCTCTGCGCGTATAGGAGCCTGGTATTCGGAAAAGGTAGAGGCCATCTTCTTGACTATTCCGTTGGGTGGCGGTAGAGCGCAGCGATGACAGTTGATACGTGGTGATCAATGCAAAAATGAAGATATGTGATCAATCAAAGAAGATAGGATGATGCAGACGATACATTACTATTCAAGGCGCGGCTTTCATAATATGTTTGAAGAGTGGCATAGTTTTGCCGCAAACAATTGCAAGCTCTGTATTGACAAAGGCAGTGTAAACAATTTACGTCTGTCATAGTAATATTAGTAGGTAATTTAATCATCTGTGCGTACAGCGTGGGAAAGCAATCACTTCCATCTCACTTTTGAGAAAGTTCAGGTGGCAGGGATTGTTCTTCACCAGCACTGCGGTTGGTCTGAGTAAGTGGCTATAAAACACCGCATCTACCCTTCCGCCTGTCAAAAGCAAACAACGGCTGTCAGACTGCATGGCAGCTGGAGGAGCTTTATTGTGCATGAGAGGAGAATATATGCCCCGCGATGTATTTAAACTTGAGACACGCAGGTCGAATGGCATCTCAAGCATAAACACAGCCGATTTGCGAGATTTCCCAACTCAGCCTACCAAACAGACTTATCAGCCGCAGATAAAAGTCTGACAGCAGAACTCTTAAATTAATTCGTTACTACTACCCTCAGTATTCTTGGTTATAGTCCGGTCTTTATGTAATTATTTGGCCGCATGGTGTCTCGCATCAGTCAGGCCGCCAAAGATGGCTTCAATTTTCGGCTGCCGCCCACTGACCCTCGACTATGCAGCAGCTGCAGTAGTATAAATTAGTGTGGAGTTTTGCCATTGTTTTCCAATTCCGTGATTGGATGCTGTGGCACTCATAGAATGCAAGGGAGGATGGGCTGAACAGAAGCAAAATCAGGCTCGGCTCGGGCCTCATTGGCGGCTTGTTCCGATTACAAGTATTCTTGGCTAGTATAGCAGTATAGAAATTGTTTTATGTCGAATGGCAACGCCTACGAAGCAAGTGATTCAACTTTACATACAAGTTGATGAGATAGATCCATGACATTGCTGATATGAAGGCACCTAAATGACTGAGAAGGTGAACTCACATTGCGTGTTTTCAAGCTTCTGGACGACAGGGAAGAAGGTGATTTTCTTATAGCACCTGCATTAGCTTATAATAAAAGAACTTAGTTGTATTGGAGGTAAAGTATTCTCGGTCTGGCCCTATAGATTTGCATTAGTTTGCATTTTTCGTTTCTTTTTTTTTCTTCCTACTCTTACACTCAGCCTAACTGTTTGCTACTGCGACAGCGACGATCCCCTTTTCCTCTTTCATATAAAATGGGGAATCGTAGTTGTATACGTCGTTTAACTGGAGAGCCACTGTTTGAAACAGACGGATGCTTGGAGAAAGATGTTAGAGAAGGATGCTTGGAGGAGGATTGGGAGCTGAGGAGGGGACTGAGCCCGGCATACCCCAGGCGTAGTGAATTTCTTCTAGTCTAGACGCCGTATGCATGTATATGCGTCTTTTGGTCTCGTGACTCTGAGGAAATGAGGAGCGGAGCTTTGGGGTTGCACAAAGTCTATGCTATGCAGGTGAGGATGCTGATAGTGCCGTGTACAGTTTCCATTGACTTCTACGATAAAATGTAATTATCAGCACCCTTTCTACTGTATTACAAGTTTAATCGAAGTCAAGGATCTCATTGCTGTAGTATTACAACATGGTCTTCCAAGGGATTGCTATAGTTAACTTATCCTACCAGTTTTATATTACCATGGTATCGCTAAAAACTAGATACATGTATGTAAATGCGTCAAGTTCTAAGCTGGGTTCTAAGCTGTTAAAGTAGTCACCACCTTCATTCTTTTGCCAGTTATGACATCTTAAACTTAACATTGCCCGAGCCTGTTTCGACTAGCGCTCAATGAGATTTGAACAAAGATTCATGATACACGTAAGCTTTTCCTCATATCCAAGTTCAGCCTCTAAGACTTGGCTGGCGGGGTCGAACCGGTCCCAAACTTGAATAAATTGCCCACTCTCCATCTTGCCGATTCTATTGAAAGCTGCTTTAAGAACATCCCGATCTGTGATCCTTTCAACGTCTGTTGGCCTGACGAGCTCAGATCCAGCCACGTAATTTTTGCCCTGTTGCATCCGCGCTGCAGCGAGGCCTAACGCGCTCGCTTTGAAACAGTACAGAATAGCAGCTGAGAGTCCAGCTGCCAGAGCAGTTGCAATACTAGAGCCTGTCGACTCTTTAGTCGACGAGGTCCTGTGGGCTAGATATGACGGCAAGCTAGCACCTTTAGTAGTGTTTACATTGACTCCGGGAAAGATGAAGTCGTTATTCTTCCCTGCGTGGCCGAAAGCAGTGCCATCGTCATGCGCAGCACCTATCAGGAAGAATTTATGGCGTCTGAAAGCTGAGGGATAATGCTGAGTAGCATTAATCTGATCCGAAGACGAGCAGAACATTAGTACCTTTTGTGCGCATGCTCTGTCAAGTACACGGTCCAGCAGTATTTTTTCTTCGCTTCCCTCTGGAGGTATTGGTATTGTCCACGACATGGAAATTATGGTGGCCTTCTTCTCTAACGCTGCTTCAATAGCCTATGGTAACACCGTCAGGCGTTAGTTAATCATTGAAACTCAGAAACTCGTGTCGACTTACCAATGCGGCAGAGGTTGCATCGATTGTAACTTGCCCTTTATCCGGACTGATGTGTGTTTTGAGTCGGATGGAGTAGATGCTCGCCATAGGGCAGACTTTCAGAATCATCCTCGCCATTTCTGTACCGTGGCCTCTCGCTGAGATGTAATACTGTCCTACACTTCCGTCTCGATAGTCAAATGTTTTGCCCTCAATTACGCGGCCTGCAAAAGTAGAATCGCAAGAGTCAACTCCGTCATCTATTAAGGCAACAACAACATCTCTTTTCAAGCTATTGAGATTCTGAGTGGTGTCTTTGTCAAACATGCGATTGTTATTGTCTTTTTCGACGCTTTCTTTAGATCTCTTTAACGTTTCTTGCCAAAATATGCTCATGCATCCTGCGAATCTTTCCATGCAGTTGAGCCATTCGTGCTCGGTTATAGGGTTGAACCTTTCAGTCGCTTTAGAGATATTATTTAATGATGTGGGACGGTCAACTTCCTTGTCGCTCTCCCGTACGATAACCTCAATCTTGCGCTCCTTTTCTGGCGTGGGATTTCGCTTTTCGTTCTTCTCTTCTGTTGAAGCCTTAGTAAGTTCTGGTTCGTCTATCACTTTGGAGTCCGTCGCTTGTCTAGCATCGCGGTTATAGTTGGCACTGCGGTTCAAGCGAGTTCGAAATCTGTCAATGTTCGACTGTACCCAGCTTCTAGAGTCATATAACTAGAGCCAAATGCAATTAGCCATTGCTATCGGAAATTTTTCAACCGAAAGGCGAAGGGCAATACTCACATTGGACTGTGCTGGAATACTGAGATTAACAACCCGTAACTTCGGTAGTTGCGGTAGGCCTTCAATCTCGCTCCACGACCGTAGGACAGCATTATTACCGCTCCATTTGAGAGTAAGCTCCCGCAACTCATTTCTAGTGCCGGTCAAATTGCTTTCGGGGTCGGCGTTACATGTTTCGGTATTTTCGCTAATTTGACGAATGATTTGAGGATCCAAGTCTGGCTTTGACCAGTCAAGATGTTCAACCACAATCCTGCGCATTGAGTTGTAGATTGCCTCGTCGCTGTGTGGAATCTCTCCACTGTCGTGTACTTCGACTTTCAGAATGCGGCGTACGCCTTTATTATAAAGCCAATCGAAAAAGAATTCCATATCTTGTCGGCCTGGCGCTCGGGGCTTGGGAGCCTTCCTTCCATTACGTATAACAGTTACGTTTGGGAACCTCGCATACATCAGGACTTCGTCAAACCGAATACCGCTCTTTTCATCCTCCCCAAATCTCTCCAAGAAAACATTGTCATGTATCTCGGGCGGAAGACCACCGTAGTCAAAATAAATTTGAACATCTTATATTCATAATTTCAGTTAGCAAACAATTTCGAAATGCAGAAATTCATGCTTCTTACCATTCAGGTTACTCTTGCCATAGAGAAATGAAGTAGCCATTTCGATGCTCCTCGTTCGCATATAATGAAGCTTTAGCATCTTAAGAATAACAGCTGAGTTTTTAGCCAACATCTTGGAATCTGGCTTCTTCTGGGTACTCTTTGTCGCTGCTTTCCTTTTCTCTTTATCAGCACTGAATGTAGTCGTAGAAACCCTTTTTAATGGAGTATTTGGCGCGTGATCACTTCCAACTGCAGTCAAAGCAATCTTGGGTTTGTTTGGTATTGCATCATTCGGCGATTCTTTCTCTCGAGGCTGCCTTGTAAGAGAGTTACCGTAATCCGAGCCTGGATATCGCAAATTCTTTCTCTCTGCCTTAAATTTACTCTCTTGTTCCTCATTCGCCTTCAATTTCTTGCCCTCTTCTGCTCTGAGCCGCTGTCGTTCTCTCTCAATCTCATCTAAGTGCTCAGATAATTTCTCATGTCTCTCGCTTTCATTATCGGGGTTTCTAATTCTGTCGTCGTACTCTAGCGTGTTTTGGTTCTTCAGGAGGCTGTTTTCGATGAGAGTCTTGGGAGTATTTTTATCTCGACCAGGGTGATCAATATCCACCTCCCTGTTGTTTGATTGACGTGGAGGATTTTCCCGTAACATGGCCTGAGACTTTTTCTTATTTTCACTTGCCAAATAAGCCTTTGACGATCTCTCATGCTCTGTATATACGGAATATTCCACCTCGTATTTGGAGCTACCCTCCATTCTCTTATATTTAACATCTAAAAAACTCTCCACTGGCTGAAATGGTGCATCCTCTTTCAGCCCAGCGAGGATTTTAGTGTCTTTCTGAAGAAGTAATTTGATAATCCCAATTCGTTTGTCGTCGCATTGCTCATATTGTACTGCGCGGTGAAAAGGCGTCATCCCGGAACCGTCTGTAAGCTTCAAGGAGTTCTCAGTCGCGTGTTTTATCAAAGTTTGAAGTGCCTTCAGCTTGAGATCTTTTTCAAACGCCAATGTGAGGCAAGTTTTCAAAGATTCTCCCTTACTACAAGTTGCCCCAAGAACATCTTCAATGATCTGGTCATCTGAGCAGCTGCTCAGCATAGGCTCAATTAGATTCCAAGTGAATCTCTTCAGGTAAATGGCCCGATAAAGTGGAGTTTGGCTCTCTTCATTCCTATTTCGTAAATGATCTGGATACATTTGTATGATTCTCGCAACCAGCGGCTTGATGTTTAAGGCATTGACGGGTTTCCCGTTATCCCTATCAGACACCAAATTGACGATTCTGTGCAAAAATGTTGTCCCACTATCCTCAACATATTTTATAACTTCGCTATGTTGTTCCATGAATTGATCAAGATCATCTTTACTGGCCTGATTCTCAAAAATAGCTTTCAATGAAGAGGTAGCTGCATTAGTCTTGGCTAATATGCTATCTTCCTCTTCTTCATCTGTAGTCTCATCCTCATCGTCGGTTTCTCGGTGTACGTCTTCTTCTGCATCCGACATTGTCCGTAAATGGCACGAAAACGCTCAAATGGTATTAGAAAAGTTTAGCAGCATATATTCTGGGAGGTCTGGATATTGATATACGGTCAAGTGATACCGCAGCAGCGATTTTACTCGAAGTACCTAGACCTGACTATGAAGAGTTTTATAATATGACTCTTAGATGACAATGCCAAAAGTGCCTTTGACTATATTGAAAGTGGGGCAATTAGGCATAGATATTCCAAAACATTCGTCATCGGCTAAATTCCAAGCCGTATACATAGGTAAGAAGTACTTGGCTATTGAGGCGGTAGCCGTTTCTAACGCTCTTGATTGGTTTTATCAGAATAAGTCTCACAACTTGTGGAAATTATTGGGTTACATCAGCCTGCTTGATAGTGATACATGACCACCTAAATCTATCCAGGAATAGTGAGCGAGACCGCTTACAGAGCTCATGCAAACTAATGGTGTAAGCGAGTTACCGTGCCCTTGCATGTTATTCATCAACAAATTATTGACTCTTCCATACGAAAGCGTAAATCTCCCTAGCAGACTATCAAGTCAACCTACGTTATCCTAACCACAACATCAAACACACAGAGAGCATTACAACTTCTCCTAGTACTCGGAATGTCGAACAACGAAGCACCAGCTGCCAGACTGGAAGGACTGGAAGATGAAAATGATACTGAGGTATTTGACGTTGGAATGTTTGAAAGCGGTACCGTTGGTAGCGGGTTTCATATCAAGAATAACCCGAAAGATCTGTATCAGCGGCCAGATATAATTCAGCGGACTGGACATGGTGTTGATATTAGATGTACTCTTATTGATGTCGTTCATGGAGCTATGTCTGCAGATAGCGACTACTGGGCGACTATACTGGTATTACAATTTCGGTTCGACCCTCAAAAGAGAGCACGTCGAGTCGCAGAGGCAACGATTGAACTATGCTTTGGCGCTTCTGATGCAAACAAGAATTTGCCCGAGATCGACGCAATATCCTTCGACGGAAATTACAGCTTTTTGTCTAGCAAACAATCTGAAACTATTACCAAAGGTTGTGATGGGAATATTGGAGCCAGCTACGGCGCTGATCTTGGGGCGTCAATAAAATGGGAGAAGACGGTAGTTCGTGAAACGGCAGATGCAACTACGATATGCGGCGGGAAGCTCGTAGTGGACAACATGCCCCCCAACCGCATTGCCAAATGGACTTTGTTAGAAAACAAAACTCTCAGAACAGGGGTGCCAGCTTCCATCCGAGTGGCGGTGAGAATCAAGAGATTGGACGAGGCTATATTCACCTGCCTTCCAAGACTCCAATGCAAAGCAGACAAATGGACGACACTAAAGACGTTCTTTGGAGGAGTGCCTGAAGATGACCCAGTGCTACTCAAACCAGAACTAAAGCCGACGAACAAGCTTATGGCATATGACACTGAAGAGCTGGGCAGTGTCGACCTGCAGATGCTGAGCGATGTGACTTTTACAACAATGATACTAGATGCTCAGAAATAGTCTAGATAGTTATGGCTTCGACGCCGAAATAGGTTAAAGATGAGTTAAATGTTTGTGAAAGCCATTTCCATAGGCACATTTTTTTGACTATCTAGATTTGGTGTGACTTATAGTGCTCAGCTGGTTAAGAATTACACTTATGCACGTATGGATGGTATCAGGGTAGTATTCCCTCACCTTGAAGCGGTAGAATGAGGCTCAAATGAGGGATTTTTTAAGCGAGGCTGACCCATCCTGCATGACCCGACCCGTAATGGCCTGGGGGGCTTCCTGCGTAGGCTCAGCCAAGACAATCAATCCTACGAGGCGCAATTTTTCCCACCTCTGCAGGTATGCTATTAGTGTGGTACTTTGGTTGTATCTCACTATGACATATTGGCGCAACATTTCCGGTATCGTTGATTATCAAGTGCCTCGTTTAATTAACCCTAAACCGCTGGCCTAGAAACTTATCTAGTCACCATTTGAAACTCCGCTATATCCCATACTACTTCATGGAGCTCTGGTATCGATGTTTATACTATTCAAGTCCTCTCTTAGATTCTCATAAAACAATATGTCGACAGTGCAGCAAAACGAAGGGGGCAATATGGCTTGTACCGAAACCATAGCAGAGACTGAAGATGCAATACGCATAGAAAATCATCTCGATATTGAAAGCTTTATTCAGCAAGAAGACATAGAAGACGATGACGCATCTACGGACTCATCAGAAGTATCTGACGTAGCAACGTCGATATTGCTGTCAACTGCAGAAAAAGTCCCGCCTCTTGGCCTCAGTAGAGGCTGGGGCAGTTCGTCCTATGATGACTATGAGTATGCTAGACAGTTTCCTCTCGCAATCGTATTCAACTCATCCAATCTTTAGTGTAATTACTGTCCATGGCCTTCGTGATGGCCATAATACAGCCTGGAAATCATTGAACGGAGAAGACTGGCTTAGAGTTGATCTATTTGAAGATATGCGAATCCGCCAATTAGATTTCTTTTATGCTACTGATGAATCAGCAAGAGTATTCCAAGAAGAAGGAATTAAAACTGAAGCACGATATTTGCTTCAAAGTTATTATTATAAAAGGCGCGAGCTTCCAGGTGTGAGTGTATTTAAGAGCCTGGTTAACATCTCTAACTAACATCACTGGTAGATTGAAGCTAATCGACCTATCGTATGGATATGCCATGATATTGGAGGATCTATTGTCAAACAGGTCTATCGCATTCCCAAATATTACCAATTTGGCTGTCTAACATGTACGAAAGGCTCTTATCGAATGCATGCAAGCCACGACTGTAGAAGAATATGGAGACGTAGAAACATGGGGTCATATGAAAGAATTCCGCAGAAAAGTCATAGCATGCTCTACTACAATTGTAGGATAAAGGGTCTCGTACATCTACTCTATTGCTTTACTAACATAATCTATCTTGCAGGTATATCTCGGTTGTCCACATAGAGTTGAATCCACAGACATATTGGAAGATGAGTTACACGAGCTGCTAAGTTTTCCAGGTCATACAATCAAGCAAGGCATTTTGAGAAAAATAAAAACTGTTGCCCGCCAAGTGAGCAACATTAATTTTCAGTTTTGCGAGACGAACCTTTTCTCTCATATGACGAGCATTAACATATTCTGTCTTCACACTCAGAATGAAATAGAGTTAGACTTCAAGATGGATGATGAGAACGCAGCAAACCCCCATCAGATAGCAGAAAGGTGTCAAGATGATCTACATGCTAGAGACGATAGCGGTCAGAAATCAGACGAAGGTCTCCCGCCAGCCTTGTCAGAATCACCAAGCTTTTTAGCCGAATCAGGGCTACCCTTCTGTCGATATTCTATAATCCTAGACAACACGTTTGGCAGAGAGGACAGTTATCAATTGAAGGAACATGGAACAGACCATTTAGAGCTTGTCAGAGGCAAGCAAGCAGATAAAAGATGGGTGTTATTCTTTTCAGATCGCTTTGCCGAGAAACAGTATCGTACGTCATACGAGGTATTATTTAAACTATCGTTCATATCAGATGTCTAACCAAGCAGTATTTTAGCCTTGAAAATTAACACCGACGCTATCTACGATCAAATTTCTCTTTTATCGCTGATTCCTCCCAGAAAAATGCCCCGTACGCACATGGGCGGCGCTCTAACCGAACATCACATTCGAAAACTCCAATTCACATCTTGGCTAGCTAATCAAGACGCATATAAAAATTGTCTCGAGAGCCGTGGCCCGCATATCTTGTATATTGACTGCTATGCAGAAGAGGCATCGCGCGCTGCCATGCTCTCCCAGTATATTCGTACTATGTACGACTCTCACGTCGGAGACAGGTCACAATATTCCTACAGACTTCCATTTTATTTCGAATTCAACGAATTTGATACTAGATATAATAGCATCAAGGCCATGCTAGTCACATTCCTCTGTGAGATGGTCTCGCGGCATTGGCATACTTCCCCGACAATTCGTCTAGTGTTAAGAAATTTCCACTATTACCGCTGTTGGTCGCTAAAAGACCTTTTCAAACTCTTTACCGAAATTAGGAAATGCCCATATGTGAATAGATATACACTATTCCTTTGCTGCTGGGATAGCTGCATAGAAGACGAGCGGACTTGGTTCTTAACTAGAGTCCTCGAGCAGCATAGCCGCAGTGAGCTGGATTATACTGTAGTCATTACTACAAGAGGTCCAGACAAATTTTTGAAAAGCTCTATTGACAATTCACAAGTTTTATCTTTAGAAAAATGCCCGGTACCTCTTTATGGCTTTGCAGAGGACGAGGGTGATAACGTAAGCGGACTTATGCTATTGCTAGAAGATATACTTCGAAAACGTCCAGCTTTACAAGGGTTGAAATCAGTCATGATACAGCTAATTGACGAATGCTCTCAAAAATCTCATCTTGGATATATAATTTTAAATTGGCTTGGCCATTTTGGACGAGGCAGTCCGATATCAGACATTGCCAGAACGCTCGAACGACTACGTCCGGTTACCCCCGATAGCATATTAGCAGTAATTATTGGAAATTTGCGTCCAGAAAAACGAAAATTGGCTCAAACAATTTATCGATGGGTCAGATACGGAGTGGAACCCCTGACAGTTGAAGCCCTTGGCCATGCCATAGCAGCATCTACAAGTTCTGATGACATATCGCTACTCGATATTGACCATGAATATCTGCTGGAGAATATGGAAAGAATATTCTGCGGTATAATCAAAATTGAGGGCCACGACATCAAATTTTCGTACGATTCGTTTTATGTTTCCAATCTCGTTGAATTTGAGGGCGACGTCCATGAACAGGGTTTTTCCTCGCATGGTGAGCTAGCCCGGGCTTGCTTGAGATATTTGCTTTGCGACGAGGTACAGAAACAATACTCTAAGTTCTCTGTCGAAAATTACGGGGGAGACATAGATAAATGTCTCCTTCTGCCCCCCCGGGATGACTTGTTAGCCTATGCTGCCCGTCTATGGGCCGCGCATTACCGCTTAAGTGGTCACCATAGACCTCTTGAGCTGGCTCTGGAATTTTTCAAAGCAAAGGGAGCAAGAAACAAATGGGCTGAGGCGCATTATCTTCTTTCAAATCCCTTCACGCGCTGCCAGCGAAGCTTTATATCTGTTCTACCCTTGACAGCCGCATTAGGTCTCGAAGATGTTATCTCTAAACAGATTGAAGAACAACAGCATTCTCAATACTTTCAACAAGATTGCTGGTTAGCAATTGCCGAAGCAGCCCGTAATGGTCACATACACATAGTTCGCAAGCTTCTGGGTCATGTGCAGGCGGAAGAACTCGGATTACAAGACGCAATTTTCTGGGCGACCCATTCAGGTAACGAGAAGATTATGACTGAACTGCTAGGTAAAGTTGCCTTATTGGATAAATTCTCTTTTCCTGAGTCAGTTCTCCTCCGCGCTGCTGCAGCTGGCCTTCATGATTTGGTCTCCTCCATCATACAAACAGACTATGATCTTTCTGAGACAAATCTTGATATTAGAAATGAGACTGCTCTTCACACGGCAGTATACTGGGGTCATGAGAAGATAGTAGAGCTTCTTCTGGACTCTAACATGGACCCAACTACGGAAGATGGAGAAGGGAGAACTGCTTTTCGGTTGGCAGTCATGATGGGTGACACCAACATTATACAACTTTTTCTTAATAAGAGGAAAATGACACACGACGAGGAGCAACTTGGACCATTGATATTGAATACTGCAATATCTGTGGGCGAATATGCCGCATTGAAGTGCCTATTATTGGCCGGGGCGGACTGTAATGTTGGAGCATTCGACGCAAACGACGAACTCCGATATCCCATTATCCACGCCGCAGATTGCGGGAAGATCAGGTGCCTTCATATTCTCCTAGAGAACGGCGCAGATGCTTGCACTAAATCTAAAGAAGGGAGCCCCTTATACTTGCTTTGCAGCGAAATACAAGCTATCGAAGGCTATCGTGCTCTTTTAGAACATGGAGCAGACCCTAACGAATGTTACTCAGATAAGGAGATGCTTATAAAACGTGCTTTAAGAACAAATGATAAACGTTTGATTGAGGTCCTCAGCGAAAATGGCGCTCAATTCAACAAGCCAGATACGAATGGCATATTACCAATAACAGTCGCTGTATCTCTATGCTCCACTGAGATATTAGAATATATCCTTGATAAGGGGGCAGATGCGAATTACACTCCAGAAGGGGCCACCGCCCCAATATTATACGCAGTCACCCCAGAATGTGATATCAAAATAGCTGAGCTTCTTTTGAGCAAAGGTGCAAATGTCAACTGTGCGAATAGACCAGCGGAATATACACCTCTTCACCTGGCTTATGACATGCCTGATTTTGCCACCCTATTTTTAAAACATGGTGCAGATATAAATGCCATGTCTCGATACGGAACTGTATTGATGTTGGTCGCCCAATGGGGGCGCGTGGACACTATGAAGATCTTATTATCTCATAAAAGTCCACCGGCAGATCTAAATGCCACTATCATTGAGGAAGAAAACGGCGAAGATTATCCTAAAACGGCTTTGGATCTCGCGCTGCAGTATAAACAGTACGAGTGCGCAAATCTTCTGCTTGAGGCTGGGGCCCAGCTAGATGCCAAATTTGAAGATGCTAGACTTGTCGTACAATCATGTGAAGACAATAACTCTGGGGAAGCCATCAAGGTCATGAGATACTACCTCCAGCATGGCATGCAAGCAGATCATGTGGATGAGCACAAAAATACGATCCTTCATGGCATTGAGGAGCTTACCACGACGCCTTTAATACAGCTCCTCATTGGCTATGGATGTCCTTTTGATACTGCTAACAATGACGGGTTGACGCCATTGGCTATGGCTGTAAAATTTGACAACGTTGCAGCGGCAAAGTATCTTATCAGCATTGGTGCCAGGACGAATGTCTCTGGGCCATCTTTTGGCAGCCTATTACACCTAGCCTTAAAAAGCAAATCCAGAGACGAGAGCAAAATCATCGAGATGATGAAAATTCTCATTGACGCCAAGACAGATCCTCATAAACTAAGCCAAGGACCCGAGGGTGAATCCCTACTTCAAATGGCAATATCGGAATTTTACGGCAGAACTTTGCATAGACTTGCTAGATTTCTTATTGACGATGTCGGCATAGATGTCAATGAGCGGAGTGGATCCGACGAATATCCTATTACTATCGCTTGTGACTACAGAGAATGGAATCTTGTTGATTATTTTCTTCGTCGCGGCGCTGATGTCAACGTTGCCAACGGTCACGGTCGTCGTGCTATTCATTTCGCTGCTGCTTTGGCAGAAAAACCAAGACCAATCCAAGTCCTGGCAAAAGCTGGGGCAGATGTGCAAGCTGCAGACAACTTCGGGCGCACCTCATTGCATTTCATAGCAACGTCTAGACATGCACGTATTACATGGACCAAGGCCTTCACCAAGAATTTGGACATCAATATAAAGGATATCGATGGATGGACACCGCTAATGTGGGCATGTAAAGCTGGCGAAGAGGCTGAGGATATTATCGTGAAATTGGTTAATGACTACGGTGCAGATATCTGGGCAAGGAGTACTGACGGTGAATGGTCTCCGTTTAAGCTTGCTTGTCTCAATGATATGGATACCGGCATTCTGGAGATCTTGCGGCCCCCGGAAGGAAAACAGCAACGAATTTGCGAAGACGGAACAATACAACACTGGGATGTTGCTCCGCATTACGATCCGTGGAAAATTGGCAATGGCCGACTGTTTTGTGGTAGTTGTTTCATGGTATGTTACATATATTCAATCAGACTTTGTTCGAATGCAACGGCCTGGTGGATTGACACTAATATGCCTGATATTTAGTCTACTGGATGGCCGCGTTTTCGGTGTACTGTGTGCAAGCTCCCTTACATGTTATGCTTTAAATGCATAGCTCATCAGGATAAGATGCACAATGCAGAACACGAATTTACCGAGTGCTTTGATGAGACAGAGGACGCAGTTGGGGACGAGATGCCCGACTCTGACAATGAGAGTGATAGCAGGGATAGACACGATTCAGGAGAGGGAGAGGACAGTAATGACGAAGATGAGGATGAGGATGAGGATGATGACGAGAACGACGATGAAATTGACGAGTCTGATGAGTAGATTAAAGATGTCAAAGACTACTGAACGCAGCGATAGGTCATATTCTAGAGAAGAGTTACTATTGCCGAAATGATTGGATCCCCTATCTAGGTTTGTAAGACATAATTTGTCCAACCTTGCTGATAGAATAACCCATCCTCTTCTTGAGGAATTGGGGGGGGGAGTGCGAGTAAAAAGGAACTGATTCAACCAAGAGTTTGAGGAGCAATCAATAGCCTACGATGACTCTCGCTAGACTTGCTAGCGGCATCTTGCATCACGCACTAAAACGTATCAAGGAGCCTTGTGTCTTTTTGCACCGATCTAATCGGAGATTAGGAAGCATGCATAATAGCATAAAGCTCAAGAAGCTCGGGGATTGCATCTCGTAGCAATGCGGGGGGGTTATATTGTGGCAACGAACCTCACGATCACGAGACTACGTTTGTTGTCCGAGGTGGAGATGGCGGCTGATAGTATCGCCACTTTGGCATGAGGCTAGAGCGGACAAGGTGGCTAAATTCCTTCTCGGATTGTCAATATTAGATCATGTGAGTGAGACGCTATGGAGGCTGGTATTAAGCATGATTGCGAGTAAGACACGAGAGGAGCTAGACGTCATTATAAGGCCATTGGCTCTCTGTTGATAGGAGCAGAGACAGCGTTCGTGAATGGCGAACTACCAAAAATCGAAGACCAAGAAAGCAATCTTGCCTCGGAAATCTTGAATGTGCGGCTGTTGAATGCTTTGCAGCAGCAATTCAACTGGCAGATCGCAATACCCACGTGGGCACTGCCAAGGATTCTTGCAGGTTCTGGATGAGAGCACAGATTAATTTGATGACGGCTCCAGGGATTGTAGTAAGCATAGCACAGGTAGCGTTATAAACAAGGTGCACGATCTCATTCTACTGTATCTCGCCCTCGCTTAACTGCTTACCTTGCAGTACGGAGACTCCGTACCTGGCATTGTGCATTGCTTCTTTTTCCAGGAGCATTCTAGTTTATTCTATGGAGTGTTTTTTTTCGTTTCGTACTCGGATGAACTGCGATTGACGATTCGTACTACCTACGGAGTACTGCAATCACTATTAGCAGCTTTGGCACGGGTAGGGATTAGCTGGCTGCCTGGGCGACGCCCCTTTATACAGTAGTAGGTAGGTAGTTTTGCGGCTAAAATCTATCCCTATTTTCAGGATCTAGATAGCAGAGCACAATACGAGATAGAGCCGTGTATTTCCCCGTTTGTCGCGGTGTTTAATCGAGGCGGTGAAGAGTCTGCTTCAGAGTTGCTTAAAAGTTGCAGCAAATAAGGCAGAAGCTTACTGGTTGGATACAGGAAGCAGGCAATTAAGAACATCAATACTATTGACAAAGCCAGACACAAACGGCTCCAAGAAAAGGAATGGCCCTGCGGAGCTGTCAGATTTCCCAACGCCGGAATCTCGGAGATGTGCCGGCGGATGGCCCAAGCGCCCTGTAGTGCGTGCGTGATGTCTTCTGCCAGCGTAGTTTCTGGCCCAGCGAACTGGTTACTGGTAAAGAAGCAGAGAGCCGCTGTTCTACATGTGCTGTTGGCCGCGTGTCTAGGAGTCATAGTCGCCGATATAGGGGCTGCCTCGTAGCCATGGCAAGTATCACATGGAGATGATGAAGAACAAGAGGCAGAGAATCAAAATCAAAGAGAGCGAAGCTCCACGTCCGGCATCTCGTTCCCCTCGTCGACTGATGTAGCGGCCCAGATCAGCCAAGCGCTGCAGAGCGATAAAGAACCGCCCCCATTTGCGGCATCACACCACGAATCTGCACATGGCTGCAGTTTCCATGTTTCCATTACGCATTCACCCGACCCGACGCGGCACGCACACACCGAGCAGAACTTGTCACAGTCACAGATGCTGCAGATATAGCACTGCGGCAGTTGCATGTGTGTGTATAGGATGCAGCTCTGCTTCGGGTACCGCGGACGTTGGCGTGGTTCCCTTCATGCATGGCTGCACATGATACATGATGGGGATGTGGCGGTGATTAGGAAGGTGAGCTACAGTACATGTATGTGGTCAACGATAGGGCATGTGCTGTAGAAAGAAGACACGGTGCTACTGCAAGTATGTACATACATGTAGTTAGTAATTCGCCGTCGGCCATTTGCTGACAGCAGCATCCGCAAAGAATGCATCCGGAAAGGCGGGATTCTTGCTGGATTCAGTCTCTGTTGATTCAAACATCGGTGAGAAACTGTTCCAGACAGTGAATCAACAGCTAACTACTGTATTCTATCTATCCCGTAGATCCATCCATCCATCCAGGGGAGAAGGCAGTGCCAAGCTAAAAAAGCCGGTGCTAAAAAGGGAGCTCTTCCGCTCCCCTCCCCAGCTTGCCCCTGGGCGTAGCTCGAGCTTCTGTATCCTCAACAGCTTTCCGACAAGTCGCAGCCCCTCCTTTGCAGACCCCCAAAAGATGCACATCTACCTCGGCGGCTCACCGAAGCACCGCCCAACGCTGCTGTACCCTGCTATCGCGAAAATGCCCCCACCCCGCCCGCAGGGTCCCCCGGGAATCGCCCAACCGGTACCCGGCACAGCGGGTGCGTATTCGTAAAGGAAGGGGTCCCAGTTGGCATGTTCTGGCTTGGCCCCAACTTTGTTGAGGAGCGCTGGATGGACATTCCCGTGGTTGATTGAATACTAACCTAGGTAGATAGGGCTCCGCTTAAAAGCACTACCGAGCTACGGAGCACTATCTACTGTACTGCCTTGGTTCTTGTATGTGCAGCAGTCTGGGATGCTCGAAAAGAGAAATCGAGGCCATGGCCCCCAGCCCCCATAAGGCAAAAGTGTAATTCTGGCCCTAGCCTGAATCGAGTCCATCCATGAGTCCATGGCTCTAGTATCCAGTTGCGCACCGCCTGTTTGCCTCTGGTGGCAGCTGTCGTAGTATAAGTAATGGCTGCTTGCGTCGCTTCTCCCCTCTCCCAAAAGCCACTACTCCTACTCCTCTGCTTTCGATCTTCTGCTCTCTCTCTTCTTTCTTCCCGCATTGTAAAGAAGCCATCTGTCTTGCTCTGCTTCTCGTTCATCGCATCTTCTTCTCTGAATCGCCGCAACTTGCGCTCCCATCGGCTGCGTATCTCTCCATCTACATCAGCCAAGCCAAGCCATTTACACCACACAAGCTCTCCCAGCTTTCAACGTCTCACAACCTTGCATTCTTTCTTCTCCTTCCATCAAACACAGAACACAACCATGTCTCGTGTTACTGCTCCCGTCGTCAAGCTCACCCGCGCCTTGAGCTCCACGACCGCAGCTCGTGCCGCCAACCCGCTCCTCGACGCTTCGGCTTACAATGCCGGCGCCGTGCTGATGCCAAAGTACGCAGAGCTCCTGCGCGGTCGCAGAAATACCATCGAGATGTCCGAGGTACGCCCCAACTCTACAATTCTTGCATTTTGATTAATCAAAAAAACGCTGACAATTCATCTTCAGTCTTCTCGAACCCTCACCACCACCCACCGTCCTACTCCTCAGCCCTCCATCGCCAACCGCGCCAAGCCTCTGATGCAGACCTTCTCCAGCGTCGCATCCTCAACCTCAACTCCCGCTGCGCACCTTGACGCCGCTGTCCTCCCGGCCTTTAGCAGCTTCAACTCTTCCTCTTCATTCGCAGATGCCCTCCCCCGCATGCCCCTTCTGCCCGACAACTACGGCGCCGCCCACCCCGCGCCTGATGCCGATCTGCCGGTTTCCATCCCCAGCTCGTCCATCGTCGCGGTTAACCCGGATAACGTTGTCCCTGCCACACCGCTCTCTTCATTAAGCGGCGTTCTGGACACGGTTGAGCTGAAATTCGTGCATGACCAGCCTGCTTCTCCTGCCGCTCAGGAAGAGAGCCAGGGCATGATCCGGGATCTGTGGAAGGGCATGGTCGAGGATGTCTTTGGCTCAAATCAGGCCGTCCCTAAATCACATTAGCAAGCCTCTTTTTCTTTTCACCATGTGTAACTATACATGGTGGGTATTTTCTTCTTTTTCTGTCATGCGAAATCTTCGTTTCTGTTTTTATTATTGTAAGCGGTTACTTCATGGACACACTCCATATCAAGGGCGATATATGATGGCAGGCAGGCAGGCCGTTCGCTCTGTAACTTTCCCGAAAAAAATGGGCATCATGATCAGGTTGATCAAGGGATTTACTCGTTATGAAATCGAGACATATATAGGAAATTTTAATCAAAAAACTTCAAATTCTTCTGCTTATTATAACAAGTACAAGTTTCCACTCTGAACAACCAATACAATAAGCATGCAATTACTACCTGTGGAGTATTCAATGTCACAATCATCGTAGTGATTCGCCAATAGTATAACAAAAAAAAAACGTCGTATTTTAGACAAAACCAAGGTTTCGAGACCTATTGCCTCGACTCCATTATGCTGACTCCCTCCCTCTCAATCTAAACTACGGAGTGATAGTGCCTATATATAACATCTTGCGCACATCAAAAAAAGGGCGTCGTAGGTAGGTATTGTCACTCATTCTGATCAAATTCTCTTCGTCTCTCATCCATCCTTCGACTGGCCTTCGATCAGCTGTTTTCTCCACCGTCTGGATCGATCGGCAAACTCCCCCACACCACCGTCTCCTCCGCATGAATATATCCATTATATTATACACCGCCAATCTCGTCTTCTTTCCCCTCCCGCTTTACCTCTTCTTGGCTGATGGTCTGGGCTTGCACTCGTCGTTGTTAACGGGATGCAGCATGACCTTGATTGGGTAGTTCTGCGTGTTGTGTTGGAAGCCCTTGCTCCAGTCGTAGCAAACGGCGTAGGCGAAGATGCTTCCCGTCTTGTTGAACGTCGTCGAGGTGATGCTACCACCCACGTTGGGATAGCCCTTGAGACGGTGCTTGGCATCCTTGTCCCAGAAGTGGAACGTGCCATCCGATCCAGCGGTGCTAAAGGTTCCGTGGACAGGGTGGAAGGAAATGTCGTTGACGGCATGCACGTTAACCACATTGCTCTGAACCGGGTCGCGATGGCATTTAAACGAAAAGTTGGATCTATTCGAGTATTGGGTTAGCTTCACAATCCCTGGTATTCGCCGCAAACAACGTCGTAACCACTTACGTAGAGTCCTTCTCCTCCACATACTGAATGGCACAGCGGCCTTCGATACTGCCAATTGCGAAACCACTTGAGTCGGGGAAGCAGCTGACAACTCTGGTCTGCCACTTTAGGGGGCTCTGCAGCGTCTTGTAGAATTTGGTTGGGTTCTTGAGGTCGACAACGTTGATGTAGCGATCAGCCGTGCCGATGACAAGCAGGTTCTGCTGCACATCCATGGTGTACACTCGCTCTTGGCAGGCGAGAGTAGCGGCGGGCTGTTGTTGCCGAAGATCCCAGTATTTAACAGTCTTGTCCCAAGATCCAGACACAACCATTGTTCCACTGCCGCTGTCGAAGAAGCGCACGCTTCGTACGGGCTGGTCGTGTGTTCCAACAACAACATCTTGCTGAGATGCTAGGTCGCAGACTTTGACGTTCTTGTCCGCACCAGCAGAGGCGACTTTTGTTCCATCCTGTTTCGTTTTAAAGCCATGTTGTTAATATTTTATAGTCCAATCGATTCGCTTCCTTCGTCCCCGTTGCGCTCGCTTACCTTTGAAAAATCGCATCCCAGCACGGGCTGGCTGTGCTCAAACGCGTGACGGCCCTGGCTCTGGCCGTTCTGGGCAATTTCGTAGATTCGGACCTTGTTATCCCAACTTGATACGGCCAGAAAGTCGGGTCCGTTGGGGGCTGGAGAGAACGAAAGGTCGGAGATGCTGTCGGAAGGAGGGTCGCTGAGGGCCACGTCCTGCTTCAGATCGCCCACCGTGGTCGAAGCAGCGGAGCTGGCAGCAGCACTTCCGAATAGACCGGACATGTTGGCGGATAGGTTAGGATCGGACTGATATTTCGATCGATTTCAAGCCTTTTATAGCTTTTTTTCCCCAGACGCAATTGACGCCCTGGCGCGTTGCAGCGCGAGGTCCGTCTCGTGTATTTTTTTTTCGCTGGCTTCCCGTGGCCTTGTCGTCGCAAAAGCAAAGAGAAGTAGAATCGTATGAAAAACCAGCCCGAGGCGATGGTGGACGCTCGTCACCAAATATCCCCTTGGCGGCGTCGTCGCGTTTGCACAATTTATAACCAAAGTTGACTTCTAGGCACGAAGGCAGCGACCTAGCATTTCTCAACGCGGCGTTCGGATTGGCTGGTGCTCTTCGCAGGCTGCAGCAGCAATGCGATAGATGCATAACTGCGCATTGACGCATAGATCCCACTACGGGGGCTCCACTAAAAATTACTAGAAAAAAATTCATAGCTTCGCGCAGCTACCGAGATTTTTCTCTTTCTTCTTCTTCTCTCTATCCCCCTTTGCTCAACAAATCGCCATTCGAAGCTTACAAACGGAGATTCTGCTCTGCAGCATCTCTCCAAACACAGCTTTGGGAGAAAGTCCCCGGACGTCTCCTTTTTGGAGCATGCGGAAACGCGCCGCCATAGAAGCACTGCGGCTGACCTCCGCGCCTTGGCCCGGCTGCGGCATCTGCCCTGCCTGCTGCTAAATCCGTTTCTCACGAAGCACTGTCAACCCCTGATCTTGCGTCTCTGGCCCCTATGGATGAAGATATGAGTCCGCGCTGGAAGGCAGTGGGATTGGGGCGGCGATGCTGAATGGAGGTGGATGGCAGGTGGACGTTTGTGATGTCTGCTAGCTGTGGTATCGGGTGCAGAGGACTTGTTGTCGAGGTCGATAGTTATGCGATTGCCTGGCGCAAGCTTGGTTACTCGATGGGGCCCATTCTTGATGCGAAGGGGGACCCCGTCTCTACCATGACGGTATTCCATCCTTTTTTAACACTCTGAAACTTCGCTGGAAGTTTTTTTCTCTCTGCGTTGGGATGCCCTACTTGGTGGAGATGGCCAGAAGCTTCATATGATGATGACCAATATAGAGTCAAGCACCGAGTCAAGAAAATCTTGCCGTTGTGGATAAAAATATTTTCATGTCAACTGATGAGCTTCTGGATTATATCTTTTGATGGAGGGTTTATGATATATAATAGATTATACGTGCCTATGTAGTAGTTTGTACATCTGATTACTACACTCTAGCCGAGTGGCTAGGAGTCTGTAGCTTCTAGATGTTCTACCTGCCTACCTCTCCAGGCAGGTTCTGTGCGTAGAGACTCGTGAATGAGACTCACAGAATGCACACATGGTTGCTTCGACAGCAACAGTAAACCGGAAAGATGCCGCCGGCACCGATCTCCGCACCGCAAGCACCAAAATCAACGTACCCCAGTCCGGCCTGTTCTTCCCATGCCCTGGTCGTTGAAGTGCTAGGTATTATAACGGGCGTACCAGCTTTGCACCCTGGAGCTCAGCTCATCGCAGCAGGGAAATCGAGCCAACTCATGTCAGCTCTTTATTATTTCGTATAAACATCCCCAGCCCAACACAGAAAGCTCCCCTGCCAAGCTCTGCACCGCTTGCAACGCTGGCAAGTGGTCCAACCAACAGTTGCAACGGCCGCCGAAGATGATGATCAAATCCCAAATCCACGCTACTGGCATTGAAGAAATTACATAACTTGGCGCCGTTGGTCCTGACTAGAGCACCAGCTAAGTGTGACAGGAGTGGCCAGAAGCTTGCCGGAAGAGGCTACAGAGCGCAGATCGGGTCAGCTTTTGCAGACTACGCCGCCGTTTTTCGCTCGTCGTTTTATTAGCTAGTCATGATGAAGCAACTGGACTGCCTGCTGCCGTGACGCTGGCAAATGACATGGCATGTAGGCATGCGCATCTGTTGGAAGTAACGCCGTCCAAGAGCGAGCGAATAAATCAAGAATCCAGTCAGTCAACCAACAAAGAGCATCCTTTTTTTCTTCCTTCATTTCAAACTCGGTAACACATGATAAAACGCTGATATTTAGCCAACCCAGCACCTCGACTTCCAAAACGCCCCCTGCCGTAAAAAAAGTCTCGCAGCGAATCGCCTCTCTTTCCCACCCTCCAACAAGCAAATCCTTCCAGCTTTTGACAGCAAAAAGCCACATGCAACCACACCCAAAATAACACTCAAATCATACAACGGCAGAACGGGTGCCTTGTCCCTCTCCAACTGAACTTGCGATTTAACCACCCCCCTAGCTAGTACAAGCAGTAGCCAGTCCCACCGTCCAACCAGAATCCTGTTCCTGGTAGCGGGTTTCATCTACTCCATTCCCCGGTCTGGGTTTTGCTGCGGTTAAAATGCGTACATATGTATACGCGGGATAAAAAACCCCCATAAGCCCATCAAATAAGACGTTGGCGGGCTAGTCTGCTTTGTTGACTAGGCCGTGATATACATGTCCATTGAGCTAAAAAAAAAATTCCTCCGTTTAGGCTTGGGATGGCGGTTTAGCACGAGTATCGAGTCTTGGGCCCCCTTGTTTGTGTTGGGGTGAGGTGACATCGCGCATCGTGGACATTGGGTGCAGAGTATGGGGGAGAAAGCGAGAAGCGAGACACGGCTCATACTGTACGGCACATGGTACGGGTCTCGGTTTCTTCCATCCGTTCGTGTCTGCAGTAGCTCTGGAAATCCATAATAATAGTCGTTGTCGTTCTCTCGAGACAGTTCACGTCTCTTCGGGTTGTCGAATCTCTCTTTCTTTCTTTATTTCTCTCCTCTCCCTTTTCCATATGTTTCTCTTCAACAATTGAAGCCACCCCAGTCAAGATGGCCTCCTTATTCCAGCTCTTCGTCCTCCTCTTCGCGGCAGCCCTGACTGTGTCAGCTGCCTCCGCCCCCAACATGACCAGCCTCGTCGACAAACTTCCCCCTTGCTCCCTCAATTGTATCGTCGAAGGCGTCACTCAGGATGGCTGTGCCATCAGCGACCTCGCCTGCGGGTGCTCCAAGATCAACGAACTCACAAAGACTGTCTCGCCATGCATGGCGAAAGCTGGCTGCACTCTCGATGAAATGACTCGTACGGCTGCCCTTGCTCCCAGTTTCTGCTTTTAGTAACTCAATTTGTCGTAACATTGTTGAAAATTTTATCGTTCCTAACTTTTTTTGGTTGTCATCATTAAATAGAAGCTGCTTCTGCTGTCGTTCAACTCTGCGAATCTGCCGGTCTCATCACAAACACCACCGCAGGTGACCCGACTTCGACCACTGGAGCAGCATCGGCAGCAACTACCAAGTCTGACGCGGGGCGATTCGCACGAGAGTTCGGATTCGCGTACGCCGCCTTTGGTGTATTGGTAGCCATGGTTGTTCTGTAAGCGAAAAGGGGGGTTTCGCTATGGGTTTTCTTTGGACTTGGTTAGGACGGACAGGACAGGCAATAGGGGGAAATATGGTTCCAACTATCTGGATAAGAGCCACGGATTTTGCTCAGCACATGTTATTGTACAACAAGACGGGCAACTGTTTTATAAGAAAAAGCTTAGCGTCTATAAGCAGCCAAGCAAAAACGTATCTTGTCATTTCAAAGTTCTAGTAACAGCCTACCAGCAGTTCTAGTCTAGTGTATCGTGTCATTCATATCGTCAGGCATCTTTTTCCCCTCAAGTTATCCCCAAAAGGCACAAGAATGCATCAAGGTCTAAACATTAAAAGTAGAAAAAGGGGGGAGTAAAACAAAAGTCGCAGGTCTGGGTCGAGGTTAAGGTTCAGGTTCAGGTTATCGAAGTATTAGCCGGGTCCGAATCTGGCAATGGCGCCGTAGTTGCCGCCGTCAAACGAATCGTGAAGTCCATCCAGGGCATTGAACTGAGCCGCCAGCTTCATGCCTTCCCGACGCTGAGCTTCAATGCGGCGCCAGTCCCACTCGCCATCGGCAGCCAGGTTGATGTCGCTCACGTCTACAGTCTCATCGCCAACTTGATTAGGACCGCTAACCCAGCCACCAGGTCGCTGAGGCAGCAAGCCCGAGTCGGAAAGCACCGTTGCGGGATGGACAGTAAGGCGGCCAACCTTGAAGACGTATTTGCTCATGGCCGTGGCATGGATCTTCTTCTCCCAACCGCTAGTAGCGTCCTTGTGATCTCTCGTCCTCACGCGGCGGAATCGTGGATCCAGCCACTCGGTTGGTCTGGCAGCGCCCTTGGGCATGAAGTATGTGATGATGTAAAGCCACTTCCGGTCCCAGGTAGCAACGCGACTCCATAGCTCGTAGGACTGGAATGATGAGATTTCGCGCTTGAAGCTGCACATGACGGAGCCCAGCGCAATGGCAAAGCTGCCCTTGACAGGCTCGCCGGTACGAGGATCCTTGACAAGTCGTGTCTTGGCGTTGTTGGACATGCTGCGGATGGCTGGCCGCAGCAGATAGGCACAGAGGTGCGTTCGCGATATGTCGAGATCGGCAAAGTATGTTGAGTTGGATTTGTGAAGGTTGTAGTCGATTTCAAGAATAGGGGCTTTGGTTTCGGAGATCATGGGTTTGAAGAGCGCACGGGGGCCGAGCTTTGGTGATTTGCGGAAGACCATGTGGTAGAGCATGGCGTATATGATGCGATACTGTTGGGTCGAGTAAGTCGGTGTCATTCAAGGGACGGGCGGGCAAAAGAAGCTGTTCACATACAGTCCACGCAAACGGGAGAGTCTTCCAGTTGAAGATGATGAAAAAGAGCAGCAGCAGCCGCGATGTCCGGCCTGGCCCTGTCAGAAAGGACTGCACCAAGGCCGGCCAGTTGATGCGCCAGGCGGCGTATCCCATCGATCCGACGGCAACAGAGATGATGGGAATCGTCATGGCGAACCCGCCGATCCTGGTGGACGACATGGCTCGGTCGTGAGGCCGTCCGTTTGGCCGTGCGCGCATTCTAGACTTGTATGAATTTGTATGTCTTTCAACCGAGGCGCTGATTTGCTGCCTCTTCCCGCGCGAAGCAGGTTCGCGAAGAGCTCGAGGCGGTGCGGGATGCAAGGAGCCGAGCTCAGCAACACGGCCGGTTTTGACGCTCTTCCACGCGCGACAACGACTCAGACACAATCGGTCACAGTACTCGGAAAATCTGCGCGCCTCGATCAACAACTGGCGTGAAGGTATTGCGCGCGTGGCTGGAATGCGGGCAGATGGCGCATGCACAAAGAACGGGAGGGCGATCGGCTAGGCGAAAATCCAGGAACCGAGTCGTTTTTCAATGCAGGGGTTTCGTTGGCTGGACGGGCTTTCGCTCGGCTCGGGGCCCGTTAGTCTTTTTTCTCGGTCAGCAAAGACGCCACAAGCCGAGGTTCATCGAAGATGAGATTTTGGGGTCGGATAAGCTTTTGGCTGTCCGATGACGAGCTTGCCTAGGTAGACAGAAAGAAGAAAGAGACTAGAGAATTCAAAGGGAGGAGATTTGAATTAATGAGCGAATTTTTACTATGTAGTATTTGAAAATTTAGGCTTGCTCTTGGAGCCTCAAGTATTGTCTCCCAAAGTGTTGGGAATGAATGAAGGATGCACTGGTTCTCTGATTCTTCCCTGCAGGTTCGCCGCGTGAGAGGACCCGCACGCACTTGTGAAACTGCAGCTGCAATAGACGCTCGCTTACTGCCTGAGATGATGCAGAAGAGGGGCACAATGTCAAAGCTACCTGGCGTGTTGTTGGAACCTGCAAATCGCATAAGACAGCGTGCCATATCCATGAGGAAATCCGTTGGGCGCTCATGGCCAGCATCAACAGCGCATCAGCTCCCCTTTATGCGTCACGCCTCCTTTTCTCCCCTACAACTTATACCCTGAGATCTGAGAGGTCGCCTGAAGACTCGCATAACACACACAAAGGGCTGCCAGCAAAGCAGTCCTCCTTTTCAAGGCCAGCGAGTCAGCGGCTGCCATGTGTGCCCACCATAGCTCTCCTCTGCAGCCCAAGGCTCGCTGTTTAGGAGCCATCTGTGCCAAAGGGCCAGGTTGTAACTGTTGCTGTCTGTAATTGTATTCTATTGTGTGGATGCACGGCTAGACGCGCTTACATACACTAGTCCTAAATACTCTTGCAGATAAAAGCCTATAAAAGGTTAGATATCCTCTAAGAATAACATCGATTTGACGTCAAGATCCTCTCCTATTAAATGGCATCGTCACATGTTCTAAAACTACATGTACCAAGTGCATTGATGCTGAACCGGAGTTCGCGGACCTTTGCCAGGGAGCATCGGCCCCGTAATTTCGGACCTAGGCTTACTTTATATTGAATTCGTTTGTACTGGACCACAGGTCTTACACTACCCAGTTACATTGAGGAGCTCTAGCCAACTTTCATGCAGCGAAAGGCTGAAGATATTAGTGGTCGTCTTCGGATTTCATTACTTGCAAACATCGCTAGAATAGAGTTTGTAGCCGAGTGGCTCTAAAGCTACCCGGGAACAATCGTAAGGCACAGCAACTCCAGCTGTCGCATAAACAACGATGAGTCTATATATTTACAACGCCAATTAGCCGCATTTGCCGCTCTGTAACGAGTAAACCACCGTCAATGACAATTCTATACCGCCTTTTATAGAGGTTAAGTGTCATTCTGAGTCTTCGAACACAATTGCCTACAATCTAGTGACACACGGAGTCAAAACTCATTGGATCTCAATCTTAGATCAATATTCTTGCCTTCTCAGTTGGCAAGAGGTAATACATATTCTTGTAAAGAGGGCCTCTTCCTTCGAAGTGTCGCACGATGAATTATGTCTACTGTATTTCGTCTAGCAATAAGACTATGCTTATTCGGTAAGGGTGTCTCAAGACAGCTCAGAACCCGGTTTAAATTGCACCGCACGCAGAAAAAAATCGCAAAAATCGCAGCGGTAGCTGGCAGCGCTGTTTCTTGCTCCCTATGGCCCTGACGCCGGAGATCTAGTCCGCTAATCAAACACTGAAATCGTCCTTCGTCGTTTTAACCCCGGGCATGGACTCTGATTAACACTTGCGAAGGTTTTCTGCAAAAAAGACCAACTTGTCAGTTTCTGAATCTAGAACACTCAAGGAATGGTAGCATTACTGGAGTTGCACTGGTCTGAAGTATAAAATCCGTTGATATAGCATTTCAATCCCGGGATGTAATCCCACGAACTTAACATTGTTAACATCTATCATTATCCCCACTCACGATTGGTCTTCAGGTGGACGTACCAAACTCCTTCATAACAGTCTCCTGACTTATAGCAAGAGAACTCCCAGGCATCTCCATCGCCAATCGTGGTAACTGATTTGGCGCTAAAAGACGGACTGCTTCTGCAGTGCACGGGGCCATCGTTGTTGAATACGTTGCACATCTCTCTTTTGTCGAGGTTGGGGGCCGCGCTGGCGAGAAGAGGAAGGGCTAGGCAGAGGATGGCAGCAACAGTCTTCATCTTGGCGATTGGTCAAGGAGTTGGGTTTTTTTTTCTTCTAATTGTAAAGCCTTCAAACACAAGAGAATCCCACTCTTATATATCTTTCCAACGGCGGCTTGGCAGAAAGTTGGGAGACGTATATGCCTACAAATCCAGCAAATGCTCCGTTTTCGAGTCATGTTAGCCCACCGAATTCTCTGAAATAGTCACCTTCGCTTGCATTAGAAGACTTTAGCAGCAAAAAGATTATACTAACTGCTTTTACACTACCATAGCGAAGCAGATATTTGTTTCGCTGCGAGTCTAAGCAAGTGGAGCATCTGCGAAGCGATTCCGCTCCTACTTCCTATTATAGAAGCTGTTGTCCGGATAAGCTCAAGGCGCAGAATAAGACGGGGAAACAGAGTCCCGAGAGACATAAGCTTAAATTTGGGCCTCATGGCTTTTCAGCTACATGACAGTGGATCTCCCTACTATATTCATTCTATTAGCATGCGTCGTCAGTGTTAGCGGGCCAATGTCCGTGGCGATGTTCTCATTTAGAGCACTTAGGGGTCGCCGATCTTCGATGGCGGCAAGTCCTTTCTCGATTACCTGAAGATCGTATTATAGTGTAATTGGCGTTTCACATCTGATAGAAGTGACAATAAGGGCTTGTGACTTTTCATGTATGCGCTTACTATAGTTCTCCTCTGCATCCTAAGCCCAAAAGCAATATATTTCAAGTGTTAAACCAAAGTCATTCTCTATAGTGTTATCTTTTGTTGTGCGTATAAGAATAGCCCATTAATGTGCACGTCACACATAGGCAAATTAGCCATATGTATTAACCTTCACTATACACTTTTATAAATAGAAACTTATGAAAGAGCTAGACATTTCCACAAAAGAATTAAGAATTTCTTGCTTTATACAACATTATTATATATGTGAAAATCCACGTGCATTAATGCTAAACTAGACTTGATTGGGGCTCTACCGTGGAGCATTAAGCCAGTGTATTTGATCTAAGCCTGGTTTCATAGATCATCTCCATTAATACCACATATACTAGGAAGAATCGATGACCGTAAACGTGGTCATCGAGTCTACCTAGTATAGGTATATGAGTTGTCATCGTTTTCACCAGTAGGGCCTGATGGCTCTCATCCAGCATTGCGACAACTGCAGCCATCTCCAACGGTAGGACGATAGGCAATGATAAAATATCCCGGGCATTTGGAATACATCTGTAAACCGCTGTTAGCTTGGCAGTGAAAAATACAAGCCGCCCTAGGAAACACCAGCCGATCTATGACATTGGAATGAGATGCTCGTGCGGAGTGCTTCAGGATGGCGGATGCAATATATGCTTAATTTTGTAATAGCAGATGATTGGGAGAATCTAGTGCAATGTAGATAAACCAGAGAGCTTTATATAAACACTCGACATTGGGAAAGAAACGGCATTTTACGCTGATGCCGCCAGCCCCTACGAAGGTTCCCTTCCCCAAATGGGTCTAGAGTTAACACTACTTAAATTCAATAATTAGCAAATTTGTTTAAAAGCAGTAGTTCAGAATGAGAATGTTTAGTAAACAGCTACTGTTATAGGGCGAGTCTCCTGAGGTCCTATGTTGTGTAGTGCACAAACCTGTACCTGTGACATAAGCGCTAGGTGCCACTTCAGCTGACACGAAGTAACTGGTTTTTACATACACTTATAATTGCTTCACCTTCTCATCAGTGAAAGCTATGCGCTTTGTATATTTTTGATCTCTCAAAATGACTATTCGTAACGTTATAGTGACTGGTGCCACTGGAAGACAGGGACAGGGATTTATACAAGCGCTATTGAATCCTTCGAATGCCAACGGCCCAACTGCCCCAACCTACTCTATTTGGGCCGTAACTCGGGACACCGCGTCGCCAGCAGCAACTCGGCTTTTAGAGATTGAAAAGAGCCATGGAAATGATATTAGAATAGTCCAAGGCGATCTCAGCGATTCGGAGAGACTAAAGCAAATTTTCTCCCAGGTAGTCGCTGAGGGTGGAATATTCGGTATTTTTATTGTGCTTCCTTATCCAGGCCTTGGAAACAATGGCGGTGACGAAGAGAGACAAGGCAAAGCAATTCAACGCACATGTAAACAATTTGAGAAGCTACTAATCAAAAGCCTTTGTTTGCTGGCATAGGCGCTTGTGGATCTCGCAATTGACTTCAAAGTTGAAGCGCTGGTTTATTCTAGCACGATCCCACCGGGTCCGGATTTAGCAAATGGAGTTGACGCCTCTCGTCTGGCAAAGCGAGAGATCGAGCTGTATTGCAAAAGCATGGGCGAAAAGGGTCTAAATTGGAGGTTAGTACGGTTGCGCAATACAAAAGCATTGAGCTAACCGAGATGACAACATAGCATTGTGCAACCTGGAATTTTCATGGAAAATTTTGATGGATTAATGGGAGCGCTGGCCGTATCCGTCTTTTCGCAGGGTTTGCAAAAGGGAACGGAGATGCTACTCGTCGTACGGAATTTGCTTTATGAGCCAAATCATGTAATAAATTAGCTGACATCGGATATAGGCATCAGAAGATATTGGGAAAGTTGCTGCGGGGGTAATCCAGGTAATTCGACTATACCTTGAGTCGTAGCAAGCTTTGCTAACAGCGTTTATAAGAACCATGAGAGATACACTCACAAGACTGTAACTGTCGCAGGTGGAAGTTATAACATGGATGAGGTGAAAAAGGCATATAAAGAAGTCATGGGAAAGAACATGCCTGCTTTTCCAGCCATATTGGCATGGCTAGCTCTCAAGTTAAGTGTCGGTGTACAGCATGTGTGAGTTTCTTCAACTTGCAATATTTGTTGATTCCTTTTTCCTAATTTGGCATCTAGAGTCCAAGATACTGAGAGAATTTATCAGGCAAGGGTTAGTGGAGGATATCCGACACTGGAAGAAGAGATTGAAGCGGCTAAAGCGGTATGCGAGATGCAAGATTTCCGCACGTGGCTCCTCAAGCGGAAAGAAAAACAACCTTGATGTATATAATACTACATATGAGAATACACTATGACATAGGATTATTTGGTGTATTATAATTTTTTTTATTATATTTGCACTTAATTATATCAATCATGTACTCTGAGGTAGATATTATACTAAAACACTACGAAGATGGAATAGGAATTAGTTCAAAAGTAATCAGTGTTCCCTTTACAAGCGCCCCCTTAACACTACCGCCCTTCCCTTTGGTATACAAAGATAGCTTGATAAAGATATCAGGCACTACCCCATTCGCTTCCGCCATCTCTTCCTCCGTAAAGGCTTCCTTGGTACCATGGTAGAGGAAGAAATGCCTTTGGCCAAATTCCGGATGAGCGGGCGCCGCGGCCTCCCAACTATATCGTGTGACATTTTTATGTGGGCTCTCGTTAACACCAGGCTTGTTGAAAATGGCATTGTAAAAGGGAACCATGTTGGTTAAGACCTCTTCATCTTTAATGAAGAGAGAAATTCCAGCAACACCAACTGCACCCGATGGATGAGATGCATTCCCTGGCGTAATGGGAGCTCGGAGAGATCGTGGGGTCCGATCAAAAGTCCAGAAAGGCTGCTGATTGACATAAATTGGCCCTTTGTAGTTGTCAAAGTTGGGTATCGCATTGGCCCAAGTCCTCTTTGAGCCATCTGCCATTGTCCTAAATCCCGGTTCTGGATCCAGGTACTTAATTCCCACTTGAGAATCTTGGATTCTGGCTTGAACAGCACGGAATTTCTCTTCAGAATTGTTTGAACCTTCTTCCTCTTCGTGACTTAGGATGGTGTGGGCCCAGTGGATAATATGTCCATCGGGCTGCCTACCCCACGGGTGCATGGCTCTATGCTGGGGGTTCAAGCCATCAACAAAAGCAATGAGTTCCAGGTAGACGCCGTCTTTGAAGACGACGATCTTATTCTCAGTCATGCCACCCTCATGCACACCTCCTTCAAGGATAGTGAAAGCATCCGACAGCCATTGTGGAAGTGAAATGAGTTGGGAATGGGGAATTAAAAGAATAACGTGGTCAAAAACAGATTCTGGAGTAGATTGTGACGCCATGATTGCTGATTTACTGTGCTCTTAATGTCTTATTATTTTATTTCTCTCCTTTTGCATATAAGCCAGCCTTGCCTGCACGGCGCCTTATAAGTCACCCAGACGGATATTATCACCAGTCAAACTCGCCGCCGGAGTTTTTAGCTTATGTCGCTCCAGCTCCAGTGGCGACGGCGACGGCCCGAGAAAGAGCTACTAATACTAGCACCAACAGTAGCGGTAAAAACGGCACTGGAGTGGGATACTTGCGGAGTTCAAATTTCTCATCTAGATATATGCGAGCGGGGTTCGCAACTCCTTTTCCTTTTCATTTTTTTGTTCATCAAATTCATCCGACAATCCGTTTGTTGCCATCCAAGTGATCTATATTTAAAATCCTAATGCCTCACCTTTTCTTTCATCGCTCAAGCCACTTAGGGACAATATAGTTTGAACGATTAGCGGTAGTTTAGCGATCTGTTCAACCTAGCCGGAACGCGGAGCTGATATATCGTTATCCACCACAGCTCCAGCAGACTTGCTTAGTGTATTGGAGTTGCGCAAAGGATGCTTTGGGTTCAATATTCCTAATAAGTTTGGTAGCTGTTTATTGTTTAAAATTCACACAGTTTCTGCTGTTAATATGGCTATTACAAAAAAAAAACAAAAGTGAAACTTTCTTCAGATGTTTAAGAGAGAAATGATGCGCGGCCTATTTATTAACCCGCCTGGTCATGTCATTCTTACATAGCTCGTCTGGCGCCCGAAAGCTCATCAAGTCCGAAACTCGCGTCTCCCCGAGTCGGCTTTACAAAGTTTAATAAACATCATAATTCCGGCTTAGAAATCTTCTCCGAAATAATCGTTCTCCGAGCCGAGCATATTCATTCTTACAAGGTCGTTTGTGGTGGATTATAAATAAGCTTCTTGTTGTAGTAAGCCGATGTCATCGCAACTCGTCAAATCACCAAAGTAAAGCGCCAGTTAGCAAACACCACATCGAGCATCATCATCATGTCAGCTCAATCTATCCTTTTGCGCAATGCTACCATCTTGGTGCCAGGTCCAGCGGGAGGCAAGCCGGTCGTACCACTTCAAAGTCACTCACTTCTCATCGAAGGAAACAAGATTGCTCGCATAGCGGCTCATATAGATGCCCCATCTGATAAGACCCAAGTGATTGACTGCACTGGCAAGATCGTATCTCCCGGCTTTATTGATACGCATCACCATGTATGGCAGACGCAGCTCAAGGGACGGCATGCGGACCACACTTTGTTGGAATACGTCCCTACTGGCAACATGCAATCATTTAATTATACCACTGAAGATATCTTCTGGGGCGAGCTAGGAGGGTGCCTCGAAGCGTTGAATGCGGGAACGACGACAATAGTCGATCACGCGCACATGAACTATTCTCCAGCCCACAGTAAGTTGCAGATAGAATTTTATGTTTTCCACAGGCTAATACAAATAGACACAAACGCCATTGCCGCAACCGTATCATCGGGAATCCGCTCCACCTTTTGCTACGCGCCCACCGCAAGGGTGAAAGAGTGGGAGCCCGAACTCTCAGTAAATACTGAGTTCTTACCAAGCTGGGCAGTTGAACAAGTTGAAGAGCTCATAAAAGCTGGCCCATATGGTGATGGCCGAGTCAACGTGGGGCTGGCGTTTGACGCATTGTTCCTCCCGACGGAAATTGTTGCCGGTTTGTATAAGCGGGTTCGACAAGCTGGAGCAAAAGTGCTCACTAGCCATTACACGCGTGGTGCCATTTTTGGTAAGATTTGTTACCTCTATTATTCATTGCTTCATATATATTCGGTGAAACTAACTAATAATGCCAAGGGCAAAACTCGGTGGTGGATGTGCTTGAGAGCCATGGTGTTCTTGGTCCAGACATCATCATCTCCCATGCCAACAATCTCTTTGACTCCGACGCAAAGAAGCTCAGCGATGTAAACGCCGCCATCTCCTCAACACCAGATACGGAGATCCAGATGGGCCTTGGCTACCCGGTCTGTTTCCGAGACGACACCAGCGCTATCAGCTCTCTGGGCATCGACTGTCACAGCAACAACGGATCCAGCATCATAAATCAGATGCGACTCGGCCTGCAAGCCGAACGAGGAATCCGAAACCAGGCTCTCATTGAGGCAAGCAAAGCGCCAAAGCATCTCACCGTGTCCGTGCAAGATGTCTTTCGACTTGGCACTGTCGGCGGCGCGAAAGCCATCGGCATGCAAGACCAGCTCGGATCTCTCGAAGAAGGCAAACTTGCGGACATTGTCATCTTTGATGGGCTTAGCCCCGGCATGATCTGTGCTGCCGAAGAAGACCCCGTAGCAGCAATTGTTTTGCACTCTTCAATAGCGGATATCGAGACTGTCATTGTGAATGGAAGGATTGTGAAGCAGCAGGGAAGTCTTGTGCCCGTTGAGTTGGATCTGTCACTATCGGATTTCAAGCCTGCCAAGACGCGATTGGAATGGTCTGATGTGGCTAAAGAGCTTTTACAGAGTCGCCAGCGCGTGATTGAAGCAGGTAAAAAGAGCTGGGGGGGCGATTTAGAGAAGGCACTGGGAGGCGTGATGAAAGCATTCTACATTGATCCTAGCAATGTAGTCTAAGCAGAGCTGCACTTGGGTTGGCTGATTATATGAAATTTGAGGCTCAATCAGGGGTTGGTGGTAGTAAGCTGGAAACAAGATGTCTGATGTAACCTGATATAACTTTTAAGTAAATACCCCATCATCTCTGCTCAATAGCATAAGCAATCATTTGTGGATAAAACTCTTCACATTATAACATGGATTCTATCTTACTTTTCATAACCTTGCGGTCCATCTTATCCCTGCACCCAAAAACGCCCAAAATACCATTATCCAAGAGAGGAGTAACCAGTTCTAAAAAAGCGTGCACTATATAGTTTACAATCCTCATTTTCAACTTGATCGAATAACGTGAGTTCCCTCCGCAGGCTCCAAGACTAGCCACTGGCAGGCAAGATCCTTCTTCTCGTTGTGTTTCCTCAGAGTAGCGATGATCTGATTGGCAATGTCCTCATAGTTGGACAGGGCAAGGGCCAAGATGGTGGGGCCGGCGCCGGAAAGGCATACGCCGAGGAACCCGGGCGTGGTCTTGGGCGACATGGATTCGACAATCTCAGTCAGACCAGGGATAAGAGTTTGGCGGTAGGGCTGATGGACTCTGTCTTGCATAGCCAGGTTGATGAGTTCAGGATCGGGTGGCGACTGGCCAAGGGCAACGGGGAGGAGGGCTATCCGCTGCAGATTGAATACCTAAGCAGCCACAGAGTCAGTAATAGCAAACAATTGCTTCGTATCGCTCTACTTACGACATCGGTACGCTGGTAGTTTGGTGGCAAGACGGCTCGGGCGTCGTGGGTGGGCACGATAAAGTCCGGAATGATAGCTACAGCCTTGATCTCCTTGTTCCATGGGAACTTGATGTGGTGGCCGATGCCAATGGGAGGCTCCGGGGGCCTCTTGCCAGTATCAACGCCTCCCGCCGGGTTGGGCAACACTTCACTCAGCGGAATTTCGATTCTAGACGCATCCTCGGGCTTCAATGGCATGAGGTACGTTCCAACGAAGCCTCCAAAGAGGGCCGCGCCGACGTTATCCGGGTGTCTCTCTGCAGTCGAACAAAGAAATTGTGTTAGCGCAGGGTTCATGTAAAAGTCCATGCAAAAGTCCATGCTCTTCCTCTCAGCGCAACAGAGAATCGATAGACGCACCAATCATCAAGCAATAGTCAAACAGCCTCTCCTGGGTCAAGTGGTGCAGCTTGCCAACTTCCTTGCCCAGCTGCACGCCAGCCACCACAGCAGCTCCCGAGCTCCCCAGCCCCCTCCCCAGCGGAATCGGGTTCTTGATATGGACGTGCGTCTCGACGGGGAAGCTGCGCTGGTCATGGCATCGCAGGACGTAGAGCGCAACCCTGGTGATGAGGTTGTTCTGCGGATCCAAGCTAATATCGTCGGTGCCTTCACCCTGGCCCTCGTACGTCACTCTGCAGTTGAGAGGGTGTTCGGACCTGGTCTTGGAGCGGTCAATCGTGACATGCAGCTCGAGGTACACGGAGAGGGCAAGGCCAATGACGTCGAAGCCGGGCCCAATGTTGGCGCTGGAGCAGGGCGTCTTGATCACGAATGACTCCATGGTGGGCGGATTTTTGATTCTTCGTATTCGCCCCGGGCTTGGCCTGTCACAATTTTCTGAGGCTGCAGCAAAGACAGCAGATCAGCAGGAGGTGTATGGCGTGTCGTCTGCGTTTCAATTGCCAAGCAAATGTCGAATTGGCCTGGCCGGCAAAGAGTTGCTGTCTTGTTGAAAGGTGCAGAGTAGAAAAAATGTTTGTTGGCTTGCTGGCGCAGGTAGTCACGCCTTGCGATGGGCCCGATAACCGGAGCTCTCTGGAACGTGCGTGCGCTTTTCTGGTGGCGGGGCAGGCTAGAGAGAGAGTCACAACGATACCCGAAATATCAGCCCAGAGCTTTACCAGCAATGCTATCGCGATAGACTTACACATTGGAGACATCAATGATGTTCTGCACGTGCCCAGATACTGAATGTCTATGTATACCAAGATTGGCAGTCTAGCTGTGGTTCATCGCTTACACAGTAGGAATACATCTTAGCTCATAGGAACACCTATATACATGTACTCTGTATGGCGCTTAGGGTTCAATGAGCTCTGTATTTTGTTCTCAGCACTCCATAAATTGGCAATGCTCAGTAGATCGGTATGAGTTGAGTCTATGGCGATCATTTCAGAGTACTCCATACACAAGCCTTGGGATAGCTAATAAGGTAAGCGTAAGATGAGCTTGGAGGGCCGTTGCAACTACTAGGAAAACGGTCAGCACAGCTTCTACGAAGGTAAATCGAACCAATCGTAGGGTAGATCATCACCATTGAAACCGATGCTTGACGTTATTAGACAGTTGCCTTGCGCGTTCAAAAGTGCATTGGAATTTATATATTATAGATTTTTTTGTCTTAACAATTGATGATCTTGCGGTTAGTGCAAGAGTTGAAAATGTACCGAGAGACTCTTGGTCTCCTCCAGGTGGACTAGATGCTGGCAGGTAAATCCTCTCAACCCCCGTGGTACCTGCGGCAGTATATAATCCAAGTCTTCGTTGCTACAGGATAGGGGGAAAAAGAGCAATAATCATTTAGTTTCAGCTATACAGAGTATGGTTTTTTCAATCAAGTTCCACCATCAAGCTATCCGTCTGAAAAGAGGCGAGATTGCCTTCCATGTCAGCTTCACGTAAAAGTTGGTGGTGGAATAGCGTTGATACGCGTGAAAATCAATCCAACAAGACAGGCATCTGGGCAGATTACCTGCCTATTATTTAGCAGTGCTATTATACAATGCTCTACTTGAGGAATAAAACCGATACTTTCAGCAGAGATGCGCTGAAAGCTGTACAAACAAACTGGTCTTGAATTATGAAAGGCGCCTCTCTTCGGTTAAAGTATTCTTCAATGTAGCCTCGCGGTGTACCTCATTAGCAGTAACACCTCACCAGCCCTATCCCTCTAATCCTCATAAATGATAGAGAAGGACATGGATGAGCTGTCAAGCTGACCGGCCCCCCTGGGTCAAAATGTCGGCCGCAACGGCGTTGCACCAACATCCATTGCCCTACTGGGAAACAATTATGGGCAAGCCAGCTAAGCTATTCGACGTTGCTCCGCAGCGGACCTACAACAAGCGTTAGATCGAGTGGGTGCCCGGCACTGACTAGATGCTGGTCTGTTCAGCCCGCATTTCTTGTTTGCCGTTTTACTAGCATCAATGCACTGAGGTTCGTATATGCCGGCATGACTCCATCCAAGCAGTAAAAAGCCCAAGGCCTCGGTTGCGTAAATATATACCCAGAAGGACCTCTGTCTGCCAGGAATGTGATTCTCGAAGAACAAAGGAATCGGAGAAGAGAGAGATAGGGGAAAAAAAAGAATAAGAATAAAAATTAGACGTCTCGTATTACGATCCTTTTGGGCTTCAATTACATCCCACCCGTACATGCACTGCGTGCTCCGACCCATCTTTTGGCGTCTTCTAGACAAACCGCCAACCGTCCCATTTCTCGTACAAACTGCATCACAAGGCCGGCACACTGCGTCATCAATACGAGCCGGATCGACACAGCGTGCGCTCCTTGCGGCTGTGGCGATGCTCCAGGGTCCTTGTCCGGGGAAAGCTGGTTGGGTGATTGGGGGGACCGTCGTCAAGAGGGAAAGAATCCCCCGATAATCCGGTAGGCCCGCTTGCAGAAGATGGTTGTTGCTAGTAGAGGAACTAGCTGTAAGAATGGATCTTGAGGGCTGAAGAGGAGATATTGTGGACTGAGAGTGAGAGGCCCGACTGAGTGACGAGATGGACTAGGACCAGAAGAGCAATGGATGGACGCCTCTGACAGCCATCTCTAATGCAACGGCAAAAATACGAGCTTAATTGCGAGTATGAATTTTAGCCCTACTTTTTTTCTTAAAAAAATCCTTTTCTTTCGGTGTAAAGCTATGACGAATTCTGAATCTCCGTATACGCCTATTCACGTATACTTCCTAACCTTATGCCAGCCATCGGACATGGACTTGTGGCCCAGCACCACAGCATCAAATGGCCCGTGCCGCCCATACCACGCACCAACCTGATGGATCTCCCCATGGCTTCTTCCGGTACCGCGACAAACAAGTTACGAGCCCCAGGTGCTCCTTGTCAGGCTGCTAGCTACGTCCGGGACAGGGATGCGTTGCTATTTGTGGATTTGTGGACCAGAATCGGCATCAGATGATCGGACACGAGCAAAGAGCCGGATGATGCCTGAGCGCAGTTGACTCGTCACAACGATTGCTACCCATTTACCTCCGATTAACTGCATGAGGTACTAGTATCTGATATTTAGTAGGTATTATTCTTCACCGGGTCATATGTAAGTATACTTCCGAGGGAAAGAAGAGGGGCTTGGCTGACTGGGATGCAGCAGGCGGGAGGACTTGGCGATGGATGGATACCACGATCCCATCGAACGAGAAGGAAGAGGCGACTGAGTTTCGACGGACAAGTCCCAAAACGGCCATGACGGGCAAGTTGCTCTGAGTATAAAAACCAGACTCGTCCTCGCCTGAGAAACCAATTGCTTTGAATCATCATCTTCAGTCTTCATCACAACATCAACCGGCCCAAGCCTCCTCACAACACATTCGCTTTAATACTCAGCTTTATCTAATATCCATACCTCGACAACACAGTCAAGATGCAATTGTCCAACCTCTTCAAGCTTGCTCTCTTCAGCGCCGCCGTCTCTGCTGATACCGGTATGACGACTCCATTGCCTGTATTGGGCGCTCTCATTTTGCTAACATAATTTCACCCACATAGTCTCGTACGATACCGGCTACGATGACGCATCTCGTTCTCTAACCGTCGTATCTTGCTCCGACGGCACCAACGGCCTCATCACCAGATACCACTGGCAGACCCAGGGCCAGATCCCTCGCTTCCCATACATTGGTGGTGCCCAGGCCGTCGCTGGCTGGAACTCCCCTAACTGCGGCACTTGCTGGAAGCTCACCTACAGCGGCAAGACCATCTACGTCTTGGCCATTGATCACACCGCTGCTGGTTTCAACATTGGTCTCGACGCCATGAATGCTCTGACCAACGGTAATGCTGTTGCCCTCGGACGTGTTTCTGCCACTGCCTCTCAGGTGGCTGTGAGCAACTGCGGCCTCTAGTAAATTCGTCCGCTCAGGAACCACCAAAAAAATTGGGTTTTAAGCCTATTTGACTATCATCGAATTGCATTACTGGATAAGGCGGGATTGCATTGGGATTGGTTTTTCTTTTTTTAACATGGACGTACGGGAATGAAGACTTCGTTGGATGTGTAATGAGCATAAACGAGCTACACGGCAGACGCTACTACTAAATTATACACAACACCCTCATCGGGCATCATTACTATTTTTTTATTATCATTCTGAAAGTGATTCCCAATGACAATGATCCAAAAACGGTGGAGCACGGAAATGGCGGAGCATTGTAAGCAGATCGACGTGGCCGTTCGATTCGACAAGATGGACATGCATTAGCCGCTGCTTGAAGTGTAAGCCTTCGTCATTCATCTTTAGACGACGGGGGTAAATGTATGCATAGTTCACTCGTCTAGCCAATCTTACAGCTGCGGCGGTCACTTCCGTTATTTCCGTATTATGAGCTCCAGATTCTCATCAACATTACGCCAATAGCTTTCATGCACTTATGCTTCATACCTATTTTCGCTACTCTCCAGTCCACTCAGCCTCAATAAACCACATCCTTGACTTCTCCGGCTGCCATATGCCATTAAACTTGAACCGCTCATCAGCTCGTCTAAACAGGTCCCTCCAATCATCCGGCTCCCTCTCCCTCGCATTCACAGTGACTTGCATAAACAAATCCAACGTCCTCATCGTCCTGTCTTCAATGTACCCCGCCGTGCCCGGTTCCGGAAGGGCTCCATCGTTGATAATTACCTTTGCGCCCGGTCTGAGCGAAGGGATGAGCGCCCTTAGAATTTGCAGGCAGTACTTGTCTGAGAAGCCATGGAAGATCATGCGGAAGAAGTAAGCGGCGGCAACGACGGGCTGCGGGGTGAAGAAGTCGTGGGTGGTGAGCTGGACTCGCGATTGGAGCTCTGCGGGGACTTTGCCGATGGTTTCGGCGGTGCGCATGCCAGCGGTGTCTTGGACTATGAAGGAGAGGTTGGGGAAGGCTTCTGCGAGGGCGAAGGAGATGTAGCCTTGGTTACCGCCCATCTGAGGTATGTTTCAGTCAGTGATTGTTCTTGTGTGTAGGTGGACCCGGCTGCATGTGTTTCGAGGGTGGTGTGTGTGTGGACTTACATCGACGACTGTGCCGTCTTGAGGTAGCTTCTCCCAAGGATATCCCTTAACCACAGTCTCCATGGAATATCCTTCTCCGCTGCCATGAGCCTGCATAGCCAAATTGTATCTCTTGGAAAACTCCTGATCCTGCTGAATAAAGTCGAACCAAGGAAGATCCTGCTTATACGCAAGGTTGACGCCCGTCTCAGTCGACTCCTCACTCGCGGGCCACTTCTTCATCGCCGGGATGACATTAGCCAACGGCAGCCACAAATCGTTGCACATGAACCCAACCCAATTCCGCAGGGGCGCATCTTCGCGAATGAGCCGCGAAGTGCGGGAGTGCGCCACGAAGCCCTTTTCGGGCTCTGCGAAGATGCGGTTGGTGATGGCGTGGCGGACGAGGCGGCGGAGATCGAGCACTGAGAGGCTAAGCCCGTTGTTTAGCTCTTTGACTTTGGCTGTGAGATCTTCGTATGAGATCTTGCCGTCGAGGGGGACGGCATCGGCGATTTTGAATTCCCATATTGATTGAAGAGACAGGGTGTTTACACACTATATGCCAGTTGAGATGAGATATGTCAGCTCAACCCCATCATATGTGAAGAGAAGTCAAAACTACTACTACTAGGTAAGCAATAAACAGTCTGTCCACTCACATCCCACGCCAAGTATCTCAAGCCTTCCTTAGGACCCAAGGCGATATCATGGAGCTCCTTAGTCAGGGATATAAGCTCCAAGCGAGCCTTGTATGGCTCCTCGTCATCCTGTGAGATGGGAAACTCGGCAAGCCCATTCACATCAAACGATGCAGCATCGAGGCCCTTTGCGGTAAGATGGTCGGTGATGATCTTGGTCTTGGCTGCAATCTCCTGCGAGAGAACCGTCATCCGCTGGACGGATTGGGATGCCATTGTTGGAACTGCGCGTCGAAGCGAGGCTGGCTGATAGGATGAGAGCTGGACTTTCTCGATTGAGTCGAGGGATTAAATCCACGCTCCCATTGCATTGAATCTTGACGTCTCCACCCCTCCTTTTTATTCTGCAACAGGGTAGAAAAACACGGGCTGAGGCCAAAAGGTGGATGGATGGATCGATCTAGCCTCTCCGTCGCTTATAGGACCTAGTAGTAATTGAAATTCTCAGCTCCGCAGACGCGGGGAACTTCTGGCCGCACTAATTAAACAAAAGAGCGCTGTCTATTATATTACATCTAATACTGTATGTACAGTACGTGAGCGTATGCTGCTTGGGTTGTGTCTTTATTCTTATCTTTAGCATCGTGAACAAGAAAAACAAAAAAAAGAAAAAAAGCTCCCATCCTTTTTATCTTGGTTTTTGCCCTATGACAACATTAAATGGCATGTAACCGTGTTGGCTGTTGTCTGTTAATTCCTTGCGGACATCCACTAGATAGACCTCCAGCTCCTCCAGTGTCCACTTGAGCCCCCGCGTAAATGGCCTCACGGCAACTCCATACAGCGCATCTTGAATCATGCTCCTGTTGTAGAGCCCAACCATTTTCAGCCGGGGGTCTTTCGGCCACGTGCCGATCGGGATCTTGAAGGGTATCTCAGTGACATCGACAAAACCCGCATCGGTGACGTTCTTTTTGTTGTGTCGCATAGCGAGCAGATCGACGTTGAAATGGCCGAGTGCGCTCTCCATGGTTTCGTAAAAATGCTGGATTTTGTTGCCCTCGCGGACCGTTCCGTCGTCGCATTTGACTTGGAATTTTAGTTCTTGCAGCTCGATCCACCCACCAGGCTTTAAGGCTCTATTGGCAGGGGCAAAAAAAAAAAAAATTAATACCACGGTATCTCAATAACAAAATGGCTGATGAGATAAAGAGCGGGAGTGGACTTACCGATATGCTCGTGATAATAGTGTAGGCCAGTCTCGTATTGACGAGGTCATATGCCGAATGTGAATATAGTCTAGAGACTCAGGGGGGATCAACCAGTCTGCCTCGGCATCATCAACCATGAAGGAGACGTTCGGCGGCACCCATTGCGGCTGGATTGGACTCAAATCAATGCCCTGAATCTCTGCTTCTGGGTATTCGTCTCCCACTATAACAATTGCATGGTCAGTTATGACTGGTCATATTTTTCCCTCCCTCACTTGGCTCTGAAGCGAGAAAAGGAACAAAGAGCGCCTTTGCGCAAAGAGAGCGCCGCAAAATCGGCGAGAGCTTCTTACTATCAATGGCCCAAATACCCGTCCCTGTCCCTACATCCAGAATCTTTTGCGGATTTTCCAGCGGCGCATAATGAAGCTTCCCCTGACAGAGATGCACTATCATGGCGTGCTTCATGTCCTCCCTCTCCTGCTCTGGCTCATCGTTTGGGAATTGATATCGCCCTTCTTGGAACCGGTGATAGCGCCTGTTGTTCTCGAATTCGTAGTCGCGCACAGTACTGCAGATTGATGTTGAGGCTCGCGACGCTGAATCGGTCTCGTAGCCGTCGTCGCTGGCCGCATCGTCGTCGGCTTCGATCGTCTCATCGGGAACCAAATCTGCGACGAATGGCGCTGAGCCCGGCGAAGCTGCTACTTCAGCAGGAGAGGACCCGGCGTGAGGAGAAGCGCCGACGCGAGGCTTCTTCGCCGGCGTCGCTGTGGGTGATGGTGATGCTTCGTCCTTGGCATGCTTGGCGATGGCAGCAGCAGCAGCTGCTGTGTTCACTGTATGTCTTGCGTCTGCTGGTTTCTCCATCGTCGCACTCGCACTCGCATTCAGCTGCGACTGGGCCTTTGCTGAAGATTTCCAGACAGTCGGGATCGGCGCGCGCAAGGAACGCAGGGAAACTGCTCACGATTTGTTTGAGCTAGAAATGCGACGGAGATTCATTTGCCAGAATAGGAACAGCTAACTAGAATCTTGCCTTAGTCAGTCGTCGGCGTGGGCGCGCGCTCGCTCGCTCCTCACGATTGTTGGTAGGGGCACAATATTGGCGGGTCGCCAACTAAAACCAATCACGCGGTCGCGGAACGTCCGCCGGTCTCCGCATAGTCTATAATTTAGCAGCATAGGATTCCATTCTAGAGGGTAAAGACTGCATGTGGCCCTTTGCCCAAACCGGCACGGGCCGAGGCAAGGCTGCTGGCTGTACTCTGGGCACGGATATATATGTGATATATATGTGATATGTATGTATCAACTCATCAAGCCAGAGGGCTTCAATGCTCTTCACGACGTGGCGGAGGATATTGACGACCGCCTCCCAGCCAATTCATAAGCCCACGTCCAATTCCACCAAGCCCAGCTATGGCTCCTCCAGCGACTCGAACTACGCCAGCGAGCACACCTGAGCCGTATCCTCCGGCTGCTGCGCTCTGCACAGTAGCAAAGGCGCCCTTGGCAGCGACATTCCCGGCAGCGGATTGAGCTCCTGACGCAATCGAATCTACAACATTGCGATTATTGTTAGTATACGTAAAGTGAGAGGGTAAAGGAACTGGACAACGCTGGAGAAGGGTGTGCTCACTGGCGGCAATGCCTCCTGAGGTAAAACCCAGCACTCTGGCCACGCCCATCACCGGGGCCGTGATGATTCCAGGGGCAACCATCATGAATAGTCCAGCGACAAGTCCAGGGTTCTCCTTCGCGAAATTGGCAGTCTGCATCGACGTTAGCATGTTATATCATACTTGTAGGGCATAAAGCGAGTCTATCACTTGCCCCCTGAGCTGCAACTTGAGCAGCATTCTTGACGGCCTCAATATTTTTCTCATCTTTGGTCCACTCCTCCACATGGCTTGCTGTATCTTTGAGACTGGTAATCGCTTCTTCAACATGAGGCCGAGCGTTCTCGGCCGCCTCACCTACAAATCGCACGGCGTTGTCTAAAGCTTTTTGTACTTCTTCGCTTGCTCGGTTCATATTTTCTGGAGTGACATGCTGATTATTATTTTTTTAGCTGAGTATTACACAGATCTAAAGAGGAACAAAAAAGAGAAGAAAAAACAGAAAAAGAGGACGTACCTCCTGTATTTGCTGCGCAGCATAATCGACGTGCTTCCGAATCTCTTCGCCCGCCCGATTCATATTTTCTAGAGTGGCATGCTGATTATGAAGTTCGCTAGTTGAGCATTACATAGATCTGGGGATAAAAAAAGGGAAAGAAAAACAGAGGACGTGCCTGGTGTACTTGCTGCGCAGCATTATCGACATGCCTCCGAATCTCTTCGGCCGCTCGGTTGATGTTTTCTGCGGTGATGTGTTTGGCAGCCTCTCGCTGAACAACAGCCAAGCCCTGGCCAAGCTGATCTAAAAAAGACATCTTGGTTTCTTTTTCCTTTGTTTGGAAGTAGAAGATGGAAACTTGTTCCTCGATGCAACTATGTTTTGCGGGGGACTAAAAGAGCAGAGGAAGGATGAGGGTTTGGGCTTTCGGAGCTTGCAGACTACTAAGTTTTGGGTAGCACCATCAAAAATTAAGGTGTGTATAGCCAGAGATATAGATAAATAGCATTCAGCAAGGGGGATATTTTTTCCCCGCTGCCATCTCCGTGTTTGGTTGTATCTGCCCAAGTACATGTACAGGCCGATGCGCATGACAATGCGGGAGGCCTACAATGTGGCTTGGCAAGGGAGCCTTCTATTGAGCGAGTCGCGTTATTTGGAGGGCAGCAGGTGCAACACTTGCCGAGTAAACAGAAGAAAGTGAAAGAAAACCAGGAATTAAAGAGAGAATTCACCATTTGGTAACTGAACACACATGTACCTGTTCCAATGCAAAGTATGCCAGAACACCTGTATCAATATGGGATTCTGCTGTTATATTCCCATCTATATCGATGCAAAATCTTGATGCTCTTATGATTCTAGATGCTGTCATATGTGTTAATGCAAAGGTTGAGAGTGAGTAGTTCTGAAAACCGCCTCATTATATACCCAACCCTGTTCTTTGGTACGTGCTACTGCTTTGATGGCTCTGCTTTCGGTTTGCCTCTCAACCAAGTCCAAGCTGTTCCAATGCTCCCAGCACCAGCAACAGCGCCTCCAACAGCCTGAGCCGTGCCAGCCAAAGCTGCCACGCCGTATCCTCCAGCAGCAGCGCTTTGTACCGTCGCAAAAATGCTTCCGGCGGCAACGTTGCCGATGCTTGCTTGTAGTGCCGATGCAATAGATGCTACATTTCGAGTAATTAGTGAGAAGATATGTTCCCAAGTAGCGTGGTATGAACAGAGGAAATTCGTGCTCTTACCTCCAGCTATTCCTGCCTGGGTAAATCCCGCCATTCCAGCTATTCCCATGATAGGGGCAGTGATAAGAGCGGGAACAGCAACGACAGCAACTCCAGCTCCAGTGACTACCGTAGCTGCAGCGAGCATAGGATTCTCGCGAGCAGCTTTTCCAAGCTATTTGATTAAAGTGTTAAAAGAGCATGCTTGATCTCAGAATCTCGAGGATAGCGTACGTTGTACTCACTCGCTGAACCGCTGTCTGAGCTCCATCAGCAGAGAGTTGTGCGGAAGGTTCTTGTGCCCCATTCATATCTTCGGTACTTGAAGCAGTGGCTTCAGCGTTTGCAGTCGCTTTTGCAGTTGTTTCAGAATAATTTTGTGTCGCAGTGGAATAGCTCGAGCATTCGCCGATGATGTCGTCAGTAACGCTATTATCGTCTTCTACGTGGTTTATTGTCTTAATAGATGAGCTATCGGAGCAAGTCATTGAAGTTTCGGTGCGATAGTGAATGCTGCGAGCTTCTTCATCAGGCTTGTGAATAGCATTGGGCAGGCTGGCTGTATTGACATGCCTGGCAAACTCCCGTCGGGCGTTTGCTAGACCGCCTCGGATATGAGAGACAGAAGGCATGTGTCGGTCTGTTACGTTCCGAGCGATATTCAAAATTATGATATGAAAAAGTGAACAAGACTTATACTGGCCGTTTCTAACTTAAATTTGAAGGGAAGATGGCGAAATGGAGAAGTCTGAAAAGCTGCCTGAGTAACTACAACTACATGGAGGTACGGATTTTGCTTGGGCGGTATCAAGCTCAAAGACCAATTACAATCGCCTAAAAGGTGCAATGTACAAGAAGAATTATAGTGTCGGTCGCACATTTAATCCTGCAGGTCTGGTTTTGGGTCGTGCTATTGGCTGTAGCTGTCAAGGGTGGCGCTTATCTGTAACATGCGGGAGGCCTACAGTTGAGGATACTGGCATGCATAAGCATGTGCATGAATAACAAATCAGACAAGTATCCAATAGTAGCATTATAAAAAGAGGAACTGAAATCCTTCTGTAATCTATCAACAAATCACCGCTATAACGTTTATTTTCTTGGTGGAAACGTAGTAGCACAAGCGCCTCATAAATCTTCCTCGCTCGTCTCACCGTCTCTTATAGGCGGATTTCGATCAGTCCACGGTTCAAAAAATTGAGCGCCCTTGAGAAGTCCTCCAATGGTCTCCCAGATAATCAAAAATGCAAAGAGTGACATGACTATGGCCATAAAATCCGTGGTGGATAAGCTGTCATTTGTTGCGGGCAACGCAAGAAGAATAATGGCAACGACTAGACGCATGCCGATACGAGGCGTCTTTGACAGAATTAGGCAATCTTCATCGTGCGTGCGATACAACATGCCATAGATCCAGAGACAAAACATGCCGACGCCCAGACCTCCTCCCAGTAACCATCGCTGTCCGTCTTCAAACTCATCTAGTCGTGTACTAATGGCTGCAATGTGACCGCCAATGAGAAACGACGCGGATAATGGCAAATGGAGCAGAAAGAAGCCAAAGGCCGTCCAAGCAGATCTCCGAATTGGATGCGTTGCCTCCAAGCTCCCATCACCGCTGACGTATATCCAATTGAGACAGAATGCAATGATGAGGGTGAAAGCAGCTTTGGCATAACCCTGCGTCAAGCCTACCCCAGCTGGGTCTCCAACAATGACGCTGTATACGAATTCGCCAAGAATAATGATGAAAAATGCAGCCATGCGGTCGATTTCATGAGCAATGTCAACCGCCGTGCTGTACGTAAGTTTCAATTTGCGCTTTATCCATGGACTTAAAGTGATTGACCAAGTTACCTCTTGGTAAAAGATAATAACAGCGACAACAGCGATTTTGGCCTCAATGCTAACCTCTTCAAAGAAGAGCGGAATAGTGATAAACAGGCCTATAAACATGAAAAAGGCCAAGATACGAGCCTGCATGCGGTGCTGATAGCTGGCGAAAGAGCAGACTAGAAACGCGCACATGGTGGTGAAACGGGCGACGACGTACGCGCCAGCAGTCGTTTGCATTGCCGATAAGTCTTCATCAACGAGACGAGCATTATTCGCGTAGAGAACCAAGAGCGCCATGACCCATAAGATGATGAGTCGCTGGAGGAGGTCATCTGTGTAGTACGAGTTCATGATTTCGCGGAGATCGACCCAGATATGCCATGCGGGCGCAAAAATGAGAATGTATTTGGCGAGATGCTGGCCATCTGGATTCTCTGCGAGGTCATCGCTGAAGTTCGCTACTATGGCGACATCTGCATGACAATGGACGATATCTCCATTAGCAAGCCCTTTTCTCTTTAGTTCAACAACGGCCATAACTTACACAACAGATCGAGGAAGAGCTCAAAACGACCTGCTTGTCTCTCCTCATCGCTCTCCTTCACGAGTCGCCCATTATGGAACCACTGCAGCGCCTTGGGCCGCTTAATCATATAGCGCTCCCCAGTGGCGCTTTCTTGGAGCTCGTTGCAATTCATAATGAGACAGTGACTTGTTTAATGCCGTTTCATGTGCCTGTTTGGCAACATTGAAAATTAATCATGGCAAATCATTTTTAACAAGGATGGAAAATGCTGGGTTTCTCGTCTCTCGCGTGGTAGCTCGCGTACTAAACGTGAGCTAGTCGGAGCTAATGTGATATTTGGATTTCGCTATACCCGGAATTCTAAGTTAACATTCCAATCAACAGCAAGAGAAAGCTAAGAACACGCTAAAGAAGCAGCACAGGACTATTAAGATAACAACTTGATGCTGTGTCTCCTATGGAACCATTGAAACTTAAAGTATTGCAGTTGGAATAAAATACAAAACTATCCGCTAAGAGCAATCATGGCTAAACTGTCATACTATCTATACATGTTTCTTCCAATCATGATAAAACTCGTTAAAAAAATATCGTATGCTCGTCCAAGTATACTCCATTCTCCTAGGGGCCATGCCTAAATCTCATCCTCAGACTTGCTTGTTTCTCGTAAGATACAGCAGCCAAACTCAACAAACCCACACACCTATATAACGAATACTTCACCATTCACGAGACGAGTATTCTCACCAACACCTATTCTTTGACCAGAAACGCTCCCCACCGGCAAAATCTCTTTTAGAAATTGGTGTGCGCGATCTAAATTCTTACTGTAGCGGCTCATCATCTGAAATCGACCGAGGATCCAACGCCGATGAACTTCGTCATTCGTCTCAAGAGCAACCACAAAGAGCGGCCAAGCAACTCTAATGGTCGCTTCAATACCTTGATGCTTGTCAGCTTGAATGGCCAAATCAATAATGGCGCTAATATGTGCTTTTGGAACTATTTCTGTTCTGATGGCTATGCCTTTTCCTCGAATTAGACGCATGAGTTCAAGCTTGGAAGCATGATATAAGGGAATGAAGGCGCGAATGTTGGCGACGAGACGATGCGAGTTGTCTGTAGACAGAGAAATGTTTGATGCTACCTCAAGTAGCTCCCCATAACGCTTGTCAATCTGTTCAAAGGCGGCTTCAATTACTGGTACGCGTTGCCTAAGCTCATTCACGTCAAGCCCAGCTAGACCAGCTATCATGGCGCGAAGCTGCATGCATGCGCAGAGAAACGCAAAGATGTCTCGATTCTCCACATCATCCAGCAGTTCTACCTGCGGGTATGAATCACCCCACATTGAGCGGTATAAAGAATTCGAGTATCTATGTAGAGCATCGAATCCAGGAATAGATGAAGTGTCATCGGGCCCCACAATATCCTTTATCTCACTGTTGAACTGGCCACCAATCCCAAAAGTTGCGGCTGTCGAATCGCAGAGAGCAATCCAAACAAGCAGCCGGATCACAAAAAGGGATAAACCCGGTTCATCTGGGTGACTTCGCAGCCGCTTTGTTCTGGTCAATACCGGAGTTCCCTGCCACCCACGCTTGGATATTTGATCTGAGAGGTTCTGGCACCGGTATTTCACAATTATAGCAGCTCCAGCAAGGTGATTTGATAACCCTGAGCAAGACCCATCACCATACTTCTGCTCGTAAACAAGCATCAGGTATAACACAGCAAAGATGGGGTCCAGTTCTAACTGCCGACCGTCGTCTGCAGCCCCTATTACATCGGCTAAAAGGCCCAAAGCAGCTGAATAATGTTGGACAGGAGTCCATTTGCTGCTACGATCTCGTTCTTCCCTGGCACTGTGGCTAATTGCTCCGTCTGAGTTACTGTTTCGCCGAAATTCAATTTCATTGCCTCCGAGAGCCAACAAAGCATGCATAACCATCGGCTCATCTTCAGCAATTGCGAATATTATGGAGAAGAGCGAGTAATCAGGATTCTTGGTGTGTTGAATCCTAGCAAACGTTGTACGGAAATAGCGTATCGCCTCATGATCAGCCGAAGTGAGATCCAGCGAGCACGCGCTACTGGGAAACTCTGGAAGCCGTGTTGGAAGAGCAAGAGCTCTAGTTAGCGCTGCGCGTTGTGCCCAAGTCGGCAATGTCTTGGAGTTCTCAAGTGCCAGCCTGTATCCTCGAGACATGGCCAACACGTCATTGTGCTTCATCTTGGGCTCGTAGTCACAGAGCCGTCTTAGACGAACGCATCGCTCACACCGTGGCCGTACTTCGTCACATTTGACTTTCTTGATGCGACAAGTATAGCATCCGTTTTTTGAGCGGCGGACTTTTGGACGAATGTCAGCGGCGGAGTTGGCACAATCCATGTCGAACAACTCAAGGTTCCAGTTTTGTCCGATCAATATCCTAACTGATGCTTGACTCAGGGAACAAAATGTCTGCCCCCTTCATAAAAAGAGGAGAAGTTGATTTTCCAAGATATTATCAATCTCTTTTGTGGGCCTACGAGATCGCCCCGTCTTAAAAGACTCTGAGAAGGTGCCTGAGAAAAGGGAGGCTTGCGGGATGCTGTCCTCGTGCGCCGTCGCTGCGGCTGAGTTGCCGACCGTCGGTAAGCCTCAGCCGCTCATAGTCCGCCCTTGTCAGTTTAGAAGATCGGGCTGACAGTTGCTGAGATTCGGGGGCTGCTACCCCGCATGACGTGAATCAAAGCTGCCGATTTAGCAGCCGATGGTCGCTAAAGATGGGCATTGAGTTGGTTATGGCCCAATCAAGTCGACCAGAGCGTACTAGCCAATGGAGAGCTCCCACTTTTACGTATCAGATACGATGAAAACGTCGCCGTCATGGGCACATTGGCGAGATATATATTTGTTCAAGAGTGCTCACATTAGCTTTGGTCAATATCTCTGCCCACTATCCAGAAGCTATCTATTACTTCAACGTTTTTATAACATTGTATATCATAAACATGGGTAGCAAAGTCGATATTGAGCAAGCACGGCAGCTTGTCAACTCTCATCTTGACGAGGTGAGCTCGCAGCTCCGCGAGGTCAATAGAGCAATCCATGATAATCCCGAACTTGCCTACAAAGAGTTTCAAGCACACGACACAATTACCTCCTTCTTGGAGAAGCAAGGATTTGATGTAAAGCGAAAGACTTGGGGCCTTGACACCAGCTTCGAGGCTACCATTGGCTCTGGTGGGCGTCAAGTTGTTGTGTGTTGCGAGTACGATGCGTTGCCAGACATCGGGCATGGCTGTGGCCACAATCTCATTGCCACATCGTCTATAGCTGCGTTCCTTGGAGCCGCTCATGCTCTATCCAAACTGGGTGTCCCAGGCAGGCTGAGAATTCTGGGAACACCCGCAGAAGAAGGTGGTGGCGGCAAGGCCAAACTGATTACCGCTGGTGCCTTCAACCCCCCAGAAGACATTGCTGCGTCTATCATGGCCCATCCCATGTCTATCCATCGCTTGATTGGCTCAGGAGGCAGCCAAGTCTCTGGCATCGCAGGGTTAGATCTCATTGCCAGCTTCAAGTTCCGTGTCGAGTTCCGCGGTGTAACAGCACATGCGGCCGGCGAGCCTTGGAATGGCGTCAACGCTCTTGATGCTGCCGTTGCTGCGTATAACAATGTGTCGCTTCTGCGCCAACAGATCCGCCCTGACGAGAGGATCCATGGCGTAATTGAAGTTGGCGGGACTGTACCAAATGTCATTACCGATTACACGCGTATGAACTGGTATGTACGAGCTCCTACGACTAAGCATGGGGAGCTTTTGATGGAGCGAGTAAAGGCTTGTATGGAGGCAGCTGCTGCAGCAACTGCTTGCAAGGTCAATTATATTCCGTAAGTAGAATCTCTCTCGTCATTTCCCACTTCGTGGCAGATGTGCCGATGAATACCTTACTTACTTAAAAATAGGACGGATACGTATGAGAGTGTCATGTCTAATCCTGTACTATGTAAGACGTATATCGAGGACATGGCTGTACTCGGCGAAAAGGTTGATATGAAGCTCCTTGAGAGCTTCAACGCCTCAACCGACATGGGCAATGTCACTCACGTGGTGCCTGGCATCCACAGTGGATTCGGCATCCAGACAGCACCGAATGTCTCTCTGCATAGTCGCGAGTTTGCCGCTGCTGCAGGGACGGACGATTCGCATGAGGTGGCAATGAAGAGCGGAAAGGGGATGGCAATGCTGGCTATAAGAGTCCTAGTTGACGATGCAATTGCTGAAAGTGCAAGGGCCGAATTTAACAAGCGATACGATTAGAAGAACGAAAGGTTCTCAGTAATAACTGTAAAACGCGTGAAACGCATACACATTGAGTCTAAAAATTAAGCCAAATTCAAAGAATCCATCTCAAAGAGTTTCGCTCCTCCTTCTAAAACTCAGCAGGTATTGCCATACATATGCAACATTGCAAGATGGCAAAGTTGCAATGTTGGACATTGAGAAGTCTTGTTTTGCTTTACACACAACTACTGATGAACATAGTCTCGGCTTGGGCATATGAGCGAATTTGGATAATTCGGGCACACTGCTGGCGTGCCAAAAATTCTACTGCTTGCAAAAAAACCTGCATATCAGACTCAATTGGGCAGCTACTCTATTTATGTTTGCACTGCCTCATCGAACTGGTTCATGCGCTTGCTGGAAGTTGGTTGCCGTTTTATCCAGGATGCCGATTGTTCCATTGTCAGCTCCATGTCCCACATCTCGTAACCACCACTCCCTGCTTCCTCTTTTCAACAAGAATTTGCAAGATGAAAGAAAAAAAAATCGCAGAAAAGAAGCATATCGATCATTTCTGGACTAGGCAGAGATTGACAAAAGATGAGAAATACTAATATCTAGTTCATCTTCTTTTCCTAAATCGTCTACCGAAATGCTTCGTCCGCTGTCACAACGTGATGTTTCTTCCAATGAGATGTAGCGTAGCATCCCCGTGTTAGGTGACACGGCGGGGATTAATTGCTCCCGCAATGCCAGATGGGACAAGCCGATGGGCCTCAGCCCGGGGTCTCCACAGTTGATGGACATGCCGTGGGATTAGAGTCGCATTTGCCGTCTTGGCGATGTTGGCGCAAACGCTGTGAGAGCATCTGAGATTTGTAGACGAGAGACTCCATGTTTGAGTTTAATCGTAGAACTCATTACTCGCCTTTATGCGCTCAGGAGTCTACCTGCCGTAACAAGTGCAGGCACTAGATCATGAAACGAAGCGATCTACAAACAACGTTTCGGAAGCCACTCTTGGCGCCCACATAAGGAGATTTTTGCACTCACAATTTAGGGACATAAATGTCGATCCCTTCCCTGTTTCCTTGCTGGGCCTACGGAGCATCGGTCGCGATTAGGAGATAGCGCCCTGGCCTGCTCCAGTTGCCGGCTGAAACAACTAGATCAAGAAGGAACGAAAGCTAAATGTATGCAAGCTGGACTGGGGGAAGAAGCGAGGAGCCACATACAATTATGGTGTTGCGCTCGCTGTAACATATAGAGAGCTGGGGATATAAATGCCATCTCTGTCCCTAGAGTCGCACAGATCACTTCCTCTTCAGCAGTAGCTTTGCAGCACTTCAAAAGCACTTCAAGATGAAGGCCACATTTCTTCTCCTTGCCGGAGCCGCGCTGGCTTCCGCTCAGACTGTCTACTTCATCCGACATGGCGAGAAGCCCAGTGATGATAGTGATCCCAACCTGAGCACCCAGGGACAGGAGCGTGCCCAGTGCCTAAGAACCGTCTTTGGCGCCAGCTCCCAATACAACATCGGCTATATCATCGCAGAGAAGCCCAAGGGTGAGTCAGCCCGTTAAACATCATGGGAATCTTGCTAGATAGGACATCAGCTAACTGAGTCGAATTCAGATGACAGCCGACTTCGTCCTCTCGCCACGGTCACTCCTTTGGCTCAGGACCTTGGCTTGACTGTTGACACAAGCTGCGGCAAGACCAAATCTGATTGCGTCGCCGACCTTGTCAATGACTATACCGGCTCAGGCAATATCCTCATCTGGTGAGTGTTCATGATCAATGTTCCCGCTATTTAATGATGCATTTAACTAACTCCATGTTTAGCTGGGAGCACAGCGAACTTACTAACATCGCGGATGCAATCGGCATAGACAACGCTCCTACATACCCGGATGATTCATTCAACCTGATCTGGACTTCTCCTGCGCCATACACCTCCGTGACCAGCATCACATCCGAGAACTGCCCTGGCTTGGACAACTAAACGAACGATAAAAAAGATATAGAAAGAAAAAAGCGAAACAAACATGAAACTGCTCATGAGTAATGCTATATATAATGACGATCATTTGGCAGCAAAAATATTGCAAAAGAATAGAATACTGGTGGTTGGCATGCGTTTGAGAATAAAAGTTCACTGTGATAAATGATGGCGATTGATCGCGACGACAAATGGCCGCAATATCAAGATACTACATGTATTGAATTGGAAGGCCATAGGCTAGTTCTCCGCACTACATATACTGCCTAATATCGCTGTTCTAATATTATAACTTCTTGGGGAATATCTATAACGTTTCGTGGGTCGGATAACACCCTAAAGAGGCAGCGAGCCGAAGTGAGGGACTTTGTTGGCTGTTGGGCGTGACTATTCGAATGTTTTTTCCAAGGGGCCTATCTACCTTTTTGCGGGGAAATTATTGAAGGATGTAGGGTGAGCAATTTTCATCTTTCGGCAGCTTCGCAACGGTTTGTGTTTCCCCCGTGCTCATTTTAGGCGTCTGATAATTGAGGGAACCAAGATGTCATCTCCCCAAGCCCACGAACAGCCTGTATCGCAATGCACGGCGTCATCCCTGGTTCAAGGCGCCGAATCAGTCCTTGGCAATTCGGCAAAGCTCATAGACAGGCTTGTCGCTTCTACGACTCTAGAGAACGTCAGCTTTGCAAACTTTATCCTTCCGATAGCTTGGGATGAGAATGTGCGAATATCGCACCGCAATTCTTCGGTCATCCATGAATTTACCTCATCCGACCCTGTTTTGAGAGAAGCGGCTGCCAAGGTCCGGCGTCTCTTTCAGGACTTTGAGACAACCTTGTTCATGCGCGAGGACGTGAGTAGAAGATGCGAAGCTGTCCGTCAAAAGAAGGAAGACATTTCTGTCGAGTCCAAGCACCTGTTGGAAGTATTCTATCAGACGTTCTTAAGAAATGGGACCTTTTCACGATCGGCAGAGGACAAGAGCAAGGTTCAAGAAATCAACCAATCTCTTGCAAAGCTTGAGTTCGCATTCCGCGAAAATATCCGGACAGCAGACGCCAGCTTGTCGCTTGACCCGGACGAACTTCAGGGGGTCCCGCAAAGGCTGCTTGATGGTCTACCCCGTGAGGCGGATAGCGGTAAGGTTCTCTTGTCCGCCAGCGACCTCCAAAATGGCTTTTACCGCACGGCGACCGAGAGCTCGGAAACACGGAGGGCTATTGTGTATGCCTATGAGACTTTGTATCAGGCAAATCGGCCCATCTTCGACGAAATCATCCAGCAGCGTGCACTGAGAGCTCGCCTTTTGGGATACCGTAGCCACGCAGCGCTACGGATATCCGAACGACTGGCGGAAACACCTGAGACCGTATCGAATTTCCTTTCTGAAATAGCAATAGGGCTACGTGAAGCTGGTGAAGGAGAAGTCAGCAGACTGAGAGACCGGAAACAGGCAGACCTTGAATCCCGCGGCAAACCTTTCGATGGGAAGCTGTGGCTGTGGGATGTGTCACACTATCACCAAAAGGTGGTCGCCGAGAACTTTTCACTGGATGGTATGACCATATCTGACTATTTTCCCTTGACATCGGTCCTGAATAATGCAACTGAGCTTCTGGGCCATCTGTTTGGTCTGAGATTTGAGCGTGTTTCCAAAGAGCAAAACTGGGATGCCCGAGACATTGACATGGCTCCGCAAACCCATATTTGGCACGAGGATGTGCAGCACTTTGTCGTGTGGGACAGTGGGGAGCAAGGTAAGTTCCTTGGGCATCTCTATCTGGATCTGTTTAGTCGCCCAGGGAAGTCGGGCGGCCCGTCCCTTCACAACATTGTTCCAGTAGGTCGCTCACCAAGGTCTCTCTATCTGTGCATACGTATGCTCACAAGTCTTCTAGGGCTTCACCAACGAAGCTGGCCATCGCCAACACCCTCGTTCCGCCATCCTATCTGGCTACTCTCGTCCTTCTGATGGAAGCCCTTGTACACTTAGATACTTCCAGGTGGTGTTGCTGTTCCATGAGCTTGGGCATGCTATACACGACTTAGTGTCCATAACTCAGTTTGCTCGGTTCCATGGGCCTGATGGGACCCCTGTAGACTTTGGCGAATTTCCAAGTCAGCTCTTGGAAAATCTATGCCATGTGCCGCTCGTCATCCACGAGATCAGCCAGCATGTTTCCACGCTGAGAAATGGCCATTCTTCCCATCTCAACCAGGATCAGGAAGGTGCCGCTGCCGCTGCTACGAACCCCCCAGAGAAGATTCCAGAGGCGTCAATCCGTGTGCTGCTGCAACGGAGCAAGGCCATGGAGGCTTTGGATCATCTCAATCAGATATTCCTTGCCAGGTTTGACTTGGAGGTTAATGAAGCCAATAGCAATCAGGTTGCGGAAGCCACAGACATCCCAGCTCTGTTTAATTCGTTACGGGCCGAGATATACTTAGCGGAGATACCACAACCCAATCAGGACGAACCGGGATGGGGATGTTACTACACCAGTTTTAAGCACTTTATCCATGAGTATGATGCTGGTTACTATGGTTACTTGTTGTGAGTGTCATCTCAGATATGGAAAAAAATTGACTTTGGAAATAATTAACCGCTACCAGCGCCAAGTCGATCGCGGACGATGTTTTCGACACTCTTGGAGGCGATGCAAAGAACGCCGAGGCGTTTCAAAGGTACCGTCGCACGGTATTGGAGAAAGGCGGCAGCGTACCCGGAAGGGATGCATTGAAAGAATTCTTAGGACGCGAGCCCTCCACCGAGGCCTTTTGCAAGCATCTAGGGATGGTATAGTTATGTTTGGGTTATTCATAGTCTATCACTTAAGTTCGCACTTGGACTTCTGACAGGCCTTGACAGGCTTCTTCACAGAGGTTGCATTCCAAGCTTGCATTGAAATTGGCATTATTTTTCCATTCGCATTGACACAAACACAGACGCACAAACTCAACTATCAGCGCCATCAAAGGTGTGAGTGTGCTCTGCTAACAGGGGGGGTAAATAATCTCTACGTTGATACCCAAAGCATCAGGGTTATTCATGCACAAAATCAGGTTGACGCAATGGTTGGTATGCTTTAGCTGGATAACTTCGGCGTTAGCTGTCCGTCCCTGAACGAGAGCTCGGTTGAGCTTCTTCCACATGAACGAGCAATGAGCCCAATGCCAGCGAACCGTGGTCCATATCGTCCCTGTCTGGCTACCCAGGATATCACGTTCCTTGGGATATGGATCTGTGCCATTCGGATCGCGAAAGTACTGCCAGTCATATAGAGCTGTCGAACTCGGCGACCAGCTCATAGTCGATGCACCTGGGAGGCAGCCATGCCGTCGCGATAATGTCAAAATGTCAAAATGGCACCTAGCCGCCAACGCCTCGGAAGGCGTCTTCCCACATGGAAGTGGCGCAAATCGCTGCTCCCAGCTTAGATGGCCGTGCGGAAACGCTTTCCCGTCCAAAGTAAATACGTCTTCTCGGAGGCCCGCGGTTCTCTAGCCTGTGGCGCTATGCTCTGCCAGTCGCCAAATAGTGAACAAAGTCGTAAACATGAACAGCACAGCGGCTTTGTACCGCCAATTGCGTTTCAAGGCTGTACACATAAAGTAATCTTTGGTGCCCTCATTCGGATTCCTTCTAGCCCAGACTACGTAAGAGATCCTTCAACAGAACTTGAAGAAGCTTGGAAAGAGCTACGTCCAGGTAAATGAGAATCCATTGTCAGATAGTGAGTCAGTAGACATGCTGATGGACGCATCGCCGTGACTGTCTGGGTTACGCGAAGTGAAGAAAAACTTCTCGTAGGAGGGCTAGTGCGCGATCTAGAGTACGATTTGTATTATGGGCAGTATGAAGAACTCGTATCCAGCTTTATTGATACTTTGGCTAATTCAAATTGAAGGTTATCAGTAACACACGGGCTACACTGCGTCGTATGTTAAGAGTCCATCGAATCATATGCCAGAAAGACGCTAATGCCCTGCAAGAACTTGTTGCGACAATACACGAAACTCGACTATTACTCCGAGCTAGGGGCTGATCCAAAGCTCCCTGTTCACCTTGGTGAGTTATTTCACTCGAGACTGCAAGCCTATGCAAGCCGTTTCTAAGACCTGTTCCTTAGAGCACTGCTTAGACAGGCTTCGCCTTACGATATGACAGTTGAGCCTATCAAATATCTTGAGGGCGGTAAGTTGAAGTCACCCACCTGGTCATCCGTCCATACATGCCGCAACTACGGGGCTATTGTGAATTGGACAGTGGCAAAGGATGTGGCGCATCCCGAACGTATGTATAGAAACGCAGAAAGGCTTCGAAATGAGGGTATGTAGACCAAGCCCTAATGAAGATATTAGACCCCCTAAACACCCAATGTGCGTTGTAGCCTCATTCAGATGAGCAACTTGTGAAGGTTGTTAGCCTGGACAATTGGCCATTCAAATGTCAGCGTTTTCAGGCGATACGCAAAGCCTATCTCATTATGTGAAACTGCATCAACCATCGCCGGCTGGGTGTCATTCGCGCTAATGCATAAAGCAGCCTGTGACTTTAGCAGAAAATAGACTTCCTGGCAAGGTCATGATCCAGTGACCTACCGTAACTAACTCGGATAGGGCAGGATATGCGGCAAATCGAAAGGCGCAGTCTCTCGTACTGATCCAGCTTCCTATGTGGTGATAATGAATTGCACTAGACCACGATGGCTTACGTGGTGATCCCTGATGATCTGACACTGACCCATCACAGGAAGAGCAGGGTAATCCTGCATTCAACCCTTGACGTTTCGCTTCAATTAGAACCGCTAAATTTGCTACTATTCTCTTGGCAAGTGTCTTTATATAACTATTGAGTGCTCTCACTTAAATGTCGGCAACTCGAGTTGCCTTATAATCTCTCAGAGATTTGATCTTTCCATTACTTAGCAGTGCTCTTCTAAATTTTCAGCTTTAAGCAACCCTGAAGGCTTTTCTTCATTACTATAATATGCCACAATCTATCATGGATCCCGAACCTCCAAGCGCCGTTGATGTGTCGCGGCCCTCAGTTGCCCGGATGGTATGTATTACAATACTAGGAATACAGATATTCGTCCTTTTGTGTCTGACCGGCATCAAGTACGATTTCTATCTAGGTGGAAAACACAATTATCCTTCGGATAGGGATGCTGTTGCAGCAGTCATAGATGCATACCCAAAGACCATCGACATTATTGTGGAAGCTCGTCATTTTTTGCGCCGCACAGTGCGGTATATGTGCTTCCAAGGCATTGATCAGTTCATCGACATGGGCTCAGGACTGCCTAGTGCAGATAACACGCATCAGGTGGCCCAAAGGGTAAACCCTAATGCTCGTGTTGTCTATGTTGATATTGACGAAGTTGCCGTTAGTTTTGGTCGACAGATGCTCAGCGGAGATCCTACAACTGCATTCATCCAAGGATCAGTTCTCGAGCTGGAGCCGATCTTGAACCACCCAGAAACTCGAAAGCTAATTGACTTTTCGAAGCCGGTCGGTGTACTCATGATGGGATTGCTGCATTTCTTCTCTGTGGATACCGACCAAGCCATTCTTAAGGATTTGCGAGACAATCTTGCTCCAGGCAGTCTCCTTAGCTTTTCTCATACAGTATCAAACTTTCTGACTGAAGAGGAGATTCGACAGATCCTTGATGCGTATGCAAGGACGCCCACTCCTTTAATTATTCGGGATATGAGCGTAGTTGAACAAATCATGAAAGGTTATACTGTTATTGAACCCGGGCTTGTCCTAATGCATAAATGGCATATGGATATAGCTGAAGAGGGAGAACCTGAAGCCCCTCAAACTTCTATTATGGTTGGAGTTGTGCTACGCACATAGATTCAAATGTAGTCTGGAGCAGCGTGAGACTTTCTAGGTAGTGGATATCTTTAAAGGATGCATAAAGATATCATATGTACATGAATGCAACCAAACCGAGACACTCAATATATACCCACTCCCTATTGATATTATGCTGCCTGCCTTGGCTGCTTTACGATCGAGGAAATGGAAAACAAACAAGGCTTTCCATTGGAAGAAGTTTTCAACGAAATATCAGTCTAGCCTCCTATTTCCGTCAGCCTATACACTTATATTCGGCTACAACCAATTCCAACTGCCGATATCTATACATGTTTTCTGAACCTCGCCCTATGCCTCGCTACCAAAAAACCCATATAAACTAGGGCTCCCCTCCGTTCTTTACCATGCAAAAGCGGCTGACATTCAATTAATAATGCATTAATAAAGCAGCAAGAAAACTATCGAAATCTTTTTCAAACTAATCGTCACAAATTACCCATCCAACTGCACAGTACATTTCTCTTTGATGGACCATTCGTGGACAATAAACAGGCGCTAACCGTTTATGGTAGCATTATCCGCCAAGACTTTTGAAAGCTGGGTATAAGTCAAGCCATGATGTTTCAATTACTCGAGAACGCCGGGCGAAAACAAAAGAAAATTCGTAAACGTGAGTTAAGCGAGGTAAGCAGAGCAGAGTTTCGCAATTCTTCGATTATTAACGCAATTGATACTTGCGATTGAAGGTTTGTCAGAATGATGATCGTTGAGAAGACTTGTACCACTTGGGTAAGTCTCCCGAGTTAAATGCGTTGACAATACTACCGTTGAGTAGCGACGATAAATACCCTCCATCTTCTCCTCAAAATCCAGAATCCAGAATTTTCACGCAGCAAGCACACAGATCTCCTACAAATCCGACAATCAGGCAATAACCAGTCGAAAAATCTCGCATCAAACCTAAAAACAATGTCTTCCTTCAAGGGCTCCGTCAGCGTTACTTATATCGGTACTGCCACTGCGCTGCTTCAAATCGACAATGTCAGCTTCTTGACCGATCCTTTCTTCTCTCCTTCTGGCTCAGAATGGGTGCGCCCCGTGGTCGTGCTCAAGAACACTCAAGATCCCGCAGTCAAACCCGAAGACCTTCCTCATATTGACGCCGTCCTCCTCAGTCACGAGGATCACCCCGATAACCTCGACGAGATCGGTCGCAAGGTCCTCGAAGGCAAAAAGGTTTTCACAACCAAAGATGGCGCTGTTCAGATTGGAGACAAGGCCATATGCACAGGTCTTAACCCCGGTGACAAGGCTACCCTCGTCGCTGGCGGTAAGACTTTTGAGATAATTGCGACGCCAGCAGAACACGCTCCGCAGGGCGAGTGCATCGGCTTCATTGTCACTTCTTCCGACTTTGGTACAACCAATGGTCTTCCCAACGCCATCTACTTCTCTGGCGACACCATCTACAACCAAGATGTTGCCAACAGCCTCAAGAGCTACCATATCAGCCTCGCTCTGCTCAATCTTGGCAAGGCGTCTATTCAAGTAGGACAACCTGAGCCTCTTGAAATTACTATGGATGGTAAACAGGCTGCACAGCTTATCAAAGATGCTGGCGTTGAGAAAATTGTGCCCCTGCACTTTGAGGGATGGGGCCACTTCACTGAGGGTAAGGATCCGGCTTCGAAAGCCTTTGATGAGGCAGGTGTTAGTGAGAAAGTCTTCTGGCTTCCTCGTGGTGAACGAAAAGTCATCTTCTGAAGAGGAATAGCATGATCATTGCCGGGTGATTTTGGAAAAGATCATATCTGGCCTATTTTGGGATGTCATTGGTTGCAGAGACGAATGATTTAGCGGAAATAAAAATTGATTTGATCTCTCACCCCAAATCTCATACACCGTCATCGTCCACTATATACTGAGCAATATAGTCGTAACCCTTATTTCTGATGCCGTCAATCAATCCCTCGCACCATGATATCAACTCGTAGTCGTAAAAATGGTTGAATCGGAGGAATTGGTAGGCTATTCTAGTTGGTAGAGTTGCAGATATTGCTCCGAATAGCTTCATCTCTTCTTGCACCAAGTACTCGATGCTTTGGAATATCCAAGTTGACATCTGAATCGCCATTTCTGTAACGATGGGGCTCTCTGGGCTCTCTCCGTTAATCAGAAAGTCGTCGTCTCGAAGTTCAGGATAGTTATCTCGCAGCTTCCTAATATATACAACGCACATTATCCAGAAAGCCCAGTAGTGCGTCATTGAATTGGCTGAAGTGATGTCGGGAAACCATAAGCACGGTCTTTCTGCACCTTTGTTGAGAATGCGAAATGATGGTTTATTGTCAAGGCTTTGGAAAGATATGTTCCAATTAATCAAGGCGTTTAGAAGGTCTTTGAGAGCCTGAAAGACGAGGAAGGGTGAATTTGAGCTGGGTGAGTCGTATTGTAATTCGTCTATATCGACTAAAATGGAAGGAATTGCGGTCGCCTCCGTCATAAGAGCGTGGAACGAATTTGCCTTGACATACTGGAATGGCTTCGTCCTCCACTCGGGAGCAGCAAGAAATGTAGGCTGTTTTTTGCGAATTGCATGGATAATCTATTTTTACGGTTAATAATCAATTAAATAACTTGAGAGCTGGGAATCCTACAATAGCGGGACGGAGGCCAATGAAGATCCTATGGGACGGCCCGGATGAGTATGCCTCTGGACCATGCAGCTGGATCAGATCGCTTAAGCCAGATGCATGGGCGGTGCCACTAGAGATAGATGTTGGCAATATCATCTACATAAGCAAAGTCTAAATCAGCGTCTTGGCATCAAATGGCACTGTGCGCCAGGGCCAAAAGAAGCTCGGCACTTACCTCAGAGATCATTAGGCACATAATGGCTACCGCCAAGACGTCGGAGTTGGACGTATCTATGTTATGCAGGCTGTCGTGAAGCGAATTTAATGCGGAGCAGTGGGCGGCTAGAGCATCTGAAATCGGCGCTATTCCGTTGCGGCCTCTAGAAAGGATGGATACGCCCAGGGCCTTGACGGATGAAGATAGAGTCGTTTCATACTGTCGAGTCATTGACAGTAGAGGCAGAAGCTCAATCCATGCTCCGCAAACGCGAGGAAACATATCCACATCCCAGCTCAAAAAAGCTGAGGTGCTAGGAAGCATGGCTGGTGAAAAGTTCTGCACAACTAGGGAGATGATATCCTGGAAAGGCCAGGCCAGGGATGGCCACACTACAGCCGCCTCATGTCTCACTACTGGCCTTGCTGCTTGAGTCAATTCGTCGTGCCTGTCCGTGGAGACTAGGCTTTGACGCTTTATACACTCATCTCTCTTCTTTCCGGCTTTCCCATCTTTCTGCACCTTGGACTTTGTCGATGGCCCTATAGATAACGAGGATGGTACAAAGACGAGATCATACTGGTATCCTCCACATTTGATCTTTGTTCCAGTGCACTGAGAGCATGATGGGCGTTTTCCATCACACTGAAAATGCCAGAATTAGCAAATAATGCCGAGATGCAAGATGTAAAATGATAGATCATCGAAAAGCAATGTGAGACCAAGGGGAATTAAGCAAACTTACCCCTAGTTTCCTCGCTCTGCATGTATGGCACACGGTTAACTTCCGAACCTTCATGGTGTTCACCTCACAGTGTTGGGTTCCAGTATAAGCAATAGAATCCGATTTTGCTTGTTCAAGATAGAATCATAAGCCGAGCGCATCGCTTTTAGCTGGCGATGGCCAAAGGGCGTTGACATGAAGTGGAGCCATCTATACGGACCGGATGCCAAGCCGAAGGCCGATGGCTGGCTACCGGCGAGATGATTGGGGAAATCCCATGCGACACTATGCTCAATATGGCAGCAAAAGCCGCCAAGTACGCTATAATACGCTTGTTCTGTGGGCTGTGGTACTTTCAGCTTTTGACAGCTTAATAATAGAAGCATAGTATGATAAAGAAGCTGAGAAACGGTCCTAGATGTTAGGCTGATTGATAAAGAGCGGGCTGCTAAAGATCCGATAAGGCAGATTGCTTGTTTCTCCGATGCACCACATAGGAGCTTCTCAATATACAAGCTTATAATATAAGTCTACTGTAAATGTAAGGCTTGGCCCCTGTAGAAGCTTTATTAGCCTGCAAAATCGAGGTGGCTGAAGTTTTCTTTTACTCTTGTCAAAACATCTACTCAACAAGGCTACGATGTGCAACGTTGCTTGCACTCATCTAGCGTTGTGCGGAATACAATAAGGACATTATTGTAGTTGTCTTATCTCATTTTCAAACGTAATGGCGAAAGAGACATCTGAAGAGGGTCTTTCAGCTTGACTTGGCGTCGGCCAACTTGATGAAGCCATGCAGCAAACAATATGACCCACACGCTATATTTCGTATACTCCGGATTATATCCAGCTCGAATCATATGATATCTTCAAATATTACACGCAAGAAATGCTCTGCCGAGATGCCGTTCCGAAACTCCAATTACCTACTCGCCTCCAAAGTAAAATGCCACAACACGGCAGAGAAATGCCCAGCCATTTACGACATTCGCTCACCGGTCTGGTGTGTTTCTTGTCCCTCTTGGATTCTAGAAACAAAAGTCCCATCAACCGCGCGCTAGAATTATCATTGGCTATATAGTACGGAGAACATCGCTGATATTTAACTTTTCCATCTCGCTATTTTCTTACTCCGTACGGATAAGAATACTTCGCCCGACGCCGGAGATATTACATACTATCTCCGATACCAACAGCGCTATTCATACGGCTGAAATGCAAGATATCCGACTCCGAAATATTCTTTTTCATTTTCAGCTCTATCAGATCACTGTCGTCTTTCCGAGAGAGAATATGTTTTTAACTAAATCCAGCAATTGCAAAGTCATTGCCATAAATACCAGATACATACTTCAGAGTTAATTAATAATCCGCATACGCAATCTATAGTAGAGGGGCCGTGCTTTACATCTCATAGGGCGCGACGCAAATTAGCCAGCTCTCGCACCGTCGTATTTAAAACCTCCATTTCCAAGTCTTACGACCTAAAGGCTTGGCAAGTAGGCCATGCTTTGTAGCATTTTAGTTATAGTCAAAGATAAAGTAGATGTGTTCTTCGTAGACTTGATAGACACCAGCTGTTGATCTGCTTCCAGCAGATCACTTAATACTTTGCTATATATTATGTTGCTATATATTATATATCAGTTTCCTCTTAAGTCCTCTATGTTCATGTTGAAACACTGAGAACCAGTAGAATCCTGGTTATGGAGATAGCTAAGGGCTGATGCCTTCCTACGAGTTGCGATTTCTATTCAAATTGTCCGTCATCTCCTACTTCCAAACCAGTCATGAGGACAAGAATCACAAACTTCATGATGATATCATGTGCAATTTCATTGTAATGGTATGTTGCCATGGTAGGAGAACTTGCGGCGTCACTGAGCTGGATACCGCCAACAGGCATCGGCAGGAAGCAACGCCGAAAGACGCGAAAACGACGTAACCAAAAGTGCGCCTAAAATCAGCCTCACTCCTTCGGTAATACTTCCTCTTTAATACCATGGATGCCGACAATACGCGATAAACTGCGGCCGAGGCTTTACCCATAGCCAGGATGAAGATCCAAAGCCGAGGTTCTAGTAAGGAGTGCCCCTATCAGATGGGTCAGCTCAAAATCAGGCGCTCGCGTAGTTCCGTCTTTCTTTTGAGATGTCTTGAGATGGCGAAACAAGTAAAGAACTTTTCGAGGCACAAGCTTTTGCTTCTAATGGAGGGCTAGTGAGGAATACGGGCGTGGTGCCCCTAAATGTGACCATGGCTCCGAGGATAGAAATCAGCTCCTATTCTTCAATATTGCCAGCGACAGTCTCTCCAACTCCGTGATTAATTAGGTTAGTGATCATACTAGTGATTGAATTCTCGATACTACCTAGCCATCTGTGTAGTACATTATGAAGTCTCAGTATCTTGTCCATTGTCTCGGCTGTCTTCAGGCATGTGAGCTCATCATCGAATATAATTAGGGGACGCCACAGCATCCACACCGCCTGAAAGGAATCTAACATCTATTGTGCCTGCATAATCTTGGTTAATGCATCATAAATTAGCGCCCATTCTTCACGATGATGTCGTAGCTGCTACACCTTTGCCCAATCAGGCTGGCGCGGCTGCACATTGCGGAATGTTGCGGAAAGGGCTCGCTTTTAAATTATATAGAAGGATTCTAAATATGGATCTACAATCTTCAATACTTTCAGAGTTCTGAAATTAATAACTTGCTGTTCAGGGGGCTCTGCATATCTAGTAGCCACACAAAGACTAGGCTCAATTTGAAACCGTTAATCGTAACAAATGCTTTGAGCCATATCTTCGGAGCACGTAATTGACTTAATAATGAAATTCAAGAAATGCTGGCCGGGCTTCAATCTATTTAATACATTATAAGAGTGTATCAGCAGCTGCGGAAATACATCTCGGTAGTAGAGAGCATAGAAACGAACTTGGTATTGGCAGATATGGTCAAAAGATATCCAAAACATGCGATCTATTCAAATATTAGCTCATTTATTGAGCCGATGATGTTTTCCACCATTCAAGACTTAATGCGAAACAGGTTGGCCATGAAAGGCACCAAAACATCAGATATTTTCATGATCTGGCTGTGTTCTTGCCACACAGCAGATGCGAAACTATATACTACTAGCAATATTTTACTTTATGGCTCTATTTCTGTTATTTTTTACGTGTTGCCGAACCTTACCTCACTCAATTTCTAGAGGGTTTGGCCATGAAGCTCTAGCCTCACAAATACAGTGCTTTACATTTCTACAGATATCCGTTGCACTTTGTTCATTATGATTTAAGAGAAATCTCAAGCACTTCAACGTCTTTAAACCGCCTTTTACCCTTCAGTTTTTAATTTAATCGAAAACATCAGTCCAATATCTTCCGTTCCTCTGTTTGTCAAACCACGCCTTGGCTTCCTCTGTAGAAAGGTCCTTGCCAAACTTCTTCTTGTGGGCTTCCTTAATCATGCCAATGAATACTTCTTCAACAGCTTTACCGACATCCTTGCTGCCACAAACATAAACTTTGGCACCGCTTTGCCACAGCCTAACAATGTCTTCTTTTTCGTGAATTATACGGTGCTGCACATACTTGCAGTCTTCAGAGTCACCACAAGATCGAGAGTAGGCACGTCGTACATCAACTGCGCCGAGGCCCTCCCATTTAGCGAACTCCTCATAATATAAGTCATCCTGGTCTGGGGAGCGACATCCGAAGAATAGAAGAGCTGGAGCAATCTTCCTATTAGCCATAGCCATGGCAGCGCGCTCTTCAATGAAACCGCGGAATGGTGCCAGGCCGGTTCCGGCGGCAATACAGATTAATGGAGTGTTTTCCGCATCGCCTGGCAGGTGAAAACCTTGCGATGGTCGTACAGCAACATGAAGTCGTTCTCCAGCAGTAAGCGAAGAGAGATAATTGCTAGCAACACCAAAATAAGGACCCAGGCCGGACAGAGCAGGCTGCTCCAGAACAGAATAGGTCAGGGTCACCTTGGAGCTGTCAACCAAAGGAGAAGAGGAGATGGAGTACTGGCGAACACGCATAGGCGGTAGCATGCCCAAGAACGCCCCAAAAGGAAGGCTAACAGCTGGAAATTCCTCCAGGAGGTCAATAATAGAGACACGCTTCGCAGTAATCATTTCCTGGTAGTTGTCGCCGGCGAGATTTTGGAGCTGCTTGATAGTGTCTGTGTCTTGCGTTGCTCCTGCCAAGGCTTGAATGTTTTTCCTGGTAGCGGGCTGGCTAAGCTCGACGTACGCACGAAGCACATCTGCAGCTGAGATGGGGACATCAGTTGGCAGGCTGGTCGGTCGATCTGAGCTGATCTTAAGCATAGCATCCCATGAAAGATGAAAGCGTTTAAAGGCACGAGATACGGTAGTCTTGGGGTTAAATGGTAGGACAGCTAGGTAATCGCCGGCGCGGTACGTCATGCCTGTAGGCAACTGTATCTCAATGTGCTTTTTCGTGGAGCCAGATCTAGTAAGAGTCGTGTTAGAAAGGACAACCGCCTCTTCTACATCCTGCCTTAAGGTAGCCTTTCGAGGTGTGGTGATGTCAACGGTAATTCCCTCTCCAGTAGCATCTGCGTTATCCTCAGCTCCATACTTTTCTTGGAGAGTGGGCCAGAGAGATTCGTCTTCCCAAGTCTCAAAATCACTGAACATATCGCGATTAGCTGCGTCGGTGGTAGCTATTGGTAGGAGACGATTGCCACCAAGCTTGTTGAGAGTGCTATCAACGAGCTTGGGAATCCGTTGGAAGGTCTGAATCCAGTCATGATGCCCGCAACCAAACACTGCATATGATACATTCTTCATTTCATTGCCCGCGAGGCTTTCTATCCAAGAAACAAACAGCGCGGCATTTGATGGCGGTTGGCCCTCATAGGAAGCTGTTACTATGATAACGGGGCGATCCTCTGGGAGATTCTGATTCGCGGCATCCAGGGGCGCTACAGTGCTGGCCTGGAATCCGTGGCGAGGTGCATCGCTGGCTATTCTCTGGGCCATTGCCTCACAAGTACCACTATTAGAGCCATAGTAAACGGCGAGGGGCTTTCCCTTGGTAGAATCCGCGGCAGTCCGCACATCCTTGGCCGCTTGTGCATGGCGCTTGAAGTCTACAGCCTTGCCGGCAAGAGCTTGCTCAAGTTCTGTTGGAATCATATCGTGCCGTAAGCTGGCGCGTATGTAGAAGTCTTTGGGCTTAATTGTCAGGGTCTGCTGAATTGTTAGCTTGTAGCTGGAGTCAGCCAAGGTGAAATTGAAGTTCTGGAAGAGCATCGCCATGCATAATAAAGCCTCTTGCCACGCAAAGGGGCGACCAATACAGGCACGCCTTCCATTGCCAAAAGGCTTCCAGCAATTTGGAAACTCTTTATTAAGACGTTCGAAGTTCTCTTCGGACATACGCTCCGGCTTAAATTCCAGGGCATCTTCGCCATATACAACGGGATCCAAGTGAGCCTTTGCTAAAAGCACGGTGACAGGCTCGCCCTTGCGAACTAGATATTTGCCAGCGAGAAAAGTGTCTTCGTATGCTTCAACAGTGAAAGCTGGAATACCCGAGCTCAACCGCAAGGTCTCTCGAAGAACTGACGCAGTGTAGGAGAGCTTGCTGACGTGCTGGACCTCAATACGCTCCCGACCAATTACCTGGTCAATTTCCTGCTGAACTTTTTGGTATGCCGATGGATTCTTTAACAAATGGTAAAAGGCAAATGATAGTAGGCCGGAGGTAGTTTCGTGACCAGCAATAAGAAATGTAATAAGCTGATCAGTGATATTTTCATCACTTAATTTCTCGCCCGTAGTAGGGTCGGTATTGTTTAGCATAGCATTAAGCAAATCCTTGCGATCACTGGGATTGTTTTTGCGATTAACAATGACTTCATCCGCAGTCCTTCTCAATATAGCAATGTCTGAGTAGAATTTCTCATTTGCGGCGCGATATAAGAAGTTGGGGGCAAACGCTGGTCGCCTTTGACGGCGACCAGCTTCAGTGAGGAAGTCTCCCATGGCTAGAACGAAAGGATGCATTTCTTCGTGATAGAATGAATTGAAACGGAAGTCCATGGCGCAAAGTGCTAGTGTGTCGAGAGCAAGTCGGGTAAAGTTATCGGAAACATGTATGGGGCTTTGGGGTCCATGGCGAGCAAACTTCATACATAGCTGCGTCGAGATATCGTGCATCTCATCGAACATGCCTCGGATGGAAAGCGGTCCAAAAGCGGGAGTGAGGACCCTATGCGCCTTGCCCCAGTTTGGCTCATCATCGTGCGCAGTAAACAGGCCGTCGTGAACGCCTTCTCGAATAATTCTTATTGCTGATTGCAAGGACTTGTGAAACTTCTTCTCATTGCAGACCTCGTTCACAAGTTCGTTTGAGGTAACATAAACCATGGGCCGAGAGCCAAAGCGAACCCTAAAAATCTCTCCATATTTGTCTGCTAATCGCATAAGATCATTCAGCGGGCTGGAGGTAAACTCGCCCAAATTGCCAATCAATGGCAGGCCTGGAGGCTCGGGAATGGGGACTGTCTCAGCCATTGCTGTCGGTTCTTTATTAGAGCAATTAGCTTGGGACTGAGTCAAGGACAGATATGTGTATGAGTTGCCCAGTTCTAAACTCTAATCTCGAGGTATGTAATGGAAAGGCACTCTAAAAATAAGCAATTAATAACACGAGTCAAGATTGATGAGTGAAAATCGAGTGAAATTCCAGCGGAGCCAAAGCGAACATTCTCTATATTTGTAACTTATCTATTATGCGGGGCTGAAGCAACTTGAGTGACGACAAAGTTAAGCTTCGATAGTCGATGCTAGTAATAATGATGCTAGCAAGAACGGTGGTGCGGGAGGCCGGCATGTTCAAGGGTAAAAATTGACTTATGCCAATAGAACACTTACAGTATGTTTCTGAACGGCACCTTTCTTATGCAGCTGGGCGGTCTCGTCGTCCTAGCATTAGCCACGCGAAAGGGTCTGGAACGAGCTGAGTTGACCGACTCGCAGGGTGACACTTTGCGTGTGGTGTAGCGAAAGCTTAAATGGGCCTTCATATGGAATACGAATAATGAACAATTGGAGCCTCGGCCATCAACCTTGTTGGGGGTTCATAGGCGCACAGCAAAAGTCAGATTGTGGCTCTACTCTACGAGAATGGGAATGCAAATGACGAGCGTTCCCCCTCCAATCGGATCAGACCCAACGAATATATTACTTGTTCATGACGTAACAGCCTCGAAATTGTCAACGGCAAACAGCAGCTGGATCGATATCAATTTCTCGATATCCACATTTAGGGCTTATCGAATGAGGACTGCCATGCACAAGTTTAAACCCGCCGTCTATAGCTTGTAGATCTCCCGTTACCGATGAAGGAGTATTTTCGCTCATGACGAGCCCAGAACAACAGCGAAATGTGGTTGTAGGCGAGTCCTCAGAGAAGCACGAGCCGCCCGCTGCTGCTGATGGTAAGGAGAAATGTCAGAAGAGTAAGCCGACTACGATGGAGCGCTTCCAACGCTTCATAGACGATGGATCAGATGTTCCCAATCTTGATCCTAACGCTCAAGTCGACCCCGAATACATGTATTATATATTACTTAATATTCTTTCTTTGCTATAACAACATTACAAGTCGAGATGGCCATGCTACATAACCTGGTCCTGATCTAGTCCTTAATGCGGCGCGGTCACATAAAGTTTTGCTTCTTTACAGTTTAAATAACTCCCTTGTTTATATATATATATATATATATAAGAGGTAGATACTACACTGCAAAACAGTTAAATAAACAAGGATGCGTAATATGTCTTTATTCAACCAATAAACTGCAAAGACGATAAGTAGCGGAACTCAAAAGACGCTGACAGAGTACAAAATAACGGCACTGCTTCTCCTGCAAGGTTTAGGCGCGCTTAGTTGGGGGAAGTGCCAATAAGGGGCATTTATTTGATGAAATTCTTGATATCCCCCAAATCTTTTCCAACTTATTCACTCCTTTCTAATTTCTCATTCATACCTTCATCCTAGTAATATTTTTAGCCACAATCTTAATTTACCGCATTCTCTGCTCATTGGCGAAATCTCCGCTTGCTTTATTTTCATCTAGCCTCTAATTGTAATGTTTAAGTGTGTTAATTATCCTCCAACTTGCTATAATATTTCTCCTTCCACATAATATTCAGCTTTCCATAGAGGAGTCCGATTGTCTAAAGAGCTCTTGAATATTTACTCTATTTTGCATTTCTGATTCGATTGCTTCGGCTTCCTCTTTCTGTTTCCAGTTTTTATATGCCTTGGCAACTGGTTTCAATCTTTTAATCAAGCCAACAATGTCTTCGATAGCTTCGGGGAGAAGAAATTCAGAACGCTTTAATTTATAAAAGAGTGGAATGAACAAATAGCGCGCTAGGAGGTAGAAGACTGGGTCGACTAATTTGTCATATAATAGTTTAGTTATCCAATGCACTGATATGAAAATCCCATGATATGCTGGTTTAGCAACCGACTCAGATATACGACTAGCTCCATTGAAAATAGGCCTCAAGCCTTTGTCCAACAGATTGGCGTTAACCAAAGCAAAGGTAGTAACCAACAGGGCAACGGCTGCAGTTATAACCATGTGTACAATCGTTTGTGGTGAAGGCGATCCGCTCATGCTATACAAGCTGGTACCGAAACTGAGTGGGACGAAAACGACTGTAACGTACGTGAAAAGGCGAATATCATTGTTGCCACGGTAGTCACGTTCATTGCGCACATTCTCTATTTTCTTTGTGAGGGCCGTGTCAAAATACGTGATAGTAGTGATAAAACGGTATAGTTCATGAATTTTTTGGCCGTTTGATTCCTGCAGCTTGAATATAGCTCTTCGGTATTTTCGCTCATCATTGGCTGTCCATCGTGGTTTATCTCGTCCTTGCTCTTTGCCTCGATCCGTCCACAGCTGAATTGTCTTCAAATTTTCATAAAGTTCGTCTTTGATGACTTGAAGTATTCGCCGTAGATCATTCCATAGATGGCTTAAGTGCTGGAATGTGTTGTTATCGAGTTTATCAATGAGATTAAAACGATCTGAAATTGCGGATATAAGCGCGGTCTCATCTCCATCCTGTTGACGAGTGGCGAGTTTCAAATGTTTTTCAACCCTCCCTTGAACATCAAGAAGGATTTGTTTTGCAGCGTCTAGCATCTCGTCCAGCATCATATCAAGTAAGACAAGCTCTAAGACCTTTCGCTGTCTCCATGGACCCCCCTGTGACGCACCAATCTTTTTATTTGCAATCTTAATGATGTCAGATGCAATCCCTCCTTCCTTGTTCATCTTCCATTGATTATATTCAATGAAATGACATGTCCAGAAACGGTCAAAAATATCTCCATCGACTCGAAAACTCATTGTAGTTCGACTAATCCAATGCAAATTCTCCTCGCTTCCTTCACCGGGGAGTGTGATTACATTAGGGAGATTAGCATGCATGGGAACGGAAAGATTTTTTTTCGTAATCCGATAGAAAGGAAGATGCAGCTCAGTCACCCATTTGTTGAGCGCTGCCGTTGTTTCTCCCAAGAAATATCGACTGTATGATGCGTGTCGATCAAAGTAAGCAGAAATAGCTTCTTGCTCAGAAGATGCAATGTAGCAAGCCAATGCGGTAGCAAGTGTGAGAGGGCGAAAATATAAAAATCTCTTCTTTGCGCTTGTCGAGGTTCGTTCTCTCTTAATAATGTGTTTGACATTTTTTGTTTGGACGAACTCAAGATGCCAATATCTACCTGTCGCGTCTTCGACCTGGTCTTTCTTTGGCACATCAATAATATATCCTTCTTCAACAGTCCTGTCTATCGGAATGCTTATGTTATCTTGGTCGTTCAGTTTATTTTCAATTGCTTTCTGTATTACTGATCCGTAGAGTGCATCATGAGTTTTACAGAAATTTCTCATGGCTGCATCTGATAAATTGTGAGGGCCGTTGAAGAAGCTTGGCTCGTGATATAGCCATTCATCTGAGATTTCCATTATGTTACTCTGATCGGTAATGTTAGTAACAACCCATTGAGTCTGATTTCCAAGCTTACCTCATAGACTAGCGACCTCGGTGCTCTTGCCATTGCATCCTGATGGTCGAGTATTTTCTCCATCCGCTGGGCGATCTTATGCAATGATTTTTTTAATGATTGAGTGACCACACCCTTATTTGTAAATACCGGTGCCCGGTATTTCCATAAAATGTAAGGAATTTCGAATGTAGTGTGCCAAAAGAGGTCTCGGGCAGACTGGCGATCGAATAAAGTGGGCTGGTAGTCCTTATCTAATTGGCCTGGAAAGAGCCCATTGGGCGAAGTGCTGGAGAGAAGTACCGATTTTGCGTCTTTATATGTGTCTTCTGCTGACTGAGAACCAATACATTTATTATTTGCTGATATAATTGTGGCTAAGGCCAGCTGAAGTGGACGGCTTCGGGCGGCATCGTGACCAACTTCTGTACTCAACGCTTGATAATTAACTGTATTCTCCCATGCATCGATTTTACTTCCCCAAATATCAGATTCATCTTGAATAGCTTTGGGTTTATCAAATAACCCGTTATCCATAGTATAAAAGAGAACAGTGTCATCAATCCCCAGCAGATATTCATTCTTAGAAAGACTACGGGAAACCGTAGTTAAAGTGCTTGCCGCGTCCGGATTCTCAGCAATGAAATTCTTGTGGATACTTCTTTGAATATCATTAGAGGAGTAGCTTATCTCGCTCTTTGCTATCTTCATTGATGAGCTGGGGTTGAGGTATGAGTTCGAACCGAGTATGACTTCCGCAGATTTGATAGCCCACCAAAATTTGGCGTGATCGCTGGTATAAAATGTCTGCGGCATCTCTTCTCTAAAGCGCGGGAAAACGTACTCGCTCCTTTTTTTATTTCGGTGAAGACCTAAAATGAAGTGCCGGATGATATCTTTAAAATCCGCAGCTATGTCGCGTCGTAAATCCTCGTCTGCTATTGTTTGACAGAAAGATCCAGCTTTGATAACTTGAAATATTATGGTAGTAAGAGGAGATTGTGATAACCCAAATTTATTCTCCCAATCGGATATTGCTTTCCCGCTGGCCCAGAAACTAGGAATGGAGTGACGAACTGGCCCCATCTCCCTTTGAGCATAGCAATGGCAAATCCACTTCAAATGTCCCAGACATGCATCCCGGACTCGGGAATACATCCCACAACCATATTTTTTGCACAGACTCCTGTTCTCCGATGCGCAGGCACAATTCTGTCTGGCATTTTTAAAGTATTCCAATAAACCAAGTATAAACTGAAAAGCATAGCTACATTCATTAGCCTCTTCTTATAGTCTAGCATGAAGTGATTCAAACTCTTAAACTCACAAGCTCGCTGAGGGCTCAACTCGATGACCTGAAATATCTCCACACGTTAAAGCAATTAGCGGTGGCGGCACTTCACGAGTATGGATGTGGTTTGCTGAACTGCCATGGGCAGGGGGGACATCTCTTAAAAGTTTTCGGATAGGAATGCAGCAAACCGAGAGAATATGCTCCAAGTTTCGCCTTATAGTAAAATTGAGATGCTCATCTTGAGTAAACGGTATTGTCGCAAGTGGGGTTCCAATAATTTTCTGAAAGCTAGAATAATATGCAGAATAAACGGGCTGGAGCATGTCGTCCAAGGAGTTTGACGAAGACAGCTCTAGTGTATAAGCTAGCGTGACCTCTAACTTTCTGTCATTTTTCAAGTCATTTAATGCTTGTGCATCTGGTTGTATCGTGCAATATCCGTCAACTCCACCATGTTCAGCCAGTGTAATCTTTTGACGGCGTCCGTTTAAGAACGGCGATATAGACAAAGCAACAACGTCTCGGCCCGCCTGTCCAGATGAACGAATCTCGTGTTTTCTCATTATAGAATGGCCATCATTCCACTCTCGGTAACCATAGTTGAAATGACTTCCTTCACGTTTGTTTTCGTCATTGTCTTCCATGAAGTTGAGATTTCGAAGAAGCAACTTGACGCTTATCGCTAATACTGGGACTAGCTGAGGGAGCGATAGTTTATCTTTAAGCGTAAATATATATGTCTGATACACAGTATTATCAAATATGTAGTACTGTATCTTAAGGTCAAATATTGGGGTGTGTGTGATGAATGACGGCCAACGATCTTGGATAAAGCTCATGGCTGGTATTTCACCATCTGGTATCCAACTTTTACTCTCCTTAGCATCATGAAAGAGAAGACGCATCCCTTTAGTAAAGTCTTTGGAGGAGCTTTGCAAATTTTCCATGCGGGTTTTAACATAAAAAGGGTTGGATATATGAGGAAGGTCGACACAGAAGAACCCGGAGGGTTTATTCCCAAAATAGCGCGTGATTTGTAATAAATGACCATATGCGCTTGCAGTTGCTGTGATGCCTTCACGCCCAAAAGAAGCGTAGGTCATTCGATTACGAGCTTGCTCAGGAGCTTCTTTAGGGATCGATGCAAATGATTCAATAGGGCGTGCGAATATTCCATTAGGAATAGGTGTAGTAGGATAAATATGGGATGATGAGACATCGTCGAGAATCGATCCGTGTTCATGGTCTTGGGTTGCTGTGGAAGCTTGAAATGTAGAAAAAGTGTTAGCAACTCGTCACAAAAATGCGAATTGGTGGGAAATACATGGATTCATGTTGAAAACTTTTTATCGCAACAAGCTATGGACGATTCTCGGAGAGGCTCTTGATACAACGCTGAGCTTGTGATAAAAAACTTTTGTTGCGTATGTTCTCAGGAGATGTGTATGATGGTAGACAATTTGTGTTTTGATGATTCATACAAATGATAGTCGAGAATATGCTTCTTATTTATAGATCGCTCATGGTATACTGGAAAAAAGAAAGAAAAAAGAAAAGGAAAGACCTACACCTACACCTATCTTCTCCGTGTAGTACTCGTCTTTGGCTCCAAGTTCGAGGCATCTAGTCTACGACAAAAGCAACGAGGAATTTTCAGCTTAGTAAATAGTAAGAGTAATAATAATAATAATAATAATAATAATAGTCATACTAAGGCATCTGTACGGAGTAGCATTTCATATTTCTCGGCGCGGTTCCGTGGCCGATGGCCTCAGCTGAACAACCAGCAGCTAATCCTGGCGACTTCAGCCGCGGGTTTAGTCGAAATAGGACACCAAGCCGAGACATTTCATTTAATTTAGGGTCTTGATATATTTGGAAGCTTTGCTGTCTCCTTAGGATTGGTCGCCTGATTTTCATGAGCCTGGTTGTGTTTCCCACCCATACAGCCTCCACTCCCAGCTCTCAAATTGTTGTATGCAGCGGTTGCACAAATAATTGTGTTGGTAACAGACGCAGAAATGAAAAATCATTTTGCATTCGCCCGCTTGGAAATGTCAATCATAGAGGTTGTTCTGGATCTTATGGCAACCTTGATTTTAGATCGATAGATTGGAATTAGATACATCTAGGCAGCCATCATGATCTTACATCATTTAAACATAGATAACATATTATTGAGAATACGCAATACAAATATATGAAGAGAAGAAAACTTCGAAGGTTGGCATTACACGCACTTCTCAAACCCCTGCAGGTTTGGTGCGAATATTATACGTCGGACACATAGGCTTGGAGAGCCACGCACCTAACCTCTACATAACGCGACTATCCCATCGCTTCCCATTCAATAATATCATAGGTTACCATAATGTTAGGTGATTAAATTCCTCATTTGCACCGTAGAAATTACCATATTAACCAAAATGTTAATCAGAATGAACAATTCGAAAGTCTCTTATCCCCAATGGAGAGAATCAACGCCTACCAAGCCAAGGCCATCACAACCTTGGCAATACCTAATCCAAGTTCACACCTTTGCTTATTAGTGGAATCCCCGCTCTCCAGCCTCGTTTTACAATGATAAGCCCCCTAATTTATGGTCACCGAACCGCTATGTGATTGGTTTACTCGTTTTCTTATGGTTGGATTAATACTTGTAAGATTTGATATTACATCAGGCAGTTTCAATAGCAATATTGATAGTTATGTATGCGGAGCAAGCATCTGCGTTTTGTCTCAACTATGTAATGGATGGATAGATACTGCTCTGTTTAATCACTGTAGAATTATAGAACACGGAATTGGTACTATTTTTGCTATATGGCTTGCTAAAAACCTCCTCTCAATTGGGATTGGCCGATATAGTTATACCACAGCTATGTGAAATTTTTAACCGATCAAACGTAGAACTGCTCTTCAATTCCACGCGCTGGGAAAAATTGATTAATCGCTAAAAAAGAAACTTAAAAGTGCATAGGGAGCAAAATACATAATCGATGGGCAGTTACACGTTATCAAGCTTAAAGTATAACTCTTCATCTTGTCGAAATTCATGCTAATTAAGAACACTTTTGCCACATCTAGATTCCTAAACAGCAAAACTTTGGGATACTGGCATTTTGACGCCTGTGTAATTTTTTTTTATCTTCAGATTCAAACCGCGCTCATCGTCAAGAGTCTACGATAACACCACGATTTTACTTCCCCCCTTATCAATGCTATAATTTGCGGTGCGTGAGAAGCCGATTGGTCGAGCCCCCTCATCTCCCACACCACTAATAAAGCTCAGTACATACTCTCTATTTAGAATACCACTACATGTACGGTAGTATGTTATGAAATGGTGAGACGAGCAAAACACTAGCAATAAACTGACGTGCTATCGGCACACGTGAATATCTCTACGAGTTGGCTCTCGCTTATACAGATTGCCGTTGCAACCGAAACAAAAGTAAAGATGCGCGCATGATCCTGAATGTGCCACAGAAGGCTGTTTAAGGTATCCATCAACTTCCGTGGAATCCGCGTAATTAAATGGAAAGCTGAAAGGTTAGCCATTGCAAGATCATGCCGTCATATCGTCTCTACGCGCAACGCTCTCCAAGTGGCGACGCAAGCCACAGCCGAATGCTGCGGGGGAATTATGCCTAACGCTCTCGATGCCTCAAACTCTGAAATATGAACATGATGAATTTTCCCGGTAATGAAATATATATATGTATGATCTCGCGCAAGAGCAGAACCAGAAATCGCAATACAGAGGAGCGCTCATTCTATCATCAAGACTGCGCGGGTAGACACGGTCATTGATCTATAATAGCCAGCGACTTTCTTACCCAGCTACGTCTGTGATATATTCTTCGTCACTTGCTTCGATAAGCCATCCACAACCAATGGTGTCGGAGAAGGCTTCTCTAGACCTCCTGCCGCCAGAGCTGGTGCATCTAATATGTTATTGGATTCACGTGGACAGGAAAACAATAAATGGGGATTCCATTGAGCAGTGTGAACGCCCTGATGGATGGAGAGATTCGGGACATCACACGCAATTCTCAAGAACTCTAGCCAGGTTGTCTCTCACATCCAAGCGCTACCGCCAAATTGCCCTACCGTATCTTTACTCATATATCGCACTTACGAAATATGATGAAACGCAGCTGCCTCAATTCATCTATACATTATGTCGCAACCCAGACTTGCGACCTCTGGTCAGAAAGATTGATATCGAGGGCTTGCCACCAGGATTCGCTTTTGGACCAGAGATTGACGAATCCGCCTTCAGCGAAGCCGCTGCAGAGTTTAATCTTCCTCCTCTTAATCTTTGCAGTTTCAAGGACTGTTACGACATATGCGGCAAGCTGCGCGACGTGTGTGGCCATAGCCAGCGTCTGATCATTCTGCTCTTCTTGCTCACGCCTAACCTGGAATATGTGGGCAGTCTATCGCCTTACAACTTTTTTGCTGTCGAGTTGGAAAATGTGACAAGAAAGAAAGCAGCAGAGTCGACAGCCATCTCTCCTTCTTTGCACTATGCATTCGGGTCGCTGCATCACCTATGGGCGGCTGGAGCTCAGGTATACTATAACGGGTTTCCATTATTTGACCTGGAATATGAACCTCAGGATCTGGTTTTCAAATTGGGCGCATGGCTTGTTCCAAGTCTTCGCACCTTGAGAGTCCGTATTGCATGTACGTTCCGTCCAATTCCAGTAGACGTACATCTCGACAACCTGAAAGAAATCACTTTGGACACAGCACTTCTCACAACCGAGGGCCTGATTAGCTTGACTTCAGCTTGTAGAGTGTTGGAACGCTTCTCCTTCTACTCCAGAGGAAGCTGCCGTATGTTCTCTGACCATCTCTTGCTTGCTCTCCGCAGAAAAATGCCCCCTGTCGAGTTTCTCCCCGAAGATATCGTCCCCGCCTTTTCACACCTCAAGGGCACTCTCCGACGCCTTGCTATAAATCGATGGGATGGTGCTCGAGGTGATTTAACCTCTCACGCCAATTTCACCTCCGAAACCAAGGAGATGTATGCAACTTGGCCACTCTGGATGGGAAGTGGCAACTTGATGGGCTCTTTGCAAGATTTCACTGCCTTGGAGACTCTAAAACTCGACTCTACATGTCTCTTTCACAATCCCAGAAACCAGATCCCACCAGATCTCCCACCAGATCATCTCATCGGGCGGCTGCCAAAGTCTATATGCCATCTGGTTCTGCCAGGCGCCCCCACTCAAATGATTCCAGCACTTCATGCATTGGCCCTGGCAGCAGCCTCCAAAGAGTTTCCCGCCCTTCGACTAGTGGAGATCACATGCGATGAGATGGATGGCCAAAAGCGGGAAATATCGATACGCAACTCTTACATTGGAGACTTTCTCGAGGATACCTACTCCAAATTTATAAGCATTGATGAATGGGGCCCTCTTGAGCAGAGATTTTCAGATGCTGGAGTCAAGTTGGTACATATAGATTCTGGGAATACCCGCTGTTTTGCAAGAGATGTGCTTGTGAATGCTGGGCTGGTGAAACCCGTAGAAAGGAAATATCGGTAAGCCGCCTTTCAGTCATTTATATACGCGCATGATGGCTAACAAAGCGTAGCACCCGAGGTAATCTTCCCGAATTCCCCTAAGCTCTCAATTTACGGCTCTAAAGAGGAATTCACACATTATGTTTCATTTAGCAAATTTCCATATAATGGTAAACGATGATGTCGTCTTAAAGTCAGTCCGGTGACTTAATCTTGCTGTATGTAATGCAAATTCCTGGCAGCACCGAACCAGTCTAGAGGACACTATCAACACAGTTTAATGCTGCTTGGATTTTTTTGCATAAAATAGCTAATAGTATACCATTTTTAGGCCGTCTTTATTGCCCTTCAATTGGCTTAATGTCCCACACGCCACACGCCCTAGACTTTGGCGTATGTATATAAATCTTATCTGCTATCATCTTAAGCAGATGCAGTAACCTTCGCTACAACCGCTTTAATCATATCGTCAGTCGCATATTTCTCAATCAGATGCTTCTTGAACCTTTCATGAGCCTCCTTATCCTGTTTCTGCAGCATTTCATTATCCTTTTCAAGCAATGGATGCGAATCGGTAAGTTCAGTAAGAACGGAAACCATGAGCGCGTTTGCTTCGGTCGGACCTCCACTCCATGAAGAGTATTCTGAGTCTGCCTGAAGGCCAAGCATAATAAGTCCAACTCGCTCAAAGCCCACTGCAGCAGGCTCGAATGTCACCAGGCATCGACAGCCTTCTTCGCCCGCAACAAAGGTGTGCGCTGTGGATTTCGGAACCGTTATGGACTCTCCAACTTTCAACTCGTACTTCTTCATGGCATCAGCTTTTTTGACACCCTCTGGCGCTACAACGACGGATAAGGAGCCAGAGAGTAGTTTGAAGTTTTCTGTGAAAAGGGTGTGATAATGGGGGAATGTAGTGGAGCCGGGGCCGAGCTCAGAGTCCAAGACATAACGCTTGCCGCCGTTCAACAAGCCGGACTCGACAACTGTAGGAATTTTATCGGCCATGTTTTAAATAAAATGTTAAAATATTGCAAGGATAATACGCCGCTATGTGAGATTCTTTGCCGCTCTTGGATCGGAAAGTCAACTTCGGGAAGAGATTGCTGGTATGAACTGCGAGATTTCGCCTCTATATATAAGCACTTAAAGAAACTAATAAGAGTCTCCTCATGAATTAAGCTCCTCAACCCTTTACTAGCTTCTCCAGTGACCTACGATGTACATATGTATGTAAGACGTAGCGCCGCAAATTGGAGCGAAAAGAAGCATGCTCACTAATCACTAACAACAGCTAGCCAATGCCAAGTTGACTTGAAGGGCGCTACATGGGCCTGTGAATCTGAAATCTGATTTATGTGCTATTACGCGTAGTATTTAAAATAAATGCCAGCTCAGAGCCACATCCATTTATTTATAAACACCTGACTATAGCTCCTCATGTATGTGGTTCTATGTTTGGGTAATACGAAATACGAAGTATGCGTTACGTCTATAGTATCGGAGATTTGGAATCAAAGACCAGAGTATTGCGGCACCAGGTCGTAAAGTAAAAGCGCCACTGTTCAGCCGCCTAAATACCTATATCACGGTATTCTACATTCCATAATTCGCAGTAAATACTAAGTCGCGGAGTTTGGCTAACTGGGCAGCCCGTTCTATATGATGTCTGACTGGCGCTACGAGACGGCAGCCTACCATATCTAGTGGCTCAAGAACATGGAGTCTTAGTATATCTATTGTTACGTCGGCAACCTAAGTCAGCCACGCTGCTCAATTTCCGTATAATACACTTTACCGTTCTTTTTATTTGTCGCCTTCATAACCATACCTTCTATCGCCTCAGATGCTACCTCAAGGAGGTTTCACAGAGCATAGGGTTATGAAACTGTAGTAGAGATTAGTTGTGCTTCTCTTAAAAAAAAAAAAAAAAAAAAAAAAANGGGGGGGGGGGGGGTTATTGTAAGGGTTCTTTTCGTCCTATGAGAATAATACATGCATGAAATTAGTGGTTGTCAAATATCAACTAAGACGAGGCCATGAAACGATATGGGCTGAATACAGTTACAGAACTAGAACCCCGCGATTATCATGCAGTATCAGATGAGGCGACTACAGAACACAAAGATGGCTTTTGTGAGGAGGGTATTTCATATGCCATTGCTATATACATTTACATACAATCGTGGTACCATTAATCCTTTGGTGGCCGGTTGACGTTGATTTCTCTCAGAATTGCATCTGCACCTCCTTTCACAAGTTTCGCGGCCAACTCTTCGCCAAGTGCCGTGGCTTCATCATTGGTCTTTACTATCGCATCAACAGAATCTTGGACACTTTGAGTACCGTCGAGGCTGACAACTATTCCTCTCATTTGCAGAATGTGCTTCGCTTCATCAATCCATTCCGTCTCGACGCCAATAGGGACAGTGCAGCCTCCTTCAAGGGTATACAAGAGAGCTCTCTCGGCGAGACAAGCAAGAGTAGATTTTTTATCGGCCAGTTGGTTGAGTAACTCCAACACTTTCGCATCTCCCTTGCGGATCTCCAGGCCAAGCGCCCCCTGGCCGACTGCATGCAAAATGCCTCCGTCTTTTGAACCTATGTACTGGTTGATGCGGTGCTGGAGGCCGAGGCGCTCGAGGCCGGCCGCAGACATGATCATGCACGTATACTCACTTTCAGGATTGTCGATTTTGGCCATACGTGTTTCAACGTTACCACGTAGATTGGCAAACCGGAGGTGAGGGTAAAGACGACGGAGCTGCGCAGATCTCCGCACAGATGAAGTGCCGACCACTGCGCCTTCAGGCAGTGTCTTTAAGCTAGTATACGGCAGACCAGCTTTGACGATTAGAGCGTCACGAGGGTCATCACGTAGAGGAATAGCCGCGAGATCACATGTTTCCGGAAGCCTAGTCGGCATGTCTACCTCAGCTATTAGACAAATGCCACAAGTGAAAGAGACCATGAGGGTTCACCTTTGAGACAATGCACGACAACATCCAGTTGGCCAGAAGTAAGCTTTTCCTCAAGTTCAGCTGTCCATAAGCTCTTTGCGCCAAAGTTATAGAGCTCTGTCGACTTGTCCTTGTCACCAAGAGTGTGAAGTGACTCAATTTCGAAGGATCGACCAGGAGCAACCTTTTGCAAGTTATCGCGGATGCCCTCGGCTTGTACTACGGCCAGAATTGACCTTCGAGTGCCAATTCTTAGCGGCGGCTGGGCAGCAGGAGAAGCGTTGGACATTGTGAGGGTTGTCAAGTGGCAGAATTGCGAGCAGAATGAGAGATGAGATGGGACACAAAGGCCGCATTAACGGTAGACTAAATGTGTGGAGCGGTGGATCTTCGGCATCCTTTGTCAAGTCTATAGCCTCTTCGTGCTAAATTAGGTTAACAATATATTGGAGAAAGGAAAAAATAAAAATATGTATGATTATATCTGATAAATAAAATAGAAAGGAAATCCAAAAATCAGCTAGTAGTTGCGAGTATATGTTGTTAGTATGTAGAATCTACCTCCACTCTCTCGCGTCGATCAACGCTGTTGGTTGGTTGCCACGATAGACTTCAGCCCTATACATTTTAGACTCATTCCGTTGGCACTAGCACTCCGCAGGAGACTATAGTTTATAGCTTATAATGTGGTTATTGAACAAAACATCTGCTTCGTCTCTCTCTCTTACAGCGCCCCTGCCTGTTCATAGAGGCATCCTGCCGCTAGTGCTTCACTGCGTAAGCTACGCTATTAAGATTACATTACACATAATTTCCCCAAGGCTGTCAGCCAATTCTGAAAATCAATGGCTGTAATAGCATCTGGTTATACGAGGTACAGGAATGGCAATTTACTACTTTTGATATTAAGAAGTACTAATTTATGGCATCTCAAGGTCATTGATGAGCCAACCCCAATCTTACAGCTGTCAATATGTTTCAACTAGTGTTTTGACACATCAGTCCTGCAAGTTGTCACAAAAGGGAAAAAAGTGACAGGCAAGGATATTTCAAATCTAGGGGCAGAAAAGCAAATAAATCTCCGCTCCCAAGCATCATGTGACTTTGTACTGTTACTTTTCACTTGTCAAGTTGTGCCTTGCCGTTTCGGTCAGCGTTGCGACTGGCCCGTCTTTTCATTTTATGCCCTGTCAACTCTGACTAGTATGGGTGTGCATCTACTATTCCCATTCTACTTGTATTGCTTGGAATCTCAGCGTTGAAAGCTGTCCCAGAGGCAGATAATGCAAAATACCGCCAGATTTGGCTGTTGAACAAACGAATTAAGCAGTTGCCACGTCGTGCACGACTACATACCACTGCTACTACCATCAGCTTACTTGACATGTATAGTTATATGCACTTTTGCAAAGATGTTCTATTTTTCCCCCATCAATCACATCTTCAATACTTCTTTCGTATCCTGTTGGCTGGTCATACCATCGATGCATTGCACAAGCTTTACTGCGCCTTCACCTGCGTGCAGGCATCGGCGGGATTCGGGTGTGATTGCTGCAAGCTTCCTTGTCACAATGTCATTTACCCGGTCAACGATTCGCTCTCAAACACTAGCTAATTCCCCTTGCTCGGCATTGCGAGTCAGGAAAGACAGCTAATATGCGTGCATACTAGTAGAAGGCGTCTCTCATGTGTTCCTTCGGCATTGGTCACCGAAGAGAAACAAGTACATACCTAGGTACCTTAGTCGGCCCATACGAGCATGTACATAGCCCGCAGATCTGCAGTCTCGTCCCCTCCCCCAGAATCCTGAATTCAAGAGAAGCAGCTCTTCCTCATGCGGTCAGCCTCGACATTGTAATCGGCAGTATCGGCAAATTTAACAGGGTGCCTTCCAAGGGCTGCTGCTCCAACCACTAAGCTTATTTTGTGAAGTAGCAAAAGAGGCGACTTGACCAAGGATAAATTTGGCATCAACAAACAACGGGCACAGTCATGTACCATACGTGTATTCCTCCCGGCACACACCGCATGTTCTATACAGCTACTTGTGTTCACGTGATGGCAAATGACATACATGATGGGGCCCAGACCAAACTCCAAAAGTAGCAGCTGGCGATGATGGAGAGGCTCAGTTGTAGCCGAAATCGGCAAAGAAGCAAGGCAAAACTGAGAGTCGCTAGAATCATAAACGCAGTCTGACGTTTAGCTATCGGGACAAGGAGCAGAGCAGGTGAATGGCTTGCATTGCAGCATCGGTGTTATCGCGGCGTGGGCCAGTCTTTGCACGGCGATAGTATATGTGTCCTTGGCATCTCCTGTCGTGAAACTCTGTGGCGCTTTAGACGACATTGCTCCCTACATACTAACTAACACGAAGCCGGCACCAAAAAAGAAAGAAGAAGAAGAAAACAGACAGCTCACAATCTCAGGGCTGCCTGCCAAAGGCCCAATTACATACAAATTATCCACGACCTGGCAGCATGGACCAATCGGTGCTCGCAGCCCAGTTCCGGCTACTGCACGCCAAACACCGGTTGGACAGTTCCTAGCGCTGCGACCTCAAGGATATCCCCCAGGAGTGCTTCCAATGAGGGCCCGGAATGACAGATGGTAGAGCCAGACAAGGGTGCTATCTGGTGGCGGCATGGCCTAGTCAATTTCAATTACTATTCAGGGGTAGTACTCCTATGCACATGGGTAAATCCATCTGTAGGCACGCCGAACAAAAATGCAGCTAAAAGATCTCTAATATGCTAATCCGTTGAGGTTAGATGCGGAACGATAGAAGCAAAGGGCCGGCAACGACTGCGCTAATCAGCATCTTCGAAAGTGGCCTCGTCAGCTTGCGTCTGTTTCACTTGACCGTTGAAGGATGGACAGACCATCTTGGGTGGCAGCCCATAAATCGGGCTGATCAAGATGAGATAAGACCCACCCCGTCAACCCTCAACCCCGGCCCTGGCAGTTTTGTTAGTCGGGCTTGTGGGCCGGGTCTGTGGGCCGAGAGAGCCGAACGAGGCGAGGTTATTACCGCTTGGAGTTGTTTGTGTGCAGGCTGAAGCACAGACTCTTTAACTTGAAGTCGTGTACCTTGGAGGACACTAGGCAGGCAACTGCCGGTGTACTAGCTATGCAGAGAAGCAGCTACTACTAGTCGCAATGCCATGTAGTCCATATCGTAAGGCGAAGTGTAGGTATTGCCAGTAAAAGCAGTATTCTCCGTATCTCGTTTGAGCAGGAAGGTAATCAGGCTGGAAGTGCGCAGGGTTCGTCTCTTTTGTAGGTAAGCCTCGCTCGATGATCTCAAAAAAGGTAACTCGTAAGAACGTATGGAGAAAACTATGTCGTGTACGGAGTGGGTGCATGTGAGTTAGCTGCATAGAGGAACTGATACATATTATACTCCGAGTGAAAGGCGTTAGAAATACTCCCTAAGTACTATCTGGTTTCTGACGTGGAAAGTGAGCTCATGGAGTCAACAAGGAATACGGATGCCAAGTTAGAATCCTGACTGCCTGTCCTATCTTGGCGCTTTGAGATTTATATAGAAAGAGAAGAAAAAAAGGGTCCGAAGGTGTGACCAGAGTCTTCTTTTGGGCTCTTGCTGACTCTTGCTGTTTCCGTTTTCGTCTAGAGAGGGTCAAAGAGCCTCTCCACATAGGAGGTATCTCATGATTTGATACAAAAGACAAGTGCAAAAAGGCACCTGTTCTAAAGCCTTTTAGCCTTTTGTTGTATCAACATCCCATGATTTTCCAGAGCGGAATACGACGGCGCCAATCAATGCCTCCCTGTCCTGCAAGTACAACAGCAAAGCGCAGTCTGCGTTGCGTGATGCGCTTATCAGTGCGGGTTATAATGCCGGGCCGCAGTACATCAAAGACACGGCTCCATATCACATGCAAAGCGCACTCTTACACGTCCGGGGTCTGTAATACCGCCAGGTTGCATCTGCGTAGAGTCAGAGTGAGAGCATACAGAGCGCATACGGGGCATTGTCGCAGTGATGCTACTGCCCAGGCCGCACGTAGCAATATTACTGCGCGGGAGCAAAGCCAGCCCCGGGCCTAGACCGCAGAGCAAGATCTGATATCTGATACATAATAAATGGAGAGCTGGAGCCAGAGCAGGAAATGCTCGCGGCCGAGATGCGGCACTAAGGCAGCAGGCCGCGATCCATGCCCCTGACTAGATTCACTGTATCTAAGCAACGCCCAAGGCAAGCCTGCAGCAATAGCGACGCCGGCAAAGGGCGACGCCGAAAAAAGGCACTCGAAGCGGCCTAGAAGCTGAAAAACAATGCCCAGCTGAAGCCGGGCGATAGCACGCAGAGTTCGACACCTGACGCTGAGAAGAGGTCCCAGTTCTCAGCCCACGTCATACGCTGCACACCATATCGAAGCAGACATGCTCCGCCCTCAGCAGCGTTGTATTCTAGGCTGGATTTCGGAACTTCCCAACCCCGCTGAGGCTAGAATCGCAGCGACCGGTTTCTGCCCTGTCCCCTCATTCGACGGACGGTTGTGCGGGGGAAATCGCCCAAAGAATTTGGCTGGCCGTGGACCGTGGACCCGCAAGGGGGGTTTTATATACAAGCGCTGGATGATGGGCAGGGGAAGGCTGTTTCCAAAGCAGGAAGAATTGAAATAAATCAAAAAGAAAAAAGAAAAAGAAAAGAAAAAAAAATTGAACACCTACATCTGTATCAAGTATCAAGCGTCGTATGCCATCACCATCCATCTTAGGAGTGTATTGATATCCCGCTTTTGATAAGCATTTATACGAACCGCCGACGGCTTGCACAGACAGCCACGCACCTGCTACAGTGCATACAGAGCCTGTGGCGTTTGCATGACCTCATGGAGGAGATGGATGTTGTACATGTACATCGTTCCGCCAATTTCTCCATCCGCTCTCCCATCTGCACCTCATTCTCATCTCAGGCCGTCTCCCCTTCGCCGGATGTTGTTATATGCAGCCCTCGCTCGACCAACAGCGTCGAAAAAGAGCCTCGATCTGCTCCTCCCGTGACCACACATTCCGCAATCGTCGTAGTCCGGCCACCTAGGCAATCCTCCCGTGCTATTTCTTATTGTCCTGCCCCGCAAGGATTGCCTTATTCGCAGCCTAGCGGCTAATGCTGCGCTACTGCTGGCCTACTGCTGCGCTAATGTATGCATGTACAGGGACTTGGCCCGCCCCTGCTAATATCACGGCTCTCTCCCCTTGGCGCAGACCTCACCACTCAGGCTGTCAGGATCCGAGGGATCTGGCACTGCGTACAGATACTTGGCCAGCATTGCCCGCGTGGCTGCTGCGCCGGTGTCTGTACTTCGCGATGGCTGTCTCTCCTGGCTCGCGTCCCATCTACCGATCGGACAAGTACATTATGCGCCTAACGGACCTGGACCTCTCCGCTCAGGCTCCCCTACAGTACATGATTCAAAGGCCGGCTCGTGGAAAGTTATTCTCAAACTCTCAGCCATTCTTCCGCTGGCATCATCAACTTCATTCACGCCTTCATCCCCATTCACCACCATCGTCGTTCTGATATTATTGCACAATCACCGTCACTGCCGAGGAATCACTCTTCAATCATGGCGCCCATGACAATCTCACAGCTCCCCAGCGAGCTCCTCCTTTATATCTTTGATTTCCTCGATGAGCCACCCGCATCTGAACAGCGCCAATACGATGATCCGGCACATATTCCCAGGCCCATTGCTGCCGATGATAAGCCAAATCAGCATGGCACAAGCTCACACAACGACGCCGGCTGCTTCCGTGGCAACATCAAGAGTGCATCTCTTGTTTGCCACCTCTGGAGACGCTGCCTCTTGCCATTGCTCTTCCGGGATATCGTCTGGAGATTCCAACACATCATCCGTCCATCCGAGCGGGATGACCCGATGAACACTGTCGAGGAGCTCGAGTTTCTACGCTTCCTTACCCGGGCTGGCCTTACACGTTACGTGGATAACCTGACCATCATCATCGACTATCCCGAATCCGAAATTGGCGAGGACACTCAGCATCACACCAATTGGGGCATCCTCCCTAGCCATTGCCCTGCGCCGGACAACCGAGGATTTAATAACGGTCTGATAGCCCCTGAATCAACCATCGACACATCTTCAAAATGCCAGTCAAACGATTGGCTTTGGCAAACCATCTTCGACAAATTGGATCCTTTGTCCATCAACCTCATCAGCTCCCCGGCCATTCTTGCATCGTTACTAGGGCGGCCAATCAATCTGTCAGGGTCTTGGATCTTTCGACAACGGTTTCACATCCTTTCCCTGTCGAGGCCCGCAGACCAACGCCAACAAAGAGCCACCAACATTGACGACTCGACAATAGTGCCACCACTATCGAATAGGGCACCTACGCCAGCAACCAGCCATTGTTCTCTCTTCGGCATTCGCCCATGGAACTCTCTGCTCCTCAACGAAGGGTCCTCCGTCAAAGTCTACACCACATACGAATACTTTCATCACACGCCCCCGTCTCTTCTGCCCGCCCTTCTGGACTCAGACGACGAATCCATGCAGCCCCTATTAAGAAACACCCTCCGCTCATTCTCCTACATCGCCATCTTTCCACTCGCCAGCCATATCAACAACATCCTCATTCCTCACGCCCCAGCCCTCGAGCGGTTCTACATCCAGATCGTGCCCCGGGCGCCTAGCTTCGCTGAAGATGACTATCGCCACCCCGCCATGGACATTTCGGATCTGTGGATGGAGCGCAACACGGCCTATGCGCAGCTAGTCATGGCTATATTTGACCCGCCTCCGCTGGGGCTGTGGAACAGCCTGCAGTACTTTGAGAGTGGCGACGCCGTCGACAGGGAAGCGTGGGAGCAGGCTGTCCGATATGTGATTTTTGCGGCGGGTGCGGCGTGGAAAGTCGCTGGAGAGGGAAAGTTTGTTCGCAGGGACAATGCTGCGCTTACTTCCTAAGAGACTATTGTATTTTTTTTTTTGTCTTTTTTTTTCAGGCTATCGAATTTTAGAGTCATTCATTATGGGGCTATCACCGGGCAAACTGGGGAAATATTGGTTTATAGGCCGCCTTCTATGGATAAAGCAGCTTTGGTATGGGCGTTAGGATATCAGCAGGACAGCTTTTGGGATAGCGTTTGGGTAGCGTTTGGGTACTGATAGGATTCGGGCATATTTTGGCTGGGTTTTAAGTCAAAAGTTGATATCATTGGTTAACTGGTTTTGGGCTCGCGAGGTAGGCTGACAAGAAGATTGCCAAACTGAAATAGGTTTTTCCCTAATCTAATTAAATTGACGAATGAGGTTCAGAAATATTTGCTTAATATAGAAACAATAAGTAATAGGGGGAGAAGGCCATGGAAACGCAGCTGCATGGCCGTTTCCATCGGCTGTCTGTCGGTGAGACCGGTGTCGTCGGTATTGCAGACAGTGATTAGCTGCAGTAATGCAGACAAAGATGGAGTGAATAAATGGCTTAGCAGCGTTTGACACATTGGAGATCATGACACTCAATACTGTATAAAGCTTTATCATATGCCAGTCTATAGCTGCCCCTTGGCGATTCGGAGCCACGACAGTACATTGCCAAATATTCCCCCATGATTGTTCTGCCACTTGGGCAAATATATAACCCGTGTTCTATCTTGACCGCCCCGTAGCATGTCCATTATGTCCATCCATAATCCATACCCGTGAGATCAAGAATACTCCACCCACAATGCATATATAAACGCCTCTAAAGCCAATGCAACTCCGAGTCTAGAAGAGGAAGTGTTCCCCGTAAACAAATTACTATTCTTCCGAGAAAAAAATGACAGAAATGGTAAAAAAGAAGAAGAAAATAAAAATATTTCAATCTTCATGACTGCTCAGATCGCCATCCTCGTCACTGTCGGCCAAATCCACCTTCCTCTTCGCAATTTCGTGCTCCATCATCTCCCGGTAAGTGCTCCAGCTCAACGCACCAAACGCAACAATGATCATGGAGCCGCCAATCACCGCCGCGGGGCTCAATGGCTGGCCAGTAATGAACCAATCCGCAAGAGCAACGATGAAGATGGTGAGAAGTGCGGCGACAGACGACAGCACGGGTGACGTAAGAGATATGAGGATGAGGAACGAAGCGCTGAATGTGGCATTGGCCAGCACGGCACACAAGATGAGCCAGCACGTCGAGGCGTTTGGAATCTCGAAAATCTCTAGGCCGGACCAGTGCAGGAGAGGCAGCGGGATCCAGAGCACGCTCAAGGTGAAGAGGCCGATGCAAGAGCCAAAGGTATTGGCGAAAATCATACCCCGGCCAGGGGAGACGCCATCTGGAGGACAGGCAAAACGCTTGTACAAGACCTCATACAGGCCGTACAGCACAGAGCCAACTCCGATGACAATGTTGCCCAGAAAACGGCTGCCTGCTTCTACGTCCACGCCCTCTCCCTCATCCACACCCTGGCCCTCGGCAGATTGGCCACCAGTGTCACCATAGGCCACCACCAGGACGCCGATGATGGCGATGATGACGGCAACCGACTTGTCCAGGCGCAACGGCTCTTTGAGCAGAGGCACGGAGAACGCATAGGCGAAGAAGGCCGAGCAGTTGTAAATGGCGGTGAGGTCGGACGGCGTGGTGAGGCTGACGGCGACGTACCAGCTCAAGCCAGCCACCGTCAGGGCCGTGGTGATGAAAGCCGTAGTTCGGGCCAGATATCGCACCGACTTTGCGGCGGGCCGCTGCAAGCCAAAGACGTCCAGCGTCTGCAGCTCGACCATGAGGGCTGTCGACTTGACGAGCTGCAGGTGGCGTCGCCAGAATGTCTCCCACGGCATGTCACGCTTTTGCAGCCGCAGAATGAGTAGCTGGGCCGGCCACATCAGCACCCACGAGCTGTGCGTGAAGAACATCATGCAGTAGGCCTTGTCCCAGCCCAGGTCGCCCTGGATGTGCGCGCTCAGCTCGGTCTGCACGCAAAAGGCCACCAGGCTGAGCACGAGGAAGAATGCCGCATACGTGTACTTCTTGCGCGCCGAGCTGGCGGCCAATTCGCCCGGGCTGCGGCTGCGCATCGTCGAGCGCCGAGACATTGTCGCTGGTCGCGAGATTGGTTCGTACATGTTGCCCGAGCCGATGTTGGACGCTCCAGCAGCCTGTCCGTCGCCTGAGGATCGTGAAGATCGGCCTCTCTCGACGTCCTTGTCGCCCAAGTCTGCCCCTTCAGAAGAGTCGGGTCTGGAGAGCAGGGGCTCGCTGGAGCGGCCATCGGCTGTCGTCTCACGAAAGAGGCCGGGTCGACGATTATCCGAGCCCATGGCTGTTGCGTCGCAGAAAAAAAAAGGGTCAGAGATCGACGTCGTTCTTCGTTTGTTGTCAGCCTGCCGTTCAGGAGCGAAAACGGCGTTCAGACGGCTCGTATTGGGACGATGGCCTCCAGCAGTACTTGATTTGGCGCGAGCGTCGCGGAGACGTTGGCTGTTGCGGGAGCATGTGGCTATCTCGAGCGAGATGGCTAGAGGAGCGGAGGAGGCGTAGCTTGTACGCTGCTTTTTTTGTCTCTCAATACCAAGGAGAAAAGGCCAGCGTTGCAGGAGCCAGACAGAAGTCGGGGCTGGAGATTCGGATCTTCACTAGATGGAGAATTGGCAATTGTGGCGCGGATCCTGGGGGGGCTTGGCAACGGCTAGATGTTACGGGTTGCAAAACACAGGGGAACCTGCACTTGTTGGCCGAGATGAAAGTCGAAAGGCGAATTAGAATAGAAAGAGGGAGGTTCCCAAGGGATGCCGTCATTGCTGACATGCGGGCTTCGCCTTACGGGCCTCGCCTTACGGGCCTTACGGCGGGTGCCAGCCACTAGAACGCCCCTGAGACCCCTCAGAATCTCCAGATGGTCGCCTACAAGATGCGCTAGCGCTGCACTGGAAGCTGTCAGAGGCTGCACTACAACTGCTGGTGCGGCTATTGGGACCACGCCGCCAGCCCAGCCTTGGAACCATCACGAGGACGCAGCGCATGCTGTCTTAGTGTGATGTTACCTTACAGTGGGCATGTAACATACTGCCCTGTTTATTTCAACGTTCAAAATGGCGAATCAACAATTATTTACATGAAAAAGGAACAGAAAAGACAACTCGGTGCCTAGGTCTAGTACAAATGCAAGCACCACGGTACATAACAATAATGTAAGCTGTGTCTTATATAGGTATTTACAGGGCCTTTTTGTCCTGTTAAAACTTTTGTAGATTCTTCAGTATACATACAGCTGGTTGCGCATGGTCTGGTCATCCGCCCAAACAAGCCGTCCAACCAGACTCAAAGCCAGGTCCATTACAAGCAAGGCCGCCATCACGCCATCCATCACCCGCGCAAGCCATTTATTTCGCACCTTCACCAAACAGGACTTGCTGAGGATCGTATTTGTATTCCAGGTCACCATGCCAGTAGTTGACAGACTCGGCCTTGCAGAGGAGCCAGGCCTGGTCCAGCGCCTGCACCACCTCCTCAGGCAGCGGGCCCTTCTCAAAGTTATCCAGGTTGTTCTCCAGCTGCTCTACGCTCGAGACGCCGACGATGATGCCGTCATTTCCGTCCTTGACCTTGAGCGCCGAGTGGTGGACAAGCCATCGCATTGCCACCTCAATCAATGTCAGTCCTTCCTTTTCAGCAGCCTCCTCGACGATGCGCAGCGCCTCAAAGGTGCTGTCTCGGAAGTATCTGCCCCGGGAGATTGCCCCCATCGGCGTATTGCCAGCGTGCCGTCCAGTCGTGGGGACGAAATCCTTGGATTTGATCTTTCCTGAGAAGAGGCCCGCGGCAAGAGGGTTGTACACCACGATATCGAGGCCATAGCGACGGCATGCAACAACCAACTCGGGCTCAATGTTTCGAGTGATGGCGTTGTACATGGCCTGGAAAATAGTAGGGCGAACCCAGCCGTTATACTTGCATGTCAACACGACCTCGGCTACTTCAAAAGCTGTGAAGTTACTGAGACCCAGCTTGTTGAATTTGCCAGCCTTGTGAAGCTTGTCTACTGCCTCAAGGGTATCAGCAAAGGGTGTTGCGCGGTCTGGCTTGTGAAGGTACAGAATCTACGGCGTCATAGTCAGCTAAAATGTCCGCATTGCGAGACTCTCTATCTACGGGAGCAGTTTTTCTGAGGGTATAAAGGAAAAAAGAGTGAAAGTTTGGGCCAACGCGATGTTTTGCGCCATATTAGACTTACATCAACTTTGTCGGTTCCCAGCTCCTTCAAGCTCGTCTCGACGGATGCGATAACCTTTTCTGGTGTGTTGTCGCCATATTCTCTCGGATACTGAACCTTGGTCGCCAAAGTGAAGCCATTCTTCTTCCAGTTTGTCTGGCCGGTGAAACCCTCCTGGGTTCCCTCGCCATACATTCGCGCCGTATCGATCTCATTATATCCGCGAGCCTGCAGAAGGTCAAGTGCCTTGTTGAACGTATCCAAGTCGGTGACTCTGCCGCTGGTGGTAGGAGTCTTGTAAAAGGTCATAAGACCAAGGATAAGTCGGGACTTGGGAGCAGCCATCTTTTCTCGCTGTGTTTCTAAGCTGGTTGGATTTATTGGCTCATGAAAAGGTAACGAAGTATGAGGCCTCTACAATATATAAGAGAGGGGAGTGGATCCCAAGGCTCAGGCAAATCCGCGGGGCGGCTTCCCCCACGGCATATCGTTCGCATTGCTCTGCATCTATTGCGTGCGCTTGATTACGAAATACTACTAGGCCCAGGATCTTCGCCGACAGTGTTCATGATGGCCCTGATAAACTCCGACTGGCCTTGAGCCCTTAAAAACCGATTCATGCTAACTCCGGCGGCGCTGGCAGAATCGATGGGCGAAAGTTCTATGGCTAGCATTGCAGATAATGTGCTGATGGTCCGCGAGCCGGCGGCAACATCCGCCCATCTTACTAAACTGCAGCAGGTAAGATTCCCCATTGCGCTGTTATTGCCAGGCCCAGTTATGCTCCCCCGCCTCTAAGCGCGGCAGTTATTTCGGGTATAACACGAGGTGCAGATTTGAGAAAATGCTCGCGGGCGTGCTTTACACTGTACAAGCCTGCAGGCCTAATGAGATACATCTTGTTAGGCGAGATGCTGAATTGAAACATGCTACAAGCCGATGGCGGAGATCCAACACCGATTCGATTTATGTGCCGCCCAACTACATAGTATAGCAACGTAAATGCAGCCTTGTAACCATAAAGACCTACCTGCTGTAGGCAACCAGGAGAGTCTAAAAGGGCTGCAGTCACTCAATGAAGAAAAAGATCATTCATGTCTTTTTACACCGAAATTCACTATCGGAGATTGGTCTGCTGTCCAATTTGGTAACTACAATGTACCGTGTTCCCTCGAAAGACTCAACGGTGGATTGCTGTTGTTTTTTGTATTATACAAGGAAAATGTAGCTACCTTTTCAGTTATTTCGATCAATACGTGCTTTTGCTGCGAGGATGGATGTCCATTCCATTGCCGTGGGGGCGGGGGTGCAGCATCAATGCGGCTTATCGATAGGACTTGATGGCAATAAACGCCGCCGGAGAAACCACGGTAAAACCCCCCATTCGACCGCGACTCGCAAATGTGTGCTAGAATTGATAGCTGGCGATGAAGTTGAGAGCTTCAAGAGGCGTGGTGGATTCGAATCAGCTGCCTTTGTGCAAACTGTGCTACTCGCCTGTCTCAAATATGATCCAGTGAGCACTTCGATGGCCGATCTGCACCAATTGACTGCTAAGAGCCTCCAGGCGCATCGTAACATAGACATAGTCAAACCATGAGGGCAAACCTGGCCCGTCATGGCAGGCGATTACTTGTCTGCCAAGCGAGGACGGCGCCATCCTGCGCTTTGTATGCGGCCCCGGCTCGACGAAGGCCAATCATCCAAAGACCGGTGACACACATCAACTTCGAGCGAACGTTTCTCGGCGGCTTGTTCCAAAGACCCCCGCGGGAGGTCAGACAGCCCGAGTATGAGCCGGGATGGCTGCAAATCATGGTGTGGAGGAGTCGCATGCTCGAGAATGTGAGGCCACCGCCGCGGGGTGAACTTTTGGATGCGTGGAAGAAGTTGATGCAATCAAAAATCAACACCAAATTGCCTTTGAACGCGACACAAGCTCTGCAATGCCGCCGACTGTTGGAGTATCTCGCAGATCCGGAAAACGCCGACGATAAAAAGCTTTCTGCTATTCACCTATCGATGACGAGGCAAGTCCTCCTTGAGATAGATCCAGTTGAACGAACGCATCATCATCTCGATCTGGCGAAATCTCTACATTCCGTGTGGACGGCGGGAAACTTTCCCAGCAATAGAGCCAACCCCGTGGTATTCCAATGGGCCTCTCTAGTCAAGGCTATGAGTCTATATGGCGGATCCCGCGAAGCTGCACAGATGCTGTATGAGAAATGGGAGCAGTCAGACTATTTTGACTGCATAACCCAAGACGACCGACTCTTGGAAGTCGTCGCAAAGGGGCTAGCAAGAGAAGGATGCGAAACCGAGCTCTTGAAGCTGGTTGAATATGCTGAAACACACAATGTACCATACAATGCCAGAATTCAGTATATCATGGTACAGTTTTTTGCCGAACAAGATCGCGTCACCGAAACCAGATACTGGTTCAATAAGCCGCTCATGAGCGGCAACATACAGGCGCATGTATACCGTGTCCTGGCGCCTTTCGCCATGCGCAACAACCTTCAAGAGTGGGCGACCTCACTCTTCCTTAAGCTCGGCGAATCGCAACCATGGAAAAAATATTGGAACGTATTGCTTCAAGCAATACTCATTACCAGAAAGAGCCTTGCTGAAGTGGACACCATGATGTCGCACATGGTTGACAGCGATGGAGAGATATCTCCAGACATTCACATGATTAACGGCCTCCTCAGAGTTGCTACTGAGCAGCGAGACGCGGCTCTGGGCGAAGACATTCTTGCGCTCGCCGCAAAAAGAGGCCTTGCCCCCAATGGAGAAACACATCTCATCTTGCTCAACCTCTGGCTTGAGGCTGATAACTTGATCGGAGCACGAGAAGCATACAACCAAACTAGACATATACAGCCTTGGGCTAACGAGTCTAAGCCTCATCTGTTTGGCGAATTCCGCACGGCCGTTAACAAGTATCTGGTGGCACTGGCTGCTCAAAAACAACCCGACTTCAAGTTCATCTCCTCAGTTCTTGAAACCGTTGAAGAAGATCAGATGCGGCTTGAGCCAGCCACTGTCGCCGCACTCTGCTTGAGGTTCCTAGAGAATGACCAGCACTTTGATGTCATGGATATCCTCTCTATTTACTCTTTCTTGTACAGCGAAGCAGAGAGAGAGACTGTTCAGAACGCCTTTGTCTCCTTCTGTCTCGACCGCAACACGAGCACAAATCGAGCCTGGGGCGCGTATCAGCTTCTTCATCAATTCTTCCAGGACACCAGCTTTGAGCGGCGGGTATCATTAATGAATGTATTTTTCGAACGAAGACGCCCAGATATGGCTTCACATGTCTTTGGGCATATGCGGGCACACCGAAACAAGTCTTACCATCCTACAATAGACACCTACATCACATGTCTGGAGGGTTTTGCTCGATATCCCGACCAAGAAGGGCTGGAAATGGTGCACAATATGCTGAAGATGGATGTCTCTTTACAGCCGTCGACGAAGCTATATACTGCGTTGATGTTGGCGTACACAGGCTGTGGGCAGCCACTAATAGCGCTGGATTACTGGACCCAAATCACGCAGTCTAGAGAGGGGCCATCGTATGCTACATTACAGGCAATGTTCTGGACGCTGGAGAAGAAAAGCGGCGGGCATAAGCAAGCCCGAGAGGTTTGGGATAAAATTGAAAGGATGGATTTGGAAGTACCGCCTAGCGTCTACAATGCATATATCGGCGCTATAGCAGGAAGCGGAAACGAAAAGGAGGTTCGAAGTCTAATTATGGGAATGGCGTCCGTTGTCGGATCAGAGCCAGATGCCATGACGTGAGTACAAAGTCCCCTCCCCGTATTCCTTCTTTGGTTGAAGTAAGTCCAAAGTATCGCTAACTTGGTTTTTTCTATAGACTCGGCATCACATATAATGCTCTGCCCGGACAGCAGCTTCAGCGAGGATTCCAGGAGTGGGCCAAGGGCCGATATCAAGATGCTTGGACAGAGCTGATGAAGGTGGGCCGGCGAATGGACGAGTATTCGCTGTGCCAATTCAAAATAGAACGCATCATGAAGGCTTAGAGGGAAAAAAGAAGGCAAAGTGTACAACATTGGAAAGAAGAAAAATATGAATATGATCATGACATTGTAATTGAGGGCGGCATCTATTGTACACATATAGTTTGGGGGGGAAATATCTAGCTGTAACTAAAACATTGTCTTGCGTGAGCGCCATATTTCATAGAAGGCAGCTCTAAACCAAAAAAGAAATTCAATCACAATACGCCATTTTTTGTTGTCAAAACTTCTCATCTCCTCTCAGGGAAGAAGCTGTCCCTGATCATCTCCGGGTGGGCGTGAATCGTCGGGTACAGACCCATGCCCTGAACTCGTCGGATCATCTTGGCAATCTTGCGCTGGTTGACGGGGCGGAGGCTGGTGCCGGATGAGTGGGTGATTTGGCCAGAGGTGGAGGTGAATTCCTGGATCAAGGAGAAGTTCTATACGCTGCATTAGTTCCCCGCTTGTCTCCTTCTTTCTGCGTCCCTTTTCAAGACCACAAGCTAGGTGTGAGCCACATACCTTGTACATGTCCAACGGTCGAATTCCCAGCGCATCAACAACGTCACCACCTCTGGGCGACCTCTTCCTCCACTTCTGCATCTCCACAGGGCTCATATCATGCGGCGAGTAAACATCACCGGCGTCCCACCTTCGGGGCATCTGCTTCAGGTAATCATTCGAGTTCTTCTGGTTGCGCATGATGTCGAGATGGGCCTGCTTGTTCCTCAGCGACGTCTGCCCCGCCTTCTTATATCTCGTCATCAAATCTGCCGCAGCCTCGCTGGGCTTGTGCGCCGACTGCGGCCCGGAACGCGACGTCCGCGAAGAAGCCGGGTTGTTGATGGAGAGGAGGCTGCTGCTGGACGAGTGGCGGTGGTGAGAATCTCCTCCGCCGCGGGGCGGTGCGCGGGCCGCTGCGGTGGTTGAGAAGGCCCGGATGGAGAGGCCGCGCATGGCGCAGGACGAAGGGAGGAGGGAAGGCATGGCGGGGGGCGAATTGAGCTGGCGAAACCGTCTCGAGTGCGTCGAATTGCTCGGTCGCTGGTGATGGGCGAAATCCTGGTGTTGTGCAAAAGGTGGCGGGCGGAACGCTTCCGCGGATGGTGCCGCATGGCCCCACTTTAAAATTGTTCTGCGATTTTCACCTTTTGAGAGACTCGTGCTCCGATTCTTTGGACGATGCTTGCGACCAGCGACTTTTCATAGCAAACCAATTCCTCTTTCCTGGGCTGCAGCAGTCTCTTAATTTATCCAAAAGAGAACAGAAACGAACAAAAGAAAAAAAATCACCGCAGCAGCGACCACCTGCCAACGCGGCCCCCCGACAAAATGGTGCGAAAACTCAAGCATCACGAGCAGAAGCTCCTGCGCAAGACCGACTTCTTCACATACAAGCAAGACAGCAACCACCGCGACAAGCTCGTCAGACGGCGGTACATGATCCAGAACCCAGAGGACTACCACAAGTACAACAGACTCTGCGGCGTGAGTTTCTCTCGTCATCCCCTCAATGTCCATCCACATATATGCTAACATCCAGCGCGCAAACCAAAAAAAAGTCCATCCGCCAACTCGCCCATCGCCTCTCCCTGCTGCCCCCCGAAAACCCGATCCGCCGCAAACACGAAGAGCTCCTCCTCAACAAGCTCTACGACATGGGCATCCTCTCCTCCGCCTCCAAGCTCTCCGCCGTCGAGAACAACGTCACCGTCAGCGCCTTTGCCCGACGCCGCCTCCCCGTCGTCATGACCCGGCTGCGCATGGCCGAGACCGTCCAGGCCGCCACCAAGCTGATTGAGCAGGGGCATGTGCGCGTCGGCGTCGACGAGATCACCGACCCGGCGTACCTGGTGACGAGGAACACGGAGGACTTTGTGACGTGGGCGGTGGGAAGCAAGATTAAGAGGAATATCATGAAGTACAGGGATGAGCTGGACGACTTTGAGCTGTTGTGATTGGGTCCTTTCTTTCTTTCTTTTTCTTTTTCTTCTTTTCCTTTGATTTGGGTTTTTCTTTGAAGAATGCTGGGTTTTTTGTGCGAGGAGAGGATTCTCCATTTAGACAGTGCATGGGGGAGAGCATATTGCCAGGAAGCTGAATTTGGCGTTAAGGGCTTGGTTGGTTAATTAGGCTGTTCCTGGATTGCATTGCAGCCAGACATTGCAAGAGATATAGATGATAATCTGAAACTCCTTCTACAAGGCATTTTTGCACCGTTCGCGCTCATATCAGGGAAATCAGATACGCAGTTCCCTCCCCTCAGGTCGGAGAAACACAATCTACTGTATACACACATTTCTAGATACATTCCGCTAGAGCATATATTTCAACCTCGTTCGAGTGTTTATACTCGCCATCTTTCGCAATCATGCACTTTCACTAGCCAATAAATCGTCAGCATGCATGCCATTAAGCTTTCAATGACAGCCACAACGACTGAAGTGTTGCAAAACATGGCCACTCTACGCTCACTAATCAGAAAACGCATCAACGCTCCTCTCAAGTAAGCGGGCCGTCGCAACTCCTTTTCCCTTCTCATATCCAAAGTATAAAATGCCTTATGAACACCGTTCAATTTTCTTCTTCCTGTGGTATACTATTACCAAGATCACGCCGCGCGCTATCTTTCCATCATACTCGTTCCGATCCTCGCCCACATTATTGACTCCCAGACCTCCATGCGTAAAACGCCTTTACGTATTTCCAAGCGATAAAACATCCCTATAACCCAATAAAACAGTACGCCTTCAAATATCGCAAATCTCATCCACCATAATCGCAACGACTCCAAGCGTCTCATCTTCACCAGTGGAGGAGCAGAGACCGGGCACTCCACTAGCATCGGCCCCACCCCCGTAGCTTCGTTTTGCAAAAGGCGCAGTTTGCTCAGATAAAGGGCTAGGCTCGTATGTGTTTGGAGGATCTTGTGCCAAGTAGGCACACTGTGCGTTCCGGGTATAAAAGCCCACATCCAAACAGGCTCCCACACTCTTCTCTATTTTCCCCTTGGTGAGCCTAAAGGATCTCATTCTTTTGCTTCTCCTTTTCGCTTTATTGAGCTCTCGTTTTCTTTTCCCTCGGGTCCCTTATATACACACATGCGGTCGCCATAAAAGTCGCCATCGTGCCATTCACATTCATATAAGTCCCCTGAGCGCTGGAGGGCGGCTACCCTCTCCTCTCTCACCATGGGCGCCCTGGCCACCATCTGGGATGCCTTCATCCATATTATTGATCCATGGCACTTCATGAGTATCTCTTTCCGTCATATACCCGCCACCATACGTGGTCTCATCCGTGATAAGGACTATGGAGCTCTGTTGTCATTCACAAGATTTGAAGAAGCTCTGTTTGGCACATTCTGGGCCACCATCGGGCCAGATGTCAAGCTCAATGCAGAGCAGCGCGTCATTCCTCTCCTCGAAGGTCGTATCAAAGATGGCGTAGTTCACGATGAAGTCGTGAGCACCCCGGTTTATGGTACGGTGATCGAGGTCGGTGCTGGAAGCGGCATGTATGCCGACGTTTTTGCCCGTTTTCGCGAAAATGCCGACAGCGCCCACGACACCGAAAGCCTTCGATACAGAAAAACCACAGGCGGCCACATCACCAAGATGTACGGCGTAGAGCCTAACCCCATTTCCGCCAAAGCGCTTGAACAACGTGTAAAGGACCTCGGTATGGACGATATATATCAAGTCGTCCCTGTCGGTATCGAATCTGTCGACGATCCCTCTGCCTGGAATGGCAAGATTGAGCCAGGCAGCGTCGACTGCATCGTCAGTATCCTTTGTCTCTGCAGTATCCCCGAGCCTGAGAAGAACATCAAGCTTCTATACAAGTTGCTCAAGCCAGGAGGTCACTGGTACGCCTATGAGCACGTCAAGGTATGGCGCGGAGGCCCATTGCTCAGTCTATATCAGCGTAAGTTAGCGCCCACACTCTGCTTCTATCCAGATTATCATCATAGCAAAAACTAACAGCTTTCGACTTGCCAGGCTTTGTCAACCTCGTCTGGCCGCACTTTTTAGGAGGATGTGAGCTCTGTCGCGATACGGAGAAGAGTCTCAGGGCTGCTGGCATCTTCAAGGAGGTCGATTTCGTGCAGCCCGTGGATCAGCCTCCTTATCAGGTTTTACCTCACAAGATTGGCGTTTTGACCAAATAGTCATGATTTGAGAAGGAAAAAAAGTGTGCCAGCGCAGCGAATACCCAAAGATAGAAAGATCTCATGTAAGCAGCAACTCTTTCTCAAAGCTCGTCGTCCTCGTCCTCATCCAAAAGAAATATCGAAGTCCTCTTGGACATTCCGTCTCCCGGTATCGGCTTCCCCTCATCAGGAACTTTATGTGTTCTTGCGTCCGTCTTCTCCTGTTTGATATCGTCTGTGATATCTTCAGCCGTCGTTTCCGTTTTGATTTCGTATTTTATGCCACTCGGCATCTTCTCAGTCATTTCCTCCTTCTCTTCCTCCCTTTTCACAACTTCGGGCTTGACTTGAGGCCATGGCTGCAACTTTTCGAGCTTTACCCCGCTTCTTGCCTTATCATTCATCGCATCCGGTTTTAGCTTGTGCTCAAACTTCAGGGCTTCTGCCCGCTTGTCTACCGGCGACTTTTCGCGGTTGACGATACCCTCTTTTTCCAGCTTAGCCTCGCGTCTCTTATAGAATGAATTCAAACAGTTCCTTCTCGTTTCTGTTGTCCAGCTTTCCACAATAAGAGCAAAATCCGTAGCATTGGCGAAGCCAAACTCCCTGGCCATCTCACAAAATTGCCGCAAGCAAACATCTTCAGGCGGTTTAAATTTGCTGTGCAGCCCATCACCATCATTCACATCGCTGTCACCAAATAAAGTAGCCTGCCCCGCCAGGTCTCCCTCACCAAACAATCTCATAGCCGCCTGCCGTGAAAGCTGTTCCTCTACTTTAGAAGTCCCAATCACCTCTGAATTATCGTGCGTGTATTCTACGCCAGCTGCCGCAAGAATGGCTTGCACAGCGTCGCTTTTGGGACGGTTGACCTTCTTAGAGTCAATAGCCTTTTGCTTGCCATTAGAGGTCAACAAATCTGCCAGCTGACTTAAGCCTCCATCTTCTGATTCATCGTCTTCTTCACGTTTGACGACTCCCAAATCCTCCCCATCTTTTGCAGCCTTTTCTATGTCAACATCGGCCAAATGTACCCCAGCTTTAGCCTCAGCAATGTTTGTCTTGTTGACAATATCGCGGAGCAAGCCCATATCGCTATGGTAGGTGAAAATATTTGATAGTCCAAAAATTTCGCCCTTTCGTTCAGTATCTTGCTGAACGCCACGAAAATACCGCCGCTCAGATGAGGCCGTATATCCGATATTTGCTTGCTGTTGCTTGTAAATTTGACGAGCGTAGACAATTTCCTCAATCGTCCCAACAGAAATTAGTCGAAACACTTCGACGTCTCTTGTTTGGCCTATCCGATAAGCTCGATCTTGAGCCTGCAAGTCATATGCAGGATTCCAATGAGGGTCAATGATGACGACCTTGTTAGCTGAAGTGATATTCAGCCCGACTCCACCAGCTTTAGTCGATATCAGAAACACAAACTGAGTAGGATCCGAATTAAAAGTGTCAACCACATCTTGACGCGCCTCGTAGCTCAAGGAGCCGTCTAGGTAGCTCACAGTGTAGCTTGTGTTGGTAAAGAGATGTTGCAATATGCGAAGAAATCGCACGCTATGAGAAAACACCAGAACTTTGTTTCCGCCCCCATGCCAAAACTTGAGCAGTTTCTTGAGAATTTTCCACTTGCCGCAAAACTCCGGGTTGACCAGGTTACTAATCCGGTCTCGCTTCTCATACAACACTCTCCAAGTGTCAGGCATGCAAGTCTGTAGTGTCGCAAGTTCTTGTTCGTGCTTCTCCTCCAAATCCGTTGTCAATGGCACCAGCAGGGTGAGGTGGTTGGCCAGCTTTTGTAAAACCATAATGCTAGGGAAAACAGCGCTCTGCCAGCGTTTGCCATTTGGGAGGAACTGGTTACAGCACCAACCTTTCTTGCCTCCATGCTCACAATCTTCTGAGGCAGTCCGTAAAATAGCTACTTCTGTACTGTCAAGGAAGTTTTCGTATGCTTTCAGTTGCAAGTCTGTAAGGGGACAGAAGACCACTCGATCAGTCTTCTTCGGCAGCTGATCTGCAATCAAAGATTTCATGCGACGCAAAAAGTATCGAGGAAGGAGGTTTTGCACCAGCTTCTTCGCTGTCTGCCTTGCGAGGCTCAGTTGCGCAACGGTTGCCTCATGGGACTGACCGACGGTCAAAGGTCTTGTGATAGCATTTGACCACTCTGCCTTGGTGCCAAAATGACCCGGGTTAGTCCAATCCAGCAATGTCCAGAGCTCTTCATATCTGTTTTGGATAGCAGTTCCTGTTAGGCCAATCCGACAAAGCGCGTTGACTTCCTGCATTGCTTTGGTGGTCTCTGAATAACGGTCTTTGAGTCGATGGCATTCATCTGCGACTATGGCATCCCACTGTACCATGTTGATGGAGCTGCGAGAGTTTTTATATGTCTCGTACGTCGTGATCATAATTTCCAGCATACCTGCCCGAGCTGCGCCAAGCACGTCGTCTTTGTTTGCGCCGTGGAACACATCTACATGCCACCACCCCCATCGGCTCAGCTCATTTCTCCAATTCATAATGAGAGATCCGGGGCAGACGATGAGTATCTTGGGATACCATCGATTGCCAAATAGTCGCATTTGCCTCAGACGCTTCCCATCTCGTTCATCACCTGTTTTTCCAAAAGCGGTTGTTAGGAAAGCGGCGACTTGAACTGTCTTGCCGAGACCCATGTCGTCTCCTAGGATGCCTCCCTCTTGGTATACAAATTTCCTATGCAGAAATCGAACACCGTCGACTTGATAATCGCGTAGGTATTGCGCAATTGATGCTGGGATAAGACCGCCTGACTGGGGAAGCTCAATATCTTCGTACGGCCGAGACGGTTTGATACCACTTTGTGGGTCAAAATCTGGCCTCTCCTTCAGTTCTTCAAGTCTCCTTGACTCGTCGAATTCAATATCAGTGTAATCAGGCGGTAGCATCAGCGCCGATTCATGATATAGCTTCCTCTTGGCATCAAAATCTCTCCTCCGCTCAATCAAGTAGTCGGGGAGGTCCAAAGCCTCTGAATCATCCTCTCCACGGCCATGATTCCGGCCGTCGTTCTTATCCTTCTTTTTCCTAGTGGATTTACGGTTTGTCTTCCGTTTCTTTGGCCTGGAGGGCACACTGTCTGATTCATCCGTCCACTGAACCTTTTCCGTTAAGTCGGGTTCGGTTTTCCTCTTTGGAGGCGGCGGTTTAGCCGTTCCCTCAAACCCATCTTCGGAAGCGGATTCTGTATCGTCATCATCTGATAATACAATGACATTACTTGCCATTTTTTGAAGCTAAAGCAGCAAAAATGTCATGAGAAGTCAGCAAAGTAACGCGTAGTGATAACGCGAGATGGCCAATGGCGGACCCACGTGACGCTTGCGATGTTGATGGTCTCTCTGCCTAAGCACACACTACGCAGCGCCTGTATTTTAGCGGCCGCCAGGTCTTCGATGCAGCTTTAGGCAGCACTACAGCATTACACGTATAGTGCATCGCTAGATATTCGGGATGATAATCGCCATCAAGAACCAGTATGTCTCTGCCCATATTGAAATATTCATGATTGGCCATTATACAGGCACGGCATCATGGTAGCCTTAGATATGTTGCTATTGACGTCATATTATTTTCCGAGTACAATACTTGCATGAGTCTGGGCCAGCAGCGTTTGAGTATTTCAAGGAATTACAGGTTGCCTTTGAGCCATTTGGAGCCAATGTCAGTTTTTAATATATGTCGGTCATATCTTACACTTTACGCTTTGCCGAATCAACTCACAGTTGCCGATGATAATATTGGAGGAAACGCCTGTATAGACAGTCATCAAACTATTGTTCTCGTGAATATAATTAGCAATTAGCATGGTAGTATCCCATAGTTGGCCTGCATTATAGGCGCCTACTCAGGGTAATATGGTTGGAACCTCAGATCTTATACTACTAGTATTGCTTATTGCTTATACGGAATGTAGCTCAGTAGCCCTATCCGAACGTGACAATGTCGCTTCACCCAATTCAAAACATGAACGGAGCTGCCTCAGTCGCTAAGCAAATAACTAACAAGTCAAAGGATATACCATGTAATCGGCGGTGTCTTACCCAAGCAACAATGCGTGATGACCACATCAAGATGCGTTTAGTGCCAGGGGGGTATTAATCCAGCGACTGATGAGATAATCGCCGCCTATAAAATTTGGGCAGCCCAGAACTCCTGGGGAAGTCAAACTTTTACATGTGCCTAGATGCTTATGCTAGCGATGTGCAGAGCAAGAGGCTCACTTTGAAGATTTGCAAACCCAAATGCAGATGGTCGCTATGGCTGCAAATATTAAAAACGTGCCAACGGCACCTATCACCAAAGCTAAAGACTCAAAACAAAGTATCGCTCTTGCTCGTCCTTGTTCACCATAAATCAGTATTCACAATGGCATCAAATCTCTCTTTAAGCCCCGAGGAAGCGCGGGATCGAATCGCCATCCGCCATGTCATCGACCGATATGCTCACTGCGCCGATCGCCGCTTGCCAGAAGAGCAAATGTCACTTTTTACCGATAAAACCAACTTCTTAGTATACATGCAAGGAGAAGGAACGTCGCCCTCGCAAGTTGTCGAAAAAAAAGAGGATTTGCGGCCCGTCTTCGAGTTTCTGCGCGGCTACACCCACACAACACACTTTAATGGACAAAGCACCATCGATATCGGACCGGACGGGAGGACTGCTTCTGGCGAAACATATTGCATTGCATATCATTTGTCTGAAAAGGATGGCCAGCGACAGATGTATGTGGCCAGTTTGCGGTACCAGGATATCTTGAAGAAAGAGGCCGATGATGTCTGGCGGTTCTCGGAGCGCAAGCTGTACCTCGATTGGTCAGAGACGAGGCCGTCAAACCCATAGTCATTCCATTAGATTGTCTTGTAGAGCCATGTCGTTATCGTTTCGTGGCCTGCATTATGAATATATATTGTTCATATTCCACACTTTTGTAAGTTGTGCTGTTAAATTTTTGAGCCAATCTGGCGTGTTCAGCTTCAATTTGGTTTCAACTTTATCGTACGATTCTTCATTTCGTATTTACCCCCTTTGGATAAGAAAGGTGCATCTTTGCAGGTTTCCCGCGAATATTCCCTAATCTGTAGCAGCAGAAGTAGTCAGATTTTAGAGCACAAGATACCACTTTGGAAGGGCGAATTGGGGGGGATACCGATACATGACTCGGCACATCGCCCGAAGGAAGGATTCCGCATGCTTATGGTCTATGGCCAAGACGGCAGCTAGTTTGGTTCTCGCAGAGGATATCAAAAAGATTTTCGCATTTGATTCGTTAAAATCTTCAGGTAACGCACCATGTCTCCAGACATACTAGCTGCTGCCACCGTCCCAAGAGCAAAGGCGTCACCTATCTCAAACGCATCATCGTCTTGTGGGAGGGAACGAGAGTATTCTGAGCCAATTATTTCACCTTAATCTTATGCAGTCCGTGATGATAATCGCATTCTTCTGGGATGTACGCCGTGGCAAAAGAATTTCGACGCTGGACGACTGTGTTTCTAGCAACCTGCCCTGTGTCGTTTCAAACTTCATCGAAATCACAAGCCTAGTGGCCTGCTAAGACAATTTGAATTTGACTCATCATTTTTTCCAAAAACACATAAAGTCTTTTTCATACAGAATCTCCGGTTGTAAATTGATGAAATACTTTGAATTGGCGAGGACTTCTTTCCAACGTCGCCATAGAGAATGGTTACCGCTTCTGGGCCATTCTTTCGTAATGATCAGGTCGTAGTGAGTCGATGTATGGCTAATCGGATAATATGCCACAAGATGATTTCTTTAGTCGGATTGAATCCAGTCAGTCATGGATATCTCAAGGTGTGTGAGTTGGCGTAAAGTTACCTGCCAACACTATTATTCGCAATACTTATCCATTGCTCTGTATCAGGCATATATTGGAGAACTTGCCAAAACAAGTATTCAAGTTTTCACGTTGAACTATAATCACACTTGAGAGAGAAGTTAGCGAGCATCCCTAGCCCTAAGAACATAACCACTTACCCAAAATAATGCGTATGTTCAAAAAAGAAATAAAGAAAACAGACAAAATGATAGTTAGAATAAGAAGCGAGCATATCCTTGAATGGTTATTGAGATAAGCAGTTCACACATCACGAAGTTACAGTTATTGCAAATGACACATTAGAATGATTTAACATAAGAAAATCCATTATTTAAATGCGTGTAGCGCCGAAATATGCGTTATATCCAAGTCCACCCAAACGCCCGAGGTATATATACAATCGAAACATGGACAATTCTAATTTTTCTGTCCCGTTCTATGCCATGGCCGCAACCAATGCTTTAAAGTCGTCCGATTTGTCCGTCAAGAGCCCACTTGCAAAGAGCAGGCCAGCCCAGCATCAGGCCAAAGGTAGGAACATAGCTGCAAAAAGAGTGTCAGTAAAACGAAATTATGAACCATATTGGTTTATCAAGAGCAGCTTACGTTACGATCTTGCCCGCGACCCAGGTAACCTCCTTCATATAGTCGGGAGCTGCAGGCTTGGCGGTGACAGGAATCCGCTCATAAGGGTGGTGCTCAAAAGCGCGTCCCATTCTTCGGATTTGCATAACAAATGAAACAGGTCTGCGAGCAACAGTTTTGGCTGCAGTACGAGTGATGACGGTGGCAGACATCTTGAGAAGTGATTGAAAGATGCGTTTATCAAACGGTGTTGTAGGTTGAGGAGATTGGAAATGCAATCAAGTTCGATTTCGAGTCTTGATGATATTACACTCGGTAAATGTGAGTAAGTAGAGATATTCGAAGACTATAAAACAAGATTGAGTTGAGAGGTAATCCCCTGTGGATTGTGTTGTTGCTTTGTGATGTTGTGATGATAAACCAAAAGCGAACCAGAAGGCTTCCAATCCGGACATTATGTATCCCAGCAATCCATCGCAAGTCGCCGCACGCCATGCGGCGCAGTCACCACCCGAAATTTGATTTTTCATTTTTTCCCACCTTCATGATGTCAATTTGGCGCTGCTTCCGCTCTCGTGAGCCTCCCTTGCCGCAGATTATGGGCAGATGCCACACATCTAGCTGGGTGAATATCACACCACTGTCAGGACATACTACTGCCGTTGTTACGAAGCAGCCGCCCAGCCATTGGCTAGCCTTAACTTTGAGCTAACGATTTTCAGGCCTGCCACATTGACCTGGGAGCTGTGGGAATAAGCGACTAAAAGCAACACCCCGGTCGGTGGTGCCACTCCGGAGTATACCGGAGAGGGGGGAGCCATTGGCTGGCCGCTGGCGTTTACGATTTTTACCTTTTGCTTTGAAAGTAGCGATCCAGAAGGTCGGGCGGCCGTGGAGACACAGTCGCCTAATGACTGACGCCCGGGACCTCCCAATGTGGAATATTCTGGCCTCATAATAGCCTCCTGTGCGCCTCTGCAGTTTCCTATTATGAGCAGATTTGCCTAAGATTCGCGCCCGAAGAAGGCGAGGTTGCAGGATTATCATACCACTCCTCAGTGGCCGCACCGCCGAGAGGCCGGGTTTGCCCTTGTGCTTCTATACGTAATCTGGGGAAGTCGCCTGAGGCGTCAAATCAGAACAAGGCAATTAATATTCAGATCACAGAGATCCTGAGAAGTGGTGTGTTGTCCTTGCATAGGAAGAGCCATCTATAGCGATTCTGCTAGCAAGCCATGGACTCAGATGCATCTGGTGTAGATGGCGCTATTCAAGAGATCTGGGCAAACCACAAAACATCAACAGGTCTTTCAACACCGCTGCGGCCACAATGCGCATTCCGATTCAAAACATGCTCGGCTCCATACAGAGGAGTCATCAGGCGATTCCATCTCGTCTCTACTACAGCTAAGGCATTGTGAAGGGATTAAAGCGGATTGCTTAGCGGTTTTGCGGCGACTGCGGCATCAGCTGAGCGTCCAGTTCTAGCCGCAGCGGCGCACTCCCCGATATCCACTCAGGGGATCAGGTTCGGCCAGCGCCGATCTGTTGTCTTCGCCTCGATTTCCATTTGTGCACGTGGCTCAAAACCCAGCTAGGTATGTTCTATTCCAAGATAGCAGTTGCACGACTTCGTAAGCTTGGAAAATATGACCTCACCAATGCCTTGCAAGAGAAGATTCAGGTTGGCAACTCACGGAGGACTTTCGGTATGAGTTGCGGGAGAATGGAGAGAGACAGCGGGTTATAACTACAGATACGGTATTGAAATACTAGTTGCAGGGCAAACAAAGACAAAAGAAGGCTAAACGACACACTCATCTTTTCACTTGGAGATGGTCTCTATTTGTAATCTTTTTGTTTCTTCTCTCTGCATATTCTACTATTTGTGGTAGACTTCTGGTAATGGCGCCGTTCAACGGTGTACTCAGGCCATATGTTCTGAGGCTAACTCTAGGGAGGATGTATGCAGCTTTCCCTACATGTAGTTTTTGTTATACAATACAGACTGTGGGAATGCTGCTTCCGCATTGAGCAAAGACTATGATTACGCCTACCGGCAAATTAGGGCAAAAAGAGGAAAAGAAAAAGGAAAGTAAGGAAGAACAATAAAAACAATTGTCTAGCTCACTCAAAGAAGCAAACACTGCAGATGGGCTAAGACAAGCTCCTTGCCCATCATAGGTAGTACAGGGTATACGATCCTCCGCACAACCAGAGCAAACATATTATAATACGAAATTTACAAGAGCTGAAACACTATTTGCTATTTCTCGTTTTTTTTTTAAAAAAAAAAATACCATTTTTTGGCACAGAGAAGAGCTACGAGCAGGGAGAGATTGATTCCTAGACCCTACCTATGATTCGAAAAGCTAAAGCTGATATTTTTGGCAATACAATCCTGCAAGAAGACGTGCCTTTGATGACAGGTGGTTTATGCATGGGCAGGTAAATTCACGCAATACAAGGCGGTGCTAGTTATATGTACTTGGTTTTCGAGAATTAGCGGCTAGATTACCGATAGGTGCTGTGGCAGGCGTCTTTATCGGGTGCCGTCTTTCTAGAATAGATATCCAGAGTGCCAATCGAACAATGTCAAATCTGCATGTGGAATTGGCATCAAAAACGGGCCCTTTAGACGTGCCTACACGCACCAACTAGGCAAATTGCGTCGATAGCCGCCGTCTTCCAGGCTTAGTCCTTGGCTGGCTCGCCAAAGATGCCAGGATTGACGGCAGCTCCCTGCGCTAAAAGGCTGCTAATAGAGCCCACAGCCTGCTTGCGCGCAGTGACAAGCAACCCATGCACACCACGTCGAGACTCGCATACGGACAGTCTCTGCACGAGGGGAGATAACCGTCTTTTGCCGGCGTTAGTAATTCGCATGCGCGGATACCTCTGGCGATAGACGTCCCAGCAGACCAGCCATTGGCGCCAGCATCATCCATCATCTCCAGTCGCGCGGTCGCAATGGCCAGCCCAAAGTCCCCCAAAAGCCCACGAGGCGGCTCCTCCACCAAGTCACCACCAGCGCCGATATCTCCTGACACTGCGCAGCCGTCAGCAGCAGGCGAAGTGCCTACGACGGAAATCCCATTTGTATGTTGGGCAAACTAATGTCGCAGCTGCGAGATTATGATTATGATTATTATGATTTTTATTATTATTTTCCAAACTTGTACTGACTGGAACGCAATAGCACGATAATGAGAATGAAGAGGGCGACTCTGGCGTAGAAGATGACGAGGATGACAAGTAGGTCGACCTGAGCACTGCGCGATATATGTTCCATGCGCCGAGCCATATTAACTGGGCAACCACTTCTGCAGCGCCTCATCCACCGCTTCTCTCACCGACAGCATCTACGATTATCGCAACATCCACGGGCGCACATACCAAAACTCCAAGACGACCCAATACTGGGGCCCCAACGACGAGCGACAGAACGATGGGCTCGACATCTCGCACCACTTCATTACCATGGTCCTCGGCGACAAACTATTCGAGGCGCCCCTGTCCAAACCCCCCACCAGAGTTCTTGACGTTGGCACCGGAACAGGCATCTGGGCCATCGACATGTCCGACGCATACCCGTCCGCCGAGATCATAGGAACCGACATCAGCCCCATCCAGCCCATGTGGGTGCCGCCAAACTGCATGTTCCACATTGAAGACGCGCAGCTCGAATGGACCTATGAGCCCGAATCATTCGACTACATCCACATCCGAGGGCTCTACGGCAGCATCAGCGACTGGGGCGCGCTCTACAAGCAGGCATACCGAGCGACCATGCCGGGAGGCTGGATCGAGAACTTTGAGTACAACATCATGGTGCTGAGCGACGTGCCCGAAATCCGAGACGACCCAAAGCACATCTTCAAGCGCTGGGCAAATATATTCTTCGAGGCCTCTGAGCGCATGGGGAAGACGCTGCGGATCGGCGAGGGCGGGCAAATGCGCCGGTTGATGCAGGAGGCGGGCTACGTGGACGTTGTCGAGAAGAACTACTCCGTCCCAATCGGTGCCTGGAGCAGCGATCCCACCATGAAGCAGATTGGGGCGTACAGCCTTGCTTTTCTGGACGAGAGCCTGGAAGGGTTTGCGCTCTTCATGCTCAAGGAGATCATGGGCTGGGACTACATCGAGGTCCAGGTCTTTGTCTCTGAAATGCGCAAAAGTTTGCACAACCACAAGATTAGACCGTACTATATATGGTATGTGCCTCGTGTTTTTGAATTCCCCCTCTTTTTCTCCTGTAGATAACGTAATTGCTAATGCACGAGTACAGCACAAATGTCTTTTCACGAAAGCCGTTGACCGGAGAGTAAATTTTGTTTACTTTCGTTGTATTTTTCCTTGCTTTTTCTATCTCACTACCCCACGGCCATTTTTTTTTTTTTTCTTTCCTTTTTCTCTAGCGTTCATGTTGAAAATTGTGACAAAAGCAATCCCTGCACAAGATTATAAGAGCTGTCACTCAAGGCTATGCCCATCAAGGAAGCGTTCGTGCCACCACTCCACGTGGCCAACAGGGTGGGTGGCTGCATGACTTGACGGCAATGTCACACTGCGTGTTATTTTCCCCTGTATTTGCCATCATGGAATCTGTTTTATGAGATGCAATATTGGACCGAATGATTGATTGCTTATAATACAGCTGGTCGCTCGAGCCTTTTGTACTTTACTTGAATTTATGCTCCCTCTTGTTTGACCCTTGCAAGGCTGTAGATGATACTGGGTTTATATACCACACCGCGTCTCATTGGCCCAACTGTTGGAAACCCTGCATCTTATGATGGGATATATTATTATAGACAAATCTTCCCTCGTTTGCGTTGCTATAGCCTAGCCTGCTATCCGCCAAGCACCACAACTAAGCTATCCTATTTAACATGTAATAGCGAGTAGCTAATACCCTTTGCTCGCATAGTATGACCTATAATCAAGGGCTAATAGACGATATTTAGTAATAGATAGGTGCAGGTCCGTATTAGCTAGCACAATTGAAGTCTAGTAGTTTTATGTGGAATTAATCACAAATATGCTCAATGTGCCCCTGATGAATGGCGAAGCGTTGGGGGGAGAGAGGGCATGCATAATCAAGCATCCATGTCATGAAACTCTTCAGCCCATGCACGCTAAAACAATAGTCTATATAATACAAATAAGCTCATAGTTCCATAACAAGCAGCAACTTGGATAATCCGAGACCCTGTTCCCTCCACTACCTAGTAGTGCTCTAGCCGCATCTTCAACAAGCCCGGGTCGCGGGACTATCGTAACATCCTGGACTCTGTAGCGCACTCAAGAAAGTGTCATAAAGTAAGCACTCTGCCGACGCTACTGCACCTTTATTGTGCCTTCTCGATCGTAAAGCGAGACAGTATTCTGTAATAATATTTCCACCAGTAGGCACTGCTAGTAGTGGCAGTGGTAGTAACACATGCGAAGAGAGGAAAAGACGTAATGGCGCCCATCCTTTGGTCGTACAGAGCACTATGAGTACGTCTTTACTCTGCTATCTTTTCTCTTTGTCCCCTCTTTCCATAATTCTTTTTTTTTCTTTTTCATTTTTGGAAGAGCATACCAACTTCATCGTTTCTTTCTTTGATTCGCCTTTTTTCTACGCTACATCTAAAGACCTGGTTCGGGCCGCCCCGCGAAGAGTCTAGCGGCGGGCGCTTCTCCATCTTTGCTCCGCTCCACAGTGTAAATGCAGTTGGTCGCCGCTTGCAGGAGGGACAAAGCGGTGTTTTAGAAATTTACAGAAATTTCAAATCTTCTCGGAATCATCGGCTACTTATATGACAGGCTCTATTCCATATGTAGATGCGTGATAATGGACGAATTTGCCAGAATTCCAGGATACTTCGTCCTGCTCATTGGCGGTCTCCTCGTATACTTCATCACAGGGAGAATCACTGCGTGGGCGAGACTAAGGTCCTTCCGCGGCCCTTTTTTGACCAATTTCACCAATTGGCCTCATAGAAAAGCTTTGCTTCAACAGAGATGTCATGAGTTTTATGGGGAAGTCTGCGAGAAATATGGTTCGATATTGAACTCCTCCCCCTTTTTTTAGTAGATAGCAAACGCGATCCGTTCTGACGAGTTGAATCTTTGCTAATTGCGATTATTGTATGGTGAATGATAGGCCCAATAGCAAGAGTTGCGCCAAATATCCTGGTCACCTCGTCTCCGGACGTGTGGACTCATGTGAACAACTCGCCTGGTTATAAACGTTCTGAGTGGTACTACTCAGCTTGCCGCATCGAGTATCGACGTGACAACGTCTTTTCGCAGTCCGATAATGCAAAGCATGATAATCGAAGGAAGCAATTGGCTCCAGGTGTATGTTGTCGTCGTGTCACTAATGAAGGATTTTACTGATCATCACGCAAACTCCAAGTATTCCGGGAGAGAAAACCTCGATATCGAAGATTCCATTGACCAGCGTCTTCGGGATTTTCTCGACTTGGTGAAATCCAAGTACGTTTCCACAACAGCCAAAGTTGTGCCCATGGACCTAGCACGAAAAGTCCAGTTCTTCACACTGGATGTCATAAGCGCCGTGGGAACGGGTAAGACATTCGGCATGCTGCAGAGGGATGCCGATGTAGAGAATTTTCTCCAGTCTAGCGAGGAAGGACTTCGTATAGCCAACTTTGCAGCTGCGCTAGGCTTCAGCTGGATCGCGCAGGCCCCTTTCATCGGCCGTTTTATAGCTCCGTCGGCAGAGGACAGCAAGGGGTTCGGCAGGCTGATGGCAGCTTGCTTCCGCCATGTTGACGAGCGACTCCAGAATCCAACAGACAAGAAATCCGATATGTTGGCATCATTTATCCGTCACGGCGTATTAGGCGATGACCTACGCTCCGAGGCTCTCGAGCAGATCGTTGCTGGTTCTGATACCACTGCAAGCGGTATTCGATGCACTTTGCTCCACGTCATAACAAATCCTCGAGTATATGCCAAGCTTCAGAAAGAAATTGATGAAGCAGTTCGAGACGGTAAAGCACCCCAAGACGGCTTCATCACTCACAGTGTGGCAAAACAACTCCCATACCTCCAAGCCACCATCCGTGAAGCTATGCGAGTCTGGCCCCCTGTTGCAAACATCTTTTCTCGAGATATTCCACCCGGAGGCGACACTGTAAATATCGATGGTAAGGACATATTCTTACCTGGAGGTGCTTACATCGGATATTCTGCGCTCGCAATGCACCGTAGCACCGAGATTTATGGCGAAGACGCCAAGGCCTTCCGTCCAGAACGTTGGTTCGAAGATGACAAGGACAAACTTGCCACCATGCTCCGCACAAACGAATTGATCTTTGGTTATGGAAAGTGGCAGTGTTTGGGCAAAGATGTCGCTCGGATAGAGCTTGAGAAGGTTGTTTTTGAGGTACGTTTTGGTTGCGAAAAGGGGGGCTGAAAGGCAGGATTTAGCTTCTCACCGAATTGCTGACAATGATATAATAGCTTCTTCGTAATTTCGATATTGCCATACTTAACCCAACGAAGCCGTGGACGGCTTTGAACAACCTTGGATTGTTTACCATCTCTGACATGTGGGTTCAAGTAATGGAACGAGGGAGTGGTTGAATCATGGATTATACTAGGGATACGCTTGAATTTGGTGGATCTTTGGAAAGTAAGATATTCCCAATCTATTGGTTTATAAATGAAAGATGGATGGAAAGATTGATAAATTGTACCTCTTTATCTTTGATCTTTTCTTCTTCTTTTTTTTTTGTAATAATTCAGCTCCATCTTGCTTCGTGTTATGAGCGAGTCAGTGCAAGAGACTCAGCTCCAAGCATACGGTCACGTGACTCGGATCTTTACCAAACCTTGCCTCGGAAGCTTCCATTTCCAAAACCAGCTCAGTCCCAGAGAACACGATAATGCCGCTGGTAGATCCCATCACCATGTCGTCAGCACTGGTAAAGGGCTCGTCGGCCCAGGCCACCGACACCAAGCCGAAAGCTGCCATCGCCGCCGTCCCGACGTTCAACAATGCCTTGTCCAAGGGTGTCTCTTTCGGCCGAGTAGCTGTCCTGCTGGGGCTGCTGGCAGCTCAATTCAACGAGCTGGTGGCACAGCCAGCCCTGACGTTGCAAACCGCCGTGCCTGTCGTGGCGGTCGTCCAGGTGGCATATGTGGTGCTGTGCCTGCCGGCTGCGGGCTCTCAGCAGGCAAAGGCAGCCAAGAAGCCCCGTCCTGGCGAGAAGAAGAAGCCGGAGGCGGCCGGAACGAGCTCCCTGGTGGTGCGCAGCTCCCACTCAATTGATGAATACACATTGTTGCATTGGGTAGAAACGAGATTATGCTAACATTGGTGCGCCTTTCTTCTGTAGACTGCTCTCCTCGCCCTCGTCCTCACTACGATTTCAACCCCCGTTATCCACGCTCTCTTCATCCTCTTCGGCGCGCCGCTCCTAGACCACGTTCTGGAAACCTTCCTCTGCGCTGCTCACTTCGCCCTCCTCGGTGTCTTCCCTATCATCTACGCACGCGGAGTGGATAATCAGTCCCTGGTTGCGGTGGCTGGCGTGTCTGCGCCTCTGGACGAGACGCTGGGCGGGCTGCTTGGCGCAGTGCTTGGCGCATGGTTGGGCGCGGTGCCTATCCCCCTGGACTGGGATCGGGACTGGCAGACGTGGCCGGTGACTATCGTCTGCGGCCTGTACGCAGGCTCGTGTGTTGGCAGCTGGTTGTCAGGCACTGTGTTCTACGGCAAGCGAATCGGCGGAACTGCGCCCCCCGCCAAGGAGGAGTAGGGAGAGGCACAGTAGGATGGGGCATCTATCATTGGGCGTCATGTAACGGAGCGTATTGTTGGGGAAAACAGTTGCCATCGTGTGCTGAGGCAAGCATTACGAGGAACTAATCTCTGAGTTTGAGGTTAATTGGCTTATACACGGATAGAGAAAATGATATAGTAATACTATAGTAGGTAGCTAGCGGCAGTGGTTTACTTTCTAATAGGCACGAAGCAGCTAGCTGGACCGTTAAAATCTTTTTTAACAATACATGGCTGTAATTACAGCACACCCTCCTTTTTGCGTCGCAGCTGTTCGTTGGTTGGATAGATTTGACACTGGGAATAGGGCGCCCGCAGAACAAGTTTAGTCCAGCTATCTTGGAGCGACGCCAGCCACTTCCGCCCTCTCAGCTTGGCGACGACACATGTATGGCCCGGTGATTACAACCATCTCACTCGCCCGGCCGCCACCGCAGGTTTCTGCGAACCCAATTAGTAAAATAAAAAACAAACAACAACAAAAAAAAACTTTGGTGGTTCTCGGCTCGCACGGAGCTCGGAGTAATTTCGCTGGGCAGCGATACAGCATCCATCCATCCAATCCAATCCCATTCCATCATTCGCTATCAGCCCAGCCAAGCAGCGCGCGCACATGTCACGTCGAGCCACTTTTTGTCCAGCCGAGACGGGTTTTTTTGCTGGTGCTAAGGCAGAAGCAGCAGGATAATTCTAAATTCTAAGGATAAGTCAAGACTACCCGCCATGAACGCTTCTGGAAAAGGGGCCAACCTAGTGCTGGAAAAAGCGATTTCATCGCAGAGCAGCTGAGGTCACTCCTACGTACGTGAGGCAAGCCGCATCGGCTCACACGGAAATGCGCATCTCCTCTAATCCCTGGCAGGTGTGGCTGGTGCTTTGCTGCTCCCAGATCCACCCCCCAAAAGCGCCAATCAGCCTGTGTTTTTGTCGTCATGTTGTGGCGTGAGCAGCTAACAACTCTCTCTTACGCTAACGTTTGCTGTTTCGCCCATCACTGTCACAGCTTGGCAACAGCTCACAATCAATCAATCTGTGGCGGTGCAAGCACACTTGATCAACCACCCCCCAGCCCAGCCTGCATGGCCAAGCAAGCACTAGACAGGGGTCTGCAGCACGCTTAAAAACGTCATGACGTATCAATTGGTTCTACTGCGCTGCCAGAAGGCAAAAAAAAAAGCTAAGGTCCATGATGGCATAGTTTGCAGCGGTTGTTCCAGTGCAGCATTCAAGCTTGTTCCGGGGACACTTGTGGCGCGTAGCCCTGACATGAGCAGACCACCAGTCAACCTTGGAATGCCATCAGATCAGCTACATGACATGTATGTAGCTAAACTGCTCGCGGCTTTGCCTCGCCCTTTCATGCTTCTGTGGCTTGACCTGCCGATGACGCAACATGGAAACCAGTTTCTCTGCTCTGCTCGGCCGGAATGCATGGAAAGCGCCAAGATGACTGGCAATAAATAGTACAGGCTTCGCAGAAACCTTCTTGCCATCTCCATCTCCTCTCCCAGTTGTGCCTCACTGCGTTCAGGTTATTCCCGACTAGAAATCTTTCTTCTCTCCTCCATCACCATCACCAAAACACTTATACACAGGAGCCATCCAAGGCCTCTCTGCTACGACTCGACAACACTCGTATATATCAACAGCTTCTTGAGCTTTCAGCACTATTCACCATGCCGTTCACATCCAGGTAAGCTCCGAGCATGACGTCCCGTAGCTTCCGTCACGCTCTTCCCCGCAGCTCGCGGCTCTCAAGCGACAGCACCTCGTCACAGCGATGCCAGCCTGGGAGCTTGACGATACGGAGAAGAAGCAGTCATCGGTCGACAGCTTTGGAATGCTAACAATGTCGTCTCACTCAGCGATATCGCCAAGATCATTGTTGCCATCATTCTGCCGCCCGTAGGTGTCATCCTCGAGCGAGGCTGCGGTGCCGACTTCTTGATCAACGTCCTGCTCACAATCCTGGGTATGTATAAGCTATTCACTGCCCACATTTCACTAATAGCAAAACATCACGTCACGACTGCTTTCACATGCTGGATGATTGGCTAATACGATACCACATTAGGTTACATCCCCGGAATCATCCACGCTCTGTACATCATATTGAAGTACTAAGCACCTCCACCACTCTCGTATCCGCCAGCTCAGATCCATGACGCCGCACTGCATTATGTGTGCTGTGCATCAGCTGTCTGTCACCTTCTAATCGATTTGACTGGCAAGTCTTTTTAGAATGGATATGCGCTTGCCAAGGAGTGCTGTGGTAATGGTCGCCAGCTCACCACCTGGCTGGTTATAGATGTGGTAATGACAGTCAACGGTCTTTTCTGGATTTTGTTTTCTCTCTTCCTTTTTGTCGGCTGGATGCAGGGGCGGCCTGTTTGCCGGGGGCATCAGGTTTGGCTATTATAATAATATATTGATACCCGACGACCTCTTAATCACAAATCCTCTTTTTTTTTTAAGCTTGTATATTTCCTGTGCTTTGTTCAATGCCAGTGACATTTCGCGATGAAAGTGAACTGGCGCCTGCTAATAGTGAAGTGAGTAGAAGAAGCCCATGAGTCTGCATACGAACTCCCTCCCCACCTCAGTCGGACACGACGAACTTTGCGAATGTCTGCTGCAAGGGTGAAAAAAAAAAAAAAAAAAAGCAAGGGATATCCACAGAGCCAATCGAGGTTTGATGCAGTGCAAAAAGAAAGATGGTGATTCCGCCCGGGCTCGAACCGGGGACCTTTTCGGTGGTGTCAACTAACTGTTAACGAAATGTCATAACCAACTAGACCACGGAACCGATCTGATTGTTGACTTTGCCGCCACTGTTACTATCTATACAGGCATGATAGCTTTCCAAATCAAAAGATGAGAGTTGTTGGACAAAAAAAGGCAAAGCAGATGAGCGTGCACAGAGTGACTCCATTGATAAGACTAATACAAACATTCAATGCTTTACATACAAAAGCCGACTCTTTGTGATAGGTCAAAGTTCAGAAACAAGCCACTATAGACAAAAATACCAAGAAACTCATATATATAAAAACAAAACAAAAAAAAAAAAAAAAAAAAACACGAGCGCCAATTCTAAGAATTTCCCATTCCCTGTGCCTTCTACCAAATTGAACACTAAGCATGGAGTTTTACCACCATCTGAGTAAGAAGAGAAAAAGAAACGAATGCCTTTTTGCTTGCTAGGCCTTAGAGGAGCTCTCCGTCGCCCTCCTCTTCAGCTGCTTCGTCGTCGTCCCAGTCGAGCTGATCGTTCAGCTCTTCAGCTCTACGCTGGACTTCGGCGAGACCTGACAGTTCGGCGACGTAGTTCTTTTCCTCGAGGGCTTTCTTGACAAAGCTCCATCCATCAGTGCGGAAGGCGTCCAGAATCTTGGGACTACAGGCGCTACAGCTATCATAAGATTGGCCGCGGATTACGATATTCTGGAAAGTAGATACGTAGCCTCTGACTTGGTGCGGCACGAGTCCGAGTGGATGATCAGGGGGGTCCCTCTCAAGGGTAACTCCCTGTCTTGGTTGGGGAGCAGGGGCACTATGCTTCAAGGGATGCTGCAAGAGGCTTGTAAGAAGTTCAACCAAAAGTGCGGAAGCAATGGCAGCAACTCCGGGTCGAGTCACAGTGCACTGCTGGTCAAGAGTCTGGTCCTTCATAGACTACACGTTGAAAAGGTGGTCAGATTTTGAAGAATGAAGCGAGAAACTTTCAAGGGAAACTTACATCAGCTGGGGCGACGACGTCGTTGCAAAAGTAGCATCCGAGAGTATCTTGACCTTCGTGCGTGGCTTCGGCGCCGTGTCGCATAACGACATAGGAGTCAAATCCAAGAGCGGCATTCATGACAATCTTTCCGGCTGCCTTTCCCATTACTGTCGGTAGCCAGCGAGACTCACGAGTGTCCATCAGCAAGAAGATGACATCGTGAGCATTGATTAGGGCTTCAAGCTTGTCGTAGTCGGCTTTCGTCTTCGCTTCATCAGTGAGGGCGTGACCGAGCATCGGCACGGAGAAGGAGTGACCTTCGGCGTCCACGCCTGGATATATCCTCTTCAGCATTTCGGCGGCTTGGTTCGCCTTTGGCCTACCACCGTTGAGACAGTCTTCGTACTCAAACAGCGGCTGGCGAACTGGGTTTGAAAAGGATACGCTGCCGTAGTCAACAAATGTGATTTTCCTTACACCCCATCCCATCAAATTTCTTGAAACATAACCTCCCAAGGTCCCGGCGCCTAGGAGTAGACACTTTGTTTCCTTGATTATGTCGAGGTTTAGGTCTGGGGCAAGTCGCCACTTCATGAGCTTGAGATTCAAATCGACTGATGAATCTGCCAGTCGAGTTGGATCCATGTATTCGCCCAAGTTGGCCAGCTGTGCTTGAAGTTTACCGTTCTTGGCTCGTTCCCAGCCAGTAACTTTAGGCATTTCCTTGATTTCCATGTTTTCAACAGGGTCCATCTTGATGGGTATAATGATGCTTTTGGCCTCGTGTCGTCGAGACCACTCATCTCTGAAGCACAGAATATTGATCTTGGACAGGCGGAACCGGTGGCGAATCAGGATCAAGAGATTGCGAAGAGGCCATGACGGACCTTCAGAGAATGTTGATGGGTCCAAAAACGTAACAAATCGATCTTTCTCTGCAACACCATCGAAAAAGCCATCTTCAAAATTCCGCAGCGAGGCCACCTCCCATCTGTACGGAATCTTATGCGCAGGGTCGTGTTCGCTCAAATCTGCTGGCTTCTCCCCCCATATTTTCTTGGCCAAGAAGAATCCATGCTCGCGCTTATCGACTATGTATCGCCACGTGCCTACTCGATCCAAGAGAGCCGTTGTCTCATCCGAAGTGAGGCGCTGAACAGGCCCGGCTCGCTTCCACTGCGCATCCGAGTGCAGCGCGGGAAACGCACACCAGTATATGAACCTGTATTTTTTGAGGTCGGCGTATGATAATATGATAAAGGACGAGAGTAGCGAGGGGACAGAGTATATGCTTCCGTCGTTAATGGCGTCCCATATCTGCCTGCCCGCCAGCTTCAACATGGCCGCCTTGTCGGTGTTTCTGAAATCCTCGATGGTATTAACATTCTTAATGATGCCTTCAGCCCTTGCTTTCCCGAGAGGGGGACTACGTATCACACCTGTCAGCTTAGGAAACCTATCAAGTCTTACAGTCACGGCGAAAGACGCACTCGGTGTTTGTCAAAGCACTGCCGAGAATCTGCAGCTTGGAGCTTGCATCTGGATCCACATCGCGCGGCTCGTACACGCCCATCAGCCTACGCGCAGAGTCGTCGAGCTTGTCATATTCTAGCTTGGACGAGAAGAGCGCCGAGTAGAACGGCAGCTCGATCTCGGAGGTAAACGGCACGAACTGAAGCGGCTCGTCCATGGCAACGGCTCCTTTGCAAGTTACGCCTTGTATTTCGTTCGAGCTCAGCAAACTAGTCGCTATGGATGGTGCAGTCGTCAGCAGTATGTATTTGTGGGCTTGTAGCTGGCGACAGATTTGGCGATTTTATGTCGTGTAGGTGCAAGGTTCGAGCTGCAGGCAGGCGACGAGGCAGAGTCATCTGATATTGGATTAGAGAGCTTTCATCACGAGCTACAAGCCAAGTGATGTCGTAGCGCTGAGCTGCCCCGCGGAGAGCGGGGAATCTGCACAGTAAGTGCTGTGCTGTGCTAACTAATGGCCATCTGCGCCTGCCTATGCAAGGGGGCTTGTTTAGGCGATCCAGGCGACCGATTAGCGCCATTTCAGCATCAAAGGCTGTTTGCGGACTGTGGCTCGTTTCGAACGCGGGTGCTGTTAATAGAGTTGGTAAAAGAACACGGCTAGCATTTTGGATATTACAAGCAAGGATTTTATTGTTGGAGCATAGTATCAAGAGCCGTGGTGTGCTGGGGACGTTCAGAACCTCTTGCGAGCAGTCCAATTGTGCCTTATAGTAACTATTAGCGTGCACTCGTACATCGAAAAACAAGTCCGATATGGTGTAGTGGCTAACATCGCTCGCTCTCAATCTTCGATTGAAGCTCCGAGCAGCCCTGGGTTCGATTCCCAGTATCGGAGAAGATTCTCTTTTTTGCTTTTACTTTCAGTGTTGAAAGGTGCAGAATCAAATCTTTTTTGACACAAGAGAGGGTTCTTTGTTTTTGTTTATCTGCTAAGCTTTCGCCCAAAGGTTTTCAAATTTTGTTTTGAAGTTTTTTCATCGCAAATAGTAGGAAGCAAATGAGAACCGAACCCCACTTGTGTAAAGAAGCTCTGGTCTCCATGGGTTGGTTTCAGCAATGAACGCTAGATCTACGAAGTATGTATGCAAAGCTTAGTTGGTGTAAATGATCCAGTGTGTTTCCCGTAAAGCTACGCAGACGAGAATAGCCGCACGAAGTAGATGAATCAGCTGTAAAGCTAAATGCTAGACTTTATATGTCTCTGAAAGGCTTCAAATTCTCGAATACGCCACGTTGATGGATAGCATTGCGCACGCCGCCAACTCAATGTACCCACCAAACTTACTACCCTTTTTAAGCATCAATCACATAAACCAAGCAGCTCAAAGCTTTGCTGCTTATTCATATAATCATACTCCTGTACATCTCGCAATTGTATGTGTATGTAGGAGCAAGGATGCAGTAATCGAGCTACCATCTTGCCCCGGACTTCTGCAGCCCAGCGGATCGCATGTAAATTCACTGGACAAGAGGCCTCGTCCACATCGTGCCCCACTTGCCAATGCCGCCCTGAAATTCTCTTGCGGAGGCGCTTCATCTCCAGCCCTCGGTCGAAAAGCTTAGGGCAATTGGACATTCGCGACTTCGCGGGATTGAGACCAGGATGTTTGTCGGAATCTGTGGCAGTACGTCATTGCCTGGGCACGGCGACAGAATCTCGTGGCTAACCCAGCTTTTCAGGCATCTGCTCGGGCAAGCAGACAGTGGCCCAGTATCTAGTTGAGCATCACGGATTCAAGCGCCTCTATCTGCAGGCCCCTGCATCAGTTTCAGAGGAGAACCCTCCGTCCCTCGAGGGCGGCACTGCGGCCTTGGCCTTGAACGGCGTCGTGTCCAAGAGCAATGAGACATCCTCTTCCCATGTCTTCACCACAGCCGAGGAGCTATTAGACTTTGTGACTCGGCGATGGCGCAGCCGCTTTGTGACGACCGACATCCCCACGGAGCAGGTGCTCGACGTCTTCATCCGGCGGCCATTCTTTCTGCTCATCTCAATCGACGCGCCGCTCACTCTGCGTTGGCGCCGGTTCCAGCAACGCTCCAAACAGCCGGAGCAGTCCGCCATTAGCCTCGAGGAGTTTGTCTCGCAAAACGACAGGCATCTATACGATGCGGCCACTGGTCTGCAGCCGCTCATTTCACGGGCCACCGTCAGGTTGCTCAACACCTCATCGTCGCTGGCCCATCTCTATGCCACCCTTGGAAAGCTCGATATTCCCAACCCTGATCGTATGCGACCAGGCTGGGACACGTACTTCATGGCGCTGGCATCTCTGGCAGCACATAGGTCCAACTGCATGAAACGCCGCGTCGGCTGCGTCCTCGTTGGGCGAGAACGGCGAGTTATCAGCACAGGATACAACGGTACGCCCCGGGGTCTGCGAAACTGCGCCGACGGCGGCTGCCCTCGATGCAACGAAGCAAACGGCTCTGGGGTCGGACTGTCAACCTGTCTGTGCATCCATGCGGAAGAGAATGCGCTTCTGGAGGCCGGCAGGGAGCGCATCCGGGAGGGCTCCGTGCTGTACTGTGATACGTGCCCGTGCTTGACATGCAGCATCAAGATTTGCCAGGTTGGCATCACTGAGGTGGTGTATGCCCATGGTTACAGCATGGATACTGAGACAGCAGAGGTGTTTAGACAAGCTGGCGTCAAGCTACGACAATTTATCCCGGTGAGTTGACGCAGATGATTCAGAGTAGCGACATGGCATACTGATTTTGATGCAGCCTCCGAACGGCTTGATACATTTAGAGAAGATGGAATTGTACTCATAAATGGCTAGCAGTTGACCCAGGTTTCTTGGACAGGCTTATGATTTTTGTAGAGGACAGCATACAGATATTAGATGCCTTGTGTATAGCAGCTCTGATGAGCGCTGTAGAGTACATAGCAATAATTCATTTACTCAGTACCTACGCTGCTAAACTAGCAAACTTCTGTAAAATACGAATACCAGGTACTACTAGTCAGAGTAATGCTTAATTACCTAGGTAGTAGCTAAATATGGCTATGGAAACTTTTGCTGCGGATGTGCCCTTGCATTCTATACTTCACCAATTTAGGCCATTGAGATAAAACTTGTGGCACCTGAACGCTGTGTTTAATTTGCGTATTATCCCGGGAGTCATTCCTGCTACTACGGCCCAGCTATAAAAAAAGCATCATTGCTAGGATTTACAGATACCATAGCAAAATACCGTTCAATTGAAAGAGATGCCCGGCAAACGAGGAAAAAGGCCAACATGAGTAGAGTAGCGATGATTCCAGGGTAAATACGCAGGAACAGCAGAACCCCACAACGTCAAAGACAGCTTGATCTACGATCACTGATGCATCGTCAGAATCAGGGGAACAGCTTGGCACACAAGACACATTACATGCATGCTGTATAATGTATATGTGAATCTCAGACTGCACCATGTGACATGAGATTGGGCTTTTTCTCGGCAGCAATGGCCAAAATATGACCTTCGCATCCAAGCTACAGTCATCCCGCCCTCGTTCTCCACGTAAGATGTCAGGCTGTGGAATACTCTGCAGCAGTGGTACTGTAAGGTGGCTTTGCTTGCCATCCCGTTGCGCTTTTAGAAAAGTATGCAGTGATGCCGGCGGTTAACAGCCCAGCTAGGTGCACAGTTTCCACATCAGAGAAGAGAGAGAACATGGGTGTTATGGGCCAGCTACAGACATGGATACCTAGTAGTACTGCTGGCACTTGCTCCCAAGGCTACCTCCTTGCTTTGTCCCCCGGGAGATGCGCGAGATGACGACGGGCTCCGGCAAGTCAAGCCGGCATGGCATACATTTGCTTACAAGGAGGCCCTGCGCAGGCTGACTATCTTGATACGATGAGTAGTACAAAAAGCAATAAATCAGAGATACTCAGACTGAAGCATTTGCAGCACCAGTGGAAGTCTGGCGATAGTACTCTATACGGAGTACGAAGTACCTGGCTCTAGCTATTGGAGACACCAGAATTCAAATGGTCTAACTGATATCATCAATTGCCTACTAAAGTACCTGCTGCAGAGTACCGGATTGTATCACATTCTCCCTCGAGCGTAAAGGATCATTGCACTTGGAACGTGCGTAGTCAGCAAGCCCCAGCCGCATGGCACCGGAAGAGTGACCCGAGGAAGCGAAATGACGCATGGAGGCTTAAGAAAAGCGACGGCTTCATTCGAAACGCAAACTCAATCGGATCCCATAGGAATTGGGACGGAACTGAATAAAGGACACCAACCACAGTGGAGGGGATGAAATGGGGGATTTGCACACGAGCAAGTGGCTGTTTTGGTGGCTTGAACGCGTTGTGTGTATAAATGGGTATCAAAACAGTGGCGATGTGCGTCATCGCCGTAAGTAAACAATGGCCATGTTTTGTTTTGATCGGTGGGCGAGTCGCCTTCACCGATCTACGCGAGCAATGACTACCCATCCTGCTGGAGAAGCCGGCGGGTAGAGACTGTGTTAAGGAGAGACAAGAGGCAGAAGAGGTGAATTTGTCACAGGTAGTCGCCGTTTGTCTCTGACGCTGCGGCTGGCTCAGCTGGCTACTCGCGGTATATTGGCCATTCATTCTTTGACAGCATGCTTCTGCTGTTGTTTACCACGTACGCTACTATGACATATGAAACATATGAACCCTGAATCTGGGGAGTGGCGAAGCTAAGAAAAAGACAAAAAAAAGACGATTCTGAGACATGCAGGGAGAAGCAGACGGCTGGGCCAATCTTTGCCACTTGTCCCCCTCCTCTATCTGGTCCCATGCGACCTTGATCGTCGATGCTACGGCCCGGTTTGGCGTAGCAAGAGGCGCCATGGTCCCTAAAGACCCTCTTCCCAAGGCGCCGTTCCTGGACCCGTAGCCCCTCCTGGAGGTGCAGCCGCTGCGGCGCTCTGGCGACGCTCCCTTGAAGCACGGCGCTTGTTTGATACTGAGGTTGAACTCCGCGCGCAACAGTTTGAAGCTCTCCCTTCACAAAAAGAGGCTTAGGAGAGGCCTGCTAAGCTCGGGCAAGGCCACGGCGAGGCCATAAGGAGTTGTACGAGTACCTCGGAGCCTGTCGAGGGACCTGTGGGCTGCTGCGTATCCGTGGGGGATGGGGAGCTTCGATAGCTCTAGCACCTAGTAGCAGTAGCTGTATTAGGCGGGCATGCAATGTCTTGCCGGTTGTAATGGACAGCTGAATAGGATATGATAGATGATAGAATTTATGGGAGGTGAAGAACTGCCGTCGGGAAATGCTACTACGATATGATGATTACAGCCGGAGGGTTTTTTTTTACTACTACCACCTATTATGTACGTACTGCTAGGATAGAAGATGATGTGTAGAGAGATATGAGGAATAGGAAAAAAAAAGGAATTGTATATGGTTTCTGAGCAAGGGTACTGCTCAACCGTTTTTTTTTTTGTGGGCGCACTCGTACCGGTACAAGCAAAGGCTCGCAACTACAAGGCGGCCAATTAGGGGGGCAAATTCTGCCGGGCGGCCACAGGGAACAGGCCAAATGGGCTCCACTATGTGTGGCCAAAAACGCGTTCCGGCGTGTTACACTAAGCCCCTTTTGGTAAGATGATAAACAATGCAGCAGTGCAGTCGCGCCTTTTTGCGCCTCAAGCTAGAAAGCGCAACCGCCAGCTAAGCCAGCTCTTGACCAGCTTCCATGTACGGATACTTGCACCTGGACTCCCTTCCTCGCCGTGCACGCCGCATCGTCGTTTTGCATACCATCCACCGTCCAGACCTCGCTTGCGTGGCCTTGTCGGCGCTGGATTTTCACTCTCTCCCTGCGTGTGTTTGCCGTTTGTGTTTTACTCTGTCTCGCCATTGAGTCACCGCCGCCACCACGACGTTCATCGAGGGCAGCCGCCGCTGCGTTGCCAAAGTCAATTTCGAAACCCTACCCGAGTCAAGCTGCGGACCAGGAGAGCCCGAGCGACGATACAACAGCAGCGACCGACGGCGACGGGAAAACGAGGGCGGCTGTCGAAAGGCATCTGCGGCGACGAATTGACCCAGCAGAATATTGGCCTTGCGATCCTCGCCCGTCGACGCAAAGCGCAGCCCGCCATCCACATCTACACATAGTGGGCGGTGTTTGCGAGAGCGTGCGCCAGACACCCGCGTATCGTGAGCATCTCTTTTTCCTTCTCCTTTTCATTCCTTCCGCTCTCCTCTCCTGCGAGCAAGCGAACGCCATGCCGTAACTGCCTCAGCTGGCCTCAAGTCTACCTCATACTTGTCCCGAGTTCTTGCCATTGGACCTGCATTTGACTCTCGGCCCCGCCTGCTTTGCCGCCGATCTATACGACCCGCTTGGGCATCATCCTCACGGCTTGTCTCTCGGGTTCCTCTTCTTTTCCCTTTTTAATCCGGCATAGCCCTCCCGGGCAATCTCTATTCATACATCATCATACAACCGACCTCCTCTGTTGCGCCTCTCACAACGCCACAGCATCTCAACTTGATTTCCTTTCTCCAGCATCTCAGACTACGACTCCTCAACAGACCGATTTACAAACTCTTGTGTTTTGCATTTTACTTGTTGTTGCCATGCACGGATTTTTCTGGCGATATTAGGGATACCGACGACGAGAGAGCCATCTACAGTGCACTTCATATATAACCCCTTCCTAAGAGACTAGCTAATCCGAAGCTGCGCTCTACATCAGACGTCTTCAATCTTCAATACTATCGACATTCCTTAGGCCCGTGTCCTTTGGGCACGACATCTTCACAGTTTTTAGAAGACACCAATCATTGTTTTGCACTACCTTCATTCCAGTGCCATGTCCTTTTCCAGCGGCGGTGGCGGCACTCTGGCACTGCCCTCGCCAACTCACGCACATCATATGGATCCCACGACTGTGCGTAACCTTCGACGCTCCATGTCACGATCACCCACGAAGCTTATTGCGCGTGCAAGCTCTCACGGCCCAACAAGTTCACGACAAAGTTCGCCAAAATCACCGAATCGACGACTTGCCACCACGCCGCTACAGCAACGGCCGGTGCTACATCCTCCTTCGTCAGCGCCGCCGTCTGTAAACTCATCGTTTCTCACTAGCGCCCCGCAATTATCACCTGCGCAAACGCAAACTCCCCTTCGGCCAGGCGTTAAGCTCTCGCTCCGGTCCGCCAAAGCTACTAAAACGGCGCCTCCGTCGCGCATCACCCGGGCACGAGCTTCTCCCAGAAGTCCATTAAAGCGCGCCCTGTCCACGACTCCTGACTCTGGAAACTCTACCTCTTCACAGTCACCAATATCGCCTCTCAGAGCCAGATTCTTAGGCCAAGAAAACAACAGCAGCACGACTCCTGAGCACTCTGCACCCCGGAAAACGATCGATCGAGCAACCCGCCCCGGTGTGCAGTTTGATATCACCGGTGCCTCTCAACTTGCGTTCCTCAAGGCGCTGGATGAAACTAGTGATCCATCTATGACTCCAACAACAGGCGCGCTAAAGCGCAGTGATGCGACCATGAATTTGGATCAGTCAAACCAAGGCAGCCCGGTGGCGAAGCGACGAAGTCTACACGGCATTATGAACTCTGCGCAGTCTCAAGACCTCTTCGGTTCGAGCGCATCGCCGCCTGGCGTTTTTGATATTCATGAAGATGCATTCCCTGAATACGAACTGTCTGGTACTGGAGGAGCTACCTTTGAGCGCGATCACCTGGCATCTCCAACTCACGCATCAAATATTCCAAAGCGATCATCGTCTCTCCGGAGATCAACGTTACAACAACGATATGGCGAAAAGATTTCTTGGGGTAAACGATCTGGTGAGCGACAACTCTCGCCGCTGGGGGCTGATATATCTACGCAAGTCCGACACCGGCCACGTCTCTCTGCCGATTCTTTCGTCCCCCCGACAGCGGGTCGCGAAAATCCCTTTGCACCTGGCGCCAGCGTTGCGACGGAAAGCAAAAGCCACCAGCCGCATCCGTTGTCCAAGACACTTACCACATCGACCTCTGGCAACAGTTTGACCGAGGAGCAGTCTTTCTACGCGCCCGCAAAAGTTGCGTCGAAGCCACACCCTTTCTCTAGATCTCTGCCCCCTGGCGCTATGCGCCCATCTAGTCGACATGCCGCTGAACAAAGGACCATGGCCACGCCAAATCAGTCACACCAGCTCTGGATCGGTGCATTTAACTCAACCGGCCTTGTCTCCAAGGTAAATCGAAATCTGGAAGAGGAGGCCGACAAGAGGATGGCGCCCCCCGACACTCCATGCAAAAAGCATATCAATCCCTTTGCTACCTTCCCGCCACCTGGCAGTTCGGGGAAGAAGAGGGGAAACAGCCGCAAATCGTTTGGTGGTATTCCCTCCACCCCCTTTAACCCCATCATGGGTCGTGCCCCTGATACGGTCGCCAATCCTGGAAAAGGGCTGTCAATTTTCCAACGCAGCAGCGTTCTAGGGAACCGCCGTGGGAGCATCCTTAGCGTTGACAGCGACGACCGCAAACTGTTTGCCGATAATGTCGACTCTGCAACCTCTGCGGAAGGCGATGCTCCGCCAACCCCGACCAAGAATCTCCTAACACCAAGCTTTAGTGGCCTGAGCAATTTTAGTGAAAGTTCTCAAGAAAGCCCAAGTGCTAACCGGACCTTGACGCTTTCTCTCTCAGCCGTCAAGCCGCCGCCACAATCGCGGGAATCTACCTGTAAGTCGATCCTGGACGTGTCCGATAGTCCCAGAGGCCAAATCGAGGAGGCACATTCGCAGGCCGATCGATCTACTCCTTTAGACTGTGGACCATCTCCAACAGATCCTCTTTCTTTATCTTCATTTGGACGGGCAAGGACCCGGAGGGGGCTCAGTGCGCCCCCACCGCTCACCACCGAGCCTTCAATTTTGACGCACTCCAATCGCGTACCTCCAAAACTATCCAGAAATGTACTTACTAAGATGATGTGTGTTGAATCAGTGAGCCCCGATGGACGACGCACTCCTCAAACCCCTCAGGAAAACTTGCTGCCGCTGGATACCAGCCGGCTGTCTATCTCTCAGACCAGAGAAAGTCGGCGAGAAACGCACATGCCGCCTCCAGTCACACCTACTAACTTCCGCTCATCCACGAGCATTTTCGTCACTCCAGTTAATGCTCGCAACACTAGCTTGGACATTGATGCTAGCCTTTACTCCAAGTTTGACAAGGTTGAGCAGATTGGCAAAGGCGAATTTTCTACGGTATACCGTGTGACGAAGCAAGATCTTGAGAGTTCCTTTACTCCATCCTCATTCACCCCAATCGATAACCACGCCAGAAGCCCTGCCAAGACTCAGGTCTTCGCTGTCAAGAAGACCAAGCAGCCGTACCATGGCCCCAAGGACAGGGAAGCAAAGCTGCGTGAAGCTCGGATTCTGCGGGCTTTATCACATGCTGAACATGTTGTGCAGTATATTGATGATTGGGAGCATAACTTTCATCTCTACATCCAGACAGAGTTTTGTGAAGAGGGAACTCTGGATAAATTTTTGGCCCACGTCGGGCAGTTGGGTCGATTGGATGACTTTCGTATCTATAAGATCTTGCAAGATCTTTGCTTGGTAAGTCAACACCCTAGGAACCTAACTCTTTCTTCTTTCCTCTTCTCATTGCTAACCTACTACGTTCTTTACAGGGATTGAAAGAAATCCACGACGCGGGATTTATGCATTTAGATATGAAGCCGGCAAATATTCTGATTACCTTTGAAGGAGTCATCAAGATTGGTGATTTTGGATTGGCGCAGGCCGTTTCCGATGACATTTATCTGGATATTGAGGGAGATCGCGAATACATGGCCCCAGAGATGTTGGAAGGCAAGGTCGATCAGTCTGCCGATATCTTTTCCCTCGGCCTTATGACGCTAGAGGCTGCAGCCAATGTGGTGCTTCCCGACAACGGACCTACCTGGGTTGCCCTCAGGTCTGGTGATCTCTCCGAAGTGCCCAGCCTCACCTGGACCCCGTCAAGCGATGTTCAGCGGGATGCCCTCGGTAACCCGACCGAGTCTGTGATGAGTGAAGAACTCGAGATGGAGAAGAAGCCACGCAGCTCCGGCAACCTCTTTGGATCTTTTAAGCGATCGGAACTTCAGCTGCCCCCTGAGTTTATGGTTGAAGCCTTCCACCCCAGCTCCCTTGATTCTATTGTTAGGTGGATGACGCAGCAGGAGCCGGAGGAGCGACCACGCATCGAAGAGGTCTTGGCCTTGGAAGGCATGCAATGGGTGGCAGAGCACCGGAATGCGCCCGCCATTGTCTACGAGGGAAATTGGGGCCCCTCTGAGCTGTTTCCCGTCTCCATCGTCAATGATAGCGACCTTGAGATGACAGATATCTAGAGAGCGAGAGGGTTGACTTCTGTTTGTTTGATTGTTTTCAAAAGATTTGATATGCCCTGAGCACTTCGGAGTCCACTGCTTCAGAGACAAGGAGCTGGATGGCATCCAAGAAATACAGGATGCTTACGATCAATATTGGAGTCACTCTATTCTTGTACTGGAACATGTACGAGTGGATAGAAAGGGCTGGTGTTTGAATTTGTCCAACCGTCTGGTTCAGCATATAGCGATTTTTTTTTCTTTTTGTTTTAAGGGCATTACACACTGATGGATTATGAACAACTTCGACCTTCTTTTTTACATTTCAATCCAGCAGTCACGAGAACCGGCGGAATCGATTATACTGGAACCACCGACGACGCATGTGGCCTCGGCTTCTCGATCAACTTGTGCGGACTTCGCACATGGAGGCTATGCTCGACACCGGTGGTTGCGTGTACCAAATATATTTGATGTCGAATAGAGAGGGCCATGGCACGCGGCTAGAATTGGAATGGCTTCGGATATAAGCCCATGTTTTCTGGAGTTGATGGAAGACAAAAAGCACATTACCTGTGTTTAATCAGAGCACGATCAAAGATGAGACCCACAGGGCATTATCGTGTATATATATAATGAGGGAAAGATTGCTTGTTTTCTTTATAACTGATGTCGGAATAAGTATTCGCAGGCAGGGAGGATACACATTGGAATGGACTGGTCAATTGCGGCGTTGGGACTATTGGTTTTGGAACTGGGAAGGGATCTTGAGGGCAATTCTCCGGAGTTTTCGGAGAGGTAAAGTGTGTCACTCATGATTCTCACGACGAAATGGAATGAATGCGTTATGATATCTTTAGAGACGACGACTGTGCAAAATCGCCCATTTGTGACTCATTGGTTAATTCGATGGTGATTTGTGACCGATGTCTCGAGCACTACGTGTATTGTTATCCACTCCTGAGCTGATCTGTAAGACGGGGTTTGAACCCCGCATTGATAGTGCACGTAGCAGCAACACGAAGCAGCGGCTTCGGTAACCGGTGACGAATTGTCTTTCCTTCACCGTCACATGCCATGTTTCATGGACAGTATTGTTTACGTATTCCTTGAATAGACCCGTGATCTTGTAGCATATACGCTCTGATTTCCTTCCATTCCGATTCATTCAACATTCAACTATCTCGTCTACTGCTTATCCAATTGTGCCTGTACCAAGTAAACGCAAACCATGGTGACCGCCACGCTGCAAGATGGCCAAGCTGGGCTGCCAACTCCGCACAGCACAATGGCATACTGGCTGCAGAATCCCTCGTATGTTCTCTTGGGTCGCCGGTCGACTCCAGAACTCCCGCCTACGGCAGATGTCATTGTCATTGGCAGCGGAATCACTGGGGCGTTTGCCGCTAGAGAGCTGGTTGCCAAGGGGAGATCGGTCTTGATGCTGGAGGCGAGGGAGGCGTGTTGGGGGGCGACGGGGAGGGTGAGTTTTTGTATCTGTTGATTCTTTGCGTATTGGCGACTGACGACCAAGTTGCAATGATAGAACGGAGGGCACTGTCAGCCAATGATTTATGGCAGCAAGCCGCACATTGCGCACTTCGAGCTCGAAACGTATCACTTTCTAGAAAACCTCGTTGAGCAGTACGGCATTCCGTGTGATTGGAAGCGCGTTGGCGGCGTGCATGCGTTGCCTACAGATGAACTGGTCGATCTCACAGCAAAGATCATTGCGAACCTCAACGCCTTCCACCCTCAGCTAAAGGACTGCGCGAAGCTCTTTACAGATCCCGAGAGCATTGCCAAGTTTCGGGTACAGCCGGAAGGTGCTCGCGGCGTGGTGCATCAGCCCTGGGCGGCGAAGCTATGGCCGTATAAACTTGTGACGTGGATCTTGGAGGCGCTGTTTACGAATCAGCCGCCCGAGGTGTTTAACCTGCAGACGACCACGCCGGTGACACACTTGCAGCAGACGGAGGGCTCCAGCAGGTGGATTGTTCACACAACGAGAGGGCAGGTGGCTGCCAATGACGTGCTTCTTGCTACGAATGCTTATACGTCCCATTTACTGCCTGAGATGAGCCAGTTGGTTGTGCCGGTTAGGGGTCAAGTTGCTGCTTTGGAGCCGCCGGATGGGGATGTGGCGTTGGAGCACAGTCATGTTTGGTTGTCGGAGAAGAGCGACAATTACTTGGTTCAGAGGAACGATGCGCTGGAGATGATTGTGGTGGGTGGTGAGAGGACGAATGTGCCTGGAGGAGGAGAGGGCATATGGTGGGATGACAGCATTGACGAGGAGTTGGCTGAGCGATTGCGGCGATGCCTTCGTCCAGCGCTGAAGCTGCGACCCAGTGGCGAAGAGGAAGAGGAAGAGTTAAGGGCGCGGTATCAATGGACTGGGATAATGGGCTACACGACAGATGGCTACCCCTTTGTAGGCAAAGTGCCCGAAGAGCTCGGCGGCGGAAACGGAGGATTGTGGCTCTGTGCAGGGTATAACGGCCACGGGATGCCGGTGGCGGCGAGATGTGCGGTGGCGATCTCGGAGCAGATACTGGGACGGGGGGAGGACGAAAGGACGGTGAATTTGCCGGAGGAGTTTGTGCTGACTGCGGAGAGGGCGGCGAGGGTGAGGGGAGGGGAGTTGCCGAAGAGTATTTTGGAGGGGTTTACGATGGTGATGAGGGAGATGGTGAAGGAGAGTATGAATTGATGGTTGATTGTTCAGAAGGGGGGGGGAGAAAGGCTGAGGGAAGGAGATGTATAAAAATGGGGGAGAATGGGGGAAAGGCTTAGATGTTTGCGTACTGAGATGAAATGAGTTAGCGGTTCAGGCAGCTAGGGAGCTGAATAAAGTGGTTTTCGACCATGTTGGGCACGGTTCTCACGTATTGTGCAACTACAGCCAATTTAGGATAAGAAGAAACAAAAAGGGTGTGAAGTTGCATTCTATATGTGATGAGAAGAAGCCAGGGTTCTAGATACGCGGGCTAAAAGTGAATATTTTAAAAAAATGTTATCCATGTTGCATACGCTGGATTTCCATACTATAGGAATACAACAATGGAGCAAAGAAGTGAAAGAAACTGAGAGGGGAAACTGAGAGGGGACATGAAAAGAGGCTATAAAACAAGGCCGTGTAACCATGTACGTCATGGATATCGCAATTCATCGCTATGAGGCAAATAATAACTCTTTCTGAGATATTCATAAATGTCTGTCTTGACGCTGTTACCTTGGAGGCGTCAATGCCTATAAAGATTTTACGCGAGGTGTTATAATGACTAAGATTCTATTACATACATGGTAATATAGTACTGAAGGTATTGTGTCATAACGATCAAGAACCGAATATAATACGAGCACTTGTGGTTCATCCCCAAGATTTGGCTACGATCCATCTATAATGTATCTACAAGATAGCTTTCCATCGGAGAAGCGTGCCTGATGTATCTTGTGTTAAGCAAATCATTAGTTTCTGTGGCAATTCGAGGCTTGAAAAATGCTACTTGCAAAATCAGGCGACGAATGAAAAGCTTGGTCGGTAACGCCGAGCTATCGAATTGGCATTTCAGCTACCCCACTCGTCTTACAACAATCCTTTACTGAAAGGAATAAGACCGACGAAATCAGAAACACCGAAAAGCAAACCGAAGAAGGTTGTAGCTCGAGACAGTGCCCGAGTCAGTTTTTATCATGGAGGCTGTTAGATATGGGATATAGAATTGTAAGTGAGTGCTAGTTTCTCAACGTCAAAACGAAACTACCTTGTGGCTCCGTTACACATAGATTGATATAGCTGTATATATATCACCGAATTGCGAGCTGTTCTTTTCTTTTTCTTCTTGTTTCTCTAATCATAATCAAATTAGCTTGACCACTTCAATATTCAAAGTCACCCTTCAGTGCTCTAATCGAAGTAAACATGGCGAGCGTCTTCCACAATCTGCTATCTCAACCGCAATTTGATAGCTTGGATTTTGCAGACGTCAGATGTCTGACAGAACGTGAGAAAGCGGACATAGTTGAGTGTCTAGATGCCGCACTATTATCCTTTCTCTCTGAAATAAACTTTTCTCACAGATTTTGCCAAAATGATTCCAAGCTTCGTGACGATCTGTGGTCCTGGAGCAGGGAAAATTTAAGTGGTGTCTGCATTTGCGAAGATGAAATTTTGAAGGGAATACTTGATGAAGCTGCGGCTATTGTCGAGTATTACTATCCACATGCTCATCATGACACTCGGCTACAGATGGCTATAAGTATGGCGGCAGGGCTCACTGCTGATGACGGCGTCACCCCTGCAGCTTCCAGGGAGGCATTTGCAAAATTCCACTATGACTTATGGTGCGGAATGCCTGATTCAGGAAAGGATGAATGGTCAAAAATGTACCTCAATGTCATTAGAAATTTCGCTCGGCATTTTGGAGCCAGTGATCCCCGGATGGGAACCATTGGCGCCAACGGATTGGCTGGCTTCGCAGAGGCAACATTTATGGAAGACAGTCTGGCCATGGCCCTGCCACCGCATTTCTCTCAAGCTCAACCTGGGATGGATGACCATGGTTGCTGCCCAGATGGATTTGCTTACTTTTTTAGAAGCCTTTCTGGAGTCACTGGTCCTCTTATGTTGGGCATGTTTAAGCCGGGGAGAGACTTGGAAGTCCCACTTGAATATTGGATTACAAGCATCGTGCCTCTTACGACGTTTATTAATCTGATCAACGACCTACTCTCGTTCCCCAAGGAGATGTTGGCCGGCGAGGCCCACAACTATATGTCTCTTCAGACGCAGGCCAAGCGCCAGGGCTGTCAACTTTCTGCATTTGCCCAAGAGGATGACTGTGATGCACGATGGACGTTTCGAGACACAATATGTGAGACTATGGATCTGTTGTGTGACGCCATTCGCTCTCTGGATAGAGCTTTTATCCAGTTCCATGGGTATGTTGAACTTTTTGCTTTTCCGAATAGTGGCGTCTTGAAGCTGATGCGTATTTTTGCTTAGTGTCTGTTTAAATCATGGCAACGACGATCAATGGAGTAGTGAGCTGGCCAGTCAGGTGTGGAAGGCATTTAGAAATGGAATCATCTCTTGGCATATTAACCGCCCAAGATATGGACTTGGTACTCTGAGACGCATCTTCACCAAGGAGATATTAATCACCGAGTAGCACATAGCAGAGATGGAGTAGTTTACACAAACTTTTCGATTTAGAGTCGCGACGAGATGTAGAAGCTGCAAATGAATTCAAAAAAAAAAAAAAGGCAGATGTTTCCAATTTGTGGCTAATTACAGTGTTTCCATAACGTCTGTTGTTACCATAGTGAGAAGCGGGGCCCGTCATTCAAGCTTGAGAACAGACTGCAGGTCAAGCTTGAAAATCATAACTCTCTAGCACAACCTTGGATGACTTTCACAACTTTAATTTCTAATCATGATGAAAACAAGAATACGCGTTCCCGTAGAAGTTGAGACAGGACTGCCGACAACTAATCATAAACTAAAACTTCCACAAATCAACTTTGAACAAAAGGCCCTCTTCAGAGAACTTTTGCATCTTTTTCAAATTAAATTGTCACCAAAGAAAAAAAAAAACCTCGTTGGGAGGCTGATGGTGCCTCAGTCCTCGTGTTCACTCTGCATTGCATGTGCATTCGTCCCGACGCATATCGTATACTTCCTAAACAGGCAGTCGCCGAGGTTACATGCTTAAGCCTGACAGCAGTGACAACAACCCCCTGTTTAACTTGGCTGTCTCTGCAGCCCAACTCGTCGTGCCTTTCGTATTTTTTTTTCTGGCTCCCAGCCGCTTGGCTCAAGGAGGAAAGGCGGTGGAGGCATCGCTTTTTTTTTATTAATATTTTTTTTTTTTTTTTTTCAGGCGGGCCAATGTATTAGCCCGCCACTCAGTCGGGTTGCAATATGAGGCGCAGGTTTCCAGAAGTGCCCTTATGCCGTATTAGGTGCAGCAGGATTGCTTAGGCTAGGCGGCGGAGTCAGGGGCGCAGAAGGTCACTCCATTGCTTAAGACAGACTTGACTCTTCAACCTCGTTTCAGTTGTTCTTGTCCTTTCTCAAGTCGCGACTCGTGAAGCAGCTGTCATTCGTTTTGTGCCGGCCTTCGTTCGTTTATTCACCGGCTTATTTTCTTGCTGTATCGCGTCTAAGAGCTTGCCACCACTCGTTTCGTTGTGAGTTGAGAAGTGCCACCGATCTCATTTGGCGCGCTGCAATCTACGTCGAGACTTTAGCTTATTGGCGATCTTTCCTCACTTATAGTTGTCGATTTATCGGAATTGTGGATATGAAGTTTACGATGCAGCGATCTGCCTTGGCCCTTGCGCTTCTCGGAGCGTCTGCTGGCGCTATCAAGGTTGACTTCACCAGCGATGGTGCGTCAGTCTCCTAATGTTTACCGTTATCATAGACTAAGACGACAGGTTTCTAGATTCAATCAAAGCTGGTGCGAGCACAATTGCGTATGGGCTTGTCAAGTACTATAACGGCAATGAGACGGGCCAGGTCCCAGGCACTCTCCCACAGCCGTATTACTGTTCGACCCCTTCACCCAGGCTTAGTTTGAGGCGTGGCACTAATTCCTTATAGGGTGGGAAACGGGCGCTGTGTTTACAACCTTGATCGATTACTGGGCCCAGACTGGCGACAACACTTACAATGCCTTGACGTCCCAGGGCCTGCTATTCCAGGTGGGCCAGGGCAACGACTTTCTCCCGGCGAACGAGACGCTCTCTGAAGCCAACGATGACCAAGGAGTGTGGGCTTTGGCCGCCTTGGCCGCCGCTGAGAATGGCCTGGCCGGCAGCCAGCCGAGCTGGCAAGAGCTGGCCAAGAACGTGTTCAACGAATTTGTTGCGCGATGGGACCCCAAATGTGGTGGTGGTCTTCGATGGCAAATTGCCGCAGTCAACGCGGGCTACAACTACAAAAACTCGGCCGCCAACGGCGTCTTCTTTGATCTCGCAGCCAGGCTGTTCCAGCAGACGAATAACAACACGTACTCTCAATGGGCGACCAAGGTCTTCGAATGGGAGCAGAAAGCCGGCCTCATTTCGGACTCGTATCAGGTATTCGACGGCGTCATGGTGGAATCCTGCAGCAAGGTGGACAAGATGCAAACCAGCATGAGCACGGCGCTCTTCCTGGACGGCAGTGCGGTCATGTACAATGCCACGTCGTCGTCGGACTGGAAGACGCGAGTGGATGGACTGGTCAAGGACGTGCAGGCAACCTTTGTCAAGGACGGCGTTCTGTACGAGTCTGCGTGTGAGGGGGAGGCGCTGTGCACTGTTGACCAGCAAAGCTTCAAGAGCTTCCTCATTCGATCACTCAAGGCCACGACGCAGCAGGCTCCCTACACGGCTGCTACTATCCAGCCCCTGCTCCAGTCGACTGCACAGGCTGCTGCCCATAGCTGCAGCGGATCGGTTGACAAGAAGGAATTTGCGGGACAACCTGGAACTGCTTGTGGCTTCTCCTGGGTTGGAAACGCCGCCTTTGATGGAAAGGCCGGGGTTGGAGAGCAGATGAATGCCCTCTCTGCCCTGACGGCGCTGCTTTCCAAGGCCCCCAGGAGCCAGATATTCCCCAGCAACTCCAGCAACTCGACGAGCTCTGCTGGCCCGACCCAGCCCAGCAAGACGTCTGGATCGGGCACCCCTTCCGTCAGCCCGAAGAGCCCTGGCAACAAAGTTGCTGCGAACCTCCTGACGGCATTGGCTGTATTTGGTGGCGTTGCGTATGGACTTTGCTAAATGGAGACATTGTTGTGTGAGAGAGTTGAGGTGAACATGTTGATTGCAGAATAGTGCCAGTTGAGGGGTCAGATGCAAATCGCAGGGCTTTAACATTCTTATCGAATAACCTTTGAAACCATACTTTTGATTTTTATGACGAGCTACGACTCAATATGATTTTCACGAGATTCAGTAACAGAACAAAGACTCAAGTTGAATCCAGATGTTTGCATGTGTAAATTAGCATTCCAAGTTACTGCTATAAAAGGCTTAGCTCCGAGCGTTGCTTTTTCTCGAAATCGGAAAAATCTTTCCCAAGTGGCGGGGCATTTCAGACGTGGAACGCATCGTCATTGCAAGACTCATTTGAACAACAATTCATCTCAATTCTTTATCTGTTTTAGGAAGAAGAGTATAAGACGAAAAAAAAAAAAGATGCAACTCAAGACTCTTCAGAAGCTGGAGCTGCCGGCCGCAGCGGACATGCACGTCCATTTGCGCCAGGGCGAGATGATGGAGGTGGTGGTGCCGACGCTGGAGCAAGGAGGGATTGACACTGCCTTTGTGTATGTTGATTCTGAAGAAAGATTAGGAGTGTAGAAGTTGGCTGACTCTGGAGAATATAGTATGCCGAATCTTGTATGTGAAGGGTGTAATTTTTCGTGTTTTTGAACTGGCATATTGGAGCAAATTCCTCCACTTGATAACGCCTTGTGTGACTAACAGCTTTCATAGGTGCCTCCCTTGACGACTGTTGACCAAGTATGTGCCCTTAAATGAACGAGCTACATAAAGTCCCAGATTGCTAATAGTAAACAAGGTCGTGGACTACCAAGGCAAGCTCCGTGCTATTGCTCCCAATGTCCATTTCCTCATGTCCCTCTACGTAAGCTATCGTCACTTTGCTTGAATGATAGACCTATGTCTAAACGGGACTCAGCTTCACCCCTCAGTCACTCCAGAGACGATAGAAAAAGCAGCCCAAGCTGGTGTTACTGGCGTCAAGTTGTATCCGCAGGGTGAGCTACTGGTGTTTCTCCATCTGAAGACTGTTACGTATTCGTATTAATACGCCGTAGGCGCAACCACCAACTCTGAGCACGGAGTGGCTAATATCGAAGCCTTCTATGATACCTTCGCCGCCATGGAAAAGCATGATCTTGTGCTCAACCTGCACGGAGAGGTCCTGGAGGCTTTGGCTCCGGAGGGCACTACGCTTGAAGAGGCTTTTCTTCCCACCCTCAAGCAGCTCCACGAGAGATTCCCCAACCTGCGCATCATCGTGAGTATCATCTTACTATATAATCCATTTAGATTGTACCATGTGTGCTAATTCTTATGGACTTTAGCTGGAGCACTGCACCACAGCTGCTGCAGTAGAGGCAGTCAAGGCTTGCGGATCCAACGTTGGAGGTACCATTGATCAACCTCATTTCTCCCTCCTTTCTTGGCTTAAAAGCTATCGTACTGACCATATCCGCACCACTAGCTACTATTACCGCCCATCATCTTTACCTGACAGAGGCTGACGCCTGCTGCGACCCCTTTGCATTCTGCAAGCCTATCCCCAAGAAGCCCACCGACAGGGATGCCCTTCTCAAGGCTGCTGTCAGCGGCAACCCCAAATTCTTCTTGTAAGTGATACAATGGACAAGCCTCCCTTTTTTATGTCTTTACTAATACAAATGTTCGCAGTGGAAGCGACAGCGCTCCCCATCCGATAACCTCCAAAACCTCCGCTGCCCAAGGCAAGGCACCGGCCGGTGTCTTTACGCAGCCGTACGTTACACAGCTCGTGCTCTTGGGACTGGAAGAGGGCATTGAGCGGGGTATCATCAGCGAAGAGGATGTGACCCAGGAGAAGCTCGAGGGATTCCTCAGCAAGTTTGGTAGACGCTTCTATAAGCTGCCCGAAACCTCTGGAAACTCGCTCCTGTTGGAGAGAAAGGGAGAGAAGATTTCAACGAGCGTGAAGAGCGAGAGCGGAGCTGTCGAGGTTGGCATTTCGAGAGCAGGTGCTGAAGTCTTCAGTCTGACCTGGGTGAAAGGGGCATGAGATGTTTACAGACCAACAAGGGGGGGATGAATGTAGATTGAGAGACGCTTCGCGGCTCTCGGCAAGTGCTTCCACGGAGGACTCCGAAATCTCTGGGCTGCGGGTATTGCGGAGAAATAGGGTAAATCTTGGCGGCGATCGAGTCTGCGAGCCGTAGCGATTTGAAGGTGTGTAGCAGATTGATAGCGAAATTTTGGCATCAAGGGTCAAAATGGTTATGATGATGTACGACGTCGTGCACTCCTTTCAAAGGGGATCTCACCTATTTACTCTGAGTTTGTAGTGTGTTTTCTGATTACTCATATAAATAATCTATAAGAGAACGCGCTTTGAATCTCAAGCTATTAAGTTTATACATACGAATAGCATAGCTTTGGCTCTTTTCTTAAAACGCCTCGAGCTCAAATCGTCTCCCTACGCTCGCAAAAGTTCAACAGCTCTCAATTCCAAGCCGCAACACCTGTGTTGTTAGGGTGTCTCTGCGGGCTCATCAATGATTGGAGGATCAATTACGGCTCCCACGTTGCAAGATCGCCGAGGCCAATAGCACCTTCAACAGGAATTCTTACCACAAATTACTGGAGACTTGCCTGACGCTTACCACCTGCTACTCAGTAGGGCTGCGCTTTTTAATCTGTTTAGGGCGGGCGCAACGCTCTTAGCTCTATCACGAGCGTGCCTAAGTCACGGCGACTCACCCTTCGATTGGAACCTGTCGCCCTCTGGTATCCACCCCGATAGCTGAAGAAACGCACCATTGACCTGGAGCTTCTCAATGGTATTAATATTCATTCGTTATGTAAGTGGTTCACCGTGTTATGTAATTTTTGCGCTACAAATGTGATGCTGCAAGCGGCTGCACTAGCGATTCATGAACAGGGCCGAGATAACGTGTCAATGACTAAGGCCATAGAGAAATCGGACAATATCAACTACAAAACTGTATAGGGGGCGTATGAGTGAGAGATGGATGGAGGCCTGTTCTTGCCATAATATAGAAACTATTCAGGAGTGAGCTCCCATCTTGGGTCTGGTTGCTTCGTAATCTAAAATCTCGCCTGCTTTATCTTCTACTCATATCCCCCCCTGGGTGTGAGCCAGCATTAATATGCTTGTCACAATTGAATTTTAATCTCATAGCGTCCGGTGATGCAATGCCATTTTGCGTACTAGTTTAAGTAACTAACGTATCGAGTTGATGTGCCTCAGCTGACATGCAATCACCGGTATTGGCTGCGACCCCTGTTTGCTTCGAGGCCTGCGCTATCTCCGCACACTTAACCGTGTGCCTCTTCATAATCAATAAAGATGGAGTTGGCGCTCTTTCCTTTGAGAACTCTTTTTGAGAATAAACCTGATTTTGAAAGGTATTGAACCCCAGTGGGTTTGCCGCATCTGAAACAGTAAAGGATGGAGTCGCTTGTTGTGGCTCTGGCTTCCTGTGCTGGCGTCGTTTTATTGCTGCAATACAACTACACTGAAGCTCCCGTGGCAGCTGGATTTGGTGTCGCATTTTTTGTTTTGGGAACAACTGTGCATAAGATTGTAAGGGCGCTGATATACCCTTTCTATATCTCTAAATTGCGAAATGTTCCTGGGCCAAAGGTAAATGGCATTTACGTTGGGTGGCAGTTTGAGTGCAGTAGCAGCAGAGAGAAAAGTTAAAAAGGCTGATAAAATACTTGCGGTAATATAGGATAATCAATTTCTTGTTGGTCAAGCTATTCGCCTGCTAAAAGCGGCCGGTCCAAACGAATTGTATCTCGAGTGGGTGCGCAAATGGCCCGATGCGCCCTTCATTCGGCACCTTAGCTGGGGTAACTCAGAAGTCCTCTTGGTAAACAACCTGGAAGCAGCTCGCGAGGTGTTGCAGACACACGCATACTCGTTTGTTAAACCGAGCTTCTTTGTGAAGCTGGTTGGTGAGATGATGGGCACTGGGCTCTTATTCGGAGTAGGCGAGCAGCACAGGCAGCTAAGAAGAATCACGGCTGGTAAGCGGCCGGTGGACTGGCATTGGGATTTCATAAGAAAGAAGAAAATTAGTTGGCTAAAAGAGTGATAGGGCCCCTTGCGAAGCCGAACGTGCGAAAAATGTTGCCGATTTTCCAGGATAAGGCTAAGGAGGTATCTGACATCCTTGACAAGGCGATTGAGGGGGAAGACAAGGGGGTAGTTGAAGGTACAATAAGAAAGCTCTCCATTCTTCTTTGCGTATGATTTTTTATTAAAAATAGGCGCTTACTTGAAACAGTTGAATATTTGTTTAATCGAGCAGCCTTTAAAATCATCAGCACCGCACTCCTCAATAGGGACATCAGCAACTTCAGATCCAAAAATTCGCCACTTACCTTTGAACAATGTTACAAGGGAATCCTCGACCAGCCGCTTCTGGGAAAGCTGATTACATTTATTAATCCGTTCATCCCGCTGCGATGGCTTCCTATTGAGGCCAACCTCGCCTTCATCCGGGCTAATACTGCCATGAGGAGCATGCTGGCTGAGCTCATACAAGAGCGCGTGGAAGAGGTGCGGCTTCAGCAGAGCGAGAAGAAGGAGAAAAGTAGCCAAAACGACGAAAAGACGGAGAAGAAAGACTTTTTGACCAATATGATTGAGGCAAATCTTTCCGAAAGAAAAGGGGTCTCAGAGCAGGTTTTAATTGATACGGTAAGATTCCGAGGAATTCTCAAATGCAGCTTATGACACTAAGATGATTAATTTACAGGTCATCCAATGTGTCTCTGCTGGCCACGAAACCACAGCAGGAGCTCTCACCTGGACCACGTATGCACTCATCAAGTATCCAGAAATCCAGAAACGACTTCGCGAAGAGATCGTTTCAACCCAGCAGAAGCAGCCAGAGCTCAGTGCAGCAACCATCGATAGTATCCATTACCTCAACAACGTCGTAAGTGAGAGTCTTCGAGTCTATTCGCCGAGTCTGTTAGCACCATGGGAAGCTGGCGAAGATCTCGTAATTGCAGGCGTCGCCATCCCTAAAGGAACTACCGTCACAACGATCCCCGCCATGATTCACTATAATCCGTCGGTCTGGGGAGCAGATGTGAACGTCTTCAACCCAGATCGATGGGACGCGGTGACTGGAGCGGTGGCCAATCCGTTTTCCATTGAGGCCTTTATCAACGGCCCGAGAACGTGTCCTGGAAGAGCATTGGCGCTGCTGGAGATTAAGACGATCCTCGTGGAAATGCTCAGCAATTTCTCCCTGGAAGCTGTCAATGATGTCGACGTGGAGTTTTCGCATCCGACGTTGACGCTGAAACCCAAGGGCGGTTTAAACGTTCGGGCACGGAGGCTGTAGCGATGTTCTGAGCGTGACGACGGCTACACAGACATAGATACCGGTGTTTGGGATAGCGAAATGGCCAGCATTTGTAGATGGAGAGAATGACGGCGGGCAAGGCGTAGAGTACAGTATGCATGCAGTAAATATAGGTAGTAGACTACTCCATAGGTTCTGGCAGCAACTGAATGCACGCTCCTTCTTTGCGGCATCATGTCACGAGACCATGCCATCACCACCCAAATAACAGGGCGTCACTCTGTCGCCCATTTCGTGTGTAAATCTTCATGCCGCCTTAACGCCGATTCGATCGGATTACAGCCTGTCAGCGCCCGTCGTCCCGGCATTGAGACGCCTCTCCCGCTATGGGGCCTTTGACAGTAGCCTCAATCCTCCAATCAGCATCGTGTGTTGGCAACCAATCGAGATAATGCTGTAGGTGCATCTCCGGCAACTCTCTTAATAAGAGCAATGTAACCAATCAAAAAATTGTTATCAACCCTGCTCAAGCAGTATTCGCCGCTAGTTATTGCCGCCTCTCCTTTCTTTACCACAGGGGGTGCGTACATGTTACCTGACGACATTTCCCCTCGCTCGCCCGCTCGTAATACTACTGCCTCTATTCGTCTCCGCTTGATCGAGCTTCTCCACGATCCAACAAAAAAAAGTCCGGATGTCTTCGAGCCGCCAGCCGCAGCCAAGAAGCACGTCGGGCCGCACGCAGTTAGCCTGTGAGCCTTGCCGCAAGAGGAAATCAAAGGTGAGGCCCTCCGAACCAGGCCCCGATTTTTCCCGCCAGCTTGGCAAACTGCCGTGAGCTGGGATGCGGGTTTATATGCGGAGATGATGTCTCCATGGAGTTGTCGTTGGGGCGGGAAGATAAGAAGAATCGGACAACGCACCATGGCATGGCACGACTGCCACCAATTAGATGTTCCGATGGGGCTGGTACAAGTGGCTGACCAGGATTATTTGAACGGATCATAGTCGATGCTGATGCTACCGTTGGCAGTGCGATGGCGAGAGGCCCCTTTGCGGCAACTGCCAGGCTCATCATTTTGTCTGTCACTATGAGTCGGCCCGGCCTGCACGACGGTAAGAGTCCCTTTCCCCATGTACTACACGTTGCTTCCATATTTGTTTCGATTCAACACAGTACGAGAGATGGTGCTTGAAAAAAAGAGCTTGTCAAGTTAATAGCGCGTGCGACACAGACAAAAGTACTGGGATCGTGACTATGTACAGGCCCTGGAAGACCAGGTCCGCATGCTGTCCGCATCCCTTGAGCAATCCAGAGATGCTGGCCCTTTAAAGTCATCGCCACAAACCTACCAGTTGTCGCCTTCAGAGGCTGCAAGCCGGCTACCTTACGGGCCTAAGACACTCAGAGCACTGAGCGACTTCAGCACCATGAAATGGGCCGCCATCATCGGCCAGGACGGTGTGCCTGTTCTTGCTGGCCCAGGCCGGTTCTCCATCTTCTCGAAGACGCAGCTGCCGACGTTTGAGAACGAGTCCCAGCCTTTGCGGGTGCCGAAGCCGCCAGCCCCGACTGAGACGTTCTTGCTGGAGATTGAATCCAACTTGAGCCTTAAGCAACATCTAAAGACGCATTTCCTTGAGAACTTGAACCCCTTTTACAAGTTTGTCGACCCTATCTGGCTCAACTTCTCTGACCTGTTCCCACACAACGACACAGCGCTTCAGCTGCTCTACAGCGCTCTCTTTGGCGCTGCGGCGTATTCGTCGCCTATGGCCAGCAGAGACATGGCAGAAACATTCATTTCATACGCAGAGAGTCTCGTGCAAAAGTGTTATCTAGAGCACTTGTGCCTCCCTGTGCTGCAGGCCTTGATAATTCTGGCTTGGTATAAGCATATGCAGTTAGACTCTGCCAAAGGCAACCTATATCATTGTAAGTTGGGAGACAGTATGGTTCACTGTGATTTCCTTTACGGTTGCTCATATACGAAATGAATATCGCCTCGTAGACATGGCCATTGGTTTATCCAACCATCTAAAAATAGGAGACGCGACACGGCGCAATCATACTGCCAACGAGATTACCACTATCAGAACCTTTTGGTCGTTATATTTCTTAGACCGGTTAGTTTATGTCTGTATAAATCAACACCAGTAGGCGAAACTGATTAGACGACGGTTTTTATATTCCTCATACAGAACCGCAACCCCCAAGTTGGGATGCCCATCGGGGATTCCGTGGGATATTGACCGCGTCACTCCTTATATTGACACTATACCGCCGGATGCGGTTGATATAGTTGCCCTTGCCTTTGACCATCACTGCCGGCTGTTTCACATACAGCAGCAATATATTGATATCATGTAAGAAACGTCTCCAAGGCAGCTACGTGAGTTGTGGCGCTGCAGGTGACATACATACAGTATATCTGTCACTGTTTCTGATCAAGATTAATGGCAGGTACACGGCGGGCTTTGATAGCGCTTCGTCTGCAGAAAAGCAAGCCATATTCGCCAAAGCAAACAGCGAGATGCTAAAGTTTCGGAAGCAAATCGATAAACGCCTCTACATTAGCCGTAGCACGAAAGCTCACAGGGTCCAAGTTGTCTTCTGGATTTCCTACCACTCCGTCTTGACCAACCTCCAGCGCCCGCTCCTCAACCCCTTTGACCCAAGCATGGCTCACAACATCCCGGCAGTCTTTCGATCTTCTATTGCCTCCGCCACGGCAATTGCTCGGCTTCTCCGGGCTCTACAAGCGACAGACGAAATCAAGTATCTGCCTCCGTTTGCCGTCCAGCATATACTCCGATGCGCTTTGGTACACGGCCTCAATTGCCTAGCCATTGAAGAATCAGGTGGCCAGCGAGCGTCGTCTGGGAACTTTTGGTTGTGCTTCCGGGTGCTGGGGGAGCTGAGCATTGTTTGGAAAGAGCTCAGCGAGGGCACGATGCCATTTGCGCTTATGGCTACGAGGAACTGGGGGTTCCAGCAGGATGTGGTATCTGGAATAGGGGAAGCGGACAAGGAGAAATATAGTGCAGACGATGGATACGATGACGTTGACTACGGAACGGGACTGGGCATGAGCGATGATTTTTTTGAAGCCGGGGGAATAACGGATTTTGTATTATAGGCATTATAAAGGAGTTTCTTAATGGCATCAACTGAAATGGAAATGCGAATCATTTTTTAATGTATAAATGATATCCAAAAGATATGTAGAATCAAGCTGCATATTCACGTATATATCGTTATATACGACGCCTCGCCTCCGTCAACTGCTCCCTCCGAAAAGCAAAGAGAACAAAAAAACCACTCGAATTAGAGCAACAGTTTTAAAAACACACAATCTCCCAAAGTAAAAATATATAATACATGACGCTGTCCATCCCGTCTAGTTGGAGTTGCAAGTCACATAGCCGATAGCAGCAGGAGGATTTACAGGCACCGTGGTCGGCTTGCGGATTGAAACGGCCCCAAGGCTCTTGTTAGAAGGAGCCTGGAAAGAGCACGAGGTGAGGACGTAGCGGCGGCCGTCAAAGGGCGGAGCGACAAAGACCTCGGAGACGATGTTGTTGGAAGCTATTGGAACAAAAAGTTCGTGTTAGTCAAAATCACATGGTGGCATGTACTATTGCCTCTTGTCTTGTTTCTCTCTTTCGACAGCGGGGGTTGGACTTACGAAGTTGCTGGGCTTTTCCGTTGGTGACCACGTCAAAGGGCTTGGTGAAGGTGCCGTTGGGGTAAGTGTAGGCAATGTGGGTGGCGTGCTTGTCGAACTTGTGAGCGGGCGAGGCAGAGGCGAGGCCAGCCAAGGTGGCGGCGGCGGCGACGATGATGGCAGAAGAACGCATTTTTTTGATTTGTGGATATAATTTATATATGGAATATATTTTGTTTTGAGAAGATAAAAGTTGTGTGAGAATGTGAGAAGCAATTTGAAGTGTTCTTAAAGAGTGTGAGATGCTTCGGAGAGTTGTCTAAAAGGAAACAAAAGAGCTGCTGCTGCTGCTTCTCCCCTTTTTTTTTTCTTCTTCTGCAGCTCCTCCACGGCCATCTTATATATTCCGCTTCTTTCGCTTGATTCATTATCAGTCTCCATTTCCCTCTTGCCCATCTTTGCCGTTTCCCATCAATATGGAGTATCATCCAGCAGGGCCTTTTGTCACCCCCATGTCGCACGAATATACACATGTATGTAGGTAGGTATGTAGTAATCACAGCTACATACAGTATTATCTGGGTCCCCATCACGTCTAATCTAACCGTTTGGTGTGCTGTTCAGGCCCGCAGCAGCAAGAGATCAGCAATCAAGGGCCATGCAGAGATATCTCGAGGTCTGACAGGCCGGCGTTGTCCAGGGACCGGGGGGGACCTGAAGATCATTGCCGAGTTTGGACGGTCGGCTCGTCATGTAAGGGGGGCAGTGAAGCTGTGAGGCCTGGGTATATCATCGCCGGAATTGGTTGAGACTTGCTATACTATTTCTAGTTGTCCTAGACGCCTATTTTTCTCGACGTCAACGAATCTTGTATTTCGAGACTTGTCAATCATATACTGAACATTTGTGGAATATTCATCAATTGCCTCTTCTGCAGGCACAATTATTCTCTAGCAAGCCTCTGGATCCATTCTGTTTGAGATTTGGCGGTGATCGACATCAATTATGGATCTGCACTCGGTGTAAATATTTCTCTGGTGCTCCGTGCTTGGTTGTCCAAATATTTGCGTTGCGGCCTTACCGGCCGGACCCAGGCCGACGGCAGTTGTTTACTGAAGCAAAATGAAATGTGATAGACTATCCTATTACCCATTCGAATAGCATATGTAAAGGGGGGGGGAAAGTTCTAGAAGCAATCTCTCTTCAAAGGCATAGCATGATAGCGCAGCATTCATCAACAAACAGGTAGGCTACGTTGCTTTCTCTCAACGTCTATATCTGCGACGCGGCCTATTTGTTTCCGTCCAGTCGCACTCCCACAAAAGCTTGATCGACATAAGCGTCGCGCCATTACAGATCTGCGCAGAATTCCGTTCCTGGCAGGTCGCACAATGGCCGGAGGCCGTTGCTGGATCGACAAAGTGGTAAGAGATCGTCAGCACTGCGACTTGGCTGCTGTCGCAAGATTGACGTGCTAGCAGGACGTGTCAGCAGTCGATGTCACATATAATCCAGGCGCCGAGATTAGATCAATCTCACAAAGCACACAACAAGGCATTGATAAACAAGCCATTGCCGAGAAACAACAACAGGTATTTTGCCTATTACTATTCTATCATCTAACCTAGTTGGAGGTGAGGCGAGTAATATTGACGTTATCGAATTCGGCCTGCGCCTTGAAGACCCTTACGCCATCCATTCCATTCGCATAAGCATCGTCCGTCACAGCGATGACAGCGGGCGTCTTGCTATTTATGGCCACACGGATGGAGCTTCCGTTTGCCATCACCTTTAGTCGGTATCGCTGCGCCGGTTTGATGTCAGCTTTTGTGCTTCCCAGAGTGGTGGACTGCGACCCATTGCTTCGGCTGAGGAAAAGAGTGCCAGCAGTGCTGATGCCAGCGTAGTAGCCTTGGAAGCTGGTGGTGTCATTAGATGTCCCAGATACTCGGAATATTAAACCTGCAGTGCTGTCACGATGGCTGCCACCGCGCGTCAATAGTTTGACGTCAGCCTCATAGGTAAAGTTGGCAAAGTTGGTGTTGAGGAGGGCGTTGCTGCTCGATGAAGCACTCCCTCGGAGTGCGTTCGTCTCAGCGCTCCAGTCGCCTCCGTATGTTTGCCAGCCAATCGTGTTGCCGTCCTCAAAGTTATCATGAACCAGCATCTTGACTGTCTGGATTGTGCCATCGTCGTTGAAGTAGAGGCGGTCGTATGCCAAGTGCCGATCATTCCCGTCCGTAGAGCCCAGCGGATGCCGATGATACAGGATGAAGAATATGTCTGTATCCGGAACTTGAATCACAGCATTGTGGCCCGAACCTGTAGCAACCGCCTCATCTTGTTGCAATATCTTGGCAATGCGATCAAACGGGCCCAGCGGCGAGCTGCTCATGCCGTATGAGACTGCATAATCGGGCCCCGTCCAGCCGCCTTCGCTCCAGAAGAGATAATAGATGCCATTCCGCTTAACCATCTGCGACCCTTCAACGTAGTTCTCTGGCGTAATCTCCTTGAACATAGTTCCGTCATCAAAGGTGCCCAGGCTTATCATATCGTCGTTCAACTTGGCAACATTGGCATGGGAGTGCCCGCCATAGTAGATGTAAGCCTGTCCATCGTCATCGATAAAGACATCCTGATCAATAGGCTGGGCACCGTTATGATACGCGCCAATCAGCGGCTTTCCCAGCGGATCGGTGTATGGGCCCTCGGGCTTGTCTGCCACTCCAACGCCGATGCCGCCCAGCTCCGAGTCTGTCTGGATGTCGTTGGCGCCAAAGTAGAGATAGTACGTGCCGTTGCGGTAAATGGGCGCCGGGGCCCAAACAGCTCGATGTGCCCAAGTGAAGTCGGCCGTCGTCAGGATCGACGAGTGCTTCGTCCAGTGCACCAGGTCTTTTGATGAGAAGGCGTCCAGGTAGGTCTGGTCGTCGTATGGCAGCGACGAGGTCGGATATACCCAGTACGCGCCATTGTAGAACTGCGTGTCTGGGTCGGCATACCAGCCGTCGACAAAGGGGTTTCCTGCTTCGGATGTTTCAAAGTCTGCTGTCTTGGTCGCAGCGATCAGCCAGAGCGTCGAAAGGAGGCCCAGCATCTGTCGAGACAGCATCTTGGGCAGATGATGAGACAGACGGTTCAGTTGAAGCGTTTGCCGTGTACAGCTTTATGCTTTGTTTCTTCCTTTTGTCCCAGTTTCCCTCTCCTCCTGAGCACAGGCGGTGTAGATGCTGGATCATAGCGATGCCGATGCTGTCGGTAGTGCTGCGAAGGATTCATGAGGCCATGCTTGGGCTTAGTGCTGCGACGATGCATGCGCCATGTAACTCAATGCGGCCGTCGACGTGCATGGATGTTTAGGCAGCCACATCTTAATCTCATAGTTAAAATGATGCCTCTAATACTACCTCCCTGTATAAACCATATACAGATCATGTATGATAGAAGAGAGGAATTGTTGGTCACATACTAGGCATAAACTACAAGTCATCGGCTTACCGACATGACAGGACAAGCAACCTTCTGTGTCTCCGCTGCAGACTGCAAGCCACCGAATCCCACAAGATCGGCCAGATTGATAAGATAGCATCCACTAAGCAATCAATCAATCAGCTTAATCCAATCAACTCCAGCTATCCGCATCAATAGACACAACACACACGGCTCAAGTGAAAGTTCTACTGTACAACCGCTGCCCAGCCAATCGATTCTCCACGTAGCTCCCCCCGTCGCCCCAAACTCGGCATCGCGCGCCACCAATTGATTTTGACAAGACGGTACTCGGCACGGCGTCTCCAGCCGCAAGCGAGTCCACTTTACGGAGTCAACTCCATCAATGGAATGGTCTCTCATCTGAACTTTTGCACAGCCGCCAACTAACTTGTCTGACGGGCCAGCAGTCTAGCCGCGATGGAGAAGAAAAACTGGTTCTGTTGAAACCCCGGAGGCGAAATCTGGTCTCCGGCCGGGCACTTGGTCTTTTATAAGTGGTTCTCTCTGCTATACATGCACACTTGGATCCAAAACTCGTCTGATTATCGAAAAGGGCCGGCCGGGTACTGCGGAAGCTTGAACTTGAGGCAATGAATTAATTTGATATTGTTTCTTGAGAAGAACTGGAGAACGGTATTTGTAGTAGCAAGATACCCTCCAAGTGTTTTCAAGTAGTTAGATGTTATTAGCTCTAGGGAGATATTCCACTTCCCAGGAGATTTACGACCAGATGCTGCAAAAGCGCATGCCAAGGTAAAACGGATCGTAAAGACGTACAAAAAATTTCTCATCAAGCATGATTCTAGCGCTATTATCAATCTAATCGTAATAATAATCCGCTCAACTTCTGGGCAGCTGTTTACACGGCTCAATCCCAGGCCGGCTACTAGGGCTGAGCGTGGGTCTTACACCAGGTAGAATGGCCTCATACTCCGATCAAGATGGCCGACATGTCCCGTCCGCCAGTCATCCATATATAATCAGATTCTCCCCAAGTTCTCATCTAATCTTATCTGATCTGATAATCTTTACCCATGGTCTCCTGGCTCCTCCGCCATCTCCATGTCTACCATGGAGTCCAAGACGCCAGAGGATGCCGAGACTGGAGAGATTGGTCAGAGCAGAAGATCCAGCATCTCTGAGGACAAGCGCCCATCAGGTATACAAATTCCATCATTCGTTTGTCTTTTGTAGCTGGCCCCCCAAACTAACAGACTCTTCCATAGAGGAATCTAGAACGCCGACGCAAGAGGTCCTCTTCGCTGCTGGAGTCGGACTCCGGGCCGATGACCCTGCTCTGCCATGCCTCACTCTTCGCATGTGGATGATTGGCATTGGCTTCTGTCTCGTAGGCAGCGGTGTCAATACGCTGTATACATTCCGGTTCCCATCAGTCACTTTATCCCAGTCTGCCATCCAGTTCCTGGCGTACCCTCTGGGCAAAGCTTGGGAGTTTGTCGTCCCGGACTGGGGGGTGACTCTGTTTGGCACCCGCCACAGCCTGAACCCTGGCCCATTCAACTACAAGGCATGTATCCCCCCTTTTTTGAAAAATATGCGAAATAACAAACGGAATCTGACCGAATTATTGTAGGAAAACATTCTCATCTACATCTTAGCCAACCTGAGCTACCTGACCCGTCTAAGTGCCGACGTCTTGACCGAGCAGCGCGTATTTTACGGTGCTGATACCAACTGGGGCTTCGAAATAACCATTACGCTCGCGACAATCCTTTTTGGATTCTCCCTGGCTGGTTTCGGCCGGTCCCTTGTCGTCGAGCCAGAGAGTTTGGTATGGCCAGGCGTGCTTGCCAACACGGCTTTAAACGCAGCTTTGCATCCTGCAGGCAAAGAGGATGAGACTGAGTGAGTCTTCTAACACACGTTATTGATACAATTTCTTAAAGCAAAGCACTTCATCTGACATGTATCCAGGGCCAAATGGAGATCTTCTCGTTACAAATTCTTTCTGGTTGCCTTCTCGGCTGCATTCGTCTGGTATTGGTTCCCAGACTTCATCTTCCCAGCGCTGGGATATTTCACATGGGTATGCTGGACTGCGCCTCGCAACCCAGTCGTAAACCAGCTTTTTGGCATGAAAAGTGGCATTGGTCTTTTGCCATTTACATTTGACTGTAAGCAGCAACACTTCCTCGATATGTACATGCAAAGTCTCACATACCATTTTTGAAAACAAGGGTCGCAAATTTCGTACATTGGCAGTCCGCTCGTTGTCCCGACGTGGGCCATCCTCAACACCCTTGCTTCCGTCGTCTTCTGGATCTATGTCGTCACCCCTGCGATATACTACACAAATACTTGGCTATCGGCCTATCTCCCTATTCAAAGCAACTCCATATACGATAATATGGGCAAAGTATACAATGTCAGCCGTGTCATCAACAGAAAAGACGGTTTCATATTTGAGCCTGAGAAATACGAAGAATACTCACATGTACGATAAAACTTCCTTTCGCTCCTCATATCCCAACCCCCTCATTAACACTTTGTACCTAGATTTATCTTCCGGTCACTTATGCCCTGAATTCTTTTGGTCTATGCTTTGCTTGCATTTCCTCACTATTTGTCTGGATGTTCCTTGAGAAACGGCACGAAATCGCCAGGGTATTCCGAGAATCCCAGCTTTCCACCTTGTTTGGGCGCAAGAAAGATGCTAGACCAAGTCTTCAGCCTCAGTATAACAATGTTCCCATATGGTGGTACGGAATATCCTTTCTCGTATCCATGGGGCTAGGCATCTTTGCCTGCGAGTTTTATGCTGTGCAGCTGCGCTGGTACGGAGTTATCTTTGCCATGTTTGTGTCTGCAGTCTTCTACCTCCCGGTATGTACGCCCACATTCTTCACAATATTAAGCATAATAATAACGACTTTAATCCCCTATTAGCTGTCTTGGGTCTATGCTACCACAAACATGAGAGTCCAGATTGACATCTTTTGCCGCATAATCGCTGGCTATGTGTGGGAGGGTAAGGTCCTCGCCAACATCTGGTTCTTTGATCTGGGCTACATTTCCGGCATCAAAGCTCTCGCGTTTGCCCAAGATCTCAAACTCGGAATCTATTGCAACGTAAGTTGATGTCGCCCATCTTCTTCGACTGCATTTTGAACATGCTAACTTTTATATGAAGATCCCACCAAGGCACTTATTCGTCGTCCAAATCGTAGGCCTCATCATGGGTACACTGGGCCAAGTTGCTGTTCTAAATTGGGCCCTGGGCCATGTTCCCGAAATTTGTTCCCTGGCTGCAAAGAACGGCTTCACATGCCCCTATTCTCGTACTCACTTTAACACGAGCATGGTCTGGGGTGCTTTGGGGCCTCGCAGATTCTTTGCTGACGGGACTCTGTACCGTGGCCTTTTGTGGTTCTTCCTCATAGGAGCTATTCTGCCTATCGTGGTATACGGCATGAAGAAAACTTGGCCGAAACAGCGGTGGCTGGAAAAGATTCACGTCCCCCTGTTTCTTGGCGGGCTGAACTACATCCCTCCCGCCTCTGGGACAAATTACGGCAGCTGGGTCATAGTTGGCTTGGTCTTTGGCCTCTGGATCAAGAGAAACAGTAGAGGCTGGTGGCGGCGATACAATTTCGTGCTCAGCTCAGCGCTGGACTGTGCCACTGCCATCGCAGGCATCATCATCTTTTTCGCCATTTTCTACACAGGAGCATCCGATAAGTTCTCTTGGTGGGGAACCACTGTGTATCAAGTTCGTTATTCTCCCAGTGTGTGATGATTCTTTAAGCATCAGCTAATGGCTTTCCAACAGGATACTTGCGACTGGGACAGCTGTACATATAAGACAGTTCACAAAGGGCAGACGTTTGGGCCGTAGCGGGGGCTTGATAACCATTGGTAGTAATGAATTTGAGCGATTTTTTAATAGATTTCTGAATTAAATGTCGTCGAGAGATGTCAATTTTGCTATATACAAGAGAATACATATATTCAGGACTCATTCAGCCCTTAGATTTAGTGATACTACCTAACCTGTCTCTCGTAGTGGAGGTACAGAGCCTGCAGCAGATTTCTGTATCACAAACTGTCATCGGAACACCGAAGGCCGTATAGCAAAACAAAATATGCAAAATATATAAACGAGTTAATTAATATATAAACGAGTTAATTTTCAAACCATTGATCTAAAAAGATGCACATGTCTGCGCTCAAGGCAGAAAAACAATCTGCTCAGCAGCGCAATTCGCTGCAATGAGGGAAATATACACCCAAGTATGTACACATGAGCCCATTTCCCGGACTTCAGCCGTCCCAGCCAATCACCATCGTCCATTTTACAAGCAAGCTCCAATCGCATTGGACGGTCCAACTCCCGAACGGTATATGCCATTTCAAAGCTTCAAATCTGCCACCACCCGAGCAGCCTCTCTTCCTCCTCCTCCTCCCCGTCAAGAGCCTCTTCCGCCCGCCGCCCGCCCGCGCAAGCCTCAATCCTCTCACAATGGCGAGCAAGATCACGCCCTTCCTCCTCCGCTCCGGCGCCCGCTGCGCCTCGCGCGTTGCCCGTCCTCAGATCCGCGCATTCTCCATCACAGCCAGCAGGCCTAGCGATACCCTCCAGGTGGTAAGTCAAAGTCGCTCCAAAGCCGTCCACTACCTCGATCCGCTGTCAATTTGACGCCGCTGCACTTTGTCGACAAGTAGATGGCTGCCATGCAAAAAAGGAATTTCACATTCAAAATTATCACGGCACAAAAAACGCTGACCTCAACTGCCCGCAGCACCGAAACACACCCGACAACAACCCCGACATCCCCTTCAAGTTCAACGCCCAGAATGAGAAGCTCATCGCCGAGATCCTTAAGCGATACCCCGCCCAGTACAAGAAGGCCGCCGTCATGCCCCTGCTGGACCTCGGCCAGCGCCAGCACGGCTTCACCAGCATCAGCGTCATGAACGAGGTCGCCCGCCTGCTCGAGATGCCCCCCATGCGAGTCTACGAGGTCGCTTCCTTCTACACCATGTACAACCGCACCCCCGTGGGCAAGTTCTTTGTCCAGGCCTGCACAACGGTACGCATTGAACCCTATCTTGAAAAGCTACCCAACTACCTATTCCTCCTCCAATGCCATTCCATCATTTTGGCAATCATTTAAAAAACGAGGGGCAGCATCACTATTCAAGATTTTTAGAGAAGAAAAAAAAAGTGTTAAAAAACATACGACTAACCCCTCCATGTAATCCCAGACCCCCTGCCAGCTCGGCGGCTGCGGCTCCGACGTCATCGTCAAGGCTATCAAGAACCACCTCGGCATCAAGCAGGGCGAGACCACAAAGGACGGCCTCTTCACCTTCATCGAGGTCGAGTGCCTCGGCGCCTGCGTCAACGCCCCCATGATCCAGATCAACGACGACTACTACGAGGATCTCACCCCGGAGACCGTCGTCAAGCTGCTCGAGGACCTCAAGGCTACCGGCACCACCAGCAAGGCCCCCATCGCAGGACCCCTTTCCTCCAGAAAGTCGTGCGAGAACAGCGCCGGCCTGACGAACCTGACATCAGAGCCTTGGGGAGCGGAGAAGACGAGATCGGATTTGTAAAACTACTATTTTAAAATATCAAGGAGGGGGTAGAGGCGGCGGCAAGGCAGTATTTGACACGGGTTTTTAAATGTACATAACGCCATGTTGAATGCCAAGAAGATAAAAAAGTATAGAACATTGTGCAAATGGCGGACGTGTACAATGTAATTGGATTTTAGTAATGCAAGTGTATGCTCCTAAACGAGAGACGTTGGCATTCGCTTTTTTATTTTCCTTAGAAAACCAGTAAACAGAGACGCTTATTTCAAGGCTACTACTGCCCAAAGTTTTTTTGTTTCGCAATCTTTACTCATGTGCAGCCATATCAAAAAAAAACACGATATAAAGGAAATAGTTTAAACAAGCCTCAAGATCCATCCCTCTCCACGCCTCCTGTTGTTATCATCCAAGCCACCCCAAATCACAATTCCAGTTTCCTCCAGGTCAGACATTGGGGCACTCGCCAACCAGCCCCGACCCCGCGGCATTTCCAAAACCTCTTCGTCATAAGGACCCATGGTCACCTTTGTCCACTTGCCTTCGCCCGTTTTGCGTCCCACAGCTTGTAGCATGGCCGCCGTAAAGCTCGCGGCGGTCATGCCCACCGGCGGGACTTGAAAGAGCCATACGTCGTTATGGGACTTGCCAATGCCGGTATGGCTTTCCGAGCTTGAGGTTGCCTCGCCCATGGTCAGGACGAGATACTCGGTACCACCACCAATGGTGATGGCCTCAAGAGAAGACACGCTTCGTGGCCCGGGCCAAGCTTGAATATTCTCCGAAGAAAATTCTTTCGAGGAAGCTTCCGGTGCGTTTTCATATATGGACTGCCATCCGCCACGGGCCCGTACCGACACCTCACCGCGAGTAACCCGGTCATCAAACATCTCAACTTCGAGGTTCAAGAAATCGACCTGGCCTCCAATCTCCCTCTGCCCGTCGAATCCACCAAAGCGGAAAATCCGGCTCTTACTGATGCAGATCGATGTGCCTGAGCGGGAAGGTCCTGGTGCCGCGGGCAGTTCAGTCCACGTTCGCGAGTGGACGTCAAAAGCCCAAAGGTCACTAGTACGATCACCGCTGGCATTAATACCAGCATGCACGAAAAAGGTACCGTAACCATCAGTCTCCTCATCACTCGCGTTTTCGGCGACGTGACCAACGATGGGGTCCTGCGGAATGCCCGTCTTGGAAGTATCGCCAAGCGCCCACTCCTGCCAGCTCTGAGCCTGGGTTGGCGGGGGAGGGGCAAAGTCGCGGGGTCGGTCTGTCGCTGTAGCACAGTGATAGCTTCGTGGTGCTGGGTGAGGGATGATCGATCCGCCCTTGACTGCAGGGACGGGGTCAAGGTAGGTCCAGAGACGGGTGCGAGTATCAAAGATCCAAACTCGGCCGTTTTCATCAAGAGGCCTCATGTCAGGACCAGCGTAGCCGCCGAATACGAATATTCGCGAGCCAATGACGGCAGTTGCATGCCCAATTCGTGGTGGAGGGACGTCGCCAAGATCTTGTGTAGCTCGCCCCTTGCCTTTGTCAACAGATGCCGGCTTGGTGTCGCTCTTGGTCTCGTCAGTCTGCTCCGTATTGCGGCTTTCGCCACTATCGCTCTCTTCTTCTTCTCCGACTTCCCCGCCAAGATCTTCAGCCTTGGCCTTGGCCTTGGGACTCTCAGCAACATCCACTGCTGCGTCATCTGATTTGCCCTTTCTACCCTTGTCCTGAATTGACGTCGGCGTGGGGATAGTCGTGTCCGGCTTTGCTTTGATTTTGAAGTAGTCGGCACCGGCGCTGCTGAAGGGAAGACGGATGACGAGCATGTCATTATCAACGGGTTCGCGGGGAGTGACTTCGCCACCGAAGATGTAAGCGCAGCCAGAAACAATATCAAGAGAATGCGAGGAGCGAGGCACGGGAGGGAGATCGATGCGCTCCCAAGTGCCTCTCATGCCCTCTTGATTGGGCTGCCTCCGGAATGCATCGAGTGTGAACTGGCGCATGACGGGCAGAGGAGGCAGAGAGGGCAGAGCAGGCATTGAAGGCATCGCCGGCATAGAGGGCAGATTGCTCTGCGCAGCGTTCCATGCCTCTGTGGAACGGCGCTTGATGGTGCCGCCAATATTCTCCATGGTGGTGATGGATGGCTTCCCCGGGATGGCGGTAGAATCAGGGCAGCTGAGGCGGCGATGGAATGTCGAAAGATGATAACAAGGGAGGCTACGAGGAAGACCAGCAGCTCCAGCAGCCCAAGAAGAGGAGCTTGGGACGGATTAGTGAGATGCAAGATGGTTGGCTGCTGACGCTGGTTTGGCTTGTGGTGGATGGAAGAGAGACAATCGGGCAGATGACGTACGAGCACCTATTTCAGTCCTACCTGGTAATGGGTGCTGCCGGTGCCTGTGGACGAGCGACTAGGGAGGCCTTGTGAGCCCCTAGCAGACGCCAAAAGACATGGAGCTCCAGGGCTTCGACGCCGTGCCGTAGCGACCGCGGCCGAGTCTCGATCGTGTGGGCTTCGGGGGCTGTGATCCCTTCAATCGAGGGCGGGTGGAGACCCTGTCAGCCAGCGTGAGGCGGAGCAAACTGGGCCAATCGAGGGGCGCGGGCTATCGAATGGCAAAGCCGGCTGCTTTTGCTCTCCCATGATGCAGCTTTCCATCTTGGTGTATGCAAGTCAGCATCGAGCAGAGCAGAGCAGGAATTGGTGCCGCTTCGTGCGTTTCAACGGCCTTTCGCTAAGATTGAGGCATCGAGGTGAGCTGACGGCAATCGCTAGCGGGGCTTAGCGTGCCGCTTCACGGCTGGCGGGGCGTTCAGGCTCTATTAAGGCTTTAGAAGTGCGCCCACTTACCCTGTCAAAACACATGTCAAAGGAATGATGGGGGTATTTGGACTTGCGGGATGCCGCGTAATCTAATCATTGACGGCATTACAGAGGTTATCCTTGGCATCAAAGTCAATCTATACTAATTTTGATTATATTAGGGACAAGCAGTTTAACGTCGCTGCTTGTGTGAATGAAATTATTACTGCCTATGTAATATCTCTTGCTTTCCTAACTTGGTCGTATACGCCCCATTCGCAAAACGTTTTACCTCCTGGGAGGCATAGTCCCCAAAGAAAAGAGGCCATCATGAAAGCTAAGAATCATTTTATCAGGAAGAACGTATATTCTCTTTTCTATATAATACCTACCCTATACTAGTAATCATTCGAGATTTTTGTAAGGAGGTCTTGCCACAACGGCAACCTACGTGTACATGTAATTCGGTCAGCAGCTTAGCTATGTCGCAGACTAAGCTTAGGCTTGTCAAATTACCAAGCCGAGAACGCACCTCTGAACTGGCTTCCATACCTACATATAAACACATCCTCAGAAATCTAGCTTCTGAGGCTTTTATTTAGACCATGAAGCGAAAACGAGTCACGGAATCATTTGATCTGGCTTGTACCCCCTCGTTCTTTCAAAAATGAAGCTGTTACCGCAGCTAAAAGTCATTTTGCATAGCGAACTTGAGTAGTTGCCCCCCATCTCATCTTATAAAAAGAAACCCATTCTCTCTATATGCTAATGTGCCGAGCCAAGAGTACAGTTTATATATTCATTACAGCTTTCTGCTTCACCTTGAAAATAGGCTGCAAAGCTTTATCATCTTATTGCAGGTAAGCCCTTGTAACTGGTGTACTAATATATACTTAGAACCAAAGCTTTTGTCCTTGAAAATCTTTAGTGTTATTCATTACTAAATCCTGGATTTACAGATCCACGGTACATCTTACTAGGCATTAAGTGGGATGAAAGCAAAGTTGAGTAGAGATTTGAAATCACAGTTAAAATGAGATGATATCTCAATATTTCTGCTATCCTACAGTTCAGTGGATGCCCATGCAGTTTCCCAAATTCTTTAGCAAAATAATTACTAGAGATCAAGAAATTACTAATGCATTTTAGAATCCTACATAGTCTTACAGAGCACAGACGTCGGTAGTCGGCGTTAGTCGGCGTTTAGGTAATAGAATCAACCGTGAAGACTCAGACACAAACACTTATATACATACATACATATACATACATACATATATATATGTAGGCATTCCAGTCAAGGCTGTTTTTTTGTAGAGAATAGGTAAACCAAATAACTCGCTTCTTATATATCCATAATGTCTTTCTTCTCGATTAAAGCCGCCGCAGGGCGTAAAGTAACGCTTTTTGCATCCATTTCCAGTTTACTTCTGTCCCATGTTCATGGTCAGTTCATTCCGGAGATTGATGCAACATATTCTTCTCCCCCCAAGCCATTCTCTCTCTGCGTGAATCCTTCATTCATCGAGACAACGCGGTTCAAGGTGCAGCTAGGCAGGATAGCCAATGACCTCGGAGTGGCCCCTTTTACTGACGGGGTCTCGACTGAGATGGCTGCAACTCTTCAAAACTACTGGGTTAATGAGTTCAATTGGACATCCGTACAGGAGCAAATTAACAAAAAGTCCGTTTCCTTTTCCCTAAAGAGACTCAAAGCACAGCTAACATGGGATGGCAGTTTCACAATGTTTACCACAGTTGTCAAAATAGACGATCAGAACTACACAGAGCCAATACCGCTTCACTTTGTGCATCACCGCTCAAATCGTAGCGATGCAGTTCCCCTTCTCTTTCTCCACGGCTTCCCGGGCTCGTTCTTGGAAGTCGGGCGAATCATCTCGTCATTGACTCATCCGCCTAACTCGTCTGTGCCAGCATTCCACGTCGTAGCGCCGTCTCTGCCCGGCTTTGGATTCACCCCTGCCCCCATGCATGCCGGATTGGGCCCGATCGAAGTGGCTCATGCGTTTAACGCCCTGATGCACCAACTGTCCTACCCACGATATGTGATCCAGGGCGGGGATCTCGGGTCTTTTGTCCTTACCTATCAGGCTGCTCTCCACCCCGAGAGCGTAATATCTGTGCTCTCCAATCTTTGGGTTCCTGCTCTCACCGCGGCGGATATTGCGCGTTTCGATGCAAATGAGACGACTCCAGGAGAAACAGCGTATATCCGCAACATAACAGCCTACCAGAGAAAAGGCGCCGGCTATCTGTTTCTGCAGTCTACGCAGCCCCTGATGGCAGGCCATGCTTTAACCGATTCCCCCCTGGGTTTTGCGCTTTATATCTTTAACCTGATGCAAGAGCTCGGGACCTTCTACCACTGGTCGCTGAGTGAGATCATCACCTGGGCCATGATGTACGTTATCCAAGGTCCTTACCCGGCAACACGGACCTATAAGGAGTTCCGATTCGCCGATCAGATTGTGGGCACTGATAGCTCTGGGCCAGCATTGTTTGTTAATGTCCCAGTTGGTGTTACACAACGCCCACAGGATGCCGGATGGGGCGTTCCCCTGGACTGGGCGCGTAGGATAGGCAACGTCACCGCGCTATATGTGCATGACTTTGGGGGCCACTTCGCAGCGTACCAGACACCTGACACACTGCTAGATGACTGTTGGCGCTTCTGGGGAAATAAAAGCGCATCTGGCGTAGGGAAAAGTCACTAAGTACATGTAGTAGGGCCAATAGACTACAACAACAGGATGCTCAATCGAGACTATTAGCACTTTATTAACAGTAAGCACTCAAACCGTATGTCTGCCAATAATCTCATTTATTTATCTTATTATTTTTTATAAAGCAAATGTTTAACTTGGGAGTGCTAAGCATCGCGAGAGTGGAGTAGGGGAATAGAAATGCTGCTGTTGCTGCTGGTAGAACAGATAACTGATTAATAAAATCCGTTACTTGCGTTGCAAAGGAAGCATCAAGTAGTCCGTATACTTTACCCTCTCAGACTAAAATTGTCTATATGCCAAGAATCATATGATAGTCTCAGCTCGGTATGTTTTCTGTACATGATAGATGCCGGGTAGTGCGGCCAAGTTGAAGGGCGTTTAGAGGTAGCCTACAGAGTGCCTTCCTGATCCTTCTAAGCAAAGAATCTATCTGGAGAATTAATACGCTCCATTACTTCATAATAGCGACTGGTGAGGTAGACAGCTATGCCATCAATCAATTAAAGAAGGCAACCTAGTTTATGGATTACTATTTTTTTTTTTCCTACAGAACGCCATAATTCCTGCATCTATACTCCTGCATGCGTGTCAAGTAGGCCGCTGTTGGTCATACAAAGCTCGTGGAGAGGGGCATCTAAGCCACACCACCGTTGCAAGCGCCGTAGATGGTGGTGAAACTGTCCAATACTATGCTTTGAAAGATGGATGAGAACATACATGTAAGTACCTATCCATCCAGGGCCGGGGCCATGACGCTCTATTTCATCCTGGCCGAATTCGTTTGTCCCCACGAGACCATGACACCTTATATTCAATGTCGTCTTCAGCCACTTCCCTATCGGCAGCTACCTGTCTTGGCCATTTTTTGACATTGCACAACCCTCTTCGGCGAAGTGCAGATGCTGGGCAACAGCCAGTAACCAGAATTCCCGCGACGGCCTTCAGTGAGCGGTCGTAGTCTCGCTTTGATTATTCCCAGCATCCGTTTCGGTTCGCAGCCCTGCAGGCATGGTCGGCGCTTATTAGTTTCGAGCGAACCCCTGGTCGCGGCTAGCCACCCTCCCAGAATGTTGTTATATTCATCAGGCTACGGCTGGATAAAAGATGGTGGTACCAGACAAACCCGCGCGCGCGCGCGTTATATTTAGAGATGCTCAGTAAACCCACATAATTCCTCAAATACGTCGATCCTGGAGATGTCTGTCGCTACCTAACCAGCCTCCACCAAGCATCGACAATTACAGCCTTCCATCGTCATTTGCGGCGTGTTTAGCGATTTGTACCCATGGAGGAAATATACCAGAAGCTTAGCGTAGTAAATCTATGGCAAGGCTTCAGGAATTCAGATGAGCCCTCATTTGAGGTGATTGAGGCATGGCTTCATCACAGCTCTGGGCAGATCCACATGAGCCGCAAGCCTGTCTCTGTCAAAGAGCTAGATGACTGGCTACCTATCGACGAAACTGACGGCGAAGGCGACACAAAGAAGTCGCTCGTTTTGCGAATAGCTCTGATAGGCTGCGATATCAAGAAAAGGATTCTGAAGCTCTCCAGCGATGTGATGAAAACCCTCCTCAAATCATTCGACCTCGAGCTGGCCTATAAATACTCTCAGAGCTGCATCACCAACGTTGCCGCCATTCCGCCGCAGTCAAACGAACACCAGGCGTATTCCTTCTGCTACATGCCAAAGCTTGCAGCAATGTGGGCACATCGCCGCTTCGACGTGCAGAGCCCGACAGATCGGTCATATCTTACTCAAGGCGTGATATTCCTCGATGAATCCAACATGTTGTTTCTCTCCGAGGTGTTCCGCACACCCTGGAGTGCGCTTCTCTATGAAAGCCCGATGTTCCCAGCCTTTCTCCTCACCCTCATTCTCAGCACGCAGATCCACCAAGGGGAGGAGAAGGTCAAGCTCAAGATACGCGCGAGTGAAAGATGCTCGTCGACTCAGATGCCTCACCAAGGATACGATAAAAGTGTTATGGGCTTGTTCATCTCCCTAGCTGCCGAAGCGGATCGATGCGCTGTGAAGCTGGGCAGCTTGAGTAGAAAAAGCAAAATGGTGGAAAAGGCTTTGAAATTCATATTGAAGAACATATCGGAACAAAGTGGCCATGGAACTTCACCCACATCGGTGTCGGCCGAAGCTTGTCAACTGCTGAAGAGCCATGTGCTTCTTTTGGAGGATCGGCTGGAAATGCAAACTGTGGACATAGAGTATACTTTGAAGCGTGTCCAGCTTCAGATCAACATTGTTAGTGTCTTCATTCCTTCTTCTTTGTATCGCGGGAGATTAACTAACACCCAAAAGCTTGCTGGCATCATTTCTAGAAGCGATTTTCAAGCAACTCTGATGCTGGCCGAGTCCCAGCATCGTGACTCACTCTCGATGAAGACCCTTGCCATCGTCACCATGTTTTTTCTCCCAGGAAGTTTTGTTTCTGCCTTATTCTCAACATCAATGTTCGACTGGGACAGCGTCGACCCATCATCGAACGGCATCGGGGTGCGGCTGCTGCCTCAGTTTGGACTGTACTGGGTCATTACTATCCCGCTCACCATCATAACCTTCATACTCTTCTTTATGTGGCTGTGGATAACAAAACTGCGGCATGATGCTCAGAAGAAGAAGGGAGATGAGATAAAAGACAGTTACTTTGAACGCATTTCCGAGGAAGAAAAAGCAGAGCTGAACTTGACGCAAATGGCTAGGCTACGGAACGACACAGGGGTCACACAATAGGCATCTTTTTGATGAAAACGAATTTCTTTTTCACTTTATCTATTTTTTATGGGGGGGGGGGAGTGTCTATTCTATTCTCATTTTTGCTCGCTGAGTATGGTTTCTGGATTTTTGTTTTGTATTCTTTTTTTCTTTTTTCTTTTTTCTTTTTTCTTTTTTCTTTTTTCTTTTTTCTTTTTTCTTTTTTCTTTTTTCTTTTTTCTTTTTTCTTTTTTCTTTTNTTTTCTTTTTTCTTTTTTCTTTTTTCTTTTTTCTTTTTTCTTTTTTCTTTTTTCTTTTTTCTTTTTTCTTTTTTCTTTTTTCTTTTTTCTTTTTTGCCTTTTTGCCTTTTTGGCGATTTCTCAATTTGCTAGGTGACCTTGATGGGTGAAATGGATTGATTACACTTGCTAAAACGCATACTATCTATCGTCTACCTATGCTATACAATTGTCATGGCGTATGTCGATGAGTTAATAAATATTCTAAAAAAAAAAAAAAAAAAAAAATTTGGTCAATTAATACCGCTCATACTTTTAAATTGCTGATGCATGTCATTAGATCCGCTTGATTCTCTCATCGCACCAGCAATGACGCAGCGCGCTTTTGGAGGGGCTACTACTGCTAACATTGAACGCTGGTGCTCCGAGAGCCCAAGCACATGCAAAACTTCCCCTCTATCAAATCTGGATCTACAGCTCACCTTCGTAACAGTCTTTTTTGCCGCGCGGCAATCATATCCATGAACCATAAGCTATCGTATTAAAGGGCAGATCTTTTACCCGTAGATCCTCAGATTTGGCTGATTATGCCTATTTCCACCACTTCATAGCTATCCTTTCGCTCGATCGGTTGGGTCACCCAGCGTCGGCCTTATGGCTGCTTATGCTTCCACGAGCGGCATTGTGCCCGCGCAGCTGGGCTTCCTGGCCCTGTTCAATCCTTCGCTGGGCCAGACGGATGAGACAGTTGACGACCAGATCGTTTACTATGCCTCTGTTTCTACACAGAGCTCCAGCCGCCGACGCAGGCGTGCGCGCACGAGACCGACAGATGGCATCTCCCAAGAGGAGCGCCACGAGCGGCTGCGACAGATTGGCCTCGCCCAAGGAATGGTCAACTTCGGCCGCGGTTTCTCTGATGGAGCTGCGGTAGATGCCATCGACACAGAGAAGTCGAGGGTGATTGCCCATGAGCTGGAGCCGGGATGGTGGATTCTTGCGGTGAGCCTTGCACAAGCCTGTTCTTGGCTTGATGATGCGCAAAAAGTGCCCGTTAAAGATGATACGATTGCTGACCTTGACACGAATAGAGCACCGACCTGAATAAGGTGCCTCTCCCTCCAAGGCTACCTACCAAGACTGGAGAGCAACAGGAGGAGAGATATGAGTATTCGACCCGGGAGATGAAGCCGGCTGCGCTGCTGCTGAGGGATCTGTTGCGTGCGCACAGCATCTTCCTCTTGCATCATGGATCATCACTAAGCGCCTTGTTTGTGCGACATCGCCGAGTCAAGTTCATCGCGCTGCTAAGCCGCTACTGGGACCTGTTTCTATCTACCTGGAACGTCATGCTGCACGGAAACCCTGCAAGAGACATTTTCGGCGGCATCAACGTTGCTGCCTCTGGAGAGCTCGGGGTAGGGGTTGGTGAAGAAGACAGAGGAAGCGGTGAAAGAGAGGTGCTCGAGGGCTTGGTCAGCCGAGTGGAAGGCCTTGTTGATCTTGTCGTCTCAAGATTCGGGTCTGACGATGTCGAATCAGAGCCCGGCAAGTCGAATAAGACGGAGGTAGAGCCATGGCTTGGCAGCGGCAAGGAGCCTAGAGCTGAAGACGGCGCCATATTCCTTGGGACGGGGGCGTTATCACGAAAGTCTCTACGGGACGTGACAAACTGGATGGAAGATCTGTATACCTGGGGCGAGCACGCATATGGTGTCATAGAGAGTCCAACCTCAACACGGCGCGCTCGAGCCAAGAAGTCGTCTTCAAAGGTGGTGGTTCCGGATGACATCCAGCACCCAAAAGATGATGCAGCACTCAAGGCAACGGAGCCTGCAGAAGAAAGCGTCCCATCTACGAGTGATGTGCAGGATGCTCAGCCAAAAGCATCGGAAGGTGAACAGAGTCAAGCAGCTCAAGAGCCTGAGGCTGGAAGACTTGACAAGATGGTCAGCTATCTAACGTTAGGTTACGGATCGTATTGGTCTTTTCCCGGAGCTGGAGGCAATTCGTCAGAAGCGGCCGATCAACAACAAGCTGCCGCTAATGGCAAGCCAAATGCCACAGGCGCACCGGACTCGCGTCCCAAGTTGTTGAAACGACCATCTTCTATGGCTTCTGGCCACTACTTGATTGGCCTCAGAGGGGACATTGAAGACGAGGAGATTGCTGAGAATGATCCAGAAGGCGCGCTGGTTTCAGACGATCCTGACGGCGATGAAAACAACTCTCGTACCGTTCTTCGCACCCTCCACGTTGAGCTGGAAAGTTCATCTGCTACGGAGAACCGCCTTGACAGTGCCATCGTCAGAGATTTCGAGCATCCCGCCAATCCGTTGACTTCATCCCAAGAGGTGGGAAACATGCTCCCCAACTATGCCTCTCACGACGCCAACATGGCGGAAAAGCTCCGCGTCGTCGTCTACGTCAACAAGCCCTTCATCTTCACCTTTCTTTTCCGCCTCCGCACGGATTCCCTGGCTTGGGACACCCTTTACCGCTCCCTGCACTACCAGCTCTCTCCGCTGAGGAAGCCCCTCTTGGCGTCAACCAAATACCGTCCCGAGCGCCCAGACGCTGGCCCTGTAACATCCCACATCCAAGACCTCGTATGGGATCCGCCCTCGCTCACCGTGCACTCGTCCATACCAAACATCCCCGACTTCTTCCCCGACCCGGCGGCTGCATCTTCACCGTCTCCTTCACCCGCGTGGTCCCGCGCGGATGCCGTAAGTACACACCTCCATCTCCTCAACATCTACGCCGCGACGCGCTCCCGCATCACCAACCTCGAGCGCACGCAAAAGACAAATCGCGGATGGTGGATCGTCTGGACGCGGGTCCTTCAGCGCACCGCCGCCACCCCTTCCACAACCCACACTGCCACGGCGGCACTGCCGCTATCCACTATTCATGAGTCCGCGTCGTCATCATCCCTGAACTCGAATTCCCACGCAAGCAACCATGAAGAAGAAGAAGCTGCCCTCGAAAGCAAGGCCCCTTTGTCTCATCGCTCGTCCTCTTCTTCTGCATCCTCCCACTCACCTCCCCCCATCGTCGACAAGGAGATATTCCTTATCCGACGCGCAAGTGACCACATTGGCTTTCGTATTGCTTCAGACGAGGGAGCTTCCGGGGGTGGAGAAGGTATGGGCCGGTTGGCGCAGGGGATTGGCGTCGATACGAGGCGATATATCGAAGAGCTGTTGACCCTGCTGTAAAGAGAAGAGGCCAAGAAAAAGAATAATATGACAGTTTGTAGTTAGCGGCGTATCGTATGGGGAATGCCCAGTTTTTGGCGAGTTGAATAGAGATTTGAGCTCTGGTTGATACGAGGTGACAATGGCTATCACAATTACCCAAAATTGCGTTGAAGAGTGTTGCCGATGTTACCCAGTAATTAGTATATGCTATGGCGCAACTTGGAGGCATACATGGCATAGTGTAATTAGGTGCAGCGCAAATGAGCACACTTTTAGTGAATTTTAGTGAACAGACTAGACAGACACACTATTTTACTGCGCGTACTGCTTAGCCTGTAGGCATTACAACACTCACGGCTCACACCAAATCACGCGGCATCACGAATAAAATATGTAGAATATCAGATATTGATGGGCATCTAAAAGGGTATGTCATTCCACGTTGTCTCCAATATGAGAGGACATGTCTATAAAATTTTGTCTATATGTACAATAGAAAAAAGATTTTTTTTTCCCGTTCCCTTGTATTTCCCCTCCTCAAAACTTGCGTTTAAGAGAGGATCTGTTGTTATTTTCCGTTCCGGGACAAAATTTCAAAAAATGTGTGAAGAATAAATAAAAAATAATAAAGTAATCATTTTCCTATTCCATATCGCATTCCCATCCACGCCAGGGATGGTGAATCCAAACAAGTTAAATCAAACGAATGTAGGGTATAACGTGAATTTTTGTCCAAAAGACGGTCTAGGGTATATGTGTGCCTTGAGATTTGAGGCGAAGCCTGGCAGAGGATACATATACCCATCATGCACAGATTGTCTTGGAGACAGCTTAGTTGAAAGACCAGCTGCAAGGAGCACGGCCGGCGGTAAGGCTGCCGAAGAGATCGGTGAAGACCTTCTCGCTGACATCGATGGAGCCGGAGGCACAGCCCATGCACTTGTCGACGACGAGGGCGGTGGTGGTCTTGCCGCCAGCGCTGATGGTGATGGTCTTGCCGCACATGGGGTTGCCGTTGGACTGAGCACCCATCTGCTCCCAGTTGATGGCGACGAGGTTCTGGGTGGTGTCATCGCCAGTGTTGTCGACACCGCAAGAGCCGAGGCCGACAGTGTAGTAGGTGATGTCGCCGTGGAAGCTGCTGCCGCTGCTGCTTCCGCTGCTGCCACCAGCAGCAGGCTGGCTGGGGCTAGGAGAGGGAGAAGGAGAGGGGCTAGGAGTCGAAGCCGGAGGAGGAGGAGGAGGAGCCGCAGAGGAGCTTGAGGGCGCGGGAGGAGGCACAGCCTGGACCGAGACCTGAGAAGAGGTCTGGGGAGGAGGAGGCGGCGGCGTGAAGACGGACGAAGACGAGGCCGCAGCAGTGGTCGGAGGAGGAGGAGGAGGCGCCTGGCTGCTGGTAGTAGGAACAGCGGGAGTGGTCGAGGAGCTGGGAGCGGTGGAAGACGAAGGCTCAAGGAACTCGCCGGCAGAGGCAGCAAGGCCGCTGCTGGTGGGAGCCGCAACAGGAGTGGTCTTGCCGTCCTGGACCAAGTAGGTGGTGGTAGAGTCGATAATCTCAGTCTGGGTGACGTACTCCGTGTGCCACTCGATCTCGGTCACGACGGCATCACGAGCAGCGTGGTGGTGAGCGTGGCGGCCGTGGTGAGGCTTGGCGGCAGCGGCCGCAACGAGGAAGGCAGAAGCAACGGTAAAGGTCTTCATTTTGAATAACTGTTTGGCTTAAGGAGCGGTGGTGTCGCGATGTTGTTCTGTTCAACAGGACCTGATATAGCAAAGTGCCGTAGAGGCGAAAGTGCAAGTGAATTGAAGGAATGTGGGTTGCAAGAGGAAGGGAGAGTCCTGCTCCGAAGGTGGGAAATAGATCGACTATGAAGTAAGTCTGTTTCGTTTGCGAAGAAGAGGAAGACGAAACAATCGGCCAGGGGGAGGAGGCTGGATTTATTAATGGGATTGCGGCTTACCTGGGCTCCCAGGATTAATACGGAGCGCTAGCCGGGGGTGCTTCAAATCGCCCGGCTTGGTGTGGCCATTGTGGGCGTCTGTTCAATTAGCCTGGTGCCGTCCGCGCTGAGCTGCTGGAGCCCCTGCTGGAGTCCTGCTGGAGCCCTGCTTGAAGCCAAGCGCCGCACAACGCAGCCAGTGCCGATACAGCTGCTGCTTACTGCAAGGGCGTTGGCAGCGGAACCGAGGGATGGATGGAGGCCTGAGACAAAAAGAAGCGTGCGCACACTGTTCAAGAAAAAAGAGCGAACGGCGACCCCTAACGGATCACAGCCGCGCGGAGCTAGCCAGTCGCCGCTGCCACGTCGCCACTGCGCGCTGCCATTGGCCCCCGGCCTGCTGTAGCGCCTGTATTACAGGGGCGAATAGCCTTCGCGGGCTCTGCAGGGGCCGCCATCCGGACCCGTCGCAGCGTCGCAGTGCCAACCAGGTACCCGTCTGACCAGCCAATGGGCGCTGGCCGGTGCCTGAGGCGCTGCGGGCCCTCGCACGCAGATTGGCAGGACTCGCAAAACTCGAAACATGGGCGGTGGACCTCTGCTTTGCAAAAACTCGCTCGCCATCTCGGTGGATCCGCACGCACGGGCAAGAGAGAAGAAAAGAAAATGCGCCTTGTCATGCAAGTTTTTTTGCTTGATCCTGTTCACGCTTCTTTTAGCTCGACCCCCCCATGTTCGCATTTTGCCGACCGACACTTGAGGGAAATTCTTTCTTCGCAGACCCGCTTCGTCTCCCATCCACTTGGATCTTGACATTCTTGTTGCCGTCCGGCTATCGAGATGCTGCCTGCCGTGGGGACTCGACAACGGTGCGCTGTTTTTCTCCCTCTTGTTCTCCAAAGAAAGGAACCCATCCATTGTGCCGCTGTGGGTGCGCCGGGAAGGGAACAGCGCTATTCAACGCCATCTCGTGCAATGGAGAGCGTCTCCACGTGCTGGCCGTCAATGCATCTTTCATTCCAAAGGCAGTCGGAGATGAGGCGAGTCAGAGGTGATCCGCCCCTCTTTTCATTCCGAATGCTACAGTACTGCGCTGATGTGGAGGGCACTTTAATGTGATTAACATGTTCAATATGCGGCAGGGGCAGCGCACAGTATGGTGCTACTTGGACTAGGCTGGCGGCGTCGACGGAAGTTAGGCTTTTTCCGACTAAACTGCGTTTGCTTGTGTCTCCGACAACGCCGACCCAAGGCACGCTCATTCGATCTAAAACTTGTGGCGGTTGACTCCCTGCTTTGTCGTGGCCAGTCGTCTAACTTCAACGACTGTCTCCACCACGCGTCTGCTCTGTACCAACCGGATGGGCATATTGAGAAGCCGTGTGGACGACAAATATGGAACCGTTGCTACATGAGTAGCCAGTAGCCCAGGTAGCAGCACCATTGCCTCTGTACAGAACCGAGAAGAAAAAAGGAACAAAAAGAAGCAATGCAATCGCCACGCGTCAGAAAAATTTTCAGACCATCGTCAAAGGCTTGCGTATGCTTGCCCGACTCGCAGCATGGAGACAAGCCATGCTGAACCGTTAATCTCGCTCAGTCGTCAAGCTCACAGCCGCATCTGCTCCACGGCCTTGTCCCCCCGCACCTTTATTTGCCCTATCGTATGCCAATCCGTCCGTGCTCGCTTGACATGGGAGGAAGAGTGCATGCAGGCTCCCTCCGGTCTCCCTTCTTTGGATACTCACTCTGCTTGGTGCAACCGCCGACGGGCCTCGTGCTGCCGATGTCCTGCAATAACACGGAAGGAAAAAAAGAGGAGTCAGGTCCAATCATGGGGTTGGGTGGCATCATCTTTCGGTTTGGATTTGGCCATTATGGTTGGCTGCTATCATGCCGCCTTTCTTCTTGCTCGTAGTGGTGCCACCGGTTGCCCGCTTTCTAAATGTGAAGAGAAACAGTGACTCTCGCTGAAACACGGGCCTGTCCTCGTCGAAAATCTCCTCGACCACAAACGCTTTCTTGGCTGCTTTGACAAACTGCATGTCCGCTCGTCTCCTCTTCTTGAAGCAGAAATACACCACTGCATCCTCATTGAGCTCGAACAGGTCCTTGAGCGTCTGCATCAGTAGCGGGAAGGCCGGCTCAAAGTACACACATTCAGCTGCCAATATCACGTCCGGTTTGTGTGCCACAACGGCCTCTGGAAGCGTCTCGCCCCTGGAAATTTGCACCCATTGTGTTAGGTCAGTCAAGTACGTATTGGCTTCGGCGCTGAAAATAGAGCCACTTGGAGGTATGGCAACGTAGCACCGCCAAGCACAAGCCTTCCAAGCAGCAGTTTTCTGCTGGGCGGATACCAAGACGCAGAAGCGGAGAATCTCAAGTCACGACGTACCAGTCCAATATTGAGGCCGTGGCTTTGCCCTCAAGCTCGTTCAGCTGAATATTATGCTTCATCAGCTCCAGCATCACATCCTGGTCAGTTAAGATGAGTGGCGCCTGGAGGTCACAACCAGCCGCCACAGCCAGTCCGACTAGTCCTCCACCAGCGCCCAATTCCAGTCTGCGTTAGGCCTGAGTCAGCAACCGTTCGACCATTCTTTGGGAGTGGCTTTAGTCATGCATCGCGGTGGGCATCTTGGGCGCAAAAAAAAAAAAAAAAAAAAAAAAACGCCGAGCGCCTCTCGGTAGAACAAGACAGAAGTTGAGGGAAGGGAAAACCACTCACATTCGGGCAGTCTCCAGCTTGGCTCTGTGGTAGCGCAGCATGTGCTTGCCCAGCACCATGCCCGCAGGCCACGTCTGTCCACCGCAGCCTGTCCGCACGTCCTCGTGGAGCTTGATAGACTGTGCGAGCAGTCCGTCAAAGTCGATGTGTGTGTCGCCGGCCACCTTTGAGTTTGGTAGTGAAACGAGGTCCTCCGTGACGCCCGCCACGGGGTCCAAGTCAGGCGACGGACTACGGCTTTCCATGGCTGTAAGCTGTGCTGGTGCGATGAAGGACGAAGGCCAGAGTGTAATGTTGGCAGGATGGAGAGAAGATGAAACAAGAGGCGGTTGTGATAAAGTTTAAGATCTGGCAGGGCGTCTACGAGTACGAGCACACGACCTTGTCCGACTCCCCCGCAGCAGCCTGTCCCTCTTTTTTCTGATACCTTATCTGTGATGGCCCTAAAGTGATGTTTTTCCTGGCCACGATAGTGTTTCCGAAGGAAAGACCCTCAATTGTTCCGGCCTGCCGCAGATGGCCGCCGGGAGAAGAACAATCGATTTCAACGCCCATGGATGTTTGCTCCTGCAAAACGCCAATGAATACCTGCTCTGGCCGCCTTTTGCTGCGCCGACGATCGTTTTCGCGATGGATCAACTGGACTACTCCATCTATACGCGCGGCAAGGATTATCAAGTGTGTATGTATACAGCTTGCCGGCTGTGGGTCTAACGGTCCAGCTGCTCGGAGGCTGCCAAGGAGCTATGCTCGGGATCAGGCGTGATCAACAATATGTTAAAGTGGTTGCAGCATTGTCAAGGGAGGATATCGCGTTACGCGTTTCTCGCCGATCCCCTCCATTCTCTAGATGCTAATAGTCTGCCTGGCCATTCTTCTGGGTGGTATCCCATGTCTCAGTCTTCAGCACCGCCAGCGCGGGGTATCCTCAACTCTGGAATGCCATAGCCTCTCTGGCCAGCCTTTTTGACGCTCTATCGATGGTAAGACCCGCCTATTCTATTGGAAGACTCTTCCTCTGTCTGGTCTCTGAAACATTTCGCCTCCCACCGTAATGGACCAGCTGTGCGTTCTCGTGATTCCGTCGGCATTATTGATAGATCGAGCCCATGATGGCTTCGTGAGCCGGCTGTAGTGGAATGAAGGGGGCTTGCACCCAAGTTAATACCCAGCCATCTCCTAGACGAGTTCAATATGACTTCTTCCTGCTGGGTTTCCAGTTTCCAGTTTCCAGTCCTTCTCCTTCTCATCTACTCCATGTTTGCCTCCTTGATATCCTCTTCTCCAAGCCGTACTTTCAGCTAAAGCTCTCTCTCCTATGCCACATGGCTTTTGTGCTGCGCTTTTGAAGCTATCCAGCGCATTCTGGCGCAACATTGTAACACGATGGCTTCGCTCTTCGCGGTTCTCTTTACTCTTCGCCTCCTAGAGACTGCTTGGGCTGAGCCTGCACCCTCATATCCTTTCAACGCACAACTCCCTCCTGCCGCCAGAATAGATCGGCTCTTCTCGTACTCTTTCTCTCCAAATACATTTACATCCAATTCCAATATCACCTACAGTCTAGGCCATCATCCAAGCTGGCTATCTCTCGAGAAAGGCGGCCGACGTCTGTATGGGACGCCAAAAGATGACGATATCCCTGCGGGAGAGGTCGTAGGCCAGCAGTTTGATCTTATTGCGACGGATAGTATCGGTTCGGCCTCTATGAATGCTACTATTGTAATATCACGCAATCCGCCACCCTCAGTAAAAATACCTATTTCACAGCAGATGGACAGCCTGGGACAATTTTCAGCCCCGTCTTCGCTCTTATCCTACCCATCAACCGATTTTCGGTATACTTTTGACCTGAATACGTTTGGTGCTGGGAAAAATTTCAGCTATTACGCTTCGACTAATGATAGCACTCCTTTGCCAGCATGGATCACATTCGATAAGCAAACGCTGACCTTCTCCGGGAGGACTCCAGCTTTTGAGTCCTTGGTCCAACCTCCGCAGAAGTTTGATTTTAATCTCGTCGCCTCTGATATTGTCGGGTTCTCGGGAACTGCTCTCTCATTTGCTATTGTGGTCGGCAGCCACAAACTTACTACGGATCACCCCGTCATTCAGCTGAATGCTACAAGAGGCTCCAAGATTAGCTATGATGGACTGACCAAAGGGATCCAGCTGGACAACAAAGCTATCGAACCTAGCTCCCTTAATGTGTCGACTGAGAATATGCCCTCTTGGCTGTCTTTAGATCCGACGACGCTACTCGTGGAAGGAACGCCGACAAGCAACGATGAGTCCGCCAGTTTTACAATCATCATTCATGATTCATTTGCAGATGTTCTGAATATTCACGTCCGAGCTGATGTGGGCACTGGTTTATTTCAGTCAAACCTCCAAAGGGATATCGAAATTAAGCCTGGAGATGAATTTAACCTTGACCTCTCGTCATATTTCCGCGACCCTAAGGATATAGACCTCAAAGTTGATCTGGATCCCGAACCGGGCTGGCTACATGTTGATGGGCTCAAAATATCAGGCAATGCCCCCAAAACGGCAAAAGGCAAATTCAAAATGTCACTCAAAGCTACGTCGAAAAGCAATGGTCTCAGCGAATCAGAGGTATTGCAAGCCGCCTTTCTCTCGCCAGACAAAGCGACGTCGTCCTCCGGTTCTCATGCATCAAATTCCACGATGCCGGCTGGCATGAGTTCCGAAGATGGCCCACCTCACCGTATGAATACAACCGATATTCTCCTGGCTACTCTTTTACCGATTCTGTTCCTCACCTTTGCCATAATGCTCATTGTATGCGTCATGCGCAGAAGACGGCATCGTCGAACTTATATCTCGTCAGCAAAGCATCGGCCCAAGATATCAGACCCAATACGCTTTACACTGCGCAATAACGAGTCAGACGAGGAAACAATCTACCACGTAGAGAAGACTATAGGCTCCAAAAGATCCAACACGCAGCTACAGCTATTCAAGAAAGGTAATGGTATCTTTGCAGAGGTGGCATCACAAATATCATCAAGGTCAAAAAGATCGGGTACTTTGCGCGGTGTTTCCATACCCAGGCGTACTCCTACAGCGCCAATGGCATCGGGAGCTCGGCCTGCCACGGCTAGGAGCGTTAGTCCGCTGGACGACGAAGATCAAGCCTCATGGTTTACCGTAGAGAGAACCACAGCTAGCGGGCGAAGCCATAAGGCAACAGACAGCTGCCATTCAGACACGACCTTGCCCGAAGCCGCTCAGTTGTATTTGCCCACATCAAGTTTCCTCACAGAAGCTGGGGGGAGTGCATTTAGGAGCGGACTAGATCTTACGCTGCCGTCCTTTGATGATTTGGCCAATATACAGCCCATGTCCGTTGCACCTCACAACGTTTCAAGCGAGCGAGCTGTCTCGGGGGCCTTTTCGGCTACAACGTCCAGTTCTGCCGCGTTGCCGTCAGTCCTTTCGACAGTTCAAGACATTCAAGAGCCATTTGACCCCAGCCTTGTTAGTCGAGCGAAAGAACCCGCCAATAAGCCTCTCACCAAGGAAAAGGAGCCCGCCACAGAAACAAAGGCAGATGGCGAAGCAGCTGAAAGCATCTCAGAGCTAAAACAGCCCAGCCAAGCGCGACTTTCGAGCCACAAATGGCTCAGCCGCCGCGGTTCTTCTTGGATGAACACAGCCTCTATATCAAATAGAGCCAAGAGCTTCCAAACAGAGCCATCATTTGGATCAAACGAGAACTGGCGCGCGCTCGCCCAACGAGATCCAAGCATAGCATACCTAGAGCTCGTAGACGAGACGCCTTTCCTCCCGTCCAGATCGGCATCGAGAACAAACGTGTCACAGCTAGAAGAGCGACGGAGCCTGGAGCTCATGTCGCCAAGCAAATGGGGCGAGGATGAGAGGAAGAGCACGATACGGCCCATGAGGTCCACGAGTGCGATATCTGCGGTGAGCGAGGGTGGTACGTCGTCTGTGTTTGGGGAGAGAGAGGCGGCGACCTGGAAGAGAGAAGCTTCGGCTGCTAAAGTGTCAGAGAGGAGCTTCAAGATGTTTATATAAATCAAAAAGGGCGGGTTTGCACAACTGCTTTATGTTGACATATTTGCTTTTTCTTATGAAGTAGCTGTGGTTGTTGATTTTGGTTTCCCCTACCTATGTGGCATTTTCTTTTCGATACCATGGAACTAGTACTTGGGGATAAAGGAGGCAAGTGAAGAGTAAAAGAATAGAGAATCTTCCAAGCATGAGCAGGCAGGTCTATTCGCGCGCGGAGGTATTCTGCATTTGCATTGCGTTTATCATATATATACAATATAAAAGGATTCTTTATATACCTCAGTGTTCTTATTCTTCCCTGTGTGTGTATTTTCATACTGCCGGTTCCTGTTTTTCGGCTTTCCGCTGGAGAAGTTGGGATACAAGGAGCCAATTGAGTCGTTGGATGTGCATTTGTCACACAGAGATTGCCGCGCGGCATGATAAGGCACAGTTAAGTGCCGAGTACCTGGCCCTAGTAATCGCGGCTGCATGGTACATGCGCATCTACCTACCTGGCACTTGATCGCTTTTTTTTCTCCAGCCACAAAAACCCCCCCCTGTCCGCTGAAGATGGATGGAGGGGTTGGTTGCAGTGAAGCATCAATGCCACTCTGCTTTCTAATATGTAACGGAAGTATGCTTCTATTTTAAGCCTCACCTCTGCATCAAACGATTGTCCAAGACAAGAGAAGAACGAACATCAAATCTCCGCTACGGGGCACTAAACTAAACATAAAATAGAACTGCTCCGCATCGTGCTAAGGGACATGGAGACGCAAAGGAAATTAAGCCCTTTGCCTCTTGCAGAATCGCACAGATAGCGGGCTTCTCGCTAGGCAGCTTGCAGTAGCTTGCTTCGCCACATCTGGCTGCCTATCTACAGGACAGTGAAGGTGAAGTGAACAGAGCCTGCCAGGGGGGTTGAACAGCTCTAGCGCTATCACGCAGCCTGTAGCATAGCGCCCGGGGAGCCCGTTTGCAGTGCAGACGTGATGGAAGAAGAAAAAAAAAAGTGTGGCGTTCGGTTTGGCTGATGTATTCTGGTACCCCGCTTCCTACGAAGCCGACCGATTTTGCGTCGCTGGCAAAACCACCACACACAAACAAATCTCCATCCACCTGACCTCTGGTTTTTTTTGTCCCTGACACGCCTTCCACTTCCTGGAATCTAAAGCCAAACAGAGGCTCTTTGCGAGGTGTCCAGCCTTGCCTCAGCGACGCCTAGACCCCGCATCCTTTTCTTTTTCTTCTCTCGCCTTCGTTCGTGCCGCACGCAAAGCACTCTCGACGATCGCCCGCACCCCCGAGCCTCGCTTCTTGCCCATATCGATATAACCCTTCGCTGGCCCTCGTGAGCCAGGACTCCTCTCCGCAGCCATGGGTCAGACCCTCTCGGAGCCCGTCGTCGAAAAGGTGTGTTGCGTTGCGTTGCGTTGCGGGCGCCTCGTCTGTGAGGTGCCCGCTGTCTGTCCCCGTCATGCCTTGAGCGCACCGTGACGCTCTCGTCATATGCCTCAGCCGCGACCCGATAGCTTCAACGGGCTATAAAAGTCCAAGCCTGCGTGGTCTTGTACCATCTCGTATTGCTTCTGTCTTGTCTCTGCCCTGCCTCGTGCGTCCCGCCATTGTGGCCTCGAGGAGCAGAAAATCGGCCGTCGAGCGCATGCACAACCCCGCCGCGCATAGCTGCTCATCTTTTCCTCTTCTCTGCCTCGTGTTTCTGCCTCTAGATGCCATCTTGGAGCTCTCTTTCAAGCTGCCCTCACAATCGCTAACCGCCCCTCCTTTCTCCAACATCTAGACTTCCGAAAAAGGCGAGGATGACCGACTCCTCTACGGCGTCTCAGCCATGCAAGGCTGGCGCATTAGCATGGAAGATGCCCACACGGCTGAGCTGAACCTACCCGCACCTGACAACGACACCAAGACGCACCCTGACCGGCTGGCATTTTTCGGAGTCTATGACGGACACGGAGGAGACAAAGTCGCATTGTTCGCAGGCGAGAATATCCACAACATCGTATTCAAACAAGATTCTTTCAAGACCGGCAACTATGCTCAGGGCCTCAAGGACGGCTTCCTTGCAACGGATCGGGCTATTCTCAACGGTACGAATATGATAACCCCACTTAACATACATTTGCCAGTTTGTGCGCAAAGCATAGACACAATGAAGAAGCAGGAGAGAGGCAGAACAAATATGGATTACGCCTAAAATTCTATCGCTTCTCTCGTGCATATACTAGACTCGTCCTTTATGGAAGAATAAGTTTGTGCTAACTTGCCTTGTGCGACGTTGTTTACAGACCCCAAGTACGAGGAAGAAGTTTCTGGCTGCACCGCTTGCGTTTCCCTGATCGCTGGAAACAAGATCTATGTCGTACGTCCGCCTGGCCTATGGAAATGGAAGCATTCTCAGACTAACAAGAATATCGTAGGCAAACGCCGGTGACTCTCGAGGTGTGCTGGGCATCAAGGGCCGAGCCAAGCCCCTATCTAACGACCACAAGCCTCAGCTTGAAAGTTTGTACACCCGTTCAATCAGTATTTGAAGACTGGGAATACTGATTGCCATTACCTTGCGATTTACAGCGGAGAAGAACCGAATCACAGCGGCAGGCGGCTTCGTCGACTTTGGCCGTGTCAACGGTAACCTGGCACTGTCGCGTGCCATCGGCGACTTCGAATTTAAGAAGAGCGCCGAGCTCTCCCCCGAAAATCAAATCGTTACCGCTTACCCCGATGTCGAGGAGCACGATCTCACAGAGGAGGATGAATTTTTGGTCATTGCTTGTGATGGTGAGTTGGGATGATGCCAACAAAATTTGGTTATAGGCGTGAAGAAACACCAGGCTTACATATACCTTTTTTTTTCGCCGCTAGGTATCTGGGATTGCCAGTCTTCCCAGGCTGTTGTCGAATTCGTGCGACGAGGCATTGCTGCCAGACAAGACCTTGACAAGATTTGCGAGAACATGATGGACAATTGCCTTGCATCAAACTCAGAAACCGGCGGTGTTGGCTGCGACAACATGACCATGATCATCATTGGTTTCTTGCACGGCAAGACCAAGGAGCAGTGGTACGATGAAATTGCCAAGAGAGTGGCTGACGGTGATGGCCCTTGTGCTCCCCCGGAATATGGTACGAGCGAACCATTCCCCAGCTTCCAATATACAAGCCTAGAGGCGGAACCTTAAAGACTAACCAAAATATCACTATCAGCGGAGTTCCGCGGCCCAGGAGTCCACCACAACTACGAGGACAGCGACAGCGGCTATGATCTTGACCAGGAGAGCGGCGGCAAGTTTAGCCTCTCGGGATCCCGTGGTCGGATCATCTTCCTTGGCGACGGCACAGAAGTCCTGACCGGAGCTGACGACACAGAGATGTTTGATAACGCTGACGAGGACAAGGATCTTCCCAGCCAGATTTCAAAGAACCCTAAAGAGTCTGAGGCCAAGGAAGATTCAGAGTCCAAGCCAGCGCCCGAGTCAGCGTCTGCACCGGCGGAGAAGAAGCAAGACGAGAAGGCACCCGAGGAGAGTAAGAAGGATTAGGTGGTCCTTTCGCCCTGCTCAGGTAGCTCGCCTTGAAGCCCGCCCTTTGTGTGATTGATGAATATGTGCCATTATTCTTTTTTTGGCTGTCGCTCGAACCAGGCGTGATCTCGATCTCGAACCAAGGCGTGAAGGAATGTGTACCCTTACCTAGGTAAGCCAGGAAGAGGGAAAGGGAAAGGTTTTAGCAAACGTCGTGGGAGAGGGGGCAGAGGATTAGGGGGCGATTAGACATTTTGAGTGTTCCCCTCTTATACGGTTCTTTCTATCGTTGTTGATATTTGGTGTACCGGTGGTATAATATTTGGATCAAGGAGAGTTGGGTCTCTTGCAGCATACACACGGTTCCCCCCCTTGACGCGCATCTTCTTTTTTTTTTATTACTCCGTCCTCCGTCTTGGAACAGGAAAACCGCCACTCTGAGCTTGATCCTTTGTTTCTATTAATTCTTTTTCGCATTGCTCCAGACCCATTTATTATCATTTCTGATACCCAACCAACCTTCTCCAACAGACGTCCGCTTTTCATTCTTCAAGCTCGAGTGATGTTTTTAAAACAATTGGTGAAATGAGGTACCTACCGTTCGTGTTATAAATCCGAGAGACGCTACAGGTTCGCTTCTCGGATACTGTACGGGGGCTGGCTTCTTTCCTTGATCATGCTGCTGCTGCTACCTAGGTATGTATACATCACCTTTTCTGCCCCAAGTCTCTCTCTCTCTCTCTCTCTGGAAACTAGATTTTCATCTCATTTTCTGGGGGGGAATATGAGTTGTGGTGCTGTGGAACTTACTCTAGGCTTCGCTTGCTTGTAGATGGAAGTAGAAGAAGAGCTGAGGAAAGGATTACAAGGATATAAAGTAAGAGTGGAAAAAGACTTCTCTCTTGCTGAGGTAATATTGGCGCTTTTTGGGGGGATGGGATAGGCAGGTAGGTAGATGGCTTAGAGACTTTTTAGCATACGCTATGTCTTAAATATATTATACATGAGATTATATGCTCATCTGCTAGTATACAATTGTGATATTCGTAAATGTCCGTAAAAAGCAGAACTGCTGCTCATCTGTGTGTCATACATACATACCATGCTACCCAACAAATCCCCCCCGAGTTCTATATAAATTACAGAGATCCATTGATCTTGCCAAAAATGATATAAAAATGCCCACAGCCTTATACATATATATATATATATATATAATAAAGCCCATCCTCCCTCCTCAAGAACTCCTTTTCAAGTCACCCGGTATCCTTTTATTTCGATCAAACCATTCCTGAGACTTCTTCGCCTTCTCTTCATTCCAGCCTTTCACCATTGTCTTTGGATCAAAATGCCAGTTCAAATGCACATACATCGCTTTCTTATCCGCCGTCCCACTCCCGACCATCTTAATCGCCAAATCATCACTGGGGGCATCAGCGCCCTCGTATTGGAAGTCCTTGGGATATCTATGCCGCAGCAGCAGCGGCCTATCTTTGGTCCGCTGAGCCAGATCGAGCATTTCTACGAGGGGCTTCGCGGGCTTATATCCCTCACAGACTTGGTTGATGGCCCATTCCACGCGGGACAGCATCCTGGATATCCCTCTGTTCCGGTTGTCCTGGAGGAGGCGGCCCATCTCTTTGGAAAGCATCTTGGGCTTGTGCTGCAGCCAGAATGTATCTTTGACATGATTTGCCAGATGACGGCGCAGAATGATTCTCGTAAGATACTGTAGTTTATACTCCAGCGCCCCGTAAAAGACAGCAACACCAAGGGCGTGCGGCAGCTGAAGCCTGATAGCCAGCCGAATAATATACTGATACGTCGTCGCGTCTGCCTCATACCCGGACTCCTTCAACTTGGTAAGCGCCCAAATGGCGGTATCCCAGTCCTTGTAGAACAGGCATGTTTCTAGAACCAAGTTAATGGTGTCGACGCCGACCTTGCGGCCATCTTCAGACTGCATTTCGATGAGGCTCTTAAACTCGTCATAGCGACGATTGTTCCGCTCGTGAAACCGGAAGAACTCTGTTAATATGCTCTTTATAGCATCTGCCGTAAACCAGTCATCACCATACCGCGACTTCTGCTCCGCCATGAAGATAGGGAGCCTTTTTCCTGATTTAAAAGCAACGTAGGCGTCATGGGCGGCCATGATCCGCGCGATTCCCCTGCGTGTGGCGGGATCCTTGAATAAACCCAAGTCGTACATGGCCACGATGATTTGTCTTCTTTCAGTCTCCTTTTCGACAAGCTCGAGGAATAGTAGCCACGTCCGCGCATTGGGGTGAAAGTATCGCTGTTCCATCTTTCGAAGCAGCCAGTGGAAGAAGCCAACGTCGCGTTTAGTGACGTAACCTTCGAGCATGATGTTGAAAACCTCTGTATCCAGAGGGATACCCCATTCTTCTGCCAGGGCTAGCAGTCGGTCTGCATCTGCCCGATGGCCTCCTTTATGAGCCATGAATGACATGGCCATCTTCAGCATCGACGGTGTAATGCAGGCTTTTGCCTCGGGGTCCGTGAGGGCATCCATGATCATGCGAATTCTAATGCCATCCGTGTCGACAAACTTGCCGTCCTTTTCGGGTTTTACGTAGTAGCGTAGTGCAAGATGCGGACGCAGCCGGCCGCAAACAAGCGTTGTGATGTATGATTCGAGATTCTCAATCGTCCACTGCTCCGGCTTGGGAGTCTGCTCATACGGCGACTCGATCCAATGCGTCTGATGCTCTTGATGCACCCAGATGTTGTCGAGTTTGTCCTCCGGAATAAACGTGCCACCATCCACGGCATCCTCAATTGCGGGCCAAAGACGCTTCACCTCGTAGCCAAATGCCGCAACTTCTCCAAGCTTATATACTTCAACGTCCTTGCACGCGGCTACCAATTCCTCCGCCGCACTGGCCAACACTGAGCTCTTTCCACGTAGAATGATCGCCGAAGGGTTCTGATGATCCGAAGAAACCCGTAGCTTTGCGAGCAGCCCCGTCGTCGAATCCACAAACTCAACCTTCTTGTTGTCCAGCTCCAGCTCCCACGACTTGGGCAGAACAATCCTCATCGCCGCCATGCTCAACGGCTCGCTCCTCTTTGTCATCATTCTCTTCAGCAGGTTAAACGTCTCAGACCAGTCCGGCATCTCCTGGCCGAAATCCCGCCATATCATATCAAACGCCACCTGCACCTTCGCCACCTGCAACGCATGCACTTTGCTCTCTTCCGCTGCATGTGCCAGCGGATAGCCCCTCACCGTAGGGACATACGGCGAAGCGAGCTTCCGTTGTACATCTGTTGACTGTGCCGCACTCTTTTCTCGAAAAGTCTCCCTAAACATGCGATTTCGTGCATTGTTGGGGCGTGCCGCTTTCGAGGACGGATTTTCTGAAGCAGGTAATATCGTCTCAGCCTCTACAGGCGAGGCATTGTGCAATTCGGCAACAGCAGACTTGTTCGTCGAAGCAGCTGAAGATGTAAAGCGCGAGGTCGAGGCCAGGGCCGGTGCGGGCCTAGGAGATGCTGCGGTGCGCCATGATAGCGCTCGAGTCGGACGAGATCCAGGCGTGCCGATGAACTGGGACCGAGTCCTCCAAATCGACTTGATCCCTTGGAACATTGGTCATGAGGTGCACATGTTGCTGCTTTATAAGAGGGCAGTAGAGGCAGAGTTCGCAATAGGAAATGCACTGCCGATAAGCTCCGATAAAGGAATTTCTATTGCCTCTGCAGCATTTTAGCACCGTCACGTGCCACTTGTACTTGCAACGATCCTTTCTCTACAGAGTTACTCGGTTGAACGAAAATACAAGAGGCTCTTTATTAAGAGTCAGATATCTTGTCTCATAATTCTACTAACAAATCCTTGATTTCCAGCCCAAAACCCAAGCGCCAGATGCTGCGCTCCCATGCAAGTAGATGCCAAAAACAGTAAACAGCCGAGTCGCCCCTCAATCGTCCCAAAGTAGCGCCAGTTTCACAGCCAGGTATAATCAATCGTATGGGCCGTATTCTTTCAAATTCATGCTTTACCAACTCCTCCAACACAAAAAGGGTATATGCATTTACCTGTGCAGTTTCTCTCAAGCCAAAAAGGCCGTAAATTCCACAAAAAAAAAAAAAAAAAAAAAAAAAAAAGCGTCTCAGGGCTTTGGCATCTTGCCATCTCTAGGGGCTTCAGGGGCGCTCTTGTCTAGACCTTGCCATGGATCATCACCAAGTCCCTCACAGGTGCCGACAACGTCGCGCAATTCTCCGCTCTCAGCCATCTGCTTCACATCGCTCCAGTAAGCCAGCTTGCAGACCTCTTCTTCAGCATGCCTCACGGCGGCGTCAAGGGCCTCTTTGCGAACCTTCAATTCTAGACTCTTGTCTTCCTCCCATGCTTTTGCCGTCTCTTCGTGTTTATGCATTAAATATGATAGCAGCTGCCTGCGTGATTGTTGGAATATGAACAGACACATGATTTCATGCATCTCATGCTGTAGTTCTGACAAGTCTATCGCATGCTCGATATAGTTTTCGACAGCTTCTCGCCTCTCTCGGTCAATCCTGGCAGTGCGGAGGATATGAAGAAGCATGTGTATATCCTCGATATCGGGTCGATTTTGCTCTGGTTCAACAGACGATGCCTGCGTCGTACTAAATCGGCTCGGAGCCCTGCTTGGAGCTCTGCTGCCGACCCGGCTACCTTGCGGGCTTAGGACGGATGGTAGCCCAGTGTGGAAATAGTCGAAACTGGCAAGAGGATTCGATCCAATTGCTGCTTCTTCAGGCCGCTTCTTCGCCCTCTTCCGAATCCATGCACGCCGTCTGACAAACGAGTTCCACCACTTTGGTCCGTGCCATGAGAATGCCTTTTGAAAGGCAAAAGAATATTCCCAGCCACCTTCATCCAAGCCGTCTTGCTCATTGATCCGCCATTCAGGCCATACCCACTCCCACGACGGGTCGGGAACCTGCGCAGTATGAATATCAGTGGGAGATGGATTGTGGTAAGCATTGGCTACCATATATTTGGTTAGTTGAGTTTTTTTCGCACAATGTCACGATTCGCAGGTATAACTCACTCCAAGGGGTGGGGTCAAGCCCGCCGAGAGCTGCGGCAGAAAACAAGCCGACGCCACAACATAAAAATCCGCCTCTTTCATTCTCGTATAGAATATCTATAGCCGTCTCCCGCTTGTCTCTTGACCTGGGCCTTGAACGGTTATCCCAATGTGAAGTGCGTTCCGAAACGGCGTCGAGACTTGGACCGACTGTTTCAAAAGAAAGCAGCAATTAGCATGGATTATGGCGAAATGAAAGGTACAAGCTACCCACCTCGGATTTCGATTGAGGGTCCTTCGCCGGAAACTGAAGGACGTAAATCGCTGGTCGTCTCCGCAGTAGGGAGCTGGTAAATATGAGTTTCGGCGTTTTTCGCCTTCAACGCACTGCTTGGCTGCAGATGCGTGTCGTCCTGGCCGTGTCTCTCGCCACGGTGCGAAGGCCGCTCCTGGTCATCCTCTGTCTCTGCTTCCTGGTCAGATAGCAGGCGTGAAGCGGTATTCGAGGCAATGAGCGCTCTGCCTTCAGAGCTTGCAGCTCGTTGTGATCCTTCTTCGGCCTCATCGTCCAAGATTGTAATCTCGTGATCGTAGTCACCCGGCTGTAAGGTCGCAACGCGGCGTGAGCCGTGCATCTTGATTATAGTCGTCGGCAGATCATGAGGATGTTGATTCCGGGTCGATTGCAGTCGCACAAGAAGGAGCGTATATAGCAATATCGCTTGGGGCTAGGGCTTGTCTAATGATTCGAGAGTGTGTTGGAGCTCACGTCATCGATTATAGCAGTTTCGATGTGCCAGACAAAAGAACTTTGCTATAGCATTCGAGTCACTGCAGTATCAAATGTATTATTAAAAAAAAATTATAGCAAAGAAACAGAAAGAATCAAAGAAGAAGGCAGCTCCAACGTGAAAGAACCAGGAACGCTTCGCAAGCAACAGAAGCAAGAAGTTGGTCCGTGTAAAAGGAGTAGAACAAAAAAATGGATGAAGCAGGCGGAGCTCCAAGCTTGTTTTACTTGTACTGCTTCCAGCCAGGCGATAGCGCGACTTGCCTGGGAGGCCAAATGACCCGCAAGTGGGGAGATGGATGCAGATGCGCCGATTGCCCTGCATGCCACTGGAGCGCACCATTACATAAGTTCTAAAAGCGCACGGCCATGTCTTATCACATGGTCCTGTCAAATCTACAAATGCATGTATATAGAGTACATTGACATTGCCCTCCGCTGCTGTACAGGTGCTGGTGATCACCATGTCAGCTCTTGCCGATGAAGGCATCGTTAGAATTAGAGCCTCGTCTGCGGCGTACCTTGCGAGCTAGTGGCGGGTAACTGGGCCGCAGAGGTGCTTTGTCGATGATGTAATGGCAGCAACCGAGAGCTACTAACAGCCTACAGGCCGCACGCTAGATCGCTAAATTACAGCGTGATTGGCGGATGTCTCTCCCCGAACAGGCACCATGGACGGTGTTGCTTCAGCGATTTACTTCAGTGGATCGACGTCTTCTTAGTGATCGATCGCACTGCATGCACGGGGTTCTTTTTCTTCTGCAGATCGCAGATTCGTCCCATTTATGCTGCATTATCGTCCTATGTAGAATATAGCCCCTGTCACTCTCTAGAACATTTGTTCCATGGGGCCTCGTTCTGTTCCATCGCATCTCCTCTTGCATTCCAGTCATGATTTTCCAGCCACAAATCTCAAATCAGCAGCCATTTACACACAGCTCTAATAAGATTGACCAATCCTCTGCCATTCACAGCGCTAAAAGTTCAGTCTCTGCCTACTACGGCCATGGTAAAAATCCGGGGTACTTGTACTTGCTACTTGCTGCCCCGCTCTCACGACCACACTACGTCATGTATTCCCAAGTCGACGCTTTTGCATCACCATCACGAAGTTTTCCCAGCAGGTTGCCTCAGCATACCGAAAGTCCAAGGTACCATAGACGATGCGTCATAATGAAGTAGCTGGTTCGTGCATGCCTTGCGCGTAAGAGTGATAAATAATGCTGAGCTTGTGGCCGGATGCCAAAACGGTTTCCAGCTAGCAGCATCACACACACAGCTTTTCCTCCAATTAATTCTTCTGCTCACCCGTCCATTTCTAGCCCATCAAGCAACTCTCTATTCCCTTTCTGTTTTCCGATCTGGTGTTCTCGCCAGAAAATAATCATCCAATCCTCCACACATTCGCCACCTACCACCATCATCGCAAATCCCCCACAGCGCATCAGAACCACAACCAACACTTCATCCATATCGCAGCGACGCGCAAAGCCAATCCAACAACCATGTCTAGATCACGAATGCCCTTAGTCCTCGGCCTCGGTGCCGCTGGTGGTATCGGCTACTATCTCTACAGCGCGGGCGGCAACGCCAAGGCGGCAGAGGCCAAATTCGAGAGTATGAATTACCTTCTCCATCTCAAATATACCCGTCTATTTTATTTTATTTTTTACTGACGCTCTCACAATTAAGGCGACGCCGATCGAGCAGCTGCAAAAATCAAGGGCAAGCTCCCCGGCGACTCTCCCGATGCCGAGAAAGGCTTTAAAAACGTAGGCCAAGAAGCTGGCGCCAAGCTCGACAAAGCTGTACGTCGTCTTCTCGTTCCTTTGACTAGTTTGAATTAATTTAAACTGACTATTTCTCTTAGTTGGCCGATGCCGATAAAGAAGCCAACAAGCTCAAGAGCAACGCAGAATCCTACGCCAAGGACGCCAAAAGCGAAACCTTGAAAGCCATCGACAAGTTTGACCAAAAGGTTGAAGACGGCGCCGCAAAGGCCAAGAGCGGCATCTCAGGCTGGTTTGGAGGAAGTAGCAAATAAGAAGAATCATTGCGACTACAGGTTGTGGTTGAAGAGTAGGAGAAAAAATGAAGCTAAAGCCGATGAAAGGACATAATAGCAAGGCTGTGTCTATTTAAACCTAATACCAGTATATTTTTCTCATCTTATTTCTACCGTAACCCTCTTGAGAAGAAATATGAATCAAGTCTTGGTTCATTAGCAGAGTCTATTATACTCTCTTTCAATGAAACTGTGCAACTGAGAATATTCCAAGCCACCCATACACCGCAAAAAAAATAATAAAAATAATCATACTTGCAGTATCAAAAGAATCCTAAACCCCTCTTCAAACTCCTTTGCCATTTCTAAAATCAGTATAATACGCCTTCCCTGCTCTGCTCATATCCACAAGCAAGATCACTGTTCTAGCTCTGCCGCAACAAGCTTCAGAATCTCCTCCACGCTCTTCTTCGCATTCTTGGGATTCTTGGCCACAGACTGCCACACCTCGCCGTGCCTCGGCTCGTTAAGCACACACTTGGTCACCATATCCGCCCTCTTCTCGTCCGTGCCGTGTTGCACTAGGAATCGGTAGTACCAGGCCCAGCTGTCGCCCTGATCCGCGTCCAGCACAAGGGCCTTCTCGAACCAGCTTTGCGCCTTCTCCAGTTTACGGTCGCCCCAGAAGATACGGGCGACGGCCACAAAGAGGATCGGGTCGTTGTCCACCTTCTTGATGGCCTCCAGACTGCGGGGCTTTCGCTGCGTGCGAGGCTCCAGATTCCAGATTTGCTCGACCCAGAGGATGCCGCTCTTGGGGGCTTCTTGAAGCGCCTTGGCCATAAGTGACTTGGCTTGAGACAGGTTGCCAGCACGACGCTCAAGGCGAACAGACTCACACCAGAGCTCTCCATTCTTGGGTACAGCCAGACGGGCTCGGTCAAGCACTGAACGGGCCTTGACAGTCAGACCCGACTTTTCCTCCAAGCGAGAGTACAGAAGCCAAAGAGGCACGGATCTGGGAACCGCCTTGACTCCCGTGGCGTATGCCTCTCGAGCTTGCCCCGTCTTGCCCAGGTCTTCGTATATTTGGCCCTTCAGCATCCATAGCTTGGCTGCGGTGGGGAAGAGTTGTAATGCCTGTAGAACCAAGTCCAGCGCAGTTTCGACATTGCCCAAGACCCGCTCAAAGACAACGCTCTTCATCCAGACACGATCAGTAGGTGCTTGTTCTCTTGCAATCGCCAGCAGTTTCCGAGCCTGGTCCTCGTTGCCATTCTCAGACTCCAGTTTGACGGCGGCCAGCCAGATGTCCTCGTTGTTGGGGTTCTGGTTGAATGCTCGCTTAAGCACCAATCTCGCATTGTCCACATCTCCCGATTGCCATTTCTCCTTGGCTAGCATCATCCACAGATCCTCGCTCTTAGGACAGGCTTCGACCGCCTTCTCTAGGACCTGCCACAGAGATTCGCGCGTTCCGTGATTCCGCTCAAGGTCTGCTGCAGCCATCCACATCGTCCGGCTATTGACAAAGACGCGCAGGGCGTAGGCGTAGATAGCCCTCGCCGTCTCATATTTGCCTCTGTTGATACTTGATTTGGCATCCTCCGCCCACGTATCCTTACGGTCATCGTCTTCGTCCAGGCCCCAACCCAGAGTTTCCTGAATAATGTTCTGGCAGGTAATAATAGCACCCTCTTCCTCACACTTTTCCGCCTCACCAATCCACTCTTCACGCTTTGGCATGGCCGATTCTTTAGCCAGAACTTGAACAGCTCGCTTCAAAACAGGAATCTTCTGTCCTTGGCCCAGCTGTTCCTGTAAACGAGCAGCTGCAATCCAAATCTCGTGCGAAGTTGGAACTGCCTTTCGTGCCTTGTTCAATACCTTCTGCGCATTCTCAGGGGTTTCAAGTCGTGCCAACGCCAGCCACAAGTCTACAGAAAGCGGGATGAGCTCTGTAGCCTTTGCCAGCATGAGCTTCGCGTCTTCGGGGTCGTCCTCCAGGTTGACTGCTTCTTTCCATAGCGCCTCTGACTCCGGAATATGGTCCAGCGCCTGTCTGATAACTCGTTTCTTGTTGCTTGGTATAGTCTCCAACCTCATTGCCTCCACCCATAGCCTAACTGAGCGGTTGTTGGCCTCGATAGCTCGTCGTGCAATAATCTTAGTATTTGGTGAGTCGTGGTTAAGTCGAATGTTTTCCAGCCACGCATCCTCGCTCTTAGGGCACCGGGTACAACCCTGGTCGATTGTTTTCCGCGCGGCCACAATTTTGCCAGCCAACTCCTCCAGTCGGGCGGCTGCAATCCAGCCTAGAGCGTTATTGGGGTTGGTCTTGACAACAGATTGAAGCAACTCTCGCACTCGGTTGATATCACCGACCTGCGCCTGAGATTCGTTCATCTGCATCTTGTTTAAGCTCGTAATGTATCCCTGCGCATCGATGCTAGTTGAAGTTCCAATGACCGAGTCGCCACCAGCGGTTTGTGAGGCCTGTTCCAGCCTCGACTTCAGGACTCTGTCGCGGGCAGCACCGATCTTAGCAAAGTTAGTCATGGTGCCGTCAGATGCGTCCGTCGTGCTTGACGCAGCCCCGTCATCCATAACCGTTGTTCCCATCTCTCCCGAGGCCCCTGCGGCCGCGAGCACGCTGTCTGGCACCGCATAGAACCGCTGCCGCAAAGCCTGCTTGCTGCGCCGGTTCTTACCAGTCAGATCGCCCACCTCGGGCAAGTTGGCCCAGTCATCGTCCGAGACCGAGGCGAGAGCACGTTTCAGGTCTGAAAACTGCTGCTGGATTTTGGGGTTGTTCCTCTCATATTCATCGCGCTCAGCATTCTCACGAGCCTCTCTTTGCCGTCTTCGTCGGTCCATTCGTTCATCTACCCACTCCCAGATCTTGTCCGCTTCCTCATCGTCCTTGTCGTAGACTCCGCCCGCGAAAAGTCCAACCTCGTTATCAGGATCCTGGTATCTTTCATCGTCTTCCTCCTCCTCCTTATCTTTGCCCTTCTTGCCTTCAGGCACGAGTCCAAGCTGTGCAGCACGCTTCGCAATCGCCTCTTTGATCTGGTCTTCGCTGGGGCCGTCACGAGCAGGTCCAAGATCGGATCGGGTTGTGAAACCGGTGGCACCTCGACCCAGACCCGCGACGTAGTTTTCTGGAGCCGGCTGGCTCAGAAAGTCGCGTCGGGTTGACATCGTTTCGGCCGGATTCTGAGCGGATGGTTGGAATTCAAGATGAAGATTGATCAAGGCGAGAGAGCCCTTGTCGCGAGCCAAAGGCAACACTTAGCCCGCGAGCTTGAAACAGGTGTGAATTTAGGAAGCTTATGAAGTGGATCCCAGCTAGAATTTACACCCGCTTTGAAAAATTCTGGTACTTGCCAGACCGCTTATCGATAATCTCGCCTGGACAAAAAAAAAAAGTTTCCCACCACCAGCCATCGCCCCTCGTCTCCACGATATCGCAACGCCTGCAGATATACCCAAATTGCGCCAACCGGGCAATATTTTTTTTTTTTTTTCAACCATGGCCAAAGCCGACAGAGCGAAGCGCAACAACGCTTCCAATGGCCCATACGAGAAGCCAAGTGAAAAAAACTCAAAAACCAACAATGTCTTCAAGTTCAACACCAACTTTGGTCAGCACATTCTGAAGAACCCCGGTGTCTCAGACGCCATTGTCGACAAGGCCTTTCTCAAGCCCACAGACACCGTCCTTGAAGTCGGTCCCGGTACTGGCAACTTGACAGTCCGCATTCTGGAAAAGGCCAAAAAATGCATCTGCGTCGAGCTGGATCCTCGAATGGCGGCCGAAGTCACCAAGCGTGTGCAAGGAAAGCCGGAACAGCGAAAATTGGAGGTTTTGCTGGGAGATGTGATCAAGACAGAGCTACCAGCTTTTGATGTTTGCATCTCAAATACCCCCTATCAGGTATGCTCAACATTAAGGCTCCCCAGATTGACTTTACCACATCGTGCTAAACTGTACCAAAACAGATTTCAAGTCCCCTCGTCTTCAAGCTGCTCTCCCTGCCCAACCCTCCTCGATGCTCCGTTCTCATGTTCCAGCGTGAATTTGCCCTCCGTCTCACAGCCCGCCCCGGCGACGCCCTCTACTGCCGCCTGTCCGTCAACGCCCAGTTCTGGGCCAAGATCACCCACATCATGAAGGTTGGCAAGAACAACTTCAGGCCTCCGCCGCAAGTCGAGTCCTCCGTCGTGCGCATCGAGCCCAAGATGGGTAAGGACCGGCCCAACGTCAGCTGGGACGAGTGGGACGGCCTTCTGCGAGTGTGCTTTGTCCGCAAGAACAAGACGCTCCGCGCGAGTTGGCTGGGCACCAAGGAAGTACTCGCCATGGTTGAGCGCAACTACCGCACCTGGTGCGCCATGAACGGCGTGCCCATCGACGAGAGCGTCGTCGAGGGTGCAGAGGAGGAGGACGACATGGAAATGGATGACGGTGGCGCCAACGATGGCGAAGACGCCGGCATGGACGTCGACGACCTCGGCGATGATACCCCCAGTTTCTTCCAAGACCTCAAGGCCGCCAGCGCCAACGTTCCCAAGACCAAGAGCAAGCGCAAGAAGACCAAGGTTGCGGAGCTCGTCCGCGAGAAGATCCGCAAGGTCCTCGAAGACGTGACAGAACTCGCAGATAAGCGAGCCGGTAAATGTGACGAAAACGACTTTTTGCGTCTGCTCTTTGCTTTCAACGAGGAGGGCATTCACTTTTCATAGATGTCTCTTTCTTTCTTTCTTTCTTTCTTTCTTTCTTTTTTCTTCTACTTATTGATTGAGGTCACCGAGATGGTGAATCTGAAAGAGATATGAAGTTATGAAGGAATATGTCTCTATTAGAAGACTCTTTTTTTTTCTTTACACCATGGTTCGCAATAAAAGCCGGGAAAATGGGCGTTACTGGAGTTTTAAAAACCATCTTGCACTGGGCATCGAAGAAGCATCACGTTTTTGTTGCACGCCTGCGGCCTTACATATATAGTACTTACTAAGTAGTTGGAAAGAAATGTTATCATAACTTAAGAGCACAAGATATAGCCTCTAAAAAACGCCATCATTGGAAATCATCCTAGTATCACTGTATTTATCTTGCCTCTTATGCTTTAAAATATCTGTCTTCTACCGAATCAACTGACCCTTTTCAATTCTAACGCATATCCCTTGAAATACTTCTCTCTTATTGCCTCCTCCTTGCTTCTCAGAGTAAAAACAAATAAGTAAAATAGCTGCTCTCCTGTTGAATGAGATCCCGACCTGCTCGTCATGAAGAAGTAATAACCCGTTACAATTACAAAAAAAGGTAGTTGCCACTTTTTCTCATCTATGTCGCGTATAAAAAAAAGAAAAAAAAAAGAAAAAAAAAAAAACTCCATCCGAAACAAAAAATATGCCGTTCGTGCTCCCTGCTTTTTTATTTTTCATTCTTGTACGTTTCTTGCGAATTTTAAAGAGAGTTTGGAATCCTTCTCAAGCCAGGGAGATTTCATGACCACAAATAAGCCCTCCAAAAAAAAATCCTCCCGAAAAAGAAAGAAAAAAAAAGAGAGAGAGAGGGGGGGGGGGGATGAAGCAAAGTAAAATAGATAAAATAAAAAAGGGGTGAAATTTCCATTTCCTCGCCCAACTTCTTTTTCGCGTCTGGACACATACACACATACAAAGACACCCAAAAAACACCGTTTGGCAGGGCCAACTTTGTCTTTACCAGTAACCGAACAAGCCATGCTGTAGTTGGAAAGATTCAACCCAACGCCTCTGCTCCATAAGAAAAAGAAAAAGAAAACCTCGCTATGCGCGCTCGATGTACACAGCCAAAAGGAAAAAAAAAACTGTAGGAAACAGAATGGGAAAAAAGAAAAATAGAGAAAATAAAAGGATGAGGGTAATAATGACGGAACAGGTATTGAATGAAAAGAAATATATGAGTCTGCGCGTCTTATGCTTCAAAATTCACTGCCGTAACATTGGGTTTCGATGGAGGATTATTCGCTGAGTTTGGTTTGACCGTCGTTCGTCCGGACACCGTAGCGCTGCGGATATGTGCGCTCAGGGGAAGGCTATACTTGACAACACCCTTCACAATAAGATCAAATTCGTTTTGATAAATTCGCTCCCAACGCTTAGAGCCACCGGCAGTAGCGTTGCCAGGGTATGGTAGCTGCATCTCGCCTGTTGAAGAGGACAGGCCTTGGTGGAACAGTGATCCCTCGAATGTCAGGGGGCTGTCAAATTCGGTAATGCGTCCAAGCAGTATGTTTGGCTTCGTCTCGTCCTCTCCTCCAGGAGTAGTGGGATCGTTCGGGGGGTCGTCGTATGGACGTACCAAGTTGTCTTTTAGTCCATCCGGGTTATCCCACCAATCCGAGTCAACACCTCCATACTCCGATTTGGCGAAGATCTCAAGGTTTGCATGGTCGATGGTGACAACCACAACGTTGGGATTGTGCGCCTTGACAGTGACATCAAACATGAGAACCTGTTCGCTGGTGACGACATTGTGGATGGAAACAATTTCAATGTCACTCAGAGGCTGGGAAGTCGCAAACATGAAGCCAATGGCACCAGTAATGACCAGGAGGAACATCATCGTAAGGACCAGGCATGCGGCAAATCGGTTGAGATAAGACGACCTCCTAGTGTAGGTCTGAGCCTCCGCCTGCCGCAGGTTATGCGGGCCACGCCTAAATCGTCCTCCTCTGCGGCCGTTGTCAATCAGAGGCGTCCGTTCGTCATCTGCGCCAGTAGTATCGTCCAAATCATAGCTCGAAGACATGTGTATCGCTGAACGTTTAGAGCTCAGGGGTCCCCGCATAGAGGGGTGGTTTCTCGGGCTAGGTGGCCCAGAAGAATGACGAGAGTTGGCCAACTTGGGCCTTGGCGTGTTCTGAAAAGGCGATTCGTTGTCAAAAAGTGAGGGATGGCCATTGCCGGGTTGTCGACCCCAGCGTCCTATGTGGTGATGCTGTCGAACGGTGCCACGGCCAGAGCCACCGGCGCTGCGGCCCGTTCCTCTGCCATCTTCGTCGCCGGTTAATCCACCACCATCGATGGCACCATTGCCGTAAGTATTGGAGAATTTCATGCTCTTCTTAGGCGCAGGAACATGGTTGTCCATGATACCATATATGGAGCGCAAGTTGGGGCGATCTCCCTGGCTAACGATAGATGTTGCACTGGGGGTGCGAGAGTGGAAGCGGCGGGTAACCCTGTCTCCCACATCTGGGGGATTAGAATCATACACAAACGTCTCCTCTGAATCAGAGGTATTAGCTTCATCAACAGCGTTCGCGATCTTGGCTTCAAAAATATCCGCTTTGGATGATCCTAGCAATTAAAGGATTTTTTAGCACAGCTGTCCATCGTATATGGGTAGAACACGACCGAGAAAAAAAATGCGAAATAGAAAGGGGAAAAAAAAAGCTCACCATTTCCGCTGTTGACCGGTTGTTTGCGAGATCTTTTCTTTTCTTTTTTAGGTTTAATAGTCTCGTTGCTTGGTTTCGTTCTCAGGGTACCATTCATGCCGTCCGGCTTTGGGCCTACTGTAAGTGCCACCTGGGGAATGCTGGACACGGTCTCAGTCTCCACCGTCATGGTCTGCGTAGAACCCTCAGGCCGGGCTTTTGCTTGCTTGGATAGCATTATCGCACTGGATTGTCTCGAGAGGAGAGGCGGAGGAACAGAGGTTGTTCTCCTGGCACCGGTGCTATCGCCGCCATTCTCCTGGCCGGGAATCATGGGCCTGGCTCGCAGAGTCCGACCGCCATCAATATCTGACTGATTGTCGTATGAGAATTTTTCCCTTACGTGCTCCAGAAGGGACGAATCCTGCTGCTGGCGGCGGCGGGCTGGCGAGTTGGGCTGGCTAACCTCTTGAACAGTTTCCAGAGGCCCTCGGGCCGGTGTTCGTAGGCCGGAAGCCATCTGCAAGTCTTCGGCTTCGCTTTCGCTGGCAGTTAAGTACTGGTATGAGTCTGCCGGCTGGGCAGACGGACTGGGGTGCTGTACGTTGATAAGAGGAGGGTCCTGCTCGCTCGGGCGAGGCGTAGTGCTGCCGTTTCTAAGCAGTTGCAGCGGAGGGGAGCGCACACGCGGCGACACGGGCCATTTCGTGTTGTCTCTCAACTCGGACGACTGTGCAGGCTTCTGCGGCTCTGGTGCCTGGACGGACTGCGAGTCTGGGGAGTTGGCGGTGACGGGCACGAGGACTGGCGTGGTAGTCGCGGAGAGGCTTCGAATGCCGGAGGCAGGACCGCCAAGAGACGACTTGAGCTGGCGAGATGGACTCTGATCCAGCTGGCTGCTGTTCCGTGAACTGGAACGGTTGATCCTGCCCGACGACGAAGTTGCTCTCCGGGGATGACGGGTCGGAGAGGGGTCTCGGGAGCCCATGGGTGAATAAGTGACGGAGTTGCTGGCGGATGATTGTCTCGACGTCTGGCCCGCGGTGGCACTGGCGCTGGACGTCGCACCGGACGCAGGCGCACCAGGTGTGGGCTGATGATTCGCCATGTCGGGGCCGGCAGGCTGTGTGGCGCCTTTACCACCGTCAGTAGCAGCAGCCGGTGGCCTGTTCATGGCTGTGGTGGATAGCGAGAGTCGTCGTGGGGTGTTCGCAGAGCATGCATGCCAACGGGGCAGGCCTCTACTGGTCTGGGACTGCGTGCGTGTACGAATACAGGGTCCGATGGCGAGTGGGAACTGGTATTAGGCCCAGATCATTGTGGTTGGCTCGCGGATACAGGAGCGGTGCAGGCCGTCGAGAGACTGCGGGAGGATCGGATGGGCGCGCGATGCCCAACGTTGTGCTCGAGCGGTACTATCTAGGAGCCCTTGCGAGCGAGTATTATGTACGACGACGCAGAGGCTGCGAGACTGGCAGGATGCGGCGAGCCAATGGCTGGAGTCTGGCAAGCTCGGCGGAGCTCGAGCGGCGTGTCGCAGCTGACGGGGGCAGAAGCCAAGGGAGGGTGTTTGGATGCAGGCTCGCACAAAGCAGAATGGCAGAGGAAAAGGTGAATATTCGCTTCGAGCCGGGGAAGAGAGGATGACGGGCCTGAGATGGGGACGCTGGGCGGAAACAAGGATGACACAATCAATCAATCAGGTTGACGGCCAAGATGGTGGGACTTTGCTCAGGGCCGCGCTAGAGCCAGGAGCAGGAAGGCATGGAAGGGTGTGGGAATACGATGGAAGGGCTTGCAAAACGAAAAATGGGCGTGGGCCGCCGGCGATGGGGAGGCGGTACGGGCTGGTACTTGGGGACATGGGGAGGAAGCGCTCCGGGGGCTGCGGCCTGGCCAGCGGTTGAGGTAGCACCAATGTACAGTGCCGCCCACTGTGGGGAAAGTACCAGACTGCTGCTGTAGCGCGACCTGCTAACCGGCTTCTGTCATGCTGATTGGCACACGTCGAGGAGATTTAGGCGGTCGGTCGATTAAACCTTGTTGCAACACCGATTCTGTGCCAGCGATAGGGCTAGAAGGGCCAGAAGAGGAAGACGAAAAAATTGCAGAAGAGAGAGGCTCCCTTTCTATATGTTTGGGGTCTTGTTCGGGGCTCCATCTGAGGACGTGGCGCCTCTGTTCTCCATATGTACAGCACCTACACGACATGCCTGTGTTGGCTGCGTGTGCTTATGTGTAAGTCGCAACGAAGCAAAGCAAAGTGCCGGTGAACATGGCCAATGGAAACGATGCTGGGCGTTTTTCTTTTTTTTTCAATGTACTTTCGTACCGGCTCAACAAAAAAGAGACCTGGCCTGGAAGGGTAAGATATCTAGGGCTCACGCTCTGCAACCAGGAACGCCGGGGGGTTGCCGCGTTAGCACCGTCTCGCCAAACACTAGCAGCAAAAAGATGGGAGCAAAAAAGCCCAGCCTCTTCGGTGCCAGGCAGAGAGACATGTGCAGTGCCGCGGTCCCGTAGTCGCACTGGTCTGCTGACTGTGTGCTATTCCGGTCCAAAGTGCCTTGTGCTCCGTACTACTGCCGAAATCACAAGCAGTGGCTACCTGTGGCTACCTGCACTTCCTTCGTGCCAGCATGTGGCTTGATGTTTCGTCTACCTCGACCGGCATGTCTGGTGGCACCTTGTGCTTGGTTCCGGGCACCTCGACAGGCCCCAGCTGCAGCACAACATTGCCAGGTGGCACCTTGGATGCGGGAAGACAGAAAGAGCCTGCAGCTAGTCGGCCCGCAGCCAATAGACGGTGCGCTGCTGGTGGCCCAATTCGCAGTGAGTAGGGCAGGTATCCGCTATCAGGCAGTGGTGGTGAGCTGCCTCTGCAACTGCCAGCAGCGTGGGAGACAAAAAAGCTACTAACCTACTACTGCTCCGTACTGAAAGCCTATGACCACTCGGCTGTCTTTGCTGTCACATTTCTTATAACTGACCACGGGTGATCAATCCGACTTGACGCCTCCAAAGTCAAGATGCCACCATCTCAACAAGCTCCAATGCGACGGTCGCAACACTGGTAAAGCATTGAAACCCCCGTTGAAGCAACACAAGGCCAGGAGCAGAGATCAGCACGTCATGGAGCATATCTCGAGCAGCAGCGCCGGAGGAGACACGCCGCTTCTGACCTCTTGTGGCACCAACCAGCCTTACGCAAGCAACGGCCGTCCAATTCGCTTTGCTGGCCCCCAAAACGAAAACCTGGAACCAGAGCAGCTGCACAGGTCCGTGACGATGCAAGATGGGTGGTGCAGAAGCACAGGCTCTGGCGGCGACGCCCGATCCACACACGTCATGGACTGCGCAACATGAACAACAACAGCCCACCGCGCTGGTTTCACTTTGTTTTCCCGCTCGGCAGCGCGGAAATCCCTTTCTTGCCTTGCCGAATCGCCCAATGTCTAGGAAACGTCTAGCCTCTGGATTAACGACAAGACCAACGCCACGGGGGGCGCCTTGGGAGGTGCTAATGCCATGCACTGTATGTATGTACGAGTGCAGCGCTGGTGCATTGCTAGTTCATGAAACTGCGTTCCACAGGGGCCCCCAACAAGCAGGCGAGCGGCTCCCATGCGCCCCAAGACACCTTCAAACTGACCGCAGGTTCTGCTCCAGGGAGCGCATTGAATCGGTTCAACAAGTCTGTGACTGAGTTCATGCTGACTGATGGTAATGCGTATGTACTACATGGACTTTGGCTGATGCAACAGGCATCTCGCACAGCAGTACGGAGTACTACTGATACTCTACCACGTACATAACATAACAACCATGTGCTTGATGGCGCCTAAAATAAGGTAGATGTGATTGCCTCTATTCAGCATGCCCGATCCATTCCCCAGGATTTATTGCACAGCGGCCCAGAAGGGCCAAGGCCAGCCTGCGCCAGGGGCCGTCCCTGTCATCAACCACTGCAACGGCCTGGCCTGAGCACCGCATCTCTCCTTCGGCTCCCTTTTTGCATGACCGTGCGCGCGCAAGTCATGTAAACACTCTATTTCATACTTGTAAGACGTACCAGCAGTTGCACTCACATATATTAAATGGCTCAGTCGGCAGCCCTGTCCAGGTGCAAAGATTTTTCGTTGTCTCCCGTCAGGCGAGATGGAAAGAACCGGAACGACTGCACGACGAGCGCAGCACGGTTGTCGGTAGCGGCCCAATGGATGGATGGCTGTCCATATAAACGAAACAGCTGGAGGTGTTTATAGAGATTAATGCTACGTAAAGCAATTAATCAGGACAGCGCATCGGCCAGTTTAGGTTGTCACAGCCATTACTACTGCTACTACCCAGTGCTCGGGCTCGTCCCGTTCCATCCGCCCGTCCAGATGTGAGATTGGATTCTCTATCACATCTGGCGAATAGATGTACTGTATCAACTACTCCGTTGAAACATACGACAGAATGCTACATGTGCCTAGTAGCGCTGCTATAACACAGATCCGGTGGATGTCCGTCCTGCTCCGTCGTACTAAACACCAAAAGGAATGCTGTGCAAAGTAGCGCATTCATCATCACCATCTTCATCCTCATCTTCGCCACCCAAAGACCGTCGGTTCGCTCCTGTAACGGGATTGCTACGCGCACGATGACATTCTCGCAACACGGCGATGGCGCCCTCAACCTCCAATCAAACAGACGGCATCTCTAACTTGTGATCACCGGACAAGTCCTTCTCAAGTTACTGGGTACTGCTGCTACCTCTCTTTTCTCTTGGCTCTTCTCTTTCTCGTTCTTTGTGACTCTTATCAACCCTCTCGCTGACGACGAGAGATGAGCCCACACCTCTCTCTCCCTCTCCCTCTCTCTTTCTCTCTCTCTCTCTCTTTGCAGTGGGCACCCTTTCTCGAACTCTCACACACCCCCCAACCAGTACTATTGGTTCTATTGGTGCTGGTCCCCCAGCAGGATTCTCCCATCAGCCTCTGCCGCCAGCCTCTGCCGCCAGCCTCTCACAGCTCGACACGATAGACGGCCACCCCTGTCCATGTTTCCATAGTAGGCGCATGCGCCCTAACTGTCTTTTGCCCCTTGCCGTCCCGCTTTGGAGGGGCTTGCAGAAGAGCAGCCGTTGGAGCTAGCTGGGGGAAAGCTGGATTCTCTCTTTTTTTTTTCCCGTTTGAATTTTTTTTTTTTTTTTTTTTTTCTATTATCCGGCGAGAATAGCGCGTATTACTGTAGTGCACCCACAAGCTTTATGTGGCTGGTGTTGAATTTTGCATGCTCTGCTCTTCTCAGGCCTGCAACTTGATCGTAGTCGTACTCCCTCGGATACCCGCATATTGCCCAGTAAACTCGGAATACCTCCACCGCGTTTGCTTGGAGTCAGACATGGCAGGGGTACTTTACCCTAAGAACTACATACTAAGCAAACGTCGTCGTAACACCAGTCTTTGACGTACAGAGTAAGTAGGTATATTGACTGGTGCTACCGCCAGAATCCCTTCCCGTCTTCAGCCACCCTTCCACTCACCCACATATGCTAGATCACGGCTCCCGATATCCCAGACCACTCGTGCACCTCCATATTCCACCTCGTGCACCACCGCATCTAGATGCTCGCACATAGCCGTAAGCCAATGATTATAGCGAATTGCCCAGGAGGCCTATCAAGCCTCTAGGCTTCCGCACAGGTGACCACGCCTCCATGTCGTCCCACCAAGGCTCGCCCGCTGCCGAGACACAGGCTGCCGATGTAGTGCTATGTAGTTGGTATTAATTACTGTGCAAGCAAGTACTAGCAGGACAAGATGGAGTGGTCGAGTCGGCTTGGAGCCGAAAATGAGACCAAGGAAGGGGCCTTGAGCGTGGCTTGGACGACAAGCAAGAACCATGTTGCTACAAAGGTGCTCGTGCGTGCTCTGTGTTACAAACTACGCCGATACCGCAGAGATTGCGTAAAACATCCATTCCAAGCTCAAAACTCGCTATACCATGTAATTACATGCAGAGAACGTCTTGGTGGTGAATACATAGCAGCATGTGCCGTAACCGCCATAACCGCCCCTATGCCGTATATCTCATATCTCAAAGCCAGAGATGTCAACATTCTCGTATGTATGGAGGCCAAGAAGGCGATCTCTGCAAATCCAACATGATCATCACTCACACCACATCCTAAAGAGCTACTGTCTGATCAACCGCAAGGATGAATTGATCTCACTTTTTGCCACACTTGTACGCGACAGGTGTCTTCCTATTCAAGAATGCTATCTATCTATGCACCTATGATATGTACTTGATAGACCCGTAATGTAATTATACCAAACTGAAATAGCCTCTTCGCAGCTCATCTATTCCTATTCAGCCGTCAATCCCAACCCGCCATTGATTTTCCGCTAGCTTTTCAAACACTAAATACAGCGGCAAAAAGGGAAAAGAGACAAAAAAATTGTTCACTTACATATACGCCTGTACCACATAGGGAAAAAAAAACAAAGAAGAAAAAGAAAAAGAAAAAAAAAAGAAACACCACCCCCCAGCAGCATCAATCTCACAAGACCCCTACTCAAGCTTGTCTCCAGTTCTCCATAGTATCCCTACAGCAGTTTTTAACTAGCACCCGCTCTCCGCCCTCTTCTTCACCGCCTTACTGTACACAAACATACACGCCCGCATGCCATACATGCAACCGTTATGTAACAACCCTCACCAAAACGAGAAATACTAACGACACAGACCCCAAACAAATCTCTGAAAGAAGGCAAGAAGCAGTGGTCCAGTTCCCACCAACCCGTGATCGCAGGTTGGGCATCAATCGCAACAACAAGATAACCTTACATGCACACACTCACGCAACCACCTTGACAGCCCTCCTCTCCACCCGCAAAGCTCATAAGACCACCAAGAAAGTGGAGAAAAGAGTCGGCATCTTTTGGGGACAAACAAACAAGATGACTAAAAAAAAAAATATGAAGAAACAACTACTAGGTCATTGCGTTTTCCATTGAGGAGCTTTGGTCTGGCCAACTGACATGTACAACAAGCGGTCAGGCAGTATCAATGTGTTTCAATCAAAGAGCCATCAATAATAATACCTAATAACAGCAACACACGCCGTACGCGAAGGCATTAATGAATGGGGGGCGGCGCCTTTGCTAGCCACTTTGTTAGTCCTGCCACTTACAAGCACTACAGAGGTCCGTCGTGCTTCATGTTGATGTTTTGACTCCATATTACCGATATATCGCATGCCCCATCTATGGAGATCGTATTATGCATTTTCTTCGTCGAGTCAAGCCTCTCTACATACAGCGTACAAGCACCCCCTCCCCTTGTCTTTTGAATGTGTGGATAATACGTACTATTACTCCGTAGACGTACGCGCTTCGTTGACGATTACGCTTCGTACATGCACGCATTTACCACCTTGCTCTCTCGCTTCTGTAGATGCTAATGCAATGTAATGTACACGGGACCATCCTAAAAAAAACGAGGAGGCCAAAAACGTTGATGAGGCGTTCTCTCATCTGACAGGTTTATTTTCCCCTTTTCATCCGTTCTCCGTGCTAGTGACATCAAGAACCGCTGCCGCTGCAGAAGACGTGTAAGTATGCATGCAAGCAAATCTACAACCTCAAGGCACTTTGCCGGGAAATTAAATTGTGAAGTGGTACAGTATTTAAGTATATGATATATATATAAAGTGTATCAAATTAAAATAAACTACCTAATCCAACGGAAAAAAAAAACTGGGTTAAGTAAAAAGTCCACTCCCAACATCAACTGCCACCAAAGAAGAAGAAAATAGCCTACGTATGTGGTTTGTCCGAACGTCGTGCCTTATGTATACATGTAATGCAACGTAATTTTCTTGGGTTTCATTCCAGTAACATCCTTCATCAATCAAATAGCCCAATAAATCAAGACGTGGTCCATCATCCTTCAGCAACAGCGGGCTAGGTGCTCCCATACAATATAGTATCTAATAATGACAATCATGGTAATAAAAAAGCAAAAGAAAAAAAGATCGTATGTGTGTGGGAAAAAAAAAAAGAAGAAGCAGACAAGGTTATATCATATATCGATCTGTTTGCAAGTCATGTGCTTGTCGTTGTTCATCATCGTTCGTCTGCTGTCCAAGGGGTTTTCTAATGGGTGAAAAGGGTATCCAAGCCGCATTTCACCTGCCAGTCTTGCCACTGCGTCGTTGATGTCGTCATTTGCCGTGCGTTATCATCCATCAAGGTTGAAAAAAGAAGCCAATCATACTGATCCTTAAGTTTAAAGAAATTATCCGTTGCATATCGAAGTAGTTGGTGCACTCCCGTGAAGACGCCTGTCCGAATCCCCCAAAAAAGAGATTATGAACCCAAGTTTATTTATTTTTTTCGGCAATAATCATCAAACGCCACTCTGGCTCAATCATTTTCTTTCTCTACTTCCATCACCGCCCTATTCTGGGATGGCAGGGCTGACTGGCGCGTCGTCCTTCTTTCCACCCCAGCCCCAGCCCGATATCCAGCTTTGCCGCTTGTTGGCGTTGTTGTCTTTGACGGCGTCTGGGTTCTCTTGGACAAGTCTCAACGGACGCGGCTTGCTACCAGTGAACGTTGTCTGCTTGTCGGACTGAGATCGAGGCGGTGACTGTGATGGCGGCGTGGAAATCTCGCCAGACTCGCCGCTTAAGCTGGATGTCTCGCTTCTTTCACCTCTGGTGCCTGGGAAATTTCCGGACGAAGGAGCCTGGCTACCGCTAGGAATCCGTCCAGGAGTGCCAATGACTCCGGCAGTCGGGAAGAAAGCAGTTGAGTGCCTTTTGTTAGTGAGCGGCGGCGAGGCAGGGCTGTCTGGACCCCTATACATCTGGCTGACTAGGCTTGCCGCTCCTGGGAATTGGTCGCTCGCAGGTCGCGAACGCCGGTTAATCCGGCCCAGACCAATGGGAATGCTTGGGGCCTTGTCGGGATCAGTGTGGTCCAATACGTTGCCATCGGATGTTTGAATGATGGAGAATGGCCGAGGCTTTGTCCTCCCTGCCATGATGGGCGCAGTTCTGGTTCGCTGTAATGGAAACTGTCCGCTTGAGAGCCTTTTCTCACTTTTCTCACTTTTCTCACTTTTTTCACTCTTCTCAGCTGGCGGAGGTGGTGGTGGTAGATCTTTGTCTTTTTCGGGCAACGGAGGTTTCATATCTGCTGATTGATCCAGAATCGTCTCAAAGTCCTGGTGCTGGAGGAGGCGCTCGATGATCTTGTTGATATACAGCGAGAGAGCCTTGTTCTTCTCCCTCAAAGCCTTGAGTTCACTTTCGAGACGACGATGGTCAACGCCAGTATCGGGCTCAGATTGTGTTGCGTCGTCAAGCTCATCAGCAAGACTGTTGCCGGCTGTTTTGCCCTCTAAGGCGTCCAGTGCCTCGTGGTTCACGCTTGGGTTCATGTAGCTAAAGTCGCTTTGGCCGAAATCTCCCTTGAGAGTCTTTTCCTGGAGAAGCAGTTGATAGCTTTCGTTGTCTTCCATGAGTCGTGCGTTGGCCATGCGCGCCTCCATCAACAGACGCTCAACCTCGCGCAATCTGCCCCCGCCCTGGTTTTCGGATTCTACCAGTTTGATCTGGGCTTCTGCAAGTTCCAAGCGCAGCGACTCGATGAGCTTGTCTTTCTGTAGGATCAATTTGGAGCTATTTCGCGAATCGCTTCGCTGAAGAGAGGACGGTGGGGCGAAGCTGCTGCCGTCAAGGGAGGGTGAACCGCTAGTTGCTGTAGACACTTCAAATTAGCGAGCGAACAAACGGCAACTTCTGCTAGACATTGCTTACATTGCCTCGATGGCCTCGGGTCGTCCTCAACGCTCAGTTTTTGGGCCAAGCTCTCCTTCAATCGCGCGATTACCATCTGCATCTCCTCTTCCTTATTTGCCATCTCTTCCTTCTCCTTGAGGATCGCGCTTCGCTCGGCCTCGTAGATTGTCTCCATCTCTCTGATTTTGCGAGTGGCTTCCCGCTTCTCGTTTCGTAATGTCTCGAGGAGCTCATCGTGCTCGTGAACCTTCTCCTCCAACTTGGCCGACTCCTTAACCGAGTCGTCCAGTTTCGACTGGAGGACTTCCGACTGCCTCCTATACTGCTCCGATTGCTTTTCCTCCTTTTCCAAGCGCTGCTGGAGGTCTTCCAGCGCAGCGGCCTGGGCGGCCCGGGCGTCGGAGTCAACGGTGCTCATAACTGATTCTCGTCTGCTGGCAACAGCGGCGCGGGCAGAGACGGGAGCGGCGCGAACTGATCTCGTTCGCGAGTGTCCGGCGGGGGGAGTCGAGGATCGCAGGGATTGGGTTCGCGTATGGGAGGAGTTTGGAGGAGACGTGCCCGTCTCTGAATTTGTGACTCGGCCGACTGCGCTGACCTGCGGCTTCTTTGCAACCGTAGACATGGCGCTGAGTGCGGTCTAGTTTGGAGATTTCAATAACACCTTCCCGCGAGGTCGGTGAGCTAACTCTAGTTGAAACGCTCAAACGGGGGCCACTAGGCGCAGGGCCAAACAGGTTGGACGGTGGGAATAATTATGCTTGAAGTTCGAACGGTCGTCTTGCAGTTCACTTCAGGTCGTTGGTGAAGAGGAGTTACAGACTATTAGGAGGGATAACAGGCCACGAGGGTTTGGACTGTCTGGTTGGGCTCCACCTCGCTGGACGGCAATTTAAAGGGCATGGAGAGTTGGGGAGCAGAAAAAGATACCTCCGCCAAGGGGCCAGCGCCTTGCTGGGGGAGGTACCCATACACAAGGAGTACATCCCACATACAGTACTTTGTGCTACGACCTATTACGCCTCTTTCTAAGCCGTTCGGCGGTAAAAAACACGATGCGGTGACGAAAGCGGCATGAAATCCTTCAACAGACTCTCAGCCACCCATTTTTCAGAGCCTCTTCTTTTACGAAATAGTAGTATAAACTTTAGCAGCTGTTCCCGTCGTCTCTGCCTCAGAAAGGAGGCGTCCAGCATGCCGTCCCTGGAGGTAATTGCGACGGAGTTCCTCTTCATGCCTCTGCTTTAAACAGTGCATGACTCCGATCAGAGTGCCCTGCATCTGATGCCGGGACGGGTGCCTGATTGGCCATCCAGAACCACCAAAGGACCCCTGGGGCCTCTCCACCCCCACTGCTGGACGCTGCTAGAATCTCTGCTGCTCCCCTCTTTCTGCCTTCTGTCGCTCCCCTAAAACTTGTGCCACTGCGGACGCAGTGCAGCGCTTCGCCCTCGCCGGTGGCCGCGGCCCAATCCAGTCTGTTGCAGTACTGACCGCTTCTCTGCGCTCGAGAGACAAAACAGCGCAGTCCCTTTTCTGGAAAAATGAATATACCCTTGGATGAAATAGTACTAGCTGTGTTGCTTTGTCATGTCTGATCCCATCCTGTCTGTATGATTGTGCAAACAGAGCACAGGGTCTTGCTGTTTGTTCCTGTCTGTCTCACGTTTCGTGCTCGAAGCGTTCAAACACAGTGAGGCGCGACTGAAAACGGTCACCACAAAGTACAGGTACAAAACTGAGTACAAGCAACGACTAGAGAAGGCTGTGGTTGCTATAATTAACGATAGGGCTTCCGCTGAGCCTTCTGGTGGCAAAAAGTCATGCGTACGGGCAAATCAGCACTTAAACAGCGCTGTGTGCCTGGCATGCCCCAGAGTATGACATAAAGAACATTGAGATTTGAGATATGCTTTGACCGAAGCGTCACTGCTCGTATCAGACTGCCGTTTCTATTTTGAGGGCCAATAGCTAAGCGGTTTTGACCTTGTCACTCTCATAAGGTGTCGTACAAGTTGCAGCCACAAGCCACTCTGCCTGTCCCAGCTGCATTTTGCAACTAGACTTGATTGACGAGTAGTGGATTGAATGGAATTCACATGATACTTGTAGGCCAAGTGCCGGAAGTGTTTAGGCATGGAATAGAATGGCCCATGCGGTAATACATGTATTCTGTGGTAGCACGACTGGCAAGGGTATACATCTGTATATCGACCCTATTCTCTCGAGAGCCTCTGGCTGGGCGCGTCTAGAGCAAGGCAGCTTATAACCGGCTCGCCTCGGCGTTACTTAATTCCTGCGGGCACTTGTATATGCTGCTAGGTACCTACATATCTACGAGTATCTGATTCGATGATTCGAGCATAATAGAGAGTAAATGCGAATGTCTATTGCCAAGGCTGCTGCTCGATAGATGAACACCGCAAGGCGCAAGGTAGGCGCAGGTTAGCAAAATTCGTAAGCTTATGTGGTCGTCACGAGTTTACATAGTACACGGCATCACTCATGAGAACAGCAAGCAGTTTTTTTCAACGTGACAGGGGAACAGTCTTCATGGCTGTATTATTCCATTGAGATAACTATCACTTGGAAGCTTTTGATTTTTGCTTTTCATGCCCAAGGGGCTTTGCCTCGTAGTGGATGATGTCTCGCATCAAAAATTTTCGCTTTACACATCACGTGAAAGTGAAATGGTATCCATATTGCCCGTGAACCGTTTTACCCCCAACGCCGTTGAATGCACAAGATAGTGGCTGCTTAAGCCTGCTGGTCGCTGAGGATATCAGAGTCACCAGCATCCAGGATGGCAAGGGTAGAGCAGCGGAAGAGCTTTCCGCAGGCAGTGCCCAGCTCAATCTATTTTTATGAGAAATGTAAGCCAATGTGAACCCTCCAAAGTCTGATAAAGACTTCTTCTCTGGGCAATTCCACAAGAATTGGAAAATTCTCTGTGGCAGCAAGAGTAGCTTCTGAGAAGCAAGAAGTAAATTGTACAAGTGCGCCCTGTTTCCAGGGATTTTCACTCGTCGATAATGTGTCGGGTTACAAAACTTACGTTGTTGCCAGCAAAGTGGTGGATGGGAGCCTTGGACAGCATGCTGTAGTACTCGAGTTCACTCTTTCGCAGAGGAGGAGTGTTGCCAGCGATGATAATCAGCTTGGCCTTGCCGGATCGGAGAGACTTGAGGGTAGACTTGTATCCGAGGGTGACTGGCAAATATCATGTTAGCACAACCTGCGTCGAGAGTTCGAGGAGTTCAGTTTCCTGAAAATTTGGCTGCATACCCTTTCCGGACTTCATAACAAGCGCCAACTTGGAGTTGATGCTGTTGGCATCCTTCTTGCTCTTCTTTTGGGGGGCCATTGTGATGGATTTTGGGCGCGAGCGACGATCTTGCGACTTGATTGATGCGGTTGCTGAAGACACTCGGAGCTCTCGAAAGTTCGTGGGTTTGCAGTTTTCTTTTAGGATGCACCAACTTTGAGTGGGGCAGGGCTCTGCCACACCCAGCCAATGAACACAGACTTGCCGTTTTGGTAAGCCCTAAAGTGCCGAGGTTTAAACGAAACACCATCTGCGGTGGCCAAAGTTGCTTTGAAATCAATCCAGCAGATTTCACTGAAGTGGCTCCGGGAATCCTTGTGTTGGAATTATCTTCCCCCAAACATCATCACCAACATCCCAAGGTAATCGTCAGCGAAACACCGACAAAATGGCTCGCCGTCCTGCTCGTTGCTACCGATACTGCAAGAACAAGGTATGTTGCTGAAATTTGACGACTTTTCGATGCGCAAAATGAATATTTCGAGCTTGGGAAGATTTTATGGAGGGAAAAATTTATGGAGTGACGCAAGAGGTGGATTATAAATTACCAGAGATGAAGCATTCTCGATGGATGCAGTTGGTCACTACCTCCAGCTCTCTGTCTCGAATATCATGGGCCAGATGCAAACATGTTTTCTTCTTCCTGATGAGCTGTGCTGATATTCTTTTGCGCTGTTCAGCCGTATCCCAAGTCTCGGTTCAACCGTGGTGTCCCCGACCCCAAGATCCGTATCTTCGATCTGGGCCGTAAGCGCGCCAACGTCGACGACTTCCCTCTCTGCATTCACCTCGTCTCCAACGAGTATGAGCAGCTGAGCTCCGAGGCCCTCGAGGCCGCCCGTATTTGCGCCAACAAGTACCTCGTCAAGCACACCGGAAAGGAGGGTTTCCACCTGCGTGTCCGCGCTCACCCTTACCACGTCGTCCGTATCAACAAGATGTTGTCTTGCGCTGGTGCCGATAGACTGCAGACCGGTATGCGTGGTGCCTGGGGCAAGCCCAACGGCACTGTCGCCCGTGTCAACATTGGTCAGATCATCATGAGCGTCCGCACTCGTGACTCTAGTATGTGTTATCCGTTATTACCAACTGCTGATGATATCAAGATCCAAGTATGCTAACAATGCATCTTCTCAGACCGTGCTCTGGCTCTTGAGGCTCTCCGACGATCCCAGTACAAGTTCCCTGGTCGCCAGAAGATCATTATCTCCAAGAACTGGGGTTTCACCCCTCTCCGCCGCGAGGACTACCTCGAGCGCAAGGCTGCCGGCCGTGTCAAGGTCGACGGTGCTTACGTTCAGTTCCTCAGCAACTACGGTTCCATTGAGAACAACATTCGCCGTTTCCCCGACGCTTTCTCGTCCGAGGCGTAAAATGTTTCTTCTTCATATGGCATCTGGGTTTTAGGTTGGCGTAATTATGGCACTGTCAGATAAGAGATTTCTCGATTTGAGAATCATCAGTTAGGCAATTCAAACCATTGTGCGTTCAGCACTATACCCGCTGTGTCCTACCATGTACAGAAATTTTGATTCTTATCGCTCGCTATGTTGAAATTACCCATAAAGTGGCTGTTTCACCTGAACTGTCTGGTGAATAAACCTAGCCCTTGTCATCAAAAAGGGGAAATCCTTGGGTTGATTTGTAAGTAGGTACTCGTATTTGCACTTGGCCAAGCTGAGTCCAGTGTGCAGATACTACAACGTCGAACTCAGAGCTTGCCTACCTAGCATCAGCCACCGCCGTAATGGGTGTCTTAGCAAATGCCGTTCTATGCCAGGAACAGATAGTTTCCAAATGCCATCCGAGATCCGGACCTGGCGCTGGCAGGTTATGACGAGACCACCTGACTTGAGTCAGTGACACTATGGTCACAGAAGTACGATGGATGAGCACTGGATGGGGATGCCCCAAGAGCTTTTTGTTGGGCTGCACAGTACAATAGAGTTTTAGCAGTGATACTACCATATACTGCTCTGTGTACCAAGTTGGTTTACAACGAAGCACTGTATCGTTCTGTATCTGCCCTGAGACACATACGGGTAACGGGAGCACAATAAGATTGCACAATACGGATGGGATGGCACACGGACACAGCTATTGGTTGGTGGGGGAGGAAATATCCATGACGCAGGGTCTTGGTCTTGGTCTTTTTTTTTTTTTTCTCTTTCTCCTCCCAAGCGACACAGAAAGGCGTCACAAAGGGACCCCGAAAGTCGGATAGAGCCGCCTGTGCCGATAAGCAATTCCGCCAACGTGCCGCAAACACCGAAGTATGCACGAGTCGCTGAGTGCGCGCATTGGTCGTGCATGTAGGTACAAGGAACGGGTGGTGGCGGGCGTTCATCAGCACTTTGACAAAGGACGCTCCGCCTAACTTCAGCACGACGCAGTAATCGGATGGAAAACTTTTTATTTTGTTCTCGCCTCCTTCTTTTGCTTATTTTCCCGTGCCGTGTCGTATCTAGATTGCTGCTCAAGCATAACTGGCCTTTACCCGTGAGGGTGGTGCAGCGCTGACTTGGGCGGCCCAGTAGCGGAGCGTAAATGTGACGCAAAGAAGGTGAATCTCGCCGTAATCCAGATGGATTTGCAAGACCCAGCGCGCCAAGTCAACTGTAGGTTACGTGCTAGCATCGCTAGTATCAACGATGTCCCCCTACCGCGCTGCTTAGTGCTCGACGTAGCCCGCCCGGTGCTAGCAGCTACAGATCATGTACGCAGGATGGAGCCGCGAGTACAGTGCCCAGCAGCTAGCGACAGCGGGAGAAGTCGCTGAAACCCGCGGCGACGGCGCTGTCTCGGAACGTCTGTGCAGCACCAATCGCACTGTCAGTAGGCGTCAGTGGGCGGCAACAGCGCACAAGTGGCTGGCCTCTGACCACTGTCACCTCAGCTGCCAGCACGCGAGCAGCCACCAAACCCCCACCCCGGCCCATCAGGCCGTTGCTACTACCCAGGTGGCCTGGTCGCGATGACGCTCAACAAAAACAAAAGGCTGGCCCGTCCAGCCTCTCCTTTTCCTCCTCAGTTTTCTTGCTCTTCGTCGCCTTTTGCTTGCTGCTCCCGGCCACGTTCAAACCCCAGGCCATTGGCGACTGGCACGATTTGTTCCAGCGACACCCCTACACATCCGCTTATTCCCTTGAGCGCTCCACCTTGACTCGGCATCGCCACATGCAGCTATCCTTCACCGATCAGAGCGCCCCCCATTTGCCTTATCGCGCGCGACCTTTCCCCGATAATTAGAGAATAACCGACATTTGGAACCCACATTAAACGCCTGTCCTCTTCTTCTTTTTTCCCTTCTTTATTCCTTCCAAATACATACAGCCATCATGGCATTTCAACAGCAGCCCAACCGTCCGGCCGTGCAGCGGGCTGCTCGCTCCGCTGTTGGCAGCCAAGGTCTTTCTAGGCGATCGGCGCGCAGCGCCCAGGAGCAAGAAGCCGACGAGGCGCAGACTTGGGTGCTCTTCTCGCCTCCTACCGATGTGACCACCACGTCCTATCTGACCGAAGATGAGCATGACGAATCGTTGGAGACCCCAGGCCGCTCGCGCCTAAGCGACCTCGGCAGCTTAAATACAGTTGCAAGAACAGGGTCGGCGGCGGCGGCGGCGGCGGCCGGGCGAAATGATGAAGCCCAGTCCTCGCAGCTCTCTGCGGCTGTTGACGAATCACAAGCGGATGATGCTGAGCTGGATAGTCTCGATGGCCATCTGCCTGGGTTCAGGTCATTCCCCCGGAATAGCTTTGTTATGCCGGTCCTCCCAGCCCACGATGGCCTCGGCTCGTTCCACTTGGATCAACCCGCCCTCGGCTTAGACGCTCAGGACCACATTTACCAGTTTGAGAGGTTTAACCCCAGACGAGTACGCCGGAGGCTAAACAGCTTTGATGAGGCTCAGTTTGAATTGGAGCAAGCGCAAATCCAGGAGGCAGAGAAGAGGGCACGGATTGAAGCCTGGCGGCTGGAACATAGCCGCATCATCCTAGAAGAGGTGCAGCGCGAGGCACGGCGATCAAAGATATTGCAGCAGAAGCGGGTCGTTTCACAGAAACCCGTGCCAAAGGCAGAGGAAGTCACCGAGACGGAAGACATGACTTGGCATGAGGAAGACCCAGATACTCACCCAGAAGACAAGGAAGACAGCGAAGGGCTGATTACGAGAATCACTCGCAAAGTTTTGCGGGATATACTTGGTATAGATGAGAAGCTACTATCCGTGGTACTCGGGGGCGATCTATTAAGCGATGAGGAGCTTTCAAGGACCCCGCGTCCGTCAGAGAGTGGACACGACCAGGAGCCATCAGCTCCGGAATCAGAAGAATCGTGGCATATGCGCATCCTGGAGACAGTATCAAGAGAGCTTGGCTTGCTGGTCAACCATCTCTCAAAGCACCCCGGCGCCTTTTCAACGTACTCGCATGTTCACCAGGTACCTTTGCCTTATGCCGGTTTGCCGGCCATACCGGAGGCTGCAGGCGCGCGGGCATCTTCGTCCGCACGCACAGCAGCAGATAGGGCCAGCGAGAATATATTTCCAGAATTCAGACCCACGATCCGATCCACTCCGCGAACGACCAACAGACCACCACTGAGGTCAACGGCATCAGAGGCATTATTACAGGATTTGCCCATGGACGACACATTTACTCAAGAGGAGTGGGAGAGGGACATTGATATCAAGCTCATGTTCCGATACCTAGTGTCACGCTTTACGTCTAGGCCTGAGCCGACGATCCCTACCGAGATGACTACCCGTCCGGTTCCTGCGAAGCCGCAAGACGCTGCCGCTAAGGCTGCCAGAGTAAGGCAGCACCACCCCCTCACCTCCCGGACTCGCCCTAATGAACGTCGAGCTTTCAAAGCAACTGCACCTAGCAGCCCCGTGGCTATGCGACATCACTCCAGCTGTGCCAGCCAGAGCACACGCCGATCAGCCAGGAGAAGCAGCGTCTCATCACGACACTACTGGGACATTGGAGGATCCATCGGCACGGGATCAATGATTGCTGCTGCTGCTCCCAATGCCGCGATGGGCAGCTGGGGCGAAGTTTAAACCGAAGCGGTGCGGGTTTTTATCATCGGGTTTTTATATCATTCGTTCATTATCATCATTTTCTGGCATCACTTACAGCGGCATTACTAGGCGACTATCACATTATTGTTCCCCTCATTACTATCATATTTTTTATTCAAGAGCAAGGCGTAATGCATTTGTTGGCGAGATGCATGATGTTAATGATTTGAGGTCGACCGGGAAAGGCGTTTTTGGTTATCTTTTTTCCTTGGCTATTAGATACATTACTATTGGAAGAATCCGTACTCGGAGATAAGACAGCGGGCTTTTTGTTTTTGACATTCTGCAAAAGCCACGCAAGCCTTCCTAGCATACTAGGGGGTTTTGAATATAATCATCTATTGAATGACAACGATTACACATCCTATTCTTGATTATGAGGCTACCAGGGGATAAGCCCGCCTGGCGCGGGAAAGCAGACGTATATGCCGGTTGGTGGCTTGACAGGATGTCGTGTCTAACGCATGCAGGACGGCAAGAGGGTCCACTGAGCTGCGCTCGTGATGAGAGTGACGAGGCGAGGCTACGTGGATGCCTTACGGTTTTTCTTCCCTAGTGGTATTGAACTGGCTGTATGTACTCCGTATATGGAATGGGACTTTTGTGTTACAGCGTTATGATGAGAAGTGGCGTTGTTTGGAAGATCTTCCATACTTGTATGGTAGGTAGATCTATATGTAGGTCTCCTTTTGGTACTACAGGTATGTATGTACATACTGTAGGCTAGGACTTTTACTGGAAGGGGAGTCTTGAGGCCCCTGCAGAATGAGTGATATCGATAGTGGGGCAGCCGTTTGTTGGCTTAATGCTGTAGATGCCTCGATGGTGTCCGTTTTGCAGTGATGGTGGCTGTGCTGTCATTGAGTAGTTCCGTCAAGAAGCGAGGGTAGAGTTCTGGCAAAAGACGACTGGACATGGCAGCAATCATAAGAGCTGCCCGTTGTTTTGTTTCGTTTCGTTTTCAGCTATCAAAACGCTTCAAATCAACTGTAGTTGCTCATGGAGCGCCACGCCGCACTGCTGCTAACTCAGAAAGGCACGGGCCATGCCGATAAGACAGCATACACCTGTGGGCCGGTTTTTTAGAGAGTGTTTTCTCGCGTTTCAGGGAGGGAGAATATCGCCAGTTGACCGCGTAAAGTAGTGGGTTTGGCGGGGTTGGAGGGAGAGGAAGCAGTGAATAGCGTCATCTCCTGTTATTGCCATCGGGGGGCTATTAGTTGTTTGTTTATTTATCATTTTTTGCATATGTTTCTTTCGCGCGATGACTTTGTTGGGCTTGCTGTATTGTATTTTACTACGTTGTAATGAGAGAGAGAGAGAGAGGGAGAGAGCTGTGATGGCGCTGGCTGAAGAAGATGTGATGCACATTGGTCCATGTTGGCTGTCTGTCTGCTCTCATGCGACCCAGATATGACAGTTGACCCGTCCTCAACATCAACGTTGGATAGGTACCTATGCAGCGCTGTATAATACCATTGGGCATCGCGCAATCTCCGTACCTGCTCGTCTTCTCTCCCGGCAGATGCGGAATTGAGAGGTAACCCAAGCGAATTAACGCTGCAGTGGCAGCAACTAGCAGTCACAGCCTGGGAAAGGCGCGATAGGATGGTGTGCAGCCCCCTGTTCTCACTCCTCCAGTTCTTTGGCCTCGTTCTCGTCTTCGGGGCCGCCAACCAACGGTGACTCTGCATCGTCTGCCAACTGACTGTGTCCTTCACAGGGAGCGACTCCGGCTTCAAACAGGCCGCATCGCAATAAAGGCGCGCGCAAGCCATCCTGCCCGCCGGCTGCGCAACTCGCAATCTTGTCTTCCCATCTTCTGCCACTTTCAGGCGATGGTTTTGGGCCAGTTTTAGTGGCCGCAGCGGGCACAAAGGCGCGTTTCGAGGGAGCCGAAATGTGGGGAGCCTCTTAAACCACGGCCAAGCCTGGGGCTCCCACATAAGACGAGTCCTTTCCAAGCTCAGCACCTTTTTCTGGGCTCCCGCATCGCCTTTTTCAGCTCCATGACAAGCCATCTGCTCTGTTGCTCGATTTTTGTCGTTTCTGCCATGCCCGCCAAGCCTGCAATGCTGCGACCTCCATAGAACAGTCAGTATATATACGCCAGCGTCGCCCGCCTTCTCCCTGTCGTTACTTGTCGTCTTTCACTTGCTCGTATCCGGGAGCTGCGACTTCACCCCAGACCTCTCGACACACTCTGCGCACGAAACTGCTGCTGCCGACCTCAGTCTCCGCAAGCTCTTCCTCTTCTCCGGCTTCTCTATCCGCAGTGCCATGAACTGAGTGGCCAGCGGACCTGCGACCCGTCTGGGCCTGCTCACCGAGTGAGGCTCAACCATCTCCCTTAAACAAGGACAAGACGTGCCATCGTCAACCTTGCCAACCGAACGACGAGCGAACTTTGCCGCCCCTACGACTCTTCGACACTGTTCCACCCCATTTTCACCACTTTAAGAGCTAGACGCAGTCTCCTCTGTGTACCAATGGCCTCGAATCCATTCGAAACAGCTCAGTTCGGCACCGGAGTTCTCGATCTCTATCATGAAAACGCTGCAGTTGTGCGGACCGCTGTTCCTCTTCCTCAGTTGCCTAGCGGTGGATGCAACTATGTAGATTTGACACCAGGCGCCAATGGATCACGATGCGGCTGTCGGCGTTTCTGGTCTTCCCACCCAGGCAGCCCTCTCGTGGATCAAGCCGGTTGGTGCATGTGCAACCATCATGCGTGCTACCATGACGATCGCCCTCGCAACTCCCAGCCTCAACAACAGCCAGCAGAAATGATTCATATGCCCGCCACTGCGCAGATTACTGAGAACCTGCAGGCAATTCAGACACTGGATGCCATGAGCCCCGCTCTGGACCTCATCTCAGCCAAGGAAGCAACGGCGATGCTTGGGCCCGAGCTCCTCAGCTTCAATGGAGCCAGCCCATTGTCCTTTCTACAGAAACCCATCGACGAGCATTATAATTCTCTGGGGGCTGTTCCCACACCCCAGCAGGCGTCTAGCTCTATGCCTGATACTCTAGCCTGGGCTGATCCTGCACCGCATACTCAGCCGGAATCTCCTACAACACTGCCATCAATTCCTCCTCAAAGTCTCATATCTCAGGCGACCTCCAGCAACTCTTCTGTACACGCCAAGTATCTAAGGCCCTTTGCCGGAAAAGGTTTGCATACTCTGAGCAGCAACAATCCATCTATTGTTCCACAACAGTCAATTGTACACCCCAGCTTGCCAGAGTCACTCTTCCAGCAGAAGACTGAGAGTATCGAAGAATCGTTTGTATTCCTAACTGCGGATGAGGAATCTACCCCAAGACCAGACACTGCTACCACTCAAATTGAACCTCGTGCGGCGGCGGCCGCCGCCGCCGCCGCCGCATCATCCGAGGCCATACCTACTGAGACATTAAAGAATCTCACAGACATAGTTGGCGCTCACTCACAACGACTTGACAAGCTGGAGACCGTCTCTTTCTCGGACAGCGCTCACGAAGAGTGTAGTGACAGATATGAATCAATGGACCTTCGTGTTATTGAGCTGGAGAGCAAAATGGAAGATATTGAGAAACGTGTTATCGACAATGACAGCACAAATCGTCATCCAGATGACGCCGCCACTCCAATCGAGGATACATCGGTCACCTCCAGTGCCGCCAGCCGCCCAAATTACTCGCAGGAAGTTTATAGCCAGCTCCAGTCACTGCAAGCCCAAGTTGACCAACTTCAATCAGTCATTCCTTCTTGGAACCATGCCTGGGAAGTAGAAGTTGTCTTTATACCCTTTCCGCTCGGAAGGCTATGGCAGCCTATTCACCAATTCAAGGCTGACCCAAATATTGATAATGAGGATGACTGGACTCAGCTCCCCATGACACTTAGCACATCCAGATCCCGCGCTCAATCTCCATTCTTAGAAGACTGGCCTGCGCATAACCGTGAGATAGAGTGGCTCCTGCCTAGGGCGTGCAGCGATAAGGGCGTCGCAGACTGGCGTCTGAGGAGTCGTGGCCTAGTCAAGAAGATTGTGGTAAAAGATTCGGATGCAAGAAGCGTTAACGTTGCGATGCTCGCGGCTTTTGGGAATGTGTTCCGCGACATGCAGATGTATGCCAGACCGCAAAGCCCTCTATCCAAGGCCTCTAAGTATATGGGACTTCGATCGCCATGGGTTCCTCTCCGCAAAATTCATAAAGACTCACGCCTGCGATTCTTGGGTCCAGAGGAAATGCTAACTCCAGCATTGTGGGACGTCCAGTTCCTAAACTCAGTCATGATGAGGTCATCAGAACCTAGATTGTTCGTTACTCATCCTGACGCCTACCTTCAAACCCATGAAGCGTACGAGTCGTCTTGGACTTGGACAAGATTACAGGAGATGCCACCGGCCTATGATGTTACAGAATCGCAGGAGGCACCCGAGGTAGATCGACTTGAAGAATGCTGGGCATGGAATGAGCAGCTTGACGGACCACTGGCTACGCAGGTCCCTAGCAAAATTCCCCGTCAAGAAAGACACCGGGTCTCCATATCGCCATCTGTTGAGATTTTCCCTACCAGTCGTCTTTGGCCGGAACCCACTTCGGCTACTGTCCATCGCCAATCAGTAATAACTAGGAGCAAAGAGTCAGTCCCGCCTTTCCCTAGGACTCCTTCAGCGCCTATCACTGCCATAACGCATCATACCGCGTCTGGAGCAATTTCCAAACGGCGACTCTCATCTCGTGGCCAGAGCCGACGGTCTTCACCGACTATCCAGAGCCTACCTCAAGCAGGCGTCACAAAGAAACGCCAGACGCGAGAGTCGTCTGGCTACGCACGACACACCCCAAGACCAACCAAGTCACCCTCTCCTGCCCCCTCTGTTTATCGTGATCGCCAGCGCAGCCGAAGCGTAACTCCTGGCTGGGGCATAACACCAGGTCGGGGCACAACTCCAGGTTGGGGCACAACTCCAGGTCGGGGCACAATTCCAGGTCGGGGCACAACCCCCGGTGACTATGCTACACCACATAGCAATGCTCCCCTTCAGGAACTTCGGATGGAGCGAGAAACCAGCTTTTTCCGCGAACAGTCAGTGGCCATGGATGACGCTGACGATTATGAAAGTGAGGACATTGATAGCTCCAGTTATATGGATGAGGACGACGAATCATATAGCGATGAGGGACATGATGGAGGCGAAGAAAACGGAGAGGAAGGGGATATCAGCACCATATATGCACCGCAAGGTTCTCAACTACTTAAATCATCCCAATCTGCTCCTCAGAATAGCTCACAGCCACAGCAACCTCGTCCTTTGAGCAGAGATAACCCTTGGCCAGGTGTCGAGGATCAAGGGTTAAATAACCATCCGGATATGGAAAATATAGCGCCTCAGACAAACAGTCGGCCAGGTGATGACACTCACCATTCTGACGGCGAGAATATTGATCCTAACCTCATGGACGTGGAAGACGAGAGCGATAACAGCGGACCGTCTGAGTATCCGAGCACACCGAGAGGGTGGCACAACCAAACAACAAAGGAATTTGTTATTCACCGGGATGACCAGGATAAAAGAGCTTAACCCTCCCTCATCTTCTCTTATCTTTCTTTATCTCCTTTGTTTTGAAGTGTGGCATGTTTTGTTGGCATTGAATTGAGTGGTATTTTAGCGAGCAAGTATGACATATGTCAAAAAAGATCACAGAGGAGGAAGTTATGATTGGACGGACGTTTATATATGCATATATACGCACATATATAAAGCTGATTTGCATGGGCAGGGCACAGCTGTCGTTAATCAGGGCGTATGGAAACAGAGCGGCCATGTGTTTGTTAGGATCTTTTTTTTTTTCTCCTTGTCTGATTATGCATGGCGTTTGGAGAGAAATCATTTCTTCTTCTCTTTTTTTTTCTTGGAATATGTTACCATCTTGGTTCTATGTTATCGGCGTCTGGGGTATGTGTGGATATAGGGACGGCTTTCTATCTTTCCTCTTTTATAAGTGTACCTTGTCCTCTCTTTTTTTCCCCCTACGCTTCGTTGATATGGGGAGGATATATCAGTGGGAGTGTTCATCTTGGATAGTCTACATAAAAGACATATTAGAAGCACATGTCATATGAAAGACTTTGCTCTCTTCAACCTCAGTATCTTACGTAGCAGATGTGTGGCAACCTTTTCCGCGCAAAACACAATGTAGAGCGACTTTTCATTCGTCATGCGTTCTAGGAAAAGGGTGGGCATATGACTTACCCCACGAGACACATTCAATGCTACTGCACCACACACAACACAGCCAAGCACACCAGCTAGGAGATTTTGATTTTTAGTTTGTTTGCATTTAATTTTCATTCTTATTTATCAATGTATAAGTATCAAATAAATATTATGTTAAATAGCAAAGTCTATATCGGTGTGCCAAAACAATAACAAGCAGAACAGTGTAAAGCAGATTTCTATGTTGCGGTGATAAAATATCACATATGACAAGTGATGACAGGTATAGTGTAGAAACATGTGTGTATAGGTATATATGTACATTGTGAGGAAAGGCGCAGCAGCGGGATCGGGTATCAAAAGGCCAAAGACTGACCCTTGAAAATGCTCAAGCAAACTCCTTCACACTCAAAACACCAGACTAAATACAAGGGGAGGATGTGAGGGGGTTCATCAATTCGTCTGCGAGGACCGTTATGAGGCCCAAATGGGCACCCATCAGGACCAAACATTTGTCAAGTTGGACAACTCAAAGATGCAAATATCAATACCATATCCGAAAAAAAAAATGAAAACAAACGGGGGGTAGTTATAAAAGGAAAGCAGGTAATGCCAGTAAATTATCACAACCGCCGTCTGGAAACGCCTTTTAAAACACGTCGTCTTCCAAGTGGCCCTCGGAAAATCTTCAGTCCACTTCGTACGATTCGTCTCCATTTGGGTATCAACTGCTAATCTTTCTTCGCGTATGCATTCATCTAGCCAGGCAAACTGTGCAGAAAGATGTATCGGGAAATGAAATGGAAAAGAGAAACCAAGTAAGGAAAATAAGACCTTCATGCATATGATTAAAATGCATGTCTGATGCTTAGTACCAAGTACCCTTGGGATCAATCTCATATAGTAGACGGCAAGTTCTCGCTGGGCATAGGGTTTGCCGCTCGAGATTCTTGAACTTAGGTCCACTGGGTCCTGTAACATAATGATACTGGCCAAAGAGGCGCCATTGGCGAGGATCAGCTAGGGTGTAAGTCTCATCACCCCAACGGCCCTGATAGTGCAGCCACGTAGTCGGCGCATCCGGATTGGACGCGGCGGGGACGAAGCTGTGGGTGTCGTGCGTCAGTCCCTTCGCTCCAATGCTATCCTCGTGCTCGATGGTGTCTTCGGGGTTCTCGAGGGTGTAATCGTAGAAATAAGCATAGTTATTAAGCGCAGGATCCCATAGGGGGCCCTTATCCGTAACATCCTTTAGCATTTTGAAGGGCAGAACGTAAGGGTGCGGACCGGGCAGAGCATACATGGCATGGGAGCCAACAGCCGAGTATATGACGGGCCTCACGCCGCGCTTTTCAATGGCCTCCCATGCGTAAGCCTGGCCACCCTCGTGCTCAGAAAAGAAGATGCCGCGGGGTTCTCCATTCTGGAAGCGCACCATGCAATGCTCCCAGTCACCCACATGGTTTCCGAATCGTAGGCCAAGCACAGTTTGCCCTAGATTGTAGCTGTAAAAGAAAAACCAGAAAGCATCAACAATGCCCGAGCCTTTATCCACCAGAACGAGGGTAGCCGGCGCTTTGGAATAGCCATCGGCATCTGGTTTGTGGCCGCGCGGAATTATCCGTTGCTGTTCTTTGCCGGGACTAGGTGTAGGGGCATATGCGGGTTTGTTTTTCCTTCGAGGATCAGAGATACGATGGACAGGATGCTTCTTGTCTGTGTCGAACCAAGTGTCGGGCTCGTTATGTGGTTTCCTACCACTTCCTCGAGGAGGTGGTGTAGAAGCATCGGGGTCATCAAAGGGGTTTGGCAGGTTGTCATGGCTGTGAAGCCACTTGGGGCGAGATTCAACGTCCTCCAGGCTGTGAAGAGTGACCATATGATTATCGAAGCGGTTGAGGCTCTGCAAGTTATGCAGCGTCACATTCTCGGTCGTGTTCAAACGCTTGTGGTCGATTGTGACAATCATGTGTTGGATATGCTCGCGAATGTCTGAAGGCCAAAACTGCTCGCCAGAGTAGAGGTGCACTAACGGGGCATGATCGATAACATATTGGGGAACTTCCTTGAGGATCTTGCGACGCTCCTGCGGATTCCTCTTCAAGTCCCTCTTGGCTTTCCGGCTTCCTAAGCCGTGGAGTTCAGCATCTTCCTCCCACGTAACGTCCATACGTTTTCGCAGTTCTACTCTTAGCTCGTCTTCAGGGTCTTCTTCGAAGATGGGCGGGAGCACGGCAGGGTCCCTCCGCAGGTGGTGCAGACCACACAAGCTTATCCATCGGCATGCTTGGCGATCCCAGAAGTATGGGCTACTGCTAACCCAAAGTCGATCGCGAGCGCGACTCTCAGGTCCTCTACTTGTTGGATCGAGGAGAACGGGGAGGTAAGTAGCCACAAAGATAATGAGTAGCACCGGCACCGTCAGGTAGGTGAATCGTCGCACCCAGTACATGGCGGCTTCGGTGCCCGAGAACGCTCGGCAACGACGGGTGAATGATTTTGCGAGTCGAGTGAAGAATGGTGATATGATATCGGTAGATGTGTTGGTATATGGTATTACAGGCCCAATCAAGGGAGATTGGATATTCTCAGCTGAAAGGACGAGGCGGGATGGCTAAAGATGCAAAGTGGCGACGGATCTGGCAAGGCTGCGCATCAAGGATGACGTTCGGGCGTCTTAATCGTATACGGCAGGGTTAAGAATAATGGTTCAGCAGAGCCTTGCAGACTGCAATCGCAAGCAAAGAATGAATGGCTGAGGTCGAGAGGCGTCGAGAGGTCAGAGTTCCGGGGGAAGCGGGATATCCGGGTGAGGCTGGGGTTCGGAGCAGATCTAAGACCCGAGGATGAGGAATGCAAGGCGGATTATTATAAGTGCATCACAAAGGAGAAAAGAAACGCTGCGGAATAGGCTTATCACGGCGCCCCTGGCGACATGGTCGAGCTATTCGCAAGCGAGATCACAGTGGAGGTGGGAAGTAGAAGTAAAATATGAAAGTCGAGAAGATACAAACAAAGAGAAGAAAAAAGTCAAAAAGAGGCCCGGTTGTCAAGAATGTGAGATGCGGTTTGGCTGAGGGTGTGGCTGTTGCAAGGTCGCGGTACTTGTGGCCGCAAGAGTCCAGGTACATGCAGGCATTTGGGCGGCAGGTGGCCCGCTCCTCCACCGGCACCGGCCAGGCGTACCTGTACGAGTAATGATAATAGATTCAGGGCGTACCGGAACACCGCCAGAAGTAGAGATACCTGGCTAGCACTGGGCAACACGTTCGAATCGAGCGCCACGCGGCGGCGTGGTTGGCCCTAGGCGCCTGTTTTAGTGGGCTCGGCATCGTTCGGAGCCTTGGGACGCCAGAACCAATACGCTGCAGCCGTAGGGCCATGTACCGCTACCTCGCAGCGATGCCTGACCGCCCCGGCCCAGCGCCTGAGTCCGAGTACGAAGCCAGCAAGGCGCGTGGACCCCTCAAACTCTGCAAGGACTGTCCGGCTGAGCCGCCCTGACAGGAAGCCAAGCCCAAGGTGCCGCGCCTGCCCCCTTCTGCGGCCAATCATGTCGCCTTAGGATTCGCCAAGACCCGCATGCATCGGCGCCACGACTGCCCTCCGTCTCTCCTTCCCTACTCACCTCAAGTAAGCACTTTGGCACTTCTTGCGCCTCCAAGTAGCGGTACTACTCGGCAGTCTAGAATGCACCGGGACAACTAACATCTGCTACTGCTAGTGTGCTGCAAGCCAAACAAGAGCCTCTGCTAGGTGCTCACATTACGTAGGTATTGCTTCGTGCACACGTACGTCCAACACCTTTTGCTTCACTTTGCCGCATGATATCCGAATCAGCTAAAGGGCTTGTTCTCGCTCCTCCCGACATTGCGAGTTTCCGCTTCTGCTTCACATCTTCGCCCACTTCCGCAGCCCCCACTTCCACATGAACTCTCCCCGCTAGCCGGACTCCCCCCGAGAGCCTTAGTGTATACTGTAGGTCGTCCACAGAAGGTTCGTCATATCAACCTACTGCAGGACACGTAGTTTGCCGGCTACCTTACCCTGTATACAGACGCGAAGTAGTAATGGTCATTCGATCAAGCGCATGGAACGATTTGCCGTGAACGCATATCATATCCGTTGATTTGTGATTAATATTCGGCATTACTGCTAATTGTGCCTGTATCTGCTCTTGGTGTATCTGTTCCAGCCGGGCCAATTCGCACATTCCTCGGCCTCACCCGGCGCTTCCACGTTAACGTCAGATCTTCCGCTCTCACCAGATCATGTAATACTCTCAGAAATGTAAAGAGGATGGTACGTCATTCATGCATGAATCACAAGGACGACGTGAAGACCAAAGGCTAGAGAGAAACAGGCACCGCGACTCTGGAGACGGCTGATTCTATCCAAGTCATGTTGGACAGATGACTGCGAATGCTACTACCGATTGTTGCATTGAGGCATTTCACTGGCTGCTGGTGCGCCTACTTCCATTGATATCTCTAGTCTTTTCTCACGGTCGCCACTTTTCAATCCCGACCATCTCGTCAAAATCTCTTTAAGCTCAGGTACCTGTATCCGTATATGCAGCCGGGAACCTTGGTTCGCATGCCACCAAGGCTTAGCGTTTACGTGAAACGGCATGCTTACTTGTTGCGCGGCCTTGCTCAGCCTCTGCTGTTTATAGACTCGTTGCCGCGGACTATGATACTGTCCGGTAGGTACTAAATAGGAGTAATTGATACTTTCACATGCTGGTTGGGTCGTACATTTTCCAGCCCAGGACCGATTCCGCCCGCTTCATGTGTCAGGACTGAAGACCAGCCCAAATATGAAGATGGATGCTAAGCTTGGCCCTCTAATAGACTACGTCGTACTCGTAAGCTAGCACGCGCTAGCACGATCCTCCCAGGGTTCTCTTCTTGGCCATACATCGAGATGATCAAAGTCTCAGTACTTCGACCGTGGGGCGGAATCGCATCTTTAGACTGGCATCTGCGTTGATCGTGATTGTATCCATGCAGCCATGCCAGTTTAAAACCACCGCGAAGAGTATTCACGCCTGCCCTTTCAATTCCACGATTCGGACACGGATCTTTGGCTCTGGCCAATGGTAGTGTGTTTGATACACATGCGGCACATGGATACATCTTAATGATAGTCGGCTGGCACATAGAATAACAACGTGCTCACCATGTGCATGATTAGCCTCGCCTAATAGATTAATCCCGTGAACCCTTGATATTCAACGCCAAGAGATCGCCCAGCCGTGCAGTAGTCAAGAGCTCATTAGCAAACCACTTTTACCTAGACCACCACATGGGACTGCCCAATGGCCAGCGCTGCCCTATCGCCATTTAGCAGTTTATTACGCAAGGCTATCTTCAACTCGCTTATTGTCACACATGACTCTCGGGCGTATTTACCCGGAAGCGAAGAGTGAGAATATCGACGACGATTGAACAGACACAAGTTTGCTATATTGATCCCTCCAATGAAATAGCCATGAGCTCGCCATCTATTAGATTCCTACCATGGTTTCTTGCTCGACTGTCATCCGTAGCCACTGAGAAAGCGGCGTGTCTAGTGATGCTACCCTAATTTGCTAGGGAAAAGGCAATAGCCAAGTTGACGACGGCTTGGTTGTCGGCAAAATCAGATTCGTTGAAGATTACTGTACAATACCACCCTTTGAAGGGTAGCAGAAGCAGAGCTTCAGATGGCTAAGAGTGCTGAAGTTGACATCCAAACATGATACTATTTCATAATCACCGCTCATGGAATCATTAAACTTCCTTTTTTTTTTTCGAACATGTGCCAATGCTTGCGTTAAATTTTTTTTTTCGTCCAATGTAGTGTACGTCCAATGTAGTGTACAGCACGAGCCTATTCAGACTCTGTTAGTGTGAGGAAGTAGATGCTCCCTGTAACCCTAGCCAAGCATTATCACATCTCCGTCGTCTTCATCATCATCCTCATCCTCATCTTCAACTTCGTCGTCATCTTCATCTTCGCCATCAAAGCCAGTACGCATTCTTGCCGATTCATCGCTGTCCTCATCGATGTCACTGAGGCTGTCATTATTGTTATCATCTTCGTCGCCCTGTATTCCCAAAAGTTCATCCCAGTGGCTCGGCGTCGGTGTAGATAGCGTAGTTGAGTCGGGAGTTGGGAAAACGCCCCTATCTGCTGCTGCGGCTGCTATGCCTCTGACAGCAGAAGCTCGCCTTCGTCTGCCTCCCCGGCGGCCCTGGCTCCGTCTTGTATATCGACGTTCCCCTCTGTCACTCTGACTAGCACCATTGCTTTGTTCCACACCAAGACTGGGCTTTTTTCTGCGAGGTTTGAAGTCAGGACCCTTTCTGTCATCAAAATCCTTTCCAGCGCCATCCATCGCATAAACGGTAACTTCATCTTCGTCCCCCCTTTTCTTCTTGAGGGCGATGAGATTCTCTAGGAAGCGCAACTGCTGCGCCCTCTCGCCCGTCCTATCTTTCCCAGGGGGGATGCGAATGTTCCACTCCTCACGAATAGCCTTTAACGAGTCCTCTTGTGCCACTTTGGGCTTTAACGTCTTTTCAGTGGTCAGGATACGTGAGGAGCTGGCTCCAAGGATATCTACACCGCCAGGAAGATGGCGAAGAGCAGGTAGCTGGGCGGCATCTTTGGCCTCACGATCTGCTAAAATCGCTTCTGTCCCGATTACTTCTGCCCACTGGCCCTCAAACACTCGGCCTCTGTAGGATATAATTGGGTTGCGAGAGTGGAGTTCCAGTATCTGTATCTCTTCCAGAGGTTCGCTGGAGTCTTTATCTATTGCTGGTTCAGTCGTCTCTTTCATAGCCGAGTCTTCTCTCTCTTTCTCTTTCTCTTTCTCTTTCCCTTTCCCTTTGTCCTTCTTCACTGGTTTCGTAGTTTTCGTAGGGTTGCTAATCGCTCTTAGACGAGGGTCGATATTCGCGTCCTCTTCATTTTCCTCTTCTTCCCCTGGTGCATCTTCTTCTTCTGGAACCTCTTCTTCTGGTTCAGCAGCTCCTGAATTGCCCTGGCCATCTTCTTCGTCGTTGTTATCCTCGTTACGACCTGGTTCGTGTGGACCAACAACATGTTTGTCGTTCTTCACGTCTGCGTTATTGTTATCGGCGTACTGATCTGACCAATTTTTGTAATACCCTCCACGGCTATGATGATGGGCCTTTGCTGGGCGTTCTTTGAACTCTGGGTATGATAGATCAAGCGTTAAATAGTAGACCTAAGGAGTGGTGTGATTTAGCATGAAAGAATTCGAAGTCCTCATTGTGCAGCAGCTTGTAGATCTTACTTCTGTCTCAGTCGTGGAGTATTCGTATTCCCACTCGTCCTGATCATCCTGCGATACCTGTTCCAAGACTTTATCGACATGCAAAGCTCCAGGCTCCTCGTCTAGCCATGGAGACACTGTTGATTTTGTTGCCAATGGTTCTGAGGTCGAGCTTGACGCTGCGGCTGCCATGGTGGATACAGCGTACCTTCCCAAAGAACAGGCACGGTTGGCAATGGAATTCGATATCGCGACTGATGATAAATAGATTGAAAAGGGTTGTCCGCCTAAATTCGAGCTTCAATTGACAACCGCGAAACGCGTGAACCCGACCAAGCCTCAAGCCAAGGCCGCCATTACGTAGAGCGAAAAGAGCATTAATAGCTTTGGCGGAGCTCTTGACAAGTCCAATACGACCCTGCTCTGTCCATTTTCGGTTTAGCGCACGAACTGATCAAGACTAGACCCCGCTATCGCTCTTCACTGCCGTTATCAGGGCTACGATAAGAAATTCGAGACTCACTCCATCGTGATTGACTCTTCGACTCGGATTCCTGCTTGACTCACAAATTGCAAAGGGGGGATTCCTTGGCTACAAATATCTTTAATCTCAGAGCCTCATCCTCAATCTCGCGAGATAGCTCGTTCAGCGTATACAAACCAACGGGGCTGAGCCTTTCGACTATTCGCATCTCACTTATTGTCAGAACCCCGCGGAACATTTTTGCAAACAGCAGCGGGCAAGATGCCCACGGTTCACCTCCTGGATTACGTGGCCGGCAATATCCGCAGTCTGGTTAATGCCATTGAGAAGCTGGGCTACGAGGTTGACTGGGTCAGATCTCCCGAAGATGTGCCCAGGGCAGAGGTTTGGATGGCCCTTAACCAGTCTCCAATATTGGACCACTTACTCACCCTTCCTGACAGAAACTCATTCTGCCTGGCGTCGGCCACTTCGGCCACTGTATGACCCAGCTTGGCCAGGCAGGCTATTTGCCTGCCATTAAAAAGCACATTGAAGCCGGCAAACCATTTATGGGCATCTGCGTTGGCCTCCAGGCCCTCTTTGAAGGTTCAGTAGAGGATCCTGACGTTCCCGGACTCGGCCTGATTCCTTCTACACTCACACAGTTTGATGACTCCGACAAATCAGTACCACACATTGGATGGAACAACGCCAACACTGGAGGCAAGGTCATGTACGACTTGAGCCCAGACTCAAAATACTACTATGTCCACACTTACAAGTCCCCTTACAACAAGGCCGAGTTCGAAGCCCAAGGCTGGACAGTTGCGACGGGAACCTACGGAAATGAGACTTTCGTCGGCGCCATTGCAAAAGGCAACATCTATGCCACCCAATTCCACCCAGAGAAGTCAGGCGTTGCCGGTCTCCGAACAATTCGGGCCTTTTTGACCGGCTCCGGAGCGCAAAACCTCGGAGCCGATATGCCATCCGGCACGGCGTCAACCGAGTTCAAGGACGGCCTCACTCGCCGACTCATTGCCTGTCTTGACGTCCGAACCAATGACCAGGGCGATCTTGTCGTCACAAAAGGTGACCAGTACGATGTCCGTGAAAAGGGCGCTGACCGCAATGTCCGGAACCTGGGCAAGCCCGTTGAGATGGCCAAGAAGTACTACGAATCCGGCGCCGATGAAGTCACCTTCCTCAACATCACTTCCTTCCGCGACTGCCCTCTCGCCGACCTCCCTATGCTGGAGGTTCTCCGACAGACTTCAAAGACTGTCTTCGTGCCGCTTACTATCGGTGGTGGTATCCGCGACACCGTGGACACCGATGGCACCAAGGTCTCAGCCCTGGATATTGCCACCATGTACTTCAAGTCTGGCGCCGACAAGGTCTCTATCGGATCCGATGCCGTGCTAGCTGCTGAGGAATACTACTCCCTTGGTAAGAAGCTCTTCGGCAACACCGCCATTGAGCAAATCTCTCGCGCCTACGGCAGACAAGCCGTCGTCGTCAGCGTAGACCCCAAGCGCGTTTATGTCCCTAAGCTCGATGCCACTCGCCACGCCATCGTCAACACCAAGTTCCCCGGCCCCAAGGGCGAGGCCTTCTGCTGGTACGCCTGTACCATCAAGGGCGGTCGTGAAACTCGTGACATGGACGTCGTGGAGCTCACACAGGCCGTCGAGGCCATGGGAGCCGGCGAGATTCTGCTCAACTGCATCGACAAGGACGGCACCAACAGCGGTTTCGACCTTGAGCTCATCGAGCAGGTGAAGATGGCCGTCAAGATTCCCGTCATTGCGTCCAGTGGTGCTGGTAACCCAGGACACTTTGAGGAAGTGTTTGAAAAGACTACAACGGATGCCGCTCTTGGCGCGGGCATGTTCCACAGAGGAGAGTACACTGTAAAACAGGTCAAGGATTTCCTACAAGAGAAGGGTTTACTGGTACGACAATTCGATGGAGACCTATGATTAGAGATGGTTACGTAGGGGGGGAAAAGTTGTTATAGAATATTCACATGTATGGTATGTGATACTTGTATGTTAATGATTGGATTGTGCTCAAAATATAAAAAAGCTTTGAAAAAAAAAAAAAATTCCATTCTCAAGCCATCACTGGCAACTACTACCTGATAACTGATAACTACTGCTTGGCTTAAACCCGTCCGGAGTACTCCGTACAGTCTAATCCTTTTGAGCCGTGACTCCAAATGCAGAAAACAAAATGTTGACACTTTTCTCAGAGGCAGTTTGCACGAAAACAACAACAACAATGACCAACAATAAAAAAATTACCAACAGCGCCAACTAAAAAGAAAAGAAACTTTGAAGAGTATGATGCCGTTCAAGGTCAATAGAACTACCGAAAAAAGCGGAATCATTACTAACGCCGTTTGGCTCCTTTGCTGGTCATACACATTCAACACCATCAAACAACGAATAGACAGATTGCAAATGAAATCATTCTGGTTACAAAACGAGGTAATATGCATGTTCTCTCAGTGACAAATGCGCAGAAAAAAAAGAACGAAAGAAAGAAGAAGAAGAAAAAAAGTTGAAAAAAGTTGAAGTAACTGGGCTGAGGAGACTAGAGCTCCATACCCATAAAGATCCACTGGCTGCTCGTCACGTCCAGGTCGTGAGCCCAGTGATCCAGCGTGGCCATGTCGAAGCCAACCCATTGAAGGCTCTTGATTAAGTCGCGAGCATTGTCCGCAGGCATGCGGCGGTCAAGACATGTGACGATCTGGCTACAAGCCAGAGGACCATCAGCAAGTTCGATGAGCGCCATAAGACTATATTGAGCGTCAGTACCAGATATATATTGCGATTGAGATATTGGAGGAGGTATATGCTTACGCCTTTTTCAAGTCTCTTCCTAGCACGCCTTCGGTGTCGAAGAAGATGAAAAGTGATTTCTCCTTTCCATCGTCTGCCACAAAGGCGCGGAAGCTCGATCCGCCAGCGTAGTCCCAGACTTCCATCCAGGCCTCGATCCTCGGGCCAGCCGGAACGTCGTCCGGGCCCTGGTTGAATGGATCCGCGAGGTGGTTGTCTGGTGGCGGCGATTGCAAATAAGCACCTGTCAAGCCGGAGCCATGGATAGACAGGTTCCTCTCACCAAGGAACACGGTCTTCATGGTCTCACAGAAGAATCTCTCACATTCTTCCCTGATCATGAGTGCTGCCCCCCCTCGTCGCTCCAGGCGGCGGCCTGGAATGTCGCGCTTCTTCTGCTTAGGAAGAAGGGCGAGCTCGTTGGACGAGGTTAATGCGGCGAGGGGGGGACTTGAAGGAGGAGAGGGCAGACCTGAGGAAGGAACCTCAGGAATACCACTCGGCCCCTGTAAAGACGGCAAAGAGGGAAGATTAGCCTAATGATACGATATTATATGGTATGAAGCTGTAAAACTAGGACGTACCTGTGACCCCCGTAGTGCAGTAGTGGAGGCCCTTGAGGTTCGCGGAAGAGTCAACGACGTAGCAGGAGGCAAGGACATTGACACGGGCAGTCAAGTCCTCGCCATAATTACTACTGTAATTTATACTTTGGTTACTCATTGGCGCCATTGCGATGGAGTTCCACGGTGATTGCTGGGAAGTCTGGTGGTTGGGCGTTGCTGGAAAGATACCGAGCTGAGAGCTAGGTCGACCGAGGGTGGCGAAAGTTGGTGCGGTGGTGTTGCAGCGCAGCGGAGCGTTCAATGCGGTCTTGATCGAAAAATCGATTTGGTGCTTGTGGAATTTATAGCTTTGGGAGATGCTTGACAGATCGTATTTCCAATTCTTTTTTTTTTTTTTTTTTTCTCGTTGAGCGGATGTCTCGAACGGGCGTTTTGTCGAATGTTTTTCGATGTGGTTGGTGTAGAGGAAATTTGACTTTTGGAGTGTGAAGAAGAAAAGAGAAAAAAAAGCGGAGGAGAGGAGAGGAAGTGCGTGTGCTGCGAACTTTAACAGGCCCTGTGTGGCTCCCTTTCTGCTGCTGACTGGACGCTTCTAGTAGCATGAGTTAGCAGCCCGCTTACAGCGGTTCAGCGGCGCTTTCGGTGCCAATCATCCGGGTCGCCAAGCCCACATGTTGGGCCGCTCTGATGCACGGTTTCGGGCCTGTGCACACTGTCTCGGGCGGCACAGACTGCGTGCAATAATACAGTGCGACGCCAATACTGTGTTTGCTGCTGGCTGTGGCACCGAGCTTCCGCGGTGACAGGCCGAGATGACGAAATGCTGCGCTGCCAAGGCCCTCGCCCGGCTATATTACTCGTATGCAGCGATTCGTCTGTGGCAATAGGGGGTTGGTCGGTTGATGCTCAACTGGGGTATGCAGAGAGAGTGCATCAAAGTGCCTACATTGCTCCCGTATTCGACGTGGGTGTTCTACAGGATTGATTAATCACAGGGGGCTCTAGCCGTTAGCTCCAGGCTTGCTCTAGCTCTGCGTGCTTAGAGCGAGGCTAGAGACGAGAGCTAGTGACGAGAAGCCTCAAACAGCGTCTAGTTGAAACTCGTCTCTGAGCCGACACAGACGCCGCCCGTCATGGGATCTCAATACTACCATCTGACTAAATATTCTCCTCCGGGTTCTTGCACAATTAGAACTTAGACGATTCTAGAGATACGGCCAAGCCCCATTTTGAACTAACATCTTAATACTGTTGCCGGCAACGTGATACGCTTAGTGGTGTTATAAGACAGTGCGAGTGTTCGTCTCGATCCTCAGAGGTATCAACAAGAGATTTCAATACGGAACGAGATACGAAATTAAAAAGGGTAAAATATCTGCATTTGCAGACTCCTATACAGTCCTCAAATGTACATCCTCATGTCTGCTATGACCACTACTTACATCCTACCAAAGCAGATGGGCTCTTTGACCATCCGTCTCGCTACCCAAACGACTTATCAGGTATAGATTTTCATGACCCTCTGAAGCCCAATGTCACAAAGCATATACAAATAAACAAATGTGCCAAGCCCATTGCTTTGGCATATGCGCCTGATTTAAATAGGAAAAAAGAAACAAAAAAAAAAAAGAAAAAGAGGCAAGGCAAGGCAAGGCAAAATTCACACAAATTCTCTCCAGCTCTTCCTCTTACTCATCCATATCTCGCACTGAGGCTTGCAAAGGCATCAGGGCTATGACGCCCGTTTGTCCATGCCAGGTCCATCCCCAAGTTCATGCTTTCTCTGCTAATCTTCCGATCTGTGGCAAAAGGGTCTGGGGCTGCCACCGGAGGCCCACTCTTCATGAATGGGTTATTGTTACCCGCAGTGGGCTGCGAGGTGACTAAAGGTGACTGTGCCGGAGCTGCCACGGGCTGCATGGACTGCATTGGCTGCATTGGCTGAGCTGGCATAACCCTATCCTCCGGAATAGCTGGCGGTTGTGCGTGCATATTGGGCTCAGAAGCCGTAGGGCGTGCTGCCTGCGGTTGACCATACAGAGCCAGGATAGACGCTTTATCTTGGCGCTGGGGCTGGTAGTACTGTTGGTGCTGCTGTCCAAAGAACTGAGGCTGTTGTTGCTGTTGTCCAAAGAATTGGGGCTGTTGCTGCTGCTGCTGCTGCTGCTGGTACTGTACGCCATTGTTCAAAAAGGGGTTTGTCCCAGTCAAATGAGGCTGTAGTGGCATGGGGCTCTGGAACATGGTAGGCAGAGATTGCTCCGGGATTTGCGTGAGAGAAGGCGAGGATATCCTGGTCGGAGATCGTGTGAAGGGATTGTTTCCATATGCTGCAGCCTGACTAGTATTTAGTGATAGACTTTGCTGAGGCGCCGGCTGCTGCTGCTGCTGCTGCTGCGGCTGCTGTTGCTGGAATACGGGCTGCGGCTGCGTGAAAAACGGATTATAGCCCGTTTGCTGAGGTGCCAGGGGTTGTGCAGCAGGCTGAGGGTACGTCATGCTGCTTTGGAAGCCCAGATTCTGATATTGTTGAGGAATTGGCGGCTGAGCACCTTGCTGTGGCTGATACACCGAGTACTGATGATGCTGCTGCGGCGAGGTCACTCCGCCAGTGTGATGAGGGAACAGCGACTGGGCTGCTGGAGACAAGGACATATTCTGAAACGCTTGGGTGACAAGGTTGGCCTGCTGCGCTGGAGCTCCGTAGGGATTCGTCGAGGTTATGAAAGGGTTGTTGGTTTGAAGCGTTCCAGTAGAATGGGCTGTCGCTGGCTGGGCCGGGGGGAAGATATCGAAGGGGTTCGTGGACGCTGCCGTTGCTGTCGTCGGTCGTTCTGGAGTCGTGTCCTTGTGTGGTACACTTAAGCCTAGATTGAGTCCTGCAGGATTCGAACCCACGGGCGTTAATGACCTTGAAGTTCGCAAAGTTCGCTCAGCTGCTGGCGGGACGGGTCCTGGCGATTGTCCATCACCCTCGCCGAGACGAACGAGCGCCTCAACAGCACGCTCCAAATTGCCGTTAACTCCTCTCAGAATAGTTGCGTTTCGTTGATCATCTTGGAAACCCATATCTCGTAGTCTCGCAAGCTTCTTATCCGTATCGCCCTGGCCGTAATCCACAGCAGCGCCAAAGACTTTCGATTGCTTGTTTGCATGGTTCGATGAATGACTGGAATTCGCAAGCTCCTGTGCGGCGGCCGCCTTGGCCTCCTTCTTCGCCCGGGAAGATAGTGGGAATATCGACGAGGCTGACCTGAACCCGAACTTGGAATTCTTGGGCGGGGGCGGCGGAGGAGTGGCTTCATCCAGTTGTGGTTTCTTGAGCCTCCCACCCTGACCAGCGGCGGTGTTGACGTACTTTTGTCTAATAAATCTCTCCATTGCCGAGTCTGCTTCATCTACATCGATGGGGATCGATGGCTCTTTCTTCTCGGGATTGTATATTTTATTAGAAGCAACGTTGCCCACCTTTCGCATATTCTGTAACCAAACCAAATCAGCATCAAAGACATTGACGAGCTCAAAGGCAAAGAACGGTGTTCACTCACGTCGACTTGTTCGTTTGTCCAAGAATCCATACTTAGCGACTTCACTTTGGATATGTGCGTGCCCAGCTTTCGATGAATTGTCGCGCATCGCATACACAGGAAGATGCCCAGCTGTAAATCGCATCATTAGCACATGCCATTTCAAGTTATAACGCGGGCGACCGGCAAAGGCCCATCGAGAGAGGGATATCGTACGCTCCATGATGCCCAGGCTGTGACACAGAGTTGTGGTTAGCAAGTGGTTGTACCAGATGTGTGAACAGAGAGACGCAGATGCATACATGGATTCCGCGCGTGGCAGTCGGCGCACTGGTCATTGCCCGGCACGGAATGTACCAGCTCTTGTAGAATCGCCTCGTTACGCGCCTGCTGGCGCTTGCTCAATGCCCCCGTCATGACGCCGTCGTCTCTGTCTGGTTATTACTTGGTTGACAAGCGAGAGTAGCGGAAGGGACTGCGTGCGCGTGTTAAAGCTTCGGTGTGGGAAGACCGGGGTGCTCCGTTGTACCCAAGCAATCAGAGACCCAGGCGGGTTTGATTGATTTTTTGACGGCTGGCGGGCTGTAAGATGAGGCTTTGGAATCAGACCAGGGTCATGGCGATGGAGGCAGGCAAGGAGGGGCCGCGCAGAAGCTGGCAAACTGGGCTTCGCTGAGGATATTGACGATGCTACCAGGCAACCTGCAGATGGCAGAGAAACAAAAGCAAGGAACCAAAAAAGAACCCCAACGGCTAAATCCAAGTAGAAAAAGAGACGATGCGAAAGCAGCGAAGAAATGGTGCTAGCGAGGCGAGCGACTCATGGGTGTTGCGATTCGATTCCTGACTTATCCACTGGGGAAAAGGAGAAGCATCGAATCATTACCCGTCTTTCATTTTAGCCTGCAGATGCCACACGACCAGCGCAGCCTAGCCAAGACACAGCGCCACAGCGCATGTGGGGAAGGACATTGTTCCATAGAAGCGCTGGGCTCAGGGCCTGCAGAAGCCTGTGCTCAGGGAAGTTAGCGGCCCGCCGGCCCAGCGCTTCAGCGGTGTTTTGGGAGCGCTCCAGAGCCTCTGCTTCGTATTTGGGCGCCAAGCGCCACCCCGAGCAATACGCGCTGGAAGACACCGACGAAGAACCGGAGTGGCGGGGCTAATCGATAAGGCTGATGAGAATTCAAAACGGCTGCTTGGAGAGGCGGAATGTGGGCGCCATGTGCGGATGAACCACCGGCGATGGGAAGCAAAGCTCACAAGCCCAATCTAGGCTCATTGCTTGGCAGCAGTGCCATGGTTGGTCTGAGTAGGAGTAGGAGTAGGAGTAGCAGGCACAGACCGACGATTGGCTGCGCTGCCCACCCATTCTGTCAGCATTGACCCCATCTAGCACTCAATCCAACGGTGATGTCAAAGCGCTTGCGAATTGATCTTTTATTAGAACGCGCACTCAAGCGAGTGACAGCAGAACAGGATATTTCGAGCCAAGACCATTGATCTCCCTGAAACTTGAGGTCTGCACATGATGACGAGTAGGCAATTTGTATACTTCTTTTTCGGAACTATTGGAAAATTTTGCGAATTCATTTGTTCCCGGTTCATCTTCGCCCTCTCTCCTCTTTAGTAATTCTCGCCAGACTCGATCAAGAGTGACGGCACCAGCACCGGCATCACTGAGTCAAGATCCGGCACATACCGCTGCTATATAATGCAAAATACTATTTCCCGAGATGCTGTCACCCACGTGCTCATGGACCCGAGGCCCGGCCATGCCGACCTATCAGGGTTTTTTCGGACGTCGAGTATTCGGAATATTCCAGGTTAAGCAGTTTCCGAGGATCAATAGCAAAGCCCGGGCCTCGGAGCCCCTCGACGCCGCGATGGTGCCACTGACGCAGGGCCTCTGGTAAGCGCAGCAGTCCCCTATTCTAGCTCGTGCGGATGACAAAAAGAAAAGAGCAAAAGAAAAAAAGGTCGCTCACGAGCCGGCCGACGCCTCTGGAAGCGAAATTTGTCAACGCCCAGCTAAATGGCCCGGACGCATCCGCTACGCTGCCCGTGCCTTGCGCGAACCCTCAGTCCGCCGTTGCCAGGTCCGCTTTTCCGCCTGTCGCCGCTGCTCCCAACCTCGCGTCGACAGGGCCGGACATCTATTAGTACAGGAGGACCCCTACTTGATGGATGCTGACGGCTGTGCCCAGTCCATTGCATGCTATACGAGTGCCTTGAATGGATCTGTATGCCACTAACAAGAGCACGGGCTTACGGCGATGCTGAGCTGCTGTGCTGCCTGCGCTGAATAAGACCCCCGGCCACAGCCACCGGATGAAACCCACTGCACGGTTGCGCGCTCATATACCCAGCCACAGCCCCGTACGCTCCCCCGAGACGCAACCCGCAGTGCGAAGCTACCCGCAACTTGTTGAGTCCGACTGCTAACGTGTCAGTACCGTCTCCAGCTCTAGCTTCAGCTCAATCTCGCTCAAAACCTCGACTCTGGCGACGCTTCCCAGCCACACGCAATCTTACTTATTTGCTCGGTCAGCTTGTCTTAGCTGTGTCTGGATCCTAACCGACTAGCCCGACTGCAAACCTACGATAGCGGGCGTTTCTGCAATGGAACAAGAGCCTTAAAACACGCAGCTTGTTTCGCGACCTTCTGTTCCACCCCCGACATTTCGAGTCTCTGGTTGACCCATTTCAACAACAATGGCTGGCATCGAGAGACTAGAGGTCCACAGCAGGGTAAGGCCGCTCAATTCTCTCCCCTTACCAATATCATGAGCTGTAAATGGCTGACAGAATCGCATAGTCCTACATCGTGCGATGGGTCAAAGTCGAGGAGGGGAACACTCTCTCCTGGAGCGTACAACCACACAAAAAGTCAATGTGAGCAGCGGCAAAAGAGCCAATGTAGCTTGCTGCAACTATAGCTAATTATAAAACCATCTAGAAACTTCGGTATCGTCAAGCACCCTGGCAGCGGCGCCACAGGCCTCTCTTCCACGACCGGCGACGACCTTCAGCCCAATGCACCCCACACGCAAGGGGTTGATGAGGGCAAAGCGAGCCGATTTGCTAAGAAAGACGTCACAGCCCAAGAGCTTCTCTCCAGCAAGGGCTTTATATCAATAAAATGGTTTGGGAAGTGCGAGGCGGACAAGGTATCCATGGGGGCCTACGATGTTCCCCTGGGGCAGACGGGCATGTATGGCTTGGTCTTTGACAACACATTCTCCAAGCAGACGTCCAAGACAGCGACTTTTGTTGTCCTGACGTATCCCACCGGCGCCGCCCCCCAGAGTGCCAACCACCTCCCAAACCTCCAGATGCCGAATGCTAGCCAGACCAGCCTGGGGGTACATACCAGCCCGCCTCAAGAGGCCGACCCTTCTGCTTCTGTGGATAGCTTCCATAGCCACCCAAGCAAGGGCCATGCCCGCAACATGTCCGAATCAACTGCCCCAGCCAACTATCATGTTGGAACGCTCTCAAAGCGCCGAAGAAAGAAGGGACAAGGATATGCCCGCCGCTATTTTTCTCTCGATTACTCTACCTGCACTTTGTCATATTACTACAACCGCAACTCCTCTGCCCTTCGTGGTGCTATCCCTCTTAGCTTGGCTGCCATTGCTGCTGATGAGAGGCGAAGGGAAATCAGCATAGACTCGGGCGCAGAAGTATGGCACCTCAAGGCACCCAACGATAAAGAATTCCAAGAATGGGCCCGAGCCCTCGAGAAAGCAAGTAAACTGGCCAGAGGACTCGAAAGCTTGCCACAGCAGCCAAAACTTGGCCTACAGGTTGATCATCGCACTCTACAGGATAACAAAAATTCTACCGGCAACCATGTAGGCCGTGATGAGGAGGTGGAATGGCAGCAGGTCGAGACCCTAGTTAGCCGCGTGGTTGGGACTCGTGACGCACTGCGCCGTTTGACCAAGGAGGTTGCGGCTCTGCCAAGACCGACTTCGTCATCGTCCCATCATCTCCAGAGCCAATCGGGGAGCGCTATCGAAGATAACGGCGACGGAGCAGAGCGGAAGTCATTCTGGAAACGCAAATCTAGCTCTTCCGTATCGAGTCCTCCGGGATTACACCCTCACTTTTCGCCTGGCGAAGATCATGATGATTCGAATAAACGCAGATCTAAGGGAGCGACACAAGAAGAAAAGTCTTTGCAGGATCACTGTGCGGCCCTGCTAGCCGATTTGGACTCTGTTGTCAGCGAGTTTACCATTCTTATCAACAACAGCAAACGACGTCGACTGCCGGTGCCCAAATCAGCTGATGCTGCCTCCCGCCTGAGCTTGGATACGACCTCTACTGGAGATGAGTTCTTTGACGCGGAAGATGCCGCCGGCGCAAGCGTCGTCAAGATTGATGCTAGCGACGATGAGACGCACGAGTCTGAAGCTGAAGGTGACGATGCCTCATCTCACGATGGCTCGTCCATCTCGTCTGTGGAAGAAGAGGAAGTGCGAAATGGGGGCGCCAATGCGCTGTTCCCAGCCAAGCCAAAGAGTCTTAGTCCTCTGCCTCTTGATGTCGTTGTTTCCCGCAGAACTGGCATACCGCCTGCCATGGTTTTGCCGCCTAGTCTGATTGCATTCGTCCGAAAGAATGTCGGCAAAGATCTTAGCACCATTAGCATGCCAGTTTCCGCAAACGAGCCGATTTCTTTGCTACAGAAGATTGCCGAGCAGTTGGAATACGCGCAGCTTTTGGACCAAGCCGTTAAGCGTGGATCGGTAACCGAGCGACTGCTGTATGTTACCGCCTTTGCTGTCTCACAGTTTAGCAGTGGCCGTGCCAAGGAGCGAGCTATCCGCAAACCGTTTAATCCTCTGCTAGGCGAGACGTTTGAGCTGGTTCGCTCGAGCAAGGAGATACCCGGAGGATTCCGGTTGCTCGTGGAGAAGGTTCAGCATCGACCTGTCAAATTGGCCATGCAGGCCGAGTCAGCCAGTTGGTCGCTTTCTCAATCTGCCGCTCCGGGTCAGAAGTTTTGGGGTAAAAGTGCCGAGATTACGACTGATGGACGTGTCAGAGTGGTGCTCCGTCTACCAGACGGATCTGACGAGCTGTACTCGTGGAACATTGCTACCATGTTTTTGCGAAACGTTGTAATGGGGGAGAAGTATGTGGAGCCCGTCGGGACGATGAATGTAGTAAATGACTCAACAGGCCACAAAGCAGCTGTTGAGTTTAGAAGCAAGGGCATGTTTGGCGGAAGGGCCGAAGATGTCAATGTGGAGACATTTGATCCCAAGGGCAGCAACACGGGCAGCGGCTTGACTGGTACCTGGACAGGAGGACTCAAGACGGCCGGTCCTGGAAAATCTGGCGGTGAAGAGATTTGGCGCGTCGGCAGCATGGTTGACAACCCTACACAGACCTACGGTATGACGGCATTCGCAGCCTCGCTGAACGAAATCACGGAGATTGAGAAGGGCAAACTACCACCAACCGACTGCAGATTGCGTCCTGATCAGCGTCTCGCCGAGCAGGGTAACCTAGACGAAGCCGAGCTTTGGAAGGTGAAGCTCGAGGAAGCACAGCGAGCCCGTCGCCGTGTCACGGAGGAGCGAGGTGAAGTGCACAAGCCCAGGTGGTTCGTCAAGGCGGACGAGTCCCCGGAAGGAGAGGAAGTATGGAGGATTAAGACTGGCAAGGAGAGTTACTGGGAGGAGCGTGCCCGCGGCGCCTGGACTGGCGTTGAAGAGATATTCAGCGCGCCTGGGGAGTAGAGCTTTTTCGGGCAGTGTTATTGCTTCCTTGGGTAAATAATGGCGGTAGAAGCGGTTCTTTTAAAGACTATGAGCTTTGTGTTTCTTTCTTCCTTTCCCCTTCCCCTTTGCCTCTTCTCTGCTGGAAAGATCAAGAATTAGATTATAAAGGGTGGGATGGGATATAAATATGAAGTATGAATATTACGACCTCTTATGACTTGCAACTTTGCTAGACTGTCTGCTTTCCCCGCTCAACCGTTTTGTGTGTGATATTGTGTGTGTGATTGTGACAGAGGTATGCAAGTAGGCAAGGCTACGGAGTAGGTGGAGAGGACAGTGAGACTGTTTGATACAGAGATGGACAATGAGTTGTGTTCTTGGCAGATCGCAATCTGGATCTTGAGCCGGGGAGGAAAAGAGGAGGTGAAGACACTGGTCTGGTGACATGGAGGACCAGTTGCGTCACTTTCAGGCAACATGGATTTTCTGGTATGTAGTTGAAAGCTACCCACCAATCCTGTTTGGACTATTCCATGGCATAGAGAGATAAGGAGAGAGCAGCTGATCGGTTATCCCCGTACTATCTTTAGGTTGTATCCATAATGCGTATGAAACTTCATTTTGATAATGGAAGCTTCACAGGCATTATTCCAAGAATCCGATAGGAGATTAATGGAGGCACAAGGTAGTAGCCAAGGAGTATAGGGGCATGTAGAAAACACCACCGCTCATCACATCAGATCTATAGTGACGGACGGACGTTGTTTTTTGTCCATTGCATGGGAGCATGCACCAGCTGACAAGCAAGAGCAAGATCGCCACGACGATTCAAATTTCCGCATCTCAGAATGTCTCGAAAAGACCAGAAGAAACCGCCGATCACAGGCTTCGGTTAAAACCTAGCGGCATTAACATTGGCCAACAAGCTTCTTTAGGGTCCCCAGATTAAGAGCGCTGGTTCTGCGTGGCAGCGGCAAACGCTGTGCCGGGGCGGTTTGCCCATGCGCCGCTGGAACGAACGAAGAGGGTGATGGCCCCTGAAGATCAGAGGCTTTGCTGTGGGTTTTGGGACCAGTGCGGGCTGGGGAGCTCCTGGGTGGCGGCGCACGTTGAAATGGAATCCACGAGTTTGATTCCTTCGAAAACGGCTTGGTGGTGTTCTAAAGCTTGTAAGGTGAGGACGAAAGAGGGATACCGAGCCGGAACGACGCTGGAAATGTTCCGACAGGACGACGCGATCGATGCATCACGGCAGGGCCTCACCTTAGATGCCCGGCTGTTCGTGATTTGGTGGATGGATGAAATACGATGTTTTTTTCCCCAGTCAAATTGCCGCATCTCATTGGCAACAGCTATGCAAGCTAAATGATCTAGCTGCCATCTAATGGCCTCCAGCTCGCCGTAGTTTGCTTTCTCGCTCGCTGAACCCAATACTGTGTGCTCTATCCTCGCACGTACGGTGAAGAAGGCGAGCCAGATCCAAGCCGTATGGCTTTGAGATGCAGACACTGCAGGGTGGATTCCGAGAGGGGCGCTGGCAGGGGTAATTGCGGGAACATTTAACCTTGGAAGTCTATTCTAAGCCCTCGCGGCCTCCACTCGCAACGACGACCAAGTTTCAAGTTTTGGAGCGTCCGCCTATCAATCGTCACGAAGATGCATTGAACCAGACTTCCAATTTGGCTGTATATGTGATGGCATACTGTTTAATGGCAGTTCCACGAGCATGATGAGTCGCTGTATCATATACATTGCAGGTGTCTACCTATATTTCCCTTGTATTCCCAGCAACTAATCAAAATATGCAGAATCAAAAGAAGCTATTAAAAGAACAAAGAGCTCGAGAACTTGTGGAGCAATGACGATCGGTATATGTCACCCACTCTATGCATACAAGAAAAAAAAAAAATACAGGCAGCATTCAGGCTTTCTTTTTCTCGTGTTGGCCGAATCTCGCTCGTCTGGTTCGTTGCATCAACTGGGGAATACGAATGATGGCATCACGAATAATAGACTTTGGCATCGCGCGCTGGATAATCCCATAGTCCATGCGCCACGCTTCCTTAGAACAAAGAAGGCTTTTAATTGACTTTTTTCTTATTCTACTTGGATACCTTTGTTTTATTTTTATTTACCTATACTAGCTACTTTTATTCCGTACCAGGCACAGGCAAAAGCTGCCTCTTTGCTGCTTCTCCCACGCTGATCCACAGAAAAACGAAGCCTCCGCGCAGTGTCTCACACTGTCTGCCTATCACAACCTCGCGACTCTACTATCGTCTTGTCTCTCCCTGCTGTGCCTGTTAGTGATTGGTAGCTCAGCATAGCCAGCTGGCGGTTTCGAAGTGGCGCCGGTCAGTGGATCATGCAATCCGTCTCCTTGTGGGTTTGTGTGCGACGCTCTCGGGCCAGTTGCTGGCAGCTCGACCCGTCGCTGGGTGGCCTCAAGCCTGGATGTGCGCGTAGCACCTGGTAGCAAGCACCACACTTTGGCCAAGCACGAAGCTGGCGTGATGTGATGCAGCAATGGAGATCAGAATTCGTCCGAGGCCCGCTAAAGGGCGCAGAGAAGTCGTCTCGGTGCGCGCCCAGGCGTGTGGCTGTTGTGCTTTCTGGCATTAAATATCGAGGCCCTCCATTCCAGCTGCCCTTCTTCCTGCCCTTTTCTTCTCTCCCTCCTCCCTCTTCTTGCCGCAACATCCTCTCTTTCCTGCAAAGCCTTTCACTCGTTTCTCAATCTCTCGTTATTGGAGCCTCTCGCTTCTTCTTCTTCTTCTTTCCCTCCTTCTCTGAATTTTCGTTATCAAATCTACCGTATAATTCTCGACTTGGCCTCTCGGTTTCAATCCACTCCTTAACAACTCATCCATCTATCGATACATTTTGTCCGCGGCGTTCCACAAAGACTTATCACATCTGCGCCGTTTCATCAATCAGCAATTGGCATCATCATGAAGGGATACGCTTTTCTCTCGGCCATTGCCGGCCTCAGCGCCGTCATGGCCACTCCCACGCCATCCAAGAACAGCCCTCCGTCCAAGCGAGCCTCGCTGCCCGTCGTTTCGGCTTCTGGAAATGGTAAGTGAAAGACGACCTCGAATGGAAGACGGACATTAATAAGTTTGAAATGGGTAGCTTTCTGGGCCGATGGCAAGCGCTTCTATCTTCGCGGCATCGACTACCAGCCTGGTGGTTCTTCGGGCACCTCGGATCCCTTGGCTGATTCCAAAACCTGTGAGCGAGACATCAAGAACTTCAAGGACCTTGGCGTCAATGTTATTCGTGTCTATGCTGTCGACAACTCCAAGAACCATGACGACTGCATGAACGCTCTCGCCGACGCTGGCATCTACCTGGTCCTTGACGTCAACAACCCGGGCTACTCCATCAACCGCTCTAAGCCCGGACCTTCCTACAACACCATGTACCTTCAGAGCGTTTTTGCCACCGTTGAGATGTTTGCCAAGTATGACAACACACTGGCCTTCTTCTCCGGTAACGAAGTCATCAACGACGAGCCCGGAACTGATGCATGCGCCCCCTACATCAAGGCTGTCACTCGTGACATGAAGAACTACATGAACTCTCGTGGACTGCGCAAGGTTCCAGTTGGATACTCTGCCGCTGATGTTTCTTCAAACCGCTTGCAGACAGCAATGTACATGAACTGCGGTAGCGACGATGAGCGATCCGACTTCTTCGCCTTCAACGACTACTCGTGGTGCAACAGCGACTTCAAGACCTCTGGCTGGGACCAAAAGGTTAAGACCTTTACCGACTACGGAATTCCTATCTTGTATGTATACCACACTTGACTTGCCCTCCATTATTTCAAAATAGCTTGCTAACGACTGCTCGCCAGCTTGTCCGAGTGGGGCTGCATCAAGAACCGCCCTCGCAAGTTCGAAGAGCTGTCTGCCCTCATGAGCTCACAAATGAGCGCCGTCTACTCTGGTGGTATCATGTATGAATACTCCAAGGAGGACAATGACTACGGAATTGTTACTATTGATGGCGACTCTGTTTCCAAGTCGGATGAGTACGATCTCTTCAAGAAGGCCCTGGCTGCTAACCCTACTCCTACTGGTTCCGGTGGCGCTGCCAGCTCTAGCAAGGCTGCTCAGTGCCCGCCCAAGGCCTCTGGATGGAACGTTGACCCCAGCTTGGTCCCCGAAATGCCTTCTCAGGCCAACAAGTACATGAAGAAGGGTGCCGGCAGTGGCCCTGGCCTTGGTGGCGATGGATCTCAGAATGCTGCCGATAGCGGTACTGCCACAGCTAGTGCTACAGCAGGCACGGCATCCCCAACAAGCTCAGGTGGCGCTGCGTCTGAAACCGAATCTGACAGTGCTGCTGCTTCTCTCTTGCTCGGCCCCATGGACAAGGCGCCATTCATCGTGTCTGGTTTGGCCATGGTGTTTACCCTGTTCGGAACTCTTCTCCTGTAAGGGCCTGATTAGCTGTCAATTCGGGAGATTTTGAAGTTTTATTATTTTTGGCGATTGGGAAGGATGGGGCTTTATTAATGCCGTTATAGATCAGGAGTCTTCAGCTGTATGGTATCAATGAACTCCGGGCTGAGCAGTAATGTAAAGGCCACCCGGGTCTGGGTCTAGGTCTGAGTCTGGAAAGTCTGGACAGGAGTGGGAGGGATGATAATCTTACAGTTTAGGCTTTGGAGCCATTGTTTATACATGCATCGCCTTTTTTTTTTACCCTTAGAATTCATTTTGGTCATTTGATTTGTATTGCAGTTAAAGTGAAATTTGTATATGGAAGGGAGGCTGTCGACGCTACAGCCTTCTGTTACAAGTCTATCTGATTATTTGATTGGATAATATCTTGATATCCCTAGGTATGTGTATATATTCACCATTAAGAGGTAGAGCTGGCCTCAGAGTTCGTCTGCGAACTCATCCTGATGTTTGTCCTACAAGATTGTTCTATACCAGAAGATCGAAATTGCAGGATTATATGTAGGATGTTCATCTGCTTTAATCTTTAGCTCCTTGTCTCCATCAAACCGTAAACGTAAGGGGGTGTTCTTATCATACCATTTTGCAATTTTTCTTTTAAGAAAATATGAATACTGCAAGTTCGTCATCTGCATGAAGCTTGATTCCGATTCTCGATATTCCGTGAATATATCATACCACTGCCGAAGCTTTGTACCGTAATGGGATCTTGAATACCCATCCAGATGTTTCCATCTCTTTGGCCATTGATGGACGTCCGCAAAGAAGTTCAAAACATTTTCCAGAGCATCGCACTTATAAAAGTCCCGGGGAATACTCAAAAGGTATGTAACCCTCTTGACCTTGCAAGAGAGCGTTTAGTTTACCAAGCTGCTTATTCTTTTGATGATTTCAAGATTGGCCAACGACTTCACTGTTTCCTCGGAGCGTAGTTTCTTCGCTGGGTAGAATCCATGGTTCTCATGCGCAGCTTTATTCAGCATGGCTCGTCTGCTATTTACGAAATTAATATAGCAATTTAGAGGTATTGCAAAAGCGAAGATGATCTGTATCCTCAATCTATGAAGCAGCAAAGAGAAAGTGAAACGCAACATCTGAGGTATTCTCTAATGATGCTTGTCAATTCCTCATTAACTCTATAGTGTATGTACCTTATTGGCCTCAAAAGATAAATTTCTCAGCTATCGAGTTTGAACCAAACGACATTGTTATCAAACCCATTCACGGAACTTATAGCTGAGCATGAGAAGAGAAAGTAAGTACACCCAAGTTATTTACCAGAAGACCTAATCTCTCTGGCTGTTCTTGCTTTAAACGATGCGCAGAGAAAAAGACCAATTTATGAGAATAGTTGTTCGTTAAAGAGGAGAGACAGTCTGAAGGAATGGGCAGCCATAGCGATTCAATACAGAATGGATAACACGATCAGAAGCCCGCTATCCCCAGACTCGGACGTTGTTAGCCCCACATTAGCTGTGCCTCGGCTTCGCTGGAAACGGCAATTGCTAGGATAAGCAAAGCGCCTCGGTATGCCATGCTGTCGACAACTTTAAACAGTTGATCTTTTTCTTCTCTTGTATGGAAGATTGGCTATCATTTTACATTAGTCTGGTTATAATTCGCTTTACGCCTTGCGAAACATAATATATACCTTTCGCGATTGATTGGCGCCTACGATCCCTTCATTCACTCACCTCTACGCCCGAGAATCTCATACCCAGCAAAGCACCAAGAATAGCATCTCAAGATGTCATCCGCGGCGGAATCTCCCCTCGCGGCCTACAGCGCCTACAAGTTCTTCACCATCACCGGCCCCAAGCCATTCGTAGCACACGTGCAGATCCAGCGGCCAGAGAAGCTCAACGCCTTCTCCGAGCCCATGTGGCTCGAGTTTGGACGCATCTTCCGACAGCTGAGCGAGGATGCCGATGTGCGGGCAGTGGTGCTGAGTGGAGCGGGCGACAAGGCGTTTACGGCCGGACTGGACGTACAGTCGGCGTCTCAGGATACAGTGCTGAACTCAGATGCGAGTGATCCGGCCAGGAAAGCGAAGAAGATCAGGGCGCACATTGAGGAGTTTCAGAGCTCTATTGGAGCGTTGGAGAAGTGTGAGAAGCGTAAGTCTTTATATATTCAACCTCCCTTTGGACATTTTTATTCTATCGAGGAAAATTCATCTAAAGTAATATTCTAACAGCGGTGATTTGTGCCATGCATGGAATTTCTATCGGCCTCGCCATCGATATTTCCTGCTGCGCCGACGTCCGCGTCTGCGCGTCCAACACTCGCTTCGCCGTTAAGGAGGTCGACATTGGTCTCGCCGCTGACATCGGCACGCTCGCGCGTCTCCCCAAGATCGTGGGCTCCAACTCATGGGTCAAGGACGTGTGCCTGACGGCCCGTGACTTTTCCGCACAGGAAGCCCTGGCGGTGGGTTTCGTGAGCCAGGTGCACGAAGGCAAGGAGAAGACAGTGCAGGCGGCTATTGATATGGCGACGTTTATAGCATCGAAGAGCCCCGTGGCGGTTCAGGGTACGAAGGAGCTGTTGAACCACGCGAGAGACCACACCACGGTGGACGCTCTGCGGTATACGCAGTTGTGGAATTCGGCAGCGCTGCAGGGGGCGGATTTCCCGGCGGCGATGTTGAGTGTGTTGAAGAGGCAGAAGCCGACGTTTGCTAAGTTGTAAAACATCGGTCGATCGTGGATGGTAATGTTTAGATATTAACGATACGGTTATTTGTACAGTGGCTAGAATAAACTGCCTGGTAATGTATGGGCTCTCTTTTAGTGGAATAAATAAAGGTTGTTTTCGCCAGACGTGGGTTTGAAATTTGAATAAAATAGACCCCGTAGTGTATGTAAAATGCTTGATATCGGGCGGCTTATTCGGAACCAGACTCGTCGACAGGAGGAAGATTCTCCTTCAGGCGCTGCAGAAAATGGTCGTGTGAGCAGAAACCGAGGAGAATAAAGCGAGTAAAGAAGACATCGGGGGGTTTCAACATACGTCCTCGAGTTTCTGTTTGAGCAATTGAACCATGTTTTCCTTCACCACGACACGCTCCTCGTCTAGATCCTCGATGATGAAGTCGTGATTGACGCTATCGATGTTGACTATGATGGATTTGATGGAAGGATCGCATTCGATCAGTACGCCTGAGCACGAGGCAAGAAAGGTCAGTTACAGGCTATGGCCCGAGTGAGCTGGAAGAAAAGCGAGCGAGATGCATACCTCTGATTGCGCGGGGCATGCTGGGCAGGAGGTGGTTGATCCGGAGTCTGAAGATTGTGAATCGAGGCAAGGCTGCGCTAAGAAATAGATGATGACGGCGATCGCTGGAGAGTTCTGGTGCCTTAGGTGTGCACGTCGATTTACGGCGGGTCTTGGGGGGCTCCAGGCCGTGGCTTTAGCGCCCGAGAAACGGTCGGGGTGGACCTTGAAGGGGCGCGCCGGTGAAGCTTCCCGGGCATATATACGTGTATCTTTAAATCACGTACAGTTCAGCAAGGTAGCATCAGTCGGCTTGGACATCAACTTGACAGCATGCCGACGACTTCATGCGGGCGTGGTAGGTATCAGCGTGTTAATCGCCGACAGCTCCGTATTCCGCAGCGATGCTCCAAATCATAGGCACCACACTTCGGTATAATTGTGCCGTGCTCCCCGCACAAAAGATCCCGCGAGGTGCTCACTCCAGATAGCGAGCTTCATATAAACGGCTAAATTATAGCTAGACCGAGCAGTAGATGCCCAGGCCCGACTCACTTGGTCTCCCCTGGGCTCCCTTGATGCACCATTACGGATAACTGGACCCGTGGATGCCACTCACACTCAGTGACAAATCCGTCGATGGCAGCGACTATTGATGTGACTGGCCGGCGGGCGGACTAGGAGCTGCGAGCATAATACATAACATAATGGATGGATTCGGAGGTTTGAAGAGTGACGTCTGCAGAGGCTGGTCCGGATCGTACAAAAGCATTCCGTCACCTCTTTATCTGAGTGGTTTTTAGCTTCACCTTTCCGCCCTCTACGATTGCATTTCTTGTGTCTTGAGCCTTGCTGCCATGTGTTAAACGCGATACAAATCTCATTTGTTATCTGCCCACCCTATTTCCTCTTTTATTGGAGGAAGTGAACTAATACTGAGATTGTATACAGCTAAAACTCTCATGTGTTTGTTTGGGTAGCTGCTCGCTGGCTTGGATGCAATAGACGCAGACACACTTCAATACACACACAGTTGACGACCATCATCATGTCTCAGCCTTCAGATCAGTCTATGTCGACGCGACCGTTGACATATATAATCATCCCTCTCCTCGCCCTCTTTGCCGTATTTTCGATGTTGGTATTCTTCTACATACGCCGTCGTGGTACTCGGGAACCCACCCTCGATCCTTCGCTTTGGAATCGAGGCCGCTGGGTGAGACGAGACGGAGCCTTGGTCTGGCTGAGACGAGATGGAACCTACCTACCGCGGCATTCCAGACGTAATCCTTGGGGAGGATTCGACTCTCGCGAAGGGCTTAATGAGCTGGGGGAAGCACCGCCTCCGTATTTGGTCAGGAAACTGTCGGCTGAAGGAGAAGATGTCGCGGCTGGAACACCGACGGAGCTGAGGGATATGGAGGAGGGGAGAAGGCCGCCGGAGTATATCGCTGAGCCACCGCCGGCTGTCACGATAGATTCGAGGAGGACAGAAGCATAGCGGGAATGCTGACTATATATTTTGCGGATGAGATTGAGATTCAATGTTGCTTGTCATTTCGCGGAGTTTCGAGGCGTGGTGTAATGATGGTTTGAGGTTGTTTTTGTTCTAAGTCTCATGGCAATTGGATGGCGTTTTGGAGTCTCCATATTCAACAGTACATTAAAATCCGAATATACAACTTTTTCGAATCTTTATTTCCGCGGAAATCAATATGATTTGGGTCTGGAGCCGGCTTGTTCCCGTTCAAGACATATCATGATACTGTATAAGAGCTGCGCAGGGCGAGTACTGGCTTTCGAGACAGCACCGACGTGGACTGATGGGACAGTAATTTGGTATAAATGTATTTATACTGATGTCTACTTATACCACCTGACTTGTCTCACTTTACCCATTATACCTTCAATATGAAGAGAGGAGAGCATACTGTACATCTTTTGCTGCCCAACGGCTACACCCTTCTACAAATGAAAAGAGATGGCTTATAACCCTATCTCTCAGCTCACGCTGGGTCACGCTTCACAACCCTTCGTGTCGGAATGAATTACTTGCACAAATGACCTGCTGGTAGCCGAAGGCGACCGTTGATGAGAGACAAACGAGCTCTGCCGGTATCACGAGTGCTACTCCCGCGCATCCACTCGGTGGCGCGCATTTCTATCACGTACTCGTACACTGCGCTATTATACATGACCAAACGCCGCCAACCTGTGAGGGGGGAAAAACAAGTTAAGACTTGCATGCGAGGAACCTACATCATTGGTGTGCTTGTTTGAGAAGAGAGGTACATTCTGCATTCGTTGAAAGCTAAGAGAATATGAGACAAGTTTATGTAAACGAGAGGCTGGATGGCCAGTATGATTTGAATAATTCAAACGCAAGACACCGTTGATTAACTAGTTCTTGACGGATGTGGTTTATTTTGATGGAAGATGAAAAAGTAGCCTTTAACGCTTGAAGTCGAATGAGCTTATTAGTATACTGTCGCCCTTCTTAATATTAAAGTGTTAGACAGCATCTGGGTCACGGCAGGCTCCCGGATATCCTGTCAAATAAGCTCGATTTTTTTTTTAATCTGGTAAAACGAGCCACGGCAGTTCCGGAGCTATAGAACAGAGGCTTGGGCCGGTAGTGTATTAATTGAAAAGGCGCCCCATAGAATGAATTACAGCTCAATGACTAGCAGCTCACTTGGCCGATCGATCACGATCCGCCGGGCGGTGCCCATTTTGGGGTCCGCTGAAGCCGCTGAATGCAGATGGCGAACGCCCACGAAGTGCATCTTCAAACGCTCGAGTTTAACCTGCGTCTCAGCCCTACCCATCCATGTGCACCACGAGCTGCTGGGGGTGCGGGAGAACGCGGAACGAGAAGTGACAAAGATTTGGCAGCGTCCATGCGCAATCGGCAACGAAAGACGACCGACGACGCACGAGGATGGAGGTTTGGAGCACATCGTACCAGTGCGAGCCCAGATCAGTGGCACAGGTGCTCCGTAATTACTCGTACTTCCAGAGCTAAGCGCTGCAAGCATTTTGGGAGCTGCTTGTCCGCCATGCACATCACGCAGATTCCCACTTTCAGCCCTCGGCAGGCCTGCCAACGTCGGCCTCCTGGTTCGTGTCCCTTGTCCCATGTGCCTGGGCCTGGCAGCAGAAATACGTCCAAGCTGGGCTGTTAGGCGGTTCTGGTTACCCTGCCAGCGTGACGGCCGATTCAGGTCGTTCTGGCGCCATTGGCGGGTCTCTTTGGATTTTTTTTGGAGAAACGCCATGGTTCGGCTTCTCCATGGCTGCCAGGGGTTGTGGACGCGGTTGCGGCTTGAAGCCATGGGGCGGGAAGAAGGTGTCAATCAATAGCAGCAGAGCAGAGCACAGTACAGTATCACAGGCAGAGCGACGGAGTAGCGAGTACAGAAGCCGCGCCGAGGGGAATACATCATGGTGACTTCAACGATGCTCAACGTTGCATGCAGATGAGGGAATAAGCATGCTGAGCTGAGGTTGGAAGAGAGAAGACGCCGCGACACGTTGGGCGTTGACGGGCAAAACACGGCTCTGATTCGAGCTCAACTCTCCTTTTTACCCCCTCAGGCTGACGATCGGCCATTGGCTGGAAATGCATGCGCAGAATGGGTGGTAGCGCAAGCTCGTGCAATGGCGCTGCGTTGTATCACCAGCCTCGTCCTTTTTTTTTTTCTTTCCCCTACTGCGCCACCCGCCTATCAAAAGCGCAAGGGGGATCGTTGATTGATAGAGTAGGTAGATTAGGTAGCGAGAGAGAGAGAGAGAGAGAGAGAGACAAGCGAAAAAAAAGATGGCTGGTGTTTCTCCATAGAAGATGAAAATATCGGTTTCGCGGTTGGCCAGTTGTGCGCTACTGTGCTTGCGCTCTCTTGAAAAAGAAGCATCATCAGTCCGTTGGATGCATCACGCATGCATGTACCCTCCATGTAACCACTTTTGACCTCAGCAGGTACCGCATACCCCGTGCCACCGCCCAATCTGGCCAGCAAAAGGAAAACAAGTCAGCCACCAGCCATAGCGCACAGCACACCGTAGACGCTACTACAGCGTGGCCTAGCACACCCGTTCAGAGGGCCCAGCAGGCGGCACCACCCACCCCTGCCCGCCCGAGCGCCATTGGACAGGCGCATCGGCAGCGCCAACTCATCAAGCAGAGGCCCCAGCCCGCTTCTGGACAATAACAAGGCCTCAATCCATCCCATCAGCCTGCGAGTCTCAGGTCGGGCCCTCTCCTCCTCCTCCTGCTTGCATATCGCATCGCCCACCTGCGCCCACCTGCGTCGCCTCGCGTTTGCTGCTTTTCCCTGGAGAGGAAAAAAAAAAAGGAAACGCGAGAGAAGCAAAAGAGAAAGCCCCCCAGCAGCGACTCGCAGTTCCGGGCATCTTATCGCATCGCATCGCATCGCATCTGCTCAGCTGGCAGCCGCATTTGCAGCTCACCGACAGGCTCCTCCAGCAAACCCCCGTTTTGCTGCTGCTCCTCCGCCTCGCTCAGCTAGCTGTACATACATATTACCTCATTATTCCCACATATTCCTCCTACATAACCCATCCTACAACGGCACGTCGTCGCCCGCACGCCATACGTACTTGTGCGCATTTCCAGGTACAGCTGGCTGGGCCTGCAGCTACTCCCTGACTCTACAGCTCCGTTGTCTGTGAACCTCTTTACCGCTTCGGCGCCTGAGCTTCGCCACTGTTCAGCTAAAAACTGGCCCTGGCCCTTCCCGATTCCGCCCTCTCCTCTTTGGTTCCTGTGAGTTTCTGACATCCAAACCCACCTGCTCGGGCCCATCTCGAGTGGCCCATCTGGAGATTCACTTTGCTCTCATTCTTTTCACGCTTTCCATCGCTGTGCCCGTCCATTTGCTGACGTCGCTCAAGGCGCCCGTCCCATTCTTAGCCAAGCGTTGGGCCCTGTTCCGGATGTCTGGATATTACTATTATTTATTTTAATATCTCTTCCTCAACCTCGCCCTTTGTTTCCCTTGACGCCCCTTTCCGTAAACTTTTGGGAGTTCGCCTTTGAGGAGCTTCCCTGCCGCGCTCACGCCCATTGGTAGCGGTACGACGTTAGGAGGCAAGGATACCGATTGCCCTTTGTGCCTAACATGAGCACCGTCAGTAGAAAAAGCCTCCCGCTGCCTGCCCCGACCGAAACCGACGAGACAGAAACGCCCACGGAGCTTACCGCCGACATCTCCAGGCTTGGTGACGAGAAATCGGGCTACTCCATGGCCGACGACAGCACCGCTCCAATCTCCAGTCGCGCTCGCGGGCACAGAAGCCACCGGTCTCAGACATCGCTATTGATCGAGTACTTTGAAGGCAGCAGGACAGGGAGCTCGACCAGTCGTAAACCCAGCGTGCGAGTGCGGCTCACCCCCTCTACCTCCAAAAGGGGCAAGAGCAATCACAATATCCAAGTGACGGAGACAAAAACTTCCCGCAAAGGTTCGCTGACTCGACGGATTCCCTTGGACGATGGCGTCCCATCCCGCGAGCACGAATTGCTCGGAGCCGACGATGGCCATAGCGTGACGTCGTATGCTTCGGCCACCGAGGAATCCACTGTCTCACGAAACCCCATCGATATAGAGATTACCCAGGGCCAACAGCAGCAGCAGCAACGACGGCGCCGCCCTGCCAGCCCACTGATTCCAAATAATGAGAGAGAATCCTCCTATCCGCCAGGAAATGGCTCTGAAATCTCAGCCATCCCCACAGACAGCTTCCTGGATGGCTCTCCTGGACGCGAACTGGGCTCGGGAGAGCATCTCGAAGAGACTATAGAGGATCCCAAGGCTACCAAAACTAAATCAAAAGACCGCTCCTCCAAGGTTTCATCAGACAAGCCCAAGGAGAAGGGAGAACGCAAGCGGCGGTCAAAGAGTCGGGCTGGAAGCATCAGTGAACCTCCGCCCGAGGAGATCTACACGTCGTCACGACGTCGCTCCAGCCGAAGCCGTAACCCGGAACCACCAGCGCCTCAATTTTCTGCTGTTGACTCGAGTGTCTTGTCATCAAACTTGGCCCCAAGCCATCGCTCCATGGATACTCGCTCTATGCGTTCTGGCGCATCGAAATCTTCAATCAACAACCCCAAGTTGCTCGAGACGGTTGAAGATGCTATCCGAAGATTGATTTTGCCAGAGTTGAGCGCTCTTAAGCGAGAACAGAGCAAACGAGAAGGCCGACGTGCGTCCTTTTCTTCATCCGCCTCAAGGGAAGATATTGCATTGGACCGCAGGCGGTCTGCAAGTCAAAAGCCCGAGTCAAGCAGAGATAAGGACGGCGCGAAAGAGAGTTCCAGGCACAAAGAAAGACGAAACCGTGAAGCTCGTCACGACTACGATGACCTGTCGGTGCACAGCCCTAGCCGAGATTCTCTCGATACGGATTTCCGCGCTCATGATGATGGCAACACTCCAAAGAGAAGCAGTTTGGCCAAGGCAGCACTCGCTGGCGCGACTGGCGCAGCAGCAGCCAAGGCTTTGTCCGGCACAGCAGACGATGTATCTGAAACTGGGGGTGAAAAGAGGCATCGTGAGAGGCGCAGAAGAAGGAACGAATCCCGAGCCAGGAGCCAAAGTCTCGGCCGTGAACGATACGCGGAAGAATATGATGATGAGGAAGAGTTGCCGCCAGCACCACCAATGCCCCTCATGAGCGAGATCAACCCCTCAGAAATGACGCGGACCTCGATATTGTCAGCAGAATCTGATGGGCCACACTCAGCCACGGAAGAAATCGCCCCATTGGCGAGTCAACAGAGAGACATCCCTTCGGCTTCGTCAACACCCACTCCTTCTAGAGCATCTGTAGACATACCCCAAGTACTAGGCAGGACTCATGCCAATGTGTCACAGGGCGACCTTACTGCTCTGCCACGTGGCAAGAAGGAATACAATCAAAGCCTGGAGTATGATACGGACGAGTTCGGAAATAAGATTCCCATCGGCAATTTCAACTACGATGGAGATCCTCGCGATATTGACCAGGGCGAAGACCCAGACGATGGCTACGATGATGGCTATTACAATACGCAGGACGTTCCTCCGCCTCTGAGATATGTCCCGTACCAGGCGGGCCTACGTGGCTTGAGCCCAATACCCAGCGTGTCTGGCTTCACAGAGGCTGATGGAGAAACGCCAAATAGGAATTCACGCGGCGACGCCTATGGATCCATCAAGTCTCATCACTCACTGCAATCACTTGACTCTGTCCCTGGTAACGTTAATGGGGGCCAAAGAGGCACTGCCTACTCTGAAGATTCTCAGATGGGACAGACGGCTGCAGGAAAGGCTGTCCGACCTATTGCTGCTAACCCAAATATCATTCATCCCACCATTGCGGCCGAATCTGCCGTTGCCTCCCTGATTGATGGGTCAATGCTTGACCAATCCGTCCTAACTGGCGTCTATAGCGGTGCGGGAGATTCCAATCTCTCATATGATGACCGACTTAAGCTTCAAAGCAGCCGGGGTGCTAGCCCGGATAAGCGTTCTGGCCTTGATCACCAAGAATATGACGACGATCGTCAACCAACTCCTGGACAGTCTCATGGATACATGGAATATGAGCTTGATGAGAATGGACGAAAGGTGCCTCGCACAAAGTATCGCCAGTCCCCCACATCGTCTGAAGCTGCCATCACCGCAGGCGCCGTTGGTGCTGCCGCTGCCGCTCTAAAGGCCGCTCAAGAGAGAAAGCAAGCCACCGTTGAGGATGCTACCGACGAGAACTACGAACCTGCCGGCGTGTTCCGCAACAAATCATTCAAAGAGCGTGCTATGGAAGGCTGGAAGCCACGAAACACCCCCACTCATAGCTTGGACAGACTTGATTATGAGGCTGCGCCCCAGTTGGACGCTAGCAGTGTTCCCGATCAAAATAACCCAATGCCTGAAATTGGCTACATTGACTCAGAGTTGCAAACCAACCCATCGATACTAAACGAAGACATTGCCCCTGGTATGTGGTCTGGCAAGGCCACGCCTACAGAATATGGCCAGGTCATTCCCAGGTCAAAGTCTGATGAGGAAATGAGAGATGCTCACCTCAACGATGCTGCCCATCTCAGCCGAGAGCCGAGTGGAGAAGTTGACGAGTGGCGGAGAACGTCTGCTGAGCGGAAGCGTGACACTCTACTCACCAACCCGTATGAGGATGCCAGCCCCATTGTCAACCCCGAGCTTAACGATAACCTTCTGGGCTCTCGCGGCCTGGGTTTCAGCACGGGCAGCCCTGGGTTCAAATATGATGAAGGATACATGTCTAATGGACCTAATCGAACCCCCGACGCCGAACCCAAGGGCAAGGCTATCAATCTCGCGGGTCCGTCCAAGTTTATGGGAGGCGAAGATCCATTCTACGGATCTCAGGGCAACCGCGCTCTTAGCGGCATGTCTCAAGGCATGGCTTCTCCGTTTTACGATGCTTCCACGGGTGGAGGAATCGACCGCATTGAGAACAAGGATATTGTTGCCTTGATGCAGCACGTAAGTTGAACGAACAAGACCCCCCAAACTCTGTATATAACTAAAATTGCTAACACGTTTCTTTCCTTTTTAGCTCATGGTCCGCGATGCCCAGCGAAGTGCCCGTGACACAGAAATTGTTGCTCTCCTTATGAATGCTGCCATTGAGATGCGCAATTCCTTCCGTGACTTGAAGGAGCTGGTTCAAGATACCGGAGATGATGTCATCTTCGCCAACTCTGAAAACACCGAAAAGCTTCAAAAGGCTATCAACGGACCAAGACCTTATCCTGGCCCTCGCTCTGTGCAAAGCGCCTCAGTTGCCACTGTGGATGATATTGCAGTGAAGAAGAAGAACTTGTGGAAACGCGCTCTCCAGGGCCTTAGTGCCAAGGGCACAAGCGATCTCACTCGCATCGAAGACATGCTGATGCAGCTTCTCGGAGAGGTTGACGTTCTCAAGACTCAGACAGCCCCGCCCATCTCTGCTAGAGTCTCTACCAGCGGTGCAGGACAGTCATTTGACAATCTGCAGCCGGAGGGGCAGTACGAGCATGACAAGGGCTACGAACCCGAAGGCAACTCGACCACCAGCCATGGCAGCCAGTCCCAATCCCAGGGGCAGCGTAAGTTCTCCGATCATCGCATCGACACAGTGCCCGAGCACGAGGATGAGTATGAGTATGATCACCCTACTCCGACGGCAGAGCGAACTCAAATCATTCCTCCGATGAGCCCCATGGATCGCGAGATGCAACGTAGCGGCTCTGTCCCTCCAGACGGCGCACAACAGGTCTCTGACCAGGGCTACCACCAGCCGCTCAGCGCCGACAACACCCCCCCTCGGAGCGACAAGGGACGAAAGGGCAAGTCAAGTAGCACCAGTTGGTTGCCTAAGATCTCCCGCTGGTCTGGAACGACAGCGTCTACCGTAAGCAAGGCGCTGCGCGGCAACACCAAGAAGGACGCCAAGAATGAGGACATGCTGCAATCTCGATCAGGATCAAGCATGGCTTCGCGTGATGATCTCTATCCTCTCGACACCTATGGTGACGACAGACTTCCGGGAGGATTTCCCGAGGCACGCCTGGCACCGCCACACGAGATTCATCACGAATCATCAGCGCCTATTGTGCCGAATTTCACCACACCAGAAGATCCGAAATACAAGGCGCACCGCAACTCGCTCAACCTCATGCACCCTCAGCCAAGAACAGGACAGACAGAGCGATTCCGAACCGCGTTGGAACATTCTGCTCAAGATTTCGATGCTCCGGCGACACCCAGATCTGCTGATTGGGGTGGCTCAGTGAACAGCCTTGGCCGTCTCAATGGCAACACAAATGAGCGATATGGAAACGAGGGTGGTGATTACTGGCCCGCTGCTCTGCAGCAACAAGGCTCTGCCCCAGCCCGGCCACCCAAGGAGCCCATGAACGGCTCAGCTCAGCAGACATCACCCCGATCTACACGGATTTCAGCGCTGCAGAAGGGCAGCCCCTTGGGCCCTCAAGGCTACGAAAGCGGCTACGGCAGTGGCACCGGCACTCACCCCAGCCAATACAACAGCACCAGCCCCAAGCCTGAGAATAAGAACTTGAACGCTGCCCTTGGCATCCCATCGCGCAGGCCCAGCGGCCCTCGAGCAATGACTCCCAAGAGCCCAGATGACGTGGCAAGAGAGGAGAGGCGACGAAAGAGAGGTACGTTACAATGATGATGACAATCACTACTGCTTTTTACTCAGGAATGAAAGAGTTTATTAACTTGTTATCCTTTTGTAGACACGTTTGGCAGCATTGCAAGCCACGTTAGTCAGGCCAGCCAAGAAACGGACACATTCTAGGCAAAATCGTACCGTTTCATTGGGCCTCGGCCTCATCCACAAATTGATAACGCAGCTCAAAGAAAAGAGCGAAGATGGTGATTTTTTTTTTTCCTTGATTGTTATTATTACATGCACCATGGCTGTATACATGGGATACATGCTACACAATACCCGTAAAATGGTTTTTCGTTATTTCAAAAGAAAGAAGGAAAAAAAAAAGCAAAAGGTGCATAAAAAACTACTCCAGCAAAAGGAGAGACCAAGGGGAGGGTAGTGGGGATTGAGGGGAGAAGAAGAAGATCGCATTGCCTGGCTGTTGTGCAAGGCAACTTGCGAGGATATTACATAATGCCACAGGAATTGCTTCGAGAGAAGCTGGTGGGAAGGATATATGGGATACGAAAGGATTTTGAAGATGGACTTTTGCTTTGCGAGACTATATCTGCGATGAGCTGTTTTAGCCGGCTCCGTTTGACTTTTTTTCCCCTTCTTGATATTTTTGTATTTCTCTTTCTTCGTTCTTGACGACGACATGACATGATTATTTGATTCTAGAGCGGAGCGGAGGCATTATTTGTGCTGGTCTTAATCTGGACGATGCACTGCTGGCATTGAAGACGAAAAAAGGAGATGAGACGAGGGACGGGGGGTGAAGCTCTCGGCCTTTACAAGCTGACAAGAGGCGTAGCATAGTGCGTGTTTTTTTTTTCAATGGCACAAATGATGCATATTTGGCAGTGAGATTTTGCCATGCTCTCTATCTACTTGCTCTCCTATTCGTGCAGCCTGCCTAGTGGTCTAGATACAAGTAGTATATGCATGTGCGAGACTGTGTCTCATGAAGTTGTGAGACAGACGTGAGTCCTGTTGGTCCCATCCAACCATGCAAGAGCAGACACGTTGATAATCACAAGATGGATGTTGGAATCGGCATGTATCACACTCTGTGACGCCGTAGATGGCTGCTTTCCGGGCCGTTTACAGGCCAATCAAGCTGCCGGCCCTCTTCACCGGTATTACTGTCCCGTCTTACGTGAATCTGCAGCCGATAGGATGCCTGTGGCGCCGCTAATAAATAGTAAGTCGGGGAGGCAAGTACAGTACTACAAGTATGTATTACGGATGGGGGACTTACGGATGGGGGGATTTTTTCCCACCCCACTTTCTTTTCTCTATTCGTTTTTGACAGGGCATCTCATTTCATCTATCACAGTAGTATTCAACTGCGGAGTGCTGATTCCTCTCACTTTTCTGGGGAAATGGGGAGTGTTTGAAGAATTTAGCACGAAGACGATCTTTTTTTTCCCCCTTCCTTATCTGAAGAGCGTTATACAACGAAAGTAAAAGGGACTTGCTGTTCTTGTTTCTGCAAGGGGGTACGGCGTTTTTATCTGAATAATACTGCGGTGCCTGGCTGGCTGACCTCATCGCTAACCGACTCAACTACCTAGGCCTTTTGCTCTTATACACACATAACACTTTTTTTTTCCTTTTCTTCTTCTTCCTCTTCTTTTCATTTCCTATTCATAGCGCTGGGAAGTTTTCTGCATCCGTTCTCTCTGCGTAAAACTCGCCGGGCGTCGCAAATGGCAGAGGCGACCGCTTCTGGGACCTCGACGGGGTTGACGTCGAGTTCGGTTGTCGCTCAAGAGACGAAGCCTGCGACATCGGCCAGGCGCGATTACAAGGGATTTGTGGCGGGCGTGTTTAGCGGAATTGCAAAGCTCACGGGTATGTTGTTTGTGTTTTTTTTTTCCCCCCAATGTATATCAATTTACTACAAAAACACCCCTTTCTTTTCTTTCTGGAGGCTTTCTATGTTGGAGAGTTGTTAGCCTATGCGGATGAGATAACCTGCGTTTGGTGGTTGGACTCGAGCTTTCTTGCACTGAACAATCCTGACTAACCTCACATCCTTGAATCTTTGCAGTCGGCCATCCTTTCGACACCGTCAAGGTCCGGCTTCAAACAACCCAGTCCTCGCGCTTCAGTGGCCCTCTGCAATGCGTCCTGCAGACGATCCGCAATGAGGGCGTGACGGGCCTGTATAAAGGCGCCACGCCGCCTTTGGTCGGGTGGATGTTTATGGACTCGGTGATGCTGGGGTCGTTGAACGTCTATAGACGACTCATGGCACAGCATGTCTTTCACGTGGATTCCTGGACGCCAGGGGCTGGATCTGGATCAGGATTCGGGCTTGGAAATCTGTCTTCGTCGCTGAAGTCGTTGGGGGCAGGGCAGACATCTAGATCTGCGTCGTCGTCATCAGAGCCGTCGTATCTGCCGCCAGTGGGCCACGGCATCGCGGGCATCATGGCCGGCTCTACCGTCAGCTTCATCGCCGCGCCCGTAGAGCACATCAAGGCCCGTCTGCAGATCCAGTACGCCGCGCGCAAGGCCGAGCGCCTGTACTCTGGACCGCTCGACTGCATCCGCAAGATCTACACCCACCACGGCGTGCGAGGCGTCTACCACGGCCTCTCTGCCACGCTGCTCTTCCGGAGCTTCTTCTTCTTCTGGTGGGGCAGCTACGACGTCCTTTCACGGACTCTTCGCAAGAACACCAACCTGAGCAATCCGGCCATCAACTTCTGGGCTGGTGGGCTGAGCGCGCAGGTGTTTTGGCTGACGAGCTACCCGAGCGATCTTGTCAAGCAGCGCATCATGACGGACCCGCTTGGCGGAGGGCTGGGAGATGGAGAGAGACGGTTCCCGAAGTGGCGGGATGCGGCTGTGACGGTGTATCGCGAGTCTGGATGGAGGGGATACTGGAGAGGATTCTTGCCGTGCTTTTTGAGGGCTTTCCCGGCGAATGCGATGGCGTTGGTGGCTTTTGAGGGTGTGATGAGGACTTTGCCTTGAAAAGGGTGATGCTTTCGTATATACTTGACCCCCTCCCCCCTTTTTTTTTTACTTGACACTGAAGATACCTCGTTTATGTCTTGTAATTTATGAATGATTGCATATGAATACACAGATAGATCATTTGGTAGTATATCGAAATTTAAGTTGATATCAGTGGTTCGAAGAACTACGCTTTGAAAAATCACAGAGAAATATTATAGGAGCACAAGATAGAAGTGTTTGATGTAGGTCCACTCGAAATGGCCGGTCAGTTTATTCCCTTGACTAAAAAAAAATCTAAACAGCATCCACACGCTGGCGACAGACTCTTTCACAAGTCCGCACGTGAGTATACATATCTTCCATCATGAAAAAAGATATATCCCAGATTGCTGTAATATTTTTTCAATTAGTTTCCCATAGCCCATTTCATCATTTTCCCAAAAATGGCTTTTTCTTTTTTTGTTCGTCATCCTAGTACCGGAAAGAAGCGAATTTACTCGTCATCCTCATCAGCCTCGTCGTTGACGACGTTGAAGAACTTGAGCTCGTAAACACCGCGGGAGGTGGAGACGACACGGAGCCAGTCACGGAGCTGCTGCTTCTTGAGGAACTTCTTGGTCCTGTTGTTTCCAAATACGTTAGCGAAACATGGTAAAGAGAGACTTGTCATATGTGGTAAAAGTCGTACAGGTACTTGAGGTAGCGGCCAGAGAGCTCGTTGTGGGCAACGACCTCGATCTTGCCGTCGGCAGAGGAAGAGATGACGATGTTGTCGCCCAGGTTGTTGGTGCGGCCGTCAACCTTGATGTGGTCCTGGAGGAACTTCTCGAAGGCGGAGACATCGAAGATCTTGTCGCTGGCAGGCTGAGAAGCGTTGATGATGAACTATAATAGGAGGGTACATATTAGCATCCTCAGTCAGGGGCAGCAACGAGGATTGAGGCACGTCTGTTTGGAATGGCAACTCACCTTCTTGGTCTGCTTCTGGGCCTTGCCCGACTTCTTCTATATCATGACATTCTCAATCAGCCTACTGCATTTTTGGGTGTTTTTTTTTTTTTCTCTCCGGCGGCGGCGCCAATTCCCTTCCTCAACACTCTCTCATCTCTCCAAACGGAAAGATGATCGAGGAGAGCAAGGGAATCGACGTCCGCCTACAGCAAAGCGACTTCTCAAATGTCATTCCAAGCAATACATACAGTGATGGGAGCCATTGTTGATATTGGTGGGGTTTTTGGTGAGTGGACGTGAAGAACGCAAAGAGATCGAATCCTGCGCCTTTTTGGTATGAAATTATTTTTTTGCTGGAGTTGATGCGAAAGCGCTCAGCTCCTCGCGAAATTTTTAGCCGAATTTTTGGTGGGCTGCTCGAAATGGGGCCACGCTGCCAAACTAGGGCTGGAGCGGATCAAGTAGCGCCGAGGCTCCGAATGAACCAAGAGGATGTGTCACGTGATATCACAGCTTACAGCAGATAGGTTGGTAGCCTCCTTAAACGACTTACACACAGCATCTGGAACCAGTGTTTCTTATCGTCCTACGAGATTAGGATATACTTGTACTCTGTTGATATAGTAGTAAGCAGCAAGCAGAATGGAGTCTGGCTTTCGGCTTTCTAGCCCCATCCATATTTAAAAGAAAGACAACACCCAGATCTCATAAGTGTCCCAGAATCAATATAGTTCATTTTAACCGTAATTGAACGTAGCTATCATAAACCAGCCTAATGGCCAGGTAGTAATCATGAAGAAGAATTAAACAAGCCATTCACACATAATTCATTAGATCGTTTCAACAAATGATCGCCTTTAATCCATCGCTGTTGCTTCTGCCATATGCCCCCATTGCTCTATCCATCAATTAAACAATCTCTTAAACACTCCCCTGATTCCTCCAGACTTCTTCTCTTGCTCCCTAGCCTCTTTGGCCTCTCTCTGGCGCCTGCGTTCATTGCGAGCTCGTCGAGCAGAATCATCACCTTCGTCCAGCGGCGCTGATTGCCTAGGAAGGTGTTCGATCCGACTTCCGCGAGGTCTGTCATAGGTGGCCTCGGATAACCGACGTTCACGAGTTCGGGGAACATCCCGGTCTCGTGTTTTAGGCCTCGGCCCTTCTGGAAGTGAAGACTCCCGTATTGGTACGTAGATAGACTTGTCTGGAAGTGGCGGTGACGATGACCTGCGAACAACTCCCTCGGCATTCTTCATTTCGAAAAATCTCTTTTCAGGAACGGGGAATCCAGAGTCCTTCTCAGGAGACTGCGATCGCCGTAGGAAGTCATCTCGAGAGTAATGAGAGTTATTGGCACGCTGGCGAAATGAGCGGCTACGATGGCGCTTTATATCTTCTGGCGGCAAGTCGAATCCCACCTCTTTACCCTTGCGCTCTGTAGGTGCAGATGCAAGTGCAGGTACAAATGCAGGGGCAAGCTCCGGGGGTCGTTCTTGGCTATCGTCAGTAGCTGGGAAGTGCTCAGTCTGGGGCTCCAGGGGTTTTTCGTAGAGTTCACGACGTTCTCGGCGTTCGCGCTCGCGCTCGCGGCGTTCTCGACGCTCACGTCGCTCACGTCGTTCGTATCTTTCAGAGCGGTCATAGCCTTCGTCTTGCAAGTCACGGTCATCGAGCAGCTGAGGTGGTTCAGGTCGCTCAAGCTGCTCAGAACGTTCGGTACGCTCCGAGCGCCGATTGCGTTCGAGACGTTCCGGACGTTCTGAGCGTTCAACGCGTTCCGGGCGTTCAACACGATCTGAGCGCTCAACACGTTCCGGGCGTTCAACTCGACCTTGGTGTTCAGCACGCTCTTGACGTTCCGGGCGTTCCGGGCGTTCTGAGCGTTCAGCGCGCTCTGGTCGTTCAGCACGTTCTGGGCGTTCAGTACGTTCTAGTCGTTCGACACGTTCTGGTCGCTCGACACGTTCAGTACGTTCAGCACGTTCATGGCGTTCTGAACGTTCACGACGGTCTCGGTGTTCACCTCTTTCACGTCGCTCGTTATATCGTTCAGGCCGCTCATATCGTTCGTGCCCTTCGTGCCCTTCCCGTCCTATTTGCTGTACCTCGTTCATGTCGAAACGCTCAGGCTGACGAGCGGCACGACGCTGCGCTCTGCGTTGCTCGCGCTGCTCGCGTTGCTCCTGAGCTTCCTGCTCATCAGGGATTTTATATCTCCGGCTTGAAGATACAGGTGCTTCGCCCACAATTCCGCTGTGGCGCCGTCGAGGAGTTCGAGGCGGGGTGTCCAGCTTGGATGACCCAGAACCAGGCCTAGAACCACCGTTATCCTGGGTAGAACGACGGTAGTTAGACCCTTGAGATTCGTGTGAGCGACGTTTACTGTCTCTGCTCTCTCTATATTCTCTGCCCTCTTCCTCTCCACGATTTCTGCTAGAATGAGAAGAATGGCGAGAATGACGATACTTGTGGCGTCTTTCTCGATCTCGGTCACGGTCACTGCTCGATGAGATGTAACCCTTTGATCTATCCTCTGTGAAAATGTCAGCAATGGATTTATGAAGATCCTCCTCAACATCACTAATACTCCTGCGTGTAGTAGGGACGGCTAGAGAGTGAAGTTCCTCCGAATCCAACATCATCTGATGTCCCAGATGAGGGAGGTCCCCACCGCTGCGGAGGCCGGCAATCGAAGGACCAGCAACAGGTCTCAATGCGTCTGCAGTGGTGTTGGTGACCACAGCAGCTGCAACTGCGTCATCATCAGCTTCGTGAAGTGGAATCTTTTGCTTATGACGCAGCATTCGAGCCCTCCGCCTGTCAGTCACAGTCATTGCCTTATCGGGAACCACAGCGGCAGGAGTCGGCACTTTGAACTCATCATCCAATAACACGGAAAGAGACAGCGGAGGCGGAGTATCTTGAACCATTCCATCGTATTCAACGGGAGAGACCATATTCATCCATTTCGGGAGGTAGTGACTGTCGGCGTTGCGAGCAGGGTATCGTAAAGGGGGCACGTGGCTAGTTGCGGCAGCGATTTCTAAGGGGATCATAGTTCGATCCAATTCATGTGATGGTATTATCTCTCTCTTCATCATAACTTCCGCCCGGTGTCCATCGTCGGATTGAGCGACCACTGTTGCAAACGGAGGTCCATCGAGAACATCCCTTTCGATGCTATGGCTCAATCCGGGCATGGTATATGCATTTATTCGTCCGTCTTCTTCCCGAAGATCTGGGTGCGCAGCCACACGAACGGCGCCAATAGCCAAATCGTAAGCGCCTCCAGAATACTCGACTTGGGCTACATCCTGTAAGTTTGTGTTCTCTTGAATAGGCTCCGCCCTTTTGTTGATCTCTTTACTTGCCTGTTCGGGGTCCATTACTATTACTGCTTTGGTAGTGTCCACCTCGTTTGATGGTTGTCGTGACGAGGCTTCTGGAGTAGTTTTCGCAGCAACTGGCACCTTAGACGTCGAAGGCGCAGCTGTCTCGGCAACAGCTGCCGGTTCAGCCTCTCGCGCGGCAACGGGCTCTTCAGTGGGCTTCGTAACTTCAGGGACAATCTCTCTGTGTGTCTCTTCCGGCTCAGGGGCTTTTCTCTCAGACTTGGGTGCTTCAGGAACAACAGGCTCCTGGTGAATGACGGCAGCTGTCGCCACTGCAGCAGTAGCAGCCGTAGCAACTGCAGCTGTGCCAGCAATGAGAGCAATCTTGTCCGACTCCTCATCTGGTAATGTTCTCTCAGCATCTTCCTTTTGTGAAATCAATGGCTCAGAGACGGTCTCCACATCAGGTTTGGTAGAAACAACAGGCTCCTCCACAGCCGGGGTTTCAGCCCGTTCAAGCTCATCTCGCTTGAGATCTACTTTCTGCTCCTCTCCCAAGGACTGACTCTGAATTTCCGAAATGTCTTCCGAATGTAACTCCAAAACGCCGTGGTCCTTCGACTCCTCACCCGATGTGGAGTCACCAAACCGTCCCGAAATATCAACAGGGGTATCATGTAATGAATGCTGCTCCTCACCTTTCCTAACTCTCTCTACCACAGTATCCTTAACTTCCTCCTCTCTAGTCTTGGGTGCTTCCACCTCAACAGCCACGGGCTGTTCGACTTCTTCCACTGGCTCTGGCACAATTGCCTTTTCACTTTCTACAACGGCAGGCGTTGATTCAGGGTCGACCACCGCAGGCTCCTCCGCAGGCACAACAGGAGCATCTTGAACAGCAGTCTCCTCGGCCGCAGGAACCGGAGAGTGCGATTCTTCAGGCTTGGCTTCTACCTCCTTGTCAGCTTCAGCCACAATTTCCTCAACATGAGAGGTTTTGGAGTCTTCAGTTAGCTCGGAAGTAGCCTGGACCTCTGATGTCTCTTCCTTGTCTTCGTAAAGGGCCTCAGGTTCGGCAGCCTTCTCAGCCTCAACGGGAGCAATAATTTCGACCACTTCATCCAAGTGCTGGGCCTCTTCAAAAGTGGATTCAGCTGGCTTGTCATGGTGAGAAAGCTCCTGCTCTGCAGCAACTTCACGCTCAGCAGCAACCTCGGATTCAGTAGCGACCTCGGACTCCGTAACGTTAGCAGCGACCTCTGGCTCAGCAGCAACCTCGGATTCAGTAGCGACCTCGGACTCCGTAACATCAGCAGCGACTTCAGACTCAGGAGCGACCTCGGACTTCGTAACAATAGCAGCGACCTCTGGCTCAGCAGCGACTTCAGATTCAGTAGCAACCTCAGAGTCAACAGCAGTTTCGTGTTGAGCAACGGGCTCGGAATCGGTAGCAACTTCGGATTTAGCAGCAACTTCAGATTCCACAGCAGCCTCAGGCTCGACAGCGACCTCAGATTCAACGGCGGCTTCGTGTTGAGCAACGGGCTCAGACTCAGTAGCAGCCTCAGAATCAGCAGCGACTTCGGATTCGACGATAGTCTCAGGCTCAGCAACATCCTTCTGAATGTCACTTTCGGTCTCAGTGGCTGTAATGTGCTCGTCATGAGTAGATTCACTCTCGGTCGTTTCAGGCTTCACCTCTGAGACTTCCGACTTGGCCTCAGCAACTTGGGGCTTAGCCTCGGTGGTTTCCGTGGCATCCTCAGCAGGTGTCTCAACCTCAGAATGAGTAGTATGAACAACTTCTGGCTCGTCCTTGGAGATTTCGGACTCGGTGACCTCTTCAGCTGGGACAGAGGAAACCACAGACTCTTCAGCAGCAGGTGTTTCTTCGTGAGAAACGTGTTCTACTTCAGAATGGGCCACCTCTGGCTCGTGAGTAGTTTCAGCCTCAGCAACAACCTCATCCTTTTTCTCTTCGTGGGTATCAACAACAGGCTCGCTCTCTTGGGCTTCGACATGCTCTTCGTGAGTCTCTTCTTTGGCAACTTCCGCGTCGTGTTCATCAGCAGCCTTCACTTCCGAGCTGGTCTCAGGCTCAGCAACAGGCTCAGCAACAGGCTCAGCAACAGGCTCAGCGTCTTCGACTTCGGGGGTCTTCTTAGCCTCCTCGTTGTTGGCTTCTTCGGCAGACACATGAGACTCAGTCACAGTATCCCTAGGAGTCTCTTCGATAATTTCCTCCTTGGGAGCCTCCTCGTGGACCTCCTCAGCCTTGGTTTCAGCCTCAACAGCTACGGGCGCGTGTTCAGCGACAGGCTCCTCATGCTTCTCAGAGTCGTCATGCTTGGCCTCGGATTCGGTGGTCTCTGGGGCCTTCTCCTCTTGAGGAGCAGCCTCCTCTACAACTGAATTCTTCGCAGCTTCTTCAACATGTTCAGTAACTGGTGCTTCTTCAGTAACATGTTCCTCGACTTCCTTAGTAGGCTCTTCAGTAGCTGTTTCGGCGACATGCTCTTCAGCGACTTCGGGAGTCTCCTCAGCCTCGATCGCAGGCTCAGCAGCTGGCTCCTCCTTAGTCTGGGATTCAGCGGTGTCCTTCTCGGTGTCGAGTTTCTCTTCTTCGACAGTCTTCTCTTCTTCGATGGGCTTTGCCTCTTCAGAGATAACTTCGTCGGAGTGCTTCTCCTCAGTGTGGTTCTCTTCTTCCGCAGGCTTGTCATCGGAGATGTTCGCCTTCTCGACATGCTTTTCCTCTTCCGAGTGGTGCTCTACCTCTTTGTTGTCGGCTTCAACGGGTTCAGGAACGTCCTTGTGCTCTTCCTGGTGCTCAGCGGGCTCCTCAACTGTCGCTGGTGCTTGGGTATCTTCTGTGTGAGCAGCCTCTTCGACAGGCTTCTCATCGTGTGTCTCAGCAGCTTCATGAGACTCTTCAGCTGGGGCATTTTCATGCTCAGCGGGCACAGACTCTGGCTCCTTGACAGGTTCAACCTCCTCCTGGGGAGCGTGATTGGGCTCCTCCTGATGTGTCTGCTCGTGCTTGTGCTCGTGCTCGTGCTCATGTTCATGTTGATGCTCTTTGGGGGCTTCTGACTCTGGTTCCACGTGCTCGGGCTCTTCGGAGGCAACGGCAACATCGTCGGCGGGTTTAGCCTCTTCTTCAACAGCCTTGGATTCTTCGGGAACGGGAACAGCGTCATTAGACTGCTCAACATCAGCAGAGCTCTCCTCTTTCACAGTTTCAAGAGCAGCCTCGGGTTCCGGGGCCGCAGTCACGGCCTCCTCTTGCGCTACCGGCGTAGCCTCGTCCTCGCCTCGTCCCTCGTCCGTGTCGGGGGGTGATGGAGGCTGGGCCGGGTCAAGAGCGCCATCAGAAGTAACATCCGTTTCGGAGTTCTTTGGGCCGTTCTTCTTCTTCTTCTTTTTCTTCTTCTTATCCTTCTTAGCCTCGTCTTCGACTACCAGATTTGATTCCTCTGGGGGAGGGGTAACTGTTCTGTCTTGCTCCGCTGCCTCGACGGTTTCTCCTCCCTCGGCCTTGATGTCAACAGCGGGGATGCTGTCGGCGGACTCTATAGGTGAGGTGATTTGGCTCTCGCTCTTGTTCTTCTTCTTCTTTTTCTTCTTCTTGCTCTTGGAAGAAGTCGGCTCGGCCGCAGCATCTCCCTCTACCTCGGCCTCTTCTGGGTGATCTTCGGCACCCGCATCTTGAGAGATTTCGGACTCTGTTCGAGCGTTAGCATTGGACGTATCTAAAGCAATGCCCTGTGAAATTATTGCTCGCTACCTTTGTTGTCTAATGACAATTTTGAACCGAGCTCAGAGTCATTCTTTTCGAAGTGCTGCACATTGGAAAAATCTCTGTTAGTCCCAACTAGATAGTATTCGACTTCTTGGGCGGCGCTCATACTTCCTGTGCCCTCTCGACCTCTGAGACCGCAAACTCTCCGGGCTGAGCGAGTTGGGGCACGGCTTGATTATCGACCTCCATACAAGCTGCACTGCGATGAGATTATCCGACAATGCAGGTAGAAGGCGCCAATAACGAAACAGCCGGTCTCTTGGGCCTTGGCGCTTCAGGACACGACTGTTTGTGGCTGCTTCAAAGCGAACGTAGCAGCCTATTGGATAGGGATTGTGACGGGATTCAAACGAGTAGTTTGAATGTACGATGCAGGAGGTAAACTTTTTTTTCCCTCTCTAAAGCCTGCGAACAGGTGGGAAGTCAGTAAAGTCTTTTGAGATGACACCACTTGGAGCCTTGCTTCCTGGAGCTGCATGGGCCCATACAAAAAAAAAAAAAAGCACGTCCCATGTCAAAAAAAACACCCATGACCGATCACAAGCGAACCACAGAAGATTGACGATGCGGAGCCCAGCACATCCAGAGAGCACAGTTCCGGGCCAGACCCCCCTTGCCACAAAGATCAATATCCACACCATGCCTTGATAGCACCAGCGAAGACCCAATTGGAAGAAGAAGGCCATTTCGCCCGCCGCGCCGCACTACGATTGGGCTCAGCAAGCGGCCTTGTCGCCAGCCGGCCGCATTTGCGGGTTGAGACATGACTTGAATCCGCACGGGCTGACAGGAAAGCTGCCCGACGCAACAGAATTGGAACATGCATGATCAACCAACGAAAAGTGGGATTGGGCCGCGCCGGGCAAATCAGACACACAGACAAAATGCAATCATGAGTAGGCGGCCAGATGAGCTGGCTAGCTGTGGGCCAAGTGGCTCCGGCTTTCTGAGCGATATCAACGAGCGCCCACCACGAAAAGACCTAGCGCCTGAGGATGCGTCCGCGAAGGCTGGATGGACATGCATGCTGTGACTGGTTTCTCCCCCGGCGTGCTACGTGGCTCGCCTCTTGATGCCCCGCGGTCGTTCTCATGCAGCTCGACCCCGGAATCTATCGGCATTGAACAATTGCGTCAATTACCTAGGAAGACGGTTCCTTGATGGATCAAATCTCTTCATCTCCTGTGGCGAGCATAGTAATGACTTGCTTGGGGACATGACTTGCAGAAGGGTCCCTTATTATTCTCGCAGCATAGGGGGGGAAAATCGCACCACAAACTAACCGTTAAGCCACCTCGAGCTACTCGTATGGCTGCCAGGCTCGGAGAGGCTGGTTCCTTTTTGGCTAACCAGTGCTACGACGATGGAGCCACAGCCGACACTTGACAGGGATTGTTCCGTAGGAGAAATTTCTCAAAAAAAAAAAAATGCGGCTGGGGGTCTTGTCGACTGTGCTGCTCAAAAATATCAGCCGACAGTCATACAAGCACACAGCGTAAGGATTATAACCATCTGCCACAATTATTGCCACCGACCTCACTAGAAAAGGAATCTTCTGTCTTCGCTTGGCTTCTCCCTCGTCTCTCTTTGTTTCCTTACCTTGCCAGATTTGTCTCGACCAGAACTGCGCTATTATGCAAGGTGTGCCAATAACGGGAAATGCGAAAAAAAATTAGTGGTGTCTAGTTGGCGGTGTGCGGTGGCTGGACGGGAGACAGAGAGAAAAGAGTGGGGGTTGCCTGTAGCGCCAATCCTCGATGTAGTTTTGGGAACCACACGTGAGATGCTTCACCGCGTAGATTTTCTTAGGGAATTTTCGCTCCTCTGTCATCTGGCTGTTTGTTGTTGTTGTTGCTTTGTTACTTTCCTTGGCTTCTTCTCTCTTGGCGCTGCAGTGACATAATGGTGGATCCTAGCTGTGATGAGGGGAGAAGATAGGCAGCTCTATTTCGTCGGTGATGGTGTAGTGGTACGGCATCAAAGCACCCACAAATCCGCTGAGACAGGCGACTTGCTCGTACACCTAGCTATTCATCAGATATCCTGTTTGCTCGCCTGTGCGCCTCCAGCGTCTGATTCACAACTGCAGAGTAGCATCTCCTCCAACCACTGACTTAATTGCGTGCATAATATCCAGCCCTCGTGTAAGCCCAGACCCCTCACACACTGCAAGTACAGTGCCAATGGTGGTAGCATCAACCCCTCCCAGCAGTCTTCATATGCATCTACGCTCTATATTTTCTCATTCGCGTACGAGTAAGTTCTATACATGCGGACATACATCCGACGTGCATGCATCTACATTAGCACTACATAGTGTGAGCCACCTCGGAGAAGGATCGAAAAAAAAAAGAGGTGGTCGGCCAGGCTAAGAAACAATCTCTCCAACCGCCAGATATCTTCCGGTTACGGGCGTCTCCAACCTCCTCCGTTGTAGTGTTAGCCTGGCATGGGGGTTTAAAAAAAAAAAAGGCCGCAGAAAGCGCTACGGCCAATGAGATTATATGCAAAAAGGTGAATGGAAAGACACAGACTTCTTCTCGGTTCAGATTTTGCCACCGAATCGCAGTACCTTTTGCTTGTGAGAGTCAGTCATGTGCCGGAAAGTGAGAGACGGATCCATGAACCGCAGGCTCCATCGTAATGCTGCTGTTACGCAGCTACGGCGCTTGGCAGTCCTTCATGCACCTTCTACAAGCCGATATCCACTTTGAGCTGCATAAGCCATGCCAATCTCGTGAAACTCTGAATCAGCACTGGCTGAGTGGTGATGATTAGCTGTAAAATAGTACCTAGATCATGCGTTGGAGTTGGCTTGGTTGAGTAACCGTGTGAGCTACTATTATTCAACGCTCGTCGCTGAGATAGTTACGTAGGTACGAGACAAGCATTACGAAATCAGCCAGATATTTATAAATTTCAGCGACTTCAGTCGTCTTGCAAGAGCGCAAGTGTGTGAATTTTTGGTATCTCGTCGTGCCACATTCTACAGATCCATTTGTATAATCCCTTATTGCCGTACCATTCATCGTGAACTTGTTAATACCGTAGCATCTCACCAAACCAAAGAAAAGAGAAAAGCAATAAATATAGACCCTCCACCAATTTACATCGTCATCCATGCGTCAAACCCATCTTTCTAGGATGCCTTGGCGTTATCCGTAGCGCTCGGGGCATATGCAGCCTGAGCTCTGTTCTTCTTGATGACTTCCTTGACACGCTCCTCCGCCTCATCCCAGTCATCGGTGTCAAGACGTACGAGATCAATGCCATATGTGTTGGCAATGCCGAGGAGGGCATCGTAGCTCTTTTTGTCATAGACGAAACTGATACTGACACCAACGCGGCCAAAACGTCCAGTTCGACCAATACGGTGGAGGTAAGTCTCGGCGTCTGGCTCACTATCGCCTCGGCCTTTCATGGGGATATCGTAGTTGATGACCATGGATACGGTCGACACGTCAATACCACGGGCGAGGACATTGGTGGTGATGAGAACCTTGTTCTCGCCTTGTCGGAACTTGTTCAGCAGCTCGTCTCTCTCATTACCATCAAACGCAGCGTGCAGAGCAGATACTTTGTGTCCATCAGCCACCATACGTCTCTGGATCTCGTTGGCGCTTTCACGGGTCTATTTAATGTCAATAATATTGCTCCAAGTTTATCTCAAAATTCCATTTACAACATACCTTGACAAAGATAACCGATTGTCCAATGGTCATAAGACCGTAAAGCTTGCAAAGGACGTCGTACTTGATGTTGTCGTCCGCGCAGTCGATGAACATTTGTGAAATGCCCTTGACTGTAAGCTCGCTTCGCTGTAGCTTGAGAGAATGGGCATTCGGCGCAAACTTCATGGCATATGCACCGACTTTGTCGGGGAAAGTGGCTGAGAAGAGAAGAATCTGCACAGTCTTCGGCAGCAGGCTACATTCAGGCGTTAGTTATCTTGTTCTTCACCCCATCGTTTTTCTTGTTAAATAGGCGTACTTCTTTACTCTCAGGCACTGGTCACCCATTCCTTGCTGATCCAGCATGTTGTCGGCTTCGTCCAAGACGAGGACCTTCAGTTGAGAAACATCCAACTGTCTTCGTCTGATAATGTCCTGGACAGTACCAGGGGTGCCAACTATAACAGCGGATCGAACTGGCTGGTCGCGAGGCAGAGCACCAGGGATAGCTGCAGCAACCTTGAGAGGTTCAATAAAGCGACCAATAGCGTTTATAACACCCTCAATCTGACGAGCCAGTTCTCTGCTGGGCGCCAAGGCAAGGGCTTGAGGCTGATCCGGCTTGGTAAAGTCGACACGCGAAAGAATGGCAGTAACAAACGCCGCCGTCTTTCCAGTACCAGATTGGGATTGGGCCATCATATTTCTCGGAGGATCGCTAAGCATTAGAGGAAGCGATTTCCCCTGGACTTTTGAAGGTTTCAAGAACTTGAGAGCCAAGAGGCCCTTGAGGAGGTCCTCCGAACTTTGGGGAAAACAGTCAGTAAACATTCAGTTTAGGGTAGTAAATAACCATCGATACTTACAGTCCCATGTCCTGCCATTGTGTAGCAGAGTGGAAAGGAGTTGCTTCGTTGGCCTGGAGATCGCTGAGAGAGACTTCAACATCCCAGTCAGGTTCATGCAGACCAGAGCCACCGAGCTCTTCAACAGCACCGTCAACCTGAACCTCGGCAGCGCCAGCATCAGCTTCTGGCTGCTGCTTAGTTTCCTCTGCCTCAACAGATTCAGCCCAATCAGTAGTCTTGGCCGGCTCGTCAGGCTTCGTAATACGGCTCGCGAGGTCAGACATTTTTGGAAAACGGTGAGTGATTGAGATAGATTATCGGGATTCGTAAGTGGTATGTAGTATCGGAGGCTGATATACAGATCAGAGAAGGATGCTGAGGAACAGTTTGCCTGCAACTGTCTCGGGCCGTGTCCAACCGTGGAAAAGTAAACAATTGAATAAAGGAAATACGGCGCCTAGGCGTGCTCCCCAAAGCCTACACCGAAGTCTATGGTGAAGTTAAAGTGACCTACGACGAGGACAGGACGGGGGAAATTTTGGTGGGGTTAGCTGATTGGAGGGGCGAAGCTGCAGCTCAAGGCTTCCTTCAGTTGATTGAATAACGCCGATAATTTTCCGAGGCGCGCCGCAGCTTTATAGCTTATCAGCTGTATCGCCAACTTAGTAGGTACGAAATAAGCCCAGCAACTCAGATCTACGAATTTCATTACCTACCTAGTACTACCTATACTTTGGTAGCGCCTCAAGCTTTACATACTTACTAAATTTTTATTTACATGTATTAAACGTCTCCAAAAGCCTCATAAGAGCCAAGTGCAATTTGTGGTGAGGCAACATGGCGGCACCTCCGCCTCGAGGACTCTCCCTCTACGACAACCTTCACGATCCCAATGACCCGCCCGCGTCGGCGACGATATCTTCCGCGCCAGTGACCTATAAACAAGGCGAAGCTACCGCCGACGAGCAGGCGCCGAAAAAAGCCATCAATGCCGCCCTCCAATTCCAACCCATCCGCCGACCACAGGTGAAGCAGCCGAAAGCCAAGTCGGCATTCCCAAAAGCTATTCCCAGGCCTGCTACGGATCCAGTGACGGCCACAACTGCCACCGGAGCGCCGCAATCTGTAGGGCCTCAATCAGTACCGCATCAGAGCTCTCTTGCCGACTGGGTAGCGACAGAGGAAGATGAGTGGATGTATGGCGTTGGAGAGAAGCGCCAGCGCGGCGGTCGCAAGAAGAAGAAGAGGAAGCAGGACGAGCAGTTCGAGACGGATTGGGACGAAATGTACGATCCGTCGAGACCAACGAACGTGGACGAGTTTCTCAAAAGCGATGAGAAAGTAGCAGAGGTGCAGGAGTGGAAAGGTCTGCTATATCGACACCGAAAGAGACCAGATGAGAGTGACATATCAGACTCTGAGGACGAGGGAACGCGCGCAGCACCTTCCAGTAAGCCGACTCACGTCAAAGCCTTGAGGAACCAGTCTAACAGGATATGTTTTCATTACAGACCAATTCGCTCCGCCTACCTCTTACAACTTTGCGCCTCCTCCCAGATCTCCTCCAGCCGCTCCACCACAAGATGAAACTGCAGATGAGGCTTATGCCCGCCGTCTAGCCCTCTCGTCAACAGAACAACCACCTCCTCCTCCTCCGCCACAGCCTTCCAACTCATCAATACCTCTCCCACCGCCTCCACCGCTTGATACGAGCCTCAATCCTCCTCCGCCTCCACCACCGTCAGATTCCGTCTCGATATCCAAAGCTCCCGTCCGTTATAACCAACCCACCCTATCCCTCGACAATGTCGAGGACGGCGAAGACGAAAGGTACTCCCCACCGCCCAGCTTCAGTCACGCCAACCAAGACACCAACCAAGACGACGACGACGATACCCCCCAAGACTCCTCCCAACCACGATCCAACCGCCCAGGCCAGGTCGGCTTCGCCCAGCGCCTCATGAGCAAATACGGCTGGACAAAGGGCACCGCCCTCGGCGCCAACGAATCAGGCATCCTCAACCCCCTGCGCGTCCAAGTCGAAAAGAGGCGCAAAAAGGCCGACGCAGACGGCGGTGGATGGGCCGAACCGGGAGGCAAAGGCAAGATCATCGGCGGCAAGCGCAAAGAAGCGGCCGGCAAGTTTGGCACCATGAGCGAGGTCATTGTGCTTCAGAACATGCTGGAAAACATGCCCGACCTCGAGGCGGAAATCGCCGATGGGCTTGGCCAGGAAATTGGCGGAGAATGCGGTGAAAAGGTTGAGATTTATCCCCTCCTTCTCTCTCTCTCTCTCTTTCTCTCTCTCTCTCTCTCTCTCTCTCTCTCTTTCTCTCTCTCTCTCTTTCTCTCTCTCTCTCTCTCTCTCTCTCTCTCTCTCTGAGCTAATGCGTTGACAATAGTATGGACGAGTCGAGAGACTATACATTGACGTCGAGACCCGCCAAGTCTTTATCAAATTCACAGATCAGGTGTCTGCCCTGCGAGTAAGTCATGCGTACTCGCATGTACAGAATCAAATAAATAGCGAAACAATAAAAGCCGGGGCTAACTCAATAACAATAGGCAGTCAATGAATTAGATGGTCGCGTTTTCAACGGCAACACCATTATCCCAAAGTTTTACGACACTGAAGATTTTGAAAGGGGCATTTACGTGAATAAATCAAAGTAGCGTTACCACGGTGTCAAGCACGAAGCAATATTTGCATTATAGTAGGGACTGTATTTCATTTTCACGACCAGGAGCGAAATAGATATGTAATAATTAGGCAAGGTTGAATTCATAGAGAAAACAATGCGAAAAGTGGTATAAAGTACCCTAAGTCTAAACATACACCAACACCAATAAAGAAAAAGTCTAAAGAGAGGAACAAATCGTGATAGAATAATCACCAGTAACCATACACACGTAAAATCCTTTTCAAGTCTGAAGCACACCGGTGCTAACCAATTTGTCGCCAATATAGATGTGCTCATCACGCCGTGCACAGTGGTGCCTGAACATGAATCTCTCCTTCACATGAGTGGAGAACCAGAGCCGTCCAGGCGTATACACACTGACAAACGTACCGACGCGACAGGCATCATACATCATGCGCACCATGCGTCCTGTCGAGCTTGCCAAAGGATAAAGAAACGTGGCGACAATATTTTTTGAAGTACATTTCCATTATTAAGTTCTAGCGTTAGTGCCGCGGACATAAGTAGTGCAGCCATGGCCTGGGAGAGGTTGATGAAACCACAACGTGTTGGCTAATAGAAAACAGAAAACATCTGAGAGAACAGAGATTGACGCCAAATTCCCACCTATCATCCTTCGACTTTTTACCACAGCTGAGCCATGCCAGCAACGACTGACACACCCAAGAGGACGTTGTTGACGCTAAGAGCGGCGACAGCGTTGTCAGTGCCGTTACCACTGCTGCCCTTGCCGCCGCTGGAAGTGTTGGAGTCACCGTCGCTACCTCCCTCGTTGGCGGCCTTAACGTTGCTCTTGCAGGATTCGGTACCCTTGATGATCTTCTTAGAGTGAGCATTGTCAAAGAATCCGCAGAAAGCAGAGATATCGGTAGTGGAGAAGACAGTGCAGCCACCCTCGACGTCAGAGAGAGAAGGAAGCTCAACACTGTAAGAAAATAAATGTTAGTAAGAAAACGACTCATGGCTGTATTCAGGCTGGATAGGTGCTTACGTTTCGAAGTTACCACGGAGGATGATACCACCAGCGACCTTTGACAGCTTGGGGAAACCCTCAACTGCAAGCAGCTTGGTGTTGTTCTGAATGGTCATATCACCGATAGAAGTCAACAGGGGGAAAGAGACGTTGGTAAGCTTGTTGTTGTTGATGAAAGTGACACTGTCGGTGATGCTGGTAACGTTCTTAGCAGAGAAGGTGGTGAGTTCGGGGTTGGTGTCGAATTTGAGAGACTGAGTAATGGTCTTGAGGCGAGGAACCACGAAGCTCTTGACGTTGGAGAGCTGGATCTCCGCAGCAGAGGTAAGCTTGGTCATGTTGATTTCCATGTTGTTTCCGTTGCTAGTAACACTGAGAAGACTGGTGATGTTGACGAGATCGGAGTTGAAGGCAGTCAGCTTGTTGTTGTTGGTGATGGTAAGGCTGTCAACACTGTTGATGTTGAGACCGCTCAAATCATTGAGGAAAGTATCGGAAATGACAATGTCGGAGGCCTTGGTGACACCAGAAGTGCCAAAAGTCAAGGTGCTCAGCTGGGGGAGCTTGACCATGTTCAGCTTGTTCAAGGTCTTGAGCGCCTGCATGTTAACAGAGCTCAGGAGCTCGAGACTCTGAAGCTCGAAGTTGCCCTCAATGGACTGGATGGTAGAGCTGGAGATGGAGATGAGCTGGGTGGCGTTCTTGATGATGAGATCACCTGTGATCGCCTTGGGTCCCTCGAGGCTCAGGCCGCCGGCCACAGACGCGTCAATGGTGATGCTAGCATCGACAACATCGCAAGCAATGACGGGAGTGGGCTGGGTAACCTTGATGTCCTTGGTGCAGGTGGTGACAGCTACGGTTGAGTTAGCACTGCGAAGCCATACACAAGCAAGAGGAAGCGCTTACCAGAGACCACGCTGGCAGAGCCAACAGCCAACACGGCTGAGAAAAGCTTGGAATGCATTATGATCTAATGAAAGGTGAAAGGTCAGCAACCATGCATCACGGTGCGGTTGGAAAAAAAAAAAAAAAAAAAAAAAAGTCTGAAATTCGGGTCGCGATTCGGGGCTCGATGCTTGTGCAAATAGGGGGTTATATCTGACTCTGGCGTTTAAACTATGCAACCGGTCCAAAAGGCACGACGCAAGACCAAAAGATGTTGACAGAATCTAGCTCTTGGACGCCCAAATGATGACCCAGGTTACTAGTTATTCTCGCTCGAATCTGCACCGGGCGAGTCCAGGAAGGAATAGTGTCGGTTGGGCCGAAGAAAGAGGGAGCGTCAAGTTTGAACAGCGGAACAGCGCAGTCGCAACTGGGGCGCAGCAGCAGGCTTGAGACGCAAATCGAGGCTGAATTGGCGTTGCAGAATTGTGTATGGAAGGAGGAGAGCAGGTGAAAGGTTGCGGAAATGCCAGGTGAAACGAGGTTTGGGGGGAGCAGCAACAACAAGGCAACGTGCACGCCGCAAGCGAAACCAGGAGAACTCACACCTTGTAGCAAAAAGTCGATCTTTTTCCGGACGCGAAAATTGGAAACGTTCCTCGGCAACGGCTTAGAAATGTCTTAAAAGATGGTGGTCGAAGTTAAGGGCTACTGGTTGGCCTGGAAGACTGTAGTTGGATTGGAATGAAGAAGAGGAAAATAAAGAAGCTATAGCGCAAATTGCTTGGCCTGGTAACGAGTGGCAGGAAGTGAAGCAGGACGGCGAGACGACGGCAATCGTAAAACGAACGAGCGAGAGAAAGCGAGGAAGAAGGGGAGAAAAAGGATTTGGACGTGAAGAACTTGCTCCTTGGACGAAACCAAGCGACACCCCCTGCCGCGACTGTGCACCAACCACAAGCTCCGACGCGGGCCTTGCCAGGGGGTGAGGTCGTCCAAATCTCCCCTGGGAATGGAGCTTCTAGGGGGTGTGGGTGGGACGCGGGCAGGGACATGAGCCGCTGGAAAGGGCACCTGGGCCCCACCGGCCTCATGTCCATAATTTGCCGTGAAATTTGCTGCCCCGTACTGTATTAGTACGAGCGCGCAAGCCATCAAAACCAAGAGCAGCGCGAGGGTGGCCTCGGCTGGCGGCACAGAATGATGGATGCGATGCGCACCATGGGCGCGATGATGGCCCGATGGTACAGTGCGGAGCGGGCTAGCAGTGCGTATCTGTCTGTGTCTGTGTCTCTGTCTCCGTATCTGTATCTGTAGGTACATGTGATTGTGTGCTTTGCTCCCGCATAGGTACTCCAGCGCCCGAGTGTGTGGGCGCCGCAAGCTTCAAAGCGGCTGCAACTTTATACCATCATGTCATGGAACTAACACACTAAAGTGAACGCTGTCATACAGCGCACAAACATGCATATATAAATACAGTCCTCGGTACAGTGCAGACAGACAGCTTAAACAGCTGCTGTGCAAGTATCCTGTTGTTGACTCGCAGCAGCTCTCCCCCCGCAAGGGCTGACAGCCAGAAAACCTGATCCGAGCTGGGCAGGTAATAACTCAGAGACAGACCGTGCCTGGACCTTGCCGTTACGGGCAGCACCGCCTGGAGGCACGGCAAGCCCGCATGCGTCCACGTACCTGGATCCTGCAAGTACAGCACAGCACAAACAAGAAAATCTCATCTCGGCGCGAGGGTCGCAATTGAACAATGCGTGGGCCGACCGCCTGTCGTTATTCTGCTCTTGTTTGGCATGTCGCATCGCGACTTACACACGAATAAGGGAAAGAAAAAAAAAAATCATATGTTTCTCCGCACTCGTGCGCTACTCGCAGTGGGAGGCATCCGATCTGCATGCAAACGCTGCTAACATCACCACGACGTCGTCCGCCGATGCAGATCGTATCGCATGCGCCAGCTACCGCCACGCCGATACTAAACAGCTGCTAACGCTGCTAACGCTGCTAACCCGCCAGTAGGGCATTTCGCCAAAGGACCGTCCCAGCGACCATGTGTGAGCTAACAGGGGTGCTGGAATTGAAAGGCTCAATTGAATTTGCTAGCGCCCCTAGAGCCACTTGCGCAGAGCCATGGCGCTCTGTAACAATGCGAGCTGGGAATAGGTACCGCACATAATGCCTGCCCCTGGTGCCTGTTAGCCACTGACCGAAGCGTGCGCGGAATCTTCGGCCGTGAGCCAGAATCGTCCCCTTTTTATGGGTTCCTTTCACATTCACGAGTGCAGTACGGAGTAGGTAGTACCTAGTACCAGCAAGATTGCTGGATTGGCCACTGCCGCGGAGGGGGTCAGCGCAAGGAGACCCGGCGGCATCGAGTTCTAGGCCGGTTTACTTGGCCAGCGATACTTGCGCTACTTCCAGGAGGCGCTCCTAGTCTCTACAGCTACGAATAGGCGATCTGTCGGCGGCCTGTTTTCCCCCCCATAATTAATACGGAGCGCCTCCTCCGTTGGTATTCACGGCGCTGCACTCCTTTTGCAAGCACAGGGCTGTATATCACTATGTTGTCCACTATCTTGGTGCTGCGCGTACAGCTCATATTAACCACCCAAGCGTTTCATCGTTTCATGATCCATCTGCCGCTCCATGTTTCCCTCTGCAGCGCCCGGCATCACGGCAACGCCGTCCGGTCCATGATGCCGGCGATGACGACCTCGAAATGCAGCAACCACTTGAGACGTGACGCGCTGACGTATCTGCATTGGAGCTCTGCGAGGACGACGTTAATTGGTGGCTGCTTGGCACAGCGGGTGTGCCACACTTTCTCTCCCGAAGCTCCAATAGTCTCCGACCCGACCGTTGCGATACGAGCTGTTGCTAGCAGTATTCTATTTTGGACTCTAGCATGTTAATGATAATGTACGCGTAGAGTTTGACGGCATTGATCAATGTCGGCAATAATAAGCATACGGGTGGCCTAGTGGTCACCAGATGAATTGGTGATGGATTCATTATTAGCGCCTGTCCATCAACATGAAGTCGACTACGTGTATGCGGAGTGCGCCTCAAGTGGGACATCAATCCTCGTCATCACCCAGATACGCAGTAGTACTCCATACAGTGCATCGCGATACGGCATAGAAAGCCGTCTGCATTGATGCAGTCACCCCTCTCAAGCTACCAATAGCTGTGCCACCAAATAACAAAGTAAAAAAGCTTGTCATTGTCCACTGTTACACTCCCGATTTGGAACCATAAGAACAGCAGCTGTGCTCAGATACTCGTATAAGACACTTCTCCACCATGAAGTGCTTGTTATACTCGCTTCCAAATACGGAGTTAATTTACTATAGGCTTTTGTAGCCGACATATCGTTTACTTTAGCAGTTCGCTGCGCTGATACGAAGACACGAAGCAAGGTAAAGATGAAATACTCTTATTGGCTGTAAGGATTACTATACCTGTACTTCGTACGGAGTACTTCGTATACAAAGGAGGTCGGCATGCTACATGTAGTTGCTCCGATATCCGTACGCGGGAACCATACGAGTCATAATGATTTGGCCTGATCCGTATTATTATAAGCAGAGCTGCCTTATCAGTCACGATTTGAAACTGTTTAATTATATCAAGATGCTCCTGTGATCAAGGCTCGTCGCTTCCCTGATGGTCTGTAACATGTTACCACTGCCTTGCAGAAATTAGTGTCACTTTGCTTCAACGTCTCCCTGCTTTGCAACGAAGAAAGCTTAACCAAACAATTTACAATTCGATAAATTGCCCGCATGGTGTGATATCACACAGTCCGTCTCCAAAGTAACTTCACATGTGGCCACCCTCTTATCTGTAGCCGCTGCACGTGTCATCCGCGCCGAGCCGTGCAAACAAGCTTGCTTCTAGACCTGGAACCACATCTTACACGTACCCACCTGACATATGCAAATACCCAAACACGAGAAATCTGCATGATTCACTCTCGAGATTGGTAAAATCCTATCTTGAACCTAAATTTAGGAAACACCCCCTGGCAGGCAAATCCAATGGTGATGGGCTACAGTACACATTTCAGCTGATTCCAGGCTTGAGTTGTACAACGTATATATAAATATATATATCCTTCGCACATATGAAAGGAGAAACGCAACAACTAACATCAAGCATTGAGCTAGAAACTGTAGAGGGCCCATCTTGCGACATTCTATAATACAAGCTGCACAAGTGCGCTATAACATTCAACATTACTCCATAGTACTGACATCCACCTCCTCTACCTTCCACATGTACCACATAAACAAACTCCGATACGGTCTGAACTTGTCTGACAGTTCCACCATGTCTTGCTCCGACATATACTTCCACTTGCCTCCCTTGTTCTTGAGCTTGGCTACATCTCGACCGACAAATGCAGCCATGCCCCTCTGGATACCGAGGTCACCCAGTGAGAAGACGTTCATCCTCTTCAGAGCAAAGAAAGCAAACATTTCGACGGTCCACTTGCCCAGCCCACGCACAGCGACGAGCTTCTCCATGAGTTCCTCGTCTGGCGCATCGTGAAGCATCTGCGCCGTAATCTCGCCGCTCGCAAACTTCTCAGCAAGACCCTGTACGTACTCTGCCTTGCGCTGCGAGAGGCCAGCGGTGCGCAGCTTCTCAATGGAGCATGCCGCGACTTCGGATGGCATCGGGAATCGTTCCACGGCGGCCTCGTAGTTGGCAGGCTGAGAAGCCTCGCCTTCCGGGAAGAAGAGGGCGATGAATTTAGATTTGATTGACCGAGCTGCCGCGCCGGATACCTGTTGCGATATGATGGAGCTCACCAAGCTCTCAAACGGGTCAACCTTCTCGGCCAGTCCTTCGGGTGAGAATACATGGCAGTGATGTTTCTCAACCAGAGGCCTCATACGCTCGTCCACGTTGATCAAGTGATCGCACGCCTCCCGCAGCAATGTTGCCGTTGTCGTCGTGGTCTTGCCGCCGATAGAAGCCGCCTTTGAAGGAGACTCAGGCTCCGCATTGCGCGAAGCAACTATCCGGGACGTCTGTGGCGACAGCAGCGTCGCATTGGAAAACCTGGGGTCTGCGAGGCGAGTGACAGACTTGTGAGCTGCGCCTTTGTCTTCGCCATTGAAACTGACAGCGCTGGTGGTGGGTGTTAAAGGGGGGGCGGCTGATCGCTGCTTCTTGGTTGGTGTCTTGGGCACTGCTGGTTCGGGATCGGGAACTGCTTTTCTCTTCCTCTTATTCTCCTTTGGAGGCGCAGGAGCAGCAGCAGTGGGCTTTGTAACCGCGGCTGCTTCTTTGGCGCTCGCCTTGCTGCTGATCCGTGCAGAACGCCGTGTGGCTGCCATTGCTGCGTGTGAGTATGTGCTGAATCTGGGCGTTGTAAGTGGTCTGTACGCTATGGCTAGAGATCTCGCGTAGCTGAGTGATTGCATTCGCTACTATGTCTGTAGATGATCTAGAATTGGCATTGGCAATTGGGCAGACGCTTTGGACTTGTTCCAATTGGCGTATGGCGATGTAACTGGAGAATTGAATCAAACGTATGTCACCTGTGGTCTGTTACAAGATTTGCGGTATGGAAAGGCAGTTTGTCATCACGGCTCAGGTACCGACATGCGTAGCAACGCCACAATTGCATGTAGAAAAAAACGGAGTGACATCCCTCCAAGTAAAGGCCGGTCAGCGAATAGTTACAGCCAAGTCGGCGCTTGGAGAAAAAAAGGACGGCAGCTATCATTTCGCACATTAGGTCAGGCTTTCTAAACTAGGCAAGATAATCATGAATAAACTTGCCTAGTTCGTTCTCCATGTCCAAGAATCGGTTGCCGGCATCCGATTTGTTGATTTGTTCCCAGCTATAGAATTACGGAGTCTGCGGCGTGTGAGGTTGCCACTGCGGCTTGGTCTTTTTTTCCAGGCTCCTTCTAGATCGCAGCCCCGGACCGCCATTCATGCGCAATTGAAAAACTCTCTTTTGATCGAACTCTATTGTAACCTGTCAATCTAGTTCATCTCACTTGTTGGTACTCTGCTTACTTTATATATCTACTATAGTCGTTTGATACTCAATTGCGGTGCTCACAACCACGGCCAGTTGTTGGTATTACTATTGCCATTGCCGCAACTCGTATTCCGTAATCTATAGGGTAGCATTGCCGCTTCCTGCATTCTAGACCTCCTGATTCGAAGTAGCGTGTCTCAATTGGCACAAGCAAATGTTTCGCGACGGGTGTCGCTAATAAAACGCAACTTCCTGGGTACTAATAGGAACCACTTTTCTGCCGGCCCCGGCCAGCAGGTGAAAGTATCCAGAATGTATTGCTTTGCACTGCCCAACGGTTAAACTTTTTCAACAGGATAGCAGCAATCTGTCTGATAGGTAACGCTAAGATACGGAGCGCCCTATCTCGACTTGTTCCCCCTTCTCTCCTTCGTTGGCCATTTGTCCAGCAGCCTCTCATTACAACGCTGGCTCTGTCCATTTGTGATCCTTGGCCCAAACTAGGCGTCGCCGCCTCCACTCTCGTTTTCAAAGACCCTCTCTTCCTTCTGGCCCGTCTCTCCTAAGCCCGCCTATCGTCTCCAGTCCTCCTGTGTCATCCCCAAGGACTCTGGAATCGTTGCGCGACAAACGACAAGTCCCCGATTTTGGGTGCCAATTGTGATCGACATCGCAACCGATTAAACGTCCCTTGCGAACCGAGGCGCGCCTCGAGACGTCATCATGCTGTTTCCCAAGGGTGGACTGAACTGGAAGTCTGCCAAGGCGCAGATACCTCCAACTAGGGCTCTATGGAACGCCGTGACGCGAACACGATTTATACTGCTGGTTGGCGTCACGGGAATCATCCTGTTACTATGGCGCGGCTTGTCCCATTCGGCGTCGGATATGCAGAGGTAAGCAGCTGTGCGCTGGTTTGCTGGTGATAACGCAGGCGCTGATCATTCTTGACGCCGCATAGCTTCTACTGCTGGGGTCCTGCCAAACCACCCATGGAAATGTCGCCGAACGACCACAACAGATGGAATGGACACCTACAAACACCGGTCATCTTCAACCACCACGCCCCGATAGAGGTCAACTCTAGCACAATCGAACACGTTGACCTCAACCCTATCGAGTCGACCAAGCAAGCTGTTAGCAAAGAAGAGAGGATACTCATCCTGACGCCGCTGAAGGACGCCGCTCCGTACCTGTCTAAATACTTCGAGCTTCTCGCGGAACTGACTTACCCCCATCGCTTGATTGATCTGGCGTTCCTCGTGTCAGACTCTACCGACGACACCCTCGCCGTTCTTGCGTCCGAACTCGACCGTATCCAGAAAAGACCCGACCAGATCCCTTTCCACAGCGCAACCGTTATTGAAAAGGATTTTGGGTTTAAACTTAGCCAAAATGTCGAAGAGAGGCACTCATTTGAAGCTCAAGGCCCCCGACGAAAGGCTATGGGTAGAGCAAGAAACTATCTCCTCTATACCGCTCTGAAGGCCGAGCACTCCTGGGTTTACTGGCGCGATGTCGACATTGTAGACAGCCCTACTGGAATTCTTGAGGACTTTATTGCCCATGACAGGGATATTCTGGTTCCAAGTAAGGAATTATTTGTGATTGCCCTGAAAGATAAAGACTTGCTAATCTCCGATGCCAAGACATTTGGTTCCACCGCTACCGCGATGGCGTGGATATCGAGGGCCGATGTAAGTGACTTTTAACTATAGAGCACATGCAGAATGTCGTCACTCACAGCAGATAAATAGTTGATTACAACTCCTGGGTCGAGTCAGACCAGGGTCGCAAGCTGGCGAATAGCCTCGATAAGGATGTCGTCCTTGCTGAAGGTATACCGCCCTAAACTAGACGTTAGCATGGATAGTGCTTACTAGGTCAACAGGCTACAAGCAATACGACACTGGTAGAGATTATATGGCAAAAATGGGCGACTGGCGCGAGAATAAGGACGTGGAGCTTGAGCTCGACGGCATCGGTGGCGTCAATATTCTTGTTAAAGCGGACGTGCATCGCTCTGGTATGCCGCTAGACCTCATTCTCTTATTGATATGGGCAGCTACTAACATGTTGTTTTCTTTTCCTTTTAATTAGGCATCAACTTCCCCTGCTATGCCTTTGAGAACCAAGCCGAGACAGAGGGATTTGCTAAAATGGCCAAGCGCGCCGGCTACCAAGTCTACGGCCTTCCCAATTACGTTGTTTGGCATATCGACACCGAAGAGAAGGGCGGCAACGCTTAAGCTCGACATCAACATTCTCCCGAAGAATTAGATTCCACTTCACGTGTGTCATATTTTGCGAACTGGTTCGAATAATTCGGTTGTTATATTGGCAATGGGGACAACACTTATACGAAGACTCATGATATTATACTTTCTGGCGGACCGGACTACCTTTTAGATACGACCAACCTCAACGTTGACGCATCAACTATTACGGCTGGCTATGAGTACGTTCTTTTGCATACCGTCGGCAGAGACCGTTTGCTGGTTCGCACTTTTCTTAATAATGATGGGATTTTGTCTGGGAAAGGCTTGCGCATGTTGGGTTGAGCCTGGAAGGGCAATAAGCGAGTTAGATCTTGTCCGCCGCGATACTAGATTCTGGCTACTTGCGTTGCGCATATAGGAGCTACTGGAATGGAGGTTGTTGTTTGTGCTATGGCGGGAGTAATGGCGAGGCTGGTTGGAACAGTTCTATGTGTTTTTGGAGTTTAGAGTAGGCATGGCATATTCACGTGGCCAAACGGGCTTTGTATTTTTTTCTGTCTCATCATTTGATAGATGCTATATCATGTTAGGAAGCCTATTTTATTTTATTTTGATGCGTGAGGCAATGACTGCTTTCAAGCCTTTTTTATCATGTGACAGTATCCGAAATGACAAAACAGAACAGACGTTCAAATAGCATGATCAAAATAGCATGCGCCTCGTTGTCATGCCGGTGTGTTCTCCCGTGACGGCCATGTTTCAGCCCTCCCTGTATTATTCCGGGTGTTTTTCTGCTGCGCATTGCCTGGTCAGCCGACCTACGCCCGAATTTCGGCTCTCAAAGATAAGGAGAAACTTTAACAGGCGCGCGGGAGAGCTTCGGTTAAATCCACCAGTTAGGTCGCTGGGTGCCGTCATAGCAGCAACACGTACAACTTAGACGAGTGCAATCACATCAGCCGCCTGCGACTGGCTGCGCATCCCCACGACGAGACTTGACGACGCACCTCTGTGCATGCAAATCCTACCAGGTACGTAACGCGCGGCGAATGCCGTTGATTGTTGCATGGTTGCCTAGTCGCTTTTGCGCATCCCGGACTAACGACGACGGCGACGACGACGACTTTAGGCTGACCCCTCCACCGAAAGCCTGTTGCGTCGGCCGCGGCATCACACCGTCATTTTGCGACCGACCAACCTCCTAGGAATCACTTTTATCGGCGATTTCGAATCTCCATCATCTTTAACACCTATTCCTCAGACTCAGTACATCCCGTCTTCTATCCATCATCCATCATGTGGGGCTGGTTTGGAGGCGGCGCCGCCGCGCAGAAGAAGAAGGATTCGGCCAAGAATGCCATTCTCGGCTTGCGGGCGCAGCTTGATATGCTGCAAAAACGAGAGAAGCATATCATGAACCAGATCGAAGAACAGGATCAGATCGCTAGGAAGAACGTCAACACGAACAAAACAGGTATGTAGACTGATGTTGTTAGATGCCTCGGAAGTGGCGGGGTGGCAGTATTGACGAGATGAAAACATTAGTGGCCAAGGCTGCCTTGCGACGCAAGAAGACACAAGAGGGAACATTGGATAAGACTATTGCGCAGATCGCGACGCTGGAAGCGCAGATTAACTCGATCGAATCGGCCAACATCAACCGCGAAACGCTGGCAGTCATGGAGAAGTCTTCAGAGGCCATCAAGGCCATCCACCAAGGCCTGACGCCGGAGAAAGTGGATGAGATTATGTATGTGATTCCGCATCCATCTGCGGCACCAATATTGCGTGTGTATAGGTGAACTGACGAGAGTATAGGGAGAAAATCAATGAACAGAATGCGCTTAGCGATGAGATTGTTAATGTCATTACGCAAAACCCGATCGGCGAGCAATTTGATGATGGCGAGCTGGAAGACGAGCTGGAACGCATGCAACAAGAGCATCTTGACGAGCAAATGCTGAACACAGGCCAGGTGCCCATAGCGGATGCCGTCCACAAGATGCCCACACCATCGAATGCAGATCGTCAGTATACCCCTCGGGACTTGAACAATGTATGTGATGCTAACATTCAAACAGCTATATCTAGCAAGAAGGTTGCCGTGGAGGACGACGAGGAGGCTGAGCTTCTGAAGCTTCAAGCTGAGATGGCAATGTGAGCTGCTTGCTGTTGAATTACGAGGCATCACAGTATATGGGGCATTTCGCGGACCGGCGTAAATGGTGATGTACTGATTCTGTGAATACGGCCACTTCGCTTCACTCTACCTTTGTTGAAGGAGCATATTTGCTGTGTAATTCCTACGCAGACTGACTTACTGGCTTCTTTCTCTTTTCTTGCCTCCCCCCCCCTTTTTTTAACACGAGTGGTGTTGTTTCCCTGGCGTTGGCGTCTTTGAGGGCATGGTTAATATTTCTTCTGGTGTGTGATGGGCAACAGATTCTTTCCTAAGGACAGGAGAAGCGAGGCACTCCCGTCTCAGGCTGGGCAAGTCGCATTACGGGTAACGACATTTTTGGCGCTCTCTGGTACAAAGGGAAGAACTGGGTCTAGGTAGTCGAGGGTTTATTGAGCTGATTTGGTAGAGAATTAGATGCCAACCAAAGATCAAATCTAAAGAGAATATCTTTTTGTTTTGTTTTTTACTTATATATGAACATATGCTACAACACTCGGTCCTTAATGCCCATTACTGATGGTTTGTGCGCTGCGAGGCATTCCTCAATCCCTTTGGTGCAAGCGGTAATAAAAATCTTCAAAATTAAGACGATTTCAGTAGGCGCCCCGATGCACCCCTTATCTGTAGAATCACATAATCGAGGCGGTTACGTATCTTGAGGCGGCATCTTCTTAATAGACTGGACCAGACTAAACAGCCGGCCCAATGGTCATTACGGGGTGTCTAAGAATAAAAGAAAAAAAAAAAAACGAAGGTGTAGATTGGGTCATATCTACGGATCTGTTGGGCGGTTTTCAGTTGAAAATCGCCCTGATTTCCCAAGCGACTCCATTCTCCAGACTCAGATCTGAGAGCTGTTGTAGGTAGTACTAGTATATGCATTCAGCCAGAAATAAACGCGGTGACGTGACAGGCCCTTTGCCTAACAACATCCTACAAGTACATACGCAGACCATTGAATCATATCAACAAGGATCCCTCTTCTGGCAAAGACGCCGCGAGCCACTGATATCTCAAACACAGCAGAGACTCGCCCATCGCAGAACCGCCGCCAGTGATTGATTGGACCAGCGGCGACGTCAAACGGGCCAGGCCGCTCATCGCTGGAGGCCGTGCACGTGACCTTTGCGGGGCCTTTTCCCCAGGCGCCAACGAAGTCTTCTGCAGCAGCAACTATTTCTTACGCGCTTGCAATTTAGGCGCCCTGAAGCTTCTCTGGAGAGGGAGGGCTCCACTGGAAAACCGGATCCTCCCCTGTCTTATGGCCATCATTGGACGAGACGGGCTGATATGCAGTCAAGCGCCCGGGCGGGAATATGCATAATGAGCTGGGAAGAAGAAGAGAGACAGAATCTGGGGGGGAGGGCAAAAGCGTTTCCATGGGCGTGAAGTAGGTGGCCAAAGAAGAAGAGTTTGTTTCTGCGCTGCTGACGATGACGATGGCAGCAAACGATGAAAAAGACATGGGGGCTGGGCGGCTGTGATGGGCGTTTGATGTGCCCTGCAGCTGAGAGGAAAGCCAGCAAACCATGGAGCTTTTCTGCAGGAGAAGAACAAAAAAAAAGACGTTCCTGGCCAGAGAGTGCTTGGGGCGATGCAACTTTGGCATTGCGGGCGCGTATCGTGTTTCTGGTAGATGGTAGTTCAATGAATAGTTCCCCCCCCCTCCAGGACGGTTTGGACCGATCTCTCTCGTTTCTCGTTTCGTTCTACCAACTTCTCCTTAGCCACTTTCTTTCTATTTTCCATCTCCTTTTTTTTTGTTTGGCATTTCCTTGCTCTGTTGTTTTGTTTTTTTCTTATTCTTGTCTCCGTAATTGTTACTCCGGCTCGTTTCATTTTTCTATTTCCTTGTTGTACGACATATCGGTTTCCATAGAGCGAGAGCCATACCTTCGCTATTCCTTCTTTTCTGCTTTAGCGTGTTGAGCCATGTTGAGATGCTGGTCGTCTCTCCTCTAATACCGGATCTTTCTTTAGGTAAGTTCTATCGATTCCATGTCGATGATATTGTACTTCACAGTATAATACTCGAACACTTGAGTTAGGCGATCATCTTGGATTGCTCATGATGATAAAATATATGACGGAAGAGATATGAATGGATTAAGCACTGACTCTTTGTTCTACAGATGTTTCCTAATAGAATGTCTAGGGGGCTCCCTTCGTACATGCTACTGTTGTTCATCGCACTCATTTATACTGTAACAGCGGCACCCCTCAACTCAGCAGGAGGCCTCGATTCTTTTGTTCCTAGTTGTGCGATTCAGTGTTTCGATTCATTCCTTAATATCAGCTATGGAGACCACACTGCGAGAACATTGGCAGAGCTTTGCCCACTCATTGGAGCATATGGATTCACAATCGGAGAGGCGGCCGTCCAGTGTCTTGTCGCGGAGCGGGCAGCAGGTGCTTGTTCTAATCAGGTCGCAAACAGTAGGTCAAACGATGATTGGATGATTAAATGAACGTAAAGAAGCTAACTGGTAAAAAGACGCGGTGATTGATAAAGCCTACTACATGTGTTTTGGTCAGCCTAGTGCTCTGTTGCCCACTCACACCGTCATCACAGCTACCCTTGCCATGCCACTCTCCGGCACGGGACCAATTACATTTCCATCAGTTACCAAGACTAGCCACCAGACTTCGATTCCTACAGCAATCTCCGGAGAGACCCAGTCATCGATATCGCTTCCCACAACGCTGATTACAGATCCGACTTCGTTATCCAAGTCCAGGCCGTCTATGACTGGATCTATAGCCAAACCGACGGCTACTACCACGATTAGACGAACAACTAAATCGGCCACCTCATTCAGATCATCGACATCGCCTCTGACCGATGTTTTAACAACTGATCCAACGGGCCTGGCATTCACCAAGACTACCGCAGCCACAGCCGAGACCAGTACCGGTACTAATGTTCCCAATGGCATAGTTGGCGGGCAGGGTGAAAAGAAGGCCTCGGCACCTCTCAGCAATGGGCAGGTAGTAGGGATTGCCATTGGCTGCATTACCGGTGCAGGATTTATCGGCATTGGAATCGCAGTCTTCTGTCGATGCCTTCGAAAAAGAAGATCTCAATTTGGTAGGAAGATGAGAAAGGATGGGCGATTGCTGAGGGATTCATGGGGCCCAGAAAAGCCCAACGGCGGTGGAGGAGGCACCGACTCATGGATCGTGAATCAACTCCGAGCGCCTCTTGATCCTGGCCCTGTGCCTACTCCGACAAAATCGTGGTATAATAGAGCGAGCTGGAGGCCTAGCGCCATTGGACTGGCAATATCACCCTCACGTACAAGAGACGTAAATCGAGTAACGACGCCAACATCGGCGAGGCCACTATCCAAACTGCTTCCAGCCAAACCTGTTATGGGCCAGGGACCACCACGGCTAGAAGTATCGCTCCCTAGCCGGGACGGCGACTCTCATTTCGGTGCCGCAGCATTCATGGGCACGGCCGCAGCCGGTCTAGCTTCAGGAGCCGTCATGAGCGGTGCCATGGCTGCCTCCTCATCGCCTAGACCTGCGGCTCTACCCAAAGTGCAGCCTATGGCGCAGCCTGCGAATCGTGAACCAACAACAACCACGCAATTCGCCCAACCTCGAAGTCTTACCCCCCCTCGAATTATAACACCTCCTAGAAATCTCGCATCTCCTCGAAGCAAGCCTCAATCGCCTTTGGCGCTGAAGCTGATCATTCCAAAGAAAGGGGCTTTTAAACCATTCGTGCCCATACCCGTCATCAGCACCAGGCATGATAGTTCAACCACGGAATTTGAAGAGGATGGTAGGACGTCGCTCTCGCCGGGTGGCCAAATCTGGAGGCCACCTTCAGCCGATCCTCTCACGGCGGCTCCTTACTATGTTGCGGATAGGAATGGTAACTGGAAACTTGCGGACCCGGTACGGGCTCAAGAGATTGCAGAGCTTGAGGCCTCTATAAGTCCATTGACGGCTGCTCCCAGGTCTGCAGCACCCAAATTAGTAGCTGGTCTAGGATTAGCCACTGGAGCAGCTGAGGCTCTGGAGCTTGTAAAAGCTGCGAGTAGGCGGGAGGCAAACAGAGCAGCCGCAAAACTCAAGGCTGCTGAGCAATCTAGGCAAGATGGCTTGGGTATAATGATTCCCCCGGAGAAAACGATCAGAGCCGTTGAACCATCACTTTCTTCAGACGAAGAAATTCAAGAGCAAGAACAGGACCAACAACCATATGCTCCGCGGCCCCTTTTTTCAGGGAACGGTAACAATATCAGCTTTCCTCGCCGCCTGTCATCCCACCGTCGGTCTTCGACCCGGTCTCTGACCCGTCCTCGAATTACTTCTACCGATAGTGGCGTAACCACTTTTTCGACTTCCACAGAGGACGATACTGAGTTGAGATCGCCGCCTGGAGCAGAGCAATTGGGTAACCTCTCCCCTGTAGTCGAGTCTCCGCGGTCTCTACGACCTAGAAGGGGCCAATCACCGACGCAATACCCCAAGATTCCAGCTAGCTTGAACGCCGCGATCCCTTCTTCGGGAAATCTGAATATTGAGATGGCTACTTCTAAGGGCGGAAATGCAGCAGCGCCTTCTAAGCCCGCCGCGACTGACCGTCCAGCGCAGAAAAGCCCGAGTTTTGGGGCCCCTCTTGCTGCTGGCACAATGTCTTCCAATGACAATAAGTCAAAGCAACGGGGGAAGCGGCCTATGGGAAGTGATGCCGTAGGAGCTCCTAATGCTATTAGAACCGGCTCACCGATGATGAGAATGGAAGGTTCAACGTCTCGAACAGATGAAAGATATCTGGGACCGCGTGGCCAAGCATCTCAGCAACCTAATATGTCTGCACAGCCAAACGCCTCCTCACGGCCATACCCGCCGCAGCAGAATCAACAATATCCTGCACCAGCTTATCAAAGACCGACGGGTTCCAACAACTACCACATGCCATACCGGCTCCCTCCCCACCCGACTGCCTACAGGCCGAATATCGATTCTTCTGGCTATCCATACCAGACTCGCCTCCCAGATCTCAACCAGGGCCCTATGACTTACAACATGCCGTATGCTCCTCAGCCCAATAGATACCCGTACCACCATCCGCGTGATCACCAGCCACCCTTTGCACAGCAGTCCTCTGCCCGGCCGATTTCGCAGCTGCCGCAGCAAAGGCAACAGCCGAGCCAGCGACCACAGCAACAACCTCAACAGCAGCGGCAACAACAACAACAACAACAACAACAACAACAGCCGCGACCACAGAGGCAGCAACGGCCGCCGTCTCTAGGACGTATGCCGCAACAGCAGCAGCAACAACAAGACTTCTACCTGCAACCCTCCGCCTCATCATATTACCCAAGTGGCATCTCCCAGGGCCCCCTCCCCACCGGCACCTCCACAACCACCACCGCAAGCACCGACTCCCAGTCATCCTCTCTCCTCGCCAAGCGTCTCGGCACCTCCCGTGCCGCCAACATGGCCCTCCCAGTGCCCCAAGCCACAACAGGCTCATCTTCGCAAAACAAATGGCATCGCCAGGGCCAGCAGGACCAGCAGCAGCAGCCCTCTACGCCGCAAATGCCTCCGCCGCCCCAGCAGCCCGCCGAGTTGCCCGCGACGCCCGTGTGGAAGCCCAGATTGACTCCCACGAGGCGCGGAGATGACTTGTACTTGATTGCGCGGTAAAAAAAAAGCTGTTTATCTTTTTCTTTCATCTGTTTCTCCAATCTGTTACACATTACGTATATACCACGTTCATTCCGCACCATGTACACTTATGAGGAAAAGCGGAAGAAAAAATTGTACTCCCTGTTAAAAAAGAGAAAAAAAAAAAAAAGAGAAAAAAGAAATCACTACTGGGATTATGCATTTGGATTTTGTTTGTTTGCCCCTAATCTTTCTTTCTTTCTTTTTTTTTTTTTCCCAGTTACCCTGTCATGGTATGTTTGTTATGACATCTGGTTGAAGAGTACCCAGCAGTTATTTACAGCTAATATTTCCTTTCTTTATTTCCTTTCTACTTGTCTTAGCTGGCTCCCAGGAGAGAGCCTCATGTACAATAGATAAACACAGCGCAGGAAGAGTCCTTGTTTCATTTATAAACACATGCAGCATACCATTTTTGTGTCTGTACAGGTCAAAGAGGAATAGAGTGTTATGTATATTATTATTGGCTAGCCTAGGTATTCAAGTGTTCAAAAGCTCCCTGTCTCTCCTTCTCCCGTGCTTCTCACACTACAACATTGCGATATCTACGGCGAACTTCAGTGCTTCCTTCGATGGTCATCCTGACCTTCGTTTTCCTCTGCCACCGTTTGACTCATGACGCATTCTCGCTCCACGAAGCGTTTCAGAGATGGCCTTGATCCCGATGCCTGATTACCCATGTTTACCATCTCAATATCCTGAGCTGACTCACTGGTTTCGTCTGATCGACGTAAACGTCTTGAACCCCTCTTCTTTACACTTCCTAGCCCGAAAAAGTCTTCTACATCGCTCTGGATATCACTTAGTTTGTCATCCAAAGCCTCCAGCCCTTGGGTCCACGCTGCTTGATTTAGATGGGCGTTCTCATCCACCAGCTTGTTCTTCTTTCGGATCTCTTGCCATCGTGACTTGCTCCCGAGTTCAAAGACATTTACCCTTCTCTTTTTGCCAATAGGGTTTCCGAGCATAGCAGGTCGCCATGCTTTCTCCTCCTCAACAGCCGCTTGATGATCATTGGGCATAGAAGCACGTCGTATGGTCGACCTTCGACGAGCCTCAATCAACCGATCCATTTCTTCCATCTTGGTATTTGGTATAATTTGCACTTCTGTAAAACGAGCCAAGATTAATAGTAGCAAGATGGTGAGAATGAAAAGAATGCCTGCTACAACTCCAGTAGCGACCTGTTGACCTAGGGTTCTGGTGACCAACCCACCTAGGGCAGTAGCACCCGCTGCAAAGATGAATGCTAGAGTATGAATAGCTGCAAAACCAGCCGTGACTCTTGGGAAAGATGAGTAATTGGTGCGCTTCTCAGACTTTCCTGATTTGCTGCGTTGGCGTCCCGTCATTCCAGGTGAAAGATCAGAAGTGTCAAAGCACTCCATCACTAAACCGTTGCACTCCGCAATTGCAAGGCATGATAGGAGTCCTATGCAGAATGCAAAGACGGTTGGCACTCCGACATGCATCGGAGGTCCAGAAGATACGGCAGCGTAACACACTCCCGCCAAAGGCAGTAAAATGGTAAAGATTGTGCGCCGAACGAGATGCGACGACCACGCAATCTTCCTGTCCATGGTTGCCTTGTTGGTGTTCAGCTGCGCTTGGCGGGATCGCGAAAAGAAGCTGGCTTTTTGAAATGGAATGGCCAAGATGGCTCCAAGAGCAACACTTCCAACAAGAAGTCCCACGTTTGGAGACCGAAGTTTATAGAATTTGGACGTTAATGATCCCAGGAGTACAATGGTCAACACCACCTGCGCGTAGATCCACGCAGAGTAGAGGGCGAGGATCAGAAAACCAGGCTGGCGAAGCATCTCCAGAGTGAGAAGAATGCCATGATAGACCTCTTGCCCCCACCATTTCGGGCCGGTCTTGACTCTGTGCATCATGATCTCGCCTCGAGCCACCCGGCGAGAAATATCACCCCCAGTCCTCACTTCTGCCACCGATCTTCTGAACGCAGACCGGCGGACTTCGGGACAGAGGACATTGAGGAAGAGCACAACAGCAATCATGATGATGCTGATATAAAAGCCCCATGTTGGCGGATATTTATCAATTACGCAAGCGCCAACAAAGAAGCCAATGCCAAGGGAACCAATCCAGCACCAAGTCCAAATACCCAGCCAAACTCCCATACCGCCGCCATGCCGTCTCGCGTCATAGTGATCAACTACCTCTTGGTGGGGATTTGTGCTCATGAGCGATGCGCCGAATAAATCTGTCAGTATTGAATGAAAATTCATGCTAGCAAACCCAAGTGAGGCCCCCATTAATGCTCGAGATACAAGAAGCGTAGCTCTCCACATCCCTGTGTTGGTTAACCTCTGAGCGTTGACTGCGAGTGCTTGAGGAAATAGGAGAGGCATAGCAAGCACGAGACTCGTCATGATGTACGGCTTCCGTCCATGCAGCAATGGGAGTGGCCACAGAAAGAAAGTGGGTATGGCCAAACCCAGAAAACAGCCAGTGTTTCCATGGACAGTGGCATGAGACTGATCGATGATATAGTATTGGATTGAGGGAACTAAGCCAGCATAAACACCCAGAATAACTCCAATCAATGCGGTACTGATACAGGCAACAGTAGCAACGAATCTCTTGCGAATTGGTGACCAATCTCTGGCTGTGGGTTGCCGTTTGCGTGACTTTGCTAAACTGAATCCTTGGGCACCTCGTAAACTGACATGAGATCGGCGCCGAAGACTGATTCCATGATCAGCATGCGGTCGACGATTGGCAGCCTCGCGCCCTGGAGGATCGTCCTCTCCGGACTCGTGTGAAGCATGCCGTGCATGCGAACCCCTTGATGCCGCTTTGGCTTGACGAGATTTACCTTCTACAGCAGCGTCCTTCGTTCTATTTGCCAAATCATCGTATTGTCTTTTGCGAGTTAGCTTCTGTGCTCTGCCTGAAGCTTTGTGAGGTCCCTGTGAAGTATAGGTCGCTCCTTGGATACTGGATCTTCTCCCCGGTACAGCAACGGATGCTTCGCCTACGGCCTGAGATGGCGGCGCCTCCTGCACCGGAAAATTTATGGCAGCTGCGCGTTCACATGTATTGGAGTAATTTTGTAAGATTTCATTTAGTCGCGGACGTTCGGGAGCGCCAGCATATGTAGCCGCATGTTGGTATAAAGGCCTCTTCTGCTGGCTGTCGTCTTGGATATCAACATCCTCAAGGCGGCCAGGACTCTCATGAGTGCAGTCTGATGTGCCATTGTCTTGAGAAGCTCCATCTTGACCACCGGGTACACTATGGGAACGAGATTGTAGAGTGATTGACACCCGGTGAGGTTTAGGGCAAGAGGGACTGTCAGCACGCTGCACCACTTCTGAAGCCAATGCGATAGCTTCATTCATAAGCTTTTCAAGGTCATTGACGGCGCGTTGAAATATCAATGGATCGATCTTTGGTTCAGATCTTCTAGAATGCGATGAAAGGCCTGTCATACGGCGCGAGGGGAGGATGCTGGATAACGCTGTATCAGACTGCCTTCGTTGCTCTGCTGACGAGGATCTTTTGTCTTTAGTCTTTGATGGTAGCTCTGTGAATTTGGAAGTATAAGTTTCGGGATACTTGAGAATTTCACGTAGCCATTGAGCAGTGCGCTTGTAATCCAACGTTGAGCCAAGAGAATGCGCCCGCGCGGACGAGCCATCAGACATTTGTCTCTGCAGGTTTTCCTCCTATGAGTGGAGAGACTGACCCATTTCCATCTGAAAAAGGGGCCTATCTAGAGTGGCCGTGGCATAGGGGTCTTGTTGAACGGGCTCAATTTTGGATGCGGAAGAATGGCTTTCATGTCCGCTTGACGAAGGCTGGACTGTGAAAATGGGACGGATCTTTGAAACGGGAATTGGAGAGTGGATTAAATGCTCAGAAGGAATATATTTTCTGCCTTGAGATGGGATTATGTCTCCAAAGCCTTGAATTTCGGTCCCATTATCTATCTGTGGGCCGTTATAGCTGTGTGAAATCGCCGTTTCAAACCCTCCCAATTTTGACAAAATTGCCTCTTGATTTTCATGGCCGGAGAGTTGATCATTGCTACTGATTGTAAGATGCTCTGAGCCAATGTTTGTTGAAGGAAGCTGATGATGCGAGGTTTCGTTGCCATCTGTTCCAGTGTACGGCTTGACTTTTAACAAATGGCTGTGGCATTGATGGCCGCCTTCTGAGTGTAGTTCAGGGAGGAAAGCTCGAATTTTGGACGATGGGAATATAAGATCCCGAGTCTCCTTTATATCTTTCTCAACATCATCTCTATTTAGTCTTCCTGTAAGCTCAGGGTGATCGAGTCTTGAGTCAAATGGCTGAACTTTGTTGGCAGAGCGGCTATAGTTTAGTCCACGCTGACCTCCGGGGGTTACTGGATGATGTGAGGGATAGTAGGAGAAAGCCGGGCGCACTTTGACTGCAATGCTGTGATCTTTGTGACGGTGAATAGGCACCGTTACTTCGGTGACGGAAATATGACCACTGGACAGAATCCGATGCATCTCACCGCTTATCATTGAACTATCGGATACTGGAGATGACGGTTCAGTCGAGGAAATCAAGCTTCGAGATCCTGCTGATCGGATCCCATAATCGCAGAAATCGGCACCCTCCAGTAGCCCGGGGTGGTGAGTGTCGGTATACGTGTTGTAGTTGTATAGGGAGGCAGCATTGACACGCTCTCGGTCGATGGGCTGTATTGGGGGCGAAGAAACTATCTTGTCTGGTCGATGAATAGGGAAGCTCAACCAGGGAAGCGCGGATGCAGGCCTGCTCGGGACAACACCTCGATTTTCGAGCTCTGGCTTGGATGGCTGGGAGGGCGTCTTGATAGGGGGAGATCGACTGACCACCGGTGGCGCGGGCAAGTCTCTGTCGACAAGGGCCGGGCCGCTGGTTGAAGCCTTCAACAGGTGGTGTCTAAATGCAGCAGCCCTGCTCATGGATATTTCGGATATATCAGCCATCTTGTGGCTTTCTTCGGTCCTCAACACGGTGAGGGAAGGACGGGCGCTGGGAGCGGGCGTGTGATCGAAGTCGCCGGCCTCCATGTCGGCTCGATATTGGGGCTGCTGGGCATGGATGTAGTGGGAAACTGCCAAGACCATTG